ACCCCAACCCCAACCCCAACCCCAACCCCTAGATTAATTTTTATACTTTTTTTAATTAATTTTTCAATGATATCTTATCAAAATTATATGCTAACATTTGATTCTAAATAAAATTTACAAAATATAAATTTAAATTAAAATAAAATAATTCATAAAAAGATAATTAATTTTTGTTTAAAAGTTTATGATTAAACGAATTAGAGCCAAAATTGTTTAATAATTTAACTCAATTAATTCGTACTTTTTGATTTTTGAATTTTAAATAAAATTTAAGTAATTGATTTATTAATTAACTTTTAAAAAGAATTTTCTTCAAATTTTAATTGAATTAATTTTAAAGAAATAAACAGAAAAGTTATAAAATAGATAGAATGAATTAATGAATAAATGGGATTATAACTAAAAACAAAAGTGTATAAAAATGTTTATTTTGAGGTATTTACTTACTTAATTATAACATTAAGAAACTGACTGAATGATGATATCATTGATAATTACTTAAAATTTAAAAATAAAATAAATTTATAATAGACATAATTAATGCTTGCTAGTTTATTCAAGAATTAAATTATAGGTATGAGAATTTAATATAGATAGAAGATAAATACTATTTATTCATAATATTAATCTTGACTATTTAATCAGATATTATCTTAAGTACACACATATTCTCACCAATTATTTCTATTCTTGCTTAACTATTGAAATCAATGCTTGTTGGGATCTTCAGGGATTGGAATACCTTATCTTTTCATTTCTAAGTAATAATTAGACCAATCAGTCTTGAGTTTATATAATCTTATAATGATAAGACAAGCTACAGAGAAGATAACATCAATATAATAAATACCTTCGTATCCTATTTTTTTCTTTAATCCTATGACTAAACCAAATTAAATGAAGTTAGCTATACCGAAACCGTACCAATAGATACCATAGATCTATGAGGCTACCTTAACACCAAAAAGTTATGCAGAGACAACAGGGAACATAGCCATAACACCACCAAATGTTGTGTGAATTAAAAAGACATAAATTAGATAAACAACACCATTGAAATAAGAATATCTGAAAGTGAGACCGAGGAAGATTTCGAGAACGAGAAGGAAACTGAATACTGTCTTGAAGGAGAATTTATCAAGCATACTTGACCAAATAGGACGAGAAAGACCATTTCCAACAGCAGCAAAACTTCCTACGACTGTCAAGAAAGAATCATCAAGGAATTCCTTACCGATATTTTTATAGTTACCATTAACCAAAAGACCTATTGAAAGAGAAAGAATTGCAATCAATATTGACATGCAGAATCTAATAGATGTTAAGGCAGTTTTGACATTAGGGACACCACGCTTTGAGAAATCTTCGTCGTCATGAGCACCCTTTTGAAGTAGAGGTTAGTTTACTTACAATTGAGGACCTTCATATCTGGCATCGCTGTATTGTTCCATTTATTGACTAATAGGGAGACCATTTCCTTGCATTTGTGCAGCTTTTTCTTTGATTTCATCTGTATCTACGTCTTCATGGACTTCAATTTTACCTACATCATCTTCTTCCTTCAGAATTTCTTCTGCCAATTTAATTTTAAGTTCACGCTTTTGTTCTAAAGTGACAGCTTTTTCAGTAAGTTCTTCCTTGAGAGCTTTTTCTTTATTACCAACTTAATCTTTATGGGGGAAAATTAAAGAAGCACCAGCCATCAAAAGGATTAAATAGTAAAAACTCATCTAACGAAGTACACCGGGGACGTTTTAAGCAACAGAAAGTGATTTACCTTAGAAATACTTGTAAGTGTGTGTTGCATCATATTCTTAGTTTAAGCCTTCAGGATTAACTAATGCGAAGAATGTTAAACCAAAAACTAAAGAAGCAAGACCGTATCCACATAATACGACACCTGAAACAATACCTTTCTTCTTAGGGAAGTAAAGATATCCCATGTAGATAGGGATGTAATAAATACAACCAGTGATGATACCAAAGCAGAGTCCATAAATAATAACGAATTACCAGAAGGCAGCTGCAAAAGAAGAAATGAAAACACAAAAAGCAGCAGATGCACCACAAACATAGCAAACGAGACGAGCAGAACCAAACTTTTTGATGAGCTTGACACCCATGGGCATACCAGTAGCGACTGCACACATCATAACAGGGAAGACAGCTGCACCAGTTTCTACTTTAAGATCAGATGGCTCTCTCCAACGGAAATAAGAAGTGATATAAGGATTGATAGTTCCCCACATATATAGAGCTCCACAGCATAAATGCATTGTGAAACCACCAAGGAGGGTAAGGAAACCCTTAACGTTGTCAGGCAAATCCATACTTTTCGTTAATTTTTATCAAATAAGTTTTATATCTATCTATTTCTAGTTGAGATTTAATTATCTTTTTACTTTCAATTAATTGATTGATTTCTTAGGGTTCTACCTAACCTAATATATTTTTTTTGAATTTTAATATTTATTGTTCTTTTTATTTCCTTTTTTTCTTTTAACAAGAAAACAAACCAAAAAAAAGTTTTTTTATTAATTAATTATTTATGAAATTATTAAAAGATTGTTTATCCTCCTTTGATCTTGGATAAATCAAGCAAGCAAACAAATAAATAAATAAACTAACAATTAAATAAAATTAAAGATTCAAAAAATAAAATTGTGTATTATAGTCTTTTTTTTTATCTCAAAATGAACCATAGATAATAAGATTATCTATTTGTTTACAATTATTTAGATATGCTACTAAGTAAGCCTTGCTCATGATATTTTTTTATTTATCCCAAAGGAATTTTATGTGAATAATAGTACAAAAATACTTTAATATTTTTTGATACAAATTTTTGCTTTTAACATCGTATTTTTATTTTGCGTGTCATTTTTTAAATATTTTTGATTTCTTATTACAAAGTATAAATGAATGCAAGTTTCTTAAATTTTAAAAATATTTAATTGCTATTTTATTAGATATTTTTTAAAATACTATATTTTATATCTAATATGATTTATGTAATTTTTTTTTTTTCTATTTTAACTAGGGAGGTAATTTTTTTCTATTCTATATTACTAAATTTTTATTAATTCAACAAAGTCTACCTCATTCATATAAACGAAAACGACTTTTTTTATATATTTTGCAAAAAAAATTTTCTCATTTTTTTTGATGTAAAAATTAGAAAGTAAATTTTTCATGTGTCATTGTAATTTGTTAATTTACACATATTTTAAGAGTGGTAGTAGGAAGAGTGTTAATTTCAATATTATGTTATTGTGCTTATCTTTTAATTTTTGTAGTAAATTTTTATTGTTATTTCTCATCATTATTTTATTAATTAATAAAGAAGTGATCTATTTTTTTGATTCTAGTGAAATTATTATTTATCAAATAAAATTGTATAACTTGCTTTAAATATGAGTACACAGCCTACTCAAAATTTAGCGCAACAGCTAAACTTAGCAGAAAAAAAAAAACTCCAAGGGGTTAGCTATAGGGTTATGGTTAACTTACCTGTAATAATAAAAGACAAAGAAATTATTGATCGAAAGCTTACAATAGATATTTTCAAGAGAAAGGCAGCATCAAATCAGAAATAAACATAGCAAAAAAAGCACTTATAAATGAAAAAAACAGCTGAAGACTAGGTAAACACTTACAAAAAGATGTTGTTATTGTCCCTTTAAATATTATTTATGTGTGAATGATTGCATAAAGTGAATAATTTTTTTCATAATTGTTTTCAAAATTAAAAAAACGAGTTGCACATTTTTTAAGTAACCAAAAATATTCAGTAGAATAATCTCAAAGGAAATTTCTGATTGTTTTTAATAAAAACAAATCAAAAAATTAATACAGAAGAGAGAGAGTTGGTTTGTAACATTCAAAAAAAATTAAATATACACTTTTGGTAAATTATTGAAAAATAAAAAGCAAAGACCAAAAAGTCTTAATTTTTAAGCACCCTCAAATTTATTTAAAAGTATTACTAATTGATATCTTATAAAGTGCTTGTAAGCAAAAATTATCAACTGAATAAAAATAAATTAATCTATATTAGCTATTCATAAGCATAATTTTTTTATATTTATTTCTTTCTTTTTTTCAGATAGGTAGAATATACATAAATGAGTTATGGAGTGATAAATTCCATAAACTAGTTATGAATGAATCAAGAATCCAGGAAGTCTTAGATAAAATTTAAAAGCTTTACAGGAGGAATGTAGATGAGTTTGTAGAAGATATCCACAATGCAGCTCAATCAGATAAAAAGACTGATACAGATGAAATTATTTAAAAACACATTGAGAAAAGCTCGCTTCCATATATCTTGAAAAATAATTCAAGTCTATTAAATAATATCAGCAAAAAGATGTAAACAGATACTATTTAAGATGACTAAGAAGAAGTATCTATTATATGTTCTAACAAGAGCTATTCTACACATAATAAAAGAGACAGTTTAAAGAATGAATCAGTTTATTTTCTTTTAAACAGAAAGGACTCAGAGTTAGATAACTTAGAAAAATCAATCAAATACAAATTTTTAAGAAATAAAAAGGACAACATTCTGGCAAAACCTAAAGCCTAAGTTTTTGAAAACCCAATTAACCCAACATTTTTTAACAATGCATAGAATATTCTATCACAGTGCAAATAAATTAACGAAGAATGGGAAGTTAACAAGTAAATGAAATTTTTTAGTTATTTTACATATTTTACTCATCATACTGGTTTATATATTAATTTAATCACCTTTAAAGATAATAAATTACATCTATTAAAACAATATCTAAATTCGTTAAAGAAATTAATTACTTTTTTTTTTAATAAGATAATTACAAAGAAGAGCTTCTCCTTTTTATACTGTCAAAGAAGATAGATTTTGATCTACTATTACTATATAACCTAATTGATTACATTCTTTTACTTTACTATTCACAATAATATCCAAGCTAACCAATATTAATCAAATATACACCACTTTTTTTTTCCCACTATTCAAACTGTGTTTACAGCAAAAAAAAAATTACTTTCATATACTTACTGCCCAATAAAATTTATATAAAAAAAATAGAAACATTCCAATAAAAAAATGTTCTATGTTTTACGTTAAAAAAAAATATTTTAAAAAGTATTTATTTGTGTAATTCATAGATTTAATAATCAATCAGTTATTCTTATTCAATAAAGATCTAATTTAATTTATTTATTTATATTCCAATAATACTCACTTCTAACCAGATACAATTATGTTAAGATGACCTTCTTTATATTATCTTTTATAAATTATAATTAAAATTTTTCAATAATTTTTCAATTTATTATATTAATTCATTTTATTTTGATTAGAAAATTTTTTTTTCAGATTTTTGTAAATTCCCTGGTGAATATAAGTGAATTTATAAGGATATCATCTAAAATAAAATAAATATTTAATGATTAAACTTAATTTTATATCTACTAATATTTATGAGATATTTTCTTTAATGTAATTTAATTAATAATTATCAAATAATTTTTTAAACACAATAACTCTTTAACAATAAATTTAGCATTTTCTGGATTAATTTTATACTAAATTCTATTATTATCTAATAATTTATCTCATAATTAAGAAAATATCAATTTATTAAATAAAATATTAGAATAAAACATACTTTTCTTTATAATTTTAATTGTTATTTATATCTTTATTTGTGGTCAGTTTTAAATTGTTATTTTAAAAATAGATTAAGTTTATTAAATGAATACAATTAAATATTATTTAGCAGAGGTTTTATTCTCTTGAGAAATTCAGTATAGTATTGACACTACATTACTTAAAGTAAACTACATCGAATTTGTGTAAGATTGAAAAAAATTTAGTTTCTGAAAATTATCCTAAGACAAATATTTTTGATTAATAAAAAATTAAATATAAAGTTTAAAATTAATTAATTTAATAAAATTAAGATAATATTTGAAATATAAAATATTAAGTCAATATAACCAATCGATTAATATATATTTACACTAAGAAATTATAATAATTTGTGTATTTAAATTCTGAAAAAATAATTGGAAAAACTAAGACAAATTTATTAAAAATAAGACTATAAATAATTGATTTATTAAATAAAGAGATTAATTGAATTATTACTAATAGCTGTAAAAAAAGATATTTTTAAGTAATAGTTCGAGTATTTATATTTCTTTTTAATAACTATTAAGTTAGGATAAAGAAATTGAATAGTTGTATTAATTTTTGGATTATTTTACATAAATAATAAATTTTTTTGCTTAAAAGTGATATTTTAGAGTATTACCATCAAACCTAGTAAATTTATATGAATATAGAAGTTTTAACATAAGGAATTATTCATCAGTGAATATTTTTTATTGTTTTAAAGCTAATATTTTAATTTTTTCTTAAAAGATAGATTTTGCATTAAAATAATCAAAGTTAGTTAATAAGTATGCAACATAGTTGGGAAAAAAAATAATTGATATTTAAATAAATAGCTGACCATTTTTTTGTAATAAAACATAATAATTGATTGATAAAATAAGGAGAATCATGCAGTTATTATAAATAAAAGCAAAAAGGGCATTTTTATATATGCTTTAAATATATTTATTATTTATGCTTAATTTAATTTATCATAGCTAAGTTAGGGTAAAAAATTAATTGAATGGTTATAATAATTTTAGTATAATTTATTTCATTCACTTATTTATTCTTTTTGATTAAAAGTTAGATTTATGAGTAGGATTGCCAAAGTTAGTCTGTAAGTTTGCATATATTTTATTATATATATATTTATTTCAATCAGCTCTTTAACTATTTTAGTATTCCTGTTCGAAATTTGCTGTATAAATACTTTCTACTTTTTAATTTTGATTGATTAGTAATGTTTTTTTCTTACTTCCACTTTGAGTTATTAAATTTATTGCTTTTTAAGATGCTATATTTTTTAAACTTAAGTTATTAAAATTTTAATTTCCTTAAGATTGTTATGGGTATTCAATCAATTTTTAACTATTGCTTAAAGGTAATTTTGTAAGCTCATTTTGAGTTTAATATTTGTTCAAATTTTAGATAGTTTTAGATTTAATAACCTAGCTAAAAAAATTGTTTTTGGATTTGTTATTTATATTTTCTGTATCTTAATTTATCTAATTCTTAATAGAGTTACCTATTTAAAACTTTAAGCTATTAGTTAGGTTAATACTGTTTTGATTGACATAATTTTAGCTTGATTATGGTTATGATTAGGTAATATTACTACCTATTTAGATATTTGATTCAACTTAAATATGTTAATTATTTTGATTTAATCTCAACTTATTTTATGTGTTATTGATTTATTTTTAAGGCCTTTGTAAAATTATTTTCTTTAAACTATTATTTTCTATCTAAGATTAATTATTAATAACTAACTCTCTATTACTTAAAGGTGTTTAGTGTTGAACTGCCAAAATATTATCGATATTGTTATTATTATTGTTAAATTATAAATTACTCATCAAATTCTATTTTGATTATAATGTTTAGAATCCATTAGTATTTTAATTTAACAATTAACGTGGAGTTGTAAGACCTTTTTTTTATGAGCTTAAAAGTATGCTTTTTTTCTACTATGGTGTAAATTTATTGTTAAGAGCATCCTTTATCCTTTGCCTAAGGTCATTGTCATTCTAAATGATTTAATTTTAATTAAGCACCATCATAGTATTTAATTTGTTGGCTTTTTCATCTTTATTTCTATCATTTAAAACCTATTTTGGAGTATTGATGAAGTTACTTTTGACTTCATCTACCTTTTCTTAGACAGAATTTCTTTTGAAAAAATGTGGGTTATAGTTATAGCTACTCTAATTTACTTCATTTTTATTAAAATTATTATGATTATTATTCACTTATATTTATCTTTTTTAATTAATAAAGTGTTGTTTTTATTGATTATCAGATATTTCAAAGAAATTATTCTCTATTTAGTTCGTTTTTACACTATTTTAAATATTTGTGGTATTATTTGTATTTAGAGCAGGTCTTGATGACAAGGGCTACCATTAATAGTGATTTTTTAAGTCATTTTACTCAAATTAATTATTTTAAAGTTCATTTAATAAGTCTTATTTATTTTTATAAACTAAATTTATTTATTTTTTTTGCAAATTATTTCGCATTTCTTAGCTTTCATTGAGAATTATTGTCTCAATTTCATCTGCTTTTTTCTCACGTTAAATATTCAAATTTAATTAATTTAATCTTTATTTTTCTAAACCATTTTCAGGATTTTTATTTTATATTATCAATCTATGATTGATTGGTTTGCTTTAGATAATTTCTTAATTTGTTGAGTATCTTTAATTTGGTTAGTTAAATTATGTTTAAATGAACTTATTATTTTGTTATTAATTAAAATATTAATTCTCTTAGTTATTTTCTGTATTTCCTATATTATTTTAGGCATTTTTCTAAATAAAAATTAGTTTTTTGCCTTTTTAGTTATCTGATGTAATTGAAATTCCATCTTAAAAATTAAATTCTGAATTTTGCTGTAAGTTATAATCAGTGCTTGTTAGATTAGGTGCCTGTTGTTTTTTGATTGAGCTACTCTCATAAGTAGTTAAGTCGATATGTTAAGGATGCTTTTGAATTTTTTTGATTTAGTAATTTTTAAGCAGATGATGACTCTTTGTTTCAAGCTGATCCTCACTTTTAGTAGGTCTAATTATATAAATGTAAATTATTTTTATTCAACATAATGCTTTCTAAAAACATCTGAGTAAAATTTAGAATTTTTAATGAATAAATAATATTATATATTTACTATCTGCTTTTAGGAGTCTAGGGCTAAGTATTCTAGTTTTCCAAACAATTTAATTTAGATTGCAAATTTTGAGATTCATCCTCAATGATACTATTTTTTTTTTATGTTTTTGAAAAATCTTTTTATGTAGAGTAAAAAGCTTATGAAAGCTTTTTGAAAAATTATTCCTCTCCTACATTTTAAGTTGATAGATTTATTTCCTTTTAGTCTTATAAAATTTATTGATGATTATCATAGATCACCTAGCTGCTCTACTCTTAGGAATTAGATAAATCTTCGTTAACTTAAATAAAGGAATAAAACTCTACATCGTCCATCATTTCACTTTCATTGCTACTCATTTACTGTTTTAAATCAATTTAAGTTTATATTCTCTAAGTAATTTGTTTCTTTTAAATCTGTTAGTAATCTCTACTTAATCACTTTGGCAAACAATGGAAAATCTATACTACAAATCTATCTCCTAAATTACCTAATATTATAAAATCATGTTTAGCATAAATTTATAAAAATATTTATCTAATTACTTAGCTCTGAGATAATAATGGTATTATACAAAAAGAATTTAGTAGTCTTTACTTAATTGATATTTAATCTCTAATTTCTTATATTTAAAAAGTTTTCTTCTTAATTATTATTATTACAATTTTTATAATGTCAGCTTACAAATTATTAATTTTGATTGATTGTTTAAGTATTTGATTATCTTTAGTTTCAAATGAAATATATCTCGCTTTTCCCTAACTCACTAATTCACTCGCTTTCATATTAATAATTAATTAATTATAATTCGAGTTAGGTATAAGCTTAATAAAACCATATATAAAGACTATAATTCGGGTATGTTAAATTCGTTATTTATAGATCCACTTAATTTTTACCATCAACACATCACATTTATTTAGAAACTCAACGCATAGTATCTAATCTTTTCTTTTTCTTTTCAAATAATTGTTTGATAAAATATTGATGAAAAAGTAAGCTAATATTTATTAATTTTAAAATTGGAATCCCTATATAAAGCTAAAATTAACGCGGTTTCTTCTATTGAAAGTATTTTTAACGAACAAATTTTTTGATTTTAAACTAAAAATTCTCATTTAAATTAAAAAATATGTATGTATGTACCTACTATATTTTTTACAAATTAATTTGAGTTTTTTAATTAAAAATAACACAATAAATTAAAAAAAATAATAATAATACTTATAACTTAAAATAAAAGTCAAACAAATTTCAAAAAAGAGGTTTTTGTTTAAGTAAATGAAAAAATTATTTAGAGTTTTTAAAATAAAAAATGTTCAATAAGATAAGATTTAGATTTAGCAAAAAGCTAAAGCCATTTTAAAATAAAAGAATATAGTTGGAATTTAGTTTGTATGAAAATAATTTTAATTTTTTTAATTTAATCAGTTTTCTTATTTTATCTCGTTTTTGCTCTTTTATTAGTGTTCTTAATCTAGCTCGACTTTGCTTTTTGACTTAGAAGCATCTTATTTTCCTTATTCTTCTATATGTGTTAATGAATTAACTTTTTTTTATGGAGAATTTTCTTCATTATGATGATTATTATCTCCATCTTCTTTTTAATTGTTTTTATCTTCGTTTTACTCAATTTTTGGATGGCTTTTTTCTGCATGGTGATTTTCATTTTCTTGCTTTGTATTTGTTTACTCATCCACTTTTTACTATTCATGTTGTACTTCATTATTTTCATTTGGTACATTATGATTTTCGTCTTTCTTATTTTCTTAATTTGATTATTCTTGTTTTGGATGGTCTTAGTCTTTATGCATTTAATCTTCTTTACTTTTAGATTGTTGATGTTCCTCTTCTTTGTTTTATTTACTGCTTTCTTCTTAGTTTTTTTCTTGATGCTCATTATTTTTTACTTAGTGGTTTTAGGTTGTTTATTATTTATGATTTTCATGTGATTCATTGTGATTGTCTATATTGTGTTCCTTAATATTATTATCTTTTTAATTATCATTATGATGACTTGTACTCTTACTGTTTTAAGAATTTTTATTAGTCTACTCATTATTATTATGATTAATTTCTGTTTCATGGTGCCTACGTTATTCATCATGATTTTTAGTATTATCATGATGAGATTCATTATTCTTTTCTTCTTATTTTTATTTTTGCTTTTATTCTGAATAAGATATATGATTATTATCATGAGCTCCCTATTTATAAGATTAATTTTCATTAATTTATTTAATTTTACTTTAATCTTAATTTCTATTAGAATAGCTTCCTCTATCTTCTAAGAAGTAATCTTAGACAATCTTTTTTTATTGTTATCTCTACTCTAGATAATTATTTTTAGTTTCTTATACCAAGGTAGCATTTTATTCAAGATTTCCAGTAAAAACAGTTTTTTTGTTGAGGATAGGAGGTAATTTAGTTGGTTTTTAAGATATGTGTCCTAAGGATTTAAATTTCTGCATATGCTTTTTCAGTTTTTCATATTGGCTAATATCTTTTTGCAATTTTTAGCGGTTTATAAATGATTTTTACTCAATTAATCTTTTGGCAAGTTATTTATTTTCTTCATCAATTTATCTTAACTTTTCTTATCTGTATGGTAAATGAAGAGGTTTTTATTGCTGAGAAGTTGGAGTAGTATTATTCGAAAACTAAGGTTAGTTTAAAAAGCAGCATTTTCCTTAAGATATTTCAATCAACTTACATAACATAGCTTCATTTTACTAGTTAATCTATTGTTATCTACTTACATCATTAAATTTAATATTTACTGATTTCGCATTCATAAAAGATTCTTTAAATTCTGCAATTTAATTGCTCGTTAGCTATGCTTTTTTAGATTCTATAATATTAGTAATCTTCTTCACATGTCTTTCATAATCCATTTCTCTGTATTTTGCATCCAGAGCGCTTTACCCCATAACACTTTTCTACATTTCGTTTTGTTTTTATTTTTTGAAAAATCTATTGTAATTTAAATATTTTGTAAAATTTACCTTTAAATAAATTTTCTAATAATTTAATATATCATCAATTGATTATAATGATTAAAATCGCGTTTTCAAACCTTAATATGTATGTATATATATATTTATTAGATTTCAATGTAAAGAATTAGTTGTATAAAATAAAAATAAAACTGAATTAAAAATTTTTATAGCTAATCTTGGTTTATAAAATATTTATTTAAGACTTTTTTTAATCATTTTCAAAAAAATTTTAAATATATTTTTTAAAGTTTTACAAATTTTATTACTAAACATTTATTTTTTTTTTAAGTTTATTCATTTAATTTCCTTGTTTTTCTTTCAAATATTAATTCTTTACCAAAGTAATAAATTCAAAAACAATTTTCGTTTTTATAACAAATTTAAGATTTTAATCTTTTACTTCAATATTATAATAAATATGTACTGAATTATTTATCAATAACTTTTTTATATATAAAGATTTTGAGGGAAGTTGAATTTAAGGTTAATTCATAACCATTTCAAATAAAAAATCACCAATATGAAAATATGATATTCCAAATTTTAAATTAGGAATACTATGAAATAATAATAATACAGGATAAGAATATTTTATTTGATATATGCTATTTATTTGAATTACTATAATTAGTTTTCTCACACCTTGTAAGGCTTGATCTTCATTACTCTACCGAAACCAATAGTTTTTTCTTCGTCTCTGAGGGTAAATCTACCTAATTGAGAAATAGTTTCGAACTTTTCAAGGCACATTAAACCACCCTTTATCTAAAATAAAATAAATTTTTTTTTAAAATTTGTTTAAAATTAACTACTAAATAAATAAATTACTCCAATCTTAACAACACCAGTTTGATTGCTCTTCAAGAAAGTATTCTTGGTGAGTTTCTTATTTTCAGGGTTTTGAACTGCTTCTACTTCTTCTATTTCAATTTCAGCAACACTTGTGTGCATGTGGAGGACACAAGAGTAACCTTAAGACATAATAGGCTTGTGTTCAGGTAATTATAAAATAGTAATTTCAGCAATAAATAATTAAGTAATAGGGCATAAATCTTCAGTACTGCAAACCATGTAACCTCTTTCAATGTCCTTATCTTCAAGACCTTTGAGTTTAATCTTTTTTTATAAAATTAGATTTTTAATTACAGAGTTAAGTAAAAATGTTTACTAAAAAATTGAACTAAAAATTAAATATTTTTTACCTTGACATTTTCACCAGCAGAGGCGTAAAGGACTCTCTAATCCTTAGTGTTATAGATAGATAAAATTTAGAATTGTTTTCTGTAAGGCATAAGAGTAACCCAAAGATCGTCTCTAATTGTACCAGATTCAATTTTACCAAAGAGGAATTAACCTTAATCTTTAAGCTTATCAAGAACTGGGATTCTAACAGGACCGTTGGGATCTCTTAAAGGAACTGGAACCTTGTTGAACTTATCAAAAAGAGTATCTCCCTTGTACCATTCACATCTTTCGGTAGGAATAGGAGTATCAATATTTTCGTTAAGGAAACCGTTGATGGGAACCCATTCAATAGATTAGATACCGACTTAGTTTCTGAGGAAAGGTTCGACGGAATCATGGATGTGATCGTATCTCTTTTTATCCCAATTAACTTCATCCATCTTAGAGACAACACAAATCATGTGTTGGACTCCCAAAGCTTTAGCTAAGTGAGCATGTTCTTGAGTTTGACCACCTTCGAAACCAGCTTCGAATTCACCTTGTCTAGCAGAAATAATAAGAGCTGCAACATCGGCTTGACAAGCACCAGCAATCATATTAGGAACATAGTTCTTGTGTCCAGGAGCATCAAGCAAGACAAAACGCTTGTTGGCAAGTTAGAAGTGAGCCTTACCGCATTCGACAGTAATACCCTTGCTTCTTTCTTCTTCGTTAATATCCATAATGTAAGCAAGAACCCAACTTTCTCTGTTCTTTTCTTTAGCTTCAAGTTCGAATTTACGAATTTCAGTTTCATCAACTTCACCACAGTTTTTAAGAATTCTACCAGAAAGAGTGGATTTACCAGCATCAACGTGTCCAATGAAGACGATATTGACGGAATCTCTTTCCCTATCAACCTTAACCATTTCTTATCCTTCTTTAAAGTTTTTGCTTTCGAAATCGATAGCTTCTTAAACAGTTACTAATTTTTCATGCTTATAATCAGCAACGACAGCTGAGCTGTTAGCTGCTTCTTGTTCTTTTAAGAGTCTCTTGGGAATTTCTAAATAATATTGAATAAAATATTATTATTTAAACTAACCACCAATTATTTATATTATATTAAATTGCAAATATAATTTTCATCTAAAATAAATATTGAACTAATAAGCAAGCAATAAAATTAATTATTAAGTATTTATTCTATAGCAAAGATAAAAGCCTAGTTTTTATGCTAAGAATATTGAGTACTGTAGTCAATAAATTAAATCTAGGTTTTTTGCTATATTAATTAACTTATTTATAATACATTTTAAATTTTGCTTAATGGCTTCTTTATTTTTTTTAAATAATACTTTTTAAATAAATCTTTCATTTGTAAAGTTTAAAAATATAAAAACATACTAGGAGGGGCAGGTGCCTTTTGGATGGGAGCCTTCTTTTCCTTAGCAACAGTTTCAACCTTTTAAGTGGCTGGTTTTTCTTATTTTTAGTTTATATCCTTGATTATGCTTTAAGGGATTTGTATTTCGAAAATAGGAGTGAATAAAAAGTATTCATTATCTTGAGTCATAAGAATTACAGGGCAAGGGTTTCCAAATTTATCATATGCGTAATCTAAATAAGGATTAGATTCAGCATCATAAAGACTACCATTTTGGTCATATTCATCATCAGGGCTGATGAAAACAGGGTTTCCATTCATATCATAATACCATTCACCAAATTTATACTTAGTAGTAAGCCATTTTCCTTATTAGTTACCCTAATCATCATAAGGAGGAAGAGGACCTTATTATTCAGTAACTTAGAAATCTTCAACCTTATTTTCTTAAATCTTGGCCTTTAACTTTCTGAGTTTTTCTTCCTTGGCAAGTCTCTTAGCCTAAAATATTAATTTAAAGAAAACATGGATAAAATTAGCTCTTTTTATAATTAGTAGGGCTCTAAATTCGAAATTATAATTTGCTTTTAAACTGATAATTTAACTCATATCAGGAAAAAAAATTCATTTATTCTTCATCTAACTAAAAAAAATGTTTTTGGATAGTCAAAAATTGCTAACTTTAATAGGTTTTATGGGAAAATGATGGACTTTTTTATTTGAATATTTTGATAAACTGATTAATTATTTAGTAAAGTAAATTTTTTTAATTAATAAATAGTAATTACTTCTTAGTCAGCCATTTTCAATTATTTTTTACTTTTTTAAGTTTATCTTGTAGAGATTTTTGATATTAATTAATATTTATTTGATTTTATCAAAGGATTATTTTATTTTTTTTAATCAAATATTTTTAGTTTTCTCTATTTATTTTTGCCAAATTATATTTTTCATTTATTTTGAATGAAAAAAAAAAAGACTATTTATAAATCAAGTCTATTTTTTTGTTTATTTAAAATTTCATAGATATCTATTTTTATTTAGCTAACATATCTATTAAAATCAGTCTTTATTCATAACATTTTTAATATTCAATTAACAAATAGCTATTTAATTATTTAATTATTGCTTCTATTTTTATCTTAATCAACTTTATAATTAAAAATATAACATTGAAAATTTATTAAATATAATTTTTTCATAAAACCATTTTAATTATTTAAAAATTTTTATTTTATACTAATTATTATATGAAACAATTCATAAATATATTTTTAAAATAATAATAGATTCATTATACTTTTTTACATATCCTACTAATTCCTTTCTTCTATTTCAATTCATCAGAAATAATAAATTCTTTCGATTTTTGAAATTAATAATATAAAGTACAAAAAATAATATTTTATGTTTATGATTTCAGTAACAGTATAATTTAATACAATTCATTTAATTTATTTAATAATAAAACTGTAAAATGTTATTTCACTGTAAGTAAATTTCTATTTTCAACATCTTCTAATATAAAAATACTTATAAAACCTTAAAAATGTATTCATTCTATTATTGCTTAAATTATTTTTCAAATTAAATTGGATACTAAATCAAGCATTTTATCTATTCTATGAAGAAAAATAAAAAATCAATTTTGATTTGGTAATGCTGTTTTATTGATAAACTAAATATAAATTTGTTTATTATTATCAAATAAATAAATAAATAAATATGAAGACAGTTTAACTTTTCTTTTTGGTAAAAATCATATAATTTCTTAAATCAATCAAATTATTCTCTAAAATTAATTTTAATTTATTAAATTGAATATAAAATTTTCATCTAAAAATTGATAATATTTTATTAAAAAGCAATAAGTTTGATTATTTATTTGAAATTAAAGTTAATAATCTAGTTTTATAGTTAAAAATAATTGAATTATGTTTTTGAATTTAAATTAATTTTTTTGTTAAATATATTTATTAATTTAGATTTTATAATTTTCTTCATTACATTTTTTATTTATTTTAAAATTACGATTTATCAAACAAAATTATTTTTATTTTTTTAATTTGAAGAACTTCGTTTTTTTAAAGGACTTATTGACGTATTATCTTTCCTTATCAACCTTAACCATATCTTATCCTTCGTTATAGTTTTTGTTTTCGAATTTGATTGCTTTTTGAATAGTAACTCATATTTAATGTTTAATATCAGTAACGAAAGCCTAGTTATTAGCTGGTTCTTGTTCTTTTAAGAGTCTTTTGGGAATTTCTAAATAATATTAATAAAATATTGTTATTTAAACAAGACAATAATTATATTATATTAAATTGCAAATATAATTTTTATCTATTATATATATTGAGATAACAGACAATAAGATTAACTATTTATTATTATTATTATCAAAGATAAAAACCTAGCTTTTATGATAGAAATATTGAGTTTAATCGTTTTTAAATTAAATCTAAACATTTTTTCTTTATTAATTAACTTATTTATTTGGCATTTTAAAATTTGCTTAATAATTTCTTTTCTTTTTTTAAATAAATCCTTCATTTGTAAAGTTTAAAAATATAAAAACATACTAGGAGGGGCAGGTTCCTTTTTGGGTAGAGCCTTCTTTTTCTTAGCAAGAGTTTCAACCTTTCAAGCGGCTGGTTTTTCTTATTTTTAGTTTATATCCTTGATTATGCTTTAAGGGATTTGTATTTGGAAAATAGGAGTGAATAAAAAGTATTCATTATTTTGAGTCATAAGAACTGCAGGGCAAATGTTTCCAAATTTATCAAATGCGTAATTTAAATAAGGATTAGATTCAGCATCATAAAGACTACCATGTTGATCAAATTCATCATCAGGGTTGATGAAAACAGGGTTTCCATTCATATCATAATACCACTCACCAAATTTATACTTAGTAGTAAGCCACTTTCCTTATTTATTACCCTAATCATCAAAAGGAGGAAGAGGACCTAATTATTCAGTAACTTAGAAATCTACTTCTTTATTAATTTAAATCCAGGCTTTTAACCTTCTGAGTTTTTCTTCCTTGGCAAGTCTCCTAGCCTAAAATATTGATTTAAAGAAAATATTGATAAAATTAACTGTTTTTATAATTTGTAAGGCTCTAAATTGGAAGCTATTATTTACTCTTAAAGAGATAATTTAACTCATATCAATAAATAAAATTCATTTATTCTTCATCTAACTAAAAAAAATGTTTTTGGAAAGTCAAAAATCGATAACTTTATTTTTTTTTTGGGAAAATAAATGATGAATTCTTTTATTTGAATATTTTGATAAACTGATTATTTTAATTAGTAAAGTAATATTTTTAATAGATAAACAGTAATTACTTCTTAGTAGTCCATTTTCAATTATTATTTACTATTTAAGTTTATCTTGTAGAGATTTTTGATACTAATTAATATTTATTTGATTTTATCAAAAGATTATTTTCTTTTTTTAATAAAATATCTTATTTTTTTCCTCTATGTATTTTTGAAATAAAATACTTTTAATACCATAATAAAGTGGTAGTCCTATTATTGCGTAAATTATTTTTCAAATTAAATTGGATTACTAAACTAGTAAATTTTTTTATTCTAAGAAGAAAAATAAAAAACTAATTTTGATTTAGCAAAACTGTTTTATTGATAAACTAAATACAAATTTGTTTATAAATATAATTTAAAATAAAAATGAAAACAATTTAACTTTTTATTTTTTCAAAAATCACAAAACTTCTTAAATAAATCCAATTATTTTAATTTAATATTTTAAAACAAAAATTATATTAAATTCAAGAACCTTCCTTTTTTTAAAGGACCAGTTTCAACTTACACATTTATTGGTTTTTCTTATTTTTAAATTACATGCTTTTGGTCATGATAGTAGAGATTGGTATTTTTTGATATTTACTGCTTCTTAAATATTTCTTGACAAAAAGTGAATTTTAAATTTCCTTTAAAAGATATCTTGAAGTTAAATAAAAGAAATTTAGAATTTTAAATTTTAGATTTTTCTAAATTTCTTGAAAATTAACAATTTATGTTTTTATATTATTAAAGGAATAGAAAAAAAATAAATAATAAAAAAAATTTTTAAGCAAAAATTAAAAATATTCTAATTTATTCTATTAATCTAATTTATTTATAATAATTAAGTTATTGCTTCAAAGCATCCACTAAAATTAAATAGTGAAAAGTGTTATATTTTAATATAATAAATATTATTTTTTCCTCTTATAGAAAAACATTATAATTTTAATTTATAATAAATGAGCGTTTATTAAAATTAAATTTATTGCATAAATTGCTTAATATTTTTGAAAAATTTTTTATTAAAATGATAAAATATTAGTTTAAAAATATAAAACCTTTTTTATAATACTCTAGGTCAAAAGATTAAAATATCTGAAATATGGAATAAGGACTCTATTGGATGTTAAATTCAATGCAATTATTGTTCTAAAATTATACCTTCTAAACACTCTTCAACTATTATTATATAGAAACGTTCAGAAAAGTGGTATTAATTTAAATTAGATAAGAATAAGTTTGATATTAAAAGAAACAAAAATTGCCAACAATAGATAAAAAGTGATGATGTTGACACTAAAGACTAAATGAAGATTAAAACAATAATGCATATAAAATTTTTTATCTTATATACAACATTAAAATAAAAATGAATTGAAATTTAGATTAATCAAAAAAAAATATGGGGGTGAAGGGTAGCAGCTGGGTATCATTCGTTTTAATATTTAATTTTTTTTTGGAAGCTATTATTACTTACCATCAATATTTTACATTTTGAGGTTTCTGTAGTAGTATTATAAACTTCAAATATATATGAATACAGTTTAATTTTTCATTTTCATAAAAAACATGTATATAAATCCAAATATTTAGCAAAATTTATAATATCAATAGTAATCTAGATATGTTTTTTTATTTAAAATTAATAAAATTTTAAATATAAGGATTGATAATTACTACAAATGTGCTATCCAATTTATTCAAAAATAATTATTTAAGTGAAAAAAGTTAATAAATAATTATTTTTTTTCCTTTAACAGATAATTAATTTTAAACTAAAATAGTTTGTTAAAAGTTTAAAAATAATAAAATTTATTTCAATTTATGATTGAAAACATTTGTTTATTATATTAAATACTTCTGTCAATTATTACCATTATGAAATTAATAAATTTTCTATAAATAATTTTATTAAAATATTAAAATATATTTATGTGTAAAAGATATAAGTAAGGTTTTTAGTTTATTAAATTATTTATAAAAAAAAAAATATTTTCTTATTGATATTTTTAGTTTAAGATTATTAATTTTTTTATAAGTTTATATTAAAATATCTTAAAATCTAATTAAAATTTATACTTTCTATCAAGCATATTTAATAATAAATTGACGACATGCAAAATATAAACATATTAATAAATAGAATTAATTAAATTTTTTTCATTTTATCTTACCTGAAGTTTATACTTTCAAGCCATTAATGCTTTGATTCTTGCTTCAAGTTGACTTATTTAACTTTTACAATCCTTTAGTGAAGATTTTAAAGACTCTTCTCCTTCTAATTAGATCTCTTTTTCGAAAGGTGTATTTTTAGGAAATTAATTTGTGAAAAAAGATCCTGGAGTATTAAGGTCTATATTTACATTTTATTTCCCTTATTTATCTAATTCTTCTCCAGTTTCAAATTTTACATTCCTAGGAACGCTATCTAGTCTTTTAAGTTATTATAAATAAGAAAAAACAGTATCCCTGTAACCCTCTTCACTACAAAGTGGATTTTATTCTTTACCACTTAGAGACTGTAAGAATAAAGAATTAAGATTTTCACATTCTTCCAATCCTTTCAAACCTTTAATATTCTTTATTCTATTTTCTTCAGCATGCAAATTTGTTAACTATTTCATTACCTATAAATATATTTTATTAAGGTAAATATAAAACAAATATTCGCTATTTATTTACTTTCAAATATTCTAAGTATTAAATCTGATTTCCTGATACATTTAAGAAAGTTATTGATACACAGTGTTAAAGAGGAAACAAATCTTTTATTTAGTTTTTAGATAGATTGAGAAGCACTAAGTTTTTACATTCCTAAAGTGCGTCAACATTTTATAATTGCTGATTCGATAAATCAAGGTGAAATATTAATTCAGTCGAAAATTTATTTGAAATCGTTTTCAATATTTAATCTGTTAGTTTTCCATTTAGCTTGTATGGAATAGGAGTATATTTAGCATCTCTAAATTTTTCAACATTAATCTCTTTCACATTTGTTCCTAATAACTTTCCTTAAATATTATCTCTAGTTGTTGTTGTAATTGATTTTCTTTGAGATTAAGAAGGTTTTGACATTTCAATAACTATTCTAAAAACTGTTTGATAATTAACTAATTAATTAAAGTGATAATTCTTTTTTAAAAATTTGGTATATATATTTAAATAAGCTAATTATCATATATAATTTGATTTGTTACTGATATATTTTTGATAGTTAGTAAATTATTAACTGCAAAATCATTATTTATTCATTCATTCATCAATTAATTTTTTTAAAATTAATATTTTTTTATAATAGGATTTTCTATTTTAAAATTTATTTTATTAGAATAAAATATTTTTATTTTAATATTTTTAACAAATTTCTAATTATTTATTTGCATTGTAAATTGTTAAAATAAAATTATAATTTTAAATTAAATATTAAAAATAATAATTTCCTTAAAATTTATTAAATTAATAATTATTTGTTCTAAAAAATTTAATAGCTCAATTACATAATTGTATATTAATATAAACAAAATAAATACTAGCATAAGATTTATTTATTTTTTAAACTTAAATTTTATTAACCATATTTTAACGGTAGGATAGATTAACAACCTTTTTTTTAAATACTCAAACAATTATTGCAAGAATTTAATTAATTAAATTTAATTTTTAAATCATTTTATGAAATAATTATTGAAGTATTTACAAATTTTTTGTAGTAAATAATTATCATTTTAAAAAATAACATAAAAGCTCATTCAAATATTTTGCTAATCCAAAAATTAGTTAATCAATAGGATAATTGATTTAGGTAGTAGTTTTACACACTATAAAAACACTTTTGATAGTATTATAACCAAAGAATTTATTAAAAAAGACAAACTTTTAATTTGTAAACAAAAATGGCAGATAAAGAGAGTTTTAATTCAGCTACAGGGTTAATTTATTCTTAGATAAAAAAGATAAACGCGCAATAAAATTTTGGGTCTCACTGCCCTGAAGCTTTAAAGAAAATCTTGAACTAAAATTTCTAAAATGAATATCTGCAATAGTAATAGCATGTAATAAGTGAAGAGAGTAAGACAAAAAAAAGACTCAACTACGATAGGATGATGGAAATAAACGAATAAGAAAATTAAAAAAAAGAAATTATTTTCACTAAATTTCTAGATGCGGTTTAGAATTCCAAAAAATATTGGGATTAAAACTTCTACAGAGCTCCTTTCTAAGTTAAAACAAATGGATTATCAAAATGCATCGAGTAACTGTTTTTTGTTTTATTAAAATACATATTAATATAAACATTATTTTAAAGTGAGAGTAGCTAATGGTACTAACAAAAAACAAAAGAAGTGGTTTAGAGGGATATATACATGAAAATTGTTGATAAATTTAGCTTGATATAAAAGCAATAATAATTTCATGAAGCACCTAATCAAATTTATAAAATTGAAGAGTAAGTACAGTAAGAAATTTAGGATATTAGCAATCAGGATATAATTTCACAAAATAACTAAAATAATCATAGTGATAAAAATGATTAAAAAGAAGAACAAAAGTACTATATAATGAATAATTTTTAGAAGAATGCTTAGTTTCTTAAACCATCTTTGCCTAATTCCAGATCTAGCTATTTAAATACGAGTAAAGTTAAAAGACAGAGTACGAATTCTAATGATCCTTCTTCTACTTAACCAACTTAAACATCTTTTAATTCTCAATTTTTCAAAAAAATATACTCAAACGATTATACTTAATTGCAAGATGAAATAGGGAAACTTTAGAAAGCAGAAAACGAGAAAGAAGCATAAAATATCATACAATCTTAGAAAATACTTACTAATAAAATTGTTTCTCGTAATATGAGTAGTTTATTTAATATTAAAAAAAAGTCTAAAAATAACTTTTCATAAGACAAATCCGCTACTAACTTAAACAATTCTGAATAAAGTATATCTGTTCAAGGAAAAAATATTCAAACTTTGAGTTAAAACTATTTCCAAAAAATAAACACTGAATAGTAATAAGTTTAGGACTAAAATAAAACTTAAACAGCTTTAATCAGTAAATTTGAATTTGAAAATGATCTATTCGAGGGAGTTACACCAGACAGATGTAGTCCTTTTTTGCAACCAAAAATGAGATAAGTTATGAGTTAAACTATGAGGTCCTTTTCATTAGATAGAAATACAAATATCAAATTAATTTAGAGACCCCAATCAGCTTAAATACCATATAATAATTTAAAAAGTTAAAATTTGAGACCCTAATCAGCGTAAAGCATAAGTTTACTTGCTTAGATGTCCTCTTTTCCAAGTCGATCAACTAAAAAACTACAAATTAAAAAGGGATTAATAAAAAGAGCTTAAAGTGCTAATCCTAAAATTTAACAAAAAAATACAAATTAAGATAATTTATTCAGCTTCACACCTATAAAATATACAAATCTAAGGCCAGATATTATGATTAATAATAGTTAAAAAGATACTTAATATGGGAATTTTTTTGCTTAAAATAAAAGATTTTCAAAAAATTAATATGAAAAAATAATTTAATGACACTATCTTATAATTTAAAAGTTAAAATATTTAATATTTTTCTATAAAAAAATCATATATTGTAAATATAATAGCTCTTATGATATAATAATTTTATTTCAAGACACAAGATCTAAACAAATATAAAAGAATTCAATAAAAAAAATTTTATCATATAAAAATTATGCCAATTAAAAAAAGTTAAGTATTTATCAAATATTTGTTAGTTTTTACTATCAGAATTTTAAAGATGATTAGATATCTTTATCAACTTAATTTATTATAAATAAATACATTTATAAACGAAGATTTAATTATTTTGCAAAGAATACATTATTCCTTTTAATCAAAATTTGTTAAAAAGTAAAATCAACTATTTGTATTGTATTGATAAAGCTAGATATTATTTTGTAGAAATGGGAAATCAATAAAGTTAAACAGATCAAGTATTAAATTAATTTGACCTAAGCGAAATAACAAATACATAGTCATAGGGTGTAGAAAAAAAGAATATATTAGTAGATCACTAAGATACGGGATTAGTTTATTACTTGGTTACTGATAGATCAGTCGAAAAAATGACAGATCAAGTAAACAATAAATCTAAACTACCTATTTTTGGTGTAGATTAAACCTCACCTCATATAACTCATAGCTTACTGTTAAAATAAAACTAGAGATATCATTAATAAGAAGGAAATTAAGTAAATATAGATTTATTAATTATTTTATTTATTAAATCTATTTTAATATTTTAATAACAAAATTTATATACTAAAGGAAATATACAAATAAGGAGTGCTCATTTTACTTATTTTTTCTGATAATAAGTTAGCAATTTTAAGTGGAGATGAACTTAAAGTGTTAAAAACGATATAGCTCTTCGCTCCACTAGAAGCTTTTAAATTAAACTTTATTTATGACATTTCTCTTGTGATAAAAGAGGATAATCAACATAAGTAAAAATAATCAGAATTCCTATAGCAGTTATTGAAATAAAGAGAGGACTTTTAAGATTTATTAAATTTGAAGGTATTAAATGGTGAATTAGTCAACAAAGATGATTAAAATATCAAAGAAGCAGAGGAAGATTAACAAAATAAGTAAGAAAAATAAATAAGTGCAAATACTGAAAAAGACAAATAAATTAATGAGGAATAGCAAATTCGAATGAAATCAAAGACTTTACAAGAAACCAATACAAAAAATAATAATGAAGAAGAAAATAAAAGCTAATAAAAAAATATTGAAAACAAAATCGAGGACGAAGAACAACTTGGAAGATAAAAAAGTAAAAGCGTAAGTATGAAAAATACAAAAGAACTTAGTGAAGAGTAACAATAAAAATATAATGAATATATGAAATCTTATTATGAGACATTTGTTTAATCATCAAAAATCGTGATGAAGGATTTACTGTCAATTTAATCTATTTGTTTCTCTCAAAAAAGTGTTATCTTAACAGGCTATAAATGTGGACTTATTTAGAAAGTTACTGTTGAGAAAAATTTGATAGAAGTAGAAGAAGAGTGTATATTTTTTAATCCTCTCAATCTCAAGCAGAAAGCTGAAATAGAAAATATTGTTTCTTCTAAATAAAAAGATGGGGAAGTTAGCTGGTATGATTTAAATATTTTACCTTTATAGAGCATATTTTGCATAAATGGCACTTACGTAATAGCAGTTCATTAAGAGTAGGATGCTTCTTTGAATAATGAAAATCAAATAAATGCTAATAATAGCAATAAATCATTTGTTTATGTTTATGAATATTAGTATGGAAGAAAAGTTAGCTATTTTGAGGCTACAAACCATAAGATATTGAAGACTGTAGTCAATCCTCATGAAGATACCAACAGAAGCCTTATGTATATATTAGATGACTAGTTATTCTTATCAGTTTACAACTTTGAAAAAGGAACATTCATTCAACTATTTTCATTAGATTAATCAATGAAATATGTAGATCTTAATGCTTAATTTTATCCCATAGAGCTGATGTTTGCTTAAATAGCTGATAGGTATAAAATTTTGTAAAACCTACCTAAATTTGAAGATAAATCTATTGAGGGAGATATATTCTTTTATTTCACTGCTGATTGCAAGACTTTATTAACATAGCTAGATTACAAACCGATCAATTAAACAATACCTTAAGCTAATGGATAAAAGCCAATAATGAAAAAGGTGATTAACTAACGCAATTTAAAAATCTTAAATCCTAAAATAGATTGTAAATATAAAACAAGCGTGTATTATGCAGAATAAGATGTTCTTTTTATAGCTGGAGAAAATGGATAATTATTGAAGTTTACTAATTTTCTAGCTAGTATTTATTACTTTTTATGAAGAATGCGTGTATTTTTTGTGCTATTTTATTCAAATATCCATAATTAATTAAATATTGTTTTATTTTATTTTAATAAAAATATTTTACTTTCATTTTATAATGATACATTTAAAAATTATAATGTTTTCTATGATTAAGTAATAATTTATCTTTAGTATTTTAATTAAAAATTTTATTTTATTAAAAGATAAAATAGACACTATTTCTGCTCATAAATTTAATTTTCTTATTAGATTAGGCGATTTCTTTTAATAAATTTCCTTTTTTATTACCTTTTTGTTCATTTATTTAATTTATCTATATCAATTAAAAGTATTAACTAATTATAAATCTTTTATTAATCAATATATTAGATGATATGCTCCTAATATTCTTAATCAGGTATTCCTTAGCTAATTTTAATTTAAAAATACATAAATTGGGCTTAAATATTTTCAAATACCTAAAGCTTCTGAAAGTCTAATTATTATATATTTAATTAATTAAAAAAATAGATATTAATAAAAATTAAAAATGGATACAATAACAGATAATTAAACAGATGTTTAAGAATATTTAAATAAGGCTGATGATTTATTTAAAGCTTAATCAAAAGACGAGGCACTAATTCTTTGTAGTAAGGCTATTGAAGTAAATCCTTAGTATCCTTAAGCATACTTGAAAAAAGGGATTATTCTTATGGACCTAGATAAAAAAAAAGAAGCTTCTGAATACTTTTAAAAAGCTTTAGAATTAGATCCTAAAAATATTGAAATATTAAAAAAAATAGTTACATTAAATAACAATTAACAAAAATATAGTGAATCACTTTAATTATCCAATTAATTGATTTAAAATGATCCATAAAACTTTATAGGTTACTATCTTAAAGGATGTACTTTAATGAGAACTCTTAGTTATGATGAAGCGTTATTAAATTTAGATTAGTCTTTAGAACTAAATCCTGACTAATTTAATGCATACAACATAAAAGCATATATATTATCAAAAAAAGGCTAAACAAAAGAAGCTATTTATTTTTATGATAAGGCTATTAGTTTAAAACCTGATTACTAGTTAAGCTACACCAATAAAATAATTGAATTAAATAAATTAGGACAAAAGCAATAATCAATAGTATGTTATGATAAGTTGTTAGAATTAAATCCTAAATCAGCAAATTATTATACGAAGAAAGGAAAATTATTAATAGATTTAAATCTTTTTGGAGAAGCTGATTTGTGCTTCAAAAAAGCTATTGAATTAGATCCTAAAGACACTGATGCTTATATTTAAAGAGGCATTTTAAATTATGAATAGAAACAATATGACGAATCTTTAGAGTCTTTATATAGAGCATTAGAAATCAACCCATTTTTATCAGAAGCTCACTTATAAATTGCTGTTCTATTCAAGACACAAAAAAAATATTAAGAGTCTTTAGAGTCAATAAATAAGGCTATTGATATTGATTTTTAATTTCAATAAGCTTTTAACAAAAAAGGGGAATTGCTTCAAATATTAGGAAAAGAAACTGAAGCCTTATAATGCTTTGAAAAAGCTATCGAATTAAATCCTAAATATAAATTAGCACTGAATAATAAAGCTAAATTACTTGAATAGTTAAACTAAAAGAAGGAAGCACTCAATTGCTATAAATATATATAAGAAGAAGTAGAGCCTCAATCAGTTAATATCATTTAAAAAATAGCAGATATAAGTTTCGATTTAGAACTATTTGATTAGTCATTAAAATATTATAATAAAGCTTTAGAAATAAATCCAAATTTATCTAATCTTTATTTTAAGAAATCATAAATCTTCTAAAAAAATGGATAGATAAATGAAGCTTTGGAACAGCTAGATAAGGCTATATAGATAAGTCCAAATTAGTATCAAGGATATTTATAAAAGGGTTTATTGCTTAGACAAAATGATTAGCCTGAATAAGCACTAACATATTTCGATTTAACTCTTAAGATAGACTTAAAAAACTACCAGGCTAACTTATATAAAGGTTAAATATTAAACAACTAAGGAAATCTCTAAGAAGCTTTAACTTGTTTTAATTTTATGATTCAAACATGGCCTAATATAGATTAAGGATATTCACATTTAGGAGTTGTGTTAAGAAAATTAAAGTAGTTTGATGAATCAATTATTTTCTTGGATAAAGCAATTAAAATCAATCCTAAAAGTGATTTATCTTATCTAAATAAAGGCATAATTTATCATTAAAAAAATTAAATAAAGGAAGCATTAGAACTTTTTAATAAAAGTATTGAACTTAATCCTTCTAATTATGAAGCTTACTTTTGTAAATCCGTCGCTTCTCACTAATTAAACCTATAATAAGAAGCTCTATAATCAGTTAATTAAGCTATAGAATTAAATTAACGATATTTAGAAGCCATTTTATTTAAAGGTGAACTTCTTTGCTCTGAATAAAAATATGATGAATCTTTAGATATTTTTAATAAAGCTATAAATATAAATTCTTAATGCTATAAAGCATATTCGAAAATGGGAAAATCTCTTTTCTGTAAAAAAAATTATAACGAAGCACTAGAATATTTGAATAAATCTATATAAATAAATTCTTAATTTGATGAATCATATAACACAAAAGGATCTATTTTTCTTGCTTTAAATAAAACTGATGAAGCACTATAATGCTTTAATTAAGCAATCAGTTTAAATGAAAATATTCCCTTGTATTATGCAAACAGGATAAGAATATATTTGCAAATCAATAACTTTGAAGGTGCAGTTTAAGATTCTAAAAAAATAACTCACATCTTATAGTAAAATAACAGAGGTTTAAAACAAAGTTAAGATAATCATGAATAATAATTTTCTATAAAAATGTAAGATTTTGACAAAATATTAAATTAACTAGATTAAAATGCAATTAGAGATTAAATATAATAAAATAAACTTATGAAATTTAAAGAGGTAGCTCTTAAAATTAAAGATTTGGTTTATCAAAAGGTATAATATAATTAAATGTATGATGTATTAAAATTATAGTTGTTGCTTAATGAAAATAATAAGCAAAGTCTTTAACTAATTGAGAAGAAAAATGTTACTCTAGATTAAGTGATATATAATTATTAATAAAAATTTTAAGTTTTAAAATTGAGCTTTTAAGAAGATTAATTAATACATGATCTTGATTAATTCATTTAATCAATTGTTTAGACATTTTAAAATTAAGGATAAAAAATTAGCTTTAATTAAAAATGTGAGAGTGTCTAAATGAAAGTGAATAATATATGCTCAGTTAAGAATGATAGGAATGCTATTAATTAGAATATTCAATTTTAATAAACATTAAATTAAGATTTATATTTACTTAAATAAGAAGGTAAACAAATCTTTGATTATTACTAAATCTTCTATTGGACAATATTGAATATGTTTTTAACTTATACAGTTATTTAAAATAAAATAATTGCAAACTAATAAAACTTAAATATATCTGATTTGATATAAAAAAACAAAAATGTCATAAATCAAGAAATTTAATCTGGATTAGAGCAAGCAGAAAAAAACTTTTAAAGCTTGAATAAACCCTTCATCAATCTAAATATTTTTGAATTAGTAAATGATGTGATTTAATAATTTACTGTAATTTAAAACAGTCAGAAAGAAAAATAGTGTAAAATAAATTTTCTGGATAGCATAAAGCAAATAAATTAATTTATTAAGGCAAAGTGTACTTCAGAAAAAGAGCTTCCCTTCAAATTAGCATAAGCATCAATTGATATAACTAAATTTAGGAAAAAATTTATTTAAAATTCTAACCCTGCTTATGAAAATAATTAAATTATTTAATGGATTTAAGAAAGAGTAGATAAAATTTAAAATGATATTTTCCAAAAAGAAAAAGACCTAAAATTTTATAATAGCAAAAGTATATAGTATGCTCTTTAAGATGCAATCCTAATGCTATAATTTATTAGCTCTAACAGTTAATATTTGATTTAAAGTTAAGATTAGATTCCAAAGTTACTATTAGAAATGACCGAAACTTAAACTAAATCTTTAATGAAATTATCATAAGAAAAAAAGATTTAATCTAAAAAAAATTCAAATAAATGTTCTATTTTCTGAAAAGATAATAATTATCTAATTAGTAATTATTATTCCTCAAATTTATAATCATCAAATAAGTTATTATCTTTAAATATCTAATATTTGAATAAAAATATAAATATATTTGAAAAACATTGATATTTCTTTTATTTGAGTTTTATGTTTTATTATTTCTAATGGTGGTTAATTAATTTCAATACATATTTACTTTTATTGAGTTGAAAAAAAATTTTAATAATCTAAAATATTAAAGTAAAAAATAGCTTTTTATAATATTTTTTTGTATTTTTGATATTAATTAATTAGTATAAAAAAGAAGAAATTTAAAACAAATTATTTACAGCATTATCAGTTATATATATACTTCAAATAATAATATTCAGACCCAAAAAAATTATTTTAGAAAAAAACTAAATTAGATTGGTTATAACTATTAATTTACAAATAGTTGATTAAATATCAAATTTGGATATTCAATAAATAAAAATTATCAGAAAAATAAATTTAGCAGAGTAGGATTTGTTAATTATAAAAGAAATACAAAAATAATCAGATTCTCATTCTACTTTATTTTTTAATGTGTTCAAAAGCACGTGTTTTTTGATTGAAAAATAATTAATTAAAAATTTTGATGATAGCTTTGTTGTAATTATCACAGAAAATTGCAAAATATAATAATTGATAACTAATTAATCAATTAGATATTGATTGATAAATTGATTAAAAGAATCAAGATTTAATATAAAAATTATATCCTAATACTTTTAACAAAAAAAAATTATATAAGAATATATTAGCATAGTACGCACAATACATAAATACATAGATAGATCGATCATAAATAAAAGCATAGCTAAAGTTAAATCAATGCCTTCACTTTTCGTTTTACAAACAAAAACAATAGTGAAAAAGAATTTCTTATATTTAGTTAGAAAAAAATCAGAATTTTTTAAAGAGTTAGCAGTTCCACTTATATCCGCTTTAGTAATATATGCAGGAAGTAATTTCTAACATTTTTTTGCAAAATTTAACAATAATCTAATTCCTTAATTTAAGTTGGATCTTTAGGAAAATTATTTAGACATGAATTTTGATTTCAAATATATATTTATAAACATTAATAATAGAACCATAGGAAGTGTAAGATAGTGAAGCAGTGCAAAAAACTCTTGATATGATGTCTAATATGACAAAATTGATGCTTCCACTATATCTACCAACTGCAATTACAGGATTTGCAAAAAAGCACCTTATCTCCTTCGTTTAGGAAAAGCATGAGAGATTTAAGGAAACTTAAAAGGTATGAATATATCAATTATAAATTAAGTTTCTTATTGCAAGTATAACACATAGAATATATTAGATAAAATGATAGGAATGTTATTCTTATTTATTTTATCATTTAATTGAATTAGGAATATAAAAGTTAGAAATATGCCAATATAAAAATTGCAATATTTAATAAGAATGATTTTGTTATTGTAAATTATATAAATTTATTTTTAAATAGATTATGGGTTTAACCTAGCAAGCTTACATTACAGGATGGCTAATTACAAGTTATTTAAAAATGATATCTATTGCAATAATTACTATATTTGCTTTGTATATAAGTGGTTATGCTGGAGAAGGGTTTGGTATGATTAGCTTAAATTTTTGCATCTATTTAATTGCCTCTGTTCATCAGACATTTGCTATTTCCACAGTATTTAGTTCACCTAAATTAGCTGGAGAAATAGGAACCTTTATTCTTACTTTAACACCTCTTCTTTATTATTATATAACATATGGAACACATGTAACTAAGAATTTAAAAGATATACTAAACAAATTACTAAAATATCATTAATTTTATTTATTAGGTGTCAGATGCTGTGTATATGCTTTTATGTTTGCTACCTTAAACAGCTATTTCATTTGCTGTATTAGGTGGAACAAGTGGAGGGGATGATGTCATGAGCAATAGTGTAAATTTGCTATATTAATTGATAGTTAAAATAATTTTTTAAATGAATATTAAAGTATAGCAAGAATGTTGCCACATACATGCTTCTATTTGATGTATTCTTTTACTTGTTTCTATACTTCTACTTAGATGAAGTAATTCCAAACGAGTATGGCATTAGCAGAAGCCCCTTTTTTATTTTCAGCAAAAAATATTGGAAAAATATTTTGTTTAAGAATTCAAGAAATAAATAAGCTTAAACTTATTTTGAAAATTATAATTCATTTACACATCATGAGTAAGATGAAGAATAGAGAGCAATTAATCATACTGAAAATAAAAATGGTGGAGATTTCTTGATAGAAATGAGAAAGGGTTTTGGAAATACGCCAAATGAATCTTACATGGTTTCTTTAAGAAGTGAAGACAATCCTTAAAATGGGGATAGCTTTCATCATCTAAACACTAATCATAATTAGGTTTCTTTAGACATAAACTCTATGTAGTAGGTAGAAGATAAAAGTAGTGCAAAATACCATTAACAATTAAAATAAAATCAAACATTATTTTCTCCAATCTAAATTATTAACCTTAAAAAGTAATTTGGTTAAATGTTTGCTGTTGATGGTATCTAATTAAACTTGTATGAAAGTCAGATTTTGTGGTAAATTTTTTTTTAAATTAAATTTAAATTTAATTTTATTATAAAATAATAGCTTATTAGGTCATAACGGTGCTGGTAAAACAACAACAATTTCATTACTTACAGGTTTATTAGAAAAGACAAGTGGATCTATAAAGAGTAAAACTTTTACGGTCAAAATAAGATTTTGAATTTAAAAAATTTATTTAGTTTTTGGAGAAGAACTTGAAGCTGATTTAGATTAAGCCAGACAAGAGATGGGATTATGTACCCAAAAAGATGTCCTTTATGATGATATGACAGTTACTGAACACTTAGAGTTTATAGCAAGCATCAAAGGAATGTAAGGAAACCAGCTTAAGAAAGAAGTTGAGTATATTATAAGCTAAGTAGGATTATAAGCTGAAAGAGAAAAGCTCGCAAATAATTTAAGTGGAGGAAACAAAAGAAAACTTTCACTTGGTATGGCTTTGACTGGAGGATCAAAAATTATTTTCCTTGATGAGCCAACTTCAGGTATTATATTTATATTCACTTTAAAATGTTATCAAAACTCTTATACATAAAAGGTATGGATCCTGTCTCAAGATAGCAAATTTGGAAAATTTTAGAAAAGTAAAGACACAAAAGAGCAATTATATTAACGACTCATCATCTTGATGAGGCTGAAAGATTAGCAGATAGAATTGCCATCATGTCTAAGGGTTAGCTATTAGCTGTAGGTACTTCAGAATTCATTAAATAAAAGTTTGGCGTAGGATATCACTTGACTTTATCTTGCAAAAATCCAGATAACAATGAATTATTTGAAAAAGATAAATAAAGATTAATAGAATTTATTGTATAAAATATCAATGGTGCTAAGCACAATGTCTAAAGCTCAAAAGATACTTTAAAGTTCGTTCTGCCCTTTACTTCGCTAAATTAATATTCATAGGTCTTAGAGAAGATTGAAAATATGCATTATTTAAATGTAAATAAAATAAAAATTTATTTATAACAGATATATATTCCCAAAAAATTTTTTTAAAATCTAGATAAATCTTTAAATTAATTCACTTGAAGATGCTTACGTAAAAATGGGACTTGAGGATGAGTAGAGTTAATCTAAATCAACCACTGATCTATCTTCTAATTATAATGATAACATTTAAAAGCCTAGAGCAATATTTGAAAGTCCTTCATATTCTTTTTTGAATTAATTAATAGCAATGTTTATGAGATAGCATTATATGACTATGCGTAATTGGTCAGCAATCCTAATGATTTTACTACCTATTGCCTTTAATTTATTGGGAGTTTATGTAGCTAAGCACTTCTTAGATAATATTGAAGACTTTTTAAAACTAGGGGACGATAAAGAGCTTAGAAATACCATGAATAGTGAAATATTCCCCATTAAAATGTACTTCCTCTAAATATTTATTGTCTAAGCTTACTCTATGAACTCTTCCATATATATTAATACACCTGTACTTGAGAGAGAGTTTTAACTTAAATATGCTTTAAATGTAATGGGTTGTCGTCCTCTGCCTTATTGGTTAGGAACTTTAGCTTATGACTATTTAGTTTATCTTTTAACCTTCCTTATATTCCATTATAGTGTACACACAATAAAAGTGGAATTCATTACACCATATCTTACTCCAATATTCTATATAATGTCTTGGTTTGGTTTAGCATTAATAACATTCTGTTATGTATGTGGATTCCTCTTCAAAAATAGTAACCAAGCCTTTAAATCTTTCCCTATAATAACATTTTTTGTTTCATACAGTATTCCTTGGATAGTGCTTCAAATTACTCGTGGTTCCTACCCAAAGCTTTTTTCATTCTTTTAATACATCTTTTTATATACTTCTCCATTTTTAGCACTTGAAAAAGGTAAAATTTATAATATGCATACATTTAAAGCCTAATTAATTTATTAATAAATAATAAAAGCTTTTGAAAATGTTGATGTAAATAATAGAGGATCGCTTTTATCAAAAGCAGATATTAGAAGCAATTAAGTTTATGATAGATGGTAAGATTACTGTAAAGTTATGCTATTTTAGGCAATACTCTTTTTAACAATCACTATGATTATTGAGAAGTTTTAATACTCAGTTGCAAATTAACAAAGTAATAAAAAATTTTAACCTCCTCGTTACGAAACATTGGATGAAGGAGTTAAAAAAGAAATAAACAGAGTCAATAGTCCTTAAAATAGTGACCCTATTAAGGTAAGATATTCTTTTTAGTAAACAAAAAAAATAAATACTAATTTTTAATAAAAAGGTTAAATAAATTTTTAAAGAGTACCCTAATGGATTTTAAGCTGTGAAAGGAACAACTTTTGGTGTTGAAAAAGGATAAATTTTTGGCTTACTCGGTCCAAATGGAGCTGGAAAATCTACAACCTTTAATATTATAACTGCTAATATACCAAAATCTTCAGGTTAAGTTTAGTTAAATGGAAAAGAAATTTCTGAAAATAAAACTTCATACTTTTGCGACATAGGTGTTTGCCCACAATAGGTAAGTTTTTAAACTTTTTAATTTAAAATTATATTCTACATTCAAACTATCTACTATAATATAAATTTAAAGATTAAATACATCTATTGAGTGAGTTTAGAACTTATAATAATTAAATCCCATAAAATTTATAAAATCAAAATTAATTTAAATTCTTTTATTTTAATATAATTTAATGGGATTTTAAATTTAAATAAATTTTTGATTCAAAATAAAATAAAAAAAAGGATATTTTTTAGAAAAATGAAGAAATATTTGAAAAAATTTTTATAAGTTCTTACTTACAAAATATTCCAAAAGAAATTTGAATATTACATCATTTTTAGATAAAAATAATATTTAAAATGAAAACTTATTATTTGAATTATAAAAAAAATAAATTTAATCAAAAAATTAAATCTTCTTTACTATTCAATTTCATAGGATTGCTTATGGGAGTATCTTTTACCTTCAGAGCACCTTAGATTATTTGGAAGAGTAAAAGGATTGAAAGGAAAAAGCTTAGATGATATGGTTGAATACTATATTAAAGCTATGCAGTTAGAGTCTTTCAAAGTTAGGTCTGCTAATCTCTCAGGTGGAAACAAAAGAAAATTATGTGTTGCAAATTCTTTGATTGCTTCTCCTTCTTTACAGTTTTTTGATGAGCCATCAACAGGTAAATAAATATATTTCATTTTTACAATTTTAAAATTTTATATTTTCACATTTTTAATAGGATTAGATCCAATTGCTAAAAGATATTTATGGAGATGCTTAAAGGATAATTTAACAATTAAGTAATTTTGATTTCTTACAATTAAGTATGATTTTTAATAAATTAAATATTAATAGGGATAGCTCAATAGTGCTAACTACTCACTCTTTATAAGAAGCAGAAGACCTATGTCATAAAGTTGGTATTTAGGTTAATGGAGAATTTGTCTGTTTAGATACTTTACAGAATCTGAAAAACCAAAAAGGCGAAGGTTATAAAATAAATATTAAGCTTGTTAATTAACCTGAAAGAAATCATGAGGAAATACATTCTCATGTAAGAAGTTTATATCCTGAGGCTAAAATATAAAACGAAAACGACAAAAACTATTAAGATTACATAATTTATTTAGTTCCCTATGAAGGTTTTGTTTTTTCAAAAACTTTCTCTCTTCTATACCATACTTTGAAAGAATAAAATAAAATAGAAGATTTTTCAATAACCTAGTCATCGTTAGAAGACATTTTCATTTATTATTCAAAATTTTAGATTTAACCTAGAAACGAATAAGCCTAAAATAATCAAATTAGTCCATCTTGATTATCTAACTATTTAAAATACTTTTAAACTAATTTTTACAAAATTTTTATATTTTATATTGAGTGTGTTTGATTTAATAAATCTTTCATTAATTTAATATTCTCAATTAGTTTTTTATTTATTTATTTTGATTAATTTTCATAATTTGTTGATTAATTAAAAACAATAACCAACATAAATTACATAAAATAAAATATAATTAAAGTTTTAATAAGTTTTGTTTTAAAGCAAAAAAAATTATTTTTTTCAATCAATAATAATTTTAGGTCTTTTTTCATTTTATTTAGAATTTAACTAATTTTTTGCAGTTTTTGATAAAAAAGCTTCTATTTGATTCACCTTTTTTAAGTCTAAATTTAATAAAATTAATATCCTAGAGTTGATTAGTTTACTAATTTTACTTTAATCTAAAATCTAATACGAAAGAGACGAGATTTTGGTTTTAGCTTATTTCAAAGTAAACTTATTTGATTAATTTAAGATCATCCCTTGGTATGTTTCTTTTAAGTTAATATTAATAAGATGATAGATAATAATATAAAGTTTACGAAAGACTCAAATGAAAAGAAATTAATTTGTTATTTTTAGAAATAGCTTGTCCAAATTTAACAAGAGATTCTTAGGTTATTGCATGTCCTGAATCTCTTTAATATATTTAATTAAAAACAAATTTTTAGATTAAAGTTTCTAAAATTAAAAAATTACATCAAGACCAATTTAAATTATTCTAAACTCTATGATTAAGTAAGTGCTTCAATAAGGCTTTAAAATCCTATATTTCCTACATTAACTTCTCTTTTAAAAAACTTTAATATAAAAAAATAAAATTAAAATAATGTATTTACGGCAACATTAAAGTAATGCCTTTAATGCTTTGGCTTTAAGATATGCACTTGCTTAATAGTTATGCTTATTAATCATGGATTGGATTATCTCTATTATTTTTCAGTTAATTTTAATTATAATAATTGTATTAATAATCATTTACGATAAAATTAAATCTAGATATTTTATAGCAGTATTTTATACAATAAGTTCTCCTATTTTAGAAATTCCATCTGAAATACCATTCACACTTAATTTTTTTAAAAATGTAAGGAAATATATTTATCAAATTAATGGCTAATTTTACCTTAAATCTAAACATAATTTTCTCAAATTTTTTAATTAAACAAGAGACTGTGATAAATAAGCAGCAGATTAGTTGTTTAAATGATTGTACCTATTTAATTAATCAATTTAATTAATTTTTTATATAAATATTTTTTCAGAAATTACGGAAGTATTAATTTTATGTTGTCTAAACTTTCACATCTTTAAATTTCTTAAGCAAAATATTAAATACCATTTTCAGTAAAACTATTTTCTCTAAATTTTTTAATTGTTATTTATACTTTAATAAGTTTCTATTGATAATTTATGTATTACTCCAAGTCTACTATTAGCTTTTAAAGATTTGTACAAGAAGCAATTTTTTCACCAATAATTTTTAGCTTAGAGTCATCAATATTTTTAAATCTATATTTAATGTAAAATACAGTTTTAAAGATTATTTATGTTATATTAAATATTAATTACGCATAATCTAATATAAGTTCATTTGGCTTTATATTGCTTTTTTTATATTATAGTTAAAATCAATAAATTGGTTTTAAAATTTTACATTTGATTATCAATTTAGTCAGTTAATTCTTAACTCATCCTTTTAAAAATATAAATTTATTAAAATATTATTTATGATAAAACAACTAAAAAATTGTTTTAATGCTTTAAATTGTAACAAAAAAGATTATTTAAAAAATTTATTACTTTTTTGTCTTTTATGTTATCTTCTATTAAATTATGATTTTTACAGCTAAATAAATTTATTTATTTATTTTTATTTTACCTTTATGTAATTTAAGCGTTTGTAGATTTGATATTACAAAATTATAATAAAAGAAATTGCATTACAAAAAAATTTTTTTGAGGTAAAAAATATAAAGTTAATTTTATTTTCTCAAAAAAATTCTATTTGTCTATTAAATTGATAAAAGATTACACATCTCTTTAAAGTGAAGATTACAAAAAGATTTTGTAAAAAAAAATTACTTTGAAATATTCAATTTCTATTGATTTAAATTTAAAAATAGCGCAATCAAAAAAATTATTATAAATCAAACTAAAATGATTGCAAAAATACTAGCTTTGTGAAAGACTGATCGATCAATATTTTGGATTTTAATTTTTTAAATTTGAAAATAAATCTGATTAAATTTTGATATTCCTGACTTATTTATGACTTAATTAAGAAAAGTGTGTGCAAACAATCACTAAAAAGATAATATACTAATTCTAATAAAAAGTTGAATAAATAGACAATATAAGAGTAATTAATATTTAAGATTACTTGCAAATGGCTAGGAAAGCTTATTAACCAAAAAGGAGGAGTAATTCAAATCAAAATTAATAGAGATCTGATAGCCTGAAAAAAAATAAATAGGATAATTTGAGATCTAAATCTGCTGGGAATTAATAAGGGAATGAAAAAAACAAAAAAGATATTCAAGACCAAAGAAATAAAGCAAGTACAAAAAAGAAAAGGGAGTCATCAGGAGAAAAATATGAGTCTGCAAGAGATAAAGTTATTAGAAGATTTAGGCCAGGGGATAATGCCCTTAAGCAATTAAGATAATATAATTAGACTCCATCATTGCTAATAAGAAAATTACCCTTTTAGAGGTTAATAAGAGAGATTTCTACAAGAATGACAGAAGAAGATTCGCTGAGATGGACAAGTTTTGCTCTGGTTTTACTTTAAACAGTTGTAGAAGATTATATGGTTTCATTTTTTGAAGATGCGAATGCTTGTGCTCTCCATGCTAAAAGAGTTACTCTCATGTCTAAAGATCTTGCTCTTGCGGCAAGAATTAGGGGATAAAAAAATGTTACAGGTATATTTATCCCTACTAAAAAATGATTTAAGTTTGAAAATTGAAATTAAATAAAAGAATCTGTCTTAAATATAGAAACAACAGCTGCTAAATTAATAGATTTACTTAATAAATGAATTAAATTGAGAGAAAATACTTAAAAACAAACTAACTAATAAATAACTATAATTTTAATAAATTTCAGAAAATCATAGATAATTTACTATAAAAACTAAATTATGAACATGCTAATTAAATGCTTTAATTTTCCAAAATATTCCTTAAATATATTATAGAATCCTTTTTTATAGAGTAATACAATAATTTTATAGATATTCGATTATTATCCTAATAATTAATTATCTGTTTCCATTAATTTATTTTATATTTGTTAAAATACTTTATCACTTATAATATCCACTCATAAAATCTATTTATATTGCATTTAAAAGCTAAAAAAAATATATATTTTTGAATAAAATAGTTAAAATTGGTATTTACTAAACATTAATATTTACAATTCTTTAAAATTGAATATTTTTTTTATAATTATTTTGAATACTATCAACCCTTATCAATTAAGACAAATTTATATTAAGGTAAAAAATTTTGGAGAAAAGTAGGGAAGGATAGATAGTAGTAGTATAATGTTAAAGAAAATAATTTATAAATTTCAATATTTATTAGAAACTAACTAACTATAAAGCAGACATTTTTGAAACTATAAAATTAAATAGGTGTTTGTTAAAAAAATTTAAATATGTTTTAATAAAAATTATTATTGTATCTGTCAACTTTTTTTATGGAAGCATAGCCTTTCATCAATTTTATTTATGATTTTATTGTTCTCAATAGAATAAATATTTTCGATAGGCTCTTTTTTAATTTCTTAAATAAGTTTTAATTTATCCAAATAATCAATGATTTGTTTCCACCATCTTGAATAACTCACATGTTTCTTGTTTCCAACTATTAGTAAACCTCTCTTAGCTCTTGTTATAGATACGTTAATCAGCTATGGTGTCCTTAAAATTCCTAAGTTTTAAAAATTATTGATCCTTACACATGAAATTATTATGTAGTCTCTTTCTTGTCCTTAGAAACTGTATGTTGTATCAATTAAAATATTGCTATTTTTTATTAATTAACTTATATAATTAGATTAAGATAAATAAGGCGTTATTATCCCAATATCATTATCTTTAACACCTGCTTATATAAGCTAAGAAACTAAACTTTTTACAAGCTTTGCTTCTTCTTCGTTTATAAAACTTTTACCATCTTACAAAGTAATTTCTTAACCTTAGACATCATAAAATTAGATAGGAATTTTATTATTTAGCCAATTGAACTTCGGAGTAGGAGTTCTATCTTATTCATTAACTCCATCTTTAAGCTAGTTTTGATAGAATATAGAAGATGCTAACTTTCTTATTTCTGGATGCATCCTATACTGAATTGATAAAAATTAAGGGATAAGACCAGCTTAAACAAGTCTTGAAAATAAACTTCTTTTTAACCCATCTTTTGAAGCTTAAATGCTTAAGATGATGGGTGGCAATTATTTATGATCACCTATCAAAATTAATTTTTTAGCTTAATGCTAAAGAGGTATTATTGTTTCTGGTTCTATTGCCTAGTTTGCTTCATCTATTACTACTGTTGAAAAACTAATACCTTTTATAAACTTATCTACAGAATTAATGCAAGTAGTACAAATGACGTCAGCATTTTCAATTAATTATTTTGCTCTTTTCAATACACTATTTTTATTAAAGAAACCTTCTTTCTTTAGTACTTTATGCAGAACTATATCTTGAAATTAATATGAAACTTTTACTCTTTACCTAGCTTAAGAAACTATTCTTATTACTTTTATTTCTCTATTTTATGCATGAATCCTATCTGAAATGTTATCTGCAGCTAAGTTTGATGGAGCACAAACTAAAATCTTTTCGTTTTGTTAATTTTTGTTAATTTTATACCATATTTCTAAAACTAGCTGAGCTGCTGTTTCAGTTTTTCCTGTTCCTGGAGGACCTTAAATCAGCGAAATATTTTTTGAGAGAGATGACTAAATTGCTTACAGCTAACTTTAATTTAGCTAAGCTATATCTTATTGAGCTTATTCGTCAATTATTTCTAATGAATCATCACTTTTAATAGATTTATCATCCTTTTCAAATTAACCAAGTATTTTTTTTTACAAAGATTCTTCTAGACTTGAAAATTTGTTAATTCCCTACAGTATTCTTTCAAAAATCTATTTAGGATTGATTAATTTTATTTAAACATTTTCTACTACATTTCCTACTTTGAAACGACTTAAAGATTTATTAGAATCTTAAATTTTAATAACGATTTTATGATCATCAATACTCTCTACATAAAATTTGGATTTAAAATTACCCCATTTAATTTTTAATTCTTTACCCTATTTTAATAGATGGTTGGAGGAAACTTATATTTACAACCTAAATTTTAATAGAAATAACAATAAAATATTATTAATCTTTGAATTTATTTTACTGATTTTCTGATAAGATAAGTGCTTTAGTTGTTAAAACACTTTATTATATCTACTTAGATATTTCATATTATTCTTAATTTAAGATCTTTTTAAAAAAATGTTAATAAGCTTCAACATTTTTAAATATTTCAATTTTTTTTTCCTCTCTAGAATTAACTTGGATTGATTGGAGATTGCGAGACTAGTCAAAATTTCTATCTTAATTATTGATATTTTAGGTTTTAGGGTCATTCAACATACCTACTTAAACTTGATTGTCATTACCTCCATTTAGGCAAAAATCATAATCATCATCATTATTATCTTATTCTAGTTGATAAAAAATATTTTTTAATAATTTATTTTATTTTAATATATAATACCTATTTAGTTTTAGTCAGGTTAATTTTTGTGCTCATTGTTTACTGGATAGTATTCTTTTTTTTTGATGGTCAGGTTCATCAATAAAGTATTTATTGATCCATTTTACACAATAGCAGACTTCTTACATTTTTCAATTGATTGTGAGTCTTTACCTTAAAATTGAATCATCTTACTATTTATACATTAGTTACATAAAACAAAGTAAAATGATTCAATTTCTACAATAAATAGAACAAAAATGTTGTTTTAATTGCATGATAGGCATTTAAATGTAGAAAAAGAAGTTTTTCTTGCCTTTTCTTATATTTCTATTTTATTGTGGGAACACTTTTTTAAATGTTTGACTATTTGAGTTACACTGTCATGCTTGTTTCTTTAGTTTTAAAATATATTATTACACTAAAGGCACTTTACTTATGTATCTTCGTTATTACTGTTATTACTGACTAAAAGTTAATTATTATTATTATTTAAGCCTATTTAAATATTTTGTGGGATAGATTACTAATTTAATTAGGTTTAATCTGATTAAATTTATTTAGGTTAATCGCTCTTCGTTAATTGATCAAGGAAAGTAGAATTAATTGAATAATTAGTAATAAGTGGTTCATTTGGAAAAGTGCTGACCAATTTCATAGCTATATTTGGATCATTAGTAAATAAACTGCCGTTGCTTTTATTTAAACATTAAGAGCATAGTAAATACTATTCATTATTAACTTTACATATTGTTAAATCGAAAACATTTCTTTTCTTGCATTTATAGCAATCTGGAGTAATATTTTTTTATTAATTTTAGTTTAATATACAGGTAATTCTATTATGATTCTATTTAGTAAGATGCTTAATGATGCTTGTTTTGAGAGACCCATTTATTTTTTAGTTGTCAAAATATTATTTGCAATCTAAGCATTAAATTTTTAAAAGTTTTTCAATTTTTTACTCTTGAGATGCATTTTAATTTTTATTTTATATTTTATCTGATCCGATTAATTAGGGATTTTAATTTAAATTATTTGTTGATTTTTATTATTAAGCTTAACTAATATTTTGTGGTCCAGCATTTGCTTCTACTACATCAACTTTTCTGATGTATTAAACTTTAGATTTTTTATTTTAGTTTATCTGTAGAATATCTGGATTTAATTAAACCCTCTTTGCATCAAAAAGAATGGAATTGATTTCATTTTATTAGATAACTGTTGAGTGCTTAACCTCAGAATCTTATTTAAATTTAGTTTAATTTATAAATTTAAAAGAACACTCATTACAAAGCAGTAGAATACCTTGAGGATAATCATAAATTTAAAGTTTAAAAACATCCCCTAATTTACATGATGAGCAAACAATATGCTTTTAAACTGCTATGCCTGAATTGATAAGTAACTGAACCTTGTTATGCTTTGATTAGATTAAGTGCGAAACAATACTACTTGAATTATTAGAGTTATTTGGATTTCTTTAGTTATCGAAAAAAACTCTGCAATCCAAGCATAAAACCTAGAAGCCTTTGATTTCAGATACTTTTTGCCAAACAAGATGACGATTTTGCTAGTTTCCTTTCATAAATATCTTTCCTTATACCTTTACTTATTTTTAGATTTCCTTTTTTAGAAAAATTTAAAAATTGTTTGTAATTATATTTTTCTTTAGCTTAAGCTAAGTTTTTTCTAATATTATTTTTAATTAACTTTTTTTCACTTATTTTTTTATAGTATGTGAAGATTATTTTAGAATTTCTTATCTATTTATTTATCAGGAAATAAATTAAAATTCTATATACATATTTGTTTGAGACATTAATATCATATATTATAAATCTGACAAATATTATATGGCATAGGTTTTTTCTTAAGGATAACATTTAAACTGTTTTTTCCTTCCATTTGAGATTAGTGAAAAAGAATAGTGTGAGTTCAAATTTTTTAGTATTTATTTAAATTAAGCGCCTTTTTTCTTTATTTAATTTTAATTGTTGAAATAAAAATTATGGAATATTAAATATTTGCCTAAATATTGTTTTATTAAATTAGTAACTAATAGATGCATTCCAAATAGTTTTTTATTTATTTAAAATAATATTTTAAGAAGAAATTTAGTTTAGTTTATTTGAAATAGTGATATAAGTAAGAGAATACACTAAGTAATAAAATTATTATAAGTAAACTCTAAATAAAAAACAAATTTGTAAGTAAGTAATAATATCTCTTTAGTATTAAATTAGATTTTTTATCATAAAAAAAGAAATTTCATGAAAATTTTCTAAAATTTAATAAAAAATAGATATTGACTGATAGTATTTTAAAGAAAAAGAATGAATTGGAAACTTTAAAAGCTTAGAATGTATGAATGAATATTTATTATAAATTCACTTATATTCATTTAGTCAAGAGAAGAAAGAAAGAATCATATAAATAATTAAATTTTCAAAAAAATATTATCAACATATTATAGGAATATTAAAATGATTGGTTATAGAGCTAACTAGTATTTGTTGAAGCAATTCAAGCAGTTAAATTTCAAAAATATAATGAATTTATTTATTTAAGCCAAGTCAACACCTAATCCTAACTTTTTGAAGTTTGTTCCAAGTGGAAAAACTGTTATGAATGATGGTACAACTTTAGATTTTATAGCTGCTAGATATGCTCATGTTTCCCCTTTAGCAAAGAAGTTATTCACAATAGATGGAGTTAACAGAGTTTTTTATGGCAAAGATTATATTTCTATCTCTAAAAAAGAGGATGCTGATTGGAATGAGTTAAAGCCATAAATATTTTCATTAATTACAGAACAATTTACAGGAACTACTCCACTTTTCACAGATGAGCCAGAGAGAGAAGATACTAAAATAAAAGATGATGATAGCGAGGCAGTTTAAATGATTAAAGAAATTATTGATACACGTATTAGACCATTAGTTCAAGATGACGGTGGTGATGTTATTTACAGGAATTTCGATGAACCTTCAGGCATCGTAACATTAACAATGATGGGATCTTGCAGTGGATGTCCAAGTTCTCAAGTTACTTTAAAGCAAGGAATAGAAAAAATGATTATGCATTATGTCCCTGAAGTTAATGGAGTTGAAAGTGTAGATTATGGTGAGAATGAACAGTCTGAAAAAAAGTCAAACGCTTGAAATGTTGAAAAATTTAAAAATTATGTTGTAATTTGAGTATTTATAAAAGTGTTTTCGAAATTAAGTTAAGATAAAAAGCTTTCAAAGTGAACAAAATGTTTGCTAAAAATATAAATAGTATTTAAATATTAAAGTCATTATAAGATAATAACATCAATTAAATTTGTTTTTTATGTCAGTTATTAATTTTATATTAAAATCATTACCAAAAATGGATCATTTACTTTTTTATAATAGAGTAGAAATTTCAGATTTAATTATTTTTATTAAGGATATTACATAAACAATTTTTAAGTTCTTTTCAAAATAGATTATGAATTTTTAAAAATGATTTGTTTGAGATGTTAATTTATTTTTAAAATTGTTTCATCAATTTTTATCCTATATAAAATAAATTGTTTTAATTTTTAAAGCTATTGAAAACAAAAATTTTCGTTATTATATTTTTTGTGTATAAATGAAGATTAGCTGATTAAGAAAAGTAAATTTTAATAATTGAATATATATATATAATTATCATTTGTAATGTATTCCACATAAAATGTCTTAATATAAATTATTGGCAATCAAATTATAATCAAAAATAACTGTTTTAAGAAATATTTGATATATTGTTAATGGACCTTTAATTTAATTACTATGATTTCTTTACATGATTCATGTTTTATTGCATACCAACTTATTTGACTTGATTTTATGTGTAGAACTAGTTCTGATCAAAGTTAATACTTTTATTAATGTTTGGATTCATCAAATTTGACTCCCTTAGACAAGTAGAGTCTATCAAGCATTATGATTAATTTATATTATTTTAATAAGTGTTGAAATCAACACATCCTTTTATGGAGAAAGAAGAATAGTCTTTCCTATTCAAATTTTATTTTTGGTTATATTAACTTTGAGATTAATTAAATTGATCATTAAAATAAGAAATATTTTCAACATTTTAAGTCTGATTAAGATTAGTGGTGGTATTGTTTTCAGATAATTTACCTTTTGCCTTAAGTAACTTGTTGATCAAAAACTTGATTTCATTTTTCAAAGCAACAGTGCATGCTACCTATTCTTCATTTTATACCACTTAGTTCATTTTAGCTTTACCTAGCTCAAGCATAATATTGTCTAATTCTTATTTTAAGCGATCACGATCCTATGCAACTATACCATTTGCATTTTCACTATTTTTTAAATGATTTTCTAATATTAGCAATTTTTATTCTACAAGTTATTTTTCATAATTTAGACTATTTATTATTTTATAAAAATTTTCACTTTATTCTTCTGACTACTATTATTATTGCTATATTAATTAAGTTTTATCTAAAAGAATTGATTATTGATGTTGAGTCATGTTAAGTTGTTATTGAGTCATATTCAAATGTTGTTGAATTTATGAATTGCACTAAGCCATATGATCTACCAAATCATTAGGCATGAAACACTATCCACAATTCTCGCACAGAAGCAATGTTTTGTAATTATTGTTTAAGTTATTATTGCTACCATTTCTCTATATAAATTGGCTTTAATTAGTAATATTTTATAAGCTTCTATCTTATTATATCATTTCAGCAGTAACATCGTTCATAATCATGGGTGAAGTGCTTTAATTTCTATTAATTTAGCTATTTTTATGGTTTTAATTGTTATAATAAGTATTCACAATCGGTGATTAATTCCTGTTTTCTTAATCATGTTAACTCTTCTTTGTTCTTTTCCTACTTTCATTTTATGTTTCATTAAACTCCTAATTTTAAAAATTTTAGTTAAAATAGAATTTTATTTATTTAATAATTTTACTTGAATATTATTTTAAGGAATAAACTTTTAGCTGAAAACGTCTATTTCTTGTTAATTGTTATTAAAGTTAACATATTTATCCTAATTAGGAGTGTAAATTTATCCTTCCATAGGTTAAAGGATTACTTGGTTTCCATACTAATTATTGAGTTAGTTTATATCAGTCAAAGGCTCAGGGACATTATTATTTTCAACAGAATGCTAAAATGGTTATACATAATTGTTCATGATTTAACTTTGATTGAAAATATTATTAGATGACTGTTATAAAGCGTATAATTACTATTGCTGTTAAGTATCTTATAGAATGCTACCGTCTTAGCTCATTAGGAACTATTGTTACAATTGCAAATAAACATTGTTAGGTAATTACTATTACAATTAAGAATTATTGAACATTTAATTAGTTTAAGTTTATGGATAAGACTATATAGCAATATTTTCTAATGAGGTGTCATATTCTTGCTATTAAATTTCTGATAATCCATTTTAGTGTATTTAAGACTAATATACATTTGTTGCTTTAGAATCATCAATACAATCTAACATTATATTATTGTAGTTATTGTTTGAAACCCTCTATTTTATTAAACTTTATTTCATCGAATCCCTTAAAGCTTTATTTTGAGTCTATAAAGGCATGTTCTAATTATTTTAAGCTTATAAATTATTTGACATGCTTCTTTAGTTACGATTTATGCTAGAGGCACTGCGATCAATCTAAATTGGACTTGATTACTAAAATAAATTAAAATAAGAAATTGGTAATATTTATTTATTTACTAATTTTTCTATTTGAGGTGTGGTTTATACATCTCTTTAAACTTAAAGGTTGTTACTGGAAACGAAAGTTCTTGAAGAGCTATCGCCATTTGCCTCATAAAAAGATAGCTTTTATCTTCGTAAAAAACTATTTTAAATGTCTATATAAAATGAAAATTTCAAAACTTACTTAAGTTCTTCTAATTGCTTGTTTTGTTCATTTATTCTTTATTACAGTTTGAGTATTTGCTCATCTTTTTAATAAGTTTATTGTATTTGATGTTATAAATCCAGATTAAGTTTAGCTTTTTCATTATTTATCTTTAGAATTTCAGATCTTAACTATTAAAAAAAATAAAAATTCATTTTAAAATGATTATCAATTTTTATTAAAATATAAATATACCTCAATATCAGATTCTGTTTTAATACAAGATATATCCATTTTACTTTGATTGGCAAGTAGTGTTGATTAATTCATACTCGCATTTTATTCAATATGTGTTTAATATTTGCGTATGGTATTTAGATTTTTTTAAATTCTTTGCTCAAGAGCATTTTTTTCCTATATTTTAAATTAAATAATTGAAAAATACTTTAAACAATATTTGAGTTTGATTTAAAATTTTTTAAAGCTAATTAATTGATATTTGAATTAATAGTATTCGATTTCAACTGTAATTTAATTTATATGATTAGATTTAATAAATAGATTTCTAATTTTTTGTGAAAAAGCTCAAGAAAAATAAATAACACTCTCTTTTACTATTAATCAGCCTTAATTTAAAATTAGTAAAAATTTTAAAATAAAAACCTTTTCAAAATTAGCTTGTAATTGCCTAATTTTTTCTTCATATTTTTCTCTTTGCTCCAGAATTTATTAGTCCTTATTATGATTTAACTCTTAGTATTTAGCTTCAAGAGCTAATTTTTCTTTTGAAAAAACTTCTTCAGTGATCAGATGCTACTTCTAAAGATCGTTTTCCATCTATGTTCTATCTAAGTAGTTTGCTTCTAAAGCCCTTTCATTATTCATTTTTTCTTTTTCAACTGCAATTTCTAAATCTTTCATTGATAATTTCATTTCATTCAGTTAGTCTTTAAGTACTCTATTCTATTAAAGCAATTATAATAATTAACATAAAATCTGCTAAGTAGACAAATTAGTTTACTTCATTTTCAAGATTATTGATAGTTAGTTATAGCTTTGTTCTTGATTCTACTAATTCTTTGTTATGTTGCTCATAATTTAGCTGTATCTCTTTGAAAATTTTACTCTAAACAAAAATTTTAAGGTATTTTATCTTTTATGGATAAAAAATATATTTACATTATTTCCTTAATTTGCAATATCATTTAGCGAATTCATTATAGTTTCATTCATTTTCTTTAAATTCTCTTCTCTTTTCTTGTATTCTTAAATCTAAAGCTTAAGCAAATCAATATTCTATTCTAAAACAGCTTTATCCTTCTTGAACTCGTTCTCCTTTTGATTCATCTATAATTTAAAGTTTATTATATTTGTTAGAGGTACTTTTAAAGCAAATAAACGAAATAGATATTTGCTAAAACAAACATTTTATGAATATTTACTTATTTTTTTAAAATATGAATTTCTTCTGTTAATCTGAGCTCCAATGCAGTCGATTTAGTAAGATTATCATTAGATTATCTAACTTAATTATCATTTGATTTATTATCGTTTTAAAAATCTACTTATTGAGGGACTTTTTCAAAGGATTTGTTATTACTTTAACCAGTACTTGTACTGCTATTTATAGTTGCAGAACTCATTTTATATTTTAATAACTTGGTATCTAAAGCCTTTTTAATTAATTAATTATTAGATATAATCTTAATTAGAAAAAAATCACAGTTAATTATTTCAAATAATTTTAATTAAATTAATACTATCAAAAGAGTCACAGGCATCAAATTAATACAAAAAAAAATAGCGAAAACTCAAACGATTTTAATATCTTAAGTTATTCATTTGAATATTATTAACAATAATGAATATAATTCAATTATTTTCATTTTACTAAATGATTAAATTTAAAATTCTTTTCAAATTTAATTGTTAAAAGAAACGAATACTTTTGAGGTCAGTATATTTATTTTGTCTGTTTATTGCTGAAATTATTTCTAATAAGAAATCCAAAAAAATTATAGAAAGAATTGTAAAATTTTAATTTAAAAAGCAATTTCATTAACACCCAAAAAATATTTTATTTATATTTTATATAAAAAAAAACGTTTGCTAAAGATAAAACATTAAATTAAATTATTTTTCATTAGCAATAATTTTTTCTTTCTTTCTTCTACAATCTTCCAGATAAAATGCTGCTTTTTAAAATAAAATGCATAATAAATAAAAATTACATTTAAATTTTATTCCTTAAAATTTTTACCATTAGTTAATTATATCAATTAAAAAAAAAAATTTTATATTTCTCTTTCTTTCTTTGAAATCGCAGTGACGATATAATAATAGATAGAGTAAGAAAAATCAATAGATAAATGAACTAGAGGGAATAAAAAGGTTTCAAGTTATGACATGTTAAAATAATTGAATACATTACAATCCTTATTATCTCTTTTTCATATAAAATTTTTAATACATTAGTCAATTATTTACAGTTATTTATTTTGTTTATATGCTTGAAGATGCAAAAGGACATATCTTATATATAATACTAAGCTAATTTTTAACAAATTTTAAGAAATTATTCTTAGATTTCTTTAAATAAAGGTAATTTGAATAAAAAAGGAAAATATTTTTTTATTTTTAATAATATAGTATTTTATTTGCAATTTTGTTAGATAATTTTAATATATTTACAAATTATTTTAAAGATATTTTATTTAGATAGATAAATTAACTAAATATATCCAATGATAGTAAAAAATTTAAAAAGTATATCTATAGTTGGATAATTATTTATTTTAAAAGCAAGATAACTATTTTTATTTATTTATTTCTCAAGAGTCTAACTAAATAAATGATTCATCTTTATATTTTCTAGAAAAATGTCTCCTTTCAAAAGAAGTAAAAGGATTTTCTCTTTTATACGTCGAGGTAAATTAATGGATAGCTTTCATATAATTGACATCTTCAACTTGCACATCGAATTCTATTATGTATTCTAGGATAACCTAAACAGGTACAGCAGAAAACAAGACGCTTATTACTATTGTAACAATTTATATAATTGAAATTTAACCATAAGCACTATATTCAAATAATGCACATGATATAGAATAAGTAGGTATGAGCATTTCTAAAAAGTTTGTCATTTAAAGTGATAGAGCTGTACTAATTTAACAGTCCATTCTCTTGTATCTAATTAAAAAATATTTTGTAAGCCAATAATAAAAGAAGATTCCTATTAGTTGAAAAACCAAACCAATCGGAATTGCAGGTGCGAAAAATACACAGATACACATGTTATTCATCAATTCAGCATAACACAATTCAATTTAATGATTGGGTAATTAGTAAATTTCATGAGCTTCTTTTTAGGTTATTCTGCTTTTCTTACCTTGTCTCGAATACCACCACTTTTTGATTAGATAGACATAGTAATCTTCATCAATAAGAGACGAAATAAAAGATAAAAATATATCTATAACAAAATAATAAAAAGTAGTATACACAAGACCTCCTTTTTAATAAACATTTTTAGTCACGAAAAAACTGATAAAGGTGATAACAAGTGCACTATTAACAAAAAGAGCTATAGTTAGTCTTTTTGCTAGTGATACATTATACACTGTACGTGTATTGTAGCACTCAATATGAACAAAATAAGTGAATGAGAGAGTGATAACGAAGTTATTAATAACTATAATTGCAGCAGATGTTATTAAATTATTGAAGGAAAACTGTTAAAGTATTTGATTAGTAAATGAAAGGTCACTGTTATTGCTATCTTCGTTATCACTGTTATCATTTTAATATTTATTTAGAAGATAAATAATGTAAGCACAAACAGCTATAATCGCTATTGTGGCATAACGTGTAGTTTGTCTTATTCCAGATTTTTCGCTATCTTTCATAGTCAAGTTCTCCCAAATAATGTCTAAAGGCTCAGGAGATTCAGTTATTTCTAAAATTTAATTGGTTTATTTCAGTTTGATTTCTTTGAATTCAGGGGAAAGTGAAAAAAAGTAATCATAAATTGCTTCCCAAAGTGTTTAATCTGTACTTTATAGGACATATTACTTATCATCTTCTAAATCAAAACTTACAAAAGCATAACCTGTGAACTGAGTTTTATCATCTTTAACACATCTTAAGTAACTTATGCTTTATAACAATTGATAATAAATCTTATCATCCCATTCATTTGTTAAAACCCTAAATTCTTCAGAGTCTTCATCAATATTTTTAAGTGCCGCTTTCTTTTATTCTACTAATTTATGTATTTAATCTTCTACATTTTTTACATTTTTCACATTATACACATAACAAATATCAACGACAACAAGAGGATCTCTATCTTCTTCACCTTCTCTTCTAAAATCAACCATATATTCTTTGAGCTAGTTTTCTGTCATATCTTATGGAATTCCCTTAACCATAATAGTGTAATCTGCAGGAGTAATTTCTTCTGCATCTACATCATAATCAATTTATTTTTATTCAGATCTGTAAAAAATACAAAGAATAATTAAAATTAAAGTCGTTATCAAATTCAAAATATTTTGCATCGCTATTGCTTTTTCATTATTTGCTTTATTTATAAGTGTTAAAGTGGAAATGTAGTCTGCTGTGCAGGCATAAGGAAGTCCTAGCTTAATTTGCTTTTTTGTTGCACAATAATTTCCTTAGTAATTAGTCCATAAATTATAAAATCCAGATGTAAGTAGTATAGTAGCTAGTATATATATACAATATTTTGCAAAACTAAAAAATAAGGGATATCCTGAGCCAAGAAAGGAAAGGAGCATATAATTATCCATCATATTGATTTATCGTTTGTAGAGCTGAAAACCACAGCATGGACAAACTTCACTATTTTTAAATGATTCGAACTATTTTTTAGGTTTACCTACTTAAGTCGCTCTCTTATGTATCTCAGCTAGTTTCCAATTAGGAGGAATCTAATAAGGGTTGTAAAAATAACTAGTTTCGCCATTGAGGCTATTATCTAGTTTCGAGTTATATTAGGATTATTTTATTCTTCTTTGCATTCCACCAGCCTCTATAGGAATTGGTGTTTCTAAAGAGGAACCTACATTTAAATTCTTAAATGAATTAAGCTATCCTTCAAATTTTTATGCATTACTTTCAAGAGTTTCAAACATTTATATAGAATGATCTTTATCTTTGTTTGCTTGATATTCTGACATTATCTTTATATTCAATAGTTTTAAGCTAAATAAAATAAATAAATATATGGGATTGTTTGATCTACTTCTAAATTTAAAACTAATTCTTTGTTTCTTTATTTTTTATTTTTTAACTTAAAAATATAAAAAGAAAATCCATCAAAAAATAGTTGTTATATTGCTATTCAAAAGCAAATATATTAAAATGATTACTTCAAATCATACAGTACCTTCATAATTTCTACCTGCATACATCATTTAATATAATGTATAGTAGATAGTTTTTTATATTTATTTAATCTTGACTTTTCAAATCAGAAGATTAAAATTAAATTTCATATTTTTCGTTTAATAATAACTTTAAAAATAATATAAAATAAATAAATGATTTAATGCATAAAATGATTATTTTGAGAAATATTAGAATATTTATTGTGATATTTAACTTAAATAATAGTAAAATACTAGCTCTAAATTATACAGAACTTTCATAATTTATACCTAAATACATCATTTAATATAAAATGGTTTTAAGATTTTTTATATTTATTTAATGGTGGTTTTTTAAATCAGAAGATAAAAATTTAAATTTATATTTTCAGTTTATATTGCTTTAAAACAATTATATGATAACTGATTTAATTGAGAAAAGGGTTAAATTGAGGTATGTTCAATTTTTTGTAGTTTTATGTGAGTTAATGATTAGATAAAGCACTGGTTATCAACAAAATTAATTATATTTTGATTTTTCAATATATTTTTTGACCTTAAAACATAATAACCAAAAGAAAATATTACACTTATTCTCAAAAAATAAATTTTATTTATTTTTCTGCCTTTTCAAATTTAGTACTATTAATAAATACATAAAATACAATTATCAATGCTCCTTATAAAATATAATCATATTGTGAAAAAAAAAATTCAAATAAAAAAAAAAATTATATGTTATTAAATCTTCTAAAAAAAATTATTTTAAGAGAAATTTAAATTAGTTAAAATTAGTAATTTTAAGTTTCAACATTTTTTTGCTTGAAATTAATTATTACTAACAAATAGAGAAATTAATTGACTAATAATCCAAAAAATAATTTAATATAAATGAGCAATATTGTCTTTATTTATTAACATTTATTTCAGCTATTTTGATTTAATTTACATTTTATCATCTAAAATTCATTTAAAAATTTTTTAAATGAGTAGATAATAATTCAATTGTTTATTTTTAAAAAAAATAATTTTAGGCCTTTAGAGTTTTGTTAATATATTATGATTTGACAAAATTTATTTTTAATTTATATGTTTAGTAAATTATTTACAACATTTTCTATCCTTGCTTTTTTATAAATAATAACTTATTTTCTTAACAATTTAGAGTTTTTCTTTTTTATTCCTTTCAAATATTAACAAATGTGAAATATGGCAATTAATTTATTAAATATTATTGAAAATGATTATGATTTTAGAATTTGAAACGATTTATCTTGAATAAAAATATATTTTGAAGAGACTGCATTTTTTAATTTACAAATAAGTAATCGTCATTTGTATCTAAGTTTTAGGTGGAAATTTTTCATTATAAATTTCTGTTAAAAACTAATCTTTTTTAATCCACAACTCTTAATGTAATGTCTTAAATAATATTTTTATAAATATAAATCTAATTTCATTTGAAAACTCTAGTAAATATGTAATAGCAATAAAATAAAATATTGTTTTTCCACATAATTCTATTTAAATACTAAGTATTTATTTGAAATATCATTTTTATTTTTAAAAATGAGATTAAATGATTAGAAGAAACACCCATCATAAAAAATTATAAGCCAGTAGGAATAGCATAACTATTACTATTTTTAACTATGAAAGTTCGTAATTTTTAACTTTCAGATAGGAGAAAAATGATCTTAAATTAAACATGTATTTAATTTACTAATAAATAAAAAGAGATTATCAAAAATTCAGAAAATTAAAAACATTAATTTGAAAAAGAATTTCTGAATGCTTTACTATTCAATAAATAATAAGTTTTTCTATTTTTAAATAAATAAATTAATTAAGACAAGAAAAACAAAAGGGACAAACCAAAAAAAATATAAAGACAAAAAATTAAGTAAATTGTAAATTAAAAGTAATACACTTTAGTCTTTTATTTATTGAAGGGAATAATTTGCTAATAATTGATTTCAAATTAATTACATCTAAAGGATTTACACTAATTCCTTAAAAAAATAATAATAATTAACAAAGACTGCAAAAAAAAAAAAATTAAAAAACCACTTTAATCATTAAAAACAAAGAAAAAAGAAACAAGTAGGATAATAATTACATACCAACAAAAGGCCTTATTGATTACAAACTAATAAAAAAAATTTAGAAATATAAACACATACAAACAAATAAATTAATTCAATAAATTACATATTCATTTCGCTTTCTTAACTAGTAGTAAGTAGGGTTTCTTAAATATCTAGAGAATTATTTTATAAATTTAAAACAGATTAGAACTAGCTGTTCTCTTTGAAGTTTATTTATTCTAGAGGAGATACTTCGAAGCTGTATTTTATTTAAACATACATTTTTAATCCCATTCCTTGTAAATATTACTATGGGAAATCGATAGAGTGATATTTCATAGAGAGATGAATAAAAACATGTTCATAATATAAACAGAAGTGATTTTCTTTACATGTTTGGGGCTAATTAGGATGGACATGGTGAGATTATAGTATTTGATTCTTGCAGAGAATAGTTTTGCTTTCAAAATACTCCTCTCGGGATGAAAATTTTTGACTATATGGGTGTCATAAAGGTGTCAAACAATCTGATATATTTAAGTGGTGGAATTAACAAATAAAAAAATCATATCAGTGATGAATTAATTGAATATAATCCCATAACTAACTCATACTCTTACTTATCCAGCATGAAAAATTCTAGATATACTCATTGCCTCACCTTTAAAAATGGTAAACTTTATGCAATAGGCGGACGTACTTATGGAGAAGGTATAAATGGACTTCTTGCATCTTGTGAAGTATATGATTTTTCTAATAGAAATTGGAAGGAGATATCACCTCTTTCAGAACCAAGATGCACATTCTTTACATTCTAATACAATGATGAAATCTACGTTTGTGGAGGGTAATACTATTATTTATATATTTATAATTATTTTAATTGCTAAACTGTTCTGCTGCTTGCTTCATTATTACTATTTTTTTTGATAAAGATTTAAAGAAACTGCGTTTTGCTTGGAATATATTATGAAGATTTTGGTTTAATATTGTCCAGTTTACTATCAATAATTTAATTAGAAAAATTAAATATTAATCGATGATAAATAATTTTTGATAAGCTTGTTTATTTTAATTACTCTTTATTTAAAAATTATTAATCTAATGCAAAAAAGATTGAAGATTTAAAAAGCGTCAGTTCTGTCTAAGACAGCAATATAATTTGCAAATTAATTTAATTAAAATAATTATAATTTTGAGAAAAGCTTTAAGCCTTAGTTATTTATTTAAAAAACCATATTGAATATTTAAAAATTAATTCAATAATTTTTTTTTCTTTCAAGTATTTGCGTGAAAGAATAAATCTTGTATTTTGAATTTAAATATTCAAAAATAAATTTTCTGCAATTAAATTAGTTGTTAAAAATCTAATTGATCATAAAAATAAGTTTTTAATTTCAATCAGCTTACAAATTTTATTAATGCATTTAATTAATACTTTGATAATATAAAAAACAAAAAATTTTATGACTTTAATTTATTAAAGAATTCTTTCGTCTATTAAAAAAGGTTTAACGGAAATAAGAAAAGGACAGAATTAATAGAAAAATACAATGAATCTTAAAACTGTTGGGAAACAATAGAAATGAAATTAAACAAGGGAATTGAGTGTGGTAATCTTCATATTTTAGAATAAAGTAAGGATGAATTTGTTATATTTGGAGGAAATTGCAAAGAAGGACCCACTAACGAGTGCTGGAGATACAATTTAAAGAAATAAACTTATGAGCTTATTGGTAAAATGTAGGCAAAGAGGGTATTATCTAAAAGTATATTAACATCGAAAGGCTAGATTTATATATTAGGAGGAGACAGAGAACTAAGCAATAACATTTAGAATTTTTAGAATTCATTTTAATAATAAAAAAAAGAAGAGTTAGAAAATATTTAAAATGATTTTTTAAATTAATTTAATAATGAGATAAAAAGAGAAGAAAATATTTTATAAAAAATACTAAAGTAAGTAGAGAATAATGAAGGTTAAGGTTGTTTTTATAAGGATTAAAAAAAAGAACAGCATGTAATTAGAATGAAAGCTGATTTAGAATAATCAAAATCGTTATAGGTCAACAACATTAATAATAATTAAAATCACATCTAAGATAAATAAACAGTAGAAAAAACTTCTTTTCTCAGCTATGGTTTAAAGTTTGAAAGGATATATTCATTGGAATCAGATTAAATCTTTAAAAAAAGATCCTATCAAAATTGGAAAAATTACTCATAAGCAAGTGAGATATAAATTGTAAAATGCAGCGTAAATGAGCTTTTAAGTATACAAAATTAAGACAATTTAAAGAGAAAAAGAAATAATTCTTTTGGAGAGTAAGCTAATAATATTTTGAAGAACTTCATCAGTCCAAATAAATAAGATTAGGAGAAAAGCCCAAATAATATAAGTATCGAAGAAGTAAATATTTTGCAATAGCACATTAGAAATAGTCATTCTATGGATATAGAAGAAGAATAGTATGGTAATTTAATTTAAGATGAATATAACTAAGCCAGATAGTTCAGGGCTGTTTCGATCGCACTAAATAATGATGCTGAAAATCTTCAACTTTAATTTGATTAAAATATAAATAAAGCTTGCAATTTGCCTCGAGAAAAGAGATTTTAATCAGTGTAGTATGCAAGAGAAAATTTGAGAGCATAGATTGATAATGAAGAATAGATCAATCATTATTAAAATGAATAGCACTAAATTTCAGGGAACTAAAATATTAATAATCCTAATAACCACTAGGTACCTTTCAGTAGAAGGTTTTACATATTTGGAATTTCTGAGAACCAAGATTTTATAGCAGAAATAGATATTCTCAATCAGAATCTTTTAAAAAAGAAAAGACCTAAAAAATTGAAATTACTATCTTACAGAAGTGGAGTAAGATTTGAGGAAAGTGAGAGTATATTTATTTGCGGAGGAGTGAATGATGAAATGACGAAGATATCCAGTTCAGTGTATATGTATTATCCTAACGAAGATAGAGTAGATATTTTAAAACCTATGAACTCAAGAAGGTATACATTTTGCTGTGTTAAAAAAGGAAACTACATTTACGCTTTAGGAGGAAGATCATATGGCAACGATGACGCAGCAATAATGAGTAAATGTGAGAGATATAATATTGCCACAAAAGAATGGGAAGTTATTGCGAGCATGAAATATAAGTAAAAATTTAGTTTAATTTTGAATATTCGAATTATTGCTAGTCTTTTTATAAAATATTTTATTTAACTTTATTATAGGAGATGCTCTTTTATGGCTTCTTGTGTAGAAAATAAATTATATGTTGCTGGTGGATATGGTGGGAGTATGGTTAGACATTCTACTTTTGAATGTTATCATGAGGCTGAAGACAGGTGGGAGTTGATGGGTATAGAATTAATTGAGCCTATTGAAGCATCTACACTTTTAAATATAGCCTCTCATGATAACAAAATCATTTTAATATTAGGCGGTAGATCAACAAAAGATGATAGCGACAAAGTTTATTGTTATGACATTAAACATGGATTTGATGCCTTTTAAGGTAATTTATGTGGAACATTATCTAGTAAAAGATGTCTACATAAATAAATACCATTAAATCACGACTCTACTACTTTTTTATTATTGGGTGGATTTACAAAAGGTGAGAGAGTATCAGCTTATTCCTTTAATGCCTAAACTAATTAGCTATAGAACCAAAGTAAAGAATTTTAAAATCTTATTAACAAGCTTGATAGCTTTCTATTTAAAGATTTACTCTAAAACAAGGACTATACTCTAAGAAGAAACTTATTACTATGATTAATCTGCATTTGATAACCATTTAATTTCTTTCTAAACTATTTTCTAATTTAAACATATTAAGTATATAAATTCTTACAATAAATTTAAGTTTATTTGCTGCAAATGAACTAAAAAAATGAATATACAAATAAATACAAACATATACATTAATTATCATAATAATTACCATTAACTTAACTTGATGAAATAACCACTATTTAGAAAATAATTTTTCTAAACTAAATTATAAATGAAGAATCTTAAAATAACTAAAAAAATTTATAATATCTATCAAAATTTTAATTAAATTAAAAATACTTCCACTGCTTTCTTATTCAATGTTTTTAATAATATTATAAATTATAAAAGAGTATAAACTATAATTAATATAATATATTATAATTAACTTCTTTCTAAAATTTAAAAGTCTCTTTATATATTTTAATCATATCTAATCAATATAAGTTTTTTATGTTAATTATCCTATAAAAAATTTAAAATATATCAAATCAAACCCTCTTGTTTTAAAATTAAAATTATATATTTTATTTTGTGTTGAAAAATGTACAATCAAATAAATTAATAAAATAATTTGTTATTTTTTTAGCTAATTTAAAAATAATTTAGAAAAATATTTTTTAAATTACAAAATATAATTTTTCATGACTTTGAATAAGAATTAAATTTACTTTAGAAAATAAATCAACTAAAAATAAACAGGTGTTTACTATTTTATTTTTTATATTGCTTTAAAAAAATCATTGTTAATTTTAACAATTAATAATTTTTTGGTAGGGTATTTTAGTATATTTTTCAAGAATCAAAAATGTTGTAAGTATTTTTTATACAAAGATAATCTTTAGTTTTGTATTAAATTGTTTTTTTTTTATATTAATATAAAGTTTATATAAAATTTTAAAATGAATTTATCAATAAATTTTAAATAGTATGTAAAGATAATACTTAAAGAGATAAGTTATTTTAAAGTAATACTTCCTAAAATATACCAGTCTAACAAAAACTTTTCCATTAAAATTTTGTTTAATAATACTAATCTTTTAAAAGTCTTAAAATTTGTTTCTAGTATTAATTATAGATGAATTTTGTATGAATTATAGAATATATTTCAAATAATAATTTATTACATAAAAATTTTAATTTTCTTAAGAATTTATGCCCAAATTAGTGTTAAGGAAAAATAGAAACAAATATATAAAATAAAAAGATAATAAAAAATTTAGTTATTTTTTATGTTTATTTTGTTAAAGTTATTTTTTTCAAAAGTTGAAAGAAAATGTTAAAATATTATGGAAATAGTAAATGATTTATCAAAATGTATATTTTTTATATGTATAAATAGCTTTACCTAATCAAAAAAGGTTTTGGTATTTAAAAAGATAATTAAACTCTAGAAACAAAGTCTATATAAAAAAAGAGCAATTTAGGTAGATTTTTATCTTAAAATAAGTGAGAACTAAAATATATTTACTTAAACATTAAAATAATGGTTTTCTAGGATGATTATTTAAATTATTTGCAATTATTTTTAAAAAATATTTTTAAATAACGTAAAAATAATAGAAAAAAATGTCAATATTATAAACTACCCAAAAATTAAAGTTAAATAGATGATTTTTCATTCATGAATAGATTTATTGATTTTTTAATTAATTATGTTAGCACTTGATTAAATGTTAACATAATCAGTAAGAAAAATTGCTCATTTTGAAAAACAAAAGATGTTCAGCTTCTTTTTTTCAACTTATGCTTAAGATTAATTTTGAAAAGAATCACCAATTTTCTCGAAAATTTCAATTAGATTATGCTTCTCAATAATTAATTGCTTTTAATGAATTAACTTACACACATAATAATAACTAAAAGAAATTAAACATTTTTATGATAGGTAAGAATTAGTCGCAAATCAAAATGATTGTATATCTTTTTATCTTCGAAATAAAAACTTTAAATCTTTTAGCTAATAGATAGTATGAACATTTTTCTTAATACTTCTACAAAAAGTGCTATAATATTTATTTTCTATCATATTAATTTTAATTTGAGAAAGGCAGTTGAATCTTTTTACTAAGATAACTCTTTTATCGATGTAACAATTAATTAATTCTTTAGAAACCTAATATAATGAGCTGGCTTATCTTTTTGATATTATAAATTTATATGTATCAATTTAAGATTATTTTTTACTATGATACTATCTAACTTTATGTATATTAATTCTTAGTAAAATAGTTAAAAAAAGTTTTTGTGATTATAGTTGATGTTAAAAATCTAAAAACAAATTACAGACAAATAAATTAAATTAATTTAAAATTTTTCATAAGGTCACCTTGATATTGTAAAAATAATAAATGAATAAAATTTCAATCGTCGAGCAACTTTTGTCACATTAAGATTACACACTTGATAATAACTCAACTAATTGCACCTAAGCTTCTTTTGAAGATGATAATAATTCTCCTTTGATCCCTTTCTAACGTGTTCACTTCTAGTAGAAGTATGAACTACCAAAGTGCATAGACTAAATAGAAGCAAAAATAAATGATTGGTTGGATTAGAATGGTATATTTATGGCAAACCCTGCTGAAAAAGAAGAAAAATTCTATGAAAATAAAAGAAATAACATATGGGCTAACTTTCGTAGTTCAAATTCATGTAACAATTTAGGTAGTATGACCTAAATAGGAAGCCAACCTTTAGATAATGAATCATGCTTATCCTCACCTAGCCGCAGTCCTGAGCTTAGACTATTACCAAAACTTAATAGCATTTGCGATCTTAATTCTGAATAGGAACTTTCTTTAAACTCTCGTAAGAATAGTGATTCTCTTTTTGAGAGAAGAAAAGGAAGAATGAAAACAATGCTTGTTCAAGGATCACCAGTTATAAAACCTTCAATATACTCTTAAAGTAAAACCTAATCATAAGAAAGCTGAGCAAGAATCTATGAACTTCATATTTAATGAATTTCATACATTTATCTTGATAACAAACAACTACTAACAAAATTTTTGATAAATTATTGATTTATAATCAATAAAAGGATCAATTTATTTACCAACTTAACCAAATAATTATTTATATTCAATATTAACTAATAAACAAAGTATTTTAATTGAAATAATTACTACTAACTTAATTTAAAATTATATTTATCATCTCTGTAAGTATTCTTTCTAACCTTTATTCTGCTTATATTGCTTATATGAATTTTTAAAAATTTATGAAAACTTATCAAAATTATTTATATAATTTAAGGTAAATAAATTTTCATCCTTTCTCAGAATTAAACAGAAAAAATAAATAAATATACAATTATTTAAAATAGAAGGTTTTTAATCACAAATCAATCAAACATAATACATACACCTCTAAATTATTGTTTATTAAAATAATTATTCCAAATGTTTTATTTCTTATCATAGAATTTTAAAAATAATTAATTATCAACTTTATTAGCTTTCATAATTTTTTTAAGTTTTGATCATTATTTCATGTTTATCTTCAATTTATATTACTATTTTAGATTTTTTATTAACTAAATTCTAAACTTGATCAATTAGACATTAAAAATAAATGAAAAACTCAAGTTTAGTAGAATCTTATTAATATTGAAAAAAAAATATAAGAAAGCTTTAAATTGCAAAGAGATTTTTACATTGTAAAAATACTACCAAAAATAAATATTTTTAACCAATCAACTAAATTTAAAATTGATAGTAAAATGTAGTTAGTAGAGCTTAATCAAATATGAATTGACTGTAAATTCAATTAATTAATCAATCACTCTATCACTGAATTTTTAACAATAATTAAAAATTCAAATATAAATAGGTGTTTTCAAAATAAGAAACATTTACATATAATGAATTAAAAATTCATTCATTCATTCATTTTTTAAACAAATCTTTTTAATACTGAATAGATTTTTTTACTTTGAATAAAACATTACCATAAAATATTCAATTATTAAAATATCAACGGAAAAATTATCATCTTTAATTCATATGAAACTATACACAAACTCCTCAAATTCAAAGGAGATTAATCCTGTTCCATAATAGTATCCTTAGTAGCAACTTAGTATTTTATAATCTCCTAATGGACTAACAGCATCAAATAATGTGAATTTATTTGCATCAAATAACAAGATGCTTAGAGGGTCAGATTTTCAATCATTTAATTAACCAGCATTATCAGTCACAGACATCCATTTTAACAATTAAAGTCAAAAACCTCCTATCCTATAAGATAAGTACGACCCTAATAAAAAACCTCCTCTCATTTAAATAGCTTAAGAACATGCAGTAAAATTAATTAAGTTTCATATATAAACAATTAAATATACCTCCTTATTTCTAGTAATCTGTTAAGGTAGGAATAGATAAGAAACATGTAGCAAGACCAGAGCTATTAAAAATTTGTCCTTGTTGTTAAAGATAAATAGAAAAATCATAATTCTCAATCAACTGCGAGTTAAGTAGGTTAAGCTTTTTGGGTACAGGAATACCTTTATACTTACATTTTATAAAGATTTGTATGCTTTTGGCCTTCGTCCACTTGTCTTCGAGCTCAATATATTCGATCGTTTAAAATAGCAAAGGAAGCAATTGCTCCGTATCAGTTCCTAATTCTTAAACAAATGCTTACAATAATTGCTATTATAATTGGATTACTTACTTTTCTTTAGGAAATATATTAAATAGTCAATCAGACATAGAAATATAATCTATATTAGGAACTATTTCTATTTTTTTATTGATTTTAGCTATTCATTATTATAGAGGAATAGCAAGAAAACTAATTGATGTAAACAATTCAATCTATTTGTTTATTAATTATCATCTTCTGAAATATTTTAATTTTTTTTATAGATTATTTTAATAAAAATTAAAAATTTTATTTTATAATCTGTAATTATAAATAATAGGATTTTGAATATGATGTAAAACATTTATCTATAGCAGATTATAGTGTTATGGTTACTGGAATAGATCCTTCTAAAATTAACTCAAATTTTGCAGAAACAATAATTTCTTTTTTTGAAAATTCAATCTAAGTCATTTTTCTTGAAAGAATGTTAAAAGTAGAAAGCATTGATTTATGCTTTGATGTTACCCTACCCAAAAGATTAAAAATCTAAAAAGCTGAGTTAGAGAAGAGTATAAAAAATATCAAAAGTAAAATGATAATATCTGAAAAGCTATAAAAAGAACTTGAAAAACTTCAGAGCTAAGTTACTTTAATAAACAAAGAGATAAGTGAGTTTGAATATCACTCACTTCACAAAGACTTAAAGTTCTATCAAAAATATTTTTTAGGAAAGGCATTTGTAACATTCTCTACAATTAGAGGTAATTAAGTTTTATTTCATAAAATAACGAATTGGAATTTATTTTCTTTTCTTTTTTTTTATATAAATTAGATCATTAAGAAATACATAATTTTCAAATAAATTATGCAATAAATATTTTAATTTTTGTATTAATCATTTTATTTATTTTAATAATAGAAAAAGAATTACTGCTTTAGCAAACTTAAATACCTCCAGACTATAAAATTTGGGGTACAAAAAGTTAAATTGAATTTACACCAGGAAACCAAATAATAGAAATTAGTTAAGCTCCTAATCCAAGCGAAGTAAATTGGGCTAATTTACATGTAAGTAGAGATGAGTATTTAAAAAAAAATACAATTGGATTAATTGGAGTATGTCTGTTATCAGTGTAATTAATTAGTTCAAGCTTTTCACTTTTAAAATTTATTTTAAAATGATTTATTAAAATTAATATTTTTTTAAATTTAATATTTTAGGTTTTTCTTTTTAATTATTATGATATTCCTCCTGGTTTAATACAATTTCTTAGATCTTAATTCTTATGATTTTACTAGTAATGATAACAATCTTACAACAGCTATGTCTCTTTGTGTTGCCTTTATTACACCAATTTTAAACAAATTTCTACTTTATTTTGTTAAATTGATTTCAGGGTAAATTAAAGAATAAAATAATTTAATACTTACTTACTTTTTTATTAATTAGGGGAGAATTGCATCAAACTAAATAAACTGAATATTATTAAGCTACAAGAAATTTGGTTAAAAGTTAAATATTTATCACTTGCTTCACCACACTTTTTATTTAGCTAGTGTTTACAAAAAATAATTTTGTAGGAAGAATTTTCAATGCAGGTTAGTATTTCTTAAATTATTATGAGATTAATATTAAAAAATTCAAAATTAAATAGGTGGCTTAGCTCATAATTAATAATTAATAGTAATTACTTAAAGTTTTTTACTAAGCATTTTCAGCATCTTTGATGCAGACTCTAGAATTTATAATTTGAGAAGAGCTAAAATAGAGAAATGCTCTAGTCATACATAAATAAATTTAACATAGAGTTAACTTAACAGGTAATTTATAATTTTTTATTTTCAAATAAATATAATTTTATTTTTGCTATTTAAGCATTTTGTAATAAAAAAAACTATTGAATAAAATTTTAGATTGTTTGAAGAACCAGAAATCGATTTTATGGATGGTTATAGTACTTCGATAGTAATAATATGTTAAGCTCTTATGTACTCAATTATAATACCCTTTTCACTTGTGTATGCATTCTGTGGCTTGTTTCTGAAATATTTTATTGATAAATATATAATTTTAAATAAGAGATCAATAGTTAATAAGTAGAATCACCACTTATTCTTTTTGATGATTGACCTTCTACAATATGTTATTTTAATTTATTCAGTAAAATATTTATTAATTTATCAAATTTATAAACATTTTATTATAATCTCAAACATCAAACTAATATCGTTAAATTACTTTATTTAAAAAATAGATCGCTAATCTGATTTTTATGTTTTATATTCAATCCTATTTTATTCCTTATGCGTCTATTGTAGGCGTATTACTTAGCTTGATAAACTGTTGGATTCCATCAGATTTAATTACCTAAAAGTTATTTAAATAAGAAAGAAAAGAAATAGTAGAGCAGCCTTTTAGTATTGTTAAGTAGAAATTTCCGGAAGTAAATACAATTTATGATTAATTAATTTATATTAATTGATAAACTATTAAAATAGACATATCATTAACTAAATCCTGCATTTTAACTATTTAAGAGCAGTCGTAAAGATTCTAGCAATAATCTAAAAAGCTCTGTAAAATAAAATAATTTACATTTAAATAAAGATTCCATTAATATTTATTAATTTTGTAAAGAGAAGTAAAATAGAAGAGCTAGAAGATGTAAATAAAAAGACAGGCTCCAGATAAAATATTAAAAATAATGTTCCAAACTTAGATGATCATCAAAATGAAATATACTCATTAACTAATATAATGAGTTCTCCTTAGTAAACAAAAGTCTAAAAGAAGATGGAAATATAAAATTCTAATATTTTACAAAATTCAAATAAAAAGTAAAATTAAAATATTCAGTTTACTCCTCAAAAAAATAATAGAGTTGAAGAAAGTTATAATGCCAGTGCAAATAAATCAATAAAGAGTTTACCTATGATTTAGAGTTAATCTGGTTTAAATATTAGCAACAAAGAAAATATATATAAGCCTTAACAAAATTCTTAAAAAAGCTTTAACTAATAAGAAAATGACAAAAAAATGATAAATTCATAATTAAACTTATCTTAATAATTAAATGAAAAGCATTCATAAAATTATTCACTCACTCATAAGAAATCTAAAGAATTTTAATAAATCAAATAAAAATAAAAAATAAATGATGATAGCTTCATAGAAGAACCTGATATTTAATTTACTCCACTAAAATAAAACTTTAAATGATATTACTTTTATTTCGTTAAGTATAACATTTAAATATTTAAAGTATGTCTTTATAATATGAAAACAAATACATATTTAGCTTATACAGTCCTTATAAAATATATAAAATAATACAAATAAAATTAATCAATTACTTTTCTGTTTTATGTTATTACTTAAAAATACAAATTAAATTTTATTCAAATTAAAAATAAAAATGCCTTTTATGCATTTTAAGCTGTAATTTAAATAAATATTTCATTCATTCATTTATCTTATTTTAAAAATCTTAAATTTTTATTAAAAAACACTTTCTTGAAATAATCAGATAGATTTTATCAACATATAAATTAATTTATTTTGTTTTTTTAGTAAAATATTGGCTTATAAAATATGCTTCTTGTATTTTATTTATTGTTTGTGAAGTTTAATAAAAATTGATATATTCTAGTTAAAATTGGTTACATGAAGGATTAATTTTTATAAAATACATAGACATTACAAATTAAACGAAGTAAGTAAGGAGTTTCTGATTATGAATATATATTTTTATTATATTTTGTAAGTTATTATCTTTATTAAAGATATTTTAAGATATATTTATGCAATTTTTTATTTATTTTTAATTATTTATATTTTGTGATTATATAAAAATCTCTAAATAAATTATAGGAAGTAATTTAAATATCTTTTTTTAGATTTTGCTACAGAGTAGTTTTTATAATAAGCTTTAAATATCTATATTTATTTATTTATTAAAATCATTATTCCTTTCTCAATCTTAAAAATTAATGTTAAATGTTTTAGATCAGAATTGGTTGATTGATTCTTTTTTACTTTAAAAATAATTTATTTTGGCAATGTAAATTTATTGGTATTTGAATAGTGACGAAACTATTAAAGAAATTCATGGCATTTAGTTATTTATTTTATAAAGACTTTTATTAAATGTTTTTGGTTTTAAAAGAAAATATTTTGAAATGTGTAAAGTAGGCCTTTTGTTTATCATTATTAATGTATTGGCTTACTTAATTAAAAGACACAGAAATAGTAGGAAAAAGGAATAGTGATTTTATTATATTGAATTATTATTATTATTATTTTTAATATTTAGCAATGACTCAATAATTGATCAAAATTTGGTTTGGCTTTATATTTTAATTTTCATGTTTATTAATATAAAATATTCTTTGGGTAGGTATTTATTAATTAGTTTTTTTCTACCTTTTTTTCTCTCAGCTATTGTCATCTTCATGATTGTATTTTTTTATGGAAGACAGTAGTTGATTAAAAGTTTGCACCATTTTTGTTTGAAGTTGGGTATACAAAATTTTATTCAAAAGAATTATAGCTGGTTTAATTAGGCTAATATGAGCTCTTTATCTTGATTTGAGAACCAGAATTAACTTAGCTATTTTGTGGATTTTATTTTAAACAAAGAGAGTTTTTCTTTTTGCGAATTTCAGGCTCCAATTAATCAGTTTATTGCAATGATTGAATCTCATTTTTAGATGTCAGCTAATCTAATACTTCACTTCTTGTACGTTTTCTATTTTAAAGACCTGATGTACCAGTTGAAGAGCACATGCTAATTTTTCTTTCAGTTGGCCCTTATTGAAGTTGATAATCAATAGATTGAAGCATCTGTGAGTTTATCTCTGAAGAATTAACATCTTCATCAACTTTGATTAACGTGTTAAGTCCTGAAGTACCACCACCACTAATTCCCATTGTTTTTAATCCATCCTAAGTATTTCTACACTCTTCGCATTTACAGTTATTAGTACATTTTAATCCTGCATTGAAACACTCGCAGTATTTTTTCAAACAATGAGTTCTCTTGCAATGGCACCCTTTTTTGTGAGTTACTGTAGAATTGCTTGTAATCTAAAATTTCAAGTTGAATGCATCTTAATTTCTTGTTTTAGCCTCATCAATAGCTTTCTCACGTTCTTCTAAATTTTTATCATTGTTACCACATTCAGTGCATATGCATTGATCATTGCAATAATTACCTCTTAAAAAGCACTCACAGTAAAGCTTTAAGCACTTAGATTTTTTACATTTGCAAAAGTCTACTTTTCTTGCAAATTCCTACATATCAATATTTACTGCCTATTTGTTGCTATTGTCATACCCTTCGTCATCTGAGTTAGAGTCTTTAGAATTTTATTAGTTACGATCTTTAAAGTCTCTTTCCTTTTCTTCTACAATTGTATTATTAACTGAAGTAGTCATAGATATTGGAATATTTAATTTGTTGGCAGTATAAATTCCTCCTACAGAATGCGAAGAAGATCCTGCAAGTAGAGAAGAGGTCAAACTATTTACTACCATCCCATGCATTTGATTACTATTACCATACTGTAAGGGATAGTTAATTTTTAGACATACGTTATTATTACTGTTATTTTAATTAGATATAGATTAGTCGTTTATTGAGGAAGTGGATGATATAGAAGCCTATGAGTTAATGGAGCTTGTCGATTAGGCATTTATTTTATAATGATTGTAATTTTACTAGTAATTGCTTTGACCTTAATTCAATTACTCTTATCTTTTCTTCATTTCTTCTTTTATGTTTTCATGTGTTTTATTTTTACTAATATTCTATAAATTATTACTCAAAGAGGAGTTAAAACCATTAATAGGATTGTTTACCCCCTAAAAATATTCTTACTTTCCAAGTCCAAATGCATTTTAATTTGAATAAATTGGATTATTGTTGAGATAATTATTATTGTTAATTAATTATTTAAATTATTATTACTCACTAAATGCACATTAGTTCATTTTATCTGACGCTGAAGAAATGGCTTATGTAATATTAGGAGTAGGTATATTACTTTTAGGACTATATTAAGAGGAATTATTCTTTTGAGTTGGTGTTAAGGTTTGTAAATATTTTGAGTCTGGTTAAATTTAAACCATACCAAATAAATCACTATTATTAGAGTGAGTAGGAGGTGTACAAATATTGCTATATTTTGGCATACCTACTTCCTATTCAGTATCAAAAGGTTCTTATTGCTATACATTATCATGTGAAATATCCTTTTTTACTAAAATACTAACTGAATCAAGCTTATGATTAATATGATTCATTTCATCTTACTATGAAAAATCGTTTGTTTCTGGATTGTTGTGAGGAAAGTATAAATTATGATGACTACTAGCATCAAATATATATAAATTAGGATTATATGCGAAATAATGATTTTTATTAAAATTAATCTTTGGGTCTTCTGTTTTGTCAAATCTATATTATATTACGTATTATTTATTAGTTTTGAAAATAATCTTAATAAAAAGTGTATTTGATAAAATAAAGTATGGCTTTCAAATAAATGTAAAGTATTGTTTAGGAGATTATTTATGATAAGTCAGTTTGTTTTTAACTAGGTTAGGGGAATTTTATAGGGTCAAATAAATAAATGAATATTAAAGAAAGAATTTTTTCTACATATCAAATTAATTGGCATATGAAACATGATTATGAATTAATTAATGAATTAAAATCTAATATAAATAAGAAGAGTTTTTTTGATAATCAATGCTGGTAAAAAAGAATAAATAAACATCTCAATATTTACTTTTTTCATGAAATTTTATTACTTACTTTCGAATGAATAATGATTAATTTTTTGCTTAATTAAATTTTTTCTTTTTTTACAAAGACAAAGTACTCTGAATTACATCAATTAAAATAAAAAGTGGGTAATTGAAAAAGTGGGGAATTGATAATAGAAGAATAAAAGTGAAAACTTATATTAATGAATCAATCAGTCTTACTATCAAAATAATCGGATCTATTAACCAAAATTGAATAATCTTAGTTTGTTTGTTTTGTAGGTTTAATTAATTAATAAAGATAACATCAAAAAAAAGCTAGAGTAAAATAAATAAATAAACAAACAAACCTTCATGAAACTAGTCATGAGAAAATTCATTTATTTTTTTGAACTAGAATGAAGATTTTTGTTTAAAATTAATAAAATAGTCAAAAATAGAATGATTTTGTATTTTTACTGAAAAATTTTATGGTTTTAATTCTATTTCTTTTATAAAAAACGCTTCGATTTATATTTTTGGGTTATTCTTTATATGACTGAACTTATTCTACTAAACAACAAAATCAAAGCTGTCACTTAGCAAAAAAAAAATTAAAGAAAAAGTAGAAATTTACATAGCGCTTCCAATATTATTTTGGCTAGGTAACTAATTCAAAGTGCTAGGTCTATTGTCGCCATGAAGGAAATTAGTTATTTTTGTTTGCACTGGCATTAAGCAGCTAGTAAAATTTATGACAGGAGACAGATCCACAAAAGAGTAGCAACTTTATTAATTATTTATGCTCATTCTTATTAAGTCACTGAAGATGCTTATCTTGCTTTTAATAGTTAAAAACTGTATTTAAGAGGGTTTCCTTTATTTTTTCGTGTTTTTAGTGAATATTGGGTTTGGCTTTTTTAACTAGTTTACTACCCTAACTTTTTAATATTGAAAATGAAAATAATTCTTTTTGTTGGTTTCTTATTTGTCTTTTCAATTAATTATGAAATTTTGTGGATCTTAAGGTAGCCTTGTAATCTCTTTTTTTGTTTTAATTTTCCTTTTATTTATTTATAATATTTTTTTTTCGATCTATTTTTTTTATAATTTTTTATTTAATTAACTTTTCATTATATGAAAAAAAGCAAATTTGCTTGTATTAAGATGAACAGAAACTTAGGAAGTCCCAACAAATTAACCAACAAAACAATAACTTTAATATAAAATCTATGAATTATTGAATGATTACCAATCAGGATGGAGGTTTTCTCATAACTAGTAAATTATCTTAAAACTAATTAATCAATCAACGAAAAACAATTGCAAAAAAAGAGGTAGGGAAGAAAAAAAAAGATAATTAAAGTAAATTAATTAAGCGAATACTCTAATCTAAATACATGCTCCTATCTTTAAACCAAAAAAATAAAATTAACAAAAACAACTCTTTTTCAATTACTATTGGAATTTCTTACTTTTTCTTCTATTTAATTAGCCATTTTTATGAAATAGCTCAATTTTACTTAAGTAGTATTGGATTAGGTGTATTTAATCTTCAAGAGTACACTATAATTAAGAAAATTCTACTGATCTTAATTGCAAGAATATATAAAGCTTAGGAAAAAATAGATTCGTTTTATCATTTTTATTTCATGCCTAATTTGTTTGGATATTTATCATAATGCAGCAGTAAATAGTTTTGATAAAGTTTTATATTTTTATGATTATTTACTGTTTAGCTATTTTCGAAATTGAAATAATTATTAACCCTACTTTTTCATGTACTTAAAACAACACTAATAATAATAATTTATTTATGAATGCAACTCTGTTTCAATATTTTTAGAAATTGCTTTTTAATTAGATTCAAAAGAATACGAGCTATTTGATTAGATTTAGATAATGATTATCTTTGTATGCTTTTTTTTTTTTTTTGAAAAAAAGCATGAAATTTATAAAAAAACATTACTTTTCAATTATAGTTCTCTAAAAACACAATTTTATATCTTAATATTATATTATATGGCTTTTTACATTAAAAAGATATTCTTTCATAGATTTAATTTCACTTATCTTTGTTTAACATATTTTAATCTTATTACAAAAAGCATAATTATGACTATAAACTCACATTCATACTTTAATAATAAATACTACTCATACATTAAGTTGTGGAATATATAAAAATACTCACAAAAATGGTATCTTAATATTAAAAGAAACGAAAAAGCTTAAAAATGATCATATGTATTATTAAATTGATAAATTTTATTAAATTAATCTATTTTATTCCAAAACTTGTTCATTACGAACTAAATATTCGTTTACATAATTTGCTCAATGGTTAGTAATAAATAGCATCTTTTTTTGTTAAAGAGATTTAAAAATAAATCAAATCATGAGTATTTAAATGCATTTGAATAAAAGTTAGTACTTTTGGTTGTTATTAATTAAGTAATTTTTGTTTACGCTAAAATATTTGTTTCATAGTTATAACAGTCTTGCTAAAAAGAAGTAAATATATCTAAATATTTTCGCAGTTTAACTTTTAATTAATGTCAATAGAAATAAAGCTTATTCAATTGCTTGATTAATAAAAAATTAAATACTTTAAGAGAACTATTTAAATCTTTTGGTTTTCTGTTAAAATTATATTTCTACTTACAAATAAAATAATATTTATGAATAAAAAGAGATAATTACTCCAAAATAAGCAATGAAACTAATATATTAATTTATCAATAATCAACAAAAGAAGGAAAATTTTGAAAAGAGGTAATTATTTTAACGAAATAATTGACGATCTATTTCAAACTTTACAGGAAGAAGAAAAATATACTTTAGAATTTGAATTTAATAATTGATTATTTTTAAAATTAATTGATGTTAAAGAGAGAGAAAATAGTTAATATATATATTTTGATATTACTCTACCCATTAATTAACTAAATAAATTTGAGAAAATAGTAAATTTAAGAATCTCGTTTCTCATAAATTAAAATCTAACATGCAAATCTGGATAAAAAAGGATGCTTTTTCACTTAATCAAGTTTTTTTTAATGAAAATTTTTACTCATTAAAAAAAATATATCAAGCCAATTCAAATTTTTTCTAAATAACTACAAGCATTTGTTATTCGTAGCCAATTGAGAAATAAAACTAAATAAGTAAACTATATCAAAACATTTTGTCAATTTAACATTATTTTCAGTTAAAATTATTTCTTATTTAGTTTTCATAAAATTATAAATGATAATATAAAGCATTTTACAATTTTTAATAAAATATAATGGTTACATTTATAATTAAAAAACTAAAAAACCATATTATCTATCATTTATTGCTCAATCAAAATAATAATAATAATAATCACCAATACTTTGTATGAATTTACCTAAAGACAATTAAGAATTATGATGTAAGTATTCCTTCTTTATTCATATGATAAAAAAAGTTAATTTATCAAATAATTAACTTTTTCATTCTTTTCTTTATTTTAATATTGACTATGATTTTAAGAAATCGCATTTCTAAATTTTTAAAAACTGGGAGTAATCTAAGCTAGAAGAAGAAGATAGAACTTCTATCCTCAACCTTTCATCATTGCTAATTTACTTCTTTCTAAATCTCTAATCAATTGCGATTCTTTTCTACTTCTTCCTAACCAAATGATTAAAATTAATCCTCTACCACCTCATCTTCTTCAGAAAACATATCATAAGTAGCTAAATCTACAATTTTGAATCATGAGGATGATAATAATTTTCTTTCAAATCATAATATCAAAGAAAAAGAAGAAAACAATAAAAATAAAAAAATATTTGATTTAACTCCTGAGTTGAAATTTAACGTAGAGAACAAAGACTTGCTGGTTGATGACTATACTAATAGTCCAACTCATTTAAAATTTTCATCTGGTTCAGATAGAGTTGATGATGAATCAACTAATTTAGCCTTATAAGGATTTTATTAAAATGAAAATGGACTCTCAATTAACTAAAAAAGTGAGCTATAACTTAAAGATAATCCTCTTGCTCTTAAAGTTCTCACAGAAGGAAAGATAGATATTAGAGATGATAGAATCATAGTAAATAAGTTAAATACGTCAGACACTTCCCTTTTAGGAAATGTAGAGGGTCTCCACTAGATTTCATTAGGAACTGTAGATGTATTACCATAAAACTCTATTCTTTTAGAGGATATTGATGTCAATAATATCCCTTAAGATAAGGACATAGTAATAGAAAAAAATACAAAAGTTTTGCTAGCTGTTGGCAAAAAGGTTTAAAAGAAAAAGTAAAGATTGACATCAGTAGATTCATCAGAACAAGATTCTCAAGATAAAATTGATTAAGAAGAAGATACAACTCAAAAAAATTCTAGAAATAAATACGAACTGAGTGTAAATAAAAAAATATTTGAAGAGCTTTCATTAGAAGAATATAAGGGTAAATACTTATGGAATTTTGAAAAAGATTTAGTTACTTTTGACTTCAGTATGTTAATGCGTTCATTTTTAGGAGGAATACCACTAGTGATAGTTACTGTATTTTTATTAGATACTTTGTTTGAGCTATATAAATGCAAAAGAGATATTACTTTAATGGAGGAGTAGTTGATTAATCCTTACATAAACCTGAGAAGAAAGTTTTAAGCTGATATTTTACTTAATGATCCTTTATTTGATAGAAGGACACTCTTTCCATAAGAATTTAACCAAATGAGTAGAATTTAAAAATGATAAATTTACATATAAAACTTATAATATTTATTATATCCTATTTTAACTAACTAATTATGACAAATATCTTTAATATATTTTAACAATATTTTTTATTTTAAAACAAAACGATTTTATTTTCAACAATTTTTTACACTAATTAATGTATTTTATAAATATTAAAATGAATTCTAAGTTTTAAAAAGCTAAATAATTTCTTTTTAAATAACTTTTTTAATACATTTTTAAATATACAAAAATATAAAATTGAAAATTTGAATTGAATAAATCTCTTATTTATTTTAATAAAATTAGAAATATTAAAATAAATTATTTTACTTTTTAATGAAATTAAAAAAATTGAATTTAACTTTTAAAAATAATTCAAATTATTAATTAGTTTTTAAAATATTTATTTTATTTTAATAATAAGAATTTACATAAAATATGAATATACTAAGTGTTTTATATGATAATTTTATTGAATCTTTGGAGAAAGCAATTACATCAATATACTTTTGATATATTTTTAGATAAAGGCTAATAGTTAACAAAATTATTTTGTTGAAAAAATTTATAAAAATAAAAATTGACAGAAAGAAATGAGAAGATATTAAAATTAAACAAAAGATAATTTACTTAAATTTTACAGTATTCTCAATTTTGAGTGCATTTTTTTAAAACAAATATTTAGCTAAATACTCACTATCATAATAAAATAAGTAAATAAGTATTGGAAAATATTGGAAATGTAAATTTTGTGATAAATTTCTATTTATGCTTTATAATATTGAAGAAATTTTTGCAAACATTAATTAATTTGTTTATTATTAATTTGATGGTCATTATCATAATATTTTATTAAATAAATTTATTTTGATTAATTTTTTAATTTGTATAATTCAGCGAAAGATATCTATTTAGAGTTCTACAACTTCAAATGAATTTAGATATTGCCATCAATCTTGATTTACTTACTCACCAGCTATCCTAGAGCTTGTTGCTAGAGTTATCTATTGTAAAAGATATACCAATAACATAAAAAGCATCAAATTAACAATACGAGCAATTTCTTGTAATCTTAGAGTATTTTATATTTTTTTATATCACATAATCAAATAAATTTGAATTCAAAATTTTTTAAATAAAGTGTTCTTTGCTAGTATGTAGATAACAAAATTACCTATGACTAAACCAGAATTAGCTATAGGAATTGGTAAATCAATTTTTGCATTTTGAACTAAGTTATTTAATAAACATTCCAATCATTAGATTTCAGTTGATATGAGTTAATAATTATTTATATAAAGGTTAACTTCTAGAGGTTTTGGAATCAGTGATATCTTAGAAAACTGGAAGTACTTAAGAAATATAAAGCTATCTCATTTTTTAACAATATTGTCAAATAAGCAACAAAATTATTTAAATGTAGAGAAAGTAAAAATCAAATTTAAATAGATTTTTTTGAAAGTGAAATAGGTCAACCAACAATAACTTTTTTTTATTAAAATAAGCTCTCTAGCATGCTAGATTTTTTAAATCTGTAATTCAATGAATCACTTGATTCATCTCTAATTATATTTAATGGGTTTTAAGGAATTCAAAAATAACAACAGATTACTTAGTTATAAGTAAATAGTATTTAAGTATTTATTTATTATTTTATTCTAGTATCTTAAAAAAATATATTAATTTAATTTTGCTTTTGTAAATCTAAAGTTAAAAATTATTGAAGAAATTTACACTTTTTTTGATGAAGATGGAAAAGGATTCATTGAAGGTGATAGAATTTTGCTTTTATTCTAGACACTTCTTTTCTCAAAAGAATCTGTTTTGAGATTTTAATGCAGCGATGGGCTAATGTATAAAAAATAATACTTAGAATTTTGTAAAAAAATAGGAATTTATGAAGGCAAGCTGACTGTTAGATTATTTAAATAGTTTTTTGTTTTAAATTAAATTTACACTGAGGAAGATAAACTATAAATTAGAATGTACTATTATAAATTTTTGAGTATGCAAAGATTCAAATTAATAGATAAATCGTTTTATTTGGCCTTCACTTTAAATCCTAAACAAAAAGCTCTGTGGACTACAAATTTTAAAAACAAAATTGACTCTAGTAATTTTATAAGATAAATATAAAAAACAAAATAGTTTAATAAATTAATATTTGAAAATATGATTTTATGTGATTAATATGCAAGGATTTTATATCTCTTTTTGATTGAAAATTTTGAATCCCTTAAATATTACTTTGATTAAGAAAAAATATTTAATTTGATGTTGCTTTCGGAAGAGTTAACTAAAATATTCAACAACAGCTATTCTCAGAACTAAGCCATTCTAACTATGGTTGAAAATGTTTAAACACTATTTTTTATCTTTTCAGATGCTTATAATGTGATATTTAGAGAAAATTAAAAAGTATTTGCAAGCTTATACTCTACATTTTAATAATAATAGTAATTTAACTAACCTTTCATAAAATCAATATCTTTCAAATCTAAAACTGATTAATAAAATAAAACAATTAAAAGCTTTTAAATTGACTTAGAGATTCCAGATTATCAGATTAATAAAAACCTACCTGAAAATTTTATATATGATTAAAATACTTAAGCAGAAACAGATATAGAAAAATTAAATAGTATGGCTGATATCATAGAAAAAGAATCTCAGTTAATAAGTCCAGTTAAGTAAAACGTTTATAAGCAGTACAGTACTTTCAATAAAATAAACTCTCCACTTAAATAAGATACCTTAAAAAGTATATCTTATCTAACTAGTCCTTAGCTTAGATCAAATAACTAAATATTCAGTCCACTTAAATTAAAGAATGTAACTTCAAGTTATTAGTCGCATTATTCAAACTCTCCTGGTTAAAATACAACCAACGAAACTTCTAAAATATAGCAAAGTAAGGAGTTATTATCATAAGAACTTCTTTTTTAAAAGAATCAGTCAGCATCTTAAAACTCAACACCAATGAGAAGTTTTATATAAAAAACCAGCAGTTTATCTCCTCAAAAAAATATTAATAATAATTTCAGTTACCTAGAGTATTTAAAATCCTAAATAGATTTAAAATAATAAAATCAAAAGATTGATTCAAAGCCTTCAAAATTATAATCCATGCTTAGTAACTGCTGGAAGGACGTAAATAATTATTCTCCAAATTAAAATAAAACCTATCATCAAACAGGATAAGGAGTTTAACAAGTATATTAACAAATGAGTCCTTAGAATTAAATGCAATTTAATTAATAGTAAAAGATAGAACAATGAAATTTGTCTACACTATTAGAGATGTATTTTATGATGAAAAAGTATAATTTTAAATAAAAGCTTTTATCCTTTTTAAATAATGTTCAGTTTATAATGGTTCCCAGTTTGGAATATTTTTAGTTAGGTAGTTAAAAATTTGATTTTAATATTTTCAAATGCTTCATTAAAAATTAATTTATGAAAGAAATTTTTCTTAAATTGAAAGGATATTCTCTTCAGTAATTTAAATTATATAAAATATTTTGTTGATACTTTAATTTTTGTAAAAATTGTTTGAAATATTATACTAAATAATATATATAAAATGACTTAAATAAGCGATCTAAATTAATTAACTATAAAATTATGACTAATAAAAAATTTATCTTATTTATCAATTCTATCAACATAAATATTTGATTATTTTTTGTATTTAGGCCTTCAACTTTATTTCAAAATATTTTCTTTAATTATTAAAATAAAATATTTTACTATTTTAAATTTTTATATTTTAAAATAAGAAATTTTATGAATTTTAACAAGATATTCAAAATTAATTTTCAAAAAAAACTAGTTTGTCTCTTCAAATAGTTAGTTGAAAATTAATTAATAAAAATCATTCATAATTTTTGAAAAATTGAATTAAAATTTTTAAATAGAACTTGTCTGTCTGTCTGTCTGATAAAAAAGAGTAATTAATTTGTATTCATTTATTGATAGAATGAAAGTGTACTTTAGTTATCAAAATCAATCAATAGAAAATAATATTTTTAAAATTAACTGTTCATTTTATTAATTTGAAATAAATAAGAAAAATAACTATTCTAAATGTGAGACCTTGCATGCGTACATGCATACTTTTAACAAATCTCTTAAAATGTGAAAAGAGAGAGAAAGAGAGATAGTTTTTAAATGATAATCTTGAAAACAATAAAATTTGATAATAAACAAAAAGTTGTTAAACACAATTTGCAATTATTTATCTCAAAAGATTTTTAATTTAAAAATAAATATCAAAAAAGATAAAACATATAAGTAATTTAATTATATAAAAGCCTATTAAAAGCCTAGGATAATTCAAAAATCTACTCTAAATAAGTTAATAAATATGAGTTTTGCCCCTATTAATCAAAAAAATAATGTTTAGAAGGTAGCCTCTCCAGGTACTTCTCAGTAATCTTTCTAAAAAAGAACTGTACCATTAGATTCTCCTGGATCATAAAGAGATGTGTTGATGCCAAGCAATCAAAATAACTTAAATATTGGGCTTCAAAATAGACTAGAAGTAATTGAAAGCCATCTTAATAGAGTTTGCAACTAGCATGATGCACTTATGCCCTTACTTTCATTGCTCGAAACAGTACCTAAAATTAATAATAACGAATAAGCTATGAAGTAAATGTAGAAAAAAATATCAGATTTAGAAACTAAATTAGAAAAATTAGAATAAAACTGCAACTCTAAAAATAATCCCCATGTCTTTGTTCAAATAGACCGTAACTTTAAGAACACATCATAGCTCGTAAATATTTTTTTATTATTTTGCCATCTAAATTCTTTAGAGTTTTTTTATAATGAATGTAAATGAAAAATAATCAATCTAAGAGCTAACTCTATTTTTTATTAAATTAAGATAACATAAATGAAAAGTGAAATGAAAGATATTTAAACTTAATTGCAAAACAACACAAAGTAAAATTCATCATAGCTGAGAGAAGAATCTTAAAATCTTGTCAGAAGCGTTGAAGTTAGGATTGACAAGAATAAAAAAGACATTCAAAATTTACTAGCAGAGTTCAAAAATTCTATATCTTTGTCAATAAAGAGATAAGAAGACTTCTAACATACTTTCAAAGGATCTGGTGAACCAAATGAGCATTTTGAAAGAAACCTTCAAGATAAGGTATTATTTATTTATTTAATACTCCTCTTTTTTCTAATATCCTTGAAAATAAAAATAAAACATGTTTGAAGTCAAAAAAACTTGAAAAAATTTATTCCAGTATATTTGAAATATATTATTTTACTTTTTACACATTTAAATATCAAAATATTACAAAGAGTTAGTTATTGATATCTAAAATAAATTTTTATTTATTAAAATTTAGGTTGATGGATATATTGATACAATTCAAAAATAATATGATAGAGATATTAACAATCTCTACAGGGAAATAGGAATGCTTAGAAGTGAATTGGAGTAATTCTATGACAAGGGTCGCAAAGCATATATATTTAATAAAATTAATGAATTCCCTCCTAATTTAGATCATGAAGAAAAGAAGATTGCAATTGCTAACATCGAATAATCAGTTTTCTTTGAAGATATTGAAAGATTCGATATTGAAAACTAAGAAAGATTAGTCTATGAATTGGATTGCCTAGAAGATAAGGTAATAATAATATTCTTGATTAAAGACTAGCTAGCTCTAATATATGTTTTTATTAGCTTTTAAATTTATTTTACAAAAATATGTGTGGAATTAAGTTTGTAAATGAAAATAATTTTTAAAATATAGATAGCATAGTTGAGTTACTTAACAATGAATGGAAAGAATTAGAGTGAAATCAAGTAAGAGGTCACATTTTTGGAAGATAGATTCTTCTCATTAAAAAATCAAATTCATGGAACAAAAAAGAAATATTTAGTTGATGTTAGAAAAATCGAAGACAGACTTGAGAAACTAATGATTATGAAAGATCAATAGCTTGAAAAAACTGGTTACCAAATGAATAAAATGGATAATTTAGTCTAAGAGAGCATTCAAGAAATTGACCATTATCCTGAACGTATCAAGTAATTAAATGACTCAATCAACACAAATGTTGAGCTCCTCCAAGCAAGATAAAAAGAAATTGACGAGAAACTGAATTTGCTTAAGATGATCAGAAACTGATAATTAAACTTATTTATATATAAATTTCTACTTAATTTTAGAAATTTTATTAATTAAAATATCATTCGCAACTTCAAATTATATTTTATAAAAATGGTTGTTTGTAACTTAAAATGGATAAATATAATTTTTACTTATTTTATTTGTTATTTTTAGAGTTTTATCAATATCAAAAATTTTTATATCCTCTTATTTTGTTATTTAAGTTAAACTTTTAGTTTTTTTTAGAATTTACAATTATATAAACATTTTTTTCTTGATATCATTTAAATAAACGTTTTTAAAATAAAGAATATACTTAATTCTTGACAAAAGCTTTTAGTAAAAAATATCTAGAGAGTATTCCACACTAAAAATATGGCAAGTTAACAAGTCTCTGATTAAATTTTTTAAAATTTAGATGGTATTAATCCAAGTTAACCTTAAAGAGTTTAAAACGCCTAACCAATAAGTATGAATTCTAAATTATTACACATTAATTTTGAAATGCAATTATAAATTATTATAAATTTCATTTCAAGCAGTGGTTAATCAATCATTAGTTAGAAGATAGCCCAGTTAAGAAAGTGAGCCTTAAAGAGTCTAAGATATTTCTCCTTAGTAACCTATAGTTGATTAAGCTCCTATATAAGAATAGTAGTAACAGGGTATAATTTTATATTACTTGTATTCATATTGATTGAAGGCTTAAACATTATTTAATTTAATAAAAAGTAATTGTGAATTAACCTGTATTAAATAAACCACCCAGTTAGGATAATAGTTCGCTTAACATTGGATTTGTCCCTTAAGTAGAATAATAATAACCTAAAGTACTGAAGAGGACACAGTAAGTTTAAAATATACCTGTTGCCTCTTAATAAGAATCTATTGATAAAGTAAAAAGTGATAAAACTTAAGAAAATCTCAAGCAACCTAAAATAGTTTAGAATGAAAAAGAAGATATTAAAATAGCTTAAAAATAACCCACAATTACTTCAGATGATGAGGAAATCGATGAAAAGGAGAAAGTTTAAGAAGAAGAATATGTTGATGTAAAGCTATTTTCGGAAATGTTACATTTATTTTAAACTAAATTTAGAAAATATTTTTTAAAAATAAACTGAATAAATTATTTTTGTAAAGTTAGGTTTTAAATATCCTCAATTTGAAAAATTATGTAAGATTGAAGGATTCTTTGAATAGAAATTTGGATTAAAGGACAAAGATTATTTTAAAAGGAATCAATGTAAGTTTGATTAAGTGAATAGAATTTAAATAGCTAAAGATGAAAGTAATAATTAAAAAGAATAAACATAAAAAAAAGAAAAAAATGAATAAGATGAAATGGATTCATATTATTCTAGTGATGATAATGAAGAAGAATATGAAGAGACTCCTACATAATTAGAAGAAGGAGATGTTTATGTTTATCTTAAAATAGATAAAGTAAATTTAAAGAAGGAACTAATTAATTGGACTAATGATTAAAGTTATTAAACTATTTATCTTAAATGTCAAGATACAATAGATTCCTATGTAACTGGCTAGCTGAAAGAATAAGAATCTAATACTCTTTCTTATTCTATTTTTGACTCCCTTTAAGTTAAGGTTTAAAAAGAAATCATTAGTTAGGGTGTCATTAGCTATGCTCAAATAGGAATTTATGATGAGCTTAAAAAGCTTGTTGCTGTAATTAAATCTAAAGAACCATAAATAGAATTTTAAAATGTCTAAAAGCAGCAAATCAATATATTTAAGACTTCGATTGTAGACAAAAAGATACAAATCGATGAAAATACTTCAGCTGGAGAAGCTTAGATAGAAGGATAATTTGCTTAAAAAAGATATAATGTTAAAAATTAAGTTAAAATATATAATTTAAGAATTAAATTCGATGAAAATTCAATTGTTAATTTTGATAAAAATAGTAGCAAATCATATTTTTTACAAATAGGAGATTCATTATAATAAAAAGTTCATTAGATTAATAAAAGTGAAGAAGAGATAAGCTTAATCGATTTTTATTTACAATTTTACCCAAAAGAATCAATTGCAAAGATTTCGCTCATCGAATTAGACATTGAATTAAATACTTAAAATATAGTAGGAAAAGGAGAGCTTTCTTTAAGAATTAATGCAAAAGACATTCCAATAGAAATAAATGATTTTGAAAAACATGTGATGACTGTTCTAGTAGATGTAGAGTCTCCTTACAGTTAATGTAATTATTAATTGAAGTATTTATTTCTTACCAAATCTATTATTAATTCCTAAAAAGATGAATTAGAAAACCTGAGTAAAAAGAGTTCTATTTTGCTTAATAAATCTATAGATTCTGTAAGTTTATTTAATAATCAACAATTTAAAATATTCCATATTTTTATATTAGAAAATAAATAATTCTAAACTAATATCTGATTCTATCTATTAGAGTCCTTAAAATTACAATCTTAAGTAATATAGCTAAGAGACAAAAATGCAAAAAAGTATATCTTTTAGAGGTATTGTATAGCCTGTTAATGACTTTGTTATTCAGAATGATTCAAAGCTATCTTTAAATTTAGGATAAACTCCAAGACCTGTTAAACTAAAACCTCTAAATAATGTCTAAACTCCATAAGAAAGAAATATAAAGTAAAGAAAATATAATCATTTAAAAAATTATAATAATATTTTAATAAAAAATTAAAAAGAAAAGAATTCTTTGTAGATACTGCCATACCTTTAACTAAAAAAAGTTCCTTAATATCTTTGAATTCCAAAAAAATTGATTTTAACAAGCCTAGAGATTTAAATACTATCATGAAGTCGTATAACATAAATAATGGTTTGGTAAAAAATCAAAGTTCTATATAGTTGAGGAAACAATATAATACCCCTTCACCATTAAATGATTTAGGATTGAATAAAGTTCCATCTAAAGTATTAACTGTTAAATCTAGCATAGATAGCTCTAAGAACTATAATATAATTAGTGGGTAATCAGGTCAAATGCAAAACAAGCAGCAAATGAATGATAACTTTAGCATAGCTTCAAATAATGTTATGAAAAAACCATAAAATTCGTTAAATTAAATACATAAAAAGAAATTTAATTTTTAGAAAAAAAATGTAAACTAATTTAAAGATTAAGAGAAATTTGACCCAGATAAAAATTACGATATCACCAATGATATTTTTGAGAAAAGTAACCTAAGAGAAAGCATAGTGCTAGAAAAATCAGAAAATTTTAAGCCTAGCAATTATAAAACTACTTCTAAGTAAAATAGTATGGTTATAGCAGATACTTAAAAAGATGTTTTATAAGAGAGTGTTATTTAAGATTCAAAATCCTCCTCTAAACTTTTTATTGACCTTCCTTAAGATTAACAACAAAAAATAATAGAAGAGAGAAATAAACTTATTGAAGATCAAAAGAAACTTAATAGATCTTATATTTATTCAAAAGCAGATGACTTTTGATTATGGTATCTAAATATTTTTGTTTTTTTTAATGTATTGAATTTGCTTTACATAATTTACTTTTAATTTAAAAAAATTGCAAAAAATTTATTTATTTTATAAAAATATTTAAAATAAGAAATAAAAAATAAATGTTTAAAGAATTTATATCAGTAAAGGTGTTGAAAATAAAATAAAATATATGAATGTATGTACAATAGTAATTAATTATTATATATTTATATTTTGTAATTATTTTTATATATGTTTACTGTTTTAAAGCGGATTTATTTACTAAGAAATACTTTAAATACCAAAGATTTAAATATAATAAATACTTTTAAACTAGACTTTGCAAAAAGTATGTTTAGGGATTAGTCTTGTTTGAACTGTGATATAGTTTTGATTATGATTAAAAAGTACTCAAAGTGGATAATCTTCATCAAAATATGCATAGTCATCTTCTGTTTACATTAAGATATATCTAACATAATTTGCTAGTTTTCTATTGATTACTAATTCTTCAACTTCTTAGAATTTACCCTTATCTAACTAAAATTCATCCCATTCAGGGTAGTTCAAGCAGTTGGCCATTCTTCCTAATTTATCATAATACAAACTTTAAGATGTCTAAACTGAATCTTTTTCAACATAAATTAAAAGTCCATCTTATAGCTGAATGTAAACGCAGTATCCTTTATGAGCTATATGAGCATGGTTTACATCATTTTATACTATCTTATTTCCTCTTTGACAGTTATCTGCCATTTATAATCCACAAATTAAGCACATTATCAAAGGAGACTTCTCAATTTAAGGGAAGTTGAAATCTATTTAGCATTTCTTCCAAAATTGTTACTTATAAAAAGTTTCAAAATTTTGATCAATTTAGGATAATTTAAAAATCTTTTTGTCAAATTCATAGAAATTATTTATTTGCCTTTAGTGGTTTTCACTATATTCATATAAATTTTTAAGAAATTTCAAAGGTGAGTATTCACTACTTTCTTTTAGTGTATATTCTGCAAATTCTAAGTCAAGGTTAATGAAATATTTTCCAAATGCTTTTTCGTATTTCTCGAGTTCGCTAATAGGATCAAGGTTATTTTTAGGATATTAAAATGATGTATTAGAGTTATTGCTAATATCACAAACTAACTATAAAAAAATAGAACCCATTCTTAAAAATGGGATACATGATATTTAAATATTTTCTCTACTTTCAATATTTTCTTCGTTAAGCCAAATTGATTTAATATCTTTAATAAGAAGGTTAATTTACTGATCACTATAGAATGATTATTATTTTTATTGCAATAAACTAAAATCACAAGATGATTTTTAACTATTCATTATCTCTTTTAAAGTAAAAATTAGAAAAATATTTTAGAGATAATCTCTTGTATACTAAACTGATTATTCTTCACCATAGACCAAAGCTATCCTGAATATAATTGATATATACATCATGCAAAAAGAAACACTTTCATGTGGTTTGCTGTTATTTATTGAAAGTTAATCTGAAGCATATTCAAAAATATCAGTTTCTAATATTTTTTGTATAGTTAAATTTAAATAATCTTATTTTAATCTTTTTTATTCACACTCTTAACCTTTAAATATCACTTTTAAATTTAGGAACAGATTTTCTAAAAGTTTGAAGTCTTTCTCAAAGTAATTTTCCATATTTTCTATTGATTAAATAAAATTATTTTTAATATAATTAGTTAAAATATTTAATAATAAATTACGAGTTAATAAGATTTTTTCTAATAAGGACTGTAAAAGACAATCGCCAACGCTATAAATATGAAATTCTTAAATATTATCTTCATTGTTGCTTATAATTGCTAAAAGAGATAAAAATTCTTCTAGAGCCGAATAAATATTATTTATAATTTATTTATCTAATGCAATTATCTCTTGATGAACAAGGCTATCAAGTATCTTTTTAGTGCTATCTTTAAAATCGCTCTTACAAGCTTAATTTTAATTAAATTGATTATTTTATTTTTGAATGCTCGCTTAAGTAAATTAGGTTGAATTAGATTAAGATGAACTTTTCTAATAGATTTATTAGGAATTGGGCATTGCTATATGATTAGTATTATGATTAAAGGAAGTGATAGGGTTTACTGTTTAATGTAAATACCTTTTGTTAGTAGGATTTTATGATTATGAAAAAAGTTGATGGTATATTGATCCATATGTAATTTTTTTGAAATAACAATCTAAGACAACTACTGAAATATTTGATAGAGATTTACAAATTGTGCAAAAGGTTTCAAGCTAAGCCTCTTTGTCTTCTTTACTTAAAGCCCTTTTGCTAATTTAAATGTTTTCAATACCCATTTCATGACATCTTTAATGAGTAATATGTTAGCAGCTAGTAATAGCAAACCTTGAAGAAAGAGAAGAAGGTATCAAGTTCTTTTCAGTAATTTAAAAGTAAGAATTAAGATTATCTTAGATAACATAAGCATGTATTACAGTGATACCAATATCTGTTTTGCATATAACACATTCTTGCTGCTCTAGCAGAGAGTCTTAATAAGGAGAATATTATATATGATTATTAGCTTAGCTGTAAATGCTTAAACTTTTATTACCACTGTTATTATTATTGTTGTTATTATTTGAGCTTATAACAGTATTAAAAGATTTGTCTAAAATCTACTCATTTTGATCTTGGAATTTTTTTTGTTTGTTTTGAAATTACTCCATAATTTCTTTTTATTTTGCTAAGAGTAGTTACTTGCGCTGTTAGTCCGATATTTATGTTTACAAATTATTACTTGAATCTATGCTTCCTCCTTTGGTAGAGGCATTATTATTTACAGAATTTAATTATATTTCTGTTGAAATACTTTCAATATTATTTGATGAATTCTTGGGGCTGCAATAAATAAAATCGTACTTATTTATCAGATCAAAAAAGATATTAAAACTTTATAGTAATCCTTCATGATCAGATATTCCTGCAGCTCTTGCAGGGCTTGTTTAATTACTTTGCAGTCCTGTAAGCTATGCAGGCTAAGAATAAAATTATTTTATAGCTTAAATTTATTAACTGTCTAATCTCAATTGAAAAAATTTCTCTTTACTTAATCTAAATTCTAAAGTTTTTTCCTTCTTATTTCCAGAATCAAAACCATTTAAAGAAAAATTTTCATCCATGATGACTTTTTGCTTTTCTAATTTTTATTTGGGTATTTCCTTTTCTTATATATTTGTTTACTCTGAGTTTTATTTAATATTATTGAGAATTAGCAAATCATAAGTGATTTTTAATATATTGGATAGAATAGCTGGGTTTTTATAAAGAAAATGAAAAGAGTTTCTAATAAATTTTAAAAATGTTGGAGAAGCAGGAAGATCAGAAAAGAATATGTGTTTTTCTAATAAAGGACTCATATTTCCTAAAATGCATTCTAATTTTTTTTCTTTTAGCTTCTCTATAAATTCTGCATCCAACCAGCTGTAAGGTCTCCACATAACTGGTTCATATTTGTCACAGAATTAACTTTTAAGTTTTAGTAATTTATTATTTCCGAGTTCTGAGAAGTTAAAAATTATTTTTTTCAAAGATGATGTGTCAAAAAGTTTCATGCTTTCTAATTTTATTGTTAAGTTGACCATAGAAATTTGACTCTAAAAGTTAAAAGCATTTATACAAATATTTCTTCTGATTTCATTGAGTATTATCTTATCCTCTTTAAAGCAAGGTTAAATATTATTTATAAAATTAAGCACATCTACATTACAAAGAATCAAAATTTCTGACACAAATTCATACTTCAGCAATATAGATTCATCAAATGTCCCTTTTTTTTCTTCTAAATCAAATAAATCTTCATCATCTTCATCAATACCATCATCGTAAAAATCATATAACAAATCCTCTATTCCTTCTTTGTGGAAATGCTCCTTCAAAATACCAGCTTCGGAAATATTTGTTGCTCTCCTATTATTTCTTTAAATACTATCTTTATCTTAATTACTATTATTAGAAGGACTACAAGAAAATGATGAAAAATTGCGAGCTTATTAATAGGAGACTGCCCTTTTATGAGTTGAATTTTGTAAATTATTATTGCTGCTGTTGAGGCTTTAAATTTTATAACCAAGAGAATTATGACAATTAGATACTTATGAAGTGCAAATAGAACTTTTTTAAGGAGACTAACTTAATGCTGGAGATTATTCAAATTATTGGGGATAGTGTTGTTTTTGGTATTTATAAAACGTCCTATCAAATCTTTGAGGTTTCCACTTCATAGCTTCAAAGGCAGCTTACATAAACATCTCAGGAGAAATAAGCATGCCAAAAATTTATAAGTTAGAGAGTTCTCTGTAGTATAATCTATTTTTGTAACAATGAAGAACTGTCTTCATTTGGTATTCATTAGACTCCTCATTGTATTAAGCTCTAGGATTATTTCTTAATGCTCTTTCCTAAGTGAAAATAAAAAATAGATCTCTCATTATTTCTCTACAAATACTTTTAAATAGCTTTTCTAACCCATTTTAGGTATGTTTAGAAATGGTCAGAGTATACTTCCTCATCGCCTCTTTTGCTTTTTCAATATTACCTATTATTCTTCCTTCACTATTCTTAGTAATAAATATTCCACTATTATTTTTTTAGTTATTATGCTTCTTGAACTATTGGTTAGATTAGTTTATTTCTTCTCCAACAACTTCTTCATAGATTTCAACAAAAGTTGAGCAAAGTAGAATGCCCAATATGCCAACACTACCTTAAAACCATGGGTTTTTCTTTCTTTCTTCCGAAAATTCATAATCTACTTCACATTCACACTTCACAATGTACTCATAGATTAAATTAGCTGATATTTATTTCCAATCTGCCTACCTATGCAAAGAGTTTAGCAAAAGTCTCAAAAAATCAAAATTCATTTCCTCCATTACTATCAAAATTTCTTCGTGAAAATAATCTTTTATTTCTTTTCTCTTAACACATACCTTTGATATTATATTACAAAATTACTTCATCATACTTTCATCTACTTGCATTTCTCTTTTAAAAATGAATTTCATCAAGTTATTTAATGTTTCAAATTTTTTGAGGTATGACTCATAGTTTACTGTTTCAAGATTTTGCAAAATACTTTCTAAAAGACTCATTATATTTTTTACTAATGCTACTTAAGAAATAAATACCTTAATAATTAATAAAAAAAATTCATTAATTTTATTTTTTTAAAAATAAATTTAGATTAAAAAATAGTCTTTATTTGATAATAAGATTTATTAAGTCCTGTTTTAATAATATTAAAAATAAGCAAATTTTGATTTTGCTTTTAATTAAAACTTCGAAGAGAATTAATTGAATTTTTAAAATTTATAAATTTGTTCATAAAGATTGTATGATAAATCAATCACCTTCAAAAATTTTTTGGTGAATCGAGAGTAAATTTTAGATTTAAAAAATAATTAGCAATTTATTGTTTGCTGAACATAATCAATTATTCCATAATGTTTAGACTCTAAAAAATAAGTAAGGATTACTTAAAAAATCAAAGATTTTTGATTTATCGAAATAAAATATTTTAATTATTTCTTATTTTTATAAAATAACTTTTGGTCAAATTCTGTTTAAAATTTTTTTCATTAATTTATACTTAAAAAACTTAAGGAGGGTTGAATTCCTTCATAAGATCAAGTAGCTAGTTATTTTCTGTCTCAAATAAAGGAAGAAGCATTTTCGAATATATTTTAGTTAATTAGAAAACAAATGGACGATGTCTCACGCAATTTAATAATATTCTTTTTAAATACCAACTTGTTTTTTCTGACTACCTTTTGTTTTTTTAATAAATGAATTTTTTAAATAATTAGATAAATTTGTTAATGAAATCAATAAATCATCTAACATCCGATTGCTGTTATATAAGTAGGTAAAAATAAAATAATTTATTCCTCAGTAACCATTTTATCTTATTTAAGTCATGATTTATTTTAATTTAAAAATTATCATTTTTCATATTTTGCTAATGGTATTAATTTCTAATTACTTTAAGCTAACTAAAATGTAATATTTAAAGATATTACCTAAAAAGGTTCTCTATTATTGAGCAAGAGCACAACCTTTGGTATCTTGCTGAATCAATATCTATAGTAGGTGATTAACAATTATGGCGAGTGTAAAAGTTGTTTAATGATTTCATTAAAATAGATGCACATAATTATGGCTATTTAATAGATATATCCAAAAACTACTCATAAAAAGGATCGACAGCATCGCTGCTATTTTAATTGCTATTTCCAAAATTTGCCTCTAAAGTTTTGAATATTCTTGTAAAATTTGCCATTGCATACTGCTCAAATGAGCTTAATATTTAGGGTGAAACTTTTTTATCAACTTTTTATCTAATAGTATGAGTATTTTTATTATGATTTTCGCATTCTATAACTACCCCGAGCATTTCTGAATCTCCACAGCTACATCTTTCACTTAAGTCTCCATTGTCAGTTTATATTATTTTGTGCTTCTTATGAGTCTAGCTCTCTAAGCAGTTTTGGCAAATATAAACATAAATTTTAGGGTCTTTTATGCTGCAATCAAGGCATAAATACATGACTTCATTAGACTCCATACATGCCTCTATCCTTTAGGGGTTATCTAGTAGCTCATCAATCATTTGCAATTCTTTTGCATTCATTTTTAAGTTGAAAAGCTTTAATTTTAATTTTAAATTCCCTACTTTTTGTTTCCTAAATAATATGAAATATACTACTAATGACTTTTTTTTGAATAAGGGTTATAATTGCTACTAATAAATTTTTTATCTTCTTCTCCTACTACTACTATTAATTGCTTGTATTTTTTTAATTTATGTATAATGATTGCTGTATTATTATTTTTAATTTTTCTATTACCCTTAGCTATGGTATTCTAATAATATTAATGTAAAATTATTTAATATATCAAAAATTCTTTTGTTTTTAATTTCTCTTCATACATACATCAAATAATCAAAAATTCATTGTAAATAATATAAATAAACAATTTTTTGTCAGAATATTAAATTCTATATACTTTTAAGTCAATATATTCCTTTGGGATTAGTGTTTTTACTTATTTAGTAAAAAATAAATTATCTTTATTCTCATTTAAACTAAAATTATTTAAGTTTTTCTTGATATTTTTTTTAAAATAGAATTAAAATTACAAATAAATAATACTTAAACAAAATACTTTTTGATTATTTTTATAATAATTTAATTAAATCTCAGTTTTTATATAAATATTAAATTAATGAATGCTATTAATCTTCATTTTAATTATTGCTTTAAAAAATCAAAAAATGCTTCTTTATCAAGCTATCAATAACATTAGCTATATAATCACCTTTCAAAATAATTTTTATCTTTAAATTAAAAACTTTTTTATGTCAAGAAAAAAGAGAGTTCGTAATTTAAACTTTCTATAATTTTTAAAAACATTTATATTAAAACAATAAATAATAACAACAATATAATTTAAAAAAAAAAAATTAAAACGAATAGTTGAAGTATAATAAAAAAGACAATATTCTACTAGACTTTGTAATATGAAAGCATATTAATTTTTTGTAGCATTAGTTGCTTTGTAGCTTTTTAAAAGCTTATTTGCGTGTCCAACAGGTTGTACTAATTGCAACGAATAAAATATTTGCTAATAGTGCGAGCAAAATTTTGAATTAGATTAAGAATTAGGAGTTTGCATTTTCACAGGTTGTGAATCATACTTATACTTATAAAATAAAGGTAACTAGTAACCAGCAGTTTGTCAAGCTATTTGCGATTAAGGATATCAAGGTGATAGTAAAACAAATTTATGCATTAATCTTAGCTAGTGTTCATTAACATACAGCTCTCAGACCGGTATTAGCTAGGTAAGCGAAACCATTAAACTGGTTTTGCCTTACTAAGATTAATATTTTATCATAGTCTATTCAACATATATCAGCAAATAGCTTAAATCAACAGGGAGATTTGTGCAAAATATTCCTTTTTAGCAGAATTTAGAGTATGTAGAATACTTCCAAGATAATTTCTACATATTTTAAAATGACAACAAAGTAGTAAAATGGAACATTTAGAACAATAGTACAGAACTATTCAAGTTTGCTTTATCAGGTAATATAGATTAAAGTACACAAATTATTTCTCTCAATTATTAATTTGGAATTGTTATCACTTTTGACAAGAAAAAATCAATAATCTATGCAACTTTGTTGTTAGATTTGACTTAATAAAGTTTTGTGTAATATTCTTCAACTATTAAAATAAATTAATTAAATAATTAGGATTATTATTTTTTTAATGATCTAATTTTAATTACCACATCTAACTAATCTAACGGAATTAATGTTTCATAATTCTACATAGATTAGAATAATAATTTAAACACTCAAAATTAATCAAATTAAAATTATTGCAAAGAATTAAATTCTATAAGCATTTTAAAGGTATTGAACTTAAATGATAAATAAAATATGATAATATTGAATACCTAACCTTAGTATTTAATTTTAGATTAAAATTCTTGCAAAATATTTCAAATTCCATAACCATGCTCCAAAGTTAAGATCGCTTCTACTTCAACATCAAATATGTACTTTTTACAACTTTAAACAATCGTACTTGGCTTAAATACAGATTTAACTTAATTTGCGCGCATTCAAATTTAAGCGAATATAGTTGATTTTCTTACTATTTCAACTTCTAACTTAAATATGATTTTAGCTGTTCTTGATGATTTATCAATTTTGAATTTCTTCAGCTTAGATTTATAGAATTTGCAATACTAATAATTAGATTAATATAAATTGAATTAATTTAATCCAACCAGTTTAATGCTTATTAACTAAATTATAGATAACAATAATTAACTTGAGCAAATGCAAATTATTGCTTATTCTAAATAATTATAATCTATAACACTAAACAGAAATAATTAAAACTCTCTTTCTTTAACAAGCTAGTACTTTTTAAAGCCGTTTTAAAGAAAACTTACAGATATGTAATCTAGTATAACTTCTCTAGATACAAACGAAGTAAATAATCTAGTTACTTTTTGTTCAACAAATGGGTAGATAATGACATGGGATTATTCTATAATAATAAAACCTAAGCTTGTGGATTCAACTATCATTAATAACCAAGGATTGTGCATATCTATTTAGTATTTAATTAATAATTATGCTTTAATACTATTTTCTAATAGTATTATAGCTTATGATGCAGTTCATTCTAAAATTTTGAATACTTGGACTTTCAATAATGCATAATCTAAAATGACAAATAGATATATATTACCTGTTAATGGAATTTCATATCTCTTATACGATTCTTGCTTTTAAGCATTTGATTAAAACTTTTAGCAGATTTTCTAAGATTGTAACCCAATTTTAGATGATGTTATTATTCAAGCAAAACTAGACCCTAGTATGTATTTAGTTGTGTAAAAGGCCTATTCTTTTTCAGTTTTCAAGGTGCTAAACAATAAATTGAATCTATCAGGCGCCTATGTAAGCATAGCTTAAATATAAATTTGGAAGATAAGAAATTTTCCATAAAGCTATCAAGATGAGAACAATATTACCTTTGAAATTATTTCATACTTTTCTGATTAATCCCTTACTATATTTTCTTAAGATTTATAACCAATAAAATCATATTAAAATATTCTTATTTCAACTGCGATTGACATTAATTTTGTGTCTGATGATCCATACGATAATCTTTATGTAGTAGGAGGAGTTAATAGCCAAAAGTCAGCATCATTTAAATATCAATCATTTGCTTTGTTTAAGAATTAAACAACCATTTTTTCAGTAACTTAGTAAAGTGGTTTAAATAAACTTTTTTCTGTATATAAATATATTAACTAAGGTAATGGAGCTGTAGCATATACGTTTAAGGCAGTAGTTGATTTGAGTTATTTAACTGTGGTTTAATCGTTTTACTATAATATGTAAAACTAAGATAACTTTTATAGTACTAATTATTTAAACTAATATGTATATATGAATGTTTTCCAAACAATAAAAAAAGATTAATTTTACATGTTTGGAGATCAATATGGTTTGATGACTATAGATGGTACGAGGAGAAAAGTATACTCTAATGTTTATAATTTAAGCCCTTAAGATATTCAATCAAAAGATTTTATTTTAGGAGTTTATTAAAGTTTAGTGCTTTAAAAATTCTTTATAATAAAATCAAATATTTAAGTCTACAAACTACTCACAAATGAATTTATAGAAATCTTAGAAGTTAAGAATGATCCTAGCTAACCAATTAAATATTTTTCAATATTAGATTAGTATAATATTGTTATTTGTATAAAACAAAATATATTATTTGTGAAGGACTATAAAATTAATAAAGTATACTATTATACCAACTTTTCTTAAATTACTAATTATTTAGTAGATAGTAACAACATCTATTTATACGGATCTAATGTTTCTATACTAGGTTTAGATTTAACTGAAAAATATTCTTAAAAGAATACCTTAGATAATAGCCTAGTGTAGCAATGTGCATTTAGTTCTATTGGATTGATTTGTAAAAAATAATCAGCAACAATCATAATTTTTGATAAAAATAACCTCAATCCCATAACCACTTTGTAGTAGCGCTTCTTAGATAACAATTATAGATTTGAAATAGATAACTTATATCAGAGGATTATTCTCTACTCGTCTAACATCGAAGTATATAGCTTTAATGGTAATTTTTAAATGTATATCTCATCGATTAATACATAAATCAGTACATTATAGATATTTACTAATGACATCTCTGTAACATCAACAAGTAAATAAATTAAAATTAACTTAATATATTTATTTTTCAATTTTATAAAATAGGTATTATTATTTATGACAGAAAAACTTTAAATTATAGAGGATAAATTATCAGTCCAGGAGGAGGTACTATTTTAAATACAGGATTTATACCTGAACTAAATTAATTAGTATTTTATCTAGCTGTTATAAGATTTGCTTAAATTTTCACTATTAGTTTAGATAATTTATAAACAGTTATGCAGTACAAAAATACATTTACATAGAATTAACCATCAGTTATTGCAAGCTATTCATATGATAAAGATTAAAATCTATTCATTGTTTTAGATTTAGCAGGAAGTTTTTAAACTATAGATTATCAAGCTTAGTTTGTTACATGGACAACAACAAAATTTGTTGAATATGATTAATATTCAGCATATAACATTGTAGGATTTTCTTTAGATTTTCAAAACAATAACTTATTTGTTTACTCATAAACTTAAGTTTTCAATCTTTGTTATGGTGATTTAACTAATTAAGTTATAAGATTAAGAACAAGCAAGAAATAATTGTTTGCCTAGATATCAGATACTACTTTAGGTAGCTCAGATCAAACAAGTATTGCTTTTATTATCGCTGGAGATTAAGGATTGCTTTATAAATATTAAAATACTGCATTTGAGTATTTTTATCAACTCAATGAAGAAATTCAAAGTATTAATTACATTTCAAACCTGAAACTACTAATCATAGCACTTTCTCAGTCTTTTGTTATTTTTAATAATTTTGATCAAAACTCTTTGGCAAATTTGAATCCATGGTAAAATTAACAATAAATTGTTGCTTTAAATAGCCTATTTTCTTTATTCATATGTGAAGACGTGTTTGTAACTAAAGATGGATTAATTAACCATTATGATTTTTTAAATTAAAAGTATATAAGTACCATAAAATTATAAGATCCTCAATCCAGAATAATCAAAAATATTTGTTCTTCTATCTCGCAAAATGTTTATTTGGGTTTAAGTAATGGAGATATAATAATTTACAACAGAAGCACTTATCAAAAATATATTATTAGCTTAGTCTCTAAATAGTAAGGATAGCAATACTTTGGTTTAGAAATAGCATACTTGGCAGAAACTTCGACAGATTTATGGGCTTGCTTCAGTAGTACACAGGGAATTTTCAAAATTAATCTTAAGGACCAGAGCTTTATATAAATAATTTAATTTAATAGCTTAAATACTTACAAGACAATTTAAGAGCTAAATGTTATGATCTTCGATGTGGATGAATAAAATAGTAGATTTTTTTTGAATTTTATTGGAGAAAAAGTATTGCGAGTGTTTGACTTATCAGGAAACTTGCTCTAAATTATATCTTTAGCAGGTATATATTATAATACTTTATAAATTAGTTCATCCCATTTACTAGTTTATACTACCTTTCATGTTATGATCTATGATAGAATAACTCTATAATACATTTAAAGAATAAGGAGGGATAATCATAACGATATTATAGTAGAAGTTGTTGAAATTAATAGCAAATATTTAGTTATTTTAAGCTAAAGTAAGTATGAAATATTTTAATTAAAGTAAAACTCAAAAGAAGCTGTTTTAATGGACCAAGTTTTACTACAAAATCCTACATTCATGTCATATGCTATCAATAATAATGATAATAGTAATTAAAATATTAATTCAATAATGTAAATATTTTTATTATCATCTAACCAAGTACTCGAGCAGAAATACAATCTTATTTATGAGAGTATCTAAACAAAAGATAAGATTTGTAGCATGGATGTTTCTGTAAGTTCATTTTATGATGTTTCATTTTCTATGAGTAAGATTAAGCCTGTATCATTTCCAGATCCTTCTTAAAGATCTATGATTCCAGTATCAGATTATAGTTTAAATAATTACTGGAATATTTTATTAAATGGAAATGATATTAGGGCTATTAATTTTTAAAGTACACTGAATAGTTTAACTCAAGTTTACCCTGTTTAAACGTCTTTAGTATCAAATAACTAAGATCTTTATCCACTTTAAATTTATTCTGACACATTTACTTCATATAAAAAGTAAGAAGTATAGATAAGAGATTTTCGCTTCATCTTTTAAAAATAATTAGAATCAATAAATTTTTATGAAAATTCGTTAAACATTACTTTTAATAACATTTAAATAGAATCATAAGTAACAGACAATATTACCTTTCAATTTTTTAACATGAGCAAAATAGTTTTTGATTAAATATATCTAAAGAATTTATAAAGGTAATTTAATCCAAATTTTCAAAAGTAAAATTACTTCTTTTCTTTTGAAAATGTAGAATATGTAAACATTTACAATTTAGTTTTAGATAACAGTAATTTACAGAATCTTAGCTTTATAGGTTTAATTTCAGCCATAAATGCTAAATATTTGGTAATTAAAAATTTAACAATTAAAAATTCAAATATTTATCCTTTAATTAGAATTTAATAAGTTGAAAATCTTTCAATAAATAATCTCTCAATAATAAATTGTACTAATGCTTCTAATAATTTAAATGAATATGTTTTAAATATTACTGGAGTGACTAATACTACTCTTTCAAATATAAATATTTCTCATAACTATAACTTACTGTTCATTTACACTTCTAACATATTTCAAGATGATGGAATCTAGTATATTTAATAGACTGACATATTAAAGATTGATAGCCTATATAGTGTATTAAATTAAATATCTTACTCCAAAAGTTAATCTTTAATATCTGTTTAAAGCTCTTTTTGTATATTTAATAACTTTACTTACTAATATAATTAAGGAAATGTATTCATAACATTATCTAAAAGCTTATTGATTGAAAATAGTGTTTTCTAAAATAATTTATGCCTAAATGGAGGAGCCCTTTCTTTAATATAATGCTCAAGTATAATAAAAATAAAAAATAGTAAATTTTAATATAACGAAGCTTATGCAAGTGGAGGAGCTATTTATTTAGAAAATATAGATGCATAAATATAAATGGATAGTTTAGTTTAAATAAATAAAAATTAAGCCTTGATTGGTGGAGGATTAAGACTTTTAAATACTGAGCTTAATCTGCTTTAATCTCTGAATTTTAACTACAAAAACATCATTTTTGATAATGATGCATAACTGTATGGAAAAAATGTAGGAACCTTCCTATAAAATGCAACTGTAGGTGTAATATAAGACAGTTCTTCAAAGACTTCAGATAATTTACAATCAGATTAATTAAAAATAAATTACAATATAATATAGAATGAAGATATGAAAAAGTCTGATTAAGAAAAGTTTTAATAAATTCTATAAATTTTTAAATTTTAGAGTGGTGGTATGATAAGCTTTTGTGTTAAAATGGTTGACTCAGAAGGAACATACTTGAAATTTTCAATATAAAAATATAATTTACAGTAATACCCTAATTCTATAATGAGCGAATTAAAATAGATTTAATTTAAAATATAATCTTATGTACTTAGCTAAGATATATTAATTAATGGGCATAATATTATAACTTCTTCTGATTTTGATGATTTAAATAACCAGTTTGTATTTACTTAAATTCAGATTTCTAGTATGCCAAACTAGACAACTAGCTTATAAATTATTCCAAGCTACATTTCAGCAAATATCAATGTTCTTCCAATCTACATAGAAATCCATATGAGAATATGTTACCCTGGAGAAGTTGTAAAACAGTTAGAAAATAATATTTATAGTTGTTATTCTTGTCCTTATGGTTCTTATTCCATTACAGATCCTACTAAGGATGAGTTTTGGTTTGAATAAATATCAAATACCCCTTTTAGTATGACAAATTAGAGTTTATAATCAAATGTTTACTAATCTGAATGCTAAAAGTGTCCAGATTCAGCTTTTGTGTGTTAAAATAACACATTAATTTTAAAAACTGGTTACTGGAGGAAGAATAATACATCTACTGATATTATTTAATGCTCTACATTATTTAACGCTTGTGATGATTAAAACAGTTCAAGCAAATAAGGTTGTCTTAAAGGTTATATGGGACCTGTTTGCAGAGCATGTGATGTTAGTGGTTAGATATGGGATGGTTAACGTTTCTCATAGTCTTTTATAAATTAGTTGAAATGTGAGTTATGCAATGATATAAACTACTAAATATTTTTTATCTTGCTAGCAGTTGCTATTTTGCTGTGCTATTTCATATTAAGTATGATCCTTTTTTTTAACTCTTTTGTTCATTCATGCCTATGCTACTACTTAAGAAAAATAAAAATGCTACCAATATCGAGGCATGCGATTCTAGACTAATCAAGCTTTTACTTAAAAATATTAATTAATTATATCTAAATATCTTCTGTTTTAGTATCTATGTAGGTTAGCTTTTTACCTGATTTGCTATCTTCTTTACCAAATTATATTGGAGATCCTAACTCCTAAGTGATAGTAAGCATAAATTGTGTAGTTAGTTTGAGCTTTATCAAATAATTTGGATAAGCTCACGTTATATAAGTGTTTTAAGCCTTTTTACCACTGCTATTTTTAATAGTCTTACTTGGAATAGTTTTCATATTAGAAAAGTTAAAGATTTTTGGAATTAAAAAGTATCACAAGTTTACTCTCATGAACTTTATCTTTATTTTCTTTCAACCTGATTAAATTAATTTCTTTTCTAAATAATTAACATGTACCCAATTTGGATCTGAAAAGTACGTAACTTCTGATTTGACAATTAAATGTAATGATCCAGACTATAATTCATTTACATATCCTTTGGCTATACCTTTAATATTAATTTGGAGTTTGTTTCCATTTATAATATTTAAGCTTTTGTAAAAAAAATCGAAAGTACTTTAAACCTGTTTTACCCTATATTACTTTGGATACTACTATTAAGAATTTAAAGAAAAGTACTATTACTGGGAATTCATAAGAATCTATTTAAGAGTTATTGTTGTTGTTGCATTTACTCTCACCTCTTAATCTTACTTTATTAGCTACTAAATTGTGATTTTCATACTTTTTTTATATATTATGTTTACACTATATTTTAACCCAATAAGAAGTAATAATTTATAGAGATTCGACCTCTTTTGCTACTAAGTTATTATATTAAATTCTTTGTTATCCACAATAAATACAGAAATAAAATCATATGCAATATCAGGAATAATATACTGTCTTCATCTAGTATTTATATTTATGATTGTATTAGCAATTATTTTTATTAAGTTAAATAATCCTTTAACTTATGTTGGTAAATGTTTTAGAAAGATTCTCTCAGTAATCCTCCCAAGATCTATCTATAGTAAATATTTAAAATCTTAGATTACTAATTGGAAAATATACACTCTTTGGAAGAAAATACAAAAAAATTTAAATCTAATTGTGTAATTACAAGCCATAGAAAAAGTCACATAGGAAAAATCTTAGCTTAAATAAAATTAACTCAACTAGAGTAATTAAAAATTAATTCATTAATAAAATATAATTTTATCTTATTTCTTAATAAAAGCATTTGATACTGTGATGAACTTGAAAAGCAACGTAATATAAAAAATATCTCTTATTAATCAAGTTCAGCGTTCTTACATTCAAGAGCACTCGAAATGTAAAGATTAAACAGAAGGTAATTAATTAATTAATTAAATATATTTTATTTATCAAAACATAAAAATAATATAATTTTATCAGAAATAGATTTTATATAATTAGCAAAAAATTAGAGTGAAAACAGTAAAAATAATGAGATTTAGCTAATAAATGGAAACAAAAGTGATTATAATGATTAATTTTTGAATGATGATTACTCTTAGCAAGCCGAACAAGTAGATGAAATAAACTTCTAATCAGAATTATATCAAAGTAATGTGTAAAATAAGACTTTAGATTAAAATTATGAAACCCAGTTTAAAGTGAAAAAAAATCTTGATTTTAATAGAAAATCTGATAATAAAAATAAAATTTGATCAAAATATAATTTACTTATAATTCTAACTCTGATATTTGAATCAATGTAGTTTATATAGTATAATAATTATTCTTATCATATCTGTATCTTCAAATATATAAATTAAATTTTGATTATTTTTTTATCAATTTATTTTGAATAGCTTAACATATTTGCTTCATTTTTAACTACAATAACCGAATATAAAAATTTATCAAAATATATATTTTATTTTTATTAATGACAATAAATATCTTATTTTAAAATATCCTAAATATTTGATAGTTAATTTTTACTTTAATTATAATAAAATATTTTTTTATAAAAATAATACAAAATTTTTTATTTAAAAATATATTATAGTGTAATAAGAATATCTTTAAAAAAATTATTATTTACTTTATTTATTTTTAATATTTTATCACTTCTAATCTATCTTTGTAAATAGGCTTTTAAAATATGAGAAAGTTTACTATCTAATATCTTTATCCATTAGATTTTAATATAAGAATTATCAAAAGAAAAAGAAGAAAATTAATTTAAATTTGTATCCAAGTTTTTTAAGATATTTTGATTTAAGAATTGCAGTACGAAATAAAAGTACAATAAATTATTATTTGATGGGTTTCAATAATAAATAAATTTGTTTGTTTAGTGAATGTTTTTTAAAAAGAACTCTTTCAAATATTATTTGCTATGTAAATTATTTTTGATGAAACGAAATATGTATTTGTATTACGAAACTAAGTTTATTTTTAATTGAAAATAAACAAAAATTGTGGATAATAAATTGAAATAAATAAGATTTTCTCAACTAAAATTTAATTAAATGATATTGCTTTATTTCTTTATAATTATAGCAGCAACGCAGCTATTTAAACAATCTTTAGCCTGTCCATAAGGTTGCAATTAATGCAACAATTAGAATTTTTGTATTTAGTGTGAACAAGATTTTTAATTAGATTAAGAATTAGGAGTTTGCATTTTTAAGGATTGCGAATAATATTTATACTTTTAGGAGAAAAGTAATTATAAATCAGGAGTTTGTTAATCAATCTGCGATTAAGGTTACTTAGGAGATAACCATACTAAGTTATGCATGAATTTAAACAAATGCTCCCTAACATATAGCTCTCTCACAGGTATTAGTTAGCAAAGCGAAAATATAAACTTGGTGTTATCCTACTAAGAATAATACTTTATTTTATTATACTCCTAATATATTAATATACAGCTTAAATCAACTGGTATGTTTGTGTAAAGCATTCCTTTCTAACAAAACATTTAATATGTGTAATATTATAATGATAATTTTTACTTATTTTAGAATGATAAGAAAGTTGTAAGATGGAATCTTTAGCAAAACATAACTGAATTATTTGATTGGGCTTTATAAGGTAATATCGATTAAGAAATTAAAATCATTTCTGTGAAGGGAAACTATGGCCTTATTATTACTTAAGACAGTAAAAAGAAAAAAACTTATGCCACTTTAATGTTAGATCTTAATCAAAAAAGCTTTGTTTTGAAACCACCAACTATTTGGTTCGATTTATAAAATAATAAAAGTTACTACTTTTTAAATGATTTTGTTTTATTGGCCTCCCCATAAGGTATTTGTATTCAATAACTTTTAATTAATAACAAAAATAATTTAATCACTTCAAATTATTCTAATGGCTATTACTAATGCTCAAATTTAAAAGATATCAATTTTAAGCAAGCGCTGAAGTTAGATAACTAATAATTTTTAGTAATAATAAATGATAATAATAATTATTTAATATTAGATTAATCCTCCTGCTAAGTATTTTAAATTCCATAACCTTGCTCTTAAATTAAAATATTTTCTTCTTCACCATTGAATTTTTACTTTTTGCAACTTTAAAATATGATCCTTATTTTGAATGATCACTTATCTTAAGTTTCCTAAATATAAAATTAACTAGATATTGTTGATTTTCTTACCATTTCAGCTTTTAACTCAAACATTATTTTAGCTGTTCTTGATAGTTCATCAAATTTGAATTTTTTAAGTTTAGATTTATAAAATTTCAAATAACAGTAATTGAATTAGTTTAAATTGAATACATTCAATCCAACAAATTTAGTACTTATTAGCTAAATAATAGATAATAGCAATTAACTAAAACAAGTGTAAATAATTGCTTATTCTAAATATTTATAATCAATATCTCTAAACATAACTAACAGTAACTAATTAATTCTTACAAATTAGTATTTTTTAAAGCCAATTTAAAGAAAAATTAATGAAATGTAGTCTAGCGTGGCTTCTGTAGATATTAATGATGCAAACAATATAGTTACATACTGTTCAACAAATGGGCAGATAATGACTTGGGATTACTCTATTTTATCGAAACCTTAGCTTTTGGATTCAACTTTCATAAACAATCAAGGATTATGCAAATCTATTCAATATTTAGTAAATAATTATGTTCTAATTCTATTTTAAACAAGTATAATAGCTTTTGATGCAGTTTATTCTAGAATTTTGAACACTTGGAATTTTGTCAATCAATAATCTAAAATGACAAATTAATTTATATTGCCAGTTAATGGAATTTCATATCTCTTATACGATTCTTGCTTTAAAGCATTTGACTAAAACTTTTAGCTTCTCTTCTAAGATTGTAGCTCATTTTTCGATGATACTATTGTTCAAGCAAAACTTGACCCAAGTATGAATTTGGTTGTGTAAAAGGCTTATTCTTTTACAATTTTCTAGGTACTAAACAACCAATTGAATCAAAAAGTAACATATTTAAGTATGGCTTAAATATAAATTTGGAAAATAAGAAATTTTCCATAAAGCTATTAATAAGCAAACAATATTATATTCGAAATAGTATCATATTTTTCTGATTAATCCTTTATTATATTTTCTTAGGATTTAAAGCCTATAAAATCATATTATAATATCCTACTTTCTACTGCAATAGATATATCTTTTATGAATAGTGATCCAGATGATAATCTTTATATAATAGGAGGGATTACTAGCTAAAGTTCTGCTGATTATAAATATTAAGCATATGCCTTATTTAAGAACTATACAAATATCTTTTAAGTTATTTAATAACGTGCCTTTAATTATTTTTTTCCTGTATAGAAAGATTTAAACAAAGAAAATGGCTCACTTGGGTACAATTTCAAAACTGTTTTATTAATGAATTAAAAAACTGCAATATAAACGTTTTACTATAATATGTAAAGCTTAGATAATTTTTTTGGATCAAATTATTTATCTTAAAATGTATTAACTAATAATTTTAAGCTTTTTAAAAAAGATCAATTTTACATGGTTGGTGATTAAAATGGTTTGATGACTGTTGATGCAACAAGAAAATAAATTTATACAAAAGTATATAATCTAAGTCCTTCTGAAATATTATAAAATGATTTTATTTAAGGAGTGTATTAAAGCTTGATACTTTAAAAGTATTTTATAATAAAATCAAATATTTATGTATTTAAAATATTAACGAACGAATTAATAGAAATCTTAGAAGTAAAGTAAAATCCTAGTTAACCAATTTAATAGTTTTCAATATTAGATTAGTAGAATATAATTATTTGTATTAAACAAAATATATTATTTGCAAAAAATTATTAAAAAAACTAAGTATATTATTATACTAATTTTCTTTAAATTACTAATTATTTAATAGATAACAACAACATCTATTTATTTGGATCTAGCATTTCTATTTTAGATTTTGATTTGACTGAAAAATATTCTTTAAAATAGTCTTCAGATAAAAGCTTAGTTTAAAATTGTATTTTAAGCTAAATTGGATTGATTTGTAAAAAAGCATCATCAATAATTACAATTTTTGACAAAAATAACCTGAATCCCATAACCACTTTGTAGTAGCGTTTCTTAGATAACAATTATAGGTTTTAAATAGATAACCTTTATCAGAGAATTATTCTTTATTCATCTAATATTGAAGTATACAGCTTTAATGGTAATTTTTAGATGTATATTTCTTAGATTAATACATAAATCAGTGCATTATAAGTATTTACTAATGATATCTCTGTAACATCTACAAGTAAATTAATACAAAACTAATTTTTTATTAATATATTTTTTTTTTACTTCAAATTATTTAATGTTTTTATCTATTTAAAATATTAGATATATTTATATATGACAGAAAAACATTTAATTATCGAGGAGAGATTCTAAGCCCAGGAGGAGCAGCTATTTTAAATACAGGATTTATACCTGAGTTAAATTAATTAGTATTTTAAGTGTCTGTTATAAGATTTGCTTAAATTTTTACAGTTAATTTAGATACTTTGCTTTTAGTTATGTCATTTAAAAATTAATTTACATAAAATTAACCTTCAAATGGTGTAGGTTATGCATATGATAAAGATTAAAATCTATTCATGCTTTTAGATTAAACTGGAAATTTTTAAACTATAGATTATCAAGGTTAGTTTCTTTCATAGACAACAACAAAGTTTGTTGAATATGATTAATATTCAATTTATAGTTTCGTAGGATTCTCTTTAGATTTTCAAAATAATAACTTACTAGTTTACTCTTAAACTTAAGTTTTCAATCTTTGTTATGGAGATTTAACTAATTAATTAATAAGATTTAGAACAGACAAGAAATAATTGTTTGCATAGATATCAGATTCTACTTAAGGTAGCTAAGATTAAACAAGTATTGCTTTTATTGTCGCTGGAGATTAAGGATTGGTTTATAAATATTAAAATACTGAGTTTGAGTATTTTTATCAGCTCAATGAAGAAATTCAAAGTATTAATTACATTTAAAACCTGAAACTACTAATCATAGCACTTTCTCAGTCTTTTATTATTTTTAATAATTTTGATCAAAACTCTTTGTCAAATTTGAACCTATGGTAAAATTAAAAATAAACTGTTGCTTTAAGTAGTCTTTTTTCTTCATTTATCTGTAATGATGTCTTTTTAACTAAAGATGGATTAATTAGCCATTATGATTTTATGAATAAAATCACTTTAGGTAAAATAAATTTATAAGACTTTCAGTCCAGAGTAATCAAAAAAATTTGTTCTACTACCTCACCAAATGTTTATTTTGGTTTAAGTAATGGAGATATAATAATTTACAACAGAAACACTTATCAATAGTATATTATTAGCTTAGTCTCTAAATAGTAAGGATAGTAATACTTTGGTTTAGAAATAGCATACTTGGCAGAAACTTCGACAGATTTATGGGCTTGCTTCAGTAGTACACAGGGAATTTTCAAAATTAATCTTAAGGACCAGAGCTTTATATAAATAATTTAATTTAATAGCTTAAATACTTACAAGACAATTTAAGAGCTAAATGTTATGATCTTCGATGTAGATGAATAAAATACTAGATTTTTTTTGAATTTTATAGGAGAAAAAGTATTGCGAGTGTTTGATTTATCAGGAAACTTGCTCTAAATAATATCTTTAGCAGGTATATATTACAATACTTTATAAATTAGTTCATCCCACTTACTAGTTTATACTACTTTCCATGTTATGATCTATGATAGAATAACTCTTTAATACATTTAAAGAATAAGGAGGGATAATCAGAATGATATTATAGTTGAAGTTGTTGAAATTAATAGCTAATATTTAGTTATTTTAAGCTAAAGTAAGTATGAATTATTTTAATTAAAGTAAAATTCAAAAGAAGCTGTTTTAATGGACCAAGTTTTTCTACAAAATCCTACATTCATGTCATATGCTATCAATAATAATGATAATAGTAATTAAAATATTGATTAAATAATGTAAGTATTTTTACTATCCTCTAACCAAATACTGGAGTAGAAGTACAATCTAATTTATGAGAGTATCTAAACACTAAATAATATTTGCAGTATTGAAGTGCCTGTAAGCACATTTTATGATAATTCATTTTATATGAACAAAATTAAGCCTGTATCATTTCCAGATCCATCTTAAAGATCTATGATTCCAGTAACAGATTACAGCTTAAATAATTATTGGAATATTTTGTTGAATGTCAGTGATTTAAGGAGTATTAATTTTTAAAGTACACTAAATAGCTTAACTCAAGTTTACCCTGCTTAAGTATAAAATAACTAAGAGCTTAATTCACTCTCAATTTATTCTGACTCGTTTAGTTCATACAAAAAGTAATAAATATAAATAAGAGATTTTAGCTTCATCTTTTAGGATTAGCTAAATTTAATAAATTTTGACAATAATTCCACTAATATCTATTTTTAAAATATACAAATTTTGTAATAAATAACCAATAATATAACATTCTAATTTTTTAATATGAAAAAAATAGTTTTCAACTAAATTTAATTGAAAAATTTACAAAGAAAATTTAGTTAAAATAGCTCTGAAATTAGTTTTTTGTTTTCTTTTAAAAATGTAGATGAAGTCAACCTCTATAATTTAGTTATAGACAATAATAATTTATTGAATTTAAGCTTTGGTGGTTTAATTTCAGTATTTAATGTTTAAAATTTGACTATTTAAAACTTGACAATTTAAAACTCAAATATTTATCCTTTAATTAGTATTTAAAAAGTTGAGAATCTATTAATAAAAAATCTCTCAATAATAAATTGCTCTAGTGCTTCGAATAATTAAAATGAATATATTTTAAATATTACTGGAGTGACAAATTCTACTCTTTCAAATATATTTATTTCTCAAAATTTTAACTTATAGTTCATTTACACATCAAATGTATTTTAAGAAAGTGATATCTAGTATATTTAAAAAACCGACTTCTTAAACATTACAAGCTTGTATGCTGCATAAAATTAAATTTCTTCCTCCAAAAATTAATCTTTAATATCTGTTTAAAGCTCTTATTGCATATTTAATAAGATCATCTATTAAATTAACTAAGGAAATATGTTGGTAACTTAATCTAAAAGCGTGTAAATTTAAAATAGTATTTTCTAAAATAACACATGCCTAAATGGAGGAGCCCTTTCTTTAATTTAATGCTCAAATACATTAAAAATACAAAATAGTAAATTTTAATATAATGAAGCTTTTGCAAGTGGAGGAGCTATTTATTTTGAAAATGTAGATGCACAAATATAAATGGATAGTTTAGTTTAAATAAATAAAAATTAAGCTTTGATAGGTGGAGGAATAAGACTTTTAAACAATAAACTAAATTTACTTTAATCTCTAAATTTTAACTATAAAAATTTAATTTTTGATAACAGTGCATAGTTATATGGAAAAAATGTAGGAACTTTTTTATAAAACGCAACTATAGGAGTGATATAAGATATTTCTGCTTAAACTTCTGATATGAATTAATCAGATCAATAAAAAATAGATTACAAAATAATCAAGAATGAAGAAATGAATAAATCTGATTAATAAAAATTTTAATAAATTCTATAAATTTTCAAATTTTAAAGTGGTGGTACTATTAATCTATCTATTCAATTGATTGATGCTGAAGGAACATATTTGAAGATTGAAGTATAAAAATATTATTCTTAATAATATCCTGATCCAATTATGGATGAACTGAGATAAATATAATTCAAAATATAATCTTACACACAAAATTAGGATTTATTTATAAATGGTCATAATATTATAACTTCCTCTGATTTTTATGATTAAAATAATTAATTTATATTTACATAAATTTAAATTTCAAGTATGCCAAACTAAACAGCAAGTTTACAAATTATACCATACTACATACCAGCAAATATTAACGTGCTTCCAATTTATATAGAAATTCATATGAGAATATGTTACCCTGGAGAAGTTGTCAGATAGCTAGAAAATAATATTTACAGTTGTTATCCTTGTCCTTTAGGGTCTTATTCAATAACAGATCCTACCAAAGATTAACTTTGGTCTGAAAAGATATCAAAGACTGAAACTAACACATTGAATACTTAACCACAAGTGTATCAATCTGAGTGCAAAAAGTGTCCAGATTCAGCTATAATTTGCTAAAAAAGTACAATTATTTTAAAAAAAGGTTATTGGAGGAATAATAGTACCTCTACAGATATTGTTGAATGTCCAATATTATTTAATGCATGTGATGAATAAGATTAAACAAGTAAAAATGGTTGTCTTAGTGGTTATATGGGACCTATTTGTAAAATGTGTGATCTAGGAGGATAATTATGGAAAGGTTAACGTTTTTCTTAATCTCATCTTGGCTAATCAAAATGCTAATTATGTAGTGACATAAAATATTTGGTATTTACTATAATCCTAGCAATTTTACTTTTATTATTTTATTTCATTTTCAGCATGCAAATTTTTTATAATTCATTTGTCAATTCTTGCATCTGCTACTACTTAAGAAAAATAAATTTGATTTCAATTTCAAGTAACTCTATCAAAGATAAATCAAGTGTCTATATGAAAATATTAGTTAATTATGTTAAAATATCTTCTACACTGGTGACTTTTTAGTTTAGCTTTTTACCAGATTTACTTCTTTCTTTTTCAGATTATTTGGGTGATCCTATCAGTAAAATTTCAGTTAATATTAGTTGCTTAATAAGTTCAGATTATATTAGACAATTCAGTTAAGCTAGTATTACATAAGTCATATAAGTATCTTTGTTGGTAGCCATTTTGTTGGTATTATTTATAATAATTTTTTCTTTAGAAAAGCTAAAATTATTCGGAATTTAAAGGTATCATAAATTTACTCTAATGAATATTGTTTTTGTTTTCTTTCAGCCTGATTAAATTAATTTCTTTTGTAAATAACTAACTTGTACTCTAATTGGATCTGAGCTATATGTTACTTCCGATTATATGATAAAATGTAATAATTTTAAGTATAATTCATTCATATTACCATTGTCTATACCTTTAATTATAACTTGGAGTTTATTTCCGTTTATAATATTTAAGCGCTTATAAAAAAGATAGAATAATCTCTAAAAGTGTATTACTCTATATTACTTTGGATACTATTATCAAGAATTTAAAGAAAAGTTTTATTACTGGGAATTCATTAGAATTTACTTAAGAGTTATTATTATTGTTGCTTTTACTCTGACCTCTTAATCATAATTTATTAGCTACTAAATTGTGATTTTCTTACTCTTCTTTTATATTAAATTCACATTGTACTTTAATCCAATAAGAAATAATAATTTACAAAGATTTGACCTTTTTTGTAACAAGATGATTATTTTGAATTCACTGCTATCGATAATAAATATCGATATAAAATCTGGTATTATATCTGGAATCATTTACTCTTTGCATTTTATAGTCATATTTATGACCATTTTAATTATTATCTTTTTTAAATTAAACAATCCTTTTACTTTTGTTGGAAGGTTTTTTAATAAGTTCCTATACAAAATCCTCCCACGTAGTATTTATAATAAATATATAAAAATCTACAGTTCAAATTGGTAAGTATTGACTCGTTGGAAAAGGTTACAAAAGAATTTAAGTCTAATAGTTTCTTTACAAGCTATTGAAAAAGTTACTTAATAAAAATGCTAGCCAAACTCTAACTAAGTCAATATAGGTAATTTATATTTTTATAGCTAATATACAAATAATTTTAATTATATTTTAAAAGATTTAGATCCATTAATAAAGACAAAAAGTGATATTATCAAAACAAAGCTATCTAATATCAATAAATAATCATCTAAACGTTCTACCCTTTATGAGCTATCTAAATTCAAAGACCTAACTCCAGGTAACTATTTCTATAAAATTAATATAATTAATTTTTATTATCAAAAGGTATTATCAAATTAGAAAGAGAGTAAAGTGAAACCCCTTTTCAGAAATATCTTGAACTGATAGATATACCAAAAAAGGATAGGATTGGTTAAAATTTAGAGGAAATGATTTTATAGTAAGGAGTAAATTCAGATGAATTAAATTTTAAATCAGAAATTTTCTCAAATTATGGATAAAAAAAAATAGTTGATGAGGTTTACGATGCAAGATTTAATAGAAAGAAAAATTATGATTCATTTTAATAGTTTTAATCCAGCTCAGGGATTAATTGAATTTAATGATTAATCAATAAAATAATTTTCTTTCTTAATTTTTCACAATAAAGCATTGAAAAATATTATTAAAAATATATATTTTTAATTCATTATTATTTAATGAAAACTTATTTTGAAATTTTTGATGAGGAAGAATTAGAATGCAAAATGGATATTTGTTTTTTTATAAATTAATATGGATTGTTATGAATAATGAATAAGTATTATTTTATTTTATTAAATTCCTTTTTTTCAATTATACATTATATAAATAAATAAAACAAATGTTCTAATAATACAAAGATATTTGGAGTTTATTTAAATTATCTTTTTTCTCAAAATAGTAAGTAAAAAATATATTTTTCAAATTAATTTATTAATTAATTTAAGAAATATTAATCACCTCATTAAAAATTTTACTTTAAAACATAAAAATTTTAGTTATTCATATTATTATTCTTTATTAATCAATATTACATTCATTCTACTCTGAAATTAATCAAAAAACTGTTAATTCAAAAGTTAAGAAAACATGAAAATAAGCAATCTATTATTTATTTTTATATCATAATAATTTGTAGTCTCTTAATTATGCTAGATAGGATGCGAAATTTGCAACTAGCTTGACTCCTGTCTATAGTGCGCTCCAAATTTTGAACTAGATTAAAGTTTAGGTTAATGTGTATATTAACTGTGCGATTAAAATTTATATTGGTAAGTAAAATATCCACTAATTAGCTACTCTTAATCATCATGTTAGTCTATTTGTGATGAAGGATATTGGATTAATGACAATCTAAATATATGTTAATAAATATATCCTTGCTCAAAGTCTTTAATCACACTTGATGCTATCGATTCGTAGAAATAAATATTGAAAATAACTCAGTATAATTTAAACAGTGCCTTAGTTTACTATGAAGATAAGATAAACTTAATTTCTTTATCTGATGGATAACTTTTAAAAAGTATTTAGTTTTATGATAACACGCTGCTTGCTTTTTTTTTAGAAGATAACTTTTTCTTGTTCAATAATAATCAATCAATTTAAGTACTGCAGTTATAAAGTGATACCATTTTGAGCTATATTGAAACAGTAGGAAAATTTGATAAATTTACTTAGTTACTTCTACTTAATAATAAGGTTTACTTAATAACTAAATCTAGATAAGACACTAATACTTTAATAATAAAAAAAATTTTCAATATTTAAAACTCTTCGTTTGAAACTAATAATGAATTTTCCTAAATTAAATTTAGTGAATAAGAATTGATATTTGTTTTTAATTCAAATATAATTATAACAAGTTCAAAAGGAATTAAAATAATTTAAATTTAAGAAAATGACTCTGTTATAAAAATGCAAAACTACACAAATGATTTTATATGCAGCTAATTCTCATCTATTTAAATTTAAGATTTTTCTCAATTTTCCAATACTAATTATTACTTTATAATTTCTAATTCAGTTTAATATCTTATCAAAATTAATCAAACTGATTGTGATTCACTTAATTTGGATAGTTACCCATAATAATTAATCCTTGATTAATAAAATAATTATTATAACATTTTTCTTGGGCTAAAAACTAAGATATTAATTTTAGATAACTTTTTAGGATTAAAAGCTTAAATAGATTTATAGCAAGAGGTTCAACTATTGGAATTATTAACATTTTAAAGATTGAATAATACTTTTATAGCGACTTTATACGATAACTCTACTTTAGCTTTCTACTCTTTTGCATAATATTAAAGTAATTTATCTAGCTAGATCGAACTAGTTAATTAATAACAAATCAACAGCTCCTAAAATCTAATGATTCTTTAAATAAGTAATTCCACTGAAGAACTCAATTTAGATACTCACTAATTTCAAATATACTCTTATTTTAAAGATATTTATGTCTATAATATAAATATTGACGATTAAACAATAGAACTAAGTTTTTAAATGATTTTAAATTCTTTTTAAAGGAAAAATAACTAATTTACTTAATAAATAGTTTCCATATAATTTAATAATAACCAACTTCTTTCTGCTAGTTCAATAAATGGTTTAATTTAAACATGGGATACTAGCTAATATTTTAATGTTAAATTAGTTGATTCTATTCAATTTTAAGGTATTGGTAATTGTTTAAAAATGATTTACTTTACTGAAGTAAGTTTATTATTACTATTTGAGAGTTGTATCATAAGGTATAATGTAATTACTCATTTTATAGAAAATTAATGGAATTTCGTCAATTAGAAATAGATTAATAAATTAATTGCTATCCAAAGCAATTATGCAGTCTTCGTTTTTGATTATTGCCTAACTATTATTGATTAGAATAATAATCTAATAACAAAAGATTGCTCATAAAACTTTTAAGAATAAATAAAATTGGTAGAATTTACATAAGAATATTTTATAATTATTTAGAAGTAGTATTAAATTATTTCTTACTAATTAGATATTTTGTCTTAGAGTCCTAAACTAAATTACATAAATATCTACAATAGTAAATATTTAATATGGTAAGTTAAAATAAGAAATTATCCTAAAAATTATTTAAAAAATGCTTTATTTGAAATACTTATTTTTAATGCAAGTTATGAATTTCTGATTTTGAATGAATTTCTTTAAGTAAATCTAGCAATCGCAAATATACTCCTAAATTTACCTATCGATATTAACTTTGTTGAATAAAATCCTGAGGATGAATTTTATTTTATTCTTGGCTAAGCTTTTAAAAATATAACTACTTTCTAAAATATAGTATATGCAATTTCGAAAGTTAAAAATAATTCTTAAATATGCATATAAAATAATGGAGGCCAAAGTATTTTTAAAGTATTTAAAATTTTTAACGTATAAAACAACTAAACATTTTATGAAATAAAATTAATTTTTTATAGTAGCCAAAATAGTTAAATCGAAACATTCTAATGGGGAATAAATATGTCTAATAGTGTAGTAGGTGATATTTAATAATTTAAAGATTTATAATTTAGTTATTATAAGGCAATATAAAATAATTCTTATTTGATAGCTGGAGATTAAACTGGAAAACTAGCTCTAAGCCTTATTAAACAAAATTTGATCAAATAGATTTACTGTATCAGTGACGCAGAATAAATTTTATAAGAATACATTATTGATGTATAGCAGAGTCTTGAATTAGGATTATTTTTTGTTATAAAATAAAATATAGTTGTATTTAATCTATTTACAAATGAAATGATAGAAATTTTAGAAATAGAAAAATCTCTAAATTCAATAGAATAATTTATTATAATGAATGAATATTCTTCAATAATTGCACTTAAAAAAAATTATATTTTATTGAAAAACTATTAGAATGATTAGGTTTTTATGTTTAATAGTTAGCAAATTATATAAGGCTTTGTTGTTAGCAATCAAACAATTTATGTATATGGGAGCAGTATTATTGCACTAAATTTAAATCTAAAAATCTCTTAAAACAAAGACTAGTCAATTTTAACAAATGCAGCTTTATTTTGCATTAAAGCTGGCTCAACTTTAGGTTGCAAAATGTAAAACGCCGAGTTCCACATATATTCTTTGAGTAGCTTATAAATTCTCTAGACTATAACTTCTGAATATCTAGATTCTAGTTATTTATTTGCTATAGATGAAGAATACAAGTATGTTTACTTATTCACCTCTACTATAGAATTATATACATTAGATGGTAATCTTGTTTAAAAAGTAACTTAACCTAATGGTTTAATTTTAGAAATACAATTTTTCGAAGACATTACTGTTTACAGAAATCCAGGATGTAATAATTTAATTTCTAAAATAATTGTTATTAATAATTTCTTTAATTATATTTTTGATTCATATTAGACTAAAAAATAATATTTCAGATATTCTTTAAATTATCATAAATAAATCAAAATTTTTTTTCCACAACTTTTGGTTAAAATAATAAGTCAAAAAAATTCAGTGATATTTTTTTCTTGAAATTAAATGAAAATTTAATTTAAAATGTATTGTTTAATGTTTTTTATTACATTTATGATAATATTATTCTTAATTTTTTATTTTAATTAAATTTTTTTGTAAATAGATGCTACAATATGCTAAAGAAGCAATTTCTAATAAATTGGATAGATACTCAGTGTTGGAGGTGGAAAGATAATAAAATTCTTTTTTATCAAAGAGTATTATCATCTGGTATTTTTTACAACAAACATAAGGTTTTCATAAATTGCATCATATGACTTAAATACTTTTCAAACAGTAATGTACTATACTTGTGCATAATAATAAAATGATTGTACTGTTTTAGTAGATGCTTTATATGATAGAGATCAAAATTTTATTTTATTGATAGATAAGTTTGGAAATTTTTAGGCTATTAATTACTCAGGACTTTATTTAGCAAAAATCATTTTAAAAATACCAGATTTTATGCAACCGAAATTCAATAATTTAAAAGGACTTTCTTTAGATTTAAGGACAAATACATTGCTGATATATAATTCTCTTTCAGTTTATTACATACCTTATGGAGATTTGAATGATTATATGAAATAAATAAAATATTCAAATTAGTATTTATTTGCCGATATTAGCTTTAATAACTAAGATTTGCAAAATAATACTTATATAATTTTAGGATAATCAGGGATTTTATATAAGTATTAATAAGCACAATAGAACTTCTTTTATAATTTTGATGAGGAAGCCATACAAATCTAATACAATCAATAATAATAAATTCTACTTATTGCATTTTTAGATAAAATTACAGTTTTTAAAAACATAAATTAGACCAGTATTTAATAAATTTCTTAAAAATTAATTTAAAAGTAAGAAATACTATTAGGCACTAGTTAATTTACTAGATTTTTAAGTGAAGGTATTTTTTTAACTCAAGATTCTGTAATATGGCATTATGACTTTTCAACATAAATGATACTTTACAAGTTTTCTTTCGGTCAATTTTCTTTGAGAATAAGCAGTGAGTTATTTTCTGTCACAAAAAATTTACTTTTGCTTGGATTAAGTAGCGGAGATTTAGTGATTTATAATTTAATTGAAAAATAAGAAAAAATATTTAAACTAAGTTAATTTGATTAATAATAAACTGCTTCTGTTTCTATTTCTTTTATCAAAGAAACTTAAAGCGAATTTTTTATATGCTTTTCAAGTGCTTTAGGAGTATTCTAAATTAGCAAGACAACTTATAACATAAGGTAAATGTTAAAATTTTAAGATATACAGAAATACTAAATAATATAGGACTCTACTATTTAAATGTTTGAGGTAGACGAAAAATTTTCAAGAATCTATCTCAATTTTGTATCTGAAACAATATTAAGAAGGTACTAATATGACTAAAATCCTTTAAGTTTTAAATATATTATGCTCACTAAAAGGCAGTAAAATAAGATATAATTGGGTAATAATATTTTGATTTTATATTCATCTGCTTTCATGCTAATTTACGATAGACAAACTCTTTAATATTTGAGTAGCATTAGAAGATTAAACAATCAATATTTTATAACAGAAGTGAAGTTAATACTAGATTAGTATTTACTCATAATTAGCTAATAAAGAGTTGAATTTTTTATACTTACTAATATCTAATCTCCAAAACTAGTTGATTAAGTAAATGTTACCAATCCTATTATAGTAAATTTCTAAGTTCAAAGCTCTAAAAGTTAATTAAAATATTATTTTAACCCAAATATTTTATTTGCAATTATATTGGGAGAAAATCAAATCATTGAGAAAAGATATTCATTAGATTATGAGGAATCTGATGGTGAATAAAAATATTGCTTTGCTAGTTTTTAAGTATAGAGTTATTATTAGTTTTTTAAAGAGTTAAGTTAAGTTAAGCCATAAACATATCCAAGCTCAACTTAAATAGATATTTTAGCAAATCCAAATTCATCTTCATATAATTATTTAATGGTGAAATTTTCAAATTAAAACATGTTTCCTTTAGACAATTCTAATACCAAAAACAGTTCTGTAGTTTTTTATTCAAGCTAGATATCTACGCCTATTGAGAATAATCAGAGTATAAATTAATTGAATGTTAATAACTTTACTTTATTTTATAACAAAAAATAAGATGTTTATCTAAGAGACTTCTAAATAGTTTTCTAAAATAATACCTTTATGAATCATTCTGAATAAATGAAGAATATTAGCTTTGAAAATCTTTATTTTGAAAATTAAGAACTTACAAATATAATTTGTTCATACTTCAATTTAACAAGTGTTGTATTTAAAAGATATACTTTTTTTAATTCTTACATGGGTATATCAGAGGGAGAGAATAGTGGCTCATTTTTAAATTTCTAGAATATAGAATAAATATATATTTATGACTTTGTAATAGATAATAACTTCTCAAATAAAATTTAATTTAGATCCTTACTGACAGCGAATAATGTAACTATACTAGTCATAAAAAACCTAACAATCAAAAACGCTTATATGGAAGAATTTATAAATATCTATAATGTTCAATAACTTTTTATAGAAAATATTAACATAATTAATTGTTAATATAAATAGTCCTCGAATTATTCTTTAAACCTTTAATCTATTTTCTTGATAACGGGTGTTTAGACAACTACTTTTGAAAATATTTCAATGCTAAACTGCAAAGATTTATCTCTAATATATTCATTAAATTCATAATTGCTTAAGTATTAATAAGTCAACTTCGAATCTGATACCATAATATTTAAAAATTTTAAAATTTCATCTAACATCTTCTCAAATTCTAAAATCTCACCATTAATTTTTATTAGGAATTCATACATAACATTTACAAACATCAATTACATTTCAAATTAAGGAAATATTTAAGTGAGTATATGTTCTGAGTTTGAAATTAGTCAAAGTTTTTTAAGTAATAACTAGAACTAAGATGGAGGAGCTCTTTCAATTTAAAATTGCTTAAATAAAATTTCTATTTCAACTACCACTTTTATTTCTAATAGAGCCTTTGCCAGTGGAGGAGCAATATTTATTTCAGAATTTTATGGTAATTTTAGTATTTAAGTTTCTTCAACAATTATTAGAGATAATAATGCTTTAATTGGAGGAGGCTTAAGGATAATAAACCAAAATAATGATAAATTTGGTTTTAACTTTTGGAATTAAATAAAATTTGTCTTTATTAATAACACTGCCGAGATATATGGAAATAATTTTACCACATTTTTGCAAGATATATAAGTAAGCTTACCTTAAAACCATAGCGAATTAGGAGAAGAATAAGGGAATAACACTTTAAAAGATTTCAGAACCAAAGACCAATTGAAAAATATTGAAAATGAACTGTGGTATGGAGTAGCTGTTATTGATAACTTTAGAAGTGGTTCATATTTTATTTTATAGCTTAGTTTAATTGATTTAGAGAAAAGAGAATTTACTTATTCGCCTTAAAAACTTACCTAGGACCTTTACCCTCTTTCAATCTCATAGGAAATAACTAGTATTAAATTTAAACTAGAAAAGGTTTCTCAGTCTTCATTCATTTCAATTACTGGTTAAGATATTATAACCCATTAATAGTTTATTGGATAAAACAACAAATATATATTTAAATAAGTTTAGGTAACATCTTTGCCAAGCTCCCAGCAATACATTTAAATTTCTTATACTTTAAATCTATATTAAAAAGTTAAAAATAAACCAATTTTAGTTAAATTAAACTTGAGAAAATGTTAGAGAGGTGAAATAGTAAAGTAGATAAGTAATAATATATTTAGTTGTTTTTAATGCCCTGTTGGATTTTATTCAATAGCTGACCCTGTATAGCCTTCTTATCAATAAAATGCTACTGACTCTACGAATACTTCAAGTTAATAATGTAATAATTGCCCATTTGAGGCTTTCTTTTGTTAAAGGGACATAATTGAATTGAAAAATGGGTATTGGCGAGAAAGTGAATAATCTACAGAAATAATACAATGCAACAGCATCTTTAATGCATGTCAAGGGTAAGATTCAAATAGTAAAAATTACTGTGGTTATGGATATACAGGTCCGGTTTGTAGAGAATGTGATTATTTAGGGAATACTTGGTATGGTAAAAAGTTTTCAAAATCTCTCCAAAATGAATTAAAATGCAGTGAATGCTTATTTTTGTATCTATAAATTACCATAACGATCTTGTTTTTTTTATCTTTTATGATTTACCTATAGCTTTAGATGATTTTATTCATGAATAGCTTTATGCAACATTAAATTTGCTACTATCTACGTATTATGAAGATTATTCCAATATTAAACAATTCAATAAAAGACCAATCAAGCTTTTACCTTAAAATTCTAATTAATTTCACCCAGATATCTTCTATCTTAGTTTCTTATCAAAACTCTATTTTCCCTGACGTATTCTCTGTAATACCTTCCTTTTTTGGATCTCCAACAAGTTCAATCATGATTAGTATTAGTTGTCTTGTAAGTTAACTTTCTAAAAGCGAGATAGAGAGAATTCAAACTCTTCAGATATTACAATCGATACTACCTTTTCTTTATTTGATTTTTTGCTTATTTGTAACAAACGTTTTACAATCTATGAAATAATTTGACATCAAACAGTATCATAAATTTACTCTTATTAACCTAATATTTGTAATTTTCTAACCGAATTAAGTTAGCTTTTTCTCAAATCAGCTCGTTTGTACCAAAGTAGGATCTAAATATTATGTATCTTCTGACATGCATATTGATTGCAGTGATCCAGCTTACAGGAAATTTGCTTACACAATTTCAATACCCTTTTTGTTGTTCTGGAGTTTCCTTCCTCTTTTGATATTCTTTAAATTGAGAAAAAGATCAAAAACTTTAGACTACTGTAAGACAAGATACATATTTGGATACTATTACACTGAATTCAAAAATGAATTCTATTATTGGGATATAATTAGGATTTACATTAGAGTATTGATTGTGGTTCTTTCTACTTTGCTTAAAGAATATTCATTCATAAATTAACAGATTTGTGTTTTTATTCTCTATATTTACATCAAAAAAGCAATCTTTTATTCTCCTATCGTAAATAAGAATTTACAAAAATTTGATAATTTTTGCTATTAGGTGATCATATTCAACACAATTTTGTCTACCATAAACTCTTCTCTCTAATCACAAATTCTTTTAGTTATAATTTGGACAATTCATTTCCTCTTTATCATGAAAATAATATTTTAAATAATTATTTTCAAGTTCAATAATCCTTAAAATTTTTTCAGAAAAAATTTAGTTTCTTTACTTTAAAAGTTGCATTTTACTAGTTTAAGCTAAAACCTTTAAAGCCGCTAAAACAAAGAGAAAAAATCATTGCTTTATTGGAAGCATATTTTTAAAAACATTTAAGTCTTGATAAAAAAATAAGCTTTTGAATAGATCAATTAGAACTCAACATTCAATTATTTAAGCTAGACATAAAGTAATTAGTAATTATTATTTTATTTTATTTAATATTATTTATTAAAAAGATTAAACAGTATTTCTATAAAGCATACGTAACTTCTAAGCTAATTTTATTGAGCAAAAGGCAAGCTTAATTATAAACTTATAAAATTAATCTATTTTTAGTTCACAAAATGAAAATCCTATAAAGCCAAATTATGAATTTTAACAGACAGAAACAAGAAACGAGAATACTAATTTCCATGATAAATAAGCTCAATCTAATGAAATTTACTCATCTGTCTCTAGTAAATCGAATACAGGAGAATAAAAAGAAACAAAAATTTTGCTTGAAAAAGAAAATTTAGATAAATCTTCTGAGTACATTAATGGATTATAAGATTTGGATTTAAATTCTATTCCTCAAAATGCTATTTTTTAATAGAATTATGAAACTCAATTCAAGCTATTTTCTCAAAGATAAAATTTAAATTCACCAGTTGAAAAAAACTGATAATTTAATTTTGAATAGAAAATAGTACTGTATAAATCATACCTAATTACAAACAATATAATTATATTAAAAAATCTAAAATTTATATATACTATTTATTTTATTCATACAAAAATTATTGTATTTGACTTCTGTATATTGCTTTCATTTTTAGTTTATCTTATTTTTTTTAATTTATTTCTTATATTTATAATTATTTGTTTGCAATTTTCATTTAAATATTATTTTTTTTATTTGAATAAGTAAATTTAATTCGCTTTAAAGTTATGATTAAAAAAATTAACTTAAATATAAAGTTAATAAATAGAAGCAATATTAATAAAAAAAGATTATTAAGCTTATAAAAAATATAAAGAAGTAAACCAAAAGTAGAATTTATTCATCAATTTGAAATGAAAAGAATTTTTATTGCGATTTGGCTAATTAAAATATCAGTATAATAAGCTTAATTATGCTCAATAGGTTGTAAATAATGTGATTAATAAGGCATATGTGTTTAATGTGAAGATAGCTACTTGTTAGATAGTTTTAACAATGTTTGTATATACTAAAATTGCTAATAAAAGTTATTTTTTTAGCAAAAACAGGATTATATCTCTACATAGCAAGATTTCTGTTAAGCAATATGTGATTAAGGCTTTTAAGCAAACTCTTTAACTAATACTTGTGAGCCTATATTGTCTTGCTCCTAATAGTTCAATTTATCAACAGGAATCCTACCAAATAATAATATAAAAGAAATTGTTGTGATAGATAACAGTACTTTTTTAGTAATCTATTAAAGTTAAGGGAGTATTATCAACATGAGAGAAGGTAATTTGCTCTATTCTATATAATTTTAATAAGACACAATTTTTACTTATTATTTAAACATGAATCTGCTGCAATTTAATAATAATAACATGATCATATAATATTCTTTATTAGAAGAATAAATGTAGAACATAACTTAATAATTTGGTATTTTTGATTCTTCTACTTAATTAATTGATGTTAATAATTAATTTGCTTATTTAATCAATTATGAAAAGGAATAAACAAAGGTTTTTTTAAGATTAATTTAGAAAATTAATAATCAATTAATTTTTTAAGAATAGATAAGTGTAGAATTACTCCCAGATTAATTAATTTATTTCTTTCAAGATATTTTGTTTAAGATAAACAGAAATGTTATCTCAATTTATTAAGTTGTATTCGAGAGCTCTTCACTCCTTCTTTAGCAAATTAGCAAAGAATTTATTTGTGTTAATAATATTCAAAACATTAAAAAAGTTATTTAATTGAAAGATGATTAATACTTACTAATTTCATCTCTTTCCAAAAATTTAGTGCAATTATCATCATAAAATTGCTCTATTCTAGCTTTAGAAGAAATACCAACTGATATTTAGGTTTTTACTGTTAATATCACAAACTATCTCACCATCTAATTCTAAACAAAATTTATATTATTCGATAGCAATTTGACAAAATTGTAAATCCTGAATAATTAAAATGAAATAATAGATTTCATTAACATCAAAATCAATAAAGATTTACAATTATTGGCTATTTTATTCAGTAATAATGATATTAATATATATAATTTTAACGAATAATTACAAAATTTTATAATTATAAATGTTTCCCAAAGTACAATCCAAAACCCATAAACTATATTAAATCTTTAGATTAATTAAATAAACAATGAAATATACTAACTTTACATTTTGGTATATTCACAAAGTGTATAAACAATAATATACTAGTACAATATTTAAACAAACAAAATATCTATAGAAGACTAATACTCTTTAAGCTACTTTTAAAAGCGTGACACAAATCCACAAGAATAAATTAATAGTATAGATTTAAATTCTAATACAAGTATGATTTCTACTTGTACAGTGAATGGTTTAATTACTACGTGGGATATTTCCAATATATATAAGCCAATATATATTGGATAATAGCTAATTTATGATTAAGGAACTTGTAAATAAGTAATTTATGCAGATGAAAGTACACTCGTTTCTATATTTGATAAATCAATTATTTTTTTAGATACTATTCACACTTTAATAATAAATTAAATATTTTACTAAAATAGCTAATCTAAGTAATTATAAAGATTTTTCATTAAAGCAGGTGATTTTGCTGCTCTTTTATATGATTCTTGCTTAGTTATTTTAAATATTAATTATTCTGAAGTAACTAGAAATTGTTCATAAATATTTGATGACAATATAGTTAATTTTTTTTTTGATAACTCTTAATATATTATTTTATAAAAGGACAAATAAATAGATGTATTTTAATTCGATTCCTAAAATATTCAAATAAAATTCATCTAAAACTACTAAAGCAGTTATACTATATAACAAATATAACTACGCAGTTTTCCTGTCACAAATTAAGTTTAAAATCAATAGATTCTAGAAATAATAATATTCAATAGCAATTCACAATTTATAATTTTTAATGAATAACTGTAAATAATCTACTAAATAAATAATATTCCTCTTACTTTAGCGATTAATATTTTATTTGTTTAATCCGATCCAAATGATAATTATTATTTTATTTTTGGGTATAATCCTTATGCGACTTATTAGTTTTAAATGTATATCATTCCAAAATTCTAAAATACTTTTTATCTATCAGGCTTTAGTTTCAGCGGAAACATGCTCCTTAATGTTCAAAAAAGTTTTAATTAAGTAAGTGAAATTGATTAATATACTTACTAAAACTTTATCCTTTTGAGCTACTGTTCTGTGTTTAATTTTTACACTTGGGATCTAGAAAAACCTACTGCTGTTAACTCAGACTTATAATTTTATTTTGGAGTCTATTTTTCTTAATTATTATCTAGGAAGCAATTTTTTATATTCGGAGATGTAAATGGAGTTTTTGGCTTTAATACAATTTAAAAAGAAGAATATAGTCTTATTTATAAAATGAGTTCATAAGATTTAGATAATGAAGATGAAATATAATATGTAAAATAAAGCGTAATAATGGGTAAATACTTCATAATTAAAAGTAATATCTTAGTGTATTCTCTTTATACTAATTTACTGATTGAGCAATTGGATTTCGGAGAGCCCTTTCAGCAAATTAAATAATTTCAAATAATTGAAGATTTAAATTCAATAATAGTATTAAAATAGAATATTTTGTATTTAAAGAACTATTAAGCGAATAGTAGTCTTTTTTTATAAAGTAGTTTAGGATAAATAAATAACTTTATCATGTAATAAGATTAAATTATTGTTTATGGAAGTCAGTTAACTTTGCTAGACTTTCAATTAAATATATTATAGAAAACAAATAGATTAAATGCAATAGCTTAAAATTGTATTCCGATTTCAAATATGATTGCTTGCTAAATATAAACTGGAGAAATATAATTTTTTAATTCAACTTCCTTAAATAAACTTTACCAAATTATATCCAATGAAATAAATTACTAAATGATTATTGATCAATTTTATTAAAATATTTATCTTTACAGTAGCTTAATTCAAATTTTTTCTATTAAAGGAGAATTCTTGAAAATAATTGATTTGGAATAAAGTACAATAAATGAACTTACTTTTTTTGAAGATATTTTAGCCTGTAGAACTCAAACATGTAAAATTTTTATTAATCTTTTTTTAAATTTAATTCTCATTTGATTATTCAAATTTACACAAACCATAACTTTATCAATTTAATTAAATTTAATAATTTACAGAGATTACTATCATTGAAAGAAACACCTTAAACATTAGAGGATCTATATAAAGCTAGGGATCAGCAGTCATATAACAGATGTATTTCCTAGAAGAATTTTATCATTTAGTAATCTCAACTGATAATGTTTAATACGGGTAAGTTTTTTCCTATGATCTGAAATCGTTAGCTTTATACTCTATATATACTAACTCTTACCTATTGAATCAAAAGTCTTAAGTTGTTTAAATTTCATTTGATAAAGAATAGAGTTTCTTATTATCTTTAGACCTTACAGGTAATTTTTAGTGTGTATACTATCAATAGTAGGTTCAGCTTTTAAATATGTTAAAAATAATAGAATTAACTCCTTAATCAAAAGCTCAAGGGAAAGGTTTTAGTTTAGATTTTAGAACTAATAATCTCTTTATTTACACATAATACACAGTGTACTAAGTAAGCTATGGAGATCTTGGTAATAGATTGATAAGAATAAAAACACGGAACAGTAATATATATACCCAACTACAAGGACAAAATTAGAGTTTGCTTTTAAATGGTGCAATTTTAATTGCTGGCGAATAAGGAATTCTTTACAAATATGTAAATAATTAACTTAAATATTTTTACCATTTCAAAGAAAATATAACATAAATATATTACTCCTCTAAAAAGAATTACCTTTTGGTTGGTCTAACAACTAGTATTGCTTATTTTAAAAAAATATCTTATTAATCTATTTTCAATCAATCTGGCTGGAATCTAAATTATACCTAGCAATACTTGGACAATAATACATTTGTAAAATTTTATAATGAAAATTTATTGCTAACTATTGATAACTAGATTTGGCATTTTGATTTTGAAAATTAAAAAGTTATATTTAAGTTCAAACTAAAAAATTTGAATGATAGAATAACATTTGATTTATATTCATCATCACAAAATATTTTATATCTAGCTATAAGTAATGGTGATTTTATTATATATGATGCAACAGCAATTCTCATCGAGACAATTAATTTTCAAGCTAAATTTTAATAATCCAAAAATATATTTTCGCCTATAGTTCAAATCGTAGAAACTTAGTCTAGCATATGGGTTAGCTATCTGACTTAATATGGTGTTTATTAATTATCAAAGTCAAGCAAAGATATTAAGATGATATTAGATTTCTCTTAAATTTAGACATTTTAATTTTAATAGGATGTTAATGTTGATATTTTTGGAGTAGATGATACATATTAAAGGTTTTTCTTAAATTTTGCTACTGAGTAGATTGTCAGAGTTTATAACTATAAATAAGATATCTTACAGATGGATTACTTAATTTTATCTAAGAAGTAGCACAGCTAGCTTTTGATTACAGCAAATATGATAATTTTTTATTCTAGCTCTACCATAATAATAAGAGATAGGAGTTCTTTAGCATATTTACAAACTATAAGGAGAGCTAATATTTACAATTTTATTAAACATTTAATTGTATTAGAAGACACTTATTTCTTGATTACCTATGAATCTAAATATGAATTAATATCTCTAAATAGTGATTATTCCTTATAGTATATAGATTAGTAACAAATGGCAGATCCTCTTTTGATGAACTACTAAATTATTTAAGATTAATATTCTTCTACAAATAAAATTCTGCAAGTGATATTATTATCTTTGGATAAAGTATAAGAATTTTAATACAATTTAAGTTATGAGGTATCTCAAGATTAAAATAAATAGTGCGGAGTAAGCATGAATGTAACATCCTATTTAGATATGCTTTAAAAAATATAGAATGTAAAACCTTTTATTTCTTTTGATCCTACATTTTAATCGGCTTCTGTGAGTAATATAGTTAAATAAAGAAATTAATACATGGTAATCCTTTAGGATTCTAATTTAAACACAATTAGTTATCAAGGCACACAAGATAATTCATTGGTTATCTCATCGTAAAAAACCTGTGAATTAGGAAAATAAGATTTAAATAAGTTATTTATTGATTCCTAATCGTTCTAGTAATACACAAAACTTGAAGTCAATATAAGAGATTTTCAATTTGAATTCAGTTAACCGATATTAAATATCACTTTTAACAGCGCAACACAAATTGTAAATCTTTAAAATATATTTATTTCTAAATAAAATTTAGGGTAGGTATAATTTTAATTTGTAAACCTATAAAGAGTTGTAATTAACTATTTAAATTTCTCATAAAATGAAAGGATAAATAAAAATAGCTAAGATGCTATTCCATTGTTTCTTTTTAGGAATTGCTCAGAAGTGTTTATTTATAATTTATTTATTTCTAACTCTGGAAAAGCTTAACATTTTTAATATCTCTTATCAATTGAAAATGTTTCTAACTTGAAAATAATAGGATTTAAAGTGTTTAATACAATATTAGCATAGCTAGTTAATATAAAAATAGCTCAAAGTACATTTTTTTCAGATGTATAAATATCAAACAGTTATTACAAGCTTAATAATGAAAGTGAAACGTAAAGTTATTCTTATGTTTTTAACTTAGTTGGTTTACAAAATACGAGTATTTAAAATTTTTAGTTTATAAATAATAGTAATTTATAATTGGTACAAACAATTAAATAATACGATAATAGCTAAGCACTTTACATTTTACTATCAGACAGCATCATTATCTAATAGCTAAATATTTCAGGAAATTATCAAACTTAATAAAATTTAAAACCTTTAATTCAACTTCAAAATACTGATATTATTTTTCAGGATTCAAATTATGAAAATAATTAAGGCAATATTTAAATTTTATTTTCTAGGGATATAAATATCTCAAACAGTAATTTTATCAATAATATTTCAGAAGACGGAGGTTCTTTACAGCTGATTAGCTGCTAAAGTCTAATAAACATTTAAAACACTACTTTTGTAAAAAATTAAGCACTAGCAAGCGGAGGTGCCATTTACATTGAGGAATTTTATGGAGATATTTATTTTGACAAAAAAGTAGAAATTACAAGTAACAAAGCACTGATTGGAGGAGGAATGAGATTAAAGAATTAATTTTATAATAACGAAGATTAGTTTTGGTTAAAATATAGATTATAATTTCATTAAAATTGTGCTAGTCTATACGGGAACAATTTCGCAACATATTTGACAGAGATAAAAATACAAAATAACTCTTAGTAAAGCTAATTTGACACAGATATTAACTATAAACCTCCTGATTTTAGATTTATAGAATAAAATTAAATGAATGAGACAGAAAAAAAATAGTGGGAATCTATTGCATAATTTAGTAATTTTAAAAGTGGTTCTTATTTGATGATGAATTTACAAATTTTTGATATTGAGGGGAGTGTATTTAAATTTTCGATTAAAAATTTAACACAAAACATGTATCCGTCGTCAATAATTGAGGAAATAAAAAACATTTACTTTAAAATAGAAGATAATAACTAAACCAATATAAATATAAATGGATAAAATATAGTAACTTATGAACAATTTGTTGAAGGATAGTCATTATTTTCATTCAGCCAAGTCACTATTTCTTCTATACCAACATAATAAAAATATTTGTAGATATCATACTCTATCTCATTATAAGACAACCCAGATATTAAGCCGATTTTATTACTGCTAAATTTCAGAGCTTGTAAAGTGGGCGAAGTACTAAAATAAGCGGATTCTAATTCATATAATTGTGAGTAATGTTAACTAGGATACTATTCATTAGAAGATCCAACAAGTGATTAACTTTGGAATTAAGTAACTCTATAGGAGAAAATTGTTAATAACACTGCTTAAATTCAATGTATAAAATGCCCTGACACGGCAAATAGCTGTTAATCAAATGAAATTTAAATAAAAGATGGATACTGGAGGGCAAATAATAAAACTTCTGAGATTATATAATGCAATTAGAATACCGATTCTTGTAAACCAAATGATCCTTAAAGTTTAAATGGCTGTACTGAAGGATACATAGGCCCTATATGCAGTGTTTGTGATGTAACTGGAAAATATTGGATTGACAATCGATATACTAATTCTTTTATTGATACTGGTAAGTGTGAAAAATGTAGTAGTGAAAAATACTAGATTATTTTTATTGTACTAACATTTTTATTGCTGTGCTTGTATATTTTGATCAGCGTTATAATGTTTACAAATAATTTTGTGCATTTTCAGATTTGCTAATACCTAAGACTTATGCAAATAATACCAATTCATAAAAGCCAAATCAAAGATTAATCTATCTTTTATCTAAAAATTTTCATTAATTATATTCAATTGAGCTCATTGATAATTACTCATCCTTTTTCAGTTCTTACAGAGTTTTTAATGTACTTCCCAGCTTTTTTAAACTCCCCTGCTAACAGAATTGTTATTAGTTTAAGTTGTATAATAAGCAAAAAATTAATAGATCTTTACGGGTACACACATATAATGTAGATCATATACGCTATCTTACCATTACTTTTCCTAGCCATCATGGCTATCTTAATAAAAATACTAGAAAAGTTAAAGCTATTCAGAATAAAAAATTTCCATTTATTTACATTAGCAAACTTTATTTACATACTTTTTTAACCTAATTAAATTAATTTCTTTTCAAAGTAGCTAACTTGCACATAGATAGGATAAAATAAATATGTGACTTCTGACTTATAAATAAATTGCAATGATCCATCATATATAAAAATTACTTATGCGATATCAATACCTTGCTTATTTTTTTGGAGTCTATTACCTTTAGTTATTTTATTTAATTTAAAGAGAAATTCAAAGAAACTCAATTATTGCATAACTAGGTATTGTTATGGATACTATTATACAGATTTTAAATAAAAATATTACTATTGGGATTTCATAAGAATATACATTAGAATTTTGATAGTTTTAATTAATAGCTTATTGAAAGATTAAAACTCTTTTTTAAACTACCAAATCATAATTTTAATACTCTATTTATACACAAAAGCTAGCTTTGCAATAACTCCTTTTAGAAATAATCATCTTTAGAGTATAGATATACTTTGTTATCAAGTAGTCATTCTAAATTGCATCTTATCTGCAATCAACATATCTTTAAATGAGTTTTTTATAATACCAATTATTTATTTCTTAAGCTACTCTTATTTGCTGGTATTATTTTTTTATGTTATTTTTTTCAAAATTAGCAATCCTAACACTTTTATTGGAAGAATATTCAAAAGTATTTTTATGAAAATATTACCTAAAAAGCTTTTTAACTTATATTTGAAATACTACACTATTAACATAAAAGTGTTCTTATATTGGAAAAAAATAAAATTAAACCTTAAAATGTTGATAAGTAATAAAGCAATACACAAAATAAATTTCATAGATAATAAGAGAAGAACTCAGTTGATTACCACTTAAAACTATTGTAAATAAATATTATTTAACTTAAAATTTATTTATCATTTTAAATTATAGTAAGCTATCTATAAAACTAGAGCAACGACTTTTCAGCTAATCATTTGCAAAACAATTAATATTTTAACAAAAAATAAGGTTTTTAAAATAAGATTTAATCAATAAAATCTGTGAATTTACAAGACAGTCCTTCTGTAGAGAATTATTCTTAATTTAGAATAAACCAAAAAAATAATATAGATTCTAACAAACAAGAAAATTATCCAAAGTAAATAAGCAGAAATCACAGTTTATTTTATTAAGAAGAATAAGTTAAAAATAAATCAATAATTTAAAATGAGGAAGACTAAAACATTGATATTTTTGAAGAATTAAGCCAATTATAGTAAAGAAAATAAATGTAATTTAAATATAAAAAAGAACTAGATTTTAAATAAATTAAAAAATGAAGTTATGAAAATATTTTCCTTTACATTAAATTAATTAATTACTATTGTATAAATTGTAAATTCATTTATCTCAAAGATTAAATTTATTTTTATATACAAAAATTAATTTTTGTTTGCTGACAAAATCTATTATTCAAAAAATAAGAATTAATTTATATTTTATGAGAAGTTTAGTCTTAAATTAGTTTTTTGAGTTTAAAAATAATTTTATCATTTATTTTTAATTTTTTATAAATATTATTCAATATTTTTAATTTAATTTAAATATAATTTAATAAGTATTTATTTTAAAAAATAATTATTATATTAATGAATAAAGAATGAATTACTTTAGAAACTTATTTTAAATATTAACTGCTATCTTAATTTAATAAGAGGAAGAAAATTAAAAAAGTTAAAAATCAAATTTAAATTTTTTATTGATGATTTAAATATTTTATAATATTTTAAGATATTATTTCCTAAAAGCTATTTTTAATTAGTAATAGTTAAAAATTTCTAAAATATTTAAAGTCATGAGAATACTTATTAGCAATAAATTATTAAATACTTTATAATTTACAAAGGAAAAAATATAAGTATTTAAAATATTTTTATTTATACATTATCTTCTTAAAAATAATTTGTTAAGCTTCATATATTTGACTTTATTCGAAATTTAAGAAAGAAAAATTGATTTTTTATTATTGTTTGTAAAGAAAGATAGCTCTACAAAAATTAGAATATCTTTATAATATACTAATAATACAGTAAATAGCATAAAAAACAGCTAATAATTTAATATTTTTAATTTTTCATAGGAAGAAGAATATTTTTTTATATCTTGTTTATGAATCTAAGTAGAAACTAACAATAGAGTAGCAGTATGTTTATTTTACATTAATTTATAGTTTAAGCTTATCAAAATATTGATTTATAGCATTTTAGCATTTTTCAAATCCAATTCTATAAAAAGGCTCTTTAAGAAGTTAATAAAATGATAATTTAGAATTTGGATAAAATAATGTATATCAAGATGATAGCAATCATAGAATGTTTAAGAGTCCAACAAGAGAAAATTAATTGTATTATGATGGCAACCATGAAGATTAATATGATTAAAACTATAAATTCACAAGTGGCAAATAGAGCATTAAAAAAAACCTAAAAATAATATTTACATATTATTGTTCATATGGTGATAGAACAAATACTACAATTCTAAAATCAAATAAGTTTAGAAGGTTAATGATAGAATCATAAATAATTGATGATGATAAGATAACTTAGAAATATATTGATCTTTTATATACATAATATACGCAAAATAAGACACCAATGGATTTTAACAACTTTTGCAATATTTTAGCTAAAATTTCTTCTGAAAAATACAAATAGATGCTTCCCGCTTAAGCATTAATAAATGTAATAGATAAACATTTTTGGGGATTATTTAAACATATTATGAATGATACAGAGTTAGGAAAGGATTTAAAGTAATTTGAAAACCCCATTCATGAAAGTGTAAAAACTTCTGCCAAGCATCTCTTCTTCATATTCAAAAGAATCTATTTAGTAAAGAAATATTTTTAATTAGATTTATTATTCTAAACGAATGGACGAATTAGATTGTATAAATCATACAATTTTTGATATTCGTTAAATAAAAATTAACTAAATGCTTTTTTATATATTGATATAAATTAAAATTTTTAATTATTCTAAAAATTCAAGGCATATTTCTCTTGGGAGCCAACTAATTCTTTTAAGCTTGCAGATAATTTTAAATAATCGATGAATGGTTTATTTAATTTTCTTAAAGATTTTGATATTTTCCCAAACTTAATGACCAAATCAACTTCTTTCTTATTATATGACTAATTAGTTGAAACTAGCAGTAATCAAATACTAAGTAACAATGTAGGAATAAATACAACAGTTGTAAATCCTTTTGGTTACGATGATATTGGAAAACTATTTACATTAAATAAATTTATTACATTTATAATCAAAACTTCAGAGATAGCATTTAGTAAAATACCAGAAGCTCAATAATTTTAAATGGAGCATCCAATTTAAAAATTTATTGCTCTTTTAGAAAGGATGGAGTTGAGTGAAGGATTTTAAAATTTTGAAAAAAAAATCCACTCTACTCATAACTCCACAACATCCCTAATACTTCCACCTGAAGCAATTAAAGAAGTAATTAATTAATTATCTATTACCATTTTTCTTTATAAGATATATTAAAAACTTGAAACATTTTTTTTTGTAAAATTTAATTGAATTATAAAAGAATAAACTTGAATTATTTGAATTTCTCGACTAATTCGATCAGCAAAGTGTTTTATCTAAATTTTGTCAATAAATTTATATTTTTTTGGTTTTAAAATTTGTCAGTATTATTATAATAATTAATTATTTTTGTTTAAAAATTTTTTAAATTGCAAAATACTAAAATTTATAATAATCTAACTCTAAAATACTTTAGATTTTGGACTAGTATAGAGAATTAGGAAATATTCAGTTGGGATATTAGCACTCCATACATACCCCTCAAAAAGAAATGACAATTAAATTTAATGAGAGTGTTGAAAAGTTAAATAAAATTAGTCCTGTGAGTTAATTTGATGACTAATATACAATGTCTAAGAGCCCAATATCTAAATAAAATAGAAAGTTATAACTTTTAATGAGCTTAGGTATTGATGATAGAGCCTTAGAAGTTTTCGAGACATATTAGAGTGAATTGTAATATACATTTATTTCATTTTGCTAATATGGAGAGCCTTGCAACACATAATACTTAAAAACAATAAAGCTAACAAAGCTATTAAAAAGTGCTGGTCTAATGAAAAAAAGAGAGCCTATAAATTATGTAATTTTGTTATTTTATGAATTTTGAATTCTTAAAATTAAAATATAGGAATAAGAAAGTTAACAGATTTCTCCTCAAAGATATTCAATCAGAGACAAAGATGAAAAATATGTTGATCAAACGTTCATTGATTGCCTTATTGCTAAATTAATAGGACCAAATTAAGTTAGGCAGTTTACTAATAAAATGAGTGAGTTTGATAGATAAATCACTTCTCCTAATATTGGATTTCTCAGCTATTCCAGCAACAAAACAGATAACAATGGATCTAAAGGAAAGCTTGAATATGAACATTTTTTAAAAATAATATAAGAAATCTCATTTTAACTTTATCCTGATTAAGATATTTATGACTCTGTTAATAAAGTTATTCAAGATAATATATTGAAGGCGTAAGTAGACGAAGATAGGTCAAATAATCGTAAAGTTTCTGAAAATTATTTAGCATTGCATAATGCGATTATAGAAGATAGATAAATAGTAAGCTTATTTTAATTTTGTTAAAAATAAATTATACATTATCTCAAAAAATAAACAGACTGACTTAATGGTAGGTATTCATCCTAATCTTAGTAGCTATTTTAAAAGATATGCATTCCCGAAAGAAACAAAAATGAATTTGGATTAGTTTTTATAATTCTGTAAAGATTTTGATGTATATCCTAATTTAATGCCTAAATCACAACTCCATTACATTTTTACTGCTCTTTCCTTCATATACAAGCAGTAGAATGGTTAAAGTGAATCAAAATAGCACTCTATTTATTAGAAAGGAGAAGATGATAGCACAGATTATATAAACCCTTAACTATTCACAGAAGCAATGGTTCACTGTGCAATCGAAATTTATACTATAGAAAAAGAATATGTCAATAGGGTAATTAATTTTAATAAACCAAATTAAAAGTAAAAAATAATTTTTTAATAAAAGATTCTTTTGTTGTTAGAAAGAATGAATAGCTCAAATGGTCCAAAAATAATGTTGAAATCATTAGGTTTGACAAGGTAAAAAAAATATATTATTTATTACTAACATTTTTATTTCAAATAAAAATAATTAAAAAAGTGCAAAGACTACTTAATGGGATTTGCTTGCTCATGTTAGAAAAAGATATTAGTATTTCTATGACTAAAAAATGATGACAAGAAACTAACACTAAACCCGTTTATATTAAGATTAAGATTTAAATAATTTTGATTAGCTTCTAGATTTAGGAGTGAAAGAACAAAACAAAGAATATGTTAATTTTTGATTCAAATTTTGAATAGTTCTTGTTAATTTGATAGATTGAATAAATTTTTAAATACAAATAAGGAAAAAGAAATTAATGAATTTATTTTAATTATGTTTAAAATCAACACAGAAATAAATTTATGTAAAGATAGATGTATAATTTATATATATATATTTTATTTTATTAGTAATTTAAGTGGAAGAAAAACAGTTAATAACAAAAATATTTATTGTTAATGTGAAAAATCATTTTGGAATTATTGATTGATCACATTAAAATAATTAAATACTATTAATACATTAATTACTCATTTAATTATTGGCCAGTTTTATTTTTTGTAATTGCTGATTGATATAAGTTTTTTGTGCATTATTTGCTTTAGTTGAATAGATAAAAACATATTTAATAGCAACAATAAAATTTAAAATACTGCAATTTAGTTAAAAGTTAAAAATGAAATCAGCTTAAAATATTTCTAGATAAGTAAAATCTCTTAATTGATGCTCAATTTACATTAGATTAAGATTTTTTATTTCTATTAAGTCATTTAGCAAAGTCAGTCTTGATAATTTCAATCCATATAATCAATTGCAATAAATTGATAGGTAATCAATAGTTCTCCTTTTTATTAATTCATGGATTAGAATCAAATATTTCACAAATTAAATATATTAGTCCTAGGAGCATTAGAGCATGTTAAAGGGTTGGTATACACCCTTCAGATTTATTTGTTCCAGCTGAAAAGATTTTACAGGCTTAATACCAAAATGAAAAATAATATGCGCCAAATTTGACTTTGGATTAATATAAAAATTATGCAGAAATTAGAAGATAAAAAAAGGTTTAAATGGTTTAATAAGTAAAATAAATTTTTAATTTGTTTTTCCAAAAAAAAGATAATTATATTTATGTTTTTTAGATGAGAAAATAAGTAGGAAGAGAACTTAAACAAGAAGAAGTGCTCCGATCAACAGGTCATTAAACTAGATCAGATATGGATTTTAATAAAATTTTAGAAAAAGAAAACTAGCATTTTTAGTAAAGAGAATAAATTATGATTGATAAAATTAGAAATAGATAGGTATCTATCAATTTGTTTATATGCTTAAACAAATATATTATAGAATTATATAATATTTATATTTTGTATTTATGAAACAGAAAAAAGAAATAGCTTAAATGCTTAATAGTGAATTCAAGATATAAGCTATCAAAGATAAAGCTGAGTTGAAATAGCAGAAAATGTTAAAAATGGAAGAACAAAGAGAATAAATTTTTGAATGGAGACGCTAATAGGTCTAATTAATATTGAGATACTTTATATTTTACAATATGTAATTTATTATAAAAGGCTGAAATAAAAAGACAAGAGATGTCTTAAAAGTTAAAGTATAAAGAAAAGCTTGACAGTATAAAAATAAAAGAATTTCAAAAAAAAGCAGAAGTCAAAGTATTTATTTATTTTTTAAATTATATTAGCTTTAAAATATTTTAATTTTATACAATTATTAGGAATAGGCATTTTAAAGCTCTAAAAAAGAGAAAGAATTAATTAGGTTAGGAATGATAGAATCTAAAGAAGGATATAGAAAGCAAAAAAAGATAAGATTATAAGAATAAATAAAAGTATTTTAGAGATAAAAGGAAATAGCTTTTAAGATGCAAAAAGAGGAAATAGAAAAGAAAGAACATTAAAGAAACATACTTATACATAGTATGTATGAATAAAGGAAAGAAGTTAATTTTCAAAAACGAATTATGTATGAATAAAAATTAACATAAGTGAGGTAAATAAATATTTTTATTTTAAAAATAACAATAAAATATTTCTAACTTAAATTAAAAAAATTAGGAAATTTGAAAAATAAAAAGTAGAAAATGCTAGATAAATTGTAAATTCTTTTGATAAAATAATATTTTTTTTATTTTTTTTTAGTATTTGTAAAAAGAAGATGCCAACGAAAAAAAATAAATGGAGCTTTAAAGAATTAAAGAAATGGAAATATTACAAAAATAAAGCTGTCAATTTCAAAAGAGCTAAGTTGTTTAAAAAAATTAAAAAGAAGTAGAAAAGCAAATTTTAAGCAAGAATTTAGAATATTTTTAAAAAATGGAAAAAGAAACCATGTCTGTTTAATCTTAGTTGCTATAATCTAAAAAAATTTATGACCAATCACTTGCATCTGAAATAGAAAAGTAATTATTTTAAATTTTTTTTAATTTAAAAAAATACTTAAATGAGTAATAAAGTTACTTTTAAATATTAAATGAATAATAAAATAACTGTTAAATTTTTATAAGACTAATGCTTAAGCAGAATAGACCAAAAAGTGCCTCAACAATGAATTTACATAGCGCTAAAGATTAAGACTAATTGAGAGATAGGTTAACTCATCAGCTAGATGAAAGAGCAGAGTATATTAGAACTATGCAATTACTTAATTAAAAGTAGAGGGCATTAAAAGAAGACATAAAGTTTTTGTAGGTGAGAGAAAATCAAAAAATAATTAACAATAAGAGAAAGCAATATCTATTAGCTAATATCTAAAAGATAGAGGCAACGAAAAAGAAGCTAGAAGATAGAGAACTTGAAAGATAAAAAATAATTTAAATGAGAAACGATATGCAGAGAGTATTAAGCCACGAAAAAGAAGTACTTAAAGATCAATTTTAGAAGAGATCATAAAAAAATAATATTAATTTGCATCAGTTAGCAGAAATGTATGGAGTAGGTAAATTTAAAAAAGCATTTTACAAAACAATCTATTTCTTTATTAATTCTATTACTTTAATAAAAGTAATAATTTGTTATCAATTTTATAATTTTTTTGAAGCAAGTGGGTAATTTTAATTATAATTAAGGTTATCTTATTGTTATTATTTTAGGTTATTTTTTCTATATTAATACAATTTACTTGCTCATAATTTATATTTAATCTTTACGTTTTGGCTTGACTTTTTTTATTATTAACATTATTTACAAAACTTCAAATAGAAAAAAAAAGCAGAATTTTATACCCAAATTAAGAATGTTAAAATGAAATCAAGAATTAAAAAAATTAATTACTTAATTTGCTTGTTATAACAAAATAATTATTAAAAATTCAAATAGTTTTTAACATAAATTCAGTTAAAATATTTTCAAAAAATAATAAATTTTATCTGAATCCTAGTTCTTCATAAATTGTAAGCAATAAAAAAGATGAGCAAAAGTATAAACATCAATTTTTATTCAGTATTTAAATTTTAATAATTTTAAATTGAATAAAAATTTATCTTAGTATGTAATTTTTTCTTTCAATCTATTTTGGTTTCTATTAAATATATATTATTGAATTATCAAGTTATTAACTAATATCAATCAAAATTTTTCTCCAAACAGTCTTTTTAAAGTAAAAACAGTAGATTTCATACTTTTGTTAATAACTTCCGATATTAATTGAAAAACAATAGTTAAGGTTAACTTTTTAAAAGACATAAATGGCTAAAAATAAAAATGAGCTACCCTAGAATTTTTTTTACTATGTGTTATAATAAATACCCAATTTTTAAAACCTAAAATATAAAATATCTAAGATTTGGTTAAGCATATTCCAGATGAATAAAGTTGATTGAAATTGTAATTTGAAATGTAGAAGAAACAAAAATAAACTAATTATACAAAAATATTTTTTATTTAAGCTGTTCAAATTAATTTTATGTTTTTTTATACATACTATGAAGAACTTTTTGTGTTACTTAAAATGATTTTAACCTATTTATCAATATATTTTAGAAGTAAGACCTCAGTCAAGATGAAGAAGTACATGATATAGATACAAAATAATTATATAGCCTTAATTCCTAATTCATATAAAACTATTACTTAAAAAAATATATACAATAAAAGCTTGAGAGAATTAATAACTACGCAATTATTGGAAAATAAAATGATTTATTTACTAAGTAAAAAGATATTTTCGAAGCAAATGATTTAGCCATTTATAATCTTATACAAATTTAGATGCAATTATTTAATTTTATCATGTAATATTATATTAGTAAGTATATTTTAGAAAAATTGTATTACATAAATCATTTCAAGTAACTTCATAAATCTCATATTAATGGAGTAAAAAAACATATTTTTCATTCTGAATTACTTTTTTTATAACTGGAAAGAAATTAAGCAAGGGAATGGCATGGCCATAGTGTGAGAAGTAAAATTAAGTAGGAACTTGCGCTAAATTCTTTTTCCAACCCTTAATTCTAAATGAGTCTTTTTCAACCATTTTTTATTGGTTTTCTATTTAGGGAGTTAATAGGAATTTCTCAGAATCGGAATATTAAATACAAATGAATTTGTAAGATTTATGGATATTTTCCGGATAATTTAACATGAATTTTTTTTGTTTAAAAATAATTAACAATCTGTACACTAAACATATAATCATTAAAAATCAATTAAAAACCAAATATAAATAACTAATTAAAAAAAAGCAATCATTTAAATCCTATAATTTTAAAAGTATAAGGCAACATAATTATTAACCAAAAAACCTTATCTTAACAACTAAAAACTATCTTTATACTGAATATCCACACTAAACAATCTCTCTCTATACAAACGAAAGTTTTATATCTCTTTTAACTCTTAGGAAAAAAAAAACTCAAAGTGATGAAAGACTTAATGAAAAATTCTTGTGAAAGTAGCACTACCTTGAATGAAGTGTTTAGTGTTAAAGATAAAAAAACCAAAGTCAATTTAAATAGTATTTACAAGAAGATATTTAAAATGAACAAAACATAAAATTAAAAGAAAAAAATCATGAAACGTGAGGAATACGACCGTGAAATGTAAATGAAACACAGAGATGATTATGGAGCTATTCCTATTCGTCGTACTCATTAACAACAGCCTTAAGGTACTTCTTACTATCTTTGTGGAGGTGTTTCTGTTGAAGTTGAATCTATGTAAACTGAATAATAACCAAAAAGTGAAGTACTTGCTAACGGCTCTCCTTCCATGCTTAACTAGTTCATGCAAGTCCTTGGTGTCGAGCTCTTTGAAGAGTAGGGATTGGTTGAAGTTAAAATCCAAAACACACAAAAAGGTCTAACCAACTTTAAATTTTTGTCTGATATCTTGTCTGCTTCATCCTCTGAATAAATGAAAACCTATGGAAACGACATTGAAAGCTATTACAATTTTATTTAGAATCTACTTCGCAAAAAGAATATGTGTGAACAAGTTGAAGGCTTCAATAAATTTTCTGAAATAGTAAGCAACAAGTTTGACGAATTTGATAAATTTTTATAGAAGACTGTATAGAATGTAAAGAAAAACCATAACATTTTCACTTACAGAGTTTATAAATTTGACTTATTTGATTTTGAATTCAAGATGAAGTCTTACGGATACTCAGAAGATTTCATAAAAACCCTAGGCTACAATGGAGTTTAACAATTTAAAGGCTAAATCATGCACTAAGGCCTTCCCGAGATTTTTACCATGGAAACAAGATAGAATGTTGCTAAAGCTCACATGAAGCAAATCTCTTAAAAATAACACTAATTAAACAATATCTAATGCAAACTAGTCTCTTTAGACGGTATTGAAATAGACACCCACTTAGATATGATGCTGATTCCCTTCTATGATAGCAACACTCCTATATACAATAACTTATTCGATTGTTCTGCAATGATAGAAATAAGTACTTATGATATTTCAAAGTCAGCTCTAAGATAAGTTATCAATATGCGTCGCGAAATCAACTACGATTTCAATGATGCTATTAAGCAAGACATATACTATGAACTAGAAAGTTAATTGTTTGTAGATAAATTTTACAGCAACTCTCCTCTAAAAATTAAAAAATAATAACCCCTAAACTCTTAATAAAACTAATAATAAAATTAATAAGCATATGAATTTGCATAAACTTTAAATATATCTCCTGCTATGGTCAAATAATAATCATAAAACAACTGTGAATCCTATTGTAACTCTGCCAACGAAGACACTTCTGCTGACACTGGCTTTGAACTATCTCAAAACACAAATTTCAAATAAACTAACAAAGTATGCGGCTTTAGATATGTTACATTACAAAACTGATTGATTGATTGATTACTTTTCTTCTGAATGTACTTAATATTTATTTAATAAAAACCTGAAATATAAAAACAATTACTTTCTCAAATCAAAATTAAACCTTTCACATCAGAAAAAAATATCTTTTCAATATAAATAATTCCATACAATTAATTTAGCCAAATATTGGCTATTTATAAACATCTCTCTCCTTATCCTCCTTATATTCTTAGCAATAATATTTACTAGATTATTACAAAATAATTTTCCTATATCGTATAATATATAACTTTATAATTGTTTATTACTCTCTACTGATATAATTTCAAAAAATCTTATTATTTATTACTCTCGCTTTTACTTTTAAAATAAAATAAATATCTCTTTCATAAATGTTTATTTTATTCTATAGAACAAATACTATATAGAAGTTTTTCCTTCTTTTGTATTAAAAATTAGTGAAGTAGGTAGTTATTCTGTCAATTTTATTTATTTTATTGATAAAATTAGACTGCAATCATAAATTATTGAATGCTGTAATAAGTACTTTGCAGAAGTTTAAATAGGATCTTATTCAAAGCCCTCTAATTAATTTACTTTTTGTGATTAACAAAAATTGGTAACATTGATTTTACTAATCTGAATGTAACAATAGATTAGGGAGATAGTTTTCTATGTTTAAATATTTATTATTTAAAGAAATGTTCAATGAAAAATTATCTAGGAGAATACTTAAATTTCGAGTTTTGATAAATTATTGATAAAGTAGGATTGATCAAAAAAACATTCATAAAAGATGTAATTGAATGTAATTATTTGAACTACTATTTTTAATTACTAATAAATCCTAATTAATTTCTTGCTAACTAACTTAATTATTTCTGACGAACCAAAAATGAATCCTAGCCATTTACACTAAAATCTTTATCTGAATCAAGTTTTTTAAAGTCAGAAAATAAAAGTGAGTACATTATGGTATTTCAAATACCGCTTTACATAAATATCTATGAATTAGTCTAAAAAAATTAAAATAACGCCTCTTTTATAATCATTTTAAAATCATCATTCATTTACATGAAATATCACTAACTAATTTTAATTTCTTATTTTTGTAAGCAAAAATTTTTTTTAAATTAGTTTGAATTTGTTTCAATCTAGATAAAAGCCAAATAAATAAATTTTAATGTAACTTTGCCTAATATTGTTTGAAACATTTAACAAATTTTTCTATTTAGAATTTTTATGATAAAGTATAATAAATTTTACTTATATTCATATAATTCTATGAAAATTTACAAATATTATGATTCCTTGTTTCTTAATCGATAAAATAAAGTAAAAAATAAAAATGTATTTTTATTAGTTATTTTTGACAAAATGAATATTATAAAAAAATTTCTTACAAAGTTATTACTTATCTCAATATGTTACTAATTTTTGTTAATTAAAAATAAAGAATTTATTATTCAAATTAAAATTAGTACTTTGCTAAATTTAGATCTATAAAAATTTACACCCAAACGTAATAATTATCTATTTTATTTCAAATAAATAATTTATTTGTTTAAATTAATTCAAATATAATTAGAAGAATCAATTTGTTTTAATAACAAATTTATCAGTGAAATCTAATAAAAAGAATTGTATAAATTTTTTTTCTACGATGCTTAGCGGATTATAAATTAAATTTTTTAATTATACATTTTTATTATTTTTCAATTCTATTTAACCAATATTAAAAAATATAATAAAAACCATTAAAATTTTAAAATTAAATTTAATATAAAAATATTCCTTATTAATAGTGATTTTAAATAAATTAATTAGCAAAATGCCTTTAAATGATATTAATTTATTTTATTTACAATTTTTTATTAAAATCATTTAATAATTTCTAAATAACTAAATAAAATAAATTTAATATTAACATCATATATATATGTATTTAGATAGTGAACAGTTCATTTGTATATATTTTTGAAATGAATGAAGAATTTTAACTATTTAAGTTGTGAGAATCATTGTATTAGTTTTAATTAATTTATTCAAAGCTAAATTTATTATGGAAAATAATAATCTATTAATTTTAAATTTATTTTTTTAAATTAAAAAAGTACCTTTATAAATCTAGATTCAAAAAATATTATTTTTCAAATATTCATATTTTTTCAAATTATATTATTAGATGTTAATAGAAAATACTAATTTTATCAATTATAAAATTTATCTTTATGTCAAAGTACATTATAGTCTAAATTAAGGATATGAAAACTATGTATTTAAATCAATAACTAATTGAATTTTAAGTTTATTATTTTTATTTGACTATTCTATAATAGAAAAATTAAGCAGAATTTTAATTTTAATTAATTATAAAAAAAATAAAAATAAAAAGTAATAAATAAAATTAAATTGGATTCCTTAAATTAAGTTAGATATTATTTTGATTCAAAATAATTAATTTAAAATGATAATAGATTATCAAAGATGATAATTTAAAAATTAATTATAGAATTATTAAACAATATATATTTATTATGAATTAAATTTATAAATATTTAGAATAATTAAAAAAAAAATTTTAACAAAAAACAAAATTTTAGTTAATATCTTAATTAATTATAACATGATAAATAATAATAAATCAATAGAATTTTAATTTTAAATGTTTTTAAAATTATTAGAAAATTAAATTTCTATTTTTAAAGAATATTTATTTATCATTATTCCTTTAGCTACCTACATTATAAAATTTAGAAAATCATTTACCTAATTAAAGGCTAATTAAGAGTCATAAATTCAATTTTTTTAAATTATTTTTGGGTTCTAATATTTAAAAAAAAATAAATGAGTGTTGTCTTTCAAGTTATGTTTATTTGGCTATTGAAGCTTGATAACTTAATATCTTAAATTATTTTAACTAACTTATTCAATTTTATTATACAATTTAAATTTATTTAGAACTAAATTTTCTTATATAAAATTTTTAATATAATAATTGCAAAGCAATACTTTAAATCTCATTTATACTAAAATAATAATTCTCTGTGTTCCATAATAAAATAATTTTTAAATACTCTCAAATTTAATAATTTTAAAATATTAGCCAAATATTATTTGTTGAGAAATAACTTTATATTCTTAACTCAAAAAACAATAAGGTGCATTTTTTACAAAAAACCTTGAGCAAATTTCAAAAAATATATTGAAAATTTAACAGTTTTATATTTAATTTTGACATATTTTTTTTACAGGCAAAATTATTTCATAATTCTAGAGAGATTTACCATGCTAAAAGTATTCATATAGGGAGTTTTTATAAAAAAATATATGAAGAGTTTATATTTAGGATAATATTAAGATAATTATGTAAAACTCATATTGGATTTTTTGATGCAAGTTTCAAAAAGCTAAATAAAAATAAATAGTTTAAAATTAACAATTAAGATTTTATTTTAATTTAATTATTGATTTAACACTCTGTTGTAATAAATTTTATGATAGAAATAATAAATATAAAATACTTTGCATAAGATAAATATTTCATAATATAGTCGAGAAAAAATTTAATATTTCGGATTAATTTTTAAATGAAAAAGATAAATTATGTAAAGATTGCAATAATCTATTTATAAAAAATAAAAATTTTTCTCATGTTAATGTTTATTTTTTTAAGCTGAGATACTTTAATTCTTAATAAAAAAATAGTTAAAACATGAATAAATCAGATTTTAATTTTTTTATGACAAGATATATCCTAAAATAAATTCAAATTACAGTCTAAAGTGATATAATATCACTAATTGCAAATTTAATTATCAAAATAAAAAATATTGACTTAAGCTATCAAAACAACATATGTAAAAAGTAGAGTTAGGCAATTAATTGTTTTTACTATTTGATCAGCAAAACGATAGAAACATATTTGGATTTGTTATAAAGAATTTAAATAGATGGAAGAGATTTCTTTATTCATTTTTTTATTATTATTTTTTCTATTAAGTAGAGGTGATTTGATTTTTTTTCTGTTTATAATAAATTATATAAAAGGTTTGTATGATTTTACTAAATCAAAGAATTAAAAAGTAAGAAAACACTGTAATAGCATTTATACCAACTAGCTTTTATTTAATATTTACCTCAAAATCATACTTCAAAAAGTATTTGGTTTAGGAAAATCACTTATAAGCCTTGAATAAAAAATGTCTAAAACAAGTAATATCACTAATTAATGCAATAAGCCATTTTAAATAGAGTATAATGATGAATGGACTTACTGTACAAGCTCTCACAAATCATAATTAAATGAAGAAGATAAGCATCATAAAAAACTAAAGTTACCAAAAGATAAAATCAAAAACAGTGAATAATAAAATTTGAAACAAAAGACTTCTGCCATTAGTTAGAACACTAAAAATTCATAGGATTGCTAAATAAACCAATTTAAGCAATAAATTAATGCTGAACCTAATTCGAAGCATGATGCAACATAAAATAAGAGCAAAAAAGAAAAAAAAAACAAAGTTATTTATGTAAGAAAAAATCCATAGCCCGTGTAATGTGATATCCCTCAATTACAAAATTGTTAATAACAGGATGAAAATATTTAAAAATGCTTGGAAGAATAGGATGAGCAATAAAAGATCTTAGAAATAATGAGTCAAATACAAAAGTTAGTAGAAACTGAATATTCTAAAGTTGAGAGTAGCTAATAAGACAATTAATAAATTAGTGCATTAAATACAGATAAAATAGAATCCTTAAGTGCTAATGAAGAGAACACTCGTTTAGAAGCAGATGTAAGTGAAAGAATAAGTACTGAAAGTAGGAAGAAATCTGAAAGCAATAATGAACCTGTTGGAAATGTAGAGTTTAATATATTTTTGTAAGACAGAGAGTAGAAATTATTGTAAGACTAGCCAAGTCAGGTTAAGCAGCAAAAAGGAGCTAATCTCTTTTACACACCTTAAAAAAAACTAAACAAAAAAACAGATGTACAACAATACTATTACTAGCAATTTTCTAAGCGTGGTCTCTATAGTGCTCACCACCGTAGAAATGACGAAGAAGAAGGATCTCTTAATAGACATTTTACGCAATCTCCTGGCTTTACACGTTAAAAAGAAAATCAAGAAGATATAAAAGTTAGAAGGTAGGAGGATAGACTAAAAATGCTTACATCTGTGCTGAGTCCATAAATTGCTAATATAAATGGATATCTTGATATGGGATGCGGAAATTGTGAAATAACAGCTTAAATTGGTAAAGTTTATGGGGCAAAATACATCGTAGGATGTGACATTTATTCTGAAGATCAATTTGTTCGTCCAGCAGATACTCCTAGTAATATTTAATTTACTTATATAGCAAACAAGAAAGACAGTCTACAACCTGTATAAGACAAAAGCTTAAATCTAATTACTTGTTTCATGGTTTTACACCATATTGAAAATCTTGATACGAATCTAAAAGAACTTTAGAGAGTTATTATAGATGGTGGTTATTTATATATAAGAGAGCATGATGTTCCATAAGAAAATATTGAGCTGGATAAGTATTTGAGATACAAGCATGAAAGATTTGATGACTGTGGTTAATATATGAAGTTTTGGGGAAAAAACGAGTTGAGAAATAAATTAAGTTAATTTGGATTTATTCATAAAAGTGATTCTCTTTACGAAGATGATCGCCCAAACAGACAAAAAGTGTATCACAGTCTATTTTAATTTAGTAGTGAGCATCTTAAGTAAGTGAATGAGCAACTTATTTCAGTTTAAATATCTGAAGGACACCAGTAAAACCAGTAAAATACCGAATAGCAATAACCAACCATAATTTCTTAAATAAATCTATCAAGTAATGATAAAAAATATAGTAAGAATTCAGAAACAGATTATAATTATGAAAATAATATCAAAGAAATAAAAGTAAAAATTTTTGAAATAGAAAATGAAGATTATGAAATTAATTCACTTTCTCAATCATCAACAGAAAGTGAAAAACTTTAAGAATAAATTTGCCTGAGCTAGAAGTCCACATAAGATAGTGTGCTCAACAAATCTAATAATAACTTGTTTTAAAAAAAATTTTCTACTTCTCCTCTAGCATCAAACTCAGTAACAACCTCAAGCTTGGACTAAGAATCTAATAGAGCGAATTCGTATAACAAAGATGAGATTAAAGAAAATAGTAGCTTTTATAACAATAGAAAAGAGTCCCCTCTAATATGGCGCAATCAAATAAAAAATCAGTAAGAGTAATTAAATGATTAGCATTCTAAAAACTGGGCAGATAAATATGAGAGTCATAAATACAATAAATATAAACAATAGTCAAGTAATTTTTAAGGTAACAAACATTAAACTCACTATTATAAATCTTACCAATACGATAATTAGTAAAACGATTAAAAAAGAAATGCATAAGAATTTTAAAACAAAAACTCACAAAATCCAAATTTTAAGTTTAAAAAATTTTAAAATGATTTTCAAAACAGCCATAAAAAGCACAAAGAAAGTTATGATTTTGAATTTGAGGATGATGATGAAGAATTTAATGATTCTTTCAAAAGAAAGAAAGAATAGACTAGGACTACTTAAAATAATAATAAGTCTTTATCTGATAAAAAAAATCACAAATAGGTCATCAAACAAACTAAACCTGTTTAACTTATTGATATTTTATCATGATTGATAACAAAGTGTTTATTAAATAAACAATTTATATGAAAAATACCAACAACAATTTGATTAAGACTTTCATGCCTATATAATACATTTGCTTTTTAGCAAAAAATAAGTATATTTTATAATCCAATTAAAAATTACCATTTTATACCAAATAATTTTCTATTTTTAAAATATAAAATTAAAATATTTATGAGCAATACTTTAATTAAGTAGCAAAAATCAATTAATATTTATATTATATATATAGTAATGTTAAATTTATTTAATATTATAAATTACTAAGTAAAATAAATAAATAATTTGTTCTATTTTACATACTATATTTGCTTTTCATTTAGCTCAATGAATCAATTTTTTAAATTTAAATCCAGTAAAGAAGTTCAAATTGAAAGTTATTTGAAGAAACTTAAAATGAATAAAACTTTATCAAATTCCTTTGATATTATTATTTTTGAGTTGATTTATTAATATTCTTTCCTCCATAGACAAAAGAATTAAGGAAGTACTTTCTGTATAAATTCAAATTAAAAAATTATATATAAAAGATTATAATTAAAATTACTTATGATATTTCCCTCTTTTAGCAACAAAAAAAATTTTATCTAAACGATAGCATGAGAAATTATTAACAAAAATATTTAATAAAATTACATTATTTATTCAAATAATAAAATATTTTTAATAAAATTAGTAAAATAATCTTGATTAAAAATTTGTTTAATATCAAAAAATGCAAAAAGAAGACTTTACTAAAATTTAATGTAAATTATTTTAATCCCTCTTTTTATTAATATTTTACCATAAAATGTACTAAAATACAATATAAAGAATATTAATATTTATTTAAAAGAGAGATAGTGAGATATTTATATTTTATGTTACAGTATATATAAAGAAATTAATTAGATTTCTAATATTAATTTTCAAATAATTTTAACAATCAAAGAGGAATATATTTTAGCAATTATTTTAATACTTTAATGACTTAATGTTAAATAATAAAAAAAAATGATTTTATAAATAATTTTTTTAATTGTTAATAGTAAATATAAAATAATTACACTTAAATATCTTTTTCAAAGTTAAAATAATAATTATTACTTAAGCTCATGAAATATAAAGTAATTAACCATGTTTTGACCGATTTTTATCATTATTTCAAAAATCAATTTTTGAAGTTCAAAATTTGAATAAAAAGAATTTTTGAAAAATAAATTGATTGAGTTATTAATAAATTGCAAAGAAGTAGCCAAAAGAGAGGATAATAATCATTCCGCCGATTGATTATATTATATTTATTTGTTTAATCATTAAGATTAGCTTGATATTTGAAAATATTTGATAGATAGATTCAAATGATATTTATATATGTATAATTTGTTATTAATATTAATTGTTTACACGCAAATTTAGGTAAATAATAAAAATAGCAACACAATTCTAAAATTTATATAATAAATAATTTAGAATTTTAACCATTTTTATAACAAGTTTAGCCATGCTATCGACTCCTAAAAAGAGTACATATAAAACAAAAATGGAAGAAGGATACGCCTCTCCTCCTTCTAAAAGAGACACCGAAAAAGCGAATAAATACCTTTACTCAAAGGAATAGTATATAAACAGTAGCAATACTAAGAAAAATAACTTCATAAGCCATTTTGATAACACAGCAAAACCACATTTACATGGGACTAATGAAAATTCTAAAACTAAAAAAACTTAATTTAACTTTGAGAGCATTGTTAAACCTAATTATGGAATTACTTTAACATAAACACCAAATGTTTAAAAAAATCTGCCTTCATATGAAAAAATTCCATAGCAAAGGCTTTTCACTTAATAGATAAATAAATATAACACTAAAAATGAATTTGATCATTCAACTCCCAAAAAATAGCATAATTATAAAAAATCTTTATTCTCCTCTGATTCGTAAGAGAGTAGTACTGAAAGAGAGAATGATAATCATTATTACTCGAATTAAAACAAAGAAAATGATTCTCATTCAAAGAATAAAAAAAATAATCGTAATCATATATTTGCAGTTTCTGAAGTTCCAGCATAAAAAAGGCAAAATTAAATAAGCCAACTTTAAAAGAGCGCAAGAAAAGTTAATCCTTTTACATCTAACGAGACACTAACAAATAAAAATTAAGTGATAGTGGCACCTTTTGATAGAGAAAACAGGCAAATGAACATGACTATCCATTAAAGAGACAATAAAAAAGTATCTATAAATGCTGTGAATCATCTTAATAACAATAAAAATGCTAATTAAATACTTCTCCCTTCACCTAAAGAGTTTAAATAGTTAAATTCCACTCACAAAATAGATCATTAGAGCCCTCATGTCAACTGTTTCACAAATCAAATAATGAATTCAGCTAATTAAAAGCATTAAATAAATAGAAGTAATACATCTAATAGCGATAGTAATAATGAATAAAATAATAATAGTATATCTAGCTTTAGTATAAATTCAGGTAGAAGCTGTAATTATGGTAACAATAATAATAGTAACAACATTCTCAATCAAACACCTTCAAAAAATAATAATTAGAATAATTCTAAAGCAAGTTCTTAACCTTTTTTTGAAGAAGAAATGGACAGATTTGAATAAGATTATGAGGTTCTATAAGTTTTAGGCAGTGGATTCTTTGGTACTGTTTATAAATGTCAAAATAGGATAGATAAAAATATTTATGCAGTAAAAGTGACTAAAGAATAAATAAGAGGAGAAAATTCTCAAAAATAGATTTTAAAAGAAGCTTAAGCTCTTGCATCTTTAAGTGCATGCGATGAGGTAGAATATATAGGTAAATTGTTTAAATTATTTTTAATGCAAAAAATAACTCAATTTTGTTGTGTTTTAGATTCTATAAATTCAAATTTAATTATAATTTTAACCAAATTATTTTATTATAAAAGTTTGTTATCATAGTGCTTGGATAGAAGACAGATAGCTACATTTAGCTATGGAATTTTGTGATAGCAACTTAGCAAACTTTCCTTTACCCTAACCTCCTAACTATAATTAGTTCTATTAAATGATTAAGAAAATTTTCTAAGATGTAGTTAAAGGATTACATTATTTGCATTAATAGAATTTAGTTCACCTTGATTTAAAACCTGAAAACATCTTATATAACAAAAAGTAAAATAAGTTTAAAATAGCTGATTTAGGGCTTGCTTTAATTGCAAATAAGGACAACGAAAAATATAACTAAATTGAAGAGGGAGATGCTAGATACCTAGCAAAAGAAATTTTAAATTATTATGAAGCTGTTGATCTTAAAAAAGCAGATATATTTTCTTTAGGGGCAATGATGTATCATCTAGTAACTTAAGAATAACTTCCAACCAATGGTGATGAATGGCTGCAAATAAGATAGGGGCATTTACCTAACTTAGACTCATTGAATTAATGTCCAAAAGAGCTGAAATAAATGATAAGATAAATGATGAATCCTGATCCAGAATTAAGATTATCAACATAAGAAATTTTAGATTCTTCATATATGAAATCACATTTAATTAATGAAATAAAATGGTAAAAAATATTGAAAAATTTACTACTCATCTCAATTCAAAAATTGGAAAAAAATTAATAAACCTAACAAATTACTAGAAGAAAATCACTTCCCATCCTTAAAAAAATAAATTTTATATGAAAGTAAAATTATTATTGACTTTAACAAATCTAATAACAACAACAAAATAAATAAACAAAGGACAATAAATATTTCTTATACATACTTTATAAAAAACCAAAATTAATTATAGTTGAAAAAAATGAATTAAAATTTTTGATAAAATAAAAAATAAATAAGTTTGAAGATAATATATTTATATTATTAATTCCACTATAAAATATTAAAAATTTAAAGTTTAATTATTAAATCATTCATAGATTATTTATAACCGTATTTATATCACATATAATTGTATTCAAATATCTTAAATTAACAATTTAAAACACAATTCTAATTGTTTTTTATTATTTGATAAAACTTAGCTTTAGTAAATTAAGATAAATTTCACATAAAAAAACTGATTTAATTAAAAAAATTATTTTATTCAATTAAATATTAAAGCTAACATTAATTTGTTAAGATTTCTAACATTATTAAAATAAATCAAGCTGAAATAAGTAATTATAATTTAAAAAACCTATTTAAATTTAGATATTAATTTTAATAAGCAAATTAATATTTTTATTATTAATTTATTAAATGATATTTTTTAAATAATTTAAATTTAGATTTTCAAATAATTAAATTATATTCTAACAATTAATTGGTGAAAATGATGAGTGAATAATTTAAAAATATGAAATAAATTGCGAAGAAGTCTTAATAATAATTAATAATAAGAATAAAAAATAAGATTGTTATTCAAAAATAAAAATTGTTTGCATTTAATTTTTTACGAAATTAATATTTAATTTTAATAATTTTTTTACTTGATAAATACTTTATACTAAGTATATGCTCTATTAATTATATTTGCTTCAAAATCCACTACGTTAACTCTTATTATCTCCGTTAACAGAAATATCAGGTTCAAAAGGAACTTTTTTCTATTCAGATTCAAGATAGCGGCATTCAGCTGGTTCTTCAGCATAAAAACTGATAAACACTAAACCAACAAAAGAAGTAGCACTGAAAACAATAAAACTAACTGGACTGTAAGTATCCATTTAGATAAATCCATAGTAAAATACTATGATAGAAACGAAGAAACCAAGCCATAAACCAAAATGACATATGACGAGACCCTTTTCAAGGAACTTCTAAGCACAGAAAGAGTAAATAGCTTATAAAAAGCAAATATTAATTAATAAGTGGAAGGCACAGAAAATACCAAAAGTATCAATATTATTTTTAGTGAAAACAGCTAACAAACCTTAGCAAATAATTGTAGAAATCAAACCTATTTAAGCCCATCTGATACGAGTATATCTATTAACAATAAAGAAAGCAACGACTGATCCAACTAATCCACATAAACCGATCACAAGAAGCAACCAATTTGATAAGCTTTATAAATTTTCATTACCAATAGTTATTTATTGGGTATTCATAAATATCTAACATCCAGAAGTTTATGCAAAGAAATTAAGTAAAAAGCCTTCAAAGACCTCTTTCCAAAATTTAGGATTAGATTTATTTTCAGGCATGATGTATGACTAGTTATATTTCTAGACAACCTAGGAACGTATAGATTACTCGTCGTGAACACTGTAAAGCTTATGAACACTTGTAAGGAATTTATCTCTAGGTTATTAGAATCTGATGATTTCAAATGGAGTAGAGATTCTAAATACAGTCATCAAAACTATTCCTCTGATTACAACTAAGCAAAGTGTTACGATTAAGAAAGCAAGTTATCCATTGCCAAATTCCTTAGCATTAAAAGCACCAGATGAAGAGTTATAAATGCTATTAAGATTAATTTATGTTAACTAACTAACTAATAGACCTATGCAGTAATAAACTTAATATATACTCATGTGTTTAGCCTTTTTATAAAATATATTTTAGTATAATTAATATAATAAATTATTAATTTTGCTTTTAAATTTTGCAAATAAAATTTGATAATTTTTTTTATTTTCATAATTGAAAAAAAATAGGAAAAAAAGCTAATATGTTTAATATGTTGGTTTAATTTCCTTAAATAATAATTAAATATCAAAACTTTTAATAAGATTAGTGAATTTGGGTGATTCAAAATGTTTAAAATAGAAAAAAAATAGAATTTATCTAAATAAACTTATTGATAATATCAGAATAGGATATATGATTTAAAAGTTTGAAGTTAATTAAAAAATATATAGCCAGTTTCAGTCAATTTTATTTGATACTATGGAGCTAAAGACAAAATTAAGTTATAAGTTGCTTAAAATATGTAAATTTAGATAATTTTTTCTTATTAATGTAGCTTTAGTTACTTTGGTTTACTTTAAATGTGTGATTGGAATTCGATGATTTTTTATCATTAAATAAAAAATTAATTAATTAAAACATCATGTTAAGCCTTAATGAGTCAAATTTACTTGAAAATTTAAGAGTAATGCACACTAAATTTACATTTTTCAAAATGAAAATTGTTATTATACATTATATGTAACTTTAATTTTTAAGTTAAAGTAGAAAAAAATGCTAATTAGTTGTTGATATGGCTAAATAAAATATATATTGGAATCATCCCATTTGAGTATTTTGAGTTTTTATTTAAGAGTAATCTTAAATGTTTATTTGAAATTTTACTCTCCACAAATTTTTAATAAGGGAAATTTTATTAAAAAGTATATATTTATGACATCACAAATCAACTTCTTCCCTCATTACTTAAAGTGTAACATAATATCTTATCTTTGGCTAAAATACAAATAATATATCTTTCTTTACTAACACTAATTCATCCTTATAAAATGTAATTTTTTTCAAAATGAATGTTTACCAAGTAGCTTGAGTGAGGGACAAATTCCTTAATATCAAGAAGCAATGCAAAGATACATACACTGACTGAAAGTCCTAAGAATACAGAGCATATCATATAATAGCTATATGTTAAAAATGCCGCACCGATACCAATAGCATAAACAAAGTCAGCAAAGACAATAATTTTACGTTTATTCATATTTTAAGACAAACCAAATGCCATTCCTAGTCCAAATACTGTTCCTAAACAAAATAGATACATATGATTAACAGTATCTGCATAAACCATGAGCTAAGTTAAAAGATTGAAAGCAACTGCATGGAAATAACCACTCATTGTGAGAGTATGGACCAATGCATGCAACCACTTGCTCTCAAGGTCAACCTTTTTGCCATTTGAAAGCTATGAAATTTAGCTTTTTTGATCGCTCAAATCTTTTACAATCAATTTATCTTCCATTTTGTCAATTATTTTTTTAACCAAATTTTTTACTCCTTTTTGTTGATTAGGATTTTGATCTACTTTAAGCTTTAAATAGCAAAAATAAAAAGTATTTAATGATGATAAATTCTTAAAAGCTTTAGAAAAGATCAGCGGGCACTTGTAAATTTAATGATCTTTTTAGTGGAATGAGGTAAATAAAATTATTTTACATTTTTAGAATTGAATTTTGTTGATTTTGAGCTTGGGTTTTTGATTTATTTATATAATATTGTTTAAATATTCTTTATATCTTTTTCTTTTAATTATTTTTTCAATTAAATTAGTATATGTAAAGCATTAATTAGCATATATCCTAATCTATCGACTATAAGAAAATAAAATCAAATTGGATAGAATTGTGTGTGTATTTATCAAAAATAGTAATGTCATTATTTTTACAATCAATTTTATCTAAAGAGTATCAAGTGTATTTCTTTTACTCAATTATTAATACTTTTTCATATAAACAATTATTAATAATTTTATAATTTGCCTCATATTCGTCGTCATTAATTCTTCAATATCCCCTATTTTAATTATGTATTTCTTTTTCAATTTTAGTTGCCTTATTGAATAAATCAACTAATCAAGAATTCAAATATTTATATATTATAAACGAAACCCAATAATCTAATTTTGACGTCAAATATGTATTTCTTATATTAATATTTACTATTTAAAAACTACGTCTACTAATTTACTTTTTGTTGAAGCAACTAAACAATAAGTAGTTTCATCCAAACTTATCATTTATTTTATTTTAAGCAAAAAATCTACCCTTATTCGGTTAAAGCAAATAAACTAAAAATAAAAATGTAAGCTTATAAAATATAAGCATAATAATTAGGTTGTAGACAAATTTTACCAAAAACTCAGTCACATTTTTTAAATCGAATAATAAAAATATAATTCAGAAATTATTTTTTTTATTAGGAAAAGTGTTATTATTAATCTTTATGAAATTTTATAACAAAAACATGAACATTTTTTATCATATTTCAGAAGTATAAATGCTAAAAAATTATAAATATTTGTAATTTAAAAAATTCTAATTTGTGAAAATTTTTTTCTTTATTTAATTTAATTTTTTAAACGAAATAAATATATATCAAGCTATAAAATAGCCTAAACTGAAAAATTAAATATAGTTTACAATAAAAATAATAATTATTTTAGCTTTGGAAGTCGTTTTTATTTTGACTTTTTTAAGTATTTACCTATTAATATAAAATTCATTCTCTATAATTTATGTCATATTTTTATAAACATAACGCCATAATTGCAAATAAATTATATTTAAATTAATATAATATTAAAAGGAAATATAGTTATATATATTTATCTATTAATAGACATATTTTTAAATTTTGAAGAATTAAAAAGTTAATTGTTCATCTAAAATTTTATAAAAATAAAATAATACATTTATTCTTTGAAATTTTATCAAAATATATTTAATTTTTTAGCATTAATTCTTAATAAAGCAATTAATTCATTATTACTTTAGAAAAATAATTTATTTCTATTTCTTTGTTAAACAATCTAAATAAGAAATTTTACAAAATAACATTTGGTTTTAATACTTTAACTAATTATGCTCTTTAAAAATGATATTATTAATTTTAAATAGCTATCCCTTTAATTAATTTAAATTTACTTTTATCGTTAAATTTATTTTAATTTTTTGTTTCTAAATTTCTATTTTTAAAAATTTTTGTAAAAAATTTTCATTAAAACGGTAACTGTGGTGTCATCATATTTAGGTTTTGGTTATGAATGTAAAAAATATTTTGTATTGTAATCGATTAAACATTTTATAATTTAGTCTTGTTTAATTTGAATAATTTAGAAAAAATTCTTTAAATTGAATTTGAAATTTAAAATTTTCTAATTTATGGCTTTAGATATTTTCTACTTCTGAGATTAGAAGCATAGATGTTGTTAAAACTTTATATAAAAAATTAAATTATTAAACAAAAACTTTAAAGCTTTAAATTGAAGAATATTTATAAATTTAAAATGTTATTATAGGTTAAATCTATAAATTTGATTTGTAGTTATAGCGTATTTTGGCTGATTGTAAATTATGTTGTGTAATTTAATTTTTAGAAATAATAAGTCTTACACAATTTATTTAATATTTGGTCATCGAATTATCACAAAATTATTATTCTTGATAATACTTATTACTCAATTATTTAATTATTACAAATATAACAATTTTATTGCAAGATATTAATTTTAAAATAATTAATCTGTTATTCTATAATAAAATCATTAAAATAGAAAATTAAAAATTAGTATTGATAAGTTTATGGGAAAAGTAAAGGATAAATTAATAACCAAATAATTTTATCAAGAGAAGAAAATTTTTATTAAATTTGATATTTCTATTTGTAATTACTACCTACCTAATAAAGTACAGATCTTAATTTATAAATACTTTTATATTTTTCATAAAAAGCACTTATAATGAAATAATATTATAAATTACGCCGAAAATTGTTTGTAATAAATATGAATCAAAAATACTATTTATCGTTTAAGAATTATAACGATAATTTAGTATGAAATTTCATAGAAACACAAATTATTTACATTTTTTATAAGTTTTAATTTTCATGATAGAATAAATTTGATTCTATGGATATAATTCCAAAAAATGAGGGTTCATCCTTCTTTCATTTATTTACTTAATTTTCTGTATGACTAACAAGATAAGACTTATTGAATAGTGTCTTAGTATTTTTTTAAGCAAATTTAATTAACTGGTGATAAAACAATTTTCTTATAGAAATTAAATATATTTAAACAAACATAAAGTATTTAATTAAATATTGCATTTTATACTTCCACATCACATCAACCTTCCTCTTCTGTCTGCTCTTAAAAAATATTTGAAAATAAAATAGAAGAAATTTCTTTAAAAATATCACAAATATTAATCGAAAATATAACAAGCTATTTATTCAAATAGCTTCTAAAAGATATAATGTGTACTGTTTTTTGTTTATCACTCTGTATTTAATATTTTGTGCTTTGATTGCTTTGAGATAAAAATGGAAGCTAAATTGAAGGAATTTATTAAGATAAAACAACTAAGATAAACTTTAATAGTAAATTATATTAATGAATTAAATTTTGGAACATAGTGGTAATAGATAAGTATGAAGCCAATTAAATTATAAAGCTTATTAGCTTTAATTTTCTATAAATGACTGAAATTAATTTAATTTAATTTAATTTTTTTTGGAAATAATTCTATTTGATGATTTATACATTTTTTCTAACACTAAGTAACTCTATTCTAGGGAGAAGTTATTTATTGAAAATTATAATTATTCAGTGCACCTTTCCCACTTGTAATGACTGTCTTCCAGAAAGTATCTAGCATCGATAACTTTTATCCAGTATATATTTTAAAAGAATTCTTTTGTGATAGAAGAATTTAAGTATTTTTGTAATACTATTTTAAGGGTGGATTATTTAAAAGACTTTTAAATGGCGGGATTTTATTTTAAAGTACTTGATTACATAGTCTATTCTTCTATCCATATTGAGCTAGTGATATGCTAGGGATAAATGAGTTTTATGTTAAGTATGCTCTTCAAAGCAAATCCAAATTTAATTTTAATAAAAAAGCTCAATAATAAATCTGAATGTTGAAAAAAGATATTTGATGGGGAAAATGAAATTAGACTAGTAGAGAGGTGGCATGGTGGCAAGAAGGTTCAAAGTATTAATCTAATTATCTGTACAGCAAAAAAAGCTTTGTGAGCTATAAAGAGTAAATGATTATAATTTTACTATTAGGAGTTAAAAGGAAAAGTAAATAAATGATAGCTAATAATAAATAAAAAAGAAAAATTTATTATCCCCAGGAATATTATTAATTAATTATATCATATCTGTTTTTAGATTAATCGAACAAATTTTTTCCCTTTATATATTAATAAACAATTAAATCAAAATTTGTATATATTTTCAATTTAAAATAATTGAAAGAAGAATCTTAGAATGATAAATCACTAATTAAATTAATTAAATAGATCGATTGAAATGGGGAAGAGAAGCGCTAAATTTTTATTATATTTTATAATGCAAAAATTTACAGAAATCAAAAAAAAAAAAAAATTCTTTTGATTATTTTTATTGAGGGAAAAAAAAACAAAAGAAATGACAGATTCTTAAAAAAAACCCTAACTTAAAATGATAAATAAATTGAAATGTAATGAAAACAAACTTCTCAATGACATGCCAGAGCTCTCAACTTAGGAGTCACAGTAAAAGAAAAAGAGAAATCGCTTTAAAAATATAGACTGGGAGCAAGTGCTGGATTATGATAACCTCGTGTTGAATGACCAAGTTTATGAAGCTCCTTGGATGAGATGTACAAAGAAAAGAAAGAAATTATGCACATCTTTTGATAAAAATGACTCTACATCAAACATATAAGGAAGCTCATTCAGTTTAACTGGGTCAAACAGTAAAATTGACAGTATATCACTTTCTCATTCAAATGAACTAATTAGCCCTATGTCTTCATTAAAAATAATTACAACTGCAGAAAAAAATTGCAGTGGGGGTAATAAACCTAATGTATCAAAGTAATAGAAAAAATCTTCTGAAAAAGATAATCATTCAAGTAATGTTGCTAATAAAATGAAATAAGGTTTTTAACAATGCTCAAAGTAAAATGGTATGGATAATTCGTTTGATGAAGAGAATCTACCTAAAGGTGATTTAAAGGATAAACCCATTAGTAATATTAAGTAAACTCGTCAAAAGTCCTAAAAAGAGCGCGAATTAAAAGCTCAGTAAGGAGAAGATTTGACACAATAGAATAAATTAATCACTAATGAAACTCAGTTCTCTCAGTAGAAAATACAAAGTAAATCAGGGAAATCAAATAAAAGTAACTCTCTTAAGGCCAATGAGACTTCGATTAATACAGTTTCTAAAGCCATTAATACTTAAGATGAAAAAAATAAGTATTAAGATAATTCTTCCAACACTAACCATTCGTCCTAAATTAAAGAAAGTTCTCTTAACTTGCTAAAAACATAATATTGTAAAAAATTTTTAAAAAAATCTTAAAATGATTGTTCACAGGAGCCTTCTAGTGAAAAAAGCAGAAAGAGCACAGCTAATCAAGAGGAAACTAAAAAAGACAAGTGTATTAATGAAAACTTGAAAGTAGCTCTTCAGACTAGATCTCAAACCAAACGCTCCCCCACCTCCTCCCGTTTGAATGAAGATGCTCTTGTAATTAACTAATCATATGACGACAGTGATGCTTCTACAAGAGATGAAGACCACTAAGATAATCATATCAGATAGCCTCATATCAAAGATAGATCTATTAAAAATCAAACCTAAAGGATTACGAGAGCTGGTGTCATATCTAATAATGACTAATTACTAACTTTAAAAGAAAGTCCATAGACTAAATAGAATAAAAAAGATGGTGAAAACGAAAAATTTGGATAAACCCCAGAAAAAAAATCTAAAAAAACTTAAAATATAAAAGATGGTAGTAGTTCAAAACTTAAAAATGAGAAAGAACTTTAGCAAGAAAATGAAGAAAGCTAGAAAGGATAACAATCTTTGAAAGGAAGTAAAAATAAATAGTTAATTGGCAAATCATCTACTATTCAAGAGGCGGGTGATGATAATTAGATAGATAAAAACAAAAAATAAAAAAAAGATAATAACAATAACAATAATTAAAAGAAGAATTAGAGAGCTAATAAAAATTAATTTAATCTAAAACTCGATGAAACTTCAAACAGTAATTAAAATTCTTCACAAATAGAGTTAGAGTCAAACTCTTTTGAGTAAGCAGAGTTACAAGGATAAATATTATCTTTAAATCTTAATAAGTAAACCAGCTAAGCCTCTCTTAGAGGAGGACCTTAAGCTGAGTTGAATAGTTCTGTTGAGAATTTGTATGAATAAAGCATTCCTAATATTCCAAACAAAAAGTCTTAATTTAGTAAAAATATACCTCAGAATGAAAAAACATATTCAACTTCTTCATTAGATTCAGAATAAAATTTAGAAAAAATAGATGAAGAACTAAATATTGAGGAGTCAGGATTCGAAAACTCCAACAATAATGCTGCAGCTATATAGCAATTGTAAATCAATCAATAAGAAATTGACTTGGATTAGTAATAAGTTCCACACCTATACATCCGTAACTAAGACTATGCTACCAAAGTTGGACGTAGCTATTAAGCTGTTATACCTGAGTTAGGTAGCTACAATAATCAGTAAAATCACTTGTAAAGACTGGTGACTCAATAGAAAGTTTGGGGAAGAGATTGGATAGAAGAAAAATAATAAAAAATTATAGTGAAGTGTACCGCAACTCTAAAATAATGGTATGGAAATAGAAGAAATGAAGAATAATGCATTCAACATTTAATGCTTTTGGGGTTTGATGATAGTAAATATAATCAGTTTTTAGAAGAAAATCAAGACTATTTCTATAATATTTATAACTAATATGATGCTAAATTTATAAAGAAGAAAATTAAAAAGAAATCTTTATTTTCTTGCAAATGATCTTAATTTTGACAATAAAATCAACTAAATAAAATATAAAAAAAGCTCTAATATATAAACTAATTATATTAAAATTACTAAGCAATAAAATTATTTTATACTTTAAATCTTCTTAAAATTTATCAAAAATAAATAGAAAACTCCATAACTAATTATTACTTAGATTTTAATTTCAATTCTTCTTTATTTATAAACTTCTTACTTGAACAGAACTACAAAATTAATACTTCATTCAAATTTGCATAATTCTTTCTAACTTATTTTACATTCAGAAAGAACATTTATCTATCCACCTATATAAAAAAAAACAAAAAACTTAAATTCTCTGCTCTCAAACAAAGATTCATTTTCCAATTTAATCTATCTATAGCTTATTTTAAAATGCTAGCATTACTCTCTCTTGCTATACTCCTGCTGATTTGGCCAGATAATATAAACAATACATTAAAGAATCGAGTTAATTTTTCTTTCACTTAAAACTTTTTAAATATATTTAAATCTAAATAAAACAATTTAATTATTATAAAAAATTTAATTTATAATTTTAAAGAACAACCATTGATAATCTATACACTCATATATATTATATATTATATGTTAAAGTATATTCATTTGCAATTAAATTATCAAATCTAATTTCTTAAATTAATTTAAATATTTTTATCATTTTTAGGCCTTTAATAAATTATAAAATAGAGTTATTTAGTTTCTTAAACATATTCTCATAAAAATAAAATTAAAATTTTTAATTTGGAAAATATTTATTATAAAAATAAATGTATTATTCAGAGCATTCACTAACTACAATATCTTTTTATTCTGAAATTAGTTTAGTCTTGCTGAAATAGCAATTATTTAATATAAAAACAGTTTTTAAATTTGTAGACAATAAAATATTTAATTTAAAATACAAATATATGATGATGCAAACACTTGAAGAGAATTTCCTTAACTATTTTGTCAAATCGTGGAAAATTAATATTATTGTGCTTTCACTTTATGATAAAAAATATTAAGATTTAAAAAATTAAATTTATTGCTTGCTCATAGATAATAATTAAAAGTGAGGCTTAAATAAATACATAAATTTTTAGATGTAAGACAAGATGTTTTATCAAATGTATATATATACCCAATTTTTCAGATCATTAAAAGAATTCTTTATTTGCATATAATTGAAAAATTAAAAAAGTTAAGATAGTCAAACTAGTATACATATATTATAATTTTAAAAATATTAAAGGAATTGAATTAAAATTTGGATTTTACTCTCTGATATAATTCTACCTAAAAATAAAAAGTACTTAAAATGTTTATCTAATTTATTCAATAAGAATTATACATAAACTTGAAATTTTGCTAATTATTTTAATAGTTTTATTAAATTTTAGAGAGAAATAAAATTGATAATTAATACTTGCAGGAATAGATTTACTATAACTAATTATTTATAATATTAATTACTTAACAATTACTCTAATTAGCTATCAAGGATACTGAAAAAAATTATTATCGTGACCTTTTATTCAATAATAAATATATTTTTTTAAATAGGGGATTACAAAATTATTATTTAAAATGATTTGTCCTTTCATTATAGTGCATATAAATTTGTAATTAAGTTGAAAAAAGAAATTGTACTTACTTATTTAAATATATACTTATATTCTTTGAATATATTTTGTTATAATATTAATTTTTTCACTTTCCCACAAACTCATCTGGCAAGAGAAGAATTTTTCTACATAGAAATTATAATTCATTTTTTCTCTCTTACTTTACTTTTTACATAAATTGGTTGTGTGAAATACTTAAATAAAAATGAGCAAAGGCAAGAAAGATAAATTAGATTTAACAGTGGCATTAAATAATGTACTAAACGATATAATAGTTCAGGATCCTTAGCAAATATTTTATCTTCCTGTTGATACTAAGCTGTTTTTTGATTATACAAAGAAAATAGCAAAGCCTATGGACTTATAAACCATGCAAAAAAAAATTAAAAAGGTAAAATTAGTACAAAAATTATATTTAAGTTAATTTTAGAATATATTTTTTGCAAAATAACTATCGTTTCTATTTAATTCTGACAAAAATTATTTTATTTCATATTATATTTAGATAATATTTAATCTTTTCTAAACCTGTTTTAAAATCATTAATTCCCATTTTTTATCTTTAAAGTATGTAGGCTATAAAGAATTTGAAAACGATCTTAATCTGATTTGGAGTAATTGTAGAATCTACAATTAAGAAAATAGTGACATATATAAAGCATCTTTAAGATTGGAAAGATTATCAAAAAAGTCATTAAAGGAGCATCTTCTACCTTTTAAAGCTCATTATAGATTTGATGAGAATGGAGTTCCAATTAAAAAAAGAAAATACAATCGTGTGAAGGATTCGTTAAACTCAAGTTTGATTTAAACAAATGGAAATTAAAACTATTAATATGCATCATCTTATGGTATTCCTTCCAGAAAAACATCCTTAAGTGTAGATAAAAAAGGTAAAAAGATAAAAAATTTACAAAAATAAATATGTTGATTATTTTTAATATCTAGAAAAAAGAGGCTCTAAAGGAGTAGCAAAATTGGCAAAGGCTATAAAGAAAGGGAAAAAGCAAGATTTGTTAGGATTAAAAAAAGCTCAATAAATACCAGCTCTCCCTTAGAATTTAATATTTGACAAAAAAACTATAATTCACCCTCCTAAATCTTCAAATTACAACTGTATTGTGATAGGATTGCAATAATAAATCTAATCTAAAGAAAATCTTATTACTGAAGATGATAAGTAATTTTTGAAGTAGAAGGTTGTGAATTTTTCGTAAGAAGAACTCTTTAAATGCATTAAAACAATATAAGAATATGAGCCTTAGCACATTTCCTAGCAATCAAAAGAACACTATATTGTTAATTTTAATACACTCACTAAAATGGTTTTTAATAAAATAAAAGAATAATTTTCATTATGAAAAACTAACTTTTTTCTGGGAAATAGACAATAAATAAATAAATAAGTATTTAATCTAAAAATGAATTTTATACTCTAAATTAAGTAATCTGATTAGTAAATTTAAATGATAAAAATTGTTAAATATGTAATACATATCATTTGTAGTAATATTTTTTGCTAATTTTGGAAAATAATTGCCTATTTTTATGAAAAATTGTTTGAAGAACTGTATGCAAATATATAATTTTAATTTATATTTTTAGAGGTATTTTCAAAACATTTTAAAAATAAATAATGCTCAAACAGCTTGATATTTTACACCTAATTTTCTTTAAAAATTATTTTTGGACTTATACAACATTTATCTTTCAAAAAAAATACATACTTAAAATTAAAGATAGTAAGGAGTGAATTGGTTATTTAGTTAGTTATAAATTTAGTAGAGATTGGATAATTTAAACTAAAATAAATAGTTATTTAATAAATTAATTTATTGATTGATATTATATGCTATTAGATTAAAATGATTATTCTAGTAGTTTTTTGTTTGTCTTAAAACTGATTACAATATTATTATTTTTTTAATAAATAAATAATAAGTAATTTTTTTAAATTTTTAAGGTAGAAAAATAGTAAGTATATTTTTTAAATAGATTATTTCTAAATTTTCTTCTTAGTGATTTCAAAAAGCAGTTTAATGAACCTTAAAATTTGTTAGACCAGTAAAGGTAAATTGTACTGAAGAATTTATTTTTAAATATAATTATTTATTTTTATTTCAACTCTTTCAGCCTATTAAAATGTTGTTTTCTTCATAGTTGACAATTTTTAAGAGGTTATATACTATTTGATCAACATTCATAAGCTAACTCGCCTAATTATATTATTTGCATTATGAAAGGAAGTTATCCTTTAGCATATTCTCATTGATTATTTTAGAAATATCGTAATGTAAAATGAGTCTAGTGGCGTAATGAGATACTTAGAAAAATAGTTCTTCGCCTAATAATAGTATCAATTATTGCTTTAATTACTATAAAAAAAAATATATTAGAGAAATGTTTTATTAAAAATATTTGTATAATAAATAGATAGTTACCTCTATTATTTCTTCTGGATTTGCTACTATTTCTTCTTTGTTTTAAGTTGATTATAAAATAGAGTTTATGTCAGACAAAGATGATCTTGTATAGTTATATGATATAGCTAGGTTATCATCTTAATAGTTATTAAGCAGCTACTAATTATTATTTTCATTTTCTATGTCTTCTAATTGCATTTAAGATGTTTTTAAATTAGAGTTCTTGTTAAACATTTCTTAAATATCTTAGTACTAATCTTGATTTTATTTATTGTCTAAGCTTTAAGGAATCTAGTTATTGCTTTGGTTATTAAATAAATTACTGCTATTTGATATCAAATTAGCACCAAAGTTGTAAAAGTTCTAGCTATTATTACTACTACTTCCACTCATATTATTTTAAAATGCATAATTTCCACTGCTATTGTTGTTGGGATTTAAAATGTTACTTCCATTGTTTTGTAATTGGTGACTGTTTTAGCTGTTGTAATTATTACTACTATTTCTTTTGAAGATTCTTAGCATATTAGTCTTCTCAATTGAATTATTCTCTTAAATATTTTAATTATTTTCTATAAAATCTTGAGAAAGCACTGTATTTAAAGAGCAGATCATTTGGTCTTCTTAATTTTACTCAAAATCCTAATTAATTTAAAAAATAAATATTTTTATTTCCTATTTAATTTTGTAAAAAGTTAAATATTTCATTACATCATGAAAATCTTGCACAGCTTACTAAAAATTCTCAGGTTCTTGATTTTTTTATGGTTATTTAAATATTTAATGTATTATTTATGGTTATTGCTATCCTTGCAATTAGTTGACCTAAAATTCTTTACTCGGTCTATTCATTTACTTTTTTACTGCTTCAATATACTAGTTCTATTAGTGAATATTTTCCTTCACAGAAACAGAATTATCTGAAAACTATTACTTAAGATTCAGAGAAGGTCTTGTCTTTATGTCGTTTTTAGGCTGTTTGTAGTTTATAATTATTGGAGTATATTATTGTTATTACTGTTGCTATGACTAAGGGATATTAATTTAAGGAGCAAATAAATACTATGGAGTTGAGTTGTCTTGAGTTTATATTATCTATGGTTTTAATTGTGGGGTATTAGTAACAACTTGTTCACTTAAACGGATAGCATTGTTGTATTTTCTTGCACTAAATTTTAGTCTTGGCTAGAAATTTTACTATTAAAAAGGGTTGTTATTACAACTTGAGCTTACTTATCCTTCAGAGCCCTTAGCAAATAAATTATTTCTCATAACTTTTTATATTTAAATTACTGGTGAAAGTTCATCAGCTTTGTGATTATTAAATAAGACTTTAGGTGTTTCTTTACTGCTATCTGAAGTACTGCAGTCAGAATATTATTTATTCAATTTTTTAGGCGAATAATTATTATTTAAATTATTTAAAAAATTTTTTTCATTTTCTAAATTAGAATTGTACTTTAAATTTACAAAATTCTGTTTTCCCATAATATTAGGGGAAGAAGCAACATTATATTAAATCTTTTGTTTAGAGTTTGAATTATTTTAAGGACAAGAACTTGGAGATTTTAGAGAAGGCAATTTACTTATCTATATTTTTTAAATAAATAAATGTTGAGACTAATAAATTCGAAACAATTAAAAATTATTAAATAAATCAATACATTCTGATTTTTTTATATTCCAGGTGATATATCTCTCGCCTAATGCTTACTCATCTGCCTCTGTATAATATTTTTTTAGATATTCTACTAGTTTTAAACAGCAAATTCAAACAATTTTTATTCGCTTTTTTGAATATTTTTTAAGGAGGGTGATTATGCTCGATTATATTAAAGCTCGAAATTTCCTGTGCTTATGTCTTTAGTCAATCGAGTTTATCTGCACGAGTTCAATCTGGTCTAAAAATTAAGTTAAATATTTAAATTTTAAATAATTAATAAATTAATTAATTAAGGTAAATAATTGAAAAGAAATTAAAGAAACTATTACTTAGTTTTAATTAATCTGTTTTTCTTATCTAGATTTGTCAAGATACTATTTAATCTCTTCGAATTCTTTTTAAATATAAAAAAGTTATAAAGTTAATATTAAGAATAATCTTTTTCGTTTTTTAATTAAAACAATACGATGAATTATTTTTAAAATAAAAGTATATTCTTTTACCAAATACTTGTTCGATAGATGGCCTTTTATTAGGATCATTTTACAGGAGTTTTTAAATTAAGTTTTTTAAAGGTGAGGAAGGAGTTTAAGGAAATTTAAGCTATCCTCTAGATATTGCAAGCATCAGATGAAATATTTCAAATCCCTCAAAAGGGTATTTTAAATATACTAGCCTAAAAAGAACGATACCTATAGCCCATATATCTACTTTATTTGTATAAGGTTGCTGATTACATATTTCAGGGGCCATAAAGTATGGTGTTCCTTTATAAATTTATTAAAAATAAAATTTTAATTCATTAGAAAATTTAAATTATTTAATTAATTAAATAAACAAATATTTGATCCTTACCAATAATAGTAGAGGCCTTATCTTTAGGATTCTGAAGCTTCTTCGAGATCCCAAAATCTCCCAAAAGAATGTTATCATTTGAATCAAGAAAAATATTACTATTCTTAATATCTCTATGAATGATTTTTTAATTATGAATGAATCTGACTGCACTACATAGCTAAGTGAACCACTTTAGTATAGTTTTGCAATCGAAAAGTGTATTGGCTTTCTATGCTTAAATAATTCTCTATTCTAGATCACCACCTTTAAATATTTAAAATAAATTTATAAAATGTAAACTAATTTATTATAGCAGTCAGTCATTAATTCATAATTATAAAATAATCTACTTCTTATTTAGTTATTTAAATTTATTAATTATTATATTTCAGATATTTAAATATCTAAAAGAGAGGATTATATTTTTGCAAGATTTCGATAGGGAGTTTCTGAAATAAAGAAGTGTTAATAAATTTAAATTTTATAAAGAATAATCCGTAATTTAGATTCAGAGGTATGGAATGAAAGATAAATCTCAAATACATCTTTATAATTTTTCAAGTATTAAATATTATAAAATTTATATGAAAAATTGATCATTGAAATGCTAATTTTTTTTTGTGATTGTTGCTATTGATAAATAAATGATTTATTAGATACTCTGATTGTAAAATCTTTCAATTTTTAAATTTTATGATTTAAAAATTAATTAAGAAACTGGATAACAATAATAAATATACGATTGATTACTAAGATAATTAATTAGTAATCATCAATAATATCCATGAACTCCACTAATGCATTTACTTGCTATTGAATCTTTAATTAAAACTATAAACTACTAATACACTATATTATCAAAATTTCTAAAAATGAAATCCATATTTGTAGCAAAAATTTTTATTTTTATTCTTCAGTGAATATGAAAAGCATATTATAATTGTTTGTATGATGGTTTCTGCTTCTAAATAAAGCAATTGTGTGCATTTTTGTAAAGTTGAATGTTGAATTATTTACCTTCTGCGTAATCCATGACTATGCATAAATAATTCTTCTTAAATAAGAAGGAATCTTAATATTTTATGATGTTTGGATGACTCAAAGATTTCAAGATAGATACTTCTTTGTATTGTTTTTGAATTTCTTAATCGCTCATGCAGCTTAATTAGATTTGTTTAATAACAAACTACTAGTTTGTTTAGGCATGCTTGCATAAATAGGCTTTACCTTGATTTCCAGAACCTAAAAGTTTTACCTTTTCGTATTTATTATTTATTTTTTCTTGAGTGTCATCTTAAATATCAAAAGCGGACATCTTATTAATCTTTTTATACAAATACTAAGTAAATAAGCTGATCTATATAAATTATAAGCCAAGTAGTATATGTTGTAATCTTATTTTTAGTTAATGTAAGCTTTGGTATTCTTTGAAATACTAAATATAACTCAATATTTAAATTTGTTAATTTATCAGTAAATTTATATAGAAAAGTAGAAGATAGAAAATTCAATCTTAGCTCTTGGAGATTATATAATTAAGATTTTAAAAAAATGCATTACTTTTTAGAAAGAAATATTTAAATTTTTTTAAGTGTATCTTTTCCTTAGATATTTAACCAATAAACTATTAAAGAGTTGAGAGAGTGTTGATTTTTCTAATATATGTATATATTTTATATTTTTAATGTAATTAAATGATTATATGAGATACTCTAGCTTATTTTTGTATTTGTGGGGATGATCAAAAACAGATTTATAATTTATTTATTTTCAATTATTTTACGAAATTTAAAAACTTTTTTAAGTTTCATATAAAAATAATGATATTGTTCATTCAACAAATAAATAACATAGTCATCTATTATACTGAATAAAATTATTCAGTTTATTATTCAACATTAAAATCTATCAGAATCTATTTTTCTATATTAAAAAAGTTATTTTAAGTTTAAATTTTTATTAAATGTCATTTAAAATTTTTATTTTTTGTAATTTGTAAAATGTTTTAAATTTAATTTTAGGAAATAAGATAATGAAGGTAATCAAAATATTTGATTTATGTGTGAAAGTATTCGCTCTTTTGGAAAATTATAAATTTATTATTATAAATTAATAAGCCCATTTTAATTGATAAGGATAACAATAGATTCTTGTAAAAAGTTAAGATTTTGAGAGAAGATAATATTATGTATTATAATTATTTAAAGAACTATAAAAGAAGTTAGTATAAGTGATAAAGTATTTTATATATCAATTTTTAATATAATTTTAATAATTTCAATTTTCAATTAAAATCTCTTCATTGGCTAATCCCAAAAAAGCATTTTCAGATTTTAAATTTAAGATATGGCAATCATTATTTGAATTGTTATTATATGAATTATTTTCTCTTCTAACTAATTTTTATCTTAAATTATTTTAATTTGTATTTTATTGGTCATTTTATTTTTACTGCTGAGAATGAATGTTTCGTTAGTAGTACTAAATAGCTTTTTCTCTTTTCTCTTAATATGATAATAGATTAGGTCTCCCTAATTAATTATAGAACCACTCAGGGTTTTAAAGCTTATCTAATTAGTTTTAGTTAATATCTATTTAATATGTTGGCTTTACAGGCTCCGTTTTAGGAGAATTTTACAATTATTAATTGTAATTTATTTTTTTAAAAGATAAAATACTAATATCCTGATCAGTTTTTAAATTATTGCTTATATAAGTGCAAGAACAATTATTAAGCTTTGTTTTCTATTAGAGGATAAGAGGTGAAGGATTTCTGGATATACATTAGCCATTAGCCACTGAGTAACAAGATGTATCAGTTATTTTTGATGAAATACTGTTGAATGGTTTATTTGTGTTTGTGGATTGTTTTTTAAATAAATTATTATTTTATGTGTTAAAAATTTAATATTATTCTCTTGACAGTTTTGTACTATTATTTTATAATTTATTAAGTAAAGGTAATTAAGCAATTTTATAATTATTTAATATTTTAGTTTATATTTCTATTTTATTAACCATTTTTGGGTCTAAAGATTCACTAGCTTGTTTCAATTACTATTTTAAATTGTTATTATTTTTTAAGAGATAAATATTTCTTAAATCTTTCTGTATAAATTCATTTTCATTTTGTTAGCTTTAAACATTTTAGAAATTATTTAAGCGATTTTCTTCAGCTAAAAATTCATCCTTTTAGTCATTTAATTGAGGGCAATTTATATTATTTAGCTAAAATGAATTTTAGTTTATTTTAAGTTCTCCTTATAATAAACTTTAGTATGATTGCCTTGTTGGATTATTTAATGTAGACATTTTCTGTTATAAAATTAAGGGATCTCTGCCTCTAGAAACTGATTATGAGCAAGGTAGTGCACAGTACTATCTTGTCTTGTTTTCAATTTATTTTTCTTTTTTTATTTGAAAATATTTGTTAATTCAATTTTTATTAATTAAGAAGTTCATTTTATAAATAAATTAATTCATCTTTCATCAATTAAAATTACAAAAGAATTTATTTTTAATATTATTAATTAATCAATTTTTTTAATAAAAATCAAAATAATTAATGAAAGAGCATTTGAATAAAATAGCAAAGTTCAGTGTTTAAAATTTATTTTTTGAATAATTGTAAGAAATTTTCAAGTAACTTTACTTTTTTTTATTTGTTCCTTTTAGCCAATTTATATATTAGAACAGCTTATATTTGGATGAATATTTTCTAACCCAGAGGAATTGGATACTAAAGAAATATTTACAGGAGACGGTTTTGTAAAGATTTTTTATTGATTAGTGGTTAGAATTTAACTTTAGCTGACAAAGTTGCTCCTTCCTATCATATTTACAATATTTATTTTTATATTTTAAAGATCTTTTTCTGGTTAACATAATGATTAAAACCTTTGTCTTTCATTTTCATTAATTTATTTATCAATTGAATCATCTTCTCTTCTCCTTCCATTTTTAAATTCTGAAGCTTGAGTTTAATCGTTTGCTAATTTAGAATCTGCTTCACTTTGGTTTATTTCAGAGTAGTTCATTTGCTATTTCTCCTTTGATATCATTGGCTTTACAAATCTGTCTAATTAATAGACATTTAAAGGATGTATTTCATATTCTTAAATTTACTTGCTTTATTTCTAAAGCAATGGAGGAAGTATTTTAAAGGGTATTTACATTGGATTTTTTTACTTTTCTGTGGCACAAAAAGTGAAATCCATTTGCTTTTTTTATTCTATCTTACTTTGCTTAAATATACTATCTTGAGATTAAGAAACCCTCATAATTTTGTTATTAATGTTGAAATTGGCTGTTTTTTCGTACCAGGTGTCATCTTCGAAAGTACTCACTTATTATGAAGGGGAATTTGATAAAGGTTATTCATTATTATACTTAGACGAGTTAGACAACTGATTATCATTAAGCATTTAAGACTTTGCATTTAAGCGATCTTCAGAGTAAAATTCTTCAGGAAACTTTCTTGATATTCTAGGAATAACTTTCTTCATTTTGTATGAAAAACGAAATTATTTTAAAATTTGTTATGCGTATACCAGATTACTCTTTTGTTAAAGAACAAAAATGAAATCGAATGTGCCAAATTGATTTTTTTTATACTTAAAAATTATTGTTTTCTTTATGTTAAATATGCAAATTTTTATTAGTAATAAGCAATTGTTTTGTTAATTTACTGTATTTATTTAAATAAACCTCAATTTTAATTATTTTGAAGATACTATTACTAAAAAATATTTGTTCAGTTATTAATTTCCATAATGATAGTAAAATCGACAAATTACTATTCATCTTAATATTTTTAAACAAGTCAATGTAAGCTTAAATAAATTGAATCTAACGCTAAAAATATTTATTCGATATCATATAACATATTTATTATATTGTCCAGAATTATTTAATTGATAAAATTAAGGTCTAAGAAATGCTAAGCTTATTAAATATTTCAAATTATAGAAGAAACAAATAAAGAAATATATAACCTTGTAAAAAATTATTCATGCAACTTTACTAGCAAAAAATATTATGATTATAATAACAAATTTTAAATAAATAAATAAAACCTAATTTATTTTTCATATAAAATCTAAACTATTCATAATACCAATCAGGGTAAAGTAAATTTATGTTAAATTCAATATGGCAACATATATTATAGTAGCTCAATTCCTAAAAAAAATTAAAATAATCTTACTAATATAATTTTAGCTCAGTTAAAATGCTAACATTACTTTGATAATTAATTCATTTAGCTAAAAAATAAATTTGTTACAAATAAGTAATCAAAAGTTTCCTTAAAATAAATATTAGTATTACAAAGATGTAAAATAAATAATAAAGCAAAGATATAATCATTACTGAATAAAAACTACCTCAATAAATAATTTTTTTTGAGACTATTAATTTTTAAAAATACATCTCAAAATTCAAAAATATTTCTTAGTCTAATAAATTAAGTATGATTAAAAAATTTTAAAATTAATAAATTATATTCTTTTATTTAATAAATTAGTTTTTATATTAATAAAATATTTTGTTAAACAGTTATTTTTATAATTATATAAGTGAGTTTTGTTTTTATCACAAAAGAAAATTACAATAGCTTTTAATGCAAAATTATAAAAATGAAATATATTTTTTGAATAACTTAAAATTTACAAAATCAATTATATTTTATACCTTCATTGATATTTAGTAAATTATCCTATTTTAAAATAATAATTTAAATCTTCGTTTAAATATATGTATTAACATCGTCAGATTAATATAAATATTAGTTCTATTAAATAATTGATGAATATTTTTTATCTCTTAATTTTTTTATAACAAATATTATTTAATTTTGCTGAAAAATCAATTTATATTGGAATATTGATAAACGGCTATATGAAATAAAATATTGATCTAATTAAAGTAAATTAGATTTTTTTCAATTCTTAACCAATGTTATTCATTTAAATTTTTTATATTATTATATTGACTTCTGAAAACTAATTAATATTTTTCTTGTTTTCAAATATCTTATTCATAATTTTACTGTATTTTTAGAGTTAATTTTTTGATAAAGCCTTTAAAATTATATTAATCATTATATATTTAAATGAAAAATGTAGGGATTTAAAAGAAATAATCTTGGATGAGTACCAATTATTGTGAAAATTATTTTAATAATTTAAAAAATTACAAGAAAGTCAAAATAAATAATTCGTATGAATATTTTTTATATTAGATTTTAATGTCAGATAATTTATTTTTTATTCCAAGTAAACAGCATACAAAATTCTATGACAAATATACTCAACATATTTTAAATTTTAATATTTAAAAATTCAAGAAGGAGTTGTACATCCTATTATAGCTATATAATCAGTGCAATATTCTCCAAATATTTTATTTAAGCAACCTCTTTTTTTACAGCAATTTTTGCTTACTTTTCCACAATTGATACCATCAGCATCAGAACAAGCCTACATGCACTTTTTATTCAACTCTGTATAAGATAATACATTTGACTCTAGCTAATTCTTTTTAAAAAAGGAAGTTTCGTTTGCTAAAAAGTTCTCTTATTATTTATTATAAATAACCATAATAGTCCCAATTATTATGGTTAAGAGTATAATTCTAGAAACAATTCTAAAACTAAAAAGTCTATCCTTCATACCTATATTAATAATTATATGTATAATTAAATTTTAAGTAAACTTTTTAATGTAATGGGCAATTTATAGTATGTTTGAATTGAAAGTAATCTTACCTCTAATGTTTATTCTTTTTGCTTAAGCAATTTATTTAAATAAAATAAAATAATCAATTCATATATATTACTAAATATTAGAAAAACTATTGATAATTATATTCAATTTCTTAGTGATTTAAATACCAATTAAAAAAATTGTTTATATTTTAGATTATATGATCTTGAAAAAAAGTTAATTCGCTTCGAAAGAATGAACTTTATTTTTGTAAATTAAAATAAATTTATTTTAAATAAAAAAATTTAAATATAAAATATAGTTTTTAATTTCTATTAAATATTAATTTTTCTAAATCAGCCTTAAATATTTTCTATTAATTGATAATTAATTTTATTGTATAATTTTAATTATTTAGATAAATTTTAAAATGATATTAATATTTAAATCTTTAAAAATTATTTATCGGTGATTACAAATTAAATTATTAATTTATTTATGAAAATATTCAAGATTGAGAAATAAAATCAATTGTTTTTTTAAATTTTTTAGTTATCTTATTTCTAATTGTAGTATTTTTTTTTTTGCAGTTAAGTTTATTAGTAAATAAGTATTTTAAAAATAACCAAATAAATTTTAGCTTTAAATTTTTTACAAAATACTTTGATTGTAAAGTCTGTGTTAAAAAATTAAAATTTTCCTCAAGATTATTTTTTTACTGTAAAAAACTTCATTTTTATCTTAGCTATATTAATATACATTAGGTTATACTATTTATTATATTTTTATATATGTTATAAATAAAATAGATGCAGACTTTTTAATTAATAAATTGTTTAATTGAGTTTTATATGTAGAAATTTATTACAAAAGATATGTAACAAAATTCTAAAATAAAAAAATATTAGATTTTATTAAAAAAAGGAAAGAAATTTTTTTTAAAGATGCTGAAAAGTATTTTAAAAAAAGATTTATTAATGAATTTTGTTAACCAAAATATACATATGAAAATATTTTAAGTAAAATAAAGTTTTTTACATTTTTTAATTATGTTGTGAAATAAAAAGAAAGATTAATTTCTTAAATTATTAAATAAAGAAAGTACTATTTACTACCTTTAACAGATAATAATTTATTTATTTATTTAGTTAGTTCTTGAAATAGCATTTATGTAAATCAAAAATTATAAAATGCCTAAATCAAGCAAGGGTGAAAGATAATCAATCAATTTTTTCATTTTATGTTTATATATTTAAGTTATATTGTTGTTGCTTAAATCAAAGTGACAGTAATTAATTTGTAATATTTAATTAAATCACACATTTTAAATTCTTAGTTAGGTTTTATTTAACAAATTTATTGAAGAGAGAAAATAAGTCGTTATAATTTAAATTTGATTGTTAGTATTTTTAATAAATAATTGCTACTAATTTTATTTAAGTTTTAGTTTAATTGAAATATGGTTGATTAGTAATTATTTTTGTTCACAAGAGATTATTTATTGGATACAATGAAAATATCTTATTTATTTATTCATTCATTTATTCATTTTACACCACATTTAGTTATTAATTTCCCTTGAGATTTTAAAAATATTTATGAAGATGAATTTTAGTTGTCATAAACTATGTTTCCTCTTAATATAGTAGCTTAAACATGCCCATAAACCTTTCTTTTATCAAAGATATGAACTGACTTAAAGCGATAGGAAGGAGGTATTTTTATTCTTTGACAATCTGAGAAAGGATCCCAAATTACAAAATCAGCATACTTGCCTTTTTGAATAGATCCTTTCATATTATGGATGCTAAGAATTTTTGCTGGTTTAGCACTTAACATATTTACCAAATAATTTAAAAGAGCTTTTAATTTTTTAAGTTCTCCTTCTTCATCTTTATTCTTGCTAAGAGATTTATTTCTAATATTTTTATAGGATTGATATAAGGCTGTCCATGTGGCTTACAAAGTAAATCCAGCAGTACATATACCACTAAATGCTTTTCGAAAATCTCCATCTTCTATACATTTAAATTTATATTCAACTGGGAAATGGTAGCTGCTAACTGTATCAACCATATTAAGTTTGGATGCGTTGATAAGAAATTCTTTGTTTTCTTTTCCACCTATTGGTGGCTCACATTTAAATATAGTTGAACCGTTGTGGATATTATTAGAAGAAAAAAAGAGATAAGCTCCTGTAGTTTCAGAAAATAGATGTATGTTTTTATTCTTCTTTTCTAGGTCTTATTTTAGAACTGTTATTCTATACATAGAGTTTGAATTTCCAATATTAGCAAAAACTACATTTAGTTTAACTTTGCTGGATATCAAATTTTTTTCAAGAGAATCTCTAATCAGTTGAATGCCAAAATATTCCCAATAAGGAGGACGAAAAGCTAAAAACGTTAGGTAATCTTAATTAAACTTAGAACTTTTTTATATTTGGTTATTGTGAAGACATTTGCAATTTTGATTATAACATTCACATAGCTTGGAATTATCATTGTTTTACTTAAGTACGATAGTTTGTGAATTAAAGTTTGTCCCTGTTAAAGATGAAACACTTTAATTCAATAAATGATTGCCGATAGAGTGATTTGAACCTGAATCAGAACTCTATTTTCGAGTGGAATATTCTTCTTTAAATCCATTATTGAATATTTAATTTTCATTCCAATCTTCTTTTTCTTAATGTATTTTAGCTAAAAAAATAGAACTATTGCAGTGAGGAATATTATAGCGATTATTTTACTAAGTCAAGAAACCTCCAAATTCGTGATTATTATTATCCCTAAAACTTTAGCAAGATGTTTGGTCATCTCCTATCTGTCCTGAACTTTTCAAGCAAATTATATGTTCATGCATGTTTTAATCAGATTCATCTTCGTTATTATTTTGAGATTTACCCAAATTGTTGTTGTCTTAGTTTAATTTTAAGTCAATCTAAACAGTTAAAGTCCTACTCTTTCTTTTCTCAAATAGTTTGGAAGATCTAGCATTTAGAGAAGGAGAGCTGTTCTCACTTTTATTTATTTCTACCATTGACTGAACCTTTATATAGGAATATGATTTTAAGTATTTTATTTATTTATTTATTTATTTATTTTTTTAATATATAATTTGCTATTTTACCTCATTGTTATATGCTCTAAAATTCGATTTTTTTAATGTGTGTGTATTATCGTTAATAAAAGTATGAGAGTCCTTTTCACATGAACCTCTTTTCATGTCTCTTATTAATTTTATCTAGGGCCCTTCACTATTTTAATTTTAGTTTATATAGGTAATATCATGTGAACTTCTCTTTGAGTTAATTAGACTTTTTGTCTTATATGCTAATATGTAGCTGCTACATCCACTACCAGATCTTTCACTATAATCGTTATATGATTTTTTATGTACCTATTTGTATGTTTAATTTTAGTTAAAGCTATTTTCATGTTCATTTTCTGAATTAGAATCCCTAGCAGACTCTGCATTTTCGTCTATTTGATGCAGACTTCCAGCTTTATCTTCATCTTTATGATAACTAATGTTGCAATCATCTTGCTATACCTTTTACATTTTAATTACTTTGCAAGTATTTTTGATGGAATCTATATTATTAGTTGGTTCTATATCATAAGAATAAGTATTTTAATTTTATGCTGGAAAAGGAATTTAATCTTAGAATTTGATTTCATCAGAACTTTCATGGCTTTCCTTTCTACTTTCTTTTTGACATAACTCACTTTTGGGGGACATCGTATCATATCTTTAAGATGAAGGTGAGCTAATAGGAGAGCAAAATGAAGTACTTTTTTCAAGTTTTGCTTGGTTTTCTTAAGTAGGACTGCATGTCTCATCTAATTGATGTATTTTTAGATTATTATTTCCATTTTATGAGCTGCTATCATCTTTTCCTGATGATGATTATTCTTATTCTTCACTCAGTTTGCTATCAGAAGAGAGGTATTCTTCATCATCTTCATCACTTTCATCTAAAATAAAACAGAGAATAATTAACGCTACGCATTAGACAACAATAAAGCGTTATAACTTAAAATTTTAAATCAGTATAAGTTATACTAAAATATTAAATGAAATGCACTAGAAAAACTCATCACTAAAATCAGATAAGTTACTTATTATGAAAAGCATTCTTTTCAGAAAAAATAATTATGTTCATTATTAAATTTTAGAAAAACTTGGATGAAAAATTAACTTTAATAACCATACTCATAAAAATAAACTAAATATAATTCATGCTACAAATAGGTGTAAAGCAAAATTTAAAAAATTTACAGATTTTGAATATAATTTATCTTACACTAAAAAGCATCTGAAATTGCTTATTATTAAATTAATTGGTGTAGTGAAAATTGTTCTAAAATTAGAAATTGGTGGTGAATAAATTTGGAATGAAAAATAATAATTTTCTTTTATTACAAATCTGAAATTTTTTCTTATTAGCTCAAAAGTAAAAAATTGTTAAATACTATTTTTTTGCAGAAAAACAATAAAAGATAACTAACTAGCAATTTATTTATTTACCTTGGTTGTTGTAAGTTTTTCTTTCTGCTCTAGATAAAAGTTAAATTTACAAATTTTCTGTAGAATTAATAGAAGCCTTTCCATACATTTTTATTAATTTTTCCCTATTTGAATGTGAGCTGTAATGTGGCTAATCTCCATTTAAATTAGCTTAGTTATTCTCATTTTCCTTAAAAGGGTTTTCATATAAGCTTTTATTATTTTCTGGATGTAAATCCTAAGCACTTAATTCTTCATCAGAGTTTTATACTTGATTTTAAAAATTTAAGATATTGTCATTAATACATTCTGATATTTGACCCATCTAATTTTAAAAATTAATTTTTATTATAATGCGTTGTAAAGGAATTATTATCAACTCTATTATTTACAATAAAAGAGTTAAATATAATTAATTACAGTTAAGCTGTCGAACTAATCATCTTCGTAATTGATTTCTTATTTTTTTTTTCCTTTTTAGGTTTCACCAAGAATGGAATCTCCCTATGTACGCTTAATTTGAGTTGTTCTATCGCATCTCTCCTCTATTTTGCGCTATCTTAAAGGTGATGTTATTGTTAGTTCTTTTTCACCACTCTTTATTGAATGGAAGGTAACTAACAAATTCTTATGATTACACTAAAATTACTTCTAGCACTAATTTTCAATTAAAGTTGGAGATATATCTTGAGTTTCTAACTTTTATCTGAATTAATTTAATTTATTTAAAACAAAATCCATGTCTCTCTTCGTTTCTACCCATCCTGCTCCATTTTAGAAAGGTGAAGTCAAGTATATCTTGTTATAATTCAAAAGAAATTTATGTATTAAAATTATTTTATAAAAAATATTTTAAGTAAATGAGAATGTTTTTATTTTTTTTATTTTGGAAAAATGAATTGCTTAGTCAAAATTAATTCGTATTATAATTTTGGATTATGGATTTTATTACTTTTTTAAATAATTTTGAATTTTAGCCAAACATATGAAAATGTTTCTTATTTTTTGAAATAATTGCGGTAAAATTTGAAAGATTTTTGGGAGAATTTTAAAAGTCACTATTAGTTTAGATATCATAGATTTAAATTTTAGTTACAATCTTCTAGACAAAATATTTACTCAAAACGCTTGGATATGAAGAATGCTTATTAGATTATTTTGTGGGAGCTTTAATTAATTTGAAAAAATTCTAATAATTGGAAGAGAAGAAAATTCAAATTTAGATAGAGTATGAATATCGTTAATTTTACTACTATTTTTCTATGATATAAATTGTTTAGTACCACTTTATACCAAAATATTATAATTGAAATATTTTGTCCAGCATTAATTAACATTTAATCATGATTTAATTTGCCTTAAAATCTATTTCGTTTTTATAAGTTATTTTCTGAATAGTTGGAAATCAATCAATCAATAAATAATTAAACAATTTATGTCAGTAAGTAAGAAATAGTCAGATTATACTAGAAAGTTTTTAATATTTATTCAATAATTACTCCAAATATTTAGAATATCACAAGAGCTAATCAACTTTAGTACTTTTTTTGTAGAAAATAGGCATTTTAATTTGGAATAAAATGATGTTGGAAAGATATAGATTGCATTTAAGGAAATTTAAATCTATTGATTTATTCAGCTATAAAACCATTTAGAATAATAAGATATTAAAATTTGTAGCCAAATCAACTCTTGATTGTTTGAAAAATTGAATTTTATATTCTTTAAATTGTTTTATATCTAAAATATCTAATGAAAAGTTCCATGATTTTTAATGAAAATCCTATTTAAATTTTTAGATTTTTATTCTATTTTTAAAGTTCTTGCTTTTTATTGTCTTCATCTTCCCTCCATCCATTTTCAAAAAAAAATTGAAGAACTGTATAACTAAAAGAAATTAAATTTGTATAGTATAAGTATATACCTTAAAGCCAGCTACACCAGGCTCTTAATATATATGTTCTAACTCAGAAATATTTTCAGGATAGAGATTAGCAAAAAAGCAGTAATCAGTATTTGACTTATTTAAAATCCTTTGCTTTCTATTCCTTATAGATACAAGCTCATCTTTCAAATAAATCTCGTTTGTCAGTAAAGGCTAGCAAGCTATAGTAGTTACGCCTCCTTTAAGATAGAGTTCAGTTGTCTACTCAATCTCTTCCCAATCAGTTCCTATATGAAGGGAAACATTTAAATCGATTAGTCCAGGAAAAATATATAAATCTCCATAGTCTTGGTGAAGAGGAAACGTTTTTAAAAGTTCCTCTATTTACCTCTATTATTAATTAGTGCATAAGACTTCTGCTGTAATTTCTCCATCAACAAATATGTATGCATCTAAAAAATCTGATTTCTCTTGTATCCAAACATTTTTAGAGCGTATACAATATTTCTTTGCTGTAGTTATATTTTATTCTTCCTTTCCATCATATTTCTATGACATTTGCTTTTCTAAGCTTACTCCTTCGATTTCTTTACTTTCTAATTTTGTAAATTAGGAAATTATACCCCTATTTTCGCGTTTTATACTTACTTTCTTACTTGTTTACTACTCTAAATATTATTCTCTATATAAATTGTTTGCTTTTTTTTTTTGTTTGCTTTTATTCTTTTTATTTATGTGTTTTTGTAAAAAGAGTAAGACTCTATTCCTTCTTAATATTTAATGCATGCATACACTAAATCAAAAAATTAATAAATTGATGGAAATTGGCTTATTGATAAAGAAACATATTCATTCATTTATTGATTGATTGATTAGAAAAAATATTTAATTTATATATCACATAAAATCATGATTACTTTATAGTATGCTAATAACCTGAAAATTTATTAATTAACTATTTAATTAATTATAAACGCATAAAGTTTTCCTAAAATTGCCATCCATTTTCATTTAGATAAATCATCACAAATTTTACATTAAAATTTACAACAACTCAATTTTTAATAATTAATTCCTTCTATTAATTATCAGATCATTTATCATACATTCATACATATTCATGCAAACAAACAAATATATTTCATCTAAAAAATTATTTATTATTTTTGTATTGATCTTAAATATGAAAGCAAACAAATAAGCATAAAAAAAAGATATTAACGTCATTTTATTTTAAAAACAAATTTAAAAAGTCATATTTTTATAAATATTATTCTTAATGATTTTTTGATATAAAGTTTTATATTTTACTTAGAAATATTGTAAGAATCTTGTAAAAAAATGGAGAAAAGCTCAATTATGGATTTGCCAATTTTTAATACTCACTATAATAAAAAAATATCATTTTTGAGAACAAATTTAGTATGATTATAAATAATTATTCATATATAATTAATTGATAATAGTTTAGCTTTTAAACTTATAATGAAGTTATGTGATTGAAAATTTTATTAGAAAGAATCATTTTTAACCAGTATTTATTAATCACTAAATTGTATCTATTTAAAGTATTATGGTAAATAAAATTATTTGTTATTAGATAAGAAAAATCTATAAATCAATTTATAATGAGTTTCTCATAAGTTTTTGTTGTTTCTAAGGTATTCTTTTATTATTATTTTTTGAACTCTGAACACAAAAATTTTTATGAAATAGTATGTCATAAATCCTAAGATACCAAGGCAAATTGATCTAATATAGGAAGATTTAATTTACTATTAAAAATTTGTAATACTTATATTAAAGTGAATGTTTAAAGATTACTATATCATAAAATATTAATTAAGTAAATCTATATTACGTATACAGTGAATTATCTAAACAGATATAAACGCAAAACTAAATATATATTTCAAAATAATTAAAAGTTATAGCAAATCATAACACTATTTTTAAGATAGCTAAGGCAGACCAAAGTAGATTTTATTCCACATTGCAAAATAGAAATAGTTTTTTACATTTTAAAATAGATATAGAATTCAATAAAAGGAATGAACACATTTGGATAAAATTTCAATTTAAATAAGGTTTTAAAGGAAACTGATTACTCAAAAAGAAAAACCAAAATAGTTTGTACATTAGGGTAATTATTATAAATATATTAAAATAAAAATAGATCGACATATAATAAATTATGCAATTATTTATTTCTAAATAGCCCTTAAAGCTCTAGTGTAGAAATGATATGCAAGCTTCTTGATTCAGGAATGAATGTTGCAAGAATTACTTATTGTCATGGATTAAAGCAAGTAAATTTGATAAATTTATTATAAAATGTGAACTCAAGGATTAATTGAATAGTTTTAAAAAAAAATATTTCCTTAAAATAAGTTTGTTATTTTATTTAAATAATATTTTCATTTAAAATAGTTTTATGAAACAGTAATTAGCAATTTGAAATAAGCATTCAAACTCAGAAAAAGCATTCAATGTTCTATTATGTTAGATACAAGGGTAGAAATATATTTAACATTTTGATAATTTATCAATAAATAAATAAAAATAAAAATGATTATTTTAAAATGAACATATTTGGTATTTATTCTTATTCAAAAATATTTAATGTAGGGTCCAGATATTAGAACTTCTTTACTAAAGGATAAAAAACCTATTGAAATAAAGAAAGGATAAAAATTAAAAATAAGTAAGCAAGTCTTTTATAAATTATCTTCTTACTTTTAATAGAATATAATATCATAACAGTAATCTGATAAATTAGATGAACTATTTATTATAATAGTTTTTATGGCTTCAAATGGTCTTTCTTAGCATTATATTACTAAAAAATAGAAAATAAAATAATTGAAAATATATTTTTTTAAATTAAGTCACAGCAACTTATTTTTTCCAACTTTATATTGAATACTAAATTGCAAACTTGCAATTTTATTAACAGCTTTTAATAGATTTTTAATATAAAAAGTGGATGAGCAGCCAGAATATGAAGGAGATGAGTAAGGGATAGGTTGTTCTATAGCTCTTTCAAAATTAGTTTAAGTTGGATAACATGTGTTATTATCAGATAATACAATATATTCTCATGTTGTTGAAGTAAATGAGGTAAACATTACTTTACTCTTTTTTATTTTAATAAACTTAATTTACTTACACTTTTACATAAAAAATGAATTCATTAATTAGCATAAAAGCTAAACAAAATATTAATTATTAAATTAAAATTAATTTATTTTTAATAAATAAAAGTCTGATATTGTTGTCTAGTTTGAAAATGAGGGAATTTTAAACGAAGTAAAAAATGTAAGACTTCCAGGTGTTAAAATAGATTTGCCAACAATAAGTGAAGAAGGTATTTTCATAATACAATTTAAAAATGATTAATAATTTTAATTAATACTAATAGATGAAGATTTTATCATTTCATAAGGATTAGAAAAAGGTGTAGATTTTATAGCTGTATCTTTCGTACGTAGTGGGGAAGATATTGAATATGTAAGAGATCTTTTATCTCCTAGAGGGGAGCATATTAAAATCATAGCAAAAATTGAAAATATAGAAGGTATGGAGAACTTTGAAGATATTTTAAAAAGTTCTGATGGTATTATGGTAGCAAGGTATGTATAATCATTAATACTATTAATTTATTTTGTTTGTAATAAATTAAATCGACTAAGCAGTTTAATTATTTAGTTAATTGTTTAATTATTTATTTATTTTAAGGTTTTATTTAAATCTTAGCATGAAAAAATGATCATTTATTAATTTTAAATAAAGCTTAATTTAAGATTTTATTTTAATCTAGGCATGAAAAGTAAATTCTTTATTAATTTTTATTTTTTTAAATAAAAGAGGTGACTTAGGTATGGTCATCCCAGCATAGAAAGTTTTCGTTGCCTAAAAATGGATGATAGATCGCTGTCTTGAAGTAAATATAATATTTTGAATGTTATATAATTGCTCATTTTAATATAAAAAGGTTGGTAAACCTGTAATTACTGCAACATAGATGATGGAAAGTATGGTAAAAAATCCAAGACCAACTAGAGCTGAAGCTAGTGATGTAGCTAATGCAGTTTTAGATGGCACAGATGCTGTCATGCTATCTACAGAAACATCTGTAGGGTAATATCCTTGTGAATGTGTCGAAATTACCTCTTAAATTGCTAGAGAAGCAGAAATGTGTTACAATAATGCAGACAACTTTTTCAAAAGAACAAAACTGATAAGGTCAATATAATAAATATAAAAGAAATTAAATTTTTCCTTCATTTAAACTTTATTTTAAAATAAAATATTTAATTAAAAGAAATTTTTTTTTAAGTAATTTGATATCCAATTTTATAAAATTAGAGAAATTTCTGACACTGAGAGTATGGCAACTAGTGCAGTATAAATGAGTTTTGATTTAAAAGCACCTATTATTGTTGTTTTTACAATGTATGGAGAGATGGCTAGATTAATATCTAAATATAGACCAACAGCTCACGTGATTGTTGTAAGCAATGAACCTGGAACAATCAAAGCTTTAACCTTAAGCCATGGCATTATTAGTCTCAAAGTTCCTTCGTTTTAAGGTTACATTTTATTTTCTATATTCTATGAAAAATATTTTGAATATCTTGTTAATAATTCAACTCTTAAAATTTAGGTATTGAAAAGCTTATAGATTATGCTATCAATCGTGCTAAAGAATTAAATTTATGTAAGAAGGGGAATAAAGTTATAGTCGTAATGGGAAGTGAAGAAGAGGATTAAGATTAAAGTGATATCTTAAAAGTAAAAACTGTGTCATGATACTGATGAAAGTTTAATGAATGTATTAATAATAAACTATTTCAAGCAAAAATTATTTAAAAATGAATGTAATAGTCTTAAAATATATAAATATATTTATTTATCTAATATTATTATCAATTTATTTATCTATTTATCTATCTATCTATCGCTTTATCTATCTATTTATTTATTTATCTATATATTTAGGCTTACAAACAACTTAATTAAATTAAATTTGGTGTTAAAAAATTAATTCTATGAAATTCTAATTTAATATTGCTTGTTACTTTTTTTTATTTTTTAACTGATTTTATTCATATAAATTAACATAAATAAAATATAACAAATCATTTCTGAAAAATTTTATATTAGAATGTTTTAATAAAGATTTTTATTTTTTGGATGATATTTAATGTTTACATTTACTTTACAAACAACATATGCAAATATTTTAGTGTAATTTAAATTTTAAGATTTAGATTTTAGTTTTGAATCTTTTTAAATAACAATCTTTTCCAACCAAATGTTTAAAATTTTACTAATTTATTTACAAAAATCATTATAAAATTAAAAAATTTTGATTTTGTTTGATTCTTACATATACTCATAATACACACTTAACTTAAACTTATTTGATTGAAATGGATAAACAGAAATCTAATATATAACAGCATATTTCAAAAAATCCTTTTAAAGAAACTAATGATCTAAAATATGGATCTGTAATTTACATAGAATTGTAGGATTAATCTGATTTAGATGATAAAGAAAAGTTCTTATGTTCTGATGGATTTGTAATTAAATATATTTTTGCGCACTCTATAAGGCATTCATCTATCGATTTTTCAAATGGGTTATTTGTGGTCATGCCTGCTTATAATTAAGATTTGCTTAATAAACTTTCTGAACTAAATTTAAATAAGTTAAAGCTGAAAAATGTTCAAGGTTTTTAAAATTAAATTTATTTATCCATTCGCTTTTTTAAGCTTTCAAACTTTTTAATGGATTTAAATTCAATATGACAACTATAATTAAATATATCATAAAAAAAGGAGATAGTGATGCTTTAATCAGTTTCATAGAAAATCTAGAATACGAAATTAGACTTGAAATGGAAAAATTTAATAAATTAAAGGGTTCGCCTATTTTTTATGGTTAACCATTTATGCTATAGCATTAACTAAGCTCCAGATATTTATCTTTTAAACCAGTTTCTTAGCATATTTTTTATCAAGAAAATACATTATCGTAATTTCTTTTTTTATAGTTAATAAAAAATTATTTTAATAAAAAAATTTAAATTGAGAAGATTTATTTTATTCTTAAATTTGAAAATAAAAGAGTTGAAGTTAAAGATATACCTTCAGAAAATTCATTGTTTTATATTTAGCCTGCTCATTAATATCAAAGCGAGATTACTAAGAAAATTAACTACGGAGATGAAATCATATTGAAGTGCAATTTTGATGAAAAACAAGCATCACTTTTTTGGAGTTAATCCATAACTGATGATGACTTATCATAAACAAGTGAACAAAGTTTAGATAATTTACACTATAAACAAAAAATTAACGATGTTATTATGTCTTATGAGCACTCTACTATCATTAAGTTAGACTTTATTAAACTGATATTATCATTTTAACATAAATTTGTGAATTTTAAAAATAGATTTTAGAGATATACTGACTCATAAATCCTTAAAGAAAAATATATTTTTTATAGCGATATAGTTTGGCTTTATTAATATGAAATCGACGGATATCTAACCTATGAATGTCTATTTGAGGATTTTGAATAATTTTACATAAAAAATATTATGGATCGTTTAGAAACTCCAGAAAAATTAAAAAAAAATTATTCTTTAATGAATTTTAGAGCTGAAAAATCACCTTAGGAAGAAGGAAACAGCATTTATTTTGAAAAAGCATAAGATACTTTTCAGAAAAGTACTTTAGGATTGTGGAAAATAGAAAATGTTGGAAAAAATAAGGTATCTTATAGATAATTAACTATTTAATGTTTAAATTTTAATATTAATTTAGGGAGGTATCTTGGGTTTCGATGATAAAATCAGGCTTAGAACTCTTAGGAACGGAAAATACTTAGCTGTCATGCCTATAGGCAAAGATATTATCAAGAAATAATAATTTTCAATAATGAAAGAAGAAGAGTTTATTGTAACACTTTAGTAAGATCCTAATGAATGGACAGTATTTTAATTTTACTTTTATTGTGAAAATACCATTGAATTCATTTAAAAAATAATTTTTCATACAAATATTTTTAATTTAAGGAATTCTGTTTGGAGTACAAAGGAAAAACAAAAGATATAGCACCTTCTTATATAAATTTTTTCAATTTAAGAAGTATAAAGACAGGGAAATATATTAAATCGATATTTGCACACGAACTTGATGAGGAAAATAGGAATGGCTATCCTTCAATTAGATCAGAGAGTAAAAATAATATTTAATTTGAATATTGTTAAATGCCTTTTAATAGATAATTAGAGTGATGTATTTCGATTTTTTAAGGCTACTGATATGGAAGTTTGGGAAACTCATTTTTTAAGAAGCTGTTTGCCAATCATATAATGTAATGCTAAGTTTTTAAAGAAAGTAAGAATTAAAATTTTAAAATAAAAACTTGAATGTAAAGTAAACTGATTTATTTTTAAATTCAAATAAGACTAATGAAGCTGTAAAAATGAAGGGTGAAAAACTTTCTACTTTAGATTCTGCTAGTAAAACTTCACTATTAATATTAAAAAAGTGTTTATAAGAAATAAAAGTATTTTGTACTAATGATTAAAATTTTAACAACTCTGATCTTAGGTAGAGTGTTCTCCCAAATAAAAATATATTAAATAATCCGATTTCTTTCAGATAAAGATTACTAAAAGAATAAGGATTCATTAAGCTTCTCACAAATATCCTTGAGGAATTATTTATTAAAACTGATTCAGAATTAAGGAGTATTTATTAAAGTAAACATGAAAAGGGTACTAAGCTATAGAAAAAAGTAAATGAAATTAATTTTATCTTCATTAAAATTAATTGAAAAACTATATAAATAGTAAAATACTTTGACAATTGATGGAATTCTTAGTAGACCATCAGTTCTGAATTAAAAATGCAGTGATGGGAGTAAATTACAAGCTCAAGTACATTCATTATATAATTTACTTTGATCTAAATTTATTTTTAAATTCATAAAATATTATTTTAGGAGGCCAACATAATCAAGAATAAAAAATTGTTTAAAGAATTATGCCAACTATGTTACAGTTGTATTACATTAATATGCAAGGATAACCATATAAATTAATAAGAAGCATACAGATATTTTAACATTTATGCAAGTCATATTGGGTTAGAATTTGGTGCTGAAAGGTGTATGAGGTACATTCTTAATGGAAATGAGTAGCTTCTTTTATAATTGCATAAAGATACAGTAGTCTCTCACTGTGATGAAAATAATCCTAATCATCCTCACTTTTCCTAATTTAATTAGCTGCCTTAACTTATTAAAGATAAAGATAACGGATCTTTTTCTCCAACTAAAGCCTTACCAAGAATACTATAACTGGCTTTAAACAGAGGCAAATCCTCTAGATCAAACAAAAATCATAGATTTAGCATGATAAGATAATTATCTAGCAAAAAAGTTAATATGCCTATAAACAGTCTTGTTAGTTAAAAGACAATAGTACATTTCTTCATGGAAAAATACTCTGTAATTATTTAATTATAAATTGTCTTGATAAAATTCAAAATAAAATATAAAAAAGGTAATTGGATTGATGACTGAAAATAAATACTATTTTACTGAAATGCTGAATTTTTTAAATACTATCACGAAATCCAATAAAAGTGGTATTACCATAAATTAGATGCTTATTTCAAATCTGGTTGAAAAATGTAAAGACGAAAGATCAGAAAGAGAATAATTTATTATACCTATTGAATTGTAAAATATTTTTTATGAATGTTATAAATAAAGATTCATTTTTTTATTTTTTCTGTTAGGCGTGATTAAGGTGAGCTGTTTCTTTAAATTTACGGTGAAAAGGGATTTTAATACAAAGAGCTTAGTGAAGTTTTAGTTGACTACGATCTTAAAAAAGATGCTTAATTTATTTAATTTTTAAAAATTTAAATAAATTTATATTCTAATTTATGTTATGGAAGAAATTACTATGCCAAAAGAATGTTAAAGGAGCTATTTCCTACTTCTTCCCTTTTAAAATATATTTTAAGTTATTAAAGCTAAGAAAGCTTAAACAGTCAGAATGAAAAATAATTAAAATAAGCGAGGTCATTTGGTAATATTTCTGTTGATAATATGGAATTAGTGAATAGTCTTATAGCTGAGTTTATTAATTTACTTCTTAGACTCCATGTTGATTCCAAACCTCGTAATCAAAGGTCTTGTCCTAATTTAGTTTATAAAACTTAATTTATTACTCTCCAAAATTCTTCTGATGATAATATGAAAGAGTTTAATAAAAATTATCCTATGGTTAACTCAATTTAAAATGAAAACTAATCTCAAAAAGATTAAGCATTTAAATTTAAATAAAATATTTCAACAAAAAATGTGATTTAGATATATCCTTAATTGAATAATACAATAGATTAATTAAATTAACTTGATAATTCTAAGCTAATTTCAATCAACAATAATACATTCCTTAATAATGAAACTCCTCAAAATATTTTAAAGTCACTTTCAATCAAAGATAATGATAGAGAAGATTTAAAGGACTCTATTAAAAAGTAAAACACACATATAGAGATGACAGATTTTTCAAATTACCTTTAAAAAGCAGCTTTTAACTTAAAAGATGATATTTTAAATGAAGAAGGTAAATAACAAACATTTCATAAAAATATTATTTAAATTGAAGTTTTAATAATAAAATAGATTCAGTATCACCCGAAGAAATGAAATAAATCAAATAATATTTGATTGATTATTTTTTAAAGATAGAAATCAAACAATTCAGGAAATAAGGTTTGAATACATTGCTCTATTCCAATATCAAAATTTTAAGAAAGTTATTGAGTTTCGAAGTTTTTAAAATTGAAAGAAAAATGAATTTGTTAAATTAAAAATCTCGTTTTGGATTAGATATTTTGAGCAAGTTGAAAAACAACTTTAGTAAAGACGACAAAGTTATTGATATAGATCCAATTAAAAAAAGTGTCTCAAAAGATTTTAGCAATAGTTAAAAGAGTTAAAGTGAGAAGTTATCTTCAGATTTTAGCTAATTAGTGGGTTAATTAATGAATATTTTAGAATATTCAATTTAATCTAATTTAACTATGAAGCAATCTAAAAAAAAGTAAATTTATTCTTTGGCTAAAATATTATTTATAATTGATTTTTATTAAAAACAGAGATTCGTATAAAGCATCATAAAAAGATAGAAATGGAGAATATATTATTAATGTCATGCAAACACTGTTTGAAGAAGTAAAAGAAAAAAAGAAGAAGAGAGATCTATATAGAAATAAATACTCAAATTTTTAACAAATAAATAACCAATATATAACCTAATTGTAACTAAATCGTCTCAAATCTAGCTTACTTTCATTAAAATAAAACAAAAAAAATGTTGATACTAATGTAAACAATAATTAAGATGATTAATATAATGAAGAGATTATACAAGAAGACCTCGAAAATGAATTAGAGGATGAATTGTATTAATTCTAAGAAAAACATATTGAAATAAAAATTAGAAAAGAAATAGTTAAATTTTTATTACAATATTATTCATTTGATTAAGAAAAATATTTATAAAATATATTAAATGCAATGATAAACTAGTAACAATCACCAAAAAAAGTACATAGTTTTTATTATTTCTATCAAAAAATTTTGCAAATAATAATTATTTTAAATTAGATAGAAGAATTCGTGTTATAGCAATTTCCTAGGTAAAGTTTAGAAGACTACTTGCAGAGCACCAGCAATAAATCTAGTTAAAGTGATTTTGAAAAGCAAATCACAATACAAGAAAATAGTAATACCAATTCAGAAAAAGATGAAAGAATGCAGAAGGTTTAATTTTGTTATGAAAAAAATTCTTTTAAGATTAATTTTTATTTTTTTCATTCTAAAAAAGCCCTTGATAGTTATGATTCTGACTTAAATACTTGAAACAAATGACTATAATCATTCATTTTATTGTTTAAAATTGCTACATTATCACTTAAATTAAAAATAAATCATATCTAAATCGCTAAGAAAAGTACTTTTGATATCTAATGAGTAAGATGCTATGGCTTATGAGCTGCTTAAAAAATTTGGCAATAATTTAAAACTTTTTAGTGATACAAGTGAAATTTGGTTACACTCACCTGAAGAATTTAATAAAATAGACTATGAGTATTATTATATGGGTTAAGAGTACATTAAGTCTGTTCATTGCCTATCAAATTTATTGGACGAAGATGTATCTTTTGAAGAAATAGATACCTCTTTTTAGTTTAAAAAGCCTTCTTTAAATAGGTAAAAATACTTTAGTTAATACAATATTTTATATAATAAATCATAAAATAATAGATAAATGATGATGGAAAAATTGCAAATTCATGAAACATTGATAGTGTTCTTGAAAACAAATTTCTTTTATATTGAAAATAATAAAGGATTTATTGAATAAAAAGATATAAACACCCCTAGAGATGATTAAGACAACTTAAAATTAAAAAATGATTATTTTTTAGCTCTTTTCTCACTTACTTTTAGACTTCTCCGTCTATTTTGTTAAGATAATATCTAAGGTAAAAAATCCTTGTTTAAGCATATAAATACCTTTCTTTAGTATGTCTTTCAAATAGAAGTTGGCTAGCTTCCTTTAATTGTAGAAATCTATAAAGAAAATACCAAAAACCTACAGAAGCTGAATCAGCAGTTTGTAGATGCTCTTGTTTAAAAAGTAATTTAACATTATTTCTTTTAAATTTGATTAAAGTAATTTTTAAAAGATTATTTAAGGTAATTACCATCCTAAATATGTAATATACATGATCAGTCTGGTTAATACAGAAGAACCTCACTTGAAAAAGAAAATTGTAGAAATCATTCTAAACTCTTTTAAAGAATACTAAAAGAGTTTACAAGCTGCTCTTTGTATGAGAGAAAAGTTAGAAATTGTTGAAAATGAGGAGGCCAGTGATGGGTTTGTTGACACTTAAATGAAAAACACAGTGGATAATGAATTAGATTTAAAGGTAATATACTTTAAAGATAGTTTCTATAAATTAATTTTAATAAAACTAGATCGATATCAGCAAAAGAAAATATCCATACCTTTACCACTCAAAGTTATTCGAACTCTTTAATATTATTTTAGAGGAAATACCAGGAAAGAGCTAGTTTTTGAAAAACTTGTTAAGAAAAGATTTGAATTTTGAATATTTATGGAAAATAATAAAGAAAAAAGATGATTTTACTGAAAATGTCAAACCTAAACTAAAGTTGAATTTAAACACTTTTTTGAAGGTAAACATTCATATAAGCTATTAAATTACCTTATTTTTTATAAATCTTATTAAGAAATTTAAATTAATTTTAACTATTTACACTTTTATTTAATAGTGCTAAGTTATGAGATTAATGTAGAATCTTTATTTTGGTGGATATGACAAATCTAATTACAACAAAATAGAAAATTTTAAGGTTTTTGTTGAAAGAGAGTAGAATAAATTGACAAATTACATTTAAAGAAAAAAGAAACAAGGTAGGTTTGGATAAGATTCTCAGTTCAAAGTAATTAAAACAGAAAACAAAAAATAAAAAAAACCTAAAGAAAATTCTGATGATTTTTCTGATGAGCAAATTATAAGCAAATACAACTAAATAATTAGAGGTATATTTCTTCTTACACATTTAAGATATTTATCTTTGAAAAATTATTTATTAAATATAGAATATGACTTTAGTATGAAAACATATGTCGGATACATATTAGAAGATTTAATTCCATTTTTATTTAATGCTTGCAATAATCATACAGAACAAAAAGAAAAAGATTCCAAAATATATTAGCTTTTAAATAATTTACTCGAATTAGTTTTTGATCTTGATTGGGAAACAATAGAAAACATCCCTAATATTTAAAACATTATTCTTAGATTGTATAAAACAAGCAACAATTTTAATGGATTTACTATTTTGTAAGAGATGAATCCTGAAGATCCTTCAGATCCTGTTTAATAGCCTAAGAGGGATTTTTAACAGCTGATTTCTTTATTCCATTAAGAATAACTATAACCGTAATAATAAAAAATATGAATCATTAAATCTTATTATTTAAAATTTTTATATTATTTAGAGATTAAAAGTACTTTAGACAAAGAATTCAAAAAATTATGGAAGAATCAAGTTTCCAAAAATTTTAATCAGGAATCTCATAAAAATCACATAATATTTTGAAAATTACTCCTCTATCAAATATTCTTAACCTAAGAAGAAGTAGTAATGACAATTAAGAAAGAAAATCGTTGCTGAATTTAATTATATCTGAGAAAGTAATAAAAAAATAAATTTTTATAAATTAATTTTAAATTTATTTTATAGCTTGAATAATCCATTAAACAAGAAAGATAAGATTTTATAGAATTCTTAAAAAATTTAGATAAATATCCTGAATACTTTTAAAATAAAAAGAAGCCATCATAAGGTAATTCATTTTATGCTAATCTAAACATTTTAACAATTCCTTAAAATGAAAAAATATAGAAATGATATGGAAATTCTGTAGTTTTATCATTGATGGCTCACAAAAATGCTTACAATATATTGATTAAAATTTTGAATCACACTTAGAATATGAGCAAAAAAATCTAAAAATAATTATAGAATATATAAAGCTTTGCAAAGATATCCTATAAAGTGTATCTGATGAAAACGAAAAAACTAAAATGCAAAATATGATCAACAAACAATCTTTGATAGTAAATTTATTTTTGTAAATTATTTTTCTCATTTAAATAAATTTTTATTTTTTTTCATAAGGTTTCTTCAATTATGGAATTAATTTGCAGTAAAAATTTTAAACTAGTTGATTCGTAGCATAAATTATTTTTCTTTGTAATAATTGATTTCTTTAATTAACTTCTTGATGGAGGGAATGGAGAAGTACAGCAAAGTTTTTATGTATTTTTCAGTCAAAACTCCTCTAGTTCTAAATTTTTCCTTTTGATCAATGAAATTATCAAAACAGAAATTTTAGATACTATTTAAGTGAATGAAGATTATTTAAAAACAATTTAGAAAGCATTCAAAAATATTAAATATTGCTACACTAGAAAAAGTAGATTTTTTAGTGTAAAAACTATTTTTAGATTTTTACAATTGCTTTGTGAAAATCACAACACATCTCTCTAAGTAAATTAACTTGCTTAGATTTATATTTTTGTTAATTTTGAGTTTATTTAATTAATAGCTTTGGCTCAGGCATCAAAAAAATTCAAGGTAAAATGTAGATATACTAAAGTTAATACTTTAATATCTCTCTGCAGTGTTAAAAAAGAAGTAGTTGTATCAAAATACTCTTAATGTTAATAGAAAGAACATTTCTACGATTATTCAATGTTTTGACACATTAATAGAAATGATTTAAGGACCTTGTTATGAAAATTAAATAGCTTTAACTGAAGAGAACTTTATTGAGCTAGTTTATGATATCCTATCAGTTAAATAATAATTTTAATTTTTAAAAAATAATGAAATATTTAAATTAAAAGATGGATGATAGAGTAAGCTAGAATGACATTGAAAACTTAAACTAAGATGAAGATGAATATTTATCACAGAATTTCAACTATAATAATTAGAGCAATTTCAATAGTCTAAACTAAATATAACAAACATAACAGTTCTTTTACAAATTGCAGCAAATAGAAAAGAAAAAGATTGAAAAAGAGCTAGTTTAATGTAAAAAAAATTAAAGCATATAATTTGTAAAATGATTAATTTTTTAAATAAAAAGTTTTAAATGAATTAAGTGAGACGTTTGCTTCTAAATTCACAAAATCGTTTAAAATGCATTAAGATTTTGAAACCTGGATGGTTAGTAGGGTTAAATTTAAATGTTTTTAAACGATAGAAAGTATGCTGGAAGGAAACACTAATAATACAATTTTAAAGAAAATGATGTCTATTATTCCTATTGAATATTTAAAGCTAAATCTATTATAAGTATATTCCAATTTTAAAGTAGAGCACAAATGTCAATATAACATGGAACTATTTGATGAAGTAATTTTCCTAAATAATAAAGATATTTATTCAATTTTTTTTAAAAACTTATAGAGTTTAACTCATAAGATTACAGAGCTAGAACCAGAAGATATTAAAACACAAAAAATAACTGTGATAGAAAGTGGATTTAAAATATTTAATCTGATAAGTAAATATGAATAAGAATATTTAAGCAGTGGTGAACTAAATTAAGAAGAGGAAGACGATGAAGGTAAATAAATAATTAATTTTAATAAATTAATTATATTATAAAAAAATATGTATTATATCAAGATACTTTTATCAAGGATGTTTTTGGAACTTAGAGAGAGTTTTTCAAGCCTATATTTAGAGGAATAAGTAAAATTTAATAAATAATTTGTATTTTTTAGCTAAAAATTTTATGTTTTTTTAGAACGACTATTTTTGCAGAATATTTTAAGAGAAAACGAAACATCTTTTAGAAGGAATGTAGAACTGTCTTAAGAACTTAATTAATAGGCTCTTGATTTTTTCAAAAAGTATGTATGTAGGATAGAAATTTTGAGAGAAGAAAAGCTTTATCCTGTTTATTTTCCTAAACTACCATACTGTGAGTACTTAACAGACACCACAAAAGATTAGTTTCAAGAAAAAGTTAATAGAATGTCTATCAATTCTAAGCTTAGAGATTTGATGTAATACAGTGATGATATATTAGATTAGCTACAAAACGAATACAGGTAATTTGTTAGGTTTTTATGTAGAAAAAGAAATAACTAAGTTATAATTAATTATTAAAAAATTAGTATGATGAAATAGTATGAAAAACTCTTTTTATTTATTTACGTTGCTAAAAATTTTGAGTTCTTTCAAAACATATCATTTTACTTGGTAAATTTTTTATTTGAAGGACTATCTTTAAAGTGTATTTAAAAAATAAAAGGCATTGACTCAAAATATTTTGATTCTAATAACTGTTTAAGACCATTCCTTTTAAATAGATAGTGGTGTCACTGATGGCTCAAATTAGATTAGCAACAAAATACTATTTGCTTGCTAGATTGCTTAAGTGAGTTTTTTATTTGTAAATTATTTATTTTTTAAATTGTTTCATATTTAGGTTGCTTTAGGAGGAATGCTTGCTATCTTCTTTACATTTAAAGTCATTATGCTCAAATTTAAAAAGGCAAAAAAACACCTTAAAGAAACTGAAGGGATTAGAGCATAAAAAAATTGGTTATAAGTTTATCTTTACAAACTGTATATTTATTCTAAGTTTATCTTCATAGATTTTTACATCATATATTATCTTTGCTAATCTATGCTGGCTATTTTAGGTATATTTAATCCAATCTTCTCTGTCGTCCTTTTAGTAGATATTTTCAGAAAGTAAATTTTTCCTTTTTAAATTTATTTTCATAAATTATTGTATAAAAAGACTACCATCTGCTAAATCTATTATTTAATCAGTGCTAAAAACATGGCAATAGTTGCTAGTAATATTGTTTATATGGGTTATTCTAACTTATTGCTTTGCACTTGTATACTATTACAATTATTATGATGAATATTAGCCATGTACAACGTTAGCAAATTGTACATTTATGATTTTAGATTTAACATTTAAAGTAAATGCTGGTTTTCTAGGAAATGATTTAGGATGTAAATAAATATTAATTAAATAAATATTTATATTCATTTTTTTTTGAATTACTTGACAGAATATTCCTCCTCAAGTTGGAGTCCTAGCATTAAAATTTTAGTGGATTTCTTGTATGCTTTTGTAATAACAGTTTTGATCTTATAAATTATTTAAGGTTTAATTATTGATACATTTGCTCTTATTCGTGAAGAATAAGAGGAGAGAGTGAGAGAAATGGAAACTTACTGCTTTATATGTGGAAGAGACAGAGAATCATTAGATAAATAGGGAGATAACGCATTTCAAGTAAATATTAAAAAATATTAATTCACTAATAAAATACAAACATAAAAAAATAGGGATTTGATTTTCATGTTAAAAATCAGCATAATCAATGGTGTTATATCTTTTACATAGCTTACATATAAAACAAGGTAAACTTATTATCTTAAACTATCTATTTATAATTCATAAAAATAAAAAGCCACCTACTGAGTGCACAGGTCTTGAAAGTTATGTAAGATGGTGTGTTAGCAACGAAGAAACTAAAATACAGTGGTTCCCTGTTAGCAGAGCTAACATAGAAGGATCACATATAGGCATTTAAAATGTAAATAATCTACTTAGATAAACTATATTAATTATTTTTTATAATTATATTAACTTGAAGGAGGAAAAGGAGAAAATGCTTGAAAAAAAATTAGAAAAAATTTCAAATCAAATTACAATAATAAATAATAAATTAGAAAATATAAATGCATGAATACATTTTAAAATATTTTGTATGTTTAATTATTAAAAATAAACTTTTATATTGAGCTATTTTAAGCTCAAATAAAATAATAAAAAAAACAAGAATTATGAGCTTTATTTGATTTTTAATGAAGAATTATATCAAAATCTATTGCATTATTATTTATTTGTTTTAGAATAAATATTATTATTTAATTATAAATTTGTTTGATGTGTTTAATAAAATATTATAAATCTTATTTAAGAGACTAATATGTTATGATATAATTTAGTAAGAAGTATACACTTTAAACTTTGACAAGATACTTTTGAAATTTGTTTGTAATTTAATAAAATTAAGATATTATTTATTACATATTTTAGACTTTACATTGATTAATTAATTATCAAGGTTAAATATAATAAATATTATTTAAAAATTAATAATTTAATGGATTAGTAGGATAATAAGGCATAATCGTCAAACTAAAACTAAGGAGCTTAATAAGAAGCTGATGATGAAGAAATTATGATTCCAATTACAACTTTAACAAAAATTTCAAATTACGTTGATAGATATTTTGTTCGTTTTTATAAAGTATATACAAATGAATCTAAGCAATGTTTGAATTAATATGCATTTTAGCATACAAATAAGTACTTTATCTAAATTTGAGCAAAGCAATATCTTTAATGTATTATTTTTTCTAATAAAGGCTTTGCTTAATAGGATTAGCTCCCGAGCATGACATTATTGCTAACAAAAAGACTATTACAAAGGTATCTTATGATAAAGTCTACTCAGGAGATATGCAAAAACTTGTTAAAGGCAAAAAGAAAAGTAAATTTTTAATAAAAAAAAATAATTTAAATTGAGCAAATTTGCTTAAAATGGTTTTTTATGATTTTAAATGCAAAAAATTAGTAAATAAATTTTTCTTATTTGTTTAGAGGGAGGAATTAAGTCTACTCCAGATAAAACTATTGGAGAAATATTTTGTGATGATGGAAGTGTTTATTAAGTTAAAGGTGTTATAGATGGAAATATAATTGAATTAAACGATAACTTATTTACCAATCCCTAATGGATTACTGAATATGTAAAATTTATAGCTAATAAAATTTATTAAATTTATTTTGATTTCATAAAAGCCTGACAGTAAAGGGTATTTAGGTATCATAAATATTGGTAAAAAAGCTAAGCTGTAAAATAGAAATGTTTTAAATAAAGAATAATATTAACAAGTACTTTCAGGAGTCGATATTGAAGTAGTTAAGGCTTAAAGTAAATTAGAAAAATAGGATGAAATGGAAGAAGAAGAGGATGAAAATGATAACCAAGTTGATTAAGATTGAATTTGAATAATACAAAAACATAATCTAAAAGAATAAAATTAATTTATTGCATTTTAATAATTTATTTATACATATGTATTTATTTTTTTGTAATTAAAATACTATCACAAAATTCTTGTTAGCAAATAAGGAAGAAATATTATTTAAACCAAAAGTTTCAATTATTTATTAATTTCATTGCTTTATATATAGCCCTGTTTTTAAATTAGAATTATTCATGCTGTTATTAATATTTATGCTACCATCTTAGCTCTCTTACTGCCTCCAATTACTATCTATTTACTATTACTACTACTATGATTAAAATTATTGTGGTTATATTTAAGCTTATGTATTTTACTATTAGACTAAACTAGCATAGTTAGTAAAAGGTTTAACTGAATATTATTATTAATAGTTTTCTAATTGATTACTTTAATTTTATGATATTTTAGATTTGCTAGAAATTCTTTCTCTAAATTTTTCAAAATCTGCATCTGTAATTTTTTAATCTCTTGAAATTTGCTATGTCCTAAAAGGATTTTCTTAAGATAAAGCATTATTCACAGGAGATCTATAACTTAGTTGCTGTTGATCATGGAATTATTATGATTATAGAAAGGGCTAGTTTTAGTTTATTTAACTCTTTTTATTTGCACTTGGAGTATAGCTTTAAGAATCTCTTATCAATTAGCTATTATTAGCTTGATTTTGAGAATTTTAAATATGCTCATTTTAAAATTTATTTATTTAATTTTATAAATCTAATTAATTTTCATTTAAAATTTTATCTTTTATGTCTAACTAGGGCTCAATCTTTTAAATATCATTTTCTACTAAAGCAAGTTGCTTTTAAATTTCTCTTTGATTCACTTAATAAAAATCTGGACTGTTATATAAAAGTTTTTTTTCCCACTCCCTGTTTTCTTTTATTTCATTAAGCTTAGCTTGATTTGTCGAAAAGAAATCTAGTAGCAGTGTCTTTTATATTTAAAAAATAATTATTAAAAAGATATAGATAGATTTATTTTATTTACTTCATCAGGTTAATTTTCATGGTCAAAAACAAGCTCAAGAATTTACTTAAAATCAATAAGCTTTTCTTCCAAACAAAAATTAAGATTCTCTATTTCTTTTAAATTTTATCCTAAAACCTAATCGCAAATTTACTGAATTTCTCTTTCCTTTGCTTCTATTTTTGATTTTATCTCCTATTATTAACATAATTTATTTATAAGTATCTCATTTATAAAAATTAAGTATTACAGCAAAAGCAAGAGCAATATTCTTTTTTAAACTCAATGAATTTTAGTTTATCTCTTAGGCAACTGATTCTAAATGGGTTTTTCTTTGGTTTATTTGCTTTATTTTAAATTCCATTTTTTACTGGAATTCCTCTACTTTTTATTTTACTATTGGATAAGCTTTCTTTATTGTTTTTACTTCATGGTTCTTCATTAAAAAAAATGATTTAACAAAAATCAAATTAATAAAAATTTACTTTGTGTGCTCCATGAATTACACATTCAGGGCAAATACATCTACTTTAACATTAAAAGCAATAGTAGAGAATTTCTTCTTCAGCATGTTCTTAACAGAATCTTTTTCTAATTAAGTAGATTAAGTTATCAAAGCAAATACTTTAAATTAAAGTCACTTACATTTATTATTGTATCTAAGTCTGTTATGTGGGCAAATCTTGTTCAGTTTGCATTTACTAAATATTTTGTTGGAAATTATTTTTATTTGCTTATGGACTTTGTAACAACTATTACTACTATTGTAGTTACAATAACCTATTTTATTATTCATGTTGCTATTAGTTTAATTCATTTCCTAGCTATGATGGTCCATTTAAGTAATTTTAGGTTGGTAATCTAGCTTAAAAATTCTCTAAAACATTACTTGGATGATCTTATGCTTTAACTCTTGAATTTTGCAAATAGGACTAATTTTAGTTTTCATATTGCAATCCACTGTTCTAGTTAATGCTCTATTTAAAATAAAATTTATTTGTTAAAGTCATAAAAAAACTAATCAAATTAATCATGGTACTCCATATTATTTTTATGCCTTCAATCCACTAGTATTAAGTTTCTTTTAAATTTAAAGTTCAACGTTGATTCTTTGTAACTCAAATACACTTGATTAGTCCAGTTCTGTACTTTATCCACATTCAAGACAAGTTAAAAGCTTTATTTAAAAAACAATTAACAATCATAAATCATATCAATATCAATATTACTTACTCTAGAATCTGTCTAAAGATTTTCAGAAACAAAAATAATTGCTGCACAGTTAAGGCATAAATCGTGATCGCAAGAAAGCATTAAAATATCATCTGGTATTTACTTACAATTTGTACATTTTTAAATAACTTCTTCCATTTTACTATCGATAAATAAAAAACAATAAAAATAATTTAAAATAAGCTAAAGATTTGATATTTTCTACTAAAAATATTAATATTTTTTATGTGTTTTAAGCTATTAAAAATCAATTAGTAATAATTAAAATTTTAAATACAAAAATTGAAATTTTATGATTGATTTTTAATAACAAGTTAAAACTTATTTAAAAAAAAATAAATTTATTAAATTTTATAAATAAAAGCCAAAAGCATTTATTAATTATAATTTATGCTTACAAAATAAATAAGGATATTTAAATTTAAAAATTATTATTAGTTTTTGTTTGTGCATGCTTGAATATATTAATTATATTTTAATTAGAAATACAATTTAAAAGAAACAGGCTAAAAATAATTAAGAATTTTTTAGATGATAGTAACTTATTTAATGCATCTTTATTTGTGTTATTAAATTTTACAAGAAAAATTTAGATTACATTAATGTGTTTTAAAGAAGATATTTCAACTGTTTTCGAAATTACGTTTTATTCAGCAAATATAAAACATAAACAGAAAAATAAGTTTATTTCTCCATATAAAAATTTCACTAAAATATCTGAGTCTTTTTAAAGAATAGAATATTTTACTTTTTTTGATAAAAATTTTTATTATAATTTTACTTTTTAAAAAATTTTAAATTAGACAAATTTATCAAGTAAGCTTGTCGCAAAATTGTTTGTTTTTATAAAAGATATTTATTTTTGTATCCAAGACATGTTTAATAAATTTATGTAAGTTAAATATAGACAAATAAATTTTAAGGACTTCCTGGTTTATTGAGTTATACATTTATTTAATGTATAGATTATACTTAGCTAATATTTATCTTAAATAAAAATTTGTTTGGGTAAGAAAAAATAATAAATATAAATAAGTGTTATTTGATTAAAAAAGAATTTTTATATGATTCTAATGATTTATGTAAAGATTTTAATAGCAATTCTTTTAAGTTCGTGTGTGATGCTTTTAAAAAATGTGAAGTTATGATAACAAATTTTAACGTAAGTAATATAGTAAATTCTCTAAGGTCTTGTATGAGAATATCATTACTTAGTAAATTTTAATTGAAAAATGATAGTATGATTAATAAAAAAATAATCAATATGAATACCTTTATAGAACTATCTTTACTTAAAAATCTGTAATCTGATTAAAATTATATTGTAAAAATAAAGCCAAATAAAGTTTATAATTTGATTATTTTATGTATTTAAGAATAATCTTAAAAAAGAAAATACAAATTAATGACTGACTACTTTATTTGAAAATTAAAGAAAGAATTATTGTATCGAATTAAATTATGAGCATGACGAATGCTGATTTGTATACAGTATATATCTTTAACGAAATCATATTCTAAAATTTTTTTACATAATTTTTTTGAAAATCTGAAGATTCAATTAAATAATACGATAAGTAATTATTACTAATAAGAATTATGAGTTTTAATGCATTTTTATGATTTTTGTGTCATCTACTTTATAAAAAAATTAAGCAAAACAAAAAAAAACTAAAGTCTTAATTGTTTTGAATGCAGTAAACAAATAAAAATAATGAAGTTAATAAAAGTAAAGATCAATCATTTCTAAACTAATCTATGTTGAATTCCAAAAAATAAGAAAATGAAAATAATATATCAAAACAGAATGTGAGTTCGTATTCTAGGAACAACTCAACTCGCTTTGCTTAGAATTTAAACTCTAAATCTGTTCAAGAAAACTCATAAAAATCTCAATATAATCAACATCATAATAACCAAATTTAGTCTACTCTTAAATAATCTTTAAATCCTATAAATTACTTATATTAATTTTGGAAGGGTTAGCATACGTTCCTTCTATTTGGCCTTATTTAGCTAGGCCCTCGTATTCATTTTGTGTGGAATTTAGTTTTTTGGATTTTTATCATTATGATGGGTGCTATCCATTTAACATTCGTAATTCCTTATATCATGAATGATGTTTCTATTGTGCTAGGACTATTTTACATCATTATATTTATCTTAATGATTATACTCACAATACTCACTTAGTTTTCAGATCCAGGGTATATTCCGCGACGGAAAATGATTTAAACTATCCCAAAATTGCATAACAGAATTGACAATATTGAGGATATGATTAACGAAAAAGCTTACAGGATGATTATGGATATGGAAAACAATGATTAAAGCTAACTGTAAAAATAAGGTAACTAAGATTAAAGTTAATTAAAAATAAGTGGATTAAATAATAGTAAGTTAGAGAGTTTTATGGGAAATTAACTTCAAAGTGCTAAGACAAATATGCATTCAGATCTTATACTTTTTAAAAAAGCAGGTTCAATAAATCCTCATATGTACAAGCATGGAAATTTTAATTTTAGTAATAATAATAGCATGATTACTAGTAAAAAAATTGATCAAACTATTAAAGACTCAATAAAATTAGATTAGCAATTGTAAAAAAAGCCAACTTAAAATGAAAAATAGCTTCAGTCTAGATAATATATAGAAAATTCTAACCTTGAAAATGTTAATAATGAGGACAATCAAGCTTGTTAAAGCTAATTTTACTAATAAATCAGCAAAAATGCAGAAGCATAGCTAAAGTAATATTAAATTCAATAAGTCTAAGAAAATAAAGGATAAATAGATAATCAAGAAGCATCTCTCTAATTAGCACTAATTAGAATGAAAAATCCGTTTGTACCTGTAGAAGAAGAAAGTAGCATCAGTAGAAAATCGAATAGCAGAAGAGATGAATGGACTGAAAATACACAAAAGAACACTACAGAGCTCTATACTCAGGAGATAATAAATGATCAAATTGATTAAACAAAAAAAGATAATCAAACAAAAGAAGAAAATGATTAATAGAAAACTAAAAATGCTGATTAAAATCAGCAAAGTGACCAAAGAGAGAAATTTCATATGCATATTTAAATAGAAAATGAAAATGAGGAAGAAAATAAAGATTAAGATGATGAAATTTAAAAGAGAAGGACAATTTTTTCTTATATTGATAGAAAAGCGAGCCGATAACGAATAAGTTAGTAAACTTAGCTTAATACAGTTTCTAAAATAGATACCATTCCAAATGATGCAAATTTAGAAAGCTTTAATGAATATAAACAGATTTCTAATTATTAAGGATAGAATCTATTACAATCAGCTGTATAAGAGTAATAAACTTAAGATAGATAAATTAGCACAAATTCAGTAGTGGAGTCTGCAACTTCTAATAATAAAATACCCAACTAAGCTTAAAATATTTCACATCAGATAAAGAAATAAAAGATTTCATAATCAAATGTAGATTTACATGATAATAAAAACTTTTTGCAAGTAAGGAGTAGCGGACTTTTGCAGGAAACAATGATTTCTCCAAAAATTGATATCGATGGAATTATTTGTAACAATTAACCTCCAGCAAATTCTTATGATTAAGAACAATGCGCTAATTCATATTCTATCGATATTAATAGCAAATAAATAAAAAATAAAATAAATAGCTCACTTGATATTAAGAAATTAGCTGAAATAAATATTAACAAACAATAAAATACTAACAGTGTAAGTAAAGTAGATTAGTTGGATGATCAGGAATTAAATGTAAATAAAAAAATTTAATTAAATAAAAATAATGTAAATTTATAAGATAATAAATAAATTACTTTCTCGAATAGCCAAACTAAATAAGTAGATCATTAGAATAGTTAAAATAGTAATTAATTTGTAAATCAAAATTCATAAGGCACTTCATATTTTAAGGAAAATTAATTAGGAAATCAAAGCTAATTTATGTAACACAATTAAAGTGAAATCGCTCAAAACTAAAAAGATATTATAAATTTTAGAGAAAATTATAATCATAAACAAAATAATGAATTTTAAAGCGTAATTTCTGAAAATAATTTTCAGAATGAAAATCAGGCGCAGTATCCAAATTACTCTTAAAACTAATAAGAAAATAAAATTTAATTAGAACATATTTAAAAAGTTACTAAACCTAATATTTTCTTTAACCCTTAGAAGTGCATCAATATAGGAACTATTAACATGAATTCAAACTCGACAAATACCTAACAAGAAATAAATTAGCAAAATAAAATTTATGAATCAATAATAGAATAAAATAAAGTCGATTATGAAGATGAAAACCAAGTTGACTTCACAGAACCCTAGCATGACCAAAAAACCAACATCTTTTTACAACAAAAAAATAAAGCTTAAATTGTTAATTGCTTTTAATACAACAGTAATAACGATCCAACCTGTTAAGAAAAAGTCAATTAAATTACTAATACACTAAACAACTCAGTTTAAAATTAAAAAGAACAAGATGCCCATAAATAATTTATGATGCTTTCTATTTAAAGCAACTCAGTAACACCTAAAAATAATTCTAAAAATATTATAAATATAAACTAAAATAGCTAAAATAATATAAATAACAACATTAATATTTTCATAGGAAACAAATCTAGCAACTAGAATAATTAAGCAATTAAGCTGAATGAAAAATTTAGCTACGAAATGGCAAAATATGAATAAAATATTAAAAGATTATCTGACTCAATAATGTAACAGAATCCTTTAAATGCAAGCATAATGAGAAACAAAAATGAAACACTTTAAAATAAAAATTTTTTTGATTTGCATAATTAATCTTATTAGATAACTCCTTAAAAAAAACAAACATAGATATTTAATGGCAGGAAATATTGTGTTACATGCAAAATATTCAGACCTCCAAGATCATCTCATTGCACATACTGCGACTGTTGTGTAGAAGTATTTGATCACCACTGTAAATTTGTAAACAACTGTATAGGAAAGCACAATTACAAATATTTCTTTAGTTTTCTCTCTTTACTCAATTTCACCTTTCTATTGCAATTAATTTCTGAGATCTTTTATTTAATCAATAAATCCTCTGACACAAATAAACTAAACAGTAAATCTAAATATTAGATTTTATCTTTAATTTTAAAAATAACTCATTATTTAATAAATAAATAGCCACTTAATTAGTTTTTGGGATAATATACATTTTAATTATTTTTCTATCATGGCTTTATGTCTTATATCTGTGGGGATTTCATATCTTCATTTAGTACAGGTATGTTGATTTGCTTTCTAAATATTTATTTTTAAAAAAATATTCTTTTTAAATAACTAGATAACTAACAACAAGAGAATAACTTAGAGACCTTGAATGTGATAGAGACCCAAAAAACTACTTTACTTGGTGTTCAGCTAGAGGTCCTATATTTTAAGCAAGAATGATCGTTTCAGATAATTAGCGCTATGATCTGTTAGAAGATTATTGATTAAAAATTAAAGATCAATCTAATAAATAATTTTTAATCTTATATTTAAAATAAACAAATAATAAAAAAATAAATAGTCTCAAATCCTCAAATATTTTTTCTCACAAAATATAAAATTATAACAAAAATTTAATAATTTATTCTAAAAAATTAAAAAGTTTAACAAATTTATCTCTAAAAAAAGTCTATATAAAAACAATTTAAGATCTATTTTATATGTAAAGCTTTAATTTATGTTTTTTATAAAAAATAAAATTCATGTAATCAATCATCTTCTCTTTATGTTTCTTACTCAATTTTAATTCATTTTTATTATTTTTTAGTAAAATTAGACAACTTATTTCATTAATATTTTTTGTTAAAATTTAAATTAAAATCTTTTTCAATACAATTATTTATTATCAATAACTTTCTAATTAAATTTAAATAACAAAAGCAAAATGTATTTATATTATTCTTTTCCTCAATAAAAAAGAAATTAATTTAAATTCGTTTTTTTGTGTTAGAATTTATTTAGAAATTAAAATTATATTAAATTTTATTTCTATTTTAGCTATTTAAGAAAAGAATTATACAAGTTACTAATAGATATTCGTTTTTGAGCTTTTTTATCAAATTTTTACATCTGTAAAAATAGAACCTGATTTTTAAAATAGTTAAAAACTATTAAATTGTATTAAATTAGAGGATAATTATTGTTTCTACTATTATTAAGATGGGTTAAACAAAAACACTTTTTGTAGGTTTTGTTATCTTAATTCTTTCTGTGAGCGTATTAGCATCGTTAGAAAAATAACAAAAAAATAGCAATCAAAAACTAAAATCCAATAGTCTTAGATTAGCTCAAAAATAGGGACCTTTATTTAGCTTCTAAGCAAATGAAAAAGTGAGAGTTGATGTTGTCAAAAAAATAAAAAGAGACATGCTTTTCTTTGTGGAAGGTTTTGCTTTTATAAGCAAAAACTTAATTCTTGAGAGCACAGGACTTGAAAATTAAACTGAAATCCATTTGATTGATTTAGATGATATGTCTATAAAAAATTCTTATACTTTTGATCCAGAAATTTTTGGAGAAGGTTCAGCTATGATTAAAGATAGTCAAACTGGTAAAAATGTTGTTTTTATGATGACTTACAAAAACAATATAGTCTACAAAATGGATGAAAACTTGACTGAAATTCTTTAAGAGTATCCTTTACCTCCAGAAATGAGGGAAGGATGGGGCATGCACAAACTATCAGAAGATACTATAATAGCAACTGATGGAACTAATAGACTTTTCCATATAAATCCTGAAAACTTTACAGTCAAATAAATAGTAAAAGTAACAGATTCCTAAGGGTATTCTCAGGATAATTTGAATGAATTAGAAATTATTGATGGTAAGGTATATTGTAATATTTTCATGTCTAAAAAAATAGTTGTATTCGATCCTTATACAGGTAAGATTGAATCTACGTTAAATTTCTCTCCTTTGGTGTAGTTTTTAGAAAGTGAAGATGGATACAGATAATATGTTGGTTATAACAATGTTCTTAATGGTATTGCATATAACCCAGAAACTAAGTAAACTCTTATAACAGGAAAAAATTGGCCTTACATTTATGAGGTTAAACTTGTCTAAATTAACAGCTGATGATCATTTAGTTTATCATTTAATTTAAGAAAATAATTATAGAAAAATATATGTTTATATTTTAGTATTAGTATAACTCTATTTTAAAAAGATCTATCTCCTTAAACCTCAAATAGTTATTTATATTTTTGTAAAACTTTTGAAATGTAAAAAAATAATATATTTTATTTTTTTAAAAAAATTAAAGGTTTTATATATTTTTTTTATGTTCAAATGATTTTTGCTGAATATATAATTTTAAGAATTAACTTGGAACTAACTAAATATTATCTAAAGAATTTACTTAATAGGACTAAAATCTATCTATTTATTTGTTTTGTTTATTCACTAAATTATTGTTTAAAAGTTGTAATTATTTTGTCATTTTAAAATGATTTAACTTAAAAACAAACTAATAATTTCAAATAATTGTAATTAAATTTCAATAAAACAAAATATAAAAATCTTTTTTAAATTTTACAAAAAAATAAAAATTTATATATTTTTAATTTATTTATTTGTTTGTTTGTCTGTAAGGATCAGTTATCGTTTATATCAAACATATCTCTAAGGATTCTTTTGGTTGTCTTAAGTACTATTGCTTATCCATATTCAAGAGTTTCTGATTCTGAAAACAATGCCTCACAAATGAGGTCATAGTTGATAGAATTAAAAGCTTCAAGATTAATTTTTTTTAACTCCTCTGCTCTGTCGTTGATAAAATATTAAATGTATCTTATAGACCTGTCAATCAGCTTGAGATTTGAAGGTCTCACCCATATCATAATGTTACTTTTTACTTTATCAAGCCTGCACATGACAAGGGTTGAATGGGTGTTTAAGAGTATTTTTAAGAAGATAGATTCATCAAGTCTTCTATTTTAGAAAGGAGAAAGATCAAATTCACTAAAAACTACTTCTTTATTTGATTTATCTTCTTTAATAGAGAATCTTAGAGTTACTTTACCTTCATTACTTACAACTCTCTAAACGGCAAAGAAGTAATGATTAGAATTTTTTGGGCAATAAGATCTACGAAGTTCTACGATTTCGGGTGAGAAATTATATCCTAAGGCTCTTTTAGTTGCTACCTTTTGCTCATATTTTTAAAAGTAAGCTGAGTCTAATCCTCTAATTTATCTTCCTCCAAGCATATCAAACCAAGCTCTTTAGACCATTGTTTCTCCTTCTTTAAGTGTGTAGGGCTAGTTAGGATCCTCTATCATTAATAGGTGACATAGTGATGGCTAAAAGTCTTTTTAATTAATATCTTGTTAGTTTTCAAAAGGGAACAAAGAAAATGTAGGAGAACGCTCAGTAGTATCAGTCAAGACACTTAAACCAAAGTAGGAAGTTGTTTCATAAAAAATAAAGTTGTTCTCTTTATAGATAGTGCTTTCGAATTCTGTTAAAGGAGAAAGAAGAGACCCAGTATTTGTATTTTTGAAATGCTCTGTGAATACATTTAGCTTGTTTGTAGCTTGTATAACAAAAGTACTGTCAGCCTCTTCTTTTGTTGCACCAGTTAAATGATGGCAATGGAAAATAGCTAATCCAATTGCATACATAAGTATAGTTGTTGACTGCATTCTTGTAGATCCTGTAATAGCCATAGGACCAACAGTCAAATTAATTTTATTAATTTTAGGGTTTGCAATTACTTCTTTACTACGTTATACTTTCAATTTGTCATCCGGATTGCAATAAAGAAAATATGGCTTACGAGAACTGAATTCTGAAGCATAATTAGTGGCACCAATTACCCATGGGGTTTCACCTCCTTCAGTACTAGCAATGAGCAAATCATTTGGACCAAACTAAAGGTCCTTCATATGTTGAACAGCATATTCAGGATGATCTTCAAAATCTTCAACACTTTTGATTAAAGCCAAATCTCCACCTGCCATTAGACTAACAACACTTTCCTTCAAAGCATCTTTTTTTAAATGAGTTACTTCTTATCTAAAAATTTACTCCAATGCTAAACTAAGACGTCCAGTAGCACCACATCCACAAAGATAAACCTTGTTTCCTGACTCAAAAGTATCAGAAACAGCCTTGTACATGGCCTCTAATTCAACAACTTTAGAAGTTAATGTATTTAGGGTAATGATGTCAAGTTTCTTAACCTATTCAACAGCTTTAGGGAGATTATCTTTGCTATTTTCTGCTAAATTGATAGTCTCTGGAGCCTATTATTCAGTAGGAAGATCTCCTAATCTGAACTGATCACCTAAAGCTAAAAATTCTGCTGCTTATGACTTTGCTTATTGAGAAATATTTTTGAGCATCTATATAATATCTTTAAAACTTTGCTATAAATTTTACGAATTTTTATTTTTTTATATTTTTGATAATATTTTTTATGAGATTAATCAAGATACTAATTTCACAAAAGATTAATTAAAGCTTTCAAAACAAATCCTTTAATGACAAATGGAATTATCTTTTATATAAATACATTTATCAAATGTAAATATTTGAGTCTAAAAGACAAACCAATCAATCAATCATTAGATCGATATCAATGCTAAATTTATTTTTCTGATGTAAATTAAATCCATACTTTTATAAGTGATTATGAACTAAGTAATTTTAAACAAAATTAAGAAATTGATGTATATTAATTACTTATCTTTGTTTACATTTACCTACTATTTCATTTTAATTTACATTAAGTTTTTTCTCTAAATTACTTTTATATATTATTACATATATTAATTCATTTATTTAATTATAAGACAATAAAATTTAAATAATGTACTTTCATCATAATAGAAAAAAGAATGTAAAAATATATTCCTGGCGATTTTTAATATTTAACTTTTTTATAAATCTGCAAATTTTTATTCTTAGAAATAAATAATTAAATTATTTGAAAATTAAATAGAATTTTTATTACTTATTTATTAAATACACCTAATAATATTCCTAAATTAATTTTTAAAATCTTATGAAAATTTAAATAAAAAAACTCTGTATTTTATTTTGAATTTTTGAACCAATTATTCATAGTTAATTTTTAGCTTATTGAGTAAAATAATAGTGAGATACTACAAGTAAAAATAAAAAAAGAATTATCATTGGCAAGAATAAATAAAAATATTTTTTTTAATCTACTAATATATTTCGTCTAATTACTAAGAGAGGTTGTGGGGCATTTTTTACTTTTGATTTGTATTTGTTTACTCTATTTCTTAGATAATTTTAGTGTTTACTAAAATAAGATCTATTTCAGTATTTTTCTTTTTATTTTTTAATTATGTTATCCTATTACGTACTTAATTTAAATATTGTTCTATTAGTTAATTAGTTTCACTAGCTTTATTTGTATTGTCTAATTTGCTGATAAATACTTTAGCAGTTTCGTTAAACTATTTTAAGTCATTTTATTAGTTTTAGTTATTTAGCCCAAACTTAGATGAAGTAGATGTCAAATTATTTGTGTTGCTAAAGTCCAATTAACTTTAACTAAGAGTTACAGAAGATCTTTAAAGGTTATTTTATTTTAATTGCATTATTCTCTTTGGAGAACAATCAAATATACGAACATCTTCATCTAATTCTGTATACATTTCTTTCATCATTGTATTTTAGTTAAAATCTCCTATTAAATTTTTTGAACTGTTTATTGTGTTTGAGTTACAATATTTGCTTTGTAATTGATTTTGGCATTTTGATGAATAAAGGCTTTAAATTGATGAACAAGAAGGTGGAGCAAAGTTAAGAGACTAAGGTTTAAAATTTTGAAATTAGTTTAAGTTATTGTGATTTGATTAACTTCTCTAAGACCCACTAATTTATGAGGTTCTATCTATAGATAAATTGAAATTCATTTCATGATTTCTATTTGCATTTTAACTTTGGGATCTTTAGTTATTTTAATGTTAGTTAACTTCATGAAATTAAAATATTAAATTTTACCCTCCAGTTCCTCCACTCTTTCTTGATTAAGTTGAATTAGAATTAAATATTTAATTTCCTTACATGGGAAATGGCACATAATTATTTGATAATAGTGAACTGTCACTAATATTATCTTGTGACTGTGAAAGAAGAGGAGGATGTGATATTATATTGTAGTTGCTTTTTTGGTCTGCTTCGTTAAATCCCAAGCTGCTAGCACTTTTAACGTATTTTTAGATTTATTAATTATTTTGATATATGTTATTAGTATTGTATTGGTTCTATTAAGAATAGCTTTACCCTCTTATAGTATTTTTAAGAGCAGCATTAGATTTATTTTACAAAGATAAAGGTGTAACTCCTGATTGTGAATTTATTTCAAAGTGGTATTAAACTTAGTTAACAGTTTTACGACTTTTTTGGCTACTCTTAGTCAAAGGCTGGTTTGCATTGATAGAGATACTATCTAAATTAAAATCCTCTAAAAAGTTATTGAAGTGGCCATCTGCATTTTATTTAGACTTATTATTTATGTTACTTTGAGTATTAATTTTCTTTTATAAAGATAAGGGAGTGTATTGATTTATTGAATTTTACTAAGAAACAGGTTCAGTATTGGCTCTATAATTCATATCAATATAAGCATTCATTAATTATTATTAATTTTATTGAACTTACTGCTAATTAAAATTAAATTTTTTTTATAGATTTGGATTGATTATTATTTATTTTGTATTTTATTTGAAAGGTGATTTTCCATATTGCTGAGGCTTGAATCCTTAGTCAGAAACTAATTCCATTTAAAATTGAGAAGAAATTTAACTACAATTCTAGTTGGCTATATTATTTTTAAGAGTTTCCTGCTTTTTATTGTTTTAGAAAAGAATTAGATTTTATTTCATCAACCCATGGTTTTTACTGTTTTAGTTATTAAATTTTTCTGTAATGGGTTAATTATGATTACTTTCGGTTAATAAATTTTATTGTGGATAACTGCCTATTAATTACTATTCATTTTCAAAATTTGATTAATATAAAGGATTTTAATTTGCAAAATTTTTAACACCTAATTAGTAATCATAACTTTTATGAATAACTCTTTGCTAATGTTTAAAAATATTAGCTTCCTATTAATAAAATTGTTACTCATTATTATCGATTTATGAGTTGTTAATTTACGAAACTGTTTAAGAGTTTTGAGTTTGAGACTCAGGAATATCTTATTAATTAGATTAAATATTTTCTGAAAGCTGTTGATTATAAGATTGATTTAAGCCATTTATCTTTATATTTTACTCTTACATTTAATTGATTCTTGTTTCTTAATTATTAACAGTACTTCTATTTTACTAAGCATTATTTTATTGGCTTTAATAAATTTGTTTAGTATTTTATTAACTTGGAGAAGTCTAATCAACAGTGGATTTTTAATTGAAAGTTAAAGTTGAATAGCTATCAGTATCTTTCTTATTTTTACTTGCATTTAATTAATTTTGAGTTTGCTATAACTTTATATAATTGTTATTGCTATTCATATCATACTAATCAATCAAATTTTACTCATGCTAATTTGATTTTCGTAAGATCTTAAAGTTTTTATTATTGCCTTATATTTTTTAAGTCTCATCGCTAATATCTAAAGTCGGTTCGCCTAAACTCTAATTAACAATATTTCTAACGTTTATAAATTTTTTTTTTGCTTCAATTACAGAAGTTTTAAGATTTTTAGGTTGTAAATTATCTCTCTTTTTATCTTAGTTAAAATAGCTATCTTTTACAATATAGTTTGTTAATATTTGATTATTAAGTTGAGCTTTTAACCTGTTATTTTACAAGTTAATATCATTTAAATCTACCATGTCTAATAACTAGTTATTTTCAACAATTGAGTTGTCAAGATCAGGTTAAGTAGCACATTTAATCCCATATTTTTTTTAATTTTAATCACTTTTCGTACTACTAGACATACCATGTTCACTATTTTTATTTTGGTTTAAGTTATCACTTTTGGAACAGGTACTATCTTTGATATTTGTTTCGTTTTATAGCTAAAAATTTTAATTCATATCTTGATTTTCTTTGTCTTATTCAAACTTAATGAAATTAGTTCTAAATTTAGTTTGATTTTCATTTGATTCTTCTACATATCTCTCCATAGTAGAAAATGGACGATTTTAGTATTGCTAATCTTTTGGAATTATTCTACGTAATATTTTCTTAGCCTATCCTAATTTACAGTCAAACGATTAGCTTAATTTTACAATATCGCTGCAATTTTCTCTTGAATCATCAAGTCCAACGCTTTAATTCAATTTTTTTGAAAACTAAGATTTTTTAATTTTAATTTATGCATTTTTAAGAGGATTTGGTTCCATATTTTATTCTCCATTTTATTATTGATTTTATATTTTTTATATTTTTATTATTATTTTATTTTTTTAAACAAAGTCTGTTTTGGGTTTTTTATTTTGATTGATATCATGTGACCCACTCTATTTAGGATCATTAAGAAAAGAGTGATTTCTTTAAAGTATTTCTGGCTTCGAAGAAAATCCAGTTACAAATAAAAAGTTATTTTAATGCATATCTTCTAATTTACAATTTCTCTTAGATAAAATATTTTTTTTCAAGTTAATTTTTACTTTATAAGATAGATTGGTAAGTACAGTACGGTACTACTTTTATGAATATTTTTTTCTTCTTGCCAAATAATACTAATATTTTCTAATATTATTGATATTAGTTATTTCTAAACCAATACTGAAAAAAAAAAAAAACAATAATGCCTACTAAGAATGAAATTTATTGTACAATATAGTTAAATTGATATATAATCGTTAATTTTTGAACTAAAAACTCAAACTGATTTATTTTATTTTGAGTATTTTGTAAGCACTAAGTAATTGCAAATTATTCACACATTTTTACATATTTACTAATTACAACCACAAAAAATTTAACACAAATAATATAATAGAATTTATAATTTTAATTCAAAAAAAAGTTAAGAATTAATAATTTTATCAAATATAATTCCAATTAGTTATTTTTATTTAATTTTTAATTTATAAATTTTGATTATTTTAAAAAATTAATGAAAATAATAAAATATTTTATTAAAATTAAACAGATATTAAATTCAAACTATTTATTTATTTGTCTAAATTTATTTATTTTATTTTAGCAGTATTAAAAATTAAAAGTTATTTTTAATATAATTATATTAATACAATTTTATTTGTTTTGCGTTTTGCTTTGAATAAATAGTAACAACAATAGATATGAACTAAATAAGCGATATTTTATTCAAAATAACCTAACCAATAGTTTAAATATTTAAATATTTGTAAGTAATCTATTATATATAACCATTGATAATTATTCATATCATTATTTCAATTTAGAAATTTCTTCAAATAATTTAAGAAATTTTGGTTTGAAAATATAAAATTAAAATATCATCTATCTTAAATGATGCAAGGTATTTGACGGTATTTAAGTAAAATAGTTATTTTCCATATAATCAAAATAATTATCAAAGTTATTATCAGTAGAAGTTTTGAGTTGCTTATATAAATTATATTTGAAATAAATAATTAATATTAGAAAAAGTAATTAAATTTTTATATTTAATTTAGAAAAATCTAAATAAAAAAATATAATAGTAATAGTGAATAAGTGTTTTATCAACCATTAAAATGTCTGCTATGCTTTTTGGAAAATGAAATAATGCAAAAAAATCTTTACGAAGGTCGCTAATTACGTAATAACAAAATGATGAAATCGATGATTCAATCTATGTCTTTAATGATTTATTCTCCTGCTTTTAAATTTGTTTATTTTTAATTAAATTATTGTAATTAACTAAAAAAAAACAAAATAATTAAAAATTTTTGTAAAAAAGTTATAGTGGTGTTATTCAAAATGTCTTAAAATCCTGTCTAATTATTAAAATCTCTTGTCACTCTTTTAAGTACTACTGTTGGTAGAGATAAAGTAACTATTATTCATTTTAAAATTGATAAATGAAATAGTATTATAACATAATAGACTTGCAGAGTTGTTCAATACGTTTCCAAGTTTGTTGCTGCTGTTTTAAGACATTAAATTGCAAAAGGTTCAATTACTAAAGAATAATTCGATGAACTTACAAGCAGAATTGAAAGATTGAGTGGTAACATGTCTCTCACAAGAAAGGTATGAATCATTTATTTATTATCAGTTAATCTAATCTTAGCTTTAAAATTTTTAATTTCTTATTTCTATAATTTAGGTTTTGAGATTTGGTAGACCTATAGGTTTAAGCTTTACTCTCATAGACTTGATAAAGCAATTAAATAACTCATTAAAAAATCCTAAGAGCGTCACAGATATAAAATAAAGCCCTTTCTACATCACTATGAGAATCGGCTCAACTATTTCTTTAATATTGTTTTTCCTTTTAGATCACATCCTCTATTTTGCCAGAGTAAATAATCTTGAAATCTTATTTTTTTTAAATTAAAAGCTTATAAATCCAAATTGACCTTTCCATTTCTAAAGAATCAAACTAAATATAATTTAGTTCATAGTTAGCTTTTATAATAGACATTTTGAAATGTTAAGTTATATAAAGTTTAAAAAAAATTTATTAATTTGAATTCGAGTATCAAACAAATTTCTACTGATTTTAGAAGCTCTTTAAAATTTTTATTTGATAGAAATTTCAAAGGAATTTTATTAGAAATTTCTCCTCAAAATAAAAATTGAATTTTAAAAAATATAAAATTATTATTTAAATAGCTTGATTTAATGAAGAAGAGACCTGAATTAACTAAATTTGCTGATTTTTATAGTAGTTTTTGGTGGTTCTTAGATTGTCTCTTTGGACTTACATCAAACATCTAAGAAATCAAGTATCTCTTTGAGCTTAACAACGCTGAGGTAGCATTTTAATATTAAAAGTAAAAGGCATAATAAAAATTTTTAAAATTAATGAAAAGCGTTTAAGTTCAAATGAAAATAAAGGTGAAAAAATTAAATCTAATAAAGCTAGAATCGATGCAGCTATTGTAGATGCTTTTAGAAATATTTTCGATATTCCAGTATACCGTTTATAAATTTATTATAAATTCTACTTTTAACTATTTTAAAATTAAAAAAGGTTGCAGTTGGATTTATGTATCCTTAGTTAGTTTCACCAGGCACCATTGGTGTCTTTGGTGCAATTACCTCTTATATTGGTTGCTATCAAAATTGGAAATGATATAATTAAAGATTTATCTAAAAATTAATAAAATTTAAGTTATTTAATAAATCATTATATTTTTTATCTTTTATAAAATTATAACTGTCATTTCTTAATTTAGTTAAACTATAATTAAAACTCAAAAATATTTTTTAAGTAATTATATTAATGATATTTCTATTTATTTATAAAAATATAAAATTGTAACAAAATATTAGGTGTATTTTATCAAAGTTATTTCACTTTATAAATTGTTTTTTAAAATAAAATTAAAGTTCTTTAAATTTTATTTATGTATTTTTTAATGTTTATTTAGAATAGTTAAAATTAAGGAAATCAATTATCATCTTAAAATATAAAAAGATATCAACATAGAATATAAATTATAGTTAAGATAAAAATTTGTATGATTTTAAAATATTTTTATAAGCATTAAGTATATTTTATTTTTGTTAAGTTTATTTTATTATAGTTCATTTTTTACCAGATGAATTTTATAATCTTTCATTACCTTTTAATAATTGAATACATTTTATTCAAAATAAAAATAATTTGATTATTTTACCTTTTGATGATGTTGGTCTTTCTTTAAATGATATAAGTTACTACTTAGATGAATAATTAAATCCACTAACTCTTTCTGGGCTTATTTAAGAAGGGTCTATTTAAGCAAAAAAAAAAAAATTAATTTCAATTATAAATAAAAATAATTTATTCTTACAAATATCAAATACTTCTTAATTATCATAAGCACTAGCTCCACTAAAATCTGCTTTGTAGATTTTTCCATCATACCCTTTCATCTTTATAATAGTGCAAATTAAAATAAAATTTGTATAAATTATTAATTACATCTGACATGTTGTGTACTTACTTTCCTTTGGTACCACAAGCAACACACCTATTAGGAATAACTTTTGTATTACCAGTTATTACACTTATAGCTTCTTATTAATTAGATTTTATCATGGTATTAAGTTGCATATAAAAATCTTCAATTTATTCAAACTCTCTCTTGAAAGACTAAATCGTATCTGTTAACTATCTAACTTTCTCTTCTAAGAAGTTATTTTATCTATTAACTTCAATTATATCAGCCTTTTTTAAATAACAATAAAAAAATTTATTCCCTTAAAAATATAAATATAATATAAATAAATAATACCTTTTCTGCTATTTTTTATGATAATTCACTATTTTCTGACATATCTCTAAATTTCTTTTTTATTTTCTTCTCTAATTCAGAAATCCCGTTTATTTTTGGTTTTATATCCTCAAATTCTCTAGCTAATTATTTAACTTTTTCCTCAGCAATTACCTTTCCTCTTTCAATAAGTCCAATAATTTCATCTAATTTTTTTTGTTAAAAGTTAGATTTTAAAATATTTAAATATTTTAAATACCTCTATTGAACTCGCTTTAGTTTTACTTCTTTAACAATGCAAAATTTCCTAGCACTTTATGTTCAAATGTGTCAAACTTTCTTCTTATATCCTTTATGAAATTAAAAAATTGTAAATAAAAATTAGCTTCTTAATTTATTGTAAATACTTATTCTAAAGTTGAATAATTTCTTTTTTATTCATTGAATTCGTCTCTAAGTCTCTTTAAATTAGCTTCTAATAAACACAATTTATGAGGATCAATACAATCATCTTCTCCATTTCCACTTTTTTACTAAAATAATTTTAAGCTAAGATATTCAGTGTATTGAATGCTTACTTTTTTGTCACTGCTAATAGCTCTACTACCTAACAATGAAACTTAGTCAGCTAATTCATTCTAATTTATTAATAAAAACATAAATTAAGTAAAGTTATTAAAAATAATCATTGGTTCATTTTAAGAAGTAAAAAATTATTAACACTCAAAATAAAGAAAAATTAAAATTTATTTTTTTCTTCAAAATAATAAACAAATATATTTTACCAATTATCTTTCTTAATCATAGAGTTTAGCCTCTAGTTATCTTACAAGTTCTCTTGATTATTCAAGAACTTGATTAGCATCACCTTTTCTATCTAAAGTAATTAGCCTGGTTTCAATTTCTGAAATTTTATCTTAAACAATTTTTTTATTTGCTTCATATTTTTCATTTAAGGCAAACTATTTATTAATTGAAATTACTATTTTATCTTATAAAGATAGAAAAAATACCTTATTAGCAAAGCTATCTTCAACATCCTTAAGCTACTGCTTTACATTTTTTATTTTATCAGTATTATTTTCTTCAAATACCTTAAATTTATCTTCTAGATCTTCAATAGCACTGTTTATCCCTCCAAAATTTTCTTCCTTCATTTTAAGCATCTACAAATATTTTTTAATGAAAAATGATAAATTTATTTATGAAAAAAAATAAATTTTCTGACTTCTCTTCTAATTTTATCTTCAAGGCATTTTATAGAGTTATCTACAAACTCTCCTGTTATTCTTTTACTCAATAATTATTCACAATCTTATATTTTCCACAAAGTTTTCTTTTCAACATCTTTCACTTCAATCTCAAACTTGTTTATTTAAGTAACTGTTTTCTTACTCAATTCATCCATTTACTTGTTAAGTTTCCTTTTAATTTCTTCTAACTCGTTAACAAGTTTTGTTTTAGTTTTTTTAACCTAAATACAAAAATATTTTATATTTATTTAAGCTTTTATTCTTCGAATTATAAATACTTTTATTTTCATTTCATCTCTTTCAAGCTTTTTAGGTATTTCTAATGCAATCTCATCTAACTTTTTATCCCATCCCTATAAAGTAGAGCAAATGATTTTTATAAATAATTATATTTGTATATTTTAAATTAAATACCTTGTTAGCTCTATATAGAATAGTGCATGCGTGTCCTAGCATAACTATTTTGTTACAAACTTTATTAGCTCCATCTTCAACTTTATTGCCTGTATTTTCTTACTTTGGTTTTTCTAAGACGTTATTGATTGTTTTTAACAACTCATTATCATAAATGTTAATGCTATCTGAAACTGACTTGAATCCTTTTTCAACCTAATACATTTATTATTTAAGATTGAGCATAAGCATATATCAAAATTATAAAAATTTCGATATTAAATAATAATTGTTGATTAAAATTTAATTGCATAAAAACTATACCTCTTCTTTATCTGCTTTACCTTCAAGCTATTGCTAAAATGATTGTAACTACTTAGACTAATTGTTAATCACATTGACAATATTTTCTAAAAATACTTTTAAACTCTCGCTATTGACATTCACATTTAGGAGCTCATTTAAAGCAACAGTATAAATTGACTTGGCTGTAATAATAAAAAAGTAAAAAGTAAATAATAAATATCTTAATTATATATTTTTTTATTCTCAAACAATAAAATAAGGATTTTAATAACTAAATACTATTATAATTGTTAGACATATTTATTATTCTTTCACCTATATTGATTTTATTCAATAATAATACTTATTATCTATCTTTCTATCAATTTATGTATTTATTTTTCCTATTTAAAGTTATTATTTTGTAAGAAATTTAAGTGGCTAATATTAAATTTTTTATTCTATCTCCTTAATAAAAAATTAATAATATCTATTTATTTATTAACTAATTAATTAATTAATTAATTTTAATATTTAAGTAAAAAAATACCATTCAAAAACTTTTGTAAATTAATTACTAATAAATATATAACACGACACATCATTAATAATTGATAAATTAGCTGCTTTCTGAATCTTGGGTATTTTCCATGCATTCATTTATTGAAATCAATGATGCTATTTTTTTTTTTAATAAAATAATAATTTATTGATTTAAGCTAAAATAAAACAAATAAAAAAAATATAAATAATACTTCGTGATTTTTTTGAAATAACCCTACCTACCTATCAGCCTAACTAACTAAAAAATCATTTTAAATATTTAAGATAAATTAATTTTATTTTTTTAAATGACATAATATATAATTTGTTATATCTTTGAAAAAATTTTGATGTATTATTATTATTTTTAGGCAATTATAAAAAGAAAAAGAATCTAAAATTTAACAAATTGAATAGAACACAAACAATAAATTGTATTGTTTTTATGCAAGTTTGTTTTAATGAATTAAAGTTTTATTTGATTCTTTTTTATTTTAACAGTACTAATTGTGTCATTTTCTCTTTGTCTCTAATTTTTAAATTATTAGTAGTTCGGAAAATGTGACTTATTTATTACCTTTATATATTGTTTGTAAATAGATGAGATTCTTCCTTTAATAAGAATGAAGAAAGAAAGTAAAAGAGGGAATAATTATTTTCAATTAATAAATTACAATATAGCTAAAGCTAGAAAGAAAGAAATCTAAAGAGAAGAAAGCATTTCAAAACTTAAAATTAAAAGTAAATTAAAACAGATAAAAAATGGGTAACGCTCCAAGTGAAAATCCTTGCAACTTCACTCCCCAAGAAATGAAGAGACTTTACAAGAGTTTCAAGAAGATGGATAAAGACTAGTCAGGAGATTTAGAAATCGATGAATTTTTAAGCTTACCAGAATTGTCTTAAAATCCTTTAGTTAGAAGAGTTGTATCAATTTTTGATAAAAATAAAGATGGAACAATTAGCTTTGAGGAATTTGTAACTGGACTGAGTGCTTTGTACTCAGATAACGAAAATGCAAAATTAGAATTTGCTTTCAAAGTTTATGATATCGAAGATGATGGCTATATCTCTAACGGTGAGCTATTCTCTGTACTTAAGATGATGGTTGGAACTAATCTTACAGAAATTTAGCTTTAGCAATTAGTAGATAGAACTATTATTAAGGCAGATGAAGACTTTGATGGCAAAATTTCATTTGAAGAATTTAAAAAAATGGTTAAGGATCTAGATGTAGCTCAAAAGCTAACTCTTTCACCCATATGAGATTGATGAAAATGCTATTACATAACTTTCTACTATTAAATATAAAAATCAAAGCAATTTTGCAATCAGAGAAAGAAGGATTGAATTTAATATAAATTACTACAAATACAAACAACTATCAACTATTGGCTCAATCAAAAAAACAAACGTCAACTTTACCAAAATTTCACTTCTTCCTCTTCTACATTCCTCATATTATAAATAAAAGTAGCTGAAATGGACAACCAAATAACTAACTAACTTGTCTGCAAATAATACTAACTCCCAATAAAACAATTAATCATTAGTTCAATCCTTCTAATTAATAAAAATAATTAAATTACCATTTATTTCTCTTGAGTTGCAATATAAGAAACACTTAAATGTTACTTAAATAAAATAAATATATTATTTCTTATTCAGTATTTTTTATGATTTATCTTCTAGAAAAATTAGTTATTAAATAATTAATATATATTTTTGTGGATATACTTAATATGAATTGTAATTAATTTTCATCCCAAATAAAAATATTCTACTTTATTAGAATCAAATGTAATTTATAACTTTGTTTATTTTATTACTTTTCATTACTAGCAAGCATACAGTTTATTATTCGACTTATACAATACTTGATTAATTTATTTTACAATGTTTTCAAATTTTAAAAAATTAAAATCTCTTACCATCATATAACTTATTTAATTAAAAGTGATCGTCAATTAAAAATTTATTTCATCAAAAGATTAATAGCTATTAATTCATCATAAAATGACTATTTGCAAAAAAACAAATTTAAAATATATATTTTTAATATTTAATGTTTTTCATTACATTTAGATAGAATAATTAAAAAAACAATATTTATAAAATATTAAATATGCGAATTTTCTAATAATTATTCCTAATTGTCACTGTGTACACAAAATTTCATCAGATATTTATAATTAAAAAGAGATTATTTTTTAATAGAATAAATCAAACATATATTCATAGATAGATTGATAACACTGAAAAATTAAACTTATAACTTTTTACTTATTTATCTTAAAATATCTTCTTATTTTTAATTCTATATAAAATTCAATGTAATAGTAAGGAAATTATTCATCAAACCAATCTCCTTATGCTTAGAATCCTAACTTGATAATTAATGATTATTTTCAATATTTAAATGATAGAAATGCAGTAAAAAATACATTTTATTTCTTATAATCAAAAGTTTACTATCTTAAATACAACCTAACTTTTATCAAAATAAATTATGATTATAGGTCACTCTTTAAAACAATCAAAGGATTTTGAATTAGTAAGCTTATAAGCTAAAATAGTAATAAATAGTGTAGAATTAAATATAAAAAGAAATCGAAGAATCTTTAGGCACATAAAAGCAGTATGGTAATATTTTTATTAAAATTATTACTTTAACTTTGTTAATTTTCTAATTTATGAAAAACAATCAATAGAAAAAAATTTAGACAATTTGATAGAAAGAAAAAATGTGAATTCAGTTTTTGGTGGAGAGAAAGAATTTAAGCTAAACCAGATTTCATAATTAATTCAGTCTTACGATCAACATAATAAAAAAGGTTTTTAAAGCAATTTTGATCCTCTTAGCAATTTCGAGGGTGAGATGAATATGTACTTAAACTAGTAGAAAAAAAATTAATAAAATCCTTAAATTCAGTAATAATGCATTATATTTTTAGTAAAAATGATTAATTAAATAATTTAAAAAAATTATAATTAGATAATAAAGATAAAATATAAACCCAAATATTTAGAATTATTATGGAGATAACACATTAAAGAATTAAAATATGGATAGAATGAGAAGCAGTGGGTTAAATACACTAGCATAAGCAGCTTAAAACAATATTTAGTAAAATAATCACACAATATCTATAGTATAAAGTTTTTACACTTATTGAATAGCAATACGAAAAAAATTAGAGAGAATGAGGATTCAAATCCAAACAGTGGTTTATAAAGCTATTAAGAAAAGTATAGTAAGTATTTACACTACTAAGAAAGAAACTATATTTCAAAAATTGCTTCAAAAAACCAAATGAAAGAAATTGATTTCTTAGATAAATATAATTAAGTAAAAAAGAAAACCAATTTTTTTATAAAATGTATTTGATGCAAGGACAAGATATAAAATTGTATAATAATTTTTCTGTTAACAAAATAGGAGTTATATGATAAATCTAGTAAGCTAAAAAACTAAATTTTTTAAGGAGAAGATTTGTAAGAGTATGAAGAACGACTTATGCTTGAAAGAAAAATTAAATAACTTGAGAGCTCGAATTCAGTGTTGAAATAGTCAAAAGATATAGCTCATTTATTTTTGTCAGAACCTCTTTTGAAAAATAAAAGCACAGTGAATAACATCTTAAATTAAAAAAATAATCAAAAAATTCCATTTATTCTTCCTTTTAACCCTGCATTATCCTCATAAGTTTGTAATGCTTAACTAATTTTTGAATTTTTTCAAGCAATTTAAATACATTATCAAATAATTTTATTACTAAACTAAAAATCATTTTATTTAAATAGTTGGCGAACTAACTGATCAATTCAAAGAAATAGTAATAAAAATATCACTTTTTTTAATAAAACAATAAATTTTGTTTGTTATTATCTTAAAAAAAGTTCAACAATTTTAAGTTCTTTTATTTTATTAATAAATTCACTCTATTTTAAAATAATTTTTAATTAGAGAAGATAAAATATCCTACTCAAAAAGGAGTTAGGCTATTAAGTTGGATTGGATTACATGCTAGAGAAATTTGCAGATAATAAAGATCTTGTTGAGGAAAGAAATAAATTACTCTTTTAGTTAGATTAAGTTGAATAAAAAAATAGAGAACTTGAAGAAGAGAAGCTAAGGTTAGAAGAGGAAAATAAAAGAAAATAAACAAAGAAAATAACTAAAGCAGTCTCAAGTAAAAAATCTACTGTTGTATAAGGTTAAAAGTAAAAATACTTTTTTTAAAATATTAAAACTGAAACTAATTCTTAAGATTGAAATCATTATGTTAAATAAAATTTAATTCATTTTACGATAAAAAGGTTTAACATGAAAAAAATCAAGAAGATTTTGAGACTTTAATTTTTAGTGCTGTCATTATCAATTTACTATGTTCGTACCTATCTACCAAATTTTATTAAAAATAAAAGGAAGAAATAAATGACTGATTTAATGTAGCTGATGGGTACTTGTTCAAATGTAATTCTATATGAATTTTAACAATATATTTAATATTTTTATCAAAAAATTTAGAAAATTATTGAGTGGATGAAGTCAGCTTCTAAAACAGGCTTAGAGCGAGTACTTTCAACAAATTAACTGATTTTAATTTATTATTCATCTGCTTGAATTAATATTAATCAAACCTCTATTTTAATGTTAAATATAGCTGAAAAACTAAAAGCAAGAATTGGCATTGAAAAAATCTGGAAAATTGATAGAAGGAAAAGACAAAGACAAAAGGCTGACTGAAATTTTAGTTAAATTCATATTAGTTTATCAAAAAATAAATCTTAAATTTTGTAAATTTATTAGTTAATTGTAAAGAATATATTTGATGGGTTGTTTGATAACTTCAGCTAAGAAGCGCTGGGTAAAGAAACCTTTAGTTTATTGAAAGAAATGACATCTAATGGTTGTCATTTACCTAACAATTATTTGTAGCGTTTCGAAATGAATAGATTAAGCTTTAGTTATTATGGATCAATAAAGTAACTAAATATTTGTATTTTATTCACAAAGCTTTTAAAATTAAACTACATATCCCAACCTAGTGAGTTCCTTATTTTTAGAAGATAAAATTATTCAAGGACATTCATTCTTTAATCTAGTTTCATCTTATTAATTATAGTATAAATATAAATTTTAGTTTTTTAATAGTAAATGAGCAGAAAAATAAATGAAATTTTTTATCAATTATTTTATTGAAAATATTTAATAGAGAATACATATTAATGTATATTTAAGTGAATTAATTTAATTTTTTATTAAAAGGAACATTAACTAGAGTTCGTAGAATATGCTTATACTATGTCTTGTGCTTATACGTCTATTAATATATAAAATTGTCCTACCTTATTATAATGTTGACACCTCAAAACCAAAAAATTAATAATATATTGAGTAATATTTTCATTAACATTTTATTATAGAAATATTATTGGTTCGTAACAAAAATACTAATTTGATACTAATAAAATTTAAAGCAATTGCACTTGGATAGGTTCTATAATGCATTGGCTTATAATAGATTATCTTAAATAAACTTGTCCGACTATCCCATAAAATTTAGCTCACATTTAAGTAGAAAATAAACCTCAAATTCGCAAAGAACCATTAGTAGCTCCTGATAGAAAAGTAAACAATTTTTCATATTTAAAGTTAAAATTAAAACAAAATTAAAGATTTTTATTCAGAAGAACAGCAAAAGATATTTTGTAAATAAACTTGAATGAAAATTTATCATTAAAATTTAATTTTTATCAATCTAATTTAATTCTTTTTATTAAAGATATTTCCAGAAGAGCTAAAACTATTCAAAAAAGGAGATTTAGAGGATTTTTTTATTCTAGGAATTTTGGCACAAGAAGATCTGTTGATGATTTTTGAAAAAGAGGTAGATTGGTGCCAAAATATAAAAGCTATCATAGAAACAATAGGATTTAAATTCATTTAATCATTATGAATTTTAATTTAATTAATTTTTAATTTTATTTCAAATATACAATGTAATATTTATTTAATAGAAAGCAAATTCATGAAAATTATCAAATTTTCTTTTTTATAAATTTTACATTAGAAATTAAATACTAAAATTAAAAGCTATCAAAATTATAAATTGTTTTTTAATTTAAAATAAATAAAATTTCAACTAAAAATTCATTTAAAATAGAAATATTTAAATAATTATCAAAAATATGAAACAAACTCTTTTTTAATCATTGAACTTTACTTTTTATCGATTTTATATAATTTAAAAATTATTAACTTAAAATTAAAGCCAGTTTAAGTCAACAAAATAATATTAAATATTTCATACTATGTGTTGTATCAATGCGAATTTTCCTTAAAAGATAAACAGTACAATACTATCTATTTCAACTCTTCGATTTTGAAATTAAAAACATCATTTAATAGACAAAATTGAAAAATTGTGTAAATTGCTGGCAAAGTTAATCTTATTTTATGAAAATTTTATTTGCAACTAAAAAAAAATTTTTTGTAAACTCTTAATAAAATCGAACAAATTAAATTTTGTTTATAAAAATTAATGAAAAAAATTTCATGGTAAAGTAAGTTATAAAGACAAAATACATTAGTGAATATATGGTTTATTTTTATTAAGTTTAGATAAGAGGAAAGATGTAAATAAAGATATTAATAGTGTTATATTTAAAAAGAAATAGCAGAAACAAATTTCATTCTTAGTAAGCAAACAAACAGAATAATTAATTATAAAAAAATAATTACATTTAAAAATTTGATTAATATTATCAGCGATACATTAAAAAAGAAGCAAATATTATTTTTTGTTAATAAACACATTAATTAAAAAAACTAAATTTTAAGACTTAAAAAGTGAACATTAGTAACTAAGCAATATTTTCAATTTGAATTTGTAGTAGAATTATAATAATATTATATATATAAATTTAAATTGATCTATTTCATGAGTTAAAGTTATGAAGATATTTAACTGCAAAACGAACATTTTCCATTTGCTTAAGATAAACCAATACAATTATAATAGCAATAAGCAACTCATTAGATTTATTTTGCTGATTAAGAACATCATAACCATTAATTTTAGTAGACTGAGCTAAATAATAGCTCTCAAAATATGAAGATAAACAATTAAAGAGTTGAAAATAATTAAAAACTTTAAAGTAATAGCAATAGTACTATAGATTTACAATAATTTGAAATAAATCATTCATTTAATAGGGTTGAAGATTCTCTGCAAGAATAAATAAATAACATAATTGATTAAAATGCGCACAGCTAAAATGAAGAATCAAATGATTCAGTTATGGTTCTTCAAAAAAATTATTAAAATGTATGTATTGATGATATAAAAGCAACTACTAAATAAAGCATAAATTTAAGTAATAAATACTTAATAACTAAAGACGTAATAGTTATAGAAGAAGATTCTGAGGATTTTTCTATTTTAGCAAATAACTTAGAAAATAAAAAGCATAAAATATGTATAAAACATTTTGTAGAACAAGAAAGTCAAAGTTAATAACTTTCTCAGAATAATGAATGTGAATCAGATATTACTTCAATAAAATGCTAAAAGTTAGACAATTAGAAATAATTAAGTCTTAAAATTAAAAAAGTTAAAAAGCCTAAAGTTGAAAAATTAAAATAAGTAGACTATACTTTGGTTCCTACAAAAAAGTAGGTAATTTTAAAAGAAAGAAAAAAGTAGAAAGGTGAAAAAACCATAAATATTATAATGACAAAACCTGTATAGCTCAATTATTAATTTTTCTTATTTTGTGATATAGTAATATAATATGATAATATAGTCGGAAAAAAAATAGTTTAATCTAAAAGATCTTAATTGAATCTTTATAAAAAAATATCATATGTAAAAGAATATAAAATCAGTAATTTATATGAAGTAGGATTGCAGCATACGTGTTAAACACAAATGGAATTTTAAGCTGCTAGCCAATATTTATTAAGTTTAAATGACTAATATGCTAAGTAAGTACACGATTCTCTTTAGCTTCTGTAAGAAAAGACACGCATAGGATTAGAGACAGCCCTAATGATACAGAATAATAGAGCTTCTTTTGAGTTAATTATGAAAAGAAAAGAACATTCTAAAATGAAGTATGAAGAATTTAAGCTAAAAACACTTCCAAACTATAAATATTATATTTTTAATCACTATGTTTTCGACATAAACACAGGAAATATTGGTTTTGTTGATAATGGAATTAGTAAAGATTTTTTGAAAATGTTATGTATTGAACCCTAATATTTTGAATTGATGATGAAGAAATATGGAATTATTGATTTTTTAAAGAGAGATTATGTTACTGCTTTTTCCATTAGCTACTTCAATCGTTTTGCTTATAATATGAGGAACTTCAATTAAACTGTAAGGTTCAGCTCAGATTTTATCACTTTAGATAATATAGAAATTAAAGTAGATATTGAACATTAGATTATAGATCTCTGCAAAGAGTTTGATTAAAACAATAATTTCGACTGCCCTTTTATAGATTTTATTGCTTTTCTAACACCTTAAATATCCGAAGAAATAATCTAAAATTTATAAAAAGTTAGAGAAGATTAAAAAGTTAATATAGAAGAACTACTAGAAATGGATGAGGAAGAAATAGATTTCTTTTATAATTTTGAAAGCCAGCAATTCCTTAAGCGTTATTATTCAGATATCTTCAATCGGGATATTTTAACACATAATCTAAAAAATCAAAAATTAGATTACACATTGCCTCAAATTACAAATTGAGAAAAGAAAAAAAATTATAATTTCTAATAAAAATTAAATTTTTTATGAATTTTATTTGTAAAAAATATTTACTTGTGATAAATATTTCTTTTTAAAAAAAGTAATTTTATAAAGTTTCATGAATTTTTCATTATTATTTTGCAATACCAAAATTTGTCTATCAATTATAAACTAGAAAATTTTTAAAAATTTGATTATTAAGAAAGAAATATTAATTAAATAAATTTATGCAGCATATTTTATTTCTGATTATCTTGGTTCATTTTATATTTTATCAATCAAAATTTTAATTTTTGATTTATTTAGTATTATCTCAATCAAGACAATTTGTCCGAGTGGTTAAGGAGGAAGACTAGAAATCTTTTGGGTTTACCCGCGCAGGTTCGAATCCTGCAGTTGTCGTTTCTTTTTTTTTTCTTTAGCAAAAAGAGATCTGCTAATTTGATTAACATTTACTTTTTGATGTAAAATGTATTTTGATCTTATTTACATTAATCCTTAAGATTGTATAGAAAATTTTGATGTTTTAATTAAAATTCTATAGCTTTTGATAATAAATAATATAGAACAGTATTGTTTTAAAAAAAGAAGTGATAAGATTTTAAGGATTATAGAATGGGGTAAATTTTAGCAAAATGTTGTAAGCAAAAGCAGTGTAAAATTTTGATGATTGGCTCTGAACGAGAAATCAAGTATAAAATTCTACAGAGAAACTTTGAAGAGTTTATTAAAGAAGAAAAAGGAAAGGAAGAGTTTGAAGAATTAGATATTTAAGTTGATTAAAATTTATATATTAAACTTTTAGATATAGCTCCTGATATGTTAGAAGAAAAGTATGAAAAGTAGTTAAACAAATTTAATGGAATAATTTACTGCACTACACCAGGCTATGAAGATTATGATAAAATTTGGATCGAGAGTCTAAGGGAAAATAATATTTATTTATCAAAATATATTTTATTTTTTTAAGATCCTGATTCTGATTTTGAGCTCACAGATGATGGATATCCTAAATAAAAAGTTATAATGGCCAGATATGATAATGATAATTAAACTGAAAAGGGGTTTGACTGGATTGTTTAATCTATTTTAAAAGGTAGAGTATATAATTCAACTGCCCCACAAATCTAAATATAAATGAGCTGAATGAATTATATAAATAATAACTTTTAAATAAAAGTAATCAAAAATTTTAAATTTTAATAACTTTTAAATTAGAAAAGTAAAAAAATATATAAATACAAAATCAAAAATTCTTTAAATAATTAATTTTTGGCTAATATATGTGTTCATGTATATATGTTACTTCTACTTCGTAATTTAATTTATATATTTAGAAATATCAGTTTTATATCATATAAAAAACAAATAAATTTTAAAATCTAAAATATTTTCTTCACTTTTTTAATTTAAATATTAGAAAAATATACTAAAAGGTTTTTACTTAAAAATAAAAACCAACTAGAAATCCATATTAAAAAAATTCAATTTAAATGAAGAAATTCACATTTTTATTCATATCTTTTACTTCTACTGTGTAAAATAGTTTGTAATTATTTTTGTTTAAGCTCTTTAAATACATAAAGTTTTATTGTGTCGATTAAACTAAATTTTTAATTTTTACTATTCATAGGTAATAATTATCTTGTAAAATTTGACTAAAACAATAAAATTTTTACTTTCTGATAATAAACTACTATTTATTACTTATATATTAAAAATGCACTTAAATTTTTTTCATTATTGAATTAGGTTTATTCAGAACATCAAAAATGAAATTTAAATAAATTTCTTTATTTTTAATTATCTTTTTCTTTAAAAATATTGAATTACTTTTTTTCTTATTAAAAAGAAACAAACTAAAAAATTGATTTTAGAGTAAAAAAAAATAATTTAACTCTTTACATATTAATTTAATTTATTATTTACCAATTTATTTTAGTTCTAACTTAAAAACTAGCTTTAAAAATATCGAAAATGAAATACCTAATTATATACAAACAAAAACTCAACCAGAGTAAATAAAATTTCATATCAAAAATGGAAAGTTCACTACTACTGCTATTATTCATATTAATTTTCATTCATTTTGTTTATTAACTTGAAGTGTTCTTTTAATTTTTCAGTAATTATTTCTTCGGTTTCATCAGGCATATCATCAAATTCATCGTCATCTTCATCATTAGAGTGCTAACCATATTTCTTTATAGAAGCAAGCATTTCAGCTCTACTCTTTTTATCGTCACTTCCTAATAAGAACCCATAAGATCCTTTAGGCTGAGGTCTCTAATCTTATCCTGGTTAGGATTTTAAATTAGGATCACCTTAGGAGTTGTATGCTTAAATACCTGTTACAGGCCTCTTAATTTTTTATTCTGATTAATTTTTTCTTAGAGTATCTTTAGCAGTGGCAGCTCTTTTATCTTTAAGAGATTAAATTTAATCCTAATCTTACTAATGCATATTTTTTTAGGTATTTTATGTGTAGTTTTGCTGGTGCTCATTAGGTTCGAATCCATAAGCACCAAAAAGTTAATTTTTAGCTGAAAACTATGCAGGTGTTTAGTTTTACTGTGGTGTTGCAGTTTATTGTTTTATTGTTACTGCAGATTTAGCTCTTATCATTTAAGAAACTATGCTTTATGCATTCAATTTACTTTTGTGCGAATTAAAATCAATCATTTTATTTAATTCAGCTGGAGTACACTTTGGAGAGTATTTTTCAGTTCCTTCTTATTCTTTCATATCTTCTTTACGAGACTTAAATTTTAAAAAATTATTTAAAACAATTAAATTAAACAAAAATTGCAAATTTATAGTATTTTGAATTAAAAATATATAAGCAATTACCACGTATTGGGGATCAAACATTTCCATCCATTCATCTGGGAATGGATTCGAGTTATAGAAACTTTCATCAGGGAAATAAATATCGTTGTGCTTATGGAGATTTAATTTTCCAGTATTATATTCTCCATCACACACTAGACCAGCATTTATTTTAAGTACGCAATATTTGGCATTCTCAAAGAAAAGAAGAATTTGAGAGGAATGGCGCTAACCACCTTATTCTTTGTTTTTGAAATGTGAGATTGTTTTAGATGAACCTTCAGCAAGAAAAGCATTCCAATCTGGTCCTTATGTCAATCTTACTTTAATTTGGGTATCTTTAAGGAATTTTTCTATGTTTAAATCCTCGCTAAAGAAATAGTGCACACGAATATGATTCATACTAAGATGGGAATAGTGTCTTGAACTTTGAGTTTGCTGCTATTGTTAATTTGTTGGACTCTTTACTTGGTCACTTCTTATACTTTTAAAGCTATTTCTATTCTAAGAATTCTAATCAGATGTAAGGTTTCTTCTGTCAGTATCAGAATCTTTGACACTTATTTTGAAGCTTGTTTTATAATTATGCAGCTTATACTAGAAATACAGGTTTTAAAAATCTATATTTTAATCAATGCCAATATTGCTAATATCACATATGTAGAACAATAAACGCCATTAATTTAATGTTTCGCTTAGAAGTGCTGGACGATGCTTAGGTTTGGTATCTATAGGAACTCTAATAACTGCATCGTAGATTGGAATGTTTTAAGCCTCTGCGAATTTTTATTCAATTTCAATTAATTCATGCTCTCCTACTACAAGCATATAACACAAATTGCAAACACGACAAGGTCTAGTTGAACTATGAGAAACTTTGATATTATTTAAAGGAATATTTCTCTTCTTTAAATGTTAAACTAATTCCCAAAGTAGCTTTTAATTACAATTTATAAATTGAATGATTTAAATTTATTTAAAATAATTATTACTTTGTATGTTAAAACTTTACTCGCGTCATCTTTTTTAAATAAGATTCCGCACAGTTTGCAATAAACAGAGCATGTTAATTGGTCCAATGTCTTTTTTGAATCCTCTTCATCAGTATCTATGTTGAAAATTGATAATTATTTCTTAATTTGCTTTTCACATAAAAGATAAGCTTACTTGCTTTTTTTGCCATAATTTCTTCCATTGAAATTGTGTTTTCTGCTCTTATACTCTTCATACTAATTAACCATATTTTTCCTTCTAAATCTTATATAAAGTCAAGAACAACTTATCTTATTCTAATTTAGTTATTTTTTTCTAAAAATCTGACTAAACTCTCTGCCTATCTTTCAAATCTTTGTTAAAATTATAAATAATCAATAAAAGTATATCGATAAATTTTTATTTATTTATTTACTCTTTTAATCCATTTCCTTTTACATTTTAAACATCAAAACTATTTTTCTTCTCTTAGTTTATGCAAGCTTTTAAATTAATATTCTTCTTTAGATCTGGATCAAAAATTTCATTATAGCTTTATATTCTGAATGCATAATTTGCAACAGTATCTTTCGAATTTCTTGTGTTATAGACTAATCTAATGAGAGTTGCCTTAAATTTATAAAATTTATTTAAGGATTTATTAAATATTTGATGTTAAAATTACTTTCATTGGCCTTGAAAAAATGAATCTTTATTCAACGCTGCTATTGCTTGCATCTGTTTATCTTTTTTCATTAAGGGTTTTAGCTTAATAAACGTTTTAAGATAATTTCCAATCATTCTAAGCTTGACCACGAAGTATCATTACAGGACACTCAGGATTTTATTTAATATCTAGTTTTTCGTATAATTCAAAGATGCTCATTCTTTCATTAAACTTACGATTCTTAGATTAACCTTCTATAGATTGTTTAAATCTGAGACAAAAGTATTCATGTTCTCTTCTACACCTTTACAAATATTTTATAAAAAAATATTAATTAAATAATATACTAAAAAAATATTATTCAAAGTTGTATTGTATGATAATGAAAAAACAAAACTTGATTGAGGACATATTTATTGTATTTTTTAAAGCAAAGCAGCTAACTAATTTATTTAAAATATCTATTAATTTATTTAATACAATTATTCCTGCTAAAATTTTAGTTTTAAATTAACACATTTATTTACTTGGCTTCAAATTCAATCCATGAAGAATCTGCTTTTCTCCTTACCCTTCCATATTCATCAGTATAAAGAAGAAATGTATTAGACTCCTATACCATCAAAGTTTCTGGTATATTTATATGTAAATTATTAAAGCCTACCCTGGCTGAAGCAAATGCCTTAAATAAACCAAAACCTGGCTTAACAACATATTTTTTTTCTTTATAGTAATTTTCATCTGGTGGAGTAAATGCTATTTTTGCCATTGTTTACTCCCAATATCTTTCTTTTCTCTCTTATACAAGTTTGTCTGCTTCATCATCACTTTAATTTAATTTTTTGCGTTCAGATTTAGGACGTAGTGTGCTGCTTAACAAATTTTATTGGGTGTTGCTGCTTGGCATAATGATTTTCTTAAATATTTATCCTGACTTATTTTGCTCAATACCAGGATTCGTAATATCGAAATTATCATCCATTTCTTAATTCTTTAAATGCAAATTTTTATGTATAGTAACTAATAGTTTTCAATATGTTATGTTAATAATATTAAGAATGATATATATTCTATTTCTTGTTTATTGTCTTTGCTATAATTTATTCTATCTATTTAAGTCCAGCTCACTCAATATTTCTTCTTCTATCTATATAGCTATGAGGTGAAACGGAATTTAATTATTAATCAAATTTTAAATCTATTTAATGATAAATAATAATTACTAAAGAAAGTCGGATTAATATACAGTAAAATATATACAATTATTAATAGATATCAAGATTATCTCATGAAATAGTTATAATCTTTATATTCAAAATTGCTAATATCAATATATCTTAAAGCTTTTTTTTCTTTCTTATTTTCGTAACTTATCTTTCAGTAAGTAACATATTTGACAATTAATTAAAAATTTTAAAATAATTTTAAATGATTTAAATTATTATGGATTTTAACTTAATTTATAAAACAAAATTTTTATCTATTATTTTAAATATTTTAATTTCATTGATACAATTCATAATTATGATTCTAAATATTTGAAATAAAAAATATAATAATTAAATAGAATAAATACTTTCAAAACTTTTAAACAAATTATAATTTTTAATTTATATTATTTAAAGGATTAAGCTTATAGATTGAGCTTATTGCGCAGTCAAAATAGTAATTACTTATTTTTTTATAAAATTGTGAGCTACATTAAAAATATTATTTTTTAAGGTAATTTTTATTTGGTTAATAATTTTTCTTTAAATAATGCTAGAAAATCTATTTTTTATTTACTTTCAATTTATAAAGAAACTCTAACCTACTTAAAAAAATTGTTTATTTAGGGAAAAAATTTTTATCTTTAAAAAACCTGAATTATAAGCAATCTTATGGAAGAGAGATATTTCAATAAATATTTTAAAAGAAAATTTTTTAGATTATTTAATAAAAATTTTATAAATTAGAATAATAATTTGATAAAATTGAAAATGTTTATAATTACAAAATACTTCAAAACAATCATTGCTTGTTTATTTAGAAAATTATTGCTTTATTCTTTAAACTGATTTTTTTTATGAAAATCAAACTAATCAATTAATTTAAAATCAAAATTTATAGATATATTTAAAAAATAAAATCTAATTGATTGATTCACTGAATAAGATTAATTTTTTAATAAATTTGTTATTGTATTCAAGTAAGAAGATAAATCCATTTTTTAAGAATTGTATATCAATAGCTCATTTTTTAACTTAATCTAGATTGACAGATAATTATAATAAAAGAAAAATAGCGTTTTGAAGTTGGCTGTAAACAAAATCTTTGGCTTATATTTAGTTTTTTAAAGTAACAGTTAAATTAATTATAATAGTAAGAATGTCTCAAAGAACAATAAGTGGTTTTGAAATAACTCCAAGTGTTAGAGAAATATAAGAAAATCTATTAAACTTCGAATTTAATTTGAAAAATGAATTTGAAATTTTAAGTGCTTGTTTAAAACTATGCAGTTAAAACACTCTGCTAAATATTGAAAATGATATTTAGGTATTGAAATTACAGATTAATGAAGAAATAGAATCATATAAGGATTTTAACTCTTAGTTATAGAGAAGAAAATCAGGAATAACACCTCTAGATGTTGAGGAATATAACATTATAAAGCTTAAATATAATAAACTTGTATTGTAAATTGAGAAAATATATTCGTCTAACTCCGAGTTAGAATCCATTACAAACAAGTTCCCTAGAGGAAAGCTAAAAATTGAAAGTTAAATATTGATAGGAAATGCATAAAGCTAAATGATAAAGGCTAATAATGAAGAAACTGTTCCTAAAAATTCAAATGTTTTATCTCGAATCCTTCCAAAACCTCCTCTTTCTTCAAATAGCTTAATTTCAAATAATTCAAGCATAATTTAATCACTCAACCCTTAAAACAAAAATGCAGCTTAGGATTTAATTAAAAATATTGCTAAGAGGGAAACGGTTGATGAAAATAATAAAGAATTTATTAAAAGAGAGCTTATACAGTTAAAGTAATTGATATAAGAAGTTAACAAAAAAATTGACACTCATGAACATACTGATTATGAAATGGAATTAGATAGATTGCGCAAAGAAAATAACTAAATTTTGCACGATTACAAAATTCTCAAAAATGATAATACTGAACTAATGCACAGTGTTCGTACTCTTTAGAAAATGGCTTGCGAAATAAAAATCTAAAATGAAAGACTTTTGTTAGGTATTTAAAACCCAGCTGCATTTAAGTATTACAATAACTCTCCAATATCGAATATTCCTTCTTCTAATGATCAAAGGGTACAAGAATTCTAATTAAATTAGTAGTAAATGTAATAACCACCCTCAAGACTTTCTGCAATGAGCTACTAAAACGCTAACAAAGATATGGTTCAAAGCCCAAATAACACAAAAATGCAAAATGAATATTCAAAAAGAAATACTTTACATGATGGGAAAAGTTAAAATAACAATTTATAAAGTCCTTAAAATATAAATTCTAGCGTTGATAAAAACAGCAGAGTTTTGACAAGAAATAGTAGTCACAATTAGACTAATATGAACACCTAAGCAAATAATAATAATAAATGTATGACAGAGGCAAACCAAAGATCTAGTTATTAAAGATCGCTGATACCTTCATAGCAGTCAAATAGAGAAGAAAATGTAGACTATGATTTACTCTCTTCTTGGGCAAGAAAAAGAATAATGGAATAATGAATAATTTTAATTAAAATATTTAGCTAATTATTTTATATCTATTATTAAAATTAAAAAATAAATTAATTTATTTGCTTTATAATTTTTGTTTATTTCCTAAATGTAATATCAATGTATGTATTTATCTATATATGTGTATATAAACATATATCTTCAATTTAATGTTATTAAAAATCAATGATTTAATAGATCATTTAATCAATTATTTAATTAAATTTTTTCATTACTTAAATATCCAATTTGGGTTATGTAATAATTATTAATTATCAAACCACCTTTTTACTTACCTTTATTGGTTGACCTATTTCGAGAATTCGTACTTTGATTCCCTCCAAATGAATAAAATTTTGCATAACCAGATATCATACCAGATTTTAATAGAAAAATAATTATTTTGCTTTTAAGATTTAGCGGGATTTATTACTTATGCAATAAACAAAAAAATAATAATTTAAAAGATAAAAAAGAAAATAATAATAACAACAATAAAAACACTCATTTATACTACTATAGTGTATTTATCTAATAATCTATATATTATACAAAATATAGTCATTCTATAAGACTTTGTTAATAATATTTGATAAAAAATATCAATAAACAAACAATGCAGGTCTAAGATAGTTAATAATTGCATAGAGTACAAAATGGTTTCTAAGTAACAAACTGTAGACTGAATGCTGTCCGAGGTTCTTTTTAACCTTCATAAGCTTTGAATACATAATAAAACAGCTAGATAAATTAGTAAAATTTAAATAACTCATAAATATAATACTCTAATTCTTGTTCAAGCTAATAAACTGAAACATCATTTCAAACTTCTTCTTAGCCTAAATAAGCTGAAGTTAAATCTTTTGAGTAGTTAGAAAGAATTTAACTAAGCAACTTTAATGATTTAGTTGTAATAAAATAAGAGCTTTCAAATAAGTAAAACTGGAATAGATAATTTGAAGCTTTGCAGATAATTAGGAGTATTTTAAAATATCATCCTGAAGAAGTCAACAATATTTATGAGTTTTACGGCGATATAATTGTATCCATTTTTTAATCAAATAGAACTCTTATGATTAAAAGCTGTCTTGCTTTGTTATCAGAAACGTTTAATTTAGCAAGAACATATCAATTAAAAGATGAAATTATTCAAGTTTTTATAAAATTACTTTTTTAGAAATTGTAAAATAATTGTCTTAAGCCTTTAGATGAATGGATAAAATATGTAATATAATGCTTTGCGCAAAATGTCTTCGATTATGATTCTGCATATTTAACTTTAATATAAATCCCAGCATAATAATAAAGTAAAATTTAAATACATGATATCCTAGAGTTCCTTCTTGAACAAAAGAAAAATTCAATCAATACTTTATAAGGAACAACTTTCATAGCTCTGATTAGGTTCCTATCTGAAAACATAAAAATGACTACAAATAAAAAGCTTTAAAGTCCTTCTGTAAAATTGTGTATTAGCCTAATCGAAAAGATTGGCGAAGATTCTTTTGTTTAACTAATCTAGAATTCACTTAATAACGAATAAATGCAAAATATAGTAGAATCAATACAAACTTATATAAAATCAATTAATACCCAAGCAACTTAACAAAAAAAATGAAAAATAAATCCATAAATAAATAAACTTAAATTTTACCAAATACCGCCAATATATATTTTTAAATCTAAATAAATTACTATTTACTAATTCAGTTTACTATTATAAAGAAAGAAAATCTAATTACGTATTTATCTCAAATATATTAATCATATCTAAAGTAGAAAGAAAATGTATATAATTTAAATAAATTTTATTCATATTCTAATTTCTGTTTAATTTACTGAAATCAAATCTATTTTAACTGCTGTTTTAAAATTCTAAAAATAACAAAATGCTTCTTCAAATTAAAAAAAGAGTGATTGATATCATCTACAAATATTCTTTCTTAAATGAATATTTATTCCTTAAATTAATTAATTATTGTTAATAATAATTTATTTTTTCATCTATTATGTAATTTCTACTAAGAAATTTTTCGTGCTGTAAATAAATATAAATTGAAGTTAATTATTTTTCTTAAAGGGAGTCTATTATCTTAAGAAGATATTTGATTAGTTTCTTATTTTAAGAAATTTTTATTTTTTTATTTAATTATTCTTTATTATTTCTATTTGTTTATTATATTTTTAAATAGTATTTTTCTAATTTAAATTGTAATTATTTTTTATAAATTATTTTATTTTTATTGATATAGATAAAGAATTTTTATTGTTTAGTTTTTATAAGGGAATATGTGTGTTAACTTATTTGTTATTTTGATATAGTTGTAGGTTAAAGAGGAAAAAAGACATATTTTAAAGATAAGAGTAGAATTAAATTTGTACTGAAGAAGAGTTTTTCTAATATTTTTAAACAAAACATTTTTATTTTGTCTCGCTAGTAGTCATTTCCAAAGAATAGAGCATATCAATAATTTGTTATTTTGATAGATAGAGTGAAGAGAAATAAATGATTAATTTGAAGAGTTAATTTTCTTCCCATTAAAAAAAAGAACTTTTGCACACTTAGTGCTTCAAGGAAAAATGATCTAAATATTAACATAATAATTTATAAAAGATTTAATATGCTGATTAAGATGATTTTTTTGTTAAAACTATCCTTCTAAATGTTTGTTGTTTGGATAATTACATTTTTTAGAAATACTGATAGCTTAACTTGTTCACTAAAACGGGGTTTTAAACTAAATGTACTAAATTCATTTTAAAAATTTATAATCTATTTAGGGTGGTTAGATTAAGTTGAAATAGTAGTACATCATCGCATTAAGTATCTAAATCATTTTATATCTTTTATAATTTTTATTACTTTTTTCAGTTAAATTCATTTTCCTTTTATATTACTATATTTAACAATTAATTTATTAATTAATCAATATTTCTTTTCTCTTTATATTTGTTAATTAATTCTTTGAATTAAAAGGTCTTTTCTATATTTTATTAATTTATAATAATAAATTTATTGAATGCTGACAATTTATATGATATTAACAAATTTATTGCTGTGTAAATAAACACACCTTCCTTATTTATATCTTGCGAACTCAACTTCTTATAAAATTGCAAAATTAAACAAATTTTAACGTTCTTTTTTAAGATTTTGAAATGTAAATTACAACAAAAGGAATAAATAATTTTTTATATCTTTATAAAAATGGAATTTTTGTAAACAATTTGTTAATTAAAATTTTAATGAATTTCATTCTAAATTTTTACAATATTAATTTTATTTAAATTCAATTACTTGCTTTTGATTGATTTTAACAAATAATAAATCATTTAAAAAAAAGAAATAATAAATATTAAACTAAAAATTTAATTAATAAGTCTTAGAGATAAATATATAGCTCAATATATGATAAATCTATTTATTAAAAGATTAATCTTATTAGTAATATATATATTTATTTAATTAACAAAAATATAAAATCAAATATTCTGTAGTATTTAATATTTATTTCATATTAAATAAAGCAAAAATATTTAGTGTGAAAAATAGATGCTCTGCTAGCCAACCAACAAACCTAAAAACTCGTAGATAGCAAAATGATATTTTGAGAAAATCAACCAAATAATTACCTCTATTGAACTCAATGTAGGTTATAATAATTTATTAGTCTCTTGATACTTACTTAGTAAATAATTAAGATTAATAACATTGATTGATTGATTTTAGAACAAAAAAAATTAATAATTATATTTATATATATTAAAATAATTAAACAAAAAGTTAGATAGCAATAAATACTTAAATGCAAAGTGTAGACGTATAGCAATTGTTATAGCCTTCAGAATATTCTGTAATAGCAGCAAAGAAGACTGTATACAGACCTAGATCATCTTATTAAAATGGCCCAAGAAATAATACATTAACAAAGATAAGTACTGCTAATAATTCATTTAAAAATACATTCTTCAGTATATGCAGATTCTAAGACAAAACACAATTTATCCACATTCATTAAAATTTATTTGAAGAAAAAATTGTTTGCAAATCCCAATAATTTAAATGAGCGCTAAAATAAAATTATTTTATAAAAGATAAAATGGACTTATCAGCTGCAGATGATTACAAAACTCCAGAAAAAGTCAATAAAAGACTTGTTTTGAAGCACTTTGGAGGTACATCATAGGAAAGAATTAGACAACGTAGGGCTAACAGCCAAGTCAATTATAATATGACTTACAGCGGGTTTTATCCTCACAAAGATCATGCAGCTTTACCACTCAATTAATGTAAGATTGAATATCAAAAACTATCAGTAAAGTGTGAAATATTTTTTTGTTTTAATCATTAAAGAAAGAGTCGGTAACAGCTCCAACAAAACTCAAGAAATAAATCATAGATAAGATAGCCAATAACCAGTATTGATATTTGACACTAATTTATTAAATTTATAAGTTTATATTACCCATCAAAAATAAAATTATTAGTTAATTTGATCAATTATTCCCATCCATTCCTCACTAATTTTATTTTTATGTGAATCAAACTAAAAAATTTCCATGTTTAAACCAAGATAAATTATTAATTTCATTTTTATTGCTAAAATCCAAACAAAAACACATACAAATAGATGAGTGAATGAATGAATATACATTTTATTTTTTTCTATTAATAATAATATTTCATATTTAATACAAATAGAGACAAAAGAATGAAGGACTTAAAAAAGCCATTAGCGTATTTCTCATACAATTATTATTTATAATTAAAATATAAGAGAAGCAAAAAATATTTATATTTCTTTATAAGAATTTAAATGTAACTAATTATATTCATATCAATTCAAAAATAATAGTTTGAGAGAAGTTAAACTGCTGGTGAAGGCTAAAAGAGAAAAAGATCCACGACTTCATATTAGAATCAAAGACCTAACGATAATACTTAATAAGTAATAATATAGATAAAATATTTTAAACACTAAGATAATATTAATTTAACCTAAATTATATTTTACTTTTTTTAAAGGATTACTATAACCCTTAAAATGCTAACGATACTCTGAAAGGATTCTATTCATCATAGTAAACTGATATTGATGATAATGGAAATCCTTGCTTTAAAATTGACTATTCTTTTTTAGACAACATTTCATTAGATGATCCTAGACTATAAAAAATCCTAAATGATGATGCCTTAAATTCAAAATAATTTGATTTAGAATCAATTATTGATGAAAACGCTGATTACTTTCATCATCTTTTTGGTATATAAAATAATAATAAATAATATTCTTATTTATCCTATTATATTTCATTAAATTTAGGAAATTGTGCTTGTATTAAATGTACCTGTGGTAGATGTAGATGCTAACATGGTAGAATGAAAGTTATTTATAGAAATGGATTCACTACAAGCTATGCTTAACATTTCCCTGAAAAGAAAAAGATTGGAGTAACACCTCCTCTTAACTAAACATTTTATGAATCTCTTTCCAGTTTGTAAAGGACTTAAATAAATATTGATCCATCTCATTTGACTACACATAAGGTAAATGAATAAAATCTTTTAAAAAGTTAAATTTGAAAATTTTTAAAAATTATTTCTATTTAAAAAAGAGAGATTATATAGGTCATGAACCCTAACCTAGAGAAAAAAAATCAGATTTTAATTACACAAAAACTCCTTTTATGGCCAGCAGTCATTATAAAGTATGCAGCATTAAAAAATTAATTTATTTAATTTTGTTATAAAATGAAGACTAACTTCTTAGATTGGAAAGATTACGACCCATCTTATGTATTCAAAAGACCTGTTCATAATAGTGTAGCAACTGACTGTCCAATGAGAACAAAAACAACATACAACGATAATTTTTTGAATAAAGACAAAATTTAAAATGCTACAGCTGATGATGTAAAGAGATTGCAAAAAAAGTAAAATATAATTAATATTTTTAACATAATTTTAATAAAAAATTATTTAATTATCATTAGTTAAACTCTTCCTAACTCCTATTAAGATGATAAGCCAACTGAATACAATAAATCATTTTAAAATTTCAATCCAAAAGAAGTTCCAAATACTAAGTTACCTTTTAAATACATCAGTGAAACAGAGGTATTACTTCTATTAAAGATAATCTTTTTATAACAAAATTCAAAATAAAATTTATTGAATAATTAGAAATTTTAATCTGTGCCTCCTTGGAAAACTCAATATAAAACTATTAATCAGAATGACTTTAAAAATCCTAAAGTAGACATTTGCCCAACTTCTCAAAATGGAATGACAAAACCATGGAAACTTAAATTAATATAAAAATTAAAGCAACTTGGGTTAGGGGAAACTTCTAATACAAATATTTCTCAAAATTCAAAGATAACTAAAAGACTGGCAAAAACAACAACTCTTCCTCATAGATATTGAAAATATACATAATCGATATTCAAAAGTATATAAGATTTTTATAAAGCACCTTGAAGATGTAAAAGTAGAATTTCTTTTGATTGAATAATCAAAGAAAAATAGTAAAATATTGATTGATTGATCAATCAATTGATAGATATATCCAAGTTTCTTAAAAATTTTTATAATTTCTAATTTTAATATCTTTTATCTCATCATTTTTATAATATAAAATAAATATCTATTATATCATATAAGACCTTGTTAAATATAAATATTGCAATCAATATATAAAAAAAATTACACTATATCTATTGATGTACATATTTGTTTGCAAATATTTCTTACTTATTAAATTCTCATAAATTAATAAATAAAATAACTAATTAATTGATGATGTAAGTAAAATATTTTGCTTAAAATAATACATATGATCGATTTTAGCAATAAATAATTGAGTTGGAAAGCTTGTAAAAAAACAAATACTTCTATTTATGTAATAATTAGTATCATATATTATATAAATTCTTACTTTTAAATTAAAGAATTTAACTTTTCATTGATTAACTTTATTTTTTTTGTTTTTATAAATTGATAAATTTTTTTAATTGGTAAAATCAATAGGAATATTTCTCAAATTACTTTTAGATTTATTTAATGAATAGTACAGTAAAGGAAACAGCAAATTTCGAAAAGCTTGTAAAAATTAGAATTGGAGAACCTCTAACAGCTGTTGAAATATCCTAATGTAAACATGATAAATTTAGAAAAACATTTATTTTAATAATTACTACATATACATTTAATATAATTTACAACTAAAAGAACATGCAATTTTTGGCTCAATATCAGGATATGTTGGAGCTTATGGCTTAGATACAAAGGAGTTAATTTATATTTAAGAAGTATTTGAAGAGATTATTAGAGGAGTAAAAATAAAAATTATACTTGATGGATTATTCATATGATCTTATTTACTTTATAAATAAAATAGATTCAACAAAAAGAAAATGGGTCTTTTAATGTTTTGGTTGGAGATCATTCTTTGATTTAATTTTATTTAGATGAAATGAAATAAAAAGAAAGATTAATTAAAGTAGCTTTTAATAATCATACTCCAAAAAAGCCAGAAATTTGTGCTTCAACTATTACTTTTTTAAGTGGTAATTTTGTAGCTATGACCTAAGCTAATCCTACATAAAATAAAGACGCTAGTAAAACTATTTATTTAATTTCTTTGATATGATAATGAAATTAGTTCCTCATAAAAATAATTGAGTTTGAAAACATGAATTTATTTATTGTTTAGAGTTTTAAATTAAGTTTTTTTATAATAAAATGTTAAAGTTTATGACTCTAATGACTAGCAGTTAAAAGGAATTTTATAAGTGTTTTAAATAGATAAGCAATAATGGAAACATTATTCTTAGTTTAATCTCCCATAAGTGTGTGTTCCTTTTGATTTTGATAGTGACAAAATGGTATGGCTTGAATATAAGGATTAAGGTGTGAAAGAAATTTAAATTTATGACTTATCAACACAAAAGACAAGCTTAGTTACATCATTTACCAAAAAAATAGAGTTTATAAGCCATGTTAAGTTACTTTAAAACTTTGTTATCTATGTAGAGAATCACATGCATGTTAAAGTATAAATATAGTTTAACAATTAATACTTCAAAATTCTTTTAATATATGAAACAATAAGACTTTTTTTAATAATTATTAGGTATTTGACTTAAAGACAAATAAAACTACTGATTTGTATTCACATAATTCAACTGTATAAACAATTTATTGCACCTTTAATGGTAATGCTGCTACAAAACACTAAGATGAAGAAAATATAAAGTTTAAATTTTCAGAAATTTCTCTAAATTAAATAGTAATTCACTCTGTTGATTTCAATTGCAACTATTTCTAATATTCAAACCAAAAGCTCACTCATAAAATTCAAGTCTTAAAGTAAAATAAATAAATAAATAATTAATTTAAACATTAAAATTATTATATAATTTTATTAAATAATTAATTATAGATAACAGAATGTTCCCGATTAGCTTAAATAACATAAATATATTTTTGACATGGGTTATCCTTACTATATTAAATCAAAAGAAAATATTGTTGCTTTCACATGTGATTTTGGGTTATGTGTTTTACGTTTATGAAAAAAAATATTATTTTTAAGAAAAAAAATTAATTAAAATTTATTTTTTCAGCTTATTTTTAGTAATAATTAAAGAAACTATTTTAATAAAATTTAAAAATAATTTCAAAACAGATAAAAAATTGAATGATTGATCTACCTACCTTCTATTATCTAAATAAAAATAAGATTTTTAATAATCAAACTACTAAAAGCTTCTATACCGTTTTTATATGAAATTAATTTAAATTATATATGTTTGCAATAAATAAATTTAATATATTTAGATTTGCTTATTTTCAAATAATTAATATCACTAAACAAACAAAAATCTAATTATCTACTTTACAATTCAAATAAATCATGTTCAAACTAACTAGGATATCTAAATTAGCATTCCCTATCTTGCTAGCAGGAACTGCTGCTATCAATTAAAAGAGAAGAACTATTTATGCTTTTACTGTAAACAATTTAAAAATTAAAATTAAGTTTGCTGTTAAAAAATAATGAATTTAATATTTATTTAATAATGAAATGTTTAGTTTCCAAGCACTCCTGATTTGATAAGAGGGGAATATGAAAACAAAGTAAGATCTGCATTTTCATATGAAAAGGTTATTTATATTTACTTTACAGATTAGATCAGATAGCCCTCCAGAAAAAATCTTTGAAGTATTCGCAACAGAAAAAGATGAAGATGGAAACATGTAGATGTCTCATGAAGATTTTTTCAAATCGATTTGCCCTTTTTAATACTCAACAAAGGAAGATTAGGATGAAAAAGAAGAAGATGATAAAAAAGTAATTCATTTTTTTTATATTATTCAAAATTTTTATTTATGTATTACTTTACAATTCCGAAATCTAAGGGAAACAAAAAAGGAAGTGATGATGATGATTCTAAAAAATAATAAAGCAAAGTCCATAGTGAAGCCTTAGCGTAATTTGCAGATATTGATAAAGATGGAAAAATCAGTATATATGAATACTATATGGTCACAGCATTTTTATAAAGTAAATTAAATTTGAAACTAATCTGAGTTTATTGATTTATTTTTTGAAGTTGATAAGAATGAGTATTTGGACTATTTTAAATAAAAACAAAAAACTGATTTAAATGCATAAGACATGCAAGAATGTAATGTTTGATTTCAAAATGATATAATGGCATTAAAACCATTTTTTAAATAAAAAAGTATTTAGCTTCATTAAACAAAAAGCTAAAGTCAAATTAACTATGGCTAACTTACTTGACCCAAGAAAGTTTAATGTTAATAAAGACACTTTCAAGAAGCATGTAGATTTATGTATTAAAAATTTATTAGGAGATTCAACTTCTATACCAGCTACCAGAATTTTAAAAATTAAAGAAGATATTACCAAGGATGTTTACAAATACTTAGTAAAAAATGTTTGTTATTATAAATTTAACTCATTAAATAAATTATTTAATAAAAAGTTTGACTAATTCGAAGCTAATGAAGAGGGAAAAATTAGTGGAGAAGATTTTGCTAAGAGCTTAATCTCCTTCATGGAGCATCAAAGATGTAAATAGTACTTGAAGCGTTTAAATAATATTGAGTTTAAAGGATGGTTCACTTTTGATGAGTTTTATACATTTTCAAAATTTTTGACAGATAACAAAGAAAGAATTGAATAGACAATCGAAGAGAAAGGATATACAAATAGAAAATAGTTTAAAAAGCTCATGCAAGAATATCAAAAAAGCTAAAATGTTGCTATCAATATTTAATAAGTTGATATTTTAATAAAAGTTCTAGATGCAAATAGTAAATTATTTATTTATTCATTCAATAAACCTTAATTAATAAAATAAATAGATAATAATAGGATTGAAGCTGAAGAATTCAAAGCTTTAATACTGAACAGACCTGCTTATGGAAGTGGTGAAGATACTACTCTTAAAAAACCTTATGAAAAGTTGATATCCTAAGGCAAAATTTGGCTTAATAAAGCTGAAAGAATTTGGGAAATTATTGTTGAGTGATAAAAACTATTTAATTTCTAAATTTTAGAATTGTGATTCATATTGTATAAACGAACAATTTATATTAGTCTTAATTAATATAAGTAAATGAAACATAATTTTAATAATTTATTTGTACGTTTATGTATTGATTAAATCATGGTATAAGATCATTTTTTTAAATATTTTAATTAAATTTTTTCTTAGCAGTTTACTTGATTTAAAAAATAAAAACATTTATTTTATCTCTGAGATTCTTTTTGTATTTTCTGATAATATATTTAAAAATAAATAATGTTTAACTAATTTTAATAAGTAGAAAAGTAGAATACAGATATATTTATTATAAATATAATTGATCCATCAATAATTCGCCGAATATTGATTGATGTCTATATAGAATTAAATGTATATGATAAATAAATTCATGAATAAATTTGCTGATAAAAGATTAGATCTTGCTGCTATCTTAATCGATTATAACAGAAAACAAAGTAATTAATTATATTAAATTTTTTGATCAAATTAAACCATAATTTTTAGAAAAATCAGATAAAATCAAAGTAGGAAAAAAGAAAAATTTACAATTAAAATAGGTGAAAAGATTGGTTTTTAAAAAGGTAAATGCTGCTTGCTTTAATAGTTAAGTAAGATCGTTAATTCATTTTATAATTAAAAAAACACTCTATATTAAATAAATATCGATTTTAAAATACCTACAGCTCAATTGGTTTTTTACAGATATTAACACAGACATTTTACACCCTTCATAAATCGAATGCAAAAGGAAATCTATTAGAAGCACTCTTAGTTAGATGGTATATAAATTTGATAAATAAATGATATCTTAAATTTTTTCTCAATGAAAATTTATCAATTAGGATTTTACTGATAATAATTATATTACTTGATAATGTTTGTCTTGGAGTTTTTGAGATTCTCCCATTTGGCACTTATGTCTACAATTATTACAAGTTAATGATATTCATTAGTAAAAGCGAAGTAAATAATACATTTAAATTACTTATCGTGAAGCATTATTTGTTATTTAATAAAGTTTCATGTATCAATGATGCAAAAATTCATAGTTAAAGCTGATCCTGATGTTTTAGGAGAGTTTTTTTTGACAATGCTAGCTAGATTTATGATCAGAATTATGCACAAAGTATATTTATTTCAAATAAGCTATTTCTCTTAAATGAGTTTTCTTTTTAAAAAACAAAATTATAGTCTTGTATGATTTTGAAAAGACTTAACCTACCTGTTTCTTAGCAAGACTTTAATTTATCCTAAGAAATTATGGAGTTTTTAGAAGAATATCATCCTAGAATTGTGAGAACATAGACAAATTTGAATAATACTAGCTTTTTAGATTAGTCTATGATTGAAAGTTAAACAGATGCTGAAAGAGAGTAGCAAAAAAGTAAATATAAATTTAAATTTTATATTTTTAAGTGATTTTACTTACTTATATCATAGCATTTCACCTTTGCTTTAGTTTTTATTTCTTAAAAAAAATTCTTAATTATCTTAATTGAGATAAAAAAGTATATTTTAGAATTGATGCTGAATTTAATCTTTACTTTTAATTAAACCTTAAGAATGCTAAAATATTTTAGTAAAAATTTTTATGTTTTTAAGAAAAAGAAGAAGAAAAAAGACAAAGAATGCTTGAAAAATAAAAAAGAGAAAAAATGATTGAAGAAGAAATACAAAAGTAATAAGAGGAATTGCTCAAGATAAAATAGTAAAAGCTTTAAGAGATAAAAAATTAATTTGATAACAGCGATTAAAGTGATAATGAATAATTAATAGAAGATAAAAAAAATTTTTAGAAAGATAAAATCAAATCTGCTAATTCAAGAGAATAATCTAAGGAAAAGTAAAAATCTCCTCTCAAAATTGTTGATAGCAAAATTACATAAATTAAAAAACCTATTTAGCAAGATTCGAATAAAAATTTAAGTTAATAAGATGAAAAAACTAACTTAAATACTTTAATCAAGAATAAATAGTAAAAAGAAGAATAATTAGAGGATTAGGTAGATGAAGATGATATCCTAAATAAAATAGATTTTAACGATAGCTCTAGTAAATAAGAGGATACTAGTTCAAACGAAAAAGTTTATGCTACTTAAGATCTTAAAGAAAAATAAAATAAAAATTTATCTGATTATTTAGTGGAAGATGAATACGAAGTTTTACAATAAGAAGAACAGTAATAAATTAATTTTAAAGATGGTGATATAGTAAAAAAGAAAGAAGTAAGAGGTATTAAAAAATCTTCTAGTACATAGAAAGGGCTTCCCCCAACTAATTACAAATCTCCTTTAGAATAAAATTCAAAAATAAAAGTCACTAGTGTATCAGGAAATTCTTAAAACGAAGCTACACAATTAACTTAATCAGTTCTTGTAAACGGTAATAAAAAAGATAGCTAAGAAAGTGAATTAAAAAGTTATATATCAAACTCTTAAAAATTAAACCAAGATAAGGCAGTTCCTTCATATAAATCTAAGTATGCAAATAATCCAGCTCTCTATGCAACACTCTCTTAAACAAGGAGCCATTTAGATGAGACAAAGACAAAGTTTGAATTATATAAATAAAAGTATGCATCAAATACTAAATTAAGCTAAAATATATCTTTAATTGATAAAGATGACTGAATAAATAATTTTAATGGTCTTTCAAATTTATGATAAAAATATATTTTAATAATTTTATTCAACTTATGTAAAATTGATTTTTAGAAAAAATATTTTAAATTAAATTTATAAATGAAAAAGTAATAACTCATTTATTGATATAGCAAGATTTTCTTCTTATTAGTTTACAAAGCTAGATAAATAAAGAAATTAATATTTTTATGTGGTTATTTTAAGATTTAAAAATGTAATCAGAAGAAAAAATACTGAAAAAGTATAAAATCTAATTAATATTTTTTTTCTAAAATAATTTCTAATTGAGAAAATATAAAAATTCATAAAATAAAAAATTTTTAATTGGGTATAAAAATTTAGATAAATACCTTTTTTTATTTTCTAAATTAAAATAAATTTTCAAGTTTATTGTATATCAATTCAGTATTGCTACAATTTGAAGTTAATCATATGAGTTTGAATACCTATTTTATAAAAATGTTAATTAAAATATGCAATTTATTTCTTATTATTTAGATACAAGATACATTATTTTTGTAAGTTAATTTTTGCTTATTTGTGTTTGGTTAACTTTAGATTTTGATTTGTGTTTAAGTATTCATAAAATTAATCAATACAGTAAGTAAACCTGGTATTATTTTTCTAATAATTATTTATATAAAATTGCTATTATACCACTATTTATTTTTGAAAATCAATAGATAATATTTTGTTAATTATTAATTTTACAAAAGATAATAAAAACAAGCAAAGAATTTAGATTATAATATTTTTATGAATTTTCTACCATTAATTTCCTCTGCTGCTGGAGGCTCTAGTGATGATGATGATAATAGTTGGTGCCCTAATTTAACATTTACATAAAGATTAATAGGATTTGGATGTTGTACTGCTTTAGGTATTAATAAATTCTGTTAAATATTTAGAAATCAAAAATGTAAATCCAAGTACAAAATAGTTTTATAAATTAAATATTAGGTTGGTGGATTTAGGCTATGAGTTTTGCTTCTATTTTAGGTGTAGTAACAGGAAATCCATATAAATTTGCAATTGCTTTCACTATTGGAAATTTAATAACTATTTTAGCGTAACATTATTATATTTTTTTGAAATGTTGTTTGATATACAATAAATTAAAAGCTATTAGCAAAATTTAAGAAAAAATAAATAAAATATTTTAAAAACAAGTTTTGAAGTAGCGATTTATTTATTAATATTAAATGCTTAAATAAACATTCTAATTAGCTAACATTTTTAAAAAATAAATCAATAAATAGAACTTGCTTTTTAATAGGTTTCACTAATTAGTTTAAAAAAATGATGGAACTAGATAGAAGAGTTACCTCTATAGTATATATTTCTGCTATGGCTGCTACGCTATTAATAGCCTTTTTAACTCACTCTGCCCTTTTAGTTTTTATTTGTATTGTAGTAGAAATATGTGCCTATATTTGGTATACTGCCAGCTACATTCCTTATGGCAGATAGTGCTTAACAAATTGTTTTAAATCAATTTTAAGAAGGGAGTGATTTATTTAGAAACAACCTAATAATAAAAATTATTTAATTAACTTATTATTTATTTGTAGATTATATTAGATTTAAATAATATATGAAAGAATGAAGAATTAGTTGTAATTAATTTTGGTTATTGACATTTTTTTTAAATAGCAAAAATTATTTTTAAAAATATTAATAAATTAACATAAATGTGTAATATTTTAAATAAATATTTGCAGAATTAAAACTTTTAATTAAAATAACTGACTATTTCTAAAAATTTTATTAAAATTGCTTATTTATTTAAACGATAATAAATAAAATTTAAATATTATCATAATATTTTTAAAATTATTTTTAGTAATTGATATTTCTTGAAAGTAGAATATTTTCTTTAAAAACCAGTGAGAATGCTTAGTTTATTAAATATTTTAGAGGAATTAATAATTTGATTTAATAAATATTTCTAAATAAATTCTAATAATTTTGCAAGATAGAAATGTTAATTCTAATTAAAATATTGATTGATTGCTTTTTATTAGAAATACAAAAAAAATAATAAAATATTCAATATTTTTAGGCAAATCATTAAAAATTTAATTACAATTGCTGCTTGCTTACATTCATATATTTGTTTGTTTGCTTTTGATAAAAATCTAAATACTTAAAAGTTCAGATTTGTAGTTTTTAATTGAAGAAGTTAATTTATATCTTGAAAGTTAAATTAACTTATTTAACTTTTAAAATACGATTAATTAATTTATCATCAAATTTTTACCAATAAATAGATACTTAATTTATAATCAATTAATTTGCATTATTTCATATTCAAGAATACAATATTTTAACATTTGTAAAAAAGCTAATAGCAACTTGCTAAAAGAATAAAAGTAAAATTTTTAATAAAATATTTAAGAGCTAATTTGCTAATATGAAAACCTCAGAACTCAACTCCAGTAACCCTATCTTTACAGACCTTTTAAGCATATCAAGCTAAATTAGAGCGATTTTATTATAAAAAAAACATAAATAGTAAATAAGATGTGGATTAATTTTTTTTTTAATCATCTTAATTTTTTTTTATCAAGTAATGTATATTGCTAAAAGTTGCTACATCGAAGTTTATTCTTATTATTAAATTGTGTTAGTATGTTTGCTTTTGATTGAATTTTACATAGACATATTATGCATCAAAGTTATTAACCAATACATAATAATATTTAATTGGGAGAGCTCGAAAAGTAATGAAGAAAAGTATGATTAACTAAAAAATTTCAAGGTGAGATAAGTTATCTACAAGCTAGTAAATAAAAACTAAACAACTGATATTCTCCCCTTAACTGTCATTCACCATAAAAAAATGGTTGTTGGAGCATTTGCCCTTGTATTTTTTACTTAGTTTTATTTTGCTACTAATTATTTGGAATTTTAATGTTATTTCTCCTTTGAGCCTATTGTTATGAATATTACCTTTTGGATACTCTATCTAGTGATAATAGTTTTAACGAAGTTTTAGATAATATATCTATGCTGTTAAAATAACCAAAAAAACAAGCTTGAAAATAATTTTAACACGAATAGCTTAGTAAATTAGCAGAGTTAAGCCTTAAGTGTAGAGCAACTTGAGGAGTAATGGAAATTAAGATCTACTACTGAAAAAGTAGTATTTAACAAAAAGAAGAGTTAATCTATTTACTAAAATAAATAAAACTAATAACAAAACAATTAGGCTTGGTCAGCTTAGTAGTTAGACCAAAAGTAATAACATTTCTAAAATGATAATAAACTAGAAAATTTAGAAATAACGAGTATATAAACCAAAAAATTATTATAAAATACCGATAGGTTATAGGTTAATATTGTAAATAATGAAAATTAATAGTTAAATTTAAAACCTCTTTCATAGAACGATGTAGGGTGTTTGAATTCTAACATTCATGTAGAGTCTCATATTATTATTTTACAAAATGAAGAAAAAAAGTCCTCTATACCCTAAGAGAAAGAGGTAGTAGTATAATCATCAAATCAAACCTTAGAAGAAAGTATTGAGTATGAAACTTGTTAAATTTGTTTAGTGGAGTTGCAAGATGGTGAAATAGGAAGAGAAATGAAATGTTGTAAAAAAATTTTTCATAAAGAGTGTTGTTTACAATGGTTTAATACAAAAGAAACTTGCCCAAATTGCAGATCTCTTCCATTACTTTCTTTTTGATTTATAGCTTAAATTTACATTATTATTTTAAAAACTTGCAAAAGTTATTTATATTGAGCTAATTTATAAATTTATATTGATAATTAATTGTATGTATTTTACTATTATTCTGATTAAAATTTTGCGATTTTATTCTAAAATATATACATACTAAATTTCCACTAATAAAAAAATAATTAATTATTTATTTATCTATTTATCTTTTTTTGTGTTCACTTATCAAATTTTATAAAAATGTAAATTTTTTTTTGATAAATATGAAGCTAATTAAAGCCAAATCATAGCTCTTTTTTAAAATAAAAATATTTATTGAATTATTTTATTAAGGATCATATATTAAGGCTAAAGCTGCTCGATATTTTAATATTTTTAAATAGATCAATACCAATATTTTAAAAATAAAATAAGGCTCAATATTTGAAAATTTCATATTTTTTATCTAAGTTGATATTTTAAAATCTAAATTCGATTTAGATATATGCTCTACTCTATTTTAGACACTTTTAAAATTAAGTATTATTGCCTTAATTAAAAAATTTTCTAACATTTTAAATAAGGGTTTTAATATATTAATACCTTAATAAATAAACCTTTATGGCATATATGATAATTGTAATATTTTTAATCCTCTCTATTTTGAATATTAATTTATTCATAAAATTTAAATTTTATAATAATATTTATTAATCATCAAAAATCAATTAATTGTAAAATAAATTTTCATCTATTTACAATAAAAAAACAAATAGTTTATTATTAAAAAAAGGTTTCTTGAATTTTTTTTCAAAATAATAATTATTTTTCTACAAAATATTTGCATGATTTAATTTTCAAACTTATATTTAGTTATTATGTTAATTATGAAGTTATTTGCATAATTTTTTATTAGATTAAATGAAATATGAAAGCTAAGTACTTATTTCTTATATATATATATTATATTATTTTATTTAAATTTTAATAAATTATTTATTGATAATTTTTTTTTTAAGCTTATTAATTAACATTCTGTAAATTAATTATAACATCATTTTATTTTACTACTTTTTAATTTCTTTTCAAACGTAACTTATAACCATTGGGCTAAAATCGTCTCCACAAGCTACTAGTCTAATATTTTTTTAATTGATTATATTAATAAATGATCAATATAAAATTTTTTTTACTTTGTACTGTTCTCATTTATTTTCATGCATCTAACTACACCTTAGCTCATAGCACCAAAACTTTTAATTGAATAAATATTTTTAAAACTATTAAAAATATAAATATTTATTACCCATATAGGCATTTGCCTGTGTCGTTTTCAAAGCATAACACATTACCATCACCACAGCCTGCAACTGTTAAATTATAAATTGTTTCTATGCAAAATACAGCATCAGTAGCTTTCATATTTGCCAATGGCTTGAAGCCACTTTATATATCAATTACTCTTAAAGTCTTATCAGCACTACCAGTGATAACTATTTTTATTAAAAATACATTTATTTAAGAATATATAGCTTTAAACTTTGATTAACTAGTTAAAAAATTTTATTTTATTTTTATAAAACTTAAAAGATAATTTTATAAAATTATTAACCTTAACCACCAAGATTAGTTTGCAATCCATTTATAGCTCCTCTATGTAATTATTCATTATAAACTAGTTTATTTGTTCTCATGTCTTAGAATGCTACAATACCATCCTATTTATTGTGATTTTTAAATTTACAATTTTATTTTAAAAATATTTATACATTTAACCCTGCAGATATTATATAGTTATGATTGTTTCCATCTGAATATAAGATTACTTGTGAGACAGCTCCTTTGTGAATTTTTGCTTGCTTTATTGCAGTCTAAGAGTTAATATCCTAATTTTTTTCATATTAAAAAATGTATTACTTATTGAAATGGTAAAAATAATTGATTGATACCCAAATTGCAATAACACCTTGCTTATCACCACTTACAACTAAAGAATTATTCCAAGTAAAATCTAAAACAGCATCTTTATGTGGTCCATGAAGTCTAGCTGCTTAATTTTTAGATTAAAGATCCCTATTATTATTAATAAATAGTTTAATTTTTTTCTGACCATTTTAATGCAAAGTTAGCTATCAAATCTTTATCTAATTTTGAAATTAAATTTATTATATTTTCTTACCATATACAGAGAGTACAATCATAAGAAGCACTAACTGCTACATTGTTTTCATCAACCAAAACTTTAGTAATACTTCCACTAAAAATAAATTATTTAAAAAGTTATAAAAAATCCTACAAAAGTAAGTATTTATATATTTTACTCATGACCACGGATATGATCACATCTTACACCTGTTCTGTCCCAAAGGCATAGTTAACTATCCATACCTGCAGAAATTACTCTTCCATCTTATAAATGATCTACACTAGTTACCCATTCAGTATGTCCAAACTTTTTAGCAAACAATTCACGCTTATAAGAATTGTTAGATCTGTTATATAAAGATGAATTTAAATAGTTATTTAAAAAATCATAATAGAATAAAATTAGATTTGGCAATTTTATTTTTTGTAAATGTTAGTTATTTTACATATTATATTCTCTTAAACCATGATCAGCAGAACCTGTCACTAATGAGTCACCTTAAATAGAAAGACAGAAAATTCCACGTCCATGGCCTGGTTCAAGGACTTAGTCGCTAACTGGACCTTCAGCCCACTAGCTTATTAATTACTTTTGTGGAACTTAATTATTACGACGCATTTGAGCTTTATAAACTATTGCTTTTATATTAGGTGATTATTTATTTTAAGTAGATAGGTGATTTTCTTGATCTTTTTTGCTAATCTAAATTATTTTCTTGAAATTTTATTTAAAAGATATAACAAATATTATATAAATCAATGGTCTTATAATTGTTCTATTTGTAATACGCAGACAAAGAAAGTACTGAAACAAATAAAACAAAGGCAAGATCAAAAAGATAGATGATTCATGGACATTAATTTGATGCATATAAATCAATGAACAGATAAATTCATTAATTAATTGATATTTTCATGAATGAGAGGTTTTAATTCTAAGAGATTTTTTTAGTTGTTTTTGCACACACATAAAAAAAATAGTTGATTCATTAACACACTTTTATAAATATAACATTTTAAACCATTCACTTTTGATATTAATTTAATCTTAAATACTATTTCAGAATAATCACAATTAATTGTAATTTATTTATTTATAATAAATTTTGGATGGACGATAAAAATAATTAATTGTATTGTAAAATAAATATTTCATATTTAATGGTTAATCCAGTATGTTTTATGAAAACTAAATTCAATATAAAAAGTTAATGCTAATTAAGCAAGAATATTAAAACTCAAATAACTAACTATAAATTTATTTTTATCTAATCAATCAGCAATAAAAATGAAATCCATTGTTTTATATAAATTTTTGTAAGATTTTAGATATTTCTTTTTTCTTATAATAGAAAAAGAGTTAATTAATTAAATTTTTTACTCTTATTGTTGAAATCATAAAGAAAAAATTTATTTATTTAAAAGATAAACATAACAACTAAATGAATTTAATAATTAAAATATTAAAAGAGTTTATAATCAACAATACAAAAAAATATTTTTTTAAATAAAATAGAACAAAAATAATAAATAAGTAAATAAATAGAAAGAAAGAATATTTCTTAGAATAAAAGAATATATATATGGATAGTAGCCACAAAGATATTCCTTTAATTTAAAATAGATAGAAAGATAGATAGATATATTATTAATGCAAGTTTTTAACAATATTTAAAATTTGATTTTATTAATTTTCTTTTTGATCTTCTTCCCAAACAAAAAATAATTTAAGTAGAAGGATTCATAAGCAAAATACATAAAAAAAGTAGCTTCAAGCCTTTAATAAATAAAATTAATAAGTAAGCAAGCATGTTTGCAAAAAAGGGTAAAGCAAAAAATGGAAAAATAGGATCAGAATTTGTAGATGGTGAAAAAAAGGATTTAGCAGAAACTTTTGAAGGAAGTTTGACAAATAAATATTATATCTATGTGACTTTAAAAGATAGCAGTCAAAGAAAAGCTAAGATTTTATCATGCAGATTATCAAAAAGTATTTTGACAATTACAATTACATAAATAATCGAATTGCATTTTATCTAAATAAGGAAGAGCTTTCACTTAAATTTTTTATATAAAGGTTATAATGGTGGCAAAAAAACTGATTCATCTTATGACTATTATGTCCATTTTATTGATTTAGATAGAAGAAATGATTGTTGGGTTACCCGTAGATAAATTTAGCCTGTAAAAATTCATTCTTAATATTTATAAATTTTCTTTGATCTTGCTTTTTTTTGATATTTCTGAATCGCTTATTATCCTTCTCGTTCTAATATGTTTAAAAGAGCATTTAATGCTTTAAATTATTTAGCACTGTTATCTTTCTATTAAATACACACAAAAAAATTCTTTCTAAGCATATTAGGGCATCAATAACTTCATACAAAAAAATATAAAATTCATTTTAAAGCGAGATAGAGAGTAATTAATTAGTGTATTTTTTAAGTGATCATATTCAAGAAAATTTTAATTTCAATAAAAAAAGGGATAACAAGTCCCTTCCCTCCTAAATAATAAAAATAAGTTTAGATGATAAAATAGGAATATTAATTTAAAAAAAAAACCCAAATTAAAATTACACATTAGATAAAATCTTATCTTATTTTTAAATAGACAACTGAATTATATTCAGAATAAAAGCATCATGGTAAGGGAGCTGCTATCAAAAAAATAGAAACAGAAGAGAATCATGAACATGAAGGTATATTATAGATTTTTATAGATTTAAATTATAAGTTTATAATTTTTTTTAAAAATTGCTCAATTTTAAATTCTAGTAGACCTTACCAAATTTTAAATTAAAAATTTTAAACAGAATTTAAAAGAAAAATTAATTAAAAGTTTTAAAAAGACTAAATCACTTTATATTTATATTGCTTTTACCCTATAAAGCAAGCAAAACCTGTTTATTATTAAAATATTTTATAACAATTTATTTAATAAATACATAGGTTGCAATGAAGAAGATATAGAGAGACATAGGGAAGCTACTAAAATAAAAACAATAGAAAAAATAAAAATAGGAAAGTTGTCTTGTGATACTTGGTATTACTCTCCTTACCCTAAAGGATTTCACAATATAGAATATTTGTATATTTGTGAGTTTTGTTTAAATTTCTTTTTGACATAGTCCGAAATGGATAGACATTCTAAGAGATGCTTACATAAGCATCCTCCTGGAGAAGAGATTTATAGAGATGAAGATAATAAAGTATCTATGTTTGAGGTTGATGGCAAAAAAAATAAAGTTTATGGAGAAAATTTGGCTTATTTGGCTAAACTCTTTTTAGATCATAAAACTTTATGGAGAGATATGGAGCCTTTTATATTCTATGTTTTATGTGAAAATGATGAAGAAGGTAGCCATATTGTTGGATACTTTTCTAAAGTAATTAATTACTGAACATTTATAAATAAATTTTTTTAATTTATTTTTTATTCACAACTTAGGAAAAAAGCTAAGATGATGGTAAGGTAAGCAATTTTTATAATGTTTTATTTAATCACAGCAAACTAATACATTTTTTATAAAGTAACGTACACCTGAAGGATAAAATCTTTCTTGCATCCTTGTTTTACCTTGTCATTAGAGAAAGGGTTATGGAAAATTCTTAATAAGTTTTTCCTATTAGTTATCTATAATCGAAGGAAAGCTTGGAACACCTGAGAGACCACTTTCAGATCTTGGTTTGATTTTCAATTTGATATTATTTACTATGATTATAAAAAATAATCACTGAATTTAAAAATATGCAAAAATTGTTTTCTTAAATTTAAATTAAAAATCCAAATAGTTTAAAAATGTTTTTTCGTTGTTTATTAAAATATATAGGAAAAGCAAGCTACTTAAGTTGGTGGACATAACGTATCATAGAATATATAAATTAGATGGTAGAAAATGATAAAGATTTTAGTTTAAAAAGCTTATCTTAAACTACAGGTATTATAGAGAAGGATATTCTTTGGACACTAGTAATTTTTTAATAAATAAAAATAGAACATTTATTAATTGATTTTCTTTAATATAATTTTATTATTAGGAACAAAAGAAATTGATAAAATATTATTAAGGAGATATAATTATATGCACAGATCAAAAAAAGCTGCAATAGATATATGATGAATGCGGAAAAAGAGAATTCAAAATACATTCCTAAGATATACATTGGGTTCCGCACAAACCTAAATGGATTGCTGTTGAAGAACCTGTATATCCTAAATACAATCCTACTCTTCACTTTTGTTACTAAGATTAATACAAGTATGTAAATTCAACAAATAATGTTATCAACTTAAAGAAATCTAATCCTAAATCGAACGAAAAATCTTAGACCGAAATGAATGATTCATGAATTAAATCAAAACTACTTAGAAATAAAGATAAAAAAAATAATTTCCTTATTGTAATAAATTACAAAGTAAATAAATAAATAACAATTATATTCCTAAAACAACTTACTTACTTACTTAAATAAATAAATAAACTATCAAAATATTTATTACTTTGTTATAATTTAGAAGTATTTAGAATGAACTACATCTTTAAATAAAAATGAATAACTTTTAATCCTTCAGATATTTATTTATTGATATAGTTATTCAATTATTTAATTAAATACTTTAGTTACTTCTAAGAATTCAATAAGCATAAATAGTATTAAAAAAATAAACTCAATAATTATAAATATAAAATCTTAGATTGCAAATATAAATAAAAAGAATATTCAAATGCTAGATTATCAAAAATATTTGTTATTCAATAAATAAACAATCAATGAATTAATGGATGGATTAGAAAAATCATTAATTAAAATATTTAAGTTTTATACTTTTAAAAAATAAGTTGAAGATAAATATCGAGGTTGAATGTTTTTTTTTCTCAAGCTCTAAAATAAGAAAAAACAAATTATACTTGTTGCACTTTATAAATATTAATTATTTTTGTACTTTATGTGATAATCAATCAATTAAAAATATCAATAAATTTACTAAAATTTTGTTTACTATGTTTTTAAAATTTTTTAACACTAAGATTGTTATGAAAAATACTCTTATTAGCTTTAAAAAATTAATTAATTAATTAAATTACTTTATTTGAAATTTTTTGAAATTTGAAAATTAATACTATCTAATTTTAAATGATTTTTCTAAAATAATTTTAATTAACTTTAGAAATAATTAAAGAAACATAAATTTAAAGTAGAAATACCAACTCGTCAACCTTGAAAATTATTTTTGTATTTTAAAAATCAATTTTAAGAAAAAAAATGAAGAAGTGCAATTAAAAAATGATAATATCATATATCATTCAAACTTAAATTTTATATTTAAAAAATCAATAGATTATTTGTTTAATGGCTCTCATATAATATTGATTTCAATAAATTTCTAAGGCTTTTCTTATCAAAAACCTCTTAAAAAGAAGGGAAATTTTAATTAAATTTGCGAATTCGGATAAAAAGAGCGGAAATTTATTTAGACGCTATCAATTATTGAATTGTTATTGAGTTAGAAAGATTGAAATCTAATAACTAATAGAAATGGCAGCTAAGAGAAAAGGAAAGGGGAAGGAAGCATTAGGAAAAGAATTAGGAGATAAAAAGCAAATCTTAAACATAAATTTGAATTAGATTTATGAAGGTGCTCTTGATAGCAACTATTATGTTATTGCAACCATGAAGAATGGTTAAAAAGCTAAAGCAAGGATTATTGAATGTAGAGAAAGTAAAGGTAAATAGTATTTTTAATCCGAAATTTTATGAAATTTACAAAAATAATTATCAAATATAATAAAACAGAATTTTTTATAAGGTAAAATGATATCTTTAAAAATATTTTGATAAAGCAGCTAATTTAGGAGAAGTTTAGTTTAACAATATTTTTTATTATTTATCATATTTAGATTTTGATGGAAAAAAGGAAAGAAACGATTATTCATATGATTATTATTGTCATTTTGAAGGATTCAATAGGAGAAATGACTAATGGGTAACACGAGCAAAAATAGAACTTGTAATTTAATATTTAAATGCCTTTAATATTTTAGTTTGAAAAATGCCAAACTAACAAAGAATTAAAAAAAGCTTCCATTTATAATAAAAAAAGAAATTGTTAATTTGATGAAATTAAAATTTACTATTCATAAAATAGACAAATGAACTATACTCGGATTAGCATCTTAAAAAAAAGAAAAAGGGAGAAGATTAGAAATAAGACAAAGAAGAGAATGATGAACATGAAGGTTATTATTATTTTTATTGTTTATTTATTAAAAAGATCTCTACCTTTTTCATCTTTTTGACATACTGATAAAAGATAAAACTTAAACAATTTCTTTATCCATAATAATTGTTTATAATTAATTTAAAATACTTAATTTAACTTATTAAACTTTTTCTCATAAATTGAAAAACACAAAATAAATAACTATAATGTAATTAAATATAAAGGCATGGATGAGGCTTCACTGCAGGCACATATGATAGCTACTAAAGTGAAGACAATAGAAAGAATTTAAATTGGAAAATACTCATGTGAGACATGGTATTACTCTCCTTATCCAAAGGGATACCACAACTTAGAAGCTTTATATATATGTGAGTTTTGCTTAAGTTTTTATATTACTCAAAATGAGCTTGATAGACACAAAAAAATATGCAAATTAACCCACCCACCAGGTGATGAAATTTACAGAGATGACACAAGAAAATAATCTGTATCTATGTTTGAAGTTGATGGTAAAAAAAATTAGGTATATACTGAAAATCTTGGATATCTAAGCAAGCTTTTCTTAGACCATAAGAACCTCTATTACAGTTTAGATCCTTTTTTGATATATGTTTTTTGTGAAAACGATGAAGAAGGCAGTCATATTGTTGGGTATTTTTCAAAAGTATTTATATTGAATATTTATTTATTGCTTATGAATGTATTAAGATTTTAATTTATGATTAATTTAATTTGTAAAAACTAATAATTTAGTGGAAAGAATGTCCTAATGGGTTTAACTTGTCCTGTATATTAGTACTTCCTTGTCATTAAAGAAAAGGATATGGCAAATTTTTAATAAGTTTTTCATATGAACTCTCACTTATTGAGGGAAAGGTAGGAACTCCAGAAAGACCTCTCTCTGATTTAGGAAGGGTGAGCTACTTGAGTTGGTGGTCACAAAGAATAATTGAATACATTAAATCAAAACCCGCTGATTTTAATTTTAGTATATAAGATATAACAAGAGAGACTGGAATTATGGAAAAAGATATTATTTGGACTTGTGTATGTTTCTTTATTTATTATTATTTTTAACATTAAATAATTAACCTAATTTAAAATAGGAATAAAAAAATATGATAAAGTATGCATAAGGATAAGTCATTATATGCACTGACATGAATTATCTAAATAAAATTTACAAAGATGCTGGTTAACCTGGAGTTCCTGTTCATCCTCATTTGATGAGATGGATGCCATTTAGATTTAAATGGGACAAAGAAGTATAAATTGCTACTTATTCTCAGTAATATTCTGTAGACAAATTTTTGTAAGCACCTATAGAGTAATCAAACAGTCTATAGCAATAGAGTAAACCTAAGTTAACTCCAAAGCCACAGTGAATGAGTAATAAACGAGCTTTTGTAATAAATATTTTAAAAAATTTAAAGAATTAAAATTTAAAAAGTATTTTTAATAGAATACAATATAATTTGCTTATTTTCAAAGTTTCTTCCATATTATGATTCTTTTATGTACTTTATTCTTATCGAGTTAATCAATAATACTTTATTTTTTGTTAAAAATTTTAACGAAATATCATAATAGTATTTTATTAAAATAAATTCAAACAATTTAAACATAATTTTAAATTTAAAACATCTTTTAATTTATTATGATAATATATATTTCTTATAATTTTTTAATTAATTTGAATTTAATATTATTAATCTTTTACTTTCAATATGTTGAAATAAAATAAATTAATTTTGGTATCTGTAATTAATTTTTAAAAATAGTTTTAATTAAAATTAAAGTAGGAAAATATATAAAAAAGTACATTATTATTTTAAAAATTATATTATGAAAATATCAAATTTTAAATTAAAAATATCATAATTTTCAATTATTTATTAACACAAATTCCTAAAATATCGCAAAAATTTTAAATTAATACTATAAAAGCTTATCAAAAATTATTTTTATAGAGTAGAATGATCAGCAGAGTTTTTGAAATTAAAGATAAAAAAATAGAAATATAATAGAATTTAGATTATGGACATGCTGGTTCAGTTTGGGATGCTGCACTAGTTTTTGCACATTACTTAGAAAAAAATTATGATAAGATACACAAGTAAGGATTTTTTAATGGAAAATCAATACTAGAATTGGGTTCTGGGACAGGAGTAGCTGGATTATTAACTACAATTTTTAATCCACAGAAGGTTATTCTAACTGATATGAAATAGAATTAGGATCTATTGAGGAATAATGTTGAAATAAATGTAAAAAATATCTTAAAAAGTGTTTAAGTAGAAAATAATTCATTAGAATGGGGAAAGGAGAACTTTGATAATTTAAAAGAGATAATAAAATAATATTAGCATTTTGACATAATTTTAGGTTCAGATTTGATGTATGATGATGCTAACTCTTTAAAATTACTAGAAACAATTGATGAATTAAGTTTGATGATTAAAGGTTGTGTTTTTATATTAGTTTATAATATCAGAAAGGAATCAGAGAGGTAAATAATTAAACGAATAGAAAATAATTTTGAATTTGAATATGTCAGTGAGTCAGAGTATGACGAATTATATAGAGATGAAGATATAGGAATAATAATGTTTAAAGCAAAATAATAATGATTAAATAAATTACTTTATCATATATAATGCAGTAGTAATTCGAGGCTTTTTTGAAAATTCATATCTAATATTATATTTAAAAATCAATGCGATTTATGATTTGATCAACTACGTAATAAAGTACTATAACTAATTCAATTATTATAAAATATAATATTTGGCACATTATTATTAATAATAATAATAATAAAAAATTTTAATTTATTTTTCAAGGTTTTATAATATTAACTTGTAAGTTTTTTTTAATTACCAACTATTCTGATTGACTTTTTATCCAACAATTACCACATGATTTCTAATTTGATAAAAGCTGACTTAGTTAATTAAACATTAATTAGTACTTAAAATTTTTCATCTTTACAAAAATTGACAGCAATTGTTTTTACAATTTGTCTTTTAGTATCAGAAATATATATATTTTTTAAATTTTACTATTCCCCTTTTTCACTTTGTTTTTAAAAGAAGAGTTATTTGTTGAATTAATTGCCTGGTTTTATGTTATTTTTATGCAATATTAGTTTTCAAAAATTTAAAATCATAATCTAAATATTGTAAATTATCTCGCTTAAGAATAGTAATTACCATCCTTTCAGATTATTTTTATTATATATTAAATTTATAAAAAAAGATTTTATACAATAGAGTAATATAAAAAAATAAAAAATAAAGTATATTATTATTTTTTTTAACAAAATTCTTAAAACTTGAATTTTATTTTTTAAAGTATTTTGTATTTATAGATAAATTTTATTATAATTGGAATAATAATTAACTATTTTATTTTATATAGTTTCATATTATAACAAAAAAGTTATTTGATAATCATAATCTTAAATATAATGTGTAATCAGTTCAATCAATAATAAAAAATAAGCAAAATAATAATTTTTGAATACAATATGATAATTTTTAATTTAACTATTATAATTATAAAATTAATCTGCTTTTACTACGGAATTAAAATCTTTATTAGATTTTAAAACAAAATATGTAAATAATAAGTAAAACAGAAATATGAATTAAAAAATAAATATGTAGGAGAGTGAAATAGTAAAATATGTAAACTTTATTTCTATTAAATTATAAAAATTTAAATTAAAAACGATTTTTTTTTAAGGTGAAAGAGAATTTACAATATAAAGTTAAATATACGTATAATAATTTAATATAAAGTAATTATAATTAGTAGTTATAGTGAAAATTAATAGATATATTTATATATTAGTAAATTTCTATTTAATTAGAGAAATATACAATTGGATTAAAATATTTAAAAAATTAATTTAGTATATTTTCTTACTTTTCTAATTCAATATTTGTTCCTTTTATTAAGATAATATTTAAGTAATCAAAGTAGTTAAGAAAATTTAAATAATTTTGTGATAGTTTATATGTGCGTACTAGACTTAATTTATTATTGACATTTTTGGAGGAGAAATTGACAGACAGAACTAATGAATGTGTTTGATTACTATGTTTTTTTTGGATTAATGTTTTCTAAAATATGTTTAAAATGAATGGAAATATTGCAATTTCAGGTAATAAGTCGAAGAATGTACTTTATTTAGGATAGCAAATTTATTACAGAATAAGAAGAATGTTTGAGAGATTTTGAAACAGCTGCAAATAAGGCTTAAAATCCATGATTATAATTAAGAAAATATTAATAATTTATTGTTTGTTTTTTTTTTGTTTATTTTGTTTTTTTGACAGTATTAGAGGATAAGGATTTAAATTAAGAATATTAATTTTTTTTCGTTTACTAATTTTTCAAAATTTTGTAGTAAGTATATTTAGTTATTAGTTTTTATTATTAGTTATATAGTTAATTCGCTCAATCATACGTTCGTTCGTTCTTTTGCTATTTACTTTTTGAGGTTTACAAAGAAAAATAATTTAACCAATAATTTTTATGGCTAATTATTCTATTTTTAAGTGAGAAAAAATAAGCTAAAAATTGTCATTATTTAACAAAGTAAGCATGCATCATATAATAACTAGTTTTTTATCAAATATATATTTCAATACAAGTCTTATGCAGATTGTATGCAAATTTGAATTTCAGAAGCATCGTCACTTAGAAAATCTTCATGGTCATTCTCTGCTCCAAAGTGTATGATTCCATTATTCTAAAAATGAAAACTGTGAGGGTTGTCACCGTTTTCTTCTAAAATTTAATTATCTTCTTGATTAAGTTGAATAGAGTTTGAGTCGCTAGATTAGCCGTTTTCTAATATTTCAGGATCATCTGCATTTTAATTACCATTAATTGCGTTATTTTAATAGTAGTTGAATTCATTTACTTCTAAGCCATTTTCTACTTCCCAGCTTGAGTTAATATTTATTTAATTAGTATTACTATTGATTTAAAACCCGCAACTGCATTTACTTGGAGGAATTCCAGTAGATTATGAATTAAGATTGTAGTAAAATTCATGATTTTTTGAGCAACTTTAATTAATTACCTTGTTTTTATGGAATGCATCAGAAGGAACAGAATAATTATATTTTTGGTCATTTTAATTTAAATATTACAACTAGATCATCCTTTACTAATTTACAAACTAGCCTTAGCTATTGCATGAGTGTTGTGGAAATTATTGTAAAGTGCATATTGATTAACTTGGTTGATTTGTTTGTATTTCTGAAGGTGTACACTAACTCGAGTTTCTATTCATTTTTAAAGGAATTGAACCTCTATTTTAATTAAGAGATTGCATAGAGTGGATAGACTATAAGCTATTCAAATTGCATGATTTTCCTTGAACTTACGGGAGTTACTGGAGTTGTATATGTAAGGGAATTATGTTTTCTTGCTTCTATTACTCTTGGTGTTGCTATTAAATAGAGGCTTAGCATGTAATTTATTGTTAAGGCTATATTTATTATTAAATAGAATACTATGATGTTTAATTAATATTAATAGCGTTCATGTTATTATTTTTACTAGTGCTCTTATTAGTCATTTAGCTATTATTGATGATTATATTCTCTATGTCGCTCTCTGTTTTATCATCAATAAATTAAAATGTTAAAAGCTTGATAGATAACGGCTAGGGTGAATAAGAGACATAAAAGTGCTCTCCTATGGTATTAAGATAGCCATTCAATGATGATTCATCTTAAAAGACTTTTTCACGATATTATCTGTTACGATTTAAAAAATCGTATACAATAAAATAATTTCCTCTAGATGGGTCCATGCAGCGAGTTATCGTAAGGGCATGCTTCCCTTTACCTTGCGTTTCAATAAGTAATATTACTTTAAATTAAAAAATTTCATTCCATATGTCTTCTTCATAGAAGTATTCTAAGTCTGTCCAAAAAGCTTCTGCCAAGCTATTGCGATTAAATGAAGAACCTGGGCTCTAATACTCTATGAGGCTGTGTTATTTTTGTAAATAATCTGGATCAAAGTAGCAACAAATGTGATTCTTACTACACTATTCTGCTAATTGAAGAATCATTTTCAAATTATTTTGAATGACTACTTGCTTCCCTGTAAGTAAGTATAGGAAAGAAATGCAGAGACTGTTCTTAAAGGGATTAAAAGTAGTCTAAGCGAATGCGCTTGTTGTATCTGTTTGGTTGCGTTAACCTGTAAAAAACTATGTTTTCAAACGATTCGTACAGCAATCCTAACCCATATAATATGTATGATTTTCTGTAAGTATTGCAGCTTTTAGATAAAATTATTTATGTTGATGATCTTTTCTGCCTCGATGCTATCAAGAGGTCTTGATTCTTTTATGTTATTTCACCAGATGAATTTTTACTTATAGAGATTATTTATAGTTTTAGAAACCAGATTAATGATATTATTTTGTTCTTGTATCGTTATGAGTGAGCGTATTTTAGATTTAAAATGGCAGTATTATATTCAGATAGCAGTATTTTAAGCTTAAATTAGATAATATTAGAAAAAGAAATCAAATTTTAATCAAGCAATTGTTTCTTTTATTAAATGTATTTATGTAAGGATGTATGTTAATTGCCAATTAATTTATTATACAAAATTTCTTTGTTAGTATTTTCTTTTATTGAGTAGTTTTTTGTTTGATTTTTTCTTTCTATTAATTTATCAAAGATTATATTAGATTCTCTTTTATCTTTATCACCCTTCATATGTAGTCAATTCAAGAAAAAGAATTAAAAGATAATTTACTGTTGCTTTAAGATCAAAAATGAAGTATTTTACATCAAAATCAATTCATTTACTAAGTCAATAATTTATTTAAATTTATGAAAATCATTAATAAGATTATCTTATTGAAGACATAAAATTATTTTTTTTTAGATTTCTGACCCCTTTTTTATCATTTTAATAATTACGTTTTTTCTATTTATTTATTTTTACTTGTAATCTATAGACATGATTATTGGTAAACAGAAAAATTAATAACGAGAGATAGATATTGATAATACATATATAAAAGTAATATTTATTAAGAAGGTCAAATTGAAAAAAAAACTATGAGAAAGCTTTAACTTTATTTTTCCTTCTTTTTTGATAAAAGAAGAAATAGTTCATTAAGTTTAATTAATTGTTTTTTCGTTCATATCAAAAATTAATACTTTGGATTTTTTCCCTCTCTTAACAATTAATTGTCTTTTTTAATCAATCTATCTCATTTAATTTTTTATCAAAATATATTACATTTGTTTTAAGAGAGTTTTTAATATTGGAAAATAGATAAACAATTATTAATTAGTTTTAAAAGAAAAAGACAATTAGTTATGCATGCGATGAAAATATATCAATTTATTTAGCATAGGAGAATATGTTTTTATTAAATTTTTGATTCTAATAATTTTTGATGTTGCACAATTCATTTTTCTTACTCGTATTATTTAAAAAATAAAACAGATATTGATTCATAAATTTCTTGGTTTTTTAAAAAAATTCTTTAAGACATTTACCGTAATAAATAATTAAATGATAATATTTTTAACTCTAGTAATAGATCATACATTTGATTAATATTGAAAATTTTTTAAACACTAGAAGAAATATTTATTCATTGCTGAAAATTAAAATTTTTTCTGCAAGCAAGCTTTTTTGGAACTTATTTATTTTGGTAGCTATTAGTTATTATCAGAAATAGACATTAATTTTGAATGCATAATTATTTAATTTAAAAAACGATAATCATAAAAACGTTAAGATTAATATTAATTCAAATTTCTCTAAAAAATAATACTAGCCTTCAATTAATCAATCATTTCGAATTTACTTATTTTATTTTAGTTAGAAATTAATTCTTTAGATACAAATATTCTATCTAAAAATTCATTTTCAAAGAATAACTATTATTCAACCACAACAAACACTCTTATTTTGTATGATTTTGCTTCGTTTAAAAATAACTTAAATTTGTTTTCTGAATAAAAATTTAGCTCAATTTTTTTCTTTAGCAAATTACATTATAATTTCAACAAAAGATCAATCTCAACTACAAACAATTGAAAAAAAAATAATAAAATTTTTGAGATTTCTAAGCATTTTTCTAATTAGATCTTAATCATTAAGCTTTTATAAATGATATGGTTTAGAATTTAATTAATAAAAAATTAAAATAAATAAAATTTTATTTATTTAATTTACTTTATTAATTTTGAAAAATATTTTGTTTTTTTATATTTTCAAAATTATTATTTATTATTTTTCTGAAAATGTATTTTCAAATAAAATTTGATTTAAAATATTGAGAAAAGCATCAAATATTCTTTAATAAGCAAATATATGATAACTAATATTAAAATTTAAAATATATTTTGAAAAATAGTTTAATATACTTAATTATAAAATTGAAGTTATTAAAAATTAAATTTAATAAATTATTTTTTTGTGATGTTACAAATATGCTAGTATTTTAATAATAATAATAATAATGAAAATTATTGTTTTTTTTTATAGTTTAAACTTTATCAAATAATCCAGATAGAACTTAAAAATTAAATTATGGAGTGATTAGTAATAATAGACAATTTAATTATTTATAAATATTAAGGTAAAAATATTAAATAAAACTAACTTTTTATATTAAAAATAATTTTAAAATTAACTAACTAAAAATTAATTCCATACATAAATCTATTAAAAAATAATAAACAATTATAATAGCTATTTAATAATTCAACACAAATAAATACAGAAGGAAAAATAAGAATATTCTTTATTATATAATATAAAAACAAAAAATTAAAAAAAAACATCTTGATTAATTTAATTTTTTAAATTAAATTTATAAAAAAAATGATTTTAATAAGTAAAATTTATTGGAATAAATAACTAAAATTGTTTAATTTAGTTTGCAAATAATTTTTTGGTTTAAACTTAACGTATTTTCAAATAGTTAGTAAATAATTTAACAGATTTAATATTTTTATTTATAACAAGAGAATACAGTTTACAAAGAAAGCAAATAAGCAATTAAGAAGTAGAGATTTCTAATTCTACCTTTTCAAATTTAACAAGTATAAATCAAAAAATCTTCTATTAATTTAACAAAAATATAGAGATTTTTCAAAATTTAGTTATAAATTAAAAATAAATAAATACAACAAGGGAGACTTCTTGTTTATCATTCTCATCAAGCTTCACTTTGAATAATATGTATGTCATTTTAGAAATGAAATCATTTATCTTTTCATTATCAAAATAATCATTTTACTTAATATAATAATAAATTAGAAGAGCAGAGAATTTAAAGCTAATAGAAAGTTATTATAATACAATAATTGTTAAAAGAAAAATGCTGAATACTAAAATAAAACTTAAAGAGAGGTTATTTGATTATTATACTTAAAATTTTTATAAATTAGTAGTCCCTTTTAACAGATCAAGCTTTCAAGCATATCTTTTTTTGAGTGTCTACTTTTTGTAATTATTTTGTATATCAATTACTTCATCCTCATTTATTTAAAATCATACTAATTCAATCAATGATCAAATAATATTAAGCAATCTGCAGTAGGTTCTATAGTATTTTTTAATATATCCTCTCTTTAATTATTCAAATACAATGAATATTATAGGTGGAATATAGTTTTAATTCATTATAGCTTCAGCTATCATAAATGCTTCTCTGATTGGTTGTATAACTTTATAGTTAGTATTTTTTGGATTTAGCACTAAAATTGTAAACTTCACAAACAAAATAGTTATGTCTCTCTTTATATTTTACAGATATATTTTAATTATTCCAATAATGAGAGCTAGCTAAATGTATTTATTTGGGTATACCTATGTAGATAATTCAGTTTAAAGTATAGGAAACAGTACAAACAGTTCAAATAATAGCAGTGTAACTTTGATTGGCATGATGTTGAGTATATTCAATACGATATGTGTACTGATATTTGGATTGCTCTTAGTTCATCATGACTTCACTTATAGTTTTTAAACTAAGAACGATAAACTCGCTAGAAGAAAATCCATAGCTTCAAAAATTATAATAATAAGCGACATTTGGATATCAGTTTTAAGTTCTCCAACAATAGTTTTTATTATTCAAATGGCTTTTTCTTTGATAGATTTGTATTCTTTCTGGAAGAATATGATATTTTATGATTATTAAATTGCTCGCTTCTACTTTTAAATTTCATGTATTAGATTGTTGCTTCATTTGATACTTTTATTATCATCTTACTTTACTTCTTAAACTGATCTATCAGCAATACTAGTTATTTCGATTCCGATTATATGGTAAATAGCTACTTATATCCTTAGATTTATAGAGTTTAGACTACCTCACATGAATTTTACTGATCTAACTGATCCTTAAAAGGTTGATATACATTTAAGGAGTATTATGCATTCAATTTTGAATATTTAGCATTCAACATATTTGGATACAGATAAAGGGGTAATATTTGAAAGTATTCTTAATCGACATATGGATAAATGCAATCAAAATAAAGTACTGGGAAAATTTGTATATAGCAAAGGCTCTATTATGTTATAATAACAAGATGGCTAAAATTCGAGAAACACAACAGAGTGCTCTTGTAAAGATTTAAGTTAAATTCTAAAAAATATTGATAATAATTAAGCTTTTGAAGTTAGAAAAAAACTTATTCATTTATATCTTAATGAGAATTATCTAGACAGTAAACTTAAATTCTCAGAAAACATATGCTCAACATTTTATTTCCTTGCTTATTAAGTAGAAATAAGTGAATCTCCAATGAATGCACTTATTTTACTCATAGAATATGAAATGATACATTAAAAGAAACTTTCTTTACACTATTAAATGATTTTAGCTGACTTAAAAATGAAAGCACAAATTAGGTTTGATAATTAGCAAAAACTAAGAAATATTTTAAAAAGTAATTTGCTTGATGGAATTAAATATGATTTTTTACTTTAAAATATTGACTAAAACCTTTTTAAATGTTTAAATTAGCTCAAATATATTAACAACTATTTGAGCAATGACTTTATTGATTTATACAACCTTCATTAAAAGAGTAAATAAAATTAGTAAGATTAAAATTAATAGCTAATATATTTTATATTTAATAAATAGGTGCACGTCTTGTGCATGATATTGAAGAACTTGAGAAATATTTTTTATATGTATATTAAATTAATCCAAATAGCTCTTAGTTACAATACTACTTAAATGCCTACACTCATATTTTCGATTTAAGAATATGCAATATACAGAATATTATAAAAAGTTAATAGCTATTTAATGTTATGTAATTTTCTGAACTAGACCTAAATATCTGTGATTAAAGAAACTGTATCTTATTTGTTTCTCTTCTTTAATAAATTGGACAAGTTAAATTGTAATTTTATTTTTCAAGTATTTGTTTTTTAATTTATTCTAAAAAAGAGTAACTAGGAATTCAGAAAAAATCATAGGCAAGCCTCCATCTGAATTGGTACATTAAAGCATTAACTTAATTATTCCTTCTTTCATAGCTAAGTTTCATGACTAAATAATAAAAAATGTTATAAAAAATGGCTTTCTATTAGGCTCAAAAGATGCAAATTTTAAAGAATAAAATCGTTACTAATTTTTTGCAAAGGATAGCAAAAACTACATATTTCCTATTGTACTTTAATTAAAGCTTTAAATTTTTGGAAAATGCAAGGATTTTGGAGTATCTGCCATCATATAAAGAGTAAATAATTAATCTAATTAATACATCCTTATTGATTAAAAATACTCTTTGAGAGGCAAAACATTCACGATACAAAATATAACAAAAACACTTTACAAAATATGCTTCAAATAGGTATTAGGCGATAACTAAAGTAATTTAATTATTAAAATATGTATTAATTTTACACAAACTCATTTATGACTAAATAGGTAAGTTATAAGGTTTAGACATTAATAAGCTAATACCACTAATGGAAGTTTTAAACTAAGAAGACAAAGATCGAAATAAAATAGGGACAATTATGCTTTATCCAAAAACTGCAAATCACTGTAATATATTTAAAAAAAACAACAAAATGCTAAAGAATGGCAAAGATATAGGATGGTTTTTTATGTTTGCTTTAGCTTCTAATTGTGGTATACTAGATATCGACATAAATTTGAAGATCCGCAAAACATAAATTGGAGAAATTTATAAAGAAATAGAAATAACAAGGATAAAAAAAATATACAAACCAGGAGAAAGATTAACAAGTATGTCAACTTTAAAACAATAACTAAGTTCAAAAATGGGTGTAAAAAAAACTATTTAAATATCGTATATGAAAGTTAAAATTTTAAATAAAATATAACTTAGGTATCTATTTTTATTGGAGGGGCATAACTAAAAAAAACTTTTGAGATTATTGAGCAGGGCGAATAAGGGCAACACAGTCAGTCATCGTTTAGAAAATTTTAAAGGCTTGCAAAAGAAACAAAACGTAAGGTTTTTTAATTAAACATTTTACTTATTTTTACTGGTTTTTTTTAGTTATGGACAGTAAAGAAGGCTCTTAGTAAAATTTCATTGTAAATAAATCTCTGTTACCAAACAAAACGAAAATACATGAAGATGAATATCAAACTACAAGCAGCGATGAAAAATTTGAAATTGAAGACCCTATTTAATTTTTAATGAAGTCTAATCCATCTATTAAAGATGCATAAACGTTTAACAGTAGCTCAAGGTTATCTTTTCAAAATAATAAAAAAGTAGAATTTTATTTAGATAAAGAAAAAAGAAATTCAAATTAATATTAAAAAAACGATTAAAGTTAATAATATGATAAAAAAGTCAGTTTAAATAGTCATTAAAATCAATTTAGCCTAAATAAATTCGAAACAGCAAATTCATAAAAAAGTGATAAATTTTAATCAAAAGATTAAATTTAAGAAATAGATAGTAAGGAATCTTTTGATGAATAAGTATCAATTAAAAGCTAAAAACCAGCAGATATGAGAAAAACCTTAATAAATAATTCACTAAGGCTCATATAATAGTTTAGTTGTTTAGATAACTAAGAATAGTAGTTATCGAATTTTCATTAAGAGAATTTCAAAGAATCAGATCAAGTAAAATAATTGAATTTTATTGCAGTAATTAATTTTAAACTTATTAAAATTTATAAGCAAAGTGAGACATTTAGAAAAAATCAATCGTTTAATTATTGTTCTCATTCTTTTATTGCTAATTCAAAAAGACACACACATCACGATTTAGAGTTAGAAGAGCAAATAAATTCTTTAAGCTTAAAAAAATAAATTTCTAATGCTACCTAGGAAAATTTATAATAGTTAAACTAAATTAATGATGAAGTTGATGTTTAACCTTTAAATTTAAATAATAAAAAATTTAATCAATAATAAGAAAACTCAAGCAAACAAAAATAAAACTAGGAAACACTTTAGGAAATTAAATAACCTACCGTAACAGTCATAAATGATGATTTTTAGGTTATAGAGTCAACTAAATTTTAGTCTAGGGGGGAATTAGATCGGATTTAAACATTTAATCCTGAAAATAATTCGAAATTAAACAACAATTAAAACTAATTCATTTAGGACTCTGATAGGATTCTTACATTTTAAACTAGAGCTGATGATGAAAAATAAAAATCAAAGTCCATGAAATAATTAAATAAATAAGAAATATAAATTGACAAAAATAAATCTAATAAAATGAATAGTGTTTCTATATAAAATACTGAATAAAATTAAGACAAATAAAGGGTAACGAATTCATCTTTAAGTTCAATACAAAAAATTTAACTTAATTCTGACAATAAAAATGTTTTATAATAAGCGAATTATACTGAAGAGTTAAGCTCTCCATTTAAAAATAACTAAGTTTAAGAATATTCTGAAAGAATTATGTCTTATTAAACTGTAAGTGACAATTAAACTTAAATATCAGGTCATTAAATAGATAAAAATATTTCAGAAATCGGTTCTTAGTTTAAAATTCAATAAAATAAATTTAATTCAAATAGAAATATCAGTGAGCTAAATAATGAGATTTAAAATATTGAATTTAATAAAAAAGATAGTAACTTTATTGAAAAAGAACAAATAGAACACAATTAAAATAAAGATACTTTACATAAATTGTAAAGTTCAAACAGTGATGATGATGATTCGTCTAGCTAAGAAAGTATTTCTAATGAAGAATAATAAGCTGAATTTAGAGAAGATAGTATTATATAAACTTTCAATGTTTTAGATTACATTTAATATAAAGAGGGTCTTTAAAACAAAAACCAAAATTTAAATATTTTTTAAAACATTTCAGCTTTAGAAAAAAATATTCAAAATTAAAGTTAAGAAAATTTAAATCATTAGTAATCTGAAGCTTAAAAATAAGAATAAATCAAAAGTAGTGAACAAATTTAATCTAATTCTAAAATGTCAGTAAAAACTGAGAGCAATAAAACTTTAAATAAAGAGGAATATGCTTAAGAGTAGCACAAAATATAATAAGACTATGAAAAAGAATAAGCTAATAATAGTAAACAACCTTCAATCAGTAGGTAGTAAACATATTTAATACATTTAAAAATTTACGTTTTTTATTTAATTAAAGCTTTAAATAGATTCAATAAAAAAAAAGATCCTTTAAATCAATTTAAACATTTAATCCTGATATTGATAATGAGAGAGATAAAAGTGAAAGCCACTTAATAAATGACATTTAATCTGAGATATAATATCATAAAACAATAGATTAGTTTAAAACGTATGATGCAATTGATTCTTAATATATAAAAAGCAACACAAGAAAATTATCAAGTGACACTTAATCTAACTTTTAGTTTAATTAAAATCAGCAAAGTAACAAACTATTTATTTAATTATTGAAATTTAAATGTAAAATTAATTTAATTAAATAGATAACCGTTTCTCTTTATTGAGTTAAAATGTTTAAAATCATGAAAAGATAATTAAATTATAACAAGTATAAATGGAATAAATTGATAAAATTGAAGAAATTTAAATATAAAGTGAATAATTAGATAAATCTAATTAAATAAGCTCTGAAAATAACATTACTTAATAATCAAATGAGATATCGAATAATAAACTTGATAACTCTGAAAATTTAGATGACCATTACGATGAAAAAGAAAATTAAGAAATTGAAGAAGAGCTAAATGAACATGTTAAAACTTTTTACCAAGAAAACTCATACCATGAAGCTGGATCATAAACAGACACATTTAAAGAAAAGGACAATGATTTAAAAAGCTCTAAAGTATCTTAGAAGAAATTTATAACCAAAGAGCAAGGTAAAATTTTAAAATATTTGTATATAACTTCATTTAGATTTATGACTGACTAAAATAAACTGTTACTATAAATAGATAAAATTCGAAAGCAATCTATAAGAATGCTATTTTAAGTACAAAAAAAGAATTACGTCCTTCCAAAAAAAAGTAAATTTTTTTATTAGAAAAAGAATTTTTGTTTTTTTATAGGTTACAAGTATTTTAACTTTTCTTTTCTAATAATTCTCAGATATGGATATTACAAACCCAGATTTAAATACTGAAGACGCTAAATCTTATGACTAAGATAGTGCTTAGATTGATGTAAACGAGGTATCTCATGAAAACTTAGACGAAGATATTAACAAAAATGTGAGAATATTAAGTAATATAAATAGCTAAGAAAACAATAACGATCTAGAAAATAGAAGAAGAAGCTTACTGCATGAGCATGAAGATAATTTTTTAAATTAAGGGTTAGATACCTATAATAGAAAATAAAATAAAATTTCAAAATTTATATTTTAAAAAAATATAACTGTTTCTTAAAATATAAGTAAAATCGGCTACTTAGCTTTTTTTCTCCTTTTTTTCTTCACTCTATTTGTATTCTTTTCTCTTTTAGTACAGCAATAGTCTATTTAAGATATCATACCATACTTGAGCTTTGGTCGTAAATCATTTTTTAATTAATTTATTATAACAGTTTGAATTTTATTTTTATTAAAAAGCAAATATATTGTATGAGCTAAGCTAAGTAATTATGTTAAAAGAATTCCAATACCTAAGCTAGTATATGAATCCAAGCAATTAACAAATATATGATTAGAACACTTTAACAAACAGGACTTAGACATAACTTAATTAATTTAGAGAAACACTTAATAACGCAGAAATAATTTAATCATAAAATTTACCAAGTCAGTCAATACTAAATTTAAAAATCGACTATTTTGATGAAATATCATAAGAAACCCCTTAGTCAGGAAATATTATCTCAGTTTTTGAACACTTGTATTTAATTTTATGGTAGTATACTAATTAAATAAACGGATTAGAACCTTTAAAAATAACTCATCTTAATTCTTAGTTACTTTTGAACAACACCTAGCAAATTACTAATGTAAATTTTCGTTTTTTGTTAATAATTGTATTTAATTTTTATTCTTTTTAGTATTTTTATAATTGGACTCTCTCTTAGTTGGATTAAACAAATATTTATCTCTAAATTGGAACATACTCAATTATGGCGATATCTGGTTTAATCATTTTTGTGATAGTACCTATATACGCTAGATTGTAGCTTTTAAAAGAAAAAATTATGTAATAATTTGCTACGTTTTCATGTGAATTAATAAATAAAAGAAATATGCAAATCGATGAGATGCTAATAGTTTTGAGAAAAGTAAGTTGATATTATTATATTGTATGATTATTATTTTTCTTTATGGATATATTTTTAAAAATGATTTTTTGAATAAAAGAATCAGGTAAGAAATGAAGGAAATAGCGAAAAGTAACTTAGAAACGAATGGAAAAATATTGGATAAACCCAAGTTAAAAAAAAATCAATCTCAAAAACAAATAATCTAAAATTATGGAATCTAGGACTCTTTATTTTTTCAATTATTTGTTTATTACTTTTGTCAATATATCCTTTGATAAACTACTTTATGACTTTAAATTTTTTGCAAGAGTACAGACTCTTTATAAATGAGCTAAGTGTACTTTAGGACAGTAGAGCTCAAATGATTTATGCAAATGCAGTTTCATTTTTATTTTTGAATGAAAAAATCGGTCAATTGAATATAGTACCCTTCGATTCATAAATAAAAATTATGGAATAGAGTCTTTCGCTTTATTAAACATCAATATAAAATTTATCATTCTTTTAGAATGATTTTTCTTCGTATTTAAGGTATAAAGAAAGTGTTTAATATTAAATATTAATAGATCCATTAATTTCAAATACTTGCGAAGCATTATATGTAAAATTTTTTAGAAATTCCTTAATATTAATCCATTTTTTTCTCTATAATTTGTAGAACATAAAAAATTTATCTGTTTACAACAGTAATATTTTTCAAATTGATTTTGACTAGACTTCTTGTTAGTAAGTTAAATCTGGAATTCTATCTTAAGGAAGTATTATTAGTTTAAAAAATATGATGTTGAATACTCAAGATATTTCGAATTTTTTAGAATTAAATTTAAATACTTCCCCTGATACACTAGTGCCTAATTTTTAAAATTTGGATAAGAGTATAAATATCTCAGAAATTATGTAGTTGGGTGATTTCATTGATCTTAGCTTTCAAATTTCCACTGTGTATACTCAATAAGTAATAAAGCTGTTCTTTAGTTACCTTGATATCCTTCAGTTATGCCTCCTTTTATACTCTATTATCTAACTACTTTTATTCATAGTTTTTGGTTGGAGATCATTTATAAACTACATTCAAAAAGAAATAATAATTGTAAAAAGCTTTTACAGTTTATTGTCTAATGAATTAGTCGTAAATAACAATTATATTTATTCTTTCATCAAAAGCTACTATAAAAAATGAATTTAAAATATAATTAAATGCTTATTTATTTTGTATTTTTATATACACTTAATAAATATTTATTACTAAACTAAGAGAGAAATAAATAATTATATTCTGAGCTTAAAATAATTAATTCAAATAAAAAAATAATTTTAAGATTCAAGATGTGTAATTTTTGCTTCATTTAAATTATAATAATAATTCTTAATCACTGTTATATATACAATTAATATGAATTTTACTTAATTAGGGTAAATATAAGGAAAAATTTGTTTATTTATTTATTAACAATTATCAAAATATAATTTATTTTTAGTTGTTTGTTTTGTTTATTTTTAATTATATTTTAATTCGCTTGAATAAAGTCAGAATTAAATTTATTGAACAATTAAATCAAGATCTTAGTTGCTTTTTGAAGTTTAACGTTAACAATTCTTTTGTTTCTTTTTTGGTGAAGTGTATTAATCCTCAGCAACCATCTCTTAGATACTTTCAAGGATAGGCTTATATTTTTAATTATATTTATTATTTTCCTCTTTTTAATTGAGGTCACATATATCATTTTTTTATTGCAAAAGAAGATCTTCATAAAAATGAAATTCTGTAATCATTTATTCTTATTAGAATTAATCGTCTAGATTACTTTCTTTCATATTTATTGGTGATAAACCTGACAAATCACCTATTTCACCAGAATTTTAATTGTTAATGCCGTTTGTAGTGCAACTGTTTTAATTGTTAAAGCTTTAACTTTCTTAGTTGATTGAAAATATATCTAGGTTATCGAGATTGAGCTAAAAATTAAAAATATTTTTAAATTCTAAATCTGAATCTAAATCTTTATCATTTGTTTGTTCAATTTTTTGATTAAAATAAAGTCCATCCTTTGCCTTTTATTATTGATTAAAATGAGATTTGCCTACATCTTATTATTTTGGAGGTGTAAAGGAGCACATTGATCCTGAGTTTTATGAAAAAATTTCATCAAGAGCATTTAAACCTAACAAATCTTCTTCATTAAATAATTTTTAATCAATTTATAGCTCATTTATATTGCTTGATTTTTCACTTTAATCATTAAATAAATCTGACTCATTCATCCCTTTGAGTTAAAGGCAAGCAAGATCATTTTTATTGATTGAATCTCCCTCTCCTTCTTCTGTTTTAAGAATACCAAAGTTATAATTATCATTACAAGGTTCCTCATATTAAAGCTATTTCTCTATATTTTCTACTGGAAGGTTAGTTAATTACTCTGGTTAACTCTATTTTGTTTATTCTTAGAGGCATTTCAACTTTTAAGAACTTTAAAGTGAATTTGTTTCAAATTGTTATAATATGATTTTTTCTTCAGATACTAATGAGTTATAGTTTGATTAAACAATCCCATCGAATATATAATCATGCTTTTATTTACTATCAACTGACGACTCTTATTTTTCTTGTTCAATATTAATAACTTCTAAGTCAAAATTGCTTTCTACTATATTGATTGGATCACTTTGCATATCTTGCTCATTAGTTGATTATTTAGATGTGACTTGGATATTTAATTCTGATACATTATTTTATGCCTAAAAATAATTAGCAACTAGCTAATTAACATTATTTTACAAAGGTTGTTAACACAATTAATTTGTTTGATCACTTTTTTATTATAATTCTTCTTTAGAATTAATATTATTTGAAGAAAATGTATTAATTATATTTAAATTGTCTTCAGAATTTTAATTTTTTTCTATAATTACACTGTTATTTCGACTAAGACTTGCAATTGAATTAAATGATTAGGTTGCATTCCAATCCTTTTTGTAAATACATTAGCCGATAGCATTAATTCTCTCTTAAAAACTCATATACGAAGACATTTTCTAATTGAAAGATCTTATACTCTCATTAGTTTAAGCTTTTAGCTAATATGAGTTTGTACTTTATATTTCTTTATGCTATGGAGTTTTTGCAGGATGAAAAGGAGTAAGAATATGTCTCTCTTACTTATTTTATAAATTATCTGCTGGAAAAATGGATTGATATTATTCTTTTTTCATTAAAATTTCATCAATCTTAGATTTTGATTTTATCTATAAGTTTAATGTATTCTAATTTTGAATTTCTTAACTAAATTAGTTGAGTGTTTAAGATATTTAATTCTCACTTCTTCTGTTTTCTTGGTTTTAATTAAATTTACTTTAATTTCCTTAAAGCAAAAATGGTTTCATAGAAAATTTATGCTTTTGGTTATTTTAAACCTTCTGCATATGTAAAATATGCCTTATTTAATCAGATATAGTGCTTTTTAAATTATTTTGAATTTAAGATTGTTCTTTGTTACTATTTATTTGACTATTTTCATTATTCTAAATCTCATTTTCAGTAGAAATTACCTTCATTAATTTGATATTTTCAATACCTTTTTCATTTTATTTTTTTGGTGAATTTGAGATAAGACAATCGCTTTTTCTTATATTTGCCTATTGATAATTTTACTTTTAATTTAATAAATTTTTATTTTCGTTATTTTCATTATTTTCTTAAAACTCGTAACTTTATTCTAGGCTTTTTTGATCATTTTGAATTATTTCATTTTTTATTTATTACTCTTGCTCTTGTATGAATTACAAATCATCCTCTTAAATTTATAATTACTCAATTTTAAAAAATTTAGATTTTTAAGATTCATCTGGTTAAGTCACAGCAACCTACTATTCTTACAGGCTTGAAAAAGAACAGACAGCATCTTTTACTAAGTTGTCTTACGATTTGACTGATAGAAGTCCTTTAAGTGGCTTTTACTACTAACTTTTATTTCCTTAAAGTTTACTTTTTTATTACTAATTTTAACCTGATTTATTTTTATTTTGGTTTACTAAAGTGTTTTTCTTCTTCTCCATCTCTTTAATCTTAGAGTTTTGAGTTGTATTCTTTTATTCAAATAATCCAAGAGCATTACTGTTGCTACTATTATTTCTATTGTTAGAACCTATATTTTTTGTAGACAGAGTTGTTTGAAGTTTGTTTTTTAAATGATATTCTTTTAAATGAATTTCTTCAGGAGCTTATTTTTTAATTCTCGTTTAATAATAATGTCTCATCGCTTCTTCAGATTATAAAGGAATTGATTGTTTCTAATTTTAAGATAGATTTTACTTGCTTTTGTCTTTATTTTATGAATTTGAGCTTTTATAAGATTATCTTGATGGAGTGTCGTTTAGGTAAGAATTATGTGTCGCAGACATTCCTTTATTTTCATAGGATTGTTGCTTATTTAAATTAACAACAGTTGCTATAGAATTTTTTGGTTTTTGTATACTAGGTTGGCTAAGATAAGAGGTTCTATTATTTTCATATTGAATTAAATCACCTTGAGAGTCGCATTTAGTTCTTTGAGCTTCTATTGATATATCTTTTTATGATTCACAGTCAAAACCTTCTTCTATTTTGTTATGGGGTGATTTTTCATTTTAAATATTATCAGAATTATTGTTAAACGGAATTTGTTGAGAGCTTTAATTTATAATTTAATGTTCACTTATTTTAATATAAGACTCGGGTGAATTTGTTAATATCAAACATGGTTGAGATTTCTAAGTGATTAGAGGAGAAATATTTTACAACTATCCAGTATTATTGTTAATATTATGAATATTTTGTTGATTATTTTTATTAAATTAATTTAGTTTTTTCAAATCTATTGGGTTAGTTTTTTAGTTTTTTGTTTTTTGTATTTTTTCAATGGGAGACTGAGCTCTAAAATCTTAATTTTAATTACTATTTAGTGAAAGGTCCTTTTTTATTAAATTTTTTTATTAGAAATAGCCAATCATTTTATTATACTTATTTAAATTATAAGTTTGAGGGCTATTCAAAATTTTCTTTTATTTAATTTCGAATTGAGGACTATGTATTGCAATGCTTTATTTTTAAGATGAATTAGGTCTTGAGAGAGGTGATAAATAAGGTGACTACCTCCTTGCTTTAGTACTTAATTTTCTTTACCGACCACATTCTTCATCGAAATCCTCTTATTATTCGTTCTTAGGTTATTGTTATGAATTAGGAAGCGATTGTTATGATTAAGTTTAATTAATTTATTGTTATTACGATTAAACTTAATTAATTTACTGCTATTGTAGAGGTTATTAGAGCTAAATATAAAAATTACTTAAATTATTATCATTGAATGTTTACAAAGTCATATATTCGCTTTTTGTTTTTTATAAACTGTTGAAGTTTTAATCAATGCAAGGCACTCTTGTTAAATCTAAGCTTCCTTAATTTTTTCTATGAATAGCTTAAACTCCTTTATCCATTTAAAGTATGTTTTCTTTAGAAACTTTTGTATTAGTTTATGCATTTTGAGTGGTTCTCATCTTTTAATTTAAATAATATACAGTATCAAGATTCTTCTAATGATATTTTTATGTGTTATCCTTTACTCTAGAAGTTGTGTGAGCTGATAGGCAAAACTAATTATTTGGTTAATTTTGATTTGACTTTAGAACTTTATTCTAATCCTATCTTCCAATATTTCCAATGAATTATAAATTATGAAAAATAGACAATTTCATCCAATCTTGAGAAACAACTTCTCCATTATAGTTAAACCCATTTTGACGTTTTAGATTTTTTTATTTATCTTTTTATTTAATTTATTTTTAATTAGGAAAAAAATAAGTATATAATTTTAAAGTTAATATTATTGAATATATTTAAACCATATAACATTTAATTGTTAATTTACTTAACATTTCCTTAGGGTAGCCCTCGCCTTTTTGTTGTTCATTAACTAAAATATTATCTTTAAATATTCCAAAATAATAAGTATTTTGTAATTTATGGAAGATCAAGCCTTCTCCTTCAAACTTTCCTTGATTAAAAGAGCCTTCGTAGAAATCGCCATTAGGAAAGTTCTTTCTTCCGTTTCCATTTAAGAAGCCATTCTTTGAAAAAGAAATAGTATAAGAATATTTAAAATTAAAATGTTTATTTATTTTAATTCTCTTAAAAAATAAATTATAAATGAAATATTAATTTTACTTTATAAAATCCACAGTCAAATTTTTAATCAGAGTATTAAAAAAGACCCAAACCATTAGGAATATTATTTTAAGTAATCCCAATAAAAAATCCTCCATCTTAAAAGTTAATTTTTGAAAAGATTATTTATTCTTGATTATCCTGAAGTTTATTAGATGAAACCCCATTAGAAAGTAACGCTGAATATTTTTAAATAAGCTTTGAAATATCATATTTCTACTAAAATTCTTTCACAGCTTGATTTAATTATAAAATGAGATAAAGCTTAAGATATATTTATAGATTTAATCTTTAATACTTTGAAAAATACACTAACTAAAGTTATTTAAAATAAATTGAAAATCTAAATAATTTTTACATTTAACTTCTTTAATATTCTCTTTAATAGATTCAACTTTGCGAAATTATCCATTTTCATAAATAGCTATAATTTATTTTTTTGTCCCTTTGAATAGCATTGTCACTTTCCCATCAAGATGACCCTATTTCCAATTTGCAAAATATTTATCATTATTAGGAAAGACTAATAATGATTTATTATTAACAACTGAGTTGATAAACTATCCTTCTAAGTATCCACCAGAGCTAAAATAAATAATTCCTTGCCCATTAATTTTATTATCTTTCCATTCTCCTGTTTATTTAAAGAATATTCATTATTTCAAACCATACCTTAATAAAAGTAAGTAAATCTTGCTAAGTATGATTTTCATTTATAATTAATCTAAAATTTTTTATTGAAACATGTCAGCAAGAGACAAAATCACTTCATTTTATTACCTACATAAAAGTCTCCTGAATCCCACAAAAACATGCCAAATAAATCCTTTTTATTTTAATCGTTAACAAGCCCTTAGTAAGTCCCATTCTATTCATTTTAGAGCTATATTTTGAATTTGCTATTCATTTAAAAATGTTAAAAAATATCTACTTATTTTAAAGATTATTTTACTAATTAATTATTAAAAGAGCTTTAATTTGTGAATTTTCTTCTTTCTTGGATTTAAATAAACAAAGAAATTTTGTTGATTTCAAATATATTATTTGAAAGTTATTCTATTCTTCATGCTATTATATTGTTTAGATTTGCACTCCAAGGTATAATAAGAAAATAATCAATCAATTAATCTTTCATATATAAAATACAGTTTGTATTTACTTTTTATAAAATTCATCTGATTAAGGTTTATTCTTTGATTTCCATTAAATGTTATCCAATTCTTTAATTTTCCTTCTATTTTTAATTAAATATCTTAATTTTTTTTAAACATGTAATCAGCTGTATTCATTCAAATTAATTTTCAAACGAATTTAATTTGAGATTACTCTTCACATTCAATTTAATTTTGAAATTTTTTTAAAAAATTCAAAAATGTATTTTTATTAATCAAAAAACACACACATAAACACACTTACACACACAAAAGCAAACTTATTTTGAAAATTCATAAAAATTTCTTCTGATTTTAATTAAATATTTAACATAAAATAAAATTAATACAATTTCTCTATTGAATTTAATCTCAAATCCAATATTCCTTAATCCATTCAGAGGGATAATCTTCTGGTTTTGGTTTTCTAGGAAAGCAAACTATTCTAGTATTTTCAGGTAATTTATTCTAGCAATAATTTAAATAATCAGATACTTCAGTGGGAAAAATATCTTGTATATATTCAGCATTATTTATCATCATTTCTAACCAATAATCAAATCTAACAATATATTAAGTTATTTACTCAAAATTTTCTTTAAGAGCATTATAAACTCTCTCTAAGTCTACATTTCTTTTATCCCAAATCATTATACTGCTATTATACCCGTCTTTATGATCTTTTTCGCATGCTAGATCTTCAGTCTTTAAAATAGCAAATCCTCCCTATTATAATTAATATTACAAATTAAAATCTCATATGATAAAAATAAATATTTATTTTGTAAATAATTTACTTAATATTTTAGAAGATTGTCTATATTACCAGTAATAACCATATCTAAATCTATGTAAAAATTCAAATTGCCCTTCAAATTATACTAAAGTGAAAAAAGGGTTGCTTTACCCCACCATCTATACCAATTATTCATTAATTCTATGGGAACAATATTCTCATCTAAGCCTTTGCTATCTTCTGTGAAACAATAAAAAGTAAAAGGTATAGTAGTGTTTCTTTTAATTCCTCTATAAAGCTTATTTACATATTCAGAATCATATCTTGTACCCCACTTTACACAAAGAATATTAACACTTTCTTCTTTTATTTTGGTTTCGAATCCTTTTTATAATAACTAAACATCTACTGGATTAGGTCTAACATATTAGTTGCTTTGCCCTTCTATTTAATTATTATTTTTATTGGTAAGCTTTTCAATTAATTCCCAAGTGATAGAAATAGCTTCATTTTTTCTTCCAAGTTATCTTAAAATATCACCTAAATTAATGAGGGCTTCTTTATTATCAGGATTTAACTTAATAGCCTTTATACAGTAGTCATAAGATTTTTCTTTCTCTCCACTATTCACATACATAACAGCTAGTAAAAATATATAAAACTAAATAAATAAATAATTTGAGAATAACTTTACCTATATTTGTATATGCATCTAAGTATGCATCTTTGTTATTTAGAGAAGGGTCTAATTCAAAAGACTAAGGTGTATTTTATTTATTAATTTCATTGTTGTAAGGTGACTTTTCTATTACTTTTAAATAGAATTCGATAGCTTTTTTATAGTCACGTTTCTAAGCATAAAGATTTCCTAAGTTTAAATAAATGTTTGAAAATGAAATATGAGGATTGATTTCTTCTACTAATTTAATTCCTTGTAAAAAGTGTTTTTCACCACGCACAATATCTCCTGATTTAGTTAATAATGATGCAAATTTATTACAGTTAAGAGCTTTTTTAAGCTAATCATTATTCTCAAGATATATATCTAGATCGGATTTTTATTCTTCTTTACTTGCTTTTGTTAGCTAATTTTTGCTTAAAACTTGTTTGAGTTTTTCAATTTTCTCTTATAATTATTACTCCTTGCTTGAATCTGCCATCTATAAATTTTTTATTTGTTTATTTATATTTTTACTATTTGAGTATTGCCAAAGAAGATATTTATTCAATAATCAGATTTTTATTACTAAAATTCAAAAAAGAAAAAATTTTGAAAATTATTTGTTATTTACTTATCAGAAGATATTAATAAAAGCAATTAATTAAACTGTCAAATTCGCGCAATTTTTAGACGATTTACAAAATAACATAATAACTAATTAAAAATAATATTTTACAATTATTAATAAGAAAGGAAGTATTATTCTTTTTGTGAATATTTAAATTTAAAATAATAATTAAACATTTCATAAATAAATCAAATCCAACAAAGCTTTATTTTTATGTTTAGAATCACAGTTTCAAAGATAAGTAACATAAATAAAATAATATATATTTAGTTTATCAACTATTTTGTAGAGTCTCAGTTGGTAAGACCATTCTAGATTCTAAGTCTTTGATATTCTAAAGAGCATCTTCATATTTAGCTTAAATAACATTACATATTTCTGTAGCTTCTATTAACTCCTTGTTTTTTTTAACAGCTTCTAAGAAATATCTATCAGCTTACTACTGAAATTTATTTTTTAGCTTAGTTAATTCTTAAATATCTTAGCTCAGTTGTTTAGACTACTTTTATTATTATTCTATTTCTAGTATCAAAACTTAAATCTTTTAATTAAGTTTTTCGTTTTCTAAATCTTTTTAATTAATCTATAGCTACAATTAATCATTTTCATTTTTTCTTTAACTTAAAACCTAATATAGTTATTCAATTTCGTTCCTGCCATTTTTGACTATTGATTTTAATTGTTAAATTTAACTCTCTAAATAAATTGATTTTTAATTCTCACTTTGTTTCAGTTATTCCTAATCTGAGACAGTATTCTTTAAATCCTTACTTTAAATTATACTTTCGCTCTCTATCAAAGTAATTTACTAAAATAAAAAATATTATCTTGTTTGTTTAAAAAACTCTAAAAATAATTACTTCTTAAGATTCTCTTTCATTTTGTACAAATTTTTCTCCTTCATCTTAATTTAGATCAGAATCATCCTGAATATTTTTATTAATACATAATTACACTGCTTTAGATACCTAAGTTTAATTTTAATTAGAAAATTCAATACTTTAAACATAAACTTATTAATTTTCAAAATCCGGATTTTCATTTTTTTCAAATGAAATCTATTTGCTTAGCTCTTATTTTTGCAGTATTTCTTAATACTTCTGTAAAATTTCTTCATACTGAGCTTGTAATTTTTATAAATTTTGTTCATAAAATTCTATTTTTTCTGAATTTGCTTTGTCATTTATGCAACTACTTTCAAATTCTGATCTTATCTGTAAATACATTTACTATAAGTTTTCATTACCTTTCATCAAAAGTTTTTCCCTCTCTTTAATTTATGTTAACTCTGAAAGCATTTACATTTTTTCATTAAAAGATTATTCCAAAAGATTATTTTTTTCTTTAAGAATAATTTCTAATTAGGAAATTTGGTCATTTAAATTTACAATTAAATTCTCTCCTTACTAACCTTCAATTTATACTACCTATTAATTTAAATCATATAAATTTATTACTATACGCATGATATATATACTTTTATTCTTTTATTTAAAACTATTGAATTTATTTTTTTTAATTTTATTTTTACTTTTAATATATAAAAAATATTTATTATTTTAATTTAGCAATAATCTTTAATAATTAAACTAATGTAGTCAGTCTATGGTTTACAATCAAAAATTAAATAATTATTTTTTTTAAATGCCTTTAATAGTTTAAAAAATTGAAATTATTTTAAAAATAAACTACCTAATTAAAGCAATGTTCAGTGTTAGATTCTTCATTGATTCTATTATTAGGCTAGTTTTCTTATAGATGTAACAATTTTTGTTTATATTCTTATAACTGCTGCTGTAACTGAGATATGTAATTATCTATTTCGTTATCTTTTGTGTTAACTTTATCTTTTAAATAATCCTATTAATTCAGATTGTTAGAAAAAGATTAGCTACCTTCACTGCTTTAGTTATTAGTTTTTATTACTAATTCTAATTTTTATTAATTTTTTTAAAAAAATTTTAATAATAAATTTTTAAAAAAATAGAATTACAATAATTTTTATTTTCTATTTGATAACTTTCTCTAAAGTTTTACTTTGAATTTAAACTATTTTAGGTCTAACCCTCTTAAGAAATTTCTTTAAAATCAGAGTTGTTTTAATTACATACTTCTATTATCTAATCTTCTTAAATATTGTGATCTTTACTTGAGGTATTTAAATTTCTATTGGTGCTGCTTGCCAAACTAAATAAGTAATCATTTGAATATAATCTATCATTTTCTTTTTGATTCTCTGAAAGAAAATCTTAAAATTATTTCTAAATGGCTTTTAAAACAATGATATCTTATTTCATTTAAATATAATCTTTTGATAACTATTCATATTAATTTCTAACTTCTATATATTTTTTGTTTTCTATTTCTAAATTAATATTTTACATTTTATATTTCTCATTTTATTCAACTAATTCTCTAATTCTTTTTTCTAAATCAGATATTTTTTAGTTTGAATATCTTAGTTCAATAGAATAGTTAGGCATAACTAATATTTATTTATTCAAATTTTTGTATTTTAGCTTCCACTCTTCTATTTCTTGATTTTTTTCATCTAAAAGAGTATTTTTCTTTTGTAAATCTTTGCTTACTACTTATAATGAATGCTAATTTTCCAGATAATTATTATTCAAGTCATTATATTTATTTTAAAGTAGCTAATATTCTATAAAGTATTTTTAAAACTAACTTAAAACAAAAATATTAATTTTACCTTAATCTTTTACTTGAATCAAAACTTTAACTGCACTATCTATATTATTAACATCGCATTAATCTTCAAATAGTTTAAAATTATAATTATTTTATTTCATCTTAATTATACTATTTTCTTGGATTAATTTCTAAATACTATAAAAAATAATAAATTAATTTTATTATTAAATTTATTTACTCTTTATTATTTTCTTCTTTCAAATTTTTTTGATTTTTCTGAGACTCAATAAGTTATTGTTTTTAACCTCCTAAAAATAATTCAAGCTATTTGAAATCATCTTACAATTTTTCATTTTATTTTATTTCTTCCTCAAGTTAACTTTAAATCTTTTTTTATTAAATAATGCTTAATTACTCTTAAATTTATTTAATTTATAAATTAAAAGTCAATACTTAATTTAATTCTTTTGTTTATTAAATATAAAGTGACTTGAAGTTATCATTTTGGCAAATAGGCTGAATAGATATATTATTTTCAATCTTCTATACTGAAGATTTTTGTTATTAAAAATTAGTAGAAGATATTATTTGCCCATTGCATTATTGTTATAGAAATTAGTTATGCTCAGTTGAGAAATTCAAATTAAATGAGCTAGGCTGATCTTTTTAATCATCATCTTGATACTAATATTAAAATATTAAATTTTAATGAAAAAATTTTATATTTTTACTTTTTAAATGTTTTCCTTCAATTAAAATAACTATTTTTCTATAGCTGCTAATATATCAATACTAAATCCAAATTTCACTGAATTTCCTTTTCTATTATTAAATAAATTAAATTTTATTTAATAAAAAAGTAGAATTTACTGATTAAACTAAGATTATTAACTTTCTATTATATTTTCATTTACAGATTTTACATTATGATAAAGGTTTATTAAACTTTCATATAAGTTAGGATAATTATTTTTAAGCTTCTTTTAAGAGTCACTTTCATTTAGCTTCAACTATGGAGTATTTTAATCAGTAGTTTAATAGGAAAATGTAGAAAATGAGGGACTGAGTTAAGTTAATATTTAATATCCACTTTAAGAGATAGACTTTTCTTTATTTTTCTTTTATTTTATCAGTGGATGTACCCTAGGCATCTATGAATTTTTTTATGATTTTTAAAAAGAATAAAGTTCTTCATTAGCTTCATCAGATTTTGAGATTTCTCTTTTTAGTTAAAATAAAACTTTGAAGATGGCTCAATAAATAAAATTCATATTAAGTAAACATAATTTTAAATGCAATTTTATTAATTACAAATTGTTAGAAATATTCATTGACTGATCAAATGTAGAATTTATAACAGATGCATTAATATATCTCACATTTTGTTGATTCTAATTTTTAGATGCAACAAGGTTTTTCTATGAATCAAAATCAGGCAAGGTATTAATCCCTTATTTCATTGCAATTTTTGAATAAAAATTTTATGCAATCTTTAATTTTTAAAATATTTTCTATTTATCCTAGATCTTATTTTTTTAATAACTTACTATTCTATTTGTTAGTTCTACTTATTTCTAACTAAAAATAAATATTTAATTTATTAAAAAATTTTATTTATTCAAACTCATAATTAAGTTAATTAATTGTTTGGTCTTAAAGAAATTTTATATATTACAGATAGAAATAAAATTATGTTATTTTAATAACAAAACAAATAAGACTAAAAAATTATATTTTAATTAAATTTAGAGTAACAAGAAAAAATAATTTTTTTTCTACTATTTCTATCTAAAAATAGTTATTTAGTTTATTAAAAAATAAAAAATAATTTTTACTCAATAATTAAGCATATTAATTATTTATTTTTTTTTAAAACTTTTAATATAAGATTAATAATAAAAAAATAATAATTATAAGAAGAAATTATTTTAGTTTTACATATTATTATTTAATAATAAAAAGTTAATTTAATAAAAAATTATATTTAAAAATTTAGATGAGTAATCGTTTATTATTAAAGGAATTTTATAGATGATCTATCACAATTAAATTATGTTATTTTTATATTAACAACAAGTTTTTTTTTAACAAATATTACCAATAAAGTTTTTATTAATTCATGAAAAAATAATTTTAATTTTAATTACTTAAATCTAATTATAAAAATCAGAGTTTATCAAATACCATAGGTACTCTTCTATAAGGAGAGTCCAAAATTAATTTATTTATAAATTTTACTCTCCTTATCAGATATTTTTCTCCACCCTCCTTAGGATTTTAATATTTTATTAAAAACAATACAACTACATTTAATAAAAAATTTAGCTTTAACAAAAATTATCAACAAATAAAGCATATAAATTTAGAAATAAATATAATTTGTCAAAAATAATATTAAAATGATAATTTTTAACTAATTAATAAAATAATGCTAAATATAGACTATCCAATTATTTACAAAAATTTTTAATTTAATAATCTATTTTTATTTTTAAATCTAATTATTTTTTAAGAGTTAGTTTATTTTTAATTTGTTTTTATTGTAATTAAATTGTTTAAATATTTAAAAATATACTATTTGGATTAATTTGTGATTAATACCATCAATAATCTTTAAAATCATTCATCTGAATAGAAATAGCCATAGCCTTCTAATCTATCAATAGATTGTTTCCAAATAACTTATGGGACTTCAATATCTTTAAGGTACTTTGCCATTTTATCGTAGCTTAACATCTATTTTAATTTAATTTATTTTTTTTAAAAGATATAAACCTAAGCTATTTACTGAATTTATAATTTATTCATGTGGTTTGTACCATTCTTAATATTCTTGCTTTATTTACATAAACTCTTCAAATGCCTAAGGGAGGTAGCGAATATATTATTTCTCAATTTTTTTTAAAGAATTTCCTTTATCTAAGTAAAAATGCAAATTGCTTTTATAAAAATATAGCTAAATGAATGTTTTACCTAATGTTTCTATATATAAGAACTTATTTCCGGATATTAGTGCTTTTTACTTTTTATGTGGGGAAACAAAAGATATTCTTTTTAAGCCATCTCTTGCAATTTATTTTTTATTACTTCGTGTATTTTATAAAGAAAAGTGGTCGTTACTTTAATTTTCTTATTCTTCATATTAATCATTATGCTCTATATGCTCTGTAATGCTTCTTTTTATTTTTTATATTTAAAAATTTTTTTATGCATACTTATGATTTTGATCTTGATAATTGTCATTATCTTCCATCTTATTTTCTTCTTGCTTACTCAGCTTAGATGACTTAGAAACAAAGCTTTTATCATTAACTTAAAAAAAATTCATAATATCTTCATAAAAATATCAAAAATACCTTAATTTGTTTCAGTCTAAATGTCCATTTCAGATATATAAAATGATTATTCAATTATAGTTAAGCTTGAATTCTATTTTTAATTAAATTGAACACTTTTATTTTCTCTTCTTGCATCTCTTTTTTAATTTTTATTATTTGTTTATTATTATAATATTGAATGTTCTTAAGTATCAACTATTTCAGATTTAAAGCCATTAACAGTGGGTGAATGATTCTAATTTTTTGATTAATTTCCTAATATAGACTTAGAAGTTAATTAAGTATCTTCTCTTAAAAGACCTTCAGTTAAGGTAACTAAGTTATCTTTATATTATTTTAAAATTCATTACAAATTATAACTTTGAAATTTTATCTAATTTACTTTCTGTTTCATCTGTTTTTTAATGGTGTAAAGCTTTAGGTGTATTTATAGATTGCAGCATTTAATTATCGAAATCTAGCTATTCAATGCTATGAGTATGATAAACTGGAAAATTAAATTATTTATTATTCAATTTGGAGTCTTCATCTTATTAATTAGTATTTTATTTACTAAAATGACCAACTTTTTTTACTTCTTAAAATTTTTTTCTATCTAAGAGCTTTTATTTTAAACGTTTTGCTTGAGATATTTTTTAGTTGTTTGAAGTCTATTAGTTAGTTATATTCTGATAATTATAATTGGCGTTTTCTAAAACTCTCATCATTTTTAAATACTTCTTGTTTAATTCATTAGCCTAAATGATAAAATATTTTAGTTTCGAAAAAATAATACGTTTAAATTACTTTATGCTGAGATAAGTTTAATCTATCTTGAGAATGTCTGTATTATATTTTTAAATCTTGCTTAGGTAATTAAAACTTTTTAGTTAGATGTTCTATCCTATAGACTAAAAGATGATGAAATACATATCTAACATTTTAAGACCAGTGCATAAAAAGTTTAAAAAAGATATTTCCAAAAAGATATTCAATCACCTCTTATCTGATATCATCTATAAAAATATTTTTATTTAGTTGCTAAAACAAACGGTCTTTGAATAATTTTACTTGATAGTAAGTTATAATTATTATAAATAATAGCAAGCCCTTTAGATATACACATTGCATGATCTCCTTCTAAAATCATTTGAATGCCTTTTAAAAAAGATTTCAAATCAAAATCTGCTGGAATATTTTGGTGATTTTAAGAGAGAGTTTGCATCCACAAATCAATAAGATTGAAAGTACTCATCACATTCCTATGATCAAAAACTCTTTTAAATAAGAAAATTAAATACTGTTTTTGCAATGATATTTTTTTATAAGATAAAATAAAGCTACTTTGTATTTCTATAAGCTATATGAATATATATTTTGAGCAAATTAGGATTCAAAAGCAAATTCATAGAAGCAATCTTTAGAGAATCTATCAAATTTCTTGTTTCTTTTTTAGCCATTTATAGTAAAAATGATTTCATTAGTATTTGATATCCAGGTAATTCATTCCATGGTATATGATCCTTTGAAATAACAGTCTTTTACAAAAAATAAATATTTTGAATGAATTTTTTTATAATGTAAATCTACATTGTTAACATAAAGAGCCCATTCTGAAAGAAAAAAGAAAAAGCTGCTCCCTTTTTTGCTTATCCTTTACCAATACTTTTAGTTTTCATTTATTATCTATTGGAGATGCTCATAATTTTTTTCTCCTTGCTAATCAGATAACATGTATGACTCAAAAAAGTATTACCAATCAAAGAGTGATTCAAAAACCTTATTTCCTTCTATGATAGAAGCTCTTTGATCAAAATATTGAAATATATTTTTTAAATCTTCTGGGATACTGAGATCATTGAATTTAAGACATGAAAGAAAATTCTATTAGAATAAAGGTATACGAAAGAAAGCAATAGCACAGTAGTTTTCTACAAAACCTTTTTCTTCTCCATTAAGATATTTAGATTCTGTTTTTAAGAGAACTTTTTCAAGTGTTTAATACATTAAATTCTAATACTGCAAGCCAACTTTTAACTTTTTTTTTAAATCTTATATTTCCTGCTTTTAGTTTGTTTTAAATTAGAAGTTTTTTGCCTTACCTTTAACACTGTTAGTTATTAAAACAAAAATTTAACTTTCTTATACTGCTCAGTAAAGTTAAAAAATTACAATTGCTGATAAGACTACTTGAATCCTATGTTGTCTAAATTAAATTCACCTCTATTTAAAATCATTTTTAAACATTTATAATAAGACTCCCTCAAGTACTCATCTACTTCATCAGCATAACTAAGTAAATGATCTGCTAACTCAATCAATATAGTCTAAGCCCTAATCAAATCATTTTAAGATTTGTAGTAAAAGGAAGTAGTAGATTACTTATATTTTTTATTAAATTATTATTATTATTGCATTAATTTGATAATTTACTTTATGAGTCATTTAAGATATTTGAAAAACTTTATTAAAGTGATTTAGTAATTCCTCTTTTAATTTTAATCTTTCGAAACCAACGATTTCTGCATTATTTTACTATAATCGAAAAGTGTTTTCAATCAATAAATTTTTTGCTTCATTTAATTAGTTTATCTATTCACATTAAAAAAACAATTTTTTACTTTTTTTATAAGAAATAGTTATAATAAAATAGACTACCTCTGAGTCTATATTGTCGTCTCTAAAATATACAGAAGGACTAGATTTCTAAATTCCTTTTTCTGTCATTACTCCTACAAGTATCTATTTAAGATAAGGCAATGTTTGTGATTAGATTTACAAATCTACAAATCCAAAATCTTGTCCTTAACTCCAAAGCTTTTCTCGAACATGTAAAATTCTTTATTCATATATAAGATCTTCTCTTGAAACCTATTATTTAAAAAATACAAATTAATTTTTTTTATTAGGTTTTATTTATTTACAATCATAGCTTCCTCTGCTAAAACTTTTGAAAATGGTATATAGCATTCTGCAATTTACTCTTCAAAAAAAGTAACTTAGCTTTTTGGAGTTTTTTATTAACCATCTTGAGAGTCTTAATCGAAATCTTCAGATGAATATTTTAAATCTTCTTCTTTAATTTACTAATTTTGTGTTTAAACCCATAAACAAAATTTAATACAGCTATTACCAACAGAATGAGTTGTAATAGAAAAACTTAATTACACTTTTTTATTTATTTCATTTTCAAAATCCCATAAAATAGTATTTGGATTTTAAATTGATTGTATTTAGTATTCAGAAGACTCTTATTATTAACTAAGAGAGCTATCACATTTCTCCTCTTTAATGAAATCATCAAAATTGTGAATATCATTACTAAAATACTAGCTTTATTTCTTTTTTATTTATTATTTGCAAATAAAATCAAAATTTAAGTCATTTTAAAAAATAATCTCTGAAGATCTCCTTTTTTTTTTAAGTGGACTTGCTTTTTCTTATTTCTATTATTAAAAATAATTAAATGTCTATATTAATTTAGTGTCTTCATATTTAATTTACTCCATTATCAATCACAAAGGATGAGACTTTGTGAATAGTTCTTTGTTTTATCAGAGGATTTACCTTTAATTGATTTTAATCATGATTCTATATTTCATTTTTGTTTGTTTTCATAAAAGGAATTTTCTAATATTTAATATTAAATAATTGTTAAATAAAGGTGTGAGTGCTTTAGTTACTTTAATTTACGATGTTTATATTCCTATCTTATTTTAGCCGTTTGCTTTATACTTTATGAAAAATTAGTTACTTCATGATTTAACCTTATGAAAATTCAAAATTACCAATTATCTGTTAACAATAAATTCATTTATTTAATCATTATCGAAGTCTTCAATACTATTATTGTTATAATTATTCTATTCCTTTAGAAATTAATCTTTATTTTGCTAAGAAGATAATCTCTATTAATTTGTAAAATTATCATTATAGTTTTATTCTTTCGATAGATCCCAAAACTAATTATGGTAGTTATTGCTGAAGCTTGATTAAAATATTTTTTTTTCTGTCTTTTAATTTAAAAAAATAAAACAAAATTATTACAAATTTTATGCAAATAAATTAATAAGTATGGTTAGAAATTCTTAAAATAACATACCTTAAACTTGATACAAAATTTATAGTTTTATTAGTTAAGCCCGTTATTTAAAAAGCATGAAGCTTACTTAACTTACAAGTCCATTTTTGTAAAGTGTTATATTCTAAAATCGTAACATATTCTACCTTATGTTTGCTTTTATAATAGTAAGTGTAATTTATTATTTTTATATTTGTTTGAAAGAGAGAGGAGTTAACTTACATTTGGCCAGTTAATGATTAAATCATGATGATAAGGACCTTTAGCTGTCGCTAATAGGTTTTGCTTTACTCCTATTACTTAATAATTTTGTCTATAATGCAACACCTATATAAGAACTTCACAATCTATCATCTGCTACTCTGTTAACTCCATATCTTACTCCAAAACTAAATCAATCTTTTTAAAATTGTTAACACTTTTTAAAAATAATCAAAAAAATGTTACCTTTAAATCCCTTCCACTCAAGTTTTCAGTTACATACTGTTTATCTAAATTAAGGAACTTAACTGAAATATAATAAGTTCTGTTTTGAGGTACCTTACATTAAAAGATATAATAAGAACACTAAATATGAAATTGAATCACATTGATTGATTTATAAATAATTATATTCAGCTATGAATAATATAGCCAGCATATTTACTTAATATACGAAATTAAAGTTGTAAAATAAAGCCAATTATGATAATGAATTGTATTTGCCAAGTATTTATTACCTCCTCTTAAATGTTCTTTACATTCATATTTGTTATTGATATTCTAAATAAATTTTTCTACTTTTGTAAACTTTGATAAACACTATTTTTACCAGCATTTGGACGAGAACTAAAATGAGGATGAAGAATTAGTAAGACTTCTTTTTTTTTGTGAGCAGAGGATGGTTTACAACTACAACCATTTCCCATCAAATAAAATCGAAGTAGTCTGTTACTAAATACTCGTTTTATATATAAAAAAGATATTTAAGGTGCTTTCTAAAATATAATTATTTTTGAATCCTTTTTTATTTTAAGTTTTTGTAAAGATAAAAAGGTAAATAAGATCAACTTTCATAGAATAAAAATGAATATTTGATTGTTTTTATTCTCTTAGCATAAAATCTATGCTTAGGTTTTAATCAAAAGAAAATTATTAATAACAAATGTAATTTTTCCCATATAAATAATAGTTAATAATCATAATGAAATATTTCAAAATTTGTTTGTTAAATGTCAATCAAACTTAAAAAAAATGATATTATAAATATTTTAAAATCAAAATAAATTACTTAAATTAATTATTTATATTTGAAAATTAATAAAATCCACTTCAAAATTTAGAGTAGAAATATTTTTCAAGTTGGAGTGAATATTAGCTCTTATTTTTAACTTTTTAAGATAGCTAGAAAATTTAAATAAACCTAATTATAGATCACAACAAATCATTATTTAAAAAATTTATTAAAATAAAACTACACTTAAAATTATGATTTTAATGAATATATTTTTATATTTTCAAAATTAAAAAATCAAACATTTCCAAAAATGTTTAATTTAGCATTTTAAAAATATTTTAAAATTAAGTAAAATATTGTTTTAAACAATAAACTATTAAATTCTAAATTTTTATTTAATTTTAATTTTATTTATATTTTTATTGTACATAAAAATAGTTGTTTAAATAAAACATCTACCATAATTTTAATTCAAATTTTGAAATATTATTATTTATTTATGTTAATGAAATTTAATTTATCATAATTCTTATATATAATTACAATTAATAAATACACAATAATTATTTAATAATTTAAATTCAGAAAAAAACAAACCATACTTTAATAACAAATTTTTTTTTAGGATTACAATAAAAAGCTTTAATATTGCTGTTCATTCAATTAAAACAATTAGAATTATATAAATTATTTGATATTTTATATATTTGTAAGGGGTTTTCGATATTTATTGATTTGAACTATCTACAGTTGAGGTAAGTCTACCTCAGATTTTAAGAGACTTAACAACTTAAACTGAGTTCACTATTTTCGCTGAAATTTTAAATCCCATATATATTGTTGATATTATTAAAGGGTTATCTCTCAGTTAAAAAACCATAAAAGCTAATTGGATTTAATTTAAATATGCTAGTGTCTTGAGTGTTTGTAGAGCTATTTTTAATTTTACTACTGTTTCTATCTGTTTAAGGTTTACTGATTATCTTAGGAGCTAAAGGTTATGGAATTTTAACTAATTTGTCAAGTGAATGTCTGAGATAGTTATTTGTCTTTCTCATTTATTTTAAGTGGATAAAATTTTCTGTTGTTTGGTTATTTTCTCTGTTATTTAATTTATTTAAATTCAACTTTAAATTTTATTTTATTTTATTATTCTAACTAATATTTTAATTTTTTTCATTTATGTTTTTATTTTCCTCAATCAAATATTTGGATGTAGTAATAGAAATAGGAATATATGAATCTTTTAATGAAATTTCACTTGTTTTTTCGTTTTCGCTCATATTTAAATCATCTTTGTCTCTAACTTGCTCATGCCTTTTGTTAATACTTATCAGCTAAGATTACTTTTCATTTGATAGCAATATACTTTTTTATTTTTTCTTGAGATTATTATTATTATTAGGGTCAAATGAATTCTTTTGTTGGTTAGGAATTTCCTTTTCCGTGAAACGTAATATATCATTGAGTGATGTGTTTGCACTACCATTCTGACTTTTAGTCATTTAACCGGTTTTAAAAATGGATAACTTTTCTCTTTATAAAAAATAAATTATTCACTTCATCTCATACTTTAATTGCTTACTTTTTTTAGTCGTTGAAAATTGTATTTCTCTCTTCAACATTTTAAATTTAGCTCAAAATCAATAATTCAGAATTAATTTTCTAACTTACTGGTTGAGAAGATTTAATCAAGGGACTTTTGCTTGAGTCTTCATTTTTTTTCTCTATTTATTTAAATAAAAATAATTACTTGTAATAAAATTTCTATGTAACAACAAAGAATCAATTTGTAAATTATAATTAATCAATATATAGTTTACTTTAATAGTTTAAGGTATTATTTATCTAATTTTCAGAAGCTGTAGAATCACTATCCTTCTAAAAAAGGCTTAGAGGAATAGGTTTATATTTTGTATGGAATTTTGAATAAGTCCACTTCATTTAATTTATTATTTTATTTCTTCTATCACTCAATTACTTTTCTGACATTTACATATTTCTAGTCTTATCTAAACTACTACTTTTTTTTATTTCTTTATAGTACGTTTTTTCAATCTAAGCGATTTCCTAATTTTGTTTTTAGCTTTGCCTAATTACAATTTAATTAATTTTTTAATAAATAAAGCATTTTGCAGATTCAAAAAATAATTAATTACTCCAAAAATTTTGTTTTCATAAAATAAGTTTTATTGTTTTTATCTTTTTCTTTTTGTTCTTAATCTTTTTTGTGTTATTCTTCTTGCGCTTACATTGCTAAATCTTTTTCAAATGTTTTAGTTTGCTATCTCTTTTCTATAAAAAAGTTCAATTCTTAATTTTAATCAAAAATATCTGTTTGGTTCCCGTGTTTAAAGTCATAAAGCGTTTCATATATAACGTCTATTATTGTTTATGCTTTATTTCTATAAAAAAATTTAATATTTTTTGCAAGAACAAAATTATCCTTACGAGAATTTTTTATGAACTTCGAAACCAAAGTAGTCATTGAATTCCCTACATTTCATCATAGTTATCCTTTTTCTGTAAAGTTTTTTTTGCATAAAACTTGAGGTTAAAGGATTAGCTGAAGCATTCTAATTTCTCTCAGATTCATTTAGATTTTACTTTTATTATTTAAAAGGGCTAGCTTGCTAAGATTAAGATTAATTAGATCTATTAACAAAATTACTCGAATTTAACATTTCATTTTTAGGAGTACTAATGTTAGTTTCTATTTATTTTAGGTATTTATTTCTTAATTGTTGTATTTATTCTATTACTTCTTACAAAATTATAAATAAATTTTCAGTCAAAAATTGCATACCAAGTTTGAAATTTTTGTGAGATTCATTTTTCAAGTCGTCTATATTATTTATGAAGCAATTATAAAACTCTTAAAAATTATTTTGAGAACTAGGATCAAACTCAACTTTAAATTCTTAAGCTAATTTATTTAGAAATTGCAATAATTGAGTCTCTTGCATAAAATTACTTAAGATAAAATCATTTTTTATAATGTAATACATATTTTGAAGCTCACTGTCAGAAATTATAAATTTTTCTGAGTCTCTTACTTCTTATTAAAATTTTTCTAAAGTTAACATAATTTTTTACTCTCTATTTTAGCTCCCTACTCCTTATTTTTCTACTTCTTTTGCTTAATCTTGTAGGTTTTCATCTCCATCATTTTTTTAATTGTAATTTTGTGTTGATTATTATTATTCTTCATCAATATCTATTTGACTTGCTTCTTGAAAATTTTAAATTAAGTTTACTATTTTTTTAGAAATTTCCTTATTTTTTTTAACCAAATCTATAAATGCTTAATTATTTTATTAATAACTTTAGCTACTTAATGAAGCTGAGCTGTTGATAAACGAACACCAGCGAAATATTAATTCGTTTAAATAGTAAAATATTTTAGCCACAAATTTTTCTATTTTTATGGTACAAAAAAAAGATACAGCATATTTCATTATTTAAAATTTTAACAAAAGTAATTTATTTACCTGACTATACCTGATTTATCACCAAAACTTAGTGTATCTTGACATTTTCTTGTTTTTAAAAAAGTTCATTAAGTGTATTATCTTCAAATTTTTCACAGTCTGATTGCTCAATCCTTTAAAATTTTTTTTCATATTTTTAAAGAAACTAGAATTAGTGTGCTTTTTTCAGTAAATCATCGTTTTTTTCATTAAAACTTTTTATACTTGTCAAAAGCTACTCTTTTTCTTCAATTAATTGAGAAAATCTATAAAATAAATAGTTAATGATTAATTTTAATAAAAAAATTTTCAATTAATTTACCTGCTTTTCAAAGTTAATTCTTAAAAAACAAACTAATTATAAGCATTTATTAGTTTATCTTAAATTTACTGAGGAGTTAAGGAATGATATTTCATAAATTAATTAACCTTTTCGACTACTTAATTTTACGAAACTTTAGGAATTGAGGCATCAATTATAGGTATGAAATATTAAGATTTTTTTTGATTTGAATCCCTAAGTGGTTGATATTATAAGAAATTTACTTTATGGTTATGCTAATAATTTATTAATAAATATATACCTTTGTTAGAATTTCGAAGAAGTAGATGAAAGTTATCTTTCTAATTGAGAATCAATACTACTCTATTCCCTCATGGCTACTATATTTATTGATGGTCTCCTTAAATTCATCCTTTAAAGACTAGCACTTACTATATTTGTTTCATTATTTTTTACAGTTTCTATAGGAAACAAGTATTCAAAATTCTATTTTGCCATATCAACTTAATCCCAATTTAAATTCTCTGGTTTTCCTAAAATGTTTGGGTTTATTAATAAAGTGTTAAAAAAAATAAAATTTAAATTTACCATTTATGAAATGCTTTAATATTAAATCTATTTCTCCTAAATTCTTTAAAAATAATTCTGTGTCTTTCTTAGTTATTTCTTTTTGTTATCTCTCACATTCTAAACTTTCAATTTTTTGAAGCTAACTAGCTTTACATTTTTGTTATTCCTATATTTGATTTCTAAAAAAAGTTTTAAATTACTTTCAAGACATAAATAAAAGACTCACCTATATTTTTATATCAGTTTTACAGATTCTTTTATTTGTTTGTTTTAACTTTAGAATAAAATTTCTTTCTCTTGAACTTTACCTTGTTAATATTAAATTTCCTTATTAACATAATTTTAAGCTGTCTTCAACTCTTTATCCACTGTATCATAATCCTTTTTGAAGCTTAGTTTTAAGTTGTTGATTTTATATTCCTATTTATTTATTTAATTAAAAAATATTTTTTTAAACTAATAAAATTGAATATTTTTGTAAAAACTTTTGTTATTTAAAATAAAATACCTTAGTTAAAATACTGTGAATTTATTATTCCATTCTATTACTTTCTGCTTTTAACTTCTCTGTACTTTTAAATGTATCTTAAGCCATTCTATTTAAATATTCCTAAGTTTATTCTTCTAACAAAATTTATTCTGATATTTATTCTAGCTCTTATTCTACATCTTATATTTTATTCTTCATTGTAGCAGCTTAAATTTGTGAATAATGAGGAAAATTCTAATTTCCTATTAAGTCAAAAGTATTATTTTCTTTGTCTAGCTTTTTAAATTTTAAGATATCTTCATCATTTGAATTAGTCAATTTTATAGAACTTGGAGAAACGCTTTCTTAAATATCACCTTTGATCTTAAAGTCAATCATATTAAAGTTGAATTTACTGCTAGTAGATGACTTGTTAGTTTGAGATATGCATTATTAATTTTTAGCTGCTGTTGAGTTTTCTAGTAATACCATATTTTTCTCATTGTTTTGCTTTTTCAACTAAAAACTTTAATTTACTAAACATTAAAGCTGTTCTTCTTTCTAATGAACTTAAAATTTTAATTCATCAATTAACTGTTTGTAATTTTTTACCTTAAAAATAAAATATTTTTAAACATATAATAAAATAATTGGTTGGTTTATAAAAATTTCAAGCATTTTTATTGAAAATAAAATGGTAGAACTTAAGAATTTACTTAGTTAGAAAAATATGTTTATTGCTCTGATTGTTTTGTATAAAATACAAATTCAGTGTGCATTTCACCATACTTTGATTACAACTTTTATTTATGAATATTAATATCTCTTAATTCATTTCTTTGATTTTCTGTTTTTTTAGGGTCTTAAAACTTTGTTTTCTTCAGGCTACTCATATTTTTGCCTATTTAATTATTTTTAGTGCTTAAATTATTTAAATCAAATAAAAATCCTTTTTATATTTGATAAACTTCTACAAATTTTAATAAAAAATGTAAAATCTAACGACTAATAGAACAAATTAACAATCCAATTTAATTTCCTCAATATAAATTAAAAATTTATTTATCTAATATTCAATATAACATTTTTTAATATTTAATAAAATATATATTATATAATTTTAACTGTTATTTAGTTTATTATTAATTTCACAATGCCATAAGTAAAACTATCAAAAGTGAGCTAAATTCAAAAAATTTTAAAACAATTCCAAATGTAGAATTCACTGCAGGTTGTTATGTTGTGATTTCTAAATACTTAACTGTATCATAATTAACTGTATCAAAAGGATCTTCATTAGAAACTACGTATACCATTAAATACTTTCTTCCTGGAAATAAGCCTGAAAAGGTAACATTAGATACCTAATTTCAAAAATGGAGTTTGTAAAATTAATTATATAAAATATTATTACTCTGTTATTTATTGAATCAGAAAAGAAATAAAAGCTAGAGAGCGCACTAGTCCCATCATAATTTTATCCGTATCTTATTTAGGTAGGTGTTGGAAGATTTGGAATAGCTACGCTAGCTACCCTTGTGTCTTAAATTAATATTCCCCAGAACCTACCATTTGAATTAAGAGTCAAACTGTCTAAGTATACCCATGTAAGTCCTTTTGTAGAGCCGTATAAAAATTAATTAAAAAATACTTTAAACGATAAAATTACCTTAATAAAAATTTGAGTTTATATTAAAGGAAAGAGATGGTGGAATAGATTAAACTTATACTGAAGGTTAAATGTTAACTATCTATGGAATGCCTTTAGTTTAAATAAAATAGATATTTTTAGATATCAAAGAATATTTAAAATAAATAAATAAGTTAATTTATACCTATAACTCCTTGAGTTACATAGTCTTTAAAGCAACCATTTTATGTTGTTTAGGCTAACCTCTAATATAAGTCATCATTCTGTAAATATTCATTTAGATTCATATAAAAAACAATTGGATACTATATTGCAGTAGTATTAACTATATTAGGATACACGCAAGTAGATAAGTTTATTTTGTTATTTTTTAAATTGAGATAATATTAGTTGAGATCAAGTATCCTGTTTTGGTTATCTAAATCAAAGTTATTTATTTCTTAATATTGATCATCTTGTGCTTTTAATAAACGATTATGGGCAAGTTCACTGCAATAGATACCATCGAGTGTGCTAACTCTGTTTTAAAAAATATGAAAATTCATATGATAATTTGATATTTTATTTTTTTACAATGTAGGATGAGTATAAAAATGAATAGATAGGAAACAAGCTAATTTAACTATCTATTCAAGAGAAGGCTTACTAACAAAATCAAATTCTATCTTATAGAGTTTTCCATTATTGCTCTAAGCTTAAAATGTCATATATTAAGTTGGATTTTAGTCACCTCTTTATGATTAGCAGAATCCTCCGAAAATATAATTTCTTGTAGCAAGTAAATTGTTGATTGTGAGAATATTAAAATTAGTCGTTTGTTATACATTTACTACGCCAAATTAACTAAAGCACTTATACATGTTGCCATAACCATTATCTTCTGTAGATTACTGCCATGTCTTTTTAAATTTTATATTTATTCTTTTTTAATTTATTTAAAATAATTTGAATTGTTACCAAATTAATGATTTGAGCTTCTTTATATTAACAAATAGATGAGTTTTCAGGATAACTAAATGCGACATAGTAGTAAAATAAACCTAATTATGAGCATTTGTATTCAAAGTTTTTGCTATTAACTGGGTTAGTTGGTAGAACACTAGATTATTAGATGAATGTTTATAATGTTGAGCTTGGATTGCTTACTACAACGATATTTAAAATTCCTCCTTATATTTTATAAGAGTTAGCATTACCTCCACTTAGAGTATATTAGAAGCTGGTTGTAGAACCTGGAGTAAACTATGCAGGATTAGAAACCTAAATATTAAGTAAAGCCATCTACAATGAATTAGTAATATTCACTTATGCTACATCTATTATTTTTTTTTTTAAATTATTAATTTAAATATTTTAAAAATTTTTATACTTTGACTTCCAATCAGCTGCAATCCAATATTATTAGCAGTCGGGGATATCGAGAAATTTACAGTAACATAATTAACAGGGGGTAATGCTCCTAAGGTAATTAACAGAGGACTTTATGTTGCAGATGACATAACATTCAAAGTTACTTCGTTGAAAAAGAAAGGCTACAAGTTAAGGTTATCAAAAGTAAGTTATAAAATGGGCAAATCTGAGTAATAATCTCCATCACCGTATTTATATGTCTTTAATAAAAAAAATATTAGAATAATTTAAATTTAGAAAATTTACTTAAAATGCATAGAACCCTATTGCATTTGGAGAATAAACTCTTATTTAAGCAGTTTGAGTTCCTACAACAACCTATATTTTAATTTAAATTAAATATAAATATAAATTTAAAGTTCATGATTAAATTTTTTACAAAAGTTTCTATCTAAAAAGTTGAAATAGGGTATGATTTGCTTGTAAGTAGGTACGAGCGGCACCATGCAGGTTCATATTTTTCTCTTGCAATATATAACCACTTTGACATTACACCTTATATCATATTTAGAGATATTACTTATTTAGCAGTGCTAAAATTAGGTCCATCATAGTAGTTAAGATAATTTTAATTTGGGTTTTGTATGAATGTATCTACATTAAAGTTAGCTGACATACCAAAACTTCTTAAGACTACTATTTGCTGTGTTATATCAGAAACTTCTACTATCCACTAATTTTTTATTGAAATAAATTACTCCTATTTAATGAAAATTAATTTTGTTACTTTGTAAACAGAAGAATCAAATCTAGATGGATTTCTTATAGTAAAAACAGTCAAATTATAGAAATTTCCTGGATTCATTTATTAATTTACAAACATTTTTATCCTTAGACCTGAAACACGACACGAGCCAACATAGTTTTAAAGAGGATTTACTTTTGATAAATTTCAAATAATTGGCATACAATTTTTGTTTTGAATTTACTTACTTGGTGAAGTTACTGAACAGTCAGGAGTTATATTTTATTCTAATACATATTAGTAAATTGGTGGGAAATTAATCATGATTGCTTATCCATACACAATTGGTTTAACATTAGGGTTAATATAAATGTTAAATTAATATTAAACCCCTGCTTCTCTTAGATATAAAGACTAAATAGTTATTGAGCGGATTTCTATTAGGCCTTGTAAATTATTTTATAGATTGCTATTTGCAGAAGTGTTTATCACATCAGAGATAAATAGATATTCGCTGTATGAAGTATCGTCAGTATCATTATCAAATGCAATAAAAAATTGATATGTCTAAAAGAATTGTGGCTATGTGACACCTTAATTAAGTTATAAAGGATTAAATGGAATTCATAAAAAATAAAGCTATTTATTTACCAGTTACTTTGATTATAAATTAAGTTCCAGGAGCATAAGTATTTGAAAAATACCTAATATCTAAAGTACGTTCTTCTGTTACAAAACAAGATACTTTGTCTTCGTTTGGCATTAAATAGCAATTAACTACCCCATCTCTACCCAAATTAGGTGAATAATAAATAGGGAATACAATAACTACCCTAGAATTTTGATTCATAGTTACAACAGAGCTGGTAAGATTAAAGTATAGTTCTAAATTACTACCAGGAGTATCATAATACTTTGTTAGCTAAATAAATTAAAAAATTTTCATTCAATAAAAATATTTTTGTTTTAAGTTATATTTTACAGTTGCAGATATTGTTCCAGTTGTAATATCTAAAAAGGTAGGAAAGTTAAGGTTGACAAAATTTATTATTTATCTATTTATAGGGAACTCAACCCTCATACTTAATGGAGTATTAGAAGAGAGTGAAGTTGGCATTATCATATATTTGCATTAAACATAAAAAGATGGATTATTGTTAAAAACTGGGTATTTTAAGTAGAAATACATATTAGAAAGTTAATTATATTGAACTTATCCAAATCTATGAGAAGGTGATAAATCACTTTCTAGAACCATGCATCTAAGCTAATTAGCTTTTGAAAGATTAATAGATTGCAAAGCACCTGTATTAATTAAGTAATACTCCCCTGCCCACATTTACCTGCTTTAGAATGCCATACTAAAGGTAAAAGTTGTAACAATGCTCTTATTTTATTTTTAAAAATATTTACATTAAATATAAAATTAATAAATTTGTATTTTATTAAAATTTCATATAAACTCTCTTACCCTATTGTCAGTAGTCGAGGCAAAGTTATTAAGTATTAACTTTGTAGCTAGTTAACTTAAATCATAAACCAAATTGCTGCTAGATGATTGGGCAATAATATTAGATGAACCTCCAACAGGAGTTGAAGATATTTAAATTATCACACTAGATGTGCTGCCATTCAATCTATTATTTATTAATAATAATTTTTTTTAGAATTGGCATAAAAATATAAAATTTAAATCATACGGAGAACTTGCAAGATAATGATTCAACGAGAGCAATGAATTTTAGGGAAATTTGTCTATTTAAAATTATAAATTTTAGTTTATATTATATTTTTATGTAATCAAATTACTTGTAATTGAGCTAATCATATAAACATACTGCTAGTTTGTATTAGATACTACTTAGCACTAACTACCTTAAGTTAATGACTACATATCTTCCATAGGATTAGATGATTGTATTAACAATTAGCACTGTTAATAAATAGGATCATTTGCAAAAGGTAAGTTAACATTATTGTTTGATGATAGGATGATGTAAAAATTTTAGTCCAAATCGAATGGACAAGCGAAATTAAAATTTAACACTGTTGATTAAATGGATGCTCCTATTGATGAAGCAGTGAAACCAGTTATGCTAAAATATTAATCAATTTTATAAAAGTTAGATGCAATAGTAGCTACATTTCCTCCTGAGTAACTCCAAGCACTGAAAGCTGGTATATTTTAACCTGCCCATTTGTATAAATTTATGTTGGAGATAGTTCCTGTTGAAGAAATAGCTCCATCATTACTACAATAAACACCTAAAATTTAAAAAATTAAAATTTTTTAATTGTAATAATATTTATTATTTTACCATATTAGTAATTGTTCACTCTTATTAAAGTATCAGATTGCAATTCATAATATTTATATCTAAAAAAGATATAATTTGACCACCCAGCTATATTAGAATTTGTATTGAAAAACTGATAAGCCGCAACAAATGTGAATGCTGAGCCAAAATCTATATTTGAATTCATATTACTATTTACTAAAATTCCTCTAGTGTCAATAGGGCTAGTTGCCATGCTTGATTGGTTTATAGATGTTGAAAGTGTCATAGAAGCTTGTTAAACTCCAACTTAGCAATTACCACCTATACATTTTAGACCATTTTATATATTTGTAATCGATCCTCCAGAATTATAGATTGTTGGAGGTGCTTTAGATATAGAAAAATAAATATAAATTATTATTTATAAAAAAATTTTTTATTTAATTGATTACCTTAAAGAGTTGTTTAAGGGTAAGTTAGTGAATATGCGTTTCGAACCATCCATAGTTATCCATACATTTTGTCTTAATTTGTAGGGCCAGTAAAATAACTATGAGGAGACATAAGTCCTACAAAGAAATTCACAGTTTGAACCTAAAATTATTCATATTTTTATATATATTTTATTAAAATTAATTTACATTAACTTTAGCTCTTATAGGAATAATAACAATAAATTGGGAAGTATAACTTGAGAGTTCAACTTCTATACGAGAAAGGGTTAAATAATTGTTAATATTTAGTGAACCAGTCTCGTATCCTTTACATTTTACTTCAATGTTTCCAGTTGTTGATGCACAGTTTATTTCATTAGAAAAGATGTTATTATAGAATGGAGAACCACTATCGAAAAAGATTACTATTCTTGATGTTTATGAAGCTTGGGTAGCTGGAATATTACCTTATATTTTAAATAGAGTTGGTATATATCTTCCAGTATTGCTGGTTTGAGAGCTAGAGTAATAATTTGATATTGTAGCTCTAAGCCAATACGTAGTCGATCCACCACTAATTGTTGTGTAAGGATTTTATTAAATAACAAAAGCATTTATTAAAACATAGCTGTTTACTTGCTGTTAATTTGCTGGGCCATTAATACCATCAATAGTATTTACATAAATATCAAACACATAATCATCTACATAAATTGAACTAAATCCTTAAATAATAAATGGCCTCAATCCCCATTATTATTCATTATTGGCTGAAGAATAAAATTAGTCAAGTGCTAAATGTTATTAAGCTACAAGCTAACAAGATGTGTACTTTTTTGTATAGAAAATATAACTTAAAATATGATTGATTTATTTTTTTAATTTTTGAAAAAGATTTAACTACTATAAAACCTTGAGTTTATTGATTTTTTTATTTAAAAATAAATAATAATTGAGATATTTTTTTTTATATTTAGGTTTATAGTAGTTTCAATAAAATTATTTACTTTGTTATAAGCATTTACACTAGTTGAAGTACTATAAATTACTTTCATACTCATATGCTAATTGCTGATAGGATATCTTTCAAAATAATCCCCAGTTGCCATTGTCTAAGGAACAAAATTTTGATTAAAAAGTAAAACAAAGCCTGCTCCATTTGGAATAGTTATTGGTGGGGAATTAGGATTAAGTGCATTTACATCTGCTAAAGTAAATGATTTAGTAATATCAGATAGAGGAATCAAAGTATTCCAAACAAGTCTTTATTCATATGGAGATATCTAAATACCAAGATTAGGTGCTGTAAAATAAATAACATTTTATATACTAAGAATGATTAAAAACAGTAAAAATTAATAATTAAACATTATTACCAGTAACAGGTGATATAGCAGAGCTATCGCTTTATGACGAAACAATAACTTAGGCATTACTTGCAGGAGTTCTAACCCAATTTTTTCCATTAATAGTGTTAATTGATAAAACATTTTTTGGGACACTCATTTAGGCTATCAAATTACTATCATATTAAGAAATAAAATTGGATGCAGAATTAAATGTAACTTTAAATATCTAAAGATCGCTAAACTAATTAGCATAGGTAAGGAAATTAATAGAGTTGGATGGAAGGATAAATTCTTAACTATAAAGCGATTTATCAGTGGCACTATAGATTAAGCTATGACTATATATTTCATCATCTGTGTAATCTTAAAAGTCTCTAGCACTTAAGAGCATATTTATGAATGGAAAATTCTAAAGATTTGTAATTAATTTTTATGAGCTGTCTTGAGGAATAGTGTCTTATAATATACTAAAACCAGATGATTGAAAGCCTTTTGATCTAGCGAATATGTAACCTATATCTTAATTTTAACTATAAGTAGCTGATTGAATGCTCAAAGCACCAAAATTTGAGCAATCAATAGGATCTTGGTAAGTGCTATATGGAAAAATCCTTTTTTTATCAAAAAATGAAAGTTAATTTAATAAAATAAATAAATTTTAACATAGTTTTAAAAAAACCTATTTTTATTTTATTTTTTTATAATAAGAATGAATAATTCAAAAATACATTTTAAATGATACTTAGTATGATGTAGCTTTTCTAAGATAGCATACTCCTGAACAAGCTATTTTTCGTTTGCTTGGATTATTTTTTGAGGCCTCTCTGCAAACTACTTATTTATTAGGACAAGGTGGTAAGTTGGATGCTATTGAACCTCCAACAATTGTAGCTAATTGATCAGCATTTCCTATTAGGATATTAACTTTGAGCTCAGTAGCTTAAGGAGAATCTGCATCTATTTAAAACACAACTTTAAAAGAATTCATGGGTTAATAAGCTCCAGATTAATCTGCTCTAACAATCTTTAGTTAAAGAGGCAGGCTTGAATCAGGTCTTTTATAATATAAATAATAGACTTATCAATATCTTCTTTATTAAATAAAAATACCTTAATCCCCAAGCCATATAAATTTAATTATCTATAACATTTATAGGTACAGTTTAAAGGATAGCTTATTAAGATCCTATAGCAACAATTAATGGTGAATATAAACGTAAAACCTTTACTTCTAATGATACACCTGTTATTACTCTTAAAGGATTCATTAAATACGTTTATATTCTTACTGCTGTTTGATTGGTTAAAGCTCCCTGTAACAAAAAAAAAAATTTAATATTTATATATTTATGTAATGTTTTACTTTAAGTAGTTGAACATTCATCTAGTTTAAATTAGTATCTATTGTACATTTTATGTATTGTGATAAAATTGGATTAATTATTGGGAGCTCATATCTTGTAGCGCTAAAGCATTCACCTTAAAATAAAAATTCCTAGTTATCAACACTAAATACTAATCTGAGATCATCATTGAGATCGTTAGCACTCATTTAAGAAAAATCAATATCTAATTTTTTATTACATTTTATATAAATAAAAATACTTTAAACATTATTTTCAATCAACAACAAGATTAATAAATTTGTAAAAGTAATTTATCCAAAATAAAGCTTATTATACCTATTGATATAGTTTACAGAAATCCCATTTTTTAAGAATTCACTTTATCATAATTAACTAAGGAAACACCAATTTAAGTAGAAGGCACATCTGATAAGTAGAAGAAATTGAATGCAAGATTTTCATCATATATTATAGCATTTGGAGATACACTAGAGACAGTAGACATAGATATTTATAATATCTAGCTTGCTTTTTAATTTTTCAGAGCTTAGCGATCTTTTATTGTGAATGTTAACTACTTCCATACTTAGCTTGGGACAGAAGTAACTAATTAATTTTGATCAAGTAAACGAATATAATAGGTAGAGGAATCTATGGCATCAGTAAAAACTTAAGCATAGTTTTAACTAGTTGAAGGTTGATTATTTTAATCATAATTTCTCCACATTACTTACAAACCAAAAGGAACACTTAAAAAATCTGAAAATATCCAGCTGGGTCTTAACTAATTGTGCAAAGAAAATGGGAAATTTATTTTTAAAAAATCATCTCTCATTAATGATGTTTGCAATTGAAATTTAAAACTTATTATGCTCATTTTTTAAGCATTACCAAAGTCTAAATCAACATCTCCTCCAAAAATCTGTCCTCCGTACGCATACCTAGGTAAGTAAGATATAAATATTAGGATTCTTAAAATTTATCCTAATAATAATATGATTTAATTTTTCATGTCTTAGAAATTTATTTGTATATATGCCAATATATATGTAAATCAAATCGCTAAAGCTTATAGATATCTAAGCAGATGAACTAGTATAATGGCTAATGAATTAGAAGCTATAAAAATTTTTATTTCCTTATAATAAATCAAAGATATGAACTATTAATTATTTATTTTATCTTTCAAAACCTATTTTTATGGTAATTTATATTAATTAATCTTTTTAGTTGTTACATAGAGACCGAATATATGAAAAATAATAATCATAAATCTTTGGATCAAGAATATTATAAATGCATTTGCTTGTTGCAATTAATTTATTAAATAATGACTATCCATTTAAGATTAAATTGAAAAATTAAATCTTTTTTATTTTATGAATTTTAGCTAATATTCTTTAAAACCATAGATTTTATTATAATTATTATTATCACATTTCTACCAATCTACATTAAATATCAGTAATATTTAACCACATAATATCTTATTTCATTTTTACAAATACTTTAATCTTATACTTAGATTTCACGTAAAAAAAACTCACTTATTTTTTTATTAAACAAGTAAAATTTTTGTTCGAATTTGTCATTGAAATCAATTTATTATTTAAAAATGTTTCATAGCTCAAAATATTTATATAAATAAAATGTGTTGTTAGTTGAATTACTATCAAATTAAGTTTAAATAATGATTTTGTTATTAACACATCATTTTAATATTAAGAGATATAAATTCAATTTTTTTAATTATAAAAAGTTAATAAGACAAGTCTATGAGCATTAATTTTATTATTACATTTAAATCATTCACATAAAAACTATTGGTAAAAGCAAAAATAATAATTTGAATTATCTCATCAAAGATGATAGGGGTATTTATATTGTAGTAAATTTAATCATATTAACTGAACTATATTGAATTGATTCAAAAGGATTCTCGTTAGATGCAACATAATAAAAAATATATGATTATCCAGGGTTAAGACCAATAAAAGTTGCGTTAAACTCCTAAAAATAATAAATAATAAAAAAATTTTAATATTTTAAAATTAAATTTTTAAATTTATTTACTCTAATATAGTTGAAATTAAATTCTTAGTTTTTTATTGCCAAAGCATTTTTGTCCTAAGAATCTAACCCTGCTCGAATTTATCTGGGGCTAGGAAAAATTGTGCTATTAGCAAACACAAGAATACCCCATATTCTTCCATATGTAGAAGTTAAACTGAATTAATCTAAGTATGCCCATGTGTTTCCTTTTTTAAACCAAAAAAAAAATTTATTGTGTAAAGGTTTTTAATATATTTACCTAAAAAAATGGATTAAGGATCATTAAAACGAGGTGTAGGAGCTAATTACTCTACTTTTTGTCCTTTATATATATTTACTATTGTTGTTATGCCTAATAAAAAGTAAGTAAAGAAATTTTCTTTTTAATAATAATCTACCTAATAGAACTTAGTTAGTGTAAGAGACAAAACACCCATTTGTTGTATCTGTTAAAATTTTCGTTAGGGTAGCTGAGTCATTTGGTATGATTTCATTGCTATCAATATAAAAATTCATAGAAAATACTTTAGCGGTGTTATTTAACTAATAAGTAGTTGTGCATTATGATGGATTCCATATTAAATTTGAGCTTTAAAGATGTCTTTTCTTATTTTTCAAGTAACTTATTCCTTTTGTGAAAAATTAAAGTATTTTTTGCTATGTCAAAAGTCTTCTTTGAGATAATTCTTGGCAAGTTATGCCATCAATTGTACTCACACTAAATTATTGTTAAAAAATTAGTTAGGTTAAATTAAATTTGATAAAAGATATTTATTTACTATTTAGGGTGATGGGTAAAATGAATTGATAGGTAACATAAAAATTTAACAATATCATTGATATTTGGATTTTAGGCAAAATCTACTTGTATTTTATATAGACTTCCGTTATTAGTATTTTATTCAAATGTAAGTTTAGTAATTACTGTTGTTGTGCTTAGTTATGATTAACAGTATGCACCTATCCTATAATATCTATTAGCTAAAAGATTTTCAACTTAAAGAGTCTATAATGTAGTAGAGTCTATATAAATCACCCCAAAAACACTATTACAAGGATACAGAGAATTATCAGTTGTAATAGTATTTTGTGCCCATGCCTTTATCATTTTAATAATAATAGTATTTAAGTTAATTTATTTAAAAAAAGACTATACATATTAAGATATAGTATTCTAGTTATACTAACACATTTCTTCTTTTTCGTGATAATACAGAGCTACGTAATAGTAGAAATACCCTTTTTAAGAGCAAGAGAATTTAAATTCTTTGTTATTTATGTATGATGGAGACGTTTAAGGAATTAACTACAAAATAAGTGTGGCTGATGGATTTGGTATTGCTTATAACTAAATAGTATTAGTATTCCATTAATAGCTTTTAGCGTTATCTCCATTAAATGATACTTACAAGGTAACAGAAGACGAGGGAATAAATTGAGTTTAATCTAATAAAACAATTGGTAAATAACCTATCATGATTCCATTATTAAAGTTAACTGTAAATTAGTCTATTTTGTTAATTGTTTGTTAAAATATCAATTTATTTTATATAAATAATATCATACTTAAGTTATTTCCTAGCTTTAGTCCAAGATTACCTGTAGGAGGAACTGTGAATTAAAGGTTAAGATTAGAAGAATATATTTAACCATTCAATTATAGGTATAAGTTAAAGCTTGTAGTTGATGTATAGATTTGATAGATACTTTAGGAAAGTGAAAGAGGTAGAACATTTAAATCACTAAAATATAATCTAATTATATTTAAATCAGAATAGAAATTGCTATCACCATATTTAGATATCTATTTAGAAAAATTTGTTTATTATTTATAAAAATATAATAAAAATTATTTACTTAGAAGTCATATTAACCAATTGCATTTTAGGAATATATCCTAACCATTATTTCTCCCGGTGCTCCCACAACAGCCTATATGTATTTAAATTTATAAAATATTGATTTAGTTTTGATATTTTACACTAGTCTCCACCTTCATTGTTGATATTTAATCTTAATTGCTTGAAAGAATAAATGATTATTGCCTATAATTAAAAAAAATTGAGCATTTATATAAGATTTAATATTTATTTTATCACCATAGATACATAGAGTTAAAATTTTGAGGACGTATGTATAACCAGTTAGAAAATACACCTTTAATTAGTGTTAGCTATGTAACAATTTTAGAGTTAGGTGAAGTCGATGGAGAATCATAAAAATTTATATAACTTTGATAAGGATTCTAAATAAATTCATCAATCATATAATTTGCAGTAGTATCAAAACTTCTCATTATTATATATTATTCGCTTGCATCTGATACTTCAATGACCCACTAACGATTTAAAATATAAGTTTATGATTTAAACTATAATTTATTAATGTATACCTTCTAAACAGAAGCATCAAATCTTCCAGGGTTTCTTAACGTATAAATTATTATTGAATATAATTATCCTAATACCATTGTTTAACTCACATACATCTTAACCCTCAATCCAGATATTATACATTAACTACAATAATCAATATTAGTCTAATCTATAAAAATTAAATAAATTTTATTTATGAAATGTGATATTAAAGATTTATCTTGTATTTGCTGTAGTTTATTATTAAAACAATTAATTTACTGTAATTATAGATGCTACAAGATAATTCTTAGTTCACTCTTAAAGGTTAGTCATATATATTAGGGAAACTTACCATAACAGCTTGTCCGAACTAGATATTAGGGGCAGATGAATCTATAAATATGTCAAATTAATAGTAAACAGCATTTTATCTTAAATAGTTGCTTGTTATTGTTAATTTATAAACCTCAATGGCTGTATTAAATAAAGATGTTATCGATGAATCTAACAAATTATCTAAAATCGTAAAATATTCATCATAACTACTGTCGTTTTCATCTGAGTCTAAGTAAATGTAAAAAGTACCTTAGTTATAGCTTAAAGGTTAAGTTACTCCTGCAATTAAAATAACAAATTCTGTATTTGGAGGTATTTGAGTCATAAAATATCTAATTTCAAGCATCCAGAGCTAAGTAATATAACAAGTTATACTTTAATACACAGGTTTAAGTAAATAGCAAGAAATTATGTTTTCTTTGCTTAATCTAGGAGGATAGTAAACAGGAAATGATATAATAACTCTTGCTTATGAGCCATACAAAGTCACTACACTGCTAGTTAGAGTAAATTAGATTTCTAAATCACTTCCAATACTTAAATACATTTTATTTATCTTTTTAGTTTTTAAAAATAAATTTATTTTATTAATAAAGTTAATTTAAATTATTATTAAAGGAGTACTTATGGATCAACTTAACCAATAGGAGGTTGAGAATTAAAAGATGGAGCTGAGAATGTAGTTGGTAGAGATATAGAACCAACTTTGTAAGAAAAAGTATTAGGTGACGAAGGTATGATAATAGATAAACACTGTAAGTAAAAATTCATAATTGTAGGATTAGTCATAATCAAAACCTTAGGGATTATCTAAAGATTTGTTAAATCCCTTACATCAACAGTCTAAAATCTGTTAGAAACAGACATGTCTGATTCTAAGATTTTGCATTTCATTTAATTACTTAAATTATTGTCTGCTGTAGCAAATTTATCCATATTTATAGAGAAACTTTCCTAAACCCACCAATATCGATTGACAAAGCTAAACTTCAATAAAATGGTAGATCTCATAAACTATACAATATTTTTTTATTTTATTAATTTATGTAAAAATTAAAATAATTTCTATTTACTGAGTTTGAATTTAGTGGAGTTAGAGAATTTATTTATACGTTTGCTACTAAGCTAGATTAGTATGAAGCTGTTACAAGAGTAGAGGTAGCAATATATTCTTTTTAGGCTCCTGCGCTAAGTAGTAATTGTATTTGAGCTGAAGTGGAACTATTTTTATATTTAGAAAATAAGCATATGAGATAAATAAGAAATTCCCATTTACCTAACTGAGACACGAGGTTGATAGTAAATAGAAAACATTAATTAGGTTTAGGCTGGAAAATAACCTTTAAATTAAAAAAAATAAATTATTTTTATTAACTCATAATAAGAAATTACCTTAAATATTTGTAATTTAAAAAATATGAGATGAGTCTGAGACTAAGATACTGTAAAAAGTACAAACAGATCCTCTTTGTAAACTATCTATATCATATATACTCTAACTAGTTTACACTTGAATCTAACATTAAGGATTCCCAACAAATTAGTATGGAATAGTATTGATAGGAATAGCTGCTTTTATTTCAACAAATAACCCATATTTTAAAAAATAGAGATCAACAGGAGTGGTAAATTGGTAAATTACTATTTATTATAAATTATTTCCTGTAACTACAGGGGATAGTAGCTATAGTGGGCCTATTTTAGCTAGAGGAACTCTGGTTACTATACATTATTCTACTATTGTAAGTAAACCATCTTCTTTAGACCAGGAAGCATATCCTAGAATCTCCTGTCCGTGATTATAAGGTACATTACTTTTTATTATTTTAAACTAAAGATCAACATTCGTTGTTGTTGGTATATTTCTGCAATAAATTCCTATTTTAAAAGCTTAATGAATATTTGTAAAAGTAATAATTATTACCATATTTAGAAGTTAGATTGTAATTAGAAGCATAATAATAATCAAAGCTGTATCGGAAGTAAAAGCAAGTGTTAGGTGTTGTTGTAACAACTTAAGATATTTAAGTATCATAAAAAGGAAAATCAGTTGTAAAAACTAAAGCAGCTGAGCTTTTTGGTGAAAAATTTGTAATTCCAGAATCAGTGTATAAAGCTTAAAAACTGAAATCTTCTTAAGTTTTTCCAATAAAAGCAGAGGATTTAAATGACCAATTAAAAGCAGAAGTATAAGTCAAAAACTCTTTATTTTATTTTTATAAATAAAATAAGTTTTAAAATTATTTTAATATTTTACTCATAGTATAAGGTGGTTATGTAGTTAGTATTTTTTAAATGTAATTCACTTCACTTGTGAAACAAGCTAAAGACGAGCCCACTGCAAATGGAGCAAGTTTCATACCAGCAAGATACAAAGAAATTTAATATGGAGACTTTAAAAGATAAAATATATTTTATTAATTTAAAATAGGTGTAATATATAAATAATATCAGTTTGGATTGTTTGGTTATTAAAAAATAATCTAAAAATAAAAAATAAAACTTGAAAAGTTATAAGAAATATTTTTTTAATTCATATTTATTTTGAATCAAATAAAATTATTATTTTACTCCCACAAAGCTTTAAGATACTGGTACTATTAGATAAAAATTTTGTTGTAGATTTGTAGCTTAAATTTCAATTCTACTTAAAGTTAAATAATTATTTATATCATAATTTTAAGTCAAATATGCTTTGCAACTCAGTTAAATTTCATTACTGCTACCTCCACAGTAAATATCGTTGGAATAGCTATTTTTATAGAATGGTTTCAAATTATTAAAAAATACTGATAATCTATTAATATAGCTATTCTAGTAAGAAGTTAGTTTTCCCTCTATTTTAATTACTGTTGGCACTAAATAACCATTATTGCCACCATTTATCTACTAAAACATATTCGTAAGGTAAAGGTTTAAGGTTTAGCTGGTACTTCCTGGAGGATCAATAAATGCATTATTTGTAATAAAATAAGCATTGAAAAGAGATGTTGTCCTTATTACTTAATTAGGTATTGGTCCATTGATATAATCAATAACTTAAAAATAAAAGTCATAAACATTTTCATCTACCATATTTGAACTAAATTAGCTGATTAAAAATGGGGAGAGGAGCCATTGCTATTCAGTCTAAGAAGCAGGATTCGATATGAAATGTTAAAGACATGCACCAGAATTAAAGATTGCTTTTATTGAAGTATACTAATTTTTAAAAATTTGATAACTACTAATATTAAAAGTTTTTTAATATATGTACCTTATTTAAACTTGTTGAAGCAGACTACCTATTATAAATTAAATTAATGTTTTTTTGTTCTGCATAAACAGAATTAGTAACAGGATTGATTGATATGAAATTATTTATATAAGAATAGGGATATGGTCTGATATTAGGATTAGTTAGTATTATAAAACCAACTCCTTTTTAGATCAAGTTATCTAAGACAACATCATTATAAGTAATTTAATTTGTAATGTCGTTTGCAAAATTAAATTAAGTATTAAATAGTAGAAATTATTCGGATGTAGAAGTTCTTAATCCGGAGTTTTAAGGTTAGACTTTTTAAATTTAAAATAAAATTAAAAAATTATTATATTTGAAAAAGAATATTAACATGGAATTTGTGATGTAGGTAATCTATTATTTTCTAAACTTGATACTAACACAGGAAAAGAAGAAACACTTCTTTAGAGATTTTTTCCATTTATAGTTTAAAATGAATTTTGATTTTTTGGAATACTTAAAGTAACAAGCTAGTTATAGTGAAGACGACAAGGATAGTTATCAGTGTCTCTAGTCATTAGTATTTCTATTATTTACATGTCGTTAATTTTTTATTGAGCAAATGTAACAAAGTTTTGAACATTAACTGGCATTATAAAATCATCATAAGAGTTTAATTTTAAAAATGGATCAAATAAATAAGAGCGGTTGTGTATTACTACATCATCTGTATATCCTTCAAAATCAGAAGCACGAAAAAGGAGTTTTACATTAGGAAAATTCTTCAAGTTCTACAAAAAATTCAGTTATGTGTCAGAATTGATCATATTTACTTTGTTACTTGTTAAAGGATTAGCTTGGCTAGAGGATATCATGTATTTAATAAATTCAATAGATCTAGAAAGAATGAAAATTCTATTTCTGGTTTAACATTAAATAATACTATCTATGGTAATTGATCCGAAGTTTGATGTTTAAAGATCATCTTAATAAATATCATATGCAAGGAACCTTATTTTTATAAAATTTTTATTTGTTAAATTTTATGATTTAATTTTGAAATATTTTTAAGAATCTTAAATATTTTTACATTTTAAAGCTTATGAAATATGTTGTACTTGGTATTAACTAACCAACACCTTAACAAGAGATTTATCGATTTATTATATTAGTTTTTCCTGTCTCAATACATACCACCTCTTTCTAAGGAAATGAAGGTAAATTAGTCATAATAGATCCTTTTAAGATATATGAAGCGACTTAGATTTGCTTTAGATTCACATTAACTCTTATCTCATTAGTATCTGATGTTTTTTGATCCACCTAAAAAGTTACTCTTATAGAATTTAGAGGTTGATAACTACTATCTGAGTTTCCTCTAATTATTTTAAGGCTCATAGGTAAAGTTGACTCTGATCTTATAATTTAATACAAAAAATATTAATTGAATTAAATTTAATTTAATACTTACTATAAACCCCATCCAAGAAGGATATTATGATTTACTAATACTACTTAAGTAGTTTAAAATAAATTGTATGAATATCCTGATGCAACAATTTGTGGAGAATAAAATCTCAGCAATCTTACCTCAAGAGAGCCACTTAGCTCAACTATTGGAGGATTTTAAACAAATACTTGTATCCTAATTAATTTCTGCTAAATGAAAACAACCTATTTATGTTGAAAATTGAGTTTTTATATAAACTTAAATAGAACTAATAATCATCTTTTTAATATTATATTTAGTTTACCTTATTAATAAGAACATTAATTATATTTCTACTTTAGTCTATATTACATGTATAGTTTTATTATGTTATTTGTGGAATTGTTGGTAATTCATATCTCAAAGCTGAAAAGCATTAATCTACAAATAAAAAATTAGGATTATCTGTAACAATATCTATCCTAAACTTGTCGTCAATATCATTCGAATTCAAACTAGTTAAATCAATATCTATTTTTAAAATTTTAAAGTTTAAGAATTTTCTGATATTATCATCAATTTATTAGGTGAAATATTTATAATCTAAAATTAATCTTACCTACATATATTCCTTATAATTAGTTCAATTTATACTTATTAACTTAGTCTATAAAAATTGCTGATATTCCCAAGGTTGAATTTACTCTATCATTTAAATAGAATGTGCCGAATATAAGATTTTCATCATAGATAATAGCAATTTAGTCATTAGTTGAGGAAACTGTTTGCATAGATATTTGTAAAACCTATGAGCCCTTTTGATAAGTTGTAGCATTTAAATTTTAAACTGTGAATATGATATTGAACCATTGATTATTTGGTATATTTATAGTGTTCTTATTGGTATCTAAAAATTACAAATAGTAAATATATGATTCTACAGACTGTGTAAAAGCAAGAACATCATAAATATTTCCAACAGGCAAATTCGTATTAGTATCTACAGATTAATACTAGACAATCAAGTCAGTTGGTATGTTAAGATTAGAAGGGGCTAATCCGCTAGGTGTCAAGAAATTATGAAGAGGAAAAGGCAAAGTTACTTTCAAGTAATCCTAATTACTAATACTAGTAGAAAGCATAAATTTTAATGTTATTTATGTTAACTTTTAAGTATTTCCATAATCTATCTTCAAATCACCTCCAAAAATTTAATCGCAGAGACAATCCTCAAAAAAAAGAAGCACAACAATGAAAATAAAAAGCAATAATTCGTTTTTCATTTTGAAAAAAAGTTAGAATTTTGAAAGATTCTCAAATAACAAGTGACTTTGTAATAACAATCTTTCAACTATTAAATAAATCTTTTTGATAATTTTATTTATATCAACCAAATATTGTATGGATGTATGTATTATTTCAAAAAAATTAAATTAAAACTTCTGGCTAAAAATTGGTTCTCTGGTTATTATCTTGATGAATAAATTAAGTATTTTAAGATATTAACTGTGTATTTTTTAGAATTCTTCAAATTCCAATATTTAATTAAACTTTGAATTAAAAATACTTTTTAAAATTAATTTAAAACAAATGATTTCATAAATCTTGAACAAAAAAATGAATAAGCTTTTTTCATAGGAATGTGTTAGAAATTAATACATTTTTAATATAAATTATAGAAATACACTATAAATAAGGTTATGTTTGTATTTTTCTATTCATTTGCAAGTCCAAAGGATGTATTCTTTTATTTTAATTTAGGAGTTTTGTTGCTTGCATTATTCATTAATTAATTAGCCGATCTATTTTTAAAAGTAAATAATAAAATAAATATTTTTATCGATTAAAATATTAATATTAATTTATTACAGTTTTTGCATCTTTTTCTTGGTCAGTAAGTAATGTTTGGTCGTAAAGGACATTATCTTCATAGAATTTTTTAAGCTTTCCTTCAATCATTCTATCTACAACAGCTTAAGGTTTACCCTTTAAGCTATCTCCGAATTCAGCTTTAATTCTATCTATTTCTTTTTGGAGAACATCAGCAGGGATATTTTCTTTAGTAATGTAATCTGGCTTCATACCTAAAATTTAGAGAGCAATATTGTCTGCTAATTATTTAGAAACATCAGAGGAGTTAGCTCCCTCTAAAGAGACTAAGCAAGCTCTAGCTCCAATGTTATCAGCTAATGTGTTGTGAGTATAAGAACCAATAACACCTAGTTATTTTAAAATAAAAATAATGTTAGTAATTTTATAATTTTCTCTTGTATAAACTGCTTCTTTCTATATAATAAATCTAAATATGTATTACCATTTTAAATTTCTACAGTACTAACTCTTCTAACGTTGATATTTTCTTATAATTTAGAAATAACTAACTATCTAACCTATTTTAAAAGTAAATAAAATTATGAGAACTTTGTTAACATACTCAGTTAATTACTTTATCCATATTTTCATTTTTTGTTCCTTCAATGATCTCCTTGTTAAGAGTGTTATTTTATAAGAATTAAAGAATTTGATCCTTTTATTCATCATTGAACTTCACGTTCTTCTTTTAGTCAACAATAGTTTTTAAAGTAGAATGAACGAAATCAAGGAATAAATCACTTCTTGCAACGAAGTCAGTTTCACAGTTAACCTAATAATAAAAGTTTATAAAAAGTCATTTACAATTAAAAACAATTTTTTAACTTTAGTAAATTATTTTAGAAATACAATAAATATGTTTAAAAATTTGAAATTTCTAGAATTATTTTTTGCATTCCTTTTATAGGTTATGATTAGATTAATAGCTCCAAAATAAAGAAAATATATCTAAATATAATTTACTTCACCAATAACTGCAAGGTCTCTGTTCTAAGAAACATATAATCCAATAACACCTTCTCTAGTTTCTTTATCTAATTTCTTTTGAGCTGAAGCCAAACCTTTTTCAATCAAGAATTACTTAGCTTTTTCAAAATCTCCACCAAATTCGTCAAGAGCTTTCTTAACTTAAGCAATTGGTGAACCAGTTTCATCTCTTAACTTTTTCAATTATTCCATAGAAGAAAAGTTTCTAATAGATTTTTGGGTCAATTAGAAAGGTTATCTACTACTTTTAATTGCACTCTTAAAGAAAAATTTAGCTAATTAGTTCATTCTCTCTTGAAATATTTTTAATAAGTTATCACAAATTTTTATTAATAATAAAAAATATATATATCTTTTTGATATATCTCACCTAAAAAATATTTATTAAATTTAATTTAAGGTGTAGAATTTTCCAAAATTTTTTATAAAAGATACGCTAGCTTGAATATTATAGCAAGGTTATACAAACCTTTAATAAATAAATAATAAATGATTTCACTTTGATTTGATTAACAAAAAATAAATAAATAAAAAATAAATATTTTTTTTCAATTGCATAATATGTTAAAAAACTAGTTAACTTTTTAACAAAATTTTTTAATTTAAATATTTGGTTAGAAATATTCTTTTAAAAGTATTAAAATATAATAATTCTAATTAAATTGTATTGTTTTACTTTACTACAAAAATTTTTAATTTCTTTTTGTTAAAATATTTTTTTTTACAAAGCAATTTAACTAAAAATAATTTTGAAAAAATTAAAATATTTTATTTTATTTTACTTTACATCAATTTAATTTTATATAAAATTTTGAATGATTTTAATTTTTTTATTTTTAATAATAATTAGAATTAATATCTAAATTAAATTATTTCCTCATTTTTGAGTGAGGTATAATTGCATAATCAGCATATTAGAAATCTTTGTTATAATATTTTAGTCTATCTTGCAATACCTTAGATCTAGACTTCCTTTAATTTCTTTTTCTTTCAATAAATTTGCTAGATGGATAACACTTTTGCCAAATTATTAATTTTTTGATAAATTAAATTTTACATTTTTTAAGGCAGGTAAATTTTTTAAACACTAAACTAGCTCATATAAGTTATCATCTTCTAAGGAATTATCACTCAAATCTAATTATAGATCATCTAAAATATATTTATTTTTAAGTATTGTTCCTATTGTATCTTATATAAATGAGTTTTATTTGTAGCTAAAGCAGCCAAATTCGAGTTTTTTAATTGAACTCATATTGTAAATAGACATAGCGATACTTTAAAACTATCTTTTATTTATTTCACATTAGGATAAATTCAAAGTCAAATTTGTCATCTGTTAATGTTTTGTTAAAATCTGTTTTATTTTTTATAAAATATAAATAAATATTAAAAGTAAAAAGTAAGATAAATACTTATGATAGCTTTTTAGATGTCTATTTATTTATTTTAATTACATCTAAACCTAATCCAAGCGAGCTAATTAATTCTACTTCATATATTTAATTAAATAAAGAACGAATAGAATCATCTGAAATTTAAAAGCAATTTCTAAATTAAAAGTTTATTTATCTTAAAGTTTGTTTATTATTACAGACACATTTTGCTGCAAACAAAGCACACTAACTATTTTAGCTAGTATTATTCAAAGATACTGATAATTTTTCTAATTATTTCAACTAACTCAAATCTTAGAGTATTAGATGTCCAATATTATCTAACTTAGGATTATAACTTAAATCTATATCCCAAAATCTTACATTCCTTGTTAATTATATTGCCTACCCTAAATCCTGCAATGCATTCATATTTAAATAGTTTTTGCTTAAATTTAGTTAAAGGCTAACTAAATTAGGAAAGGAAATTAGACTTTTACACAACGGTACTAAGAAAAGTATGCTGATTTGATGAGCTTCTAGTTAAAGTCTAATAGGCTTTTAAATTTTTTTACATTCTGATAATGCATCATCTATTTTAGATAGTAAAGCTTTCGTATAAGAACCTATCTATTCTATAAAAAAATTTTAAATTATTTCCCTTAATATGGTATTTACCTTTTATGAATGTAATTTTAATCCAGTTGTTTTATTTGAAGAACTCAATAAATTTATTTTACTAAAAAAAAGAATCTATTCTTAAATTTTTATAACTAATTTCTTCAACGATTTAATTATCTTAAACTTCAAAATCATCAATTTAATCATTACAATTTTGATCTGCACTCAAAATATTGTTTCCTTCCATTTTTTGAAAATAAATTTCCTAGATGAATTAATAAAATATTAATTGATGATTAATATCTAAATTTAAATTTTACATGAATTTGTTCAGTTAAGCATTCATTTTAAACTTTCTCTTTATGCTATAAATTTTAAATAGCATTATTCTCTTAATTTAAATCATTTTATAAATTTTTTAATTCATTCTATAATGATTAATCACTCCTATGTTAAGATATTAAATTTTTGATTCATTTAACTAAAGAATTTAATTGATTTATTTACTTTTATTCTTCATCATTAACAAAATTTAGTAATTGATGCTTTTCTTGAATATTATGTGTCTAATACAATTATTTATCATAATTATATTTTGTTTCAAAATAGCTTGACCCATCATCTTATTCTTTTATTTTTGAGCTTATTTATTAAAATTTTTATTCTTGATCACTATTTTATGATAAATCCAAAGTTGATTTTATTATAAACTCATTTCTATTGTCAAAAAGCTCTTCTTGCTTTTCCATTTCACAAATAAGTATTTTTATAATTTATTTTCTCTTTTCTTAAATAATGTAAAATTAATTTAATAGATTTATAGATTGATAGAAATAATATTTTTTATAAATATATTAATAAATAAAATTTACATTTAAAAAAGAAAATTAAGTTCGCTAACGAAAGAAAGTTAATATTATTCTACTTTGTTTTGACTTCGATCTTTGCTAACTGTAATTATATTTGATAAATTCAAATCCTAGCTGTTAAAAAATTTTGCGAAAAAAATAGCTATTATAAATTATCAAAAACTTGAAATCAAATAAAAAATTAAGTTAATTAATTATTCGCACTTATCAAAAATTGTTTAAAAGTAGAGGTTTGCTTCTTTTATAAAATGAATTCCCTAGAGTAGATTCCTGAAGAGAAAGAAAATATGGAGATCCTTTCTAAAATTTCAAAATTAGCTTATAGCTCTTAAAAAAATTGTACCTAAGGTAAAGTTTTATAGGCAACCAATTTTAACTCTGCTTCAGCTAAAAAAAGCTAGTTAAATCCCAGTAGTAAAAATATATTAACTCCAGCTCAGATAAACACTAACACAAAATTAATAACAAAATCCAAATCTTTGACTTAAGGATTTAAGTCTGTTAGAGCTATGCCTTCAGTTGTAATTCCTGAACCGATTTCAATAGAAGAATTAGAAGATTAGCTGTAATTTACTCATAATTTATTAAAATTTATTTAACAACATATATTTTTTAATAGAGAAACATTGATTTTACATCAGAAATAGTGTCAAAGTGAAAGTAAATATGTAGAGGCTGAAATGGCTAAGCAAAGAGTTAAAGAATTAAAGATCTTACTTGAAAAAAGAACAAAAGAAGATATAAAATCGAGGCACTCTAGAGAAGTAACTTACATTAAAAATAGCTTTTTTATTGAAAATATAAACTTAAAATGAAAGATGAGTGAAATTCAAAAGGCCTATTTAGAAGAAATGGATTAGTTCAACGGTTTTTGGGACAAAAAAGTTTTTGATTACGATGAAAACTCCAATAAGGTTGAGAAAGAACTTATTTAAAAACAAGAAGTAAATAAAGTTCTACATTTATGAATTATATTAATATTATATTTTTTTAAGATGGAAATGGATAGCTTTATAAAAGACCTTGAAAAATCACTTGATATTCGCCCTAAGGATAGCACTGAATTACTGAATCTCAGGAAGGTTGAAGCTGAGTTAGCTAAAAATGAAGAGTAAATTACTTATATTTATTGATACCTAAATCTATTATAATTAACTTAAAAAAAAGTTATATGCAAGCTCACATAATTAAGTAGAAGATTTATTAAGTAGAAAGAGAAGAAATAGAAAAATATGTATCCATTCTTATTCAATTTAATAAAAATGTTGTTTTCAATACAATTTTTTCATATTAAATTAAGTAATTTGAGAGGTAAAAAAGAATGAAAAATCTTATTTCTTAATTGAAAATCAAGCATTCAACAGAACTATAGGCGCTTTAAAAACGCATTCAAGCAGGAAAAGAAGAACAAGTTAAACTCCGTTCAATCGAATTTGAAAGGTAAAAAGAATAGTTAATTTATTTAAAATATGAATTATTAATTTTAAAAAATAAAGATTACTACAAAAGTTTATGATTGCTAAAAAAGACCTTTAGTAGACATAAGTTAACGAAACTAACCAATATTCTAAGGCTGTCAAGCTGGGATGTAAATATAAAATATCTCAAATATCATATATAAATTTTATTTTTAAATTAAGCTGTTATCTTGGCTTCAAAGTAAGTTAGCTAATCCCAGATTTCAAATGCTTCGTTCTAAAAGAATTTAGCTATGTAATATTTTGTAGAAGATATTTTATTCATTTTTTTAAATAAGTATTAAAAGGCCTGACATATGATTAATATATATACTTAGATGTGCGAAAAACACAGAAGTACATTAAAAATTACATTTTACATTAGAAAAACGTTATAATATAATTAGCAGATAATTTAATAACTCAGAATATAAATTTATATATAATAAAACTATAAAATTTGATTAATACATCAATCTATCTATGTATTACTTACTATATTTGCATAAAGCATATTTATTCACTTATTAATTTTATCAAAATATTTATCAATTTATCACTTAAAAAGAAAACTAAATTTAGTTTTATTAGTACTTAAGATAAAATTGAAGATATATTTTCATGATTAATTCCATTATTCTTTTGATCCCATTAATTGGCTATTCAAAATTTATATATTTTATAGGTTTTTAAGAGTTTCTTCATGCAATTAGCTTCTAATTTATTTTAATAGTATAAAATTTTGAAAAATAAATAATACTTTTTCTAAGAAATTTTACCTTTGAGTCAAAATATCACTAAAATCTTCAATCTACTATTTCATTTATTACAGATTTTCCATGAAAAACTTTTTTATATCATCTTACATGGCTTCTTCTATATCATTCATTTACTAAAAGTATTCACTGCAGCTCTTTTTTAATTAATTTAAATTTAAAACTGTAAAAAAATATTTTTTAATACCTGCTAAATGTTTTGAAAAATAGACTAAAGTTAGAGTGCCTTTTGTTGAATAAATTCAAAATCATGGTCACATGCTCCTGTTTCATTTAAAATTTTGGTTATTTTATTTTATATATCTTAAAGACTTCTTTGTCTTTTGCTATCCATCTTGCTCTTAAATACTTTTTTTTAAATTCTTTAAATTTGAAATATTTAAAAATTATGAAAAAATCTAAAATAAATTATTTTTATTAATAAAAGTTAACTTTGATAAATATTTGTTTTAAATTTTTAGAGTGATTTTTAGCTGAATATCAGAAATAATACTATAAATAATGTATAGATGAATAGATATATTTACAATTAATGATAAACAAAAGTTTGTTTTTTAAAAAAGATTTTTTTTTTTCAGTCAGAATCAATCAAATTAATATTTATATTTCACTCAAGCAATTCACTTATTTCTTTATCAAACTACTTATTTTTAATAGGCTAATCAATCTATTTATATTTTATAAAGATATTATATTATATAATATGCTTTGTTAATAAATTACCAGATAATTTGGATCTTTAGAAACATGATCGGAGTATATTTTATAAACCTATCTTAATATATTTAAATTCTCTTCATGTGCGTTAGATGGTGCTGTAACTAAGACAAACCTTTAATTTAAAATAACAACTTAACATATTTTTATTTTTTTCACTAATATACTTCAATCCTGTTACTGCATGATAGCATGACAAACGAAATCCTTCACTAACAACAGTATCTACTCTATTTTCAGTTTAATACTAAAATTGAAAATTTTAATCTTTTTAGACATTCAAAACGTGTTCCTATTAAAATTTTATACAAAATAAATGTTTATTCCCATAAATAGAAATCACTTTAAAATTTTAGTATCCATTAAATTTTTAAAAATATGCTAGTCTATTTAAATAAAAATAAAGGATTATTTTGATTACAGGAAGAGTAGAATTCGATAACGCATTAAATGAATAAAACATAGAGGATGCATTCACTAAATCATCAATTCTCATTTCTTTTCTCAATAAATTCTATTTTTATAGTATGGGATGAAGAGTTAAAACAGAAATTTACAATTTTAAAAAGAGAGAGCTTTAATTATAAAAGAGTAAAACCTTGTGGAATATAAGCGAACCATGGCTATTTATAACTAATAAAAAGAAATTCTACTTTTCTTTTATGATCATATTGGCTAATGCTAAAGAAACTAATAATATTCTTTTTACTAAAATAATTAAATTAACAAATAGTATTAAGTATTTTTTTAATAAATTTGAGAGTTTGAAATTCATAGATATTAAGATAGAAAATCAACTTTTTTAGTTGGCTAATTCATGCATAAGGCCATCAATCTTATTTGCATATATAACAAAAATTTAATATTATTTTATTAATTAGCCTTGTCTAATTTTTATTATGATATTTATTATTAGTAGTTTGCTAATTAGGTTAGCAACATTAATTTAATAAAAAAAAATATCAACTGTCTACTATTACAAAAAGAGAGATTATCTCTTATATCAAAGAATAAAACATATAACCATAAATAAAAAAAAGAATAATTTTATCACAAGTATTTTATGCTAATGGAAAACTCAAAGAAAAGAAAAAAAATACTAACTAATTTATAATCAATTAAAATCTAATCAAACATATAAATGAATGATTTGGATTTTATATATTAAGAAAACATTTATTTTTATGATCAACTTATGTTTCTACCTTTTTTATATAAAGTATGTTAATTTAAAGAATTATTTTTGAATTTTTGAATTTACTTTTTATTTCTTATAATTTAACTGCAATATTGTTATAATAAATAAATGCCATATGCATGAAGAAAAATTTATAAAAAAAGCCTACCACCATTACAATATAACAGAATATCATAAGCACTTTTTAGTTTTCATTATCTATAGCTTTATATCTCTCATAATAGTCCTATTTTATAAATATTTGTTCAACTATGAATTTTTATAATTTTGAAATTACAGTTAAGTCATAAATCATTGTCCATGCAAAATCTATACATAGCTATATTATAATGAGAAGACTTAAAAATAGAGTATAGTATTCGTCTAACTCATCTGTACACAACAAGCTAATAAAACCTAATAGTGCACCAATCTAAATTTACAAGTATTTTGTTAAGTTAAAAAAAATTTATTTTAAGTTTACTTCTATGAAAGCAGGTTTTTCAAAATTTTAAAGAATAGAAATAATTAAAAAAATTCCAATAGCTATTTTAAAATTTCTTATTAAAATTCTTTCATCATAACTGTAAGGAATTTCTTAATTTTTTTAGTTTATATTTTAATTGTTCTCTTCGTCTTGTTCATATTTATTGGAAAATATCCTGTGATTAAAACCTTATTGAAGTTACGATTGGTTTGCAGATTTATTATTTGATTTGCTCATTAGTAGCTATTCTCTAGATTTTAATTCTTCTTAAAGCTGCTAAGATTTGTTTGGGCTATTTTTTAAATATTCTATATTTTTATTTATTCTCATATACTACTCCATATCCTTTACTTCGTTGGCATTTTTAGAGTTTATTTAATCTAAATTTCTAATAAGGAGATAAAGAGTTTTAAGGTTAGAATCTATTTCTTTGAGTTAATTTTCCTTTTCCTATATTTTTAAACTCTTTTCATTGTACTTATCTTCATACTTTGAACCCTTTTGTTTAAGATAAACATTATATTTTATAGTATTATTATGAATTTATATATATTTTACTGATTTAGATTTCTAAATATTAATGATGTATTATAAGAAAATTGGGATTTGTTGACCAGAAGATGACTGGAAAAATTCCTGAAAAGGGAGATCCTTTCCTTAAGGAAAATTTTGTATATTCATTTAGATTTGACCAAGAGGTTATTAATTTGATGAAGGAAATAGATAAAGGTTTAAATATTATGCTTCATGGTTCACTGATCTTTTTATTTTGAAATATTTTTAGGTAAGCTTAGGAGAATAATTAAATTCATATAGATGAATTACATTTAAAGAGTTTGATTAAAATAAAAATTTTAAGATGGTTCTGTTGATTTAGATAACCCTGAGCATTCTGCTAAAATATAATATGCTTGATTATCCACTTAAAAAGAAGATCTTGCTATTTATGCCATCTAAACGTCTATCTTAATTTACATAAGATTTTACTGCTGCTAATAAATTGCTTTATGATTTGACTGATCATCTTAAATCTTTACATAAAATGAATAATTTACTGTTAAAAATCTTCTTAAAAATCTGATTTTTCAAATATATATTTTTTTTACTTTAACTAACAAATCCTCTCTTTATTCATTTAATGAATTTATTTTCTAGTTTACCACTGATATCTATCTTACTAATTCATCTTCAGCCTTAAAAAATACATCAATAAAATCATCAATAGTTATGAATTTATTTTATTTTTTAGGACATGTGTTGAATAATTCTAATCCAATTTCTCTATCAAACTTTTTCTAAGCCTATTAAAATAATAATTATTTATTTAGTATGTCAAATTAGCATATTATAAATAGATTTTTTGTTTTATATTATTGAAACTAATTAATTATTAATGAATCATATACTAGAAAATCTAAGAACTCTATATAGTTTTTTTCGTCCAATAACGTATCTAATGGCATTTGAGAATATTGAGTAAACGCTTTTTAGATATTTTAACGTAGATATTACTTTTATTGCATTTGTTAAATAGCTATAATGTAAAACTTATTTTTAGAATTATTGAATAATTTTTATTTGATTCAAGTGTATCTTTTTGTGATACTGATTGACTGAATGTATATCTATTATCAAAAAAATTTTTTGATTATTATTATTTTTGGATAGAATTTTGAAAATTTGAAAATGGTATTCATTCAAATTAAATAAGTTTTCAATTAATAAATATTTGATCAATTCAATAAAAGTTATAATTTTATTTGATTTATATTCTATTTTAAAATCCTCGTTGCAGAGCAAATTAAATTTTTTATTTGTTTAAAAATAATAACTCATTAGATAAATTTTTTTTAAACTTACATATTTTTTCAAATTCATAGTAAATTTTGCTTTTTAACGTGGAAATAAATTATTACTTTACTATTATTGCTTTGCCTAAAAGCATAAAGCATCTATAGCCACAAACTTTTAAATTTGAAATATAGCAAATAGATTTTTATGTAAATCAAATTGGTAAGATTTACTATTTAACTGCTAATATATTTGATTTGCTATATCTAAAGAATATAAAATGGTTGTTAACAAAAATTTAATAAGAATAGTCAAGATATTCTTTTAATTTTATTGCTATGGTCTAAAATACTTAGAGCATGAACTACCTCTAATTTTAATTTAAAATATAATAAATGGTTTATTCCGTCTTTTATATTACACAAAATTTAACATTTCATTACAATTAGATTTTGATATGCAAAAAAATAAATTTAGATATAATAGTAATAAGTGTAAATTTAATCTGTAATATTCAAACTAAGATAGTATTTGAAATATTATAATCATTTAAAATAAAGTTGTAAAATTAAATAATTTGTATTTTTTGATTTTAGAAATTTATCTTACAAAATATATTTTATTATTCCCCTAATAAATTTTGAGAGGTCTGTAATATCAAACACAAATAAATTTATATAATAAACAAATATTAATTAAATATCAGTTAAGCTAACCAATCAATCAATAATATCTTATCTTAAATTTTTGGTTTCTAAATTAATTATCATAAATTTTGAAATAATATTAACCATAGAACAGTTAAAGTGTCTATATCATTCTTTTGAAAATATTTTAATGATACAAACATAAATTATATTAGCACACTATTATTAATTTTTTCTACATATAAATTAGAATTATTGTTATAATTGCTAAATTAATATTTGCTAACTAATTTTATTTAATTTACAGTTTACTCTGAATGAATCTTTATTAAGGAGTGATAAGCTTTTAACCGAAAATTTTAACTGTATCAAATTACTGCTTAAATGTAATTGATTTGATTATTTATTTAGAAAATTAAGCTAAAATCAATTTTTTAGAAAAATATCAAAAAATGGATAGATATCTTTCAAATTTCGGCCATACAAATTAATTTACATTTAAATATTTAGGTTGTAATATATATATCTATTAATAGCTTATTTTTGATTACTTAGTATATTTTTACTATAACCACAACCAAACACTCCAATAGTTATAAAAAAATATATCCGCAGACTTTATTTGAAATTAGAGTAATTAAGAAAAATAGAAGGATAAATATTAAGTTTAATTTCAAAAGGATTACACACTTATTTTACATATTATTAAAATGAAATTGACCAGATATTAAAAGTTGCTTATTTATAAATATCATTCAACAAGTAAGGTCTTTTCAGATAGTAGTTCTAAGATTATATTCTAGAATGTGATTTGGAAAATTTATCTACTTTTTTAGATAAGGAAATAAAAATAATAATTTAAGTGTAATTTACACTCTTATTATACCAAATCAAATTCAGTTTAAAAATTATCGCATCATTAAATAAGAATATATTTTTTAGTAAAAACATACATAGACTTTCAAAAACAACTTGATTTAATGAAATCTCTTTAATCATTTCCTTAACTTTGTTTTATAATTGCGTTTAATATATTTTAGAAATAGTGAGTTAAATTTAATTATAATTAATTTGATTTCTTATTTTATATTTTATATGAAACGTGATTGTATCTAGAAGAAGAGATTAAGATATTTGCTTGAATGCTCAAATATTTTAGATTTAAGCTTGTGGAAATTAATTTAAGAATTATTTAACAATTTTTTTTCCATAAATTAGGGTTTTTAGATATTTAAAATGAAATGTAATGTAAATACTATCTATCATAGAATCATCTTAATTTTGAATATTCTTGCAAGAGCAATAATAAGTCATCTTGTATAAATAACTATTTATTAATGTAAAACTTTATTAATTTATTTTATTATGCTTGAATATTCAAATATATTATCTAAATGAAATAAAAAAATTCATTTATTATTCGTTTTTTTTCAACATACAAAGAATTTTAAGAAACTAGTTAAATAATTAGATAGTAATGTTCAATTATTAATTATACATGTATATATTCCGATCTGTCAATCTTAAATTTAAGCCATTTTTATTATATCCTATCATCTTAAATGATTAGAATAAGGAGAAAAAATTAATGTAAGCCAAATTCCTCAAATTATATATCCTAATTAATAATAAATTTTCTACTTATTAATTACTAATCTGATTTATGTAATTGAAATAAGTAGTTTATAAAAAAATACCTTACAATTTTTGATAATTTAAATTAATTTAGATAATCAATTGTAATATATATCTATAAATTCACATAAAACATTTAAAAATGTAAGAAATATTGAATCATATAGATTACTTACAACTTAATGGTATTTATTAGAAAAATCTTAATAAAAGTGGTGATTAACATAAAATTTTAAAAATAATAATTTAATTAAATATTTGAAAATCAATTCTTAAATTAACAATAAAGTTTATTGAATTGTAATTATTAAATTATTAAAATTACTTATGCTGTAAAGAATAAAAGTAATAATTTATTGCTGCTTTTAATATCATTTATAAAATTCATATAAATTAAAAAAGTTTGTCAATTTTATTTATTAACAGCAATTTAATTTGCTAATAGTAAGAAAATATAAGGTAAAAATTAATAAAAAATGAAAATATTTATTCATATAATGTAAATATTTTTTATTTTATCCCTATAAAATACAATTAATATAAATAACAAAGAATCAATTTTATTATTTAGTTTTAATTTGAAAAATTAAGAATGTAAAGATATTTAATAACTATTTGGAACTTAATTTTGAGAACTTAATAAAGCTAATCAAAAACAGGAAAACAAATGTAAATCTTATCTTAAAAATTCTTAAAATTATTAAAAAAAAGAGAGATTTTTCCTTTTGAATCTTCTTTTATTTAATTTATTTTTAATACTTTTTTTTTCTCTTATTATTTATGAACATATTTTTTCAAAATTATAGATTCAAAAAATAAATTTATTTGTTTTTGCTAAGTTTGGCTATCAAAGCTACTCTAAATAAATTAAAAAATAAAAATGATTTATATTAGCATAATTTATTATTTTAAATTCCATAACTTTTGCTTTTTTAATTTTTTAATGAGATTTGAACATTAAGATAATATTAAAAACTTTATGTTTATTTTTATGAACACACTCAGTTATAAAATTTTTTTTTTTATTATTAAGTGAATACTACAAATATTAAACATTTTTCATATCGACAATTGTATAGATATATTTTGAATCTATGAAAGTTGCATCATTTTTAGAAAAGAAAAATATCATAGTTAGTGGTGTGAGAAAACAAAAATTTATTTTATTTTATTTTAATCTAAAATATCTTAATAAATTCAGATTATTTATTTTGGATCTATTACATTTTTTCTCATATTATCAATTAAATGTAAAATTTTTACCAAATTATCTTCAATGTTACATAATAAAATTTAGTTCTAATAATATAATAATAGCTATATACTTAAAAAATTATTTGGGATTAATTAAACAAATAAAGTAATAGTAATTCTTTCGAAATATAAGGGGGTAAGGAATTTTAAGGAGTGGTTATTGAGAAGAAGAAAAAAAAATTAATTAACAATTTTTGTATTTTTGTCAAGTATTATAAATACTATCATAATTTAAATTTTAAATTTATTAGATAAATGTTATTTGTATGAACACTTGAAATAGATTTTTATCAATTTCAGTTCAGGAATACATATTTTAAGTGTATGTTGTTGTTAGATGTAACATACCTTTTAAGTAATATTTAAAGTTATCTAAGATTGTTTTTTAAAGGTTAATATAGAGTTAAAGTCTAATTTTAACCATGTCCATTTAGTAATTTCAATGTAAGATTTTGTATTAAAATAAAGACTTATTCACATCTTCTACTTAATGTAATAAATGGGTTTTTTTGCTTTATTTACATCTAATATTGATTTTATACTCTGTAAACAATGGAATTGTATTATATACTAAACAATATCTTTGATTCCTCCTATAATTTTTATAGTCATACTTAAAATTGAATTCTAATGTTTAATAAAATGTGCATAAAATACCTTACACTAAAACTAAATTTGCTTGAGTATCAAAATATTTGTTTGAATAAAAAGCTAAAATGGATATGCAATCTTATTTGTATTTACATTTAATAATAAGAATTTTCAAAATCATCAAAATCAGCGTAATTGAATTTTATTGTACGTCACTTGATTTATGGTTATTAACAAATTCAATTAAAAAAAAAACCAATTAACTATCCACCTCTAATTACAAACTATTTATTTATATTGGCATTCAATAATATTTAATTCTGAGCTCTTATAGTTAATGTGTTTACTATTTTCTTATAACATTCAAAACCAATTAGTTATCAGATTACTTATTTATAATAAATAAAAAAAGTAAAAATTTTTACTAATCAATTTTTGGTAACTACTCAAAAAATAAAATAAATAAATAACTAACTAAAATACTAAACACTAAGATTTCATTTATTCTCCCTCTCTCATCCTAATAATAACTAGAAATGAACTGCAGCTAAGAATTATCATTCAACTCAACTTAAGAGTCTTCATGCTTTTAACTAGATTATCCAGCAACACCCAAGGAAGATTATATGCTTTCTAAGTATCCATCTGAGATGAATGTCAAAAAGATCTAAACTAATAGTAAAAATTCAAATAGCAAGAAGCAATATGTCTTAAAGACTTGCCGCTTCACAGACAAAAGAATTTAAGAAATACCTTTCCCAAAGATGTTCCTCACTTGCTTAGACGTACTCATTGTCGAATCTTCATCTGAAATGGATAAACTCAAAGAAAATAGGTAAAAAAACATTTTTAATTATTATTAATAGAAACACATGTACTACATTTTTTAGAAATATTATTATTTTAATATTTTCCCCCTTAAATAGTACTTACTGAAATTGTCTAAATTAGTTTGCTAAAATAAATCAAAAAAATTAGAAACTTTATATTGGGAAATTTTTCTGTCTGTCTGTTTAATTTCATTCAGATCAGCAATAATCCTAATATTAAAAAATTAGTAAGCAAGAAGCAAATTAAAAATTTAGAAATGAAATTAGAGAGTAAGATTAACAAATTTTATTATTAACTTGTATTACTTTCTTTGTTTACAAAGTAATTAACCCACAAAAAGTACAAATAACAAATTACAAAGACTTTAATACAAAAGCATTTGCATTTGATTAGTATTTTGTCAAAAACTGGTCAATTCGCTTAAGGTAGCATTTATTTTATTATCTATTTCTGTGAAATTGGAATTGGGGAAATAATTTATTTACTCAAATTAATACATAAAAAGTAGAAATCACTTCAAATTAATTTGATTATTAAGTGGATATTTTTTACTTTACAATTATTTTGAATTAAAAATGTATTTACACATTTTCCTATCATAATCAATCATATCAAATAATTATTTTTTTTACAAGCTTATAATTCAATTACCCAATAGCCAAATAAAATTACACTCTTTCCTCAAATTAAATTTGTTTACAACAATTTCAATTCTAATTCAAACACTTAAATTGTTCAAACAATCCTGAATTGATGTAAAGTAAAAAAATTAAGAGTTTATTTTTCTATTTACAATTCTAAAAAATGTAATAATAATTTTTTTCTAATTTTACCCAGAAATAAACAAAATTATTTATTCTTATCTTTTTAACAATATAGATATCTTGCATCTTTCAATTATTTTAAGAGAGTAACAAATATAGAAAGAAAAATCTTGTAGGATTGGATATGTGTTAATTTAGAGTATGTGACAATGAAGAAAATCCCTATAAAAGTCATGCAACAACGTTTATGCAATTCTAAAAACAAAAAAGGATAAAAGGTTTCTGCCTTGTTAGAAGAATAGCTCTTATCTTACAATCATGCTAAGAAGAATGACCAAATGAAAAAAATGTCTCAAAAGTAGATGGAATAAGCTCTTTAATCTAAATTCTGCTACTTCCTAGAAATAGATCAGGACGATAACTAAGAAGATAAAATGGAGCGCCTAATTTATGATTTTCATGTTCAATCTATTTACTTCAGCGGTCTTTTGAGCAAGCTAGTAGCAGGAGATACATCAAATTTAATATCTTATATCTCAAGCAATGGCATTCCTGAAATTTATTCTGAAGATTTGAGCTACTTTGATTTTTGGACAGAGCGCCTTTCTAAATCAAACAAAACAGTATAATCTTCAGTTAAAACATTTGATAATTACAACTTTAAATGCCTTGAAAAAATTCGCATGTTCTAGCATGAAGAAAAAGGAACCCTATTAGTTTAAATATGTTTTGATTTTGAAACTCCCCTTTCTACTCCATCTTACACAGTCTCTGATATGACAAATATTTATAAATTCATGAAATCAGAAAGAAAATCCTTAGTTTCCCTTTTAAAGAGCTCTAAGGAAAATCTTTACAACGACCCTTTTGTGAATAGTATCTTTTAAGATGAAAAACAAAAGAATAGCCCTTTTAAGTAATAAATATTTTTGTAATCAAGCTTTGCGTCACCTTATTCCTCTCAAAAAATTAAATCCTCTTCATAACTAAACGATTCTCTAATGATCAATACATTTAGCGATCAATAAGAATTTAGTACTTGCGGATTCAAAGAATTAAGTGAGTTGTACTACTTCTGAAATCATTAATTTATAAATTCAATTTTCTTAAATAAGGTTACTGTAAATAAATATCTTAATAGAATAATATCTACTTTTTGATTTTTGCTTCAGTTCTTTATGATCCTTTCTTCGTTACAATCCTGATTCAAAAAATATCAAATTGCCAGATTTAATTAATTAATTAAGTTGAATTTTAATTCGAGCTTAATATTTCTAAAAATAATAAGAAAAATTATATAAATTTTTTAAACCTTACTTTATTATTAATCAAATTTTAAAAGCATTAATTAGTAATAGTCAGGTATATAACCTACCCAAAACTAAAAAAATAAAAAGAAGATTACTTTAAACCCGTATAAAAATTATAAACTATCCTAAATTTATTAAACTGATCAAAAAAAATACATAATTAATATTATGTATCTATTTTAATGTATCCTCCCTCTATTAAAATATATTATTTAAATATATAGTCAAAAGTATTTGTTTTGTTACTGTTATGAGAATTTTACTTTCAAAAAATTTACAAAATGCCCTTACTTCAGTTTATATTTTTATTCACAATTCAATCAAATAATTTATTATTTTATCCTTAATTTATTCACTCTAAATAGAGAGTAAAAGTGTATTATTGTGTTTGATTAAATTTAAAAATTAAGTTTTACTTTGTATTATTTATTTTTTTATTGTAAATTTTAATTTAGATGATAACATTGTAATTTGTTTTATTTTAATGTAAAAAAAAATTTGGTTATATCATTTTTTATTTATTAATTTGCATTTTATTTATTAATAACATATTTAATAAAAAGCCACAAATAAAATCTAAAATCTAAATCTATCTTCCATGATATTATTATAATTTCAATAAATAGATATATTTGTTTTATTTTTTTTAAAATCTTATCTCATTTTTAATTTTTACGAAATATCATTTTTAAGTTTTTTCTCTCTAATTTTTAACTTTAACCAAAGGAAGAAATAAAATTATCTCACCAATAATAATCATACGTAAGACTTTTTCTTTCAATATTGATGTATAATAAAAGATTGAAATTAAAAATAGCAAAATTAATTTCCCATTTTTTAGAAGAATTAAAATACGTAATAACATTTACCTACACACAACGACATTACATACAGTAACTATTTGAGAAAATTATTAAGTTTCAAAAGGAAAAATTAGTGGGTGCATTTATCTTATTAATATTATTTACTGTAAAACTTATTTAAGAAGTATTCAAAATCATTGATATTTTCTCTATAATTTAATTTTTTAAAATTTTATACCAATTAGTATTACCTTCTCTTAATTTACTTTTGATTAAGGGAGGTATTACAGTGTTTATTAATATGAAAATTATTACATATTAGCTATAAATTAAAAAGAATATATATGTATTTCTATTAAAAACACACTCACTCATCCATCATAAAAAAATAACTCATTTAAAAAAATTATGTGATTTTAAAAACTTTGAATATTATTAAATATACAATATTATAAAAAATAAGAATGTAATAATTATAGTTTTTTGTGATATATTTATAAAGGATTAGAGAAAATCAGTGAAATTTTCTATATATAAATCAATTAAGTATTCTTTAATTTCAATAAATTATATTTTTATGATTGTTATCTTAATCACAAGCAACACTTTTCTCACATCCGGTTCATGCTTAATAAAGTATTACAAAATAATAAAATAATCTAATGACTATTACTCTATCTCTTGGAATAGCCTTTAAATAATCACTATTACCTAAAAGTAAAAATTTAAATTCTTGATCACTAATCTATATGCATATTATTCACAAAATCGATTCAAATATAGAACAAAAATATCACATATTAGAAAAGATTGTTAATGGTAAGTAAAACTGAATTGAAAAAATTATTTTGTAAAAATATAATACCTTCTTTTGAAATCGAATAAAGACATTTACTTTTGCTTAATATTAAATACATATTTCCTCAAATTTTTTAATTGTAATATGTTGAAAAATTCTTAAGAAACTAATTTTTAAAGACATTTTTTTCAATGTAATAATTTTAAAAATTTGTAAATTAAAAAAACACACACACACACACACACACACAAACATTGGCTTCTCATTTTCTTGAAACCAAATAAAGAAATTTACTTTTTTTATCATTAAATATTTATTTCTCAACTTTTTTAATTGTAATATGTTGAAAAATTCATAAGAAACAAATGAATTTTTAAAGACATTGTTTTAAATGTAATTATTCGGAAAATTTGTGAATTTTTTCAAAAAAAAAGCACACAAAAACATTGGCTTCTAAATGAGTATTTTGGCATCTTTGTAATAGTGTAAATTGTAAATTGTAATAAAGTATGTTCTTTACTAATGTATTGTTTGAATTTAATATAACAAATTAATGACCAAACAATTACCATTAAACCTTTTATTTATCTTTTTTTTCAAGGTTTTAATATTCAGAATGTATATTATTTTTATAAGGTAAATGTATCAATTTAAAGTAAAGAAAAATATTTTTAATTTTTATTTTTAAATTAGTTTTATTAAAATAATAATATATTTCAATGGCAAAAATATATTTTATTCGTTTAGTCAGAATTTATAAATATAATATTCTAAGGATTTTGTTATATTATAGAAGCTCATTATAATGAATTTAATTGTAATTGAAAATTTTTAAGGCTGTTCGATTAATAAATATAATCATGATAAGCCCTACCACTATAAACATATAAATGTTTCTTCATAATGACTTAGTATTTTAAAAAAGCTAAAAAGGGTGAAATTAAAGTGACCGTTTACATACAAAAAAAAAAAACTCAGTATTCTGCATAAAATAGCAAGCAATTAGTGAGATAGGCATTTTTGATAAAATTATGTTTTAATTGGGAATTGGAAGCTATAAACATACAAAATTTTTCAGTATTTAAAAAAGCAATATAAAAGTGTAAGGCTCTTATAAATATCTTTAAAATTTGAAATCGCTATTTTAATTTTGCTGATTTAGATAAAGTAAGACCAAACTGATAAAATATTTATTTGCTTACAAAATTATTTATCAATAATGATTTATTCGCGCGTTCTGTTTTTTTTATTTTGAAACTTTAATTTTAAAGGAAAGTAATATACTTTCAAGATTTTTTTAAATCTTCAGGAATAATTTTCAAAAAAATTGTAAAGCGATAAAAATTAAGTATACTTCTTTTGTCTCAAATGAAAGTATGTTATTTGTCAGATAAATAATGCTTTGTATATCGAAGTAAGCTAAACAAATATTTAATCTATGGTAATTTGTGTTATTTGTTAATATCCATTTAATCATTTATATATAACTAAATTTTAAAAAAATTTTTTAAAAATTAGTCTTAACTTACTGAGCTTAAATTGATAAAATAGGATAATTATATTACTTTTTTATTTCAAGTATGTCAACATTCAAAACTGAAATAATAAAATAAGTATTTTTCTTTAAATAAGAAGCATGATTAGCTCATAAGGTATTTTATCTCTTATTTTTCTAATACGCGTAATAATTTTATAGATTATTACATTTAAATTTAACATATCACTAAAATATTTGTAAAAAATCTTTTCCGCATAAAATACATTATATTTTGGAAATTATTCAATTTTTTTTCGAGAATTATATTGTTCAAAAATTAAAAGCATAATAAAAAATCAATAAAATTTTGTAAAAAATCTCATTTTTACATATTTATTTAAACAAGATAGTTAAAATATTAAAGTAAAGACTTACTTATGAATTTATAACGAAAATATTTTTTTTATTGCTTCCATTCCTAATAAAAGAAACTTTAACTTTTTTTAATTCTTCAATTTATATTATCTTCAAATAGAAATTCATGTAAATTATATTGATTAAAATAGAGAAGATGAATTAAATAATTAATGGTTTTGAAGATTGATTTTTTTTTTTAATGAACGAGTGTTTATTTAATTTTGTTTGGTTAATTTTTTTGAATGTAAATTAAAAATGCTATTGCAATTAGAAGCACCTTAAATTAATCTGTAATGAGGATTTTGTAAAAAACTCATAATTTCTAATCATATATTTTATATTATCAAAGTATATAAATTATTTTTATGGAGTACAAACTATTACTAACAAAAAGGATTCAAATTTATTTTTTTGTTAAAAATAGTAATAGTAAATTAAAATATGAAGTATAATAAACCTTAATGTCATATAAAAAATGAGAAATTGTAACAATAATTTTTTTATTTGATACTTGAACTGTAAAATATAAAATAGAATTTGATTAACTTTTATTTTTTTTTAAATAAACACAAAAAATCAAAATGTGTATTAAATATAGATTAATTTATAATTTTTTTTTTAATTTGCTTAGCAGTTACTATTATACTTTTTTCTTTTGTTCATGATCAGGCGTTTTTATAATTAATTCATTAAAATATAATAAATAGTGGTAAATAAACAAACATAGATTGATTGATTAATTAAGTTATTTTCATAACTATGATTTTTAGAACCTACCCTATATTATAAGTCTATGTACATTTTAATGTCTATAATAAAATTTGATTACAATTTTTTTCACCAAATTTAATTAGTCGAAAAATGGTAATACTTAATACTAAAATCCAAATTATTTTAGACCAAAGTTAAATTTATAACACTTAGTGAAGTGAGTTTGAATAAAAAACTTTTATTTTTAAACATGTAGACTGAGCAATAACTATTTTATATTTTTTTGAGTACATATAACTATTTTTTATTAAAAATATTTGAAATAATATTTAAAAAAAGTAAAAGCTCATCTCAGTTTTTTCTAATTTACACTCTTTAGAAATATTCATGATCTAAGATGACCTTTAATATTTTTTTCATAATATTATCTTCTAAATTGTTGTAAAATAAATGTTACTAGTGATGAAATTCAATTATATTTCAGCAAAAAATACTCAGAAACCAACTCCAGCCAAAGTTAAAAGATAGATAGTTTCATACCTTAAATACTAAAGCACAAGCAATAAATGAATAAGTTAGTGCAAAAATACAAAATTTAAGTATTTCAAATAAATTGAGAAGCATAATATTAAATAAAAAATATCAATATATTTATTAACAAAGATTATGCTAAAATAAAATTTACTTATTTTTATACAATAAAAAGAGGAATTGCGTTTGAATTCTATTTTAAAGCAAATTTTATTTAAATTTATTTTAGTTATTGTGATTAAAAAATATTCCTTTCAACAAAATTATAAAATTTCCATATTTTTAGATTTTATTGCTTCCAATCTTTTTAATTTTAACCATTATATAATTGGAATTATTGATTTCTATTATTACTAAAAAATAAAAATATTTAAATATTTTTAAATTTAAATTTTATTTATGCTAAGCTTTTTAAGATAAACTAAAATTAACATATAAGCTAAATTGATTGTATTAAAATAAAAAACTCATAAAATAAATACACATTATTTTTTTGATATCATTTATATAAAAAATATTTTTAATTTTTAAACATTTTTTAGTTTTATTTAGTTATTATTAAAATAATTGTTATGCTTATATTTTTTAAATAGAAAATTTGTTTTATTTTTTATAAAATAAATTTATATTAAGTATTATTATCAATAAATTAGATTATGCACAATCAATCAATGGTATTTCTAATTAATATTTGTAAAGGATTTTATTTAATTCTATTAATATAATAACAAATTTTTTTGGTTATTTATAAATAAAACCTTTTTTTTTTATTTTTAAGTAAATTGTTATTAAATAAGGTTATCAATAAATTATATTATTTTATCTTAGTATGCTATTTTATTTAATTTTACTAACAATAGAGTAATAAAAAAATATTTAAAAATTTTTTAATTTGATTTGAAAAATTTTTTATTAATAAATTTTGATATTAATAAATGTAAACAATAAAATAGATAAACTTATCTTTGGAAATCATTTTACTACTATTAATGAAAATATTTGATAAAAAATCTATTAATTAGTAGAAATTTAATAATAAATATTTTTTATATTTCTACAAAATAAATTTTTATTCATTAAAATAATCAATCAATTAGATTAATTTGCTTTTTAAATCAATTTATTCAATTTTATAAATATAAGAAATATAAAAGATTTTATTTGGCAATAGCTTGTGCTTTTAAAGAGATAATAAGCCTTACCAATAAATTAATTGAATTATAATTACAAATCTTATAAATCATTTAATATAATAAGTTTAATAAAAAATATTAAACTGATTTTTAAAATCTTTAAAAATTTTATTTGGTAATAAAATTATTTATAAATTGAAAATACCTTTTATTACAATAAATTATTTAATATTCTAAATAAATTAGATTAATTTATAATTATCATTCATTTAATTTAGAAATAGTAATAAAAAATTATCATAATAATATTTTAAAATTTTAAAGATTTTATTTGGAAGTAACTTATTGTTTTGTAAATAGAAAATCCTCTTTATCCGAAATAAAATAAATAGTTATTTGTTAATAATATCAACAAATTAGATTTATTTTTATAATTAATTTTAAGTAGAAAATCTGTATTAATTTGTTATTAAGTAAATTTGTATTAATTAATATTATTAATAAATTAGATGAGCTAATCAACATAAACCATTTTACTTATTTTTTATTGAATTAAGTTGCAAAATAGTAGTTGAAATTTATTCAAAAAATAAAGTAAATTTTGTAGAAATTAACTTTTAAAATTAATATTATTTTATAAATTAGCTATTTTAGATTTATTTTATTTAATTCGAATTGAATTTTTCTGAATATTTTATTAAAATTAAAAATTAATTCAAATACAATAAACATTAAAAAATTAATAATATATATTAATAACCAAACAAAAGAATATTGTGCAAATTCAATAAAAATTTTTGGTGTGATTAAATATTTAGTTTAAGTATTTTAGAAATTAAAAAAAAAGACTAAATTTTATTTTTGTAATTATTTTAATTTTAAAAAATATTTTTAATATTATAATTACGAATAAAAATTTAATTTAAAATATTTTGATTAATGATAATATTTGCTTTATTTTTTCTTGTAAAAGATAGGATACAATTTGAATAGTATTTTGAAAATTATTAGCTATTTTAAATTATTTTTTTACATTTGTACTCATATTAAATTATTAATTCATAGGATCCGAAGTGTATAAATGAGGATAAAAATTAATTCTTTCATTTTCGTCGATATGAATTAGAAGGAAAAATTAAGAAAATTTAATTAAGACTTGATCAAGGAATAAATAAAAAAAATTTGTAAGCAAATTTTGTAATTAAAATCAAAAATAAACACACAAATTTCTTTTTTAAATTATAAAGTAAAAATTTTATTATTTATTATTATAATTAAACAAGTTATATTAGCTTTAGTTTCTATAGTGTGAAAAAGTTTATAAATTCTATTTTTAAAAAGTGAATCAAAAAAAATATTTTACAATCAAACATATATTGGCTGAAATATATTTTTTATTATTTCAGTAAGGTTTCAAGGAGTATTTCTTTTTTCTTACAAATATTTATTAATTTGATTTTTAAACCTTATTTAGAGGTATTAAAGAAAAGATTTTCAAAAGATATTTTAAAAGAATTGATGATATAATATTAATAACATGATTTGAAAGCTAAAAATATATAGATAAGATTTGTATTTTTAACAAAGTATAATTGCTAAAACAATTTAAATAACATGAATTGATATTATTATGAGAAACTTATTAAGTTGTATTATCAAACAAAAAAAGTTTACAATACTTTAAAAAAGTGTAATCTTTTTTTCATAACTTGCGTGACTTTTATATTGCTTAAAAAATTGTATTCAAAAATAGCTTTATGTATTTAAAAAATTTTTTAGAACATTTAGATTGAACAAAAGCAAAAAGAGAAAAATATGTATTAAAATTGTAAAGTAAATCCTTTTGAACATTGATAAAATTAAAAAATATAATATTGTAAGTGTTTACAACAGAGAAACATTAATATAAATGGACAAATTTAAGAAAAATATCTTCAGTTTAATAATATTATTAAACCACACATGGTGAGAAAAAGCGAAAATTATATAGATCGCGTCATTTGCTTTTAAATCGTAATTTATATGACTAAAGATTAAAAGAAAGAGACTGTCTGATAATATTATTAAAAAGGAAAAGTAGTGGGGAGAAATTTTATTACATGAAAAAGCTTTTTATCTGCAATATATTCCTTAAATAATATTATTTAAAATGAAGAAGTAATTGTTTATTTTTATTTGTTTGCTCTTATTTAACAATTTCGGAAGTGAAAGTCTAAGTGTAATAATATTATTAAACTAAAAAATTGAAAATAAAAAAAGGTGAAAAACACATTGAAAAACAATCAGAGGCGAGAAAAAATAATACAAAAGTAAATTTTTTGAATTTAATAATATTATTAATTTCTTTTTCTTTCCCATTTTAATTTATTTATTGATTCTTTACCTTAATTTTCCCTTTTCATATTTATATTTTCTCTATTTTTTTATTTTCTCTTGCATACAAATAACCAAGCAATCTCTTTCAAATTTCATAGTATCAATACAATTTTTTTCACCATATACATGCATTCATGTCTTTGAAAAAATATGAAACTTTACTTTAATTAAATAATAGAGCTAAACAATTAAGACATTTTCGCTGTATCACTAACAATTTTTAACATATTTGTTTTCCGAACCTTAAAAAAACTTGACAATAACAACCTCCACATTTACTGAAACTAATAAAAAAACATAAAGACTCCTTCATTTTTAAAGTTATTCCAAAGCTTTTTATTTCTATCTAACAATAATAACTTAACCATGAACAATAACTCAAGTCAAGCTAAAAATGAGGATAGCTTTGAATTCTCAACTAACTCTGAAGAACAAAACTTTTCATCAGCTTAGAAACCTTTCTTCCTTTCTTCTCCATCGACATTACCTCTCTAGGGTATTAGAAAGGTAAGTGATGCTGCCCTAGAATCTTCTGAGCTTTTTATCTAAACTTCCTAACGTAGCAAGTAGAGTAGTCAGACCCTCGAAGAAACCGAGAACAAAAACAGCTAAAGTGATTAAGGAGATAACTTGTCCCTATAAAATAGCTTATACCATGATGGATAATAAGAAATAAATGAAGTCCTGATAAAATCTAAAAAGTCTAATGAATCAAAGACCAAAACTCAAAAAGATTCCATTGTTGAAAGTGCAAAAAAGAGTTTAAAAAATAAAAAATCCCAAAAAGGAAAAACTCAATAAAAAATTGTTGAGAAAGACTTTGGAGAAGATGGGGATGACAACAATGACTTTGATGAAGAAACTTCAAGCCACTTATAAATATCTAATAATATAACTAAAAAAAAAAAAATAAGAAAGGCTTGCAGATTTAACTATATTGAGCACTACATCAGCCACCATTAGCTTTCCCACCGTATAGAAACTGATGAAATAATATTTGAAAATGAGTCTTTCATTCCAACTAACTACTAACCAAATTAATATTTTAATGATAACCCAATCAGCTTCTTCACTCTTGTAAATATCCATAAAAGAGTTTAAAGGACTGAGCATATTTTTAATAACAAAAAGAAAAATAATGGTGCTACAGCAAGTAAATCCTCTTCTCTTAATTCAAATAACAAAGGATGTTTAACTACCAACTAAAGCTCTCAATTAATAAAAGATCAGTATTAATCATAGAACATAAAAAGTACTTCATCTTAATCAATTTTACAAGGAAGTTTTAATTAGAACAATAACAATAATACTAATCAATCCATTAAACAAGTTTCTAATAAATAAAATGGCAAGCTTAACTAGTCTGCCAAAAAAACCAGCAACAATACTCAATAATAAACTCAATCGTCAAATAATTCTAATTTGCTATCCAAGAAAAAAGACTATGTTAATATCTACTTTGAAGACAGAACCCATTTCTAGAAGAGTTCCTTAAATTAATTTATTAAAAAAATTAAATCTCTTCCTGGTAAAGGAGCATCTCTGTATAGCGAAGCAATAGAAGATTTCATACAACACAAAATATCTCTTTAAAAAACCGTTTCTTATGATCTTCTAGAAAACTTTATTGAGGGATTAGGTAATTTCTATTTTTTAAGAGTCTTCAAATAAACTTCAACTGACTTAATAATTGATCACTATACATTGTCTTCTTCTCTCATTAGGCTTCTTGGTTTTGAAACTTCCACATTTTGCTCTTATGTTACTTCCCACGGAGTTCCTTACATCCATGATGTTACTGGAAACTATTTACAATATATAGCTCGCTGCATGAAATCTTGGGTGCGCTCAAGTGAAAACACCACCATTGATGCTACACTTATATGCGCTGACTCTCTTAGGATTGAGTGTTCAGAGAACATTTATACCCGTACATTTCATAATGCTGAAAAAGAGGAGTACTATTTAGTGGAAACTCATGTTTTTCGTCCAAAAAAGAACGACAGTAAAGATTACTTACTATCAGATGAAAGGATTAACATCTTCTAATCCTCTTTTGAGCCGATTTAATAAAAGAACAACTAATAATAATCATAATAATCTCAATAAAGCAATTTAATCAATCTCAATAGTGAATCAAGACTAAAGCAATTAGATAAAACATCTAAAAGAGCTATAGAAAATGGCTTAAAAGAATAAAATAAGAATTTACTCTATAATGTTTTAGAAAATAACATTAATGATGCTAATGATTTACTTTCATCACTGCTGTTAAATCTTGCAAAGAATTAAACTAAAATTGAATTTGATGCCACTAATTAATCATAAGTAAATGATAATAATGATAAATATTTGCAACAATTTAAAAAACTAAATTCAAAGCGCAAAGTCTCTGAATCCATGCTAATAATTAATAACAATAATGAATTTGATGATTCAGAAAAAAAAATATAAAAGAAGCTTTGCAAATACAGACTTATTTGAAATCTTTAACTAGCTAACTAACTAACTAATTCTAAAGTACTACCGAACTAGCAGTTTTGATAGCAAATTGGTTTTGTCTCAAAACTAGTTTAGTAATCAATTAATGTAAATCAAAAGCAATTTTTGCTTTGTATCTTAATTTGCTTACTAATTTCCTCAATATATTTATAAAATTTCTTATTTCTTTAAATTTTAAAATTAATTTGGAAATATCTTTCTATTTTATTTTCAAATACTCTAAATTATAATAAACCAAATAATTTCTTTTACTAACCATTACTACCAAAAAACTCTGATAGAATAGCTTTCTTTTCAACTATCTTGATAGAAAAGATCAAATTAATTATAAAAATCAGTTTATATATATAATCATTTCATATTTTAACATTAAAAGTGTTTTGGGTAAGCAAAAATTAAACATATAAATCTATATAATTTTAATTATACTTTTAAATTATCAGAGTTGAACTTTATATAATTTAAATGTATAACAATATATTAATATATTAGTATTTATTGTATCACTATTAAATTAAAGTATTTATCTAATACTAATAAAAATTAATTAACTTTATTTTCTTTTTTTTCAGATAGTAATATATATAAACAAACTCATGTAAATACTTATAATAAACAAATAAAATATTATGAAGAATTAGAACAAGTAATAATTTATTTTTTTATAATATTCTTTTTTTTATTTTTAAAAAAGTTTATAAAATATAAGTTTAAAAATAACAAATATTTATTTTATTCTTATTCTAATAAAAAATATTAAAATTTTATAAACTGTTTATTTTATTTAAACATTAATATTTTGAAACCTAAAGTATCAAATTAAAGATTGACCTTATTAATAGGAATAACAAGTGAAGAATATATTTTTCCTCCTTTAATTATTTTTTATGAATAATTATAAAAAATTATTAATTTTTAAAATTAAATTTATCAATAACTTATTTTTTTTAAATAAAATCTTATTTATTATTTTATAAAATAAATTTGTAATTAATATTATAAATAAATGGCAAATAATAATGATACAAATTATTCCATTTTTTTAGTAAAAAACACAAATAAATTGTATACATTTTTGGTTTTCTTAAAAATGTTTTTAAAAATCTTTAAAAAGTTCTTTGTTTTACTAAAAATTAAATGCAATAAATTTTTGATCAAGTTTAGTACAATATTTATATTATTTTATTTTTATTTGAATCTTATTTGATATTTTTATTTTTTTCATTTATATTTTTTATTTTTTTTTTCTGTTAAAAATATTTATTTAATTTTTTTTTAGACGTTAGGTATTTTTTTTCTTTTAGATATTTGAGTTTAAGCTAGTTATAAAAAAATTTTCTTTATCAAAGAAAAACAAAATGCAATAGTTAGTAATATCGTAAGCTAAGAAAGAGTTAATATATTTAAGTTGAATTTTAAAGTGTAAAAGAAGGCAATTTAGTTATCATTTTAGAATAATTTTGATAGGAAGTATTAAGCTAGGTTTATCAATCAGAAAAAAAAGTTTATGGTTTTTGATGTGATGATGATTTGGAGATTTTGATTTTACCAAAAAAGGCCCAAAATGTATCTAATATTTTTTTCAAAAACTTTCATTTAAATTTGTATGGTAGTCATTTTCATTCGAGAAATAATCTTAAGCAACCACAATTACTAAAAGCGCTCATATCAAAAGATTGAGTTTTTATTAATGAATTAATGATGAAAATTCATTAAGATAGCTTAAAGTTTGGCTTGATTTAGAATCAAAACCTAATTGTGAAAAGAAAAGATATTTACTCCTAATGCTAATGACTTTATTGGGATTAAAAACTATTTTTTATTTCAAATACATTTTAAAGCTTTTATATGAAATTGCTTAATAATTGGCTTGTTTTTGATTAATAAGCAAATTAATAATTATATATTATTACTTTATTTACCTTTAAGCCTGTTTATATCTGCTTTTAATTATTTTCAATATTATAAAAATTAATTAATTTTTATTAGTAAATTTTTATTTTGATTTATTTGCTTCATAAAAAATAAACAAAAATCTTTTTTTATAGTTTTATAAAGCTAAAATCTTAAATTTTTTATAATTTTTTAAAACAAATTATATATATTATTTTATTTATTAAAAAAAAATACTACTTTATTGGATTTATACATTTTATAATATTTTCAAGATTAATTATTTTAATTTAAAGTATCAACTGATTGTTTCTTTTGATTTTTATTTAAGAAGTTTTAGCTGCTCATTTGTGAATTTGAGGAGTCTTAGCTTTCACTTTAATCGCTGTTATCCTCAATTTTATTTTCATCAAATGCACTTTTATACACTATGGATACAGCCTTTTTAAGTACTTTTTATTTACGCTAAATCTATTTTATTTATGAATTAACTATTATTGGTTAGCTTATTTTGTTTAATAGAATTAATTGTTCTGGGATACACAGTTTCTGCATATACTATTCTTCAATAAAGAGCCTCATTTCCATTTTGAGAAGCTTATAAGCAAGGAATGATCTTGACTTATAATATTTTCTATATTAAGGATATTTCTTTGATAATCCTATAAATGATTCTATAGACATAATTAAACGTCTATGTATATATTTATAAGCTTGAGTCTCAAAGAATATTTTTTATAGAGTTTACTTTTATTTATTCCATAAATTATCTAATTCTATTTTATTTATTAAAATTTATAATTAAGTATAAAAATGAAAGATAAAAAAGAATGTACTTTCTATGATTTCAAAATCAAAACTAGTTAGATCGTCGTAGTAATTATTATCTGCAATATTTTTAAATTTAAAGTCATCTATTATTTAATTTCTATTACAAAACCCAACAAATGTTTGTTTATCCATTTTTTATTTGGCGCTAGCTTCTCTAAATTTAAAAAGATTTTGGATTGCTTTATTGCCATCTGCAAATCCAAAATGCTTCTAAATAAACATAAATTGTTCTTCTGTTATCCTCTCTTAGTCATTTAGAGTAATGCATTCAAATATTGGATTATATTGTTTATATATAAATAGAGAGTGATCTTTAAATTAATTTAGTACAAAAGACAAAATTTCCTAAAATATTTACAAAAGAAATATATTTAAATAAGTTGCAAATTAAATTAAGAGAGCTTACAATAAACTACATTTCTTGTTCTTCTGGTTCAGGAATATCAACAAGGTTATCTCTATCATTGATATCATCGTCACTAATATATGGCTTTAGAAGATGCATAACAATATCAAAAATTTTCTTATCTGGAAGATATGAAGATAAAATTGAGGGTAAAAACTTATAAATGAGCGTCGTATTTGTTTTTAATTGAGAATGGATCACTTAAATTTAATTATTTCCTGATTGATTTTCCACTGCTAAATAATAAAGCATCTAGAGATATATGTTTAAATATTCTGGTTAATCGTAAAATTCTTAATTTGATCTGCAAATACCTTATAAAAAACAACAAACCAATTAATTTAATTTTGCAAATTAATCAAAACAATAAAATATTTACCAAGCAGAGAATTAAACATTTATATTTCTTCATAAGATTTTGGGATTATTTAGCATTTTTCAGCAATTTTTTTAATTTTAGAAATACTTGTTGCAGTTTTTGGATCAGCAGAATTTCCTGTAAAAAAATCTCTTAGTAAGATACACAATGGCTTATTTAATTTGTATCCTTTTTTCAAATTTTAAATAAATTCATAGTAAATTGATTATAACATCTTCCTTATTTAAATCACAGTATTCTTATGTGCAATTGCTTTTTTATAATTAAATAAAGTACAAATTATTCATAAATGGAACAAAATAAAAAATACTTACTTTCTTAATTAAATGTTGAAATTTTATTTGAATGTTATTGTAACTACTCTATTGCTTAATACGTTTCAGAGTCTTGGATATTTTATTTTATTAAATAATCTAAGCTTAGAGAATTTTAACTAAATTTCATGCCAGCAGTACTACTTTTTACAATTTTCTTAATTTTTTGTATTGATTTTTTACTCTCAATATATTTTTTTTGATCAACATATTAATTGAGTCCTTAAGAAATGTTCATTTAATTGTTTTGAGCTGGAGTTGAGGCTAAAGTAAATAGTTAAGTTACAATTTAGGATTATCTTCTTTATTGGACAAGATTTTTAGCTTTTAAACTCTCATTCAAATTAGAAAAACTTTAATTTTGCTAAGATTAAAGTATAGGTGAGGGTGCATCTTTTTGACTATGTAACATATTTAGCATTATAGAGGCTCGCTTTTTTATTTGTGTAGCCTGTTTCCTTTAATTTTCACTTTCGTTGATCATATTTTAAACGTTTTAATGGTTTTAAAATGGTTCTTTAATTTGTATAGTTCCAAAGGAAGAAGAACTATGATTTTTTGCTCGCCCTTCGTGCATAGAGCTCACAATATTCTTAGTTGAGGGAGAATTATTCTACTATCATTTTAACAAAAACTTTAAATTAATAAAAATTTAAAATGAATTTACTTCCTCTTCTTCTGTTGAAATATCAAGCTCATCTAATAGTTAATTAATTTTTTTTTAGTCTTTTAATAATTCTTCAATTTACTGATCTTTAACTACTAATTAATTCTTTAGCTCATCATATTCCATGCCTTACTCAACCATATTAATTTAAAATTTTACTTATTTGTTTTAAAGTTATTCTAACCTTAATTTAATCTCGCTCGAAAGAGATTCAAACTACTTTAATGTTTCTCTTGTAATTTCTACAAAATTTGTTATATTTTATTTTGGGTTTCTTGTTTCTATCTTAACAATCTTAGTATAATCTAGTATTTTTTTGAGAAAGATTTTCAATTTTTTTTATGACTCAAATTCATAATCGTTGTCTTGATTCTCGTCAATTTTTAATTCAGGTATGCTTTCTTCTGTGTCATTTGCAACTGCTTAAGATGGAGATTTAAGAAGAGAAGACATTGAAAACAAGCTTACTCTACTCTTTTTTAAACCTTTTATAAATTTTAATAAACCTTTTAAATTGACTCAATAAATACTAATATAATTACTCTGTTTCTTTTATTAAGATATCTGATATTTACTAAGGCTTGGAATATTTAATTCTTCAAGAGAAGTCCTTTTTTGATCTTTACTTTCTTAATAAGACAGCTAATTTGAATCGAATTCTTCAGAGATTTAACCATCAATTTCTAGCTATTTATTACTTGTTGGATCTACTTTTAATTTTTTAAGGTAAACAGTCTTTAGTTTCTCAAAATCCTCTCCTTTTATAGCAGTCATATCTGTTTACACAAATTAGTTTTTTAATTATTTAGGATCTGTTTGAGTTTACTGCTCTAAAACTTAATTTTCTGTTTAGATTTCTATTGATTTTTTTTGGTTTAGGATAACTTGAATTCCTTTACTAGTCTATATAGATATTTATATGAGTAAATTATATTGATTAAATGATTAATTAAGTGATGAATTACCATAAATCTATTGTATTCTGTTTCAGTTTCCTAAGAAATCTTTTTAATTTCCTCTACCTAGGTTCCCTAAGTAAAAAATTTTTTTTAAATTCATATTTATTTAAAATAAGGAATTTACTTTTTCTTCAAATCTTATTTTTCTCCTCTAAAACATCTATTTTATATCTTCGTCATCATCTGCAGATTCATCAGAATCAACAGGTGTTTTCCCTTAACTTATTGCAATAAAAATAAAAAAATTTGTTTTTAATTTTAATAAATTACACAATTTGCTGCATAAATAGCTCAGACTGTTTCTATGTTTACTCCTTTAACTATAAAAGTAAAATTTAATAAATTTTTGTATAAAATAAAATTTTATGTACTTAAATAGATTCTTTTATTCTTTTGAAGTCTAACTTTCTTGATAATAGTCCTTTTGTGGCTTCCATGTATTGCTAAAGGAGGTAATTCTCCTGCTCTTATGGTAGTTTCCCAGTATTAATCATTGCTTGGATGTACTCTTTTGATGTTTCACAATATAAATTGTTGATAGTCTGTTTTTCATTTTTAAGCGCATTACATAACTTTTGCAATCTCTATTTATAATTTAAAATTTTATTTAACTTTGCCTGAATTTAAAAATATTTTACTTTATTTAATTTTTTCTCCATTCTATATTTTTTTATGACTATCTCCAATTAATTTTTATTAGTTATATATTTGTTATTATTTTCTTCATAGTACTTTTATGATAAAATTAATTCATCTTTGTACCTGTTATGCAGTTATTTTATTGAATTTATAGTGTCCCATTCTACTTTATTATTTTCTTTTGAATAAAATTCTACTACTTTCGTTGCTACCTCTACGTGATTATTCCAAATTGTCTAAATTAAGTCTGCTCTATCTTTACATTCAAGAGATATTTATCTAAGTAATTCACTTATGCAAGCATTAAAAACTAGTTGTTGCTAAGTAAATAATTTATGAAGCGATGTATTTTATTTAGCTATTCCATCAAGAGATTATACCATCCACATCTTTATACTTTCTACCTCTTTTCTTTTTGATAAATACTCATTCATTTTATATTGACCTTGGTTCTACTATTTCTGTTTTTATTTTATTTAGGATTAGTGTTTTAAAAAAATATTTTGCTCAAAATAATTAATTTAATTTGATTTGCATTTTATTCAAATGAAATAATTTACTAGTAACCACAAAAAATTCTTTAAAATTTTAGATAGAAATATTATTTATTACCTATTAATTCATATATGCAATAGCAAGGTTATTATTTTTATAAAAAGACAAGTTTTAAGGGGTTATCATCTGTGGTTGTTTATGGACTATTCCATCAATAGCCTCAATGCTATCGATTCATTTGATGTCTAAAGGATTAAATTATTCATTGCCTATAAAAGAAACCATTTGTTAGTTGAATGCTTAAGAAAAATTAGATAATGTTTTATGGTGCATTTTATTTTATTCTTGGATGTTTTTGCTAGAAGATTGAACTGATTTTTTTGAATTAGATTGTAAGTTAAAAGCATAATTATTAGAATTTGTGGCAGCTGATGTATTTGTGTTAAATTCAGAAACAAATTTATTTGATGCGACTGATTTTTCGATATCTAATACAGTTTTTTTTGGGTCTAAAGGAGATTGATTATCAAATGAGTTCAACTAGATATAAAAATCTTATTTTTTCTTTTTACGAATTTCTTCTATGTCATTAATTTATTTTTAAGAAAGTAGCATAGAAGATAATTTATTTTTTTAACTTTTAAATCCTCTAGAAATTGATTAAGAATTTTCATTTCTTTTGATATTCTATTATAATTGAATACTCAAATTATCTGAATCCTTCCTACCTAAAATTCCGAAATATTACTTATCTGTTTCATTAAAAGGAGTTGCTATGCTACTTCTTGTAGAAAAAGGAATTATTTTGCCATTATTTATATTGTTGTAATTATTATAATTATGCTAACTGTTATCACAGGATGATTGCTTAGGAGATTATAGTTTATGTAAAGATTAAGAGTGGTTCATATTCTTAATCTATCTACTATTTACATCCTATCTGTTAGTATACATTTGTTAAGAATATGATTATGAGAATGGTTATGAAGAATGAATAGGCTATTAATTCAGATTTAACAGCTAGCCTTTATTAGATTCTAACAAATTTTTAAGGGTTATTTTCTATATTGAATTGCTATTTTATTTTGCTCGAGATTGCTACCTAGATAAAGTTTACGACAATCCATGATGAAAACGATTTTTATTGACTTGAATTTATTTATTTGATATTTATTACTCTTAGTTGACAGTTTTTATTTTATCTTCTACTGTATTGCTCTCAGGTATTTATTATACAATATTGTTTATATTATCTATCTGCTTAGATTCTACATCTTAAATTTATGCTAAATTTGAATTCTTTTTATTTGGAAAAGAAAAAGATGTTTGGTGGCCTTTGCTTTTTTAGATCTCAACATTATTTGTAGTCTATTCTTATTTACTGAGCATAACATTTTTATCTATTTTTAATTAATTACTATTATTCGTAGGATCTTTAGTTTTTGGTGACTTTCCCTATTTATTCAATTCCAAATCATCATCATCCTCATATATTGCACATATTTTATTATATTTCGTTTCTAAAAAATCACTCTTAAGGCTACTAATTATATTCTACTTAAGGAGCTTTGTTTCATCACTATCCTTATCTATTTTTCCCTAAGGTATTTACTTATTATTTTATTTTGTACTTATACTCTTTTAATTATTTATGTGATCCATTTCTAGTTTTAATCAGATCTATCTATCTATTTAAAAATACCAAAATTAATAATCAGATATTAAGCAAGTATTATTTGTTAAGCAAGTAAATTAGTTTTAAAATCGTTATTAACAAACAATAATTTTTGTTTCTTAGTATATTAAAGCTTTGAAATAACCAAAATATATTATTAAAAAAATATTATGCTAAAAATTTAAAAAGTAAATTAAAAAAAAAAATAATATTAAAATTCGTATTAAAAAATCAAAATTTTTTTTATTTTAATAATTTAGTTATGAAAAATATAGAATTTATTTATTTGTTTTTTTAACATTCAAAAGTATTTATAGTAAATAGTTAATTTATGATTATGTTCATTTAATTAAAAGCTAAAAACTTTTATTATAATTAATCAAAAATATTCTTAAGAATTGTTTTATCTCTTTATTTTAAACAAATATTCATTTTTATAAATTATCTTTATAAAATTCAAATATTTTTCTATTCTTTATAGTAATCATTTGCTAAAAATTTAGATTTTAATTTATTTCATTGAATTAAATGTTAAAAACACAGAAATTAGTGAATTCTATTAAATATAATTAGAAAGATAATTAATTGTATTATTATTGTGTAATATTGAAATTTTTTTAAGGAAATGTTTTTAAGTTTATAATAATTGAATAGATAATATTACTATAGAAAAAATATATTGAAATATTAAATTAAGTTTTTTTTAATCAAATTTCTAATCTATTTATAGGATTAAGTAAATTAAAAATTAGATTGGAAAAAAATATTTGATTCAAGGATTTATTTTATGATTGATATTAAGATTTGAATAACTATGTTAATTAATTTTTTTATTTTCATTAAAATTATGTAAATTTTGTATCATGAAAATAAATTTATTGCAATTTTTATGAAAAATAAATGGGAAAATAATAAAAATTATTTTTATACAAAAAAAGTATTTTATAAAATTGAATTAAAAGTAAAAAAACTGAATGCAAATTTAAAATAATTCAATTAATTTCTAAAATAGATTTGTAATATCAATCAATCTTTAAATAATAAAAATGGTTTATTTAAATTAATATAGATTAATTAGTAAAGGTAAAAGAAATTTGTAATTGTTCTACAAGCTTGCTTGAGTTCTGAAATTTGACCATCCTTAAAATGTCCAGAAAAATCAAAGAATTTTTTATAATTAAATAAATTTTGTATTTTTTGGAAAAATCTAATTTGTAAAAAATCTAAGTTACTAATATATTTAAATAATATAGAATAAGGATTAATTTCTAAAACTCAAGCAAGTAAAAAAAGTTAAATTTAACAAAAGGAAAATATAATTGAATAAAATAGGGTAATGGATGAGTAAGAATTAAAGATAAATGGGTAAATAAAGATAATAAATTCATAAATAGAAGGTGAGTGCTATATCTAAGAAGTATACGCTCTCAAATAATAATAGTACAAATAGTTCTTAGTAATACTCCTCAACATAATTACTTTTGGAGGCTACTACTTGTTAGAAAACTGGTACGAAAGAAGCCTCTTGAAGCTTAGATACTGCTATACTGATGATATTAAACAAGCCACTCATTTCCTGATAGTTTAGCTAGACAATACGTTTCAGATAGTTAAACGTAATGATATAATGATACCAGAGGAAGAAAGTAATTTATTTTAATAACAAGCAAATCAATTTAAAATATAAATCTCTTAGAAAAAATAGTTAAAAGATAAAAAATATAGAACACCACTAATTTCTATCAAAAATTAGTAAATATTTGATTGTTTTTTATTTTATTAAAATGGTAGATTTTGAGATTCAATTGTAATCAGCAATATCTTTTGATAATAGGTAAAAAGTTATAATTAATTTCATTTCGTTTAATTTTGAACAATTAAATAAACATATCATAAACAAAGGAATAAAATTTATAATTTATTTTTTATAAGGCATTTATTTTTAAAATAATAAAATTTCAACTGTTTTTTTAAATTATTTTGGGTTTATTGTAAAAGGTTTTTGAGATATATCTATAGTGAAGAAGAGAAATACTTTAAATGCATTCACTTTAATTACACTAACTTTTTGGAAAAGAATTAACTAGGAAGAAAGGGATTGAATTAATAACAGCTTTAACTCTTGGAATAGTGCTATGGTAAATGTATCATGTAAATTCCTATACCAAGTTACTGGAGCTATTTGCACAAAGAGTTAATAAATCCCTTCTTTATGTTCTAAATATTCAGTGTGTGCATATGGGCATACGATGATTATTATGCTTTTTGTATAGCAATTACTTTGATTTTGAGCATTTCAACTGCTTCTAACATTTGCTAAATTCGTAGCAACTTAGCTTCTTTCACTAAAATTGCCTTTTATGAGACTGAAATTATGATTAAAAGAGATAAAATTGAAAAATAGACATCTTCTAATATACTCCCAGGAGATTTATTTTACATCAATGGTATAATTTATTAATTTAGTAGGGATAATAGTTATTTATGTGATTTTATTATTAGATTAAATGAAAGTTCCTTGTGATTGCATTTTAATATAAGGCTAGGCACTTGTTAATGAAGCTAGTTTGACAGGTGAGTCCGTTCCAGTTTTAAAATACAATTATGAATTTAATGAAGAAGTAGATAAAAAGTGTATTTTATACGAAGGAACTAGTGTTATATAAATATAAAATAATACTTCTGAACACGGATGCTTAGCTTTAGCTATTAGAACAGGGTTTACTACTCATAGAGGTTAACTAGTAAGATCTATTCTATTTCCTAGACCTCACTCTTTTAAGTATTTTAAATAAATTATTACAATTTTTCAAACTTTCTTTCCAAAAATAGATTTTATGAAGAATCAATCAAATTTTTGAAATTCTTATTTGCTCTCACATTTGTTGCATTTGCTATTCTTCTTCCTAGACTTTATCAAACAATGGAATTGCACTACATAGCTTTGAAGCTAACAGATTTACTTACTGTAACAGTTCCTCCTAGTTTACCTTTTGCATTACAGGTTGGAGTTGTATTTTCTATGTAAATGCTTAAACAAAAAAAAATTTATTGCATAAACTCAGAAAAAGTAATTAATTATTAAGTATTCAAACATAAATTTTATGCTTTTAAATAATATTTTAAATGAATTAACAGGTAGTAGTAGGAGGTAGAGTTGATACAGTAGTTTTTGATAAAACTGGTACTTTAACTGAAGATAGAATGGATTTAAAAGGATTTTTACCTATTGATGATAATGGGAACTTCTTTAAAAATGAACTTGTAAAGGAAGATATTTTGAATGTTTTTTAAAAAGAAAACACTTAGCATATATCCAAGTCAATGTAAATAAGTTTGAATTGTATGGGATCATGCCATTCTATAATGATAAGAAAAAACTAGTAATGTTCTCCAAAGTAAGATGCACTATAAAATAATTATAAGAATCATTTAATTGGTGATCCTATGGAGATATAATTACTTAATATATCAGGATGTAAATTGTATGCTAATGGCGACATTTCCAGTTCATTTGGTTAGTAATTTAAAATAATTAAAACACTTGAATTTTCTAGTGAGAGATAAAAAATGACAGTTATTTGTGAAGACAAATCAGAATTAATCTAAGAAAACAAATTTTTGTATGTATTTTCCAAAGGAGCACCAGAAGCAATACATAAAATTTGCAATAATTACCCAAAAAACTATAATAAAATGCTTGATAAATACACTTAGGAGGGATTAAGAGTTCTTTCACTTGCTTATAAAAAGCTACCATTTTCTTTAATAAGTTAATTCCAGTAAAACAGTTCATAAAATACCGATCAAAACAATTCAAATGTTAATACTAATAATCTATAGCCAGAGTCTATAGAGAGTGAAATGAATTTTTTAGGATTTGTATTTTTCGAGAATCCTTTAAAAGAGGCAACAGCTTAAACACTTTAGTAACTAAAAGAGGCTAAAATAAATATAATAATGGCCACTGGTGATAATCCATAAACTGCTCTTTCAGTAGGAGAGAAATGCCATTTCTTTGACTTTGAGGATAACGTCACTTTTATCAATCTTGCACAATTAGGAAATAACAAAAGACTAACTCTTACTAATAGTAAATTCAATACATACGCAGAAGTATCAGAAGTAGATGAATTAGATGAATACCTTTCAGATGAGCTATCCTCATTTAATTCTACTGATTCTTAAGAAAACAAAGATTAATCTGAGTAACCTTTTGGTAAAGATAAAGAATAACTCAAATTATTAAAATCTTTAAAGCAAGCAGAAGAATTAAATTCATAAGGCAGGCCTAGAGATTTAATAAGCAAAAATGAAAATGATGAAAGAAAAAAACTATCAAATAAGGAATCCAGCTAGGTAGATGATATTGAATTGAAAGATAATATTTTAATTTAGTAAAAATCTAGTGGTAATAAGAGCTAAACAAAAGATATTCTTAATGGCGAGATAAAGTAAAAATGTAAGGTGAATGAAAAACAAGACTAACTTTATATTTGTGACAAAAATTCCACAACTTCCTCATCATAGAAAATTGGAGATGAGTCTATAGATATAGAAAATGATTAGTAACTAAATAAGTAGTCTAATAGTAATAGCAGTGAAGATTTAAAAGAAGAACCTGATAGTTTACATTTGCCAATTTCATAATATGTATTGGACTCATTTATCAGAGAGGCTTTGGTAAAAATTTGATAATTAGAAAATGATTTATTGATTTTTTTTTTTATAGAATTAAAAGTCAGAAGGTTTTGTTATGAATGGAGCTGTTTTTGATGAAATATACTTTAAAGGTGAAATTAACGATTTATCCCTTATGCTATTAGAAAAAACAAGGATTTTTGCTAGAATGAAACCAAACCATAAGACATATTTAGTCGAATTACTTTAAAAAAGAGTAACTAATTAATATAATTTTCATACAAATTAATTTATATCCATATTTTAATAATATTAAGCAAAAGGCTGTGGCAATGGTTGGAGATGGTGCAAACGATTGTGGTGCTTTAAAATAAGCAGATATTGGATTAGCACTTTCTTAATTAGAAGCATCAATTAGTGCTCCTTTTAGTGGTGAATGCATTTCAAATATCATAGAAGTGCTTATTTAGTGCAGGGCAGGACTCAAAACTGCATTTAATAATTTCAATTTTATAGCCATGTACAGTATAGTATAATTTACAACAACAACTATTTTATACTACTGCTTTTCCATGTAATCTGATCTTTAGCTTCTTTACATCGACATCCTTGTTGTTTCTTCCTTAATCTTAACTATGGGTACAACTAATTAATTAAGTAATATAAACAGTAAGTTATAAATTAATTTATTTTAAAAGGTATGACAAGCGCTTCAAATAAACTTTCAATGCAACTTCCAGACCAATCATTGATTTCTTTGAAAAACATGCTTTCTCTTGGTGGTCATACTCTATTAAATATAATTACATAATTGGTAATATTATTCTTGCTATCTAAGCAAAGCTTTTTTGAAGGAATAGAAGCTAATAAGTAGTTTTATGAGAAGGAAGATATCATGACTTGGAATTCCTCGGAGGTTTCTACTCTCTTTCTCTTTTCTAATTTTATCTATTTAGCTTTATCAATATGCTATTCAGATGGAAAGCCATTCAAAAATAACTTCTACACGAATAAAGTAATCAATTATATCAATTTAATATTAATTTTAATCTGTTTCTATTAATAAAGCTTTTTATTTGCAACTTTATGGTACTTTTAGCCTATTGCATTTAAATGTGCTTAGTTCCATCTCTCAATTACTACTATTTCTACATCAACACATCTATGTCTTTTTCTTGGTGTTCATTTATGTGCATAGCAGGTATTGGTTATATACTTTTAAGTTATTTCTATGAGAATACTCTCTTAGGTATAATTTATGCTGCATTATAAAAAAAGACAAAAAAAGAATGAATAATATCAGATAAGATTGCTAGTATAAACATATAATATTGATATTCTTAGGAAAATAATCTTATCATAAGCTATAGTGTTTTATTTGTTTTTTATGTTATAAATAGTATTGAAAAAAACATTTATTAGACATTTTTATGAGAGGAATTTACATTTTATACAATTATTATTATTTTAAATGTTTAAACTCCAAATCATACTTACATAAAATATTATTTTATGAAGTAGATTTAAGTAAAATAAAGATTTGGAAAAGCTAAAAAAATAAATAATTTTAGAAAAAAAAATACATGAGTTAAAAAGAAAGTATAATTATAATGTTTTTGTATTTTATTATTGTTGATTTTAATTTGGCTAATAATACACTTTTTAAGTTTTCATGGAAGCTCTTGAATTTTAGAGTTCTGCAAAGGATTCAATATTAAAATTAAAAATTTACCGCTTGCTTGTAGGATTTTTTGTAGGGATTTCATTAAGTTGTTCCCATTAAATTCTAAACTGGCTACTATCTCTAATTTCTTGTAAATATCATAAAATCATTTGTTTAATTACATTATTAGTTCTAATTACTTATTTTAAAATATTTCAAATATCAATAGCAAATAGCGAAGGAAACTCTATTTAAAATTTAGTTTATTATCTGCTTGAAGCTTTCTTCTTTGTTTCAGCTGCTCCGCTTGCAATTATGAGTGATAATGTCCTTATTATTTCTGCATGCCTTCTTGTTTAATTGATGTTTTACATAATTGTCATTGCAGCTTTATAATTCTTCGCATCAAATATCTTCTTGCAGTAAATTTTTTATCTCTTACAATTAGACAAAAGGAAGGAAAATATATTATTTTTAATAAATAAAAGATATTTCATTACTATATTTTTTGCCTTAAGTAGGTCTATTCTCTTTGGTAGACTTCTAGTTATGATGAAAAATTGGTATAGTAATAAAAAGCTAGTACTTTGTGTTGGTTTAACCTACTTCTTAAATGAATTTTTCAGTATACTAACAGTTTATTGGGACCAAGGAATTGCAAATTAAGGTATATGATATTTGTGTTATTATTTTTTCATTTTATTATAGATTTAAATAATAACATAAATTAAAATTTTGTATTGCTCATTTTAAATAAATGATTTGAAGATTCGCTTTAAAAAGTAGTGTTAATTATGAAGGCTTTAAAATGTTAATTTAAAATTAATGTTTTAGATTTTGTGAATTAAAAAAATTTTTTAGCTTAAATATTTTAAATATTTTAACTTCAAAATTAATTTATTACTTTTAAATTTATATTAGAAATAAATGATGTTAAAGACAGAATTATGTTTATTTGTTTACTACTTAGTACAATATTAGGTTTAATTATCCAGGGTAAACCTAGTATTATGGGGTTAAGTATTGTTAATGAAGATGATGAAGGCTAGTAAGATCAGAGTGAAGCTAATTAAGAATAGAAAAAGGAAAAACATTAGAATTAATAAGGAGGAATTATTTAAAATGTTTGGGGACTGAACTAATCATTTGTTAAAAAAGTTTATGAAGATGATAACGATGCTCCAAAAATAAATTTTTTTAAATAGCTACCATAACTAAAACATCTGCTTTTCTTTTTTATATCTTCCATTTGCTTAAAATTATTTGATTGGTACACAAGAAATTAATTGTTAGGATCACTTTAGCCATTTATTGATCAATAAGATTTCAGTAAATATATCTTTTATTTAGGAATGTTCGGATTGGGAGGTATAGGTGGGATAGTTGCTCTTGGAATAATACTTGATGTCCGTAACCAAGAATTTACACTAAGAATGGCTATTTGCAGTGCTATAGGATTATCAATTTCCTATATTTCTTCATTGCTTTACTATTATGGTATAATTCCTTAATTAGCTTATGAAATACTTGTTGGAGCCTTTGAATTTAGCTTTTACTGCACCTATTAGGTTGGAGTACCTATTGTTTTGGTTTTTGATCTATTGAGATATGGTGATTTTTCATATTTAATTATTCCTATATTCTCTGCTTTAGATAGGATAGTAAATGCACTGTTTAATATATTTAATAAAGAACCATAAAATTGGACGGATTCAAGCACTGTGGTATAACCATTGTGCATATCTTTGATGTTTTTAAGCTTGATGATTTAATATCTAAAGGATAGACAGCGCTCCTCTAAAAATTTTTAGGAATAACTTGATGAGGACGATGAAGATGAAGTTTAAGGAAAAAATACCAACAATTTACTTTCAGAAATATTAGAAGATAGAAAAGGTGATGGTGATTAATCCAATCTCAATCGAAGCACTTCTAAGAATCTTACAAAAAACAATTTTAAAATCTAAATATCCAGTGACGATGCTTTGAGCTAAGATATTCACGAGCACTAATTTAAGAATAGTTTGGAACAAGATACTAAATTTGTGATTGAAAAAAGAAATGTTTCGTTGAAGGATAATATTTCTTCTGATTTTGAATGAACCACAAAAATTTTACCTTTTGAGAACAAAATGATTGGAATGTAACATTGTGATAATTTCATCTCAGAATTAATAAAAAAATAACGTATTAAATAAACTTTTTATAAAAATGTATAATATTATTTTCCATTTTCAAATAGACTGAAAAGTGATTTTATTCGTTGATATGATTAATTTGCATTTTTACTAGCTGGATTTTGACAAAATTAATAAAATTTGTGGCATTTTTTAAGTATTCTATAAATAATATTTTTTTCTGGTAAAAATCAAATAAACCTTATAAATCACAAATTTTACATTATTAATAAAGTAGTGTCTGTATGTATGTAGCCTTATATATGTATAAAATTAAATTTTTAGGCTAAAGGTATTTATTAAATATTCAATACCAACTTTTTACATTTTTAAAAGATATTGTTTTAGATTTGTCATTAACTCAATATTTTTTACTGAACATGTTAATGGGTATCATCAGTTTTAAATATATCGATGCTTTTATAAAGCAATTTTAGATATAAGCAGCAAATATCAATAGTAGTACGGATACACATTTATAGAGGAGTAAATTAAATTTAGATTAAATTAAACAATTAATCAATCAATTAATTCATGCAAACAAACCTTAATGAAAAAATAATTTGTTTTGAAAATAAAAATTTAGTTATAATGTAGATTCAGTTTTATTACTTAAGTAATTTTATTAAATTTAATTAACGATACATAAACAGATCATTTATGAAGGGAATTCAAAATTTTTGCTTTAATGTGTTAGATTTTCTTTACATTTTAAAAATATATCATTTAGTTTGATCTTACTTTTTAATTAAAAGAGGGAGATGGAAGAAAGAAATTATGAGAGTTAATAAAGAAAAGATAATAATTAATAATACAACAATTACAATTTCTGTCTAGCTTTTCCTCTGATATTTATTTATTCAATAAAAACCTTAACTTGATAGATAGAAATTAAAAATTTGAAATCTGCTAAAAAGTTAATCAACTTGATTATAATTAAATCATAAAACAAACAAAAAATTAGTTTCAAGTCATTTGATAAATAAAAAAATTATTAATTTTAAGCAAACTGATCCAAATCTTTACCTGAATATTATTTAAAAATAACATAATTATTTAAAATAATAAATAACACTAAAATGCAACAAGTAAATATTTACGTTAATTTATTTATTTTAAAATAGCCAATTCATCTTGAAGATATTTAAAATTTTCATGCTAAAAAACCATTAAATAATTTACTTAATTTTATCAATCAATAACTAATTTTTATAAATAGAAAACACTATTACAGATTTTGCAGTAGAACTTAGAGTTAGAGTGTTTCTAAAAATTTAAGCTATTTAAAAATATTTGCTCTTAAATATTGCTAATTCATTATTAGAATAAAGCTTACAAATATCTTTGCCCTGAAAACATCTTTGTTGATGACAATATGAATGTAAGATTACATTTTATAATAATTTTTTATAAAGCTTGATGAAATAATTATTTGTAGGTAACTCTGAGAGAATTTAATGATGACTCTAATGTTTAAAGTGAGCACTAAGACTGGCTTTTTTAAAGTCCTGAACTATAAATGTCATTTAAAGATTCTTAAAATAGCTCAATTACATAAAAAACTGACATCTGGTCTATAGGGTTGTTACTTAATGTTGTTTTTACTTTGAAAAATTTAATTTCAATGAGAGGAAGGATAGGTTTTTCTAAAAATTCAGAATATTTTTTCGAAATAATTCCCATATGCATGAAAATAAAACCTGAAGATCGTCCTAGTTGCTTTGAATTAGTATCCTTTTTAGAAGATTTTGAAAATAAATACTTAAAATTGCATCTAAATGAAATGAAATAAGCTCATGAAAGCTTTAAAAGAGAAAGATAAATTTCTTCAACAATTAAAATATAGAAATTAGATCTCATAGAAAATGATGGTATTTTTTATTTTTATTTCTATTAATTGATTTGAAAATATCTTAATTTTTTTAAATTACAGATAATTTTTAATTTAAATTTATTATTCTTATTTATATTTTTGTTTTAAAAGATAAAACTATATATTTTTTTTCATAATTAAAAAAAAGACGAGTTAGAAATTAGAGGAAATAATATTGAGTTAGAAGATTTAAAGTTAGAATATAAAAATTTTTCTTTTCATGCCAAATCAAAGAATAGTAATGAACACTTGTATCTTTAAATATAAGATAGACCTTTGAAGCTTAGTTAAAATAAAATTATTAAAGTTGATGATTATGAGATTCAAGTATCCAACTTAGATAATTAAGAAGGAATAATTACATTAAAAACTACTTAAGAAAATGTTTCGTTTGAAAGCTCTTTTAAAATCTAAAATGGTCAATATATAACTATTGGTCCAGACCAGGATGATCAAATCCATCTATTTGGTTTAAATAATGATAGTTCACTAAAAATTGAAAAATTGATAGATGGGTTTTATATTGTATAATAAAGTAGCTTAACTGATAGCAGTAGTAGTCTAAGCTCAACTGACAGTGGAAGAGTTTACTTAAAACTTGAACATGATACTCCTATCTAAAATCAAAGCATCATTTGCAGTGAAACTCAAAGATATTTTATTAAATAAATTTGCTGACTTAACAATACGTACAATAGCTGCTTTATAATAAAATAAAAAACTACTATAATAAATTATTTATATAACTTAACTATTAAAAACTAAAAACTAAAATAATTAAATAATTTAGTTAATAAAATTATTTTACTGTAATTTATTTGTTCATTTATTTTTATTTTTTATTTTCAATTCATTTAAACCATATATGAACTGATCATGTTGACCAAAAAATTAAAATTTTATGTTTTATTGCAATAATTAAATAATAAAAATTTTTAGCAATTTAAATTTTTGGATATATTATTTTGATAGAAATATTTTTTAAAAATAATAAAATAATACAACAATTTACTATTTAAAAAATGCTTGATCACTGATACTGAGTGATCAAGCAAATAATTTAAAATGGAATCTTAAATAACAAAAATTAATTTATTATTTATTTATATTTTAAGTAGTACGTGGAAACAAACAAATTTATAAAAATTACAAAAACTCTGCTAAAAATATAAAATTGAGAATTTATCAGAGTTGGCAATTTGATTTTTGTAAAGATTTACAACATTGATTATATATTTATAAATTTTCTTCATATATTTTTATTTACTTTAAAAATTAATTATTTATTATATTATTTAGCTAATTATTTATTTATTTATTTTTTGGTTTATTTATGATAATAAAAATTCACAAAAGATTTAAAAATATAATGAAAAATACTTACGCATATTTATTTACATATTAAGTAAATTTTTAATCTATTATTAAAATATTTAATTTTTATCCTTCCTGTATTATGTATTTAGTTGCCTAATTTTTTATTGCTGATTATTTTTGTAATTTTTTTTTATTATTGATTGACAGATAGATAGATATATATTATGGTATTGACTAAATTTTACTCAAAATATTGAACATTCTCCTTTTTCTTTTTTACCTTTTCCATCTTTCTAGCTAGCTTATTTTGGTTATACAGCTGCATTATTGCTATATTACTACTATTGTGCCTATTATTAATTATATTGTTATTGCATCTGATAATTGTTTTATTGCTGATTGTATTACTGTTATTGAATATTATTTCCCTACTTTAATTATTATTGTTATTGTTAAATTTGCTATTGTTGCTACTAGTAGTTTCCTTTGTAATTATTCTGATTTTATCCATAATACTAATTTTAAGGATAATACTGTTATTATGGAGCTTATCCAAATTAGTTTTGACCTTAGGGTTATTGCTACTAGTAATAATTGCTAATTTCATTTTCCTCTCCTTTGTCAGATGTGTCATCTGGCATATTATCTTTTGAATCATCGGATTCTTGGTTTTCTTTAATAAACTAATCTTCATTTGGAATTAACTCAACTGTAATTGGTATTTTAGCAGTAAATGTAGGGTTGCGGCTACTTAATGGAATAAGTATCCAATCATATACATAATCAAACTAATATCCTTCCTTTACAAACCTTTCTTTGAATATCTTTTTTAAATATGTGTAATCGGGTTTATCTTCAAATTTTAAATTTCTGCAATAGTTAATGTAAATTGCAAACTCAGGTGGAAGTCCTTTGCAAAGTTCTTCAACAGGAATGCTGGTTTTCATTTCTAAAATCATCTGTTATTTTTAATCACGTGAATTCGTTTTAATTCCTTACCAAGGTAAACTTCCTTTTAAGAAATAAATAAGTATGTAGCCTAAACTCTCCAAATCATCTCTTCTACTTTACTCATATCCTTTATGAGCATTTAAACTTGCATACCTGCATGTACCTATAATTAAAAATTATTAACATAATTTTCAAAGTTTAAAGCCATTTTATAGGTTTAAAAGGATTAGATAATATCATAACGAAAGAAATACCTATTAATGGTTTTTTATCTCTGAATTGAATATGCTCATGAGTTCTTGAATCTCTATATCTCTTAGACAATCCGAAATCAATAGTAAATATATTTTTAGACTTTTTGCCTAATCCAACAAGGAAATTTTCTGGCTTCATATCTCTATGAACGTAAGTTTTAAAGTGAATATATTCTAGATTTGAAATTATCTAATCAGCAATCATCAAAGTTGTTTTCAATGATAGCTTCTTGTTACATAAATTAAATAACTCTTCCATATTTTAGCCTAGTAGTTCCATTACAAGAAAGTTATAATCTCCTTCTTAACCACACCTATAATTACAAAGTTTAATTTTTAATTGTCTATTGAATTTTATAGTATAGTTACCAATGCATATTTGGAATTCCTATACCTCCTTATAGGTTTTACATGATTTTACCTTCATAAAGAAGCTGTTTTAATTTATAAAAATAACAATTTAAGTATTTAAAATATAAAAGCTAGTAAATTGAAATATTTGTAATAATTTTGAGTTATGCTTAGCTTTTATTTGCATATTAATTAAAATAGATTTAATTTCATTAAAATTACTTAAGGGTGTCTACTTTTAATTTCTTCCATCTTGACTGCTACTTCAGTATTTGTCTAAACGTTTTTGGCTAAGTATATAGATCCAAAGGAACCTGTTCCTATTCTTGATCCTAATTTATAACGCCCACAAACTCTTACTTCAACTATACTCATTTATTTTGTTCAAATATACTTTTATTAATAGAAAATAAACAGAATAATATTTTTATTTTTATTATTAACAAACAAAACCTTATTTGCTTATTTAAAATTTCTCTACCAATTTATTTCTAATTAAAGAAAATTTAAAATAAGTTAAAAAAAAAAATATTGTTAAGCAAATTATTGATTTAACTCAAACCTAAGAAATGATGTTTGCTTTAAATTATTGATGCAAAATAAAACTATAAAAATAAAAATTATTTCTTACAAATTTTAATATTTATTTTAAAACAATGATAATCAAATATAAAAATAAATTTTAACAACAATTTTTTAATAAAATTTTTCTGAATTATGTTTTATTTGTTACTTATATATATTTATATTTATAATATCACATTTTTTTATCATCCTTGTATTCATTTACTAGCTAGATGGGAACAATAGGATCTATTGGGAATTCCTAATTAAATTAAAATAATTATGTTGATTTTCATTATGAAAAATATTTAGATTTTAAAAATTGTTTTAAAAAAGATCAAAAATATTATTTACTCTTGGAACATTTTCAGAGAACATTGAATATTCTTCGTATATTTTCATAATTATAACCAAATCTACAACAAAGTCACTGTTTTTAGCTGCATCCTTAGTATTTTGCATAAAATTAAAGCTAGACTTTATGAAATAACCTATAAGCCCAGTAAATATTTCCTAAAATATAACAGAAGTTTAAGAATATCTTTTTAAAATTATAATATCAATTAATTACCTAAACAGATGGATGGAATTAATTCATAAATACAATTATGCCATTTAGTAAGTAATTAGGCTCTAAATTAATCCTTTCTGATTTTTTAGCGATCAAGCTTTTTAGTTAGTAACTATAATCCATCAAATTTATCTAAATTTTTAAAAATAAAAAAATATTTTAATGCTTAATCTAACTTATTGTAAAACTACATTATTAAGCACAAGACCAAGCATCATTAATGAAAGTCCTTCAATTGGTTCTGTAGTTAAATAAACCTTCTTAATTGGGTCACTTATACCTACATAGCTGAAAAGTTTTGTTGTATCAAACAATAATTCGTTTTACTAATTAAAAAATATATGATTTTTTAATATTAGTTAATTATCAAATATGTTAATAAATACCTTTTCTTATGCTTCAACTGTGTTCATAGCCTCTGTTGTAGGTCTATTTAATATATCGTTTATGATAGAATCATTTAAAGTTTCAAGTGATAAAAAGAGTCTGTTTGAACCAACTTTAGCCTTTATTTGCAATTACAAGCAAATAAGTCTTCTAAGAAGAACCATCTGCCCAATTTTTAATATTTTATCTTAGATTGCATTTGAAATTTGTTTAAATCTATTTTTGATAAAATATTATAGAATCAAAATTGAGAAATAAAATTAATACATTTTTTTTGTGCTCTAGATTTGCTTATCAAACTTTTCAGTGAACTGATTTAAATCTTTGATACTTTGAATTAATTCAGCAAGCTCAGCCCTAAAGAATAATAGAAATTTATATTTTTATCATAAATATTAAATTCAAATTACTTTGTTTCAGTGTTTAATTCTTTTTTAATCTAACGAATAACAGTTTTTATTTGAGAAGCAATCATAAATGAGAACAATTGATCTAATCCATTTAATCCACCTACACCAACACATCTGTAAAGTAAGTCTAAAATATATAGGTAAAATAATAGATAAATAAATATTCATTATAAATTTAAATTATATAAGTAATTTATACCCATAGTTTTTAGACTAATAATTTCTGTTCCTTTAGAATAGTGATAAAAACCTAAATTCTATTCAACGTAAACACATTATCTATAATCAGTGATTCTCATCAATTCTCTTAATAGTCTACCCATAAAGTTAACTGATCTATTTTTATATATAAGAGTAGAAACATTTTAACAAGCTAGATATAGAAAATTTAATTAATTACCCTTGCTTTTCCATAACGCTTTTATCAGGCATAGGAATATCATCATCATAAAGCAGTTCTTCATAGTCAAGCTTATTAGTAACAAATGCAATTTATTCCATATCTATGTAAGTTAAAATTAATCTATCAAACTCTTCATGGAATATCTTCAAACCAAAGTTTCCAATAAAATCCTAAATATATTCAAGTGCTCTTTTAAATCCTGAGAGATGCTCTGCTAGATTAAAAAGGGTAGTCTAGAATTAAGTGATGTCGCTATTCTATAATAAATTTAATAATAATTATTCTATCAAAATATTTCTATGAGCTTGATAAAAGAAAAGATAATTACACTTTGGAAGATAAGTCTTTAATCTAGTTGTTTACAGATGCATTTAATAAGCTCTTTTCTGATACCATCATCTAAAATTTCTTTTGGATTAATTTCTATAACACCCTTTTATAAAATTAGAAAATTTTATAACTTAAAATTTAACTATATTTAAATAATACAATTAAGTATTTTTCCATAGAGAGAATAGATTCTGTAAATAAGGAAATTTTATATGTGTAGTCAGCCATCTTAGATCTATCTTCAGGTTATAAATATTCTTTAAGTTCTTCCTTCTTTAGTTTAGGAGGTAGTTTCTTCATACTATTTGTAAGCAAATTTATGATGTTTTGGAGGATATCAAATACACTAATAGGTATGATCTTTATTAAAAAAATTTACATGAGAAACCAAAAAAAATAATATAAATCAACAATATACCTAAAGGACGTTTTTAACAAATTTAATGAGTAAGCCAGAGTAAAATTTAGATACACTGACCAAATCATCACTTTCGGATTGGACTATTCTAACCATAGGTGTATTAAGAATAGATGAAAGTTTCATAAAAGTAGTCTTTAAAAGTAAAGAAAGCTATGGATTCTTTTTAATTTTATCTTGCATGTTTGTAACATATATACCCTGTAAGGATTGCCATGAATATGTGATATCCTATTATTTTAAATATGTAAAGCTTTGTAGTTAAATATCAAATAAGTAATTATACTGATATTAAATCTATGTGAGTTAGGTATTCTTCTTAAATATTGACTATTCTAACCATACGTTTTAAATCCTTCTTTGTATCTAGTAAGTACTATTTAATTTGAATGTTTTCAGACATTACATTATATTGCTCTATATCATCCAAAGCTTCTGTTAGCTATTTAATCTTTCTTCCTGCATAAGTAATATCTTCAAAGGATAGCCTTTCAATTTAGTTTTTCATTTCAGTAAACCATGCTTCAAAACTTTTATTTGCCTAAATTTCTTAAAGAGTGGAAGAACCTCCAAAGTAATTGGTTAATTCCTCCATTCTTTTGCAGCATCTCTTCTTATCTTAATCCCATCTGGGTACTTTTGTATCAATGAGGTTTTTCAAAGATGTCTGATTAAATTTTATAAATTAAATTTTTTTACTAATTAATTTTAAATTACTTTAAGCTTTTCCTCAAACTTTGAACTTAACAGTAAAAGTTGCAATATATCTTTTTAGCTGATTTTGTCACATATAGCTTTTGCTTTTTTGTTAGTGGTATTTTTATGCAACATCAACCATCTCACTGTGATATTACACTCTCTAAGACAAGAGAGTAGATTCTAAATCTTATCAAGGACGTACTCTTCATTGAGGACTCCATCATTCAAATATTCTTTACATTTTAGATAGGCTTTTGAAAGATTTTCTTGAAAATATTTAACTAATTATGGTATATATTCTAAATCAAAAATAAATCCTAAAGCTTCTTTTGCGGCCTATAAGGGTTAAAAAATATTTAATTTATTAATATTTTAAGTAATGTGTTAAAAAGTAAATCTGTACATTATAACGAGCCCACTCACTAGTAAGGTCAACTGTGTAACCAAGATAAAAAGCTATAACCCAATTATCATAAAAGTGCTTATCGACTATTTCTCTCATTAATTACTAATATTTCAATAAATTTATAAATAAAATTATTTTTAAAGGAATTCACATACTTTTTTAGAGTTAAGAGTATCATGTACAAAATAGAGAAGCACATAAGCCATACTTGCTTGGGCAGCATATGCAAAACTTCTATGATCTTTATCAGGATAGGCAGTTTTATGCTTGTAGATATCTTATTCTTTGATTTAGTATAATATCTAATCTATCAACTCATCTTTATTATTAATAAAATATTAAGAAAAGTAATTAGCCTGTGTATTCTTCATTAAGTTAATTTAATACTCTTAAATGGGAATCTATCGAATAAAAAATCTGGATATTCAAGAGGTCTTTTTTCTTCTCCATTATTATATATTGCTGGTAAGTAACCTGTGTTAGCTGTAAGCTTTATGACTTAATTTATATTTTCTTGAGCTGATTATCCACCCTAAAATTTTTAATTAAAAATCCATTAATAATGTATTTGAATAACTCAATAAGAAAATAATGTCAAAATTATTTTAAAAATATTAATTGATTATTACTGAATATCTGTAGAATGCGATAACAATACGTTCTCTAACAGGACCAATAATAAGTCTTTCCATAAGCAAAAGCATGCAACCAAACAAATAAAAGGCTTCTGTGATTAATTTTTTGCCTTCTGGATCTTACAATATAACCTAAAAAACATATTAATATAAATATCTATTTATTTATTTTAATTTACCTCAAAACTATATTAGATATAGATGGCCTCTTAAACTTGCTCAATAAAAACGTTCAAATCTTTATGATAGAGATAAATACCTTTTTTAAAAATAAATTTTTTAGACATATAAAATGTTGATGTTAATAATGAATTTTATTAAAATTGTTTTGATATTTAAGCTTAATTTTGTAAGAAAATATTCTTTTATATCATCAATGTAATAAAATACTAAATCTTTACTCTCAAAAAGAATATAGAAACGCTGCAGCAATTCCATATAATTGCTTTTAAATAATTCATCTAAATCTACAAGATCCTAATTTATTTTTAAAATAATTATCGTCATTCAAGGTTCATAATTACAATAAAGCAAATTATTTATTTATGATTCATTCAATCCATGTTTAATGTTTTTTTTTCATAATAAAATTGAGTAATATATTACAGGATTTTTTTGGATAACATCTTCATATGTATCAATGTTTTTAAAGTAATCAAAATCAAATAATATATTCTTATATCTAGATGTCTATGAATTCTCATAAAAGACCTATTTTTATTATAATACAAAGTGAATTAAATTAGCTTTTCTGCGGCTTTCCAAATAATAAATAAAATTTATTCTCAATATGTAGGAGATCAATCAATTTATTACTTTTGGAATATTTTCAGAAAGTCTTTGCATTTCTGCTAAAATTGTTGAACCTCTTGCTACTAATTTCAACAAATTCTAACCGCAAGTGTTAGTTGGATCTAAGAAATTAACCATTTAACTCTCTGCTTTTTTATAAGATACCTTTTTTATTTATTTATTGGCTAGTTTATTTTTTGTATAAGATTAAATTCTGATACTAAAATTTCTTTATCTTTATTCATTAAAATTAATATAAAAATATTAGACCAAGAAAGGCTTAATAATATCTAATACTATCAATTCTTTTTATTTGAATACAAATTAATAGCACCTGATATTATAGATATTATGAATGATATCTAATAAAGATTTAGAAAATTATTGATATACTCCTCTTTTTTTTTTACTCTTTCCTAATAATATTAGGTTGCCTGCTCAAATAAATACTTACCAAAAATTATATTTTATGGCAAATCTGTGGATTTTATTATTATGCGTATTTATTTTTATTGGATTTATTGATTTCTCTTTTAAATTCTAACAATAAGCTTAGATTTTAATATTAATTAAATTTAAATTTAACACAATATTTAGCTATCATTTTAAAATCATATTTCTTTAAATTTCCTCCCTAAAAAACACTTAAAAATATTTTTAACTTAATCAATTTATTTTAAAAAGTGATTGAGAGATTCTATTTAAATCAATATTTTTTATGTTTAATAAATTAAAATTTTATTTATAAAATATACCCAAATTACACTTTTAATTATTTTACATGTTTAATTTAAGAAATTAAATTTCCTTTTTAATAACTAATATGAGATAAATTTATTTGTTTTATTTGGTTTGAAGTAAAAATTAATACATTTTAATAGAATTATAAGAAAGAAAATTAATAACTAATTCATATTTAATTATTTATTAAATTTTGAGAAGGAGATAAAGAATAAAATTTAAAGATGATAAAAATTATGTAGATAAAAATGTAGGAAGGAATGAGTTTTTAATTTAGTTATGATAAAAAATGATTAATTATATGATTGGCAGATATTATTAGAATGTTAAAACTAATACAAACATGTTTAGGAATAGTTATTCTATTATATATCTTTAAAGTTAATTATCTGTATATTTTTCAAATTAGCTTTTATAAGTCTATATATAGTAACTAACTTTGATCCCTAATTCTTATAAACATAACACTATCTATAATTTAGATTGCTTTTTTTGCTAATGATCATTTAAATCAGTTCTTTCCCGTTTTCCAGTCAACTAATTCATCAATTAAAGCTTAAGTATAGTTAATGTGGTATCTTTTAAGAATATTCTATTATTTTTAAGTGGTTAATTGTTAATAAATTCGATTGTTTACTATTAATGTTTGAAAAATTATCATAAAATATTAATAATTTTATTTTTACTTCAACTTCAAGATTTTGAGGAGCAAGGTATTCAGAATCTTCAACAAACTTGCTAGTAGTATTCAATTTTTCAAGAAGTCTTTTCATAGCCTTTCCTTTTTTAGATTAAATAATAATTTTAAAAATCATTTAGGTACATTCTATCATTAAATTGTGTGTTTATTTATTATAAAGAAAATTATTTTAAAATATAAATAGATTTTAAGCAAATTTGAATACTATTTTTGCTAATAGAATGTAAAACTAGTATAGAGTATTTATTTTTTATTTAAATATTAATTTTTTGTTTAAAATTGTGCTATTTGTAATTTTATTTGGTTGCTTTTCTTTAACTAATTTTTTTTTTTTTTTTGATAATTTAGAAATGTTTACTGTCTTCTTAATCGAAGTAAACTTTTTCTTGGGACTTGGTTCTCTTGTCTAACCATTCTTCTTCACGAGTAGAAAAAGCAAATCTTGATTGAACTGACATAGCTCTGTAAGTTTAGATTAAGTTCTTTGCAATGTTAACTGATCTGTTCATTTTTCTTGTTGGATATTTTATTTTTTAATTTGATTTTTAATAATTTTATGATATTTTATTTATTATCAATCTCTATCAATTTCTTCCCTAACTTTTTCTCATTCTTCTTTGTTCTATTTTCCTGTTTATAAATAAGTAAATTCATAAAAACTGATTTAATGCAATGAATGTTGAGATATTCCAATCTAAGAGGAAACAAAATCTATTGTGGAATTACCTATCTTCGCTTCATATTACATACATTTTACAAATTTATTAAATGAATTATTAAAAAAATCTATAACAAAATAACATATGAAATATATTATAATAAATATCCTTATCTTGAGGTATAATTTATAAAATTTGGTTTAACCTTACATACTATATAAATTAAAGATAAGCATATTTATTCTGCTTAAATTATTAACAATTAATAAAGAAAAATATAAATGTACCTACAAGTAAATTCTGGCATGTTTGATACAAATAAACTAGCTCTAAAAATGTAAGTAGTAAGTATTAAAAGGAAATTATTTTTTGTAGACATTAGAAATAACTATAATTGATATGATATATCAGCCATATTATTTAGTAGAATTAATTAAAAACATTCATTTATTAAAAAAGTCTCTTGGGGTATTTATTTTATGTTAAAAAATAATTAGTAAAAATAGTATAAAAAGAATAATAAATAAGAATTTATTTATTATTTTTATTTATTTGTAAAACTTTCTATCCCATCAGTCTATGTTTCATATAATTAGTTTACAGAATTTAATTTGATTTAAAATAATTAATACAAATTTAACTTTTTTTTAATGTAAATAATAAATAAATAAATATGATATGAGTATTTTGTTGTTAAATCAAACAAAAATAAAAGCACATGGATTGGTCTTATTCTATATATCTATTCCTCAAATATAATCAATTAATTTATTTAAAAAATCCTTTTAACCCTTCCTTTCTGTTCGATTCTTTTCTAATAAAAGATGCAGAAAATTTCTAATTAGTACACAATAAAAGCAAAAAATAATATATGACCTTTCCTATGGTTTGGCTTTAAAAATGCAGCCAGTCAATAATTCAGACCATAAACTTCTTTTTATTGCTAGAATATCTTTGGATCAAATTGATAGTTTTGTTATACTTGAGGTTATTCTTAATAGCTTTATTGAGAAGATATATTAGGAATGCTGTTTATGCTGGGTAGTTAAGCATATGCTGGAGAAAAATAAGAGTTATTCTATAATTGTTGTTTTTGTTAAATTTACTCTTATTAAAGCTATTACTACTGCCACTATTCTTATTACTGCTAATATTGTGGTTGCTGCTATTATTATACAGGTTTTTGTAAAAGAACTTAAGCTTACTGTTATTGTTGAATAGGTATTTGTTATACTACTTATGGTTACTATTAAATAAATTACTTTTGTTGTTATTAATTAGTAACTATTTACTGTTATTATTGTTGTTATTATTAAGGTACCTAGTAATACTGTTGCTGAGTAGTTGGTTATTGATATTGTGGCTATTAGCTTTCTTAAATGTACTATCCTTATTATTGAGGTATATTAGAATAAACAGTGGCTTACTGTTGTTATAACTAAGGATGAACATACATATTTTCAATTAGGTCTATTACTTATTTTTATTATTCTAATATCCCTATTAAGACTTAAGCATTAGGCTATTCTGGTTGTAGTAATTACTATTATTACTATTATTAAGGTTAGGAGTAAAACTGTTATTGGACTGGTTACTAATAATTTTGAGGCTAAATAGATTCTTAATTGTAATACTACTATTGTTAATGTTAGTTCTATTAGATAAAAACCTAGCTGTTTTTCGCTGTTCCTTATTGTTTCTTTCTTATTATACCTTTTTTATTTAATAGAATAGAATTAAAATAGTCTTTAAATTGATATCAAATATCTAATTCGGAAAAATTAATATTTTTTTATCATAATGCTGATGCTATTTTTAAGGCATCCTTAACATGTATTAAAATGTTATTTTCTTTTTTAAATAATTAAATAAAAAATACTCTATTATAGCATTTAGAGTTGTTCTGGTGTCATATTTTCTATTGATAATTCACTCTGATCTACAGAAGTTTATTATTATGTAACTTATTACTAACTTTGTTGCTGAACTTGTTAATCTGTTTCCTATTGAGTTTGTTAAGATTATTGCTCAATCTATTGACCTCCTGCAGTCTGTACCGAGTCATCTTAAGTAGATGGCTTCTCTGGAATAATAAATTTACATGAGCAAAATAAACTTTTATCCATAAAATAATCTGATTGAGACATTTGCAAAAATGAAGAGCCCAATGTTAATTATTATTTTCTCAAGTTTCTTTTAAAATGAGGAATTTAAATTTTCATTTCGAATTTCATGCGTGGATGCCATGGTTCAATATAATTTCCAGATTAAGTTGTGTCAAGTGCCATCATATTTTTTTAAAATGAATCAGGTATATCAATCCAATACTTTATTTACAGATTTTAGAATAAATAAAATAATTCATTTGCAAATATGTTACAAAAGTAATCATTTATTACATACATATGATTCATAATTTTAATTTGAAAATATTACCCTATTAGCTGCATGAACAGAGCAGCAGAGGATCAAAGTAATTACGATAAAGGCCCATGGCCTCATTTAAAATGATTAAATTATTCTTTCTTTTAGCAATTAAGCTTTCGATGTTTTGTATCTATCAAGTACGTATAGACGTCTGGTTTCGCCTAATGTATAAATAAATGCAAATGAATATTAAGTCTTCTTTGATTTCTTTATATTTTTGTTTTGAAAACTTATCTAGCAAAAAAAAGTAAAAATTTGATTAAATGTTTGCTTTAATCATTGAATGAACAATTAACATTGAAATATTATTTATTAAATTGTTTTTTAACTAAATTCTTAACAAATTACATAAAAACGAATAACTCATATATTAAAAACTGAATTTTAAGACTACCAAATTTTTAACTTTTCTAAAAATTGCATGGATACAAAAAAATAAATATATTTATGAAATAGTAAAATTAGAAAAAGATATCATTTATATTTATCAACTATTATAAATAAACTTGTGTTGTGATTTAAAATATTTAATTAAAAATAATATTCAAATATGCTTAAGAAATTCGTTTAATTAAAATTAAAACATATTTTATCAAAAAAAATAAATATTTAAAATATAATTTAAAAAAAATGTTTTTTTCATTAGAAATATTTTAAATTGATAATTTAATTTCTTTAAAAATTAAAAACTTTTATTTGTTTTTAAAAATAATCTAAAAACGTATAAGTACATACATACATCTATTTTAATAATTTTATAATATAACTAAAAATCAAGAAAAAAATATATATATCAATTTAAAACTATAATTTAATTGAAAACATGTTAAATTAACTTAGTAATTATTTTTTCCTAAAAATTATTTATGGCAAATTTTTAAATGAGTATCAATTCTTATTGGATAAGTTGTAATCCATTTTTTTAAAAAAAAGACAATAAAATACTTTCTTATAAAGTTAATTTAATGGAAAATATAATAAATAATTTTTGTGATAATAATTTTATAATTTATGTTTTTCATATCAAAATTTTAAGACAGACCAGCATCAATTGATTTGGTTTTAAAATAATTTTTTAATTTTCAAACAAATTTGAATTTGAATTTTATATTAAATTCTCAAATATAATATGAAATTTTTAAATACCCAACATGATAATATTATCTATCATAAAATTCTTTTTATTAGTAAAATAGAAATTTTTAAGATTTTATTTAGATTTTTAAACATAAATATATATCTTAAATACTTTTGTAAGATATTATTTATACTTACATTTTATAGAAGTAATAAAAAATATTGTTTTTAATTAATTACAATATAAATTGATTGATTCACCTATGATGAATTAAGCATCATTATTTTTTAATACAGATGAAACAAGTTTTCTCATATTTAACAAAAAAAAATATATTTTATTAAAATTAATTCTCTTCAAAAAAAGAATGAATTTGAGTTTATGGATACGCTTCAAAATAAAATTGAATTAATAAAAGATATTGATTTAAAGATATTCTTTTTAGAGCAATACCTTATGAGCAATAATTTAACTATTGTAATTTGACTCTCTTCTACAAAAAAGAAAAAGTTTATATCAGGTTTTTTTTTTTTCCATAATTCAATAGTCCTTGTTTTTTATAAAAGTTTACTATAATTGTCTAACTTTATAATTAATTTTTAAATGACCATATATTTAGATTAAAAATAAACAAAATAAATAAAAACAAACAAAAATATAAAACTCAAAAGATATCTGAAAAAATAAAAATTAAATTCAAGAGTAAAAAAATCATAATTTAATATTTTAAAGAATAAAAATTAAATAGTCTAAAATAGGAAAATAAAATATGAATGATTAAGTTGTATCCAAAGAATACAAGCTTACATAAGTAGTGATTAGAATACTTTAATTTAGTATCTAAGTATGGTGTTTTTACTTTTAGAATAGCGATTTTAATTTATACTTATTTGTTTTTTAGAATGTACCCTTTTTACTAATTTTAAGCTTACTTATCAAAAAACCTTTAAAATACTTTAGCTAAGTTTTGGAAATTTAAGACTTAGGCCAGATTATGAAGTTAGACCTCTTTCACTGGTTTCCATCGAGTGAAAAATCACTTGTAAAGGGTTTTTATGCTTTATAACTGATAAAAAATTTTGGAACACATTGTTTTTATATTAAAGAATTACAAGCTGTAAGCTAAATTAGTAATATGTAAATTCTGATTTTATTGCTGAATTCTTTAGATTTAATATTGTTAAGCCAAAAAGCCATGAAGATTTTGCAAATATAACCTGATTTAGATTTTAGCCTTTTAACACATATTTAAGAAGGTATTTTATGGAATGCATATATCTTAGCTTTTAGCTAGATTTAAAAAAACACCTCATTGGAATCTTATTTAGTAAGTTATAGTTTATCAATACTTTTTTCTTAATGTGTACTACATCATAATTCTAAATTTGATGAAAAAGGATTTTTATAGAGCTGCAAAGGAAAAATTTTTTCTTTTTTCCTATCTGGAATAATGATTTTGTAAGTTATTGTTTAATTAGTAATATTTAGACCATCTTTTTTTATAGACTTCTCAAAACTAAAAATAAAACAACAAATTTCTTCTTAAGAGATAAATGATTAAGCAAACTTATAACATTGCTACATGATTTTAATTATTTTCTCAAATCTTTTGTATGATCTAATTAGGAATAGTAGCTAATCTTTAATTAAAAGTGAAATATTTTTAGCTCATTTATTTGTGTGCAGTATTCTTATTTTCAAGATAATTAAATGGATGCTTCTGTGTTTAAAGTATGGAAATAGTTGCTAAAAGATTTAATTATCACAAGAAATCATATTGTCATCACCAAATTTAAATTTTAAATTTTAACAAAACCCTATATTATTTTCTACAGATGTAGAAATTCAGTGTTAAATAGAAACAAAAGAAAATTAAATAAAGGTGATTTAATTGATTAGAGATATTTTGAATTTGAATGCTAATGCTCAATTAAGCTTTATCTAAATCAAACAATAAAGAACTGATTATTTAAAAATGTAATTTTACAAAAAGCAGATTTAAATATAAATATCAAAATAATTCAAATTTTTAATACTAGCTATGCAAGCAATAAATAACGAAAAATTTTAAGATTATTAAATAATTTTAAATTTTGCTAAGTTTGTTCCTTGCCAACTAATTGAAATGATATTAATAGAAAATTATTAAATAAACCCTAATTTAATAATGAAGGAGAAAAATAAAGAAATTCAAGATATTCATTAAAAATTTACATTGTATGGTTCAATTTTCTACAATATTGTTACTTTTTATAAGGTTATTAGTCCTTAAATGATTATGAATTCTCATTTAATATGCTTAGATCTTTACTATGATTGATTAATAAATTGATTTAAAATTATGTATTTTTGTATTTCATATTTATTTTAAATTTGATTATCATTTTTAATGAAAAAACAAACTTATTTTTTTTAATTTTAAAAAATCTATTTTATTTTTTGCATTTTAGAAAATCAGTAAAATCTAAATTTAAAATTATAAGTTAAATTTTTTTTACGAAATAATATAAAAGGTTTTTCAAATAATAGAAAAATTTGTCATAAGAATGTGTAAATCTTTTTTTAAAGAAGTTTTATTTGTAAATACATATTCAGTTGTTAAAAAATAATCACAAGCAACGAAAAAAATTATTATTTTATTTAATAGTTAACATTTATTTAAATGTATATTATTCAGTGTGTTTTAATCTTTTATATGAATTTGTGATGCATCCCAGAAGATCCTGCCAAAATTTGTATTAAGAGGTACAAGAATTTAATAGATTTATAGTCTTAGTCTTACTTTGTATCATAATAAAAGCATAAGTAAATTAAGCTAGCAAACATTGTAAATCCTGTTAAAACACCAAAAATAAAACTAATAATATTAGTTTTTTAACATCTAATCCAAGCAAATGAGTTAAAGGCTACAATTAAAAAGAATAAAAGCAATATAATAGCTACACTTGTTATACTCTCATTTTTTAATTATCCCCAGACTAGACCAAAAGCAAAGATTTAAATAGAAGTTAGTATAGGAGTAATTAGAATATATTTTTATGTAAGTTTAGTTTATACATTGAGTATATTGTAGATATATGCAAATATGTATAGAATTAAATTAGAGAAAATTAGTACAATCATGATCAAATAAAACACCCGCCCTAGCATTAATAATATAGGGATAATTACCTATTTTTAAAATTTGGTTTTATTTAACGAATTGATAAAATAAATCAATCAATCAATATAAATAAAAAAAAGATTATAAGATATCTTTTATTATTTAAATAAATCTATTAATTTAAACTAAAATTTGTTACTTATAGGATACATGTGATTCCAAATGTTAATTTCAAGTAATCATAATTTTTATAGTAGATTAAATCTCCAAGATATATTACAGCGAAAATAAATTCTGGAAGTGGATTTTCCTTAACATTATTTTTTAAAATTTTTAGTTAAATACTTAAAACTAAATGACTAAAATTGAATAAAAATGATTAATTTAATAAATTTACTATAATTCCATAGTTGTCTTTAAAAAAATAAAGTGAGAAAGGAATCGAAAATGATAGAAATGTGAGAATATATTTTAAATTCATAGCTGTTAATATTAAAATGTCAAATCAAAACAAACTAAGATAACTCTGATTCAATAAACAAAAGTTTGATTAATTTATTTGTTTTCTTTAATTTATTCAATTAATTTTTATTCAATCTGATTTATGTAGATCTAATATTATTTGTTTGAATTTATGATTGATTGATTGATTGATATTGTTTGTTTGCTTATTTAATTAATAATAATATTTAGCCTATTAAAATAAAAATAAGTATTTATTGTATACTTAACATTATTTATATAATCAATTAATATTATCATGTATTATTAACAAAAATAAATTTTGATATTATAACAACTTTAATAAAAATCAATATTAGCCAAATAATTAATTTTTAATAAAATTTATCTTGCTTAAAGTTTTTGAACAAAAAGCTGCCTCTCAGTATAATTATAAAAATAAAAAATAGTTTTTAAAGGATAGCATATTGTATAAATTAGCTAAAGGATAAAATGAGTGATGATGTAATAAGTGTTTTAATACTTTAGTTTTCTTCTTTAAAATAAATGGATTTTAATTACAATTTTAATAATAATTAGGAAATATTTTGGACTTATGGAGACAAATGCAAAAAGGGTAAAAGAGAAAAAGGATAAACTAATAAATAAAATGCAGAAAATTTAGAGTTAAGTGATAAAAAGTCAATGACTATGAAATCTGATTCTGACTAAAGGTTATATCAAGAACTAGAAAATTAAATACCTCAATAGGATAATTTTGGAAAGGTTAACAGATCAAACCATATAGGTGGAGTAATAAGTATATTCACATATAAAAATAATCAAATTTTTTACATTTAATTTATTATAGGTGGAGTTCTAGCAAGCTTAAAAGATGGATAGTAAATTTTAAAACCCAAGTGGAATTCGTTTTAGCTAATAAATTAATTTAGAAGGCTTGTAAAAAAAGAATATGCTTGGGGCTAGTAATTAAAATAACTAAGGAATGATGAAATAACACGATGAAAATCATTACCCCAGATAGGATATTTAAAATTTTAATTTTTCTTTTTCACCTTAAAAAGGATTAAAAAGTGATGGTATGGGTTTATCTTAAACTGTTACTAGCAATTATGTGTTTGATCCTTCTTCTCCTACAGCAAATACTACCTTAAACAATAGAAAACGTTTTAACACATCATCTAAAAAAGTTTCTGAGTTTTCTCCTAGTATATACGATAAGATAAATTCTTCAGAATATAAATATCAAAGAAAGGGATAGTCTATATGGGAGGACCTTTATAATTGTGTAAGAACTATTAAAATGTTTATTTAGGAAATTTAAGATTGTAATTATTAACATATATATTTAGGGTTAATTCTAGATGAGAAAAATAGAATTACTACATTAAGAAAAGCTAAACGAAATGGATAAAGAATGTATTTTTAAACCTAAGCTAAATCCAAATAAATACTTGCTGTATGAAAATAGTAACTTCTTATAAAGAAACGAACAATGGAAGGAGTAAAGGGATAATAAATTAATTTCATAAAGACAAGATAAAATATAAATAGATCTAAAGGAATGCACATTTTAACCAGCTTTAAGCTCTCATAGAATAAGGACTGAAATTCCTAAAGAATAACAGATAGATTTTGTTTAAGATAATTAAATTTCCTTATCATTATTATAATTAAAATTTTATTTCTTTGCTTGATATAATAAAGTTTTTTATTTAAAAACAAGGTTGGGAACTGCACAAGATTACCAAAAAGCTTTGTAATACAATTTCTCAGATAGGAAGGATATTCGTAGTTTGAAAGCAAGAGGGTGATTAATTTGAATTTTTTCATTTAATTTATTTATTAAAAAAATATTTTAATCATTTTATAGGTTTGACTATTTAGGTGAAAATCAAGGAAATAATTCTTATAGAGCTAATAGAGAGGCATTTTTAAATTATAACAATCAATTTAATTAGAGTGATAAAGAGTAAGATGCACTTAGACCATCTTAGCAATCTAAGAGAGCACATACATCCTACCGTGATAAATCCTACAATTAGAATCAGGAAAAAAATTTGTAAAATATAAAATAAACAGGGGGCATTGTTAAATCTTATTACATTAGAGTAAATTACTTATTTAAATTAAATTTATATATTAAAGATTAATTTATTAATATAAGGAAAGAGAAAGATTTGAAAAATGCAAATAAATGCTAAGTAAAGCTTTAAAAAAAGATACCGAATGATGTAATTCATATTTAATAGATCTGAAAAAGGTTTGGAAGTTGTAAATATTTAAAAAGAAACTAATAAAAAATATATAAATAACTTTAATAAAATGATGATAATATAATCTATAATTAAAACACTTGAAATGATTTAACATATAATAAGCATGCTCTATCATGTTTTAACCAAATCATATAATGAATATAATAAATTGTAAATAATTTACATATAAAGTGTCATTAAATTTTTTTTTAAAGCTAAATTATTTCATCAATTATTACTAATTTCAAAATATTTTTTTTAATTAAAAAATTTATATTCTTTTTGAAGAGGACTCATTCCATATTTGTGTTAAATTGTTATGTTTTTAGATTTAAAAAATAAATATGGCTTCTTTAATAAATATCAATAAAAAAGATATTTTCATTCATTTTTTTATAAAAAAAGAAGCATACAATGAATATTATTTATTAATATATTTTGAATAGAATCAAATTATAAATCTTCTATTAAAAGGTGAGTATGAATCAATTCACCTAATAATATTAATTGCATCTTGCTCATAATAATAAGAAAGTTAACTATGAAACAAAACACACCCTTTAAAAGAAATAAGATTATTGTATAATGAATGCAATAATTCAGTGCTGTGTTTGCTCATTTGATATCTCTTAATAAACATAATGAAAATGGAATATTTACAAAGTGAAGAAAAAAAAGATGCCATAAATAAATAAATACATAAAAAGGAAGAAAAAGAAGAAAAAGAAATCAAAATCAAAAGAAAAAATAAAGTAAAGTAAAGGATTTAGATCATAAATTAAATTAAGAAATATATTGAAGCGAAATAATAAAAAAAATAAATATAAAGCAAAAATTAGAGAAAGTATAAAGGAAGAATGATCAATACTCGTAAATAAGTCTTCAAGTGTCTTTGGGGAGCTTAGCCTGCTTATAATTTTTCAAGAATCATTAACCACTTGAGAGGAGGTATGAATAACTAACTTTTAGCTTAACAAGATTAGAGATAACATTTAAAGGATGTATGAAAAGCGGGTTTTTATTATCCCAAACAAGCCTATTAGCCTTCTAGATTTTAATAAAGCATCAATATAAACTATTCAAATTAATGTGACATAAAGAATTGTAGCTAAATACATTATTGATGTCTTTAAAATATTTTTAGAGTAAAGATTAAAAAATAGATGTCAAATGATATTAAAAGGAGCATAGATTTAGGGTTAAATAGAGTAAATTTTATGCAAATATTTCAAAATAAATAATAAAATCAAGCTTAATTTATTAGGAATTTGCATCCATATGTTTCCAATCAAGAATAAAACAAAAGCGATCTTTAAAATATTTATTATTTCTCTTTTAAATACATCCAAATCTCAATGAAACGCTATTTGATTATCCTAAATAATATTAAAATCATTTTTTCTTTAAAAAACCTTTAGACCCTGTTTACCAAGATAACACTAAAGATGTTAGCTTGAGAGGTACCTTTTTAAGAGGTAAATACGATGATTTACCTACCATGATCTTCTTCACAGAAGCTTGTGATCTTACCGCTAATTGGATTCCATTCTTCACAAACCCCTAATACGATGTATATATAATTTTATTTAACTTATAAAACAGATACATAGTTATTTTATGAATTTCCTCCTTAAAGCATTTATCTATCACTTCTCCTAGATCAATAATAATTCGACAAATTTACAACTAAATAAATAAGAAGAATTCACATTTTCATAGAATAAATATATCAAAATAACAGCTTATATAAATATTATTTGAGTTTAAGAATTAAAATAAAGTTTAAGCGTCAAGCATAAAGCTAATAGAATAAGATTAAGTTGATGTAAGCATGAGCTGTAGTTTATTTTATCAGAAATAATTTAGGGAAATTGTTAAAAAAGATACAAATAATTTAATAAATAATTATTTGATTGAGGAAAGGATATATATGCAAAATTTATTAATATAAAAATAATTCTTAAATGAGCTTTATTCATTAATTACTTTTTCTAAAATGATAATTTTGATAGATATTGGCTCACAGAAACGTCTGGTTGTTAAATCCTAGAAACTTTGGTAATTCTGATAGACATCCCTCATTCGACTTATAAGAAATGTCTGATGATGTCATGAGATTTATGTACTCTTAAAAAATTTCTATGGCTACTCTTGGTGGTCACGGTATTGGTGGTAAGATTGCATTGGCTGTTGGCTGTTATCATGCTGAAAGAGTTACTGGTGTTTTTTCTATTGATAGTTCTCCCATGGATCAAAGATACCATGAAGCTTTCAAAGAGTTCAAGGGTTATGTCAATGCTCTTACTGAAATTAACTTTAAAACTTGGTCTGATAAGGACGTTAAGGTTTTCTTGAAAGAAAACATTAAGGTAACAAATAAACAAATTTAAAAATGAAATACTCATCATGAATTAATACTAATAATCTGTTTTATAAATAGGACCCTAAATGGAGATCCATCTTCACTAACAACATTAGTAAGAATGCTAAGACTCAATCTGACTCTTTCAATTTCGAAATTAATTACTTAAATCATAACCTTAACTTCAATAAGGTAAACAATATTTTTTATAAAATAAAAATAGATATTTAAAATAAATAAATGCCATTAACTTTTAAATATTTTATAATAGGCTGATTCTTTGGGTAACTGGGCTGTTAAGAATGGTATTTACACTGGTAGAGCTCATTTCATTTTCCCTGAATACTCTAGATGGGTTCACCTTGCCACCAACACCTTACCTATGCATAAGGTTTGTGCTAGGTAACAAAATATTTCAATAAAGCTGTTTAATTAAATTTTATTTTTAATTTTAATATTTAGAGTTAAAGGATTCGGTCACGATATCTTCTATGTCTAAGGAGATGAAAACCCCTTAAGTAATATTTACAATTCAATTTTTAAAATATAAATAAATTTTTATAATAGATCACTGGGTCTACGATTTCGAAAACTATGCAAACGTTGTTGCCAGCAAATTAAATAAGTAATTTAGCCTTTAAAAAGCATAATTATAGGGGAAGTAAATTAAAATTTTAATTAAAATATAGATTCTTACACTCATATGATGGTGTTCACGCTCTCTTAAAAGACAGAACTGAAATCGGTAATATTTATAGATATAAATGCAGTATTAAATGTTAAAAAAATTAAAGGTAATTTCATGATTCCTGATAGAATTAAATCCAGAAATGATTCTAAACATATTTATGGCGACTATTCTCCTGCTCATTTACATCACAACTGGAGATTCAATCATATTTATGAAAAGCACGACGAATTAGATAAAAAATTAAATGAATAATGAGAGTAAAGGATGGAATAAACATTTTAAAAGCTCTTCAAAAATCTTGAAGATAATAATAAAATTTCTTAAATATAAAAAGCCAACTAAATATTCATTTAATATAATTAAAATATTTGAATGTAAATTGCAACCATCAAATAATTTGTAGTTTCTTATATGCCTTGCTTTTTATCTTTAAGTTAATATTTATTAATATTTTTCGTATTATGTATTCACTTAAAAATTACAATTTACAAAAATATTTACTTTCAACATGCTCACATGATTGTTTTTTATTGTAAACATAAACTTAAAAAAATAAATAGATTGATATAAAAATATATTTTAAAATTCATTTTTTCATTCTTAAAAATAAACCTTACTGCTTTTAAAGTAACCATTAAATTTTTTAAAAATGATTAAATTTATTTAAAAATATGTTCTGGAAGAAAAATAAACGTTATAATTATAATTTTCATTTAGTTTACTTTCATAAATTAATTCAGCTGATATTATCTTAATTCCTGCTTCAACAAAATCTAAATTTGTGGACAATTGCTTTTATAAAATAACATATCTTAGGGAATAAAACTCAATAAAGTGTAATTGAATTTAGAATATACCAAAAAATAATAAATGAATATTAATAGATTAAAAAAGGGACACATGATTTATTAGTTCATAATATTATCTTTTTTAATGTCTAATAAATAAATAGTAGAAAATACTTTGAAATTTTATTTATTAATACTAAATTATAAAAACAATAACAATAAAATAAAAAAATTTTTTTGATAAATTAATTGAATGCGTTATGATAAATTATTTATCTTTCCATTCAAAGGTTAATTCAATTTTTTTGCAAATTACAATTGCTTATTTGAATTTACTAGAATTTGTTCTTTGGATATTCTTTTTTTGTGGATTTATATTATTTTTTTCACAACAAACAATAATAAATAAAAAAAATATAATATTAACTAAAAAAAAACGACAAATTGAGTAAATTTTTAAAAAATTATTGCTAAATAAAAAAAATGGATCAAAAAGACAGCGAAGTAATCAAAAAGATACTAGACTATTGGTTTATACCTGCTGATTGGGATAGACACTCTCGTACTAGTCCTGAAGCTAGTAAAAGACATTTTTTTGGAGGACAGGAAGTTGACTAATATATCATTAATAATTTTTCTCACCTCTTTGATTAAATTAAGAATAAATAGCTTGAACATTGGAAGAAAGACCATTTTGGAAGATTAGCATATATTATAACATGTGATTAGTTTTCTAGAAATGCATTTAGGGAATCAGCTAAATAATATGATTTCGACTAATACGCTCTTGATCTTAGTGATGAAATAACTGCAAATTAAGAAATGTATAATGCTTATAAATTTTATGAAAGATAATTTATAATTTTACCTTATATGCATTCTGAAAATTTATAACATCACCATAAATGCTTAGAACTTTCTGAATAAGTATCTTTAGAAGCTGAAAAATAAAACCTACCTGATGTAGCTAAAGCATTCAAATAAATGGTTTAATTCGGAAAGTCTCATATGGAAGCAATCTTAAAGTTTGGTAGATATCCAAGTAGAAACAAAGTATTAGGTAGAGAAAGTACTTAAGAAGAAATTGATTATATGAATAATGGTGGTAAATGGTGAAAAAGAACTAAATATACAATATAATTTTATTCTAAAATCATTATAAAATATATTAATAATAAAGAATTAGGATTGAACCAAAAATTTATTCTTATATAAATTTGAAGATTTCAAAATAAAATTATTAAACAAAACTATTATTAATGACACTTAGCAAGTTTTGAAATTAAATTTCATATATATAAATAATTCATATAATGTTTAAAGAGTATTGAAATTTAGTAATTTGCAAAAAATTTTTTATATTCTCATAAATTAATTTGACGACAATGTAATTTAAATAAAAAATATTAAATTTACAAATTATTTTATTATTTATAAAAATTTATTGTATAACTTCAAAACATATTTTTTTTTGAGGATGAAAAATCAGGCTAACTCTTAATAGCTGATTCATGAGATTCATTTTCAAATTAATTATATTTACTTTTTATACTTGATTCATAGAATATAGATGATTATTAATTTTCATTTTAATTATTTTCAGTCATAGATTATTCTACTCTGAGTTCTAACTACTAGTCGATAAGAGGTATGTTTTTTTTAGAATGATAATTCATATAACACATAGAATATAAGCAAGATTCTTAATTTATTGAGTCATTTTGGTTTGATTCAGAAGGCACAATAAGTCTCTCTGATATAAAATCTAATGCTTCCTCAGCTTCTTTAAAACACTATAACAAATTTAAAATTTCATAGCTAAGCAACCCATTACTATTTTACTTGCTGGTCTCTCCTATGCTAACGATATCAACATCTCCTAAAAATTTCACCCATGATTTAAAGACTGACTTTTTAAGCTTATAATTAATTCCTTACTATTGCACATATTTCATATCTTCGCAGTCAATATCTAAGGCAAAGGATAACTTATTTTTTATTTTCTATTAAATATCATTCAAAGTCTATTTGTAGTAACCGTTAATTTAAAAATCAGGACGAGTGAACATTGTGCAAATTGAATTGAGTTCAAATATATAGTATAAAATTTTACGCAATTCAATAATTTTTTTTTATCTATTTTTATTATTTGTTTCATTAGTGAAAGCTCCGCATAAAATATATAGTGCTTTAATATCATCATCTTCATACGTTATGTTCCATTAATCTTTTATTTTAATAAGAATTGGCTAAATAATCCACTCATATCTTTCAGATTCTAAGAAAGTATTCACCCAGCTTTCATAATCAAAACTGTATTTCTAAGAAAACGGATATTTGTATAAACAGAAGTCATGGCATATGAGATTAACTAAGCTTTTTCCTTTAATAAATGTAGGATTGTTTTCCTAGCTCTTTAAAGCTTCTTAAGCTAAATTTTTTTGATTTTCATTGAGTAAAGTAAATAGTTACCCTACAACTTTTTCTATCTCTTTGTATTCTTGTTATCCTGATTCTTGATTCATTTTTTTTGTCTCTACTTTAAACCTATCTTTTTTTTTTTTTGAAAAAATTTGATTTTTTAATTGATTTATTTTTTTACCTTAAACTAAAAAATTCACAAATAAATATACTAATTTGTAGTGAAATAAATACATAAATATCTTTTTGCCATAAATAAAATAATTTTATAAAATTAAAAGTATTTATTTTATTATCAAATAAATAAATTTAGAAATTCATAATTAATTTATGAATGAATTTAATATATTTACAAAATATATTATAGAATTTAATTTATTTACAAAATATAATTATATATAATAAAAATTAATTTAATAACAATGAAGCGTAAAGATGCCTTGTAATTAATTATTACTAATCAATTTTAAAAATAGTATATAATCATCAATCAACTATATATTTTCAATGAATTTATTTGTAATGTGAATTAATTCTATTAGCTTATCATGCTAAAAGCCAAATAGATATTTATTTATTCATTTGCATTCATGTAAAAAACAAACAAATTACAGAATAAATTCAATATCTCTTAAATATATACATACATAAGTTAAAAATGAATGAAATTTCTTTAATAAATACTGCTAAAATTCGTTGGTTAAAAAGCTAAGAAATTTTATAAATTCTTAAAGACCCTCCTAAAGGTTTGATAGTTGAAAAAATACCTACAAAGCCTTAAAATGGGGACATATTTATTCTTGATTCTAAAATAATTAAGAGAGTAAAATTTTATTTTTATTATTATTTGTTTGTAGAAATTAGTAAATTGTAGTTCTATATAAAATAATTTTTTTTTAGAAATGGAAATAAGATGGTTGGACATACATGCCAAGGAAATAAGGAATAGGATTTCGTGAAGATAATGAAAATCTTAGGATAGGCGGCGAAAATGTATAATTTTTTTTTTAAAAAATAGTCTTAAAAACTTTTTCAAACAAAATAAAAATTTACACAACAGAAAACTATATAAAATTTACATAGTTCTTCTATTTTACGCTACATACAAAAAACAATAAGCAAAACATAAACCAATCAACCAACCAAATATATTTTGCTTATTTTTGATAAATACTATTAGGAGAATATATTTTCTTTGAAATAACAATACACTATCATGATTTTTTTACTCATAATTTAAAATTTACTTAACCTTCCTTTTAAAAGGCTATTACATGTTATTACTCCTATATAATTAACGGATTGCTTGAAGGTGAAGAAAAGATTATTGTAATGAACCGAAGAATTTATAAGCTTTTTCCAGATGGCTAGTATTTTTTTGTACATTATCTAAAGGATACAGCGGGTGCATCTAGTAATTCAGTAAAAGAAACTTCTCTATCTATATAAAGTAGCAGTGGGACATCAATTCAAAGCAATTAATAATAGATTCAAAGTAGTAACTCAGTAGAAACAGATTATTAAGATATCTAAAAAAAAAACTTGAACATAAATAATTAATTGGAATCTTAATTAATTTAAGAGCAGTAATAATAGACATAAAATAACTAGGCTTCGAAAGAAGAGTTCTTATAGTAAAAAAAAGATTTTCTTTAAAGACATTTAAGCAATAACAATAACATATTAAATAGCACAACAATAAGTGCAACAAGTGATTTAGAGTGTTCATCAAAAGAACATCCGTTTCATTTGAATGATTATACATTATTCAATTAAGAAGAATCTTCTTACTATTCTAATTCATCTCCAGTTTGCTCTACAAATTAAATTATAAGTTAGAAATTACAAGAGAACAATGAAAGGTACCAGCTATCAGGCAATACTAATAAATCATAATTTAGTCTATCAAATTGCAAATATCCTGCAAACCAGCAGCAAAAAACATAATTGTAAAAATTATTGACTCATAAACTTATTTATTTTCTATTGATAATATTATATATTATTATTGTTGTTTTATTAATTGTTAACAGTCATAATACATTTTTTCAAATATAATTAAATTTTATTTATTAATAAAATTAGAATTTAACAACAAAATATAAATTCGAGTGCTATGGAAGAAGAAAATGATTAGATTGTAAAAAATTAATTTGAAACATAGTAAAATATGTAAATTTAGAATTAAAACCAACAACAAAATAAAAAAATTTATTAACAAAATATACCTCTCATAAATTAATGTAAGAATAATACTAACAACCCATGTGAATTTTATAATATTTTATCTTAAGATGGCGAATATGATTTAAAGTTGGATATTAATAGTGAGGGTCATTCAGCAAATCATTAAATTCCTTTAAATATTAATTATACAATAACATAATAAATTTAACAAGCGTAGTAAAACAATAATTATAATGATTTAGAAGATTGGTAGCATGATTAATATAGCAATACAAATAATTAACAATAATATAAGGGAAACTATGACTCTTATTAAGGTATTGATAGGTCAAATTAAATCTAAAATAGAAATCATGAGTTTTAACAGCTAGATTTGGAAAGAAATTTTGATGAAATGATTCAATATGGTGAAGAAAATTTTAGAAATACTGATAACAGCATTTAGTAGAATGTATACGAAGAAAGTGAATACATAAATAGAAATACTAACTTGTAAAATACTAACGGGGCAACATTTATAAAAAACTATTAAACTAATATTTATGAATCATAAAAATAAAGTGGATAGTTCCCTAGCAATTCTACCATGCAGTCGCATATTAACTAATAAAATAACTCATTCTAAATTAATTAGGAAAATTAAGTATTCTAGAAAGGTAATCATTAAAAACAATCATAAATTCATTCAAGATAATTCAATTAAATTTAGTTGTAATAGCAACAACAAATTTAAAAAGATAATCCAATTAAAAGTAGCAATACTAATCAATTATTAAATTATTTAAACAAAGATACAGTCAGCAATTAATTTACTAATCCTCCCTCTTACTCAAAACTTCAGGAAAGAATAATTGAACTTGAGGAAAGACTTTAAAAGTTAGAATTTGGAAATATAAGATAGTAAACTGACTAAAATTTGATTGAAAGCATGACTTATCCATAAAATTAGGCAGATAATAATCATTTAGGTATTTTTAATAATGCTTAAAATATAAATGTTTAAAATGAAAATAATTAAAAATTCAAAAATTTAAACTATGAAGTTAAGAATCAAAGTATTTTTATTCCAAATTAAAATTAAAAGTTATTTATTTAGGAATAGTAATTACCATAATTAAATTTAGATAGCTAGAATTAATTGGACCTCAATTAAAAGATCTTAAGCCAAAAAAAATAATAAAATACATTTTACAACAATCACAAAGATGTTATCTAATAACCTGATGAAAATATATAAATAAACTAAAATGTAATATGCCAGATTCCATAAATTGAAAAAAAATAATAATTTGATCAAAATTTTATTCAAAATACCTATAATTAAAATACTAATAATAATAATAATTCTTACAATTTAAACAATAAAAATAACAGTAATTCTTATAATTCAAATAGTAGTAATAGCAATTCATTTAATTAAAATAACAACAATTCTTATAATCAAAATAACAATACCAGTAATCATTATAATTAAAACAATAATAGTTAATATAATTAAAATAATAATAGTTAATATAATTAAAATAATAATAATAATAATTGCAATTAAAATAATAATATTCCTTACAATTTAAATAGCAGTACAAGCTATAATTAAAGTAGCACTAATGTTTGCAATTAAAATAATAATAATAATAATAATAATACCTATAATGAAAACTAGATTCAAGAAGAAGGGCAGAAATAAATAACTAATAGCTCTAAAAAAAATTAGCAAAATTCAAACACTAATTAATAAAATGAGAATCGCAGAGTTCCTATAAAAGTGACTGAATATTCTCCTGAATGGGATTATACAAAAGGAGGAAGTAAGATGGTTTTGTGTTTTCTTCCTGCTTTAAGCAATTTGAGTGAATATTAAATGAGCTAATTTTAAATTGGATTTGGAAGTGAAAAAGTGCCTGCTTACTGTATCCAGCCAGGTGTCTTGAAGTGTTTTGGTAATTTAAAAAAATTAAATATTGGATATTAATTAATTATCTGAAATTCTAATTATAATAGTCCCACCACATGAAAAAGGAATCGTCAAACTTTAAATATACTTGGAGGATCAGAGAATAGATTGCATTGATGATAAACCATCATACTTTGAATTTAGAAACTAAGATAAAAAGAAAAAGAAGTAAATATCAAAGAAAGTAATCTTCAACTAAGACGATGAGTTTTATAGTAAATAAATAAATAATATTTTTCTATTTATATAATTATTTTTTTATAAAGAAAATGAGTTTAAGGTTAGAATAATAGATAAGCTGAATAGCATTTAAGATTTTATAAGTCAATCTTCAAATTCTAAATCTAATTAAGCAGGATTTTCTAACCATGTTCAAATTGATTTCGTTTAGTAAGATGGCGATTCAAAATAGAAAAGGAAAGATTTATAGGCCATTCTTGAGAGCTTAAGAGATAGTCTTGATAATTTAAATAACTAGAATTTTAATACCTTACTAACTAATGTATAATAAAAATAATTTTTTTCTTTATTTAATTTGCTTATTTTTATTAAAAGATTTTAAGTATTGCAGAAGGTAATTTAAAAAAAAATTAAATTAAAAAATGGATCGATTAAGTAGACGACAATGGATACGGGTTAATTCACTATGTCGTAATTCTTGGGTTCGATAGCTCTTTTAATATATTAAAAGAATTCGACTGCAATTTAAATTTGCAATCAAAAAATAAAATTACTCCTTTATAACTTGCATTTGCTCTAAATTAAGAAGTAAGCTTTCTATTTTCATTAAAACCATAATAAATCTTTTGTTTTGAAATGCATAGAAAATTGTTGAGATTTTAATCAAAAGCGGAGCACTTGGAGAAAATCTCAATTAATAATTGCAAGGTGGTTAAATTAAAGGAGATATTCAATAAATTAGTAGCTTACTGAATCTTGGTACTATATATTAGGTATTAAATCAAATATTTCAAAAATTTAATTTAGTCTTTGCAATAAATTTAAATTTGTGAGTTTTATTTATTTCATTTAAAAATAAAAAAATTTAGAGTAGAAATATATTAGATATGTTGGTCAGAGAAGTTACTTTACATGATTCGATTAATAACAGCAGTCTAAATGACCATATTAGCTGGAATGATTAAGATGAATAGGAAGATAATTACCTAGATATTAAAGATTTATGTGAACCATCTAACGAAAATGATTTAATTAAAAATCTGAATGCAATCTCTCATTAACTTAAGGATTTAAATAAAAAAAAGGAAAGAGTTTTAAAAAAGAAAAATAATATGAACAATTAAGAAGGTGAGTTCTTTTCGCTTACTGAATTGGAAAAAAGTGAGTCTTACTTAGAGGAAGATGAAGAAGAAGACTATGATGTAGATGACTATGATGATGAAGATGATGAAGAAGAAGAAGATGATGATGACGATGAAGATGAATACTCCAAAGTTTTTAGACCTTTAGAATAAAATAAGTTATTATCACAAGATAATTTAGATAAGGCAAATAAGAAACATAAATACTTGCGAAATTATTCTGAAGTAAATAAAGCCTATAAGGATAAACAAAGAGATGCAACAGAATTTGATGGTAAATTTTACAATCTAAAAATATGAATTAAATTTTCTAACTTTTTTTATTAGAAAAAGACGAATAACTTTATATGAGTTAAAACTACTAATGTAGAATTAAGACTATTTAAAAAAATGTCAGAGGTTGGCTTCTTAGAAGATAATATTTAGATATAAAATATGCTACCCGCGTTCTATAAAATTGTAAATTAAATTATAATTCTGATCAGATCAGATCAATCATTAATTTTTTTCTATTTTTTAATAAAGATATAAGGTAAAAGATAGCTAAAAAACACATTAAACCAGAATGTAAAAATATGATAAAAAATAAATTAATAGATTGGTTAAGTATAAAGCACTGAATTGCATTAAATAGACATAAATGTATTCATCTTCACCATTTTTTATTTTTTATTGAGTTTTGTTTTAAGAACTTTAACTAAGTAAAAAAACCTTTATTTATTTATTTAAGAATGAACCAAAAGCTTAAAATTGTATATATATATTTATTGGTGTTATTTAATAAGTTTGTATATGTATCCAATTTACTCATGGAAATTAATAAAAGTATTTATTTTACTAATTACTCACAAGCGAGTCAAATAAAAAAAATACTCAATTATAATTTTATTATCATCTTAACAGTATTTATGATTACCTTATCAGGTTATTTTTCTACTATACTAAAAAATTAGTTTTATTATCTATTTCAAATAAATTAGTGATTAATATAAATATCTGAATTAATGTTATTAATTTATTTTTTTTTTAAATTAAAAAAAAGCTAATCAACCTGAATTCATTTTTCAATTATCAATAAATAAAATTTCTAAAAATAAAAAATGGATTAAGAACAATTATTTTTCAATCCTGTAATATAAATATTTCAAGAATTAAGAGATCAAATCAATCCTTAAATTAAATAAATTAAAGAGGATCTAAGTAAGCAAGCTAAAAAAGACCTATATTATTACACTCTAGATTTAGAAATTGCTAACAGGCTATCTTTAAAATTAATGATAGAGATATTTATTTATTTAGAAATGAACCATAATTTGAATGAAATTTAATAATTTCAATAATAGTTTTTGAATATTCACTTTGAAGAAATCACATTCATAAGTGTTGGTTAAAATGTAAATAAGAAGTAGAAGTTGAAGCAACTATTCTAATAAAATGTGGATATTTTTCAAAATCTTAATTTATGTTTAGAATCTATGGTAATAATGTATTAAAAGCTATATTCAGAAATTCAGCAGCTTTCATCTTAAATTGACCATTGCGAAGATAAAAAAAATAAAAAGATTTTAGTAAATTAAAGGTATAGAAAAAATTAAAATATTTACTTCATTGAACTCCTAATTAATACTCTATAAAATCTAAAATTAATATATGAAATTGTTTTTTTATATTCATAAAATAAAAAACCAATAAATGAACTCTAGTAATAACTTAGTTCTCAAATTCATAACTAAACTTAATTTGGTATGTATATCAGAACTAAATCTCAAGGAAGAAGAGATAAATGGTTTCTTAAGATTTAACTATTCTAGTTATTATGTTTAGTATTTGTTTTAAAAACATTTTAAGATCCAACAGAATAATCAGGGTCTGATTATGAACTAGATATTGATAGAAATAATTTAATAATACATAATAATATAGAATTGTAAAGCTTTTCTTCACCCTTCATATAAAGCCTAGATGACACTGATTAGACTATCAACTATATCTATTTAATTTTTGGTTTATTTACTTTCTTGCTTATCCTGATTATTGTATTAAAAAAGCACTTAATTAAAATGATTTAAAAGTTCACTAAGAGAAATCCATAAGATTTAAGAATATCTTAAACTAATTGATATAAATAAAAAAATTTAAATATTTATTCATAAAAATTCTAGTTAGAATAAGTTTACTTGTATAATAAATAATATCTTATGAGGAAAAAGATAGTAAAAACCTTGAAATATTGTTTGTTTTATTGTAAAATATTTAATATATTCAATTATAAAATACCACATCAAAATAATTTAATTTCAACTTTAAGAAATAATTTTTATTTATAAATGTAAAAAGCATATTATAATTAAATAAATTATATTTAGAATGTATGCTTTTTAAATTATATATCCTTCAATTCCTCATTTATTAAGATATCTATTCAAGTTTTACTTAGGGCATTCAATAAATAATGAATTTAAGGTGTCATAAAAAAATAACTTTAAAATTTCACCTTGCATTGCAATGATTATGGTAAGTTAATTATTTTATTTTAAATTATTGAAAATTTACTTTATTTAATGTAAATTTATAGAAATTAAATTCTAATTAGTCTAGTTAATTTACTTCAGATTATTCACACAAATAAACAACATTTTGGTTTTGGTTATATAGTTTTAATGAATATATATATGTTAGATTTAATATAAATTTTTCATTTTTAAGATTAGCCTTATTAAATTTTATAATCCATCTAAAATAATTTTTTATTATTAAAACACACAAAAAATCTTTAAAAATATCATTTATCTAATTATTTTAGCTCAATTGTTTTGCTTTTTAATAAATATCTTAATTTATCATTTTCAAAAATTTAACTTGCTGGTATTCATTTAATGAAAATCCAAATATAAGTTATGTTTTGACTAATAAAAAATGCTAAATTTAACATAATATTATTTAGCTATTTAATAGAAGAAAGTATTTTTAAGGGTATTTATATAAGTGAAACAAAAATTATATTATTTAAAATATAAACCATTTTTGATATTGATTTTAAAGGTTGTCCTAAAGGTAAAAATTGCATTTAAATAATGTTTGTTTTTATAAAATTTACCTGTTTTTTTTTTATTTATATCATTTTGAGATATTGAGTCATTGGCAAATTGACAACTGACTTTAATACATTCTGAAATAAATAAATAATTTCAGAGATAAAGTTTATTGTTATATATATGACTTATGCTTTTGAATTATTATTTATAGTATCAAAATTTAATATAATAAATTATAAAACATCTACTTTTTTTAGGTTTGATTTTAAAAGAGTGGGAAGATAGATAATATGAATTCTACAGAAGCAATAAATGAATTTATAAACAATAATTTGAGAAGTGATTACTCATACCATAGCAGAATACTTTCAAGTCATAGTAACGAGGCATTCACAAGCGGAGGATAAGTAGCAGGAGGAATAGTTGGTAACAAAAAAAAATAATAAATATTAAATAATATTTATTAATAATTAGCATCTGATTTGATATAATATTTATATTATAATACTTTTTTAATTTGAAATAGGTACTATATATGTATTCGCTTTTATCTACTACCTTTCTGTGAAGTTTTTTAATCATATCATAGAAGATATAGTTTATTTAGTGAATGTAATAATATTATATTTAATTCAAAAGGCTTTATTCAGATATTATATTACCAAAACATTTATTTATTTGTAAATGAAGCAACAAATTTTAAAATATAGTATAAAGAAGAAGAAGATAAGGAAATATATAGACCTCTAGTTTATTGTGTCTTGAATTCAATACCTGTTTTAGCTTTTGCTATGTGTTGTGTTATCAGAACTGATTATGATTCTGGAATAATGTTAATATTCAGTACTGATATGATAAATATATTCCTAATTTATGGCTTAATTCTTATTTTAGTAAATAATTTTTAAAATCAATTAATTATCAAATACCAAAAAAGCTCTCATTTAATTGCTTGATAAAATTATTATTTTTTTCTCAAAATAATTTGTAAAATTAGGTTATTTTACCTGTTAAGAAAGAAGGTAGTGATATTGATGGATGGTAACTTCTACGTGATTCTATTTGGTATTGTGTTGGTTTATCTCTGTTTATTATATTTTTATTCGAAAACCTTGTAACTTGGTGGGCTGGTTTAGTAATGATATGCTACTATTTCAGTCATATAATCCTTTAATCATACAATGAGACTATTAGAGAAGAAATGTTCTTATTAGTTGGTCTTAAGCACGAAGACGATTTATTCAATGCTGATGAATAAGCTAGGTAAAAGAAAAGAAGAATATCAATTACAGAACTTTCATATAAAAATTGTGTTGATAAGACAGATGAAGAACTTTAAAAGAAAATTAGAAGAATGGATGCTTTGATTCGTGTCAAATATAAAGATTGTAAAATAAATTAAATTATATTTAGAGCTTAAATTTTATTCAATTAATTCAGAATAGAAGAAAAAAGATGTATACACAAAGTGGTAAGTTGCTGTTTACACAGTTATTTTTGCAATCCGTAATAAACACAAAGATGAAAAAAATTAAAGAAGCATCAATTATGCAAAATTATTTGCTCCTGTTAAAAATTGTTCTTTGCCTTCTGATCAATAGTCTTAGTAAGAATTTGAATAAAAATAAATTTAGAATGAAGTAAATGAAGAAGATGTATTAATTCGTAAGGAAGGAGGAGGTGATATAGAAGATTAAGCTGAGTCAAAAAAACCTAACTCAGAAAGAAAAATTAAGAATGATGATGCTGAGTCAGAAAATATGGATAATTTTAGTAACAAATTTGGAAATGGCTACTAATAGCAATTAAAAGATAACTAATCAGAAAAAGATGTAAAGCCAAATTTGATGATGAATGAAGACCCATAAATGATTTAAATGATGGATAATTAATATGATGATGTATTTGGTTAATAAGAAAAGTTCCAAGTTAGCTTAGCGTTTCCTTCTCATCCTTTCGACATATTCTGCTACATAATTTTCTTCCCAATCCATTTAATAATGTAATTTTATTTATAAATATTCTTGATATTATCTTTATAATAAATTTTTAATATAAAATAGATATCTGTTACCAAATTACCACTTAAATCCCTCTCACAGAAAACTAGCTGGTAGCTTCTTGGTAAATATGGTTATTATATGTGCTTTGATGGTATGTCTCTAATACTTAATTGATAATATTGCTGGATATCTGTTCTATTCTCATAATTCAGTTTTAAGTATTTCTGTTACAGGATTATTTTTGCAACTCCCTTTCTTCATATATAATTACTAATTTGCTAAAAAGGAAAAAGATCCAGTAGACTTTTTGTTAACCTTTTTACAGTTAGGAATATTTAAATTAGGTATCGTATTAGGCATAGTTTGCATTGTTAGCTCAATTGCTAATGTAAGTTCTAATGTAAATGTAGTTTTTCATTAATATTTCAAAGTCATATTACTGATAATGATTGGAATAGTAATTGGAAATATTATTGTTCTTAATGCAAATTCCCTTAAAGCAAATAAAAATGTTAGTAGATACCTTGTAGTGGGGTATGCTATATTTTTTATATCATCTATAATTCTTTTAGCAGTTTGAGAGAAATTAATATAATATAAATATTTATTTTATGTATTTCATAATGTGTTTTTAATATTTCAATTTAAAAAACAAAAAAATCTTCAAATTTAAAATTTTTAAAAATGTATTTTTTTTATTTAAATATTTTAGTTTTAAAAAATCATATTTGGTTGAGATTTATTTATTAATTGGTCATTTCTAAAATTGATAAAAAGTATTTATTTTGTATTTGTTAATTTGGTGATAATTATTTTTAAATATTTAATTTTTTCAAAATATAAATGCTTTATAAAAAAAAAAATCCTATTATCTATTTTAATAATTAATAAAATGAAAAACATTAAATTTATAAATCATGAGACTATATCTTATGAGAATTTAACTATAAATCTTTCTCTATTTTTAGGATCTTTTGAGTTTATCTTTTACTTATACTTCTGTCTTAGCTTAGAAAAAGTGTCGAGTATTTATTCATTTTCTGAAGTGTTGCAATTTCCTCTAAAATAATTTTTTAATAAATTCTCATCAGATAGTGAAATAAAATTTTTTTATTAATTAATTACCTGAAATCAAGGAATAGTTTTTTGAGATTTTAAAAGTCTTAATTTAACACTGAATCAATGAAGAACAAAATATTTTCTGAATAAATTTAACAGGAGCTATTTATTTTTCAAGAAATATAATTGTAAAATAAATTATCAATATAATGAAAATAATTACTTGAATCCTATTGATAGCTTCTCAAGACAAGGAAGTTTAAGCTGCTTGAACTTAATTACAAAATTGTAAATATTTTGTAAATTATTGTAATTCATTTAGATAGATAAATTTTTCAAATTTGAAGTATTTAAATTTTCTAACGCATCAACCATTCTAAAAAATGAGTGCTGAGTTATCATATTCCCTCTTTAAATAAATAAATAAATCAAATATTTAGCCATAAGATCAAACAATTTTATTTAATTTACCCAAAGTGTATATTAATTTTTTTGTAAGGTTATCTCTATTTGTTATATAAGCAAGTCATATAACTAAAGAATTGCTCATCAGAAATATTTGAACACCTTTTTTTAAAAAATGGTTTTAAATTGTTTTATTTTTTTTCGAAAATTAAAAAAAAAATTAATAAAGATTTTACGGATGGATCATAATTACTTTATCAGGCATTATTTCTAAATTTGCTATTGCTTTAATTTCATCTGATACTTAATACTATATTTATTTGAATATTTATGCTTCAGAGTTAGACCACATGCTCAATATTCTAATAACTTCTGTTAAAGGTTATCTGTTTCCAAATGCATCTCCTATTGATAAAAACTTGATGTTATCTATTACCACATCAGGAACTGGAGGATTAAGGCCTGACATGTTGATAAAATTTGTTGGATTTCCTTTGTTAAACTATCCTAAGCAGAGTTTTTTACCTAAAAGTGAACAGAAAAGCATAACTAAACTATATCCATCTAGCTATTTTAAAAAATTATATCCTGCTTAAAAATTTTTTTTCAACAAAAGAACAATATATTTACTCTAAGACCAATTGTAGATTCATTCATACCATCTGCATCAAAGCATAAATTGTACAAAGCCATTTACTCATTAAATTTTATACCAAAATGCATTTTACCATAAAGGATGTTACCAAAGCTAAAATCCCCTGTTAGTATTATGAATAATAATAATTAACACTTAACAAAGAAGACAGGCGGTTCTAAGAGAAATAAATCAATTAAATAGAATTTCTAGAATGCATACCTAAGTATAACCTGCCATTCGACTTTTTCCTAATAATATTTGTAGGTTTAATGTTCTTATGACTAACATTTCTTGCATGCAAAGGCTCTAATATTTTCCATATTTCTAATGTTAGTGCTGCGGCTTCTTAATATAATATCGGATTTGACTCAGCTTTTCTTCTTTCTCTGTAGTCAAACAAACTTTCTCCTTTTTTAGTAAGTAAATAAATTAATAATAAAATTTAATAAAAGTAAGTAAACAATATGATGCTTAGAACTTTTATTTTTTTAAAAAAAAGGCCATGTTATTAAAAATTGCTTGATAACGAAATAATAAATTATATTAAATATCTATGAGAGAAGAATTATATTTACCTTCTATGTATTCATAAAAGCCTTGAAAAGTGTTTTTACCAATGACGTAATCAATAACCTTTTAAGTATACTTTTCTCTATTAATTAAGGGAATTCCATAATTTGCTTCTTATCTAATTCTGGCTCCTTCTTCTTCAGATTTAAAATCTGCGTATTTATAAACGAATGGTTTGATATTAGGATTTTCTTTATTATATCTAAGAAAGCAAGCGGTTCCTGGACCTCTAGATAACTCTTTCTAATCTGGATATATTTTGTGATCCATGGTGTTTAAAGTTAATCCACCATACGCTTGTTATAATTGTTCCATTGTAAGCTAGCTCATATTTAGTTTAATTCTAATAACAATCTTTCTAAGTAAATGAATATTTAATTTTATATTTTAAAATCTTTTTTATTCCAAAGAAGATATCAACTTTATTTATTAACTTTCTTTAATTTCAAGTAATTAATTCATAAAGCAAGCTAGTATTTTATCTTAAAATTCTAAATACTCAAATTAACTATTCAAGGAAGAATTTAAATGATTTTTTAATCTAAATTTTATTTTCATTTAGATTTTATTATTAATTTTTGCATATAGATGTAGAATAATAGTTTATTTAAATTAATTTTATTAATGAAGAAAAACTAATATATATCAAATAGTTTATATAAATATAGAGAAGTTAATTAAATTTATTAAAATTAGTAATAAGATGCTTAATTAATAAATTATTGTTGGTAGGTTAATTGGTAGATTGGTTGATTGGAATTAGTGTTTGAAATGAATCAAGTATGTATAAGCTCATAAGAAAGCTTTTATATTTTAAGTAAATTTAGCCTTATTAATTAAATAGGTAGTTTCTATGTTCAGATATTGATTGATGTCATTCGTTTTTATTAAACATCCTTTCAATGACTAAAGAGTATTTTTTCTTATTAATTTATTTAACAGTTGTAATTTAAATTAAATTATGGATTTTCTCAATTTTCTGGTATTATTTAATCATTTGGCTTCTATAAGTAGTGAAATTTATTTATTATTAATGAAATTAGTTTTTTTTAATTTTATATAAAAATCAAATTATTTTTTAAGTATCGTCATGCATTGAATTTGACTTAGCCCTAGTGTATTCAAATTTTGTACTTGTTTATTCTGTTGAGTTATATGCGCTTGATATCTAAGGGTTTGTTTAACCTCTATCTCTATTTTTCAATTTTGGTTATAGAGGTTAAACTAAAGTTTGCATTAAATTATTTAAAACACTTCCTTCATCACTAATAAAATCTCCACCTTAGGTATAGACTGTGGATACGTCATTATTATTGTTGATGTTGTTATAAAAGCTTGTATTCATATTATTAATACTGTTTTAGTTATTTTGGTTTTGAGATTTATTCATATAATTAACATCAGTAATATTGGTTTAAGTTCGATTCGTTTGCTAAGTGTGAATACTTTGAAATGTTAATCCGCGTAGCTTGGAAAGACGTGTGTGATCTAATTCTCTTTCACTCATCTCTGAGCATTCTAATATGGTGATAAGACTTTGCATCTTTTTACTTTAGCGAAATTCAGCTATTTTTTTGCTATCAGTTGGCTTGGTAGTAAAATTAATAAACCAGTGATGTGTTAGAGCTTATGATGCTTGCAAACGAGTTTCAGGATTAACATCAAGTAGCCTCATTAGGAAATCAATTCCACTTGCACTCAAAATATGATTGTTCGTTTTTGAAGGATTTAGCTTTTTTTCCTTTTACAAATTTTCTAAAATCTTTAAATCTAAGTCATATTTATATTTAGCAATATTGTTTGAGTTAGTCTAATTATTTTATTAATTATTTTGTTAACCATTTTAATTTCCAGTTGTATTGTTAGTAATAGGAGTATTAGATGAGGTTTATGTTATTTTTTCAATACGAGAATATGGATATTTTCCAAAAGCCATATAAAAAACGCACACTCCTAAAGCAAACATATCCATTTCAGGTCCTATTTTACCACCCTCCAGAACTTCTGGTGCTACGTATAAATTTGTTCCTTTCTTTATGAGACGTTCACGATAAAATTCTGTAATTTCTTCATTGTATTTCAAATTAATTAAGAAGATCTCGTTTTCTTCTCTTTAAGTAGCACCAAATATAATATTTTCTAACTTAAGATTTCCATGAAAAACGTTCTAAGAATGAAGACTTTTTAAGCCTTTCAGAACATGATGAGTGAGAGTAGCAATAGCTATTTCTTCTAATTTAGATGCACAAACTATTCTAAATAAATCTTCTCCTTAAAAGTACTCAAACGTCATGTAAATATAGCTTTCGTCTTCATATATTTTTTTTAAACGAGGGAGAAGTGGGCTCTAAATCCTCCTAAATATTTGTATTTCTTAATTTACAAATTATTTTTATTCTGGTTTGAGTCCTTTTTTGTTTACTATTTTTACAGCTGCATACATTTTCTTCTTTTTATCTACGCATCTATAAAAATGATCGTACATTCTAGTTTCTACCTTATATCTATGAGTGAAGTTAGTTTATCTACAAAATTTTCTTAAAGCCTTCATCCAAACCTTTAATTAAGAAAGAAAAATATATTTACTTGATGTTTTTAATTCATATAATTGTTAAAATATTCTCTTTAAAAAGTTGTTTATTATTTGGTTCTTCAAAGTGAAATACTTTATGTTAAATTTTCTATAAATAATCTGAAGCCTTAATTTGCAACAAAAGTTTAATAAGTATTCAGAAAAAACAAATATAATTTTTATGAAATGATTTGTAATCAACAAATAAAATGAAATAGCAAATTTTTTTAAAATCAATATCAATATTGAATGTTTCTTTCTTTGTTTAGATAGTTTAAATTATCAAATTTATAATTCTAATAAACCTTTGGCATTATTTTTAAATCGCCCTAGTTTTCTACTTATTTTGATAACTTGTTAATTATCTTTTATAATAAATGAGTTATTATATAAGTAGTTGGATCAAAATATATAAATATTATGCTATTATTAAAATTATCCTCATTTTTTTGCTTTTATTAGGAGCTTTTAAATCAATAATTATTTACCTTATGACTATTGAATTTGTCTGTAACGAGTTTTGCTATTTCTTCTTCATTTTAAAGAGTAATGCCATAAGCTACACTATCACCAATTATTTCATTCTCCTCACCAATTTAGCAATACTGAAGATATACGTGCTCAACAGGAGGAGCCTTAGTTTTATCTTAGTATTTTATGAGAATGTTATTGTAGAGTTCAAAATAAAATAATTTGAAATTCTTGAGCAACTTGCTGTAGGAAAAAAACTATCCTTTTAGAAGGGGTTTTGAATTAGTATTTAATTCTTATTTTAATAATGACTTTTTTTATTGCTTAAAAACTGAAGGAGACTCAAGGTATCTTCTTAAATGCTTTTAATCATTTAGCACAAAGTTCATAAGCTAATTAGTCCTATCTTCCATTTATCTAAATGCGTTATATTTGACTTATTAAAATACTTTATTAAAGTCTATTCTTCTTGTACTTTTGTTTCTTCTTAATTACAAATGTATTTGTTTATAAAGTGCCCTTTATTATTTTTGTTAATTAATAATCCTGTTAACAAATTTATAAAGAAAATTAAATTTGTTTGATATAGAGTGCTAATTTTTTTCAAATAAATGTTATAATCATATGAATTTCTGCAATTAATTATTAGCTATCAGATTTATAAATTTTGATTAATCACTTCTATTACCTAATTTACTCTTCTTATTTAATCTAATAATATATCAATCAATAATGCCGTATATTAATATAATGCTTTCTCAATTGCAATAATCTATAGTAATCATCATTATCTTTAAAATTAATATTTTTTTTGCTTTTTATATGTATGGCTGTAATTCTAAACTGAAATATCTCACAAAAGCTTACAATGTATTATATATTTTGAAAAAAAAAATCAGCAAATATATATTTAATTAACTAGTAATTTAGTGGTATATGAATATTTACATGCATAAGATTGGGATTTTGAAAAGAATTTTCCATAAAAATACCTTCATGTAAATTAAAATTTTGCTGAACTGAAAAAATTTATTTATAATTTTTAACGCAATCACTTCTTTACAGAACAGGATTAGGAATTTTGAAATATTTCCAATAATTTAATATATACTTTCATATTTTAAATATAAAGAGCATTATATTTCTAAATTGATTTATAAAAATTTGATACTACTTTTTAATCAGTAGAAAATATCTTTTATCAATATTTAATTTTTTTAATAAATACTAAATTTTTATCACTACCTCAAAAATTATTAGTCACTCTATATATTCTAATTTTGTTGATTTATTATTATTTAAGCAAATATGTGTATTATGTATCTTAAACATTTTTCATAGTTTATATATTTTACTTTCAAAAAATTAAGAACTTAAGAAAGATAATAAAAAATATTGTAACAATATAACAAAATAAATTCATACTTCAAATTAATTAATTACAAATTTTTTAATGGACACATATTAAAAAAATATAGTTTAATTTATTTATAAATCATGTTTATATCAGTTTAAGAAATTTAAATATATGTATTTATAAAATAATTGTATCAGCTTTAGGATTTCAGAAATAAAATAATGCAAATAGTTTAATCATTTTCTTTTAATTTCATTTGTTATTTGATTAATATTAATCTATATGCATCTAATTATTTTGTTTTTGAGTTATTAATTAGATTTTTATTCAGTATTGATTCACTATTTTATTGAATATTTAATTTAATTCATTGTTACTTATTTTTTATTAAGATAATTTAAAATTTCACCAGCAAATAATTTCTAATAAAAATTGTATTTCAGATTTTGATTTTTACTCTAAAGAATTCTTACAATTTACTATGTTATCTATTTTAAAAACTTAAATGGACTAATTTTAATTTAAATAACATTTATTTATAATTAAATAATGTTTGCATAGACATTAAGAAAGAATGCATTTAAGTTATTTAATTATTTTTAAAAGTGTTGAATAGTTTTATAAATTCATATTCGAAAACATATTTTTGACATTTTATTTTTAAGAGTAGTTATTTAGAATCTTATTCCTATTTTATATAAGGTCTCTAATTCTTTAGATTGATAAACTTTTTTTTAGTTAGATAAGTCTAAATATTAATTATTAAATATTCATAGAAATTTAATTCTGTTTTTGATTTTACATCAAATTAAGTTTTAAAAATTATTTGATTATTTTATATTATTTATTGGAATATATTATTTAAAGATAATTATAAAATAATGATTAAAAAATTTAATCTTTTTTAAAAATATTTTGAAAAAAAATTTTTTATAGATACTTTAAATTTAAATTATTTTAAATTAGATTTCTTTAAATAATTTATTAAAAAATAAATTTAATAAAAATAATTACATATCTCTAATAATCATTAGTTAATATATATATAAACACCTCTGAGTTGTTAACAGTGTTTTCTCTTTAATTACTACATAAGTGTTAAATTTCAAAGAGTTTTGAATCTTGAATTTAATTATTAAATATTCATAAAAATTTAATTTTGTCTTTGATTTTACATCATATTAAATCAAATTTTAAAAATTATTTGACTTATTTTATTTTACTAATTGAATATAATATTTAAAGATAATTATAAAATGATGATTCAATAATTTTATCTTTTTTAGAAATATTTTGAAAATAAATTTTTTTATTGATACTTTAAATTTGAATTATTTTATTAGATTAATTTTAATAATTTATTATTAAAAAATAAATTTAATAAAAATAATTACATATCTCTAATAATGGTTAGTTTATATATATACTTCTGAGGTGTTAACACTGTTTTCTCTTTAATAAATAATAAGTGTTAAATTTCAAAAAGTTTTGAATCTTTAATTTTCATTTAAATTTGAATTTGATTGACTGTTAGTAATATAATTAATTAATTAAAAAAAAATCAAAAGCGAAACGAGTTCAAAATCTTTCTTATTCACAGACGTTGCTGTAGTTATTCTAGCCATAAAAAATATGCTAAGAGGTACTCAAAGATTTTTATCTTTGGGTTCAAACCTTTCAAGAGCGATTATAGTCATATTAAGTTTTAATCAAGAGTGCTTTTCAAGTTTTTAATATAGCAGAATTGTTGCAGATCTCATCTTTATGCTTAGGATCAACGCTTCCAGATCCAAATATTCCAAAGCAAAGCATAAGATGAGAAAAAAAAAGATTAAACAAATCTCCGAAGACTGCACTTTTCTCCGAAAGCATTCTAAAAACACTCCTATTCAATTTTTTAAGAATCCTCCCCACCAACCCACCCGTATCAAGAATAGGAAAAAATGGCTTTATGACAGATAAACTTTAGCAACAAGAATTGATCGGACATGCTAGGCAAGGAAAAGCTAAGTACTTCTTTCTTGAAATATCATCACTGATTAAGTAAGAAAAGTCAAGGAAAAAAGCAATTCCACAGAGATAAGCAAGCCACTGCTTATTCTCTGCAATTTCACTATCAATTAGATTTTTGAATGCGAAAGCTTAAATCGTTTTGTTTAGGTTCGCTTTTTGCAACCAAATTACTTCATTTTGAAGTGACCCCATAGTCTTATTTCCACTAAATTTTATATTAACTAAAACATTTTTTCTCCAAATTAAAAACAAATTTTAAATAGATAAGAAATAAATAAAATTTAAGAATAAAATAAAATAAACAGATAAATAGAAAGAAAGAAAAAAATTAGAAGCAAAAAAAAACAGAAAACTAGAAAAACAAAACAAAACAAAAAAAAATAAAAAAACTTAAAATAATTAAATAAAACAAATAAGAAATGAAATAAAATAAATCAATTAAATTTAAAAAGAAAAATAAAAAAAACCATTAAAAAAATATTCATAAAAGAATAATATATTAATATGAAAATACTAATTATTAATTATTCTGTTTTTCTTAATATAAGAAAAGTTAATGATATTTAAATTTAAAATTTTTGATTTTATTTATGTAATTTTTAATTTTCCCAATATTTAAATTAAAACAAAGATGCTTTTTGTTTGATAATTTATTGACTATTACCCTAAAAAAAATATGTAAAGATATATACATAATATTTTCAATCAAATTAACAAAAATTTTAGTAATTAATTTTAGTATAATAATTTTCTATTTTAAAATTAGTAGTTTAATTATACAAAATAAATTAGTTTTATTTCATTTTTTTGTTAGTTTTAATAAACTATTTTTATTTGAATTTTATAATGTAAATTTTATTATAATCTGTATTATAAGATTTTCCAACTATTGTGCTTTCAAAATGTTTAATTAATTACAAAAATTGTGAATTTTATTTGAAGCTAAGATTTATATTTTATTAAAATAAAGTAAAGAATAAAGAATGAGATCATTTTTAAGATATTTTAAGATATTATTTTTAAAAAATTTGAAATAATAAATTAAATAAAATTAAGGAAACAATTATAATTTTTTATAATCTATCTATATAAAGTAAGTACTATTAATTGATATATAAGTATATAAATACTTTTCTCAAATATATTTAATATAGCTTGCTATCTCTATTTACTTTTACAATATTTCTATTCAATCTAAAAGTTATCCTGCTTACCTTTTGATAATTTTAAAATTATTCAAGTTATAAGGTTAATATATACATTATGAGAGTAAGTAGAACTGAAGAATTTGTTGATAAAATAAAAATTTTAAGTCGTTTTTATGATTTAATTCTTTAAGTTAAAAAATTATAAACAAAAATAATGAATGTCTCAATCATTATGTAATATTTTTAATTCCCAATTTTTAATAATTAATTACCATTTTCTGAATAATTGGTAGCAACCGCTCAAACCCATAAAGAAGTTAACAGCAGCCAAAGAATAGTTAACTGGGGTAATAACAAAGCAGTATCTATTTTAAGGATATCAAAAATATAATAACTTTTTTAAATATAAATTTTTACCTTGTCCAGATTAAACCTGATAGAGCTATAGCTATATTAATTATTTAAAAAAATGTTAATTTTTATCTGATATATGTTTAAAATGATAAAAAGCATTTTATTTTCTTGAAATTTGTATAGAATTTGAAAAAAAACATACCAGCTTATTACTTAGAGTTGATTTATTGAGTAGGTAATTTAAGATCTTTAATATTTGCAAAAGTGATACACCATTTAATCATAGGGCACCAAAAGAAAATAGTGAATGGACCTGCGGGATGTTCTAAGAACTTTCTTGCTACAGCTAATTTTAAATTCAAAGTATTTATTAGTTTCTCATTAAATTTTAGTTTTAAATAATTAACATATTCAAATGATAAATGTAGTATTAAAAATTAATATTCTGATTTTTATAAGTAAATAAGTTCTAAAAAGATTTCTTTTATTGTTAAAAAAGTTTTAAAATTATCATACGAGACCAATTATACATGCCAAGGACTCTTTTTTAAAGGAGAGGGACGATTTGTACCATTTTGCTAGCTTAATTGGTTATCTTTTATTTTATTTTTTTAAATTAAAAATTTTTAATCAAATATTTATTGGAATAGTTGTTTATATTTTCTCAATTTTATTCATTATAAATGAATATTTATGAATATACTTTAAAACTTTACGATTGATATATTGTATATGATGAAAGATTTTTTTGATTATACTTTTCACAATGTTTAACTTCATATTCTCTGACGTATAATGCGATAGGATTTTGATGATTTCATATTATTTTTCAAAAATAAAAATCCATTTAATTAAATTCATTTTTATAATCAATATTGTTTTTTAATTCACAAAACAATAAATTTATTACTCATATTGTTTACTGCTCATTGATGTGAATTGTTCAGGCTCCTCATTCATTATAAGTTAACAAAATCTTTATAAAATTAAAATATTTAAAATGATAAACATTAAATCTAATAATTCATATCATTATTTTTACAAACTAATACAACTTTTATTCGATAATTTGATTAAACTAGTAATTAAACTATGTAAAATTATGTCAAATTATTTGAAATACTATTTTATTTATTTATTTTTAGATTACAAATTATATTGTAAAATTACAAAAAAAATAAATCAACTTTTTAAGTTAATAAAATAAACAATTTGAATTACTTACTTTAGGCATTTTTTATTATAAATACAGCTTAATAAAAAAAAATTATTTAAACTTTAGTAGCATTATAAATTTTTATTAATATTTATTTATTTTTTTATATTTTTATCTCATTAATTATTTTATTTTAGTTATTTATCAGTCTAAGAGTTCTCCAGCCCTCCTAGATAAAAAAATACATTTAAAAAAAAATGATTTTTTCGTTAATAAAATGAAAATTTTTAAGGTAATATTTAGAATATTCAAAATAAAAGGTTGTATGCACTAAATAAATTACTTACCATTTTCTAAATAATTGATAAAATCCAGAAGCACTCATAAAGATGCAACATGCTGCTAAATTGTAATTAATCGGAGTTATAACAAAGCTATATCTTTAATAATAGTTAAATAATCTAAGTATTTTAAGGATTAGTTTGTTAAATTTTTACCTAGTCCATATCAACCCAGAAAGAGCAAGGGCTTTTTTAATAAAAAACTAACATTAAATAATAATTTATTAAATAATAAATATCAAATATTTATTTACTAAAAAATAAAAAAGCGTTTTTAATTTTTTGAATTTATTATGAATAATGCATGAATAAAAAATGAGAAAAAATATACTGGCCTATTATTTTGAGCTTACTTGTTTGGTAGGTAATTACAATTCTTTAACATTTGTCAATGTAAGAAACCATTTAACTAAAGGACACCAAAAAAATATAGTAAATGGGCCTGCTGGATGCTCTAAGAATTTTTTTGCTCTTGCTATTTGTTTATATAAAAATAATATTTTAATATTTTTAAAAAATTTCTATTATTTATATTTGTTGAGTCACAAAAGCTTACGAGACCAATTATATATTCCAAGTACTCTTTTCTATAGTATAGGGACGATTCCGAGCATTCAATATTAAATTCTATCTTCGCTTATTTTAAAGTTTCTTTATTGAGTTTTATTAAATAATTATTAATTATATTAATTAATACTTGTTTTGTTGGTATTAATTTTGAAGATTATGTAATGTTTTATTGTAATTTATTACTTTGTTCGGTAAAATCTTGATACATTTCTATTTTATTACTATTTGCAATACTTAGTTACAATTATTAAAAATAACACATATTTAAAATAATTAAATCATAATTTTAATCTTATAGAACTTACTATATAAAAAATTAACTTTTAAAATTAAGGATTAAAATAAAATAATTCCATTTACTAAACTATTTTTTAGTTAAAATTTAGAACTGATGAAGAAATATTTTAAATAAATTTAAATATTTAAATTGAAATTTATATTTTAGAGTTAATTAGGTTGTGGGTTATTCAATTTTTAGAGTTGAAACCTTTTCTTAAATAAAATAAAATTATTATTTCAAAAAGCATACATGTTAATATTGAAGTTAATCATATATGATTTTTTTTACTTAATTGTTTATATGAAAAAAAGTTAACATAAATATTCCTCCTTTACAGTGGTTGCTATTGTATAACTTTAATTTTATAATTTAACTAAGTATTTTTCCATTAAGAAATTGCATCACTATAAAATAAAAAAATAGTAATAAAAATATCCAGAGTGAAAGAAAGATAAATAGCTGGATGGATGGTCTTTTGAATGCATAACTTATCAATTAATTAAAGATGATATTTTTTTCAACGTATTAAATAGGATTGTTAAGTTTTGAACAGAAAAGTTTGTTTGATGATTTTATGAAAAAGAAAAAAAATTATATTGAGTTGAAGAAATTTTTTTAATATTTAAATAGTTAATATAAAACATAATAATTAAAATATTCTTATCATCAAAAATGCAATAGCAATATTAAATAATTAGACCATCTTTCACAGTTGTTTAACCTGGATCATAAGCATAAAAACAAATTCCACATACAAAATTAGTTGGAGGCAGTTCTATAAACTAAGTGAATTTGTTAGGCGTGAATCAGGTTATAAGTTAATAGTAGTAAGTAGCATAATAATAATTATAAATACAACAGTAATAAGTTTAGCAGTAAGGCTAATAACCTCAGTAAATTTAGTAGCAATAATAGATCTAGGTATAATAAAATTAGAGCTAATAACCATAATAGTAGTAGTATTTTGTCCCTAAAAAAGTTATAGAAAACTATAGTTACTGCTTGCCTGATATTATAGGTAAAGGTTATTCAAGCAAAGTGTATAGAGGTAAGAATGAAACAACAGGCGATACTGTTGCTGTTAAAGTAATAGATATGAAAGGAATTAAGAATGAAGTTCAAAGTTTTCTTTTGAAGAATGAAATAAGTGTTTTGAAAAAACTTAATAATATAAATTGTTTAAAGTTGTTTGATGTTTTTCATACTGCTAATAATACATACATTATTACAGAATTTTGTGATCATGGAGACTTAAAGGAGTTAATTACAAAATATGGAACATTTTCTGAAAAGCCTGCTGTAAAAATTCTTAAGCATCTTCTTAATGGTTTAGATGAAATGCAAAACAAAGGGGTAATTTATATTTTAATTGATATCAAAAGTCAAATAAATTGCTACAAAATTATGATTTGATATTATGTTTTTATTTAAAACCGCTTCATTTTTATTTTTATATTCAGATTATTCATAGAGATTTGAAGCTTGCAAACATTTTAGTTAAAGAAGGAATTCCTAAAATAGCAGATTTTGGTTTCTCTAAAGACCTAAATGCAGAACCTTGCAAATTTTACTATAATGTTGGAACGCCTATGTACATGTGTCCATAGTCTCTCACTAAAAATGAATACAGTTTCAAGAGCGATATCTGGTCTATTGGTGTGTTATTCTATGAAATGATTTACAACATAACTCCTTGGGTAGCAGACACAGAAAAGTAACTCGTCGATAAAATGACTTCTATTCCAGTCTCTTTTCCTGCTACACCTATTGTTTCTGAAGAGAGTAAAGATTTTATTCGAGGCTGCTTAACAATCGATGAATCAAAGCGTTTTTCATTAAAAGACATGCTTGATCACCCTCTTTTAAAATTATTTGATAGAAAAGAAGAAAATTCCCACAATAGACATCATAATTAAGAAAAAGCTCATTCTACTGACTAATTCCATAATTCTAAAGAAAATGATAAATAAGTAGCAACTCCTATGATGGTAAGGCATGAACAACATGTTTAGCTGTAAAATAATTAGGCTTCTAATGAAAAAGTAGATAAATAAATCCACTATACAGCCCATTCATTACCACCTTAAATGAATTAATATATGGATAATAAGAACAAAGAAAATATTACTTCTTAATCCCCTAAGTCACAGGTATAAAATTTATACTTAAATTTCTCTTTAAATACAAAAAAAAAAAACCAACATTTTAATAACTTTTAATATTAATAGAACCCTATAGGATTAAGATAAGACTTATCACCTATTCCACAAAAAGCAAAAGTTATGTAAGTCAAGGCTTAAGAGTAATATGTTGGATAGGTATATAAATAGGCAGATATTTCAGAAAAAAGGCATTCTGTCAATAGCTTAACACCAAAATTAAATTAAAAAGATGTCTTACCTTCAGTTCCTGAAAAGTAGGAATAAACTTAATCATCTTATGCATAATCAGATAAATCATAGCTAAATGAAAGATAAATTAATTAGTAAAATGGGTAACAACTATTTATATAACCAAGTGAAGTAGAAGACGAATTCAGCTAAAACGATTAAATTATTCTTGCTCAAATTAACTTTTGCCGTTTCTTATACAGACTTTAGAAATTATGTGATGACACTAATGATTATGTGACTGATGGCTTAAAAGAAAAAATTAAATTTTTTATCTTGAAAAATATTATGATTAAAATCAGTAAACTATAATAAATGAGTGAATAATCTATAAATTAACTTAACATGAGTGATTTTCTAAGCTATATCTAAGAAGAAAGCTTTGCAAGATTCTAAGTGGTGATCAAAGAATACCAAGTAAAATATGGAAACTCCTTTAATGTTTTTTGGGATAACATGTAAAATAACGTTAGTAGAAAATAGGTGCTTCAATCTGACAAAAAATTTGCAGCTATATTTGACAAAACGTTTATAGAATTTGAGAGCTTTTATATAATAGCTTAAGGGTATTTAAGAATATCTATTCATGAATTAAATCAATCATTAAATGAAAAACTTAGAAATTTTGATAAAAACTAAGAACTGCCCTATGAAATTTAAAACTCAATAGTATTCTTAGATTACTTAATTACTTATTATTAATTGAGTTAGTTAATACTTGAGAAATTTAATTAGTTTGATTTATTTGCTCGTGTCTCTAAAATAGAGTAAATTGCTGAAGGCAAACCCGTTCAATTATCAAAGTTCCATTTCCTCTCGATCTAAAACAAAATAATTCAACTTGAAATTTGATAAAGCTAACAGTGAGAATAATTTTATAATTTTATAAATTACTATGATGTCCCTCAAGCTTACTGTTTATTTATAATAAATAAAGCAAATTATTGAAATGACTGCATAAATAATTAAAAATATTAAAAAAATGACTTATATAAATATGTAAAAGGTGTTTGATGTATTTAAATATGTTTTATACCTTTGTAATTTTAACTTTTATAAAAAATTATTTCAGATTGATGATAAAAATTGACAAAAATTTAGCATTTTTATAATTTTTATTTTTGTTTTTTAAGACTTAATAAATATTTCTAAATTCTGAAATTCTATAATTAATAATCAAATATTTTGATTTTACAAGTTATAACCTATAAAATATATAATGAATAAGACATAGAATTATTCCTGCATGAATGTGTGGGTATAATTATCTATTTATTTAGAGATTTGGATTGATCAAGATATTTAATTAGCTTAACTCAAATAAGTTTTCCTCTCCATCCAAGTAGGAAACCAGCTGCAAATCCAGTACTGCTTGGCAATCTATATTGCAAAGTTGATAAATATTTATCATACATTATCTTGAAATCCTACATATCTATTTTATTGTCACCATTCTAATCTAATGCTTTAATAGCATCTTATTCCATCTTATTCCATTCAACATTAACATATCCTTAGAATGAAAGGAGTTATGCAGTCACAAATAATCCTCCGGATATAAAAGTTCCAACTCTAGCCATTCTTCTTGTAAAAGCACCAGAGCAATAACCAAAAACAGTGCCTAAAGTTAATTCCTAAGCTGTTGCTTATTTATGTAGGTTATAAAATTCCATATATTTTGAAAGAGCCTATTTAACAGCTGAGTCGTCTTTATTATCTGTCATTTTGAATATCTTCTTATAATAATTTCTATTGCTTCTTTATAGAATACAATTTTTATTAAAATTATTAATTTCTTGGAATTGAATAAAAGATATTTTCAGATAAATACTAGAAAGTAAAAGTTTTAATTTAAAGCAAATTCTGTTGAAAAAAATGAGCTTAAAACCAAAATAATTCATAATAGTTAAAGATTTATTTTTGCTATAAAAAATAAGTTTTTTGCCATCTATATTAAGATTTATGTTTATAAAAAGCATGAAATTAAAAGTATTTATATTAAAAATTATTTAAGGATATACTACTCAACTAAAAAATAAAATTAAAGCCATTATGAATTTACATAGGCATATAAATAATCTCTAATATAAGGGAGGTATTTTAAAGACAAATTTTAATTTTGCTAATTTTTTTAAACTAAAATTTTTCTGCAGAATTTATAAAATAAATATTTAAAATTTTAAACATAATAGTTAGTTTGAGGATATATCAAAAAAAATGTAAATTGAATTACGATCAAATGTTTAAATAAAAAATATTTTTTACAATTTTTAATTTGCAAAAAAATTTATTTATTTATTTAAAGAATTTACATAAAATAGCATATAATATGGTAAATTAAATAAGTTCAAAGAATCTTTAATTGTTATAATACTAAACAAATTTTTTATAACTAAGTTAATGCTAAAGTGTAAATTCTTTTGTAGGATAAGTATTTTAAGAAGTTTTCCAAATTAATTTCAAAAAAATATAACTTTCTTCACTTATTATAAATTTCTATAAACCAAATACTATATTTTTGATATTTAATAAATTTTATTATTAAAAATTAACTTAATTTTAACAAATTTATTTCCTTTAATTATTAAAAATGATAAATATTTTTTGTTATAATCCTAAATATTTTAAATTTTAATTATAATTAACTGCTAATTAATATTTTGAAAGTATTTATACACTTTCTTCATTTATGAGTTGGCTGCTAAGCTCAAAAATTTAAATAAAACCCAAAGTAGAATATTATAGAGTTTATCAAGAAGTTATAATAGTGAGGCAATCAATTCAAAAATCAGTAAATAGAGTTTTATAATTACATGAATAAATACAAATTATTAAAAGCAATTAAATAAATAAAAAAATCAAACATAATCAGAAGAAATAATGGTTAAAAAATTAAATATATAATTTAATCCTGTGTAATAATAAAAAATTTCTTTTTTATCAAACAAACTGTTGAAAAATATCTCAATTTTATGATTGTATTCGTTTTTCTTTCAGTTATAGCTATGTATTTCATTTATCTAAAATATAATTTTATGCTTATTTATTTTTTTCTAATTTTAAATTATTTTTCACTTAACTCGATATATTATTAAAAGTCTATAAAACATAAAAAATGTATTTCGAATATAGATATCTCATATTCAAAGATAATAATGGTCATAACTATATTGAGTGTTTGGTTTAAAATATATGAAGAAGAAATTTTCAGTTTTTGGGTTACTTTTGAAAATAAAATAATCAAAAATTTATTAATCATAGTACAGGTTGAAAATAAATAGAATTAAAATAAAATAGCTTTGATGAGATTTTAGCATAGCATTAAGATTTAAGAAGTAGGTAGGAATGATTTATTTGATATTTTAAATTATGATTTTACTTTATAAACATAAATTAATTATGGTTATTTTACTATTAATTTTTTAATGTCTATTCTTTCTAACCAATTAAAAGAAAATGATTCTTCTAATGAATTAGTCTAAGAAAAAAAAATAGAAATAATTGATTGGAAATTATCTAAATAATATTTAATTACTTTTTGATTTCAATTAATTTTCAAACACATTATCATTTAGCTGATAAATAGATTGATTGATTGATTCGTAGATAAAAAGATTAATTGTTAAACATCTTTATCAAAAATTTAAAGAAGTGACCAAAATAATTTTTTAGCTAGATGGAAGATTACTAAAGTAGCTCTTTTAAAGATGAAGCTCAAGTTTCTTATAGTAAATTAGATTCTACATCTAAGAGCTCTAAGAATCAAAATGATGAATCACAATCTGATGAGAAAAAATCAGATGATGAATCAGAAGCTGTAAATACAGAGTTTGATGTTCATTAAAAAGGAGCTATTCTTACTTTATAGCATCTTATCAAATTAAAAAGAAAACCCAGAAAGAGCAAAAAGATAGTGGTTGACCTGTCAAGTAAAAAAATGTTAAATTCATTTTTAAGATAGATATATTATTTAACTATAGTAGTTTTTAAAATTATGATAGCAATAAATAAACTCTTACAGCTTTATCAAATATCAAAAATATGAATTTATTTGTTTATGACAAGTTCATTTTAATTATGCAAGTTAACTAAAATTTAATTATAACAGATACAAAATATGATGTAATAAAACAAATATGCTCAGAATCATTTAATTGGAATATAACTTACAGATCTAACGCAGATTGGAATATTAAATGGCAAGATTTTTATATTAACGAAGATGATTTGCGCAGGATGCTTCCATATCAAAAAATTAATCATTTCCCAGGTTCTTATAACCTAGGAAAAAAGAATTATTTAGGAAAGAACTTATCAAAAATGAGATTGAAATTTCCTGATGATTTTGACTTTTGCCCACGCACATGGCTATTACCTTACTAGTATGAAGATTTAAGAAATTTTTATGAAAAAAATAAATCTAAAAAACCTGTGTTTATTGTTAAACCAGAAGCTAGTTGTTAAGGAAAAGGAATTTATCTAGTTAAAAAATTTTCAACGCTAAGTAAATAATTTTAAAAATTAAACTCTTTTTACCAAGATTTAACTATAGATATGAAACTAACATTATAACAAAAATTTCTATCATATTTTTTATCAATATTTTAGTTTAATTTCTATATTAAAAAAGATAATTAATTATTAAAATAGAATAAGATCAGCACATGGTTGTTTAGGAATATATTAAACATCCTTTCTTGATTGATGGACTTAAGTTTGATTTTAGAGTGTATGTTTTAGTTAAGAGCGTGTGTCCTTTAAAAGTGTTTATTTACAGAGAAGGATTGGCTAGGTTTGCTACTTGCAAATATTCCAAGCCTTCTAAAAAAAATCTGAAAAATATGTGCATGCATTTGACAAATTATGCTGTAAACAAGCACAATCCTGAATTTTAATTTAATTCAAATGCCAACTAAGATAACGTTGGCCATAAAAGAAGCTTTTCATCAATATTAAAAGTAATCTAATATTTATATTATTTTGAATTCTAACTTTTAATACAAAAGTATTTAGAAGATAATGGAAAAGACGCAACTGGAGTGTTTTTGTAAATTAAGCAAATAGTTAATAAAACTATGTGCAGTGTTTAACCTTATCTTAGCCATTTATATAGAAGCTGTTAGCTAAAAGAAGAGAATTCAGAAATGTGTTTTGAGGTTTTTGGGTAAATTTAAAATCAGGAAATAAATAAAATTGTTAATATTTTATTTTTTAAAAAAAGATTTGATATTATGCTTGATGATGATTTAAAAGCATATCTTATAGAAGTTAATCACACACCTAGTTTTACTACAGATACTCCATTAGATTATCACATAAAGCACAGTTTAATTACAGATACTTTAATTTTAGTGGATACAAGAAATAAAGCAAAATCAAAGTAAATTGATTTGAATAAATTATTGAATATATTTTATTTAGCTTTTGGTTTAATAAAGTTATTTAGAATCTAAAAAATAAATGATAATTGGGAAATCTAGTGTAAAAATGAATTAAGAGGATAAGGAGAATATGTAGAGAAAGCTAGATGCATATGAGCATAAATATTAAAATGGATATATTAAATCTTTACCTGCAGATAGTGTAAATATATAAATTAATTAAATACACTTATAATAAATATCATTATTTTAATATTTTTCTTTCTTAAACAAATTAAGGATGATAATTTAAACTACGAAAAATTCATTTAAGCAGCTTAATCTATTCATGATGAATTTACTGGCACTAAAAGAAATTTTGAGAGACTATAAACTCAATAGTAACCTTCCACTACTTCACTCTAAAATCAAAGTGAAAAAAAGAAATAGGAATAAGATGCACCTAACATTCCTAAGCCTAAAAATATAAATATTGTTAGGAGACCTGTATCTGGCATTCCATTAAACTTATAGAAAAGGATGAATTAAGAAACAAATTAAACTGACAATGATATATCTAAATTAGCTAATAATACGACTGGGTTTTTAAATCAAAGCTTTAATCAATAAAGCTAAAACCAATCTGTTAACGGTTATTAACCATAAACTTAAGATTTACAAAGCTAAGCTTAGGGTAATTCATCTTCGAGCTCTTCGATTTAAACAGTATCTGCTCTATCTTAGAAATCAAATACAAATCACATAATAAAAAATATTAGAAAGATTTCTTAAAGGAGTGTTTATAAACCTTCATAAAGTGTTGTAGATTATTCAGTAGATGCTAATCAGTAATCTGGCTCAACTACTAATATATATTCCAGTGTATAAAATAAAAACTAAAATGCAATAAGTACTATGAATAATTATTCTAGAGAGGAAACATCAATTTTTAACATAGATAAAGGTGATCAGCAGCTAAAATAATTTGGATCCAATAATAACATTTAGCTTAATATGAGACCAGAGTCAGGAAGATAAGAACTATCTTACAAATTAGACCAACTTAAAAGAGAATTATAAATGGCAAAAGAAGAAGCTTCAAGATGCTTAAATGAGTAAGAATCTGTTAAGCTTTAATAGTTATCTCATACAAGAGGTCTTACTTAGGTATTAGAAACCACAAATAATATTACAGCTCAAGCAAAAATTTCAATAAGACCTCAATCTTCCTCAATAGCTGGATAACTTTACAGAAATAATTTAAACCAATATAATTAGAATTAAAATAATGGAATAACTCCTCTTTCCTCAACTTCTTCTCGTCCTCTAATGTAAAATGGAAATAAAGCGGTCTTTTTAAAAATTAAAGAAGATGCTATAGTAAGAAACACAGTTAATTCTAATGGAACGCTAGTATACATTTAATAGTCTAATAACAGCAACGCGCTTTAACAAAACAGAAATGAATTCTTAAGCATACAGCGAGTCAAAATAGAGCCTAAACTTTATGCTAATTCTTCTTTAAATAGTAATTCCAATTAAAATAATGCTTATTTAGCTCCCGTAAGTTATAGCTCTAGCAGAGTTGTTAATATTCCAAGCTTACATGGATACTCTAATAACTAGAATCTAAATTAAAATAGCACAAATGCATACTTTAACAGCATATCTCCAAAACATTATTAAAACTCTATAACACCATCTTCATAATAATTCTTAAATCATGCAAACAGCAGCATCTCACAAAATATTCTTTAAGAAATGAATAATAAAAATATGAATGTTATAATTGAAAACAAAGAAAAAAATAATTATAAATCTCGTGGCAGCTCAGCAATAGGTGGCTAGAGAGAATTAAAATAGTATTTGAATTCTAACTAACCACCATAAACCTAGCAAAACTTAAACTTAACAAACAACTTAAATACAAGCAATAACACAAACAACAATAACAATCATAGCCAAAATAGTTAATAACATTTACATTCTAATTTAAGATCTAATTCTTATGGTAATTTACATACAGAAAAAGGGTATATTTTAACCGTTGAAAACGCTTAAACAACTACCAATGCTACAAACTATGCCTAGAGAAAGGGTTTACCAAAAAGATCATTTAAATTTGATGATAAAATATAAAATCTGATATAATTTAACATTCAAGATGAAATATAATCCTGATTAAAAATAATAATTAATAATTAAATAAATAAATAACAAATGAATGAATGAATAATGTTTCTGTATATAAATATTATTAATTATAAAAATAAATAGTTAATATAATTTCTTAATCTCCTTTATAAATAAATAACTAACTAACTAAAAATAAATTAGACAAAATAAATAAATAACTATTCACTCTAACTAAAACAAAAGTTATCTATCTTTCTTCTCATCACTTATATGTTAATATAAAAAAATATTTTATCTCTTTTAAAAGTAAACTAACTACTTTGAATATTTATATTCTTACTTTTGTATCACAATCTTTAAATTTATTAATCAAGGAATTGTTAAAATGTTTAATAAATCTAAATTTTTAATTCTATCCTTATTTAATTTATCAAGGGTTAGCTATTCAAAATTTTAAGAACAATCATAAACAGTAAGTATATTTATTAGCTGTTTAAATATTAGTTTATATTTTAAAGTGTATTATAACTATAAATAAAATGAATTTAATTTAATTTATAATAATTTATACTAGTACTTAATGAATTTATACAAAATAAGATATTAAAATAAATAGATTTTTTTTGACAAATTTTAGAAAATAATCAATCAACTTAGCTTTCCCCTTCTTTGAGACAAATTCAACAAACTATTATCTAACTTAAGCTACTGCTATTATTGTTATTAATTTGAAGGGATTTGCAAATAATTTTGTTAATTCTAAGGAACTTATAAAAATTGTTGTTAAGATAAAAGCTTTATTTGTTGTTATTATGATGGATTTTATTGTTATGAGTATCGTTATGAAAAGCTTTATTCATTTGAATTCTAAGGAGAAGCAAATCTTTAAGAAACTTAACCTCCTTATTAATATAATTACTGATTATCTTTTATGCTTTTATTTAGATCTTATTGCAAAGAATTATTTTATTACTAAATTTTATTTTCATTAACAATTTTTTATTAAATTCTGTAAAGTTTGAAGAAATAAATAAATCTCCTAACTGCTGCCACTTAGTATAGCAAGAAAATTAAAAAGAAAATACACAATACAGCTATAATTATGTTAACATTTTGAATAGACCAGAGCCTTATCCTAATTATATAAAAATATATATTAAAATTAGAAATTTAATTAGTTGAAATTAACTAATATACCTGCAATAGTAGGAAGGATTAAATGTTGTAACATAGTATGTATCTCTTAAAGAATCATAATTTATATCGAATTACTCTCTAATGCTTTTTGATTTAAGGTAATCTTTTACCTTAGTTAGTGTGTCATAAAAAAGTAGGTCTTTACTATGGTGAATTGTTAGTATATTAACTATAGATTCCCATTTATGTTCTTTGTAAGGCCTGCTAAGATTATTTCCATATCCGCTAGAATTAGAGTCATAACAGTGGTACTATGCTTATAGATATTAAAGATTTTAAACAACAGTGCTTAAATACCTTATAGTGTTAGGTTCAATTTAAGGATTAGTAACACACTTTTTATCTATAAGAACAAACGAATGCTTACATTTTATATTATTATTGAGACATATTGCATTCTAAGGACAAGGAATACAGGAACTACCTTCGATTTATTCCTATCTTAAAGTAGAATCACAATATTCTAACTCAGGAGTATGAGTAAGAAAATCATAAATATTTTATAAGAAGAATATACAAAATAAACCAACCATAATAAACATAACAATATGGCTAATTTCTATTTTTGAGAAAAATATCAAGACTTTATCTTTGATGTTTAGTTTTTATTATTGGCTTAAGTATTGGAATGAAGTATCAACTTCTGCAATATTTTCAGATTTTCTACTTTCAACTTAAGACTTTTTATTACTAAATATGTTATATTAGCTGATATTCATCATCGAATCATTAGATTGCCTCTACTTTTTTTATGAAAGCTCACGAGCTGTATCCAGCAGTCCTTTCCATTTTGTGTCTGTTATGCTTGTGCTCTTAGGATAATTAGGTGTGTATTGATGTCTATTAAAAACAGCACTCCCTGCAAAATCATTAATTTCTTCTCCATTCTTCCACAAAGAATTTTTCTTTCCTGTTTGAGGTACTGGAGAATTTAACTGTTAAGATCTTCTATTTGCCGATTCTATTTGGTTAAAGTTATTATAACTTTAATTAGATACTCGTTTACTAGAATTCTCATTTATAAAATAACCTTATTAATTATTCATCATACCATTTGATGATGAGCGAATACCATTATTGATTCCTGGACTATAAATTTAATTACTCATTCTAAAATTAAAGTTTCCATAATTAACAGGTGAATATGATTAAATTTCTTATTATGACCTATTTCCCCCTTCATTAGAAATCCTTTATTATTAATTCTATAAGCCTAACCCATTTTAATTACCACTTAATCTATTACTATTCATTGAGGCAGAAGACGCTCTGTTATTTTAAAGAGAATTTCTACCACTTTAATTCTGTTACCCGAAATTAAAAGCTTAAAATCTACTCTGCCTAGCACTACTTTAATTAATTTCAGCTTCTTCTGGAATTTGCATATTTTAATTGCTTGCAATATCATTTCTGTTTGGCATTTAATTACTAGATTATCCTTATGTCACATCAGAATTGTGTTAATCAACAAACACATAATTTTAATTATTTTTCTTTTCTTTGCTATGATCAATCATATTTAAGATACCTTGAATACTTTGTTATCTTTCCTTTGGTGGAGGTAAATTATGTGACTATCTTTATCCATTTTCTCTATTCTACTCTGATGGTGTGCTGAATTGATTTGGCTAATATACTCCTTTTTCTTGTAAAAACTATTAATAAAGAGATGCCAGATCTGCATCCTTATCAATATCAATGTTATTTTTAATAAGCTCTTTTCTCATAGAGCTTACAGATATATTGCTTCCACCTCCTCTGTACCTATTTTATTGATCTGAATTCATTGTTTTAGTTTTCTATTGATAAAAAATTTTCTCTACTTTCTTAAAATGTATTTATATATAATTTTTGAGAAAAAAGGCTAATTTTTACAAATTATATACGACACTCTATTTCTTTTAATTAAAAGATTTATTAATTAAAAGAATATCTAAGTCATATAAAATACATAGATATTAAAAAGAATTTTCAAATTTCTTAAAATTTTAATTTGTTGCTATAATTCACTAATTTTTGATTTAATTTTTTGAGTTTTTAAAAAATTTATCCTAAAATTAAGAATCTTTAATAGATTACAACGTATCTATCAATTCACCTATTGTTAAATATAATCAATCATTTGTTTTTATTTTTAAACTAAAAAATTATTTTGCATAATTTAAAATTATTTTTAATCTGTTTCATTATGTAGATTAAGAAATGCTAACTTTCAATTTATTGTTTTAAATTCATAAAAAATTAAAAATGAAGTAAATTTTATTTATCGAATTTATTCATTACAAACATCTATTTAATATCTTATTTTAATTATTACCATAGTGATATTAAAATAAATAATTATATGAAATTTATTATAAAAATTAAAAATACAAAAAATTACATAATTCTTAATAAAAATTCATTTTTTTTGTAAAACAAGATAAAAAAATGATTTTCAAAATAAAAATTATTTTTTCGAATTATTTTTTAATTGTGGAAAAATAAAAAGAATTTGCATAAAAAATAAATTATTATCTAATATTTTTTACAATTTAAATAAATAACTAAAAATGCTTTGAGGAAAAATGAAAATTTACTTTATTATAATTGAAAATGAGATGTAATATGATTTCATATATCATTAGTAAAAGATTATTTATAGCTAATTATATGCAAAAATCTGATAGAAAGAAGAAATTTTATTTTAAATTATGATTGTCTATAAACTATTTTAAGGCAAAAATGGCTAAATGGCGGACTAAAATTCAGAAAAATTTAATTTGAATTTTCAAGATTTACTGATATTCTGAGTTTTACATTAATAATTTTAAATTATTAAGATAAGAGGTAATTGTAAATAGCCGAGTTCGAAACTTTGAAGTAACAAGTTTTTTTTTTAGAAATATACATATTGAGATTTTTTCTCCAAATAGCATCCAATATGAATAAAAATTAATGAACTAAAAAGAAAATTATTTATAAATAAAAATTAAGATATGTATTCCTCAATTTGCTTGAAATCATATTAGCTTATTATGTATGGACATATATATTATTTTGCTGAATTTAGAATTAGAAATAGTTAGTAAACAATATTTAATTTTAGAAGGTGTTAAGGTCATGAGGATTGCTGCCATCAGAGAGGCAATTAGTATAATAAGAAAGGGGAGCAACCTTAAAAGCGTAAAGCCAATAGAGTATAGTTATGTTAATATGAAGAAAAGAAAAAAGTGATAATTAGATTAATTAATATAAATTATAAATAATTATTCGTAAAACATAAATAGTAGTTGGTTTGTATTTTTTTGATTAGATATTAGAAAGCTTCTTTAATATAAAAAGAATAACACAATATATAATATTTATTCATTTACTTAGACAATAATAAGAAATAGTTTTCTCTAGTGTAAAATGATCCATAAGGAAAAAGAAAACATAGTATTCTCTAAACCTTAAACAATAGAAGACATATTGGATCATTTTAAAAATATAGACAAGAAATAAATTCATACATTAAATGCTACATTTACAAGTGATTTGCTCATTTATGAAAAGTTATAGCAGATTTTTGAAGACAATTTATTTAAGGGGCAAGAGAATCTAAAACGTTTAAAAATTCGTTTTGATGCTACCCCTTTAGCAATTAAAGATTTATAGAGTCTGAGTAAGTTAATAGTAAGGCTAAAATCTGTTAGACATTTATAGCTTTCATTTGGATTTTGTAATTTAACCTTGCCTTGTCTTATCTCTCTTGTAGAAGGAATTCTTGCTTTAGAGGAATTAAAGGGTTTAAAGCTTGACTTATCAGGCAATCCAATCTTATCTTAATATAATTATATACTAAAAGAGTTAATGAAAGTGCCAAGCAAATACTTTAAACTAAAATTGTGCTAGTGTGATCTAAAAATTTTAATGTTTTCTACAAATAGCAAAGGAAGTTAATAAAGTAGTGGTTATTTTCTAAGAGAATGCTCCAGTAGTATTAAGTAAGAATACTCAAAGTAGGGAAATTAATAAATTTTATAGAATTAATAGTAATCATAGGTACCATAGAGCCAAAGACAAAGTAGAAGAAGTTCTTCTAACTTTAACCTTAAAGATGATATAAGTAGCCAAAGTAACAAAGGAGAGTTTACTTAAGGCTCTACTTTTGGAATTTATGACTAGAAAAGCGATAATCTAATTAACAATAGTTTAAATTCATAGCAAGAAAATCAAGGCAAAATGCTGTTTTAAAATATTTAGATAGATTAAGCAGATTAAAGTAAAAATGCTGCATTAATAAAAAGTAGATAATAAAGTAGTAGTGAAAATAACAGTAATAATTAACAAAGTTAGACTACAGATCAAATTAGAGTAATTATAGATAGCTAATAAAAAGCATTAGATTAAACCACAAATTCAAGCTAAGGAAGTTAAAATATAGTAAATGCAGTTGGTCAAGAGTATTTGAAACGTTTTGAAAATGAAAGTTAAGAATAATAATTATCAAAAAACAATAAATTATGTAATGCAATATCTAAGGATATTAAGGCAAATTATGATTAGCATTTTTTAAGCTAGACTTAAGTATTAGAAAATTAAGAAAGCAGCAATAATTAACAAATAAATAAGTATAGTCAATAGTAGGAAGTAGTAGATTTTAAAATGGACATAGAAGAAACAGATAACTAATTATAGTAAAAGTAATTGATAGAAAATTATGGAGAAGAGGAAGAATGTTAATAGTATGATAATGAAAATAAGGAAGAAGAACTTGATGAAGAAGAAAATTAATTTGCCTATAAAAAGGGAAAGTTTTTGAAGAAAAGCAAAAAGCCAAGTAATGATATAAATACAAATGTAAAAACTAGGTCGAAGTTAGGAAATAAGACAACTAATAAAAAGGATTAAAAAAATAATAAAGCTTAAAATAATATTTAAAAAGCAGAGAACTCTAAGATTAACACTACTCAAACTCATTCTAAAACAGCAGGTAAAGGAGAAGCTTACTTCAATAGAACATATAGAGGAAATAATAATACAACCCATGGTGGTTTATCTAAAATGAATACATCTGGAAACGAGATAGCTAATGCTGTCATAAAAGATGAAATTGTTGAATAGAATAAAGCAGAAAATTTGGACACATTAGTAAATTCCTTACAGTTTTAAAGATAAAGCTCATAGTAATTATTCTCAAGTGATACTCAAAAACCTTGTTAAAGTTACTTAGCATAGCTTAGTTTTTAAAATAAATAGCAGAATATTTCAGACAATTAGCAAACTTATAACAAGGAGAACGATTGTTCTAATAAAATAGACAACAAGTAATATAATTAGGATGCTTAAAGAAATTAACAGTAAATAAATTTGGTTCCTACTTTCTAATAAAGTGGTAGAAAGTATTTAAAAAGAGTTATTGATAAAATTGTATTAGATTTCAGATCGAATTAGGATCTATAGCAGCAATCACTTAAAGAATTAGCAATTACTCTTAACGACTTATTTTCATAAGTCAATGAATTACATTTAAAAATACCTGATAATTAAGATTGGAACAACCTCATTACTCTTGAGTTCAGTACATGTATGCCAATAGTCCTTGACGTGAGAATAGATCCAATATGCTTCTAAAAAGTAGCTTTCACAAATATGAATAAAGAGATTTAGACTGCCTTTCGTAAGCTTAAATTTGGAGATAGATTAAAAGATAATCCTAACACTTAACAAATTTAAGAGGAAATTCAAAATTGGTTTTGCCCTGAAAAAGATTTCGTGTGCAAAAAGAGCTTGGTTAAAGAGAATTATTTGTAAAGTCAAGAAATAAATTAAAATTTAGAGTAACTTGAATTTGAAAACTATAGATACCAACAAATATTTTTCAAATCTTCTCTGCACTCATTTTGCAGCATATGTCAAAATCAAGCTAGTGAATAACATTATCTACAAGCTAATACTTAAGGATTATACTTTTGCTATTCTCAAAAAGATATATTAATTTAAGACTTTATTGAATTTTTAGACAAAGTTTAAATTAATCTCTAAAATCAATACTCTTAGATATTCAACGAAGGAGAAATTAGAGAAAATTTATGCTCTAACTAGTAATTATATCTTTTCTAGCATTTTAAGAATAGGGAATTTACAAATTATAATGGAGATTAAGCTATTAGAGATTTTAAATTGTAGTAAATTAGTGAATAAAAAATATAAAATAAATCTGAAGATGATTTTATTTAAACTCCAGTTTAAACAAAAAATCCTAATCAGCTTCCTTAATCTATGAATAGAAATAGCCAAAGTTAAGAATAATATTTAAATTACAGTACTCCTGTGACATAACCTTTTAAATTTTAAAATTCTAATTTTTATCAAGAGCAGCAGTTATAAAAATAGTTTCAAATCAACTCTATGAACAATAACAAAATCAATCATCATATGCAGAGCTATTATGTAAGCTAAGAAGATTTTAAATATAATAATTTTCATAAAAAATTAGAGAGAGCCCTTAAATTAAAGCTTATAGAGTCTGTTACTATAAGATTCTGTTTCTAGGAATATTACTATGAAGAGTAATATGAACTTGTTTAAAAAATTTATAATATAATAAAAATAATTTCGTAGAGAATAAACATAAATAAACTTTATTTAAGTGTTAATCAAGGAATTTCTCCTCTTATACTTTCATAAATAATTTTTGTTGAAGAGCTTAACATTGATTTAATAGAGGCTGGAAGTTGCTTGAAGGATAAAAATGTATTTTATTTAAACTTAAGAAAACCTAAATACTAAATCCTTAAACATGACCTTTAAATATTTGCATAAATAGTAAATTAGAATGCTTCCTTTGAAGAGATTCATATTAATTTTGATGAAAAATAAAAAACGTGCATTTAAAGCATTTCTCATCTACTAACAAGGTATAGATAAGAAATAAACTTAAAAGAGTAAACACTTACTATTTTTAGAGAAAATCTTCCTCCTATTTAGGAATTTCCTTCTTCAGTATGTGAATATTTAGATATAATAGACGAATCAGGAAATTTTAATGATAAAGAAGTAGAGCAAGAAGAAGAAGAAACAGATTTAGTTTCAAACAAATATTCTTAATCTCCTGAGATCTATAATAAATATTCAAATTATGATGATTTAGGATAAGAAGAAAATAGCGTAGACAGTTAAAATTCTTCTGAAAAAAATATTTTAGATACTAAATAAGAAAATGATTAATTTATTTAAAACATACATTGCCTTAGTGAAAAAAATCCATTTGACTCAGTCATTGATAGTAATAAAAATAATATAATCATTAATTTAATTTAAAATGAATAAAATAACATTGAAGTTTAGAAACTAAGCTAAAATAATATAAGTTTATAACTCAAAGAAGTAGAAGAATAAACACCAAAATTTATATCAAGTTAAATAGAAACTGAAAAATAGAGCCAAAAAATTGAAGTAGAAGAATAGTTAATCGAATAGGAATCCTAATAGGTCGAAACTGATGTTACATAAAATTTGAGCGTTTCAAAAAAACGTGAGAGAAAAAGATAACCTAAAAAAAAGGCTGACTTAAATTTAGAATAAAAATAATCTATTTCAGAAAAGGCTATCAGCAAAAAGAGGAATTAAGATAAAGATGAAAAAAGATAGTAGAAAAGCAAAAATTAGAAAGTGAATGCTAAATAAAAAAAGGGTAAAGATAATGAACAAACAATCAAAAATTTAAATTCCGAAAATGAGTAAGATTAAAAGTCCTCTTCAATAAATGAATAGCAAGACGATGAAAGCAAAGAAGCTTTGACAAACTTGGAAACTAATCAGATTAATTCTCCTAATAATAGCAATAACAGTACTAACTCGAAAGGAGATCAATATCTTAACATCAAAGGCAAGCAGTAAATTTTGAAATAAGATTAAAACCCTTAATAGTTACTTTACTGAACTAATCTCATACTTCTAGGTATTTCTAGAGTATGTAAAGCTACAAAAAAAATAAGCAGTTAAACAAATAAATTATTATATTATGTAAAAACCTAACTTAAACAAATGAAATATGGATGGATGGATAGAAAATTGATTGCTATGTTAATAACTAATTTAAAATATTTGTTTATTCTAATATTAACATGTATTACTTGAATAAATATACTATTAATACAATTGTTTCTGATAATAAATATCTTAAATAGAGACACATATTTATTAATAAATGTTTCCAACGCTATTCATTCAATCATAAGTTTATTTTAATCTAATTAAGAAATGAAACTATAACTTTAAGTTTCTATAATAATAATAATAATAAAAACAAAGAAAGACTAAACTAAGGTAGCTTAAAAAAGTAATAAATTCAAAACATTTTAAAATCTTTTTTCAATCAAATTATTGTAAATTAGATAAATTTATAAATTATATATAAAATAAATAGTAAAAATAACTACCTACATTTATATATGAGTTATTTAAAATTATATCCTAAAATTGTAATTTATAAAGATTCAACTCTATAAAAATTATGAAATTTAAATAAATAAATAAATTATTGCAATTAATTGAATTAAATTAATACTTGCTTGTATACTTTTCCATAAGTATCTTAAATTACACAAAAAATTGTATTTAATATTTAACTCATTTATTTTACATAAACTAATTATTTGCCTTCAGTAGTATAAAATAGACAGTTTAAATATAAATAGAATTTTACTTAAATTAAAATGCCTTTAATTACAATTTTTAGGCTATTTTTAAATTTTAATCTTTTATATAATTTCTATTTATAAAATTATAAAAAATTAAGTTATTATAAACATTTTATAATATTTTTCCAAATTCAATTTTAAATTATTATTCAATGCAAAAAAAATATTTCAATTTACAAATTATTTTATGAATTATTTGACTTTATATGTTAAAATAATATCAAATTTATTTTATTTTACTGGATTCTTCCTGTTATTTTTAGGCATTTTTCATATTATTTTATCATATGCTTTCTATTATTTATAGATTTTAAAAGAAATGTACCTAGTTAATTTTCTCAATTTAAGATATTTTCGAGCTTATCTTATATTATATTTTTTTACGTATATCAAGTACTTGAATGCTAAAACAAATTAAAATTTTTCCTTACCCTAAACAATAAGCTTGATTAAATTACATATATTATTTTTTGCGACTCAATCTTAAATTTAAAGAGGTCTATCTTTAAAGTCTATTATAAAAAACAAACAGCGATGTCTATTTCACTAAAGCTGTTCTCCCACTTGAACTCTATAAATGCAAAATAAAACAGGAAATTAACTTAAAATTTTGATTTCTCTGGCTATAACTAACTAATTCAAAATTTAAAAGTTTTGAACTTTCTATATTAAAAAAAAAGACGTACTAATAATAATTATATCTTTTTAATATTAAAAATAATTATGATTAGAAGATATACCAGCCAGATTAGAAATAATCAAAATACTATGAACTTTTTTTAGAAAAACTATAAATACATCCTAATATCTAGGTACTAATATAAGTAAATATTAATAAAATCTTACTCATAACTTATTTTTGTAGCTTAAAAATTTTTTTTTCAATTTTCTATGACTAAACAGTATTTCAGAACTTATAACTCTAGAATGACATGAATTTATGTTTTATATAAAAAAAATTCGAGTTTATAATATTTAAAACTAAGATATTACTTGATAATATAAACATGAGAACAATTTATCCTTGAAAGTAGAATAATACAGGAAGAATTCTGTAAAGTTAATTAAATTTATTGATAAATTTAATCAATGAAAAATGTAATTTATAAGATTATAATATTTCATTATTTCATATTTTCTTCATTTAAATTTTATTTTCTATAAAATTATTTAGACTTATTTCACACTTGAAAATTTTATTTTAGGTATATGAGATCAATAAATAGAAAGATTTTAATTGTTATTACATGTAACATCATAAATATAATGGAAGAGAATAAACATTATACACTTATTAAGTAATAAATGTGTTTTTTAATGGCTCGATAAAAAATTTGAGTCCATTAAGCAATTTTAAATCAATTACTTATCTTAAAAATATATGATTGAATTTTCCAGATAATTAAAATTAATTTTTAGCAGTAACATCAAATAAATATAAATCTAAATATTTCCTTTTATTTATTATTTTAACCTTGAAAATAAAGCAAGAGAAATAAAATTAATTTAAAAAAATTTTTGTGATTACTTTAAGAAAGAGAAAGATCAAAAATTTCATTTCTAATTTTGTATTCATGCCTTTTTTTATAAATATTTTCTTTATTAGTTAGTACCAGTCTCCTTAAAAATTAATAAAATTCCTACAAGTTAATCACACGATACATACATATTAAGTAGAGACAGTAAAAAATGATAATTAAAATAAAATTTACATTTTCTGAATAGGAATAAATTTAGGCTGGTAGTAAAATTAATATTTTTGACTGTATCATAAATAATAAATCAAAAACATTTAAATTAGCTTATATTGCGCAAATTTTATTTTAATAAATTTCTAATTAAATTATTATTCTTTAATTAATTAAGATAGATATTCAGCATATTCTTTTACATTTTTCTCTAAGCCATTTAATTACAAGTGAGGTACTTCTAAAATATTTGCTTTTTATTGATTGTATAGAAATAAAGACTTTTAAGTCTTAATAAAATGCAAATAGACAAAAATAATATTAAATGCAACAAATGTTTTAATTCTGGTATTTTTTGTATCAAAAAAAATACTGATCAAACAAAAATCTTTAATCTATTATGATTTGTAAAAATAGAGCAGTGCTTAAAATTATGTATTTCAGGTGACACTTTTCTACTTTCATTCTTAAATTATTAGAAATAGAAAATAATAATTTAAAAAATTCAGTTTTTTTTTTTAATTAAGAATTGAATACTTGTTTTAGAAAGTAAATATTTAAAGAATATTTCTAACTTATAAAAATGATTTGGAAATATATTTATTTATTTAAATTATATTATCTCTTTCAAATTAAACGTAGTTAATTTATTAATTAATCTAAATTATAGTAACCAAATAAATATATTAGTATTAATGAAGGCAGTTATTTAATCTACAATGACTGTTTTTTTAAATTCTAGAATAAAAACAGATTTATAGAAAATTACCAAAATAAGTAGTAACTAAATAATTTAAATCAAAATAACGAAAAAAAATAATTTAGATTCATGAATTATAAATTCAATATAAACAAATTGATTGCTTGGCATTAAAATTCAGATCGTACTTAGCAGAAGTTAATTAAGATTCTTCCTAACAAGGTATTACATGCATCTATAAAATAACGAAAATACCAATAATCAAACATAATAAAGCAGCAAAATTTTTTGTTAAATTAGAATTTACAAACTTATTTTTATTCTTACAAGTTCTAACAATAAATCTAAAAATTAATTTTTACTCTCAAAAAAAATAATTTTGTTAGATTGGTTCTCTTTGTAACGCAAACTGAAAAGCATAAATTTTAAGCCAGTGAAAGCTAAATTATGAATAATTGAGTACCCTATGATAATAACTTTAATTAAAGAGATTTAAATTTTGAATTATAAAAAAATAGAATAATAAATTAAGCTAATTTAATAAATTATTTTTAAAGTGCAACATTTTTATAATAATTTTTTAATTTTGATAATTGTAATATAATAATATGTAAATACATGAATAACTAAATTGTTTTTTGTTGATTGCGATATTTTTATCTAGTGGAATTATGATCGTAAAATAAATGCAGGATTGATTAATTGAACGAAATGATTCTCTTAATTTTCAAAAATGTTAATATCTATCACTCTATCTATCTATGTCTATATAAATAAAGCAGCTAATTTACTGAATGCAAGTGATGAGTTGATTAATTTTTCTATTATTCTTGCTTTTTTTGATAAAATACAATAATTAAGTGGGGATAGCAAATTAATTAATGTTATTAATTCCACTTCGGTTAGAAACCCACCCCTTAATCAACTTTATTAAATAAAATAAATGATGAGATTTGATGTGATTTAGATTTTATTATTGATACCTTTGATTGATCAATAAATCTAACTTTGTCTCAGCATTTTAGTTTATAATTAATAAATTACTAAAAAATAAATTACTTCAATCAAACAAACAAAAAAAATAAACAAATTAATAAATATATAAATTTTGAAGAAGCCATTTCTTCTATAAAAGCAAACTACTAATCCTATCCCTAAATCTAAATAATATCATAAAAACTTGATTTAATTTTGAAAACGATTTCGCTTTCACGTACTTCATCTTAAACAAGCTAATCAAATACACCAACATTCAATCCTTCTAAGGTGAAAATGAGTTTCTATTCAAATTCTACTCTCTCATCAATAGACCTTATTGAAACATTCGAGCTATATGATAAAAATAAAGATGGTTACATCGATGAAAGAGATCTTTCAATAGTTTTAAATGATCTTGGTCAAGAAAGTGACCCTGTTAAAGTAAAGAAGATTATGGAAATAGCTGATCTTGATAAGGATGGCTAAATTAATCTTGATGAATTCATTAGACATATGTAAACTACTCTTATTATGGAGTATGAAGAAGAACAAGAAAATATAGTTGACTTGTTTAAAATTTTTAAGCAAAATGAAAATGGCCATATTAATGTTGAAGATCTGAGAATGTGCGTAACTCAAATGGGTGAGAATCTTTCAGAAGAAGAATTCAATGATTTAATTAGAGAATTTGACTCTGACAAAGATGGCTATATTTCATTTGAGGAATTTTGTAGAATGATGAATTGAAATTAATTGATTTTGATTTGATCGATTTTTTAAAAAGTAAGACAAATTAATTATCAATTTGCCATAAATACTAACAATATTTGATAAAATATCCAAATCTGAATTACTAATTATCTTAATAACAATAATAATAATTATATAAGAATCCTTTTTAATTACTAAACACTTAATTTATTGAGAGTGACTTCATTGAAATCTCTCACGCTAAATAAAATGTAAAATTTGCTAATTACCTAACTATTATCAATTTAACTAACTTACATGTGCTTGATAAATCGGTTTACACTTTACATAGTATAGGCTATATTATCCCTCTTATATTTTATAAGAGCTAATCTAGTTCGAACTGACTATCCTTAGCACATACCTTACTAAAACCAAGATGCGCTTTCTATATTTATTTATACAATTTTCTCTCAAAAGAAAGCGCCTTGGCCTAATAATTTTGATCCAAAAATATTTGAAAATTAACAAAAATAAACACCATATATAATAAATAAAGCTTCAACGCACTGCGTAGAGCTAGTAATCTTGTGTTTCTATAAAACAGCATTTATGTATTGTAAATATTTAGTGTATAAAATTGAATAATTATAATTAAATTTTTTATTGTTTATCTTTTTCCAAAAATTCTAATTAATTTAATCACTTATTTCATTCTCAATCATCAAAAACAAAGAATTTATATATAATCTTATTATGAGGAACATGTATTTTTTTGCCTTCTATTAAATTGTAAATACCTAATCTTACTTACTTACAAGTAATTAATTATTAATATCAGATTTAATATTTTTACGACAATTTATTTATCTACAAACTATCAGAATTACATGTTAAAGCTTTACACAATTGATAAATTGTTTGCTTCTTTGTTGGTTTTATTAATACTTTAAATAGACATATTATTCTTTGCTTTTTAAATAAGTTTAAATACTTTTTAGAATCAACAAAATAAATTTATTTTTTATTTCTAGAGCAAGAAAAATGAGTAAAAAAAATATGCATTGCCACAAATGTACGTGACAAGCTTGATAAGACGTATGTAAGGAAATATATTGTTTATCTAATTCCAATATAGCATAAATTAAACATGCATGCTTGCTTACGTAAGTATACTGATTGAATTTGCATTAAAAATTTTCCTTCATACCAATAAAAGAACTAATAATTAATTTAAATTAAAAAGTTAGAGTCTTTATCAATTTGTAAATTAGTTTTATATCCCAGCCACTAATAGATTAAGAAATATCTAATAATACTAATAGGAAATTAAGTCATAAATTTGATGAGCTCAGATTATCTAAAATTGAAATAAAATATCTTAACTCAATAACTGATATTCACAACTTTAATTTAATTCTCAACCAATCAAAATATTTATATTTATATTTATCTCTAATAGCTATCTTTATATTTTATTTTGGCTTTTTAAGGTTACACTTTAAAATAAAAGTACAAAATTTAAAATAGTGCATGAATGAAGCAGTATTACAGAAGATATTTAAATATTGAAGTTTTTAAATTTAATAAAAAGCTTCTTTATTTTTATTATTAGATCAATTAGACTAATTTTAAGGCTTATCCTTCTAATATTTAATTGATGGAATTTTTCTGTTTTCTATCAGATTGAGATCACCAAGATGAGTGAGATACTCAATCTATTAATTGTGTATTGATTTTAAAATAAAGTTGAATAGGTATTGAATAAATTGTAAAAGTAATTTTTAGGATCCTTTGAATTATAAAAAAGAAGTATTTTTACAATCTGTAATTTAAAAAATAGTTCAGCCTGTTGTCAGGAACAAATATTTCTTCACAAAAAATTATTGACTAGTAATTAATATAATTGAAATAGGTAGAGTCGATTATATGTAAGAATATTTATATTTTTAAAAGCTTGAATTTGATAAAAATTATAGTTGATTTTGTTTATTTTACTTACTATGTATGCAATTTTTTAATTTCAATATTTATTTGCAAAAAAAAATTCGTAGAAAAGCATTTAAAATCTTAATATTGTATTGAAGAATATTTGATGATTATATATTTATTTTATTCAATTTTCTTTGTTCTGTTCGGCTTAACTTTACATAATTTTGTACATTTTTAAAGTTTTTCAGGATAAAATTTAGTCAGATTCTCTTTTAACTTAAAAAATAAAAAATATTCTTTGTTAGTAGCATTATAAACCATGCATAGTTCAAATACACAATCATTTTATTAAAATATTATACTACTAAAGTGAATATATTGTTTGACTTTAAAACTACTTACTTCCAAGAAAAGTAAAAAAAATAATTTAAAAACTTAGAACTTAAAATTAAAAAACTAAAAAGTAACATAAAAAAAAACTTTATTTTTATCAAATAAATTATTATCACAGAGTAATATTTAATTGAATTTACCAAAAATATATTATTATAACTCAATTGTATTTAGTAGAAATATCTTAAATTTTAATCCTTTTTTACTATTTACTTTGGTTTATAAATATAATTAAGAGAATCTTAAATAATTGATGAAAATACAAATTTTATAATTTTATTAGTGGAAAATTGCAATACTAATGTTACGTTGTAAGATTGCATTATTAGTGATATTAATAGAGTTTCAATTTAAAAGAAATCCACTAAATAATTAATTTTATTATTTATATTTTCTTTTGTGGTTAAATAAGAATTCTTATTTAAAAAAAATATTTTTAGCGGATAACATTTAAATAAAAAAACAGTATTTTTTCTTTTTTATATGAAGTTTAAAGAGTTAAAATTCCTCAATTAATATTTTATATATCTCTAATCCCTCTTTTTATAATAAATTTTATATGGTGTATAAGAATATTTATTTTGTAATATAAACAATATTGATCATTCATTTATTTATTGATTCCACAAATTTAAAGTATTTCATAAAATTCATTCTATTTTAAAATGTAAAAGTACTTGATTAAGCTTAAATTCTTAGGAATATTTCAATATAATTTCTTTTATCTCAAAAAAATCTGAAAAAAAAAGTAAATGTAGGCTGGCTAATTTTTTTATCAAGGAATTTCATAATAAAAGGGAAAAAGCTGAGCTATAATTAGGGCAGCTTTGCTAATTCAATCCATTTTAATAAATTTTAATCTAAATTAATTCTTTTTAAATTTTATTTACAGTAATATAAAATTTCAATAGGCTCCATTCAAATTTCAATATTTTAAATTAATTTAGTTGTGGATGCAAATTCAACCAAAATATGCCAATTAAATTCAATTTTATGATTAGATTATATTTTTATAATTATATAGAGCTATTTGATATTTTGAAAATGTAAAAAAATTAAGTTATTTAACAATTTTTTATCATTTAAAATTTATGATTGTAAATAATCTTAATAAATTAATAGATTATTTTTACTAAACAAATTCAGTTTTAAATTAACATTTTAATATTTAAATTTTAAAATTAGCTAATAAACTATTTACCTTTTAAAATATGTAAATTAAATATTATAAAAAAAAATAATAAAAGAATAAATATTATTAGAAATAAATAGATAGATAATTTTTAAAAATTCATTATAAAATTATTTAAAAGTTTAATTTCTTACAAATATTTATTAAGTAAAACTCATTTCAATTTTTATTCAAAAATGTATTAATTTTGAGATTTATACAATATTTAAAAAAGTAAATAGAAAAAAATTTTTATTTAAAAAATTTTAGAGAAAAAAAGAATAAATTAGTTTTTTTTAATTAAATTGTATTATTTAGAATTCTTCAAAATAACTTTAATGAAAATAAAAAATTTTTAATAATTTGAATTAAAATTATTAAGTTTAAGTAATAATAAATGCTTGTCACCTTATTTAACTATTTAAAATTAAATAATTTAAAAATATCTTTTGAATAGGAACTGATTTATACTTACTAAACAAATTTAAAAATACTCAAAAAAATAAAAATTTAAAAACTATTTCATCATCAAAATTCAAAGAAAATATATTATAAATATACTTATATCAGTAAACAAAGAAACAAAACTGATATTTATTAATTATTTACTGAATTTATTATAATTTTTAGGTCTTTATTATTTTTAACTTTTAATTTTCTAGGGTTAGCATTCCTTCTTATATAAGGAGACTATTGAATAATTATTTATGTTGATTTAAAAATCATTAATCAATTTTTCTTAAATTATTTCTTTATTGCTTCTAAAGGATCATATTCTTAATTACCATCATTTAAACCTATGTCTGGTTCGTAAATCTTATTTGGCTGAGCAGGTGGTTGGTTCTATTTGAATTAGAACTGATTGATATAAGATGGTGCTTATATTTTAGGTTATGTTGTTTATGCAGGCTCGAATATTTATAAGTTTGATTATTATACTGGCTATTAAGGTTAATTTTAAAAGGTTTATTAGTATAATTATTAATTTTAATATTGAGATCTTATTTAGTTAACATTATTCAAATCGATTCCACTACCTTAATATTAGTTTCCATTATTATAACGCCTGTTATTTTGATTCGATCCTCCCCTTTAATATCCATCATTTCTATTATTATTATTATTATTATAATTATTATTGTTATAGTTATTGCTATAGTTATTGTTGCTGTAGTTTCTATTATAATTTCCATCATTTTAATTATTATATTGTTGATTAGAATTATTTCTCTAATATTTTCCTCCTTAAAAGTTTTTATTGTTTCCATTATTGTATTAATTATTTCTGTAATTGTTATTGTTATTATATGAATTTCTACCGTTGTTATACCTTTAATATCTAGGCTATCTTTCTTCTAAAGAGGAGAAGATGTTATTTGACTAGCCATCTTATTATTGATACTGATCGTTTGTTTACTGATGATCGTTATTGTTTTAGTTAAACCCTGAAGAAAGGGAATTCATCTAATCTTAATATTTCATCATTTCTCTATAATTTAATGAATTTCCATATTAACTTCTACCTTACTCATAGTTATTCCTTTCATCATTAATTCTTTACCATGGTTATCTATTATCTTATCCTCTTAAGATTCTTTAAATTAGCTTGATTACGTTTTCTCCTTAATAAGTTCTCATATCAGCTTTGTCAATGTAGCTTTCAGAAATCTCTTCCTATTCAATAAATTTTTATTTAAAAAATAATACTGTAAAATTAAAAATCATGAAAGCTATTTGCATTTTGTAAAAAAAGTAAAATTATATTACGACTGGTTCAATAAGTCCTTCTAAAAGTTGTATACCATGTTTCTCAAATTCAGGAAAAGTAATGTTTCTACATTAAACGTTATTTAATGTTACTCTTTTTAAATTTAGCTAAGGATCTAACAAGTTAATTGGTCCATTAATCAAAAAGTTGCAATTATTATCAAGAACACCTGTAATTTTATGTTCTGTCTAGTTAAGTTCTAAAGGATAATTTATAGAAGTTTAATTATAAAAAATCTAAATTTTTCCAGGAGTATTTCTTTGCTTTTCTTCAGGAGATAGCAGATGCTCATATTTTCTAGCAGCCCTTAATAGTCTTTCTTCTTCAATAAATGGTAAAATGACCTAATTATTAATTTTAAGTTATTAATATTTATATTTTCTGAAATTATTGTAAAAATTTTGAAGTATTTATTTAGTCTCTTATCATATCAAAAATATTTAAATTGTTTTACATTTTATTTTTCAAAATTTAATGTAAACTGTCTTGTAATTTATTTAAATTTATTATTTTTAGTATTTATTAAAGTAAAATTTTTTTCATCTGATGATGAAATAATAATTATTTAATTCAATTTAATATGATTTTGAATAGTTTAATAAATTAATTCAAATAAATTTACTTCACCAAGCCACTCAAATTTTTTTCCAATTAAATCAACATAAAAATCAATAGGATAGAAATCAGCTATTTCTGAAGTTGGCTCAATCATAAGAGGTCTAAAGCATTCGGGTACACTTAAAGCACTTGCAGGAGGAAAGACAGAGAGTAACTAATAGAAAGGCTTGAATGGTTCGCCTCTCTCAAATTCTATGATATGCTAATCAATATCTATTAAATCTGAAGCAAAAGGACTATAATGGAAAGGATAATACCAACTCCAACTTATGCATCCTTTATAATAATAAGCAAAGTTCCAACATAAGGCTTCAACATATGATTATTTAATAAGCCACTGCATTTAGATAAAATCTTCAGGTTTTACACCAAATTTATCATTATAATAAGATAATTTATAGTTATAGTTAAGAGTAATTTAAGTGCTTTCTTTTACTTCCTTAATAGTCTTAGCCTCATTACTTCTTTCTGATAATATTCTTTTAAATCTTTACAATAACGATTCATTGTTAATTATCTCAACTTTTTTCTCATCCTTTAATCTCCACTCTTTTAATTAAAATAATAATAATTTGTAATTTATCTAAATACATAAATAAATAAATAATTATTTCAATCACATTAAAATGTAAAAAACTGACAAATATAATTCAACTAATTCTATGATCAAATTTACTACAAATTTGCAGAAGTAGAAAATTTATGATTCATTTTTTAATGGAAATAATAAAATTATATTTTTTGTTGGCAATGATATGGTAAATTTAAAAATTTTATTTGTTTTATCATTTAAAGTAAAATATTCTTAAGATTTTTTATCTTTAATTATCAATTAATTTTAGTATTTTAGAGTGTTTGTCTGATTAAAATTTATTATTGCATATTAAAAAATAAGTAGTGATTTATTTTTAAAGTATGAATTTTTACCTTTTCTTTTCTTTTAGTATTCCTCTTCAGAAATGTGAGGCCTTAATTCTTAGAGCCTTGCTTCCTTTTCTTTGTTAATCTCTTAATTCTTTTTATCACGATCTTCTTTATCTTTTCTAAATTTCATTAAGTCTTCTTCAACAATTGCCATATTTTCTAATAATTTAGCTACTTATTTAAGATTTAATTCCCCATTACAAGTTAAATAATCATCTACTTGAGTTATAGTATGATCATACAGAGTAAGTAAGGCATCTATACCTCCATCACGGATACTCAAATTAGGTATGTGAGGTAAGAAGTCATTACCAACAAAAAAGCACATAAATACAAAATCATCTATAATCCTTTCAATATCATATTGCATCTTCAATTTGCACTCAAGATTATCGTTGAAAAGTACTTTTGAGAATCTCATGTTTAAGTATTGACGCATTACATATAATTTTGCAAACTAAAAACTCTAGGTGATTCCCTTTCTAACCTTTTGCTCCTAAGCTTAAAGAATTTTTTAACTAATTGGTTTTTATCCAGCTTCAACTGCCATCTCGTTTGGACAGTCCATTTAAAAGTGTCCAGTCTACTAACATATGGAGCAACGTTTTTCTTCTTGAGTAATAATTTATTCTCTAATAATATAAAAATAGGGCTCATGAGTACTTAATCCAAGCATAATTAAATCAGCATCAGCACCATACAAGCAGTGTTTAGTATTAGGATCATAATTTTGCTAGTCTCTTTAAACTCTAATGAAATCCAATATTTTATGCTCTCCTTCACCAGGAATACTAGCATCTGAAAATATTACTTTAATATCTTTAAATAAAGGATGTTTGTTCATTCTTTCAATAACATAATGCTATAAGGCCATGCTCAAATCTCTCATAAAAGCGGTACCTAATGAATTAAAAAAAAAATAAATCTTAAAATTAATGTTAAAGTGTATGTTAAAATAACCAATTTTTAAAAAACTATTGATAATATTATTCAAAAAGATGCCTTTTATAAATTTTACCTGGAGTAATGACATTTGTATCAAATCTATTTTAAACAAAAGCTAAAACATCATCATTAATTTCACTTCTTTCACGAAATTCATTAAGAAGTTCTTCTTTTTTTTATTATAATTCTACAGCTTCTTTAGCTCCTTTGAATCTTCTAGCTCTCTACTGATTCATTTTTGCTCTTGGAGCTACACCATCAATTGCCATGTACAAAATTTTCTTAGGTCTACAAAGATCCATAAGCTATATAAAATAAATTAGAATTTATAAATTCAAAAGCTAATTAAACATAATGCCTAAATAAAATAGTCTAATTTAGTAATTAGTCTTCTTTAACAATGTTTTCTGCAAAGAAGACTAACAACTAATTCTAAATTTATAAAGCTTTAAACATTTAATTTATAATTTACCTTATCTACGTATAAAAATATGTTATTAAACATATCTTAAATTGTATGAGCTATAGGTACAACAGAACCATCAGAACGACAACATGGATGAATAATACCATTCATATCTAAATATAAATTATCTATTTCTGGATTATTTGACTCCGCGTCAAACTCCTCATAATTTTCATGAGCATCAAGAATAAATTAAGGATTTCTTGCACATAGCCACCTAAAGAATGCTGGAACACCCATCTTTCAATCTAATAAACCTATATTGTTTTTTATTTTTCTGTATAAATTGCCTATTTTAAAGTTATCAAATTAACTCCCTATATTAACTAATATATATTTTTATTTTGTTCTTTTATTTTGAATTAAATTAAAGGGTAATTGAGCTACAAATCTATAGATATAATAAATATTAGCTTATGTATGAATTTTTAATAAAATTACATTTAAATAGAATATCATTACAAGCATCTAAACTTAAATGTGTCTATTTTTGCTATATGGTATGGTATTATGAGCATCTTAACTAATCCAGTTATTACTTTATTAAGAATAGATTTTTTTAATAAAATGTTTTATAATTACTTCTCTTTACTTAGTTAATATTAACATTTAATAAGGAATTTTTATTTACCTCTATAATTTCCTATTATTTGATAAGTTAAAAACATACAAATAAAATTGTCAATCTAATTTTCTTAGAATATTTATGATTACAATAGAGTTTTAAAAGAGGCTTTTTGATATAAAATAACTCAAAAATAGTAAGTTTTTAGATGAAATAATCACTCACCCTTTAATTTAATTTATTTATTCTACATTTTTTTATTAAATTTGTTTTATAAAAATGTTGACATATATTTTATATATTTCTACTATCGATACTCATAATACCTTTCAATTTTTGAATAATCTTTTAATGAATGTGTTTCCAGATTGGTTTTCTATCTAGTTAATAAATTTAAATTATTTTAATAAAAATATCAAAAAAACTATTATTGCATCAAAAGGTTTTTTAAAAAAAATATTTTTATAAACAAATAAATTTTATCAATAAAAAAATAATATTATTGACTAAGGATTTATTTAAATAATAAATAGGATTTTTAAACTATATTTTAAAAACAAAAATATACAATAAATATTTATTATTAATATAAATAATTTTAACTTTATTCAACAAATAAATACTAAATGAATTAATATTTAAATGTTTAGGATAATAAATCTTTATTTATATTTAAACACATTATTATTATCAAAAAATTAGTATTTTATTTGTTTTACAAATTATGGTTGTAACAAAAATTTAGTTTTTTATTAGCTTTTAGAAATATAAGTATATCTTACTTATATTCTTGTATTTTTATTATTCAAGAAAACTGAATATTTAAAAAACTATTTTTAGTATTAATAATTTTAATGCTAGCTTATAATAAAATATTTCTATTAAAATAAAGAGAATAATTTTGAACACAATTTTAATAATTTTAAAATCAATAAAAATAAATTTCTCAGACATATCAAAACCTCTCAAATTCAATTATTAATGAATCAAAATGTTTGTTCAAAACTGAATTGCATAAACTCAACTTAAGATTTAAAAATAATATATTTATAGCTTTAAAACTATATTTAATAAGATTAAAAAAAAAATTATTTAAATAATAAATAGCTTTGTTAGTTGTCCTTCAAAATTATTTTTAAAATAAATTTCTATTAAAAAGAATAGGGTTTGATGAATAAAATTTTATTTCTAATTTAAAAATAATAATATTTCTAGTAATGGTATAGATACATTCTAGGATATTTTAGCTTGCTTAAAGTAAAGCTTTTCATAATTAATTATCTATTACTAAATTATTATTATATCTAGCTTTTTGTTGAGATTAGAAGGTTAATAATTGATTTTAAATATAACTAAAAACACTATAACCAAGCATCATTTTTTGGTTATAGATAATAGATAGTAATTATAAACAATTAATCTTATATTTAATTGCTTTTTTTATAATAAAAGAAATTTAAGAGAGTATTCTTATGTTAATATTTAGAAATTAAGTAAAATTGTTGCTATTGAATTCTGTTTGAGGTTATTTTTAATAGATAAGCCTCAATATTAATTTAATTAATATGTGGAATGCTATGCTACTAAGACAAAAGAATTAACCAAAAAGAAAAAATATATTGACATCAATTGTATTGTTTTAATTTAAATTACCTACTTAAAGTTAATAAACAATGCTAGTCCTTTAAAGCGGTGTAATAATTTGTTGAAATTTTATTATGAGTTAGTTGTTTCATTATTATAGAACAATATCAACACTTCTTGATTACAATTTATAAATTGGATATAGACCGCAATTTAATATTTAGTTTACTTTATTTGAAAGCAACTTTCGACGATATAATTGTATTTATTTACACTTATTATCTATTAATTATGGTTATGATGTAATTTACAACGAATTTAATATAGATATGATATCAATCACACAATTAATCCAAAATGGGTATCTTTCGCGGAACAACATTAAATACTCAGACTTGTTTAACTTACCAATAACTAATTAATATCAAATTCAAATTAAAAATCATAAAAACAAGATACTTAAATATAAAAATAGATAGATAATAAATGGAGACTAAGAATATTCAATACACTGAAAAATTTGAAGACATTTACACAAATGTTGATTACAATAAAAAGAGATACCAAGAAATGTCAGAAAAGTTTTAAAATCTTCATGGAGTTAAGCCAGATTACTTTGTTCGTGCTCCCGGACGTGTTAATCTAATTGGAGAACACATTGATTACATGAATTATCCTGTTTTCCCTTTTGCCCTTGAGCAAGATTCCCTTTTATGCTTCACTTATTCAGATGATGAATTAATCCATATAGATCATATGAATAGTGAAGAATTCCACTCTGCTGTCATTTCTAACGATCCTGCCAAGAGAAGCGAGACTATTGCCTCTTTGACTCCTAAATAATCTTATATCAAATACTTTATAGCTGGTTATTGCTCTGGTATTGATGGTAAAGTATCCTCATATAAAGGCTTAAAAGTTTTGATTGGAGGTAATGTACCTTTAGCTTCTGGATGTAGTTCTTCCACTTCTTTATGTGTAAGTTCAAGCATTTTGGGTGTATTTGCTAATAAATCTACTATTAACCAAGCAGAATTATTAGAAAATATCATAACATATGAAAGAAGTTTAGGTACTGCTTGTGGTGGTATGGATTAAACTATTTCTTTGTTAGCAGTCCATGGAAAGGTAAAACTATACAATATTTTAAAAGTTTTTTTGGTATATTAAAATTGTTTTTTAAATTTAACATAGGCTCTCTTTATTGAATTCAATGAATTTGCAAAAATAGAATCAGTTCAACTCCCACATGGTGTTTCATTTGTTATTGCTAACAGCTTAACACCTTCAGCTAAGCTTGAAACTTTAGGAAAGAGGTAATTGAATTAAATATTCATTTTTTTATTGAAATAGTTTTAAATTATTTTTAAAAAATAAATATTTTCAATATATTATATAAAGATACAACAAAAGAGTTAGTGAATGCAGAATGGCATGCAAGATCCTTATGGATAAAATGTCTATCAAAGCTGAAAAGCCCTTCACAAATTTAAGACAAGTATTTCCAATTTATTTAAACCATAGCACATTATTAAAGTTAAACTTTAAAAATAAAAAAATAGCTTGTTAGAAATAACGAAACTTTAGAAGAAATGTAAGAAAAGGTTAAAACTTTGATTGAATAAAAGGTTTACACTAAAGAAGAAATAGAATAAATTATTGGAACCAAGTTGGAAGATTTCTTATAAGGAATTCCTCAATCTGAATTAGTTATTACTTAAAATAATGTAAGGATATTTTTTAAAATAAAATAATATTTATTTTATTAAACTTTAATTCAATTCATCTAATAATTTTTTTAAAAAAGGATTACTACCCCTACGAAAGAGCTTTACATGTCTATAGCGAAGCTAATAGAGTTTATTAATTCTAAAAAACATGCTTTGATACTCAATTAACAGACGAAGAAAAAATCCCTATCCTTGGTAAACTTATGAATGAAAGTTAATATTCTTGTGATAACTTATATGACTGTTCAAGTGATAAATTAAATGAATTAATTAATATCTGCAGAAAGAATGGAGCTATCGGCTCTCGTTTAACTGGAGCTGGTTGGGGTGGTTGCACTGTTTCTATGGTTAGAACAGAAAATCTCTAAGATTTCTTATAAGCAGTTAAGACTTAGTATTATGAAAAGAATGGTTTAACATGTGATGAAAATATTTTGTTTGCTACTGCTCCTGCAAATGGTGCCATGGTTTATAAAAATATAGAATTTTGAAAATATATATTAACATATCAATTACTAATAAAATTATATTAGAATTTAAATATTTTATATAATGTATTTCAATTCATTTTTAGAATTTTATTCTATAATAATGTGATTCCAAATATCATTTTAAATTTAGTAAAATTTTAAAATTTTCCAAAAATTTAAAATTACTTTAAGACTAAATACAATATCTAGAATATTAATTAATATTGAATTATTTACTTTTTTTTGATTGATTAATTTATTAATTTATTCAAACAAACATAAATTATTTAAAAAATCAATAATTTATAAATACATAAAAATTTAATATTTATTTAATAGCTACTTTTATTGAAAAATTAATTAATTTACTGTTAAATTCAATCTAATTCATAAACAAAGGGTATATTATTGAATTCAATAAATTATAGGACATTTTTAGATATTCCCTCTTCACTTATTTTAATAACTTAAGTGTCATCTTTATTATCAAGTTCTAATTATTATTTTTCATTCTTTTATTCTTCTTATTATTTTTAATTCTATTGATTTTATTCTTAACTTTAATCATCTCCATCTAAGCCATCCAAGTCATCCATTTTATTTTGTTATTCAGGAGCTTATTTCTCTAATTTAATCTCCTCATCTATTTTTTTTTAATCTTATTTGACACTTTCATCATAGAGTTTTTTGGCTTCACTCATTTCATCAAATAACATCTTAAAAGTTTCATAATCATCTTTTTTTTGAAATTTATTTGTTAAGTTAAATTAATTAAATTATGAATTTACCATTTGCTGATGCTATGTCTGAATCTTGCCAAAAGGTTTCTTACTCTTTTTCAAGATTGATAACGATGTAATCAGTAACTAGTGAAATAGTTGATTTATCTGCTTTAAACTATTAGGAAATATCTACTCTATTATACTTTATTGTTTTTTTATCCTCATAGCAAATAAAGACTTTACCATCAAAAATTATAGTCTTAATATTCAGTTTGTCATATTAAGGAATGTTGAAAATTAAGAAAGTCTTATCAGCAGTTTGCTGGATTTTAAAAGATACTATTGATGTAGTTTTTAAAACAACTGGTTAAGAAATTTCTAATTACTTATTTTTTTTCTATTTCAAAGGTTTTTCTTCACCTTCTTCAAAATTTTCATCTTCTTCAACATCGTCTTCATCTACTTCTTATTCAGATTTTTCTTGATTTTTATTTTCAGATATAACTTCGATGACAGGATTTTCAACTTAAATCTAATCTTCTAGGAATTACTCCTTTGTTTATTGGTTTAGGACATTCAATTAGACTAGATTTTTACTTTTTATCTCAAGTAAAGGCTCGCTTTATTGAACTTTTTGATTTTCATTTTAAATTAAATTGTTATCACTTTATTTTATTTCTGATAAGACTTGATTTTCGCTGTTTGATCTTTAATTTTAAACTCCGTTTGCGTTTTCTTTATTGCTAACTTAATCTTCTTCTTCTTCTTGTTGTTAATTTTCTTCAGAACTTTCAAACTATTTGAATGGTTTTGGTGGAGTAGGATCTAAAGGCAATTTAGACTTATCAATAGGTAATTTAATTTTTAAAACTTTCTTTTTTTTATCAAAGGAAGCATTTCCATCATCAGGAAATACTGAATATGGTAACTTTATATCCAAAAAGTATTTTTCTTTTACATTTAATACTAAATTTTTTTCTTCAATATCCAAAGCAATTTCTGAAATATTGTTCTAATTTTAAAATTATATTGTTAATATACTTGCGAATCTATAATTTATTTACTGCTCTAGGAAGACTTATTTCTACTGTAAAAGAAATAGGTCTTTTTAATTGTATTTCTTCTCTTCTATCTAAAAAGTCCTAATTATAAACGATATTTTAATGAATTAATTCTAGTTTCTATAATAATTACCTCATAATTAACAGGATATTAGTAAACAATTTTATATTTAGGGGCTTAAATAGGTTAGGATTTGCCATCAATTGCTTCGACATCTTCCTAAATTACTTCCTGAGCTTCTTCTATACGTCTTTATTCCTCTCTCTTTTTAGCTTATTCTTCTGTATACTCTTTTTTCTAGTTAATTATTTCTTTATAGAGAGTTGGTTCATATCCTTCACCATTTTATCTTCTTTACATTTCACTTTACTCGCCTGGCTGTTGTTATTGCTAATAACCCATTTTTTCTTTCATTTAATTTATGTGATCTCCTGTATTTCCACTTACTCTTACTGTCAATAATGCAGGATCTCCACCTTTACATTTCATATTCTTCAAAACCTATTTTTTTTTTACAATATTTTTTAAAGCTTGTCTAACTATTTTCCTAAAAATAAAAGTAAATCAAAATAAAAACCTTATAATCTTTAGAGATTATCTCATTTCTTTCACCCATTTGTAAATTAGCAGCATCTAATGCAGTTTAGCAAACAAGTTCTTAGAATCTAGGATTCATGTGAATTAATTGAAAAGTGTATGGGTGAAAAGCTACATCAATTGTTGTACAAACTTCTTTATCCTTAGTCTAGTCATAACGCATTTTACCTGCAGAGTAAGGTAACTTCCAATTTTAACCCTACTTTCCATCTCTTTCTACAACATCAAATGAAGGAATTTGAACTATAGGTGTGTGACAGCAATTAATAAACAATTTTTATGATTAATTCTATTTTAATTGTTAAAATTGATAAATGATTTTTAAAATATTCAATTTTACCTTATCTCTTTTTGATGTAATTGTTGTTTTTATGCAAAAGCCTGCTTATGGCTTAACTAATTTTAACTCTTTAGGTAAATCACCTTCTTTTTGTAGTTATTTTAAATATTCATCGTATTCCTAATAAATAAATTGTTGTCTTATAAGATATTTCAAAATAAAATATTATTTACATCTTTATTTTTAGGATCAGATATTTCAAGCATATAATCATTCAGCATACCCGCAAATTCAGGTTTGCTCATAGCTTTTTCAATTCTTCTAAATTCCTTTAATTAATAAAACATAAATAAATTAAGAATTCATTTTATACTTAGCATTTTTAGATTTTAATATGCATTTAATAACAATTGTAATAGCTTTATACATCTTTTGTCATATCAAAGTTTCCTTTGGCATGATGGACTGGCTACATAGGAGGGGCTTTCATTTCTATATACTATTGCTTGCTTATTAATATTATTATTTATCAATGTTCTAAATTATTTTTATTTGTAAATCTTAAATTTTTATCAAAAATCAGATTATCTCTTTTTAAAGCACCAATGATTGATTTTAAAAATTTAAAGAATATTTAAAAAATATCTGAAAGTAAAAATTAGATATTTTTTTTTTTCTTCTTTATCAAAAATTTATAAGCAATTAAATCAAATTTTTTAAGTTGTAATTTAAAGTTTTACTATATTAGGTATTAAAACAAAATTGTTACATTTTTCAATATATTTAAATTTTATAATATTAAAAGTCACTTAATCTATTGCAATTAAATTTAATAAGTTATTTGAACTTAATATCTATTAAGTTTATATAAAAAATTATTTAATTATATTTTATAAAATTTATTTTTAAAATTAAAAGAATTATTTTATTTAAATAGTAAATGAAATTTATAATATTTTTTTACTTTTGTTACTTTTAAATAAATGAAAAATATTTTTAAAACAACAAATTTTACTTATTTTAATTAAAATAGTTAATTCTATTAGCGAAATTATTAAAAAAATTAACTTAACCATTTCTTATAATTACTTAAAATTTATTGATTTATTATGCATCGAAAATGTTGATAATATTTATAATCAATAATTGTATGGTTAAATTTTTGCTTCTAAAAAATAATTTGAGGATTTCAAAAATTCATTAATTAGCAGAGAAACTCTAAGCATATATATTATTAAAGTAAAGAATAGTCTTGTTTTATTAGAATTTTAATAAAGACAAACTTAATTTTTAATAGCAAAAATATTGAGTAGTTGTTATTCAAGAAATGAACCAATTTCATCTTTATCCACATTAGATATATAGAAGAAATACTAGAAACAATCTTTACACCGATGAAAACAAATCAGAAAGCCCTACTTTAGACGAAACATCCAAACGATTAAAAACAACAAATCCAAAAGAGATTAATATAAGTGATTATGAAGATTAAAAATAAAGGAGGATTCAAACAGAAGCTTCTCAAAATAAAGCTTCAGATTAAAAATAAAGTAAATTTGAAATATTTTAGCTATATGTAAAATATTTATGAAGTTAATTAATACAAAGATCAATATGATAAGCTACCTTCTTTAAAAAGCTAATCATCAAAACAGGCAAAAACAGGAGGAGATCATAATACAGATTAAATAGAAAACTAAGATCAACTTTCATAAAGAAAGAGTAGGATAGATAAGTAGTAAAAAAAAGCAGCTATTGAAGATGATGATGGAGATGTATTTGATAAAAAACCTAGAAGTACAAATTTAATAGATAATTCAAAAGGGTTTTTAGATGCTTAGTAAATTATTGATAATTCCTAAAGAGAAAGATTACCATCTATAAATAATAAATTAAATACAAACCAGATAGATATTTTGAATCGTTATGATGACAAAGCTTCACCAAATTATCGCACTTAATCACGTTAATAGAGTCAATCAAAAAGAAACAGTACAAGTAGAGGAAGTAGTAGAAGTGAACACAGAAAAAATCAAGAAAATTAACTAAACAAAAGTTTTGAATAGTCATCACCAAATGTCTAACATCAAAAGTTAAAAAATTCATAAATCAATACTTAAGATGCAAAAAATACAGGTTTAGATATAAATATTAGTTTATAAGATATAAATTATGATAGCTCTGCTTCTAAACCAGATTAAAAAAACATTGAACAATCTACTGCAAACTAATTAGATAGCTAAAAAAACAAAAAAGAAAATATTGTAAAAAATAATTCTTCGCTTTTAAATAAATATAAATTAGAATAAGAATATTTAAAAGGTATAAAATAAAAAAGTAATAATAACAATAGTGTTTTAAACGAAAGTTAAAATATTCACAAATCTTCTTAAGAAATGCAACAGGATGATGGAAATGATAGTGATTAATCAGAAGATACTCGCTTAAATAATAAAATTAATAATTATAGAAATTAATATAGAAGAAATATTGATGAAATTTACAAGCAAATAAAAACAGAACATAACTCACCATCGAGTAGAAGCATTTATTTCCATGAAGAATTAATTAATAACGGGCTGAGAGCATAGGGTAAATTAAAAACAGAACCTAATGATGATTCTAAAAATCACAATTTAACAATCTCAAGACCTTCTATTGATTATAACACTTCATTAAGTAAAGTTGATGGTGATGAAATTGATAATATATAAAATTAATCCAAAACTGTTCCTATACACGTGCTTTTAAATAAAATCAAATAAAGAAGCAACTACACTTAAAAACTAGAACGTTTGAGTAGCAATCTTCATGGGATTAGTCCTAATAAATCTTAGATAGATTTAGAAGATAGTACTTAAAGTCAGTTAGCATATGATCATCTTAAAGCATAAAGACAGTATTTAACAAGCAAGAAATATTTAAATATGTACAGTAGGACAATAGACTCTATGAATAATTATGATTCTAATGGAGATAAAAGCGGGAAAAAAATAAATGAAAACAGTTATTTAAATAATAGCAATGCCAACAACAGTTAAAATGGTTTGGTAATAAGAAATGCATAGAAATCAAATGGAGGTATATATGGAATAAATAAAACCTTGGATGTATAAAGATTAAATGAAGAAATAGATAGATTAGAGTAATAAAGTAAAGCTTACTAAAAGTTACTTAAAATAAGCATAGATTGCAGTATAGATTTTACAAAGAATGTAACAGAATATAAAGTCCATTCAAATTTAGAATGAAAAAAGATTGATTATATTAAAAAATGAAGAAATATTTATTATAAAATTTATATAAAAGATTTTCAATATTCATATTTATATTAAAAAGTCAGTGTATATATATATATATATTCTTATTAATCTTGAGATTCTTACTTATTTTTATGAAGATGATATTTACTTATCGAATTATTTTTATTTTTTAAATTGTGAATTATCAGCATGTATGCATGAATACATAAATACCTGCTAATTATTAAATTAAAAAAATGATGCGCTTGCTTACTTGCTTTGATAGTGGCTTTGACTTAATTTGTACGAAACATAAATAAATTAATTTATTGATATATACTCTAGATTAAATTAGAACCTTACTTTAATTTATAAAGTATAATTAAATATTTGATATCGATTACTTAATTATTACGCTAAAGAAGTATATTTTTGTTAAATAATATTGTCATAAATTTTTATATTTATAACAAACAGAGTAAATTAAATTTATTTTAATAGAAATATTTTCTGATAAATTTCCATAATAAAATTCATACTTAATATTTCAACTATTAAATATTTTTTATTTATTTATTAAAAGTAGATATATTTCTAGTAAGTTCCTAAAATTTAATGTCTAATTTGTATAAAAAAATTAAAATTTTAAATAATATTAATAAATTTCATCTATGAATTTATTAAGTGATAATAATTTTTTGTTAAAATTCAAGTAAAAATAAGTAAGTTATTTATGCATTTTAGCTTTAAATTACTTCTTAAACAAAAGATTTTTTTAATTTTATGAAAAAAATAAATGATTCATAAAAATATTTGAGGAAGTATGATAAAAAAATGAATATTTTATATGAAGAATTATTTTAAAGATGGTTTATTGACTGATTTGAAATTCATAACTAACTAATTCATAGATTGACAGGAAAAAATTATTAGTATTTAAAATTGTCAAATATTGTGTTTATGATGTCACAATTGCTGGATTATAAATTTCATAGTAGGGAATAATTTGAAATTTTTCCAAAAAATTAAATAATAAGTCAAATACGATAATATTCTTATTCTAAAAGAAGGACTTGATCGCACTAAGAACTTTAAAGTAAATTTTATAATTTTCCATTTAATATAATATTATTCTTAAAAAAGCTGTATCTTTTTTGGTAGGTTAAAAATCATCAGAATCAAATACACCTTCAAAAATTATTATTAATTTTAACCAAAAAAGTTAAAACCTTTACAAAAACATCTTTAAAAAAGTATCTACTTGACAAATGGCTCCTAAGTTACCTAAAACCATGAAGGGTATAGTCCTTGAAGAATTTGGTGGTAGTCCTGTTGTAAAGGAACTTCCTATTCCTAAACCAAGATACAATGAAGTCTTAGTTAAAATCGAATATGCTTCTCTTAACCCCATGGATTTATCTTTCATTAAAGGTTACTACTCTTCAGTTAAGAAATTACCAGTTACCATTGGTTTTGAAGGATGTGGCACTGTTGTTGCTTCTGGAGGTAATTTTGAAATACTTTTTTAATGTCTCTTTACTATATATACCATTTTTATAAGCTTTCAATCTTTGAGCATTATTTATTAGTTCAGATATTAGCTTTATAAGCATAAGAAAAGAATGGTCTCTTCTTTTAAATGCTAAAGCTTACTTATAAAGTAGTATATATGATTGCACCATTAAATAAATATTATCTTACTTTTGATAAAAATATTCATGTTTAAATTTATTATTTAAAGGTGGATTCTATGGATGGACATTAGTTGGTAAAAAGGTAGCTATTTACGTGTAAAGAAGTCCTCATGGATGCTTCGCTGAATATGCTACTACTAATGTCTTTTAAGTTTGCCCTGTTCCAGATGACTGTAGTTTTGAAGAAGCTGCTTCAGGTTTAGTTAACCCAATGACTGTTGCTTTAATGCATAAAAAAACTCTTGAAAGAAAGGTAAAAATTTCAAATAGCCCTATGAATATTATAAATTTTAAGTAGAAAAATGAAAAATGATAGTATTGAAGTAATTTTAATGGATAAATAGTCAAGTATTTTATTCATTTTTTGAGAAACAGCAATAATTTTTAGAAATAGTAAAACTGGAATATAAGAATACATACTATTAATAAGTATCTTATGCACCAATTCAATTCAATTTATTAATTGAAAAATGAGAAAGAAAATTTGATTTTTTTAAAGTTTTTATCTGATAATTTGATTGCGTCAATAAAAGCTATCTTGTGATTAAATAAGATAATACAAATTAAAGTGTTTGTTATGACAAACAAAATTTTTATTTTTTTATTAAAATTAATTAAAATATAATCAAATTTTAAATGTAATTCATCGGATAAAACTAAAAAAAGTTTTAATATAATCCTTTAACTGTACAATTAGGATTTACTCTCAACTAAAATTTTATTTCAAAAATTAAAAAGGTTAAAGCTGTCGTTTCTAATCCTGCAGCATCTGCTCTCGGTAGAATGCTTTAACGTTATTTCAGACTTCATGGCATCCCTGTAATCAACATTGTAAGAAGGTAAACATTTTACATATATATTTTTATTCTTAGAATAATATTTTATATTAAAATTTTAGACAAGAATAACTTGATATGTTGAAGAAGGAAGAAAATGCTGAGTATGTCTTAAACACAGAAGATCCTAATTTCGAAGAAGATCTTAAAAACCTTTCAGCAAAAGTAAAACTTTTTTTTTAATTTAAGTTTATTAAATTATATTTATTTTTATGATTTGAAAATTATTTTTTAAATAATTAAAGCTAAATGCTACTATTTCATTCGATGCAGTTGGTGGCCCTGTTTGTGGTAGAATTCTAAAATGCATGCCTAATGGCTCAACTGCTTATGTTTATGGTAATTTATCCATGAAGAGCAGTGAAGTCACTTAAAATGACTTAATTTTCAAGAAGAAAAAAATAAAAGGTTTCTGGTTAATTAATTAATTAAAAAAAGTTAGTGTACTTGAAGGCTACAGACTTATTAAAAAAGTTGGTGGTCTCTATAAAGGTATATTATCAACTAAATTCACTCATAAGTATCCCTTAGAAAAGCTTGATGACGCTGTTAAGCACTATCTTAAAAATATGTCTGAAGGTAAGATTTTGCTTACAGCAAATGTCAAAGAAATTGAGGAAATACCTTATCCTTATCCTAACAGCCAACCTCAAGCAAGATTGTGATTTCAAATATTAATAAAATTTAATTATATTAAAACCTAATTAGTGTATATATATATACATATATCAGTGCCTTATAATTTCCTGTATTTTTAATAATTGCAAAAATTATTTTCAATTAATTAATGTACCTATACGATTCTTGTTGAAAAGTTAAAAGAAAGATTTTGAAACATAGCCAATAATATTTCCAAATTTTAAAATTCTTAGAGTTGATTAAAAAATGAAATAGTATGCAATAAATTGTTGAGTTGTAAGCATCATCATCTAATATGTCATTAGCATAGAGCTATTCATCAAATATTTGTTTAATAGGTGATAAATACACTAAGCGTATTTATTCAATAAATAGTGCGCACTTATTTTGTTAGTGATATAGATTATTGGTTATATAGTAATTACAAATTGTGTTTCAGAATTTTAATTTAAATTCTATTTGCGTAAGCATACTATTCTTAAGATTAGTAGAAAAGTGTTAATAATATTATGAATATTAAACAATATCTTACAATTAAATTAATGACGATATCACCTAATTTATTATTAGCTCCCTTTCTTAAAAGATTTATTTATTTTACCTAGCTTTTTACATTTTTCTTGTTATTAAAATATTGAAATCAAATAAAAATATTATAATGCACAACCTTTATGTAACAAAAGCTAAGTACTAATTGTATTTTTTTAATTATTTTTGACAATTAATTTGGTTCCTGAGTCAAAAATTTTATTTTTTATATTTCTTTGAAAACCAAGCAAATATCTAATTTGGGTTAGAATTAAAAAATTTATCCTTGAAAAATTTTGACTTTAAATTAAAATAGAAAAGGATAGACAGAGTAAATATGGATTATAAGTAAGAGTGTTAAGCAGAGATCTATAAAAATAGCTAAACTGTTACATACTTAGAAAAGCTCTTAATATTGTAAGTTAAAGCCAGATATTATTAATGACGTCATAATAAAAAAGGAGCAAAAGTGTTTAGATATACTAAGATATGACGTCATTTCTACATAGTTAAAATATCATTAAATACAAAAACTGGACAGCAAACAGGTACCTTCATGTGAAAGAAATCGTTTAAATAACAACACATTTTGAATCAATTAATAATAATTATATTATCAAAAAATTTATACTTTTTTTAATAAAATTTTGAATTTTTATAGCTTCACTTAATTTATTCTATTAGCAATACTAAAGAGAAAGTATGAGTCCTAAAATACCAAAGACAATGAAAGCTTTAGTGCTTGAGGAGTTCGGTAAACCTGTATAATTAAAAGAAATCCCTGTCCCCAAACCCAGATACAATGAAGTTTTGATTAAAATAGAATATGCTCCTCTTAATCCTATGGATCTTTCTTTTCTTAAAGGAAGTTATTCTTCTGTCAAGAAACTTCCAGTTACTCCTGGGTTTGAAGGCTCTGGTACCGTTGTTGCTTCAGGAGGTATGATTAAAATTCTTTATCTTATAAGCTTTAAAATAAAAATGCATACATATATAACGTAGGTGGTTTATATGGATGGAGTTTGATTGGTAAAAGAGTAGCTGTCTATGTTCAAAGAAGTCCTCATGGATGCTACGCTGAGTATGCAGTTACTAATGCTTTCTAATGTATAACAGTCCCTGAGACAGTTTCATTCGAAAATGCTGCCTCTGGTTTGGTTAATCCTCTTACTGTAGTTATGATGCATAAAAAAACATTGAAGAAAAAAGTAATAAACATATTTCATTTATAAATTCATGCTAAACATTTTAAGTTATATTAATCTGCTAGAATTCAATAAATCGTCATTTGGATTCTTTTTTTTATTTTTTAATGATTAACTTTCTTCAGTCAAATTTTAATTTTGTTAAATCAAATATTTTGACAGAAATAAATTGATTATTCAATAGATTTACAGTTTTTAATTTTACTATGTATTTATTAAATATTATTTGAAAGATGGTTTAATTAATTTATAAAAATCCTATATTTGGTTCTATTTTTTTTTAATTTCTTTCCCAAAAAAAATTTACACTTTTTTAGTTGTGATTATCCAATAAATTTTTCTTATATTATCAAATTTCAGAAATTTAATTTACTTATTAATAATATAGGCCAAGGCTATTATTTCAAACCCTGGCGCATCTGCTGTAGGTAGAATGATTTACAGATATTTTACTGCAAATGGAATTAAGGTCATTAATATTGTTAGAAGGTATATTTACTATTTTTCTTTAATATGCCTTTTAAAATTTTATTCTCATTAAGGTTTTATATCCATAATTACTCATTAATTAAAAAAAAGTTTAATTTTTTAATTTAAATAAAAAAGATAAGAATAAGTAGATCTGTTGAAAAAAGAAGAAAATGCTGAATATGTCTTAAATTCTTCTGATCCTAACTTTTAAAAAGATTTAAATTAACTATCTAAAAAAGTAAATTATTAGTTTGAAAACTGTAAGTTAAAAGTATTTACATTAAAAATTAGTTAGGAGCTACTGTAAGTTTCGATGCAGTTGGAGGTTCTTTGTGTGCTGTTATTTTAAATAACATGCCTGATGGCTCATCTACCTATGTCTATGGAAACTTATCTATGAAAAATAGTGAAGCTTCATAGAATGATTTAATTTTTAAACATAAAAAGATAAAAGGTTTCTGGCTAGTTGACTGGATGAAAAAGACTAGCGTCCTTGAAAATTATTTCCTCTCCAAAAAATTAGGGTCTATGTATAATAATATTATGGCCACAAGCTTTGCAAGAAAATACCCTCTTAACTAAATTGAAGAAGCTTGTCGTTTTTACTTAAAAAATATGACTGAAGGAAAAATCCTCTTAAGTCCCTCTGCTATAGAAATATCAGAAATAAATGATAAAAAAATTAATGAGTAATGTGCCTAGTAGATATAGCCAAGGTTATGAAATAATTAATATCAAATAAAATTGTTCTTTTTAGTGATCATATAGTCATACCAAGCTAACGCTTACATATATAATATTTAGTTTAATATTTGCTTTTTATAAATCAAAGCTGTTTTTATTTTTATTTCGTGTTAGTAATCTAATCCTTATCATTAGACTAATACTCAAGTTTTCAAAAATCATTTTAAATATTATTTTAATATTAAATTAAAAATTTATAATCTTTTAACATTATTATTAATAAAATTTAATAAATATATTATAAAAAGTTTAGTTTATTTAAAATTAAACTATTTAAACATTTAATTTTCAAAAAAACAATTTTTTTATTTGAAAATTCAATTAAACTAATCAACAATTTAATAAAATTTGTTAATATTTATCATATAGATTATCCACTCTTACTTACAATCAAATAATTTCTTTATGTATATTAAAGAGGTATTAAATTTTTTTATAAGATAAGTGAATTTATTATAAAAGGTTCAGTGATAAAATTTATTAAAAATTTACATTTAATAAAATATTGAAATTTCCCACATTCCCAAAGAATGAATGATATTAAAATAAACAATTTTTGTATAAAAATAGATTAAAAATTAAATAAATTAATTTAAAAATAAAGATTAAATTCTTTTATTAATATTTTTTAAATTTTCTAAACACAAACATTAACTCAAAGTATTTATTTTAAATTTCCTAAAATTATTAATTTTAAAAGCAAACAAAAAAATTATTTTTATTTGGTGATAGTTCATTTTTCAATTACTATTTATTTCCTTTTGCTCTTGTTTTTTTTAATTGTTTGGATTGTAGATCATTTCAATTTCTTAAGGAGTAAGGTTTTTTGTCTCGAAAACGTAAACCTTAATAAAAATCATTCCTATAAAGCACCAAAATGAAAAAAAGAAGAAAATATATCCTACAGGCATTATATTAATAGCCATAGGAAAAAAGAAAATTATTATTATTGAGCTTGACCAATTTGTTATTGTTGCTACTGAAAGGCCTTTTTCAGGAAGAATCTCAGAGTTATATGCCCATACAATAGGTCCTAGTGATATACCGAATGAAAACATGTAACCAAAAACGCATATAATCACAATAGGATTAGTTACATCACCACTAGCTGCACCATAATTTTTAATTAGAGAAACTATACCAAACACTAACAAAAAAAAGAAACAAGCAATGTCACCATTCAAAAGCAAGCTTCGACGCCCATACCTAGTACTAAAATAAGCAGAAAGGAATGCACAAACTAACTGAAGAACATTTGTCATTAATGCTAACACAAATACAATAGATGAATCATCAACTATTTCTTCAAAAATTTTTCCTGAATAAAAGACTACCACATTTATTCCACTAAATTGTTGCAAGAATTAAAGAAAAACTCCTACTTTAACTCTATTAAAATATTATCGTGAAAGTAAATCTTTCCAATATTTTAATCCTTACTTCTACATCTCTATTTCCTATGAAATATTTTGAATTTCTTCTTCTACGTATTTTTCTTTATATATATCTTTTAAAACAGCTTCAGCTCTTTTTCTATCTCCTTTAATCATAAAGTAAGAAGCTGTATCGTTTTTAATAAAGATAATGAAAATTATAGACCTCAATACTGTTAAGGCTCCAGGAAAAACAAAAGCAAATCTCCAGAAATTGCCTAGATCATCATTTTATTTAGGGTCATTCTCATATCCTAGCGACTGAATATTACTCACGACTAATCCTAACCCACAGAGCACAGATAGTAGACATCCTGTAATCCCTTTTAAAGCAGAAGGTGATATTTCGTTTACATATTAAGGAACAAGTGCTGTGTTAATGCCCACACCTAATCCACTTATAAGTCTTCCTAGCATAAATACATATACGTTTGCAGAAACAACAGATATTATGGATCCTAAAAGAGAGATAAGATCAATTATAAAGAAGCTGCGAATACGGGAATAACTTTTTACTAGGTATATAGAGATTACACAGCCTATAATAGCTCCCACTGGAGAGAGACAAGACATTAAACCTTCATAAAATTTTTAATCGTCTTCCTAAATTTCAAATATGACATCTAATGTTTTGAGCGACAAATTCAGAATTCCTTACTAATAGCCGAAGAAAAAAAAACCTATACTTGCTATTACTACTTTAAATATAATTGATCCTGTAGATCGATGTCTTTATTCCTACTTATTGCAATATTAAACTTTATTGGCAATGCCGTCTATTGTTGTTTCAGAGCCAGTCTTATTCCCTTATTATTATTATTATTATTATTATTACTTTTACTTTAAGTGATTTTATTCATCGACGCAAGTTAATACTTACTACTGATTCGAATTCTACTCCATCTGTTCGTTGGCAATCATTTAGCTAAAAATAATAGGTAATTATTATATCAGTTTATTACTTATCTTTTTCTTATTTTTTGTTTAAATTAAATAAATATATTTTGCTCTATTATCTATCTATTCATCAATTATTTAAATACAGTTTTTCTGATAAGTTTACTATTTTCTTTAATTATTAACTAGTTAATAGTTAATTAAATAAAGCAAAAACGTCACTTTTGGTCAATTTTCAGTTTATTATGATCAAAATGTAAAATAAATTTGGAAATTAGTAATTATTATTCAAAAAATCATTAAAAAATTTTGAAATCAAATTAAAAAGCCTTTTAGATCTATCTACAAAATTGAAAAAATGATAAATTAAATCAAAAATTTCAAATATAATTCGGAAGAAAAATAATCGATACAATAGTATTTTTAATGTCTGAGCCAGCTTAACTAAAAATTTTAGGAAAAAATAAGTTGCTTAACTAGAACAAATACTTGAATAATAGCTACCTCAATTTATTATAAATTTATACTTCTTATATAACCAAAATTATTATTAAAATTAAAATTGAACATAAAAAATAGTTTGCTCATATTAAAATAGTTAGCTAGCTATTAAATTTAAGTTTATAAATACTTAAAATTTAACTTAATTTCAAACTCAAACTCAAATCATGCTTATTTATCAAGTGTTCTTAATTATCTTTTTTTTAAAAATTATTAAAATTTAAAAATTGATTTTTATGATATAAAAATAATAAATTAAAAAATATTTATATTATTTAGGGTTTATTTATTTATTATTCTTCGTGGTTTTGGTTGATAACTTTTTATTTTTTAAAATTATTATTTTAAAATATTCTTAATTCATAAAAATTAAAAATATTAAATTTAAAATAATTTTAACAACTTTTTAGCAAAATATTATTTTAAAATAAAAGTAATTTAAAATTATGTTCATTCAAATTTTGGATCAATAAAATGTTATACCAAAAATAAAATTTTTTTGATAAATTTAAAATTATTATTATCAATAATAATACTTACTATAGATTTTGCACATATTTAAATAACAATCAATCTATCTATATATTTTCTATTTTGAAAACTTAAATTATTAAGTGATATTTTTTTGGAATAGATTATTTTTTCAACATAAAATAGACATATGTATTGACAAAGTAACTTTCTTAGCCTTTAAACTTGAAATAGTCTATAAAAATTGTAAAGGACAATTATCAATGAAGCTTGCAAGAAAAATAATTATACTAGTATTTTAAAAGATCTTAGTTAAAAAAATGAAAAAATGGATGAATCACTAATCTTTATTAATGAGTTAATAAAAAATTAATTTTATCATTTCATAAGCTATTTTAGATAAATAGATAGAAAATAAATAATATATTTCTCCTAGATGATTATCTTATGAGCTCAAAATTGATAGAAAAAGAGTACGAAAGAAAGAATTATACATTTTTAAATTAATTAAATATATTTTTGTTAGATTACGGATCAATAATAATCAAAAGTTAGATGTTTGTAAATATCTAGAATAAATTATTTTGAAAATTTGAATTATATTTGCATATTTAGAAGTTAGTTATTAAATAGAAAGAAGGAAATCAATAAATAAAGAGATTAATCTTGCAGCTTAATTAGATTTAAATTAATAAAATGTATAGATAAAAGGGAGAAACACCAACTTAAATTTTAACTCGCCATATAGTTTTCTTATTTTACTTAATTTTTGTGGCACTTCATATTTCCTTGGGTTATTACTATTTCGAGGCAGAAGGATCTAATTACAAGCCATTAGTAGGATTCCTCAGTTATGTAAAAGATAATGTAGAATCAATGCCAATTTAAAATATTTAAGTTGTATTTTAAGATATTCTTACGAGAGATAGTAGCAAATCGTAATCTATTTATAGATGGGCTGGCAGCTCAAGTGGTTATCTTTGTGATAATTAGTATCAATCATCATAATGCAGTTCAACTACTGTTAAAGCTGTTTAATTATATGACACAAATGTGAGAAATTTTTACTATTTACCAGGAACTTATACTTTGAGTGGATCTTAAGTTACTTAATCAGCTTCTTTTATTTTAAACAGATGCCCATCTTCTGGATGCCCTGCTTCTACTACGCCAAATCCTACTAAACCTTCATAATTTACAATCTAATAAGATCCTGCAACTAAAAATTATTATATTTATATCAACGGATAAAAAGATATTCAAGCCTACTAATTATATAAAATATTTTTAGGGATATCTGATCCTTGTATGAATGAAGATTACAATTCTTTCTTGCCTAGCACTTTTTAAATGCCAATTTATAAGCTTTAAAATAATGATTGTGGTACATTTGGAACAATACCAAATTTATCTTAAGTTACTTAAAGTACAGATCCTAAAAATAATGATGCCACAATTAGTTTGGATATAAAATAAATTTTCTTGTATAATGAAATGCAAATTACACTTTCTGATTTGGGTAGACCTTTTAGCTCAATTCAATCTGGAATGTTTAATATGTATTTCATACCAAAAATAAATTATAGTACCAATTCTTAGAATTGTGTTGTGAGTGATGATTTAAGCAGTGTTCCTCATTATTCACATTAAATTAACTAAACTGGGCTAGCAATGTTCATAATAAGATAAGTATTTATGGTTTTTCTACTACCAATTCCAATTATAGAAATGGCTTTAGGTTTCTTAAAAAATCCAACTGTTGTATTCATCGGCTTTGCCTCAAAAGGGCTGTTAATATTAAATTTATTATTGCTGGTTATAGAAGGAGGTATAGTAAGTAGTTATTATTCTAAGAAAACTAGCTTGTAAAATTCTATAAGAAATCTTGGCTGGTAAGGGTGTTTTGATTCAGATACTAATTAAAAATTTATATCTTTTCCTTCAGTATTTACTTCTACTTAAGATACATATAACTACTATGCTTATGTTTACTTATGGATTTCTGTGGTTGGATTATTTATCATATTTCTTCTTATAATCAAAATAGTTATGGATATGTTTGTAAAAAAGAAAAAATATGGAGAGTATGATTCTGATCCTATGTAAGAAAATCAACCATATGATCCTACAGTTGCATATATGCCATATTAAGATTAACAGTAATAGTTTTATTCAGGGGAAGATTTTTCAAATGGGCAATAAAATATCAATTTTGCAGTTTCTCAGCAACTACCTCTTTAAACTTCTTTAGTGAAAACTCCTTCGAATAGATAGAAACTACTATCAACAGAAAAAAGAAACAATTTAAGCACAATCAAAGAGATTAAAAATGCAGAGGGTTCAAAAATGTAAAATGGGTCTCTCAAACAATAAAATTTAGAAATGCAAGTCCTTTCAAATTCTAAATAAAGTGAAAGTGATGATGAGGAAGAAGAAGACTGATCTAAAAATTTTGTTTAAATTAAATTAAAATAATTATTTATTCTTGTTATAATATAACTCTTTATGATATTTAGCTCAACTTAAAATTCATAAATTTAATTATGAAAAATTCTTTAATTTTTTCTTAAAAAATGTTATTTCAACACTCAAAAACAAAAAAGATTTTTAAAATTAGAAATAATTAGTTTCTTATTTATTTTTAGTTTGTGTTGAATTTCCTTTTTAAATCTAAAAAAAAATTTAGTATTCTTAAAATTGAATCTTTATTATTAAAAGTCTTAAAATTTAATTTGAATAAATAATAAAAAATATGTATCTAAATTGATTTCTATTTATGCTTTCAATTTAATTATCTGAAATAAATTCAATCAATTAAAAAATATAATTTAATTCAATTAATTATTAATTTATATTTATCTATTTCTATTTATTTACATTTAAAATAATTGAAAAATAATACATATCAATTTAAAAAAGAGTTCTTCTATTTATATTTTACCACTTTTACTTATGTTTATAATTAATTATGTGAAACCAATTCACATCAATTTTAAAAATTTAATTACAAATAATTAAATTAATGTATTCTAACCTTACAAAAATTCAATAACTCTCTCTAAAACATTATGTATGGTATATTAATTTAAAAATTAAATTCATAATTAAAATAAATAAATTTTAAATTATAAAATAATAAATGCTAACTAAACATCAAACTGAATGGTTTATATATTATAAAGTCGTTTGTTTGCTTTTTTTATTTCAAGAATTTTAATTTTCTTACTAACTATTGTACTTAAATACATCAATGCAAGGAATTTGTGAAAAATTGAATTTCAAGATTTTGCTTTCTATCATAGGAGAGCTACTTATATATTCATCATCTACTCTCTATTTCAAAATGCTTTAAGGCGATTAAGGATATTTTTAATAAATATCATAATATTAATCTTTAAATTTTGAATCATAAATTTCAGAAAAATCAATATTTTAATTTCCCGACTTACTTTTTCCTTATATTTAGTTAAAATTTTAACTCAATTAGTTAGTTAAGTTTTAATTATTTTTAGAATCCTCATTTCCAAAAAATTCGGAATCAACATTTTTTTTTTCGCTTTAGAATTGATTTTGAATTTTAAAATATTATGATTCATTTTCATCTAAATTTTCTAATGATTAATTTACTGTTTTTGATTCAAAGTTACTCTTAGATTTTGATTATTTTTATTAAGTTATTGGAGACTAAACAGTCTAACTAGGATTCATGCTAAAAATAATAGTGTTATTTTAAGAAAACAAAGAACTTCTAGCATTTTTTTGACTATCCTATAATTTGATACTACTCCTATATTTTAGAGATTTACGGAAAGAATTAATTGTATTTATTGTTAATTTTTTTTTGTTAAAAATTTCTATGAATTTTAGCTTTTACTTCTCTAAAATTTTTTTTTCCATCTTTTTCTTTTATTCTGAATTCAAATGAATTTATTTAATTACGTACTCAAAATTACTTAAAGGAAAGTAAAAATCGAAGCATTTTTGTTTTTCGAAAGCACCTTAAAATATATCGAAATGCTAAATTTGCAAATGTTGGTTGTAAAAGCTTTATAATTTATTTAATTTAAGATTTTAAACTGATAATAGTTTAGACTTAATTTAATTATATGGTAATTATATACTTTAATTATTTTAATTTATATTTTGGTAGTTTTAACTAATCTAATTTATAGAAGCACCAACAATTTAATCATTTTAATATTCTAAATCTGCTGCTATATTCGACAAACTTAATACTTTGAGAGAACTATTTAATTTTAAGTTCATAGAACACATTTGAGGTAAATTATTGTTTTCATTATTATGATTTTTTTATGTTTTTGAAATTAAATTATTATTTTGTTACTTATTCTAATTATCATATTCAGTTATTTCGATTTTCTAGTTTTATCCTTTCTTTTTTGCTAAATACTAATCATCTGAATTTTAACTAATCTGCTTACTATACGTTTTTGTTGAAATAAATTATAAATTTTTTTTATTAATACTACCTTAGCTATTATGAATTATGTTTAAATTTTCTTAGCTTTGATTTAAAGAAGATTGACTGAGCTAAATTTATATAGGATTTCGATTATTTTTTTAAATAAAATTGATTTTTTTTTCTTCATTAACTATTATATTGCAGCATACATCACATTAACTTATAGAGAATTATAAATATTTTTGATAATAATCATAAATACTATCTTCATTTTCTTCATAAAATACTTAACTAACTTGTAACAAATCTTAGTATTATAATTTACATTTATAGGAACTTCTAACTATTTTCTCTTGAGTAACATTCTTAATATCATCACTGTCACTTTTATTGTGCAATCCTATAATTTTATGAATATTATATGTAAAATGTATATATGGGCAATCTATTATAGTATGTTTCTAACTACAACAACTATAACATTAGTAAAATATTTTAGAATAGTCATTATTATATAAAATTTTATCTCTGATTTAGCAATACTGCTCTAAATCCTAAGGATATTTCTGTAACATTTTAATGAAATCACTTCTATTTAATATCAGTAATGTAGTAAAATCCATACTTTTTACATTTGTTTAGGGTTTTTTACCAGTAAAAAACTCAATTTCTCCAAAATATTCTCCTTTTTTAAATATCTTTATCTGCTTTTAACTATTTTTCTTAAAATTATCAATAGGAATTTCATTCTCTTAAAGTTATAAAAAGTTTTCTACTTATCCTTATTAAATAAAATACAAGCACGTTTCAAGATTTTCTTCATTATTTTAAAAAATTAATTCATTTGGAGTAAAACTTCTTTCCTAGATCATTGGCACTATAGCCTTTAATAAATCTTCACTAAAATTTTTATATAATATAGGACTTTCCCTCAATAAAAATTTATTTGATTCTTCGTAAAGTTAACTTCTTAAATAATGAGGAAGTAGTTTTATCATTTTGTTTTCTTCTTCTGAATAATTATTTTAATTCTGCTTCCACACATATCTATTAATCATTTAAATATTTATTTTTATTGATATAATATTTTTTTTTCATAAAAAGAATTTAATAAAATTTATACACTCAGTTTTATAAAGTTAATCACTTAAAATTACATTAAGGTATTATAATCATAAAAATAAAAATTTTAATATATTTACTCAAGATATTCTGTGATGTCTCTTTGTAAAATTTAGTTTATGGATTTTTTTTACATATAATTTTTTATAATAAACATTTTTTGTAAAATTTAATGTTTATTTTTGTAAAATTGTTCAAGTATTCCGTTGATTGTAGTTATTGAAAATCCAAAAACACCACTAGCAAACAACATCATCAAAATACAAACAATTGTTTCTATAGGAGTAACAGGTACAATGTCTCCATATCCAACAGTAGTCATTGTTAGAGTACAAAAATAAAAAGACTATAAATACTAAATATACCATGACTCATTTATAAGTTAATTTTTACTAATCCAACTATTTTCATACAAAAATTCTGAAAATTTTCCAGTAAATATCCAAATACAAGCACATATATGAGCAATTAATATCACTTTGAGAAAAAGATCAAGAAGACTCATAAAATCTCTAACTTTTGGTAGTAAAATATAGCTTTACTGTAAATTATTGTAGACCTTAATTTAGCTTTTCCATCTTATAAAAATAAAAAGAGTGATGAATTAGTAATATTTATTATCTAGGCGTAAACTTATTTGAATAATTTTATATAAAATTAAAGGTAGAATTGAAAATAAATCAACATATAGTTGATAACTATAATATTTCTTTCTAATTTATTATCTACTATTGCAAAGGATTCCATGTTCATAAAATCCAGTATTGATATGTATAAAAATATCAAGAACATTAAAAACAAAAATTTGTTCAATTGAGTAATTCAATAAAACAATATCATCATCTATACCAAAGCTTACCATAATCGGAATAATAAAAAATGAGTAAAGTAGAACTATTACAATTAAGGTGTCCCACAATTTCTTTGAAATACTCATAGGATTAATCACAGGTAGTTAATCAATAGTTTTTCTAACTTATTTAAAAAACTTACTTAATGGCAGTTTTCGATTGATTTTTTTAAATGAATTAGAGTTTTTTATATCTGAAAAATCTTAACATTTATCATTCAAGAAATTATATTGCAAACTAGACATATTTTTAAGCATTCTTGATCTGATAGAGTTTATTAGTTTTTAAGCAACTCTCCTTATTTTAAATCTTTTAAATATTTCTACTAATTTCACTTATATTGTTTCTAAATCTTGTTACCTTTTAGTGCTAGATTCATATTAATCTTCATCTTCTTCACCTTCTTCTTCTCTTCCTTCTTAATCTCTGAACTAATTAAGCGCATATTGAGAATAATTATATATTTTTTCTTCGTTTAAGTTTGAAACCTATGCAGAATTTTAAATACTACGTACAGTTTTTACAAAAGGCAAAGAATTCACTTACAATTCATCATTTTAGATGTTTTCTTCCATTATTTGCTTATTGCTCATAATTAATTTTATCAATAAAGTTAGATTTAAAATTATTATTATTTTATGATCTAATAAACTAAATTTACTTAAATTATAATTTTTATTAGTAAGAATTAACTTCTTAAATTAACTTGATTTGTGATAAAAAATAATTTTTTTACATTTAATAAAATACTTTATATTTATTATAAAATAGCTAATTTGAATGAACTTAATTTTCAATATTTAATTCCTAAAAATAAGAAAAATACATAAAAATGATCAATATTGATAACAATCCCTAACTAATGGCTTTGAATTAAATAAAATATTGATCACTTTCATTTTATATTTAAGAAAAGTAAACTAAAATATTAATAATAAATTATTCATTCATACATTTTTTTAGAGAGTAAAAACTTGCTAAATTAACTCATTTGAAAATTTATTAATCTGTTAAAAGAATTTATTGGAAATATCAAAATAAATTGAATTTTTTTATCTAATTTAAATTATTTACTTTATTTTAAAAATAGTTATTATTTTTTAATTGGTTACTGATTTAATGAAAATAAATATTTTTATATTTCATCTATTTGTGCTAAAATTAAAAAAGCCATAATACCTAGCTCAAATAATTCAATAAATATTTACACTTTAATATATAACAAATAAAATATTTATCAATTAAAGGATTTAGAAAAAACATATACTATATATATCCTTTAGCTCCTTTAAAGTTCATGTTTCAATTTTAGTAGTTTTCTTGCTAATTATTATACTTAAAAACATCAATAGAAGGTGTATAAGAAAAATTAAATTTCATGATTTTATTCTCAATCATAGGAGAACTGGATATATATTCTTCCTCTCTTCGCTAACTTTATGAGTTTTTATTAGACTAAATGTTTAAAAATAGAGTTTCATTGTATATTTCTTAAGAATCAGCATCATTTAATTTAGATAATTCTATATTTGAATTATCTATCTTACTTAAATTTGACTATTTATTATGTAATAATTTAAATTGTTAACTTAATTCTTATCTATTTTCAAAACTATTAGCTAAAAAGTTTAAATATTCCTTATTTATTTTTTAATTTTACATGTTTGACTTAGATGTATTATTATCATCATCAAAGTTATCATATGATTAATAATCAATTTTAGATTATTATTAGCTTTGAATTAATTGTTTGTTCAAAACTAGATTGGTATGCATGGATGATTAAAAAGAGTTCATATTTTAAAATATTGAATTGTTTTATTAGATCAAAAAACTTTTATGATTCTTAGGTATTTCTTAAATTTTTAAGCTACCTTTGCGTATTTTGATCTCAGAATTATTACAACTTAAATTAATTGATTTTTTTCTTCTGTTTAGCATTTTAGAAAATTTTTACATTTACTTTTCTAACATTTTTTTTTGCATAATTTTTTTTTACTCAGAGCTCAAATAAATTTATTTGATTACTAAATCATAATTACTTAAAGGAAAGTAGAAAATAAAACACTTTAGTTTCTCAAAATTTCCAAAAAATATATCAAAATATTGTTGTAAGCAATGCTATTTTTCTAAGTCTTAATAATTATTTTATTTTGACGTTTCAATTGAAAATCTTTTTTTAGTCGTAAAATTTTATGACTCAGATTAATGTTAATTATTTGAACTGTGCATATTATTAAAATGATCCTATTATAAATCAGTCTATAAATCAAAGTCTGTTATAATGGACTATGGATAGTTCATAATGTTTTACAAACTTACTAATTGAAAAGAACTAGGTTAATTCTAAATACTCGATTATTAGTTACTATTTTCATGTTCATGTCGTTTTACTATTTTTAGTTTTTACACACTAGTTTATAACTTACTTATATTATTAGGCTCATTTATTTCTTTTTTTTAAATTGATTTATCACTCTGTTGGTAAAATTAATCACCTAAATTTATCAAATTACTTTATCGTTTTTATAAAAGTTATATTTGACTTTTTTAATCACTCTAATTATTATGATTTCCATGAAAATTATCCTAGCTTTTATTCAAAATTTGTTAGATTCTCAATTTTTTTTCTTAAATAAATCTTAATTATGAACATTAATCACATTAATTTATAGAATATGATAAATAACTTTGCTAATAATAATCTATAGATTCTTCGTTTTCTTCTTGAAATTACTAATGAATTCCTTATAAATCTAAAGGAGTAAATTTGCATTTATATTCGCTCCTAGCTATTTTTTGTTATATTTCGCTCATGTCATGGTTATTGTCAATTTTATTTTTTAAAGCTAATGCTTTATGAATATTTTATGAAAAATGAATATAAGGACATTACTTTATTGTATGTTTCTAGCTTTTACAACTATAACATGAATGAATAATTTTAGAATAATCATTGCTAAATATGATTTTATCTTTAATATAGCTAAACTACTCTAAATCTTATGGAAATTCCTTTAATATTTTAATAAAATCATCTCTATTTAAAATTAGTAGTGTTGTAAAATCCACACTTTTTACATTTATTTCTGTTGTTTTACCAGTAAAAAACTCAATCTCTCCAAAACAGTCTCCTTTTTAGAATACTTTGATTGGCTTTTAAGTATTGTTAATTAAGCTTTTATCTTATATCTCTAACCCTTAAAGCTATAAAAATGTTTCTGTTGAACCTTATTATATAAAATATAAGCATAATCCTAAATTTTCATCATTTTGTTGAAAGATTAACTGATTTGGAGTAAAACTTTTTTCCTAAATAATTGGAATAATAGCTTTTAATAAATCTTCACTAAAATTATTTTATAAAATAGGACTTTCTTTCAATATAAGTTTATTGCATTCTTCATAAAGTTAATTTTTTAAATAATTTGGAAGTAATTTTATCATATTGTTTTCTTATTCTTGATAATTATGCTATTCCTATCTCCAAGCATACCTATAAATTAAAAATTATTTCTTTTGTCGCAATTTATAATTATTAAACTAAAAATCTCTAAAAATTAGTTTATGATATTATGCAAATTCTCATAAATTAAGGTAAAAAATTCGAAATTTTAGAAAAATTAAAATGTAAATATTATTTTATTAAATATAATTCAATATTTGAATTTTTTCAATAATTAATGAGAAATGCAAGTATTTATTTTGAAAATTATGTTAATACAAAATCAAATATTTCTAAAATATAATAAAATATTACTCAAGATATTCAGTAATATCTCTCTGCAAATGTTGGCTTATGGACTTTTTTTGGAGATAGTTTTTTATAGTGAACATTTTTTACAAAATTTTATTTTCATTTTTAAAAAATTATTCAATTATTCCGTTGATTGTTGTAATTGAATAGCCAAAAACACCACTTGCAAACAACATCATTAATATACAAATAATTGTTTCTAAAGGAGTAACAGGTACAATATCTCCATACCCAACTGTGGACATTGTTACAGTGCAGAAATAAAATGAATCTAAATATTATTTGTACCATGACTCGTTAAGTAGTTGAATTTTTGCAATCCAGCTGTTGTAATAAATAAATTATGAAGTTCTTCCTGTAAAAATCCAAATGCATGCACAAATGTGGGCAATAAAAAGAACCTTTAAGAAAAGATCAAGTAAGCTTAGAAAATCTCTAACGTTTTATTACAAAATATAATTTTGCTATAAATTCTTATAAATCTTAATCTAACTTTTCCATCTTATAAAAATAAAAACTGTGATGAAATTATAATATTTTTTATCTAGTTATATAATTAGTTAGATAATTTTATATAAAATTAAAGGTAGAATTGAAAATAAATCAATAGAAAATTGAAAGCTAAAATATTTCTTTATAATTTATTTTTTATTATTGCAGAGAATTCCATGCTCATAGTAACCAGTACTCATATGAATGAAAATATCAAAAATATTAAAAAATAATATTATTTCAATTGAATAGCTCTAAAAAACCATATTTTCATCCATACCAAAGCTTACCATAATAGGAATATAAAAGAAGGAGTAAAGTAGAACTATTAACATCAAGGTGTCCCATAATTATTTGCTAAGGCTTGCTGGATTGATAATGGGTATCTAATCAAAAGTTTTCATTATAAATTTGAAAAATTTTCCTGCTAGTTGTTATTATGAAAATACCCTAACTTGATTCTAATTTTTTCCATTTTTTAAATCAGAGAAGTCTTAGGATTTATCATTTAAATATTAATATTGCAAACTAGACATATTTTTTAACATCCTTGATCTGGTAGAGTTTATCCACTATTAAGCAAATATCCTCAATTTTAATGTTTTAATAATATCTAATAACCTAACTTTTATTGTATCCTATTCTTAATTTACTTGAATATTACTCTTTTCAGTGAGCATAATTTAATGTGCATCTCCATCTTCCCTATTTCTAAGTTAATTTAATGTGCTTAATGAAAAATCTTAAATCTTCTATTTATTTTATTTGAATGGTTTAGTATAATTTGAGTTTTGTTCATGATCTAAAGTTTATCTTAAAGTATGAGTTTCATTATTTTCTTGTTAATCTTTTTTAAACTATTTTTGATTTTATCCAATCATATTTTTTGTTTATCTAATTTTTAAGCAGTTTTTAAATGAAAAATAGTCACTATTTATTTATAATAAGTTTTACATAAATTATTTAATTCATTGATAATTATTTTTGTAAAAAATTACTATTTGATAAAAGGATTAGCTTAATTAGGTTTAACTGTAAATTATTAATATTAATTGTTAAATCATTGAAAACAAAAATTTTTTAGAAATTTATTTTATTTAAATATACTTTTAAAAGAAAACAAAGATTAAAGAACAACTTTTCTTTTTTTATGAAATATTTTTTGATATTTTTAACTCATTTAAAAATAATTTATTTTATTAAAAAATATAAAAATTATTTAGTTTTTATAGTTAGAAAAAAAATCATTTGCATCTGTCTGATTTTGATTAAATTAATTATAAAGTGTATAGGCCTTAAAGTACCTATTTATATTATTTGTTAAATCCAAAAAGTTATGAAGCTAACTTTGTTTTTTTTCCCTTCTAGGTGGACTAAATTCAACTTTTTTTTATTCTTCGATATTTTAATTTTAAAAGCTAATATCATTCGAAGTTGAATTACAAACTTAATCATCAGTTTGATATCTTTAATAGCTTTGAACTTTCTCAGGCATAATTTACTCATAATAATCATCTTTAAAATTTGATTGTTTAAGATTTCTACTTTAGGTTAAGTTTAGGTTTTTTAAAGACCAAACATCTATATATAATATAATATATGAGCATTTGATAAATTTAAGTTCTTTGACATTACTGATCCTTAATGAATAATATTTGGTCTTTAGGTAGATAAGATAAGGTGCTTTCTATTTTTCTCATCAATTTTTTATTCAAATAAAATCAATTTTCCTTCTGTGCTTAAAATTGAGTTGAACTAAAAAATGTGTTAGCATAATTTTAACTAAATTTAGATTTAAGATCTTTGCTATCATTAATTTTTTTCTTCATTTTTTTAGTTTATTTTATTAAAAGAGGAGAATTTTTAGTTATTTGGCTTGTTTTTCTTAACTGCTTTTTAGTACAAGTTTGGTAAGAGCAGCTATTTGTTATTATAGTAATTAATTTTTCATTTTATTCATTTAAGTTTAATCCATCTGAGTCTCCTGTATTAGTGCGTGAAATTATTTAAAGGATAATAAAACAAGTAGCTATGCATTTTTTAATATAAACCTTAAAACGGATCAACAAATAATATCTACTTATGTTTGGTAGTTAAGCTTTATATTTTTTATAGGGGTAATAGAACTATTGTTATTTGTTTATTCTTAAGCACATTCTAATATTGATGTCACCTTGTTTTATTTACAAGGTTTGTTATCTAAAATAATATATCTAATTAAATTATTATTGCTAAATTAAAGGTTTATATGAAATTATAAGTTTTAAAGCAACTCTACGTATTTTAAATCTTTTAAATATTTAAACTATTTTTATTTATATCATTTCTAAATCCTGTTGACTAATACTGCTAGTATTTTCATATTAATCATCTTCCCTTCTTTCTTAATCTCTGAACTAATTAAGTGCATATTGATAATAATTTTGTAATTTTTATTAGTTTAAATTTGAAACCTTTGCAGAATTTTAAATACTACTAGAGTTTTTACAAAGGCAAAGAATTCACTTAAAAGCCATCATTTTAGAAGTTTTCTTGCTTAATTTGCTCATTGCTCATAATTAACTTTATCAATAAAGTTAGCTTTAAAATTATTATTATTTTATAATTTAGCCAAGTTAATTTCTTTTAAATAAATATTTTTATTAGAAATAATTAATTTTTGAAGTTAACTTGATTTATTAAAAAATAATTTTCAAAAAATTCAATTTATTACTTAGTATTTACTTTATTTAATATTATTAATTTTCAATTTTTTATTCCTAAAGAAAAATAAAATAAATAAAAATGACAAATAATGATAACAATACCTAACTAATTACTTTGAATCAAATAACAGTATTTGATTACTTAGTTTTAAAATTTGAAGAAAAAAATCCTTAGATATTTTCTAAATTAACTCATTTATTTGTAAAATTATTAGTCTCTTAAAAAAATTTACTCGAAATATTAAAGTAAATTGAATTTTCTTATTTAATTTATATTGCTTATTTTATTCTAAAAGTAATTATTTATTAAATACTTGCTGAGCTAATTAATTTAAATATTTTTAAGTTCCATCTCTATGTGCTAAAATTAAAAAAAATCATAATATCTAAAATAAATAATTCAATCAATATTCAAATTTTAGTATATAACAAATTAAAGTCTTGGGAATTAAACGATTTAAAAAATAAATTCTAAATATTTTAATTTTTTATTTCTAGTTCATTTTCAATTGTAGCTGTTTTCTTACTAATTATTATACTTAGAAACACAAATAGTAGGTATATAAGAACTGTTTAATTTCAAGATTTTATTCTCAATCATAGGAGAACTGGATATAAATTCTTCTTCTCTTCGCTAATTTAATGAGTTTTTATTAGCCTAAATGTTTAACAATAGAGTTTCATTCAATATTTCTTAAGCATTAGTATCATTAAATTTAGATAATTCAATATTTGAATTATACATCTTACTTAAATTTAATTATTTATTATGCAATAGTTTAATTTATTGATTTTACTCTTATTTATTTTCAAAATTATTGCTAAAAAAGTTTAAAGATTCCTATTTTATTTTTTAATTTTACATTTTTAATGTATCATTGTCTTCAAATTTATCATATGATTAATTTGGACTTTTCGATTCAAATTAGCTTAGAGAAATTAGTTGTTTGTTTATAATTGGATTTGTATGCATAGATTATTAAATAGAGCACATATTTTAAATCGTGGAATTATTATATTAGATTAAATGGCTTTTGTGATTCTTAGATGTCTCTTAAATTTTTATGCTATCCCTGCGTGTTTTAACCTCAGAATTATTACTATTTAAATTAGTTGTTTTTCTTCTTCTGTTAAGCATTTTAGAAAATTTCTATATTTATTTTTCTAACATTTTTTTTTGCATAATTTTCTTTTACTCAGAGCTCAAATAAATTTATTTGATTACTAAATCATAATTGCTTAAAGGAAAATAGAAACTAAAACACTTTAATTTCTCAAAATTGCCAGAAAATATGTCAAAATATTTTTGCAAACAATGCTATTTTTCTAATTCTTAATAGATATTTTATTTTATCCCTTCTATTGAAATTCTTAACATATTTGTAAAATTTTACTACTCAGCATAATACTAATTATTTGAGCTGAGCATATTATTCAAATGATCTTATTATAAATCAGCCTAAAGTTCAATATCTGTAATATTGGATTATGGATAATTCATTATGCTTTACAAACTTACTGATTGAAATGAACTTGGTTATAACTAGCTACTTAATTATTAGTTACTAATTTCATTTTCATGTCGTTTTACTATTTTTTGTTTTTACACACTATTTTATAACCTACTGATATTTTCTGGCTCAGCTATTTATTTTTTATAAATTGATTTAAGACTCTGTAGATTATATTAATCGCCTTAATTTATCAAATTACTTTATCGTTTTTATTAAAATTATATTTAATTATTTTAATCATTCTAATTATTATGAATTTCGTGAAAATGATCCAAGCTTTTATAAAAAGTTTGTTAAAATTACATTTTTTTTTCTGAATCTGATCTTATATATGAGCATTATTCACATTAACTTATTGAATATTATAAATAATTTTGCTCATAATAATCTATCGATTCTTCGTTTTCATCTTGAAATTATTAATGTATTCTTTATAAATCTAAAAGAATAAATTTGAGTTTATATTCACTCCTAGCTATTTTTTGTTATGTTTCACTTATGACTTAGTTATTGTCAATTTTATTTTATAAAGCTAAAGCTTTATGAGTATCTTATGAAAAATGGATATAAGGACATTACTTTATTGTATGTTTCTAGCTATTACAACTATAACATGAATGAAAAACTTTAGAGTAATCATTACTAAATATTATTTTATCTTTAATATAGCAAAATTGTTCTAAATCTTATGGAAATTTCTTTAATATTTTAATAAAATCATTTCTATTTAAAATTAACAATGTTGTAAAATCCGTACTTTTTACATTTGTTTCTGCTAATTTACCAGTAAAAAACTCAATCTCTCCAAAATAATCTCCTTTTTTGAACACTTTGATTGGCTTTTAAGTATTTTTGCTTATGCTTTCATCTTAAATTTCTTTCTCTTAAAGCTATAAATATGTTTCTATCGATCCTTACTATATAAAATAGAGACATGCTCCTAAATTTTCTTCGTTTTATTGAAAAATAAGCTGATTTGGAGTAAAAGTTTTTTCTTAAATAATTGGAAGAATATCTTTTAGTAAACTATCACTAAAATTATTTTGTAAAATAGGACTTTCTTTCAATATAAGTTTATTGCATTCTTCATAAAGTTAGTTTTTCAAATATTTAGGAAGTAATTTTATCATATTATTTTATTATTCTTGATAATTATGCTATTCCTCTCTCCAAACATACCTATATATTAAAAATTATTTCTTTTTTTACAATATATAAAGTTAAACTAAAAATTTATTAAAATTAATTAATGTATAATCTTAATTCATTCTTCTTAATTAAAGAATAAAATTTAAATTAAACTATTATAAAATTTCCTCATATTATTAAATTCTTATCAATTAATACAAATAAAATTAAAATTTTTTTGAATATCTTGTTTTTACAACCAAAAATAAAAGACCCTTATGAAAATTTTTCTTAATTTAAGAAATATTTGTATTATATTCTCATTATAAATACTCTTTTTTTCTTATTTTATGAACTAGGTACTTCATATATTTCAAATTTATTGAAAAAATAATTAAAAAAAATATATGAATACTCTGTCTGTAATACCAAAAATTTGGATTGTATAATCATTTTAAATATTATTGTAGGACCATTTAAAAAACTGATATTTAATAAGAAAAAAAAATATATATGTATTGGAGAATATATTTTGATATTATTAAAAAGGTTTAAATTCAAGTATATTTTTTGTTTTAACAATATTTTTCTCTCTTCTTTTTTAATTAAATAAAAAAATATTTTTCTTAAATATAACTCAGATTTTAATTTAGTCACTTCAATAATTAATTAGAATTACAAGTATTTTTTTTGAAAACTATATTAATAGAAAAATCAAATATTTCTAAAATAGAATAAAATATTACTCTAGATATTCAGTAATATCTCTCTGCAAAATTTGACTTATGGACTTTTTCTGGAGATAGTTTTTGATAGTGAACATTTTTTACAAAATTTTATTTTCATTTTTAAAAAACGATTCAAGTATTTTATTGATTGTAGTTATTGAAAAGCCAAAAACACCGCTTGCAAACAACATCATCAATATGCAAACAATTATTTCTAAAGGAGTAACAGGTACAATATCTCCATACCCAACGGTGGACATTGTTACAGTGCAGAAATAAAACGAATCTAAATATTATATGTACCATGGCTCGTTAAGAAGTTGAGTTTTTGCTATCCAGCTGTTTTAATATATAAATTATGAAGTTCTTCCAGTAAAAATCCAAAAGCAGGCACAAATGTGAGCAATGAAAAGTACTTTTAAGAAAAGATCAAGTAAGCTTAGAAAATCTCTAACTTTTGGTTACAAAATATAATTTTGCTATAAATTCTTATAAATCTTAATCTAACTTTTCCATCTTATAAAAATAAAAAGTGTGATGAAATGATAGTATTTGCTTTCCAGTTATAAATTTAGTGAGATAATCTTATATAAAATTAAAGGTAGAATTGAAAGTAAATCAACAGAAAATTAAAAGTTAAAATATTTCTTTATAATTTATTTTTTGTTATTGCAAAGTATTCCATGCTCATAAAAACCAGTGCTTATGTGAATGATAGCGTCAAGTATATTAAAAAACAATATTATTTCAATTGAGTAACTCTAAAAAATCATATTTTCATCTAAACCAAAACTTACTATAATAGGAATATAAAAGAAGGAGTAAAGTAGAACTATTGCCATCAAGGTGTCCCATAATCTTTTGCTAAAGCTCGCAGGGTTAATAATGGGTATCTAATTAAAAGTTTTTATAATAAGTTTGAAAAATATTTTAGGTAGTTTATATTATGAAAATATTCTAAACTGATTCTAATTTTTTCCATTTTTCAAATCTGTGAAGTCTTAAGATTTATCATTTAAATATTTATATTGTTTGCTTGACATATTTTTCAGCATCCTTGACCTGGTAGAGTTTATCCACTTTTAAGCAAATCTCCTCAACTTTAGTTTTTTAATTATATCTAATAGTTTTACTTATATTCTATCCTTATCATATTTTATTGTATTACTCTTTTCAGTGAGCATAATTTAATCTACATCTCCCTCTTCCCTATGTCTAAGCTAATTTAATGCACTTGATGAGAAATCTTAAATATTTTATTTTATTGAATCTGTAAAATTTTAGTTTGGTTCATGATCAAAATTTTATGGTATGCTATGAACTTCGCTATTTTCTTATTAATCGTTTTTAAACTATTTCTTATATTATCCAATCATATTTGTGTTTATCTATTTTTAAATAAGCTTTTTTAGAAAATTATTGACTATTTATTTGTTATATTGCATAAATTATTTAATACATCAGCTTAATTAATTTTTATAAAAAATATACTATTTCGAAGTTAATTCTTGTTAAATTATTTTTATTTACTATTTTTAATTAACTAGCTCTGATTTTTCTTTCTATAAAAAGGTTAGCTTATTACGCTTACTTATAAATTATTATTAATAAATTTTAACTAATTAATAGCCAAAATTTTTTTAGAAGCTTATATAAAAATTTAAAAACAAAATAAAGATTAATGGACAAAATATTTTTCTTGTATGAAATATTTTTTGATATTTTGAATTAATTTATTTTATTAAACAAGATAAAAAATAATTTATTTTCAATTTTTGAATAATGATATTAATGTTTTACACTAAAAATAATTATCCCAAAAATTTTTTCTCATACAATATTATTATTTAAATAGATAAATATAAATTTAGAAAATCAAAATCAAAACTAATTTATTTTTATGATTTTTTCACCATTTGTATCAATCTTGATTTTGCTTAAATTAATTATCAAGTGTATAGTCTTCAAAGTATCCATTTGTATTATTTGTCAAGTCCAAAAAATTATGAAGTTTAACTTTGTTTTCCCTCTGAGGAGGACTAAATTCAACTCTTTTTTACTCTTCAATATTTTAATTTTAAAAGCTAATATCATTCGAAATTGAATTATAAACTTAATGATCAGTTTTACATCTTTAAAAGCTTTAGGCTTTTTCACGTGTTTTTTACTCAAAACAATCATCTTTAAAATTTGATGGTTTAAGATTTCTACTTTAGGTTAAGCTTAGGTTTTAAAAAGACCAAACATCAGGTTTAATTTCTCCAATGTGAAAATTTGATAAATTTAAGTTCTTTGAAATTGTTGATCCTTAATGAATAATATTTGGTCTTTAAGTAGATAATAAGATAAGATCATTTACATTTTTCTCATCAATTTTTTAGTTAAATTAGCTCTGTTTTTCTTCTGTATTTAAAATTGAATTTAATTAAAATTGCTTTTTGATTTCCGAAAATGGTGAGTTTTATAATGTAAATGTGTTAGCGTAATTTTAACTAAATTTAGATTTAAGATCTTTGCTATCATTAATCTTTTCTTCTTTTTTTTTGGTTTATTTTCTTAAAAGAGGAGACTTTTTAGTTGCTTGGCTTGTTTTTCTTAACTGCTTTTTCAGTACAAGTTTGGAAAGAGCAGCTTTTTGTTATTATAGTAATTTATTTTTCATTTTTTTCTTTTAAATTTAATCCATCTGAGTTTGCTATAATACGAATGTGTAATTATTTAAAGGATAATAAAACAAAAAGTTATGCATTTTTTCAAATAAACCTTAAAATGGATCAAAAAATAATATCTGCTTATGGCTTATTTGACAGTTAAGCTTTATATTTTTTATCGGGATAACAGAACTGTTGTTATTTGTTTATTCTTAAATGCATTCTAATATTGACGTCACATTATTATGTTTTGAAGGTTTGTTATCTAAAGTACTCTATCTAATTAAATTATTATTGCTAAATTAAGGGTTTATACTTTACTGGCTGTTTGAAAAGCTTGACTTTTCATTATGGAAATTATTAGGAGAGTTATCAAACCTATCAAAAATATCTACATTTTATGATTAAATCATAAAATTATCTTCCTAAGTAGTACTTCTATTAAACGGGCTTTAAGACTTACTATGTTTAGAATCAATAGTTTTTATCCTGCTCATTTTTATATTTGACTTAAAGTTTTTAACAATTTTAATTGGAGATGATGCTGAATCAAATACTTCTTAATCTTCAGTTCCAAATTGACTCATGATCATACAATTATTTTGCAGGTAAGCTTTTTTATGCTGATTAATCTTTTATGATATCTAATCTTCATTTGTTAAATTTGAATTTGATCTCTTCTTAGGCGTATTATAGCCAAAAGCAGCTGTAGTAGGATTCAAAATATGTATATTTGACTATTTAGAAAAGTTAGAGTTGTTTTTAATAGTATTATTATTATTATTACTATTGTGCTGCACTTAATTAAATAAATCTATTGTTGAAGTTTATCCTTGGCTCTATGTCTATTACTAACTTTGGCAAATATCGCATTTGCTAATTTAAAAATCGAGGAAATTATTTTCATACTCTTCCAAAAATTCTTCATTCACTTCTTAAAACGATTCTAACATTTAAAGCAAATCATCTTAATTGTAGTAAAATTTTCTTTGTCGTCTAATTGATTAATTTCTTTCAAATTAAGGTTCAGATCTATTATAGCTAAGAATTACTTTGGGTTTATTAGGTATAAAATTTACAAAAGGACATCTCTCTAATACGTGGCTTTAGCTAGCACAGCTATGGCACTACAAATGAATCTTTTGAAAGTCTTACTAATTTATCATTTTATCTTTGATGTAACAGAATTATTCATAATCCTAAGGATAATCCTTAATGATTTGCATAAAATCTTGTCTATCAATTTTTAAAATTTTAGTAAAATTTATACTTCTAATATTTTACTATTTATCTATATCTGTAAAAAACTCTATTTCTCCAAAGAAATCACCTTTCTTAAGCTTTTTTAGAGATTTGAATTAATTGTTTTATTTTTATTAGTTATTTTGAGTTTCCATAAATATTTCCACTATCCCTTCTTGAACGAAGTATATAGCTCGACTCTAATTTTAATCTTCTTTTAAATAAATTATTTCTTCAGGAGTATAATTCTTTTCTTATATAATATTAACCATTGATTTTATCAGCTCTTCACTAAAGTTATTTTAAAAAAATTGGCACTCTTTTAAAATTATTTTATTAGATTCAATTAATAAATCGTTTCGCAGCTGATCTGAGAGCTATTTAACCATTCTCTCTTCTTCTTCTTAATTGTATTCTTCATTCTATCTCCAGTAATATCTATAAATAACATTAATATTTCAAGGTTTGAAATACCAAATATTATACATAAGTAAAGCTGAAATTATACTGTTAATTATTTTCAGTAAAACCAAAAATATTTGGTATTTTCATAACTAATCAAGTATTAAAATTTTTTAAAAATTCTTTGAAAATAGGTTGGGAAAAATTGAATATAAATGCTTTGTAATATGTCACTAATATTTTGAAAAATTCCTTATGAAAGAAAACTAAAAAGCCTAATCCCAACTCTTTTGCTAACAAAATTATTGTAAGTGAAATTAATTTTTCTTTTTTTAATGTTCTCCTTTCTAATTTATTTAATTTTTTTTAGTCTTTGATTATTTAGTTAAATAAACTTAATTTATTAATCTACTTGTATTAACTTTAATCAATCTTTAAAGATAATTTAGATAAATTAAAAAGTAAAAAAATAATAAATAATTTAAATAAAGTATTTTACTCTAAATACTCTGTTATGTCATTTGAAAGATTAAGGCTGATCGACTTCTTCAGCAAATAATTTTTAATTACATACATTTTTTCCATAATGTTTCTTTCATTTTTTGTTAAATCTTACAAAATTCCAGAGATAGTGTTTACAGAAAATCCGAAAATACCTGCTGAAGTTACAATCATTAATGAGCAAACTATTCTTTCTAATGGTGATCTTGGGACTATATCTCCATAGCCAACAGTTGACATTGTGACTGTGCAAAAATAAAAAGCATATAAGTACTTCTCAGCCCAAGTAGAGTCAATTAATTTTTATGCTGACATCCAGTTATTTAAGTCAAAAAATGAATATGAAAATCTCCCAACGATAATCCAAACACAAGCATAAGTATGAGCAATTAACAAGACTGTAAAAAAAAGATTCATAAGAGATAAAATATTTCTGATATTTGGTTTTAAAATATATATGTTTTCTATACTTTAATAGACTTTAGAGAGTTTCTTCCATTTTAATAAAAATGAAAGTAAAATAACCTAATAATAATAATAGTTCTACAGCTAAGAGAAAACAAACTTATAGATTAGAATAGGAAGTAGAAATAAGATATCGTTTACCAAATCTTCAGATTAGTATTTTCTTAGAATTTTATTCCTTTTTTTGCATAAAACTCCTTTTTTATAAAAACCTGTATTACAAGTTATAATTATGTCAAAAACTCCTACTACTATTATAAATTACAGAATTTAATCATAAAATAACCCCTCTTCGTGAATGCTGAGAGATATAAGAATGGGTATAAAAAAGAAAGCTTAAACCAGTGAAAACGAAACAATAATATCCCAAATAAGCTTATATTTACTAGATGGGCTCAAAATTGGGATAATACTCAGACATTTTTAAAAGATTGTTAAAAAACTAAATACAAACTTTTTTGAAGCTAGCCTAGAAAAAAAAATATTAGTTTTATTTTACTAATCTTGAAAGTCTTAGCTTTTATCATTTATTAGATAGAATTAGTATGGAGTCATCTTTTTGTGCATGCGTGAGGGAATTCTGTTAACTAAGTGAGAAACTAGCTATTTAATTTTCATTCTTCTCATGATTTCATATAATTTTATTATTATGTAGTTATCAGATTTATTTTCTTAATAAGAAAGCTCCTCATTTTCAACTGTTCGTTTGATGCAATCACTAATGTATGGACTCTAAACATTCAAGCAAGAATTATTATCAGCCTTTTCTGATTCTATTTTTTCCTTAGATCTAATCAGGTAATTATTAGTTGTTATTTATATGCTTTTTCTCTGACTGAATTATTTTTCGCTTTGCAACTTATTCTCACAGTAACTTAAACTTTCTTCTTTTGATTAAAGTATTGACATGTTTGTTATCTATCTATTTTCTTCTTTAATTTTGATTGGTTAACTAAAAGTAAATTAACTTTTATATTTATTTGCACTTAACCAAAATTTTGCTAATTTTTGATGGATAATTTAACTAATTATTGGACGTTGATAATTTATTATACATTTTAATAGATATCAAAGTAGAATAAAAAAATAATCATAAAAAAAAATATTTTATTCATATAAACTAAAATTACTTTTTTTTAAAATTTAATAAAAAATAGCAAAAATTGAATTTTTTTTTTTTTAATTTGTATGATTTAATTAAATGAAATATAGATTAATTACTTAAAAATAGAATTAATTTATTATTGAATTAATTATATTTAATTATCTTAATGAAAAAAAGGATACATTTAATTTAAATTTATTTTCATCAAAATTAAAAATTATTCTTTTCTTTCTACATCAATGCTTAAAGGTTAGATTTCCTTCATTTTGATTATATTGGTAAAGTGAAAATTTAGTACTCTATATTTATTTAAGACTCAGCACTTGTTATTCTTGCTTAGGTGGGCTATTAATAGTGTTATTTGAAATGATTTAATTGATTTGTAACGAAATTTAACTACTTTTAGCTTTCTATTGATTTTCTAATGCTTAATATGAGTTTAGTTATTTATTTGAAGGTAATTCATTTATAGCGTTTTAAATAGAAACTTAATTAAGATCAGAATCATCTTTGTTTGCTTAATAATAACTGTCCTATTGGTTAAACTCTTCAATTTGCTATGATACATTTTTCTTGAATAAAGAATAACTTTATTAAAATGAAGGATGGTTTTTCTAAGTTATGGAAATATCATTATTTAATTCATAATCTAAATATTAATTATTTGTAAAATGTTTAGCTGTTTAACATTTTTCTTTTTCTACATAACTTAGTAGTGGGGATTGAATAACACTATCTCTATGCTTTCTAAGAAAAAAATTTTAATTGCTTATTGTAATTGGAGAAACTTAATCATCAAAATTTTGAGATGTATTTACTCTTCCTTCAAATTCATATTTATCTAAAAGTTTTTTGATAATTTTATTTTATTTAATAGTTTAACAGCGAGATCCTTGTTTAAAATTTCTTAGTTATTTATTCTGAGATATCTTACTTTGTCTCTCTCTTTGGATACGTAGGATTTCTGCTCTCAGTTTACTTTTTTGATTTTGGTCTTATTTAGTTTATGAAATGACATAATGATAATTATTTAGAGGATAGTATAACTAAAATTCTTTCATTTTATCAAATTAACCTAAAAATTAATCAAAGAATATTCTTTAAACATGTTATTAATCATTTTTTTTCAGATCTTATTAAGGAATTGCAGAAAATGATTAATTTCTAATTTTTTTAGCAGAATCTTAGTAATGAACATAATTTGTATTTTCATAAACACCATTATTAATTGCTTAAATACTAGGTGTATTGTATAAATTCTATGGGTATAATTATTCACTTTAAAAATTATCAACTTCTTGATAGGGTTGTTGTTGTACACCTAGAATTTTAAGAGAACTCTAATTCTTTTGCTAAATAAAAGTATTACTAATTTAGATAGGAGGATTAAAAGTGTTTTAGAGGGCACTGACATTTAAATTTGAATCAAAATTTTTTTTAATATTTTTTTGTTTGAGTTATGAGGGTTAACATTTAATATAATTAGAGGAAGAAATTTCCATGTTATCTAAATTTTCTATGCTTTTTGAATTTTATGTTCTTGTGTAGAGACTTTTAAATTTATTAAATTTCGATTAAAATCCTTAGTCATCATTTATTTAATTTAAGCTTTATGAAGATATATTATCAGTTTGTTATTGCACCTCCTTATTCTTCATATTTTAAAAGTTACTTTGGTATAAATTATTCTATGATGAATAGTTATTTTGAATTTAATTTGAAAATATTTCTTGATCAAATTAACTCTTATCAAAAATAGGAGTAACTTCTTTACGTTTGTTATTCAAAATATAGCTTTTATGAAATTATGTACACATATCACATTTAGCAAAATTAAATGAGAGATATTTTTCACTGTATTATTACAGTAATTCTTAGTTGAATTCTATATACTCAATAGCTATTTCTTCATTTAAATTGAGATTATACCGACTCTTTTTTACTGATCTTAGAAATATTTCTTCACTTCTTTCTTAATCCTAAGATATATTCTGCTAAGCGAAAAGTTTATATTTTTTGGGATAATAATGTAAGAATGGGCATGTTTCTAATAAATGACTATTATTCTAACAACTAGGACACTTTTAGTAAAGTTTTTCGTAGTTTTGTTGCATAATTAAAGCATCTTTTATATAGCAAAATTACTCATAATCTTATGGAAATTTTTTTAAGATTTAAATAAAGTCTTTTCTTTATATTTTCAATAATGTAGAAAAATTAATGCTCCTAACACTCATCCCTTTATTTTCATTAATGAAAAATTATAATTCCCCAAAATATTCACCTTTTTTAAACCGTTTTATTGTTTTGAACTAATCCTTACCTCCTACTTTCTCATCAAAGTAATTTGTACAATCAATATACATTTCCACAATTCCTTCTTAAACAAAATAGATGCATTAATCTTAGTTATTTTCTCCTTCTACAAATATATTCTCATAGGGAGTATAGTGTTTTTCTTAAATTATTGGGATAGTCGCTCTTATGATGTCTTCACTGAAATAATTTTAAAATATTTTACAATCTCTGAGTACTATTTTATTTGATTCTATTAAGAGGTCATTGCGAAGTGAGTCAGGAAGTTATTTTATCAAATTTTCTTCTTGTTACTGATTCGATTCTTAATTAGCACTCAAGTAATACCTTTACAGTCAATTAAAAATATTTAAAATAAATAAATAAATACAAAAATTTTAATTTGAAAAAATTAATTATTAATTTCGATCACTTTTACTTTTAGTAATAATTCATTGCATAAAAAACACAAAAAAGTTAAATTACTCCAAATACTCAGTTACGTCTTTTGAAAGGCGGTCATTTATTGATTTCTTATGCAAATAGTTTTTTATTATGAGCAAATTCTGCATCAAAAGCTTTTCATTTTTTGAAAAATCTTAAAGGACAGCCTAGATTGTGTTCACTGCAAATCCAAAAACTGCAGAAGCAAAAAACACCATCACAATACAAAATCCTACTTCTATCGTTGATTATGGTGATATGTCTCCATATCCAACAGTCGCCATTGTTACTGAGCAAAAATAGAAAGCTTCTAAATATTATTTGTACCAACTTTAATTCTATAAATTTAATGTTTATATCCATGACACATCTTAAAATTTCATAGATAGTCTCCCACATATTATCCATAAACAAGCACATGCATGAGCAATTATCAGGATCTTAAAAAATAAATTTAATAGAGAAAGAGTGTTTCTGATATTTGATTTAAGTAAATATCTTTGCTATATGTTTTTATAAAGATTGGAAAAAGCACGCCATTTTATTAAAATAGATAAAATAAGGAATTAAAAATTGGTATTTTAATCTAAACTTTTTAAAAAAAAATTGTATGTAAATAAAGGTAACAAAGAGCAAACATCTGTGTAAAATTATTCTAAATAATACTTCCTCCAAATACTGCTTCTCTTTTTGCATAAGATACCTCTTTTATAGAAGCCTGTATTGCATTATACAATAACTTCAAGAATATTAATTACTAAAATAAATTCTATAACAAAATCTTACTAAATATCATTCTCATTTAAACTAAAGCTAACCATAATTGGTATAATAAAGAAAGAATAAAGTAAAATAACTTAAAATAAAATATCCCAAATCATAATTAGATTATTAGAAGGACTAAATACAGGCAAAGAGGATATAACTTTAAGTAAAAGCTGATACTTTTTAAAAAGTAAGGAATTTTACTGCGCTATAGATAAAAAAATTAATTTTTACTTGTTTCCTTTCTACAAATCAGAAAAATCTTAGCTTTTATCATTAATAAACTCATATTAATGCGTTTTCATATTCTTTAACATGCGAGCTCTGGTTTTTTGTATAATACTTCTACTTATATCAATCAGCCGAATTTTCTTAATAATTTCTACTAACTTAGGAACAATTTCATTTTATTTATTTTCTATTTATTATTAATCACCAAAATAGATACTATCCTCTTTAGAAAACTTTATATCAATTGGAGAGCTCACAAAATCATTATCTTAGTTGTCTTAAGCTATAACATTATGTTAAAAACAATTCTTTACTTTGATCAAATTTATGCTATGCTTTTTGACTAATTGGGATGAATGAGGAAATTATTTTTTTTCAGTATTTTTCTCTTTATTATCTCCAAAAGTAATCATCTCTTTATAAAAATATTGATCAAATTTTATTTAAATATTTAAGTAACTCTCTATCAAAGCCTTCTTTTGTTATTTGCTAGTTAGCTAATTAATTATTTTATAAGTTAATTAAATGTGATTGATAAAAATTTATTTAATTTTTAAATATAAAACAAAACTTTAAGTATTGCTTTTTTGTAATTATTACCCTAATTTATATTTATCAAATATTAAGTCATTAATTCTACTAAAAGCTATGAGCTCCAGAAAATAAAATAAAACTCAAATTATAAAAACATAAACTACATATTTTTTTATCATTTCACTCAATTTGGTTTATATTATTAAAATCATCATAAGAAAAGTCTGATTAGGTGATCTTTTAAAATTTTAATTACAATTAAAAGTTATTTTTATTATTATTTACATCTTATTGAATAAACAAATGTAAGAATTAATAATTTAAATTTCAAAAATATTTTATCGATTTTCAGAAGATTAAAAAGTAATTTTTATAATTTAACTGATTCTGTATAAATTAGAATTTAAAAAAGGTATAAAATTATTTATTTATTTCATTAGTTATTTTTTTAGTTTATCAATAAATTGTATATGGATTTGTTAATTTTATGAATATAACAGATTTGTATTTTCAAATATTATCAATTTAATTTATTTGATTATTATATTAACACAGACGAATGTCTGGAATTTCTGAATGTTCATTATTTAATGCAGGTTCTTCTAAAAAAGGGGGGCTAAGCTTATTTTCAATATTTAAGAATATTTGTATTTCATTTTGAGTGATTTAATTTGATTTTTTTTGTTTTTATTATTTATTAGATTGGTTTTATGATTATTTAAATTCTTAATTTTATTACATAGATTCTGATTATTATTTATTGTATATGTCATATACTTAAGAAGAATTTCGTGATTCTCCAATTGCTTCAGAACTAGATAAGGATATATTTTATGGACTATGATTTTGTTTACAATTAAATATTGTTTGATTTTAAGTAATGTTACTTTTAGAAATACTTTGCCCTTCATTATTTTCATTTTCAGAGTCTTAAAAATTTGTTTTCTCTATATTTTTAACCGATTTTTAAGTTTTATAATTAACTAAAGAGCCTGTTAAGCTGTTTCTTCTATTGTTAAATTAGGGTGAAGAATTGATGTTTAAGTTATTCATATAAATATTTGAATTCATTCCTGAATTATTTGGCATTATTGAACTTCCTTTCATACTTTTAATCTCCTTATTTTCCTATTCAAATTTATCAACTAGTAATTTTACTACTTAATAATCTGCAGAAGTTATATTAACTGATGCTCTGCCTCCGTTTTTCTTCTTCTTTTTCATAATAATTTTATTCATGTTTTATCTTTACTGCTCAAGAAGTTTTTATCTCATTTTCTTTTTTTGGTTTGAGTCCATGTGAATTTGCTTTACAACATATTAGAAATTATTGAGTGGATAATAAAGTTCAAATACTTTAATCTTCTCAAACTCACCATAAAAAATATCAAAAAATAATTTCTTAATATGAAAATTTTATTAGTTATTCTAAGAATTATAAATATTCAACACATCCTCATATGTGTAAAACATAGATAATTTTCTTAGGTATATTTCATCTCTTTATTACTAGTCTTAATCCATATTCTACATACTTTAATTTTTATTATACAATTGATTATTAATGCTAGCATTTTAGAAATTATTAGCAATTTATTTATTTAATTTAGTCTACAAAGAAGTTTGTTCTTAATTATCTAAATCTGGACTTTACTAAAATATAAAGCTATTCATATTAGAGTACATCCCATTTTAATTTTAAATTAATTAATTAATGTGCTGCTACTGATTATTTTAAAAAACTTAGTTACAGTGGTTATTTAATTCTATGCTTTGACTCTATTACTTTAATAGAGAAATAGGTTATAATTTGTAATCTTTGGGAGAGTAGTTTTCTTAACAATCTGTCCCTTCTAAAATACTAGCTGAAATTTTTGATTATAATTTTCCAGCATTTCTTAAGTTATTCATTTTTTATGGTTACTATTCATCAATTTATTGGTAAGAGTGAAGACTTAGATTATTATTTTAAAATTGTTATTAAAATGTCAAAATTTTTTAGTTTCCGATGCTGTTATTTAATTTGTTAGCCCCAGATTTTCCATTTTTTGCTAAATCATTTTTTTATTTTGGTTAATTGCCTTCATTATTTTATTTATTACTAACCGTGTATAAATTCAGCAATGGATTTGCAGCTGCTTAATCTGAATTAGAGTGGAGGTATTACTGGTTTGATGGCTATAAATTAACTAAATTAGAACATATATCACACTTGCTTATATCAAAAGATAAATATTTCTCATTAAATTCTTCAACTAAATCTTCATTTACTTGCACATAATTATTCACTAATGCCATTATTTACTATGGAAATAATCTGTACCTCTATCTTTTTCTGTTAGTAATTTGAGTTGGGAATGACTCATTTCTTTACTAATTCTATGTTTTATTTAATATTGCAAATAATTTAGGCTTATTTGATACAAAATGAAGGTATGGGCAATACCCAATACGATGGTTTTCACTGTTACAACTTGCACACTTATGACTTATCTTAGAATAGTCATTTTAAAAAATCAATCTATCTTTTATATAACAAAACTATTCATAGTCAGTTGGAAAATTCTTAATAGTATTAATGAAATCACTCCTATTAATTTTAAGTAAAGTAGAGAAACTGAGACTTCTTACATTCATCTATCTATTCCCATCAGTAAAAAATTCTATTTCTCCAAAGCAATCTCCTTTTTTTAATCTTTTAATAACTTTGTAAGACTTTTAGATAGATCCCAAACCAGGTTATAAATGTTCAATAACCTCTAAATATACTTCTACTATTCCTTCCTGTACGAAGTAAACAGATCTATCAATATTTTCATCGTTTTCTGTATAAATAACCTCTAAAGGTGTAAAATTTATTTCTTGAATAATAGGAATAGTTGCATGTATAACTTCTTCACTAAAATTATTTTAAAAAATTAGGCTATCTCTAAGTATTATTTTGTTAGATTCGATAAGCAATTCATTCCTTAAATAATCAGGAAGCTATTTGATCATTTTTTCCTCTTCTTCTTAGTTAGTTTGCTAATTTCCCCTCCAAAAATATCTAGGTTAATTTTATTTAAAATAAACATGAGAACATATGTTAATTAAAATTGAAATAAACAAATTAACAAACAAACAATGTTAAATTTATTTTTTATAATTTTAAAGAAAATAAATTTACTCAAGATATTCTGTCACATTTTTAGAGAGTATTTGGTTTATTTGTTTCTTGTTTAGATAATTTTTTATAATGTACATCTTATCTAGAATTTCGTTTTCTGCTTTACTGAAATCTTACAATATGGCTTGAATTGTATTTATAGAAAAACCAAACACACCACAAGCAAACAATAAAATAACAATACAAAAAAACATCTCTATAGTAGACTGAGGCGATATATCTCCATAACCAACAGTTGTCATTGTGACACAACAAAAATAAAATGCAGACAAATATTATTTGTTCCAGCTATCACCTTCTAAATTTTTATAACTTAACCAATTTTAATCCTAATATTTTTGAGATAACCTTCCTGCTATTATCCAGAAGCAGGCACATCCATGAGCAATAAAAAGAATTTTAAAGAACAAGCTAAGTAATTTAAAAATGTTTCTCAAATTAGGAAAAAGAATATACTTTTACTAGGTATTATTAAATATCTTCTAAATTTCTTTCCATTTTATAATAATTGAAAGTGTAATAAATTAGTAATAGCCTAATTATTCGATAAAATTCAAAGCTAAGAATCTATATACAAGCAAAGGGATAAGAGACCAAAAATCAATTTTCATTTACTCATTAAAATATTTTCTCCAGATACTTACCCTATTTTTGTTAAGCACACCTCGCTTGTAAAAACCTGTATTGCAAAGAATCAAAATATTTAAAAAGTTAACAATAAGTATGATATCTAATATATTTTTAAGCGAAACATCAGATTCTTGCAAACTAAAACACACCATCACAGGTATAATAAAAAAGGAATAGATTAAAACCAAGCAAACACAAATATCCCAAAAGTATTTTTTACGGCTAGAAGGGTTTATAACAGGAATTTTTTACAAAAAAAAAATAAATTATTGAATTATCTTCTTAGCAAACACCCATTTTGAATCTCTACTTATTGCAAAAGAGAAAATAGAATTTTAAAAGAAATCTTTTTTCATATCAGTAAAATCTTAAGATTTATCATTAATTAGTGAGTACTAGTGAGTTTTCATATTTTTTAGCATCCTAGAGCGAGTACTGTTGACAAGTTTTTTTGCTGCCTACATCAGCCTTACTCTTTTTACTATATCAGACAACTGCATTGTGATTGTTTTTGATGATTAGATAACGTTACCTTGATTATTTGTTATTACAGATTGATTTTAATCCTAAATTGATATTATCCTTTACTTATCTAAGTAGCTTTCATCCTATTTATCTATTTCTCCAATTTTCGAAATGTCATTTAGGTCAAAATGCTATTGACGTGATTCAAATTTTGAGGTATTAAATTTTTCTTTCTTTCTAACTACTGCTTCGAAGGCACTACTTGATTGTAGCTGACTAGTATCAAAATTCATAAATATAATTTCTTATCAATGTAATTATTTATAGATTTTAATTAGCTAATACACTTATTATATTATTTTGATATCAAAATCTATTTAATATTTAAAAATCAAAATTATGATTAATCACAAGTAATATTTTAAAAATACTAAATTACTGATCAAACCTTCAATAACCAAAAGGCAAGCAAATAATAACTTAGTTGGATTAAATAACTGCATCAAAAGATACTTTTTAATAAAAAGTATTACACTAAAGTCAATCAATAACCACATAAATACTAAATAATAAAAATTTTAATTAAATAAATTAAAAAATATAATTTTATATACAAAAAAAGTAATTAAGCAGTGTGATTAATAAAGTAAAATAAGTATTTAAAAATAAAAAAATTAATTAATTATTAAAATAATTATTTTAATATATATGGTTTAAAGGGATAGATTATTTAGAATTTTTTTTAGGGTTTTTTTTAATTGTAATTAATTAATAAAATATAAATTTGATAAATTGACATATTAAATTGTATAAGTAACAATATAATATTTAAAAGAAGTTATTAATTTTGTATACATTTTACAATAATTTATATTGAAATATTTCTCATATTCAAAAGCTTGAATTTAGGGAAGATGCTTTAGAATTCGTAGAGCCGATAAGTTAATTATATTTTTGTTAAATATCTCCGAATTCTACAGGAGATTATTAAAATTAGTTATATTAATTTGATGGGCTGTAGCTCAATTATCTATGCTAAAATATTAATTTTTCATTTTATTTACTTTGTATTTCTTCTTACTTTCCTTATCTCCTTTTTTAGCTTATTTCCTCCTTGGCCTTTGCTGTTTTCTTATTTGAGTAGTATTCATTTTCGTAATTATCTGAATCATCTAGCTCGTTGTATTCTTAGTCTTCACTAGTATTGTTTTAATTTATAGCCTTTCTTTTTCTCTTATGATAGTTAGAAGGATCATCCAAATTTACAATTAAATTGTCATCATCTAGATATTGATTTTAACTTTATGCATATAATTCTTCTATATTAGCATGAATATTTGCTTCATTAGAATTTTTAAATCTTTTTTGAGTTAGAATATTAGCTGCACCTAATTTGCTCATCAGGCCACTTTGTGTATTATTTTTTTAACCATCTTAAATTGCTTAATAATCTAAAAGTTACTTTTAGTCTTCCTCATCTTCTATCATTTCATCGAAATTCATTTTCTAGTCTCTACCAACATTAATCTAGAGGGCATCCATTAATTCAAGTTTTCCTTACATTTTTAAATATAGCCACTGTGCTGTTTCGCTCATCAGACTGTGGAATATATCGTCCGCTATCTCTAGCTAAACATCTGTTTCTTCTTCTTCATAAATAAGCCATTTATGCTCGTTTTCTAAAACCTTTACATTTTATAATATCATGCTTTTCTAATGTTATTATTAAAAAATATTACCTCATTTTCAAGCATCTAAGCTAATCTGTCTTCTTTGATTTAATTTAAGTATTCGTTATTTTCTTCATCTTAACCAGGGGGGAATTCAATTTTTTCAGGAATAAACCCACACAGACATGAACCCCACTTCAAAGTTCTTCCTATAGCCATACCAAGAACTCTTTCTATATCCTGATCTTTAACCTTCAAATTTGCTAGTTTTTTTTAGTTTAATTTCCAAGGTAAAGGCTTTCCTCCTAAACTGAATGGTCTCAAAAAATCAAGAGCCTCATTAAAACAGTCAAAAATTAGCTTTAAGTTATATTTTTCAATGTCACTCTATGAATTAAAAATATCAATATCTTCATCTTCATCGTCATCATCTGCAAATTTTTCCTCTTACCCATCAAAATAGAGTTCTCTATTTTCCAATTTCTTTTATTTTCTGATCATTCTCTTTTATAAAAATATTGAAATAGTTTATTTATTTTTATTGTTTAAAATGAATTACTTGGTATAATTCATTAAAAGTTAAGAATATTTCTTCACTAACAACAGGCTTTTACACATGAATATATTTAACTAACGGATATATTGGAGCATTTGATGTTTCTGTGTCTTGAGGTTCTGTATTCTCGGTAATGTTAAATGTCTTTAAAAATTCAAGGGGATCAATACCAAGAGGTAAATTAATTCTTCCTAAAAATTCTTCTCTAAAGTTTTCTTTAAATATATTTATTATAAATAAATTTTTTAATTTCAAAATTTAATATTTAAAGATTACCTTTGATAAATTCTGCCAATGCAACCAAGAAATCTTTAATACTGTTAAGATTAGCACAGCTTTCAATAGGTATCACCTTTTCATCAAACTGATTTTTATATTCAATATTAGTGGGCATAACTTCGTTTATATTAGGATAAACATTATTTTCTGTATAATGAGCTTATTATTTTGTGCTTTCTTTCTGTTTTATCTCATAAATTTCTATAAAATTTATTTAAAAATTAGATATAAAAATATATTAAAATAATTGAAAGTACCATTATTAACTTCATCAATCAGATTTTCTATAATTTTGTCACTCACTATGTTCGCCTTTTATTCAATTGACATAAGCTGTGAATATAATTAATATACGATGGATTATAAATAAATGTCAAAAATTTTTATAAAACAAACAAAAAAATACTAAATAATTACCTCTTTATTTGGCTAGTCAGATATTTATTTTTATATGTTATTTTATTGTTGTTGTTTATTTTCTTAGCCATCTTAATCTTCAATATTTCCATTATTTTTCTCTTATTGTTGTAGTTTTTTAGCATTTTCATATTCAAATAAATGCTGGCTGAACTAGGCTTCAGAACTTTAAGACTATACAGAAGAGCTAGCACTTTCTAATGACATTAACCCAATTTTTTTCAAATCATTTTCACCTTTAAATTTTCATAAATAAACTTTTAAAAATAATTTTTTGGAAAATATTTAATTTACTCTGCTATGTTATAGTCATTTACGTTAATAATTTTTGTTTGGGATTAGGAGATATTTCAAAATTATTAATTTTGTTTTAGTCATTAATTTCTTTATCATCTTTTTTTGTTTAATTGATGTTGTTGTTCATATTATTGCTTTCATCACCATTTTTTATAATAGGTGTGTTTGATCTTGATTATTATGGAGATATTGAAGAAGATTCGTCAGGCAAAGAATTCTAGGGCTACAATTAGTTATTTTGGTTCTATTGAACTTAAAATCCATATAATTGTTATTTAGATAAACTTCTAGCAAAGTTATTTTTTATTTTTTTTAAATAATCGTTTATGTCGTCAAACTCAACTTCTTCACTATTATTTGTATTTAAAATATTGCCATCCCAACTAGTACAACTTTTACTTAGAACATAATTATTGATACTATTAGTTCCTTTTATTGAGCCATTTTGTAATAAACTCAATCCTTGATTCTATTAGTTAATATATTTTTTCGGTCTCTCATTTAATTAGTATTAATCAACTATTTTTATATTGCTTGGACTAATACAATTGTTTAAGCCAGCCCCGTTACCTTAACTGATTCCAGATAAATTTTTTAAATTATTAATATTGAGTATTTAAGAATTGTACTCTTTTCTTTCACTGAATACATCACCTTCACTAGCTTCACTGTCAGACCTTTATTTTGATGAATTCATTAAATAATCTTCAAAAAAAAAAAATTCATTTAATTTACCTAAAGGATAAAAGTCTACTGAATTTAATCTCATCTTAAGAATTAGCAAGTATTTTGTTATAATCAATTTTTTTAATCTATTTCATAAACTCTATCCCTCTCTTTGTTTACTTAATTGTCTCAGCAAATTTCCTCCATCCCCTTTCGATTTCATGATGATTTTTTTGTAACTTTTCAAGTTCTTTAAGAGCCCATTACTCACATTCTTTTAGTTTAGTTTGATACACTTAAAGTGGAATTTTCTATTTTACAAAAAAAGAATTATTTTTCTTAGCAAAAACCTAAAAAAATATTAAATTATTACCTTCTACTCAAACATTTAGTTTATAATTTAAAGTTTTGCTTCCTTTTGATAAGAAATTATTTCTTCCCTCATTTTTACCAACTCATCCATAGACTCTTTTTTGAGCATCAAACGATTAAATTTACCTGAAGCAAAGTCTCTTTAAGGTAATTTTTCAAAAATATAATCAGAGTAGTTTGGGATTTATTACTTTTTTTTATTTATTTTATTATTGCGATTTTCATTAAAATCTACACTCTAACTTAAGCCATTTATTTTATTTGAGTATTAATTCTTTGTTGATAAATCTTCTAAAAATAATAAAAGTATTTTTAATTTTATTTATTTTTGATAAATTTTATTATACCATATTAATCAGAAAGATTGGATTATGACAAAGCTGCAGCAATAGCTGATTAATCTCTCATAAGTTATTCTGAACCTAAAACATCCTGCATATTAGATAACTAATTATTTTTATCAATTCTCTTTAACACTCCTTAATTATTTTTACTCAGTGATTTTTATTTTTAAACAGGTGACGATTCAAATATTTCATTTTACTTGTTTTTGTTTATTTCTTTTTTATCTTATAACTATCTGCTAATATTATCTTTTATCTCTTTTTCACTCTATTTTTAAAAAAATAATAAATATTTTCTCTTATTTTAATATAAAATTTACTTTTAAAATTGGACTATTCTCCTAAATCGCCTTGTTTTCTTAGCTTTTTATCATCTATTAATATTAATCAATAAGCTAATTTTTGTTATTCTCATATTTTTAACATAGTTTTTTTATTTGCTCTGAGTCTATCTAGCTATTTGGTTAATTCTATAGTTTTTATAAGTCACTTATGAGTTCGCTCCATTTATTAATTTGGTCTTCCTTGATTTTCTGGTAGGTTTCAGAGTATTTATCTTTAATTAAATTTATATTTTGATTCAAGCCTTTTTATTTAAAAATAAAATTAAAAAATTTGAATATAATTTTGGAATAAATTCATTTACTAAAATTGTCATTTCTTTTTTAGGCATCTAAATCTTATATTAATTATTAATTCAAAGGAGTGTCATAGTACTAAGAATCTGTTATTTAATTTTCATCAGAAAGTTTCATGCCATTTTCAAATTATGTTTTTGAAGGATATTTGTTTTCAGTACTTTTTTCAAAGTCCTTCAAGGTAAGTAAACTCTTCGAAAATTCATTGATTTCTTACATTTATAATGTCTCATTTTTAAGCTTTTAGTCTTTTTAATTAAGATCTATTTACGATATTAAGTTTTCTAAATCATTTTTATGATAACTACTCTTATTTTAATTCTGTAATTAACTATCTGTATTTTAATTACTTTTACCTCCACTATTGTTTTTAAATTAATTTTCATCTCTGATACCTTCTTAATTTTTTTATGGGCTCGAATTCATTTTTTGTTATAAAGTTGTGTTTTTTAATGGAAAATTTTATTCTTTTGAATCTTTTTTCCTATTCAAATCAATTAAAATAGGTTAAATATTATCATCACTGCTGCCCATTGTTTCAACAATTTTAGCTGAGTTAAAATCATATCCTTATTTAATCTATTAATCGGCTCCTTATATTTTATTTTCATCAGCTTGACTTGTTTTATTTGTTTTTTCAATAATTTGTTAAATCTAGGTATCATCCCTATTATCGATATTACTTCCATTATTAGAACTTTGTATATTTTTAATTAAATCATCCTAAGAATTCTTATTTGCTTAATTAGCTTTTTAATGTTAGGACTAATCAGTGAGTACGCTTTTTTGATATTGATCATTTTCTTGGTTCTCATACATTTCTTCTAATTCTAAAAAGAAATCTCTTAGCAACTTCCTTGTGTAAAATCCTCTCCAAACTTTCTAAATATATATTGCTGCTATGTTATAATACATATACTCTTCTAGCTCTTCCTCATTCATTCCATAAGAATTACTATATCCTTCTTCTTGCTGTTGATACTAATAATTTAAAAATAAGTAAATAAACAAAATTATTTTATATTTTATACCTGATTTTCGTATTGAGCTTAGAACTCTGAAGATGCATCAGACTAAATAGTCGGAATCTCATCAACTAAATTAGTTCCCTTAGAAGGGCTGTCATAATTTTAGTTTGAAGTTAATTACTCGCTTTTACTCTTTTGTCTAACCTAGTTATTTTTTTAGTCACTTATATGTTCTTCATCTTAAGCATCCTTTTAGTTTTAAATAAATTGTTAATTTGCTTAGTTTTATGCCAACAACATATTTGTTTAATTTTGCTATTGCTGTTAATTGTTTCCTAAGTTATTTTCGCTTTTCTTTTGTACGACTTCAGCAACACTGCTATTTTTAATGCTACTCAGTTCTGTGAGTTTATATAAATCATATTTATTCATATTATTAGAATAATCCAATTTTGCTGACTCATCTTGCTACAAATATTTTTAATTAGCATTTGAGCTATTTTAGTTTGAGCTCTATTAATTTTAAATTGATAAAGAATAGTTTTTGTTGGTATTTTAATCTTTCTCAAAAGATTCATTTAGGAGCTTTTTTTAATCTTCAGATTTTTCATTTTCATGGAAATATTAATTAGGTATGTCATATGCATTTTAGTGAGGGCTAACTTCATCATAATCATCATTTTATTCGTATAATTCTTCTTCAATTTCTTATATTTTATCTCTGTTTGAATATTATTTATAAATTTATGCCTATGTGTCAATCTAGTTTTAGTATGACTATAATTACATATCTCTTTTCTGATTTATCTATTAATATTAGTTAATCTGCTTCTATTCTTTCAAATTTTTAAAAATCTATTTTTATATTCTTTGAGACAGTTTCGTGTATTATACATAAATTTAATTTTTTCTCTATTAAAATTCTTGATTTTACTAAGCATTGAACGACTAGTACAAATCTTATTACTATGAGTTGTATAGATAATCTTAATTAGAATTATGACCTAATTACTAGCTAATAACTAAATTTTAATTATCGTTTTGAATAATTTTATCTTCATCAATTTGGAATTACAGTCTTTAAGGTTTTAAAGTATTTACAAAATCGTTTAATTTATTTTGGCTAAACTAGTTCTAGTTATTATAGTATTGGTCAGAAACCTACTTTTAATAATTATATTCCATCTTTTAAGATTAACTTCTATTACTTTTTTTTCTATTTGATAAGCTTTTTTGATTGCTCGAAGAAGTTAGTTGCTTGTTTTAATTATTAATGATGCTTTCATCCTTCTGATTTGAAAATTATGAGCAGCTTTAATGAAAGTTTTGTAAAGATTAGTAATGTAAATTTTATTCTAATTAATCTCTCCAATTAAAATTTTTTTTATACTCTTCATACAAATAGTCAAAAACCTAATCTATATTATATTTTTATTTATTTATTAATTAGAAAAAATTTGTAAAAATTAAAAAACTGTACTTTAATTAAATAAAAAATATCATTTCTGTTTAAATTTATATGAAAATGTTCGAATTAAATTTCAAAAAAATTAATTTTATTTTAAATCTTTTATTTAAATATTACCATCTTGCTAGTTAAGATTGCTGCTGCTATTAGTATTATTATAAAACTAATCTGCTTTATTAGTATCTATTTGTGAAATATACAAAGAATTTTAATGCCCTAGATTATCAAACTAAGGAGCTGAAAATGTTAAACTCTTAAAATGTCTAGTTGAAGAACTTTTAGCTTTCTTAGAAGATGAATTTTATTGACCGTTGGACAAATTGTTTGAATTTTAATTAAAGCCTCCTTTGGAAGATTTACAAGAGCTTATCTATTCCTTAATTTCATTTTTCAAGATTTCTAGATTCAATCTAAGTTTTTGCTGCTTCATTAATTTATCTTTTTTTTTATTCTCTATATCTTAATCTATTTATTTCTTTTTTATAAACATAAACTCTTAGATTTGTTTCTTTTCTTCTGGAGAAAAAGCTCCTTTAATTTAAAAAAATATTAATTTCTTTTTAAAAGTATGCCAAATGAATATTTATTACTTTTACTTTCGTCTTTTAGATGAACTGATTAGGTGGCTCTCAACTTTTAATCTTTTTATAAATTAAAATATTTTCAAAATTTAGTTTACAATATAATGTGATAGTTTACTGTGAATTAAACTTTGAATTGCTGATTCATTTAATTAGTTTAAGCATTCTAATCCCAAATTAATACGTCTTTGTTTAGGATCTATTTTTTTTTGATTTTTTGGTGATTTTAGCATACTTCTAGATTATGTTTGATTTAATAATTAATTTTGCTTAGCTTAAACATTTTTAAAAAGAAGATTAATCTTCTTTGAAGCATCATTTTAATTTCTGTTAGTTAATAGATGCTACTAATTTTATTGCTTATTTTTTAGCGATGCTTGTTTTAAAGTATATCTTATTAAGTTTTTTTGTCTAATTGTTTCATTTTTTTATTTCAGCAAAGCTTTTTCAACCAATTTTTTTTATCTTTCTTCTTCTTCCTTCTTTTTTTTATCTTCAATTTCTTCTTTTTATTTAAAAATAAAATTAATTTTTAATTTATTTAAATCGTAAAATATATTTTGTTTAAACTTAAAATTAAAAATACTTTATATTTTAGTAGCATTTTCATTGATAAATAATAAAAACTCTTCTGATTTCTATCTTTTTAAGTCTTGATTATATACTTAAATTTGTGGCTAAGAAGAGTTTATTTAAAGGCTTGCAGTTTGTCTATGAGTTTTATGAAGAGGAGAGTTGTTTATATTTCCTTCATTATGATTTTTTGAAATATTAGATATAGAATTTTACTTTTTATGAGCTATATGTAAAGAATTATGACTTGAATTTTATGATATTTTTTTATTTACAGATACTTATCTATTTTAGCTTATTTATGAATTTTAATTAATAAAGCCGTTCCCATTTGAAACTGTCTTTTTATTCTTTGTCTTAGTATTAGTTTACATAACCAAGTCTGATGCTGAAGATTGTTGTGATAGTTTTTATTCATGATTTTAATTATTATTTGAGCTTATATAATTTTAATTTTAATAAACTGCTTGTAAATATTTATTTTACTGTTATATTTCATTAGTTAAGCTATTGCTAATTTTATTTTTACCATTTTGAAAATCTTATTAAATTGTTTGACTTTCTAAATTGTTTTTATTAATGTTTCCATTTGGGGTTGCTATCTCTTATATTAAATGTTATCCCTTTGAAGAAAGTGTCCCAGAAATCTCTAATTTAGCAATATGCTTAGGCGAGCTTAAGTTGCTATATAAAAAGAGCTAATTTTTTTTCTTTTTTTTAGATTCTTTGTTATTTAGTAACTTTTGTATATGTTTAATTTAAGTTGGTGAAAAGGTTTGTGAAGCACTCTTTCTATTCACTTTTTTGGTTTATTTCTAAATATTATTTTAATCTAACTACTATTGCTATTATTGCTATTGCTATTAAATTAGCTCTTAAGACTATAAAATCTACTCCATATTTTCTTTATTGCTTCCATCGTTTGTACTAATTTATTTAGAATTATTTGTAGTATTTGGACTTAAAGTTGAAGCCAACATTTCTTTTTTTACTTCTATTCTCTTTTTGATATCTTTTTTGTTTTTATCATATTTATTTGGACTTGTTGTCTTTTTATTACTTGTATTTTTGCTTTTGCTTTCCATTTAATTAGAGCTCATATGGTTTTCTACTTTGTCTTATTCTTCTCCAATATTTATTAATTTGTTCTGCTGCAATTCATATTCTGATAAAATAATTCCATTCTTTGTCCCTTCATTTGCATGCTATAATTAATATTCAGTTTAATTTTCTGGTATCTTCTTAACTGAACTAAAAAAATTCTATCCATATTTCACTAAGCTTTTTTAAGAGACTCTTGCTGACTCACATTTAATCATAGAAATACTATCTCCTACTTATATATCTGCTTGATTTTATTCTACTGGTAAATGCAAATTCCTGTTTGTAAACATACTAGATTCGGTATCTGAATTCATTCTTTTTCTTGAACTTTCATTCATTAAAGGAAGCCTTTCTAAATAATAAGCATTAAAAAATATTTAAACTCTAAAAATAAAACTTTTTTTTAAAAAATTTAATGTTTGGTAGACTAAAATACTTTTAAATATAATTTAAAGGTAAATGTTAGCTAATATAATTTAGAATTTTTAATATATTGTAAGTTTACATATTTGCAACATCTTTGTAGAGGAAGAGTTTGTATTAATGCTGATAGATTAGTTATCTAATCGCCTTCCCGTTATTACTTTTTACTAATTGCATTAAGGAGATGGTGAAGACTAGTTTCTAAAGTTTTAATTAATAGAATTCTAAGATTACAAGCTATTTTATGCATTTTATTTTAAAACGCTCTTCATAAAATTATTTCTTTAAGGCTAATTTGAAGTCACTTCTTAATTTTATAGTTTTTTTATTTACATTCTATTGTTTCCTGTACTTTATGGAAAGTATTCTTCACCTATTTATAGAATATATATAATATTTTTTATGTACTTTTTCCTAATTTTATAGTCTAATTAATTATATGTCCTATTACTTATATGGCTATTCATTTTTAAGAAAGGGGCAAAAGTCTAGAAAAAATAATTTGTTTTAAGGTTTGGAATAATGTTTTTATACTCCTTTGCTTACTTAATTTTCGTTATTTATCTTTCTTAATGTTAAATTTTCAATTAAAATAAATCAAATATTATCTTATTTTTAAATTTTGTATTTAATTAATAGATAGATTAAAAATCTTCATTATTACTAAATGAATATTTATTGATTCATAGATTTATTAATATAACATAAGAAATTTATATTGAGTTAAGTAATCTATAAAATTGTTTAGATTCAATAAATTTAAAGTCAGCTCAACTCATTCATCTCTTTTTGATTTTTAAAAATCAATTAATTAATCCTGTAAATTATTTTAAAAACAAATTTAGTGTTTTCATTTTCTACTTTGATTTTGACTTTAAATTATTGTGAAATTTTTTTGTTTGTTTGTTTCTTTTATTTGTTAAATTAAAATGACCTTTCTAAGAACAATTACAGTTCATTCTTTACAAAAAAGATATTGAAAAAAAAATATTTGAATGAAAAGTTAAAAAATATATTTAAATTATAAGTCTGTTAAAAATTAATGGTTAAATATTATTAAAATAAGTTTCAATTAAAAAATATTTTCACAAATATATTTATGTAAACAAAATAAATAGTTTCTAAATAAAACGTTTTAAATTTTCATCACTTAATTTTAAAAATAGAGTTTTTTTTGAAAATTAATTTAAACAAAGAGTTTATTTTATAATATTAATTTAAATACTTGCTAATTATTTAATTCAACCAATAAATAAATATTTAAGCGGTTAATTAAATTGCTTTTAGTATTTAATTAGGGTGCATATTTCTGATAATTTTCATCAATTAAAAATTTTAAGCAGTATTTACATGTATTTTCTTGAATTGATTATGCAAATCAAAGATTAATGTTTTGATGAATTGATAGATATATTGTTTATGATTGAATATTGTTGTTTTTGTTATTATTAAGTCTTTCTTATTAAATTAATTAATATAAGAAGGTGGAAGGAATAAACCTGATGCAAAAAAATTAAGATACATAGTTAAATCATAAAAAAATAAATAGAACTCAATATTTTATTCTTAAAAATTAGCCAAAACTAAGATATCGCTTTAAAAATAGGTCTTAAAAATAAACTAAGAAGAAAGAGCAACCTTAATAGGTGCAAAAAATTGAATCCATGAAGAATAAATTTGTCTATTTTGAGTGTGATATTGATGGGCATGAGAGTAATCTTCTAAACCAAGTTTGCATTGACACATAATGTAAAAATAGGGGCCTTATTTGTCTCTTTTGCTAATATCATAGTCATAAAGGGCATGAGATACGTCCTTTGAAAATATTTTTGAATGAGTACTAAGCTAATTATAAAAAGTTTGAGGAAAATGAGAATGTTTCAGCTGAAAAAGATAACAAAGCTATTGTGGAATCTTATTAAGGTATTCACGAATGTATAAGCGTTTTTCAGGGTATTATTAATGAATAAATCGACAAGCTAAAAGATGATTTGTAGAATTAGGTATTATATTTTTTTTTATTTATTTCTAGTTGTCATACTCTGTCTGAAGACAGCTTATTTTTTTTTAGATTTAAATTAAAAAAAGACTTCTTTTAGATACATCATTGGGTGATGGAAGTATGACATTTCAAAAAGCTCTATCTAATATTTTAGAAAATGAATGTGTAAGCGCTGAAGAATAAATTCAGTGCATATCTGTGCTAGTAAGCAAAGTTAATTCAGTTAACATGGCCATAGAATTTAAAGGGAAAAAGCAAATTTAAAATTAAAAGGAAATAAAATATAAAATTTAGGAAATTGAACAGTCCAAAAATAAAATAGCAGTATGCATGAGTAGAATCACTGATGAGCTCACTGTGATTACAAAATAAGTTTCCGATTTAGTATTTGATAGCATTGAAATATAGCAGTAGTTAGAAAAAGGTTAAATTAAACTACCATCCCCCGCAAAGCCTATTGAGTAGACGAGATCTGTTTTAAAGGCCGTACCATAAAAAATATCAAGTAAGCATTTGGTTTTGTTTAGGAAAAGAGAAAAATAAATTTTTATTTCATTTTATGCTTATAAAAAGTGTGTTTATTAATTTAATAAATTAATTTTTATAAAATTTACTAATTTACTATTTACTGTTTAACATAATGCTTAATTAAATTAGATAACAAAAAATAAATGGAAAAGATGTTTAAAGGTAATATGGCGGATGTCAAATTAGAAAATGATTCTTCGACGATGGATGACCTTTTCAGTAGTTAATGGAATGAGGAAGCTAGTTATAAGCATTCAAAAGGCTCTATGTTATAAGACACGAAAGCAATATTAAATGAAGATACTTATCATAAAGAATAAGAAAAAATTTCAGCAAATAAAGGCATAAGCAGACAATCATCTGAAGAAATTAGTGATTATGAATCTAACTCAGATAGGTAAACTTACAAATCACAATGAATTTAAAAAAAATATCAATTGATGAAATAATTTAGGAATAATGGAAAAAAAAATGGAAAGAAAAAAGAAGTAGAAAGATCTAAAAAAGCAGCTAAAAAGAAAGAAAAGAATGATATGATTGATGAAAAAGAAGAATATTAAGAAATCAAAAAGATTTAAGAAAACTTTTAAGTATAGGAGCAATAGAACAATGATTAGTTCTATGATTGTTCTCAAGCAAAATAATAAATGTTTTCAAGTAGTTATACATAACAAGAAATTAATTTAGATGTTAAAGTAGGTGTTAAATTTAAAGCCCATGAAGGAATAGCAAAAGATGTGATATTTTTAGATGAATAAAGATTGGCTACTTGTTCTTATGATAGATAGATTAAAATTTGGGACATAGTTGAAAAAAAATTAATTGCCACACTTAAGGGTCATGAAGGTAGAATCATGCAAATCAAATACTCTAAAAAACACAAGTAATAAATACTAATTATTTATTCTCATCACAATTTTTTATATTAATAAAAATATGATTTTAAGAATAAAAAGCATTAAATAATTTTAGATATTTTGTTTGGGTTTATGTACCAAACATTTTTTCAAAGAATTTAACTTAATGATACAATTTTTAAATGAAGACTCATAGGTAGTGCAGGGAGGGATAAATTAGCCATGCTTTGGCAGGATATAGCTTATTCATTATCTCAAAAGCTTAGTGGTCATAAGGATAGTATTATGTCAATAGAATTTATAGATGATAGAGACATAGTTGTTACAGGAGGAACAGATAAGCAAATAAAAATTTGGTGTGTTTTCAGTGGGAAATAAGTTTTCAAAGTTGATAACTGTGTAGATATAATATAATAAATAAAATATGATCCAATAAATGAACTTCTTTTTACTGGTGGTCATCAATAGTTAACTATATATATTTTTAAAGAGTTAAAATCTTTAGAAAATATCAAAAATCAAGACGAATATTTAAAGGCACGTAGCCAGATATCAGAAGTTACACACTTCTAAGGTCATGAAGATACTATAAATATGATCTAGCCTATCAAAGTAAAAGGAATATAGTATTTTATTACATGCAGTGATGATAAAACACTTAAGTTATGGGATTTCGATAAATTGGAAATGATACAACAAATTAAAGAAGATACAGAGATTAGTGCTTTCTGTTTTTTCGAAAAATTAGGTATATTGGTAATTTCAATGTGGGGATATTTAGGAGGAGGCAGAACAACCTTCTATGATTTCTCAGATTTTACTAAAATATAAGATGTAGAAAGTATAAATACTGGTACAACTTCTTTAAAAATGAATGAGTACCAAAATAAATTAGTTTCTTCTCACGAAAATGGTGAAATATAGCTTTACTATATGAATTATTGATTAATATTATTTAAATTAACTAAATATTATTTTATCAAATAAGAATAAATCTTTATATTAAAAAATTAACCTTGACTATTATTTATTTCGTTTTTAAAATTTAGATTAAAAAATATTTAATCATACAACCATTTATTTGAAAAAATTTATTTCCTAATTTTATATTAATAAAAATTTATTCAATATGATTATTATTTGTTTTAATTTTCATTAATATTATCTATTTAATACATTTTTTCTTGATTAAATAATTCTTTTTTGTCCTTTTAAAGAAATTATTTTTTCAAAAATTTTCTATCTAATTATTGTTTACAAAGTGTAATTAAAAAAAATTAGGTAAAACAAGATTAGAATAAATATTATATTTATTCAAATAAAATTTCATTTTTAATAGCGAATATCATGATAAAGGTGGACTTTGTTGGATTTATCCATGGATTTGGACTAGAGCTTGATAAAAAATCAAATCCAGGGTAAAATAAATTAGTTGGATTAACTAACAATGAACTTAAATGAATTATTATTGATTTATTTAATTTCTATTATTTTTCATTTTTAAGGAACTTAAGATAAATAGTAATATTAAACAAAAATAGAAAACTATATTTCTCATATTAACTAGAACCATAAACATTTTTGAAAAAATAAATGAATTTATGATTGTAAAATATTAACATATTTGCTAAATATTTATTTTTTACTAAATATAATAGATATAAGATAACTAAGATCCTCTTCAGAATAGGAGGGGATCTCCTAAAATACTTACTGTTTACTATTTTTTATGATTATTTTTCAAAATCATAAATGTTACAACATAATTTAAAGAATAAATTAAATTAATATTATCGTATTTTAATGATATTAATTGTGATTCCCACCTATATTCTTAAGTCTTGGTTATATAAATAACTATTATTCTATCTTAATAATTATTCTTTTAAGTAAAGAAATTTAATACTGGTGAAAAAAATAGATTATAAGGAAAAACTGTCAGACAATTATGTTTTTATATAAAATAAATAATATCTTTAATTAAATTTTATGCAAATATAGAAACTTTTTTTAATATAAATTTATTGATTATTCATTAATAGTAATAAATAAACCATGATCCAATCCATCAATACTTTAAAATTTTTAATTCATTTTATCAAAATATTTTTGATCCATGGCATTCACAACTAATAATATTTAACTTCTATAAGTACTGCAACGAATATTTTATGATTAATTAATAACTCTAAATATTTAAAGATATTCATAAAATTATCATAAATATTTACAAATACTACGATATCAAATACATTTTTTAATTATTTTTAAACGCAATATAATTTATTTACATTTTTTGTCATTACAAATTCATAAAATTTTATTCGATTATTTACAAAAATTAACTAACTGGTTATGTTTTTTAGTCAAAGATAGTTCTAATTTTAATTCTAAAAAAGTTTAGAGTAATTGAATGAAATGAATGCAAAATTAATTTTAATTTCTAAATAAATTGCTAAGTTTTAGAAAGAATAATATGAATTAGTTTATTTAAATTAAATACATTTTAATAAAATGAATAATATTGGCTATTAAGCTCTTTGTTAATCTAAATTTTAAAAAATAATTCCAAAAAAGAATTAAAATAATAATAACATTTGATTTTTTAATTAGTTTAAATTAAGCTTTAATTAAAATACATAGAAAATAGTACTACTTACATCAGATGTAGGTCAAAAACTTCTATATTAAAAAGTAATCGAAATATAGAAACTATTTGATATTCTATTTCCGATATCTATATGTAAGAAGATATAGAATCTTTCAACTCCCATACATAATTTGTATCTTTGTATTTATTGTTATGAAAATTTAAGTATTTATGTTTTTGTATATTGCAATCAATAAATTATTTTAAAAATAAATGATATTTCTTAATATTCTAGAAGACTATATTTTTAGCTTACAATTACAAATAATTAGAAAAATTCTAGAAAATATGTATGTATTAAGCAAATAGCCTACAAAAAAGCTTTATCATATATTAATTGTTTACAATTTAATTAATGAATAATTTAATTAATGAATAATTATAATTTCATCAAAGTTATGTCATTTATAAAAATTTAACTTGATGTAATTCAAAAATATACTGTTTTTCAATTTTCATATGGTCCTATAAAAAATTAATCTTTTTGGAATGTTTCTGGAATCAAATAAATAAGTAAAATATATGTGAATTTTAACTGTGCTTTATTTAGATTAGATGAATTAATTAAATTAGAATAGAACTTTTCTAGAAATAATGAATTGTAATCTACAAAAAAAAAAAATAGTTCAACACTTTAAATCACGATACATTTAGCAGTTAATCAAAAATTATAATAAATTAAAAGTTATAAATTAAATAACACTTATAAAGCAAATAAAAAATTTAATAATAAAGCAATTTAAAAATGAGAGCATTGATTATGGAATAATTCAAGCAACCTAAGTTTGCTAAGAACTTCCCTATTCCTGAACCAAAAGAAGGTTAAGTACTTATCAAAGTAGAAGCAGCCCCTATCAACCCTTCTGATTTATCATACATTAATGGTCAATATGGTAAAGAAGCTAAATTCCCTGTAGTTTTAGGTTTTGAAGGATCAGGTACTATCGTCAAAAGTGGAGGTAATTAATTTATATTTACTAAACATAATAATACATTCTATCTTAGAAAGTAGAATTTTTATTTGCTGAATAGTCAAAATAAAATTTACAAAATAGTGTCTTATCTAGTTTAGATAACCATTTTATAAGATTTCAATAATTAAGCACTGACTCAAATTTTCTTTTAAATTATTTATAATAACCTATTCTATTTTCTATTAAAAGGTGGTGCTTATGCAGACTCTTTGGTAAATAAAAGAGTAGCTTTTTCAGCTGAAACTGGCTCTTATGCTGAATTCTGTTTAGCTAAGGCTACTTCTGTCGTTCCAATTTCAGACAACCTTACTTTTAGCTAGGCTTCCTGCAGTTTTGTTAACCCATTAACTTGTGTAGCTTTCTTAGAAATTGTTAAGGAAGCTGGTGTTAAAGCTATTGTTCACTCTGCTGCTGCCTCAGCTTTAGGAAAAATGGTTGTTAGATATTTCTAACAAAATGGAATAAAAGTAATTAACTTGGTTAGAAGATAAGAATAAGTAGACACCCTCAAAGCAATCGGTGCAGAATATGTCTTAAATCAAACAGATCCCAACTTCAATCAAGAATTATCCAAATTATCAGAAGAGTTATAAGCCACCATTTTCTTTGATGCCGTTGCAGGTAATTTGATAGATTTTATTTATATTAATAAGATATATAATTATTTTTTTAAAATAAAAAGGCACTACTACAGCTGATGTTGTTTTCTAAATGCCAAGAGGCTCTACCGTTTATGTTTATGGTGGTCTCTCTGGATAGGAATCATTGATAGGACCTAGAGTTCTTATCTTTAAGGATGCTACAGTGAAAGGCTTCTGGCTATCCCCCTGGTTAGGTAAGTTGAAACTTGAATAAATAGTTTCATTAGTTAAAAAAGTCTAAACACTCCTCACTTCTGATCTTAAAACAGATATTGCTGGTGAAGAAAAGCTTGAAAACTTTAGCTAAGCCTTAGAAAAATACGCTAAAAATATGTCTGCAGGCAAAATTCTTTTTAGACCTACCTTGCTTTGAGCTTATTAAATAAGCAAAATAGTAACAAAATGAATCTATAAAATTAACTATTAAAAATACTAACACTATTTTTTAACACTTAAATTATTTATTCATTCATACATGTTTTTTTGTTTGTTTGCTTGCTATTTTACTAATATATTTTTTTAGATAATAAAATCCTTCAATCTATATTTATGTTAATTAACTTATAATTTAGTACTAAAATTGTGCTATTTACTTAGTAAGATCTTACCAAAGATATTAAATAATAAAATATCTAAACTTTTTTCAAGGAATAAAGATGTGAAAATATAAAAAATTATAAAAGATAGTAATTTGTTCGGATGGTTTTGGATAAATTAAATATTTATTTACTTTTATTTACAAAATTCATCAGAAATAATTTATTATTTTAATCAAGATTCAGAATTTTGTATCTTATGCTTGATTATTGAAGTGTATCTTCGAAAATTCATGTAAAATATTTAATTTTAAAAAAATTATTAATATTGAAAAAAAGAAAATACACCACAAAAGTTATTAGATTAAATGGAAAATCAAAAGATGAAAGCTTTAGTTTTAGAGGAGTTCGGCTAACCTCTAGTTTTAAAGGAAATAGATATCCCATAACCCAACTAAGGTGAAGTTCTAGTCAGAGTTGAATCTACTCCTATTAATCCTTCTGATGCTTCTTTCATGAAGGGATCTTATTCTAGCTCAAGAAAAGCTCCCTGTGTTCCTGGCTTTGAAGGATCTGGTGTAGTTGTAAAAAGTGGCGGTAAAAATTAAACTTAATTTTAAGTTTTTAAAGTAAATTTTAATTTTAAAAAGGTGGTGAAGTTGCTGATAGTTTATTAAATAAAAGAGTTGCATTCACCGCAGGAGGATAAAATGGAACTTTTGCTCAGTATGCTACTGCAAATGCTAATTTTGTTTTACCCATTGAAGATGATGTAACATTCAATTAAGCCGCTTCTTCATTTGTCAACCCTCTTACTGTAATAGCTATGCTTGAAACAGTTTAGTAAGCTAATGCAAAAGCTGTTGTTCAATCTGCTGCTGCTTCTGCTTTAGGAAGAATGATGGTTAGATATTTTAAGTAACATGGAATAGAAGTTATCAACATTGTAAGAAGACCTGAACAAATTTAAATTCTTAAAAATGAAGGCGCTAATATAGTCTTAAACTCAAATTAAGAAGATTTCTTACCTACTTTAAAAGCTCACGCCATTGAGTTAAATGCTACTGTTTTCTTTGATGCTGTTGCAGGACCTTTAACAGGATAAGTTTTGTCAAGTATGCCTAACGGTTCTACAGCTTACGTGTATGGAGCACTTTCTTTATAAGAAGCTTCTATTTCACCAACTTAATTGATTTTTAGAGATTAATCAATTAAGGGTTTATGGCTCACTAAATGGCTCACAACCATCTCTAAAGAGCAATTAAAGACAGCTATATTAAAATTATAAAAGCTTATCAAGACTGAATTAAGAACAGAAATCGCTTAAGAATGTTCTCTCCAAGAAGGATCTTAAGCAGTTAGATAATATATCAAGAATATGTCTTCAGGAAAAATATTATTTAAGCCATAACTTTAATGAAATTTGTTTATATTTTGATGTATATCATAAAAGTTTTAACAATTTTAAAATGAATATATTTTATTTTATTTATTTATTTGGTTTTTTCTTTAAAAATAATAAATAGTTAATTGTATCAAATTAATTTTCATCAAAAAAAATATTGTTTTGATTTTTAAATCTTAAAATTTTTATTTTTTGATAAAAAGAAATATAATTAATTTATTTAATATAATAATAATTTTAAAAGATATTATTACTTAAGTATTTAATTTTGTAATCCTTAATCAATAATATTTAGAGTTACTGAATATTTAATATTTTTAGATTAAATAATAAATAATTTTTGTTCTGGAAAGAATTATTCCTATATAGATTTTTGATGCTTAAAATCAAGATCTAAGACTGTATTTTTTTTACATGAATTGGAGTAATTTGAAAATTATAAAACTAGATATTTTATTTTAGTTTACTTATTTTAAATGATATTAGTTGTTTGAAATATTAATAAAAAAGTATTTTTAATATTGTTTCTATTTTAAAATATTTTTAAAAAAGAAATAAAATTAATAATAACAAGATTTTTATAGATCAGATAATCTTATATTCATGTGATATTCATATGTTTAATTAAATAACAACTAAAAACTTTAAAATGTAATTTCCAATTCCTTAAAACTAAAATTAATAGTATTTTTTTAGATTAGAATTGCTTAGTATTTTATTTAATTCACTCATCAATATATTTCTTTTTAATCTCGAAAATATCTCGATTAGTTATTTTCATTCAAAATAATAATCCATTTTTGTTCTGGAAAAAAATAAGAATAAAATAAAATAAATAGTCTATTCTAAATTTAAAATAATATACTTCAACTTTTTATATAGAATATATTTAAGAGTAGTTGAATAATTAGGAATTCAGTATTAAAATGAAAAAATACATCATGAAAATTATGTTTAAAGTATGATACCTAATTTATTATTTATTAAGACCTTATTGAATATATAAATTTATTTTTGCTTAGGAAAAAATATTTGTTTGTTTAATATAATAAATTTTTGCTATTGTATATTTAGTTGAAACTCTAGAAATGTTGATCTAAATTTCATTATTTTTAAATTTGTTCATTAACTAACTTTTTATAAATAAATAAATTGTTTTTTTAATAACTTTTAAAAGTTAGTTAGTTTTATAAGAGTTAAATATAAATCAGCACAATATTTACTATAAGATAGATTTATATAATTTCTTCTTTAAAGGAATTCATTTTTGATTTTGTTAATTTATTTTTTTCTCAAGTTTATTTAATTTTTTTCTCGAAAAAATAGAGATATTATTAAGAAAAAATAAAATTTCCATTTCATATACTTTCAAAAATTTATCAATTTCAAAATAATATATTAGTGTAATCTACCTTTCTGGAATACAGATTTAATCATTCTTGTAACAATCTAGATATTTTTTCTTTGCTAAATAATAATGGTGGAGGGAAAAAAATACAGTACAATTTCACATTTTTGTTATTCGGTTAATTATTTGATATATAATTTTGTAATAAATATTTAATTTGATTAGAATATTTTTTTCTTTAGCAATAAATCACTTAAAATTTAATGAAGGTCTATTTTGGGAGTAATTTAAATCTTTGGCTTTATTTACTAAAAAAATTTATAATAAAAATAATAATAATAAATTGAATATAAATAAAAACTAATAAAAAAATCCTTTAAAATTATAATGGAAAATTCATAAATGAAGTGCCTATCTTTAGAATAATTTGGCTAACCTTTAGCTTTTAAACAGGTAGATATACCTCAACCAGGTCAAGGAGAGGTTTTGATAAAAGTAGAAGCTTCTCCAATTAACCCTTCTGATTTGCTCTTCTTAGCTGGTAAATATGCTACCTTAGGATTTGTACCTCCTTATATTCCTGGATTTGAAGGATCTGGCCTTGTAATTAAAAGTGGTGGTAAAAATAAAATATATTTTATTTAAAAATTTTTATATTTTACAGATTCATAATTATAATTAAATTTAAATAATTATTATTTGTAAAACAAACATTTTAGAATATATTTTTTATTTAACAATTATTATTAAAAAATTTCAATATTATCTAAAAATTATTTTTATTCAAATATTAATAATAGGTGGTCAAGAAGCTGATTATTTACTAAATAAAAGAGTTGCATTCTTTCGTTGCAGAGGTGCTTATGCCTAATACACTATATCTAATTCTCAGACTTGTTTGATTATTGATGATGATATTACATTTAACTAAGCAGCTTCTTCATTTATTAATCCTTTAACTGTCGTTGGCATGCTTGAGACTGTAAAGGAAGCTAAAGTAAAAACTGTAGTTCATTCTGCAGCTGCATCTGCATTAGGAAGAATGATGGTCAGATATTTCAAAAATAATGGTATTGAAGTTATCAATATTGTTAGGAGACAAGATTAAGTAGAAATTCTTAAAAAAGAAGGAGCTACCATCATCCTCAATTAAAATGATCAAGATTTTTACCCTCAACTTAAAAAATTAACTACTGATCTGAATGCTAAGATTTTCTTTGATGCAATAGCAGGATCATTCACTGGTGAAATTCTTTCCTAAATGCCAAATAACTCTACAGCATATGTATATGGTCTTCTTTCTGGAGAAAACTCCTCTGTTTCACCAACTGAATTAATTTTTAGAGATCAATCTGTAAAAGGATTTTCATTAAATACTTGGTTGCAATCAATAACCCCTGAGTTAAAAAGATAATCATTAGAAAAACTCCAGAAATTAATTAAGACCGATTTAAAATCGGAAATATCAAAAGAATATCCTCTTCAAGATGGACAGTAAGCTATTGAATATTATTCTAAAAATATGTCTTCAGGGAAAGTCTTAATTAAGCCTTAATATTGAAAAATATCTTATACAAATAGATTAATAATAATTGCATTTTTTATGTAATAAATTTTTTCATATTAGTAATTTAGCAAAAATTAAATTTATAAATCTTTGAATTTCAAAAAAAGAAAAATGCTTTTATGAATCATATAATTTTATAATAAATAAAAATTAATTCAATTAACATAATAGATAAAAATATTACTAAACTAGATGAGAAATAAAAATTAGATATAAAATGTAGAAAATTTATCAAAAATTACATATGAAATTAAAGATTGAAAAAATTTTTTAAACTTTATCAGTATAGAAGTATTTCTAAATGTTTTTATTTCATATTTCTCTAAAATCTAAAAGAAAAAAAAAATATATTAATTTGAAAATAACAAAGCAACCATTTTAGTTGACTTAAAATTGTTTATTTTCTTAGCACATATTTATATTTTTTTATATCAAATATAAAAGCTGCAGATATATGTTGAAGGTTAAAATTTTTTAGTATCTTCATGTAAATTTTTAATAATTTATAAAAATTTTTCAAAGATTTCAACAATTTTTCAAAAACCAACTTAGATTTTGAAAATTAATCTAAATATTTTTACACTTAAAAATTGTCTAAATTTATTTTAATTAAATAGCATAGTCTATCCAAAATTAAAAAGGCATTTTACTCTATTGCACTTGTTGATAATCCTCTAAAATTTTCTTTTAAAATTTGATTAATTTTTAATTAATATTTGACTATTTTTTAAAAGGCAAATAATTTATAAATATATTTTAAAATAGTAGTTTTAAATGATTTAAATATAAATTAGCTAAATATTTATTAATAAATTGTATTGGCATTTCTTAAAAATTAATTTCTTTAATTTTTCTTTTTAATTTCTTATTTTACTTTTATATTTTCTAGAAAAACCATAGATCATTAGGAAGACAATGTAAGATTTAATTTTACATAATTTCAAAGAAAAAATTAATTAATTGGAAAGTAATATTTCACTGTAATCTAAAATATGGAAAAGCATTTTCATTTAGACGTTTTTGTTGTTATCCTGAAAATTTGAATATAGTAAATATTATTGTATGTCATAAATTGATATATAATTTCTAAATTTTGCTTTTAGATGAGTTATTTGTTCTCTCGTTTGTTAAAAATATTTTTATTTTTTGACTTAATGCTTATTTTAAAAACTTTTTGTTTTGTTTTGTAAATAATTTACAGTTTAAAAATACATTGTAGTGGTTTTTAAGTGTAATTAAAATCTTAAATATTATAAGTCAAGATTTTAATAATCAATATAATATTTATAAATTTAATTGATACAAGTACAAAAAAAAAAATAATCTTTATAACTAAAATGGAAAATTCATAGATGAAGTGCTTATCTTTAGAATAATTTGGCTAACCTTTGACTTTTAAACAAGTAGATATACCTCAACCAGGTTAAGGAGAGGTTTTGATATAAGTAGAAGCTTCCCCAATTAACCCTTCTGATTTGCTCTTCTTAAATGGTAAATATGCTAATTCAGGATTCATACCTCCTTGCATTCCTGGATTTGAAGGATCTGGCGTTGTAATTAAAAGCGGTGGTAAAATACATTTTGTTTTATTTAAAAAAATTATTTTTTTAAATTAAACTAATTTTAGAATAGCAATTATTATTCATAGATTTTAAAATTATTTACAAACTATTTGAATTCTGATATTAATTAATTAATCTAAAAATAGGAGGAGAAGAAGCTGATAGTTTATTAAATAAAAGAGTCGCTTTCATTTTCTGTAAAGGTGCTTATGCCTAATACACTGTAGCTAATTCTCAGACTTGTTTGCTAATTGATGATGATGTCACATTTAACTAAGCAGCTTCTTCATTTGTTAATCCTTTAACTGTCGTTGGTATGCTAGAAGTTGTGAAAGAAGCTAAGGTAAAAACTGTAGTTCATTCTGCCGCTGCATCTGCATTAGGAAGAATGATGGTCAGATATTTCAAAAATAATGGTGTTGAAGTTATCAATATCGTAAGGAGACAAGAGTAAGTAGAAATTCTTTAAAAAGAAGGAGCTACCATCATCCTCAACTAAAATGATTAAGATTTCCTCCCTCAACTAAAGAAAATAACAACTGAATTAAATGCTACTATCTTCTTTGATGCAATAGCAGGATCTTTCACTGGTGAAGTTCTTTCCTAAATGCCAAATAACTCTACAGCATATGTTTATGGTCTTCTTTCTGGAGAAAAATCCTCTGTTTCACCAGCTGAATTAATTTTTAGAAATTAGTTTGTAAAAGGATTTTTATTAGGTACTTGGTTACAATCAATAACCCCTGAGTTGAAAAAATAATCTATAGAAAAACTCCAGAAATTAATTAAGACTGATTTAAAATCAGAAATATCTAAAGAATATTCTCTTCAAGATGGACAGTAAGCTATTGAATATTATTCTAAAAATATGTCTTAAGGAAAAGTCTTAATTAAGCCACAATAGTGAAAAAATACTTAAATTAATAAGTTTTAAGATTATATTTTTTAATCTAGTATAATTTTTCGTGTAAAACAATTTATAAATATTAAAAAATTTATAAAAATTTAAATTCTAATTTTTTAATTAATAAATTTTATGTTTAAAAATTAATGGAATAAAAATAAAAGATTTAGATTATTTGATTGAATTTTTTATTTAATTTTTATTAATATAGAGTTTATTAATTATAAAATTACTAGATATATTAGAATATTTCCTTATGACGCTTGTTTAATTTAGTTCTTTGTTGATTTAGAAATATAAATATTTATTTTAATCATAAACTTAATAAAAAAACCATGTAAAGCTGTATGTAAAAGAAATTATATTCTTGAATTAAAATAAAAAGATATGAATTACCAATATAATATTTAAAATATCAATTTATTAATTAATTTAAGAAAATAAAAACAAAAATAAATTTTTGGTTGAAAAATAAATAATAAACTATTCAATGAAGTGCTTAATTTTAGAATAATTTGGTTAGCCTGTTGCTTTTAAATAAGCAGATATACCTTAGCCAGGTTAAGGAGAAGTTTTAATCTAAGTTGAATCATCTCCTATAAATCCTTCTGACTTAATTTTCATGAGTGGTAAATATCTTAATTCAGCATTAAAGCCTCCTTGCATTCCTGGATTTGAAGGATCTGGCCTTGTAGTTAAAAGCGGTGGTAAAAACAAATTTCATTTTATATTAAATTTAAAATATTAACATGAGTAAATAATGATATTAAACTTTTATTGAAAATTTAAACATTAATAGCACACTATTTCAATCAAAAATTTACTTATTTATTTTAAATAGGTGGAGAAGAAGCTGATAGTTTATTAAATAAAAGAATTGCATTCTTTCGCTGCAGAGGTGCTTATGCCTAATATACTGTAGCTAATACTCAGACTTGTTTGCTTATTGATGATGATGTTACGTTTAATTAAGCCGCTTCTTCATTTATTAATCCTTTAACTGTTGTAGGCATGCTTGAAGTTGTAAAGGAAGCTAAAGTAAAAACAGTAGTTCATTCTGCAGCTGCATCTGCATTAGGAAGAATGATGGTCAGATATTTTAAGAACAATGGTATTGAAGTTATAAATATAGTTAGAAGATAAGAATAAGTAGAAATACTTAAGCAATAAGGAGCTACTATAATCCTCAACTAAAGTGATTAGGATTTCCTACCCTAACTAAAGAAAATAACAACTGAATTAAATGCTACTATTTTCTTTGATGCAATAGCAGGATCTTTCACTGGTGAAGTTCTTTCCTAAATGCCAAATAACTCTACAGCATATGTTTATGGTCTTCTTTGTGGGCAAGACTCTTCTGTTTCACCAACTGAATTAATTTTTAGAAATCAAACTGTAAAAGGATTTTTATTGGGTAATTGGTTATAATCAATAAGCCCTGAGCTTAAAAAATAATCTTTAGAAAAACTCCAGAAATTAATTAAGACTGATTTAAAATCAGAAATATCAAAAGAATATTCTCTTCAAGACGGATAGTAAGCTATTGAGTATTATTCTAAAAATATGTCTTAAGGAAAGGTTTTAATCAAGCCTTAATAGTGAAAAATTCTTCTAATAAATATGGTTATAAAATATTTATTTTTTTAACTTTGCTTACAAATAAAAAATATTTTAATAATTACTTAAAATAATATAAACATTGTTAATATAAATTTTGTTTTTTTTTGTAATTTGAATTATTTTTAATTGATAAAATAATATTATCCTTTTTAAAATAAATTTCTCAAAACTTATTTAATTAAAACAAAAACAGTTAATAACTATGAAGATTTTTAAATTTAGTATTTAATTATTATTAACTTAATTATGAGTTGTAGAAAATTTAAATGGAATAAAAAATAAGTTACATTATAAATATTTAATGAATTCCCAACAAAACAAATATAATTTTGTAACTTGGAAAAGGAAAATCCAATTTTATAATAATTTGATTAAAACAATATTTATCTAATTAATAAGCTCTAAGGTAAAATATTAATAAAAATGGAAAACAAATATATGAAATGCTTATATCTTGAACAATTTGATTAATCCCTTATTTTAAAACAATTACCTATTCCTAATCCCAAATAAGGTGAGATTTTAATTAGAGTAGAAGCAACACCTATTAATCCTTCTGACATACTTATGATGTAAGGTGGAGTTTATCCAACTTAATACAAAAATGTACCCTTTATTCCCGGAATTGAAGCCTCTGGTGTAGTTGTTTAAAGTGGAGGTAAGTTTTTTCTTAAAAAAAATGAAAAAATGAAATTTAATTTTTGAAAGGTGGAGAATTAGCTGACAGTTTAGTCAATTAGAGAATAGCTTTTTTTGGTGGTAGTGGAACCTATGCTTAATATGCAGTTATTAATGCTTAATAATGTCTATTAATAGATGATGATGTTAGCTTCAATTAAGCTGCAACATCTTTTGTTAATCCTCTGACAGTAATTGGTATGCTATAAGTAGTGAATGAAGCTAAAGTAAAAGCAGTAGTTAATTCTGCTGCTGCTTCAGCTTTGGGAAGAATGATGGTTAGATATTTCAAAAATAATGGTGTTGAAGTTATCAATATCGTTAGAAGATAAGAATAGGCTGATATTCTTAAATAGGAAGGTGCCACAATAATCCTTAATTAAACAAATGAAGACTTTTTAGTCTCTTTAGAAAAAATAACCTCACAATTAAATGCTACTATTTTTTTCGATGCCATAGCCGGCTCTTTCACAGGATAAGTACTTTCAAGAATGCCAGATAACTCTACTGCATATGTATATGGACTTCTTTCTGGAAATGATTGTTCAATATCGCCAAGAGAATTAATTTTTAAAAACCAAAGAATTAAAGGATTTGGAATGTCTAGCTGGTTCAGTAGTATTAGTCCAGAATTATAAAAAACTTCTCTATTTAAGCTTAAAAAATTAATTAAGAGCGAGCTAAGAACAGAAATAGCTAGTGAATAATCACTTGAATAGGGATAAAGTGCTATTCAGTAATATCTTGACAATATGTCTTCTGGGAAAATCATATTAAAACCTTAATTATGAAATAAAATTTTAACTATAATATATAGTAAATATGTTTTTGACTTTTTTTTAGGCTTAATGTCTTTATAATATAAAATATTTTCTTTAATTAAAAACTATAAATATAATTGTTGGTTTTATGCAAAGTTATCAATATGATTAATTAAGTATGAGAAATATAATTTATAAAATTAGTTATGATTTTTCATCAGTGTAAGAAAAATTTTAGAAGTCTCTTAAGAGAATATTTTGAGAAAGTTTGAAGAACTTTTTATCAGATTTTAGAACAATTATTAAAAATGATTAGTAAAAGTTAATCGAAATGTTTTTATTTTATATTTGAAAATGACACACATCATGATATTAAAAAATGCAAAATAAACTGAAGTAAGTTTAATCATCAGTACAATTTAATTAAATACTTTTTATTAATTTACAAATAAAATAAATTTCAAAAATGTAACCAAATTTCTAGAAACTTTAAAATATAAATAATTAAACATCTTACATATACTCTTTAAAATATCTTTTCTTTAGGTTTTCTTTTATTTTTCTTTGTATGATAATTTAATTAAAATTATAAGTATTAACACAAAAAAATATTTATATTTAATAAGGAATAAACTTGACAATGCTTATTTTAATTTAAAAAACTGTAAAAAGTTCAAATTAAACAATATTTTTCTGATTAAATTTATTAAAAATAAACTGTATTGAGAATCTTTACATAGCCTAGTTACTTAGATATTAATATTAAATTAATTTTTATCAGTATTTTTTAAAAAATAAATAATTGATTACTAGCTATTTTTATTGATGAATATTGCTTGTTTTATGATAAAAATACTGATTTATACTGTAAATTTCTTTGGAACATTGGTATTTTCAAATAAATATTTTACTTTTTAATGAATAATTCATTTTATTGACCTACAAAAGAAGATTGAACAACCAAAAAAAAGCTCTTTGCAATTATAAAAAATTAAATAAAATTTTGATAGGAATACTTAAATTTCAAATGAAAAATAATAAATAAAATAATAAATTTGCATTTTTATTTCATAAAAAAAATATTATTGAACACAATTTAAAATAAAAAATAAAAAATTTATTAATGACTGACTTTTAAAAAATTAAAATTTTAAAATATTTGCTTAGTTAATTACCTTTTATTTAATTTATTTAATTTAGAAGTTTTAAAGAACTATTCCAAATTCTTTTGGAAAAACTCATATTGTAACTAAAACGAAAAATATAAATGACTAATTAAAATAATCAAAATTAGTAGAAACTTCTTCAACTCTTTTGTGAACTCAAATCAAAGTAATTAAAAATGTTTATAAATAGAAAATATTATGTATCTTATTAATGACTTAATATACGCCACTCTTAAATTATTTTTATAATTTTAAAAATTGAAAAAATACTTTGTTTAAAAAGATATAATTAATAATTAAAAAGTTATCACATTGTTAAATAAAGTTAAATTAAAAGAAAGTTTTTGCAAAATGGAACAATAAAAGAAAACTATGAAGGCACTAGTCTTAGAAGAACCTAAAAAGCCTATTGTATTTAAAGAAATTGAAATACCTACACCAAAAAGTGGCTAAGTATTAGTTAAAGTTGAATCTGCCCCTATTAATCCATCTGATCTTGCCTTCTTATAAGGTCATTATTCATCTAATAAAGGATACCCCTGCGTCCCAGGCTTTGAAGGATCAGGTGTTGTTATATCAAGTGGAGGTATATAAAGATATTTTTTAAAAATTTTTAGCAATTAAAATTAACTTATTATAACTCATTTTGAAAATGAACTAAGTACAAATATAATTTTAAAATATCTAGGCGGAATATTAGGATGGAGCTTAGTAGGCAAAAGAGTTGCTATTGCTGCTTAAACACAATGGGGTACTTATGCAGAGTACTGTGTAGCCGATGCTAATAGCGTTTTACCTCTTCCTGATGAAGTTAGTTTTAATTAAGGTGCTTGTACTTTTGTTAATCCACTTACCGTCATAGCAATGTTACAAATTGTATAAGAAGCAAATGTTAAAACTGTTGTTCATTCAGCAGCTGCATCTGCTTTAGGTAAAATGATGGTAAGATATTTCTAGGATAATGGAGTATAAGTAATTAATGTAGTTAGAAGAGCAGAGCAAGTAGAAATATTAAAAAAAGAAGGAGCATAACATATTCTTGATTCTACCTAAGAAGATTTCGATGAAAAACTTAAGGCTCTTTGCACAAGCTTAAATGCTACTATATTCTTCGATGCTGTTGCAGGTATTTTAACAGTTTAATTAATCAGCCAACGAAGTATTACAATTATTTTATCAATTAGGTGAATTAACTGGAAGAGTTTTGAGATGCATGCCAAATAAGTCTACTGTTTATGTTTATGGAGGTCTTTCTCTTTCAGGAAGCGTTTTAGACCCATCTGATCTTATATTTAGAAAATAAACAGTAACAGGTTTCTGGCTTACTGAATGGCTTAAGAATAAGAACATTGTGTCATTGTTATTTTTATTAAAAAAACTAAAAGGTCTTCTTTTGAGTTAGCTTAAAACAGATATCTAAAGAGAAGCTTGTTTAGAAGAAGGAATAAATGCAGTTAAATTTTACACTTCTAACATGAGCAAAGGCAAGGTTGTATTCAAGCCTTAAAACAGATAAGAAAAGCAAAATGAATGATTTAAATATGTAAATAATAATCTGAACAATAAAAAATAATAAAATATCTATTTTATCTGTCCGTTTTCCTTTATTTATATATATATATATATGTATGTATTGATAATAGACATAAGTTTAGATATATAAATCAGAACAAAATTATTCTTATTATTATTGTATTTCTTATAAATATTCACAGAATAAAATAGCCAATTATAAAGAAAATCATTAACCATTTTTATAGTGATTAATTTTTAAGAATTTTCACTTATCTTCAAAGCAATTTACCAAAATAAAAAAAATATTAACTAATTTATGATATTAAATAACTTCAAATATGTAATGAATTTTTTGCTCCCTGTTTTAGTTTGATATTTGTAGCCTAAAGCATTTCGCTAGATAATTAAACAAAATATTGTTAAATTAAATTTCTGATAAAAATTGTTAATAAAATTTACTTTTTATATTTTTTTAGACTATTGAAATTTTTTTCAGTTGATTTTATGTAAATTTCTTTTTGGAATCTTTTTAGTATGTTCGAATTATAATCTTACAATCTTTCGAGGAATCTTTGCTAAGTTTGTATATTGAGTGTTTTTGTATAGAGTTTATCCAGCTTTATTTCTGTAAAAGAAACAAGAGTGTCATCGTCTTTGACATCGCTTTGATTAGGAGGGCTGATGAAAAAATAATTTAAGTTAATCAATAATTGAAAAAAAAAATTTACCTTTGATTTCCATTGTAATGAATGGATCCATCTAATTTCCAGGAATCCACTACTTTAACGTTTCTTATTTTTTACTACAACATCTTTTTTTGAAAATACATTGCTTTATATTTTTATAATTACTTTTCTCTATCATCTTCCTCTAAACCAAATATTTCTTTTTATTAATCTTAATCTAGCATGTAATCTAACTCATTTTAATACTTGAATTTATTTTCATTAAAACAAGTTATTCTTTTTCTTTATTGAATATAATTTTATTCAGGACTTCTAATTTTAGGAGAGCGAAGAGAAGAACAACCTTGCTCAAAAAAGCTTTACTTTTATGAACTTTGTCTTTGAGGTCTGTGTAAATGATCTCTTTCAGTTGAAGCTTGACCATTAAATAAGCTTCTTGGTGATTATTGTGAAGATAATGCTTTACATGAATTAGTATCACTATATGACTAAAATCCTTTGGTTATATTTGGAATACTTATCTTCTTTCTAGTTAAATTATATTTATCTTTAATTTGCTTATTGTTTCCATAAATCTACTCAGTTTCGTTATTTAACTAAAAACCCTTAGTTATACTTAAACTGCTAGCTTATTTTCTAGATAAGATATATTGCTGCTTTTACATTTCTTTTACTTATTTTGGTGATATGACTTTATCTTACTATTGATTAACTTAATATTTATTCAAACTAAAAGATTTATTTAAATTACTATCTAAATTGAAGCTGGGCTTCTATTGTGTTATCTGTTAAATTATTTTATTTTTGCTTTTATTATAAAATTAAGCATAGTCGCTTTTTGAGTATTTGTTCTTTAATTCAAATAACTGCTATTTTTTTTGAGTATTATCTAAGCAAGTTTTCTGAATTTAATTTTCAATTTATCTAATGTAGGGTTAAGAAATAGTTTTGGAATTGATAAGAAAAATACTAGGATCTTATTTATATTAATCTATGAATCTGACAACGTCGTTTTCTATCACTTTTGTGGCTTCAATAGAATTCTTATACTAAATATAGTTCTACACTTTTTATTTCTCTTTTTGCATTTACTCGTCTATTTTATCATTATAAAAAGAATTTATCTATTACATTTCATAATTTAATTAGTTTGGATTAGATCTATTTCTTAAGGAAACTGGCTTAAAACGTGCTGCCAGCGATTATTTTTGTATATCTTTTAATAACTCATTTATTTTTTATTTAGCCATTTCTTTACCTTAATTGATCAATTCAATGCTATTTTGAGATACTTAATTTAAATTAATTTATTTATTTTAAGCTTTTGATATTTTATGAAATGATTCTTTATATGCAATAATGTGATTTAGCTTTTCTTTAGGTTGAGGCTCTTCTGCTTTCTTTTATAACATGCTTAAAAAAATAGCCTTATTGCTTATATTAGGCTCCTTTTTTTTTTAATCTATAGATTTAGATACTTATAGGTTATTCAAATTGCTTTATCTGTCTGTCATTATTGTATTTTCTTCAGTAGCTTATTGGCTTTCATTTTATGCTATACTTGTTGAACTTTTTAATAAAGCTGATCCTTTATTAGATGCATCGAGATTTATCGATGTTTTAGAACCCACATCTTTGTTTTTGCTAATTGAAATATCGTTTTCAAAAGCATCAAAATTTTATGCTGCCCTCTTCATTTTTCTTAAAAATCTATTAATAAGTGGCTGGACTTTTGATATTCTCAAAATTTAATCAGCATCTTATCTTTCTTATTTCCTCTTTAAAATTTTATCTATTAAAAGAGATCTCTCTTCCATACTATCTAACATCCTAATAGCTTGATGTATCTAATCTTTATCGTTTAAATCTCTAATCTAATTAAAAACAGTAAATATTTTTAAATCTTAATATTCTTTTTTGTTCAGTTTTGAAAGCTTCTTTTCTGAATTATCGCCATCTTATATCGAATGAATAGAAATCATTAGTTCCTCTATTTAATTTTATTTTATTTTCTTATCTCTTAATGATATCTCTGTTGAATTATTCTTTGTTCTTTAAAGTTTAATATCACTATTTAAAATTTCCAATGATCCATTTTTTACAAAATTTCTAGTCTAAGTTGATATAGGGCTTTATTTATGTGATTAGAATTTTTTTAAATCTTACTCTCTAGAAGCGAAGCTATTGAAGCATGTCTGTGAAAAATTATTATTCTACAATTAAAATAATCTATCTTAGGAAGAGGAATCTAAATTATTCATTTCAGAAAGTAAACAATTAATTGAATTAAAATTTAAAGTAATTTAATTTAAGTAGAAGTTTTTCTGAATATAAAACCAATTAGAGAAAATTCATTATTGAAAAAGAAGTAAATAATATGCTAAGGAAATTAGCAAGAAACAAACATATATATTTTTATATTTTAAAAAGTTATTTAACTACCAATAAATTATTTTTTAAATTTGATCAATTTAAAAAATAAACCATAATAAAATTTAAAATAAATTGTTAGCATAAAATGATTTACATTAACAAATATATAATTAATAAAATGCATAATACATATATAGCTATCAATTTTATTTATCTTTGTTAAAATTAAATCTATCAAAATTATTAAATGGACATTTATTTAAGTTTTTAGAAATAATTCTATGATTCATCACCTTAAAATAATTAATTAAAATTAATATTTTAATGTGGTTAACTTATTAAATGTATTTTTTCTTATTAATATTGAGGTATGTTTTAAATTTGATTTTTTTGTTAATATATTTAAGTTTATTGTATAGTTTATTATTATAATTATTCATTTATAGGTATTTATTGCTACATTTACAATTTTAATTCAGTTTAAACAGGCTATTAATTTTTAAGTAATCCTAATAGTTGGTTTTAGTTTAAGATTTAGCTTTCAAAATATCTTCTGAATAGAGCATTTTCAGCCCTTAATTGTTCTTATATCTCTAATGATTTAGAATAATCTTATTATTATTTTATAATGAATTATTCTAAATATTATATTTTATCATTAAAGTATTAATTGATTGTTTGTTGGCTCTTTGCTATTTAAAATCCACTCACTTTTTAGGAATTGTGGGGACATTTGTTTTATTATTATATAAATTAAGATTTATCAGATTCAACATTTTACTTGCTTTATTTGTTAAATTTCATGTTGTCTTCTTGCTTTAATTCATATTATTGATTTAAGTTGTCCTTCTCTGGGTTTTAGTGTAATAGCAAATTCTTTTTCCAAGACTTTTATAATTGATTATTAATTGATTCTATTTTTGTAGAAGGTGATAAAGGATTGTTATTATCACAACAAGAACAGCCTTATGTAGAGTTACTATCCTTGATATACTCCTCTCCTTAACCTTGTTTTTGGTTTATTTATGTTGAGTAAGAGAGTTTTTCATTAGCCTTTTAGCTGATATTATTGAGATGCTGTTGAAGTTGTTAAATTTGGTTTTCAGTATTTAAAAAAGTGCTGCTTAACTGATTTATTTATATTTTTCCTAGTGTTTGCAAAAATTATTCTTCATGAAGTTTCTTCTCTGCTGGAATTTACTACATTCCATTAATATTTTTAAAAGATAGCTCGTTTGGTTTAATATGAGATTCTGAATTGGAATTGTATATATTTTCTTGTTTGACATCTATAATATCTTATGAAGAATAAGTTCTCATTGACTTATCTGAAATATTATTTTTTAGATTTTATAAAGTTTCAAATCTTTATTGTTTAATATTGCTATCAGTTGATTCTTAGTACAATTCAATGGGATAATTATTAATTGCTTATTGTATTTTACTAGATTCTGTTTTATCCAATTATAAAAATTTATTTAAATTTTTTTCTTATAAATTTTGATGATTTACATTATAAAGTTATTCATAATCTTCTTAATCTTTCTAAAAATTTCTATTTTTTTAAATAAGTGGATAATTTTTTTCATCACCAAAGCTATTCTTGGTATTTTGAGTTAAACAATCCAAACAAATTTAGTACAGCTAGTTTGTTTGCTGAGTGTCAAATAGATCTTTTGCTGAAAAATTTGCTTCATTTTTTTCATTTTAATTTTAGATTTCTTTAGTCTAGAGTTGAGCAATTAATTTGGTTGGGTTATTATCAATAATCTGATTATTAAGAATATTTTATTATTTTTTTGAGTTTTCTTTTAATTAATCATAAGTAGTATAGCCTTATTAATCAGATTAATTTGGGTAATCATCAATTTAGTTAGGATTTTTATTGATCAAAAATTAATTATTATTTATTGATTAACTAAAATTGTTCTACAAACATTCTAGACAAATATCATCTGACTCTTCAATCTGCTACTGCTATAACTATTGATTTTGTTATGCTTTTTAGGTATCACTACAGCAAATTAGACAAATATCTGAATTCTATTCATTAAATTAAATCTAGTTTTACTGTTAGATAACTTTTTATTCTCCTTAATTAGTCTACTGAAGATTGTTACAAGCTATTTCTTGTTCGTCATAAATGATTGCTTTTTAGTTGTCTTAATTTAAATTGAGATATTTTTCTTAATTTACTTAATTTTTAAGATTTGGTTAAGATTAATCAACAACATTATTTTAATTATTTTAATTGATTCTAATTTAGCTTGATTATTTTTTATCTTAGTTAAGTAGAATATTTGAATTTAATTAATTAATTTCTTAGTATTAATCCTGTTCATCTCCTTCATAACACTCTTCCTCATCAGAACCTTCTTAATTAGGACAAGTTTTAGATTTTCTTCCCGGCTTATTTACAGGAAGTGGATTATTAGGATACACATAATCCCACATTTATCTAAAAGTCTCAAGTGCAGGATTTTCATAATTAGCTATCATTAATAAAGAAATTATTTTTTTCCATGTTTAAGCCTCCCAAGCAGCTTGGATTTTACCTTTTTTTCTAGTTTTTTCTTTCAGTTCAGTAGGCCTTTCCAACCTTTCTTCATCAAGTAAAGATATAAGGGTGTTTACGTAGCGCTAAAGCATGTTATTCTTTATCATTTCTTTCCTGTACTCTTATATTACTAAAGAACAAAGTTAACCCTTTTCTACTCCTTCAAATCTAGATCTAATAGCTTGGTAAGTAGTAATACTTTTATAGTTAGGATTTGACTAAGAAACTACATATTTATGTAGAATAGGGTCAACATATAGTCTATATATCGTATTGATTAGGGTATCTTACAGTCTTTTAACGATTCTTATTTGTTAGGCTTTTTGAATGACCATCAAGTCAGCACGAAGTTCCTCCTTATTATAAATATCAATCATCTAAATTAATTATATAAAGATGTGTACAGAAGTTAATAAATTAATTTGATTTTTTAAGAATGAATATTAGAAGGATATTCAATATATTTAGAAGTGAATTGATAATTTTGTTTTTTAATATCAAATTTTTTTTTTTGAAATATAATTATTATATCAAATTGATTGAATTATTCATCTTGTAACTTAATTTTTGTAAAAGAATCAAGATCAGCAAAGTAAAGCAAAAATATGGATATTTTTTTAGAATACTTTTAAAAAGATATATAATTTGTTTAAAAAAAGTACTTTAAAAATGATCAATATAACTTAATTACATTAGATTTATGGCCGATAACCAGTAAATAACAAAACTTAATTTAATCAATTTATATTTACTTTTTCATGTTTAATTTTTGATAGTTGAGAAGAGTGCCTCTTGAGTCTGATTTTTTCCTCTTTTCCTTTTTTTTATTATCCTTAATTTTATATTAATTTAAAAACTCTTAATTGACGCATCAAGAATCACTAATTTTTAGATTTTTACACGAAATATTGAAATAATAAACCACCTATTAACGTTATTCGATAATACTTTACTTCTTTTACCGTCATTTTTTAAACATCCATTTAAAAAATGATGGAAACATTTTTATGATATCAAGTTTTAGTTTTATGAAGCATTTTAGTCATAATATTACAAAAAGGCGCCAAAAATATATTGCAGCTTATAAATTAAAGCAAATAAATTAGTTTTCATAATAAATGTCTTGTTTCTATTTAAAGATTATTCCTTTTTTATATTGAAATTACTGAAAAGCTACTGAAAAATTCATAAACATTTTCAATATTTTTTATTAAATTAATTTTAATTAAATTTTTTTGTTTATTTTTAAAATTATTTGGTTATTTATTGTAAATTCATTTATTTTAATAAGAAAATATAATTTTTAGCTCTTTACTAATATTTATGAATAATACTTAAATTTTGAAAGCTATTAACATATATTTACTCTAAAATTCAAAGCATTTATATATTTTTTTTCAAAATAATATTTGATTCATTTTTTAATTATCTATATTAGTTTATAATGTGAAAATAAGATTCAAAAAAAGAAAAGTTTTTTGAATTATCTTAAATTCAAATTTCGCTATTCTTAAAATAAGAAATAATAGATTCTAATAATCCTTAAAATGAGTGAATAAAATTAATTTATTTTAAATTTCGAATAAATAATTTTTTATATTTTTAAATTTTAATATAAATTTATTTAAATATTTAATCACATTGAAATTTAAGCTAAATATTTAGAAAAAATTAAATTTCCTTAATTTAAAAAATTAATATTTTTTTATTATTATTTCCTATTAAATTAAAAAATTAAAAAATATTGAAGGTTTTATTTTATATCAAAATTAAAATGATTTTTAACCTAAGACCTGCAATTTTTATTAATGCTTTAAAAGCTCAAATAATAGAATATTTAAATAGCTAGCAAATTGAATAAAATAGTGTTTTTAAATATTATTTAAACTTAAAATTAAAGGATGAATTATAATTTTATTTTAGAGTAAATATTTAAAATAAAAATGAAGAAAAAGACAAATATATTAAATTTGAAAAAAAATAAATATTTAAATGAGTAATTATAAATAATTATAATAAATTAAACTTAGAAATACTATAAATCAATATTAGATTAACAGCAGTAAATACAAAATTTGATTTAATATTTTAAAATATTTAGCTGTGACCATTAAACATATAAATATTAAAGTTGTATAAAATATTAATAAAAATAACATAAAATATTATTGTTTATACAAGTTATTTTCTAAATGTCAAAAATGAATATATAAATATCTAATTATACTACCTATTTATTCTTTTCCGAATGTTTTAGCTCAATTTATTTATTTTTTTGAGTCTTAAACATTAAAGAAAAATAATTTAATTAAAATTAACTATTAAATACTTATATTGAGTTATTAATATCTGTTTTTTATTTATAAAATATTTTTATAAATTTAATAGTATATGTTAAAAATGATCAATACTGCTTTGATAGTTTAATTTAAATTTAATGTGGCTTTTGGACTTTGTTCAGTATTGATAAAATAGTCACATTTATCTTTGGTGTAAATTTGATTTATATTTATTATAAAATTATAAAAATAAAAAAATAAAAAAATTTGAAATTTTATTGAAAATCACTTATTGAATGATAAAAGTAAAGTTTTTAATATATAAATAATTGTTTAATTAATAATTAATGTATGCCTAATAATACTATTGTATAAAGCCTAAAAATTTATTTTATTTAAGCTATGCAAATATTCATAAAGAAATGAATTATATTTTTAATAATTTATTTATTTATTTAGATAAACTTGATTTGTATCGCCTTAATTTTATTTTTATGAATTACAATTACTTTTATTTAATGAAAGAAAGTCTTTGATTTACTTGTTTATTTAAAATATGATCTACTTTTTCTTTAAATTTTAGAAGAAAGATTAGCCGTGTTTAAAATTTTAAGTCAAAGATAAAAAAGATATCTATCTATCTATATATGTGTATGAATTATTGAAAATTTATGATTAAAATATTGGAGTGAGTAGGTGAGTGAGCATGGAAGATTGAAGGGTGAGAAGACAAATGAAACAAAGTAATAGGAGTGTTCTTCTTAATTTTGATAGAAATTATAATAAATGAAAAAGGATAGTGAGATTTGAATAGACTTAAGGGGTGAATATAAAGAATAAGAAAGAAATTAACAAATATCATAGAAACACAAAGAAAATAAATAGGAGATATAGTAATCAAAAAGAGAGAAAAAAAATATTATAAATCAACTATTAAGAATGTTGTCAAGAATAGCTTCAAAAAAGATTAGCAAGCAAATAGGATTAAACAAGAAGATTGCTAGATAATCTTCTTCAATTAATAAAGTTATTTAAGATCTATTGGAAACAAGCAGCAAGGAAGAAAGTGACTTAAGAGTTAGTCAATTTGCCAAGAATTTAGATTATTTGCGTGAAAAACATGAAGAACGTTCTAAAATAATTAATCAATACTTGCATAGAATGAGAGCTGCTTCTATTAACTCTAATATTCCTCTTAAAGAAATTTTGCGTTAATTCATTTCCTCAACTCGTTTGGGATTTGATTAAAAAATGACCTCTGAGACCTTGTTTTACTTAAGTGCTACTCTTAACAGTTTAGGTCCCAACCCTAATCACTACTTCGATTATAATGTGAGCAATTTTAATTTTTTTGCTTAGGAAAACGAATATTTAATGAAAAACAGTTGAGTATTAATTAAACATCAAAGCAATAAAAATAAAATGAATATATTTATCAGAGTTATAATAGATTATTTCTATTTAAAAATGTGCAATTATTTCTTTCATGTAATTTATCTTTTTTAATTATTTATTAGTTGGAATTGCTTAAAGACTCTTGGAGATTCGATGATTTAGTTGGAGACTTTAGATACGGTTTAAAGAGTGGTGTTGAATTTTCTCCTGAAAGAATCGCTCAAGGTCTTCGTTCTTTAAAGAAGTTAGGTTACTCTAATAGTAGAATAACTAGAGAAGCTATCTAGAAGGTAAGACATACTTCACTTATTCATAAAACAAATAAATAAATAAAAAAGATTTGTATATATATCCTCATCCAAATAAATATCTTAATCTTTAAAACTCTCGTTTAATTTAAAAACCAATTTTTATTTTCAAGAATATTCTTTCTATTTATTTTTGGAGATAAATTATCTATTTATATTTATTCTACTTTTACTCTACATAAATTTAAACATCCAACATTCAGATCAATGTAGCAAATACTTTCTTTTAGATTAAAATACCTTTTTAGGGTTTTTTAATTCTAGTTAGCTTATAATTGAGATTATAAAATAAAAGCAGTAGAAATAAATTAGTATAAGAGGAGGATAAAAAATATAATTTTTTCAAGATTCTAAATAATTTTATGATAAACATCAATAAATTAATACTGTTTTTTATAAATTAGATACACAGAATGTTGACTAAAAATGACGACTAATTCAATATTGATACCGAAAATATTATCGATAACAACCCTTCTATCCATAAACCTTTATATTACATGAGATCTCCTTTAGATGCTAAATAAATTGTTGAAAACCCAGAATTCTAAAAATTCTTGAAGGCTACCATCTAAAAGCAAGAATAAGAACTTAATAAATTGAATTAAAAAAAAAATCTATAAAAGGATGAAGATGCCTAAACTATTACTCTCAGAAACGAATTGAATGAAGAAGAATAGGAAATACTCGATGAAATTGAAATTATATCTAAGAAAATTAATAAGTCTATTTAAAAGTCTGCTTTAGCTATGAAGAAAACTATTGAATCAGTTATTTAAATTAGAAGACACTATTTAAGAATGATTGAATCATAAGAAAAGGTCTAATCTGTAAATTTGACCCCATAGCTTAACTTGGATCTTTTGAACTTAGAAGAAAGCATGGTTGAAGCTGGTCTTATTTCTATCAACGAAGTCAAAAATCCTTGTAAATATTTTTAATTTACTGATTTAAAAACATTTGATATCATCAATAATTGCACTATTGATTGCAGTTTGATATTGCTCTCTTAGCAGTTTACTATAATTCTGATATATTAAAGAATGTTCATTCGCTATTATTACTCTATTATTTTATAGAAATAATTTTATTATAGATAAAAATAAATTTATTTTGTAAGATTTGTTGATTTATTATATTTTTTGAACTAATAGAACTCATCATTGATACCAATCAAAATAGAGAATCAATTGCTTAAATTGTTTCAAACTTGATTGTTGAATAAAACGAAAGTTTCTTGCCTTATTTTGATAATTTGATCTAATCTAAACCATAATTGCTATAAGAAATCGACAGTGATAGAAGCCTTCCTGAAATCAATGTGCAATTCTTTGCTAATTACACTCATTCTCAATTTGCTGAAGCTTTATTAGCTGTAACTGAATATTCAAACTCCAAATTAAGTGAATTCAAGGGATAAACTTTCCTTAATGAAAAATGGGCAGATTTCTTCCCATAAGGTAAATAAATAAATAATAGAGTATAAGATTAAATTTTAATTAATCCTCTTTATAAAATTATTTTTTAGTTGATGAAGCTGACAGACTTTTCTTTGTTCAATTTTTAGACAGCTAAAAACTTTTCATTGAAGTTTCTGAAGTTGTTCTCGAATAAACTAAGAATGAAAAGGATGTTAATGCTTTAGGTAAATATGCAGCAGCTTTCGGCAATATAGGTAATTTAATAAAAATTTCTTTAAAAAAATTTTAATGATTTTGTGTTTTATTAAGGTCTCATCGGTGTCTCAAAGGAATTAGTTAAAAGAATTACAAGCCTTGAGGGTATGTCTACTCAAACTGGCATTTGTATCCTTAGAGTATGCAGTGAATTCCCTGAAGAATTCTCTTAATTAAGCGAGAATATTATTTAGATTTTGGAAAAATCTTCTGATATAACCGCTTCTCAAGCTATTGATTTGGTTTATTATGAAATAGCTCTTAACAAGGTTAGTGAAGCCTCATTAAATATTTTAAAACAATAAAGCAAACATATTTTAGATGAAAACCCTAGATTGAATTACGTAAGTCAATACCTTAAACTCTAAGGAGTAGACTTAGGTTATAATGCTTCTGGTGCTTCAATTTTTGAAAATAACTTGTTCTAAAAGAACCCTATTAAGGATAAGTTAGTTGAATTAATCGGAAAGGCTGAAAATTTATCTCACACAGGTTTGGGAGATTACAAGCCAGATTTTATGTGCTTAGAAAGAAACGAATAAGGAGAAATAGTACAAAAAGCTATTTTCATTACCCCTGCTGAATATTCATATTTCGACATTGCTAAACCAGCTGTCGAATATACTTTGCTTTCTAAATACTTGAGTCACAAAGTTAAAAATATGGTTTTCGAATTCATTCCTATCACTAAATTCATCGACGTTAACCACCAAGATCACGTAAATAAATAAATATACACTAGTTAAATCTTTTTTTATGATAATTCAAATTTAAATATAATATAGATGATAACTATTAAGAGAGATAACTAATTATTTATTGAACTTTTTGATAAAGCTCATCACAATATTTACTCTAATCTCAATAACGATCTTTTAGTAATTGGTGAAAATCTTATTGACGAAGAATATAATATCTTGAAATCTAAGATAAAACAAATTTTCAGACTTTCTGGTGGTAGAAGATACTTGCAATTATCAGTAAGTGATTTAATGCAAGTTAAATATTCGCTCTTCTCCATGGCCGAAGATTTCAACACAGTTCTTTCTGAAACCAGTTAATAAAATCTTAACCAATTATGCTAAAAGCACTTTAATCAAGATTTTGTTTCTTTACTTAAATCTCACAGCAAATTAAATTTCAGTGTTAAGAATACACAAGAAGAAATGGAATTCTTCTTAAAGTAGAAGTGGGTTGGAAAGCGTTTGTCAATTGACCTACTCCCCAAAGGAAACGAAAAATATAACTAAAGTGATGCCTTCTTTGATCATCTCTACATTAGCTCTGAAAATTACTATGAATATCCTGAATGGTAAGAGCTCCTCACTTAAGAATATGGTGTATCTAATATTGCTTAAATTAATCCTACAAACTTCTTGGCTCATTAGGTTTCTGATGTTTGTAACTAGACCAACACTGCTTACATTATCCCTAAGAAGAAAGAAGTAAGATCTTAGATTCGTCCTCTCGATTAAAGAATCGTCACTTCAAAGCAAGATAGAGCTAATTACAGCTTAACCTGGGAATAAGATTACTTCACTCAAGGAACTAATGGTGAACTTGTTTATAGAGGAGAAAACCACAAAATTTCTGAAGGAACTAAGTATATTGCTAATTTACTTAACTTCAAGTGGGAGCTTAAGAAGGCTTTTTCAAGTTAGGAACGTCTAGATTTTCTCCATAAATTGAATTTAACTGATAAGTTAATTGAAAATCATTTACATACTTCTTAAAACCACTAACCTAAGCATGCTCACTTTGCATAAAGAGACCCAAAAAAATATTTCGAATATTTACAAAATAAGACTCCCTCTTCACTCTACTGCTAAGAATATCTTGAATTTTTCACAAGAAAAGTTGACCAAAAAAATAAAATAATCCAACTCTCAAAACTTCACTTCACAAAAATTAAAGAAATCTACAAGAGCTATTAGAAGGGTTACATTTCTAGATAGCAATTTGATTAATAAAAGGAAGGTATCCAAAAAGATCTTCTTAAAACTTTGAGATAATACGATGCTGCCAACAACAGTCTTGATTCACTCCTTCAAAACGAAAGTAAACTTAACATTTTGCATATTGTTTTTAATAAAATTTTATTTAAATAGCAATAAGATATATTGATGTTCAATTTGATGCTGAATCCTTACTTAAGGATAAGTCCTACGTTAGATATAATTTAGAAAACGACAGAGTAATTTAAAATTAATTAATTTATTTAACTTTCTAATATAATTAATTTCATAATTATTTAAAGGATTACTTAGCATGCAAAAAAGATTTAAATTAAACATTAAATTTGAAGAGAATTAGAGCAGAAGAAAAATTAATTAAAGCTAAAATTCTTAGCAAAATTTCTGCTGAATAAACCTTAACTTCATTAGAATAACAATACTTAGAAAAGTGGAATAGTGGTGAAATTACTCTCCCTAAGGAGCCCACATTCTTAACTTATAAGGAACTTGATAATTCAGATGTATAATTGCTTAATTCTTTGAAGTTCAGTGATTTAGTTTCATTCGATAAAATGCAAGTAAACGATTTAGTTGTTGAATTCTCTTCATTGTTTGAATAAGCTATTATTAATAATGCTGATGTCCATCTTAAGGGTAAGAATGCTCTTAAAGAATGGGGCATTTCTCCTGAATGGATTAGCAAGAGCGCAACAAATTCAATGAATAATTATTTAATTGCCCTCAGTGAAACCTAAGCATGGAAAGATGGACAAAAATTAAAAGAACATGAAAAAGAAAATGTTTGCTCTATGCTCAGACTCCTTCAAGAACAATCATACCAAGATAAGATCTTCACTGCTAATGAAAACGTATTAAGAAAGGAAGCTCTCGACGTATTCAACTAATCTGAAAATAGATTCTCAATATTCATGAAATGTAAAATATTAAATTTGGAAAAAATTTTTAACAAGTTTTGAAAATAGGGTTGGAAAGCAGAGAATAAGAAGGTTTTAGTATTTCCTCTGACAATACTGAGCATGTTTTGAAGCTATGGGAAAATATCTTTGAAAAATCATATGAAAACACTACATAAGAAGAACTCCACTTATTTACCCATAACTTGGTACAAAGATTGTATGTTCTTTCTAAGTATCCTCCATCTGCATTTGGATCTTTCCTTTCAAAACTTCTCCTTCATCCTAAACTTCACATCATTGATAAGAACGTAAAAATATTAATTTCATTTCTAAGTTTATTAATAAATAATTAAACTTATTTATTTTTTAATTAATAACTTATTTAAATTAAAAATAAGATTTTAATTTGTGGAATCGATGCTTTTAAATTTAATGCCTACTTAAGTAGCAAAGAATTGATTGACTTCTCTCGTAACGTTAGAGCTGCCCATACTCCTTAGGATTTAGCAGCATTAACTAGAGCTAATGTCTTTGCTTCTGAAAATATTTTACAAAAGATTTCTAAGTTAGTTAAAAATTGATTTGGAAGAAAATTTCCTATCTTATTTAAAATTTATTTTTCTCACTCAATTTTAAACTTAATTTAATATTATTTGTCATTATTTACTGAAATTCATATTAGTAAAGTTTTAGTTAGAAGCCTTTAATATTTCAAGTATCATCTTTACATTTTTAATATTTAAAACGTAAATTAAACTTTATTTTTTTGAAAAAAATCTGATTTTTTGTTAATCTTATTATAGAATATTCGAATTTCAATTACATAAATTTTATGTTTTTTTATCAAAAATTTGTCTTCAAAAAGATTTATTTTATTTTTAAGAAATATTAAAATATTAAAAGGTATTAGTAAATGTTAAGATAAAAATCAATAAAATGCTTGATTCGCAATCAGTATTTATTTTAAAAAACCCAACATTAAATTAGTACTACTGCAGCTGTAATTGCTTTAATTTATGGCTCAGCTTCATAGTTCTTATTAAGAAATCCTCATTACATACACAAAAAAATAGATCTTAAAAATAATTATCTAAATTAAATTATCGAAAATTCATCTACAGCGATAGTCGCCCATAGAGGAGGTAAAGATAAATTGTTTTACTAATTAATTATAAAAAAATTTTAAAACTATTAAAAAATTTAAGGTGCTCATGAAGCTCCTGAAAATACTATTTAAGCTTTTTAACATGCCTTAGATAATCAATCTAAGATATTAGAAATGGATTTATGTTTGACAAAAGATTAAGTAAAATTATACTGTCTTAACCAAACTTAAAATGTATTATAAATATTTTTTACAAAGCAAGTAGTAGTTTCTCATGACAAACATATTGAAAGGGTGACTGGAAACAAAAAATATTTAAATGAACTAAATTACAATGAAATAAATAATTATCTACCAAAAGTAGAGCTAGAGTTCAGTGAAAGTAAAGAGTATTTATAAATAAAAAATAATTAAGATTATTTCATTCCTAAATTTGAGGTAGTTAATGCACAATTTTAATAATACATTTAACAATTGTTTAAACACCAAAAAAGGAAATATTGAAGAAATTCCCAGATTCCATTCTTCTTGTTGATTTAAAAGAGCCAAATTAAGTATTAATTTCTAAAACTATTGAGCTTATTGAGAAATACTAAGCACAAAATTAAATTGTAAAATATTAATAAATCATATCACTACTTTTTAAGAAATGTTTATTTTAAGATATTAGGAACTTAATTTATAGATGATTGGTAAAAAATAAATTTTTAAAATATGTTTTCTTCACAAAACCATCTAATTAAAATACATTTGCTGCATTTAACAGGGTTGCTTCCTTTTTTTAAACTTGATATTTGTTGCTTGGCTACTCCTCTTTATACAAAAGCATACTATCAATGGGAAATGGAGTTAAGTGAAGGCAAATTTACTAGAAAAATGCTAATGAAGTTACAGTAATCATGAATAGTTAACTATATTACTAATAAAATTAAAAAAAATATTTAGATATTAATATCAATTAGGAATAAACTAATCAATTATTATTTTTATCAATAGGTTTTTTATGATTAAGATATTTAATTTGTTCAACTATTCCTTATTTTAGCATTTAAGAAAAAGAGGGATTCTATCCTTTTATTGGGTAGCCAACAAATAAGAAGAGATTCTCAGAGCGTTAAAAGTAATTAAAATTCTATTAAGCATTTTTAAACAATTATTTTTTTTAAAGGATAAACCAAGTGGCATTATTACTGATTATCCAATGCTAATGAAAGAAATTATTAAATCTTAAAAAGAATAAAATGATTGAAAAGAAGTTCTTAAATAAATTTAGAAACATTTAGAAACACAAACATTATATTAAATTGATAATCAATATGTGAAAGTTAGTTATTTAAAAAAAGAGATTATCTCAATCCTATTTTAAATGTTTAACTTAAGAGTGAAAAGAAAATTTCAAATTAAAAATATTGAAATCAGTTATCTTTATATATTTTTTATATCAGAAGTGAATATATTTCATATTCCTTCAAATAAAAATTTGGATATCCTAATTGTGTTTCATAAAATATAAAATAAGACTCAATAATTTTTAAAATCTTACCTATAATAAGCAATTAAAATTATTTTTAGTGTTAGATTTAATTTAAGTAAATTATTGGAAATCATAATTACTCTAAGCTTTTATTTGTAAAAATATATATTATTTGTATAATATGCTACTTCACTGAACTAGAAATTATTGGCTTTTAATTTAGAAATTTCAATTTATCAAAATTTACTTGTTACTAACAATAATATAATTATATGGTAAATAAGTATATCTATTAATCAAAGCTTCTGATAAATTATTTTTAATCAAAAAGAAAGATAACCAAATCTCTAATAGATTATAAAGAAAATGGACTAAATAGACGAAATTATAAGAATTTTAAAGGTAAGTCCAGATGATAGACAGCAAGAAGATATTAATACACTTCTATAACTGACTAAAGACATACAGTTTTTTAAGTATTATTTCGAATAAGGTAAAACTGATATACATAAAAAGTGTTGTAAATGCATGGTATTAGAATAACATTAAGAAAGAAGTGTTGTATTTAACATAGGAACTATAGGTAAAAATAATATTGAAAATTAATTTTTTAACACATTTTATAATATATATTCACATCATTTTATTTCTGAAGGCTATAAATTCTATATTATCCTTGAAGGAGAAGTAGGAGTATACATAAAAAATAAAAAATCGAATGCACCAACAATAGATTTTGAGAAACTTATGCAGCTGAAGCCAAGAAATAAACTTTAAAAAGTAGCCCGTATTTTAAAGAGTTAGAATTATAAACTAGAAACAGAGAATAGCGTGATGAAAGAAGCGAATACAATTGGTGCAATTTTTGAAAAAGCCTTAAAAAATTAAATATAAAAGTATCGCTAACAATCTCTGTAATTAAGCAGATTTAATACAGTAGAAGGGGATTTTGTACAAGTAAGTACTTTAAAAGCCGGCTCATCATTTGGTGAATTAGCTTTAATAAATGATAGACCTCGTTTAGCTACAATAGTCTGCTCTTAAAACTGCAAGTTTGCTGTAATTGACAAAGATAATTTTTAAAGGATTTTGAAAGAGTAAGAAGAAATCAAGCTCATAAAAGTAATTAAAATCACCACCTACTTTTAAAATTATCTAAATTAATGAAAACCACAAAATATTATTTAGCATTAATTTTACTTGAATTGAATACTTATTAACATGAAAAAAGATGTAATCTTGAAAATCATAAATTTGTAAAATGAAATAATTAATTTTATTTTAGGATATCACAAATTTATTTTTCTTGGAAAAAGAAAGTATTTCATTTTAAATGAAAATAATAAATTGATTAAATAAAACAAATCTTTATTTTCTTTCATTTATTTAATTTAATATTTAAAGAATTGTATTCATGAATATTTTAAATATGAAAATAGGCCCTAAATTTATATAGTTCTATTCCTTTATTTGAAAACTTTAGCACATATTTACTCAAATAAGTTCATTGGTCTTCATTTAAGGTAAAATACAAAATGAATGAAAAGGTATTTGCTTAAGGTGAAGAATCTGACTGTATGTATATTGTAAATTCTGGATAATTTTTGATTTTCTAAAAATTCGAATAATCTACAAAGGTAAAATTCAATATTATATTATTTTATTTTATTTCTTATTTATTTCTAATAAAAATGAAAAGACTGCAATTGAAGAAGAGGAGATGAATAACTTAAATGATGAGTAATTTTTTAATAGCTATAAAATATAACCATAAGGAAAAAAAAAGGCTATAAATACTAACTTTAATTATATTGAAGGGACAGATATAAAAATTGCCTAGTTACTTCCTTACCAACTTATTGGGGAGGAGGATTTGTTTGAAGGCAGTAAAAGAAGCTATAATGTTATATGCACCTCTTTGGAAGGAGAACTAATCAGAATTAAGCTTAAAGAATTTAAGTAGAAGATCCTGAATGATGTTGGAGCTCACCAATATCTAACTATAAATGTGCCAAAAAAGAGAAAATTATACGAAGAAAAAATACTACATTAAAAAACAATTATCATTAATAATATTTAATTGATATCTTCTAAGTAGCCAGTACTATCTCTCCAAACAAAACTTTAGAACGGAAAAATTGAAGAAGCTTAATTCTTTAATTAGAAATTAGTTGTCCCTTCTTCTTAAATAAAAAAATAAAATTTTCTTAATGCTCTTTCTACTAACTCTTCTTCTAAAAGGTGTAGCGACTAAATCCCTATATCTTCTTAATCCCCATAAAAAAAAGTTATAACTTCTTAATCTCATTAAAAGGAAACATATGAAAGTACAAATTTGTAAACAGAATCATCTTCTACTTCTTATCAAAGAAAATCTGGCATCATAAACAACTTTCTAGACAGTGGTTAATCTGTTAAAACTCAATAATCAAATACATAGCAAGGTGATGTTTCAAATTAGCTCAATATAAATGCTTTTGGTTAAAATATATCTTCACCAAACAGACCTCTATCAAGTAAAAATGGCAATTAACATGAAGCCCTCAAACAGTATTTCTTAAGTACTGGTGATCCACTTCTACGTTCTTGTTTCTAAGATGAAATTAATGTGTAAAATCAAGGATCCTCTAAATAGCAATACAAAAAAGAAATGGTCTTGGAAAATATATTCAAACACTAAAATAAAAACCCAGGAAATCATAAGTATCATCCTACAGAGAAGATGTATAATCAACCAATTAAAGAAGATTATGTGAATGTAAATGGAAATATAAGGCAGGTATTAAAATACAGAAATCCAACTGAAAATTCTGTTGGTTTTATACTCAAATATCATCCCTCAGAGAAGCTTCCAACTGAACCAACAAAATCAAATAGAACAATAACATTTATTCCTACTAACATTGAAGAATCCTCTCCAGTTTCAATTAACAATAAAAGAGGTGTAAAAACTATGGTTGATCTTGGTCCTGCTGACTTAGTAAATAAGGTAGAACCTACTATAAATGGTATAAGATCTTCAAGAATGATAAAAATGAAAAAAATGATAAAAGTAATTGATAAGCAATCTTAAAATTCAAATTCGACAAATAAACCTATCGAGTTAACTGGAAATTAATCTAGCCTAATTAAGTATAAAGCTATTTCAGTGAATACATTTTCCCAACTTCCAAAACAAAATATGTATAAATCTTAGACAAACCTACATAATAACTAGGAGAGTACATAAGATATGCATACTTCTAGTAATAAAGCAAACTACAAAAGCAGTAACTCAATCAAATCTTTATAAGATTTAGGTAATTTTAACTAAATACATTAAAGCTAGTATGAATAAAACATTTTAAACATCTAAAAATGCTAATCAAAATATACCAATAATTCTTCTTAAAGTAACATTCATTCTAACTATGGCTATGACTCTGATAGGATATAGACAGATAGAAGTAAAAGCAATTAAATATATCTACTTTAGTCAAGTCCAATAAAATCTAGCAATATTAGAAGGCACACAGATAAAGTGATTAATCTTTCAAGTCATTAAAAAGATTCATTTAGTTCTAACATAATTATTGAAGAAAATTAAAATAATCCTTCTTTGAAACCTATTTTTACTCCCAATACATAAAAAAATATAAATGCTTGTAAAATTATAAGTGATGGTTCTTAAATTTTAAAAGATATCATAAAAAATAATAACCAATTAACGAAGTCAACATCAAACAAGAACAACTAAAATCGAGTTCTTGTTTCTCAATAAGGTTTTAGAAAAAGTGATATTGTTTAAAATCTATTTTATTCCCCATAAAAAAGAGAAAACCAAACAAATAAAAAAAAGATATTATTCTCATTTACTAACTTAAATAACATTATTTCATCCATGGAAATGGCTACTTAAACAGACATGGATCCAATTTCTTATGAGGAAAATAACTATAACTTAAATAACATACATTCAAACTAATAAAAACAATGATTAAAAATAAATTATCAAATTGTATTACCATAAAATAAACAATTTTCCATTATATTACTTAAGTAATTAATTTTATTATAAAACATATCTTAAGCCTGAATTTATATTCTAAGTTAGTTTACTGCTCACAATCATATGTAATATATAATCACTTTTAGTTATATTGCACAAAATATAAATTAATATCTTTCCTATAAAATTTCAAGTTAAGTGTATAAAAATTTAGTAAATTATTCTAGCCATGCCATAATATTCTTCTTATCATATTCTAGTTATTTTCCTGTTCTATTTGTTTATTAGAAATATATATATTGTGGTATATTCAGCTTAATGCTCCATTAGACATTATATCTTACAATTTTATTAATTATAAAATGAATGATAATCAGTATTTGGTTTTAACTTTTCTACCATAGTATACTAGGTAGTCAGAATATTTAAAAAAAATTTTAAGACTTAGAATTATTTATTAAAAATTTAAATTATTTTATTTGATTCATGATCAAACTTGTTATACACTCTCGCTTTTTTTTCAAAAAATATTAGACTTTTTTATTTCTATTAAAATTTTTATAATAAATGTAATTTTTGTAAAAATATATATAAGAGAGAATATTTCCTTAATATTTGAGGATTTTCTGATTTAAATAACTACACTAAATTTAAGAATCCTATTTTTAATTAAATATCCTTTCAACTAATATAAATGCACAATTAAGAAGTATAGAGATGGGATATTGTAATTTATTCTACATTAATTATGCTAATCTGCAGCTACTGCATGCAAGAAATCCCTTCTTTACATAGCTACTTAAAAGAAAACTTTATTGAGTAAAAAATTTAAGGATATTAGTATGATGAATACATAAATATTTCATAATCTGTATCTTTTGGACTGCTTATTTTCTTGGCATCTTATGTAGGATATCTTATAGATAAATTTAAACCAGGAATTATTTTTGTTGTTCAAACATTTTTACTTTCATTCAGCTAATTTTTAGTATTTTTGTCTATTTATTTGAATAAATTTTGGATTTTGCTTGCAGGAAGAACTTTACTCTATTTGGTTTGCTCACCTATGTTTATTACTTCAAAAGTGTTAATTAACAATTTAACTACTTAGTCTTATAAAGGAACTTCTTTAGGTATAGCTTTTTTATCTGTGATTGGGTATGGACTCAGTTTATAAATAGAGCCATTTTTTGTAGATTCATTTGGACTCTAAACCTGTACATTTATTACATTTACCTTAGCTTCAGCAACTTTTATTTTTTCGCTAATTTGCTTTAGGATAGAAGAAGCAGAGTCGATTTCAAAATTAAAAGAACTTAGCTATATAGATATGAACTAGTTGTTAAATTAAATTATTTGAAGTTAATGATTTTATTTATTTTTTGTTAATTAGAAATATTGAAAACAAACGAGATGATCATCAGATTAATCTATAAGAACATGAATAAATTATTTAGCACGAAAGTTATCTACAACAAATGAAGAATCTTGATATTTTATATTGGATATTTGCTCCAATTAATTTTTTAAGCATAGTTGTGTGTACTGTTGTAGAAGTTTGTGGGCCAGCTTTGATATCTTCATAATGGAATTACAACGCTACTCTCTCTACATAAATAAATTCAATTTCATAATTACTAGGAGTTTTTATGCCTTTGCTCGGTTATATACTGGACAAAATAAATAAAGATTATGAGTGGATAATATTAGCTATGCTAAATTAATTAATTGGAATTTTTTTACTTGGATTTATATCCCCACTGATTGGATTTATTGTTTTTGGTATCGCATTTTGTTTAAGAATCTCAGTTTAAAGTCCTTATTTAACTAAGATAGTTCCTAAAAATAACCTAGGGAAAGCAGTTGGATTAATAAGATCGTTAAAAGATTTTTTCGCCATGATAATGTTTTTTTACATATCTCAGAGTGTAAAAATAACTCATTCTTATCATAATATAATATTAGCGTTAATTATGATATCGCTCTTAGTATTTTTGCTATCTATTGGATTGCTTATAGTTTCGAAAAAAAAAAAGGAATGATTTTCTAGATAAATTAATACAAATGTTACGAATTATGAGTTTACATATTTAAATTACGTAATAAGCAAAAATAGTATTCTTGCTTGATATAAATAGCTCAATTATTATTTAAATAATTTACATTTAAATCAAATAATTCAAATCCTAATTAACCAAAACGTGCAGCATCATTTATATTTTTTTCTTAGATTTAATTTTAAGCATTTTAAAAACTTAGCTTTTTCTTACTTAAGAATTTAATACAAGATATTTTTCAAATTCTTTTTATGTATTTGTATCAGTAAACTTTAAAATAGATTTGTGATTAAAAAAAATTCATGCTTACCATATAATATGTAGGAATAATATGTATCATCTGTTTGTTTGATCAATACTAAATTGATTTGGAGTTATTAAAAATTTAATTTGGAATAATTAAGAGTAGGTTATTATTTACAGAATATTAACAATTAATTAAATAATGGCAGTTCATTTAACAGATCAAAGATGGGATGCTCTATTCTTTAGTACAGTTCTATTAGCAACAAGCTGTTATTGCATGCAAGAAGTTCCTTCTCTCCATGACTATTTGAAGGACTTTTTTGGCAAATAATAACCTGCTCAATTTGAATTCTACTATAATATTTCTTAATCCATATCACATGGAATTTTAATTTCATATACAATTATTACAGGGATCCTAGCAGATCTATATAAACCTGCTATTGTCCTTATAGTTTAAGCTTTTCTTATTTGCGGAGCACAATTTTCTATTTATATTGCTGTTTATTCTTAATAATTATGGCTACTATTTGTAGGAAGAATCCTTTTATATACTCAAGCCTCTGCACTATTTATTTCAGCTAAAGTTTTTGTAAGTAATTGTAGTTCAGAAAAGTATAAAGGATTGTCTATAGGGATTCTAGTGAGCAGTGGTGTAGTTATTTTTGGTGTAAATCTTATTGTAGATCCTTTTCTTACTTCGAATTACGGATTAGATATATCTACCTTTACAACTTTTCTCATAGCATCTATTGGCTTTATTTGTTCTCTTGTTTGTTATCACTATGAATAAACTATTGAATATGAAATAAAGATTTAGGATGATAGCGGACCAGATAGGTAAATTTTTAATTAGAAACATAAAAGATAGATTTATATTTATTTATTATCTGTTAATCTATTAATAGTGAAGATCCTACAAACAGTGTTCAAGAAATTATTACCGAAGAAAAGATAAGCTAATGGGAGTAAATAAAAAATTTTAGCCGTCATTATTGGGTTTGTTGTGTTATATTGTTCCTAAGTATAAACTTATCTACAGTCATGGAGATTACTGCTCCAGCTTTTCTTACTTCTATATGGTAAATGAATCCTTTACACGTTACACAAATGTTTTCAATGGTCCCTCTTATGTGTTTGACTGTACCTTTTTTTGCATACTTAATTGATAAATATAAGATACATTATGAATGGATAATTATTTGTAGTTTAATACAACTAGTAGGAATAGTATTTCTTGCTTATATTGCTCCAGTAAGTGGAACTTTAATTTTTGGCCTAGGTCTAAGTATGCGTGTTGCTATCGTTGGACCAATTTTAATTAAAATAGTACCTTCTTACTCTTTTGGAAAGGCATTTGCGATTGTAAGCTTTTTAAAAGATTTATCAGGATTAGTAGTATTTAGTATTATTTCAGTTATAATAAAAAAATATAATTCATACCATTATGTTATAATAATTATGTTATTTATTAATTCTTTAGTATTTATATTATCAATTCCTTTTTACAGGTAAGGAAAGCTTGTTAAATTATGAACATAAGCTTATCTTTCGACTATTCAATATAATTTGTAGTTTTAAAAAATTTTGCTTAAATTTCACTTAAACTTAAATAAATATGAAAAACAAATTTGAATTTTATTTAAAATTATTGATAAAGCTAAATATATCTATCTATCTATCTAATTTAACCATCTAAATCTATTTTTGAACTTCTTTAAAAATTAGATAAATTTATAAATTTCCAATCATTTCTTATTTTAAGTGCGTTTAATTAAGATATTTTTATAAAAAAGTAAAATTGTAATTTTTTTACTCAAAATATAAAAATAATAATTAATCAACCAAAATAATAATGTAACTAAATACTTTTTAATTAAAATTCTTGCAAATCAAAGAATAGCTTTTTGCTTAAATATTAATATTTTAAAAGATTCAAATATTAATTTATTTTTAAATTAGATTATTTATTTGTTAAAAAATATTTATTAATAACATATAATCTTATATTTTGTACTTAATTTTGTTAATTTTTATATATATTATTTTAATATCAGAAACTATCACAAGCAGAGATACCAGCCAAGTTGACATCAGAAATATCAAAACCTAAGTTTTGAGCTGCTTATAAGGCAAAGTTGATCTTTTCTTGAGAAACCTTGTAGTCTCTAGCAAGAACCCAGACATCGCTGTATCCAAGGAATCCAAGTCCATTGCAGCCAACAACAGTAACGATAGAGTAGTCATCGTCAATATAAACGATTTCGTAATTTCCGCCAACAGGTTAGAAAACAGAGAACTTTACCTTAAGGTGACCGGGAGCTACGATTGTAGCAGTTCCTAAAGCCTTGTTAAGATTTCCGTTACTCTTAATAGCTTAGTTATCAACCTTAATTGTGCCATCATCATTCAATGAGTAATTAGCAAGAGTACACTTATCAGTAATATCTGAGTATCTGAAAGATTTGCTAACAGCGACGTTGTACCATCTTCCTAAGTATCTATTCCAATCAACATTAACATCAGTGTATTTACCAGTTTAGCAAGCTCCTTTGTTACCATCGACAGCTAAAGTGCAAGCTAAGCAGGCCAAAAGTACGATTAAGATTTTAGACATTTAAAATTTTTTATTCAGAATTTTTATTATTTATTTATGTATTATTATTTATATTTTTTAATCAATTTGCTTGTTGAATTTTATAATTTAAAGATAAAAATAAGTAAATTAATTACGAGAAACTTCTACCTTATTACTTATATAAAGTTCGAGATTTATCTCATTTATTATCGCTATTAATTGTTAAAAATACTTTGATTGGTGAAAGTGTAAGTTGAAAATACCTAATTAATTTAATTTGTGATCAACAAATTTATCAAGATTTTTCTAATTTACTAACAAATTTAATCAAAAAAAATGAAATCTTAAACAAATATCTAAAGAAACAAAGAAGTAATTATTAAAAAAACATAAAACTCAAAAAGGACCAACAATTATTTAGATAAATAATCTCTGAAATATTCTAATACTATGTTTAAGCATTTAATATATAATGAAGGTTTCTTTCATAATGTTAAATAGCAAATATATTTAAATTTAATAACATTTATTTCGAAATAAATAAAAGTAATTTTTCTGATTTCCAAATTTTCAATCACTCAGTTTTATGAATTTTAATTATTTCAATGACTGTATGAATGCTCATGTTTGTTCTTAAAGATCATACTATGATGCAATTAAAATTGAATATTTTTTAAATATGTAAGCTAAATTAATTAAAATTAAATGATCAACATGATTTTCAAAATGAAGGAATGAACACTCTTAATTAAATTTTAAAAATGTAAAATTCTTTTGAATTATTTTTAAATTTATTAATTATTTACATATTATTCTAAGGTATTTTCTATTTCAACACTAAAATCTTTACCAATATAAAAATGAATACTTCTAAGTAATTTGTCCTTAATTATAGATTAATGTTTTATTTTTTTAAAGAAAACTCAATATAAGAGTTTGTTTCCACTTTTAGTTTCATTTCTTGATCAGTTAAATCGAATTCTTCATTCTGATTAACTCAAAATTAGTTCTAATTTTTCTTTCAAAACTTAAGGTTATCTCGAATATGGTATGAAATTGCATAGCTGAATACAAAATTTCAGAAACCTCCACAAAAAATTAATGAATCTAATGTCAAGTCATTATCCTAATAAATGAGTTTGCAACTCTTTTTTATTAGAATAGATATTCTTGCATACAATACTCTAAACAATCTATTTTCTAGATTCAAGCTTTCATTATCTTCAAAATTGAATAGATTAGAAATACTTAAAATAAGTTTTTTTTATGTTAAGAATTAAATTAAAACAAAACTATAAAATTTTTTTAGAAATATAAAATAAACATTTTAAATATGAAAACATTATTATTGTAATTATATTAAATTATGTTTATATAATAGTTTGATTATATAGTTATTTATTATATTTAATTAGTATAGTTAATTTTATTAGAATTTGATTAAGAAAGAATTGAAAAAAAGTTTAATAATTAAATTTCAATATTTTTCAATCAAACAATTTTTTGATTTCATCATAAATAGGGTTTGAATTAAATTCTTATTCAGCTTATTCTGATAACTTTAGGTCACACCACTCACTTCCAGCTATGTATTAAGTTATAGCTTAATGTAAAATGTAAGAGCCGTCTCCTCTTACTATAATATCCCAGTCTTTCTATAAGTTTGGAATATCATTAACCAAATTGTCTCTCAAAAATAGAATTGAAACAGTATTTTCACTTCCTAATTAATTAGACATATAGATGTCATGGTGATAATCACCGAAAAGGAGGGTATTTTTACGAAGTTTAAATTCTTTTTAGTTTACTTATTCATCCTTTAAAATAGTATTTATTACCATTTTAAGTTCAGTTAATATGTTTTATTCATCAAAACGAGCTTAATTGCTAAACAAAAAGAAGTTAGAGTAATCTTTTTATGTATCTAATATAGAATTAAGCATAGTTTGAAGAATAGCTGATATTCCACCTGAGATTATATAGAAAGGTAGATTAACATTAGAAAGGCTTATTAAAAACTCTTTGAAATTATAGCGGAATGCTAAGGTAGATTCTTCAAGAATTGAAAGCAATTTATCTTTAGTCAATTGCTCTTTACAGAAATTTTCGCTGACTCCATCATTCCATTCTTACATATAAGCAGCCTTTTATTTTTTATCAAGCTAGCTATCGGACTCATAAGGATGATATTTAGTAAATAATTATTTTAGATTATCTCTAAATTGGGTTGAAACGTGCTATGATTATCTTATCATACCTAAAGTTGCCATTTGAGGTTTTTCTTTAGTTCCAAAAGCAGTAATAGTTTGATCAAAGTCAGAGCAAATTTATAATTCTTTTAGACCGGCTTTTTTCATCTTTTAAAGCTTTTATCTATATTTTAAAGAAAATGTTAATAAGATTTTTAAAATATTACAAATTTATATGAATAATAATCATTTTATTTTTTCTATATTCACTTATTTAAAAGGATATATTATTTTGCTTTTATTGTTTGGTAGATTTTAATGGTTTTTGTTCAAACTTTTTAAACTTTTTGAAAATTTAACGCTAAAAGATTTCGTAATTGTTAAAGAGAAGCTTTTAAAAAATTAAAGCATACCTTAATTTATCAGGATTGCTAATGATAATCTATTCGTTTGAATCAAAGCTGTTATGTCTGATATCTTTCCATGTGCCGCATGACTCATGGGTGAGTTTTTTATGTTGATTAACTGAATTAAATGGTTAGTTTTCTGAGGCAATGCCAACTGGAATGTATTTCTTTAGGTATTTCTTAAATTTGATAATAGCTAAGACAGCGAGTGCAATTCCTCCATGTATGAGAATACGCTTTTTAGTGTAAAAAGGAGTAACTTCTAAGTCTGGAATGATATTCATTTTTGATAAATTATTATTATTTTTTTAAGTTATTTATATTCTATATAATTATGTTTTTTTTAAACTAATTTAATTTAGAAATTTAAGTATTGATTATAAAAATTAACCACAGGTTTTACCCTAATCTATTTAAAACGATAGAATCTCTAGTAAAATTCATTATACTTAGTTTAACATTTACATATAGTTTTGCCATAATTATGCCAGAATTATTTCTAAAAGACTAATTAATTTATTCAGAAGGGGGATTTTCTTGATTTACTATTACTTATAAAGTTGTCACTTTACATATTTTATAAAGAAATAATCATCTCAATATTCATATTGCATACTAAAACCCAATTTTCATAATATTAAAAAGTAATTATAAATATAAATTATAAAATGGCAAAGGTTCTAGTCTTTTTACACTCAATCTTCAAAAAATACTTATTAAAGTTATCAAAATAATTCTTATCGATAAGAAATACTTATATTTTGATAAGAAAAGTTCTGTTAAATTCAAACTATATAGATCAAATCATTAAATGGAGTAATCAATGCTTAAAAATAAAAATATTAGTCCGCTGCGAAAAGTAGAATAAAATTTTGATAAAGATAATAAAAAGGCGAAGGCTTATACTGTCTATTTTACTGATTTCAATATTTGTTAATTATAAAGAGTCTATTGTAATTTTCCAGAGAAGATCCATTTTTTTAATGGAAATCTCTAGTTTTTAACCCACAAAATTTAGTCCTATATAATCAAGTTATTTGAGGTTAAGTATGGGACCCCTTTTAATTTTATTAGCATTTAAATATAAGAAGAGTCTATTTATATTGAGTTAAGATATAATCAATCAGATAGTTTGTTTAGAAAGAAAATGGAAAGAATTTTAAAATAAAATTTATCAGTGAAACAGTTAATATTTTTCTATTTTAAATAAATTCGTTTCTATTTTAAAAAAATAAATATTTCAATAAATATTTTGAAATAGAAAACAATGATAATTTTAGCAGAATTATATTAACACAAATAATAATTTTCTACTAAATTTATACTAATTTTAACTTAAATATTCCATTTATATATGGAGAAATGTAAAAAAGTTTTTGCTTTCTATTTTTATAAAACAATTTATAAAGTAAAAGACACAGGTTTTATATCATCCCTATAAGATTTAAGCATTAAAAAAATCCAATTTTAAACTTTAAACAATCAATTAATTATTTTCTACATAGAATAAATATACAATTCTATTATATGAATCTTAATTTCAAAAAACAGTCAAAGTATTTATAAATTTATGGTTTTATGATCTAATTGGAGAAATTAAATTCATATTTTTACTGTAGATTTTATTAAATGATTATAAATTATTTTTTATAATTAATGAACTAATTTTCATTAAATTTTAAGAATTTTCTTTAACTTTTAATAATTTATAGATATTTTAATTCAAAGTTAAACTTTTTAAGAAATATAATATCAAACTAAAGTGTAATCTTGTTATTTAAAACTCAAAACTATGAATTAATATTTGCTAAATCATATTACTAAAAGAACCTTTTGTATAATATAAAAATAGCCAATAGTAAAGCCAAAAACAATAGTACATTTATAAATTATTCTATACAAACAAATCATTGAATATTTTTTAGAAATTAATAAATAATGTTTTAAATGAAAGGAATTCGACGAAAGTATCCTAAAGTTCATAAGATGTCCGATATCTAAATAAAACTTATAGTACGATAAAGAAAAAAAGGCATTAATATCTGATAAATTAGTAATATAAATAATAAAAACTTTTATTTTAGTAATAACTTCTATTTTTATAAATAGGGAATCAGATATGATCTCAAAAATGGAATAGCAGAAATAACACCTTTTAACGCTTCTATATGATAATACTTTATTGACTCAAAAATATATATTATACCAATTCATTGAACAAGCTTTAGTTTAATGAATTTTTTAAACTCAATCTAAAATGAATTGTTATAATAGAATTTAATTTTTAATTGTAAAAAAATAAATACTAAATATCATTTAGTTAAAACTCTACTTTTTAAATGTTCTTTATACATAAACTTTTGTTTAAATTTTTAATAAAATCTATTTTTCGTTTACTTTAAAATTTTTACTGTTATTGAAAAACTTTTTTAACTCATATAATAATAAATATATAATAATTGTAGGTAAAATAAAATTGTTCGAATTGAAATTTAAAAATCTTTCTTCTTCTACCTATAATTCAATTTTTTCTATTTTTGTTATAATTATAAATAATTATTTGATACACATCAAAATACTAATTGAATACTTTTAGCTTAAATAAAGGAAAATAGTTTATTTAACTTTGCTTTGTTTTTAAATTTGTTTATTTTATAGAATAGATATGTGAAAAAATTATTTAGATTAATTTAATTAATCGTGAATAACTTTAAAGGTAGGATTATAATATTTACAAATATAAAAATAAAATAAACAAAGAAAATAGAAAATAATTAATTTGATAAAATTTTTATATTAAAGCATCATATATGAATATAATTTAAGTCGTTTATATTGTAATTAATATACTACTCTTAGTTAATATTTTTATTAATCTAATTGTAACTAATTTGTATTATTTTGTAGGTAGATTGGTTATTATCGTCAATAATTTATTTAGTTAAATTTATATACTTGGTAATTATTAATTTTTAGATTTTTATTATGATACAGGTTATATTTTAGCTCAAAATTTTCAGATTGGTTGTAGTAACTTGATGCAAAATAATTTCAGAGTATTAGTTAGTAGCAAAAAGGAAGCATATATTTAAGTTTAAAAGTATAAATAATTTAAGCAGTTTTAAGGGTAGTTTTTGATAGTTAAGTTTGCTTTTATAGAAATTTAGAAAAAGGTTTTATAAAATAGTTATTTTTTTGTCAAAATGATTTATCTAACAAATCTGAAAGTATGGATTCTTTAAATTATTCAAATGTCTCTTCAGTATAGTAACTTGTATTTAGATTAAGAAACTCTTCATCTTTAGATTGAGGATTTTAAGCACTTTCTCTTTCAATTAATTAAACAATGCTGAGGATATCATCTTAAAATAATTCACTATAATTTAATAAATAATAATTTATAAAAAATTTATATTTTTGAGAAATTAGATTAAATAATAGATAGACTACCCTATAAATTAATCAATATTTGCATCATAAATATAATTCTAAATAATTGAATTTTTATATTATGAGATATAGAATAAATTTAATTAAATTTATTTGCTTTTTTTTATACAAAAAGTTTTATTACTTAGATTATTTTGTTATTTTTTTTTGCAAATATCCTATATCACACAAAAATAAACTTATCAAATATCCTTTATCCTACAACAATAATCTTCTGCAATTCATTAATCTTGCATAAAAAGTTTTATTATGTAAAGAAATGATTAAATAATTGTTACTTCCTCTTTCGTATTAATTATATTTTATAAATTCCTTTGGTTATCTCAATTAAAGATAAAAACTCTTTCAATTAAAAATGAAAAAATAGTCAAAAACTAATAAGTTAATTTTATAAGTAATCTTACAAATAAAAAGAAATGTTTTTCTTCTTGTTATTGTAATTATTAAAAAGATAATTTTAACTTAAAAAGATATTATTATAATTATAAACTAGTTTTCTGTAGAAACAAGAGTGGGAAAAAGAAATCAATATTAAAAATTGAGTATTCAAACTAATATTATTATATTTTATAGGATTTTTCAATTAATAATTATAAAATGAGTTTACAATAAATTTATTATTATGTAAAATATTCGATTTATGCTAATCGTTGACTTGAAAAATGTAGCAATCATCAATAAATAAGCTTTTTATAATCTTTGAGTATATTTATTTAAATTCGAGTAACAAAAATTAATTTAGTAATTGTTTTTTAGATTTTGATAATTATAAATATTATAATTTTGCTTGATAATAACATGTAAAGATTATTTGTTGAAATTTAAATAAATTAAAAATTGAATATTACATCAAATTAATTAACTAAATAATTATATAAATTAATAATCAAAAAAATTAATAAATGTTGGGGGAATTATTGATTGATTTTGTTAAATAAATCACTGATAAATTGACAAATTATTATTGTATACCTTTCTTTTTTTATTATAAGACTTATAAATGCATCTAAATTGATATAATTTAAAGAGAAATGTAAAAATTTTTTTGGGTAAGAAACTTCTAAAATATGTATGTATGTGTATGTATTGTTAATTTACTGATTAAATATGGTCGGCTGAGGTGCTGATGAGGAAGAGTGTAGGATAGAGTTTTTAGGTAATGATTAGGTATCTTTTTACTGAAAGATGTTGGAATCTGATTGTGAAAAAATGTTAGTATTGTAATTTAGCTTTCTTTCCTTATTTTAATTATTCATACTATTACTTTCTTCCAATGTAAATTGAGTTATTTAGCTCTATGTAAATAGCCTACTTTTAATTTTTTATCCTCTATGATTTTCAAACAAGATACTATCATAATTTTCTTAATAATCTTGTGTCTAAGATGTAGTATTAATACTCTAATGGAGATCCTAGTTATCAACTTCTCTTGTGCTTAATTTATTTTAGATATTTTATTCTAATTAGCTTGAAGTCTGGTTCATCATTTTTAAACAATCTGGAAAATCTTTCTGTGTTTTATTTTTGATTTAATAATCAGATTCCACTGAAAAATACTACTCATCTTAAGAATGATTCAAATTATTTTCAGCTGTATTCTATTGATTTAAAGAATGAGTGGTGTTATTCTAATAAAACTATCCTTAACTTCTATAATTATCAGACTTCTGGCAGGAACAGGAGATACAAGATGAAGATGAGGATTTTGAAGATATAGCTGAAGATTATAAACAGGAAAGAGTATTTGAAGTAGAAATTGATAAAAATGTTTGAGTTAAGTTGATGGCTTTTAAGGGAGTGGGAGACAATATCTGATGACTTTTTGAGTATAATCTATTGTTGTTTAAGAAGGATTAGCCTATCTAAAAGCTCTTAAGCTAATTTTCGATGTTTTTTGTTTAAATATCTTCACTAAATTATTCCTTTGATAGAGAAGAAGAAAATTTATTGTTGAAACAAGGAGAAGATTATGAATGAGTGACAGGAGAGGTTGGGCTCATCCCATTCAATTCTAAATCTGTTTAATATGTGCAGGCACAGCTTCCAGTTTAATTATTGCATTATTCGTCTTCATAATCAGAATAATTTGTTTGTTTTTATGCAGAATAGTACCTTGTCTCACACTCCCGCTACATATCTATTTAGATCATAAGCCTTTGATTTTTTTTTTATTTGGGTTATTTTTCTGCTAATAATACTTCTCAATTTTTTTCGCAAATTTATTTGGTTTTTGTTTGAATAATGATTTATTTTTTATTTGCAAATTTCTAAGTCAAGCAAGCAAGCAAGTAATCAAGTAATTAACAATTAATTTTTTGATTGAATACATATTAAATATTCATTTGTTTATACATACATAATGTTTTTAAAATCAATCAAATTATTTTTTGCAAAATGAGTATATTTTTGATGGCAATATTAATAATTAATTAGCTGCTATCTATAATTTTTATATTTGTAACTCAATAAGCAATTTTAATTAGTAAATTTCTATAAAAAATTATGTGATCAAAGATTTTCACATATAGATAGTATCATGAATATTAAATCTGCTCTTTATCACTGTCATTCTTAATAATCAAATAAATATTTGATTGATATTGATAACATTAATTCTTCTCCCACCTACAATTTTATTATATCTTTCTCTAACTCTACTTACATTTTCAAAGCAAAACATCTCAATTATATGTGTATTACATAATTAGATACTTAGCTGTATGAAAAATAATTTATCATATTTTTGCAAAACATTATTATTTTCAAATAATTTAACATATCTATAAATACATATCAACATTTGGTATGAAATCATAATTATTTTAAAGTTTTTAATGTTTATATATTGATTGATTATATACTTTATTTAATTAAATTTACATAAAAGTCAAGCTGCTATGATATTAATACTACAAATTTTATAATTTGTAATACTCTACATTTAAAAAATGTACATTTATATTATAAAATAAAAATAAATTATTTCTATTAAAATTAAAATTTAAAAATACACTTTTATATAACAAATAAATTTAAAATTAAAGGTTAAAGGAAATAGTTTTATTACATATTTTATTTACTATATAGTATTTTAACAATTTTATGATATTAAAATTATTATTTAAATTAAAATTGTGTGCAATTGATTGCGTTTTTATGTTAAGCAAACTAGTTATCGAATTTAATTATAAAATTTTATTTACCTATTTAGCACTTCCTATCAAATTTTATTATATTTTTTAATAAATTAATTACTTTTACAATAAATTTCTATTATTGTGGTTTATGTTATGGTTTCGTAACATTTATTTAGTTATATCAATCAGTCAGTCAGTACATTTCTTTTAATTTATCAAAGTTGTACTTTTATTGCAACTACTTTACATCGTGATATTTTTCATCTATTTTTTAATAAAAAAGAATATTTAAAATTGCTTTTGAAAAAAGTTATAAATTAAATGTTTATTTTGAAATCTCAATGAAATTTAATAAAATATTTACTTGAAGGAGAGTTTGATTAGTTAAACTAATTTTATGCGTTCTAATTTTAACTAACTTAGTTATTACTGGAGGATTAATTAAATTGAGGAGAATATTTAAATTAATTTTTATAGCTGCTGTTAAGCAAAAATGCAGCACCATTATTGAATATATTTCTTTATGTATTTGGTACTTAGTTGTTGCTGTTAGTGTTGTTAATTGTTTGAGCTAAATTAATTTGTTACTAGTTAATATTCGTGTTATAATTTTAACCAGGATTTTAACTATTGTAATAATTCGAGCTATGATTAGATTAACCTAAATTTTGGACCCCACCTTATTAAAAGTTATAGTTATTGTTTTTGTATTCGGAGAGATTCCAAGTTGCATTTCCAGCAAAATTATTTTTATACATATTTTTCCCTTGTTTTTAGGGTAACGATCCTTACTGGTTTAATTATTAGATACCTTAGTTATTATGTAGACTACTCCCATATTACTAACTTAATTATGACTAATAATTATATTTATTCAAAGAAAAATTAGTTGGCTTTTCGTTCGAATAGAAATTATTTGAGAAGCCAGGATTTTTAATTGAGTTAATTCCTAATCCTCCCTACTTAAATTAGTTTTATCTTGTTCCATTATTATTAGTTAATATATTATAGTTGTTATTTTATTAATTTTAATTATTGTTATTATTGTTGTTGTTAATGTTATAAGTATTATTATTAATTGTGTAATTCCACAATGAATCATCTATTATTTTATTTTAATTTTCTTTTTGTTGATATAACTCCCTATTTACTTTTTCTGTTTCGGTTTTTACAAAATACGAAGCATGAGGAATTTGGTTTTCATATAAGTTATTATTTATTCCTTGAGGTTGAGAATTTTATTATTTTTCATATTTCTTCAAATTCTATTCATATGAGTCTGCTATTGATATTTACGGCTAAGAAGAGCTTGCTCCCTGCATCCCTAAGTTACTTGAACTAACTGGAGTTGAAGAGTTATTTTGGCTACCATTATTTAGACCTATAAAGTAAGGATGCTGTAAAACTTAAGCAGCTGTTGGGCGCTTAGAAGGATCGTATTATAACATCATTTCTAAAAGTTATACTGCTTCTGCACTAGCATGAGGAATATATTGCTACAGAGGTACTTTTTCCTACTTTTGTGGAAACATTATTCCTGTCTAATTGGCTAGTTTCTATCCGTCAGGCCATGTTTATTAGTTTGGTGTTCCTAGAGTTTCTACCATTTTATAAAGATGATCTATTTCACTGGCACCTGCCCATAATGGGTTGAGCATATAAAGCTCAATCATTATACAGCCTAACGCAAATATATCAACGGGAGAGTTATAAGTTGTACTTTTTAATAATAACTCAGGAGCACGGTACCAACGTGTAGAAACATAATCAGTATATGGAGGACGAGAGCGAATCTCTCTAGCCAGACCAAAGTCACATATTTTTAAGACTTGCCTGTCTTCACTGATTAAAAGGTTTTCAGGTTTAAGATCTCTATGAAAATAGCCATGCTTATGCATGTAAGCTAATCCTAAGGCAGTTTAAAAAATAATAGATTTAATAACTCTCTCTGGCATTTTTTACTTTTTTTCTTTGAAAGAGAGGTAGTATTGATAAATATTAATATCCATATGCTCAAATACCAGATATAGTTCGTTGTTAATTTTAAGTACTTCTCTGAGCTTTACAATATTAGGGTGGTTCAACTTTCTTAATGATTTTATTTCTCGCAGATTTATACATTCTTCCCAACTTTTGAATTCTTATTTCATTTATTTAATAGCTACTTTTTCATTTTTTTCTATGTTAATTGCCTCAACAACAGTACCATATGTACCGTCACCTAAATTTTTTGTAATTTTATACTTATCCATCTAAGAGAATTATCGACTTTTCTTAAATTTATTTTTTCAGATTTTAATTAGATTTTACTTAATCAGTATAGTAGTTTTTGATGTTTTCTTTCAGAGAATTTATAAAATATTATATTTCTTTTGCAGGATTAGTTAGACCGTGGCTAGTTTTTATGAATAATATCTGCTTTATTTAGAGTAAAAAACAAATTTAGATAAACTAATTGAAAGTTTTAGTTAGTTCGCTAAGAGAGCAAGTTATTATATGTTATAAATATTTTAGATAGAATTAACTCTATAAATTAATGTAGAAACTAATTTTATTTCCAATCACTATCGTTAATAAATAACTTTTAGTAATGCTTAAATTTACTTCTTCAACTCCTAGTAAATTGCTAAAATATTTGAAATGGTTTTTTTGTTGCTAAAACTTAAGCGTTTTATGTACTGTATAACTATTGCTATTTAATTTCTATCTTCTTTTTAAATATAGATTTTTGGTTTTGATTTATATATTTTTTTTAATTCACAAATTTTAATGATAAATATTGAAGCTATCAATTAATCTATAATTTGGAGCTCTGTTAAAAGAAGCAAAAAGATAAAAGTTGGATGATTATCGTGATGATGCTCACACAATATAGTTTACGTGAGTAAACTTAAAAAGCGAGATATATCAAACATTTATATAAGATTATATATTAAGATTGTTTGTATTTCACGCAAATTTAGGTAATTAAATTAGTTTTTTTATTCATTCTACAATAAAAGAAGATTTACTATGACTATTTTTTTTCATATTTTAAGTACTTCCATCATTCAGAATACGCTAAAAATATTTTTAGCAATCCATCATTTTTTATAATTTTACTTTTTTATTTAGAATTGCTAGAATTATTTATAAAAAAAGGAAAATTTACAACAAACAAAAAACTTCAGATTTTCTTTTAATATCTTCTTTTACACAAGATTTAAATTGATATCAATAAAAATTAAAATAATACTTATAGACCTTCAAAACATCCATAAAATATTCCATATTTTTAATTATTATCTAAAAAAAATAATTAAAAAACCAAAAATTTGCCACATACTTTTACAGAAAAATACAAATAATTTTACTGCCTGAATTTATATTATTAATTATCGCCTTAAATTTAAATTTTAGCTGAAATTTGCATGTGTTACAAAAATTTCTGAAGTTTTAATAAAATTTTAGAGTAATCTAATTTTATTTATTAATTCCCATAAAATTAATTGTTAGCTACTAAAAGTAAATTAAACATAAAATAAATTGATATAAATAAATTAGATTTTATTTTAGTATATATAAATGAAGTAATTTTCAGTATATTTAAATACTTAACGGATATTGAGATCTTTTTGGTTATATTTAGGTATTTCCTACTTAATTATTAGAGCTAAAGCTAATAGAAGAGACATGTCTTTTATGATTACGGCATCTTTTTTAATAAATAATAAAATAAATTTTAGAATCAAATAATAAAGTTTAAATGTGGTTTCAAAAATATTTATTTCTGAAAATAATTTTAAATATTTTGAATTATTTATACTGCTTGGAATGCTAAATGTTTAATGTTGGCTTATTAGTCTACTAATAAACCTTACATCAATAAAATTTAATTCTCATAAATTTTACTTTGAATAAAATTAAAAATTAAAATCACTTACGATTATGTAAAGAAAAACTATTTTTAGGGTTCATTAGGATGATTGTTTTTGGTACTTTGTTAATTCTAAGGATTTAAATTTGCCTAATAATTATGTGGAGAGGATATAGGAGTATTTTCACTTTGTATATGCTCAAAATTCTTAAAAATAATATTCTACTTATTCTTATTGCCTTGTTGATAATTTATTTAATTTTATGCTTCATATTACTGAGAAAAGTTTTTTATCCTTTACTAAATTTTTTTAAACTAGTTTGGAGAGCTCTACTAAACTTGTGAATTTGATTTAGAAGAATTTATAGAAACTCTATTTTATTTTTCAGGATTAGCTTAAAAATTATGTTTCTATTTTTCATTGAAGCTACATTTATTTTATGTATTATTTATATCTTAAATTTGAAAGGGTTAAAATAGTTCATTATTTTTATAAATATTCTAAAAAGTTTGATTTCCAATGAAGTTATTGTTCACTTTTTAGGAATTTTATCTACTTGTGATTTCATTTTGGATCTAAACATGATTATTATTTTTAATTGAATTATTCTTTCCTTGCATATTTCTGCTTGAAATACTTTAATCTTCAAAAGTTTAAATTTTTCTTGGTTATTCTCTATTTTAATAGTTACTTTTAGGTTTTTAACTACTTAGAACTCCAGAAAACTAATTTCGAGTAGAATAAGAAGATACAGAGCTAGGATTTCTTTTAATTTAAGGATTTATATTTTCATTATTACTTCTTGTAGTTGTTTTATTCAGAGAGTTTTATTTATCAATATTTGTTTATTAATTTCTTTATAAAGATTTTTTGTTATTCGGTGTAGAAACCAATAAATTTTATGGTTAACTCAAATAATTTGTAATCAAAGCCTTTATTTAGCTAATTTTTTCTAAAGATTTCTATTTCAAATTTTCAAAAATATTTTAAAATAATAATTTCTTTTTTCTTTAAACTTAATAAAATACAAATAATGAAAGAAAGACAAATTCAAAAATAAAAATTAAAAATGAAAAAATAAATTTTTACTTCTCGTTTTTTCTAAATAATTTCTTTCTTTTCAAGTTCTTAAATGATTTAATATGTCTCTTCACTTATACCATAATAATATTTTTGAGTGAATTCACATGGGAATTCAAGGTTATCATGAGTTAAATTATTTTCCAAATTATTAGCTGTTTTGTTTCTTGAAGTTAAATAGTTTTAGCTTTTTGGAGAAAATTAAATGACTGTTTGATGAGTTTCTAGTTATTAAGAAGGATGTGACTAATTTGAATTTTAATTATTGGCTTCATTATCACTCTCAAGTTGCTTTTCTATTATCTTTTCTTCAATAGATTTTCTAACTTTATCGTGGCTTGTATTTATTAATTCTTAGTCTCTATTAATAGTATCCTCTTAAAGATTGTTTGGTGAAGCTTAAAATATGCTTGATAAATTTTTAATTGTGTTTCCAAAATCTGCAGTTTTTCTTAGACCTGCTTAATTTACAAACTCTGGATTATAGTAAGAACTCATCTTGTTTTATTCTACAGCACCTGAAAATGGTGAAATTTAAGAATATTAGCGAACTCCTGCATCTAATTCTTCTTCAGTTTAATCTGCTTGTGTTGTTTAGTTTGTACGAGTTTAATGTTATATTACTTCACCGTTAGCCCTTTTTTGAATATCTTCTACTAGAACAGTGTCCAGGACAATATTTCTATCTCTAAGTTAGTTTTCGCCAATTAATCTATCACTAGAATCAACATATTCGTCTTTTTCACGTAGGTCATCTTTTGTTAGAAATCAGAATTTAATATACGAATTAATATGTAATATTTTACATAAAGCTGGAGGAGGATATGAAGTATTTTATTGCTGCAAATACATTATTTTGTTTTTAGAAAATGCACCGTAAGCCCACACCTTATCTTAGTTGTTATAGTAAACTCCTATTTAATATTCACAAAGAATAAATATAGATAGAGCATAAAATAATAATATTTCATACCTGGACCTTAAAATATAGAATTAATAAAATATCCATCATAAATGTCTCCTGTTTTGAAAATTATTTTGCCTCTTCCTTCAAGTAATCCTTTCTAATTAAATAGAAAAATTCTTTTATTTAAAATAAAATTAATATCAAAAAAACCTACTTTAAAACTTCCAAATTCAATTTTTCCATCAAAGTGGAATCTAATAGCTAGACCATTTAGCAAATTACTTTTTCTTTCACCAACTTCTATACTGTTCTCGCAAGCAATATAATTTTCTAGTCTTTTTTTTAACTCAGCATCCTTTTTATAAATAGATTTTTGTTAAAAAAAGAGTAATCCTTTTTTGAAATATTAATTACATAATAATAAGGATTAATTTCGAATTAACTTTATGAATTATCTTTCTATTTGCTTTCAATTTTATCTGAAAAAAAAGCAACTTACAGTTTCTTTCCTTCACTTTAATTTTTTTCATCAAAGTTAGTTACTTAATTAAACCCATTTTTATAAAACTGAGCTGGTGATGAGCCTTCAAACTATCCATCAATCCAAAAACCATTTAAAATCTATTATTAGAACGATGGAAAAAAAGAGAGCTCTGCTAATCCATTAGCTTAACCTTTCTTGAAGTTCCCTCTTAAAACGCTGCCTGTCTTAAAAATAAATAGACCACAGCCATGCATCAATCCATTTTTCCACTAACCTATTTTAAATGAATGAGTGTTTATTTTTTATATACTTAGTTATTTAAAATATTTTTATATACCATAGTAAAAGCAACCATTATCCCAAAAGAAACCACCTTCCTACATAAATTAAAAGATCATTGACGATAAAAGATAAAATATATAAATTAATATACTCCATCAGGTGTGTTACAATTCATTTGCCCAAAGTAAATACCATTTTAGTAATTTTTTTTAATAAATTAAGTATATTTTTTTTGTTGAGATATACTATTTTGGTCTATCTTCTAGTTTTTGTTTTCACTGACCTGTTAAAATATTTACATAAATTAATTCTAAGAGCTGTAATTCGAACTGACTTGATGCTTATCTGTTATTTATTTTTTTAAATTAAGGTTAAGCATTTAGCTCAGAGGTTAAATTTATAAGCTAGATGGATTATCTATTTTTATATCGTTAATTATTTATTACTCTAAAATTTACTAATGTAGTATGTAAAATTACAAATTTAAGTTTAGCTCTTTTGGTGTAAGTTTACTTAGTATTTTGGTTACATAATTTTTTTTAATTTTTCAGAGCTATGAGATGTTTAAGGCTTCATCTAACTAACTGATTGCTTATATATATAATAGTTTTTTAGCTAAATTTTTTTTTACCAAAAGCTATTATTTTAGAAAATAGATAAATAAAGTTGATAAAATCTTTTGATCGTGTTATTAACTAATAAACAAATTATCTTTTTTATCAATCTTTTCAAATTGAATGATGCTTGTTTATTATCTTTTTATTAATTTTTGATTTTTAAATTATATAATAAATAGAACTTTTGCTATAATTTATTAAATCTACGGATTAACTAATTTTTATAATAAATTCAAAATTTTCAAATACAAAAACATGTATGCAAACATTTATAATTTTTTGCAATTTTCAAAATAAAGCTTGATATTTGAACGAGCATTTAGTAGAATGGAGTGTTAAATGTAAACTATACTAACTCTTTTATTTACATTTTTCAGTATTTTATTTCATTTTTTCTTGAAGTAAAAATTCTAAGCTTTAATCATCCCATTACTTAATACATTATTATTATTAGAAAATTAAATTTTGCTGAAATGGTTTTATTCTAGATGGTTAAAAATATTTAAAAGTATATGTAAAAAATATTTTATATTATCATTTAATTAGAAGAAAGTAATTTTATTCACAATTGATAAATATTATTATGATTGTTAAAAGAAATTTAAATTCAATTTTTATTTCTTGAAAAATATTTTGTTTAAATATAAAAATGCATGAATACATCACACCATAAATATTCTATTTTTAGTGTTATTAATATTATCATTAAAATAGAAAAAGCATTTAAATTTTTTACCTTTAAAACTACTAATACCCCGTAAAAAATTTTGTTATTTTGCTTTTTTAGTATAATAAATAAAATAATTTTGACACTTTGTCTTGGTTTTTATATTAAATAGTAGTTTTAAAGCTGTTAATCATAAATAAAAAATATTTTGTTTTTATGTTTAATTATTGATCATCCAAAATTAAATTTATAAATTAACCTCAAGTCAATGCTTAATGAGTAAATAAATATAAATTATTTATTGATTTTTTATAAAATTAGAGTGGCTTTGATTTCATCAAATTTTTGACTTAAAACACTTTTATATTTTGCGTCTAATATTGATCGAAAGAAATATTTAATTACTATGTAATTTAGCGATTAATAAGTGGTATAATTACATCAATAAAAGGAGATATAGCTAGACAAGACTAGGATAGATATATATTATAGTAATTCATAATTATGATAATGATAATAAAAGGGGGATAAGTGAAAATTTTAAGATCTTAAAAATCTAATTCATTAGTTTATTGAAATTTTTGATTTAATAATAAATGAAAGAATGAATGAATGAATGAATGAATGAATGAATGAATGAATTAGAATGTGAGATGAATATATTAGTAAGAATTAGCTTCATTAAGAAATCAGTTTAATTTTATGAGATTGATGCTAATTTTTTAATTCTATTTGAATGAAGACACTCTATTATTTTGATTATTAATTCATATATATAGCGAGATAACTTTTAGTGAGGAAAAGAGAGAGATAAATCCTATTTTGTTTTTTTAGTCAAAAGAAAATTAAGAAATAGTTAGGCGAAATTTTGATAATAATATAAAGAAAGAAAATTAAAAAAAGGTCATGTATCATAGAAAAAGTCTGAATTAAATACCTTGTTCACTTAAAGATGAAAACTACGAATAGTTAAATAAAGTAGGCTAAGGAAAATACGGGTTAATACTTTAATTTGAACATTTTAGCCATTAAAATAAAAATATTTATTAATGGAGTGCATTTTTGTCCCCAAAGTATCCACCGTTTATCAAAATATTTCGAGTTTTACCAAAAAAAATTCATATTTAATGTGATTCACAAGCTACAATTTTCTTATTTTTTCATATGAAAAATGAACTTGTGAATAAAGCCAACCATATAATAATTGCTTGTTAATTACTCATTTTCAGTAAAAAATGTTTAAAATTGTCTTTCATCAAATATATTTTATATTTTTAGTTTATTTATTTTATGTTTAAAATAATTTTCCACATTAAATTCCAAAATGCTTCATCAAATGTCTTGGCTTAAATCAAAAGATATATTTTACAATCTTTTGGTCAATAAAGATTTTATACACTCCAAATTTAATTAGGCCCTAGCATTTTCTCCATCATTAATTTGAATGTTATGGCTTATTTTATCATTTCAATGAAATATTATTAAAAGTATTATTAATAAATAGACTTGTCTATAAAGCTCGACGTAAGGTGGATTAAAAGATTGTTGCTCTAAAAAAGATAATCGAAGAAAGTCCATCTCCAAGTCAAGGAGTAAATTGTTTTGCTTTTCAAATATGTGCAAAGATAAAAACTAAACTCATTAATACGTTTGAAGAATTTTTTAAAATTTTGTTATCAGAAATCATAGAATATACTGAATGTTTTCACTTAATAATAATTCGGCTCAAAATGCATCTACCTCATTTTAATCTATTCAGATATGAAATGTGATTGATAAATAAGATATTAGATAGCAATCTATACATCCAATCAATATAAAATATTTTTAAAATGTTTAAAAACCAATTTGTGCTTGGAATTAATCGAAAAAGATTAAATGGTTATCATTAAATTTTCATATTTCTGAAATTTTTGTTGTAAAATTTGGGCAGATAACATACCGAACAACGAAAATAAAGAAAATAATACTAAAGAAAAAATTACCTATTTTTTATTTAAAGTATAGATAAAATGCTTTTTAGCTTGATCAAATTCCTCTTATTTTTTTTATTAAATTGAATTATCCATTCATTAATTGATTAGCTCATCAAGCAAAAAAAAACAAACTAATAGAGATAACTATAAAACATCAAAGCAATCAATCCATCCTTTATATTAATTCTTTTTATTCTTAAAATATAGTTTTCTATTTTAGCTTTGAGAGAGATGAATATTTTGAAGCGTCTAGATACTCATCCTAATTTAGTAAAGCTGCTAGACATCGTAATAGGTAAATAAAAACTCGATTCAAAAATGTATAAAAATTGATTTGAAGTGTTGTAAAAATATCAAATACTATTTAGAATAAAAAAATAAATATTCTAAATTTTGATTATTCATTCTCTTGAATTTGTTTAAATTCATTTCTTTTGATATCATTTGATTAATTATTGATAACGAAATCAAATTTTATTTTTATCAGAAATACCAAATCAAATTAAATTATTTATGGCTTTTCATTAATTTAAGATAAAAAATAATTTATTCACAATTGTAAAAAGTTGAAGTCTACTGGTCAAAAATATTGACACTAATTCAGCTCAATTTGATAATAATTGTCCCATTTTTATTAAGATATATTTGATATGAATTAGAAAAAAAATACACTTGAATCAAATCAAAATAAAAAATACAATTATGTACTTATTTATGTTTTAATATATATAAAAAGAAAAAGATGCCAATCTTACCACATCCACCTTTTTTGTATTCGAGTACTGTGAACATGATTTAGAAGGAATGTTTTTGAGTAAAATTCGCTTTAATCTACCATAGATTAAGAGAGTTATTCATTCTATTCTAATGGGCCTTTCTGAACTTCAAAAAAAGAATATTATTCATAGGGATATAAAGAGTAAATTTATTTAATTAAATAACACATATTTAAAAAATTGGCCATACAATATTCAAATTAGCATTTGATTTTTTTAAGTTGAAAGTTAATTTCTGTTTCTTTTTAAAATAAATAGCGGACAACATATTATATAACAAAAACAGAGAAATCAAAGTTGCAGATTTTGGTCTCTCTAAAGATTTGAATATAAAACGCGCTCCTCTTTCTAAAAAGCTTTAAAATATTTTTTACAGAGCTCCTGAGTCATTACTTGGTAGATAGTTCATTTAAAATTAGCAAAATTATTTTAAAATCTCAATAACCAATCTATTAATTTGAAAAATTTTGGTTTTAATCAATTAGTAAATTAGAAAAACGTTGTTGATATTATTGATATTATTAATTATTTCTAATTAGCAAATTTAAAAAATGGGAAGATTGATTTTGAGATGATTTTTTTAATTTATTGCTTAATTATTAAATGATTAATATCAATATATATTTACTTACTTACTAAAGGTTCTTAACATTACTCATTTAAAGTTGATATCTGGTGTGCTGGAATTATTTTCTATTAATTACTTTTCAGAAATTAAGAAAATGTTACTTATAAAGCTCTCTTCGCAGCCAACTTTGATGAGTAACTAAAGTAAGCTAAAAATTACTTTAGCTTGCTAGGAAATCCAGAAAATGAAAATATTTGGAGTTAAAACTCTAAGAATGAGTTGAAAATGAAAGATTATGATGCAGTATTGAGTTAAATTACTCCAGAAGAAAAAGCTAATTTCAAAAACAGATTTATAGAACATTTGAAAGGAATAAACCCAAAGTAATTAATAAATTAATTAATTACAAAATTGTTAGTATAAATTTTTAATCTAACTATTTTAATTATTCGTGAATAGTGTTGATGATTCTGCTCTTGATTTACTTTCTAAAATGCTCACACTAGATCCTTCACTTAGATTCTCAGCTGATGAATGTTTACAGCATGAGTTTTTTTAATAGGAACCTGAAATGGCAAGTTTTGAAGAGTAAACTATTTTCATTTCTTTCATTTTTAAATAAACTTTTGAAAAATAAATTTAGAATGCCAAGGATAGATGAAGGATAAGAATATCATTATATGACACAAATAAAAGTTTAAAATGAAAGGTATAGATAAAATGTGGAGTAATAGTAATTTTAGCAAGCTATTCCTAATCAAAATGCCATAATTCTACCAGTCAATACTTAAATTTCTCCTATTAGATAAGGTGGAGTTGCAGGATAAGTTTCAGGAAATTAGCAATTTCAAATGAGAAGAAGCAAAAACCAGGTTATGCCCAACATCAACAACAACAATCAAAGAAATAGTCAAAATTAGAGTAATTGCATTGTCTTTTGCTTAATGAAACATTATGTTTCATGAATTAAAAAACACATTTTCATCATTTTTTCATGTAGTGGTTATGAATGTCTAGGCCAATCAAAACTTCCCTTCAAATGGATAAATACCTAATGTACAAGGAGGAGTTCCATCTCTTCAAAATTAGCATTAAAATCTCAATCGCTTCAATAATTAACAGTAAAACAAAAATTAAAATATGCAATAGAAGTAATCACCTTGTTTAAGACCTCTTTCAATTAATAATTTTTTAAAATCTAAAAATAGATTTACTCAGTAGCCGCATTTGCAGAATCCCCTCAATCAATAGCTATAAAATCCCTAATCTTAAAAGCAAGTTTTTCCTTAATAAAATGGTTATAGAAAATAGCTTCCCTTGAATTAGCAACAGTAAGGTTTACACACTTAACCTTAGTAATTTTTATAAAACAACACAGATAAAGAAGTACCCTTTAAAAATTCTAACATAGTTGGAAATAATTTTAATAAAAATTAATAAAAAAGAAATAATTTAAATTAAAACATAAATAATTAAACAAATTAAGCCCAAAGCTAAAAACAAAACAATAATTAATATAATAGCATGTAATATAAAAGCAACAACAACTAAAACATGATAAACAAATAAGCTTAATCATATTAAAGCTCATCTCAAGACTAATAAAAACAAACTTCTCTTTTCCAAAACCCTTAAAAGCAAAATTAGCATTAAGGAATTATTTCTAATAATTAAGAGATGTTGATTTCTCAAAATTAATAGCAATAACATAAAAACTCTAACTATTATAAAGGTGGTAAGCCATAATTTACAAATTAGGTAAGCCATCAACCAATCTTAAACCCCCCCAATAGCAATAGTGAAGCATAAACAGTTCCTTAAGTAGGTGGATAAAATGAAAAAAATCTGCAAATAGATAATTCATTTTAAGAAGATTATTAATAAAATTGTACTAATTTTTCAGAATCCACCGAAGTTAGCAACTAAGAGAACACAATTAATTTTAAAAACTCTTAATTTTCAAATTAAAACATTTCAAACAAAAATGATTCATAATAAATTTTGTGTGGTTAAATCCCTACATAAAAAAATTCAAATTCCTTCACCAATTTACCTGCAGATTCTTAAGGAAATAGAGTTGGTGGAAATAAAAGATTTTAGGATTCGACTAGCAATATAAATTGCCATAAAAGGAAATTAAGTTTGTAGGAATCATAAGAAAATATCATTAACCAAAGCTCTTCGATTTATGGTAATTAGTACCAAGCAGAATAGTAAGTGAGTGAAGAAACTCGCAAAAAGCAAAAGTTAAATATAACTGTAAATACAAATCTTGCAAACAAAACTGAAGCTTCCCCTAATTAAACTGCATTATCACAACCGAAAAACTCATTTAATAGCTTATAAAATAATCAACTTGATAGTACTTCAGCTACTCCTACCCAATTATTACACTCTTAGCAAGTGGTCAGTCCTATTTTAAGCGCTGGACGTCCATGTAAATATTTAATTATTTTAATATCGATTTTTGTAAAATTTAATATAAACTTATTTAAAAAAATAATAATTAGATGCTGCTTCTTTTGACTTACTAAAAGGGAGCTCATATATTAAAGGACTTGAGTAGGAAAAATAACAACAGCAATTAATTTAAATAAAAAATTAATCTAACAATATCTCAAACCTATATCTCACTTCAAGTGAAAATAAAGTACCATCAGCATAATAAGGAGTAGCAGTTGTTAACACAACAGGTTTGTAAATTCTTTAGTAAATCGCTTAAGACTGTACTTAAATAAGAAGAAGTAATTTTAAACTACATTTAATACTTCGTTATAAGTTAATCATAGCTTTATAACAAACAGGTTTTAATCTTAATGCAAGTATTTAACCTATGTCTTCTATTTCTGAAAAAGAAGGAGTCATTTCAGCTAGACTTTCAAATTCTAATTCATTAACTAATGAAAAGCCAACTAACTAATAGTTAATTGTGGAATATAATGAAAATGGATTTCCATTGACTCCTGATTTCAGTAAGCAAGAAGATATTAAATTTGGCCAAGGGAGATAGCAAAATCATTCAAGTATTGAAAAACGTCAGCAATAAGAGGAATTACCAATAAATAACTAAAGAGGAAATCAAAATTAAAAAATGAGGAAGAAAGCAGGCAAGTTAATCTAAAAAAATCAAAATAAAAACAAACAATTACTAAACCAATATTCGCAGGCCTCTCCTCTTGAATAAATAAGTAATCTATCTGCAGCTCCTAATTAAATAGAATAAGTTATTTAATAGCAAAAAAATGAAGCAGCCACTTAGAGCTTATTTTAAAATTAAGGAGGAGTATAGCATTAATCAAATAATTTAAATATTTAAAACAAATATGAATAAATGAATGATTTAAGCTAATCAGTGCCATAAAAAACCGTGTTAGCAGATGAAGAGCTTGCAAATACTCCTGTTTAACAAAAATGTTCATCAACAGCTTCCTCAACAGTTACCCATTAAAACAATATGATGCAAATCGAAGAAAGTTAAGATTTAAAAGCTTCATAAAATACGCAGTAGGAAACTGCTGAACCTATTATTCGAGAAAAAACCCAAGAATTTAATTTTGCTGAAAATTACCCTTTAGATTTATAGTCTTAGGGCTATGAATTTAACAATTATTTTGGAAAATAGGCATCATTTAGCTAAAATTTTAGATATAACGGGTTTATATAAAGTCCCCCTCACTTAGATTTTTAAGCCAACTACCTTATTAGCCCCAATTTATATTTTTAGAATAATGAATAAAGTCCCTTTTTACTTCACTAAATGACATCTGCCTTTCCTTAGGCATATTAATTAAACAATTCAGGTAATTAAATTTATTGAATAATTTATAGTTCTTAAATAAATTTATTTGATTTACTCAAAAATGAATTATCTATAAAAAGGTGATAGTGCTCAAAATTGATTGAGAACTAGTTTCAAAATTGAAGAAAGAAACGTATTTCTACTTTAACCATAAACACTTATATGAAAAATTAGCTGAAATAAATTATAAAGCTTTAATTAACTAATTAATCAGGAAGTTAGGAATACTTGAAAAAAAATATTTTGATGACCTATCTTTCATTCACTATAAACTTACTTTAATTTTTATAAATTGCAACTTAATTACGTAAGTAAAAAATTAAGTAAATAACTAAATAAGTAAGTTTAGTTTAATTTACCAAGTTCATCCACTTCTTCTCATAAATACAATTCAATAAACTAATAAATATAATAAATTAACCCATCCATCCACTCTCCCTTTTATAATAAAACTCCAAACTTTTTCAATAGCTAAACTGTATAAAAACTTGAATAACTGAATAAAATAAAAAATACCTCAAATTATTTTTTCATAATATTTAATGATCATTATTATCTCAAGTAAATAACACTACCACTTGCTGTTAAAAATAACATAATAGATAAATAGAATTCAATTTGAGTAAAGAATTAGGGTGAACTACTTTTCCTTAATTAACCAACTACTTACTCTACGTTGAAATTAAATTATGCTAACTATCCTTGTAAAAAGCAAGTAAATTAAAAATCAAAAATTAGATTAACTAATTGGAAGAAAATCATCACTCTTACTTATTAGATAAAATAATTTAATTATCCTAATTTATTATTCTTTGTAAACAATAAAAATAAAAAAAACAAATAAATAAATAAACCTAATTATTATTCTAATTTATTTAAGAATGCAAGAATGCATGTGTATATTAATTTGTAGCGATTCTTAAATATGCACATACTTTCTTTAGTATAGCAAACACAAAATAAATAACTTCATTCCATTTGTTACATGACTTTTGTTACATTTATTTTGCAAAAATGAATGTTCTTTTGAAAATTTAATTGATTAATAATAAATTAAATATTTAAATTTATAATTAATTAATTAATTTATTATCTCCTATAATTGTATAAAAAAATGATTTTTTATTTTGACTTAATATTTAACAAAATAAAATATCTGACATGGCTGGCAGACTCTCACATGTTTTAATATTATAAAAATTATATTTGGAAAAAATATATTATATTGAGAATTAAATAATTTTAAGAAGTTTTTTAAATTCTTAATTAGCTTTAAATTAAGCTAAGTTTACAAATATTTTTCTAAATAAACTTTCATTGAATTTATAAAAATTTTTTATTATGTTTTCTTTTAATTAAATTTAAAAAGAAAAAAAAATTAGAGTTTTTTATTTATTCAATTAATATTATTTAAAGTTTAAAGTTACTTCTTTTTACTTACTAATTAAAAAATATAATTTTATAGATTATAAAAAATGTATTTTAATTTGTTTGCTTGATTATTTTAAAAAATGAAATAATTTATTTGTTTTTAAAAAATTATTTATCTATTTTTCTTAAAGAAAAGTTAAGGTTTAAAGGAATTAATTAGAAACCATTAGAAGTTTCTGCATGAAAAGCAAAAAATTTTCTTTTTAATGGAATTTTTTAATGAAAAAATATCCGTAGATTAAATCTTAAGAAACTGGAAAGATCTTTTAATATCCTAATTTTTCAATAAAGGGGAAATATAAAAAGTGATAAAATTAAATAATTTATTTGTAAAAATATTAAATAGATAAAAACAATTATTAAATACTTCTTTTAAAATTTTCAAAAAATCATTCTAAAATGGATTATAAGAAATTAGCAATCATTGGTGGTTCATTAGTAGGTGCTGGAGCTCTCTTCTACTATCTCTACAATAGCAAAGTTTAAGTAAAGAAAGCAGCTGGTAAGACTCTTCCTAGAGAAATTATTATTAGTACTTTGAAGTAACTTAAGAAAGAACTCTTCACTGTTTGCGTTCAAATGTCTTTAATGGCTAATGAAATGAAGAGATACTCACAAGGAAGACTTGACTACGACATTAAAGACTTTATTTTCTCATATTGTATAAAACTTTATTATTTCAAACTTATCTTATCCAATTCTGAATTAAAAATTATTATAAATCTTTGGCAATTAGGATTTTAATATTTTTAACTCCTTATTATGTATGCTCTCAAAATAGTTATTAAAGTATGTTTAAAATAAAATAAATAGCTTCTATCAGCCAAGAAATTTAGGCTTCCATCAAGAAGGCTTATGATAAGAATGGAGTCACTGAAGTTGATTTCTAATATAACTGTGAAGTAACTTTTGCTACTGATGAGTAAATAAATAAAAATTTGAATTAGATAAATTCGATAATAATTTCGTATACTTAATTATAAAAAGTGAAATCTAAACCATGATGAAATCAATCAAGTCCATGGTTGATAATGCAGCTGAAGGCAAGTAAATGGATATCTAAGCTGAAATTCCTGAATTTTTAACTTAAGAAAAACTTTTGGAAATTATCGAAAAGATTATGATTGAAACTACTAAATCTATGTAATAATTGTTCAAAAAGATTAAAGACTAATATGGAGAATTGAACTTAAATGATCCTAGAATTTAAAGATCATTACAAACTTTAAAGACCGATGAAATTAAGTAATCATTTGATTAATTATTAACTTACTTATTACAACTTATAACGTCACTTATATAAATTAAAAAAACATAAATAAATTCTTAATGGTCCAAAAACTCAATTATAAAATTATTTATTATTGTATTAATAGGGATAGCATTTTTAATTAATATAATTTGGAAGACTTTGAAGATCCTGCTTCTAAGATTATCTAATGTGCTACTTAAAAGTATGCTATGGAACATCCCGAATTTTAAGAAAAGATGATGTAACTTGAATTAAAGCAACGTAAGTCTATGGAAGTCATTATGTAAAACCCTGAAAAGGAAGGAGCCGTTGAAGATATATTCAATGAACCTGCCTAATCTATGGGAATGGGTATGGGTATGGGAGGTGGTTTCCCTGGATTCCATTCAAGCGTAATATTTTTATTTTTGTTTTATTTTTTCGAATAATTTAAACTGTTCTCAAAATAATTTTAATTTATTCTAAAATATAGAAAAGAAAGAACCAATCTAAAGAAGAAAAGAAGGAAGAAGCTCCTGCCGTTAAAGAAACTGCTACATAAGAAGAAAATAAGCCTTAAGAAAATGAAGATAGTAAAGTTGAAGAAAAGCAAGAAAACTAACAAGCTGAATAAGAAAAGGTCGAAGAATAAGTTGTTGAATAAGAAAATAAGGAAGAAAATATCGTTGAATAATAAAAGGATGAAGAACATAATATTGAACAAGAAAAGAAGGAAGAACAACATGTTTAAGAAGAAGTCATTTAACATTAGGAAGAAGTTAGACAATAGGTCGATATTTAAGAATCAGTTGAAGTTGTTAATGAAAAGAGTAATGAAGAAGAATAATAATAACAATAATAAGCTCCTGAACATTAAGAATGAAGAAGTTAAAATAATAGCAATTAACGCTTTCTATATAAAACTTAAATTGCATAAGAAAGTGATTGAATTAAATTAAAATAAAATAAATTTTTCTTTCTTTTTTGCACAAAAAATCTTAAAATTTAGAATATTAATCAATGATTTGAGCTGCATAAAAATAAAAATTTAATAATCTAATTGTATCTTATTGATAATTTTATAGTAATTTATTTTTATATGCTTGCTGGTTTAAAATATAATTTTTCATTGATAACTAATTCATTTAATCTAAAACTTTTTTGATATTTACTAAATTTGGTTATTTTGTTTAAAAAAGTTATTATAGAAATTATTTATCTACTAAGTAAGGCCTAATATGATATTTTTTGTTTGTAAATATTTTTTACATAAAGGAATATCATCAATCATTAAAGTTAATTTGAATCTATTTTTTTTGTTATTTGGAAAAATTCCTACAAATAACTTAATTTTATATTAAAAAAATTGCTAAAAGAAATTGCTTTAAAATGATAAAAAGTAACCCAAACTTTCTGAATTAATTTATAACTAAAGTATATGTTGATAATAAAAAAATTTAATAGCAAATAAAAATATATATGTATCTTTACTGTCTAAATACTTATTGTATTCAAATTATGATAATTTCTTTTATTTAACATAATATATTATAGAACAATCAATTTCAGGCGTAACTTAAACTATTGATTTGGAGCTTTCTTTTGAGATAGCTTCTAAGATATTAATTTTCTCTGAGCATTTAAATTGGAATTAGAAGAATAAATCCATTGACCCATCTTGAATCTCTTTTCAAATTTAAATAAACATTCAACCAGATAAATACCAAAAATAAGAAAATTGATATCGAATAGCAAATAAATACTATCTCTGTAAAATAAAGCTACTAATCCATTTCATCAAATAATGAAGATTATTCATATTCTTTCCACATTAAATTAACCAATTATATATAATTTTATAGGCTTGTTAAATCTTTTAAGAATGTATCATTAATCTGCATAATCGACTCAGTTTATGCTAATTATTAAAAAAATTAAAATGATATTTTAAATAATCAAAAATTACCTTTTTAAAATCCTTATTATTAGTAAACAGTTTTGACGTGCTCATACCCATTTAAAAAAAGATTCTCAGAATATATAAAGAAATTCTAAAAGCTCTTAGAAAGTAGACTATCTTACAAATTATAGCATGGATCGTTTGAAGGAAGCTTTAAATAAAATAGTAAAAATGTTTGTTGATAATTATTATGAATTGTATATCAAATTAAAATTATACATTCAACATTTAACAAACAGGTTCTGTCATTAGGTTATTTACGAATTGAATATATGTTTGATCAATTTATCCATATAGTTAATAGTTATCCATCAATAACTAAGTAATATTTCCTTTCATCTAATCTTAAAGATTATTTGAATCTATTTCAATTTAAGACGGATTTTCTTCATCTTGGAAATCAGATAAATATTATTTGTAGCCAATTACTCTGTTTTAGAATTAGTAGTAAACCTATTTGGTAATAAATGTTTTAATTGTCATATTTTTTTAAAATTATAACTTACTTGCTATTAGTTTATTTGAGCTCTTATGTAGTCTTCGGTTTTAGTTATAAAGAAAATCATTTTAATATCTTTTAAAATGGCAAAGGATGTGAAAAAAACATATACTACAAGCATTTGAAAGAAGAAACTCAATCTATCTATTTTAACTCCTAATTATTTTTAAATATTCATCAATCAAAAAGCAAAATTAATATTTATGTATATAAATAAAATATTAATTGTTACCTTTATACTTACGAGAACGAGATATTGACTTATTATCATTTTCTTTTCTTTGTCTAAATTAAAGAATTTATTCTCCCTCTAAAAAACTCTCAACATCTCTTGATAATTATCTAATGCTTATAAAGGTAGAGAAAAAGTACGTAATATTTTTGTAATGAGTATAGTAATTTTCAACATCACGTATTGATATTTTCGTAAACAGTACTAAACTATCATGAATTTTAATTCTTGATTTTAGGATGATAGGATAAATAGCCAAAACACATCCTGCTATCAGAGTAAATGTAAATGTCCATAAACTGACAAAAGTACTGAATAGCTATTTCATACTTTTGTCAATTAAATTCATTGCTTCTGAAAAGTTAAATTCGTTCTATTTATCATCCAGATTAAAATTTGAGAAAATAAAATACAAAAAATCATCTTTAGAAATTGCTTTTTTATCAAACTTATTTCTAGTATAGTAAATTGTGCTATTAACTGCATTCATGAATAGTCTTATATATTTTTAAAAGTCAATATTTATCTAGATCGGGTTTTAATCTATCAGCATTATAGCATCCATTTGCTCAAACAGATAAAATCTTACATCCTTTTTCAAAATTAAAAAAAATAAATACCCATTCATTTATTCAAAGTTGATAGGTGAAATTTTATTTGATAAAATGAAATATTTTATTCTCTAAAAACTTATTAAAAAATAGCTATTTTTTTAGAAATTTTACCTTTCCTTAAATTTCTTATCCACCAGCTTGACTTAAGTCATTAACAGAAAAGTTAATAAAGTTAAGAGAAGCATTAAAAATTAACTGTTGTTGATTTGTCCACCAACTTTAATCATATAAAGCATTATCAAGATATTTATTTTAAACAAAATATAGATCCCTATAGTAATAATAAAATTAGGTAGTGTTCTCACTGTAAGCAGCTATGTTATCAAGAATATTCACCTGATTTTTAATATCTGTATAGCTACTCTATGTAGTTATTAACTGTGTCAACGATAAAGCAAAAACTAAAATACACATTATAATAACACAGTAATTTGCTATAATAAGTACAAGAGGCAATTTCATATTTTACAATGAAACTCTAAGCAATCTTAAAGCATTTTAAGTATTAATTGAGCTGTTTGTTGAATTAACACTTTAAGCAACTGCTTTTTCTTCATCTTATACATCTTTATTTTATATAAAGTTTTGAGATTTCCCTAAAAAAAATAAAAATAAGAACTTATACCTCTTTTTTCAAGATTATCAATTAAATTTCTCTCTTCTTTATCAGAATGATTCGATTTCTCACTTTTAAGCAAAATTTTAAGTTCCTCTGCATTTACATCTTCTTCTGAACTTGAATCTGATTTTTCAACTTTTTTTTATTCAGTGACTAAGCCATTGCCTTAGTTTGATGGACTACCATCTTTTTCTTTGTCAAAGCTTTTAAGTTATCTAAATATAAAATTTTAAATCAAAATCAAATTTGTTAATTCATTTACTTTATTAATTGTCCATTTTTCATTTTACTCCTTAATTTGTTGAATCCATTGCTTTAAGAACCTTACTTTTAAAACAATCCCATTTTGCTAAGCTTTCTTCCATTTGTATTTCTATCTTGTTAGGTTACTACTTTAGATCCAGATCTTTATCTTTTATAATCCCCCTAACTAATCACATTTTTTATTTCTTTTGTATCCTTATAATTAGGACTCTTATCTCCTTCTGAAGATTTTATTTTGCTTCTCTATTTTTCAAATCCTTAGTATTTGAAATTATTTTCTTAAACTTAGACTTAATTTTAATCTTCTTATTTATTTTCATCATCTTAATCTATTAAATTTATATTAATTTCATTTTCTGTCATCGTAATGGCAGCATTAGTATTATTATATTCTGAGTGTTATGCCTAAATTATTTAATTAAATGTTAATAATTATTTAATTAGTTAGTTAATACTTCACCAAAGTCAAACATCAAACCACTTTCTCTTCTTTTAGTTTTTCCTTAGTTCTGATAAAAATGACTTCCTTTTTTCTTACCTTTATATAAGATACTTGTAATATTAATTAAAATAATTAAATAACTAAATAACCAACCTATTATTCTTTTATTTATGAGTATTTGCCTAAATTTAGAAGCAACAGGAAGATGCAAATCTTCATCATATTCTGGATAAAAATTTTCTACAACATTTTTTTTAATAAACATGTTCTTTTTGGTTTTTCTATCAGGAGCAGGAGCAGGAGTTATTGGTTTTTATACCTATTTATCTTATTCTTTTGAAATAACTGAACCTTAATTTGAAAAATCTTCAACTTTTGAAGTTTGATGGCTGAAGATATGTTAATTAGATTTAGGTGAAGACTCTGACTACGAATTTGAAGGCTATTTTCTGTAATTAATTTGTTTTCGTTTTTCTTCCTTTTTTAAACCCTATATTTAAATCATTTAACTTAATCTTGCCTACCTTATAACTGTCTAAACGTAGTTATTTTATGTCGATGGCCTAAGTAACCCAATAATTGCCTTTTTTACTTCAACATCTATTCTTTCTTCATTATTTTCTATAAAAATTTATTTTCTTAAATTTTAAATTTTCGAGATAAAAATAAATTTACGGTTTTGCTATCCAGACTAACCTGGTGAGGGTTTTTATTATTTATGTTGTGGAGTTTGTAATTTTTAGCTATTTTAAGGAGTTGAAACTTTTGAATCTGGCTTGATATCAGCAGGTTACAAGCTGCCAAGATTAGTAAATTAAGCTGAACCAGATCTTTAAAACAAACTTAAGACATTTTTGAGTCTTTTCTTGTATTGCTATTTTCTTTTTTCTTAAACTCCATCATCAACTTTTTCTTTAATTTCTAAAGCAATTTGTTCTTCTTCATTCTAAGTAAAATAGTAAGTATTAAATTAGAAAATAAAAAATTTTTTGTTTATTAATTTAAAACCTGAGCTTTAAACTTCTTTTTTTTTTAATCATCAATCATTTTGTTCATTTCGGTAATAACTCCCTTTAGATCATCTTATCTTTTTTTCATTTTCTGCATGTATTCATAATCTGGTTTTTTTACTTCATAATGCATTATCTTCAATGCTTTCACACTTTGCATATTATGTCCATTATAAAAAGTAAAAGTTTGAATAGTTGCTCTCATTTTGATTATAGATTACAATTTTTTCCAGTTAATTTTCCTCAGTCCATATTAAATATAATTAAAATAAATACTTTTGAATTCGAATAAAATTTTTGGATCCATTTTAGACTTTTATCTTAGAATATCTTCTTCCAAATTGAAAAATGTTGAAAAAAGCTCATCTTTTTTTTCTTAATGATCTTGCAAAACATCAGTAAAGTTCTAAGGAATAAATACTATGAATTTAATTTCTTTTACAGAAGATTAAATATCGGATCCTAAAACTGCCATTTTTTTATTGTTTTGAATTGGTCTCTGAGTTTAGTAGGTTTCTTCCAAATCCTATTTTTAAATGTTATTTTAATTTGTTTTAAAATTAATTATAAATTTTTAAATTACAACAAAATAGTCTCTGTATACAGACATTAACTTTGGAGCGATTAACTAAATGTTTAGCTTAAATTTTGAAAATTCCTTTGGAGTTATGTTTAAAATATTAGCAAATTTTTTTCCAAAACCACTTATTTCTCCATCAGAATCTGTTAATATATAATCCATACTATTTAGTTTATGGATGAGACTCATGATTTCAATATCTTTTTAAAGTGGGATAATTTTTGCAAAAATATTCGCACTAAAAAGATATCCCTGCTAATCTAATGCCCATGTATGCATAATATTATTGATTGTAGTTTCTTAACCAGTATTATAAAAGTGTTTTAGAATTTGATCATGAAAAGATGAAAAAACTGATGGCATAAAATCATTTATGCTTCTTCCTTTTAAACTAAATGAATTCACTCCTAAAATTTAATCTACATTGTGAGAGCACCAAGTGATTTAACTCATCGTTTCAAACCTACTAGATAAACTTATCACACAAATATTATCATCATAAATATTGTATTTCTTAATTAAAAAATCTAGATCCTAATTGACTGAATTTCCTACTTCTAGCTAAGACCTCATATGGATCGACTTCTAAACTTAAAGTGAAAGTAGCTCATCAAATACAATTTAATTAGAATAAATTTCCATCAAAACTTTCAATTCAACTAAATAAAATATATTGTAAAAGAAAATTTTCAGTATTTAGTAAAATTCATTTTAAATTTACTTGATGTGTTGTTCAGAAGAGTTAAATCTTAAAACATATCCTAAGTTTATTTGATCTCTTAAAAATTTTTATTACAAACTTGCAAAAGTTTAGAAAGGTCTGGAACTTGATCGATCAAAGTTTCCCAGAGATCTGAAAAATGCTATGAAACATCTCTTATCGATTCCCTAATTTTCTTCAACCCTTTATCAAACTCTTTTACATTTTCTATCTATAATGACTCGCTTACAGGATTTTTAATGTTCTATTGATCCGAAAAATTATATTCAATTTATAATCAATTTCAAGAGTATCTAAAACAATTTACCTTATAGTATATGTATTTAAAAATTTTTTGCTAAAGACAATATAGAATGAAGTCAATGCTAGCACCTAAATTGTCTCCATACATTTTTCTAAACTAATGTGACTGAGTATAAAGAGGAGTGTATAAGCATAAGAATTCAAACTGATAAAATAGATTATCTAGATTAGCTATTTTAGATGTTTTAAACTTCTTTAAGCCTATTTTTAAGTATTTTATTTTGTTAATCATAAAAAATTTACTTTAAAATTTACCATCTTTGATCATTTTATTGACAAAGTGTTTTACAAAAACATCATCTTTATGAAATTATATTTTTGAATCACCATAACTTAAATTTTTTGGATCATAAAGATAATTTCTTCTCTAACAGGGACACATAGGATCAACACATTTGTCGTGGTGAATTTTAAGTAAAGAAGCAAGTAAAAGCTCAGATTTCTTAATGTGCAAATTCTAAGATAAGGTATGATATACCCTAACTTTCATATCAAGGAAAATATCAGTATCTATAGCTATTAATTCTGATATCATAACATTCTATTTTTTATATAATGTATGATAATAAAATTAATATCATTTTTTGTTTTTTTCTTAAAATATTAATTTTATTTTTTATTTTAAAGAAAATTAAGAACTAACTAAAATTCCTATAATCAGCTTTAGATTTATCAAATATATACAAATAAATTTAATTACATTTGCTGTGTAGGATACTCTATTGAGCTGAAGCTTTACAAAAAAGACTGCACCTAATCCAACAAGTAAAAGTGCATTTTACTAAAATAACGAGATGTTAGAAGCTTCTACAAAAAAACTTGATGCATTAACCCAAAAAAAAGTAGTGACCATTATGCAATTAGTTTTAGAAACAGATTTTAAATGATAAGGGTAAGTGCTTAGGGTATCTAACATTATGAAAAAAGAGATTACGATCATGACTAGCATCTATTCAAGAAGTTATGTGTGATCCGATAGATTAAGTATCAAGTAGGTCAGTAGAGATATCAATTTAAAAACGATTGAGGTCATATTTAAATCTGAGGGATTTCTAGAGAGGCTATCTTAACTCTTAAACGTAAAGTTAAAAAACATAAAGTTATATAATATCTCTAGCCCTATCATTAGACAAAAAGCTATGACAGAAAAAATAATCAAAATGATGTGTGTTGCTTTATATTTTTAAAAATGTAAATATGTCATACAAAGATTTCTTACTATTATGAAGAGTTATTTGAATTATATATAAATAAATAAACTTTGCTTACTTGAAAAGCATGTTACGTTAAGCTAGCAGAAAAAATTTGCAAGAATTAAACCCATTAAAGGCATAAAAACAATTTTATCAAAGGCATCATAAATTAACCCTAAACTACTCTTAAATTATCTAATATAAACTTCCTCTTAATTAGGACATTTATATACGTAATACATACCCCAAATTATGAACACAGAAACAGTCAATCCTAATATAAGCATTGCATAGTTAAAGAATAAGTTTTGCTAATTAATAATTTAAGGAAAAAGCAAAGTGTATCCTATTAATGGCAGAATTAGTCCAAAAAGAGAGTTCTTTTTTATGTAATAAAATATTAAATTGTTATGTGGAAAAAGTACAGAATATAAAATAAAATATAGATTTTAAATTTATTTAAATTGAATTGCAGAAATGTTTTTATAAAAGTCAATTTTTACATTTAGGTATACGTTATAGCTATTGCAAGTAAGAGAAATAACTTAAAGATATGAAAAAATAATCATAAAAATGGCTAATGGTGGTGAGATTTATTTGCAATCTAATATTTCTGAAAAAGTATAAAAAATTTTTTGCTTGAATTCATCAAAAGCACTGAGTTTCTCATCACTCTAATCTTCATCGTCAATTAATCTTCTCTTTCTTCTCATTTAAAATATTTATCAATATCTTCCGCTTATCTTTTATATGTTAAAATCTACTTTTTAAAATTTTATTTTGTTTATAGTTCTACTCTTTTTAAGAATTATTTAATCAACGAATCTAGTGATATTTATTATTATCATTATCATTAGTTATTGATTTTGAAATTTACAAAAATTAGAAATTCAAATGTAAAATTAATAGTAAAAGCACTTCTAACATTATATGGATTATAAATAGAATCATAAATAAAAATAGAGTTTTTAAATCTCTTTATATAAAATACTAATTTTTTACTACAACAAAATTCCCTAAACCAAATAAAAATTTATTTTACATTTTTCAGATTAATTAAATTAATATTAAATATTTTAAATTAAAAAGAAATAATCTTAAAAACATACTTTTTACTATTTTTTTTTTTATTTATATTCATCAAAAATAATTTCATTTTAGGGATTTGTGAAAATATTTTCAAATTTTAACTCCTTAAATTTAATAATAATAAATAAATAATTAACTAATATATTGATAATTTGTTTTAAAATTTTGTAGTTAAAATTTTTATAATTTAAAAAATAAGATTTTTAAGAATACTTAGAATAATTAAAAACTTAAAATCTGTATCAAATCTTTCTCAAAAAATGACATCTTAAAAAAAGAAGACTTAAAATGATAGCTCCTAATATGTAGAGTAGGAAAGCCATTTAAACGATAAAAATAACAACTACTATGAAAAGTTGATTATGGATAAATAATCAAAAGGCTACCAAATTTTAAGAGAATATGTTTATTACTATGGGTATAATTTCTGCGAGCTTTGTCGCTTAGTTGATGCTTAAGATAGATAATTAATTACTAAATCAGAATTCAGATCCATTTTAAACACAAATAAAATAGACTTTTATTTAACAGCAGAACAAATAGAAGAAATCTTAACTGATCTATAGACTAAATTTGATGGTACAGATCATTATATTCCCTATTATGAATGCTATTAATTAATGAAATCTTATCCTCCAAAAACAAAGTAAAAAAATAAGAAATAATACTCAAAAATATATAATTTACTCTTTACTATAGGTTTGCTGTTGCTTTAATGTTAGGAACAAAAAGGAAAAATCCAGAAGATCATTAATATGATTCATGGGAAAAAGAAATTGACAAATAGAGGAGAAATTTTTGGGATAGGAGAGAACCTGGAGAAGACTGGGATTTTAAATACGATGATCTGACTAGGTTAGAAATTTCAATAATGTAATCAAAAAGAGATGAGCATGGTAACATAGTATAAGAAGAAGAAAACGATGAAGAAGAATACTAAAATAATAAATCTTAATACAGATAAGCGACAGAAAACGAGCAGTATGAAAAGAGTGTCAAGAATCTTTATATGATGAATAATGAAACTATTTTAAAGAATTTTGATATTAAAATAGCCTAGTAAATAGCTAAAATACTAAAACCTTCCAACATAGTCCAATTTACCGATGAATAGATAGAAAAAGTTTTCAGACATAATTTTGGATAAGACTCAAAAAGGATTGGACAAATATACAAAATTAAACATTATTTTGAAGATGACTTTTCTAAGTAATATAATAATTGAAATAAATATGAGAATTCAACACTTATTTATCTATATTTAAACTAATTAATAAAAAAAGAGTTATCTAAGAACACTTTAAGGAATTAAAATTAACTGAAGATGAGATATCTCTCCTTCACTATAGAATTTGGGAAGACAATAACTTTGCATAATTTACATTTGAAACTTTATCAAGATGGGTTATCAAAAATAGAAATTAAAAGCTAAGAGAGCTTAGAACTTTAGGTTTAAGTGAATAAGATTAAAGAAGAATTCTTAATAAATAGGAGGCTCAATCACCAAAATTATTTAAATAGCTTGTGAAGTATGCATACAGCTTTGGATTAAATTTCTTAATGACTTCCTTAAGCCCAATAATAGAAAGAGATAATTATATTTTATTAAATAATATTACTTTGTACTTTAAAAGCTTAGGCATTTAATTTGTTCCTCAAGATATCAATGATTTAAAATTCTACCTAGCAAATCATGGTTGCATTCATTTGCAGGATAAAAGCGAATAAGGATTTTTGAATACAAGCTTATTGCTAGATACTAAAAAATTGGTTGATCTTATTACTAGAGAAGCCCAAAAAATTGCTATGAATAGTATAGATTTTAAAGCTGTAGGTAACAAATCAAAAGAATAAGCAAGAAGGTCTATATAATCGAAAATTGTATAAGGTATTGTAAATAAACTAAGCCTTAAACTTAAAATATATACAGATGAGAATGATTTAATAGAAGAAATTAAACTAAGGTATATTTATTTACTTTTTGATAAATTCTATATTATCAAGCTCCTTTATTTTTTTTTAGATTATATCAATTCTAATTCTTATTTATAAACAAGAAAAGTAGTTGCTGATTATTTTTCGGAAATTGACTAGTCTGATTTAGATATTGTTTTTAGCAAATTACAAAATATTACTCAACCTTCTAAATATTAGAGCTAGAGAAAGATATATTTACCTGAGCTTATTGATTATTTACTTGGAGGACCTCTTTTTGATGATGTGCTATTCTAAAAAATTAATGATTTTGAAAAAAATTAAAAGATTAGGGATTTAGGAATATCCAATCAATAAAATATTTAATCAAATAATAAAGAAGGTGAAAAATCAAAATTATTTAAGCATTTAGTTCTTGATAATGAGAATTTCTAGGATACTCAAATGAATACTTAGGAAACAAACAAAAGTATGCATACAGGACAAGTTTCATTTAAAATAAATTAAGATTAATAAAATTAAAATACACAAGATAGCCAATAGCACCTTGCATAATCAGAACCCATCGAAGTTCCTAAAAAATTTTTAGTTGTCACTAAAGAATCAATTTAAAAGTAGATAATAGAGTAAAAAAAATAATAGAAAGTTAAAAAAGTTTCGGAACAAAGTAAGTAAGGTAATAATGCCGTAGATAATCAAGTCATCAGTTAAAACGACAAAAATTAGCCTGATTTATAAAATCAAATTGAATATGAAGATATCCCTTGGATACCTGATTATAGAAAAATAGCTTTAGATTAGCTTGGAGTAAAAGAAAAGCCTAAACCTGGCATAGATTACATTAAAGGAGGTTTTATTTATGAAGAGAATGATGATGCATTTGTAGCTAAGCCATTAGACGATCGTTAAGTTGTAAATAAATTATATGAAAGCTTAAAAAGGAAAATACTAGTTGGTTAAAGAGCTACCCTAAAAGATTTTGATGCAGTAGATTATGTACTTATTTAGTTTAGAAATAAGCTGTAAGCTATGGATGAGCATTCAAAAGGTGCAATAACTCTCTAATAATTCTATAGCTTTATTAAATTAAACTTTCCAGAATTTAGTCCTTAAGAGTGCTATTAATTAAGGTCAATGGCAGAAGCTTATTCAACATAAAACCAATATTAAAATGACTCTGAAAGACTCGTAAGCTACACTTATTTCTGTATGAACTTGCATAAATTTATTTGCTAAAATATTCTATTTAATGATAGTTATTAACAACCAAATAAATGGTGATATTTTTAATTAATTAAAATATTTTAAAAAAGGGGAAGTAAATAACATTTGTATACATTTTTAAATCAATTTTATATTTCAGTTTTTTTTAGAATAAATACATTTTTGTGTTTGAATAATTATAAATAAATAAATTCATCAATTAGTAAATTTTAAGAGTATTTTGAACTACTTTCAATAAATAAACAAAAAAGTACACAATAAAATGAAAGTATTTAAAATAGATTTTTTAAAAATATTTATTAACATTATAATTTTTTAAAATAAATAATTTGAATCTCTTAAGTTGAAAGATATTGTTTTATTTTTTAATTTTAAGAATATTTATCATTTCATTCCATAATTTTTTAAGATTGATAAAAATATTTTGCTTGCTAAATATCTATTTAAAAAGAATTTTAATTTTTTTATTTCAAAAATTTTTATTTTTAAAAATGGAAACAAAAATATCAATTTTAGAAATATTTATTTTAAATAAGAAGTTTTAAATAAAATATTAAAAATTAAATAAAAAGTTGGAATGGTTTCAACTAATAAAATAAATTATAGTTTTTTAAGAATCAATGTTTTTTTTATTTGAATCATATTTTTTTTTAAGAAAAATACATTTTAAGTTAAAATAAAGAGTTAAGAAGACTAAATAAAATTTATATTTTTTCTTTCAGTCTATATTTGTTTTAAATTTTTTTATTGTTAATTTTTCCTCAATTTTTTCAAGATCTTAATTGTACTTATTTCCAATTTTTATTGGACACTTTTTCATGATGCGGATAATGTTTTCTTCAACATTGTTAAATCTTTTTTTAATTATTTATTCAACTAAATTAACTTGATTTTTAATATCCTCTTCTGCTTGCAAATGTATATCTTTCGAAGGTATATGGATATAGTCTGAGACCATTAAGAAATCACTCCAAATTTGATTGTTTTAATCTGCTTAAATATCATTGTTACTAAGAAAGAGACTCTAATCTCTTTTTTAATAGCTAGCATATTTATCAAACTTGCTTGGTCCATTATTATTTGCTTAAATATTTTGATCATCTATGCTATTTTAATTCAATTTTGATTTTTAAGTATTTCTAATATCATGTACTTAACTTCCTTCTTCAACTTTCTTAATAGGACTTTAAATCTCTTCTAACTCCTTTTAATTATTTAGATTCTAAAGTTCTATTTATTTTGGTTACTTTACTTCTTTTTCAATTTGGTTCTTTTAATTATTATTTTCTTAATCTTTTAATTTTTATTAGCTTTTTAAGGCATATTTAAGTTTCAGAGCTTCTATCCTATTTATAATAATTGCAATTACAATCGCCACTCCTATAAATATCCATAAACCAGATAAACTACGTAAGTCTATAGATTTCTGCTTAATGTAGCATGAGTTTTCGATTGGAGTCGAGTTCAAATATACTTAAATTTAATTTAGCCAATAAGGATCATCAATAAAATTATATAGAAGAGAATTAAGCGACTTTAAAACTGCCTAATTTTTTGTAATGACGCCATAATTAAAATTGCTCAAAGTTTCATACAAGATTGATGTTGTACAAGGATAAAGCGAATTAATATTATGCACAATAGGAAAATCAATCAATAAAATATGGTTTAAATAATTTTATGAATTTGAACTTTAATAGAACTCCTTAACCAATTAATTTAAACCATCTTTAGTCTTTGGAAAAGTAACAAATATATCTTATTATTTACCTTTAAAAATAGAGGGATTAATGTAAGTACCTACATACTCTTAAAATGTATAAATTTTGACATCAGCCGAGTTGATAATATCTTAGAAACTAGATATTTAAGAAATATTTTTACTCTAAGCAAGTAGAACTGTTAGATTAGAAACATAAGTAGCAGACACAATTATAACCACAAACCAGAAACCAAGAAAAACAATTCGAGATGAAAATTTCTAAAGTCTTATACTTGAAGCAAAAAAGAGACTGCTAAAAGATTACCATAGCATTTCTAAAAAATTTGAGAAAGCTTGCATGTTTTAATGGGATTTTATTAATGAATTTTTAGAATTGTTAGATTCTTCTTATCTACTTTCTTCATAAACATTATTAATTTGTTAAGCCTTTTAATTTTAACTCTCATTATTTGAGTTAGTTTTTTAACTATTCTCTTTATTACTTTTACACCAATATGATTAAATATTGGAGTCTTCAAAAATCCACGTAACAACAGAAACAAACAAGGTAGTTACCAGCATAACTACCCATAAACTCCAATGAAAAGGATCAAAAAAACTCCATATTGTTTTATCATTATTCACTCTCACTGCTATTTTTAAACCTCCAGTATAGAGTGGAAGAGAATAAAAAAAACCCTACGATAATTTAGTATAATCTATCTGTATCCCACCTATACCATAGATAATATTGCCTTAACTAAGTGCATTCTCTAAATCATTTTAAGTTTCATAGCAAGTAAGCTGAATGCTAGAAAATGATAGGCCATTATTAATAACTGTGCGAATCAAAATGTCTAATTCATAACCATTAAAATCTGGAATCTACTCTGAATTCTAATATTAAGCTCTTTAGTTAATAATATCACTTAGTAGCAAAGTTTTTCCAATCGTACACTGCATCATTGGACCAAAATTTAAAGCCCCAACATTCTGCGTTTACGAAAAGACGCTTACAAAAGTAAAAAATAAATATATTAAATGCTTAAATGAAATGATTTTCATATTTCTTGAAATTCTGATTTTTTTATTTGTCATTAGTAGTATTTATCAATATAAAATACTTCTTATTATATTTATTCACAACTTAAATATTAGTAATTAATTGACTGAATGGTTTATAAATTAATTAATAATTAAGCATAATTATTAATTATTTGATTCTAGATTTTTTATTTAAATAAATAAATAAATTCAAACAAAATTTATTTTTCCTCAAAATCTATGAATGGTATTATGTTTATAAAATGCCTTAAAAACTGAAAAAATTTATCATTAAAGTTTTTAATGCCTAAGAAAATATTTATGATTTCATGATAAAAAAAATGTTTAAAATATTTTTATTTGTAACAAAAATTTTAGTTTTAAAATTTAAACATAAAAATAAACAATTACAAAAATATAAAGACCATATATTTTTTCTATTAAATATATATAGCTAGATAGATTTACTCAATTCAATGTTCGGCTAAGAAGACTACCTTACTTTTAGAGGCTATTCTTTCAAGAGTGCTCAAATAACGAATTTGCATGGCTGCCTTTGAAGCAAGCTAATCTGCAGCCTTTCTTTGTTCTTCTGCAGCAGCAACGTCGGCTTTAGCATTTTAAATTTTAGCCTATGCTAAACGAACTTCCTTTGCAGCTGAAGCAAGTTATTATGAAATATTTTAATCCATGTTCATATCTTTAATAATAATTTATTCAACATCGATACCCCAGTCATGGATATACTCTTCAACAAACTCTTCCATTTTTTTTCTAAATAAATCTCTATTATCAAGAAGTTCTTAATATTTAAACTAACTAATAGTGGAACGTAATGCACAAATTGACAATTCTTTTACACTGAAGTCAATATTATCAATAGAATAGTAAGCTTTTCTACAATCAAGAATACGATATTAGACAACACCGTGGATAAATAACAAAATGTTATCTTAAGTTAATGATTGTTACATACCTAAGTCGATATTTTGAGTTTTCATATCTATCTTAATTAATTAATCAGTGCAAGGGTTAACAAAATGTAAGCCTGCATCCACATTTTTAACGTATTTACCAAATCTTTCATAGATACCCCTAAACGAGTTATCTACTAAGATCATAGGATTAGAACAACAAAAACAGGGACAATATTGACCACAACAACCACAACAATTACCACAGTTGTAAAGAATTTTTTAATATCCGCCTTCAACTTTTAAATTATCAGGGTTTTCTTCAGGTATTTAACGCTAAAATTTATTTTTGAAATCTAATCTTTTCTATCTTCTAGCTATTTCTTCAGGAGTTAGTTGTATTTAAGGGAGTACATGCTATTAATTGATTAGCATTTAGTTTGAAGGTTGCATCATATTTATTTGATTTGGATGTATTTAAGGATTGAAAAATCCTGGCTACATTTGCTGTTATGGCACAAATTATTACTATTACATTTGTATTTATTACTATTACATATTATAGCTCTACTATGCGTTGCCTATATATATTTCTATTTTATAATAAAATTTGTTAGATTTGTATTGAAAAATTTGAAATTCAATAACAGTTTTGTGCTATTTACTATAATTCAAAAATGATTTTTGACAAATTTGTAACAATAAATAATCCATTGTTTAACATAAATTAAATTATTCAAGTTTTTATATTTTAAATATATTTGATTTCTCATCTAAATTTATAAATTTTGTTAGCTATTTTTTAGATTGTGAATCTAATATGATATCAGAGTTTTAGAAAATAATTAATACAATTTTTAATTGTAATTTACCTTTAGTTTAATTGAAGTTGGGATTAGGTTGCATCAAAGGTCCTTGAAGAGGAGGATTGCTGATAATTTAGTTTGTGTTATTATTTGTTAATAGGAGATTCTGTTGAGTATTTCCTTATTGTTATATTTATGGAGGAGAGGAGGGGTTACTTTTTTAGTTTTACTTTTATCTGTTTATTTCGAATCTTTGCTAGTAGTTTGATATATTAATATGCTATGGTTCAAGGGGTACGCTGTCTTAATCGTTCACTATATCAGAGGACTAATTTATTAAAGGTAATTCTAAAACGTTTTTATCATGGGAATCATTATATTGGCTCATCTTATGTTGTATTTTGAAGAAATAAAATTCATAAGAAAATAAAATTTTGATGTGAATCCATTTGGATAATGTTTTCTCATTTAAAATCTATTGCTAAATTATTTTTCATACTCAAGATATTATCATTTAATAAATGAGTAGATTATGAAAAATGTTTAAATGCTAAAAAGATACTAAATGATATTAAAGTTTAATTTTACAATTATTATAAATGATTCTATAAATGAGCATCATCTTGGTATTTAACAAAGAAATTAAAATAATATAAATTAATATTACGCTCGTCTTAAAAATGAAATCTGAACTAGTTTATTGGCTTGTTAACTTTTTATTTTGATTGTTTAAAAATACAATTCTTTGATTTTTATTAAATAATTAGATCAATTATAGATAGAAAACTTAAAACTGAGATATTATTACAAAAAAATGCTTTAATGTTTCAGTATCCTAAGATTAATACAAACATAAATCAAATTCTATCAAATTGAATTTTTAGTTACAAATTATTGTTAAAACAACACATTAGAAATAAATTTCAATTTTTTAGTCTTAAAAATGGTATTTATAATTAATTGCTAAGACCATGTAAGAATAATATAAAATATTTATAGTATGGTGAAATAAAAAAGAAAGGTTTTAAGAATAAAAATAAATTAAAATAAGTACATTTATAATAAAACATAATTTCATAAAATAAAGATTCTAACTTAGCTTGTCTCACCAATTTATGATTTGCTCGAATTTAATTTACTTTTTAATCTGCTATCAGCAAAGATTTAAGTTCGATAGATTCTTAATATTTTTTTAATTTATATAAATTAAATTTTGTTGGCTTTAATTTAAAATAATAATTTAAATTTATATTAAATTTTAAGTTTTTTCTAGAATTTAAATTGATAAAAAATAATTTTAATCTCAAGAATAAAATATGCTCTTTTTTTTATTTCCTTAATAAAAATATCATAAATAAATTAAACTCTATATCACTTTTTCAAAAAATTTAATAACAGTCAAATATTAAATTTAACAAAATTATAATTTTTAAAATATTTTTTTCATTTTTTTATAATTCATTTACTTATTTTAAGGGAAACCTTTTGAAAAATTTTATTTAAAAATAATAATTTCAATAATATTTTAAGAATAATATTGTTTTTTTCTAATAGTTAAAAGTCGTTAGATTTATTAAAATTATAAATCATTAAATCAATATCTACTATAAATAGAGTTTAAAAGTTAAAAATAATTAGAAAAAAATTTATAATATTTTAACAAAAAAATAAATAATAAATTCTAAAATAAATTATTTTAATACTTATCAAAAAATATAGAATTATTTTTATAAAATAAATATGGATATTTAGTTTAATTTTTAATTTTAGAAAAAATCTGAAAGAATTTCTTAACTTTCCCTCTTCAGATATTTATAAATAAATATCTTTAAATGCTGAATCAAAATAGAAGCTCAAATGAATTAAGAATCCTATTTTACATATTAAAATAAAATTAATTAAATTATTTAATACTTAAAAAAAAGATAGACTGATATATTACATAAAAAATGGAATTAATTTAAAAATATATTCCAAAATAAATATAAGATGCAAGCATGATTATTGGTCTTACATATTTAGGAATAAAATGTCTTAAATTTGCAAGATTCCTTTGGAGAATATAACCTTTAAAGATGAGAAATAATTTGATTAAGAAGTATGGACAAAATTCATATGCGCTAGTCACTGGTGCTACTGATGGTATTGGAAAACAATTGGCAATATCAGCTGCTAAGAGAGGTTTCAATTTAATTCTTGTTTCAAGAAACATGGAAAAATTAGAAGCTACTAAATAAGAAATACATAAATTATATAGCGGATTAGATATTGTTTTAGTCTAAGCAGACTTCTCAAAAGCCTATGAAAAAGGATTTTTTGAAGTAATAGCTGAGAAAACAAAAGACTATGATGTTTCTATTTTAGTGAATAATGTAGGCATTGATAAATTTTCTCCTTTAAAAGATATTGATGATAAGTTGATCTTAGATTTAATTCAAATCAATACATATTCGTAGATTATGATGACCAAACTCTTTGCAGAGAAAATTAATTCTCGCCCATAAAAAGGAGGAATAATGTTTACAGGTTCTTTTTCAGGTTTTGAGCCTATTAAATATTTCTAAGTATATGGTTCTACAAAGGCGTTAATTAAATCTTTCTCACTAAACATATAAAATGAATATCCTAATTTAGATATTTTGCATATTACCCCTGGAGAGGTTTCAACTACTCTTATTTTTAATAAAAAACCAAGCTTATCAGTTGCTACTCCTTAGGGATGTGCTGAAGGCTCTTTTGAGGATTTAGGTAGGTACTATCAAACAGATGGAGCTACTCGTCATAAAATTTTTAACAGCATTTTAAGACTTATTCCTTACTCTATATTCAATTTCATTTTTTGTAATTTTACAAGTAAGAAAATGCTAAAGGAAAGATAGGATGGTGAGTCAAAGTTTCACAAAAAGCATAATTGATATTAATTATATAAAATGAAATGTAAATCTGATATACATAAAGTATATATAATCTTGTAATAAAAATTTTAAATATGATTAATTCTTTAAAGAGAAAATGGTATTTTCTTTTATTATTCACAATTAGAGTATTCTTTTATTGTTTTATTTTTATTTTTAATTTATTCTTTTTACATATGTTATCTTGAAAGTAAATCTATAAAAAAAATAAAACATTTTATGTTGGATTATGAATGTATAAAATATTTAAAGATTAAAAAATTTTAAAGTGTTAAAATAATTATTTTTATTCATAAAAAAAAGAATTCGACATATTTAAGAGATAGAAATGTAAATTATAGATTTAAAACAATCTAAAGCTTATCAATTTTAATATTAATTCAATTAAATATTAAATTAAAATGTTTCATGAGAATAAATTTCCTCCAGTATTTCTAACTCTTTTTTATCCTGTTTACTTAGAGTTTTTAGCTTTGTTTGACTAGGGTTCCTAGAATGGATTACTAAAATTGTTATTAAAGAAGTTATTACTATTAAATGGATTGGGTATGGCTGAAATATTGCTTGTATTGAATTTATCACTTGTAACTGTATTGAAAAAATCATTTTCGGTAGAGAAGAAGGTATTTTCAGCAGGATTCAAGTCAATCTAATTTTTTATTTATTTTTAATTAGAAATTTTATTGTTATGAGAGCTTCTTAATTCACTAGTTGTTGGTACATTAGGAATAGAATTAATATCAAAGAAGTTAGAGTTTGATTAATTGTGGATATCATCTCCTATAATACCACCTAGATTTACAATTTATTCTGATAGGCTATCTTTTTTATTAGGAGGCAGTTGTCTTTGATTCTTTGAGCTAGGATTGACATTACTATTACTTTTTTTATTTACGCTTTTGGTTTAATTATTAGTAGCACTAGCTCCAGACTAATTAGTTATATTTTTATTTACTTCTTGTTATTAGACAGGAGATGGCTCAAGGATAGGAGTTTACTATTTAGTACCAGGTAACAACTAATTAAAGAAATTTTCTGCATCATCATATTATTACAAATTCTAATTTTCAGAGATATGGTGATAAACAGGGCTTGATTAACTAATTTGCTCTTAAACTTATATTTATTAAGCATTTTAGTCTAAATCATCATATCTATGATCTTGGATGTCTTCTTCGTGCTTACCTTCTTGCCTATCATCTCCTTCATCTTCATTTAATTAATGGTTATGAACTCCTTCCTCTTCTTCCTCATAATTCTTTAATCCAGCTGTTTCTTTATCAATGTTTTCATGCTCTTATTCATCAATTCCATCATTATTGTCTACATCGTTTTCATTGTCAGGATGTTATTGCAAATCTATTTCAAGTTCAGCTTAAGCATTCATTTCAATCTCTTCATGATTATTTTCTTCCTCTTACTCTTCATTCTAAATAGGTTATTATTCTATTTATTCTTCAGTTTATTTTTGCTAAGGGTAGTTTATTGAATTAATTTGTTAAGGTGAAATTTAAGCTGGCTATAATTGCTATTATTGTATGTAGGAACTTGGCTAAGCTTTTTGTTGTATAATTTGCTGAGGAGGTTATACAGTATTAGCTGAGGAATAATTTAAGCTTTTTGAATTAATATTTTGATAGCTTCTATTAACTTACTCAGAAGAATGGAGGGTTAGTTTTTAAATAATCAAGTCTTTTTATTCTAAATCGCTAGCTAAACTATCTAATGCACTTTAAAGATGTTCATTGTTTTAAATTAAAACTTGGTTAACACTGCGAAGCTATTGAATTTCATTTGTATATTCAACTTTAATTTTTTACTTTAGTTAGCTAAGTTCCTCTCTAAGTTAATGCTCATTCTAACCGAAGGAGAGTTTTATTTCTTCGTATTATTATTTTTACTTTAAGTTTTCTTCAATTATTTAATCAAGATACTGCTTAATTATAAAAATTTCATCTTAAGTTTCTTTAACTTATGATTCTAAGAGTTTATTTTTTTTGTCTTTCTCTATCAATGCTCTCTTATTCAATTCTTCTCTCTTTGATTGATCTTAAAGTATTTGGCGGAGTTTAGCCTTTAATTACTTATTTTCTTCTTAAAGTCTAGCGTTTTATGAAGAAGAGTAATTTTATATTTTTAACTCACCATCACTCTCATATTCTCCTGAAAGATCCTTTGCATTATTTGTATCTAAATCGTCTTCATATTACTATTGTAACTTTTGATTTATGCGTTAGCTTTCACTCTTTGTTGATTCTTTGCGAGACTTTTATTATTTTGTGCTCTCATTTTCTTCAAACGTTTCTTTGAGTGGAGAATTCTTTAATAATTAATTTTATTTTTTTTCAGAAGCTTATGAGAAATCAGCAGGTATGTCAACATCTACATTAATCTCATCTTAGTAAAGCTTTTATTCTTCACCTTCAAGAAGCTCATCTTCTCTTTCCTATTCTTCTCCCTGTAATTCATCTGTAGATTCTTTATCTGTGCCTTTCTTACTTTACTCTTAGTCTGTGAGACCTTACAATATATTTTGCATGTTATCGCTAGCGAAATCTTCATTATCACTATTTGTAACTTCAATTTATTCGCCATCAGGTCCTTTGACTATTTTTTTAGAGCCACTTTTAATTACATTAGCTTTTGGAGAAACACTTTAGCGGACAGGAACTTAAACGTTTTTCAATCTATCTATACTTTCTTAGTCTTCTTATTTTACAACAACACTGCTTAATGTCCTTTAATGAGACTTTTAAGGTACCTGTATTTGGAATGGATTAGCAAATCCTCCATTCTTTTAATCAAAATTATGATTTTTCTAATCGTTTTGTATGTGGTGTATCACATCTTCTTCGTTTTAATCATCAAATTCTTCATTTCTTAAAGCTGGATTAAATTCAATTTTTTCAAAATCCGACATTTCTTCTAATTTTTATTTACTTTAAGTCTATTTACTAGACTAAGAAGTAGTAAAATGTGTGTCTATTTAATGATTTGTATTTTATTATTAAATTTAAGCGGAATTGTGAGTAGGATTATTTGCTTTTTGAGAAGCTTTAGGGAGTTGAGTGTCTGAAACCTGAGCCTATTTCTTTTACAATTCTTCTTATAGTTTTTAGTTTTCAATTTGCTAGTGCAATTAGTACTCGTGAGTCCTGTCCTGTTTTTAGTTTTCTTAATAGGATTTCTGTTTCACATTACTTTCCTTTGAATCCTTAGTAGCTTCGACTTATTTTACTGTTTATTTTTAATTCTCAGCTTGCTTTTAGGGTGATACTTGCTTTTACTATACCTCATACTCGTCACTATACTAATCTTCTTGATTATTTTTCCTATCATCACTTCTAGGCTTATTAGGATCTTCATAAGACTCATCATCATCATATTATGAATAATCATCTTCATTTGATAAGTTATCTAGAACCTATTCATCATAATATTCTGCTTCCAGCTGTTATTTTGTTCTTTTAAAATCGTCCAATTGAGATTTTAGCTAGCTAACATGTGCGTCTTCACACTCCCCTTCTTCATCACTATAGCTTTCTTACTATTAAACTTACTATTGATTTTGTTATAATAATAATTTTTACTACTAAGTATTTGTAGGTATAGATTATTGAGGTTAATTAATAGCTCTTTATTAATTTTGCATACTTTATAATTAGTTTGATTGTTAGTTAATTTATTATTGCTTAGTTTATTAAATAGGTGCTTGATTAGCTTGCTTAGGAGGAATACTTTGGTTATTTTATAAATTATTTTTTGCATTTTATTATTGCTTAGCCTTTAATGTGTCAGCAGCTTGTTTATTGATATCTTAAGTTTAAACAACTGGTGGTTGAGTTTGTGAAGAAGATTAAGGTTATTAACTCTTTTAGGATTATTTCGAAATGTCTTCATTTTACTTGGTAGGAAGGTTCTTTATTGGTTATTGTTGGGAAGAATTGTTTTATTTTTCTTATATCTAAACAGTCTTTTAAGTAGGCTATAATTTAGTATCGGGTTTTTATTCTTCTTACAGTTAATTTCCCACTGGTGGTAATTTAACTTGTTCAGATTTTTTTTAATCTTCATCAATAACTTACTATTATTGAACCTTCTTTTAACCAGGTAACTATTTTAGTCTGCTTTATTGGTTTTAAGGAATAGTTCTTCCTGCTATAGGATTTGGTCCTCTAGCTATAGGAGGAGGAGCTTACAAATTCTATTATTATTGCTACTATTCTTCTTAATCTTTTTCTTCACCTTCTTCCTGTTATTATTGCTAAGCTAATTACTGTATCTAAGGCTTATCTGCTTACTGATTGACTTATTTTAACTATTAAGTTGGAATTTAAGGCTGTTATTTATTCACTTTAGATTGCTGTGTTTAAACCTTTTCAGGTGTTTCTTCAGCTTTAATGTTTTAATTAGCAGTCACTTTTTTTATCTATTAAGCATTATCTTGGTTTTATTTTGGAGGTTACTATGATAGTTCTTTTGCTTACTAGCTTGCATTTGGAGTTATTTATTTTTATTCTGCATCATTATTTTCTTCAATGTTATCTTTTTATAAATTTTAAATTTCTTCATTATTATTTTGTTCATTTTAAATATCAGCACTTTGTTCTTAGCTCTATTATATAACAGGCCTGAAACTGTTTGGCTGAGGAGGCATGACTCTGGCTCCTCCTGGACGACTAATACCTCTAGGAGGTGGTGCATTTCCTCTTATTTAGTTTGAGATTGCCTAATTATTAACTCTAGTAGGTGGAGCTTATGTTGGTGCAGGTTTAGATTAGCTATCATTGCTAGAAATTAAGGAGTCAAAATATTCTTAATTATGCTTTTCTTAGGGTAAGTTTACAAAATCTGCAGGTTATATTTTATCTTATAAAAGTGCAAGCCTAGCACTATTATTTCTAGATCCTTTTAATTTCATTTTTAAAACATTTACTTTATCACGAAATTCTTTTTTTGAAGGATCGTATAGTTGAGATAAAACTTAAACTATGCTTCTTGCAACATTATCTATTTTACTATCTGGAAAATCTTTAGACTCTTTCAAGCTTTCTGCAAATATCTTCACAACATTATCTACTTTTTTTTAGTCATCCATTTTATTTTATCAACCTATTTATACTATACTTACTTACTTATTTATTTATTTACTTAAACTTAATATTAATTTTTTCACTATTTTAATTTTTGTTGGTTTTTTGTTTTTAATTAATCAATTAATTTAATATGAATAAAAGCAGAAAGCACTTAATTAATTAATCGATGCTACCTTATCAAATTTAATATGAAAATATAAATAAATAGATTTCCTTATACTTATTTCAAAACATGATAAAAAATAATGTTAAAAAATGAATGCTCTTTAGGTATTTTGATTTTATTTTTCTTACATAGCTAGCTATTGAAATGCCTCAAATCTGGAGATTTTGACATATATTTACGTGTAAAGTTCATATAATTTCTTTTCTGTTTTCTTATAATTATGAATGAAATGAATTACTTTTCTGAAATAGTGTTAGCAATTTATGGAGATTTTAGTTTTTCTTATTATAATTAATTAAAAATAATTAATTATTTTTCTTTATCTAACTTAAGTAAGGAGAAACAAATATTTTATTGATTTTTAAAAATATTAAATGAGAATTATTTTAATTAAAAAAATGATAAATTAATTACATAAGTGCATAGAAACATAAATATTAATACAAAATATTAATTATTAATTGTAATTAAATATCATCTTTTTAATTATTTTATTTTATAATTGCAGTCAAATATAGAATGTAGAATTCTTATCACACATCTTCTAGCTGAGGAGTGTTTGAGGGTCCATCTTATTCAAGTTCTCAAAGTTGTTTTTCATGAATTTAGTTTACTATTCAGCATACTTCAAGATGCTTGGTATCTTGATTGCTCCAGTGAAATTGTAGAAAAGATAACTCATCCTATAGGTCAAGGTATGAAGTTAAGTCCTTATTTATTCTAATTCCATACCTTCATAATCACTGTAAATCTCTTTGTACATCATAGGTTATGCAGTTCCTTGCATAGATCTTTGAGACACCAAGAAGAAATCTCCTTACGATGATACTACATCTTAACTAATGACAGTTCCTTAAGCTGGATTAGAGTAATCTTCATTGAAAAATTTAGTCTTATCACTACTGTTAACACCAACTATGTGGATCTTGCATTAAGACATTTCCATTTCTGATAGGCATTTTTTCATGATTGCAATTTCTTCCTTTAGAGGCTCGTTCAATATATTGTTAGCAGCTTATCTATAAATTATAACACGTTAAGGCAGTATTCCATTTTTTTATTTAAATTAAGTAAGACTTGCTTGCAAAAGCTTGTCAACAAATTTGTTATTTTAGTCTTAAGCGTCTAAAAGTTAAGCACCTGAAAAAAATTTACAGAATGTACTGTCAACTGAAGCAACCTTAATTAGTAAAGTTAAAGTAATTAATTAATAATTTATTTTTTTCTTTTAATGAATAGATGAAAAAAAAAATTTTACAAATGAATAAACTGATTTTTAGTTTTCTTTGCGGATGTAATCTATACCAACAAGCATAGTAGGAAGATTACTAAATGGAAGATCTTTGATGATGTAAGGTATTCCTCCAACTTTAATACATATTTGATTGCATATCTTGTTACAAATAACTTAGCAACCATCTTTACTGCTCTTGATAGTACCTTAAAGAATCATCTAGCTAGGAATAGGTTTTTCTTTTAACAAAAAAGATTTTAGGTACTAATAATTTTTGCCTTTTCCTTTGGCTCCTTGCAATATAAATACAATAAAATCAACATCAGGTGGGAATGAATCGATAAGCCTTTTGAGTTCATCTTGTGATTAACCTTCAACAGTAAAATAATTAGGTTCATTATATCCTATCCCATGAGCTTGCATTCTATTCTTCAGTGTTGACATGAACTAGCCAGCCAATTATTGATCAGATTTGTGACAAATGGCACACCACTTTTAAATAATATTATTATAAATAAAATGTAAAAAATAAATAAAAAATTTTCTTGTGTTTGAAAAATTATTAAAAAAAATTAAAAATAAAAAATACCTTCTTGAGGTAGCAAGGCTGGTACATTCTATCTTAAATTTTTCTATCTAGTTATTTTTCTCCATAAATGTTAATTTCTCTATTTTAATTCATAAGAATACATCCTGGTTGGATAACTTGATAACGAGCTTTAACAGGGTCATTTTAGCTTAGTTAAATGCCCCATTCACTTAGAGCCTTTTAGTTTTAGTGTATTAGAGCTGAGACATAATTTCCACAGTGCTAAGATCTCTCTTAAGGTTTGGGCTAGGAAACTTGTGTTATAGCTTTCTTGAGCATAAAGTCATTTTGAAGTTCATCAGGAATGCCAGTCATTTAGCATAACTCTGGTATTAAATAGATTTTAGGAGTTTCTTATTATGGTTTTCCTTCTTAATTAGCTCTTTTATTTTATCTTCTTTTCTTTTCAACTATAAGAAGAGGCTATCTATTATCTCTAATTCTGATGTTATGGACGAGCTCATAGTATTAAACGAATGATATTTTCTTTTTACCAGTAGATTCATTAGGATCCCTCATTTCAAAGAAAGAATTAGGATTTAAATCAAACGCTACTCCATTAACCTTGTACAATTTTTTATCTCCATAATTACTAATAACTACCTGTTTAAATAAAATTTTTAATTAATGTAAAAAATAAAATCAAGAAATAATAATTGATTACACAGTTTTACATTTTTTCTTGGATACTATCTGCTCCTTAAGACATAGATTTTTTTAAGAAATCATAAACAGATGTGTTGTTAATAACTTTGATACAGTAATCTACTGAAAGTTAAAATCCTGTTTGAGGACTAAATTTGAAGAAAGTTTCAACTCCGAGAACTGCTTCAAGGCCATTAGAGATATTTTTTATAACATTCATAGCAAACCTCTTAGTAGCACCAAGCTATTAAAACCCTTTAGTGTTATTTTAGAAGTTTCTCATTAGCTATCCCAATATATTTTGAAGTTCTTTATTTTCCTCTTCAAGCTATTATCCAACAATATCTTTTTTCTTTACTAAGAAAACTTCAAGCTCTTAAGTGAAGGACTCACACCCATCAGTCTTAGGGGATACAAAATCAAAGGTTCCAAGACTGACTTTATTATGCAAATCAATAGGAGAGTAAATAAGTTAAGACCCAATAATAAAGGTACTAAATATTTCTTTTATCTTTTTGTTGAAAACTCTTGAGATGTATCTTGACTTACGGTTAAGCAAAAGAGGATCAATAGGAGGCTAAGTCTAAAATTCATAGCAATTAATCTTTATATTATTAATTTTAATTTTGTAATGATTAGTAACCAAAGTATTACTATTATCGTTAAAACTCATATCGAATTTAGAGATTATTTTTTACTTAAGATTAAAACAATTTTTATGAAATAGTTTTTTATTAATTAATTATTTATAAAAATCTGACTCAAGTGCTGATTTTTAAATGTAAAAAAACACTCTAGTTTATTTTAATAATTTTCTCTTCAAAGGGAGGGTTATTTAAATCAATAAAAGACAAAATAAAATTAATTATAAGTATGATTTTTGTTAATATTTCGAAATATTTATTGTTTAATTGATCGCACAAGATTAGCATTAAACATATTAGACAGTATAAAAATAATTTTAACGTTATATCTAATAAGTATAATAATATGTTAATAAGAATCAATTTGCATATTTAAATACGATAATAAAACTAAATAGTGTGTTTATTTTGTTAGAGTTATCAGTAAAATAAATATTAATAATTTGGAGAATCTTATTAAAAATTAAATAATTAATTAATTAATAATCTATATATAAAAAGTGCCTCATAAATTCATTAATAAAACTTTTTTCTTTACAATTTATTTTACATTTTTTTGAAATTTTTTTTTCTTTTTAAAAATTTTGTAAAAACAATTTTAAAGCTCATTTTATTTATATTTAAACATAATATATATTAAACAAATAAACAAATAGGCAGTAAAGAATGATCAACATAAATTTTTCTTAAATATTATTTTTGTGGAGTTGCTTTTTGATAAATAAATATCTTTAATCTATTTTTACTATTGGATTTATAATATCAACCATATACTTTGGGTATTAAAATAATTCTTTATTTATTTTATTTTAGATTAATTTGTATGCATGCATTCTTATCTAATTTGATTTTTGTATGTTTTTCATTAATCTAGTTTTTTCCACAACTTTGAAACAATAATATTCTTATATAAAAAAGTAAAGCCTAATTTAGATAAATAAGATAGAAAATTTTTAAAATGATAAACTATTGCCTGTTATTAGCCTTTATAATATTGTATTAAATATCATCATCATTCTAATTATCACCATCGCCTGGTCCTATAAAAATAAAATTTTAACCTGCTACTCCTGCTACTACTATACCTTAAACATAATAAGATATAGTCAACTCAGCAATAATCTTTTTTTAGAATCTATTAATAATGAATTAATAAGCAGCAAATTATGATGTATTAATTAATATAAATAATTCGGATACTACTAAATGTGTTAATTAAATGCCATTTACTATTACGGGTGCAAGTACATTGCCATTTGATGGAACTATTTATTTCTGTAACCTAGCAAACGCTTAGCTTAACAATAACTTTACTTTCAAAAAAATGGTAGATAGTGTAATACATGGTATAATGAAAATAATTACGTTTTCTTCTGCGTTTAAAATAAAACCTTCTTCTTGTACAACAAATTGCTACGCTGATGATTCAGCTTATATTAATTTATAATCATTATTCAAATAAATTTACAATAAAAGCACATTTGCTAATATGCCAATGGCATCATACACTACACCTTCAAGTTATTATCTTTGGAGCAAGTAATACGCTTATGATGATTTAATGACTGATAATTATAGTACAGGTAAAAATAGTTTTATTATAAAAAATAATTATACAATTTTTAAAATATAAATCTTTTAATGTAATAATATTAAAGTAAAATATCTTTAATAACCTACTATATATTTAATAAACATTATTTTTATCAAACAGAAAATAAATTTTGGAGTGCATTTAACAATTAAATACTAAAAGATATAAAAGATAGCTCCAATAATCCCCTTTTTTATAGTGTGAATGATTAAATGAAACAATAAATAATAACTCCTCTATTAGGTTCTGATAATTGCTAGTAATCAAATGAGCTATTTTGTACAAGTTCTCAGTAAAATTTGTCTTGTAATGCTTCTTTGACAGCAAAATCTTCATGTTAATCTATTGATTAAACTTCTAATTCATGCATGGTATATTAAACTATTACATAGGGTAATTGTTTAGATCCTTAATTAAATAAAGATCTCGCAGGTTTGATTTCAACTTCAGGTACTTATGAGTATTATGGATATGATTCTAGGTGTTTCTTAAGTGATATTTAAGATATTTCAGCTACAGTGTATATTCAACCAGTTCGCTGTTATAAGTATTCATTCTTAGTTTATTACTTAATAGAAAGTTACTAAATTATTTATTTATTTATTTTTTTTATTTTTAAGATATTCATGTGATGATAGCAATAATGTTTACATCTATCTAGATTAGTCTACTAATGGGAATTAACCAAATATAGATATTGTTACTTGTACTGTGTAGATGTAGGGCAGTTAATAACTTTTCAGTAACTAAAAATACTACAGTAAAACAGGAATAACCTGCCCTAAAAATAATGCTAACTTTTGCTAAGGTATGCCTAAGTAGTGTAAAAATTATTGCTCTTCAAAAGGAGTATGCGTAAATGGAAAGTGTAAATGTGTTTAAAATTATTATGGAGACGATTGCTCTTGCTTTTAACTAAGTTAAGAGAATGGAAAATGCGTTTAAAGTTGCTCTAAGAAAATGAAAGTAAGAAAAATTTTAATTTTAAACATTTTTAAGTAATTTAAAATAAAATTTAGTAAGCAAACGATGGATCTTAAATTTGTGTTCCATTATGCTAAGATGGCCAATTCTTTTAAACTGCTACTGGGTAGTGTTAAAAGTGCGATTAAAACTGTAAAACTTGTTGGGAGAAATCAAGTAAATGTGATTCTTGTGATACAGCTAATGGATTTATACTGTTTACAGATAACACATGCAAATAAAGTTATCCCAACTAAAAGTGCTAAATAAATTAATATTATGATGGGGCAAAATGCAGTCCTTGCAGTACTAGCTGCCAGTCTTGTGCAATTAATTCTACTTTTTGTACATCATGCCTTTCTAACTAATTCTTGCAAAATGGTACTTGTTAAAATTGTCCTTCTAACTGTTTAGCTTGTAGTGGAATATAGCTCTGCACTTAATGTGCTCGTAATCAATTTTAAAATATTTACTTTCATAGATATTATTTTAGGATAAGCATTTTAAATAAAAAATATTATATTTTTAAAAATTAATTCTGCTTAAATTATCAAACAAAAATACATTCAAATTAAAATTATTTACTAGAGAATTTACAATCGGGGCTTTTTTACCTGTACTGATCTAAAAAAGCCCCGATTGTAAATTCTCTTTTACTATTTATAGCTAACTTTTATTTGAATCAATTGTTAAATGAGTGCATTTCTTCATGCAGTACAGGGCTTTTTGCATACAATAGCACTTGTGTGTAAACTTGCCCAAGTGGATATTTTGGAAATACAACTAACAATACATGTCAATAATGTGATCCTACTTGCTTAACATGTACCCAAAGCAGTACGTAATGTACTAGTTGTGCATATTACAGGTAACTGCAAGGTACTTAATGTGTTGACTTCTGTCCTTCAAATCAAGTATGGGTTAGAGTAAATAACTATTTAATGATATTGATATTTTAACTTTTAATAATTTAATATTAATTATAGAAATAACCAGGTGGTTCAAATTGGAGTTTTGAATGCATTGCTTGCTCACTATAATAAAAATGTAATTAATGTTTAGGAAGTCCTACCTATTGCACAGACTGCTTACCATCGTTTTATTTGCTTGACAGTGATTGTTTAACAGTATGTACAAGTTCTTACTACGCAGATGAGAGTTAAAGAAAGTGTATAAAATGTGATGCTTCTTGTTTAACATGCTAAAATTCGTAATAAAATTTTAATTAAAAATATTTTAATAATTATTTAATATTTTAACTTTTTTTATTTAGATCTAAGAATTGTACTTCTTGTCCATAAGGATTTTATTTGAAAGGAGGTTAATGCGTCTCTTCATGTGGAAGTGGCTTCGTTCCAAATAATGACACTTAAAACTGTGATGCATCCAACAAAACTTCTGATTAAAATTCTAGTTCCTCTTCATCATCTTAACAAAGCTCTAGTAGACTTTAATTAAATTTATTAATGCTATTAATGTTCACTTTTATGCTCTTAACAGTGTATTGAAAACTTTTATTTGTAGATAATTATTAAGGAAGAATAAAATAAATAGAAATCAATAGTATCTGTCTTTCTGCATATCCATTTTCTTTTATTTTGAAAACAAATATTTACTTTAGCTTTTAACAAAATTTGTTTTATCTTTTCAAAGAATTTTGATGATAAATAAATAAACAAATCCTAATTTTTATATTTTATTTATTAATTTCTGTGATATAAAACTTTTCAATATTAAATTTAAGGTTGTTTTATCTACTTAAAAAATTTTTTTTTCTTTAATAGCCTTTAAAACAGAATTTATTTAAATAAAGAAATGACTTTATTTTTTATCTAAATTTTTAAATTCGAACAAAAGTTGTTTATTTTAAATAGTAATAGGTTTAATATATATAATGATGAATTTTAGTATTGTACCTCATAAATGCTTTTAATAATATCATTAACTAAAAAAATATTTAAAATTACCTTATGAATTACGAGTTGCTTCTTTCATGGTCGCTAACAAAAGACTTATGTTAATTTTTATCAAAGTGTGTTTGTTTTTTTTATTTGCAAATAAATTTAAAAGCGATTAGAATAATTATAAAAGCGCATTTAAAAAATGCTGACTAATTTCCTAAATTTAAATGCTATAATTTACAATGAACTGACATACATTTTTAATTTAATTCGATATACTCATTGAAAATTTTTATAATAATTATTATTTATTAATTTTTAAAAACTGAACAAATTAGGTAAAAAGAGATATCAACAATTTTAGTATTAAAATAAAAAAGATTATTAGAAAAAGAAAAATATTTAGGTGTTAGTAATTAAAATATTTTTTAAAGCTTCAAGATATCTGCATTATAAAAAATAAAATAAAGAGATAAAATAGCTTTCATTATGATATAAACAGTAGTTTTAATCTAAAGCTAATACTTTCATTTCAGGAGTTTTTTAAATAAACCTATAAAGAAATAATCTTAATAGAGAAAATAAAATAATTTTTTATTAAATTTAGATGATACAGTTGATGGATTTTTTCATTTAAATACTAGCAGTAAAAAAAAAGTAAATACAAAAGAATAATTTCATTTGTAATCAGGGTCAAGTCTTAGACTGCTATTTAACTAGCTTGCTCTACAAATATAAACTAAACCAAAAGTTAGTACTATCCTAATTAGCTACTTAGTATGTGCTCTATACTATTTGCTGAATCCCTATACTTTATCTAAATTTAATCAAAGAAATATTATAGATGAAAACAATCAATCTTAAGTAACAGATTCAAGCAATACAATTATTGCAAGTTAGGAAGATGCTATTCCTTATATAATTTTATAGTTTATTGCTTAAGATTATTTTATATATACATCTGTGCGTCTCTTCTTTCATGATAGTTTCATCAGGAAAATTGAAGTCAAAGACATGCTTATTACATTTTGGCTTCTATATGGATGCTCCACTTTATTCCTCGTTTTTATTCTAACCTGTATCTAATCTCACTGGATGAATATGCTAATTTTTACATTATGTTATTCTGTTTTGATATTTTAATATCAAAAGGAGTAGAACTCTTTTAAAAACCTCTTTTAAATGAGCATGAATTTTGAATAGCTACTTAGAAGTTCAAGAAGGAGAAGGAATTAAGATGGTGAATAAGTGATAGATGAAAATTAACAAAACTAAGAATAGTAAGATTAGCAATAAAATGTAAATAATTAAAATGCATAGGCAGGTCATGAGTACGATAGTGATGAATAAGATGAATAGAATCACAATGAAGATATTAGGTTAAATTAAAGAAGAGTTAATTTTTCTAACCATAGAGCTAATCCAATAGTGACAGAGTTAGTTTAACAATTTGTTGGAGAGCATTATGAAAGAAATTAAGTCACTTAACTAATTCAAGTAAGCTCTTGTAAATGGATAGTGATATATAAAGTTAATCATGTAAAATACATAAGCGTATTTGCTGGTAAAAGTAGATTATCTACTTAAAAAATAGACAATAATTATATAATACTGAAATATTATTCAGACTCTATTGAAAAATAAGCTAGTCCATATAGTATTAATGAAGAAACCAAGAAAAAATACATCAATATTGGTGTCATATATAACACATTTTCTGGAAAACTTTTACTCTTTACAGTAACCCCAAAAGGTATTAAGTATTTATAAACTCTCGATGTTGGCATCGTAAATAAGGAACACATAGTGCTGCATCAGCAACAACCCAAATTTGTCACCATTCGCTTAAAAGATTTAATTTTTAAGGATTTTATAAAAAATGGAATGTCATCTTAAACCCTTGTTGATTATCAGAATAGAGTTCTTTAAGCATACTACTCAATAGGTAAAAAATAAATAAAAGATATTAATTTCTAATTTTTTAATTCTTTAATTTAAGGTTATTTATTGTATGAATGAATGAATATATCATTACAATATTTTTTTAATTGGCAATTTTAATTTTTTTATTTAACATATTTTTATTATTTAAAAACAAATTCAATAGATGACACAGATTATGTTGTAAGTATAGAAGAAGAAACACTCATCATAAGCACCATTTTATCTACTGTAGAGTGGAAACCAATAGGTCACGATTGGGAAATGGAGTTGATGATGGGTAATCATGAACCATCTAATAATTTGTCTCCTGCATAAAGCACTCTTTTGAAAAATCACTAATATTATGATAAAAGACAATACTTTATACAACAAAAAATCAAAACTAAAGACTTTCCAACATCAATTAAAAGTGTAAATATCCTAAATAGAAGGCATTTATTTATTTAAGACGAAACTCACTTTTATGTATACAGTATACCAACTTCTTAAGTATTAAAAACTATTCAAAATAATTATATTTAAGGGTTCTCTATTATACCAATAAACTCCACAATAAATAGCCCAAATCTTACAATAGAGCAATTTTTAAAAATATAAAACTTTGTATAGAAAAGAATTGCTGAAGCCTTAGCTACGGAAGCTAATACCTACAAAAGCTCCGCCATTACAACCGAAAATCCTACTCTTATTTATCTCTCTTAATATACTTCAATTCCAATTACTTTTACTAAAAATTAAGACAATACTATATAAAAAATAATTTTTATTCTTCCCAAGTGTATTTAATCTACAGCCGAATCAGCGATGTTAACTGATAATCTATTTCAAATAAAATCTAATACTTTATAAAATATACTAGATTCAAGCAGCTAATGAAAATAAATTTTATAATTATTACAAGTATTTAATTCTAACTAACTGTAAAAATTTTGTATTTTTTATTTTCAAAGAAAATATATTATAAATTCTATTCTTTCATTATATAATTAATTACCTTTTTATTATTATCACTTAAAATTAATAATTTTTTTTAATTTGCTCTCTACTCAATCAATCAATCAATCATTAATTAAATTAAATAAATAAATATCTATCTATTTACGAATCGATTCTTTTATTTTAGTTCAGATTACTGTTAATATTTTTGAGTGTTATTTTGGTTTTTTCAGAATATTTACTTTATAAGAAAGCGATTTTTGCTAACTTATCAGTAATTTAAGAATAAAAGTATCTGTATAAATTATTAACTTGAGCATTAAAATTGGTTTTTGTAAACTAAGATAATAAATTAGAATCATTTAATTAAAATCTCTTTTGAAAACAATTTTTGCATTAATAAGAACTAAAAAACAATAGCTTACTACAAATTAGGAATGACATAGTAAGAATTTGAGCTTTAAGATAACTTTTTAAATAAAGATACAGAAAAAAATGAATTAAGTAGTAACCAGAATTAAATTTTAAATGAAGAAGTGGAATATTAAATAGGGAAATAAAAAGTTTTTAGATTAAGTATTGCATTTATGACTCTTTTTATAGCTTATGGATCATGTACTAGTCTTATTTCTGGTCTTTATAAAACTTTAAATTTCACAAACTTAGGATTAATGTCGCTTTTTTCAACTTACTTCACTTTTGCATTTGCTTCATTTGTAGCAAAAGGAATTATATAAAAATTTTCTTTCAGAGTTGTCTTTACAATTAGTAATTTAGGATACACAGCTTGCATAGCAGCAGGAATTTGGGTTTTTTTATGCGAAGGATCTGAATAATAGGGAGTATGTTCAATTGAAGCAATCTACTCTATAGTGAACTTTACAGCAGCATTATGCGGAGTTTGTGCATCCACTCTTTGGGTAAATAATATTTTTAACACAATTAACAATTTAACAGTGTTAATGGAATAATATTGAACAAAAAAAATCATAATAAATACTACTTTAATTATTTTTTGAAATAATGTGTTAAAAGCAAAAAAAAAAATTATTAACATAGATATCAAAAATTAATAAGTTAAAATTATTCACTTAAATAAAAAATTTATTGATTTTAAAAAATTTAGGTAGCTCAAGGTGGATATGTGGATATAATATCAAGTTCATGTCCTAGCAAAAGAGGAGTTTTGATTGGTTAATTTTTTAGTTTTATGTCTGCAAGTAATATCATAGGATATATCCTTGCATCTATCCTCTTAAATTTTTTTGGTAATATGAGTTACTTCATTCTAAATTCAATTCTATCTTTAGTATCAGCTTACATGATGTATGTTTTACCTGAGCCATACTCACCAAATTGCTAAATTTAAAATCAGATGAGAAATTAGTAGTAAATTAAACCTTTAATAGAACAAATTCAAGAAGTCTTGGTGCTTTTAAAAGATATTAAGGCTTTATATGTGATTCCATATTATTGGTTATAGGGTGTTGTTTTAGGTTGCTATGCCTCATATATTTTTGTAGTAGTAAAATATTCACTAAATGAAGAGCAGGCTTAATATGCCCCATAATATGTTTCTTATGTTGTTATTTTCTTAGGCTTATCAGGTGTCATTTGTGGAATAGTTGTAGGCAAATTAGCAGATAAGTAAATTTACATTAATAAAATAATTTATAGTTTAACCAATTTTTCAAATAAAAAAAGGTATAACTTATTGATATTAGCTATAGGTGCAACTTTATTGGTAGCCACTGCAGTTCTTTTTTCTTTATTGGGATTAGTAGTTAAAGAATATGCTTTGTGCTTTTTGATAGCTATTTTATGGGGCAGCTGTGATAGTACTAATGCTAGTCTTTCTGTAATAATTGCATCAAAAGATTTTCCTGGTTAATTGCAAATGTTTTCACTTTAAAAGCTATCCAATAGTTTAGGTTGTTCTTTTGCTTTGATAATGGGGATTCTATTGTAAAATTATCCTCCTTATTCAATCTTATTTGTAGTCTTTATCTTCCAAATAATATCAACTATTTGTTTAGCCGTTCTCTTATCACTAAAATCTGCTGAGAATAAAGCATGAGACGATACAATTATCCTTTTGTAAACAATTAATTAATAACATATTTAAAATTAAAGTTGCAAATAAAATTAAGTCCAACTGACTAAAAATATTTTCTTTTCTATTTATATTAAAACAAGGTATTTATTTATTTATTTACTTAAGTTTTATCTTATAAAATATAATATTTTTAAATTTAAACTTATATTATTATTTATTTTTTAAAATATTATTTATTAATATATTTTGTTAGTCACTAAAAAAACTTTTAAACAAAATTTTTTTTTTTCAAATATTTATTTTTAAATGATAAAATACTTAATTAATTTATTAATAAACTAACTTTTGTACGCAATGACAGACTATTTATTCAATAGTTGTCATAAAACCAAATTTCATAATACAATTTTCTCATATGAAAATTTAAATAATCCTTTTTTCTATTAGTGTTAGTATTGTTTTATTGGCTAACTATTATTGAATGGAATATTATTTTACATTAATTATTCCATTAATAATTTATTACTTTATGTTAATTTATTGATTAATATCATGAGAGAAAATTTATCATTTAAAAAATACTTTTATTTTTTGTTAATTGATTTTTACAAATATTTTATAACTTTCTTTATTTATTGAATTAAAATTTTAATGTTAACACCAATATATATATTCATTTTTTTACTGGATTTTTTATTAAAATGGCTATAATCATTTTTCTTATTTTAGTATCAATAACTTATTGATAATTTAGAAAATTTTTTGTAAATAAATTTTAACAAAATCTAATTAATAAATTATATAATTTATATTTAGTAATAAATTTTATTTTGTTTACAAATATAAATTTTATTTTACGAATTAAATTTTCTAAAAGTAAACTAACCACTTCTCATCCAATTTGTTTAATTAAATATGTGATTTTGAAAAGTAAAAGTAAGAACAAAAAAAATGTAAAATTATAAAAATATAATACGAAATAAATAATATGAAAAGATAAATTATGTATATTTTGAGTATCATTTAATTTAATATATTTATTGCTTTGCATTCAATTGCTTGTCTTTGGATAAATTTATGAATATATGTATATAAGTTTAGTAAATTATATATATAAGATTTTATTAGAAAAAGATAGCAAATAATTATAAATAAATCCTACACTTAAAATTTTAATCTATTTCATTAACTAATAATTAACCTTGATTTTAAATCATTCATTCATTTTTTAGTAAACTTAGAAGCATTCAATTATTAAAAAGTTATTAAAATATTAGATAGAAGGGATATACATGGTTATTGTATATAAGATTATTGCTTTTTGAAAGAGAAGAATCTAATGAATTATAAATTATTCATTTACAAGATTTGCTTGTATTAAATTTTATATGATCAGATGCCTATTTTAGTTGTCTTAGAATAGTGATATGAAAATAATTATTAGAAAAGTTTTTGAGATTTGATATAAAATTTAAGAATATACTTGCAAATTAATTAATGTTATAATTTGAAGATATCTGCTCTATTTCTATTTATTTATTTATTTATTTATTTATTTATTTATTTATTTATTTATTTATTTATTAACTTATATTATTATTTTAAATAGAAATCACAATAACCTTGATAAGTAATAGACAGTATAGAATTCATTTGTTTGCTGAGTTTTGATAGAGGACAAGCAGGCTTTATAGGTAAGTAAGTAAATAGATAAAGCAATGATAAGCAATATTATTGATGTATAAATGAGTTTTTTTAGTTATTGATTAAGTATATATTATCTTGATGAATAGAAGATTTTTTTATGAGGAAATTTTGACATTCTATTTGTTATCTATTAATAAGGGATTTGATTAAAAGTCATCAAACGAATGTAAAATGCATAGGTTTTGTATTTATTATTAATGGAGCAATTATGTATGTATGTAAGTATGACTGTAAGGACGAATTTTTATGTTTTCATTCAAAAATGCTCTTCAATGGATTATCAAAAAACATTATTATATTATTGCTGTTGTTTCCTATTATTTTATGATTGAACTTTATAAAATATTATTAAATAAAATAAATATAGGATAACTAACTTTTTTCAAAAAATAAATAAAATATTTTTTTTAATGATGTAGTTTATTTAAGTGAATAAATAAGCACACACTGACTTAATCCAAAAAAAAAAAAAAAAATGGTTGGATGAAAATCAATAAATTTAAAAATAGTAAATAATTGTAAGTTAAACTGTTTACGCTGATTATCTTTTGAAATGAATTGCTTTTTGCTGATTTCTTCTGATTAATAATTCTAATTTAGTGAAAACTATGAAGGTTTGTGAGCTGTAGGTGCAGAATTACTACTTAATGCTAAGTTGAGAGGAGATAAGAAGGAAGTGGCGTAATTATTTTGAGCACTAGAAAGAGATGGAGAATTCAATGTGAAAGGATTCAAGAATGGAGTTATAGCTGGACTTGCATTCATAGTGGACATCGAGGGACTGTCAGTATAATTAAAACCAGATTATTTGGGTGAATATAAATTATTGAAAGTATATTACGATTAATTATTAAAATTTTAGGTATCGCTCCACCCATTGTTCTTGAGACTTTGATTATATTAATCAAGAACTAAATTAGCATCAGCCTATGTATATCCTCCAGAAGTTGCATTACTGTTGCTTGCAGGTGGATTCGAGAAACTATTGAAGGAAGAATTGGTGGTATTTTAATTATTTTGTTGCTGTTATTAAAGGGATGGATGAGCAAATTATTGCTATTATTATTACAATTGCTACTACTGCATCTAGTTTTGTTGTTAAATAAGTTGAGCTTAGTGGGGATTCTTTCTTGTATGTTGGCTTAACTTTGATTGGCTTTAAATTTTCTTTTGAGATTCTTGAATGCCTAGGACTTAGTCATTGTTGTCTTGTAAATTATTTGACAAGCTTGTAGTGTCGTACTGAAGCCCAAGTTACTAGTTAGAAAGATCTCCGACATTATTTATTTAATTAACTTAGCCAGCTTATTGATTCATTAGTCCAATAATATTATTATTTACTTGGTTTGTCAAATTGCTGTTATGTTACTTGAAGCCAGATTTTCCAGTTGGAGAGATCATTAAATTAGAAGGTGGACCTTCTAGTGATTTTCCACTAGATGTTTATTGATTTTAAGAGGGCTAATTATTTATCTGATTAGATTAGTTATAATGAGAGAAAGCTGCTGGAGTAGTTCCGTGCTTATTATTGCTTTCAGGTGAAGAGTGACCCTTAGATAAATCTTATTAAGGCAAAGGATTATTCTTTAGTAAACTCTTTATCGCATCTCTTTATGCTTCTAAAAAGGCACTTTCTATATCACGCTTGCAACTAGAGGGTACTTTATTTCCAAAGTAAATTTCCTGAGAATTATTTTATATTACGCTTCTTACGTGCTCTTAGGCATTTTTTAAGGCTTCCTTTATAAGATCTGATTGAGCATTTTCATCTCCCTTTTTGGATGCAGTCTTAGCCTCTGCGATATGTATGTATGGAGTAATAGTAGAAGTTTATGGATTCATAGGGTCAATTCTTGTCACTAATATAGTGCTAACAATTTTAGATTTTCTATCACGTGTTGCTTTTTTACCAATTCTTCCTTCCTTTTAATACACCTGCAAAATAGCTTTACATGTTGATAGCTTCAATCCATATTCTTGGGCTACCTATTTTGTTTTTATTAATTTTTGTTTTAATTAAGATAAGCAAACATTTGATTGATCTTTATATCAAGTTTAATGAAAACTAAAATAAACAATACTATTAGAAAGAGGGGGAAATAACAAAATTAAACTAAAAAATATTCTTCATGTACTTATTCAAGAAATGTATTGGTTTTGCTTACGCTACCACTATTTTAATAATAAAATTTCATTCTCTTTAGTTGCATTTGCAATACTTTTTCACAAATGTTTGGCTGGCTGATAATATATCAAAAAAATTTACTGGACTTTAATTTGCTAGTATTTATAGGAATAAATGTGCAATTCGATGAATATTGAATGAAGTGAGATTATTAATAATAATAATTGAATACTTAAAATTTAACAATGAAAAAACTTAGAAATTAAATAAATAAATATATCTTAGATAATAAATTCCCTTTTTATTCAATTTTAATTAACCTTTGTTATATGCTTTTTTTTAAAATCACATCAAAAATGTTATGAGCACTCTTATTTCTAAATGTCTATTGACTTATGTATAAGTAATTTTATTGTTCAGTTTTTATTGTAAAAACTTAAATTTAGAAATTCTGGTTATTGAAAAGAGTGGAACTAAGAATGGGAAAAAAAGACTGCCACAAATAAATAAGTAAATAATTCTATGGGAATAAGTAGAAACAAAAATTAAAAGCTATTGAGAATGAAGAGGAAAACTTTAAATTATTAAATTTCACTAGTTTTATTTTATTGTTAAAATGCCAAATTTTTCGTTATCTATAAATAACTAAATTCTTAATTTCAATGAAGAATTACCTCTTTGATATTCGCACTCTCCTCAGTGAGCTTCTAGATTATCTTTTTTCTAACATCTTCATTGATAACATTATATTTTTTTCTACCTGATGCATTAGTAGAAGTGTCATCAGAGTGTTTTCTTTTGCTATTAATATTTTTATCATCTGATTGATTTGACAATGAACTACTTGAGCGAGCGTGATCCTTTGATGATTCAGACATTTAATTAATTTCTGCTATTTGATGCTTTTTATCCTATTATTAAGGTATAAGTAATAAAATGTTATATAGAAAATGGTTTAGCTAAGGTTATCATATTAATACTTTTTAATATGACTATGCTTCTATTTATTTGTAATTGTTTGTGATAGCTCTATTACAAAAAAACAGATGAAAAGCAAAATAATGAATTTACCTATGTTAATTGAATGAGTTTATTTTAATTTATTTCTAATATTATCAGAAGAATGCTTTCTGCTCGCTATTCTATCAGGTGGGAAATGAAATTGATTATTTCTTTCTTTTTTACTTTTTTTAACAAAATTTATTTGTTTTGTTTGTTTATTTACTTTGCGAAATTATTATAATTTTGCGAGTACCTTCTTAATAGCAAGAGATTAGAATTTTTGTGGTCTTATTTCTTCCAATTAAATTTAATATTTAGGCAAATAAAATTTTAATGAATGTATTTATATGTATGTTCACCAGCTTTTAAATTTCATTTTAAAAGTTAACTCACAACAAAATTTTTTCTTATCTCTCCATTCCTGATAAATAAAATTTCGTCAAATCACTTTTTAAAAAGAGGTTCTTAACATTTAATTTACATATATATTCACCCTTTCGTTAAATCATTTTAAATATCATTTTCAGCTCTCTCTTAAAAACTTAAGAACCAACAAACAGGCTTAAAAATAATATTAATAATCAAATTATTATAATTCCCCTGAGGAAATAACTCATAAACAATTAAGCATATTTCAAGATTGTTTTTTTTGCTATGTGTTACCATTTCACAAAATATAAATAAAATCTTTCACTTTTTTAATTTTATAAAATTGAAAATTTTATTATTTTATTGGCCAAACAAACTCTGCTACTTTATTAGTTAACACAAACAGCAAATATATATTTTTTGTGATTTATTTCTATTGAAAATTAATTAATTAGCGAAAAGAAAAATTCCTCTGACAAAAATAATTTAATCAAGAAGTCTTTTTTAAATAATTCTAAAAATTATGCGAATTAGTTTTTTCTTTCTATCAGTATTAATTTGAACATTTACTAAATTATGCAAATAATTATATTGTGCTCTTAAGTACTATTTAAAATAAAATGTGCTTACTATATAAAATGCATTAAAAATATATTTTCATTTTAAGCATTCAAGACTGTATTTTAAAATACTTTTAAAAGCTTAATTAGTATTTGTATAAAATAGCTAAAAATAATTTTTATCAAATTGTTATTTTAGAGTAATTCATTTAAAATTCTTGAGAATATTTATTTATTTATTTATAGATTGAATTTGTAGTTATTAATAATTAATTTTATTAGAAGATGGTGTTTAAAGACTGCTTATATAATAATTTAAATACTTAAAATTTAAAGTATCTTTCGATTCTATCTAGTGTTTTGAAGGCTCAGTAATCTTTTATATTTATTTTAAAAATAATTTATTTTTTAAAAAGTATTTTTTTTTTTGAAAAAAAAATTTTAATTTTATATTTTAAATTATTAATTCATGTTCATGATTAAATAAACATTTTAGTATATTAATTTAATAAAATTATCAAACTTTTTTTGAAATTTTTTAAAATCATCTAAAAATAAATATTTAATAAAATTATATTTTAATTTGTTAATTTATTTCTTTTGAACATAAAAAAAACATCTTATTTATTCAATTTCAATTTTGCTGAATAAAAAATAATTTTTCAGTTAAAAATTTCTATGAATAGATTACAAAAATTAAATAATTTAATTGAGTAAAATCTATAAAAAATTCATTTCTTGATTGTTTTTAAAGTTACTTACTAATTTCATTCATAAATATTTGAAGAATAAATAATTATCAAACTATTCTACATTTTTTTATATTTGATGGTTGAAAGATTTTGAATATAATTTATTTATTGTTTCTTCTATAATTGTAAACAAAAGTATTGAATTTGTTTTTTCTATTTTTATAATCTATATTTTTTAAAAGAAAATTTACATTTTGTTTTAGAAATAAATACCTATAAACAAAATGTAATTAGGACTATTATTATAACAAAGTTATTATAAGTAAAATAAAAAGTGATAGATAAATATTAAATTTTTGGGTAATTAGAAATATATCAGATTAATTAAAAATCTTGCTTCTAATACTTTAATATTTTAGCAAGAAGTATTTCAGTTTATGTTATAGATAGTTAATATGATAAAATTTATAAGAAAAGGTTTAAGATAGATGATAAATCATGTAGACAAGCTTTTAAAAAGTTTTCATTTAAATAATAAGTTTAAAATAACCATCTAAACTAAACATTAAATAAATAAATGAAAATGATATATATTTTTAAAGCATAGTATAGAAAATATAGCGAATGAAAACATTTTAAAGAGCAGATTTATTTTCAATTCTTTTTTATTTTTAACTAATTTTTTCTTAAATTTAGCTATTAAATTTGCATAGTATATGAGAAGCTTTTAATTTCAATAGTAATTTAGTATCGAATTTATTTGTTTTAATAGACACCAGAAAATTTTTTATTGAATTTTAGCAATATTTTATTGTTTTTAACAAAAATTGACAATTATACTAACTAATATTCTGTTAATAAATTTTAAACTCATTTAAATATGAAATAAAAATTTCAAAAACTCATCCTTTTTATTCAAAAATGTAAATTATAATTTTGATTTTGCTTCAAACCATTATATTTTTGCTTTACTTATTAATTTGATAAAAAATATAAAAGTACTCAATAAAAAAAATTATAATAATACATTTTAGCACAAAATTAAGCTATTAAACATAAATTTGTAAAAATAATCAGTTTTTGTAACTGATAGTAGATACTTTAATTTTTATATTAATGAAAATAATTTTGTAATAGATTGATTTGAAAAACTAAATTTAAGACAGCGGAGTCCTATAAATTAATTACAAAGTTCAAAAAGTATCTTACAATTATAACTTGTCATTGATATAAGTAAAGGAATAATATTTGGGAAATGCAAATTTTCAGATTGGAAATCTTACAAGAAGAGGAAGAAGAAAGTAAATTAGTTAATTGAATAGAATTTTATTTGCTTCTTAGAGCCAACAATTGACTCAGTTATTACCATTCGAGTTACATTTAGGGTAAGTTATTTATATTTATTATTTAGATAATAAAAACATAATTTTTTCTATTTTATTTTAAAAAATAACTTATAATTAATGAAAGCAATTGAGTTATTTTTATATTGTCAGTCAGTATTATATCAGTATTTATAACGCAATTAATATATCCAAATTTTCTTCTTTTTAAATTAAGTATCAAAAAAATTTGTATATATTTACTTATAATTAGTTAAATATTAAAAGAAATATTAATATTAAATGGAAATCAATAGCTTAAAAAATAGTGGTTCATTTTCAACTAAGATTTAAAATTTAAATAAACTCTAAGAATAAATAAGTTAAGTCTGCGAAGAAGACATAGATTAAGTGACGCCAAATAATTAAAATTAAAGGATGACTTCACTATCTCTTTAATATATTGTGTCACCCAATTAAAGCATTGGATTTAGTAAATCTCCTTCTTCTAAAAGCCTCAACTTAAAATTCGATCTCGAGTGCCTATCTAAAAATAAAACTCAAATAGAAGAAAATATCATTAAACAAGAGAAAATTATGGACTAAAATTTAGCTGAAATGTTTTAAAAGCTTTAACTTGAAAATAAGTAGAACATTATTGAATAGTTAGATAAAGATATGAGAGTTGTAAACATTCTTTTAAAAAATGTCGATTTTAAATATGAAGACTTTGAAGTAGTAAGTGAATTAGGTAAAGGAGCCTTCGGAAAAGTTTATAAAGTGTGTCATAAAAAGGACGGAAAAATATATGCTATGAAGGAAATTATCATGGTAGATGATATAGAGCTTCGTTAGAAAATACTTATGGAAGTAAAAACTCTATTTATCTGCCAATCTCCATATATAGTAACTTATTATGGCGCTTTTTATACTGAAGGAAAGCTTCATATAATATTAGAGTACATGGATGTTGGAACTTTGGACTCACTTCTTAAAAAGGCTGGAGGTAAAGTAAGTGAAGTAGTTCTTAAATATTTGACTTACTAAATCCTAAAGGGACTCAAGTACCTTCATAAAGATCTTCACATCATTCATAGAGATATAAAGCCAGGTAATATCCTTGTTAACTCTAAAGGAGAAATTAAAATATCAGATCTTGGAATCTGCGGAGCTATAAATGCTACTCTAGACGAAAGATAAACATTTGTGGGAACTTCAATTTACATGTCTCCTGAGCGTCTTAGTGGTGAAAGTTATTCAGTAAAAACAGATATTTGGAGTTTTGGATTGCTCTTGTTGGAATTCTCAGAGTCTAAAAATCCACTTTAGTTAAATGAAAATGCAAGCTTTTTTGAAATACTTGCAAAAGTAATGAATTTTAGTATTCCAGAATTGAATAGCATTAAATCAAAAGAATTCATATAATTTGTAGAATAATGCACTAAAATAAATCCAAAAGAAAGAGCTGATGTTGTATAACTTTTAGAACTCCCATTTGTAAAAACTTGCCATGGAAAAACAGCTAAGTTGTAACCAATATTTGTAAAATGGCTTACTATTATGAATGAATGAACAATAATTCAAAATTTAGAACAATCAAATACTAAAAACTAACAAAAACCCCATTTAACCAATTAAAAAATATATTATTTAACAATACTCCTTTTAAATAAATTATAAATCTATCATTTTACGAAGAATTTCGTAAAATGAAGTTATCAACATAATTGAAACACTTCTAATTTCCTTCATAAATTTTTATTAAAAAAACATTTTAAATATTCTATCCTTATCCTACAAACATTTAAATAATTAAATTATTAACATAATAAGCTTATTTAATACTAATTTTATATTGTGTACTAAATTTTTAAAATATTAAATACATACTCGAAACTCTTTAATAATATTTTCTCAAATAAATTTTCAATATTGTCTCAAAAAATTAATCAATAAGTTAAAAAAAATTAAATTTATTAATTAACAAACTTAATTCATAAAAGCAACAATAAATATAATCTTACCATACATATAATCAAAATTTTTAATATACAGTCAATTAGATGTATTTATTGAAAATAAAAATAGTTATTTAGAATTACTTTTATTATAATTTATTTTTGGGATAATTTCTAATAAGTAATCTATTATTTACTATTGATTATAATTTAAAAAGAGGCATTTAAATATAATTACTGCTTAAATTCATTACATATAAGATTTAAAGATTCTTATAACATAATAATATTATCAAATTATTAGAATATATTTAGTGTTAGGTAAAAAATTATTTTTATCATAAAAAAAATAATCATTAGATATGAATATGAATAATTTAGTATCTTAAAAGGTAAAAAATAAGCATTAAAGTAATAAAATTTAATATATATAAAAGTTAAAAATATAAATAAATATGTTAAATTTTGATAAAAAGATCATATAAGAAAGACAATAAATAGGTTAATTAAAATAAAAAAATAATAATCAAAGCAATTAAAAAGATCTTAATAATAAAGATGGAAACGATAAATGCATATGTAAAAGTAATAATAATAATTTGAAATTTGATTTATTTGAAATAAAATAATAATTAATAATTTTCTGATAACAGTTGTAGGTAGGCAGGGATAGAAGCTGCTTTGTATATAACATGTTTGCTTCAGACTGCAAGATAGCTCCTTAAAGCAAGGATGGTCTATTTGTTCTTTATCTATCTAAATACATAGATAATTTTGAATTATTCGATCTCAATATTAGGATGGCTTTTTAAATGTGGTGAATTTTTAATAATTTAAGTAAGTGATTTTTTTAAACCTTATTCTTATTTATTTGAAAACTCATATTTTTTCTCTTTTAGATTAAATTAATTAGTTTTGTTTTGTTTGCAATTAATTGATTTTGCAACTTATCTCTTTATTGAAAATTATTTTCCTATTCTTTCTTTTTTAAATTGATACAGTAAAACCTTCAAAATGAAAGTTTATATCATAATTATCTATATTACTAAATAATAATTTACTATCACTAATTTGTATATTACTCTAAATTTGTTATTGTGAATGAACTAGGACTAAATTTCATAAGTAAAATTAATTGTTCTAATTATAAGTCTCTAAAGATTTAAATAGTTGGGAAAGATTTTTGATCTTGAAGATTTCTTTAAAAATTTTTCTTTTGGTTTAATTAAATCAAAAATCCTGAGCAGATTTATGGAAGATTATTCATTCGAATTTTTGTTTATTAAGGTATTTCTAAAATTAATTTTCAATTCAAGAAGATTTGGATTATTAAGATAAAATTGGATAAATATGTGTAAAAGAATTTTAGTTGTAAATAAATTTTCTAAAAGTAATTAATTATTAATGTGAAATTTTATTGGTTTGTAAAATTATTTATAATATTCTTAGTTCTTTTACACACTTATTTTCATTTATAACATTCTCTTTGATTTGAAATTTTAAATATCCACTAGCTAAGTTTTTAATTTGTTTATAATGAAACTAACTAAAATTAAATGTTTGTTTTGCAACTAGCCTTAATTTATCTTTACTAATATCACAGTATAATCTAAATTTTACTTGAATTCTAAGGTAATTAATTATTAGCTTAACTTAAAACGATAAACTAAGAATTAAATTTTGATTAATAAATTGTGTTTACTGAATTAATTTTACTATACCTATCACTTTAACTAATGTCAAAAACCACAAGTAAGTTCGATTCTAATACTTAATTTGGTCATATTTTTAGGTTTCTTTTGTATAAGTTTTGCTCCCTAACATTCAAATTTTCACCTTTTTCTGTAAACTTAGAGCACATTGTAAAAGCCGTCATTACCTAACATTCTTGTTTTCAACTATAAAAAGCCAATTAATTATTACTATTATTATTAATTTTGCATTATCGCTCTATTATTCTTTAATTTTATACAGTGATTTCCATCTATTATTGTTTATTTTATTAATTTATTTATTTTACCACTGCATAAATCATAATAATATTAATTTTGTTCTAATGAATTTTATGTTGGTTATAACTTAAATATACTTTTTGCTTTGTTTTCCATTATAAAAGCTTGCCTTTTTTTAACTTTTTATCAAGATATTAAGTTAGGATGTTTTCTTTTAAATTAGTAATATTTTGCATAAATTAAGCAGAATTAACTAATTTTAAAAAGTAGCAATCCCAAACAGAATTAAAGTTAAAGAATCATCAAAGGCCATTTAAGTTTTCAAGCTGTTAGAATTTTTTAATCATTCATCCATTAAAACTAAATTAAAATATTATGTAAAAGAATAATTTATGTAATTGGCTTTTCAGTAAGCAAAGTTTTCAAGAATAGTTGGTAACTTTGTTTTGTTTGCTAAGACTGAGCGCACTCTCTAAAATCTTCGCTTAAACTTTAAGCATGGGCATCTTTTTCGGGAGCAGATGGTTTCAAGTTATTCATGGAAGTTGAAGTTAGAGTCGATCTTGACCTTCTTAATTTGAAGGAAATCCAAATTGAAATAGTTATGGAGTTAAGTTTAAATGACTTGTTGGTTTAATTATTCGATATTTTAATCAGTAGATCTCATTTTGCTGATTTTGGGTTAGAAAGGAGAAGCTTATGGTTAAGGCTTCATGATGACTTGTTAATTCATTAAATAATTTTATTTAATATCCCTATCTCCTCCTTAATGCAAAGTTTATTCTTTGAATTCTTGCAATTAGTCTTAATCTTCGACTTTTTCTGAGTTTTCTTGATCCTTTTGTTAATTTGAGGTGTCTTCATCCTCAGAGTTATTAGCAGATGAGTCTTCAGTAGAGATATCTTCTTCTTCTTCTACTTCTAATTCTTCTTCAAAATCTTAATCATCTTGGGAAGCTTTTTCATCTACATAGTTGTTTTCTATTTCAGATTTTGCATTTAGTTTGCTGTTATATTTTCTATTTAAGTTAGTTAAATAGTATGATGTGTAGTTCTTAATAGGATTTCTCTAATGAACTTATTTTTTGGTAGACTTAGCTTCACATTCTAAATCCTAACAGTTACAATCGATAGAAATCTAACCTAAATAATTCTCTTTTTTGCTTTCTGCAAGACACTTATTATCATTACTATTATCGAGGTAGCATTTGTTTTAGAATGTGTTTTTAAAATCTTGTATTACTTAAGAATTAGCAACATAAAATTTGTTTTCAGATTCACAGGCAGCTCCATCAGTACTTGGTAGGAGAACGTTGGTAGATTCTATTACAGATGCTTCATTTCTATAAGAATTGTTGACATTTAAATATTAGTTATCAGACATATTGGTACTGGTTGATAATATTAATTAGCTTAGCTAACCATTTTTATTTTGCTTTTTCTTCATCTATTATTTGAATTTAATGTAATCTTAGTATCTCTAGTTTTGAGATTCAATAACATCTAGAGCAACATGAGAGTTGAATGATGAATCCATAGATACGGGGAAGGTATCGCTTGACTATACCTTAGTAAAAGAGGATGAAATTTACTACTTTAAAATTTCTAATTCATCTTAATCAAGAGAAGCAGATTTTGAATTATATTTTTTAGTCAAAGAGGGGAAGATAATATTGACTAACATGACGATGAAACTAATCAAGCAAGTGTAACAGTAGACAAGCTTTGTGCTGACCATGGTTAAGAGGATGCAAATCAAATTCAAAAGTTATTTAAACATTTTTTACTTACTTAATGAAGGTGGTTTTTATGATTGTTGTCTTTGGTATTATTAAGGATTTTGTTTTACTTTTACCTTGTTTGAGCCTTTTAAACTGATAAATGTATTAGCGATAAAATTGATTTTTACTCCCTACTCTCACTCCTTTTGTAATTTATTTCTTTTACTACTCGATCAAACAAAACCACTTAAATTAAAAAAAAAACTAGTAAAATTAATAGAATCATTAAAAATAGGATAGGACTTCGCAAAATTAAACACATGAATTCATTTGATTAACTAATTTAAGACACTCAGAAACAATTAACTAAATTGATTGCTTGCTTTGCCTAATAATAAATTTATGGGAAGAAATTTTTGACAGTCAAATTATTAGTCTAACAAACTAACAAAAACAATCTATCCAAGCTTAGAAACTTATTTTTAAATATGATTTATAATTAGAATAACCTCAAACTGTGATCTTATTAAATCACATTCATATTTCAAATTTTTTTGACTTTTGTCTTGCTATTTATATTCATGATCTAAATAAAAAAAAACAAATAAAGTACTGTATTAAACCATCCAATAAATTTAATAGCTATTCTGTATTTTTTATCCTTTAGCTTACCTCTTTAAGCATACTATCTAACTAACCTATTAGTAAATAAATTTCTCTTTTTAATAATAAGCCAATCATTATTTCTGATTCAGATTAGGGACTGCTTTTCTTTCAAACTATGTTAAATATTTTTAATTTATCAGAAATATTTTTCTAAAAATAGCCAACCATTCATTCATATTTCTAATCTAAAAAATAATATATTTTACTAAACTAAAAATATGTAAAAATTGGTTATATACTAAAAATAAGAAAATATAACCAAATTTATTATTGTCTTTATTTTTACATCCTTTACTTATTTATTTCACACGTTCGTTAATTATGTACTTTAAGTAATTGAACTAGATAGTGGCTTTTAATAATATTTAATCTTTTATTTTTATTGAATTTTAAGTATTCATTTTTACAAACGTATAATTATTTAATTCTATAATTTAACGCATTTACGAATAAACTGTCTTAAACAATATTCAATTTATTTATTTCATAACTTATAATACTGTATTATTTAATCATTTTTATGTATTTATAAGGATTATAGAACAGAAGAAAAAAATATCTCTATGCATAAATATTATCCTAAAATAAATAAATAAGTATATCTTTCAACATTATTATTACACCCATACAATTTTAATTGATCATTAATATTCAAAATATTCTAAACTTATTTGGCTTCATTAAATTAATAATAAACTACTTCGAACATCATACTCGAAAAAGATAAAAAATATCTTTTCTCATAAAATCAGCTAATAAACATATAAATAAATATATTTTACAAACTCAAACCCAACCAAATCAGATAATTTTGATCCTATAAAATTGTCTCTGATGTATTTATTTGTAATTTTAAACAACTCATTATTACACTGATTTTTTTGTTCAGATAATAAATTTCATTATAAAAGTAATTTATTTTTTTTCATCAAATTAAATTTACGTTTTATCAAAAAAAGTTATTTGATAGATTTAATATGAAATAATATATATTATTTAAATTTAAATGATAACTTAGAATAAGATTAGCATAAATTAAAAGCTAATTTGATACGATAAATTGTAAGCAAATTAATTACGATAATATTTACTCTATTTAATTTTGGTTTATTTTAATATTACTCTCCTTCTAAGAATTATATTTAAATTTATATTTGTCCATAATATAAAAATGCATTACAAAAGAACTATTTCATTAATTATTAATTTTAACATAATTTTTTCCAAAGCAAATTTATAAACTAAAGTTAAGAAAATATTTTGTAAATAAAAATCCTACTAACAAGTAAATAAAAGGTTTATTAATATTTAACTAAATTATCTTGATAAATATTTTTTATTTTTATCATATTAAGTTCACTTTTGAGCAAATATAAGAATTTATTATCAAATTAGGCTTTGTAGGCAAATTTATTTTATAATAATATTTTTTTTATTAAATTTCATAATTATGAGTAGTTTTACTCTTATTTTATAAATATTTTTATATTTTTCTTAGATATTTTAGAGTACAAAAAACAAAAAATTTGAACTTTAAAAAAATGTTAGAGTGTTTTTATAAACATTTATTTGAAAAAAAATAAAAAGCATTCATCTCTTTTAATAAATACTTTTTTAGCTATTTTTAAATTAGAAAAATAAACTTTTTTGTATTGACTCTAGAAATACTTTAATAAAATAAAATATGTTTTTACACTATTATTTTATTTGAATTTAAAAAAAAAGAATATTTATTTGATATTTTTAATTAAGTAATACATTAATATTCCTTAAAATTATTTATAAAATGTTTAAATTTATTTTAAAGACAATTCAATATTATTAAAAGCATTTCAGATAAGATTAATATGTTTTCCTGTAAATCAATTATAAGAATAAATTTAATTAATTAGATTAATACTACCCTAAAATATTTAATCAATTAAAAATATTTAGAAAATATTTATTTTGTTTTAATACATATTAAGTAAAATATTATTTTATTCAATTTCTTATTTTAATCTATTTAAAATGTTTTAATTATTAATTAACCTCCAAATTAGCACATTATATTTCTTAATAGCTATTCCAAAATTCTTAATTTTTTTTTTTTCAATTTTAATAATAATAATAATATATTAAAATGAATTACTAAATAGATATTTTTATCTTTGTTAGTTTACTTAAATTCTAAAAAAAGAAAAATAATTTCTCCTGTATATCTCTTGATTTTATTATTTAATAGCTTTTATTATATTGTGTTTATTTAATTTTAACAGTCATATTTTTTTATCAATCAAAAATAAATACAAAATAATAAGGATAAATGGATACATTTCTATCAATATTTAAATTTTTTATTGAAACTAATCGTTTTTTAAATTATTTTAAAACTCAAACAGCACTATAAATAAAATTTTTTTAGCATAAAATATCTGAATACTTTAAGTCGAAAGAATACTATCATATATTTAAACATATAAAAAATATTAACATTAATAGAAAAAACCATTTAATCTTTTTATTATTTATTAAAATTAAATGTTAACGTTAGTAAATTAAAAAAATGAGTATGAATTTAAATAATAATAACTATTTTCAAGATTTAATTATACTTTTTATTGAATAAATAAGATTAAACATTTTTTTATTAAGATTAAATTTACATAAATCTAATACTCTATTAATTAATTTATTATTTTATAAGTCCAAACTATGAATAAAACTTTTGATGAGAGTAGACTTTATTGTAAATAATTTTCAATTTTGGATAAAAAATGAATTTTTAAATCAAAGAGCTAAATTTTTGAGTTATAATAATTTTTTAGAGTGGTAAAAAAATAATTTTTGAATTTAAATAAAAATCAAAAAGCTTAATTATTTTTTTTATATTTTTAAATATTATAAGTATGATTATTCAGCTAAAAAATATTTGTTGAATTTTTGTAAATATTTTAAATTAATTATAATATTGTATGAATTAACATTGAAATATTTTTGATATTTAGATGCTAAGAAATGCTATTTTATATGAAATTATAAACTTTTTATCTAAAAAATAATGGCTCGTCAATACTTCGTCAATTTTATAGAAATATAATACAATTAATTTTTAAAAAAGCTTTTTTTACTTTAAAAAAATTTTTTTAATTCCTTTGTTAAACTTTTCTTTATTTTATTTGAGATTAATTTAAAATTATAACTTTTTGAGGTTTATTAAAATATTTAATAAGTTTTTATAAATATTTTTTACTTTTTTTTTTAACTTTCTATAAGTTATTTTAAAAAATGAATAATTTAAAAAAACTGTCTACTCTTAAAACATATAATCAAATTTATAACACATATTTTTCTATTTTTTTATTAGATGAACTTCTATTCTAAGATAATTTTTTTAAAAGTGAAAATAGAAAAATTTATTTTTTTATAATATGATTTTGGATTTATTTGATTGTATAAAAAACAAATAATACTTAGTAATTTTATAGCAGATAGCTTATTTCGTTTTTAAAATTAGAATAAAGATTTTTGATCTAATATTTATTTCTGATGTTACTTTGTTGATGAGATATTTTCGTTTCTGATTTTTAGAAATTAGAATATATTAGATATACTTGTTTCATATGATAATTGAAATGAGAAATGAATGAAATTATAGTTTTAATTAAGATGAATATCATCACTATGAATTTATATAATAATAATTAATAAAATCAGCGTTTCAGAGGCGTATGATAATTAGTTCGTCATAGAATTTAATTAGATTAAATGATAAAAGCAAAAACAGCTTTCAAAAAATTGCATTTAAATAATATTCTTATTTTTTGTTAACATTGAAGTAAAAAAGGAAAAATAGTTTTCAAATATGTTAACACCATATTAAAAAGTATAAAAATTTTAAAATGATAGACTATGAATTTTAGAATGTTGTATGAAAGTGGATGATTATTATTTAATTAGGTCTTAAGATGAATTTTATTTTCTAAAGTATAATTTAAAATCAATAATTCTAGCATTAATAATTTAGCTTAAAAAACAATAAGAAATTTTATAGGAATTATCTTTAATAGTAGAAACATGATAATTTGCATTTTTAATTTAATTTATTATGTTCTTAAAACAATAAGACATGTCGTATGAATCAGTCTTTATTTATACACCTTTATGAATGTTACTTGATGTTGAGGAAAACAAGCATTTTTGGAAGACATAATGTATGAGATAATCGATTAGCAAAAATGAGAAAGGTGGTTGTTATGTAAAGTATATTATGAATTATTGAAAGCTTTTAGACAGATTAAATCAAATGAATTCGTATTCTACTATTTATTACATCATTTGAGTATTGTGTATCATTTTTTGACTATTCCTATAATAGTTCGCATTAATATCTAGAATTAGATGAATCCTCTTAATTTAAATTAATTTAAACAGATAAAAAATATCAGTACAAATACAAACAAATAAAACTTTGCATTAATTGTAATATATTAAAAAAATTAAATTACATTTATACACTAACAAAAAAAAAACAAACACTTCAAAATATTAAAAATGTCAAACACCAGAACTAAATACTCTAAGAACCCCTGGCATTGTGTTTCAATCGGTGAAAAGGTTCCAGAAGTAGTCACCGCCGTTATTGAAATTCCCAAGGGATCTAAGGCTAAGTACGAATTAGATAAGGATTCAGGTATGCTCAAGCTCGACAGAGTTCTTTTCTCTGCTGTCCATTATCCTGCTAACTATGGATTCATCCCTTAAACCTACTGCGATGATAAAGATCCTTTAGACATCTTGGTCCTCTGCAGTGTCGATGTTGAACCCTTATGTCTTATCGATGCTAAAGTTATTGGTGTCATGCATATGATTGATGGTGGTGAAATAGATGACAAGATTATTGCTGTTGCTGCTAATGACGTCTCAGTTAACCACTTCAACGACTTAACTGACTTACCTGAACATTTGCTCTAATAGATTCAAAGATTCTTCGAAGACTACAAAAAGCTTGAAAAGAAGGATGTTAAGGTCTAAGAATTCTAAGGAAAAGAAAAAGCTCAATAAATTGTTAGAGAATCTATCGAACTCTATGATAGAGAAATTAGATAAGGTAATAGCACTCCTGCATTATGAGGAAGGTATTGAAACTCTAACCAAATAAACATACATAAACAGAAAGAAAGAAAGACTCTAACTTTACAATTTCTTTCTTTTGATTATAATAAAACTGTATAAATAAATATATTTATCAAGACTTCTCTTTGAATATTTCAATTTTCTAGTAGACATATATATATATCATACTAATAACAATCCATTCGTCATCATTTATAAAATGCAGCATTGAAATTTGACTCGTAATTTAATAGTTTATCTCTTAACACATAGAATAATATATAAAGAAATAGATTGTCAACACTTTCATAGTTTAATAGGTAAAACTGAAGGCGAATATAATTAAATCCATAAGCATAAAAATAGCAAGCTTAATATAAGATTCATTCACATATACTGCTTAATTTTAGCTTAAAATTAAATATCAAAATAGTAAAAAAAGGCAAAAATTAATAAAGAGCTATTTAACAAATTAATTAATTAGTTAGTAAGATAGATCTTAAAAAAAGTAGTATTTAAAATATTAGTACAGTAGAAATTAAATTAAAACCTATTCAATGAAAAGTATTTATATATTTTTGTGTCATGTTAAATTCTTTGTTTATAATTTAATAATACAAATGAAATAATGAATTGAAAGTCATCCATTTTTCTGTTTTTAAAGTAGACTTTTTAAAACATGAATTATAAAATATATTTTTAAACAAAAAAGTAAAATTAATGTAAAGAATATGCTTCTCATTCTCAAAAAAATATTTATGTAAATATTTAATATCTATCTATCTCTGATTCTTTTAGAATTTTAGTATTTTATTTTTTTCCTTTATTTGACCTGAACACAAACAAAACAAAGATTTTTTTTCTATTGAATAGAACTGTTTTTGTATAAACTAGTCAAATTCTCATTAAATCATTGATTAATACTATTACTATTTTCAAAGATTTTAAATTTTTAATATTAAAAAAGAGCTTAAAATAGTTTTTTTTAAGGATCATCATATTTCTTACTATTCACAATTTTATATTCAAATGTTTGAAATATTATTTTGGCTCTGCAAATTGAGAAAAATTAATATTTGGTTTTTATAACACATCCTGAAAAGGCTAGGAATTAGATTGAGAAGTTTTCTTTAAGATTAAATTTATTGATACATAGATAAATTTTTGATAGAAAATTAAGTTTGTTTGCGTAATATCAAATTATTTAGTTATTAATACGAATAAATATTAAATTAATTAAAAAGTATCTTTCAATATTTCAATTTTAGTATAAGCTATCATTATTCAGTATCATAATTAAGATATTTATGCATCATAATTTACAATTAGTCTAAAGATTTATAGTACAGTTCAAACGTTCTAACTATCTTATTATTAAATTGTAATCAATTAAATCATATTTTGTCTTCATTATTACACTGCACTCTAAAAATACCTATTCTTAATTTTACGTGGATATATTGGAGGAAGACTCATCTTTCCAAGATGTGTCGCTTGAGAAAAAATATTTGTTTCGTTTTCTGGGAAAATCCCTATCAGTTTGTCTGCTTCTATTAAAAAAATAAATATTTATTAATTTATTTATTTATTTTCAGCTTCTATTTTTCTAAATTTTGTTTCTTTTTTCGAAATAGATGTTTGGAATAACTTTTGATCAATTATTTTGCAAACTCTTAATTTAATTGTTTTTTTCATTTTTATTTGATCAAAAATTTGTTTTGATTCTTACTTTTTTTTCTTTCATAATTAACCAAATCCTAATTATATTATTAAGGATAAGAAAATTCAAATTAAATAATCTGTAATCCTAATTTGGCAATCTTAGAAGAATAATTTTTTTACATTTTATTATTTTTAATCATATTTTTTTTAATATTTTTGCTAACCATCATTTTTAAAATTTAATCTTTTGTTCAATTATTCACTTCCACTAAAACAAAAAATTAATAAATAAATAATTCATCAATTACTTTTTTAAGCTTTTATTGAAGTTTTATTTTTAGGGCTTGCAACTTTTTATGGATTATTGTTTTAAATTAAATCTATATCATTCTTGTTTTTTGGAGATTTTATAGCTGTATTAGGTAGTTCGAACCCTTAACTTACTAAGTAAGGATTTTTTTCATTACCCCAAAATTTTAGTGGATCAGCGTTTTTTTGCATCACTACGTATAAAGGCTTTGGCTCTTCTACTAAACTAAAAAATTATCATATTAATATTTGAGAGTGATTCATAAAAATATAAAATAGAAATAGAATTACCCTTTAAATTTGGCTGTTAAACCTTTTAAAGTTCTGTTTCCTTTGATCATTACGAAATCATAATTTTAGTGTAGTCGAGGAGCACTGACAGAAGATTAAAGAGTCAAAAAAGATTTAACTTTTTTTTAAAAATGAGATATGCAAACATTTACTAAAAACAAGATGCTGAATTAATTTTTTAAGTAGTATTAATGCAGTATTTAGCTGATAGATATTTTAAATAAAAATTAAGCTACCTTCTTCTTTTTTCCAATTTTCCTTTACAGATAATTTACTTTTTAAGTTAAACTCCTTTATTTTATTCTATGTACTTTTTATTGATGCTTATATTTTCATTTAGTAATATTAATCATCCAAATTTTTTTAATAAAATAATTTAAAGCAAGGAGGCAGTAAAGTTTATTAAAAAAGAATTTTTATTTTTATTAAATTCTAAAATAAAACATATAATATTAAAACAAGCAACCAGACAAAAAACAAATAAATACATGTTTAAATAAGCTCAGTTTTATTAAAAATAAATATTAAGTATTTATTTAGCACATTTTTTATTAATTAAATATAATTAAGTAACACTTCTAAAATTTAACAAACATACATACAAATGAATGAATGGAAATACTCTCTATGTTATGACTTATTAAGTTTTATAAATACTATATTAAATGAATTACTTGTTAGATTAATTTTAAATTATAAGGTCTTTATGAAAATATTAATAATTTGCTTTTTTTAATTAAAATCTTTCCTTTTTTCTATTTGCTTTTTATAATTCAATTTTATTTATTGTATTAAGCATCAGATTTTATTAATAAAATAATTTAAACAAAAATTGATTAAAATATAATTTTAATCGAATTCTTTAATATAGCTTGAATATTAAGACAAATAAACATTTAAATGAATTCAGTTTTATAAAAAGTAAAAATTAACCTCTTATTTAACTCCTTTTTTTACAAATAAAATATATTGTAATAAAATTAAGTTATTCTTTAATATTAAATATATGAACGAATTAACGGACTAATGAATGAACATATTTTCAATTATTTAACTTATTACATTTTTTAATATAACTTTCAATGAATTATTTTTAAATTAATAATTCTCTATAAAATATTTTTTTTTTTTGTTCTCACTAAATAGTAATCCTCTAAGAAAATATTATTAATTGATTATATGTATTTATTATATATACAAGACTAGGGATAAATTTAAAAGAAAAGCTTTCAATTTATTGTTTAAATCATTTAGTGTGATTAAGAATTATCTTATTGCATAACTGATAGCTTTTATTGAATTGGAGCTGAAGGGAAAATTTCATCTAAATCATCTAATAAATCGATTGGCGTTAAACTTTTTGATTCATCTTACTGGGTTTATTCAGATTTTTCTTCTTCCTATTATTGTTATTATTATGGTTACTCGAGATTTATTTTCTACATTTATAATTCTGGCCATTTTTCTTCTTATTCAACTTCTTTTTCAAGTATGATTGCAATTTTGTTTTAGTCTTCTTAAGTATCTTCTGATAAATCATCAAATATGTTAATCTGCTTTGCAATAGTTGCATAATCTATAAGATCAATATTATTTTACTATTGAAATTGTGATTCTTATTATGGTGATTTACTACTATCAACATCAAAATAAGTTAATTCTTCTCTATTTTACTTTTACTCTTCATAATCTTTTATTGGTGTAGAATCAGTTAATAAATCAAATGGATCGACTTGGGTAGTTGGAGAGTTTAACAGATCCATGTTTAAAGTATCACTTTTTACAAATTAGTCAACTTCACTTTTATTCAACTGCATATTACTGCATTCTTCACTAATTTTAGAATCATATTCCTACTCTTCATCAAATTAATACTAATCTAAGTCCAATTCATAAATTATGTTCCTAACATCTTTGTTTTTATCTTATTTTATCAAATTAATAACTTACTTAATCACCTTATGATTAGATAGAGGCATTTTATTTACCAGATGACCAACTATTGTTTTAGCAACGCTAATTCTTACATTTGTAACTCGATCCTCAGCAAGGCTTATGAATTTCTCACTGAAGTATGATAAAAATATTCTAGAATTTTTTTACATCAGAGAAGCACACATGACAACAAATACTTATCTAAGCTGATATGAAGATGAAAAATAGTAGGAGTTAACGTTATCTATAAGGGCTTAATAAAATATATTGCTCATAGGATTTCTTGGAGGCAGTCTTGAAAATAGAGAATCTACTTCCCAAGCAGCTACAGTTCTAACTTAAGCTATTTTATCAAAACATAAATCGAAGAAATCAGTAACTATTGAAACAAATAGTGTACGGATATCCATATAAGTTATTAATTCTTTTAATTGCAAAGCAGCTTCTTCTCTGTCTCTCCATTTCTTTGATAAGGACTTTTACTTTATTTAATTATAATAGTCATCTAGAGTTTATTATCTTGACTTGAATTGTGGAATATACATTGATAATTCTTCTTCATTAATTTTTTATTACAAATCAACTTAAATCTATGGTTTTCTAATGACTATAAACTCTATTAATTTTGATAATTAAATTCTATCGAAAGCAAAATTTAATTCTTTAAAATAAGAAATATATTATGGTAACTAATTTAACCAATAAATTGACTCTTTGATATTTTTCAGATCTGATTATAAGCAATTAAAGAAAATTTATTGAGTAATTTATGGAGAAAAATTAAGTAATTTGCATACTTGCAAGAAATTGCTGGTTACATATTCAATTGTATCAAAATTTGAGTTATGTGACAATATTTTAGAGTAATTTTAGAAAAGTAAAGGAAGAGTTTCTATTAAATTTGTTTCTATAAAAGAAAAGTTCTCAATCAAAGGATTAATATATTTTTTTTTGAATTTATATTCACTCAAATCTTCGTTATCGATATAAAAAAATAGACATTCCAAAATGCAAATCATCAACTTCTATTTTTATTCTTTTTATAGCCCTTTATCTATTTACTTTTCAATCAGCTTAATCAATATTTTAAAAATTTAAAAGCAACTTTCTCCTTCAACTTTTATTTTATTAATAATATCTTCTTTTTCAATCTTAGCTTTATTTTTTCCTTTTTAGTAATGGGTAGCGTGAATTTTATAAGTGCTAAAATATTTTTTTTAATACACTTTTTTCAAAAATAAGGCGTTGCTAGCTAATTTCAATAAATCAAATTCTCTTTATTTCATCTTCTCATCTATTTTTTAAAAATAGGCTAACTCTCTCATGTAGTGTTGTAAGGGGCAAATCATAACTTTTATAGTTGGTAAATATTCGCCAATATTTTTGAAATTTATTTCAGGCAAATCTTCTAAAAAACTTGACTACAAAAACATGTTTACTAAAAATTATTTTTATTCGAATTTTAGATACTCTAAAAGAGAAGGAAATACATTTATAAATAAAAATTTATTTGATTAGTTTTCTTTCTAAATTAAATAAAGTTCCTATGCTTTTTCGCACATAGCATCAGATAAGCTAAGATTCTACCCAAGGCATGTATCTATTGAATAAATTGCTTTCCCAATTAAATGCTAATCTATATTACTATCACTTGCTAGGGTTATCATTTAAAAGACTGAAGGAATTAAGCTTTCTTTAATAAATTTTGAGCCCCATTTTTTTTAGGCTAGTGACTTTGAGATAATTTTTACATTTTTTAGAAAAGCAACTGCAATGTCAGTGTCTAATGATTATTTATAAGATTCTATCATATCTGTAAGTGCTTGCTTAAGTTTTTCTTTACATTCAGGATCTTTGATATGCTCATCAAATATCTAAAGCTATTCCTAACTTCTTAAGTTTAATAAAAGCAAAAAAAAGGAAGGAATTTTTTATTAGTTATCATCTACTTCCTTATTTAAATCAACATTTTAACTATTTTATACCTCCTGGCCATTACTTTTAAAGCCTTAAAGCTATTAACTTAACTTTTCTTAAAAACTTTTATAAATTTTCTTAATAGTCCGCTGCATTTTAAAATTTGCTAGGCTACTTGATACTAAACAAGAAAGCTTTATCTAAAAATTTTTTTATTTACTAAAAAATTTTCTAAATAACAATATTTTAAAGAATTATCTTAGATAGTTTTTTAATTGTTAATTAATGGTCACATTGTAAATTTTTTGATATAAATATCTTATATTTCTAGTTGTTATTATTATATTCACAAAAAAGTAAACTCAATTTAAAAACACAAAATTCAAATCAATTATATTATTATTGCAAAATATCACATATATGTAATCCATTTCATTTTTTCATAAAATAATTTCTCTATAAAAAATAACAGCATTTAAAAAAAAATAAAATAATTAGTATGGATTGCAAAAAAATTAATTATGTAGAATTATTTACTATAAATTTTCAACAATCAAAATAATTTTATTTTAAATTATGTTATTTAATAAAAAAATTTATATTAATATTTTTAGTTTCAATTTACACCCTATATCTATTTATAAAACTAAGTAATCAAGATAGAGATTATAATCTTAAAATTAATAAAATAAATAGACATTATTTTTAGGTATTTTATGGAATTAGTGATTGATACATTTTGTATTACTATAATATTTTCAACATCATATCTATTATTATTTATTTAAATTAATAAATTTTTAAAATTTTTATTAGCAGTAAATTTAAAATATGAATCTATCAACATTTTATTTATTTTCTCTTTAGAGGTACTCAATTCTTAAAAAAAAACCTTACCCAATTTTGTATTAGTTTTACATACTCATTAAAAAATAATCCTTTTAATGCAAATCTCAACATAACTTCTTTTCTCAAATTTAACTAATTTCATATTTTTAGCTAAATTTAGCTTTCTATAAAACTCCACACTATATCTGGGATTTTATCTGGCAACTAAGAAATCTGAGCCTAAAAATCATCTAAATTTCTAATTAAAATAAAATTTTAGTATATCTATTTTAAAATGAGATATATTATTTTAAATAAGTGAATTTTTGTAAAATGTGATATTTAATATTATGAATTTTAAAATATCTTACACATCTACTTATCAAAGAAAGAAATTAAGCTTTTATATTTTATGAAATTTAATTTTTATTGCTATTTTCTATTATAACTTTATTTATTGTAATACAAGTTATACAATAAAACATAAACAAATATGTATTCAGACTTTTCTATCTTATTTATTTGTTTATTTTTAAATGAATGAATGAATAGAATATTTAATCTATCCAATTTTTTAAGTAAATAATAAGTTAAATATTTATAATAAATAATCATATCTAATTTTATAAAAATTAAAATATCATTAATTTTTTTATTAATGTAAATTAATTTTACTATTTTCTTAAATTTAATTTTTAACTATTTTTAGAAATAACTTTATTATCAAAAATCCATTTTGTATCAAATAAAATCTATAGAAATTTTCTATTTATTTTTTTCTATGAATGAATAAGTGAAATTTTTATTTGTTTAAATAATAAATAATATTTTTTAGAAATTTATTTTCATAAATGCAAAATTTTGGCTCGTTATTTATAAAATAATCATAGGTAATTTATGTTTTATGCTATTCTTTACTTATATTTTTTCTCACTAAATCAAAATAAGAATGTTAGTTAAATAAATAAGTATTAAATTGTAAATGTAAATCAAACAAATAAATAAATAATCATCAAAACATTTAAATAAATAAAAAAAATAACAAAAATGTCTTCAAAAGGATTTTTTCAAAAAATAGATATCTTTTCTTAGAGATTTTATTTTAATATTGGTAATAAAGATAAGAAAAAGAGTACATGTTTTGGTGGAATGCTATCATTTATTGTTTTATCTGTCTCATTCTCTTATCTTGCTTACCTCCTTTATCTTTATTTTGAGAATAAATTATTGCCTAAAATAACTCAATCATTAGAAGTGTAGTCTGATCAGTTTAGTTTATAGTTCATAGAGAGCCCAATATAATTTTAGCTTGTTGTGAATGGCTAAACAATTTAAGAAATTGAGACATAGACTGGAAAGAGATATCTTAATGTAATTCTTACTTAGTAAATACCCTAAGATAAAGGATTCCTTGTACTACCTCTACCACAGATAGATTGTGGTAATGGTTATATTTGTATTGATTTTAACAAAACAAGCTAGTAGTAGAAGGAGTTAGCATTTGGTAAACATGTTTCACTCTATATGATAAATCTTGCAGATTGTTTAGGAGAGGGATGCGCTTCTTAAGAGGAAGTGAATTAGCTTTTGTTATAAGCTTTTTCAACATTCTAGATTAACTTAATAACATGGTAGTATAATTCTACTTTATAAGTATTCTAGAAAAATATCATGAGTGAGTTTATTAGCTTTGACAACTTGTTAACAACTTATTGTTAAATTAGTTTTACCAAGGCAACAACGTTTATTCAGCAAGGTTTGATGTTCTAATAAACTGAAAGAAGAGATTTAGTATAAAATTACAAAAGAATAGATAGGTTTTTTTCAAGAGAACAATTTGCTTAGAAGGTAGGACTTACAGGTTATGCAGTAATATCATTCTAACTTGATTAAACTACCAGCACTATAATATATTAATTTCCTATGATTACAGAAATACTTTCATAGTTTACAAGTATTTTTAACATACTACTGATTGCAGGATTTATTGCTTCACTACTATCTCAATCTTTTATAGTTGAAGATGTAGGAGATATATATTTAAAAGAGTATTATAAGACCACAGCTGCTGATTTGCTTAATTCTGATAAAAAAAATCAGTCAGCTAAATAAAATTAAAAACAACTTTTTGAACAAGTAATAGAACTATAAGATCAAATAAAAGCTGCTTAATTTTTTGAAGAAAAAAAATAAATATTTAATTTAGGTTTAATTGACAGGTAATAATTTGCTTGATTTGCTGAAACATAATAATACTTCATATTTTTTTTAAATTAATAGATTGAAGTTAATAGTTTAGAGATTAAAAGGAATCAACTAGGAGAATAGCGCTAAATATCTAAATTCTAACAAAAAAAATATTTACAATAAAATTATGCAGCATGCAATTGAACAGATCGATATTTTTAAAATTTACAAAGACATTATCAAGCTAAATATGGCAATAAAAGTTATATTAACAAAAGAATAATATGCTGCCTTAAATTTTTGTGGATGTAGGTATGATGGTCTAAAAACTTAAATAAATAATCAGGATTAAAAAATAAAGAACCTACAATAAAAAAATAATTTTATTATAAAAAATAAAGTATAAGAAACAACAGTGATAGATAAAATACCTGATTTAGTTAATATATCAAAGAACAGATCATAGGACTAAGAAGTTTTAGACATCAGTGTACCTTAAAAGAATTTATCAGAATTTAAATTTATTAAATAGCAAAGCATAAAAAAGAAGACTCACCCTTAGATGCATTTTGAGTTGTATGAAAGTAATTTAGACCAACAAACCTAATCATCAAATTTTTATGTGAAATAATACAACCAACATAAATCACATTTTATGGAATCAATTTTTTAGAATAAAATGAGTTAAATGTAAGGCGATGACGAGATTAAAGATGATCATTTAAATAGTAACGAAGACTAATAAGAAGAGGATAACTCATTTTGTAATATATCAAACATAAACCATTTATAAGAGATGGATAAATTAGATTTTGATTAAGAACTTTTAAAAAAATAATTTAGCTAATTTATTCAAAATATCAAAGACAATAAAAACATTTCATAGATTGACATCAATATTTATAATTCTTTGATTAATTAAATTTAATAAAATTGATTAGCTTATTTTTTACTTTAAGAATGACCAACTAACTAATCTAAATTTGTTTTTTAATTTATTATATATTTTAGAATTTAAATTAAAAAATATTACAAAAAATCGAAAAGTTTAATAAAAAATAAACCTGTTTACATTTTGAAAAATATTTTATTTATTTAGCAAAATAGTTCATTTTTTTAAAAAAAAACTTACTGCTTAAGAAAATAATATCTAGGATCATGCAATTTTTATTTTTACAAACATATAAATTAATTTAAAATTTATAAATCAGATTGATAAACTATATTTATAGATAACAGTAATCTTTATTTTATTAGATTCAAATCTTAGTACTGTCTTTTAAAAAACTGAGTTAGAAAAGTTAATATTAGTAATAATAGCTGTAGTAGCAATACTAGAATCAGCAGCAAATGGATCGATACGATTAAGATTACTTTCTGGAAGACGGAATGTAAACTTACTATCAATCTATCTAAGCAATAACAGGTTCATAGATTATTAGAGCCTATGGGGTGCCCCCAATTTAAGAGGCTCCTTCAAATGAAGAAATTACACTGCGCCATATTGATAGTCATCTTTCAAATTTTGGAAGAAGCGAAAATAGGCATATGAGTTAAGGTTTATCCAACATGAGCAATGTTTTGACACCAAAGTTGTAAGGGCATCGCACAGTTAATGATCTAAATAGTATAGTAATTCTGCCAAATAAAAAAGAATAACTTGCTAATGCTCAAAATATGCAAACAAGTCTTCAATTAATAGTTTAGTAAAATTAAAATTCTCAGCAATTATCTATAAATGGAACTCAACCAAAATCTACAAGTAATCATTATTTGGAAAGATAAGGATCAGGTTTTTCTGTACAAAATAAGGTAAATTTAACAGATGATGACCAAACTGATTAAATATAATAAGATTCAAATAAATAAAAAGCTTTAATGGCATCTCAGTAATTATAACAAAAATAAAATCAATAATAGTATTAGTAGATATAGACTTTATAATAGTAATAAAACAATGATAAAGAATATTAAAATTATCCCTCTACTTTAGATGTATTGTAGGGAGGATAAATGTAAGGTTCTTTATTAGAGTTAACAACCAACCTTTTAAAAGATTAGTAACAAAATACAAATAATGATAATTAAGATAACACTTAAAAATAATCAAATAAAATATAGTCCTAAAAATACATAAATTAAAATCAAGCTACTTAAACAGCAGTAGTATTTCAAAATAAATCTGTAACAATTGTATGTCCAAATTGCTTAAAAACTGTAGAAACAGTAGTAAATTACACACCTTCGTGCAAAACTCATTTAGTTGGACTTGGCTTTGGCCTATTTGGATTCATATGTGGCTTATGCTTAATTCCATATTATTTCTAAGAAAAATTTTAAACAGCTATACATTTTTGCCCTTAGTGTAATAAAGAACTTGGCAGGTGTGAGTATTGATAGATTTTAAATAAATATTTCAACATTTTATAGTAGTAAATTGCTAAAATGAAAATAATTGTACAAAAATAATTTGAAATTAATAATAATTAATTTAAATAAACAATTTATATTTAAATCTATTATCATCATTATTATAAATACCAACATAAAATAGAATTAAGAGTTCTTAATTTACTTAAAAATTGAAAAAAATTAAACAAAATAGCATGTAAATCTTAAAAATTTATTAATTTTTAATTTTTCTATTTATTCATATTAATTCTTTTGTATATAGCTTTAACTAACATTAGTTTAATAGTTATTAAACTATATTATTTATTTAGTATTTGATATTTTTAACTATAATTACAACACTTTAAAAACTCTATTTAGGTTAATTAGGAATATTTTAAAAAAAAGAAATATTTTTAAAAAATATAATTTAATTTAGTTAATTTTTATTTTTTTTCTTTTAATTAAAATATTAGCTTTAGCTTAATAATTTACTTTAAATTTTAAAAAATGATTTAGTTTAAAATGAAAAATATGGTTTTATTTTTAATTGCTTTTTCTATTTTTATTGAACTTTGATATAAAATATTTAAAATATTGTCAATTGTTTGCTCTAATTGGGTACTATATTTGAATTGAACACTTACTATGTTATTAAAAAAGACAAATAAATAATCATTTAATTAATTTTTTTAAGGTTTACACATTTTAAAAAGAAAAAATTAAATAAAAAAGTTCAATTAAATTTAAGATTTATCTCTTTAAATTTTTAATTATTTTAAACTTTGCAAGAAAGTATATTTAAAAAGATATTTTTTCAAAAGATCAAAAAGCAAAACAACAATACTTTTAAAAACTGAACAAAATGAATTCTAAATAAAATTTAAATACATTATTTATAGAAAAAATGAGCAAAATTAAGATAAAAAGTTTTTTATTCCATTTCGAATTTGATTAATTTACTTGTTTTTATATGTATTAAACAAATATTTAATACAATAATTTTAATTGCAAGAAATATAAATAAGCTTAAATTAATTTCTAACTAAGTTTATTAACAATTACAATGTATTAAATAATTCAAATTTTGTATATCAAAAAAATAAATAGAAAAAATAATTTAGTTTTGTACAATTTATAAAAAATCATTAAATACAATTTAATAGTTAAGACCATAAAAATTTTAAAGTAACCTTTGCCTTTTCTCTTCATTTAACAAAAAGATCAAATTAATTATATTTTTTATGAGGTATTTTTAATTTGTAGTTTTAATGTTAATTGATGTTTTATTTTTTACTGTTTATCGACCTAATTTGAGTCTAAACGAACTTATAAACTATATGATTATTTGTGGATGAATTATTTTCTACCATAACTTTTTAATTACTAAATTACAAAAGATTATATACAATAAAAATATACTAATGCTATTAGATTAATTAAATTTGATAATATTTTAATAATCTATTGATGAAACAATTATAAACAGTGAATAAGATAAATTATTGGATATTCAAGCAATATTTGAAAAACTAGATTAGCTGAAAATAATCATAAAACTATATACAATACATTAGAAAATTTATAAATATTAAAGTTTTTATATTTGTTATATATTTTTATATAAAATTTTGAATTAATTAATAGGTTAGGTATAATCATCCATATTCTTTTGTTTAATAGAGTTTTTTTTAGTGAGAAAGTCACACCTAAATTTATTGTTTATTTTTATTATTGTTATATATACCTTCAGAAAAAGATCATTTAAATGCAAATAATCTATCAATTTTATGAAAAATCTGAATGTTAATTCTCTTTGGTCTCTGAGTAAAATATCAATAAAAGTACTGATCAAGATCCTTAGAAAATATTATTTGTATATTATGTTATCTGAGATCTGTTATCATCCCATTAAAACATAAGCTCTTTTTGTAATAAATGTTTAATCATATTTAAGGTATTAGAAATAAATTAGTAAGTTAGAAAATTTATTCGCAAATTTTATTTTAATTCAATTTTAGATTTTTTTCCTTTCTCTTGATGTAAAATTTTTCCAAAGAAATTTAGAATGTTATAATTTTTACATCTAACTCACAGATTGCTTGCACTTTCATGCTTATCTCATAATTATTTTATGTGTAAACTTTTTAATCGACTGTCGTAATCACCACTTGATTAGGTGTATTGTCTTACTTTTCAAATATTAGAATATGCCAATCTTTTTTTTACATTTATTTTTTTATTTTTCGTTAACAAAATTAGGTTTTCTAAACAATTTTAAAAAAATAAATGAATTTTTTTACCATCACTTTAGTCTTTGTTGTATAAGAGACTAATACATCCTTTAAATACTTTTCCTTCTCTTATATTGCTGTTAATAATGTATTCTATGTTTTTTTGCTCAAGCTACACAATAGCTTTTATTTAAAGATTATAGAAAAATAAATTTTTTTTACTATTTTCAAACAAATAAACTAGCTAAAAATATACTTTCGAAGTCAAATAGATTTTATGAAGATTAACTACTTGAATTGCTTCTATTTGTGCTTAAATTAGAATTAGAAGAATTAAAAATAGGTCTAACTTAGAAATATATATTGATATCGATAGATCCAAAAATTTTTTCAGATATGTTGTATCCCATATAACTCCAATTTTCTTAAACTTCTCTATTATGATTTGATGAATAAAAATACTAATTAATATTATAGTCGGATAAAGATAATGTGTTGTTTGTGGGTATTTAGAAATTAAACAAATTAAATTATAATTTTTTTAGGTTAATAGATTAATATATCATTATAATGTTTGCTTTGAATGACAAGTTATCATCAACAAATTTTTCATTTTTACACATTATTTTGAAAATAGCTTGATCTATTTCCATAAAAAAATAATTGGAATTAAAATTTAGTACTTTTTAAAATAGGAGTATATCTATTGATAAGCTTGAGTAAGAGAGTTAGTGTTAATATTAAAAGTCTTTTAAAAATAATCGAAATTTCCAAGCGATTTTTAATAAGGAGAAGTCAGAATTTGCTTGCGAAATACCCAGTCACTCGCTTAAAGAGTAATTAGGCACTCATCTTTATCTTATTGATGAGGTGATATACATGTTGGTATAAGATTTGGCTTTATTTTATAGTAAAATAAAAAATTTAATATCTGTTAATTTACCTAAAAGTTGTAAAATTGCTCATAAAGACAAAGAAAGTTAACTCGCTTTAAATACTAACTCTTTATCTAACTAATCAAGAATAAATTCTAAATAATAAGAACTAAAAATTAGTGTTTCTATAAATCTATGCAGAAAGGACGAGTTATTTTTCTTTACTTTTTTGTTTGCATTTGTTCATTTGAAAAATAAATTACTTCTTTATTGCATTTTTTTAGGTAGTTTAAAACTTCAGAATTTGACACTTAAATTATTCGGAATTTATTTGGGTTATTGCAAGACAATACTTAAGTATCATCAAATGAGCAATGCGAATCTTTATGTACATTTACTCTTTCTCCATTAATCATAAATGATTTACTTGATTCTGTTATATAACTAGAATTTAAATCAATCACAGGCTACTTCAAAACATAAGTAGCTTGCTAGTATTGAGTTTATCCCCTTTGTTAATTCATAAGCCAAATCAAACCTTTATCTGCTTCTAAACTTCCATCAATTTAAAATTCTCGCTAAAAATTATACTATCTGGGTAGTGTATTTCCTTTCTTTTTAGAATCATCCTTTCTATCCATGCAATTGCAACCGAAATTCTAACCCATTTTTCTTTAAAGTTTGCTATGTTTTTGCTTATATCTTCTTGAAGTTAATTTGCTAAAATTGTTTAATTGATTCACCACTATTCTTATTTTAATTAACTCTTACTATTTCTTCTATTAGTTAATTGAAGAAATAAATCAATCACAAATGAGTTATAAGTATTAGTATTTTTATATTAATATTATTCTTTATCTTCTTCACTTTCTCAACTTATTATAATATACAATTATAGACTTGCTAATAACTTTATCAATTAAACATTTGTTTTTTATATATTAATCATAAGCACAAGCATATGCAAGTCATTAACCACAAAATATACTTTTTTTATGCAAAAACAATACAAATTCTCTCACTCACTCACTTTTTTTGTTTAAAAAATTTAAACAAAATCAAAAAAAGTGTCTTCTAATTTATCATTTGTTTGTTATACAATTAATTGTAAATATATTTCCTAGTAGAGTTTAACTATCTGCTAATTTACAATACCTAAACAATCTCCAAATTTTATTTCAGAATTCTCAAAAGAAATTTAAATTAGAAAACTAAAATAAATATATGTATGTGTATAAGAAAATCTAATAAAGAATCTCATCCTATTTAAATATACTGGTTACAAAAATCATGTATTTTTTAATTTTTATCATAAAAAAGTATAATCTATCTAAGTAAATAAGCATTTAGTAGATATAATTAGCATTAATTTTAAGAAAAAATTATCAATAAAATTAAAACATTTATTTTTTCCTAATTATATTAATTATTTTATTTAGATCTTTATTAGATTTCTGAGTTGATCTTAATCGTTTTGAAGCTTTTAGATTTTTATATCTTTGCTCCATTAGCCAATTCTGTTTAAAAAAATATCAATAATTTATAACTATTAGAATTAATGTGAGTATTAAAGTTGTTGTTGTTGTTATTTATTTTAGTATGCTTTTTTAGCTCATTCCAAATAGATAATTCTTATAAATATTTATTTAAATATAATTATTTTCTAAACTCATCAATTGATACTTTTAAATTCTTTAGTAACAAAAAATACAAATTTTGTTAACTATAGAAAATAAATTAATTGCCTAAATACAATAATTTAAATAAACTCAAAAAACTTTATTTTCTCTGCAATATAATTAATAAATGTTTACTAATAATTAAAAACAAAGACTGAATAAAAAAATAAAGATTTAATAATTAAATTATTTGAATAAAATAGTTAAAAAATTATTTTATATAAAAAAAATTATGAGAAATTTTAGGCTCTTATCAAACCATTTTTCGCAATTAAAAAATTTTTATGACAATAAAAATCTATTTTGATAAAATTAACTCAGTCAAAATGATAATTAATTTCTAATAATTTAATATAATTAGGTTGTTTGAATCTAAATATATTTATTTATATATAGAAATACTAATAATGATTATTTATTTATTTATTAGTTAATAATTTTGTATTTTATTTATTTATTTACTTCATTGGTATATTTGTGGAAAAGAAATATTTTTATTATAAAGATTTTAATACACTTCTGATATTGATCTATCTAGAGTAGAAATTAAATGACCCTAACCTTTTCCTACATGCTTTACTTTTTAATTTTTTTTCTTTATAACATTACACAATTGTAATACTTTTTTTGACGTTTCTACAGGATTAAAAGCTTCCATTTAATCAACTTTTTAGTCTTTTGCTTTAGATTTCTGATCTTCAAAAGATCTTCTTAAAGTTTTCTTTTCTCCTTATTCAGAGTCATTTTAGTCACTTTCTAATTTTTTAAAAGAAAAGTTAGAAACGTATAAAATTAGCTCATTTAATTACATTTTGGATCTTTTGATTTAGATTTAACCTATCCTTTTGCCTTTTAATTAGCATCTTTATCATCTTAATCTTATGCTTCAGCTTATTAGTCTAATTTTGGCATTAAATTCGGTTATGATCTGGTTTACTTATCACACAAGCTCACTAATATTTCCATTTAAAGAAGATAAAATTATAATGACTTATATAAACTGATTTATATATTTAAAAACCTGGACAGCTATTATAAAGAGAAGTGGCTGCATTAAAGTGAGTCTTATTATGAAGAGAAGGTAAAAGGTTTTTTGCTATTTCTTTTGCTAACAATCTTCTACGTCTAATTCAAATAAATGAGCATTAATTTAATAATCTACTACCACTTATATATTTAAAAAACTAATTATTTTTTTATTAAATATTTACTCCCAAGGACTTTAGTATTCAGGAAAGTTGTCCATAAATTTTTTCTACTTTTTTTTATCTCTAAAATCTATATTCTTAAAAGTAAATATAATTACACTTCATCAGATTTACCTTATAATAGGACATATCAATGTATTGATGATTATAAGCAAACACAGTTTTTTTCATCAATAAATCATTACAAATATTATAAATTAAATATATTAATTCAAATAATGAAAGATAGCTATTATTTACTTCAACTTAAGTTTGCATATGATCTTTTAAAAACTATTCAATTCTTTCAAGTGATGTTTTTGCTGTAAATCTCATTTCAGGTTGTATTTCCTTGTCCATATTTCTATCTCTGAATTGATAATGTGCAACAGTTTAATTTGGCATGTAATCTAAATCTTGATTTCTTTCATATGATTCCTGATTTAGTTTTAAAAAATAATTTTCCTTTCTATTTATTCAAAACTCTTTTATTTACTCTAATACGATCTTTTTCATGCTTAAATCCTTTTATATATACTTAAGGGTCTTTTAAGAATTTCTCAGGAAACTCATCTCTTATTTTATAAGCTGTAGGTCCTTTGTATTCCTATGTCACAATAGGATTTTCTAGCATATTTATTACAAAATTTTCAACCCTCTTTTTATAGTTAGCAGCTAACTCATTCTATTTTTCTATTAGAGATATAGTTTAATTGAAATGGAATTTAGAACTTAAAAAAAATAAAAAATACTAATCCGTTTTCTTTAAATGATTAATATTTTATTATTCAAATTATATTAAATAAAATTTTCATTTTTACCTTTCCTTTTTTATAATCCTTTTATAAAATCATCCTTTTATTTCTCTACATCATTCTTTATTTTAAGCTTCTTTTCATATAAATGAACGTTAAACATTTTGGAGTTATATTAAAAGTTCTATTAACAAAATCTTGCTTCCTTTGCTTTTGCTTTATGAATATTAAAAATTGATTACTTGCTTTTATTTTTGATATATTTTTTTTTTGCAAAAAAAACAAGATTATACTTTGCAGTGTTAATAAAAAATATAATAATTATAAAAATTGCACTTCAAAACCAAGCATTATAGTAATAAAATCTAAAATATTTTAAAGTTATAGATAAATTGTTATTCTCAAGTAATTATATTAATTAAAATAATAATTAATTTTTTCTTATAAATCAACTTAAAATATTTTCAATTATAAAAAACATTTCTTTAAAAAATAGTTAATTAATACTAATTATATATATTTTATATTTCTTTATTGTATTAAAAAAATTTTAATTAAATCAAACTATTACTTTAAAATAAAATAAAATTTTTTATGTGAAAAATATTTTAAAATTCAAAAAAATTAATAAAATAAATTATTTTTTTTTTCTTTGTTTGTAATATTGTTTAATTTATGGATAATTTATATTTTTTCTTTTTTTTGAGTCAATATTATTCATATTTGATAAAAGCTTTAATTTTCAAAATGAACATATTATAATCACTAAAAATTTAATAAATTGTAGAGATAATAAGAAATTCTTTATTGATGTTTATGATATTTGAAGTATTTGAAAATATGTATTTAGTAATAAATTCATTATTTGTTAATGTTATAATAGTTAGACATTTTAAAGTCATCTTCCTCTTCAGATTCATTTAATTTTAAATCAACTGTTAATCTGCCTAGCTTATTTTCTATCCTGTTAATTGCCTGTAATATATTTTTAATTTTATTTAAATGTATTTTTTTTACCAATAAAATTTTTATTTACCTATTTGAATCTATCAATAACTTACTCTTAATTTTATTCAGTTGGTTTGATTTATTACTATTAATTTTAATGTAAACTGTTTGGCTATAATGGCTACTAAATAGTTTTATAATACCCTAGTTATGGCTAATTTCTTACAGTAGCATTTTAAAATATTGAATTAAAATTATTTTAATTAGTTTAACTTTATAAATCATATTCATTCCTCTTGCTATTTGACTAAACATAGTTAATTCTTTATGTAGACTGAGGTGTCTGGTACTATTTTTAACCTTATTATAAATTTTAAGTAGAATTTATTCTTTCTCCTGTTTAATTATGATCTTATTCCTACTAGCGATCTAAAATTATCGAAGGAGTAATTATATTTTGATTTAATTCAACTTTTTTTTTTTCTTTCTTTTTTTAAGTTTTATTTTTTATTGTAGATTTCTATTCACTTTTACCATCTTTTCCAGAAGTAGCTCTTTTTTCTTTATTGATTTTTTTCTATTTTTTCTCTTATTTCTATAAATTTTATTAATATTTGTTTAATTTATAAAAAAAGGATTACAATTTCACTGTTAGCAATCTCTGTCATGATATTTTATTCTGTTTACATTGGATTAATTGTGTTTTAAACTATGCTAGATCCTGTTTATTGATATGCTTCACTTAATTACTTGGCAAATTCTGTTTTGTAGAAATTAATTTCTCTATTGTATTAGTCTTCTAAATTCTAAACTTCTGCTTTCATTTTCTAATTTAATTAAAACAAAAAAATTTAAATAAATTAAGTAAATGAATTTTAATTTAAATAGAATAATTAATTTAAACTGAATTTTTGTATTTATTTATTTTAAAAAAATTTAGTAATAAAAAATTTAATTTAACGTTCATTTGTTTAATATTTTTTAATTAATTTATAAAATTACTTAGATAGAATTTTATTCTCTAATCCTTGTTAATTTTTCATTTTTTAGCTAGGTTTATAGACTGTCAAGTAATGCCTACAAACTTTTATTTTCGTTCATTAAAGTAAGTAGGGTTCTATCATGGTTGTCAATTTCTTCCTTTTCAGTTTTTTCTTATCTTGTACTATTAGATCTTTCTCTTACTGTTTTATTTGGGTTATTTGCATTAAAAGTTTGCTCATTTATTATTTGTTTCATTTGTTCAATATCTTTTTCTTAAGATTTTATAATATCCTGTTTCAAAAAAATAAAAATTTTTAATTTGGTTGTAATTATTTGAAAATATATACCTCTCTTTCTTTGATAATTTGTTCAAGCTATTTAAGCTTTTATTAAGCCATTATGCTTCTTTGATCTTCTTTTTCGAATTAATTAAATATGTCTTTCTATAAATCATTAAGTTCTTGTTTGCAATCTAGTAATCTTTAATTCAAGAATTCGTTTGTCTAGATAATAAAAAATATTGTTAAAATTTGTTTCACAAATATTAAAATTTTTAATCTCATCAATGCTTTACTTACTAAAGTTTGGCTATTTCTTTTGCTTAGTTAACAATGTAGTCATTATTTTATAGCTATTGTATCAATTCTTTTTACTCTTAAATAAGCTCTTTGTATTTATTTACTTCTCTGTTCTTATCAATTTCAAGTGAGCTAAGCTAATTATTCATAGAAGAATCTATCTTTCTGCTATCTATCTCTGCATTCAAATATTTTCTATTCAGTACATTCATTTTTTCCTTTAGCTTCAAATTTTCAAACTATAGTTTTTAAATTTCGATTGATTTCTCCTCACAATCTTGCTTTAGTTACCCGATTTCAAGTTATAGATTTTAAATTTCATAATTTGACTGATGTTAAGTTGTATTTGGGATATTACTTTACTATTAAGCACTCTGATTGAAACTGTTGTTTATAGATTTAGAATCTTAATTTGTTTAATGATTACTACTACTTCTATTTTTAGGAATATTAGTATTATTGTTTGCTTGGTTTAAGTTGATCTAATGCTAGTTTTACTCAAGAGCCCTTTATAACCTCATATTACTACTTTTTAGATTAAGATTCTCCTTTTATAATTAATCTATCAATTAATTTTTTTTTTCATTATCTCTAATCGCATTTTAAAGGTTATCTACTGTTTATTGTAGCCATTCATTTAATATATTGTTTTATTAGTTCCTATCTTAGTTTTATTGAGCATTTTTAATTAAATCAAACCTATTTCTTGGGCTTATTTTCTCTAAACTTAAAAGCATTTGATTTCTTTCACTTGTTAACCCTTTTTAAAAATGAAAATTAATATCATTCACTTTCATTAATTTAAAAATTATAGCTTATGAAATACTTTATAAAAAACTATTTCACTAGAAAAATGAAAATAATAAACACAATTTCAGGTAAATTTATATAAAACTTACATTGATTTTCTCTATCTAATTCCTAAATTTTTAAACTGACACTCTACATTGTTTAGTTCCATTCATGAGCTATGTGGTCTCTTTTTTCAAGTTCTTATGTGAGTTCTTAAACTTTTTATTTCATTTCATTATTAGTAGCTTGCAAGACATCCAATTATTATAAAATTCCTTCTTCATTTTGCTTGTATTCAATAATTTCTTTCTCTAACTCACTATTCTTTTCCTGTAATAATTAAACTTATGCTCTTTCATTCTAAAACTCATCTATTAGAAATATCATTTATATTTGATTAATTTTTATATCAATTCATTCATAAAAAATATGAAGAAATATACCTACCTACTATATTTTCATTCTAATAAATACTCTATCTTATTTGTTTATCTTTTTCTTCTAACTATTATTCTAATTGTTAAGCTCTTTCTTGTAAATATACGTTTTCTTAATTTAAATCTGCGATCTCTTGATGTAGATCTTAAATTACACTTTTGCATTTAATCAATAATACATCTCTTACTCCTAAACTATCTTAATCATTTTCTGTTTAGTAATCTATTATTTTAATATAGCTATTGTTACAAAACAATTTCATTTTAAATTTAAGGTACCTAAAATATCATCCATTTATTTGTTACTTTTATCGTTTAAAGAATCAGATTGCATTTAATAAGTACTGTGATAAGCTTAATAAAAATTTGAATATCTTTAGCTAATTTAAGAGTTAGTGATTAAAACACAGACAAACAAAAAATAATTAATATTTTTATTGAGTTTTATTTTAAATTCAAAAAGCAATAAATTTTATATGTATAAATAGGTATTTGATTTATATTCAGTGAAATTTAATTACCATAATATAATTTTAAGGTGAATATTTATTTTTTATAAATTTTACAAAAAAAGCGAAATTTAAATTTACTTGCTAAAACTTAGTATCTAAAATTAGGATAAATAAATATTTATTTAATATTCTTAAATAGTTGAACATTTATTGTTTTTTTCATCGTTCAAATTTAATAAAATATTCTATTAATTTTAATTTAAAAATAATTTATCTAAAAATTTGTAAATTGATATTGTTAAATTAAAAACATTTTTTAATAACTAACTGGTTTATTTTTATTTTAATAATTATTCTAACTGCTAGAAAAGATTCTATTTTTTAAATTAAATCATATCAAAAATAATTTAAAAATAAATTTATTTTACTTAAAAATTTTACAATTAAGCATAAAACTTATTTGAATTTTTTGAAATTATTTGTTATTTTTTGTTATTTTTAAAGCTATGATGTAAAAATATCAAATTATATTATTGATAATAAGTCTAAAATAAAAATTTATTTAGTATTTAAATAAAAATGATTATAGATTATTTAGATTTATTATTCAAATAATCAATTTTATGTATAAGTAAAACTATTAGTTGAAGTAGATATGAATCGTAATGAAATATTGAAATAATAAATATTAGAAACAAACATATAAACATTCATACAAGCATACAAATTAATTGTATGGCCTTTTATAAGGAAAGGACCGTTGCGAAAATTAAAACTTTTTTTGAGATTTAATTTTGCAAAAATAAATCAACGATAATGACTGAATAAAAAAATATGTATTGATAAATGAATGAATTGTTAAATAAATAGAAAAAGGATAAGGAACAATAAAAATAAAACATACTTTGTTTGCTTTATAAAATAAACCAATAAGAAGAATAAGAGTGAATTAATAAAAGTAAATCTTAAGGACAATAAAGCAGTTTGTATTAAGAATATTGCATATAGATTATATAGTAATATCAAACAATAAGAAGAGTGGAATAATACAAATCAAGTAAATAACAATATAATAATAAGTAATACAAGTTAAAAGATAAAAAAGAAAAGAATACAAACGAAAAAGTATAGCAATATGAATTATAACTTACCTAAGACTGTTCCTTTATTGCCAGGTCACTGCTTCCCTGACCACTTAAAGGAAAGCCATCATAAGACTTAATAGTTCACCTTAGTCAATAACGTTCATTGCGAAAAAACTAATTACATCGAAGAAAAGAACGACCCCTATCTTATTGATTCACTAAGAATGGGCACTCCTCCTGATTTGACATATGGAAAAAGTAAGATTTTTTAAAGTATCTTTGTCACACTTGTCGAATAACATTTTAATATTAGTTTTATTTCATTTTAAGTGGCTACTTTAGATCATTTAATTAATCAATTAGTGTGAATCAACTACTTATAGCAATTTTTTAACGTTTGATTGAAATATAATATTAGGAAAGGCTCCCATAAATGATTATATCCCTCGTATCCAACCTCCCTGGTTAAAATATGATAGATAAGTTCTTCGTTTTTATTGCTATTTCTAGGAAAGTGTTGTTGAAAATCCTTATGAAAATTACCGTATCCGTAAGTGTACTCTTTACTACTACTTATCTGACGGTACTATTCATGTCAACGAACCTAAAATAATGAATTCTGGTATTGAATAAGGTGTCTTTATTAAGCGTCAATAAATTCCTAAATAACTAAATTCAACTGACTACTACACCTGGGAAGATCTTAATGTTGGTAACTATTTATTTATTTCAATATTTCAAAGCATACATATAATATTGAAGAAGGCTTACAAATATAGATATATATTTTTATAAAAATTTAAAATACGAAACTTCCTCAATTTTGATTATTCATCAACACTCTTTATTTTAAGAAAAAACTATATTTTAATTGGCAGAGAGTTTGATTTTTTGTTAGGATATATCCTTTTTTTTTTGATTTTTTTAATTTATAATAAATGTTGCATTTAAAATGCTTTGCTGCAATTATTAAATTTATTAATATTCAATAAATTAAGCAAGCATAAGTTATATAATTAATTCTAAGTTGTCATTAATTACTCCTTTCTCACCATTCATTTAAAAATTACAATTTAAACTAACTGTTCTTTTAAACAAATAAAAATATTTTTTGTATTTTCTGTAGGAATAAATATTAATCTCTTTGAAAGAGTCTTTAGAATTGTTGACTGTGATTCTTTCACTAAAGAATTCTTCGTTTATATGGGAAAGAAAATGAATTCACCTGAAAGAGTCCCTAATGATGCATTTGAAGCTTAAAAAACTTTGAAGGACATTAAAATTCCTCCTCCTAACACTAAAGAATATAACGAGTACAATGAAGTAAAGCTTGGAGGTGGACATCCCAATACTGGATTACAAAAGTATCTTGAAAATGACAGAAAGGTAAATAAAATTTTACCAAAAACATTTAAAATATTTTTTATAATAAATATAAATAATTAGGTTCTTTCTTTCAATGTTCTTTGGAACGATACAAGCTTAGAAGGTGGTCTCAATTACTATATTCTAAACTATTTCTTAGCTGACGACACCACTGAAATTAAGGAAATTAAGAGACACAATAGTGGTAAAGATGCTTTCCCATTATTTTTATGCAGAAAGAAGTTACCTAAGGTATTCATTTTATTTTGAAAAATCTATTTTATTAAATACCAAAAAGACCAAATCCATTACCTACCAAGTTAAAATACAATAATATTTGAAAAATGATTAGCAATTAATACTCTCTTTGATAAATAACTATTAGCACAATTAAAAAATTAAAATGGTAGTCTTTATAAAGCAATAAATAAATATTATGAAATATAAAATATCTTTAAAAAATTGTAAAATTATTTTATCTTAATTAAAAAGGAACCCATTATGACTCATTATCCTGGTATGACTTTGAAAAAGGAAGAATACTACAGTCCCTCTGATTTAGTTTGTGGAAATATGGTTAGAATTTACAACAAAGATTGTTTAATCTTCAACTGCGATGCTTACACAAAGGAATGGTACTTACAAAATATGAACTTGCAACAAATTCCTATTACCCTCAAAAAGGAAGATATTAAACGTTTCTATTAACCAGTTCCTCCATATAATGGTTTTGGTAGTGAAGCTGATTCTTTAGGAAGTGTTTACAATCTCTAACCTAAAGCTCCTCGCAAAGACATCAATAAAATGTATACATAAGATCAATATATTCTTCGTTTCGAAGGAAAGCTAATTTCATAGAACAAAGAAGACAACCATAGAAAGTTCATTATTTCATTCTTCTGTGGTGATGACACTATCATGGTTTACGAAACTGCTGATAAAAATTCAGGTATTTGGGGAGGTAAATTCTTAGAAAGAATGAATCACAACAATCCTATCAATAATAAGCCTTACACTGAACTTGATTTCTAAATCGGTGAGATTATATAACTCGGAGTTTATCGCTTCTAATTGCTCAGAGCTGATGAATATACTCATAAATACATGAAATCTAAACCTGAAGTCTTTAAGGAGGCTGATATTGAGTATACTCTTAATCATCTTAGAAAATTCGCTACTAAATACAAATCTTACGATGAATTTATGGTACTTCTAATCAAAAATATTGATCCTAACCGTAGAGGAGTTATTGATTTCAATGATTTCGTTGTTGGTTTAAGAAGACTTGGCTACAATCTAACTTATCAAGAAATTTATACACTCATGCGTTATTTCGATCTTGACGAAAATTGGAAACTTGATGTTAAATCTCTTTTCGTTGCCCTTGGTGGAAAACAATGAAAGTCATGCATGCAATAAATAAATCAATCAATCATATTTGATCATCTTTTTAAAACTAAACTAAACAAATATCTTCTTAAATATGACACTCAAAGTTTTATTAGAATACAAATATTGCTATAAAATTATTAAAATAAATTGATATATACATTTTTATCCACTCCACAAACCTTTTTGTTGTCACATAAATATCAAGTTTTTATCTTTTCATTCAATTATTCATATTATATTTATTATTTTTCACAAATATAAAAACATACATGTTTTACTTAATTCATTATTAATAACCAATATAAAAAAAAGATGGAGAAATTTTTTTAGTTTTATTTCCCTTCTCTTAGTATTCTTCCTTCATTGACTAATTAGCCAAAATGATTTTAATTAAAATTAAAATTAACTATGTCTTTAGAGTTAAAATTTAATATAATTCAAACTCAATAGATACTTTTATTTTGCTTGGTTTGATAATAGACAAACTTAAAGTGACAATTCTTTTATAAAATAAAAAATTGTCTTATTTTGAAAAGGATGATGAATAAGCAATTAATTAATCGACTATAAGGAAATAAATTATATAATGGGAGTTAAAATATTATAAACAGAAGGTTTGAAGTGAGAATTAATATTAGCTAGCTAAAGAATATTAAAAGTAGCAGGCTATTCAAATTACAATAATGTTTCCAAATGAGGTGATTAAGAAAAAATTTTTGGAAAGATTCTCAATAGAGTTAGTATTTTAAAATGATAAAGTAAAAATAGATCAAATATTAACTGTCTTATTATTAGATGACTTAATGTGAAGTTTCAATAAGTGCTTAAATTTTTACATTTTATTTATAAATTAAAAAAATAAAAACAATAGATAATTTAATTTGATAAAATTTACAATAAATAAATAAATCATAATTAATTTTATTTATAAGTTAAACCCAAATTTCTTTTAGAGTTCATTAGCTTGTCTTCTAATTTCATACGAAGCATAGCATTTTTATCTTGACTTCCAAGCATGCTATATTGAATGTCTATTGATGTCTTTTTACCATAATTCAAGTTAAGATTGTTGAGAGATGATGAATTTTTTAAGGTTGTTACATTATTTCTCAGTGAAATATTTGAACTTAAAAGATTATTAATTATTTTATCCTTATTTACATCAAGCATTGAAGCACTTATCTATCTAGATAGAGACTGCTGCTTTGCTATTTTGTTTCTAATAGATTATGCATCTAAAAATTAAATATAATTTTTTATTTGTTAATTTTTAAATTGATGTTTAATTTACCTAATCTATCTATTTAATTGTATATTTGTTAACTTTATTGATCATCTTCAGTCTTTAATTTGATATTTTAGTCTCTTTCGTTTTCTTTGTTATTAAATTCAGATTATTTTTGATAATCTAAATCATTACTGCTTAAAAATTAGTTTCTTTTTATTTTGTTTTAATAAATATTTAAATCAAATTTTTCAAATAGTTTTACCTTTAGCTTTAAATATCACTATAATTAGGAGATTGTTAATAAATATTGCTATTTTTAAGCAAAATAGTGTTAGGAGATTGATCAGCTTATCTCATTAAGGCTTCATTTCTTTTTTATTCATATTACATCAAGCTTTTCATCTAAAAATTAATTTATCATCAATTAATTATATGAAATTAAATTAATTACTTTATAAAACTCTCTTTCTATTGTCAATGATTTTTCAATTCTCTATTTTTCTAATTAGGATATTTTATCAATCTCATTAAGAATATATGATTCTCTTTCTCTCAATTTTCTACATTTAGAGACAACGTTTTTCAAATTTTCTCTAACTTGTTCTACAACTTTTCTTTTTGAAATAATTTATCTTGAATTCAAAGTGTCTTCTTTCACAGATTTTTTCAAATCCTCATCATTTTCTTGGAATTATAATTCTTATTATTCTTGCTCAATTTAAGCTAAATACAATTACTCACTATTTTATATAAAATCTTTGATTAACTGTTCTAACTCTACATGAGGCAAGATATGGCATAATCTATTAGATATAATTAAACAAAGTTACTTCACTTAAAATTCTAATTAACTAATTTACTTAAATAAAGCATTTTAAAATATTTCTTTTTAGTTTTTCATTCTTTCACTTTCGTTTTAAAGCTCATCAATTGTCTCTTTCAATATTTTCTCTTACTATTCTTTAGCCTGATGGAGCTACTAACTTGTTTCCATTTCTTCGTGTAAATTTTGTACCTAAGAATAGTGAGATTTATGAATGAAAATATAGTAAATAATTACCTATTCATGAGCTGTTTGAAGCTACTCTGTAAGATTTCTAATTTCATTTTTTGTTTATTCGTTTTCTATTATAAATTAGTTTTCTTTTTGAAGATTGTTTTAAATTTATCCTCTATCTTCTTCATAATTCCTTTTTATCATTTCTATTTCTTTTAGCAGTTTAATTTCTTTCTCTTTAAAAATTCTACCAATATTTACAGATTCGTATAAATCTTTTTACAGATCTTTAATTCTGTCATTATTTGCTTCTGCTTCTTCCTCAAGTTTTAGTATCATATTTGTTTAAAACTATATTATAAAATGCATAAGTTAACATTCTTAAAAATATAATTTTAAATTTCTGATCAATAAAAAAATGTGTTTAATTTAATATTTCTTTTAAATCTAATAAATTAAATTTTTGAAAATCACCATAAAAATATAAAAAATCATGTAAATATTTTTCTTTTTGTGATATGATTGTTTGAGTATTGATTAAAGTATAAACAAAATGAGTAAATATTACTTCAACTTATTCAAAAAGACTAACAATCCACTTTTAAAGAAAATCTATAGACTCAACTTCTTGGGTTTAAACATTAAAATCAAATTAAGATATCATTTTATGAAAGGAATCAACTGTGATTGATTGCACATTTTTTAGCTTAGTGACTTTAGAAAAATCATTTATGAATTGTCCAATAACGGAAAAAGTTTCACTTAAATTATCTTTTAAATTGTTAAATCTTTAGTTTTCTTCTAATATTTTAGTCTTTTCTCCTTCAAATTAACCTAGATATCCTTTGTACTCCATTTCTGTATTCTCTAGTCTGGCCCTAAGTTCCATGTTTTCTTATTCAAGTACATAAATTCTATTTTCTAACTAAGCCTACAGCTTCTCTTTAGAATCATAAACTTCTTAAAAGTTAATTATCTCATGATTGAGTTGTTCGTTCTTTTTTTAATCCAACTCAAACTTATCCTTTAATTCTAAAATAGTCTTGTCTTTTGATTCAAGAAAGGCTTCATATTCTCTCAAAATTTTTTCTTTTTGGTTCCCTTCTTGCTCCAACCTGGATATTTCGTCTTTTAAAAAATTTTCGCTAGCACTTAATTCAATTATTTCTGATTTTAAATCATTTCTTTCCTTTTAGAGAAGTTCAACTACAGGATTAAGGGGATTAGATCCATCTCTCAAACATTCTTATATCTTTTATTCTACAGCTACTTTATATATACTGCACTCTTTATATGCTTTATTTAGTTCTTGATTTTTCTACTCTATCTATCTATTAAGCTCATTGCAGTAAATAAGAATCCCATCTTTATCTTATTTACCTATCCAGCTTCCTTTTTTTTAAACAAAAGTTGAAAAACTCTAATAGAAACAAAGCATAAATAAATTTTTCATACATAAAATATAAGAATCAAATTGAGAGTGTTTAAATTAATATTAACGATTTTTAAATTAATTTTTTAATTTTAACTGAAAAATTAAAAATATTTTATTTACTGTCCATAATATTTGTGTAGGAAGCCCTAGCTGATTCCTTTCTCCTATTAAAAGTAGAATTCAATATGTTCTATTAATTAAAAGTAGTATTTGCAGATAATGGTCCAGTTTATAAATGATATGATATTTATGTATTATTATTTTAGTTATTTTAGTTTAATATATCTTGAACAATCATAGAAACTTCGTTGCTTTGACTCCTTTTTGATAACTTTGTATTAAAAAATTATTTTTTAAAATTATAGTAAATATATTATTTAATAAATATACTTTTTTCTCTACCTCTTGTCTATAATCACTCATTTTGTTAAAACTTTTATATTTTGTTTTGTATTATTTATCAATTTAAAAAATCAAAAAGTTGTTTTTCAAAAGATTTTTTTGGATTTGATTTTTACTTTTCAATTTATTTGATTTTAAAGATGTATGTATATATGAATATATATTAATAAAATACTACTGAATACACCAAGAGTACAAAGACAAGACTAATGCACTTTATTTATTTATTAATTAGATGAATTATCATCTATAAGTTAACAATTTATTTAGATCTGAATTGCTTAAATAATTTTTTCAATATTTTTTAACATCTAATTCAAATATAAAACTTTTAATTCTATCAGAAACAATAATTAGCTGAACATTTTTTTTGCAAAAAATAATAACTAAAGTAAGATGTAACATCTCATAAATTATTTTTAAAATTTTTTCAAAATAATTCTAATTTGATTTACATTAAATAAATTATTTTTTAATTATGATTTAAAAAATCTGTCAAAATTTATTTTTTTTTATTTAATTTTTGAAAACATTATTTTAAAAAAAAAAATTTAATGTTTATTGTCTGATAATTTAAATTAAAAAAAATAAATAGAAGTTTAATAAGTAGGTAGGATATTTAAGATTGTAAATAAAATTAATTTTATAGTTATATGCTGATAGAATTAATAAATTTAAAAAATAAATAATATCAATTAAAGAAATAGATATGGAGTTTTAGTGTTAAATCTCCAGTTTTTTATGATGCATTTAAAGTACTATTTTTAATAAATAACATGCTATCACTTTTTTTATAAACTAAAGCTATATTTATATTATCATATAGCAATAATAATTAAAAGTTTTCTAAATAAAAACAATAAAAATTGTTTAAAGATTTATAGTTAGTTCTTTTAAGAAGTTTTCCATTTTAGTGAGGAAGTTAACATTAGATAAGCTTAAATTTAAAGAATTTATATAGGATAAATAGGATTAATGTCGCTCATTTAAAGATTCAATCATAGTTATTACATCTTAAATACATTGTTTATGATATGCTATGTATCATTCCATTTTTATCATTATCTTGTAAACGAATTTACCTAATATTCTTGGAGTTCTGTTGTTTACAATTTTAAATCTAAGGGAAATGTATTTCTATCATTGGTTGCATTACTAATAGTCAAGTATATCTAGTGTTGTTCAGGAGAATAATTCTTTTCAAGCTACATAAATATTGCAAAAGTAACTATAATAGCTCGTTACTTAGTTTATGATTTACCCACAGGAATAATGTATTCTACTCTCTTTATGGTAATGTTTTTATTTTTAAAGAGACCTAGATACCTTGGTAAATGCCCAAAAATAACTCCAATTAGAAATGAAGAATAATGGTAAAATGCAGTAAAGAAATATGCAAAGAAAGGAGCTAAAAGAGATGATAGTGTTCTCACTTTTAAGGATACAAATATGTAATTTGTTGAATTCTACAGAGATAATGAAGAACTTTCAACTGATGTAATTCACATTTCTCTTTCAAATTAATATATTTTATTTTAAAAATACTATCTTTTTCTAATAAATTTTGTATAATAATTAGACTCGTGCATTATGGGCTTATTTTGCAGAAAAATATTCTACAAATAAATTTAAATTCTATTCAGGTAAATTTTCCATTAATTTTGATAATCTATGCTAAAATTATACTTTAAAAAGAATAATTAAAAATTTGTTATAATTTAAAAATAGTTGATGTAAACAAAGTTAAAGGAATTTATGATGATATAGATGTGAATGTAGCCCCAGAATCTAATGAGTTCCCTACATTAATAATTTTTGAAGATGGAGTTCTTGCTTAAAGATATCCTTGTGAAGATCCAAACACCTATTTAGGAAAGTAATTGAAGAAATGGAAGAGAGTAAATTTATTTGGTAAGTGAAAAAATTTATATTAAGCATTTTTTAAATAAAAAGAAAGCATTTGAGAAATTCTTCTAGTTCCACAATAGATGGTTTGATACTAAAGATTCTTAACCAGAAGAAGAAAGCTAGGAGGGAAAAAATGAAATTAAAAAGAAGCAAAAGAGTTCCAAGAAGAGTGATTGATTATCTACTTTTATTTAAAAACAATAATATTTATTTTCAAACAAATGGATAGTTTGTTTAAATCTATCAAAATATGCTTCCCTATTTATTTAGTTATTTTACCTCATAACTATATAGATTGACAATAAGTGATAATAAAAAAACAATAAATCCTAAAAACTAATTTAAATTTTACAAAGAATATAATATTAGAACTTGTAGCACTTTAACTATAAATTATATATTTTTATGCATGCTCTTTTAAATCTCTTATCAAATTATCTTCAATTTCAAATAATATGTGTAAATTATATATCAAAGTATTCTAATAATTAATTCAAAAATACATAAAATGCTATAAAAAAAGTTTAAATTTTCCTAAAAAGCTCTATTATTCTTCAATCATTAAAATTTTGAATGATAAATCAGAAGTCTTTTAATGTTAAGTTTAAATTATTATCATCGTGTAAATAATCTTCATTAATTATTTATTTTTTTTTGGTAAAGTAAAATTATAGGCCATAATAAATCAAAACTATCACAAATTGTATTTTAGAGTATTAATTATCAAAATTAATTTTTTTACATTTCAAATTTAAAATAGAAACTAGTTAGATGGTGATTGATTACTTATTTTCAAATAAGTATTAATAAATTTATTTAAAAAATTAAATGTAAAATTTTATAAAGCTTAATTTTAAGCTCACTAAAATCTACTATTTTAAATAAGTTATCAAATCAAAATATTATGTCTAACTGTGTTTGGTCATATATTTTTATTCTTCAGTTTAAAATATGATTCTGTTTATTTTAGTATAGAAATTTGAAATTAGAAGGAAATTAACGTTTATATTTTATTTAATTCAAACTTGAAAATAATTTTTAAAAGAATAATCGCAGGACAGATGGATAGAAAGAAAGCAAATCAAAAGCATTTTATTATTTTACCCCTAACTTATGAAAGTATTTATTATGATTAACTAAAAATAAAAAATATATTAGATAAATGCTGCTCTCTCCAAAAATCGGATTTTGATTGAATTTATCCAATCAAATTTGAGATTTTTATTTTTAAGGATGAAAGAGAGAATATAGATAGACCTTAATATAAATTATTTTGATTCCCCCCCAAATACATAATAAAAGCATTCTATATATTAAAAAGGCAATCAATATACGAGTTGTTTTATATAGATTATACTATTTGATTTCTATTCAATTTTTACTAATGTTTATTGAAGGCTTTTTTATATATGCTAAATTGATTGAACCTCTTTATTATTAAATAGATAGATAGTTAGTTAGTTATGAAAAGGGAATAATTGTTCCCACCTTTACTAATAAATTATTGAAATTTCAATCTAAAACAATATAATACTTTTCTATTGCAGTATGAATGAAATAATATACAATATGAATGATGATGATGATAATAATAAAGGAAAATCAAAGCAAGATTCCAATTGATCAATCAATAAATAATCATAATAATACCTTCTTTCTTTTATCTTTGATTTATCATCCTTTTGTTTTGTTTTGATTTGATTTGATTTTATTTATTGTGTGATCTTTAATTATATTGGATTCTCTTCTCAAGAAGAAGAAAAAGAAAGCAAATAAACAAAAGAAAAAAGTAAAAAGCAAAAAAAGAAAAATTAAAAGAAAAAGAAATAAAAACAAGTAAAAAAGAAAATGGTAATTTAAATTTTTTTTAGAGTGGCTTAATCTCATTTTTAATCAATTTTCAAATAAAATAGGCTGGCGGAAAAGGCGGTAAAGGTGGTAAAGGTGGCAAAGGTGGTAAAGTCGGAGGCGCCAAGAATAAGAAGACTCCTCAATCACGTTCTTATAAGGCTGGTTTATAAGTAATATTGGCATCAGGATGTCCATCATTCTGAGCATTTGACTCAGTTGTGATTTTATTAACGCTAAAATATTATAATAATAAAGTTCCCAGTCGGTAGAATCCACAGATTTTTGAAGGGTAGAGTTAGTGCTAAGAACAGAGTTGGTGCTACTGCTGCTGTTTATGCTGCTGCTATTTTGGAATATTTAACAGCAGAAGTTTTGGAATTGGCTGGTAATGCTTCTAAGGATTTCAAAGTCAGAAGAATCACTCCTCGTCACTTGCTCTTGGCTATTAGAGGTGATGAAGAATTAGATATTTTGATCAAGGCTACCATTGCTGGTGGTGGTGTCATTCCTCACATCCATAAAGCTCTCTTGGGTAAGCACTCTACTAAAAACAGATCTAGTGCTAAGACTGCTGAACCTCGTTGAGTAGTAATGTACATGATTTAAAAAAAAATTACAAAACAACTCAATAAAATTCAATATTATAATAATTCAACCTATATATATATTATTACTATGCTGACTGGTTCACGGATGGAGGAAGGAAAAGCAGTACTGCGCTCATAGCATAAATATTTTTGGAAATTCTCTCAAATACTTTTATCAACCTCAACATGAAATAATAATTAACACTGTAAAAATACAAAAAATCTATAAATTCTCCTACTTCTAAAAGATTGTTCTCAACACCTAAAGCTCATTTAGGATTACTATCTTCAGATTCTGCAAGCTCTAAGGACAACTCGCAATTTTCCAAAGAATGGTATCCTTTTGCGCAGCAGGATAGAAGTTATTGAGTAAAAAAATTACAAAAATGTATATGTATTTGTGTATGTGCTATTTCAATGTACTTTCTTCTTACTAGTTCAATAATATGTGTTTGATTAAAGTAGAGTATGTGTATTAAGGATGATTCTGATAGAGTTTTTTAATCTTTCTTCATTTTTTATATGATTTTTCTTTTTAAATATATTCTAAATTCATTTTAATTCTAAATCCTTCCTCTTGTTTTGTAGTGCTATGCCTTTTAAAAGCTTAATATCAATTTCATTTTCCTCTTTTTTTTGTTTTTTGTCAATCTTACTCTTCTTTTTATTAGCTTGGAGCAAAGAAACCAGCAAAATGAATAGAAGTATTTAGCGCAATATGAAAATACATCAAAAATGAGTAGGATGGCTTTTTAAGCAGCAATCTCTTGCTTTCAATAAAAGATCTTAATTTTTGTAGGAAATTTAATCCTCCTTCGACTCATGTCTCATGGCGATAGCCAAGAGGATTTGAGCGGAATAGGCTGGAATAAGTTATATTATATGGATTATTTTTGCTTGGTCATTTTTAAAATATAATAAATAAATCTTTCACTACATACCTACCAAAAAAACTGACAAAAAATCTTAACGAAAATATAGTAGGCATAAATCTTTCAAAATAAAATAAAAATGAATTTTTGAAAATATCTATTTTAGAATAAAATTTTTTAGAAACAAAGAGATTGTGCGTGAACGATAGCAAGCAGGCGGTTAGTGTTTAATAAAAAGAAAAAATAAATCTTTCTTATTAAGTTTAAAATTTCTCTCTTGTTTTTTTGATTGCATTCCTTTCTTTTTAAATATAGATCGATGCGTATTGATTTTCTCTTTGTAATAATAAAAGCTAAGTGAGGGGATCTGAATTAATCCCTTCTTTTTTTACCCCTTTTTTCTTCTACAAGAGTTGTCCTCTCGATTCTGCATGCCATTTTACTTTTTTAATGAGCGCGCACCTTTAATGTAACTTATGTCTTTCGAAACCTTTATTTACAAAATTTTGTATTCCTCTGACCATTTTATCAGTTTCAAATTTCTATTTTCATTTTTTCTAATTTTATTCAAAATTGAATGAAATCAATTGAATCAAAGAGTCTCTTTTTGAATTTTCTTCCTTCTTTTTCTTCTTTCTTTATATAGTCTTATATTAATACTTCTATTACTCAATATTACCGTTTTCCCGCACAAATCTTCAAATCTGAATAAATCCTTTATTTTTCACTTCATTATTATCCAGCAAACAATTATTATATAAATTTCTTACATTTAATTTTGATGAAATTAAAACAACAAAATTTTTATTTCTCTAATGGCCAACCATAATCATTTGTATGATAGATTCTTACCAAAATTTTATCATTTTATTTTTTTGAATAAATATAGAAATATAAAATTATACTATTTTATGTATTCAGCAAGCTATAATAAATGATATGAAATCGTAATTGTTATGATTTATTTAAGTTTTTTTTAATTTTTTAATTGTGCAGAATGTTTGATTTTTAGTCTACTTCTACATTTGTTATTAGTATCATTCTCCTTTATTTTTTAGTTTTTCAGAAATTTAACAATTATTAAATTAGATCTCTCATTTTGAATAAAAGAAATATGCTTTTTTCTAAAATGATCTAAAAACCTTATTGCCCTTATGAAATTACCCTAATATTGTTAAAAATAAGAAAATAATTGACTTAGGTTCAATGCCTAGATAGTCTTTTACAACGATAATTTAAATTAATCAATATTTTAAATTTACTAAGCTAATTCATTAATTTTTTGTGTTATTTATTTATAATTTATTCTTATGATTTTAATTTTTAAAAAAAAAATTTATTTTATTTGAAATTTTAAAAATTAAAAATTCTAAAATTAAATAAAATTATTGATAAAGCGAGATTCATTTTACTAATTAAGCAGATAAAGTAAAAGATACTGCAAATATAGGTTTTATCATATAATAATACAAGCATTAATTAACATATTAACAATTTTTTTCTTTCTTAAATATAAATTTTATAAATATAATAACAATTTTTTGATGGATTTATTTATTTAATTTGATTGAGCTTCTGTTTTAAATTTTAATATTCAAAATATTTTTTAATTTAATTTTGTTATTTAATTAGAATAAATTTAGCTTTGCAATAAAAGTTGCATGCATCAGTTTTCATAGTTATTCCCTGAGTCAAAGAAAATTTGCATTTATTAAAGTCTTTGTTAAACTTAGCTTATTGAAATACGCTAAGATGGTTGTATTTTCAGCATATCTTAAATTAGAGAGTAAATTTGCTATAGCTTTGGATTGCAGTTTAGTATGGTCACACCATTATATAAGTTTATGTCTTTAATACTCTTTTCATTAGGGTAAAATTCAAAGAAAAGGCATAAAAGAACTACACCAAATGACCATACATCAGACTCTTTGGAGAAATTACTAATTCTGGAGGTACGAACAGCATTTTCTTCAAACATATTTTCTTTATTTGGATTGCTATTTTCACCATTAGAAGAGAAATAAGCAGTTATATTTTAATTAAAGTTAGAGCTTATGTTTTCTTAAAATTAGGATTTTCCACTTATGCTACCTCTTTCAAGCGAGATTCCTTAAATAAGTTCAGGAGCAGCAAAAGCTAATGAAGTGGTAAACTCATCTAAATTTCTGTCTATTTCATTAGAGAAAAGATGAGAAATACCCCAATCAGTAATAAAGGCGTTAAAATTAGAGTCAATTAAAATATTTTTGAGCTTAATATTTGTATGGATTATGTCATGGTCATGTAGTGCACAAATTCCGCTGCACACTTAACTAGCTATCCTGAATGCAATTGATTAAGAGAGTACCAAGTTTTCTTATAAAACTTACTCCAAATTACTTTTTTTCAAATCCATGATAAGTAAAATATTAATTGGATCTTTAGAAGTTCTATGTTCTTTGTTGGAATACCATTTAGTAACTGCAAGGATAGGGAAAAGTGTAGGGTGGACAACCTCTAGATTATTTTTGAGCTCTTCTAGAAGTTTATCATAGAAGTTTCTTGGGACAAATTAAATTTATTTGGCAGCATATAGCTCATCTTTGTACATAATTGTATGTACAGAACCAAATTATCCCTTACGCATCATACTTTTAATTCTTATTTCTTTAGCTGGTATTTCTAATACGTATTCTCTTTGGAAAGCTTTTGCTAAACCTGAAGCAAAATTCTAATCATCTTTTACGTTTTGCATATGATTCATAGCTCTGTAGGATCCCATGCTCTGCAAAGTACCACATGGAGCCATCATTCTAGCTCCTTAGTAAATGCTACTTTAATAGATTTCTAATTGCTGTTGGTTTGCATTTCTCTTATTTATAGATTAAGTATCATGAATATTTGAGTGAATAGAGTTATTTTAATCACTCTTATTGATAAATTGAGAATTAGTGTCATTAAGATAGGCGTTTTAAGTGTTTGAAAAAGTGTTATGATTAGTTTATTAATTATTTAAAGTAATATAATTTTGTAAATATAAATTTGGATCAGTCTATTGTATTCCATTTAGACGTTTAAGAGACTTCAAATAGGCTATTTCAAATTGAAGTGTTCTGCAGTTAGATAATAATTTTTAGTTTTAGTTGTAAATTTGCAAAACCTTGAAGAAGTATCTATAAGCTACATTGTTATTAGATTTAATTTTCTAGTGTATACGTCCAAGGTAGAATGTGCTTAACATCTTAGACAGTGGTTATTCATTAATGTTTTTCACTCTTGAGTTGTATAATGCCTCTGCTTTTTCAAAATATTTTTTCATTTTTTCACTTAATTAGTTTTGAAAATCTTCCTCATTATTCTTTTCGCCATTCAAAAGTATCTCAGGCTGTTAGTTTGTGCTATCGTTCTTTATATTTTTAGATTTAAGAATTTTTCTATAAAAAGAGCCTAATTTATAATAGCAAAATGCCAATTATTCATCACCTTGATTCTGCAAGTCCAGTTCTTATTACTAGATTTAAATAGCTTTTTCAATTCCTTCTTTTGTGCCTTTTTTACTGATTAATTCAGCATAGTGCCTAAATATTTCAAGGAATTTAATTAAAAATATGAAGATAATTATAAAGCTAATGCATTTTTTTTGAACAAACACACTGACTAGTTTAATTAAACAAAGAAGAAAAGAAAATTTAGAGAAGCTATTTAATTAATTTCTAAAACAAAAGAATAAACGTAAATTACCTTGTAATAAAAATGATATCTCCCTATTCTTTAATTTTTTCCTCTTGTTTAAATTTGTAAACAGCTTCAAATGTTTTCTCAAGTACTTAGAGGAGTCTCTCATAATCCTACTTATCTGATTCTTTCTCTGAATTTCTAAGCATCTTTGAAATATTATGTATTTCGATCAATACAAATCTCATATGAGAAAAGAACATATTGTCTAATTATGACTAAGAAATAATTTCAATTTCTTGATAAAGATTTTCTGTAGCTGACACTAAAAACTTAGGATACTGCACCAAAATTTAGAGACAGCTATCCACTCTTTTATCAGAATTAAATGACTCAGTAGCAAATAAGTATAGTAAGGTTTCGTATGCAAACGATGAAGAATTTTACTAATCTTCTGCTCTCTTTTGAATGCTTTAGCTAAGAGACTCAATTATCTTGTCATATATTTCTTAAACTCTTGTCTTTTCGTTTTCAACACTATCTTTTGAATTTAAATCTACATTGTGTGTTCTCATAGTTAAGAGTAACTTGATTAAATTTTGAACAGAGTATTCGTTTTGAAATTCGCTAGCATATTGGGTTCTATCTTTTACATTTTAACGCACTACTCTATTTAGGGTATTTAATTCTGGGTCTATTTTCAAGTAATTTTAAAACCAATCTTCACAATTGAATAAAGAAACCCCATAATAAAGCTAAGTGAAACACATAGTCATGACCTAATAATATAAATTATCTTCAAAATCTGGTATTATCTTTAACGGATTTTCCTATTGATAATAATGTTATATGTTTATTTAGCAAATAATTAAAAAAATATTTTAAATCCGATGTTCAAAGTTGCTCATAAATTTAAAAATTAAAAGTTTTTTCAAGCATAATATTTTCAAAACATTTATCTAAAATTAATCATATTTTTATAATTTACTTAATGGCTATATGCCTCGGCCAATCTATAGCAGCACAGTGGATCTGATAATTTAGCTCCTTGCTTATAGCATTCAATAGCTTTTTCAACATTTTATTCAAAATTAAATAATCCATGCTCATAAAATTAACCCTTGATAAAATTTTTCAAACGTGAATTATTTTAATTTTCAGCACTTTAAAGAAGCTCTGCTATTGCTTATGTATGAAAATCTCTAAAGGCTTACTACCAAGATGGTACAGTAATGGCTTTTAAATCTACTATATTATTATCCTAATTTTGACTCATTTAATGCAATGAGATTATAGTATTCTTATTGGAATGTCTTGTGTTAATATCGTTGTTAGACTTATTCTTTTCTTTTTTTTTACTTTTTCTTAATCAAACACTTTAAATATTGTGGTATTATTTTTATTATTAGATATTTTGCTGGTAAAACTTTAAATTTCAATTATCATTTAACATTATTAATGTTATGCAATGAATCCTCTTTAAATAATAAGAATGATATTACCAAAAAAAAAAATTACTAATTTCATAATCATCATAATTTAACAATAATATAAGTCATAAAATTTAAATATATGTGTAAATGTATATAGATATATTTGATGGATAATGATTTACTTTAAATAAGATCCAACCAAATTTTAACTAATTTTTATAATTAAATTATATTTATAAATTTGATATTGAAAATTTCATACTGGTGCATATTTTGATTAATTCGTTTAAATGAAATTGAAAAAATCATTAGTTTTTTTAATTGTTTATTTATTACTTCTAACAAAAAAGTATTACAAATTCCTAGCTTTTTAATAAAAACTAATATACTATTTAAATGAAACAAAGCAAAATATTCAAATGAAAGTAAAAGCAAATTCAAAAATTAATTATTGAGAAGTTGATTATTACTTAGTTTGGTATTTTATTAAAACAAATATATAATTTTGACATATAATAAATAATATTTTGATCTTTCAACCAATCATAACATACAATTTTTTATTTGTAGATTTAATTATTAGTTAATTAAGTACATCTTAATCATTTAAAAATATTTTTTAAAAAGAAATTTTTATTTATATTTTTAATAAAAATAAACATAATAAGTTAATTAAATTTAATATATTTTTTTTATATGTTTTATTATTTATTACTTATTAAAATATTTTCTATTTTTAGCTCATTATTTATTAGGTTTTTGAAAAAAATTTTAATTTGTTATAAATACATATTCATTATATTAAAGCATTATGATCAATCTTAATTATTGCTCTTTTATTTTGTATTTACAGAATCCTCTTTTTATTCTAAAATAATTTCTTCATCTTATTAATTTTATACTGTTATTTACTATTCATTACAATTAACTGTTTCATCAAAAGAAGTTAGCCATTTATCTTTTAAAATCTAAAAAAAATGTTTAAATTATTAACAATAAAAACTCTCAATTTAATATGAATTTATCAATTATTGATTATTTTTAGCTATAAAAAATTATAATTGCTAAATGAAATATTAAAATTACTTCTAAACAAGATGGTCTATCTTCTGGGTTGAATGAGAGGAGTCTTTAAATTAATGACCGAGCTCCTCTCTCAACAAACGAAGGTATTTCATATTAATGCTTACTAATCTTTCGATAGAGCTCTTTTTCATCTGCCCCTTTAAATTAAATTTGGTAATTAATGTATATTCAAAATATATTAAATATGCTAAAATAAATATTTTATAAAATTAATTTATATTTATTTACCTTTAAATGGGAATTTACCACAAATCAAGATATAGAGAACAATTCCACAGGTCCAAATATCAACATACTACCCAATATATTCTTTTTTAAGGACAATTTCAGGAGACATGTAAGAAGGAGTACCGCAAAAGGAATCTAACTTTCTTTCTATTGGTGAAACAACGGCAAAACCAAAATCAATAATCTTTAAGTTTAAATCATCATCTATCAAAATATTCTCAAGCTTTATATCTCTGTGACAAACATTTTTATTGTGCATATATTGTATTCCTGATATTATCTATATAAAAATTTTTCTTATTTAATTCATCTCAAGCTAATTTTTCCTCTTTGCTCTTAGATAATTGTATAAACTGTTATTGCCTATGTACTCCATGACTAAATTTAACTATTGAATATTATTAATATAAATGTATTTTCTTAAATAAAATTTTTACACTAGAAACAGTGTCAATCACATGATAAAGTCTTATTATATTTTCATGAGTCATTTTAGAGAGAATGTTGATTTCTCTTCTGACGTTTTTGAATTTATTTGGATCTGTCAATTTAAATTTTTCATAAATCTTAATAGCTATCTTTTAATTAGTTCTTTTATCTATAGCTAATTTAACTTAAGCGTAAGAGCCTTTGCCTAATGTGTCTAATATTTAAAACTAATCCATCGTCATTTAATTCCTCTTCACAGTTTCTTATTAATTTATAGACTTGACTTTATAGAAACTCAAGGCTGATTTAGGTTTATCATGATTATTACTGTGTGGTTGGGAAAAATGATAATTTTTAGTTGAATTTATAGGTGTCATTCCTGATATTTAAGTTTAAGGAGTTCTACAAGATGCATTTGAACCTGACATTCCACCCAAATTATTACAAGATATTGGGCTAGTATCATTTCTTTCTGATCTATGAGATGGTAGAAACATATTAGTTTAAGAGTTAAAGCATATGCCTTCATTATAATGCTAAATAGGTGATTGGTCATTTTAATATACCAAGCTATTATTACTGTTGTTATTGTTAAATTTTATTATAGAAGGGTTTTAGTATTTAGTGTATCCTCTTATTCTTTAAGGAGAGTTATTCAAAGAATTAGGATTTTGATTAATTGAAATTGTATTAAAAGATTAATTTGCACTATTTTGATTCAAAATTTATGAACTATTTATGTTATTTATTGTTTGAGGTTATCCTCCTAAGCTTTTTATTGTATTCATATTTTAATTAGTATTTAGAATACTATTGTTTGTATGTATAATTTAGCTTGTGTTACTAATTTATTCTTAACCCATAACGATGCTCTCCATACTATCTCTTCTTTATTATAACTGATCAGGTGTTTTAATTCTAGTATTGAGGCAGCTCATATTCTAAGTAGATTTCTATTTATAAAAATTAGTTTGTAACTTTTTGTTAATAGCTACAATTTAATGATAATTTAAACAACTTATAAAATAAAATCTTTAATTGATTAAAAAACAATAAACTATTTCAAACTAAATATTTCAATTCATGAAAAATCATTCTTTATCAAATTACAAAATTTTTTTTTTGAAGTTCATATTAAAGAAAATAGAATAAAAAGGAAGAAAAGAGATTTGTTTGTCTATTTTACTTTATATTATTTAATTGATAAACTAATCAAAAATCAAAATCATATCAAAGAAGTTCAAACTATTTTCATTATATCTAATAAAACATATTTATAATGTTTTGATTTACATATTTGTAAAATATTTCCTTCAAAATTTTCTTTTAAAATTTAAATAAAAAATCTACATCAAGCCCATTATCGGTGTAATTAATCTCTGTCTGATATCTCACTACTCTATTATTTTTTTAGCTGTAGTTACTAACTAGGTTGTTTATGTTCAAATTTTATATGTATCTATTTGAAGAAGGTTAAGTTGTAGGAGGTTTTTATGCATATGGTATGTAGATAAGCTTTTATTGCTTTCCTAGAGAGCTGGAAGCAATATTCCTGCCTTTTTTTCTTGATGATGATCTTGTTTTAATTTGTTATTTAATTATCATTTATTATATATTGGAAGGTACTTTTTCTCGCTTTTCGATTTTCTCAAAATCTGGACTTATTAAAGGAATATTTGCTTGAGTAGGGTTAGTTGATTCAACTCCGCTTTCAGTAATTTATTCTAAAGATTATTTGTACTATTATAGATCTTGTTATGTTGTATGGTTTTATATTTAGGGGTCATAAGTGTTCTAATTTATATTTGCATAATTTTGGTTTAGACTTGCTGTTGTAGAGTAATTATTAGACCCTAGCGATGATTATACATTCACTCTATGTTAGTATTTATTTTATTAAAGTTGCATTTGGTACTAAGGAAATTGCTAACTTTGTAAATTGATATTATACAAGTGAAAAATATCATGCAATTTAGATTGATATTTAGTATTGTTTCCTTTATTTGTTATCCTTGGGCTCGTTTTTTAGGTGTAAAATTATGCTGTTTATTTTATTTAACCATTATTTTCTAATCCATTTTACAATATTTCTTAATCATTTTACACACCTAGTTGCGAATCTCTTACTTAAACATTATTTCTATTTGAATTAGAGTCTAAATTTATGAATAAAATAATTCATTATTTTTGTTTATCAATTAGACATATATTAATGTTATCTAAAATACTTAAAATGAAGATAAATTGATATACTTATTAATCTAAATGGAGAATTCGAGTTCTATTTTCTATTGCTATTCATATTTCCTTAAGCATATTACATAGATTCATTCACTTTTATCTTAGTGCCTCCTAATTATTTATAGTTTATTATTTATATTATTTGGTAGTTATCTGCTGAAGAATAATATTCATATTTATTTAGGTTTATGATTAGCAAAAATAAATAGGAAAGTGCCTTCAAAGATAAATTTTATAATCATTTACCTGAATTATAAGGATTATTCTAATATTTATTAATTACTCTTATTTTATTCATCTTGAGCTATCCTATATTTAAAGATAAAAATATGTTGAAGTAAGAATGCTGTTTTCAATTATATCAATAATAAAGTGAATAAAGAGTGTTAGGTAAATACTATAAGATGATTAAATAAATTTCCTACTCTAGTTAGAAAAAGGAGAAGGCAATTAATTGTATTTTAAGTCTTATGGTGTCTACTCATTTAAGAAATTTTAACTTTAATAAAGGCCTAATTCAGTCATTTTTGATTGTAATATGTATTTACTTAGTTACTTATTAATTTATTTAATCTTTTTACAATCAATATAAATTCCTGCAAAATAAATCTAATAAAGTAGCTATCTTCTAATTACCAATATTATAAATTTAATATTATCTTCTAAATAGATATATTATTCCTAACAACATTATTATTAATCATTCACTTATTATTTGCATCTTAAACTATTTTTTTATGGTTAATAAATAACCACTAATTTAAGAGTGTTTATTCTAAGTGAACATTACTTAATGTACTTTAGATAAGAAAAAATAAATAATTTAACTTTAATATTTTTGTAATCTATATAATATTTTTAGAATTAATATTTTATAAAAAATTTTAAATTATAATATTAAATAACTCATTAATCAATTATTAAAATTAAATAAAATAATTTTTTATTTTGAAGAAAGGAGAGGTAATACGTTTTTTTGATTATGCCTAATATTTTTAGAAGCTGATTCCTTACATAAATTAGGTATTTGGTTGCAAAACTATTAATATTTTTAGCATATTATTTTTACAATTTTGTAGTGGTAGATCCTCTTTACTTTAAAAGATAAATTTTAATCTGAAAAGCACAAATTCCTTTTAAGTTAATAAAAAGCAATTATTTAGCTAAAATAAAGCTCTATTTTGATAATTTTAGAATTGTTATTGATTGAAATTTTGTTTTGCATTCAAAAACTAGATCTAAATAAATAGTATTAAAAATATTTATTTTAATATAAATAAGAGTTAATTTCTAATATAAAAAACTTATTGAAAAAAAATATCTTTGCATTCACCATAAAAAAGGAAATTGTTTTCAAAAATCCAAAAAAAGGAAATTAACTAGATTTTAACTCAATAAACAAAATAGAATACTTTACAAAAAATATTTTAAAAATTATCTGTTTTTTTTGATTGATAATATATAGGAAACATAATATTATTAATATTTATTAATTATATTATTTGTTTTGTGTGTATTTTTTTCTAAATAATGGACTATTTAAATTTTATTACCAAAATTACTAAAAATCAAATAAGAAACAAGGACATATGTAGCTCCTTTTTTAGGTATTTAATTTATCTTATTTAAAAAAATATAATTTAGAAATATTTTAATAGTAATAAAAATATTCTTATTATTTAAAAATTTGTATATTGAATTTAATGAATGAATTTGACAAATTACAAACTAATTATCTTTTTTTCTTGTATAATAAATTTTTTTTTTCCAGAAATAGAAAATAGAAGAATTAATTTATTATATGGAATAAGAACTTATTATTTAACTTTAAGATTAAATTTTAAATCAACTAATTGCCTACATTTTTATAATAAAATTAATATTATTTATTTTTATTCTTTATATTTTTTTCTTCAAAACTATAAAATGCAATAATAAATTTAGTTATAATTACTCAAACTATTCTCAGAATATAACCCAAAATAATTCAACATAACTAACGAAAACATATATTTAACCGAAGTCAACTAATAAGTAAATATTTTATTTCTATTTTAAAAAATAAATTTTGGTTAGTATATGTTATTAATATATCTAACTAATAACTTTTTAACAGATATATCTAAACATTTTAAAATATTTAACTGTTTTCAATTACTGCTAAATAGATATAATCATCATTTAGCTTATTTTTTTTTTAAATAATGTTATTAATATGATTAAAATTTGATAAAAAAGAAGGATATACAAAAATAATATGAAATCAATCAAATTTCTAACTAATCAAATTAAGTTATTAATTTAAGGTAAATTTTTTATTTTTTTATTACACATTTGCTTTAGAAATATGATTTTATTAGGCCAGATACGTTTGATGATGACTCTACCTCTTAAAACATTTAGAATGGGTATTATGAAAACTCTGAGCTAAACCCAAATTTAATGAAAAATGTGATAAGATAGTTCTTTAAATTTATGACTGATGAAAAGAATATGGAAATAGTTTAAGAATTTCTGAAATAAAAATCATACCAGTAAGCTATGAAGTATACTAAAAAGATAATAAAAGATTACAAATTTAATAACACATATTTGACTCGCTTAATAAACAGAGAAGGTTACCGCTCAATTTTTGAGTACTTCTTAACGTTAGAAATATAAGAGTGGCTTTATAACTCTAAAATAAAGGATATATAATCACACATAAAGTGTATTGACTTTTTAAAAGAATGTTGTATCGATAAAAAAAAGCTTTAGGCTTTAAATAGATACAAAAAAAAAGACTGAATATATACGCATATCTATGTATTTAATCAATTTATGTATTACAAAAATCTATTAATAGTCTATTTAGAAGTAAAAATTAATTATTAATTAACTTTATTTTTTTAGTCTTTTTGATTTATTATTCCACCTACAGTATCATATTAACAAAAATTTTAAAGTACTATAAATATTTTGATGACTTAACACATTTTGATTTTTTATAAGCAAATTTTCTGAAATAAATCAAGAGATATTATATGTTTGATTATATAAAGTATTATTCAATATATTTTAGTAAATCTGGATAAAAAATACCTTAATTTATTTTATAATACCTTACCTAAGAAAGATTAAATGCATTTTTTTAAACAATTAATAAAATATATTTTACTTTTTTCCATAAATTTCTTTAAAAATTAAATAAATAGCCTTATAAAGGTAAAATTTCTTTTATATCAAAATTATTAATTGATCTTTGTTTTCGAAATATTAAATCTTACTAAAAAAGAATAAAAGAAATTGATATTAATTAACAAAAGTGTCTTTTAATATATGATAAATATTTCATTTTATATGTTGTATACATATTATATTTATTTATTTGATTGCCATTTTAAATTAATATATCTATTCTACTAACATTCTAGTATTAAATTTAAATAAATAGATTAAAAAATAACTAGGATTTCGTTTTAAATTTTAGAATTCTAAATACTAAGCTCTATTTAAAAGTAACTAAATTCTAAACTAATTATTATGTTAAGCAAATCCTGTTGTCTATATTTATTTTTCTATTTTAAAAAAGTTTCTATAACAAATAATTATAATTCTTAATTAGAAACTAGCTAAATACTACTGATGCAATTTTGACATAAATTTGGTAACCTCATTAATAAAAAATATTCAACCTTCATTATTTATTTTAGTTAAGAAATAAAAAAAAATGTTAATTACAAATTTTTTTAGCAATTAAGAATTTTTTCTAAAATTTAAAAAATCATTTTTAGTTATTTTTATGAATTAAAATAATCAATTTCTCTTCATTTTTATGAAAAATATGGCATTTAAAAATATATTACTACACCATAAATGTGTTAATATATTAGAATATTAAAAATATTAGGTAAATTATTTTTTGTTAGCGTTTTAATGAGCTATGATTTTAGCATATTTGGCAAACTTATAATAAAGAATCGGTTTCTTTATTTCCAAAGAAAGTTTAAACTATTTTTGAATTTAAGAAATTAAATTATAAAGTCTTAATTAATCCTTTATGTTTTTTCCTATTTATTTTTCGCTATTTTATTTCATTAAAGCTTGACTAATTATTCTAAAGAGTACAATTAATTAAAGACAAATCTTGTATAGGTAAGTGAATAAATATTAACACTCAATATTTCTATTTTGAAAAAATAGAAAATAGAATGTTAAATAAATTCTAAACAATTGCTAGAAGAGATTCAATGTTTTGATCTACAATAATTTTGTAATTAGTCTTTTTGGAAATTAAATAATTAAATTTCAATATAAAAAATAAAATGAGAAATCTTTAATAAATTATCTGCTTGGAAACCATGAACAAAAAAAAGCTTAAATCTAAAATATTAATGAATACACCCAAAAACTTAACATAAAAAAAATCTATAAGAACAGATTCAAATTAAACTATATCCAACTCTACTATAGTTGATGAGTAATAGACTTATGAATTCAATGATATTAATGTAATATTTTAATCTCATATAAAAAGAAGTAAAATTAAATATTTTAAAATTATTATTTTCCTTCCATTTCATTTGTATTTAAATTGTATCATTTTATATCTAGCTAATTATACTAAATAAAATTATTTTGTTTTATAAATATTTTAGTCAAATTAAAATTTTCTTCATAAAAGTAATATAAAAAAAAAGGATAAAAAATCTGAAATAGCTCCGAAAAGGTAGGTATATTTGTTTTTGTTTGTTTTTTTGTTTGTTTGTTTATTTATTAACTATAAATTCCACTTAATTAATATACAAGCAATTTTTATTAATTAGTATTAAAAAGAAAAGCAACTAAAACCAAAATTCTACTGATAAATAAATATATGAATAATAAGGGCATGCGGAAGAACTTAATCCAAATGTAATAAAAAATGTAATGAGGTAGTTCTTTAACTTTGTGCTATCAGAATAAAATTAAGATGTTGTTTTGGAGTTTTTAAAGTATAAAAACTATGAAACTGCTACGAAATATACTAAAAGAATAATGAGGGAATTTAAATTCAACAACACTTACATCATTAGATTGATAAATAAAAAAGGCTACTGCAAATTATTGGAGTATTATCTAACCTTAGAAGTTTAAGAGTGGCTTTCAAATGCAAAAATAAAAGATATAACCTAGCATCTCAGATGTATAGAGTTTCTAAAAGAGTGCTGTGTTGATAAAGAAAAGCTACAGACTATTATTAAGTACAAAAAAAAGAGTTGAATCACAAATAAACATTCAAACTAAAATAAAAAAATTGACTTTTTAAAGACAGCTTAATAATTTACTTAATCAAGGTTAATTAATATCTGAATTATAACAATACATATCAAAAAACTATTTTCTTTTAATAAATATTTTCTAAGATCTTAAAACTTTATTAGTTACAAATAAAATAAATTTTGAAATTAATATAAAAAACAAACTTTATAATAATCAGTAAATAATATTTTAATTGCATATTTAAACTTGACTGTTTATTTATTACTCCATTTTGATTTTAATTGTTTTATACAAATTATATCAAGATAAAATAAATTTAACATAATTTAAAAAAACGAAATTGAATGAAACACACTTTATTATCTTAAATAAAAATAAGTTTTTTTCTTTTTAATTTTTTTTACTTTAATTTCAATAAAATGTTTTTTAATAAAAAATAATAATAAATCTGAAAAATCATTAATAAAAATAAAAGCTTTTATTATTATAATAAATATACAAATAAATTAAAATAAATATTTTATTAAATATAAATATTAATTAAATTTTAAAAAATAAGATTAAATACTATCAATCCTTATTTTATAAGGAGCTATTATTAATAGCTCTTTAAATTTATTCTTAATAAAAATAAGAATTTGGCATTTAAAAAATTAATAGATAATTGTGAGTTTAAATAAAAAGAATAGACAATAATTTTACTAAATTTACTTTTATAATTGTTTATTCTACTTTATTTCAACGCAATTATTCAAGTCTACTAGATAAAAAGTTTAAATTTATTTATTTATGTTTATTTTAAATAGATTTAATTTGATTAAATATCTTTTTCGAGAATAGAATATGCTTATAGACAAAATACATTTACATAAAATAGAAATAAATAAGCAAGATACATAATAAGATTTGTAATCTTCCAACTTACTTATCATAGATTTAAATATATTTATATAAATAATTACAAATATTTCTTTTTTTTGTTGATCTTTTACAAATATAAAATTTTTAAAAATGGTTTTAAATATATTTTCTTTATTTAAATAGTCATAATAAATTCAATATAAATTCAACTGCTAGATAAATAAGTTAAATTACTTTGATAAACTTATAAATTTGGTTAATTGATATAATTAGATTTGAAGACTTAAAAATAGAAATTGTAATAGCCAATTTCATAATTATTGCTAATTTACATTTTTTCAAGTTAATTTCCACTTAAATTTTTGGATTAAAATAGAAAAACAAAATTAATTTTTGCTTATATAATTTTCTTTGTTATATCTATTTATTGCAGCAATAAAATTTTAAATTTCTAAAATAATATTTTAATGAATTATTTCTACAGCATTTATTAATTTCATTCTATCGAGATACTTTAATTCAGGTAAAAATACCTTTTGTTTTTGGCCTCAAAATTACTATTGTTTGTACTAAATATTTGATACTTATCTATTTTAATTTTTTATGCATTTTGTTAGAAATTAATTTAAAATAATTAAAATCAGGTGAATAATTAATTATCATCAAATTATAAAATTATTCCTCTATTTACAATTTATTGATTAACATTTCAGATGATTTTTTAGATTCCATGATAATATAATAAATACCAATTAAATTATTCAATTTAAATGAAAATAAAGTGATATTTTAATTATTCATAATATTTTAAGTTAATTAAATGTGTATTTTTTTAATTAGTAATTAAAATAGAATAAAATTAGCGTATATAGATAACCTTAAAAACAAATACAAATCTCCAACTTTTTAAATTATCTATATCAATTTAATAGAGCAAGAGGTACACAATAGAAAATTATTAAAAGGAATAAATTTATTTCGAGATACAAGTATTTTTCTTTGTCATTTTAGCAAAAAATTTGTTAAATTTTTTAGTAGAACTTATAGGACTAGTTTATATTTTATTAAATATTTAACTAATTGTATTATATTTGTAGACTTTTAATTAAATAAAAGTTAATATGCATATGCTATTTTTAGTAAGTAAATTATATGTCAATTGAAATTAGTAATATCACCAAATATATTCTTCTGACAAAATATTAAAATCAAATTTTTAAATTTTGAGTGCAAATTATTCATACTAAAAAATCTAGGAAAAATGACAGATATGTGAGTAATCTTTAATCATTTTGAAATTATTTTTAAATGAAGTAAAAATAATGTACATAAACGTTTTTATTATATTATTAATAAATTCTACTTTATTTAAAAAGTAATAAATAAATAAACAATTAAAAATTGTTTGAATCTTGAATACAAACATGAATTTTATTATTTTTTAATTCATAAATTATTTTTTGTTGCCTTTTATTAATAGTTTTTTTATTATTTTACTTAAATTAGACTAATAAAAGATTACATCTAAACAATACTTTAGATTAATGTGCCTAAAAAGCATTTATTTTTGAGTATTAAACACTAATTTTTAAAATGGCAGTTTTTTAGAAAGTTATATAAAATAATTTAATAAAAAACTTTATTTAAAACGGTTAAACAGAAAAGATCCTTGTATATTGTCGATAATTCATATGATAGTGATTTTTGTAAATTTACATAGACTTTGATATTAATTAAATAAAAAAAATTTTAATATATTCTGGTAAAGCTCTTAACGCATTAGCAACTATTAGATGTTTAGATTTTAATTAAAAACCTTACAAAATTCATGTTTTAAAACAAGCATGAATAATTAAATAACAAACAAATTAATCAAAAATTAAAAAATAAATGAAAAATTTAGTTTCTCCTTCAAAAATATTAATCTCCTTTACATTTTACTTTCTTTTAAATTTGTTAATATTAAAGCAAATAAAAATATAATATTTAAATAAATAAAAAATTGAAAGCGCAAGCAAAATATTAAAGTAAAGTAATTTAAAAAATAAATACAAAATAATTAGATTAAAAATCAAAAGAATAAAAATAATAAGAAATGCTTAAACCATGAACCATGTTTTAAATCAAACAAGACTTAGAGAAAAAGTTAGTCTCCTAGCCATTATTATGAGAAATAAAAAAAAGAATTGAAAAACTCTTCTATGAGTTGTATACCCACTTGTCAATCAATTATAATGAAAATATAAAAAAATGTTAAAATCAATTTCGTAGTAAATTGAAAATTATATTAAACAAGTAAACAAAAATTAATAACCTGAAATTCATTCACATTGATTAAAGTAGTAAATAAATAAATTATTCTACCTGCTATAACTAAGATTTAAATATAAGAATATAAAGTTAAGTGTCAAATAAGTGTTGGATAATCAACTCAATATGGTAATGCTGCAAGGATTCTTACGAAATTACATCAGCATTTAAATCCACAATGAGTTTATCCAAACAACGCATGTACATTTCTACTATATTTTTATGTATAATCAATAAAATTGAATTTGATTACCATTCAAATTTCACTTATTTTAGAAAATTAAGTAAATTATAAAATAAATACTTGAAAATGTATTCATTTATTTGTTTATGTTAATTATGCCCGTTTATAAATCTTTGAATAACTAATCATTCATTCATTTTATAAATTCAATCATAATCTTTAAATAATATTTTAATTAATTAAATTTCAAACGTTCAAGGAAAACGTGTAAAGATTTTTATATTACGTGATTCACAAATTATAAAAAAATTTGTGACCAATTATTAATTAAAGATAATTGTAAAAAAATTAATATTTATTAAATTACTTTGTAATTATAATTTCTTACTCACCCTAAATTTAGCATTCACTTGTTATTTATTTCTAAAAAATAATTTGTATTCATAAGAAGATTACTTACTCACTGATGAATGAATAAATGAATTTGTTTTCTATTTATTTATTTTAAGGTAAATGGTTAAAAAAATAAAAGACAGAGAGAAAAAGGCCCTTTAAAACTTAATTGCAAAGAAAAAACTTTTTCAATAAAATTGAAAAATTATAATCAACTAAAAACGCATTTTAACAGCAATACAGCTTTTCTACTTTTGAGATTTTCGAAGACAATTTTTAATACATTCGAGCAAACGAATTTGCTATCAGTTGTTACTGTTGTTTTTTCAAATCACATTATCTTAATGTATAAAAATTATTAAGCTTAGTAAGCTTTTTTAAAAATAGAATCAGTAAACTAAAATAAAACTAAAATTTAAATGTCTACAAATAATTTCTATTTAAAATAGTTATAGAAAGAAATTATTTAGCATTTTTTATTCACTTGTAATCTATTAATAAATAAGTGATAAATATAATTCTAAAGTTTCCAAACTAAAATAATAACTAAAAGTATTAATTTAGTTAATTAATTAATATTTTTGAATTTTTATCTATTAAATAGATTATTTTTGTTTTTTAAAATTTACTTCTAAATTATTTTTTATTACTGGACTTACTGGAAAAATGAATGTATGTATATTTTAAGAAAGTAAAACTACTATCCAAAACTATTAAAATACAAATATTTATATACAAATACCAATTATATTTAATACCTATTTTTAAAAGAATTAGGGATAAAATCATTTTAGATATAATTTTTGTATATTTGATAAACATTTAGATTTTTTCTTAAGTTTTAATAAATATAAATTTAAATAATTTAACTTTTTTATATTTTTTTCAATTTTCAAATTAATTAATTTTTATTTTCTATTATAAATTTTATTAAAAATATTTAATTTTATATTAAAAATTAATTGTATAAATTGATTTCTAAATTTATTAGCTATTCAAGCAATTATGAATGAATATATACATAAACTCATAAATATAAACATGAATTAATATAAAGCTGTTAAAATTGATAAATCAAAGTTTGTTATTTCTAATAATTAAGAGATTTAGTTAATAATTAGTATTTTATAGCTATTGTTAGAAATAATTGATAAAAAACTATTTTAGCTTGTTAATTCATAAAGAATTATATTTAATGAGTTAAAAGAATATATAGTAGGGCTTGTAGAATAAGCTAAAAAGCTACTCTTATTAGCCAAAGCCATTCAAAGATGTCTTCAATTAATACTTTACTTAAGAGGTAAAATAGAAGGTGCAATAAATTATAGAAAATTAAAATTCATTACTTCCACCACATGAGTAGATCAATTATTATAGTTAGGATATAAAGGATAACTAAACTGATTTAGAATATGGCAGCAATGAATTGGAAAATAAGCAAGTTGATTCAAAGTAAGTTAATAACTTTAAGCAATTGTCGAGTTTACGCCTTCCTTAATTATAGACAGGCTTCATTTGTTTTTTGAAAGGTTTATTTTATGAGACAGGATTCTTAAATAACTATGAGCCTAATTATACTAAAGCTCTCTATGCTTATTAAGAAGGATTCAAGATTTAAATAGATTCTTTGTGCTCTTTAAAATTGGCTGAAATATATTCTAATAAAAATCTCGCCTAAAAATTTGGTTTCAAATCTAATTAAGAAATAGCTTATGGATATCTCACTATTGCCAATGCTTATTTAGATGTCTAATATGATAGTAATTTATTCAACCTTTCAAAAGATGTAGAATAAATTGCATAAAAGTTTTCTGATTAGCATCAGTTTGCGATTGATAACATTATCAACAACTAAAAAGTAATATTTTAATCATTCACTGAAAAAGAAATATCTGAGGAAATAGAATAAATAAATGTTTTTTTGAATTTTAAATATTCTACTTAATAAGACAGCCAGTAGTATTATAGTGCTATGCTGAATTATTTAGGAGGTAGAAATAAAAAGGCAGACTCTCTTTTACTAATAATTAAGATTTTGAGTAACTAAACTCATAACGAAAATAAATTAGTTAAAAATTTAATAGAATTAGCAAAAAAATTTTCTCTATAAGACATACATTAAGTTCTTTAATATATTTTGTCTGAATCAGTTCTATTTTCTGTTTTGGAAAGAGATCACGATGTATTTAATTGTCTAAGAACTACTTTTATTGAAATGTTCAATCTCCTCAAAATCATTTCATATGAAACTCATCTACTAATACCTTATAGCACATTTGAGTCAAATAATCAAAATGGCTATAACACCATACACTCAAAAATTAACTAAATATCAGAAATTTTATTTACTAAAAAACACATCTTCAAAAATCTTCTCCATAATACCCTAATAATTAGATTAAGAACAGAAGTAATACAAAAAGGTAATATAGAATAAAAATTATATTGGCTTTCTTATAGCTTACAAAAAATATATATGAATCTATTTGATTTAGAGTTATTTAAATTTATGTAATATACAAAATTTACAATAAATTAGGAATAGGAACAAAGTAAAGCATATAAGATGCAATTAAAACTTTAGATGAGGAAAAAGAACTTAAAAAAGGGCAATAGTGTTTATTTGCTTTTTATCACTACAAGAAGGCTAAACTTCTCCAAAAATTAAATGCTTAGGAGTAAGTTTAATTTATGAGTTAAAATTAGAAACATTTTTATTTAAATATTAATATTTTTGAATCAAGAAATAGTTTGGACATACAAAAGAATTTTGAATTAAGCTTGCAATATTTTTAGGAACGCATACAATCACCTGATCTTACTATCTAAGTACTAAGCAGTTATTATATAGGCAGAATCTATTCTTCAAGTTAAATAGAAGGACACTAAGCACACTAGCAATTTAAGTAGACAATAGATTACTTTAAATAAAATGACAAAAAATTTAACTAAGTGAAAACGTTTTAATTTGAAATTTTGCAAATAAAATCTCAAAAATAATTAGATAACTTAGATTTATCCAAAATTATAGAAACAAGGATATCTCATTAGTCTTAAAAAATATTTAACTTTGACGATGGAGTAACTCTTTAGTTAAAAGTTGAGCTAGTATCAAAATAAAGCAATTTCATTTTTTATGACGAGTCTGTTTTCGACATATTACAATTCATAGCTAAACGAGAAATAGGTAAATTATTATAATAAATTTTCTTTTGAAAATAAAATACCATAAATTCTCATTTATGGTTTGCATCAAATTAGAGTAAAATGTCATTTAGATTTACATTTTTTTTGAAGAATAGATATTTTTTACATAAAATTTTTTTATCATAACATATGAAAATTTATGGTAGGTTCATTTTTGATATTACTATAAATTTTTAATTAGACAAAATTTATTATTAGTGAATAATAAATATATATTTGTATAAAGGATCAACAAGTATAGCAAAGATAAATTATAATCTTTTAGATGAAAAAGAAAACATCATACTTTAGACTTAAAATAACTTTGCTTATCCTTCAACTCTTTCAAGTAAGATAAAAGAAAGGGTAATAATAAAATAAATACCATTTAATAAAAACAATTATTTTGATAAAATATTTCATCACTTAGCAAAAATACAAAGGCTAATAAATGGAGAAGGCCTGCTACAACAAAAGGGTTTTTGCATAAAGCAAATAAGCGATATTGCATTTGAACTATGGATTGTTTATCCTTAGCTTGAATATAACCTTTATGCTGTATTAAAATAAAACTTATTAATAATGGAAAAATAAAAAATTATTTTTGCTTAGTAAATATCATAAACTATTAAAAATTTACATGAGAATAACTCTTATCATGGGAATTTGAAACCTAGTAATATACTAATGGATGCAACTCATAAGGCTTACTTAAGTGATTGGGAATTTAGTAGTAAAATGTATCATAAAGATAAGATAAGTTAAAGTATGATTCTTAAATCTTAAAGTGAAAAGGCTCAAATTTCTCCTAATATTGAAGATGATGATAGCATTGATAAAAATCCTCTGTACAGTTTTGGATATATAGCTCCTGAGATTTTCTAAAATCCATAAAAAGCAAAGTTTTAAGGAGCAGCTGCTGATGTATATAGTCTTGGAATGATATTTTATTTTTTATTTACAAGCTAAGATCCAAGTTTTTGTGGAATAGTTTAAGAGCAACAGCTATACAATAATAACGATTTGAAAATATCTAGAGAGCGCATTAAAAATGATAGATTAAGAGAATTAATCTAAAATATGGTAAAGTTCGATCCTTATAAAAGATGTTCAATCTAAAATACTTGTGAAAATTTAAATCATTTATTAGAAAATGATAAAGGTTAACAAAATGATATTTTAGTCGATGCTGATATATGAAATTTGATTCTTTTAATAAACTTGTAGTTAATATTACTATTATATTAATATGTAAATAAAATTATTAAACTAGAACTAGAACTATATAAAATTTGTAGTTAGTTAATTTACATTTTTGTAATTTATTTTTGATTATATTTTTAAATTTTTTATTTTTATGATATATATTAATTTTATTCTCAAATAAATCAAAATATTTTATTAAAAATAATTAATCTCTTTGTATTAATTAATTAATAAATATAATTCAGAAATTATATTCAAAACAAAAAATATGAATTTTAATTTAATAAATAAATATTTTTGGATGGATGAATAATTTATTAAAATAAAATTAAGTAGAACCTATCAGATTAAATTAAAAAATGATTGAGATAATTTTTTAGTATTTGGCTAAAACTCAATATTTTAATGAATATTTGGTGATACAAAAATACAAATTTATTATTGCTAAATTGATGATTTTTCCTTGTACATTGATTATTTAATTTATTTTAAGCTATCAATAAGATTTATTTTAATTAATTAATAATATCATAGTACTTAATTAATATTAACTTTGTCTTCAACTAAAATAAGCAATCTTATTTTATATAATAATAAATTTACTTTTTAATTTATTATTTATGGCTGTGGAAAAGTGAGAGATTATAAATTTTTACTAAATATTTATATTTTTTAGCTGTTTTTCAACCACATATTGCATTTTAGTGAAAATTCTAAGATAAATAAATATACTATCAGAGATGCAGAAAATTTTATAAAATAATACGGGATCAAACATTAAACAAACATTTTAACAAGAATAGCTAGCTACAAATAAGATAAATATTACTGATTTGATAATTATAAAATCAGTTTTTAGTTTTTCTCATATTATTTTTATTTATTTAATTTTAAAAATTAGTATATTTTATTTTATTATTTTTACTCTGTATTAAAACATTTTTTATTTCAGTTCAAGAATGCTTTAATAGTATTTTATTTATTTATTTTAATTTATAGATTTAGTGTGATTAGTAAACAAAATTTGTATAAATTTGTGTACACAGATCGCAATCAAACAATATTAGCTTTAGGGATAGAATAGTTCAAAATGTAGTAAGTGTCAAAGCTTAAACTGTAGATTTCAAAATTTTCTTCTAAATCGGCTTAGTCTTGTTCTATTAATATATATAAAATTGATTAATACTGATTCCCTACTAAGCTAATCTAAACATCAATCATTTTATTTAACAATTAACTTATGTATTTTTTTATAATGCTTTTTGAAAAATATAGCTTAAAACTGCTATTTAATTTATAATTACCTAATGATTTAGCCAAGAAAGAAACAACCCTTTTAAAATAATTCTAATAAATTTTTGAGAACTAGCCTTCTTCGACAAAAGTTTCCAAATCTTTAGCTGAAATTGACTATTTTATAATTTAAAAGATTAACAACAAACAATTATTTTGATTAAATTTTGTACTTCTTTTTAATCTCCTAAAAGTGAAGCTACTATTTCTTCAGAAAACATTTAAGGGAAGGTATCAGATTACCAGTTATAGTTTTACTAGATATTTAATTAACAGAAAATAGATTAACAAAAGATGTTAAGATTAACTATAAATAATATTTACCATGGTTCTAATTATTACATCGATAAATAGACTTTTTAATTCATCTTTTTAGAGTGGTTCGGCGGATTGGGCTGCTTCCAAAATAATATTTTTTTCATTTTATGTGAGCTATAATTGCTTAGTCATGCAATTGACGCTGACTGCTAAAAGGACTAGAGGAACAAGAATCTTTAGGCTAGACATTTTTAAATTTATTAGTTTAGCAATGCTATCTCTTTCTTTCTTATTTATTTATATGATTTATCTTGGTGGTTAGAATTTCAAATTTATTTATGTATATATTTTTTATTATAGCTTTCTATCTTTTTTATATCTAATTGAATAATAAATATTATTGCAATATTCTTATTTTATATTTTTTCAAAAAAATAGAGGTTCAATTATTTCCCCCGCTTTCTTTCAATTTAATTAACAGAAAATCAAACATCTGTGTTTAATCTAAGTTAGCAGTAATAAGTATTAGAAGGACCAATATGCTACTGTCATTAGCTTTTTGACTAAGAAAAAAAAATTAATTTTAGCAAAGTTATCTTCCTTTATGCTTCTAATTACTATAATTACAAGACAATTAAGTTCAATTTTCAATATTTTTTTAGAAAATTTTTAGTTAGTAATATTAGAATATTTCTTTATATCATTGGGTAATATAATATGATTTCATATGAAAAGTTCAATTTTTTTTTTGTGAATTTGAAAAATAAATACATATACAAGATTCACAAATTTAATTAATGATTGATAAATATCCTTTTTAGAAATTATACTTCTATTACTTCACTCTTTATTAATCAATTGTTTTTACTTGATTTAGAATGTATTTAAAAAGTAACTCCTTTAAAATAGAACTAGACTTCTTTATAAAATATTTATTTAAATAATATGATTTCATATGAAAAGTTCAATTTTTTTTTTGTGAATTTGAAAAATAAATACATATACAAGATTCACAAATTTAATTAATGATTGATAAATATCCTTTTTAGAAATTATACTTCTATTACTTCACTCTTTATTAATCAATTGTTTTTACTTGATTTAGAATGTATTTAAAAAGTAACTCCTTTAAAATAGAACTAGACTTCTTTATAAAATATTTATTTAAATATAACAATATATATTTATGGGATTTGATAAAAGGTAAACACTTTTTTTAGAGTTTAAAAATAAATGCATTTTGAATATCAAAAAATTTAATTAATGTAGGTTCATATATTCCTTTAATAAAATAGTACTTCTATTATTTCCCTTTTTATTAATCACTTGTTGTCAAATAATCTTAATTTTCATATAATGTATTTAAAAAGTAACTCTCTAATAATAGAACTAATTTAAAATATTTCATTTAATATCAAACATTTTACATATTTGCAACTTAAAGATATTTACTAATAAAGATATTAATAAATGATGATTAATAAAAATACAAAAAAAGAAACCTAAAGTTCTTTAAATAAAATATAAAAAAAAAATCAGAAATAGTTTTCATTTTTATAAAAAATATTTTAATTAAACAATTGATTTTATTTTCATCAAAATTTTTAATAAAATCAAGTTTTTTAACCATGATTTTAATTCAATCTTCTTCAATTATCTTAATCATTTCTTATAAAAACTCAGCTTTTGAATCTAATATAAAACTAACGTGACCTACGGTAGGATAATAACTAAAAGTAACGTTTTTTGCTTAGCTTTTTTTCAAAATTTCATAAAGCTCAATATTATCTGGATACCTAGTTAATATATCATGAGGACCATAAAATAGATGAATACTTTCTGTGATTGAAAGCAAATCATAAAGAGGAGCTTCTTCTTAACCATAGATTTTCAAATTTTACTCTTAGCCATAATCATATTTATAAAATTAACCTTTTATCAATAATTATTTTAAATGTAAAAGATTTTTTATTGATTAGGGCTATGGGGAATGCTTTGTGTATTAATATAGCTTTGCTATATTCATATCACTTTCCCATGTGTCAGTTACTGTAGTTAAAAATAGTTTAGAGGGAAGATGGAAGTATTTGCAAAGCTTAAATAGATACTTACTGGGAGTAAGGTTTATTCTATCGGTGTATTTAGCTAAAATATCCACAAAACGAGAGCTTACAAAATATGGAATCAAGCCTGTAGCATTCTTGGCAAAAGGGCCAGGAGCAAACATTATTATTTTATGTACATTTTTTAATCTTTTCTCAGTCAATGAGACAAAAATTGTATTGCCTCCTTATGAATGCCCAACTGCTGTTATATTTTAAGGATTAAGTGAATAAATATATTCATATGATTTAGGAAGGTCAAAATATCCTATTTCATGAAAAGAAAACCCATCTTATCTATCTTCATTTGGAGAATACTCTCCACCTCTTTGGCTCATCAACCATACATCAAATCCCTGATTAGCAAATACAAGTGCTGGCGCTAGATGATCCTCATTTGACACATATGTATCTATGCAGTTCAGAAATTGAGGCACGAATATAACAGGTTTACCTCTGGTACTAACTTAACTTAATCCTTTCTTACCAACCCTAAAGAGAGTTATGTTGAATTTATCTTCTGTCAATATGTAGTGACGTTCTACAGGATAAAGCTAAAGCCTGAGCCTCTCATCGATAGGCTTCTTCCAAAAAAGCTCTTCTTCGCTTTCATAAATGAACATCAGATAGAAAAATATAGAAATCAAAATTCCTTTTACTGATTTTTTGATATAGCTCATTTAAAATTAGTGTTTACTCAATTTTCTTTGATAATTAATTATTCAACTCATTTATAAAATTTAAATTATATATATATAATTAAAAAGAAAAGTGACGTAATACTAAACGCTATTTAGGCATAATCATCCTTGAAGATTAAAGTCGTATTCTTAAATTGTGATGTGAGGTTTCTGTCAGATATTCATTGTAACTGAGTCATCAATTCTTTAAATTTTGCTTTGATTTCATCATTAAATTGTAAACTGATTTGATCTATTTTTCTAAAAATAAATAATTTTCTTTGAAAAACAGAAAATAATTTTTATGTAAGTTTGATGAAAAAATTTTTTTTAAATTGACAAATATAAAAATTTTATAATATAAAAGAAACAAATAAAATCATTATTAAAAAATAAATTTAATATTATTATCTTATGTTTTTAACTTTACAATAAATTATTTTAAAAATAATAAAAGTATCTGCCTGTCTTAGTTTATTTTAAAAATAGTCAAATCGGTAGATATGATAAAGTTGATCTAAAATAAATAAATTTCAGAATTTAGGTTTTTAATTATTTTATTTTGACAAACATTTTTTTAAAATTAATCAAAGTATTTTTATCTTAAAAAAACAGTTTAAATTGACTTCCCAATTATTCCTAAAGATGTTATATTTTTTAAATAAATAAACAAATATAAACATGAAACAAATAAGAAATGAATTTTAAAAAATGTAAATATAAATTATTTTTGAAACAATATTTATTAAAGTATTTGAAAATTTTATACTATTTGTTATGAATGTTTTCAATCATCCTCTTTTGAAAATTTTTCATTTTTTTATTAAAGTTTTCAATCATCCTCAATGATAGAAATTATTTCTTTTAAAAATTATGCTCTCTTATCTAGTATAAAACTAATATGACCCATTTAAGGATATTCGCTAATAGTAACATTTTTGGCTTAAGTTTTCTTAAGTTCTTAGTAAAATTTTTATGCATCTGGTTACCTCACAAGTACATCATGAGTTCCATATATAAGATGAATACTCTCTTGTATTTAATTTAGATTATACAAAGGGGCTTCAAGTTACCCATATTTTTATAAATTTTTTTCAGGTCCATAGTCAAATCTTCTAAAAACACCATTGACGAACATTTATTTGTAATGTAAAATATTTTAAATTGTTGTAGGTTAAGGTGATCTCTTAGCAAAACGATATAGATAATTAACATTCATATCACTCTCTAAAGTGTCAATAACATAATGAAAGAATAATCTGGATACAAAATGGAAGTGCTTAGTTAAATAAAAAAGAAATCTACTTGGACCAATATTAATTTTATCTGTAAACTTAGATAAAATTTCAACAAATGGAGAGTTAATTAGTAATGGAAATAAGCCTTAAGCGTGTTAGCCATATATACCACCTCCATAAATTATCATTTTATGAGCATTTTTCAATCTTCTTTCAGCTAGTCCTACTAAAATGGTATTACCTCCTTAAGAATGACCAATTGCACTAATATTTTGAGGATTAAACAAATAAATGTATTCGAAAGTCTTACTTAAGTCATAGTATCCATATTCATGAAAAGAAAAATCTGAGCCCTTCCCATCATTAGGAGAGTAATCTCCTCCCCTAGTACTCATAAGCCAAACATCAAATCCATAGTTTGCAAGTACTAGAGCAGGAGATAAGTGTTCTTCATTTAATACATAACTATCTATACAGTTTAAAAATTAAGGAACAAAAACAACAGGTTTTCCTTAATTAAATTAATATGATCCTTTTTTCCCAAGCCTAAATACAGTTATATTAAAATTGTCATCAGTGATAATATGATGTCTTTAAATAGGATAATTTAGTTTTCTGAGCCTTGAGTCAATAGGTAGTTTAAGATATTTTTCTTCTTCACTTTCGAAAAAAATTATCAGATAAGTCAAAATAGAGATTATCAATCCAATCAAAGGTTTTTTAAAGCAATGCATCTTAAATTAAGAAAAATTTACTTTTTTTTGTTTTTATTTGTTAATAAGAATAGTTTTTAAAATAAATTGTCTGTGATATAAAAGCAAATTTTAGAGTTTATATATTATAATCTAGGAGTGTAAATCAGATTTGATTTAATGTTTATAGAGCTGATTTACATCTGTTAAACAAAAAGATTATATTAATCTAAAAAGTATAAGATTAAATAAGGTATTATTCTCTTAAGTTTCTAATTTCTCTAAAAGCCAAACATACTGACTTAATATAGATTATCTATCACATCAGAAATATTTATTGCTTACATGAAAATTAATTGCTTTGTTTAAAATCCAATCTATATTAAATGATTTTAATACATTAATAAATAATTAAAATTAAAAATAAGTTAATCTATATTTTTTAAGGTAGTTTAGTGAATAAATCTGTTCAGAATAATATGTTCTCATTTATAAATAACATTAAAAAACTACAATAATACCAAAATCATTTTTAATTTATTTTTTTGAGATTTTTTTAAAATTATAATGAAACTTATAAATTTATGTAAGGTTAGTTATATTAAAATATAATTTTTATTATATAAATACCAATACCTTAAGTTCTTTTTTTAAAAACAATATTAGATCATATTTAAACCAAAAAAATAAAATTTTAACATTATTTTATTTATAAAAATGCTTTTTTGAAATAATTGTTGCAAAATATAATTTTTATGGGATATATAAAATGCTTTATTCATAGTCTAACATCTAATTATGTTTGTTTATTATATTTTATTTCAAATTAATTATTTGATTTTGAATGATAGCTATTGTGATAAATTTTTTGTTAAATAAAAAAATAATTTTAACTAATTTTGATTTTCAAATTAAATTTAGAATATTAAATTGAAAAGAGATCAGGAGAATTAATTATTAAATATTATCATATTACTTGAACGATAAAAATTTCATGTTTAATTTATATGAAATACACTCATTAATGTGGCTATTTAGTTATTAGTTTTCATATTCCTTATCATATTTTGATTTTAATATCAAAAAAAGAAAAAATAACAATTTGTTTTTGATAAAAGTTTTTTTCGTTTTGATTATTGATAAGAAAGCTTTTTGTTATCAAGAATATTAGCAAAAATTTAAAATAAAAATTAAACATCATTCACAAATTGTAGTAGCAAGGAAAAATTAGAGATAAATACACAAAAAGTATTTGACATAGTAGAAAAGGCAAATAAAAATAATAATAGGAATGGATAAGCTTTGGTTAAGTGCTGATGAAAAAAAAAGGTATCAAAAGATTTACTCAAAGCTTTAGCAAAACAACTACCTATCTAAAGATAAGTTAATTAAGTTTATCACAAGCAGAGCATAAATTAGTAGTTCATAAGCTAAGGAGATAGTAGGTAAAGGATTCTTAGTTTCTAAAGAATCTAACCAAATGGATTTAACTGGTTTATTCTATTTAATGAAGTATGTAGCATTGATTTAGAATGGTGGAAGTGAAACAGATGAAATTACTCAAATACAAAAGGAGCTTCCTTTGGCTCACTTAAAAGAATCTAAAAAAGGTTCTGATTCCTAAGAAAAATCAGGCAGCATACACTAAAAAGATGAATTAAAATAAAAAGACCATAATCTAAACAATATTGAAGATTTAGAAGAAAATAAATAAAATATAGATAATTAGTCGAATGGAAGAAAAGTTAGCGAGTTAATTTCTAAATCTGTAAAAGAAAATTCTCAGGAAATAGTTGAGTAGGAAGAAAAAAAAATAGATAAATAAATAGAATTAAATAATTCTTTTTTACACTAGTCAAATGTAAGCGTAAATGACATGAATTTTAGTAGTTTTTAGTCATCATAAAATAACCTAAAAGATCAAGCCGTTTTAAATTAGGTTGGCAAAAATTCAAATTCGCCAGTAAATATTTAAGAAAATGAACAAAATTAAAAAAAATAAGATGGAGAGCATGAAGAGCAAGAAGAATAAAAGGAAGTAAATTAGCAGGATTATAATAAAAAGAATGCAAATTAATAAGGTCAGCAGAATATAAATTTAAATTATAATATAAGAGACTGCAGGCTTTTAACTTTCGGAAAAGAATAAGCTGAGGATTTAAAATCTATATTAAAAGAGATGAAAGAGAATGAATAACAAGTTAATAATAATAAACATGAAAATGGAGATTTTTCTATAAATTAGGATAAAAATGCTTTATAAAAAGATAAAGATCAATCTTTTATCAATTAAAATGGAATTTCTAAAGTTAAGTTAAATGATTAAAAGAGTTAACCAGAGAGTTTTTCAGCTATTCAAGAAAAAGAAAATGAATAAAGAGAAAATATTTCTGAAGTTAAATAATTTGATATATTTTCTAATCAAAATCTTCCATAGTAACCTTAAATTTATTTGTAAGATTAATTTCATGATTAAGTTAAAATAGATGTTATTTTGAGTTTTTTTATTTCTATAATTAAAGCGAATTCAATTAAGAACCTGATATATATTCTGAACATAATGATGGCAATGTAAACTCAGTTTATGAATAGAAAGAATAGCCTTAACAGCCATTTTTTGAATAAAAAGCATTTTAAAATACAGAAAAAGTATAAAAATAATCAATTGAGGAAAATTAATAGAGATTTATTATTGAAGACTAGAAGTAAAAAGAGTTAGATGATGAAGATTAAAAGCTTATAAAATCTGTAAGCCAAGTATTTTAAAAAGATGATTAGAAATAGATTTAGCACGCCTTTGATTTTTTTAAATCTAATAGAGAAGATAACATATTAAATAAATCTAAAGTAAAGAAAGAAAAAAACATAAAGAGAGTTAAAATAACAGGACACAGAAATGAGTACGAAAATTATATAAAGCAATATACTCTTTATTACATAGAAACAACTGTTGATGGTAGAAAAATTACAGTAGAAAGAAGATATAACAATTTTAGGGCGTTGCACGAATACTTTGAAAATAGTGTTGATTACTACGGAATTATAAAACCTATCTTACCAAGCACGAATATGACAAGCATAGCAATAGGATAATATATAGGTAAAATTATCAAGTAAAATGTATTAAAACTAACTTTAAAATAAAAAAATAATTAAGGAAAGCAGGAGCAGTAGCAATTAGATCAAAGATAGATAGATTTAGAAAATTATCTAAATCTTTACTTGCAAAATGAAATTCTTAGGCATGATAAAGTTCTAACATCTTTCTTAGAAGAGAAGCAATTCATTCCACCAGCTGATACATAGTTCTCATATGTAGAATGGGTTAAAAAGATGGTAGCAAATGTTTAAGATACTGATTTTTCTGAATGGAGAGATTACACTGAAGCAAAGATGAAAATAACACTTAATGAATTTTTTAAGTTAGGAGATAACGAAGTTGATACTAGCGATGTAGATTCTAAAATGGAATAAGTTAATTAATTAGGCTAGCAAGTAAATAAAATAATTGAATTCTTGAATAATGACATCAAATATGACAATGAGCAACTTAATGCAATTGAGTAGTTGGAAAGAAACTTTTATTCAGAAAATGACTTACGTGAACAACCCTAAAATGACACTCTATTAGAAATTTTAAAGAATTTCAAGTCTGAAATTTTAGATCACTAAAATAAAGTGAAAGTTGAGATCTAAGAAAAGCATAAAGTTCTATAAGAGTTCAGGATCATTCACAACTTTATAGAATCAGCAAAAGTAGCTTAATAAGTATTGAAGAATAAAATATAGGAAAGGTATATTCTAAAAAATATGAAAGTCTCTAAATTTAACAAAGTTCATGAGCAGAACAATAACAGAAGTGATTCATCTGAGGCTAAAAGAGAACTTGAAAAATTGAATGAAAAATTCTAATAGTCAGAAGATACAATTAAGCAAATTTAGCTGAAGCTTTCAAAAGAACTTTTAACTTTTATAGAAATATAAAGGTAAAAAATAAGCGATGCATTAAAATTGTTTTCTGATATGAATAAATAAATATATGTTTAATTAAATAAATGAATTTTTTGCAAGTAATCAATCATGAACAATAAATAAATAAATTATTTTATTTTGAAAATTATTGTAAAAAAAAGGAATCCTAGCTACGAATCTTCACAATAATTTTACTATTATTTTTACAAAAAACCTAATCAACTTAAATGTATTCATTGATGCTACTATTATAATAAATTGATATTTAATATAACCAAATTGTAGTTATAGTTTTTTATTTACAACTTCTCAGAACAAAGATAAATGAGACTAAAATAATATTTCAGAGCACCTATCTAATTATTTATCAATTAAATAATATCTAAATTTATATACACATATCGTTTAATAAAACTTCCTATCTATTACATTTATAAATTTAATATAATTTACAAGCTAAATACTTAGTTATTTTTAAATTTTATTTTTTAGTGAATTAAATTTATATTATTTAATTGAAATTCTAATCAAATAATTGAAAAATTTATATAAACTTTTTTCAAACTAACTTTTTTTTTTTATTAGTCTTACTATTGATTGATTGGGAGAAGTTACTTTATTTTGAATAAAAAATCTGAATCTAAAATGATTATAGTTTTTTTAGGTATTTTTACATGTTTGAAGTTTATTTTTTTAATGTCGCTAAAAATATTTTTTGAAAAATAGAGGATTTAAAATATTATATCCAAGCTATATATAAATTTTAAAAAATCTTTAAGAAAATATGAACAAAATCAATTTTATAATTTTATATTTTCTATTTTGATTATTACTACTGATTTTTTGCAATTGTTATTATATATTCATTGAATAATCCTTTTAAAGAACAGTCATTAATTTTAATTACTCTTATTGTATGTTATTGGTTTTAATTAAATTATAATTTTTTGATATTGAACAAATTTTTAGATACAAGTAAAAATTAGTTTAAAGCGTACTGCAAATATTAAATGAAGAATAGGTCAAAAAGAAATATAGAAAAAGATGAATTGAGTAGTAATAGAGATTTAAATATCGAATAAAATGAGCAGCAGCTCGATTTGGAAGAGCAAGAAAAGAAAATTAATGCACTAACAAGCCTGCTTTCAAATAAAGAGCTAGAAAAAGAATAAAATAACTTCTTTGACATTAAAAGTAGTTCTTCATTACCAAAAGAAACTTTACTATCCATTCCAACTCAAAATAACATAAATAATCAAGAAAAAAATAATGAAAAAAATTCTGAATTAAATAATTTAGCTAACAAATAAAATATTTAAAGCTAAACAAACAGAAGAGTCTCATTTAAGGTGGCTCAAAATACTGATTCTAAATAATCTAGCAACAACAACTATAATAATCTAGCTATAAGAGTGTCGCAAAATATTTTATTAAGTGATGAAGACCTTAATCACATAGAAAAATTATCATCTAAATAAATAGCTTCATATCAGCAGCTATGTAAATATTGAAGTCATAATCTTGTTTAAAATAAATTTTTTAAATTATATAATATAGCTAAATCTCATTTAGAAGAAGATCCATTGAAAGTATAAGCTAACTCAGAAAAATTAAAATAATTGTTAAGCTAACCTTCTGAATTAAGGTCAGATGAAACTTGTAAAAAGATTGCAAAAGAAATTTAAGTAAATTGAAATTAAAGAATTATAAATAGTTGCTAAACCCAATTTTAATAAAACAGAAAATACCATTTTTAAAGAAATACAAAGATATTCCTGAATTTATAGATATTTGCAGAAACCTCTATATAAAATAGTATGAGAAAAAATAGTTTGTTTTTAAGTAGGTAAGACAATTAGAAAAAGAGTAAGTATATATTTTATAAAATTATTATTTTTAATAATTAAGGGAGAATATGGTGATGCATTTTATATTATACTCTATGGAAGTGTAACTATCTATATTGATGAACCAACTGAGTATAAAAGTTTTATGCAACTTGTAATTATTTATAATGAAAGAATAACAATTTTTTAGTCAATTTTTTATAGAAAGAAGTAGCTAAACTTGAGTAAGGAGACACATTTGGTGAAATTGCTTTGATATACGATTCATAAAGAACTGCTACAGTCATAGCTAATGAAAAAACGTATTTAGTTGTGTTAGAAAAGAATATTTTTTAATCATATATAAAAGTAAATACAATTTAAATTATTATGATTGCAATTTTTATTAACTTTATTATCAAATAGGAAATAAAAAATTAGCATCTAAGCAATTAAATTGATTTTTTATAGTAAATTGACTTTTTTAAGAATCTCAAGCAATCAATACTAATTGAGCTTACCACTAAATTGTAAAGTCGAGATTATACTTCTCATGAAATAATTGCTCATGAAGGAGAGTAGCTAAGCTAAATTATTTTCGTTAAGTCAGGAAGAGTTAAAGTGTATCGATCTATCAACTTTAGAGTTAACAGATACTCTGGCTAGAGGATAAAGGGAGATTTCAAAGATCCTTCTACTGAAGAAATTGAAAAGAAATAATACATGAATGATATGATAGAAATAGATGAATTAAGTAAAAATAATTTTGATTCTTTGATAAATTTTTTGTTAATTTTAAAAAATTTGTTTTAAAAATGTAAGTAAAAATTAAATTAATTTTGATATTTTAAATGCTAGGCGATTATTCAGTTGTAGGTGACTACTCTCTGCTATATAACAAACCACTTGATTACACAATTATAACAGTAATACCAACTGAGGTTTATTACATTAGTTCTTATGATATTATAAAAATTATACCTCCTGAGTTCTTAGAGAAACACAGAAAAAACTTAAAAAAATATCCTAATAACGTAGAAATAAGAAAAATGTATTGGGAAAAAAGAGAATGGGAGTCATTTTAATAAAAAGTTATATCAAATATTTTAATTGAAAAGGAAAATAGAAAAGGGTTTGAAAAATCTCTTAAGAAGCCAACCCAAAAATTCTAATCAATAAATATTCCAATAAATGTAATGGACATTTAAGCCTCTGATAATACTGTATATTTAGAATTTTTGAGTAATAAGGTTCCTAGAGGCTTGTAAACTAAAAAAGTAATAAATGGATTAAAACCTATTTAAAACTCAATATCTTTACCAAACAGCTCTACAGCTTCTTAATTATGGGAAAGACTTAAAGAAGAAGATGGAATAGAACCTCCAGCTTCACCATTAAAAAGTCCCTAATAAAAAGATCTCCTGAGTAAAACAAAATATTAAAATATAAGATCTTCTTTGCCTAATCTTAAATCAGAATAAACACATCAAAATAAATCAATATTTAAAAAATCACCATAAACAACTCGCTATTCAAAATATTATTGAAATTTAAGTTAAATTAATTAATTTTTAATTTAGTAACACACACTCTTTAAATAAATAAGTTAATTAAATGTATATTCGTTCCTATCAGTCATTGCTAATCTTTAAATATGCAATTAACCTCTCTAAACTATTTTATCGAAATTTCTTAGATTTTTTAATTTATTTGAGAATAAATTATTTTTAAATCACAATTAAAAATACATTTTCAAGCATTTAAGTTAAAGTTTTATCAGTGTAAATAAATAAATAAAATATAAAATAAGATATAATCTTAACATTTATATTTTCTAAAAAAACACTAATTAAATTTTCAAGCAAAACGAGTTTGCTCACACAAATGACCATATGTCTCTGTATGATATTATTTAGTTAATTATGTTGTACAGTTTATACCCCAAAATTTAATAACAAACACACTTTAAAAAATAAGTTAATTAAATGTATATCCGTTCCTATCAGTTATTGATAGTCTTTAAATATGCAATTAAGCCTCTTTAAATAATTATATATAATATTTTAGATTTTTTAATTTATTCTAGAATAAATTATTTTTAAATCACAATTAAAAATAAATTTTCAAACATTTAAGTTAAAGTTTTATCAGTGTAAATAAATAAAAAAATATAAAATAAGATATAATATTAACATTTATATTTTCTAAAAAAAACACTAATTAAATTTTCAAGCAAAACGAGTTTGCTCACACACATGATCATATGTCTCTGCATGAGATTATTTAGTTATTTATGTTGTACAGTTTATACCCCAATGGCAATTAGGTCTTTAACAATATCTGGCTGGCAGTTTATTTTTAATATATATTCTATATCTAAAAACTATTTGATGCCAGATAACAGGAAAACATTCACTGCAAACAGGAGTTTCTAAGTTAATCTGAATATTTGTAGGCTTATCATTATAATTTGATAATATACTTTTAGATTTCTCCAAGAAGAAATTGTTTTAGCTAATAAATTTAGACTTCATCTCATCTAACATAGACTAATTTGTGAGATTATTTTACCTCAAAAAATCATTAAAGATCTATAACTCAACCTTATTGGCTCTAAATATATTTTAAGCAATATTTTGAGGTGCTTTAAAATCATTGAACTAAGCTAAATATTTTCCTGTCTTTTTTTAATTTGTTAGATTGTTTTTGCAAACTCCAAGATATAGACCACAGTAAGGATCTTTGCATACTACGCATCTTTGATCCTATCTTTCTGGTCTATCTGGGAACATTCTTTTACATCCAGTACATTTTTAGTGCTTTTATGAATCTTTGCATTTAAATGAATCATCCATTCTAGCTATTTTGCATTCAGGACATTCTTCTGGTTTTATTCTAAAGTAAATAAAATTTTTAGTTAGTTCAATATTAAAAAAAATATATAATTTGAAAAAGTATAATCTTATATATGCAAGTCTTAGTTTTAGTTTTGATATTTTTTTGAAAAATTATGAATTTAAATTCAAGTGAAACTGAAATGGAAATATTATTATTATATAATTGTGAAAACTTAGAAACTACAGTATTTTTATTTTGGTGTGTTTTTTTTATTGTTCACAAAAATAAATTAATTAAATCCATCTTTGTGATAATAAATTTAAACAAATTTATAAATTTTGTCTATGAAATTGAAATTTGTTTTTGAGTAATAAAATACTTTTCAAGATATTAAAAAAAAAAAGTTAAAATCTAACTAAAAGTAGTTTACTTTAAATCTTCTTCATCTTCGTTTTCACTTTAGTAAGAATAATCTGAGTCAATTTATCCATTAATTCTTTTTTATTACTTTTCTAATATTTCAGATAATTTTGATTGGTAAGCAGATCTATTTATAATTTAAATAAACATTAAATTAAAAAAGATACAATTTATTTAAAATATACGTTTAAGTCTTTCTTTTGAATAATTTAATTAATTCATCAACACTAGTTTAGCTCGAAGTAATAACATTTTTGAGATCTAATTCTTCATATTCTTCTGGATATCTCTTTATTTAGCTTGTTTTTCTTAGTGCTTCGATTGTTGAATTAGTTTTTGGATTTTTAAAAGCGAAATTTATTTATTATCTGCAATCAGGACAAGTCTGATTTGATTAAAGATACTCGCTCAAGCAACCACCACAAAAGCCATGAATACAGCAGTCTAGTTAAACATAATCATAAATTAAATCTTGACAAATAGAGCAATTATGTTATTCAATTATTTCTTTATCAATTTTTTATTTTAACTCTCTTTCCTTTTTAAGCTTTTCTTTGATCTTATCTACTTCATTGTTAAACTATTCTTCTGGTTCTGTTTACATTGGTTGAATATTTACTGTTGAATAAACCATGCCTATATCTTCACATTATGCTTTAACTTTGTCTTTGCGAAGAAGATAAATGATATCTCCTGTGGAAACCTTAACTTTTTAGTCTTTTCCAATCAAATTATTTTAGATATAAGTTCCATTTGAGCTTTTATCTTCAATATACACACCATCATCTTATCTAGTTAATATACAGTGTACTTTTGATATTTTAGGATGGTCTATTACGATTTAATTGTTTTCAGATCTTCCTACTTTTATAGTATCTTAGTCTAAATATTCTGTTAAATTTAAGCTTTTTCTATTGATTGATGTTAATTTACCCCAAATATCCATTTTTAATATTATTATTCAAATTATTAATATAAATTAATTATTGATACTGTATGTAATATATAAATAGAAGTATCTATTTAAAGGCTGTTTTTAGATATTTTTGAGATTAAGTATTATTTTTTGTTTAATAATTATTTTTTTTTCTCTTTGCATATTAGAATATATCAGGTATATATCTTTAATTGTTTTAATTAGACATAAATAAAATACCGCCTAAATTTTTAAAATGAGAATTTGATAAGAATTTATTTGTCTATAGCAATAATTTGTTATTTTATTTTATTTATTTGCAAAAGACAATAAGTAAAAGAGATTTAAATTTCTAGAAATAATTTTTCTATTTTAATATCAAATCAAATTAATTAAAAACCATATTTAAAAATATTAAAATATTTTTAAAATTTGATAAGAATTTATTTGTCAATAGCAATAATTTGTTATTTTATTTTATTTTATTTTATTTATTTATTTGCAAAAGACATTAAGTAAAAGAAATTTAAATTTCTAGAAATAATATTTCTATTTTAATATCAAACCAAATTAATTAAAAACAACATTTTAAAAAAATGGTATTAAAATACTTTTAAAAATAATTTTATTAAATTTTCTATAAATGTTTAAGTTTAAATTTCTTTTATAAATTACAATCTAAAATTAAAGTAAATTTTTCATGGAAACAATTCTGAATTAATGGGTTTAAAACATTTAAATTAGCTTTTAAATAAAAAATAGATTATATTACTCATTTATTTATTTTACTTTGAATGCTAAGTACTTTATATTTTTAAATAATTAATTAAAGAGATAAAATTATTAATTTATAATTTCTTTATTTTTTATTTACTTAAAGAATTAGTAGTTGTTACATATTTCAAATTTTTGATAATTTGTAAATAGTGGTTGTTTTAAAATGAGTAAATTTTTTTTTTAAATGTGTCCATTTAACTTTTGAAAATTTCTTTTATTAATTTTACAATAGCTGGTTCATAGATATTTTTTATATATCTCTCAAATACATTCATTAGTGGCGATCATTGAAAAAAAAAAAAAATATAATCTTTTTTCTATTTAAATAAATCCAAAGTATGAATAAAATATGAATTGAAATAAGTATTAATACTTAAAAATATTGGTATGTAGTTAGCTATAAAATAGATTTTTTAAGTAGCTTAAGCAATTTAGATTACCTATAAAATATTACACTTATTACTCATGCTATGTATACATAGAAAAAACTTAGTTCTATCAAATACATCTACTTAGAGAGTTTTAAATTAATAATGGTTAATTAAATTTTTTCTCTTAGTATAGTATTAAAAGCAGAATTTTTTTTCCAAACCTATTTTTTTAACTCTTTAAAAGTATTTCTAAAAAAATTTTGAGTAGAAAGAAATAAGATAGATTCTAAAATAATATTTATTTTTTATTAAAAGTATAAGTAAAAATCAAAATTATATTATCTCATTACCGCATATTTTTATTTTATGCCATTAATGAGTTTTAAATTTTAAACCATTCACAAATTGTAATCCATAAAAATTAGTTTCTTCATCATTAATTTAACATCAAGGAAGTGTATTTTTGAAATAAAGAAATTATTATTAGTATTCTTTTAAAGCATTTTTGTTTGAAATTTTTTATAGTAAAAACTAAATCTTTTTGCAAAAGAAAATTAAAATTCTTGCTATTTGAACAGAAAAATGTGAATTTGGATGATAAAAACTAGTCTGGGTTTTTGAATTTATTCTAAATTGTTGAATTAATTGCAACTAATGTTATTTATTATTGTTTTTACGTCAGTATGCGGTAAAAAGAGTTATCATAATTGGATTCTAAATCCATTTCTGGGGGAAAACTAAACTAATTAAATCTGAAATATAATAAATTCTAATAAAAAGTAAAAATTTTTTTTTTATTTCAAATGCTATTTACACAATTTAAAAACCAGCTTATACTAGCTAATAATGTCTTCGTTTTTTTGTATTATTGTTTTTTATAAAAATAGTACTAGCCGAATCTCAAAAGTAAGAAAATAAATAATTATATTATGAAATAACCAATTCTGATTTAGAAATAGATTTAGATAATACAAATGTTAGTTATTTAAAAACAAATATTTTTTGATAACATGAAATTAAACCATAATATTTTTGAATTAATTATTTTCACTAATTAGTACTATAAGAGAGAAGTAGTATGTATCTTTAGTATATTTTTAAGTTTAATGTTTATTTTAAAAACATTAGATAATCTATTACAAAAATTTATCAAAAACCAGAATTTATCATACATTATTACAATGGTTTTTATAAAACAGTGGAATCGTTTAATATTATTTTGATTAAATTTTGTATTATATAATTATTAATTCTTAATAGTTTGTAAATATACTTTAATTATAATCAGTAAATTATTGATACCACATAGAAAAAATTTTCCAGTAGAAAAAAACCTAGAAAGCGATTATTAAATAATACTTGTCAAATTTACTATGAGATTTTTATAGAAGCTTTTTATATTTTCATAAAATTTTTATTTATAATCATATTTTATGTATTTTCTTTTTAAATTCGTTAGCGTAAGTATCGCATCATTACAAGAAACATCTATTTGTTCACTAAAAATTTTAAATCTTTTACTGATTGCTATTTATAGAATATTTATTTATAAACCTGATTTAGATACTATTTATAAATTTTAATAATCTTTTCAAGTATACTTGATTCATTATATCAAATTTAAAAATTTGTGGTAAGTGTTTTAAAAAAAACGTAATTTAAATTAGCGCATCTTTCACTGTAAAAAAATTTATAAATAATTTATAAAAAAGAAAAATAATTATAAAAAAATAAAATGAGCTTATCTTTTTCTGAATCCAAAACCTTTAAATTAAACGCTTTTCAATTGATTGATAAGATTAAAATTCTTGCTGAGCAATGCTTTTAACTGAGTAGAATAGGAACTGTTGTCCTTGACTAATAAATGGAGGAAAATGAAATTTTGAGTACTTATGGTTCATTTGTGTGTATAGTCCAAAAAATCATTGAATATAGATAAAGACTATCAAAGTTCAACGAGATAATTGAATGTTGCTTGAGTTTGATTAGAGACTATGAATATGTTTTTAATACATTCTAAGATTTAAATTCATAATAAAGAAAAATAAGCAGCAAAGTATCAGTTAATAAATAAATCTTTGCTCAATGCAAAAACGATATCTCTGATCTCATAAAATTCTTTAATAGTTATGAAACAATTTATCCCACACTATGCAAAATATATCAAACTATCGAAAAAAAGAAATGAACGATTTAAATCTAATTAATTAAGAAAGAAAAAAAAAATTACTAAAAAAATTTTTAACAAAATTATTAAATAAGAAAACAAACATTTTAATACATTTTACTAACTATAATTAATTGTGTTATATAATTAAATACTATATTTATTTGTAATAAATCTTATAATTAAAATTTACTGATTGACAATCCAATTTTTCATTAATGGTTTTAGCAAACATGAATCGTGCATATTAATAAACAAATAAATTTCATTAATTTTTGTGGTCATTAAGAATGTCTACTGAATCAAAATCTATATATTTTATAATCTATAACACACAAATAAAGCCTTTGATTAAAGAATAATCAAATATTAATCATTTCAAATACAAAAGGTCTATATCACATCTATTTTTAATATAATTATTATGTTTGTTTAAAGAGATAAATTATCTATTTTATTAGAAATTCACAAAATCTAAATTAATTAGACAAAAGATAAATTAGATGTTTGAGATAAATTATTATTCTATGAGATAAATATAAGCATGGTTAATTTTAAAAAATATAAATTAATTTGTATTAAAAAATACTAAAACAAAATCTAATGTAAAAAGTTTATTTTATACCAAAGTAATCATGTTTTTTAACTAAATTTTACTTACAAAGATGAAAAATCTAATTTTTCATTTTATTACTCACAAAAGAATTGGTATCTATTAAAGTATCTTGATTACCTAATCTTAAATACTCTTATTCGCTAAATAAATTATTCTAAATTTTTTGATCGAAGACCTTCTTTTCTGTTTGTTTCTGATAATCAAATTAATAAAATTAGCTAAATATATTTTTATATAAATAAATTAAAGTCTTGCTTATGCTATTTATTTATGATACTTGATTCGATATAATAAATTTACTTTAATAACTATCAAATCAAAATACATTTTCAAAGAAAGAAACATACATTCATAAAAACTAACTAACTAACTAAAATAAGATGAGCTTTATGAAAAATTAAGAATTTAAATATTTTAAGGTTAAATCAATTAATCTTAACGACAGAATGCAAGAATTATTAGATTTTATAATAAATCTCCACAATATCTCTCTATAAATTATTGATAATAAGAACTAAAAAACTCCTTCCATAACTAATGAATACATATATGATAAAAAATAAAGCATTTTTGAAGATATTGTCACAATTATTTAACTAAAATGCAAATTGCCCAACTACGGAGACATAATTAAATTAATAATTGATGCTATCCTGGAATACAACGAAGTTGCTCTTCAATACTAAATTTTACAATAATAATCAAAGTATCTTGTCAGTAAAGTCTCCATAAGTAAAGAGCTATTTGCGAAATGTAAAAGAATGTTTGTACAAATATAACTATACTTCTATAACTCTAGCTAATTATTATAAATTTTGTAAAGAGAGTAATAAATTTGAAGTATTTTTAATTAATCAAGCAAACTCTCTTTACCAATTTTTTCAATCAATTGTTTATTAAAATTTCAAATTTCAATGATAAATCGTAGTAAATAAAATTTCCCTTATAATAAATAATAAAAGAAAAATAATCTATTAAAATCTGTACCTATTTATATTTCAATTAAATGTATAAAATTCCTCAATAAATTTTCATGAAAATACCATAAAAGTTTCCTTCATTACTTCCTCCTTAAATCAAATTAAAAATAAAGATACTATTAAAAAATAATAATTACCATCATTAAATTGCTATAAACCTAATTATAAATAAGACAAAAAGAAAATAAAACTTTCAATTGAAATGTATCATGTAGTAATGATACTGGTTAATTCTTCTACTCTTCTTAAAAGAAACTCTTTAATCAATTTTTCGTTTGCAACTAAAATAAAAATTACATTTTAAAAATTGTTTCATATTTTTTAAATATTTCAAATTTCATTTTATTATATTTGATTTATATACTAATATTCAATTAAATATAAACATAAATTGAAGAGATTGTTTAATTTAAAGAAATAGAAGAATATTTTAGTTGGATCAATTTACTCTCTTTGTCTTGGATAACTTTTACATATTTAATTCCATATTTACTTTACTTAATATTTATAAACTAATGAATTTAATGTTAATAAAAATGTATTTTGTTTAATAATTATTATTATTACTTCATTAAAAAACATAAATAACTGATATAAAAAAGAAAAGGTTAATGAATGTGTATTAGCTTAAACTTAAAAAAAAATAATAAAGTTTAGATCTAATATGATTATTTTAAATGCTTATCATTCATTCAATCTTTAAGAAATCATTTTAGAATTTTACGGATTCATTAACAAGGTCCTCTTTTTGTATAAAAATTTGACTGGCTCTATTATTTTTAATTTTAAAGCTAGTTCAAATTAGTTATAGTATTATTTAAATTCTTTACATATAGAACTAGTATTATAAAAATATAAAAATTGATCTAGTTTATTTTACAATATATTATAAATACTTAGTAATAACTAAAGTCATAGTTTTTGCTAAATTTTTGTTCATTAAAATTTTGCACTATTACTTGAAAATAATATTTTTGAATAGATCTAGATGTATGAGTATTTCCAGTATATTATTTTATTTCTTTAATTCTTTTAAAAAATATTCATATCAAAATTTAAGTTTAAAATATTTAATAAATTAATTTTAATTTTTATATAAAAATTTTTTAAAAAACTAGTATTTAAAATAAAAAGATTTGACTAGTTTATTTATGATAATTATATTAATAAAAATATAAAAACATTTAATATGGTTTTATTTATTAATTCTTTTCCACATAAAATTTTATTAAAATAAAATTGTGGTCAGTAAAATGAAGTTTATTTGTCTTCATTAATAATAAATTATACATATAAATAAAAAATAAATGTATTTCCTATTTTAGTCATACTATGCTATGCTATCCTATCAAATTTATGCTTTAATATTTAATTTGTTAAATATTAAGGGAATAAATTAATTATTTTAATATTAAAATATATAATATCCTTAAAAAAAATAATTTTTTATTATCAACAATATATCTTAAAATAAATAATTTAAAAATATAATTTAACAAATTATCATCTTATTAATTAAAATGTTGAATAGAGCTTAAAATTTCAATGAAAATGTATGTGCTAAATTAAAATTTTAAAATTATTATTTTTATTTATTTTTAAACAAAATAAAATAATAAAACGAAGAAATATTCAAATCAAATTAATAAATAAATTAGTAATTTAATTTAAAATTATTTTTTAATGATTCAAATTTTATTTTAAACATTTCTTAATAAACTTTTTAATGATAGATAAAAAACAATTATAATTTTTTGTAAATTCATATTAAAAATAAAATAAACATTAATTAATTAATTAATTAATTAATTAAAGTGATTATTAGCTCCTAATTTGCAAATATTAATTTTATTTTCGATAAAATAGATGATAAATAGCAAACTCTAATATATTCTTGATTTATCAACTATAAAAAATAAATTTTTATTTTTAGTTATATGCTATCAATACAGCTCGATTTATTAATTTTAGAATTTCCAAAAAAATTAAAATAAAAAGAGTAAAAATGAATTATCTAATTAAACTTTTATTATTAAATTAGATAAAAAAATACATTTTATTTATTTATTAATAAAATATTTAAATATTAATTTTTGATTAAGAGATTGATTAATCTTCAAATTAATCATATACTCACAGCTTAATTGACTAAATTTTAAATTTCAAATAACAAATATATTTAATTTTCTTTATAAAAAAATTGACTAGCATAAAAAAATTTTATATGGAAATTTTTGCAACGATTCTATTAATTATTTTGAATCAAAATTTAAAAAAAAGTTATAGAACCTCAAATTACTTTAAAAAGATAGTTCAAATATATTTATGTAATTTAAAAGATATTTTTGTTTTAAGTTATTTTACAATAAAAATTTCACATTAAGTTATATCATGATACAATTAATTCTAATTTGGTTCATGTAAAATAGAAAAAATTACAAAAATAAACAATCTCTCTATATATTCTTGAAGAAATAATTATTACTGGAAATAAATATATCTTGGCAAAAAGCATCTAGGTCCTCATAATTATATAATTAAGTTAATTTTCACTGGATAAGTTTTTGATTTTTTTATTATCTCTTAATTAAAAATGCTTTGGTCATAGTTTTTATAAAAATAATTAAAAAAAAAGATAATTACTAAAATTAAATATTATAAAATATTTAATTAATTAGTATATCTTTTGATAAAGCATTTTTAAAAAGCTTTGCTAATATTAAATTTATTATAAATTATTGTAAGAAAAGTTTCAGATATTGCTTGTAAAAATGACATTTAAAATTTTAAATAATAAGACTTTTTTTTGAATTTCTATTGGTAAGTAATAAATAAATTTTGAACAAAGTAAATAAATAAAAGCTAGAATACAATCTATTAGTAATTGAAATAACCAATAATAGAGTATGGGAGCATCAAATTATTCCAAAGAAAAATTATTTTTATAGTAATTAAATTGAATTATTTATTAAAGGTAACACTTTACTGAGAATCAAAAGTAAATTATTTAAAATGATTTATAAAAAGAAAATAAATGGTGTTTAAAATAACAGTAACTTATTATTATTTTTATGAAAAATTATATTCTTAACTAATTTATAATTTCAGTTTTAATTACTGATCGAATTATAATTTAAATGTATATAATTTAAGTTTTTTAAATAAATAAACTACTTTATTAATATGTAAAAAACAAATCAGATACAGCTTAACCTAACAATTAAATTATAATAACTTCTTTGTGTTCTTTTATAATTTAAAAAATAAATAAAGAAAGAAAAAAATCAAATAATATTTTCAAATAAGAAAATAAGATATTAAAGATTAAACTCAAAATACCTACTTACTTATGAGTTTTCTTAATACTTTTTCTTAGTAAAAAATTAAGAATTAAAATCTAAAGGCTTTAGCTTCTAACTTAAATAATTAACTTTGTATCTTAGAATAAAATGTACTGAAATTTAATAGTTCAGCTCAAAATAATAATAGTGCTGCAAACTCTTTAGAACAATTATCATGCTCAAATAATACTCTATTAAAAGACTTTTAAAAATAATTATCAAATCCTCAGATAAATAATACATATGAATAGAAATCATAAATATTTTCAACAGTATTTGACTTGATTGGATAAATGGATGATATAAAGTAATAATATAATTATCTTTAAGAATAATAAAAGCTAGTTATCAGCAAATACAGCATAAGCAAAGAAATATTTAATAGATCGAATCTATAATACAAATATGCACTTTCCTATTTTACAGAATCAGAAGCTTTGTTGCAAATAGTTTTGAAGTTTATCAAATAAAAATAATAAAAATGTGGTAAAAATGTTTAAAGATATAGTATCTGAGATGATAAATAAAAATTAAACTTAGCTGAACAACCAATTTGATACCAATTTATAATAAAACAATTACAACCCTTTCTAAAAAAAAACAAATTATATTTACAAAACTTATATTATAATATATTAACTTTTTTTTGTATGAAAAACTATGTATATATTTTATTAAATTAAGAAAAATAACATATTTTATAAATATCAATTAAAAAAATTAAAAATAATTCATGAACAATAATTTATATTTTAAAAAGTTAATATTTTATTAGTCTATGAACAATAAAGTGATCTCGCATAATATATAAATCTAAAATATTCACAGCAAAATATCACTAATAAAATGATATTTTGTTAATCTATTAATTATTTCCTATTTTTAATTAACCTTAAATAGAATATATTTTGATTTTGTATTTTAATAAACATTTTTTATCTCACAGTTTTTAAACTAACATTAAAAAAAAGTTAGTTTACGAAATTGTAAAAAAATAACTCTATTTAAAGAAAGTAGATATTTTTTTTTAGTTAACTCTACAAATTAATAAAATAACGTAAATTAATAGAACAAATCTTAAAAAACAAATTTATAATTTTAAATAGATAAAATTTATGAAAAAAATAAGTTAATAAGAAACGGAACTTAAATTAATTTTGGTTTTTTAGCACCAACACAAAAAAATAATAAACAAAAGAAATTTAAAAGATTATTTTGTGAAAATTAAATAAATTTAAAATAAAATATTTTTAATTAAATAATTATTGTAAGAATATTTAAATCTTTAATTTTCTTTATATTTATACTTCTCCTCCTATACTAAAATATATTTATTCTAAACTTTATTCTGTTAATAAAAGTCATCTTCAATTTTATACATCTTATCTTAAATCTAAATTAATTTGTGGCTATTATAAAAAATTGATAATTAAGTAAATTTATATTTTAATTCATCAAATTAAATAAATTAACTATAGATACAATTTTAATATAAAAAATTAGTTAAGCTTTGAGAAAGTGCTCATTTACTGATAAAAGAAAACTTAAATAAATATTTATTTCAAGCATTTTTTTTCAATTTTATTAGAGCTTAAAATACTTTTTATTTTAGATTTTATTATCAAAATTTAAGAAATATCATCATTTTATAAAAATAAATACTTTTTATAGTAAAAAAAATTTTTAATTGTGAAAAAATAGAAAAAATTATGAAAAATGTAATTAAACTCACTAAAAGACTCTGAATATTTAATAGAGAGGATTAAACAGGATTTATCTTATGCTTTTACAGTATTTAAATCATTTATTACTCACATTAGAATTAATCAGGCTAAAGAAATATTACTTTTATTTACTTCTCATAATCAAGTTGATGTCAAATATGACAAATTTTAAATTTTTTGTCAAGTAAGTGCGTTAACTAAAAACTCAATTTTATTAAAAAGAAAAGTCATACATCTTAATGTAATTTACTACTTTATAAATAAAAATTTGTTTGACATTTATAATTGTTACGATTGAAATATGATATAGATATTTAGATAAATTTAAATCCTATGTGAATATTTAAATTTTAAAATACAAATTGTTAAAATAGATAAAAAATTGGATGATTGATAATTGTAATTGAATTATGTAAATAAATAATAGAAAGAACTAAGGTTTGATGCTTAAAATAGAAAGAAAATTTATGCAAATAAAAATCAGAATTTATGGTAATAATTTTTTAGTTACTAATTTATTAAAATCTAAAGACAAATAAAGTTTTTTAGGCGAGCATTTATTTTATTCATTTAATCTATTTTTATTCTATTAATAAAAAAGAAAAATTATGGATGCTATTAGCTTGTGTAATCAATCATAATTTGATATATTAAATATTGGTAAAAAATTTAGAGGTGCTTGTTTGTAATAAAAATTGTAATAAATAGTCATATTTAAATCTTCTTTAAAGCGATATTGTATTAAATTTCATAATATTTATAAATATTTTGTCTTTAAATAAAATACAATTTACAAAACTAATCTTGGAAGAATTATGAAAATATTTAAAAGTTGTTTTAATATTTTAATTCATATTTTGAATAGTATTTAAAAATTTTAAATTTGTAAAAATTATTAGAAATTATGATTACAAAATCAATTAAAGTATAATAATGTTCTAATTTCCTTTTAAAACAAATTAATTTTGGAGAGCTGCATAGGAAATTGTGTATCACGATAGTCATAGTTGTGATTAATTTTTCATAAAACTTACTGAATTTAAAAGCGTGATATCAATAAAAATGATGATGTTAAATTTATTGATTTTTTTGTTTATGAGAAGTTAATTCATTTTTAACAGAATTAATTGCTATTAATTAATTTATTTAGTAAATGTGTTTTCTGATTTTTTAGTAATAGTCATAATCTTCACAAAATTAAAAGTAAATACTCATTTCTACTTTATCTAAATGTTTTTTTTGAGGGTTTAAGTGAAAAAATATCTAAAGTAAATTAACGGGTGATTGCTTAAAATATTATGTTCGAGCTTTTAGCCATAAAATTAGATTTGACAATGATGCAAATGGTATGGCATTTTTCCTTAATTTCCGAGTAAATGCTCCAAGTAAAAATTAGCGATACTATCTAATTTAATTTTTAATTCAGTAATTACTTTATGGACAATATTTACTGCTTTACAATTTACAAGATTTTAAAAAAGAAAATGCTTCCAATTAATTAAAAAAAATTAATCAATTTTAAGATTATCAAATATCCTAGCTGCCTATTCAAAATATAAATGAACTTTTAATTAAATATAATAATTATTAAAGCAACAAATAAATAATTAAAATAAAAAAACATAATACATTAATAAGCATTTTCGCTTTAAAGTAGAAATGAATATTTGCAAAAACAGTAAAATTAACTCATCATAAATCTTTAAAGTCTCTGCTCTTGGCTTAATAGATAGAATAAAAAACCTTGAATAATATGCTATCTAAGTTAGTAAAATAGCTTATTAAGATGAAAAGAGAGCTTAAAACTTAGAAAACCTCCTCGATAACTAAGATAATCTCGTTTAAGACATTTACTCAATTATCTCTTTGAAAAATAAAATCAAGAGATACAATGAGGTTGTAGGTGTTTTAATAAAAATGATTACTGAATATGAGGAAATATGTATTTCTTACTAAGAACTATACTAAGAATAGAAGCAAATACTCAGTAAGCTTTCTATAAATAAGGAAATATTTAACAGATGCAAAATCTTATTTGTATAAATCTAAAAATACTTTTTCAATAGCCAATCTCTCATCCATATTCTATAAAAATAAATCATGTGATTGATTAAGTGAATCCATAAAAATAAAAAAATAAATTTTAATATCAAAACATAATCAATAATTATAATAATAAAAACAAAAATAGTCTCGAATACACTAATCAAAATCTTAACTAGATTATTTTATTTTTAAAATATCATAACTACTTAATATTTAAAACATTACTAATAAATATAATACTAAACTGTATATTATTTCGTGTTTATAATCTATTTAAAAAAGTACTTCATATTATTTACTGATTAGAAATATTAAGCATTTATCAAGCAATTATCAATTAATTAATTAGAAAAACAGATTCTTTTTCCTTAATTAAATATGTAAACAATTATTATTATTATTTACAATTAATTATTCGCTTTTGAAGTAAAAAAACTTTCCTCAATTTATTGGGATTTATTAGATATATTAAATTGCTTACAAATGTGATTTTTTATAATAAATATGTTAAAAATAAACACAAAAAATAAGTATTTTTTAAGGAATATTTTTATAATCAAACAGTTAAGATTATTAATAATGGTTTAGTTTTTATCAAATAAGTATTTAAGATTAGTAAAAAGCAAATAAATTTTAAAGTGTGCTTATTTATTACTTTTACCTAATTTAATACTATGTTTTGTGACTTTAAATAGAGAAAAATGTAAAATTTTCTTTAAAGAAAATTCATTAGAAAAAATAACGCAAAAAAAAATTTAAAAATAAAAAATTTTAAATATAATTTTTCATTGAAAAGTCATAAAATGTACACATATTATTTAATATCAAGTTATTCTATTTAGATTATTATTTTAAATGATAAAAAATATTATTTCTAACTTGCATGAATCATTGATTAAAATAATATCTATTTAATGCCACAAATAGTTAATCATGAGTAATCGGTTTTGAAAAATAGTTATCCATCCCTGCTTAGCTACATTTGATTTTGGTTTGAAGATCCGTCCAGCAGGTGTATGCACAAATATTTATATGTCTTTAATTTTAAAATCTATTTTCTAACTCACGTATTTGTTTTGTAGCTTCTATACCATCAAGCAAAGGCATGTTTATATCCATGAATATTAATTTTATTTAATTTAAGCTACTTAAGCTCTTTTTAAATAAATCTACAGCTTCTATTCCGTTTGTGGCAGTATATATAAGCTCGTCTTAAATGTCAGCTTTTATCTTTAGCATTATTTACAAGCCTTTTATATTCATTGGCTCGTCATCAACAATCATGATCTTATTTGCTGAAAAAAATTTATTATTTATTTATTTTGGCAGCTATACTTAAACACTTTCTATAGGCGTAATATCAATAAATGAGATTTGTTCTGATGTATTTTCAATTGATTTATTAATTTAAAGGGATTTCAAAGAAGTTGATTTATGATGCTAGAGAGATTATCGTTTATTTACTACTTTTAATTCTTCTTTTTATTTCTTCTTAAGTTCATTAGAAGATATAACAAAGGTAAAACTCTGAGTTATACTGTTATTATATTTTGATACTGACTTCGTTCCTATATCTTAATAAACATAAATATTTATTATTTACCTAATAAATAAATAAATCAATTAATTTAAGTTTTTTTAAATTTTTCTAAAAAATGTAAGTAATATATTGATTTTAATTCACTACTTTTACAAGATTACTTTTATGTTATTTCATTTCTAACGTTAGATTCATAATTTTCGCAGCTATTCTATCTACATTTTGTTTGTTTTATGTATTCAATTTATCCTTTTAGATCAAAAGATTAGCTTTAGGTGATTCCTTCCTAAAATATGTGTTGTCCATCAAAAATGTCAGATTCCTCCATTTCTATAATTTCATTATCACTAATAATAATATATTTTTATAATATCTTAGGATTATTAGAAAGGCTTGTTTGATTATAAAACTTATTTTATTAAATCTGCTGTTGCTGCTTAAATTTTGATTGCTGCATTTTTATTTAAGGTATAGGGTTTATCATGTTTTTGCTTCCGTTTTTTATTAATAAAGAAGAGCCTACTAATATCTAATTGCTAGGGTTATTAACGCAACTAGTTAAAATGATTTGATTTTAGCTATTTATTTATGTCTGAATTTAGCTTTCTTCATAAGTGTGGATTGAAGCAGCATTGCTGTTTAAGAAGCTAGTTTCTTTTTAGAGGCTTCTAGTTTACTAATTCAAAGAATTAAAATCAAGCTCTTTTTGAACACATTAATCAAAAATAGGTTATACATCTGAGGATTTATAATGATTGATGAATGATTATTATAAATTTTATTAAGTTAGAACAGAGTTAATCTTTGGCTAAAAATTCAATAAGCTTTTCGAATTCATCTTTTTAATCATAGAAACAGCATCTAAATAGAACCAAAAAGTACTTCCTTAATTTTATTTTGATATAAATTTAATATTGTTATTTTAATTCCTTTTTGATATTTTTCTTGCTAAAATACTACTTATCGTTAAACCGAATCCAAAGCCAGAAGAGTTAAGAGATACCTTATCTTAAATAGACTTACCATCTAAAAGGAGTTTGAGCTTTTGTTACTCATCAAAACTCATTCCTACATAATTTATTATAAAAAAATATTAAACCAGTAAACGAAATAATGACTCCTTTTCAAATAAAGTGATGATTTATTAAAATTCATGTACATTACTTATAATATTTAAAATTTAATTGGGATTTAAAAAAGAAGCTGAGTTTTTTTTGTCAGAATTAATTTTTATTTAAAAGCAATATCGCCATATATTAAATGTATTCTTGAACTCTTTACTTGCAGCATATTTGTAGATAAAAAATTTTAATTGATAAGTAAAAGTATAATCAAAATGATTCAAAAAAATGATTACCTATTCCTGAATCTTTAACACTAATCTTTATAAGCTCATCTTCCTTTTTGTAAGAAATCTCAACAGTAACTTATCCATTTTTCTAGCTAAATTTGAAAGCATTAGAAAGTAGATTGATTAATATTGATTGAGTTTTTTATTCGTCAGTACATATTTTCTCTGGTATATCGAAAAAATCACATTTAAATGTAATCTGCTTTATTTTTGCTAGCTTTTTAAAATGCTTGCATATATTTCTAATTAAATCAATCAAATTAATTTCTTTCCAAATAATTTTCAACGCATCATTTTAGTACTCGTAATAATCTCTGATGTCTTAAATAACTTAACTCACTAGGAAAATATTTGAATTCATGTACTTATTTTTTAAATTTAATATTATATAAATAGATTATGAGAAACCATAATTCCTAATATTTTAATACCATTTTTGTAAAATTTTTATTTAGACCATTTTTTAAAATAACGTCATTTTTTTTCAAAAAACTTTGGGAAGAAGAGTTGGTGTTAATTAGTTAGGAATTGAGGTAATATAAATTAAAATTTTAATACTATAAAAATTAGATAATAAACAATAAATATACTTTTAAATAGTTATCTTTCACTGATACAGGTACACTGTGATCTAAAAGAGCTGTTTGTGTAAACGTCTATATAAAATTAGTATAAGTACCGAGCTCATGGCTTATTGTTTAAAAAATATTTCTCTCCAATATTTTATTTAATTATAATTCTTTTTCTTAAATATCTGAAAACATTATAATAACACATTTTTAATTGTTAATAATCTTTCCAATTAATTTTATGCTAAAATTATTTAAGATATCCAAGTCCTCATTAAGTTTAACGCCAACAGGCTCTAATATAACCTACTGAAATTCTAAATTTAAGTTTTATAATATGACTTTAATTAAATCTAGTAAATTGATATTAATTGCTCTTTCAGATCTTTTAGATTCTTTTTATAAAACTTCATCTAATAAATAACTACAATCTAATTTTTAGGATTTGTTGAAAATTTGTGCTTAAGTCGATTGCACAGGATTAAACTTTATATTTTAAAATTAAGTATTTGATTGCTAAGTAGAATATTAGTTTTTTACAGATGAAATATTCATTTTCTCTTCTTGAAAAGTCTTTTAAATATTAGATTGATTTAAACTAGAATAATTTTAATTTATTCCCATTTTTTTTAGATGTTCCAAACTTTGTTTCGAAAATTCAAAAACTGTTATTTGCTTGAGTAAATTATATTTGAATTCTTGATTTGAATTAGTTGCTTAGTTATTTTAACCTTTCTCAAACTGTATTTTATTGAAACTGAGCTTGTCTTTGCTTTAGATGTTATTCTGTGTAAAGAATAAATTCCTTTGAGATTCAATAATTTATTTTGATTAAACTTAATTGAATTGAAATAAACTCTTCTATAAACTATTTTAATTAGTTTATTCTTTTTTTTCTAAAAATTATTTTTAATTCTATTGTTAATCTTATAAATTTTAATTTGATATTTATTATATTTTTTAAGGGTGAAGCTAAGGTGCTTATCCTTGATCCATATATGGTAATTTCTAGTCATTAAAAAATTGATTATTCAAACTGGTATTATCGTACGAATTTCTTGATTATTTCTTCTAATAATTAGCGATTATAGATTTTTTAGAGCCAAAACTAGAAAATAATTTTTCACTCAAAGAGCTTGCTTAATAATTTGAATAAATAATTTGCATATTCTCATCAATGACAAATAAACTTGAGTCTAAAAAATCAAGTATTTCTTTAAAAAAACTGTAATTATTTTAAAGCAATATATCTTGAAGAAGACTTTAAGAAATATCTATTGCCTTTTATGTTTCCTTTTATTAACCATTTAATTTTATTTTTTATAAACTATTGCCTTTTTTATTCATATTTTATTACTTTTATGTTTCTTCATCTACTTTAGTCTAAATACCACTATATATGCAGGATGAATTACTTTTTTAATCCTCGAATGTGTAAATAAATTATTTTTCTGGCTCTTCTAAATGCATTTTCTGAGGGTTAAACGAAATATTTTTAGATCTTATAATAGCATCAAAGTCTCTCACACTATTTTTAATACTAGTTTCTAACTTACCTTCTGGAAAATTGTGGTTTTAAAAATTTGCACTAACTTATAATTAGTTATAATCATTTTATTAATGAAATTATATTTTGTTCTCAAGCTCTTCACAAATTTAAATTTAAATATTTGATAAATTACTCTCTATTATTTTAGCTGATTCTTCATTAGCGATTTCTTTTCCTAAAGGATTATTTTAAGAATTTTACTATTATATTTCTATATCTTAGTTTGTTTCACCTATTTTAGATGCATTACTAGCCTTTTAATTTTCTTAGATTTATTAATAATTTTATTAAATTGCTTGGCTATCATAAAAGTAGTTTTCAAATAATTTTAATTAGTTTATTTGAATATCGTCTATGTTAGTTTAATAATTTAAATCACTTTTCTAATAATCATCTTAGTTTGTTTCTTTAACAAGATCATATTACTCATTCTTTATTAAATAGTTAGAATTTTTATTTTTTTAATCTTTTAAATTATAGTTAGAAAAATTTTATTAATATGTATCTTTAGTATTTGATTTAGATTTAATAGCTGTTAAAAGAGAAGAGTAGTTTGAATTTGAAAGACCTTATTAGTTAATGAGTGCTTCTCTCTGAGTTGTGTTATTTGAATAACCAATCTCAGTTTGATTAAAATTTATTTCTTACACTTATGTTAATTCATTTATTTGCTTTTAAAATATAGAAGGTGATTTTCTTTTCTCTAAATTTAAATTTAAATCTTCATTTTTTTTACCTTAAATATTATTTATCTAAAAGCTTGTAATGTTTGCCAATCCTTAATTATTTGTCATTGGTGTGTCTTATTATTTTAATTATCCTTTTATATTTGAATTTCTTTGACTTTCCATGAAATTATTTACTGGCAAATGTACTTTGTTTAAATCATCATTAATTTGCTTATTCTACTTGAAATTACATACGTATTTCAACATATTTTTAATCTAAAATAATACTTGCTTTTATTCTCCTATCTCACTTATTCCAAAAAACAAAATGAAAAAAAATATGATTTTACACCCTTAGCTAGATTATTGACTAAATATTGTAGTACTAAGTATTATTGATAATAAGAATTTATGAAGAATTTTCCTATTTTAGTAAGTTAAGCAAAAAGTATTACTAAAGTAATTATTAATCACTATAACTCCAAATGTTATAATAAGCATCGACTCATAAAATAGACTATTTTCTAAAAGTAAAGACACGGTTTTTCCAAAAAAATAAGTAAAAAAATCAAATCCTAAAAATAAACAAAATTGAGATATAATTTAGCACCAATTTTCTTGAATTTGCTACTATAATACCTTATTGAATTCCACTTAATTAACATGTAGGAAGCTATAATCTGTTTAAGTTTATTTATAATTATATATTTTGCATAGTAGAACTATTTCTTTATTTCTATATTTTTTAATAGCTATATTTAAAAGTATTTGACCAATCAAAACAGAAATCAGAGAGGCGATTTAGATAATAAAAATATTTCTGATAGTGCCATCTTAAGACACCATAGTGTATTCCTTTTCAATAAAAACTAATATTTATAAAAAACAAATTTCAATAATGCTTGAAGTTATTTAAAAATGCTAATTGCTTCAAAAAAAGTAAAGAACATGATTATCTTACCATAAATATTTACAACTATTGCAAATATTATAATAAAGAAAAGCATTGTTTCTTTCTCATAATTGTTTTTAATTAGAAATTTTTGTCTATTTTAAATTTTCTCTTTCATTTTTCTTTTGAATTAATTGTTGCTTTTCTAAAATTGCAAATTCACCTTCAATCTCTTCTTAATTATTTTCAATATTTATTTAATATATTTATAGAATTATTAGACAATTAAAAAAATAAAAAAGGTTATAATTGCTTGAGCTCTATTCTTTATTTTAAACTCTTATCATTCTTCTTATAAAGAAATTGTAAGACGAATTCACATATTATGTTTCTTAAAAAATTGTACCAATTTTTAATTATCACCATTATTGAATGTTTTTTAATTAGCTTATTAAAACATTGCTTTTTGAAAAATAGAAAATTTATTTATTCCAAGAACAGTGCTTCTATTAGATGTATAAAAAATCTATCTTTATTTTTATTACAATTGGGTGTTTTTATTTTAATTTAAAAGTTATATTTAAGCAATAAGTTGAAATAAAATCAAAAATTTTATAAACAAAATGTATTGTTATAATAATTGTATGCTTTTCATATCATGTCTAACTCGTTTATACTATTCTTATTTATTATATTTTAACTTAATTAGTATCAATTATTTATTTTAATATGATAATCCTAGTCCATTAAGAAAAATCATAAATTTGATTATTGATTTACTAAAAGCTTTACTTGAAAAAATTATTTGAAAGCTCTTTTTAAGTTTACGATAAATTTATTTTATTTATTTAAAAAATGAAATTATTGTTTGATTTAAAATTGTAAGATTTCTTTCTATTCTTTGATTTTAAAATTAATTTAATTAAAATAACATACTTTCATTTTTCAAATATTAATGGTAACTTTTATTATCTAAAAATTTATTTTTAGCTAAATTAACATATTTAAAATATTAAAAATAAAAAAATCTAAAATTTATGAAATTTATTAAATTTATGTTATATTCAATAAAATGTTAGATTTATTGTTTTTTTATTGATTAATTAAGCTGATTTTTATCATCAAAATATAAAAAATTATACAAATGTATATTCTTTTTAAACTTACGTAAATTATTTAATTATTGTAATGACGATTACTGAGTATAAAAGTTCTAGTGTTGAATACTTATTGTTTTCAAAGTTTTTATGATGCTATATTGTTTAAATCATTGCATATAAATCAAAATTGTGTGTTTTTGAGATTGTGTTTGATTATTTACGAAAATTAAAAAAAGAGATAAATATATATATATTAATTTAATTCAATTTACAAAAAACCCATTTTTTATAAGATAAATTCATAGCTAAAGTAAAAGAATAACTATTTTTTGTTAGTTTATTTCTCTAGTTCAGATGAGTTTTTTTGAGAAATAAAATATGTCACAAGCTTAATACTTTTAAGAGCTTTAATAAATAATTTTATCCGTTCCTTAAGTTAGTATCAAATAATACTTGGAGCAAAAATAAATGTTTGGAAAGGATGTCTCTTTATTTTATGATGAAATAGAATACCTAAAATAAGCGGAAACATCTATTCTTTAACTAAAAGATATAGCAGTATACTTGGGTAATAAAGTCGTAGAGGTTCGTAAATAACACTATGAAGAAATAGAATTTTTAGAAGCTGAGATAATGTAAGCAAAGGAAGAGATCCAAGAATAAAAAGTAGATAGAAATGATTAGATAATATAATTTTAAATCATAATAATTCCTTTTTTTATTTAAATTAGTAAAAGTTGTAAGAATATTACTAGATTTACTAAAATATGGAGGAAAAAAATATCTAATATTAGAAATAAAATTTTGAGCTTGAAGAGCAATGTGACAAACATTTATAAAGACTTACAACTCTCTACTAGACTATGGAAGTTTTAGTAATATATCTATCTTTCTAAATATAATTTGAATTTTTTGAATATTTATATTTTAAACTTCAAATAGTTTTAAATATTTTAAAAACAATTTTATTTGAATTAACATCTTTTTTTATAAAAAGGCAGAATAATAGCGCATGCAAAATTAAAACCAAACAAAAAAGAATGCTTATGTTAGTATGTAATAAATCAATGACGAATTAGTGATTAACAATTTAAATCACTCAATAAGCTTACAGACTTTAGGGAATATATAGCAAATAGATGAATAATTCAACTTTAATTGCAATTCTTGTACTGAAAAATAAGTAATGATAGAATCTTTATAACAAGAAATTGATGAGATTAGCTCAGAAAAAAAGAATTTGAAGGAATAAGTATACACTTTAAAAAGCTAGTTAGAAGTTCTAAAAAAAAGAAATGTAGATCTAGAAAAGTAATGTGATAATGTTGCAGTTTTAGAAAAATACTCTTCTGTCCAAAAGCAGAGGTTGAAAATACAACAAAATAAGGCACAGCTATAATAGTAATATTTAAATAGTACTGATAAAGGATTATCACCTTCCTCTGCTAGCATTAATACAAATATACTTGATGATGATCATTTTCTACACACTTAAAATGGCAATTACTAGAGCCTATTAGAGGAACTAAATTAAATTAAGCTAAGAAGTATGAATATTAATATGTAGACTCTTACAGAATTCAATAACTCAATACAATAAGATATGAATTCTTTCAGTGATTTCTGCTCAACTAACAATGAAATTTCTAAAAAAATACTAGAAGCAGACCCAGTTAGTTCATTCAATTACGAAATAAATTAGCCAAATAATTCCTCACAATAAAACAAAATAGCAGATTAGCTAAACCAATAACAGAATATTAAGATTATAACTTCATCTGAAAAGAATTCTCCTCACTAAAGTAGAGAGCCGAGGTTATCTCTTTTTAAAAGAAATATGATTAATGATGATACAAATTTACAATATTCTAATAAACCAGCTACCAATAGCATAAACGTAAATGCTAGAATTAGAAAAAGCGATTCAATATATTAATACAAATCACCTGATTAAAAAAGAGAGTTTTATGGTCATTTAAAGCATGTAAAAAGAGAATATACAAACTCATAGCCAAATAAAATGCCATCTTAAAACCTTATAAATTCTATTGATGAGAAGAATGAAAGTATATCATCTAATAAAACAAATAAAAATCAAAGTGAATTTAGTTCTTTTGTCAATGTTAATTCATTCAACGAGCGTGGTATAAATTAGTTATTTAGTAATGGAAGCAGTACTCATAATAATATAATAGCTTAAAATCAACTAGAATAACAACCATCAAATAATCAGATTTTATCAATATGTGAGCTTAAATCTAATTCAAAACACAATAAAAAAAGAAGCGAACTTAAATTTTAGCAACCCTTATTTGATGACTTAAAAAGTCTTATGAGTATTCAAGATTAATAGTCATTTGCATCTTTAAATATAAACTCTCAAAAAGGCACTTTCAATGAATTTTATCATAAAGAGGAGATTAAAAATAAGCATGCAAACTAATATGGAGAAGAAGTAGAAGAAGAGGAAGAAGAAAAGAAAGATTTTTTAAATTCTGATTAATACATGTAAAGCTTTGAAGGATCTCAAGAATTAAGGAGCCATTCTGATTTTAATTCCATGGATGAAATGGATTAAACTAAAAAATCAATAAGTTAGCTTAATACTGAGTAGATTATTTAAGATACAGATTAAAATAGTTTAAAATTCATTAAAAATTTTGAATAAATTACAAGTGGATAGAATACATAGAGTATATCTGCTAATAATACAAATGAATAATTAGAAGAAAAAATATAAAATAATATAAACTCAGATTCATTGTTAAAATTAGAATCAACTTAAACTTTAAAATGTATTATTCTACCACTCCCTAAAAAGACTAGAAGCTTATTTTTCAAAATTATCTAATGGTTAATATTTTTATTCTTAATACCCATTAGTTTTATATTTGAAAAACCTAGTTTCTTAAAAGAAATGAAATAAAAATAATGAATGAATTTTGTTAAATTTACCTACTATTAAGTTAAAAATAATATAATCTTAACTAAACTTTTTATATTGTTTTATTCAATCTTAATTATTTTATTTGTTATTAGATGTTCATCGTATACAAATTTTTTATATATACTAAGTTATTGTTTTAAAAGGTATCATAAATTTATTTATTTATTATTTATTAAATAAATTAAGTTTTCTACCAAAATAATTAAGGCCTTTTTTTGATAATATTTTGATATTATTTTTTTAATAATAGTTAAGTTAAAAATAATTTCAAATTTTTTTTTATGAAAGTAATAGCATATTTTATATTTCTGAAATTCATCTCTAAATTAAAAATAGCAAAATATAATTTAATCTATTTAAACCAAATTTAAATTTTTATCAAATAATATTAAACTTTTTTTTTGCAATAAATAAATAAACAGATATATTTCTAACTTGAATATTTTTCTGGCTGCTGCTTTTTTATTTAAATTTGTAAAATTTACATTTGATTGTTTGTGATTTTTTTATCTATGAAAATATACAAAAAAGTATATCAACCATTAATAAAATGAATAATGATTTTAGATATTTTAATATATCTGTAACTAAAAAAACTTTAAATTGTTAATATTTGATTTTAAAAATTCTAAATTATAACAAAAAATATTATGTAATTTAATTAATATATTATTTTTTAGTTTTTAATAATAAATTGATTTAAATTATATACCTATTATTTTTAATCAATCACATTCTCTTAATGAGAATATTGTCTTCCCAATAACCACTAAAAGTTTCGCCTTCAAGAGAATAATAAACTCCATATCCATGAATTGCATCATTCTTAAAATTTCCAGAGTACCTTTCTCCGTTTGTAAAATATAGAGATCCAAAACCTTATTTCCTATCTAAAGTAAACTCTCCTTCATATTTTAACCAGTAATTCTTAATTTATGAAAAATCCTTAAAATCTAGTTTTTGTTAAATGAACTATGCTTTGGAATTAAAAAGGTGTCCAAAATTATTGAATTAATCCTCAAACCAATCTCCTTCATAAAGTATATCTCCATTAGGATAGAATAATGTTCCTTTTCCATGCATTTTATCCATTTTCCATGTTCCTTCATAAACTCCTTTGTTTGAAAAAACAAGTTTGCCAAAGCCATCTCTATAATCTAACACCATTTCACCATCATAGTATGACCCATCATCATATTAATATGTTGTTTTTCTTCTAGCTATCCCATTTACTGGAGAATAGGATTTACTAAGATCATTTAAATAATCGTTTTGATTTTGTTTCTTCATATTATATTAATTAAAAATATTGGCTCCTCTTAAAGGAGAGTAGTTAATCTAATTTTATGGCTGATAATAACTTTCTTAAAGTTACTACTATTATCTAAGTTGCTATGAGAGTTATAGTATAACTTAGTAAAGAAGAGCGTTTGGATCTTGATTACTATTTGCAAGCTAGCCTACGTTATTTTACATAGGAATAGGATTATTATTAAGTTAAATTTAAGGTTGAAAATTATTATTTGCACCTAAATTTACCAAGCCATTCATATTTCCTATACTTGGCTGATGACTATTAACATTTGGACTATAAATTGTGTTTGGTTAAGATCCGTATGGAGATATTATAGCCTAAGAGGGTTAATTATTATTTAATGTTATTGTATTTACTAAAGGTTAATTATAAAAGTTATTATTTTAAGGAGGGGTTGCAAGAGGAGGATTATATGGACTGTGAATAGCACTTTATATAAGATTGTTATGAACATTTACTTCGTTAGGATTACTTATACTATGTTGGTGTTATATCTGTAACTATTAAGGATACTGATTAAAATTTGCAGTGCTAGCATTAATTAACTGGTTGCCACTCTATAAGTTATTTTTTGGTGAGTTGTTAAATAATTAATTTTAGTCCTAAATATATTATTATCCATCATTCATACCAATAAAGTTTCCCTATGCACCATTATTCACACTTTAATTCAGAGCTGCTGCAACTAAATTATTGCTTTACAAGGCATTTATGGAGTTACTTAACTATTGATTATTTTAACCACCTCCATAAGTATCTAAGATTGGTGGTAAGTTTTCAAGTTTAACACTTTAGTATGAATCTTGCATACGAAGTCCGCAAGGAAGTTATATAGAACTTAAATGTTAGTTTAATTACTCTAAGCTAAAACCTTATTCGTCTTAAGATAATAACTATTGCACCATTATGCATAAATCATTGGAGTAGGAAAGCTTCATTTAGTTTAATTTTTCATCTGTTAATAAAATTAATTTTATGAATCTTTTAAGTTAGGAAATTATTAATTGATTCAAATTTTTTAATCAAAATATTCTATATCAATTAATGAATAGTTAAATGTTTAAAAATAAATGATTAACTTTATTTTAAAGTAGGTATTTAATTTTTAAATTTTCAGAAAACTAAAAGATTTGAAAAGAATTTAAAATTAATCTGTTTATTTTACGCAGAATTGTAAGCTTTAGCTCATAGGAAGCGTAGTCATAACACGAATCAAGATTTTCTAATAATGCTGCTGAAAGCATAACCATTCCTAGAGCAAACTTATCTTATTACTCATAATCAGTGTATGTAGGAGATTACTCTTTCAAATGTTTGAGTCCTTCTGCTGGAAGATATCTGCCACTAAAATTTCCCTTTTGGCAGTCTTCATAGTTAGATTTTATATTTAAAACACTTCTATAGAATAGCTTAAAAAGTGTTACATCATTTATTTAATTAACAATATAAATAGAATCAGTTCTTAAATATAAATGATTAGTTAAATATGTTAAAATCGAAACTAATTGTTCAAGCAGAGACCACAATTCCTACTCCTTAAATTATTATTTATTTTTAGCTCTTTCTTGAATCTAATCTTCTAATGTACCTGAAACATGATCAAAAAGAGTATAGATTTTAAAAGATAATGAGCACATAGAGTCTTCAACTTACTTTCTGCACACTAAATTTTTATATTTTATTATTTAATAGAATCTTATATTGAAATAAAAATAAATTTAAGTAATTGATTGTTATAATGCAATCATAATAAATAGACCCTATATCTATTTGGTAGTTGGAGGTTGTTGCTCCTCCAAACTAAGTTTTTTTGAAAAAAAATTTTTTATTTTATAAAATATGCAAACTCATAATATTTAATTTATTTCTTAAAGTTTTTATTTAAGTAAAAAATGATTACTATGAAGCTGGAGAAGATTACAAGGAGCACTTTCCATGATTTTATAATATGTTTAAAATGCTTGTTCCATACTTGCTTCATTTGGAAAATAGTGGCATTATTCAGAAAGCCTAAAAACTCTATCTTGCTTTTTATAAAGATAAATGGTAATATTCCCAAATATCTTGTCTGAAACTTTTTTTTCAACAATAAAATTTTGTAAAATAGCTTGATATCTTTTATTGCATTCATCTTCGTTTATTTGGACATGTTCTTTTGAAAGTCCTCCTCCCATTTTGTTATAAACTAAGTTACCTTTTTTATTGAATTTTCTCTAAAAATACAAAGTATTGGTTAGATAAGAAAAGAAAATAATATATATTTATATTATCAAGTAGGCTTTATAAACTATTCAATAGCAATAATTATTTAATGATAAAAAGTTCTATCTGATGCTATCAACTTAATCTATTTCTTACAGCCAAATAGATTTTGCTTGTTTATTTTTTTGTAAATGATATAATTTCTCTAAATAAATAAATAAATTACTCAAAGATTTACATGTTTTTTAAATGATCAATTTTATTCAAATTCCCTAAATATCAAAATTTATTCTTTTTTAGTTTTTTATTAAAATAATTTCATTAAATTATTCAAAGTTTGCTAATAAAAAATATAGATAAAAAATTTTTTATTTCATAAAATATTTGGATAAAAATTTAAATGTAAAAATAATTTTTAATAAATTAAAATAAACTTTAAATAAAAATAACATAAAAATAAAATAAAATAAAATAAAATGAGCAAAAAAAAATCTATTTTATAATCTTAATTAGATAGATAATATTTATTTTTATTGATTTGAATTTTATTTAAGATTAGAAATTTATTTGATGGAATAAATATCCTCATTAGATAGAGTCGTGCAAACAAAATATGATCGTTAATTTTTCAAAAAATTAAAATTTAGAAATATGAAGACAAGCTAATTAGGCATAATCTCCCTTATTTAGTTTTACAAATAAGAGGAAATAATAAAACTCTTAGTATTTTTAAATAAAAAATCAAATTTTAATCAAAAATTAAAATTCAAACAAAAGTTTTGTATTGCCTTTGATAAATTAATTATCAAATAATAACAATAATAGAGCAAACAAAATATTAATTTTTGTTAATTTTTAATACAGTTTCTTATTTAACATAAGTAAGAATACTTTCACAATAAGTAACTAAGCAAGTAATAGATAAGAGATATAAATTTTAGCAAGAACATAAAGAACTAAGTACCATCATTAGCTTCATTATTAGCAAACAAATTTCATAATATATATCGCTTTGCTAAAGCTATCACCAAAAATATTTGCCACAAACCAAATAATCAAGTAAATAAAAAAATTATTATTGCATCATAGATAATAATTAGGTAAAAAAAAAATTTCATAGTAATATTAGGTGTGACGGAATAAAGAAAATACAATTCATTTAATCTACAGATCTAAATACTTTAGGTTTAAACTTGACTAAGATTTATCTGGCAACAAATAAATGTCTGAATAAATATTCAACAAATAGATTACAATACCTTAAATTTAAATAAAGGATTATAATTAATAAAATAATGATAGCTAATATCAGTAAGAATTACAGAACAAAGATGAAAAAAGTTTAGGTAGCAAGCTTAAGGATAAGTTAGAAACTTAAAAAATGAATTAATTATAAAGATAATAAGAGGAGAGTGATTTAACATAGAAATAAATGTAGTACTCTCTTTCTTAATTTATCTCACAGTAGTTAACTAATTTGAACGCTGAAAAAGATAATTAAAAAAGTAACTAATTATCTGATAGAAAATAAATATCTGGAAGCTAAAGCAGAGATTGCATAGAAAACAGCAATTAAAATAAAGAAAAGGTTTAATCTTAATCTTATTTGAATTAATCTTAGAGTAGTGAGAGCAATTCATCTTCTTGCCCTATTTAGAAATTAAAAAATCAAATTTTTAATATGAATCTCTCTAGCTCATCAGAGTAATTATAAGATGAAATAAGTCCCAAAAATGATTCATCTGTTAATAAGGCCAGCTCATCACTGTAGCCTATTTCAGATTAAATAAATCGTTAAGAAAATAATTTGTGCTTTTTAAAGTCTAATTAGCATAGCAATACTAATAATGCAAACAAATTTCACTTTAATAAAGAAAATTATTTAGACATATTAGTTTCAGAATAGTAGAAAGGTAACAATAACGATGATTAATTGAATGTATAGCAAACTATAGAGAAATACAATAGCTTTGCACAATCAAGCTTTTAATAGGGTTTTAAAAGAGAGCGTTCTGTTGAAGAAAAAACTTTTTTGTAAAATATTAATCATGCTTCCTCAAGTAGCTAAGATCTACTCAGTGTTATATTTTGCTAAAATTCATAACAGCTACCATTTTCTTTAAATATTCCGTAATCTATAACTAAATATTTGCCAAAGTAGAGTACGATTTCTACTGAAAAGTTGGATACCTTTGGTGGATTAGAAAAGACCATTAATGAAAAATTTATTAACTCTCGAAAAAACTCCACATCATAAAATAGCTCTGATAATTTAACAGCCCATTTTAACAATGAATACTCAAATTAACATACTTCAGCATGCTCATCTACGTCTTCTAACACTCAAAAGGGTTCTAATAACAACAAAGGTTTAATTTAGTGCAGTAGTAATTTTATTAAAAAACCATCTCCTACATAAATTCACCCAAATAATACTCAGCCCCTTTCTATCTCTAACTAATAAAATGTTGTAAAAAGTCCTAAAGCTATTTGGAAGAATGCTGAATAAAAATAAAATAGGTATTTTTATTTTATTTTTTATTGATTTCAAAACTATAATCCTAATTTTATATTTCTTTCAAACAAAAAATATAAAATTAATAAATAAAAAATTAGTTCATTACGAATTTGAATTATTAAAATATCAATTATGATATTAAAACGTTAAATTTTTCAGTTAAAATTTATCAAAATTAAAAAAAATATCTGAGTTTAAATACAGTTTTAAATTGATTTAAACATATTATTAAATTGAAGCAATTATACTCAATTAATTTAAAAATTGATTTTTAATTAAGTTAAAAATTGATATTCATATTAAAAATTATTATTTAATTATTTTAAAAAGTTAGTAGCTTCCACCTGCAAGAGCTACTTATGATTAATTTAATTTATCAGGTTAGAAAGGTAATAAAAAATATAATCTATATCCTCAAATTAATTTAATTATTTTCTTAAAAAAAGCCAGTAGCAATTAATAAAATGATTCTATTTTGAGTAACTTAAGCAACTAGGCATTAAGTCAAATATCAAACTTAATTAATTAATCGTAGTTAATTAATAATGGATCTGGATCCTAGCAAATCGGAATTAATTTAAATTAATAGAGTTTGTTCTCTAATCAATCTAGTAACAGTAGTAATAATGGAAATAAAAAGAATAGAATTTGCAATTGCAAAAAAACTAAGTGCTTAAAACTATACTGTGACTGCTTTGCAGTAGGCGAATTATGTGGATAAGATTGCAAATGTGTAGAGTGCTGTAATAATGAAGCGACTCTAAATTTAAGAAATTAAGCAATTGAGGGTATTTTACAAAGAAATCCTTTTGCATTTAATGTAAAACCTGAAGAAGCCAAAAAATCCAAAAAAGAATTGAATAACAGTATCCTTTAAAATTCTAATTCTAAAGTTATAGGCTGTAATTGTCGTAAGTCTAACTGCTTAAAGAAGTATTGTTTATGCTACCATTCTGGAATGAAATGCTCAGAAGCTTGCAAATGTACTGAATGCAAAAATTTAGAAAATGGGTTAAACTCTTCATCACACTCACTTTGTTCTTCTTCTATGCAATATTAGTCAAACAATAACAATAATTAAGTATTAATGACTAATTCATAAAAGCAAAATTTATATCATTAGAATCTGTAACAATCAGTAAAAAATCAAGGGCAAGATAATAACAATGAAAATTTCATTCCTATTCAATAAATAATAGAAAATTTAGCTCTTGCTGCTTAGTAAACCCAATTATAGTCTAATAATTTTAATAGACTTCTACAGTCAATTCCCAAATAATAAGACGATAACGATGATGATGAGGATGATATCTTAGAGGGTCATGAAAATGAAGAAAACGAACCTATTTAGGTTCAATAAAATGTTTAAAAAGACACAAAATAAGCTCTAAATTCATATAATAATTTATTTTTAAATGCTATATCTTAGTTTAGTTTAAATTTGTAAGATAATAATCATAATGAAGGTTTAGGTAGCTCACCTACATTTTCAAATCTTTAATAATAATCAATGAGAAAGAAATTATTTTTAAACGATTCAGGTTAAACAACACCAGTTAGTCCTGGAGGATTCCCGATTCAAAACTAGCAATCTCATTTGAATATGTAGAATATTAATAATTTGTTCTCATTAATTAAAAATATATCTTCCACTGACTAATATTAGTGAAAGTACAAAATAAAACAAACAAACAAATAAATAAATTCTTCATAATTCATCATCCAGATCAGATACTCAAGGCTACTTCCACATCGTTGATAATAATATAAGGAGGAAGGTTTTTCTATAAATACCTGTTTATATATATTTTAAAACTAAAATTAATTAAAGTAAATTTATATACCTTAGAAAAGTAAGATTAATAACTAAGCAAATGATTAAGAAAGATATTGAAAGGCATGTTTAAATTTTGGATTAAAATAATATATAAATTGGTTTTAAAAATGAAGAAGAAAGCTTAGAAAGGAATAGAGGGATATGATACTGATAGAATGAATAATTTATTTAAATAATAAAAAGTATTTACTAATTTTTATATTTTACTTTGAATGATAAATAAACAAGCATGCAATTAATTAAATAAAGAAACACAACAAAAATTATCATTAATAAATAAATAAATATATTTTGTGTTAAATTTGATAAACTTAATTAATATTTTTCTTTTCGAAATTTTATTTAATTTTTTAACTTTTTAGTAGATTTTATATTTTAAAAAAATACTTTATTGTTTTCCTCACAGTTTCTTTATTGAATATTTTATTTAGTATATGAAGCATATGAAATTTGACTACATATAGATATTTTATTAATTAAACATTTATTTCAAGATGCAAAATCTTTAGGTAATATTGTCTAAGATCTTCTGATTTTAGTTTTTGAAAGTGTCTTTTTTATTGCATCTTAAGCTTTTTAAGAAAAATTGGCACTGTTTCTAAATAAAGAACTTAGGGGACTCTGTTATCCACTTGAATGTTAATCAAACAGTGAGGATTAATCTTATTATTTGCTCTATTTGAAATATTTGAAAGAACATATATTGTTAATAATGATTTTTAATTATTAATTAGGTTAAATATTGAAAGAAATTTAATTTAATTTAATTTACATTTAATGATTAAGAGCTTTTATTTGTTAAAGGTGAATCTAAAAAATTATTTCCACTATTTTATTTATCTAATAAAATTGAAAATGTAATAATAATTTTTGAAGTTTAAATTTACTTAGCTTAGAAACGGTAATTAAAGTTTTAACTTTTTTTCTAAAATTGGAGATATGACTTGAAGGACTTCGTTGGCTTTCCTTTCTAAAGAAATTGTCTTATGTGTTTTTTAAAGTTTCATTTAAATGATCATCTGATTCATTAAATTTTTCTGCTTACTAATTTATAAGCTCTTTTTTCTTTTTTATGAAAAATCAAATTGATTTTTAAACTTAAAATTTTTTAAAAATTACTTTTATTTTTTCTTCATTTTACTCAGTGTTTTGATATATTAAAAGATTTGTAACATGACTAATATCACTAATTGCATTTGGTGCAGGTAAAAATTAGTTTTAACTTTTAAATTGCAATTTTTTCATAAGCTTAGCCACACTTTCTTTATGATTTTCTAAGATTTGTATTTGTAGCTACATTGCTTACTCGGTTTAACTCAAATCTTATTTAATTTTTACAATATTTCCCTACAAATTTTTATCTACAAATTAATTGGCTCTCTTTTTGTTCTTTAACTCTACCATTTTGATTTCATCTTAAGCATACCTTAAAACGTTTTTTTGGTCTAATTTTTAAAATAATTTAATTAATATCTTTTTAAGTTAATTATTATTTTAAAATTAGCATTACCTAGTTCAACAATTCTTGCATTTAAAGAATAAATACCATTATCTCCTAAACCTCCAAAAATTAATACTGTTGATCCATACTACAAGCTAAGGTGTCCACATCTCCCTATTCTTTTATTAAAAAAGTAAATAAATGAATCTATGAATCAATTTAATTTACGAATTTTGGCCATAAAAAGTTATTTCTCTCCATATTAATGTATCTAACTTTAACATATACATGTCATTTAAATATCCATAATTACTATTTTCATTAATTCCACCATAAATAATAATCCACTCCATCTATTCTTAATACACCATGCTATGCTTGCATCTCGGCTCTTATTTGATAAATGAAATTTAATCTAATCAAATGCTTTTAAAAATAAAAATATATTACTAGGGGGTTCTCCAAAAGTTTCTGGTATAATAAAGTACATTGGTTTTGAATCAGTTTTTAATATGGCTAATCTATTATTAGTAACCCCAGATTAATTAACTCCACCAAAGAAATATACTCCTTCTTCTTTAATCTGAAAATGTATATAAAAAATAGAAATAATTAATTCTAAATAAATAAATAAGTAATTAATTAATTAATTAACTAACTTACTCTACTTAACTTATCAGCATTTTTATCTTCTAAGGATTTGTATAGTTGAATGTTTTTTCTTTCAAAAAAGTAAATAGGTATCGCTTTGTGATGAGCAATTCCTTCTGGAAATATTTTTTAAAGATTGATGCAACTTGCTTCTTACCATCTATTATGCTCTAAAATATGAATTAATTTAAAGTATTTTTTAAAATGCTAATATTTACACAAATCAAGATGAAACATATCATTACAGTAGCTTTTTTAGGAAATCCCTCCATGAATCAAGAGGTTCTTTCCTACAACAGAACTTACATGATCTCTTCTAGACTCAATCATATCTCCTGAGTTTCTCAAAATCTTCCATTCTAAAGTTTCTATTGTTTAGTAAAATTATTATTTTGCATTTAATTTATTGGTGTCTGCAGTCTGTAAATCAATCAATTAATCATACCTAAATTCATAACTCTAACTTCATTTACTAACTCTTTTAACTTAGATGTAGGTGCACATTTTTTTTCACCTCCAAACATAATTAATTATTTTTTATAAATATCTAAACTATGGCCAAATCTTCCATCTTTTGGATATTCACCTCTCTATTGTAAAGGTTACCACTCATTTTACTCTTTTTTAATATTTTAGTAAAATAATAATTTCTGTTAAATATTTAAATAATATTTATACAAATATTAAATAAGCACAAATCATTTAAGACCTCCATTCCTAATCCTCCATATAAATAACATTTTTCTCCATACTATGTGCAACTTGTTGTTTCTCTAGCTGGAGGTTTCCAACCCTTTTGCTCATTATCTAACCTAAATAATTTAAAAAGCTTTATAAATAAATAAATAATTTATAAAATTCTTACCAAAATCCTTTATATTAAACTTTCATCATACTTAACTTTGGTTCATTTTTGAAAAGTTAATCTTTATTGTCATTATTGTTTTATAAAATAGTAGTTGAAAGATCATTTCCAGACATTTCGTGTATTTATTTGACAATTTAAATATGCATCATATTTTCTAATATCCTTCCTCTAGAAGGATAACTGATTATTTTTGGCTAAGACTCCAATTTTCTAATTATTAAAAATAATTAGTTTAAGTTAACAAAAATCAAGTTATTTTTAATTTTAAAAATATTATTTAACAGGGAAGCTTACTTTTTGTGTTGTTGAGCTACTTATATGTCTGTATTAAATCTTTCTTTTATTGCACTCATGTTATATTATTTTGCTTACTCAAATTAATTTTTATTGTGCTAAAGCTGTAATTATAAAATTTATTTTTTTGCAAGTTATGTGGTAAAAGAGTTGAGCATTATATTTCTACTTTAATTATTTTTATTAGCCTAAGGAGATGGCTATAAACTTCTACTTTTGTTTTTTTTATTAAATAAACTATTTTTGTATTGATTCCAATTTTGTTTTGACATTTAGAGAGAAGTATCAAGAAAATCTACAATATTTGAATGAATATATTTTATTTCATCATCGTTTACAAAGTTAGATGAGTTATTTTTTCTTCCAAAATTAGAAAAGTCTCTATCATTCAACTAATTGTTACCGTTTAGATTTCCATTATTATAATTATCTCTTTTAAGACTAAACTAATTTAATTTTGTAGAAATTATAGGAGGTAAAAAATGAATAGGTTCAATTTTTGATTATGCTGATTCATTTACTACTTCAATATACTCTGGTATGGAAAGAGAAGATACTTTTACATTTTATCTAGTATATTATTCTGCTATTTTTTTTACATCAAGAGATTTAAATTAATCTCTTACTCGTTCTGCTCGAAAAGTATTTTGCATTCTTAATCTTCTATGAAAACTAAATGACTTATCTTCTAAGCGCGAAGATTCAGATTGAATAGATTAAACAGCTGTCTGCTACTTTTCATTAATTTTAGTAGATGATAAAGTTTTAAGATTGATTTAATCTTTTTAATCTTTTATTTCTGAAGAAACTATAGTAGCTTATTAAATGTCTTCTGGAAGGAAATTTTCTTTACTAGATAGCGAATTTTATGTCATTTTATTAAAAATATTTTTTCTAGAGAATCTTAAAGTAATAAACTCTTTAAAATAAAGTAACAAGGAAATTAATTTAAAATATTTGAATTACTAAATATTGTATTTATATTAGGCTTTTTATGTATTTTAATTTTACTGAATAAATAATGATCATGAATTAATTATTTAAAAAGAAATAGAGTTTGCTTGAAGGTATTATTCCAATTAATTTATTATATCGAATTAAGGCGAATAAACAAATAAAAAATACATTTTATTTCTCAGTTATAAAATATAACTTATTAATTCTAAAATATTTGGCTTTTAATAAATAAATTCGATCTAAAACTTTTATAAAATAAATAAAAAAATAATGATTAAAATTTGTTTTTTACAATATTTTATTTGAATTATACCTTCTAATTTTTTATTATCAATCATTAAATTATTCTAATAAATCTATTTTATTTTCAGAGGATAATTATAATATTTTTAATCAAATAATTCCCTTAAATTTTTATAAATTTTTTTATTTATTTATTAAAAATTATATTAAATTAATAGTTTTTAAACACAAAATATTTAGTTTTTGAAGTTTTTTTATATTTAATAATTTTCTTAAAAAGCAACAAAATGTAAATGTAGATGGATAGATTTTTTACATAAAATTTCATTAAATTTATAAAATATATTTTTCAGCCACAACATAACCATTCATCAGTTTCGCTGATACCCTTAATTTGCTTGAGAAGCACCAACTCTTCTGCAGAAGATGGATGGATGGCAACAGTCTTATCAAAATCTGCCTTGGTAGCTCCTAATTGCATAGCGACTGCAAAACCTTAAGCTACTTCTGCTGCATGAGGTCCTAAATAATGTAGGCCTAATACGCGCTCATTTTATTTATTATGCACAATTAGTTTACAATAACCTCTAGAATCATTATCTTTATCTGATAGAACCCACTCAAGAGGTTTAAACTTAGAAACATAAGACCATACATTTTCACTGCCATATGTTTTAATAGCTTCTTCTTCTGTTAAACCTATTGCAGAGTATTCAATAGGAGTAAATACAGTAGTTGGTACAATTTTGTAATCTAAAGAAATGTTTTCATTGTTATAAAGTCTACGAGCCAAATATCTTCCTGCTTTTATAGCCAAAGGAGTCAATTCCATACGTCCTATTTAAAATATTATTTTTTTTAATAAAAATTTTTCTTAAATTTTTAAAATTGAAATTTATTTCTAATTAACAATAAAAATTTTATACCTTCTACTGCATCACCGATAGCATAAATATTTTCAACAGTTGTACGATCAAGATCATCGGACTGAATCTTACCACTTTTAGTTACAGGTATCCCAACATTTTCTAGACCTAATTTTTTTGTGTTTGGTATTCTTCCTATTGCCAGCAAGACTGTGTTAAAAGTATCAGAGCTACCATTTGTATAAACTACTTACTTAGTTTCGTTTTCTAATTACTTAACATCTTTAATTTCACCTTATACAAACTTAACTCCATGATGAGCCATATATGTTTACATTCTCTCTGCAACATCCTAATCAAAGCCTCTGAGTAATACAGATCTATATAAAACTGTAACATCATAACCAAGACCATTCAAAAATCCTGCACATTCTAAAGCGATATAAGAGCCACCAGCAATTAATGTTTTTCCTAATAGTTTTTTAATTAAAATTATTGATAAAATAAGTATAATTATTTATTTAATTTATTTATATTAAATAAAAAAAAAAAAAAAATTACCTGGAGGTGTTTGCAAACTAAACAAATCATCGGAAGTAATAATTAACTTAGAATCTATGTGAGGTAAATAATTAGGTCTACCACCAACGCTGATGAGAATATGCTTAGCCTTCACATAAATAACACCTGTTTTGTTTTCTAATTTGATAGTATTTTTATCAACAAGAGAAGCATAGTAGTTGAAGTATTTGACTTTGTTCTCACGGAGTGCCACTTTGTATCCAAAGTTAGTCTTTTTAACATTATTTTGTACTCTTTCGACTAGCTTTTACCATTCATGGGTTTTTTATTCTTCATTCACATTTTTCCAACCAGAAATTCTTTACATCTCCATACTTTCACCATATGTGGCTGCGTAGTGCATAAGTTTTTTAGGAATGCACCCTACATTAACGCAAGTACCTCCTAATCCCCACTTAGTACCTATTGGGGTTGGGTCAACGAAATCAGCTAAGCCTACTTTAACACCAAATTAAGCAGCTTCTTTACTAGCTGCTAATCCTCCTGAGCCACCTCCTATGACAAAGAAATCAAATTCTTCTTAAATTTCTATTTCCATTTATATGTAAATTAATAATAATACTTGTTTGATAGTTTTTAAATGCTGTTTTAAATTGATATTTTTTAAGTTTTTTAATAATATTTTGATAAATAGCAAATTCTATTTAAACTATGCTTTTTATTTTTTCTTTTAATTTTCTCGAATATTTTAAGAAATAAGCTTTATTTAATTTTTATTTTTACGTCATGATTCCTAATTTTTGGATAATTTATTAGTAAATTAATTTCGTATTAAGCACTTAATATATTTATTAATTCTAAATTACTTAATTTTTTATTTTTTTTACATATTTTGTGACTTTTGATTATCTATGATTTTTCTAAAATTGTTCTTATCTATTGTATCTTTTTAAGTAATAAAGTATATTCTATTTTTATTTTTTATAAATAAAAATCTATTAGATAATCAAAAAATTATGTATAAAATAATAACTCTTATTTTTCTAGAATTTATTATAGTTTAATTTAATCAACTACTTACTATCTAAAACATAGTAAAATCAATCTTTAGTTTTTTTACTATTAAATAGTTAATTAATTTTTATGTTTAAATGGCAGAGTTATAAAAAATAGTTGATTTGTTTAATTCATTTTTAAATTATTTATTTTATAAACTTTAAAAATTAAGTATTTAAAATTATATTATTTTCAATAGTTTTTCATTTTTTAATAGAATTAAAAATATATTTTGTTAAAATTTAAAAAATATTAAAAGAAAAATTATTAATAACTATTTAGTGATTTTATGACTATGTAAATGATAGCTATTTTAAAACATTCAAGAGATAATACATTTAAAATAATAAAAAATATGGATATAGCTCTAAAAATTAATTCTTAAATTACCATATAAAAAAAAATTTTTTTGCTTAAAAAATAAAACTAGATAACAAAATAAATGTATGAAAATACAGTTCTAAGAATAAATATTATCATTTAATTTAGAGCTTAATGATAATTCTGAAAATTAGAATAATTGCTCATTAAAAAGCAATAAATACAATTTTTTAAATAAGCAATTTAGTCTTAAATATTAAGTCTTAAAGGTATTAAATAATATATTTCATTTTTTTATACAGCTACTTTAATTTGTTAAATTTATGTTATCATTTTTTTTTATTTAATTTCAATTTTTATAGTGATAAAAAATCATCTTTCATAAAATATTTAAGCATAGCTTATTTTAAAAATTATAAATTGAAATATCAATATGAAATTAATATTTAGTTTAATAATGATATTTTCTATATAATCTTTTCAAACTTTCGATTTCATTTAAATAATATTTTCATTTTTAGAAATAGAAATGTGAACAATTTTGTCTATTTAGGTAAATAAGAATTTATAAAAATAAATATACCATTTCTTTTATTGTAGGATAATAATTAAAATTAAAAAAAAATAATTTTAAACTTTTAGTTGAAATTATTTATTGGTATTTATTGATTATAACCAATTTTAATATTTAGATTTACTATTTTAAACAATGCTTTTTTTAATTTATTTAAAGTAATAAAAAATAATTTACGAAACAAAATAGCTAATGGATTCTTTACATCGTCTTCTTATTGAAACAACATTAAAACTTAAAATAATATAGGATAAACTATTTTTTATAATTGTAGAATATAATGAAAATATTCTGATTGATTAAAATTTGAGAATTTTAATATAACTAAAATGTACAGAACTATTAAACTTTACTAGTTAAGAGTTTGAGTCTTATTTAAACATCTTACCTAAACTTTTTATTTTTTATCAATATAGATTTTAATTTTATTATCTAACAATATTTTCTGATTATTTATATCTTAAAGAAATAATCTTTTCTTAAAAGTATGCTTGATAATGTAAACTCTTATATTAATTATAATATCAGGGCATTCAATTTTTGCATAATAATTATAGTAAAGTTATTTACATATTTTTATGAATTGCAGCTAAAAAAAATATTTGTAATCAATTTTTATTAAAGAATATAAGCTTATCAGGTACGGTTCAAGGGATTTAAATTATTTTTTTTTTCTCTAAAGCAAACACAATTAATTAAAATAAAATATAAGATTATTTAATTTTTTATCTGTAAAATTAGAAAAATAATGAGAGGAGAAATAATAATATAAAAATAACAATTACCAAACAACTTGCAAATAATATGCCGCACATATAATAAACTGAAGAGACCAACTAAAGAATATAGGAATCAAAAAAATATCAAAAGATGCAATTATAAAGAATATTTATAAGTGAAATATAATTCTAAAGCTATGTGTAACTACAGGATAATTTCACCTTTGTTTGTTTAATTTATAAAGTAAGAAGATGATAATAAAAGTAAGATGAATAATATCATTACTACACAAACATCTGAAACCAGTAAGAGCATGGAACATAAATAAGATGAAACAACTAATTAAAACTTATCAATATCTGACTAAAATTCACTATAATAATAGAAACCATTAAAAAAAAACTTAAAAGACGTGAAACATGACGACCCATTATTTTAATCTCTATTAAATGAATATAAATATTTGTATCAATAAAATTGCATGAAAAATATAAAAAATGGGTTTTTTAAATATATTTTAAATAATGTAAAACCAGAAAAGGCTAAGTAATTAGAAAATGTTGTTGAAAATAAAGTAAATTACTAATGGATTAAAAGAAAAATAAAAAACTTAAAAAATGTTTAAGATAACAAAGCTATAAAAATAATATGCAAGCATCCTATAACAAAAGTCATTTTCAAAGACTTTTTATTGAACCACGACAGTGATTGGTTAGAAAGTTCGAGGATCAAAGTGAAAGAGTACTACATATAATTTGCTGAATTCTTGATAAAATTAATAGACTAAATTGAATATATAGATGTGATCTAAAATTATTAAAAAAAGAAATAAAATTGTGATATATCTAACTTTTGAATAGCAAATTTTAATATATTTTATCATTTTTATATGCCTATTATAGAATATTAAAATATTTTATTCAGTAATAATATATGTTTATCAATTATGAAAAAGAGTTCATTCTTTTTATTTTAAGAAAATACAAATTAATAATTCTTAAAAAAAAATTAACAAATAAAATTTAAAAGAGTAGGTTTTTTGTAATTGCATTTAAGAAATTTAAATTATAGCCTTAATTTTATAAAATATTTTAATCAATTTAAAAAAATATTCATAAATTATCAATAAATAAGATGGAATTTTATTTTTTAACATTTTTTTTACAGTAATCAATATAAAAATACATTATTTAAGATAACTAACAAACCAAATGATTATTTATTATAAAAGTATTAATTTATATTTTTTATGGTTACAATTTTTTACTCTAATAGGTTGTTAAAAATTTTTGATTAATCATCATAATTTAATTAAAATTTGTATCCTCAAACAATCTTATGATATTAAGATGATTTATTAACAATTAATTGAGTAAATGCCTATTATTTATAAAATATTCTAACTTACATAAATTGAGTTTTAATAAATGCATAATATTTAAGTAAATTTAAAAAGTTTTTTCTTTAAAACTTATAAAAAGTTATTTTTTAATATAATTGCATTAAAAAAAAATCCAATTCAATTCATTAAATATTTATTCTATTTTAATTTTTTTAATAGAATTCTATTGTAGATATAAATTTTAGTTCACAAAAATATCAAGCATACCATTTAATAGTTATCAGCAGTAAAATCAATTATTTAGTAAATTTTAATAAATTTAAAATAGTTCTGCTTTTTAGCAAGAAAATTTTCAGCTCATGATCAAAAATATATTTTTTTTTTGCTTATTTTTTTTAAGAATCTCTAGGTATTTTTATTTTTAATTAAAATTATTTTGAAACATTTACTCTATAAATTTAATATTTCCTAAATAAATTTTTTTTAAAATTGTAAGAAATATTTTATATTTCTATCAATTATAAAATGGAAATTTGATTAAAATAAATGAATGATTTTTTGCTTGTTTACTTGTTTTCAAGCTATTATTACATATTTTTTTTGATATATTTAAAAATTTTAAGAATAAACAAAATCTATTTTTAATAGTGATTTAAATCATTAATTTAATGTTATTTATAAAATCATCAATATATATAATTTTTATAGAAGTAAAAAATATTTAACTTTAATTGCTCATTCTTAAAAGTAAAGAGAATTAATTGTAAAGTTTTATTACTTTTTAAAAATTTTATCTCAATTATATTTTCAAATAATATATATAATTTTTTGATTAAATGTTCTCAAAATTTCTTAAGAAATTTTAAAAGTAGTATTTTAAATAAATAATTTTATTATACCTATTGAAGTGTTGTATTAGAATATATAATTTGTAAAAGATCTTCTGATTTTGATATTAAGAGGATTAATACTTTTTGTTTGATAATTAAAATATAAATCAAATATTAAAATTGCTAATAAGATTTTTGTTAAATAAATATGGAGCTAGAATTTTAATCAACAATTAATTAGAGCATTTAGGAGTTTGTATGTAAAAAAAAAGGTATTATAAACTTAGGATACATTTTAGACTCTTAAAGGGCATTAAAGATTTTAGAAAATAAATAAGATCTCTTAAAATATTTAGCAGACATGATTATTTAAAACTCTGATTACAGCTAGTTTTACAATACAATTATATTGAATTATGAATAATTTTCTGAAAGTATAACTGACAAAAGATTCAAATCAATCGAAGATAAAAGCTATGAGAACTTTTTAAGCAGATATGAAATAAAAGGAGTCAATTTCAAAGAAGGTTGCGACATATAGGAGATCTTAGATAACAGATTTGTTTATAATTATGAATTAATTTGTTTCAAAGCGGATATTTAAATTTTGGGTCAAAGCCATGAGAAAGAATGCTAAGATGAAAATGTATCTTAGAAATATCTTGAATAGCAAAACAAATTAAAGAAAATTGGAGAGTACATTAAAGAATTCAACAATTAATAAAGTGATCTTATCTTTTTAATAGATTTCAACATAACTTAGGATAATGAATCAAAAACCAAAAAAACAAGAGAAACTATGCATTAATTAGAATAGTAGTTATATAGCTTCTGTGTTGAAAATTTATTAAAAAATGAAATACCATTACAAAATATGATAATCTCTTTAAATTTACCTCTAATCGGACAAAAAAATATCAAGTAAGCAACAAATTGGGTAGAAGAATCAGCTTTTAATTCTTTAATAATGCTTTCACATGCTTTACCTGCTTGTATCGGAGGTGTAGCTATAACATATGATGGAGTGATAGAAGTAAACACATTCTCAAAATATTTAAATGAAATGAATAGATTGAGTGCCATTAAATATTTTCCAATTACTTACATGACCCATTAATCAAATTTTGAATATCTAGCTCTAAAATGGAAAGGATAGGATATAAATTATATATCAACAAGTAATTATTTTTATAGATACAGCGAATCTTTAGAATCGGGATTACATGGAAATTATAAATACTAATTGGAAGATTTAGTTTTTGGAGCAATAGAAATCGGAGATATATCTTGAATTAATTAAATCTTTTACTTTTTTTAAAAAAAATTATATAAAACAAAAAAAAAACATTGTTTGTTAGAATATAATTTTTATTTTATTTACTGTAAGTAAATTAGCCTAAATAAGTAAATAAAATATGATCTATCTTTTTTGATAGCAAATATCAGAATTCATTTGAATAAAACAAGTGTTTTATTTTAAAAATGTATAAATTTAAGCAGTATGAGATACATATTGGAAATTTCATGAAACACCATTTTCAATTTATTTAAATTAATTTCTTTATCAAAAATATTTTTTAGGTTATTTATTAGACACAAAATATATTTTTAATTTTATAAAAAAATATAAAAATATTAATTTAATTTACTTGAATAAATAAAAATTATTTAAAGTGAATTAAAAAAATATTTAAGTTTAAAAAAATTATTTTTTATTAAAAAATTGAAGCAGTCGAAATTAAAATATTAATTTTTAAATTGTGTTTTTATTTTGAACTTCAACTGGTAGAATTTAAACACTTATTAAAAATAAACATTAATATTTTATGAAGATTATTTTAATTAATTAATGAATTGTATTTATATTTAAGAGAATAGCTATTGATATATTAATTTAATCAAGTTCTAGTCTGATTGATATTTATATATATATATAATTAATTATTCCTCAGTTTTCATCACAACTAGTAAAATGAGTTTATCATATTATGATAAGCTAGTTGTAGGACTTTAGAAAAATCCAAAAGAGAGAACCCCTAGCGATTTAATTAGGATAAGTTAAGAGATAGAGGTTAAATTTTTTCTTTATATCCATTTAACTGATTATTTCATATATAATTTAGAATGTGAATTTCTTAAAATAATTTATTGGTACAAACACTCCAGAATTTTTAGAAATGTGTTAATTCCTAAAATTAGAAGAATATCCTTCAGATCACATCTTATTTTAGCAAGTATGAGAGAAAAAATGAATATTTTAATTTTTTATTAATTAGATATATTTAATCATTATTTTTAATAATTTTTGCATCTGATATTAATATACCATTAATAAATACTCCTTCTTAATTATTATATGAACAGCAAAGTAAATTTCATTAATCTTTAAATATTTAGGGGGATTTAGGTGATAAATACTACATTATTGTGAAAGGAAAAGTTCAAATTTCTATCAATATCCCTCAAGGTAAAGGTAAAAATCAAACTTTTAAATTGAAGGAAGTAGGACAGATAGGAATAGGAATGAGTTTTGGAGAACTTGCATTACTTTTTAATTCGATAAGAAATGCTACTATAAAGACTATAGAATAATCTGCTTTTATAGTTCTAACTAAAGATATCTTCTCTAACTATATGAAATTCAAAACGCCTCCTAATGCTGAAGAGATATTAAAATTTTTTGATTAACTGGAGTCTTTTTAAGAATAAAAATTAGCTCTTCCTTAAAAAATATAGATAGTTTCTAAGTGTGATACAAAAAATTATGTTTCAAATGCAGCTATAGTTCTACAAGGAAAACCAGTAGATAGTCTTAGCTTCATAAAAAAGGGTCTCACAAAAGTAAAATAAATAGAATATGCCTTGCTTGCTTTATTAAGATATTCATATATTAGGTATATAGAAAGGTTAAATTCAAAGTTAATACGATTACAGGAGAAATTGACCCAAAAGACTGTAGTGATCCATCAGAATTTGACATCTAAAATGGATACTTTAAAGAACTTTTTTTAGAAATAGATGAAATTTGTAATTTTTAAACTGATATTGTTTTATTTTGATGTTTTAAAAAATTAATTATGGTGTTAAAGATTTCAAATCGTTTTTATTTTGTATTTTTAAATTTGAAAACAGACGAAGGTAACTTAATAAGTGAGTATGAATTGTTAAATTATAAGCCTAGCTATGTAAGTATACTTGCATACACACCAACAGAAATAATTTCTATAAATAGAAATGATTTACAAATACTTCCTGAAAAATTAATAGATCAATTTAAGAGTAGCTCTAAACCTTATCCACCAGATTCGAAGCTTAGGAAAGTATTTTTTTAAGGATTGCATTGGAAAAACTTTAGAATAGATGTAGTAGATAATATGAACATCGATTCACGAAACAAAAAAAAGTAAATTTATTTGTTAATATATTTATTTAATCATTAAAATTATAAATTCATAATAGCATAGTAAATAAAAAAATAATGGATAGAGAATAACCTTATTAGATACCAATTTAAGCTACTCTACATGTAGATGAAGACTCTTTTAATAAAGAACTTGAAGAAAATGATGATGATTTAGAAAAATAAGTTTTTAAACCCTTAGATAAACTATTTAATAACTAGAAGGAAAATAAAATATTATAAAAATTGAGTGACGATAGCTAAAACTTAAAAGACAGTAAATCCAGTGAACTGAAAGCTAATCAACAAAGCCCTGCAAAATTCTCTTTTATGAGTGCTAGCTAGAGAATTTCTCCAATAAAAAATAATAGAAAATCAGCTTGTAATATAAATTTAAAGCCAATAGCTTAAAGCAAAGCTGAAAAACTGCAATTAGGTGATATTTTTGCTAATGTTAATTAGCCTTCATTAAATTAGGTATCAAAATCATTACTTCCTCCTATAATGTCAATGCTATCATTAAAATAATCTATATCAAGATAAGACCATGAAGATCCCATCTTTGAGACTAATAACTAAATAAAGTTTGATAAAGAGCAAGAAAAATATTTAATAAGAAGACAATTATATAAAACTCTTGACCCAAAAAAAGAAATTAGAAATTCTTTAAAAAATAATAAAATAAATTCATTTAAAATAGAAGATTACTCAGGAAATGAATCAAATTAGTTATCATTATATAAAAAGGAAAATAAAATAGTTTTACACAGATATGTAACACCAAAACTAAATCACCGAAGCCTATAACTACTGAAATAGTAAGATGTTATACTAACAGAAAGGCCTAAAAAAATAAATTGACTGTAAAGCATACCCTCTAATTTATTATTGTAAAAAAATTAACCTTTATATCATTTAAATACTAAATATTACAAATAGATTTGTAAAGCTTATTTTATAAATTAAAATTTCCTTTAAAAAATAATTTTAAGTTTCAAAATACAAAAAATAAAAATTAGCATTTCAAAGCTTTAACATCCTAAAAAAAATTATTAAATTAAAAGTTATTTTTCCTTTAAAAATTAATATTAAAATATAAAAATTATATTCGCTTTACACTTTAAAAAATCTAACTTTATCTTAAATTTTAAATTGATTTTGAAATATTTTTTAATTAATTAATGTATAAATAAAATATTTAAGGTAATTAATTTATATTGAATGGTAATATAAAAAGTAAAATTATAGTAAATAAGTTTCAACTAATAATTTTATAAAACTTTTTTGTTTTCATAATACTTAAAAAATTTAAAAGGTAAACTTTTGTTTATTTAATTATAGTTTTTGAAAAGAAAATAAAAATGTTTTTTTAGAACTTTGTAATTATTTTTTTTAAAAAAACTAACTTTTTTATGAGAATAATAACCGAAAATTCTATTAAATTAAGTTGCTATTACAATTAAAATATAAAATATGATAATGTAACTTTATATTCCACACATTCCTTTTTTTTTCTAGATAATTTACTTTTCTATATTCATTCAGATTTTATTTTGTATTTGATTAAGCAACAAATAAGCTTGATATAATAATAATCTCTTAATACAAAAAAATAAATAATAAATTAATTTTTTATAAATTTAAAAAAATTTAGAATATTAAAACATATTTAAGATATTTAACATCATAATATTCTAGCCGATATGGGATGTGGTTCATCAAATATTATTATTCCTGTTCATAGTTTTTCGCTTAGTGGAAAAAATGTTAAGGAACAAAATAATTTAAAAAGCAAAATTGTAGTATCTGAAAACGGAATAGTTCCAGTTTATTTTGTAAAAGACTCTGTAGTAGTGAATTATCTTAATAAAGAGATAGCGTATCGCCTGAAGGAGGCATCTGCAATACCTAAAAACTAGGAATCTGAGTTTATAGATTTAAGATCGATTGATGATTATTCTAAATCGCATATAATTCTATTTATGAATATGGATGCAAATAAAGAATAAGCTCTTAATTCTAGTGATTAAACTTTGAAAATTTTATTCGATTTTAAAGATGTGTTTTTCATCACAGATGAGAATGATTAGCAGAGCCTAGTTCCTGCTAATTCTATGATTTAATTTGGCTCTTACTCCTCATTTGATGAATCTAGGCTTGTAGCTTCAGCATAATTAAAGCAAAACCAACAAAATATCCGTATTACTTAAAGAATAAAATCAGTAATCAAGCTTTTTAACTCTAAAAGTGTAAAAGCAAAAAGTTTTAATATTATTCAAAGCAATTTTTCTTAATTCTAAGCTAGTTACCCAAACTATGTCATTCAAAACTAATCTGCAAAAAAAGCTATTTAAAACGAATAATAACAATAACAGAAGCAAGAAGATAGTTAAAATGCAGAAAATAACTTTGTTGGTGAAAATGAAATATTTTAACAAACTATTTTTACCAAGCTTTAACTTCCTTTATTTATTTATAATCATAAGGATTTTATTGAGAGCAATGATTAAGGAAATAAGATATCAACAAATAAACCTTGCAAAATATTTTTATAATCATTAAATCAATTTTAAAATAATGTAAAATCTAGAGAAGGATAGATATTTTATTTGGACTAGTTAAAAATAAATTCTGTTTGCATATCTAACTAAACTATTTCTTAATAAGAAATTTAGGAAATAGAAAGCACTTTTTTAAATGTTTAAGCTAAACACTTTAGTTTGAAATAAAATAAAGATAATCAGATTTAAATGATGAAGTTTCTTCATAGTAGCATTGAAAGTGGTTTGAACACATTAATTTTAAGAGAAAACAATAAAGAAAACTTTATTGAAGTAATCACAGTAATTAAAGGTTTGATGTATGAAAAATACTAAATATATTCAACTTAAATATAAGAGTATTTAGCTGTTAGTATTCCTAAAAGTATAGCCTATTAGGTTAATAATACTTTATCAATAGCAGTAAATGTAGGAGATAGATCTGCTATTTAAAAGAACTAATCTGCTGAAGTAAGCAATAAATAGATGGATAAAGCTGAAATGAATAGATGTTAACAGCTTACAGAATTAATTGTGCAAATTTTTAAAAATAATAAAAAAACTAAAGAAAAATCAGATAATTTTGCAGATTTATTTGGAAAACTCTTTGAAAATATCATCAGAAATCCAACTGAGGAAAAGTATAGGAACATAAAAAAGGAAAATAAAATCATAAAGGAGTCAATTTTAAATTACAAATAATCTTCTTAAATTTTAGCAATTTGTGGATTTTTTGATAAAGGTGACTCTTTCCAAAATTAGTTATCAACAACAGATATTACTATAATTAAAGGAGATTTCGACCTAGCTATAAAAAATGCCTATAAGGAAGTTTATAATTGAGTTCATAAATAAAACTATTTATATATAATGTTTAATTTTGTGTAAAAATTAAAAACTAAATAACAAAAATAAATAAACTTACTTAAAATTAGTTAAAATAATATTTTAAATTTTCTCAAATATTTATTAATAATTTATTTATTTTCTTACTCGAAATAAAAATTATTTTTTTTAAACAATTTAATTTATAAGGAAAATATTTAAAAATTTTTATCTTTCTAAATGAATTATTTCTTTTAACTAAGTTAATTCTTTTTAAAAGAGTTCAGAGATTAATCTCTTTTTATCGTTGTAATGTCTATTAGTAGCAATATAATTGTTTCTTCTACCTAGAGAAATATTTATTTATATATTATTTCATCTTAATTCATTGATTAAAAATATTAATTTTTGCTTTAAAAAGTGTATCTTTGATTTATTTGATAACTAAATAACTTACAAAATTAGCAATAAAATGGCAAAAAGAGAAAGAAATTAAAACCAAGATACTTTTATTCCATCTGCTAAGCTCAACGAGAAGCAAGGCATGGCAGATAAAGGTACCTGATTTATATTATTACCATTTTTAAATATTCTTATCAACTAATGAATAAATGTTATAATTAATATTACTATCTGAATTATATTTAAGCCTTAAATTTATAAAATAGAATACCAATAGTTCACTTAAGGACTTGTGTAAATCGGAGAAGATTTAGATGAAAGTGTCATTAAAAGAAGTTAAGTTTTATAAGCTGACTTATAATAAAAGGAATAATAAACTAGAGCAAAATGTAAAAATAATATAATTAAATATCATGTTTCATTACATTTAAATGAGAATTGATAATTGCAAATCCTCATATAACTCTTTTTAAAATAGAATAATTATAATGAATTTAAATTCTTTTTTTATATTTTTAGCAGGAGAAAAGAAAAAATTCAAAGTCAATCCAAATTTGAAGAAACAAATTGATCCTGAAGTGATTAAATAGTAATTAAAAGAAGAATAAGAGGCATTAAAAAAATAACAAAGTGAATAAGATTAAGAAGTTGATACTTTAGTAACACAAAAAGGGTATTCATTTGCAAGAATTAAAAAAATATTTTAATTTATTAAATAAACAAATAAATCAATTAATTAATTAATTTTAGTTCTTCGTTCTTTGGGATTGAAAAAGCCTAACCTGTAACAACAAAGAGAAAGGGATTTCATGGCGCAAGAATATCTAAGGAAGAAAGTAAATAATTTAAATAAGTGATTAAATAAAAATACTAATGTTAATATAATATGATAGTTGGAGATATTTAAAATTAAGATGATGGAGCAACTGAACTAAAGAATTACGAAACGAAATAAGTAAAAAAATTAGGTTTATGTTTATATTTTAAATGCAAGTTATTATCGTAGGTAGTAGAAGGAACTATAGAAGAGGAAGATTTGGCTAATACACATAAGCCTGATAATATGTTTGAGCCTACTAAATTACCATTTTAGTTAATAAGCTAGGATAATAAAAATGATGAAAAAGCTAAACACGAAATTTTAGATAGTAAAAAGTTCAATATGTTGTAATTTCCCTCTTAGTTTGTCTATAAGCTACCCCAAAATGCTAAAACCAAACTTAAATTAAAGAAATTAGATGTTGAAAAGCTTCATGAGTTAAAAGAAATTTTAAGTTTTAATGCTCAAAAACCATATGATTCTGCTGGTAACTCCATTAAGTACAATTATAATACAATTGACTATTTTGCTTAGAAAGACCCAAAGAAAGAATAAGGATTTAATATGGGAAAATTGAGAATATACAGTGATGGATCTGTTTAGTTTATCTGTGGTTAAAATATTTTTGATGTGACAGAAGGTGTACAAAATAATTGTAAATAATAATTTGTAGCAATCGATTAAGCAAAGCATCTTTTTGAAAATCCAACTATTTTTAATGTAGATAATATCAATAAAAAGTTTGTAATTTAGCCAAATATAAACGAACTCTATAAAAAATGAAAACTAATTCAATAAATGGATATAAAGTAAATAAAACAAAACAAACTCTTATTGTTGTTCTTAATTTAAGTAATAAATTTCAAGTATTTATTTATGTCAATATAAATTATTTCAGATTCTAATAATTATTTTAAATATTTTTTTAAAACAAAATATTTTTAAAAATAATCTCAAACAAAATTTTTTTTATAATATCCTCGAACAAAATATTTTAAATAATAATTTAAGATAATTAAATGTGAAATTATATTTTTAGAAAGATTATAAAGAGTTTATTTAGACTTTTGCTTCTTTTTTTTTTGGATTCTTTCAAATTACTTTAGTGAGAGAATTATATTTTAAATATAATTTAATAAAATGAGTAAAATAATTTTTATATAAGATGTTTTTTTATATTTGTGAATTTATTTTATTTCTAAAATTTAAAGAAATTATTTTATTAATATGCATACAAATTAAATCAGGAGCTGAAATAAAGAATTTAAATAATTTCCTTTTTATCTAATCATCTATTTAAATTTTTAATTTTATTTAACAATAATTTAATTTTACTTTCATTATTTAAACAAAAATTAAACTTTATTTCCCAGATGGGGATACATACAATGAAGTCTAATTATGAAAATTTATTTAAATTTTTTGATTAAAAGACAGAAATTATATTGACTGCGATGCACAGAATTACAGAATGGATTGTTAGTTAAAATAGATTGAAAAATGTTTATTTATTAGGATTAATAAGAGAGGAGATTTTCTTATTTTCTTTTTTAATTGGGGTAAAACTCATTGATATCAAACTAAATAGTTAAGATTCATATAAAAGCTGAAGTTTCAAATAAATTAAGTGATGTGATTGATTATTTGCTTCTTAATAGTTTTGATTAGATTATTTTTTAATTAAAATAAGGGGCGAAAATAAATAAGTATTAAAATTAATCATTCTAGCGCGATTACTAATAGAAGGTAAGTGATATGGCGCAAAAGTATTTTTTTTTTACAAACAAAGGATAAGAAAATGATTCTAAAATATTTGGATAACAACAAAAAAAATGAAGACAATAATTTTTAAGTAAAAATGGTTCAGCAAGCAGAAAATGAAATTTTTATGTTTTTTTTCATTATGGTGGATGACTAAGTATAATGATAAAAAGTAGACATTGTGTCCGAGTTAGATCGCATCGTCTACAAGGTAGTTGAGTGAGTAACTAGGTGATAAGAAAGATTTTTATTGCTTATTTGTTGAACTTTATTATTGGTTAGCATAAGTCGAAAGACTTTTATTAATTTTGAAATCTTTCAAACCTTTTATTTTATTATTATTATTTTTTTGAAAAGTAAGTTTTTTTGATTTTTAGAGGGTATTTTGATATAATTCTAATCAAATTTATAAGGGGGAAAATCAAAAGAATTTTGAATCATCTTTATAAATTAATTAAATGATGAGGAAAGAGTTTATAAATATAGGGTAATATAAAAAGAGTCAATTAATTGTTTAATGTATATATAAAATGCATTTCGATCAAATAAAAGCTTTGCATTTCTAAGACACCTCAAACAAAGTTAAAAGGGCAATCCTGCTCCAAAAAAGCTTGAAATCTTTAAAGGAATGCATACTGCACAGTATCAGATCAATGCAATTTTGTAAGTGCACTTATTTATTTATTTAGTCTGGATCATAAAACAATTAATTTCTTTGCTTCTGTATGAATGATTTGTCTTGTTTTATTTTGTTTGTATTGATTTGATTTATTAATTAAATAATTTGTTTGTTTGTTTGTTTGTTTTCCCCATCTCTTTCTCTGATTGAATATTAAATATAAAGCAATCATATATGTAGTGCATATATATAATCTTAATAAAGAAAATACATTAATAAATAAAAGAAAAGTTAAAAAGTAAAAAAACTAAAAACAATTAAAAGCAAAGCTCATTCATAGATCTATAATAATAAGAAGAAATAAATAAGATTAAGAAGAAGAGAAAAAGAGGAAGAAGTCCAAGAAAGAAAGAAACAATTCTGAATCTAAAGAGACAATAAATAGCACAAATAAGACAATAAATTATTTAGAATAATCATTATAAATAAAAGGTTAAGAATAGTTAAAATTTAAAAGAATCGCAATTTAAAATAAGGAAAACATTACTTCGATATCAAGTATTATCCATCAGCTAAACTTTTAAAATTGGAATAACGACGTTTGAGGGGTCTAAATAAGAATTGAAATAGTGTCTAAAAGCATACTGATATAACCTCTAAGCTATTAATTAAGACTTAGAAATTATGTAGGAAGAAGAAATTATTATGACAAAACACGTAAGCTCAAAAGGCAGAGTGTTTTTTGATAATCAGAACATGGTTAAACAGCGTCTATATTTTTTGATTATCCAGTACTTATAGCAAGACGAATATTTTGATAGAAGGCTACTAGAGCAGATTAAAGGCTACGCTGAAGCAAATCATTTATTGGGCTAGCTACTGGCATTTGATGGAAGCCACGTAGATGCAACATTTGATGAGTTAAATTTCTAATAAAAAGGAAGTAGTTGTCATTCTGCACTCTTTTCAAAGGATGAAAATCTTAATACAATCTTATCTATTTATTAGCGCTTTAGTGCATAGCGCGTAAAAAACTAAAATAAAGGTATACAGAATTTGTTTATTTAAAAGATGACCAAGCTTTCTTAAATGCTCAATGAGCCTGCAATGTATATTTAACCAGCTAGAGACTTGTTTATTAAGAAAAAGAGATAAGGTAAGAGCCTTAAAAATACTGATGAGTTATCCAACGATACATTTATCTTGAGGTTTTAGCATTTAAAAACATGTTTTGGTCATGCATATTCTGCTGACTCAGGCTCTATAAATGAGGAGAGTGGTGAACCTTACATTCCAATATACAATACAACATTCGATAAGAGCGGACGCCTAGTTATAACTGCAGACGAAGAAGGATTAATTAAGATTTGGAGTGCTGAGAACGGATTACTTTTGTCAAATTTAAAAGGTCATACTAGCGGAATTTTGAGCAACGATATATCTCCTTGCAATAAGTATTTAGTAACTTGCTCTATAGATTTAACAGCAAGAGTTTGGGATATCTTTAATTAAAGGTGTCTTACTTGTTTTAAATCAAAAGAATAATTAAATGCTGTTGTTTTCTATAAATATCAAAATGAATTTACTGAATAACTCTACCTATTGATGATGAGCAATGTTGGAAATATTCTTATGTAAATATTTAAACATCATTTTTATTTTAATCTTTCCCTATTTTTTCAATATTTTTCCAGTGATTTTTCCTCTTCAAAAACTAAAAAAATGACCTGGATCCCAAAATATTTGATCTTAATCAGCCATTTTAATTTAGAATTTAGTTTGTTTAATTCTACTTTTTGATTAGCACTTCTATGCCAGCTTCAGAAAATTTAGATTTATTTCAAAATACACAATTCAATTTAAACAATCAAATATTAATGAACGGATAGAAATTTATTAGTATTGATTGCAATTTGCCCGCAGCGCAGTAAAAAATCAAATTTATGAATAAAAAAAAAGAAAATATTAATTTAGTTAGTTATTATTTATTTCTAAAGAATTAAATTAAGGATTTTGGTTGGTTGGTTATTAAAAAAGATTAATTGATTCATATCTATATTTCAAAAATCAAAATTTGTTTTTAAAAATAATATTAATCAAAAATATAGATACAAAGAAGATTAATTCAAAGAAAATGGAGGTGGTATAAATTAAAATTTGCAGCCAGTTATCACTCTCGCAATGAGAAAGCACAAAAAAATGCAAGAATCTAAGATAGTTGATAACGATAATAAGAATGAAGCTGTTTGCATAGAGACTCACCCATCTGGTTACTTAGTTGTCGGCACTGAAACAGGAGAAATTTTAGTTTGGGAAAAGATACACACCCTCGAAAATAGAAATCGCTAAGTTCTTCCATTCATAGAAAAGAAAGAACATTCTAAGAATTGCTAGCTGATAAAATTCTCACCCAACGGAGAGTTCATGATCACTGCTTCTTTCGATGGATATGCAAAAATATGGCCTTGGAAAAAGCTGATAGAAAACGATAAAAGACTCAGTGATTAAATCTTCTCAATTTATTTTGACAACTCCAACAAGGTAGAATTATTAGATTTTCATCTTTAATCTTCGTCTTTATTTTTATGCGCCAATAATTAACAATTCAAGTTAAATAAAGATTTTTATATCATTTATCAAATATAACAAAAGAGAGTTTTAATTAAAACTAACAAACTAACTAACAGCTAGTTTATCACTCTTTGTTTTCAAAATTTAATTAATTTCATTTTCATCAAACATTTATTTGACTCATTTATTATTTTTCATAATGAAGGAAGATATGATTATAATAATGATGTCTTCTACTCAATTTTTTCAACAAATTATTTCTACTTTTGATGCTTTTGTTTATGTTTTACTTAATTTTATAATTTTTTTAAAAAGTGCGAAAAAAACTGCTGGAATGTAGCATTCAGTTGCAAGAATAGATATGCATTCGCTACCTTTACCAGAAAAATGAAGAGGACAAAAGAAGTAGAAACAGTTGTTTATGTACATGAACTAGCTGAAAAGAAAATCAAGCATGAGTTTACTCAACAAAATACACCCGCAAGACTTTAAGATCATATTTTAGTTTTTGAACCCCATCCAACATAAGAAAATATCCTCTTAACAGCAGATTACGCAGGTCAAATTATCATCTATGATGTCTCTTTAGGATGTATTTTGAATATATTCTAAGAAAGGGGATACCATATTGGATATCCTAATCTTGAAGTACCCGTTTTAGATGGTAATCTTTTGTTTAATTAAAAAAGAAATATTAAATTTTTAAATTAATTTTGGTCTTTTATTTTTGATTTATTTATTTAAATGATCAGTAATAAATAAAATTGCATTTTAAATTTTCTAAAAATCAATCCTATCTACTGCTTTTTTCTTTGCTCTAAAATAAATAAACATTAAAACTAGTAATAATTAGCAAATAAACACTAAAAGAGCAAAAATAAAATTTATCAGTTACGAACATTTACTTGTTAATTTAATTTTACCGCAAGTGAGTTAGTTTATTTTTTTTTAAGTAGAAATGATTGATGGATTAAATATAAATTTTTTTATTAGAATAATTAATTATTCGGTTTCTATTGTTGGATAAAATATTTTTCAAAATTAATAAAAAAAATTATTTTTTAAAATAAATAATTAGGTTGTTGGGCACCAGATGGATTAAAATTCGTCGCAAGTACTTACTATGGCTCTTTTAGCTTGTATGGATATGATTGCGCAGAAATATATAAGACTACTCCTACAGAATAATTCTTTGCTAATGACACAGAGATATTTATATATAGTGATAATCATGTACCACTGTCTACAGATGATGATGTAGAAATTAATACTAAAAGTAGAGGAAAAATTTGTGATTATTAGAGAATCCCATATAGATTTGAATATAATAATGATCTCAAAAAATTAAAAGATAGAGGCTATTTTGAAGAAACATCAGAAATGGCTTTAAAGTTGATAGAAGATAAAATATCTGAATTAAAAATATTAGAAAATGAATAAAAAGAAAAAGATGAAAACTTTTCAGAAAATTTAGTTGAAAAATATTTAAAAAACTAAGAAAAAGAGAAACATGCTTATTTTGCTTTATGTAATTAATTGAGAGACTCCTATAACAATGCAAATGCAACTATGGAAGGAAGCATGAGAGTTGATTATAATGAAAGAATGGAAATTCTGAAAAAAATGTCAAAAGAAATGCAAAAAAGACACTCTTTAGATATTAAGAAAACTGAAACTAAAACTGATGAAGATTTGTTTTAATAAGTTATTTAGCAATCGCAACCTAGAATTCTACAAGAAAGATAAATTTCTGATCCTGCTCCTGCTCCTCTTCTTAGATAAGAAAGTGAATAGGCTACTCTTATATAGTAAAGAAATAATAATAGAAGAAGAGTCATAGACGATGAAGACTTGGATCAAGGACGCTCAAATACAATACCATTTGGGAATTAATAACTAAGTAGAAGGCCTAGCTAAATGCCTTAACCAGCTGCTTTAAATAATTAAAATTCAAGAACTGGATAGCGCGGAAGAGGAAGAAGACCAGGTGGTAGATAGAGTAATACTAATTAGGTTGGATTCAATGATGACTTTGAAGACTCTATGCAATCTGAGGAAGAGGTAAAATTTTTAAAATTCAAATAATATCTTTAAACAATAAATAATAATTAAAGATACCGAGTTAAGATGATAGTGAGGTAAATTTCAAAGACATAAATGAAGATGATGATGAAATTTAAAAAGATTTACTTGAAGAAATGGAGATGTTTGATGATCCTTTGCCTAGAAGAACTGGGGGAGGGTTCGAAAGTAATGACAGAAGAAACTAATCTAATAATAGAAATAGATCAAGAGGAGGAAGGAGAATCGTGGCTGATGACTATTTAGATGAAGAGGAAGAAGAGAAAAAGGATTCTTCAAATTAGAGAAGAACACGCTTGAAAAGATTTTCTAATACGACTTCAAATGAAACAAGAGCACAAACCATAAGCCAGTAATAAACAGAAGGATAGCAGCGCTAAGGTACATTAAGATATAATAGGAATACGAGAAGTAGTTATAGTATGTAGTATACTACTGGAGAAGATGCTACTCTCTAATCTAATGCAGGATATAATAGCAGCTAAGATTATGAAGGTAACACAAACACAAGATTGAGAAGGAGAAATCAACACATCATCGAAGAGGACAATGATGATTTATACTTAGACAATAATACTAATAGCAATAACCATCATTCTTTGAGATAGAATAACTCTTCTCATTTATAATAATCTCATAATTTGGCTGAAACAAGAGCTAATGCACATCAAACTAGAAGCTCAACTGCGACATATTAAGATTCACAAAATAATACAAAGACTCTCAGAGCTTCATCAAGAAATAAAAAGAGCAAGAAAAATAGATAATATAATGACGGCTTTAACAGCAACGATAGTGAGTCTGAAGATAGGTTTTCAGATGAAATCATGGAAGAAGATGACGATGAAGTTGATATTAATTATGAGGACGAGGATGATTATGAATATAAGTTGAGGAAACCAAAAAAATCAGTAGGCGGTGCTTAATCTTTATCATAAAATAACTAAAATTCAAGATAGAGTGGTCGTTCGCTTCGTACTTCATACACAAACAGAAAAAAAATTTAAGATTCTGATGAAGAAGAAGATGAATTACCAAAGTAAAAAAACAGAAGCAGTAAAAAGAATGGTATTGTTAATGACGAGGATGATAACCAAGTTTAAAATGAGCATAAAAACATAGAGAAGCATAAAATCTATGATAATGATGAAGATGAAGAAATAGATGACTTTGATGAAGAGGACGAAGAATACACTGACAAGAAGAAGAAAAATTACTTGAAAAAAAGAACTTCATCAGAAGCTGGTATTAAGAAAAGTGGTTAAAGTAGTAATAAATTAGTTAAAAAAATAAAAACTAACGACTCTGATGCGCTTAATGAAGATATGGCATCAATGCCTGAAGATAAAAAATCTCTTTGCTAAAGATGTGAGCAAATTATTGAGGGAGAAGCAAAATCTTGCAATATTTGCAAACATGCTTACCATGATGAGTATTGCAGTAAATATAGAGGATGTTTGAAAGATAAAAAGTACTTTTGTTTTGACTGTTATGCTAATAATAACACAGTACGTATACAGAAAGACGAATAAGATAAAAGAACTTTCAGCAGAGAGTACCTAGAAAGAGAAACAAACGATCCTTACCAATATATTCCATAAATAAATGACATGTGTTATTACATCTTCTAGGCTCATGAAGAGTACTGTGAAAAATATTTCGAAATCTTTGATTACGAACCATTGATTGACAGACTATAAAAAGAAAATGAAAAATCTCTTTAAAATGGAAATAATAAGTCTACAAAAAAAAGTATCCAAAGGTCCTCTAAATTGATAGACAGTGGTGATGAATTTCAAGGAGATGAGCATTCTTCTAACTTTTAAAAGAAAGGTTAGACATCTTAAGCTTAAGATTATCATATTCTACCATTTTTAAGTTACAAAGAGCTCTATAAGCCAACCTTATGTCAAATAAGCTCTATCGAATACTCCTATCCTATGTTAAGCACAAAAAAGATGCAAGAAAAATATAGAGAAAGACCTATATTCTTACTTATTCAGCTCAAAATTTTAGAAACAGGAGAAGAATTCTCAGTTTATTTTTCAAATTCTTAAGTTTAATGTGGAAGTTTCTTGATTCCTTAGGAATTATATGATTAGTCAATTTGCTTCTAAGAAAACCTTAAGGTACCTCAGTAATTAGAATTCTTTTACCATAATTAAGTATTCAGCGGTTAAGTGGTTGAAGTGTCACCAAAAGAAGAATATTAAAAGGTAATTAATTAATTATTTCATTAATTAAAATATATTTCAAAATAATTTATTTTATAATAGTTGAATTCTGAGTACTTGAAGCTTAAAGTCAAATTAGATACAACAGATGAAAAAATTATACAAAAGTTAAAATAAAATTTAGAAGGGCCTAATATGATTAGAATCTCTTGCTGGGATGTCATATATCCAATCAGAAGAACATCCTCTCCTGATGACTATCCAAACGATGACGCATGTCTTTCTAAGGAAGAAACAGAATAAATTTTTAAGCTAATTTAAGCAGTAATTGATAATCAAAGTGAAATAACTTGCTATTTTGAAGAAGCTGTCAACTTAAAGAAATATAAACATTATTATGAATTTGTTGAATTCCCAATGGATATTTCAAAAATTAGAAGAAGACTATTAAACGGATACTATCGTTCTCAACAAAGCATATTTCATGATATAAACTTGATAGATTCGAATGCTCATAAATTTAATAATCCTGATAGTCCTATCTGTGAGAGTTCGAAGAGAGTTAAAGAAATATTAACTTCGATTGTAAGCAATTTCCTAAACGTAGAAATGTGTTTATCTCTAGCAATAAAAAATAAAAAAAATCTAATAAAAACTATTTAAACTCTGTTCCCCAACTACAATACTAACTCCAACTAAAACAATTTATCAATAAATAATAATAACATTTAAATAAAGATTCCTTAATAATCTTAATAAAGTTTAATACCTGTACCAATAGAAAAACCTCACGCTCTAATTAACAATCCTCTACTTTAGGCAGAACAATATTAATAAAAATATCCTAACTCTCAAGTAGCATATAATGCAATCCAACAATAAAAACCTCAACAAAATTATAATTAAATTAACAATAATTTTAATCAATAAAATTAATAATACCAGTATAATAATTCCGCATATCAAAATAACTCTAACAGTAATGATACTTATTTTAACCAACAAAATGCTAATTAAAATGGTTAACCTTATGCAGTTACTGGTTTAATAAACGAACCTAGCAACTAATACTTTAATAATCAACAGAGCTAGATTAATTAAGATTTGAATTATAATTCTTAGTTATACGAACCCATTAATAATGCAGATAATAATTATAGTTAAACTAATTATAATTATGAGGCAAATTAAGGATATGATATAAACTAAAATGTGAATTAAGATTACTAATTAAACGAATTCTAATCTTAAAATTTAGGATAGCAAAATGTTTAATAAAATATTCCTAATTTACAATCACAGTAACAACAAAGAACTACTAGGAGTGGAAGATTAACTAGAAATTCCTCAAAGTTCGACTATGATTAAATAGATTAAAGAAAAAATTGAGCAGCAATTAATACAATAAATATGAAAGATAAAAATAATAAAGTCTACCTATCAAACTTCCAACCTCACCAATTTATTTAAAATCAAACTAACATTTTAACATTGTACATTACAAATATTTTAAACTAACTATATAGAATATGAAGAATAAAATCATATTTTTAATTTATAGATTCTGATATAAAATAATTAAAATAATAGCTATATAAAGATGATTTTTATACATATAATTTGTGTATCTTTTATGCTTACATAAGTTATTTATTCTTCTTAATTTATACTTTCAATCTTTAATCGAATATCATATATAACTAGATAATGTTTCTACGAAATATTTTTCTTCAGTTTTATTTAATTAATTTGAAACTTTTTAAAGTTATAATATTTTTGAAATTCATCTCTAACATACACAATTTTTACAAACCTTAAAAAAAATTAATGAGTTTAATTGAGAAAATTATAATATAATTATAAATATAAAATACATTAAATGGGTAATTTAATTTTTTTATTCACTAAATAGTTTTAGTAAAAATCATTAATTTGTAAATATTCTTGTTAAAAAAAATCAAATAGTTTAAAAAAATTTTATAAGGAAAAAATTTCAATTTCAAAGAAAAATGAATGGAAAAGTAAATATTTCACAATGAATTTTCTAAATTTATAATGGTAAATTGCAATTAAAATATAGAAATGCATAAATTAATTTACATAGGAATAAATTTTTTATTTATATTAAAGCTCATATTTACAATATATTATTTAAATTTTATATTTTATCTCCTTTAATGTTTTGAGTATTAATCATATAAATATTTAATTAAATCATTTCATATAATTTCCTCTTAATACTTTATTAGGTCCAGAATCCAAATTTTTTTATTGTGGACTTGAATCAACATTATTTGGTACACTTTAATATTATTTCTTTTTATCAAGTATATTGATTGCATGATCTTTAAAAGACTAATAGTTATAGAGCTAGTTATCATTTAAAAATGAGGGATTGTTTTCATCTGTCTCTTAATTATTGGTTATAGGGATGTTTGGTTGCTATTCGACCTATAAATTTAAAAGGAGCTTTAAATTAATAACTAAATTATAAAATACCTATTTTTTAGCACTAAAGTCTTTCTCAGGGATACCTTCAATTAATAAAGCACTAGTGTATGCATTACTTAATCCATTTTTCTTGGCAATATATTTAAGCAGTTCCATGATATATGTTTCTAAATCAGCTATTTTAAGTGATTATAAAAAATTATTAACTAAAGCTTTATTATATTAATTTACATAAGTATAAATCAACTGTGCCTTCGTTAAGCAAAATACCATTTTAATACTCAAATAGCTTATATGGGAATTAAGTATTAAATTTACTTTCTGCTAACCCTAATAGCATTTACTTTAATAATAATAAAATTAAAGTTAAACAGTATTTAAAAAATAATAATTACTTCCAAGTAAGGGAAAACCTCATCAAGCAGTTACTAAAACTAGGTGATAGGAATCTATTTGGTTTATAAAATAGCAGAAATTTTAGCTTTTAATTTATCTTCATCTGGAACACCATTTAATATTTATTATCTAATAGAATTTTCTTTTTCTTAATCTGAAATTTTCCTTTCAATATCCTTAGTTACATCTTCTAAGTTATCAATTTATTAGTTTAAGAGATCACTATAAGTTAATCTTTAGTAGATATTAAAATTATATATATATAATAGTATATTACAAAATAATTTTTACAGTTGGTGATTTTATTCTTCAGACTTTATGAATGTGTTTTATATTTCTACAATATCTGTCATACCAGTTTGTTCTTTAATTTAATTAAAACCATCATCTATAATAGTTAGATTTCTCATATAATCATCTAGGATTCTTACTTTATTTTTATTTCTCTAAAATATTTATTTAAATACGAGCTAATTTTAATAAACTAATTATTACAAATATTATTTTTTTCAATCTGTTCTTTAGCACTGAAAGTGTGTCATGGTTTTCGTACATATTATCATCTTCTTTAAATAATTTATTATGGGTTTATTCTTTATCTAGTACCAGTTTTTTCTTTAAAAATGTTTCCTAATTTTAAATTTATTTAAAAAAAAATTAATTTGACAATTTCATTAAATAAAGTATTTTATATTTACTTTCATAGTATTGAATTGAGATTCATAGTTACTAAGTTCTTAATTCTTTGCCTCTTTTAATTCTAGCAATTTAATCTATCTATCAACTTTTGTAAAATAGAAGAGTTTTAGTAATTGAGATATAATTATTGTCTGAAATGCTATTTACCATCTTCTTCTCTTCTTGCCTCGTTTATTTTATTTAAAGTTTCGACTTCTTTTGAGTAATTTTCTAATTCTTGTTCAGCTTGCACATATTCTTCTAAAAATGATGCTCTTTCTCTCCTTAATTTATTTATCTACATTTTTACCAGGTTAATTTCATCAAGAAGTGTGTTATATTGCTTTTTATGCTATTTTTTAACCAAAAATTAAGACATCCTCCTAACTCATATTATCAATTTACATTTTCACAAGATTTACGTAGGTTTGATAACGCTGCAGAAGTCTTTCTATTTACTGATTTTTCAGTTATCAATTTCAACTATCTAATTCTTGTTTTTCTATTTTCAATGTCTTTTTTAAGCTCATCAAGTGCTTACTGAGTTCCATATGCCCTCCTTATAAAATAAATTTAAATTTTCATAAATAAATATTAATTAAAAAGGATAAGCTTCTTTATTTCATATAAAGAAAAAGTAAATATATTTAAATTGCAAACATCTTTTAATAAAATTTATATTCAACTTACTTTCTTTCGAACTCAAGCTTACGAGTATACTAATCTATATCTTTTTATGTTAAGTTGACGCTAGTTTCGATTAAACTTGTATCCTTTTGATAATTTTATTAACTAAATGATCTTCTGTTTCGTGACATCCTTTAAAAATGAAGATGCTAATAAACACTTAATTTTCACTAATAAATATAAATTTGATTTTTAATACTTTTTAATAGAATCAAATTTTTAATTTGTTAATAAATGATTCAAATTTTAAGTAAATATTATCAGGATTGTATTTTAATTTGATTTTTAACAAGCAAAAGTTAATCAAATAATTTTTTGTTTTCAAAAATAAATGTTTCTGTCCATACATTTACTATATATTTTTTTACACAAAAAACAATTATACTCTTTCTAGTATCCTCATTCTTTTAATCATATAAATCAGTTATAAATATATTTATACAGATCATTAATTATATCACAAAATAGTAAATATTTATTTCAATATAATTAATATAAAAAAAATTTATTTCAAACTAAAAACTAATAAAATTACAATAAGACTCTTTTTTTATTTTGTTGATAATAGATTTATTATTAGTAAAAACTATTTGTTATTAATGATGTGTTTAATTTATTTATTTGTTTGACAGATTGATTTTTTGTTATTTTATTTGAATAATATTTTTCTTTTTTTTCTTGATATTGATAAATGAATGAAATAGATTCAGATAGTGATTAATAAAAATATGGGCTGTGAGTGCTAGTAAAATATATTATTTGGGATAACAATTCAGTGATATAGAACAATTAAATAAATAAAAGGTGAAAGAAATGAATCTTAATTGAATTACACAAGAATACTCAAAGATAAACTTTAAATAATCAGTAATTTAGTTAATTTAATTTAACATTCTATACAAAAGTAAATATTAAGCAAATAGTACTTTAAAGCGATTTCTAGTTAAAAACAGAAGAATAATTATCATTCAGGTCTCATTTATATTTTAAAATAAAGAAGTCTTTAAATAAGCAAACAAGCTACTTCTTGTAGCAGATATATATATTATTTGATAATACTCTGGCATGAGTGAATTAGCAAATCATCTTAGTTAAAAATTGCAAGTATTTTCTTTAATTTTAAAAAATAGCAACATTATATTACTGCAAAGTACTTTTAATAATTTTATAAATGATAAATATTATAAGTATTCGAAAGCGATTATTTTAAATTATTAGAATGTGAAGCAAAAGTTGTAGGAAAAATTTGAAGAAAAAACCGAATTTCTAAAGTCTTTAGAGTTAATTTAAAGATGTCCTTCTTGGTGTAGAAATGATATTGTGACTAAACTTCGTTCATGTATGGTTCTAAAAACGTATGCTAAAGATCAAATTGTTATGGATTCAAGTAAAAATATAATTTATAACTTGTTAATTTCATTTCAAAAATAAATGTACTTGGTTTTATATTAAATAGGTTTATCTACATTCAATTTGTATCTTATATATCATGGCGAAGTAGGATGTTATTTAGATGAAAAATATTTACAAAAAAAGCTAACATAAGGACAATCTTTTGGAGAGTTAGCATATACTTTTAATAGGGCAAGCAAGACATCTTTTAAATGCCATGACACTTGCTAAATATATGTAGTTATGAAATAAGATATTCCAACTATATTAAAGGATTTTGAAAGATAGAACCAGGCTAAACTTACAGCTTAAGTTTTTAAGTAATCTCCTTTTTTCTCAGATTGGGATTTAGGATCTGTAAGTTATTTATACTATCTTGGCTAAATGTAGAATTATGTTAGAAATTAGACTGTTTATTCTTAAAAGAGTGAAACAAATGGAATATATTTAATAGTTTAGGGTGAATTTTCAGTAATTTATTTATCATTTAATTATTTCTCCACTTTATACTTGAATCAACTAAGACTATTCATACTTTTCTAGTAGAACAGTTTTTTTTAGTAGAATATTATTTTATCAGCTTTAATATCTTTGATATAGCTATTAAACTGCTTTTCCCTTGAGCTATTGTTATTTTTTCTCTCATAAAAATATAATTTTATTAAAATGATTATAATTTTTAAATCTCATAAATAAGTTATTTGAAATCTAAAACTTACATATATTATAAAATATTAAGTATAGCATCAAAAAAAAGACTGAAAAGAAGTAAATCATGGTAAATCCTGAAGGAGAAATAGACTCAGATTAAGAAAAAATAGAATTAGAAAAAGAAGTTTTTGAATTAAGAACATAGCTTGTTTAGAAAACCTTTATTTCAAAAGTATAATTTTTATAAAAAATTGAACTCATGATAAAATATCTTTTATTTATTAAGATAAGTACTATGAGTGCAGGATAAATATTTGGAGAAGAAGAAGTTCTAAAAAAAATATGCAGGAAGTATAATACGACTTGCGATAGTGTTGATGGCATAGTTATTTACTTTAACTAATAAGTCTTTTGGAGTTTAATATATAATAATCCCTAATATAAGGCTATAGTTGATGACAAAGTAAAAAAGTAGGATATTGTCAAGTAAATGTAGATAAACTATATAAAATCATCTATGGATGACTATGATAATTATCTTTTAGGGAAATAGTATGCCTAAAATGGTTAAGAGTTATCTAAAATAGATTAATCCCAAGGGTAAACTTCAATTACTTTATAAAAGCACACTTCTAAGAATGGAAATAGCGAAGAAAAAAGTAAGAAAAAAAAATAATAAGAAAAAGATGATATCAAAATAGCTATAGAAAAAATTCCTTTGCTTGATTTAAAGAAGATAAACGATCAAGCTAAGTAATTTAATTAATATTCTTTTGATCCTTAAGGAGAGAAATTTAACAACCCATATGATTAAGATTAGGCTGAAAACGGGATGCAAAATGGAAATGTAACTAGTAAAAATATGCTGAAGATTTAAATGAGAACTAGTAGCACAATAAATAATTAATGCTAATTAGAATTCATAAAGATGGAAGGGTAAACTGTCTACATACCGAGTGGCGTATTGACATCTAAAGCAAATAGTAATACTAATCATTAAACTCACCACACCTTTAATAATAATTAAAATAATTAAGAAAGTCCCTTTAAACAAAAGTTTTAAGCAAACTCATAAGAAGATTTAGATAATCAGGTTGTATCACCTAGAATGTCTTAAAGAGAGAATAATAATAGTCCTCGATATTCAGAATAAACTCAAAAAAATAAATAAAATGTTTCTAATAATAATTTTATGCAACTTCCTATTACTTTAAATAATACACAACAGAATACTCCAACTAACGCTAATACTAACAATAACCAAAATTAATTGAATAATGGTAGCACCCACAAGAACAGTAACTCAAGCGAACTTTTTGATTTGATCATGTACCACAATTCTAAAAAATATAGTAAATAGTTTACGAGAATGAAGAAGTTAATTTAAGAAGGAGATAAAATGCAAGAAATGAATAAAAAAAAATATTCTCTCTAAAATTTATTTGGTACAGATAGGAGTACCCCTAAATCTGTTATATCTTAGATAGCAAATATACTTAAAGAGAGATCTTAAAATGGATAAATATAAAACATTCAAAATGCTCCTTTACTCATTTCTTAATTTTATACTAATTTTTAATAATAAAATAAAGAATAAAACTCTTAAAATAATTTTTAAATTAATCACTAAAGAAGTAGTAGCTAAGATAATTTAATTGAAGTATCAAGATAGTAAACACTCAATTTTTTAACTTCTAACTAAAAGTAAGAATAGGTTTCTAAATAAAACTCCCCTTAAAATATTGATATAAATCCTGGACAAGATAAATCTAAATAACTCTAGCCAAGCAGCTTTGCATAAGCAGTAATACAGCACTCATAAAAAAATTTTCAAGGTGTTTTATTGAATTAAAAAAAATAATTTATTCATAACGGAGAAGATTAAATTAATATCAATGTTATTGCATCAACACCTTAGTAAAACAATTATCAATCCTAAGAAATTTAAGAGAAATAATATAATCACTCTAATTCCAATTTAAATTAGCTTTTAAATACCTTAAAAAACAATAATAATGAGCAAAATCTAAAAAACTAAAAGTTATAAGACAAATAATAACAAAGTTCTCTAACATAACTTTAAGGTGAAGAAAATGATAGTTTCATTTCTGCTCAAAAAGATTAGAAAATTGAAAAGTTAACCTTAACAGAAAGATAATAAAAGTCTAAAACATCAAATAGCGGTTTTAGAATCAATAAAAGTCAACAATAAAAGTAAATAATTAATTTATAAAATAAAATACTGTAAGAGAAAGCAAATGGTGATGAAACATTAGAAAGTATTAATACAAGGACATATCACTTTGACAAAAACGCAAATCGTAAAATTAAAAGTTCAACTGGACTAAAAGTAGAAAAAGAAATATTTATTCATTAAAAATAAAATAATTCTTCAAACGATTAGCATTTATTAAACTAAAAAAAAAATAGTCTATGCTCTTCTGATCATCTTATGATCGAAATAGATTCAAATGTCAAGGTCACTCCTATAGAGTTTTATAATTAGAAAAAAACAAGTGTTACCAGTAACTTCATTGATAAGCCTCATTCCAAAGATTAGCACATATCATATTAACAAAATCATTCAAAATATAATTCTCTTTAACATTTTTCTCCTCCTCTTCCAAACTCTTAATCTATTATTAAAGAAACTCATAAAAATTTTACAAACTAAATAACATAAATGAAAGACGAAAACCATTAATCAGATAACCACTAATTACGAGGATAAGACTATATTCTACCAAAAAATTATTTAAAAAATTTAAGAATAAAATCTGATACCTCTTAGCTTTAAAAAATTTCAAAAAGTCCTTTAAGGATAGATCAAAACTTAAGCAATAGTAATTAATAATAAGAAAATTAGAAAAATATTATTTCATCTAGCTAATTGGTTAGCCCAAGACTTGTTTTAAAATAAACACGTCCTTTATATCATGACTCTAATAGTAATGATAGCAGCAAATAAAGATTTTCATAAAATAAAAATACAGTTAAAGTTCAAGAGTAGCTTCTATAGAAGCATGTCTAATCTACTTTTTAAATTCAAGATAATAAATAAATTACCTCTTTTATATAAAAAGTAATTGGCAGAGAAGATAAAAATAAATAATACATACCTTAATAATATATCATATCCTATACTTCTAATCAATAACAACAATAACAATAAAGTAACCAATTTTAATAGACAAAAAGTTTTACTGATTTACCTTACTTGTAGTAGCAAAAGCTACCAATATCAGCAAGACATTCTAGCACTTAAGATAAAAAATTTTACTTCTCAAAAGATAGTAACAAATTTAGACAGTCTTTGCATTTCGATCATATAAACAAAGAACCAATCAGCAAAAGTGATGATGTATAAATTAATTCTATTAAAGAAAAATCACCTAATTCTAGATAAAATTAAATTTGCGAAGATCTAGGATACAACTTTGTTAAAACTAAAATTTAGTGAATAACTAAAATAAAGACAATCTAATAAAACTCGTCAAACTTTAAATTTAAAATGAAATTTTTATAATTTTTAATAGCAAACAATTTAGTTATTTTATATTAAATTATATTTAATTTTTTATAGATTAAAATGAACTTACAAATTAATTTAATAAAATATTTATTTATGTATCATTAAAATAAAAAATAGCAAATTCATATTTTAAATAAATATACAAAAATATCAATTCTAGAATATTTTTAATTATCTTTTCAGTAAAATTTTTTTATTTATATTTATAAATCATAATTGATAAAAGTATCTAATGAAAGGCTCTATTTAATCTTGAACAGGTTATTCTTATTTGCCACTATTATTATATAAATTAAAGAAATAAATAAAATTTGTTTAATTCATTTTAGATTTTAATTACTTAATCACTTCTTTTAAGTTGCTGTATAGGAACTAATTCAAGTTATTTTCGAATTCAAACTATTTATAAAAATGTAATTAGCTTTAAAATATTGTTTCAATTAAAATTAATGTTTACTTCATCTCTGTAAGAGAAATCTGAGTTATATTTATTCTTTCTTTCTTCGTTTAGGCTAATAAAGTTGTATTTATTTTAGGTGATAAAACTGTCTAAATCTTCTTAGGTAAAGTTAGGGTTTTAGCTATTTTATTGCTTTAACAATTTAACAAGATGGTGATAAGCATATTTTTTAACTCTCATATCGTCAATAAATTTATTAGATTTATCGTATGAGAAAATTCTTTATTCAATATGGTTTGTTTTCTTGATTTGGAAAAACTCCATTTCGAAGATGTGCTTCAAGAAGAATAAATTGAGTTATTTAGCACATTATGCGTCAAGCTATTAATTTCCAAGGAATTCAAAGAAACGTTGAATGGTTACTTCAAACAAGAAAACATCTTCAGAGTTTTTGCTATGGGAATTAGAAAACAACTTTTTACAAAGGAAGTTACTCATCTTTTGTCTAACTTCTGGAACTTCATCTTATAGGAGTCTCAAAAATACGAAGCAAAAGTTTAAGAATACCTTAAAGTCTTCAACATTCTTAGAGGATTATAAAGTGACAACAAGTTTTTCCATGCAAATATTGAATGAAATAATTACTGCAATACGCAAATAATCCATTTAAGAAGCTGATGAGTATGTTAAACATAAATGTTCAAAATATTTAACATCGATACTTCCGTTATTAATGAGTAATCCTGTGAATTTAACTAACTATTTAACTAACAAACCATTAGAATTAAATTTCTTTTCTAAGATCTTTATTAAATCCCAGAAAGAGCTAAAATGTTTGGTATCTATCACATCAGACAAACCTAATCTAAACAAGATTTTCAATATATAAGTAATGCATTATGAGAAGAAATATTCATGTGAATTTTGATTTTTCAACACATCAATTAAAGATTCTATTAGCAATTATATTTTTTCTTTTGATTAGCTAAGACAAATGCTTTCTTCCTTCTTAAGACCGATGTAAAATTCTTTGAGAATTACCTAATAAATTTTTAATATTTATTTCTATAATTTTAGAATAATAAAATTTACTTTTAAGAATTCGTTATCTTCTTCTTTAAAGTAAGTAGGATTTTGCTTGTATGATTGCAAAACTTAAAGAAGATAATCTATGTGCAAATCAATACTCTTATTCTATTCATAGATAATTCTGTTTCCTATTTTTATGATTTTAAATAAAATAAAAATATTTAGCTAAATAAATTATAAAAATTACTCAAGATATATCTTAATAATTTCTTTCTTAAAACTGAATGACCCATATCATCTTGAATTCTCAATGTGCTTACTTTGAGCTATGATTCTATGTAATCTTTAGAGAAGGTATCGATTTCTCTAAGTAAGTCCAAAGTATAAATGAGTGATTCTTTTTCTAATATATGAAGATAAAATAAATTCAAATATGTTTATTTGAAAATAAAATTACTCAAATTTGAAATGAAAGATCTAACTAAATCTAAATATGCATATTAAACTGGAGGACATTTTATTTTTGTCAAAAGATAAGATTTTTCTTGTAACTTTTGAGCTAGAAGTTTTTCATTTTGCAAAAGTTATGCTGACTAAACTTCATCTTGGTGAAGTCCAGTTTCCCTCTTCATATCATAATAGTTCTTTAAAATATTTAAAATCTAGAGCAAAATACCATGACAAAAGTTATGGGATTTTCTTGCCATATCATAACTTTCAATTCTGTTTAAAAGATTTATTGATTCTTCTGGAATCTAATTTTTAAAATTATTAAAATTAGTAAATTTGTTATTTAAATCAAAAAAGATGTTGTTATTTTATATAAAATTTTAAGAAGAGTAAGCTATTTATTTATTTACTTTTTCAAATACCATGAAAGGAAGAATAGAACGAGCTACCATAACTCTACCCATATAATTTTTATTTTTAGCACACTCAATAAGTAATGGAAGAATCTTTTAAACTTCAGTTAAAGCAATATATTGAGAACCAGTAGGCTGTTAGTCAAGTAATTCTGCATTTTCGTCTTACTTAAGATCTTAAGCTGAATCATCTTCATCATTTGCAGAAGGAGCTTTCTTAACTTAATTTTTAAGATCATAAGGAAGTAATCTAGTGAAAAGCAAGGCAATTGGATATAAAGGAGGATATTGAGTGTTAGCATATTTGTCAGTGTGAACAAAATTAGAAATTTCTTCGATGAAGAAATCAAGTAACTCTGGTGCTCTTGTAAAGAATTCCACTAAGTTAAGTTTTGATTTAATTGTTTATGAGTTTGGATTTTTAGCACCACCAACTGTACGTAATGAAAGAGCACTGAATAACATCAAGCTCGAGTTTCTAATAGACCAATCTTCAATTGCAAAACCCTTGATAGCTGTCATAAAGCCTTATCCAATAAATTTATCAGCATCTAACTTGATGTTGCTGTCTTCAAAGATTCTCTTGAGGATATTCAAACAGTGAATTTTAACTTATTTATGAGGAGAATTTTCAATTAAATCGAGTAATCTTTTAATTGCAAGAGGAAGACTCTTTGTACGTTTTCCTGCTGATTCAGCCTTTAGCAAGCAAGTTATAGCATAAGGAAGGCCAGCACTTCTACGTAAAGTATTTCTAAAAGTATTCATTTCAATATGGTCTAAAAGCTTCTCAAGTAAAGTGTGAGAGAGATGAGGTAATAGGGGATTCTTAACCTCATTCATAGCCTTACACATAGTATTTAAACCAATAGCAATTCTATCTATAGAGCCTAATTAAAAATTTTTTTATTTTAATTTTTTTTTCAATCAAATTTTCATCTTTAAATTTAACTAAAACATAATATATTTTCAAAGTAAAAAATAAGTTTTAAAGCTTTACCAATATGCTTGATATTGACAAGAGTATGGAAGTACTAATTAACTATAGATTCTAAGCTTTGCTTATCAAATATGTCTAAGTTATCACGTTAGCTTAATATAACAAGGGAAGATATAGATTAGAAGAGGAAACCTGCCTCTCTAGATATAAGGTAGAAAGTTACAACGAGTAAATTTTCTGATCCAAAACCTTCTTCACCTGCACCGTTATCTTCTAAAGCTTCTACAAGAGTATTTCCTGTTGAGATTTATTTATAATTATTTAATAATTTGCAAAATTGTTCAACGAATTTTACCTTAAAGGATCTTTTCCATATTTTGAAGGAATTTATTTTTTTATTTAGCATCCTCGTCTATTATGAAATGACCTCTGCAATCAATATTTGAAATTTACTTTTCTAATTCCTAGTCTATTGCTATCTTTTTAGAATTTGAATCAAGGACTACAGTTGCAACGTTCTCACTAGAAATTTTTGTTGAAAAAGCTAATACTTCACAAATGACTTCAAACATTTGTTTAAGAACTACCTTCATTTCATCTTTAAATTAAAAAGTAAAATAAATATTTATTTAACGAATTTGGTAATTATTTTTTACTTTAATTCTTAATCTAATCTTTGTTGATTTTCTATACAATAAAAGCTAAAGCGGTAATTAAGCCATGAATTAAACTGTCAGAGAAGGTCTACCACTCGACAAGGAAACTTTAAGTAAAATCTTCAAATCTCTTTTTCATAGTTTAGATGATATCAGAGAGGAATTAAATTTCAGATTTTCCAAGCATTTCTAAATAGTTGCTAAAAAGAAGTTGTAAAATATAAGCACCAACTTCGTAATTTTTAATCTAAGGATTCTTACTCAAATTTAAAGCTTAGTTATATAAATTTTTAACATAGTCAACGCTAACTGTTTAAGGAGGGAAGAATGATAGAATGTTTATACTGATTTCTCTTATTGATTCCCATAAAGAATTACTATGAACAAGTAAGCATTCTACATTTTACTATAAAAATAATTTATATTTAAAATAACGTTTTAAAAAATTTACTTGTGAGAAAAGAGGAGGATTAACAATGTGAGTTTACAGGAATTTTGTATTTTAAATAACAAGACCTTTCTTATATTCATAGGGCTTATGAGCTGGGAAGTTCTATAATATAAGCTAAAGTATTTCAAGCATAGGATTAGCAATTTCGAAGCAAATCTATGGGTACATTGAAGACAAGATAGTGTCAACACATTTCTAAATGAAATTAACAAAAGATTTAAAATTTTTCTTTTTTGGTTATTTTCCTTCTTCTATTAAAACTATATCTCTCTCATAAACAAGTCTCAATCTTTCTATGAATCTCTTAAAAGAGCCTAAGAAATCTTTTCTAAATTCAGGATAGGAAGTTCTTGTGCCTAAATTAAAAAAATATTTAAATATATTTTAATTTATTTATTTAAGTTGTTTACCATATTTTAAAAATAAGAGCAATAGCTCAAATTCCAACTCAGAAGGAGCTTCAGAAGGCTTAGGATTGATAGAAATAAATTCTAAAATGTTAATGATAACATTTCTATCTTTGTTTAAAATAAGTTTCTCAAGTCTTTCTCTGTTGATTGTTATCTAAGTACCTTGTAAAATGAAAGAACCATCAGGTCCATCTGCTATTAAGCTTCTCTCTCTGGCAACTTTCAAAAAGGAAACAAATATCCAAAGTGAGTTTTTATCATCCATCTTGGAGTTTGAGGAATCTAAAATCTATTTAATGAATAAATATAAGATTTTCATTTTTGTTTTTGGAACTAATTAATTAATTCAAAAATTATTACTGTAGAAAGCATGTATACAACTGCATTCTTGTTAATCTTAGCTAAAATAGGATTGACAGCTGAAATAATTCCTTTAATAACAGGTAAAGGCTATGATTTAAGACAAGTGAAGTAATCACCTTCCCAATATTTTCTCCATTACTCGAGATCTTAATTACATTTCTTCTAGTAGAGAGCTTCTAAAAGTCTAAATAAGAGGTTAGGAGCTGGCAAGATATAATAGTCTCCACATGAAATCATAAGTTCTTGAATAATATGAGGGTCTTTAATAAGATAGAAATCAGGGGCAACAAATGGTAAAAGGATAGTTAACAAATAATATTTTCTCTTTGAACTAGAGAGATTTAACTCAAGAGCTTCAGTGGCATACTTCTCAGCCAACTTATTTGGATTTTCACTACAAGAGATTAAAGTAGAGAGGATACTTTCAATCCAGTATGAGATTTTTTTAGCAGGATATTCTAATGATCTTTAAACATTATCATAAATTTCAAATTATAACTTTTCGTTTTTCATGAACTCAATTTTATATTCGCTTTGTTAAACGCTTTCTAAAATGAGAAGGATAACTGTTAAAGTATAAAGTCTGACTTCGGGGTTCGAGTTATTGAAAAATCCATTAACATATTGAATTAAATTGTATTTGTGGAAAGGAACTCTCTTCCCATCATAGACAAATAATGCTCTAATTTTACCTAGTTTTTCTAAACTTTTTTCTTCATTTGTATCATGGATACTTAATATTTCGTGAATGACCTATTCTAAAGTTTCCTTTAATATATATTATATAAATTTATAGTTAATATTCATTTTTTAAATAATTTAGTAAAAACAATTTTATTTCTAAAATAACTTAAAATATTTTTTATTTGCAACAAACTTCTTTCATTTAGTATTAAAGAATTTTTTTATTTTTTTGTGAAATATATTTTTTTAAAATAATAATATTTGCTCAAGAAAGAGAGAAAAATGTGTACTTTTTTCTTTGTGATTTTTATGTAAACATAAAGGATTGAAGCATGAGAAACTATGTCTTTTTTGAGTCTAAGGCAGTTTTAAAGAAGAATGTTAAGTAAGCCGCTAACTTTTTCAACGAATTCATTACTAATAAGATCGTTTAATCTATTAATAGTGGATGAAATATTTCTAAGAATATCGCCTATCATATCTACATGCTTTGTTAAAAAGTATTTCTCATTAATAACTCTATTTATAAGCCTTTCAAGTAAGTTCTATTATATTAAATATAAAAACATGAGTTCATTTACTTATATTAACAACTTTCAAAATTTTCAAATATTAAAATAATTCAAAGATATTGTTTGAAAATTTTACTTATTGATAAGGAATCCATTTATTTTAAATAAGAACATGCATTTCTTTAAGTTCTTCTGACTTGAAGCTGACAGAATCAAACAAATCAATAACGTTGTTTAAAGTTTTAGTAAAAACATCTTCAGCTTCAAAAGACTTTTATAAATCCTCCTTATCAGTAGATTCGTAATCTTAGAATAATTTGCTAATAACACTTGATAATATGCTAAGAATCTTTTGTTTTGCCAAAAGAATACCTTCAGAGCTCTATTCTCCATCGTTTTTTGATGATTTCTCTTCATTATAAATTATACGCAGTGTTTCATTAATGTTGCCTTTAACTTCTTTAACTGTTCCATTGATAGTTTCTTATATAAGAGGATAAAAAATGTGATTGATCATAAATTCCTAAGTCCATCCTGGGAGTATATTCTTATCTTTAGGGTTTGTAAAGCACAAACGGCAACGCTTAAGGTAATCTTTAAAAGCTGATAGTGGAATAGGTTTGAAAAAACCTTCATATGCTTTTTTAGATTTTTCATCTAATAAGGATATATCACCCTAAGGATCTAACTGTTAATAGAAGATAAGGGAATTGGACATTTTAAAGAGCTATAAATCTTATTTTTAATAGTTAAATTAACTGCTTGAAAGATGATAACTTGGACCTAAATTTAGTAGCTTAATAATATCAAATATACTTAAAGTACTTTGTTAGATTTATTTGGTTAAATTTATTTCTATCTAAATGATTATTTTTGATATTAAATTAAATAAACAATAGTTAGTAATGTTCAAATCTAATTATTTCTATCTATTTGTCTACTTATTAATAATTGGTCAAGTAGCTGCTTTAGTTCACTTCATAAAATAAAAAAAACTTAAACTAAAATATTTTAGCAAATAACATTTTTTTGATATAAAATAATATAATTCCATTTTTTTTCAACTAATTACTATTTTTTTAATATAAAAACTAAGAAAAAAATTAGATTGAGAAAATTAATCTGAATAGATGGATTCAATTTCAGATAAGTAAAATTTGTTAGATTTTGATTATAATTATGTGAAATTTTTGTGAAAAATCAAAAGCTTTTAAACATATTTTACAGGGAATATATTAAAAGTTTTTCAATTTAAAAATAATTTTTAAAATATTTAGGTTAAAGAAACTATTATAAAAATGAAGAGTTTTGATTTTTGTTTTTTAACTTATTTCTGTTTTTATTTTTAATTTTTATAACTTTACGAATGTAAAAAATGTTAATTTTAAGATTAAATATGTTTTTTAGTTTTTAAGTTAATAAATCTTTAAAAAAAAAATATGATTTTATATTTTATTTAATTTTCAAAAAATGATTTAATTATTAGCAAAATTAATTTTGCAAGTAGCAATTTAAAGCTTGAAAATTTTTCTGATTTAAACGAGAAATATTAATTTGGAATGAATCGAATATATTAAAGAAATTTAAAAAATTTAATTTATATAAATATCAAATTTGATAAAAAAAATAATAATAATAAACTATTAAAAAAAAAGATGCCTGACATAATCTTTTCATAAATTTTATTTATTTGTCTTCCTTCTAATTAGAATTAATTATTGATAGCTATTGCATTTTATTTAAAATTTATTTTTTAATTTCCTAAAAAGAGAAGAAAACTAAAATTTTAATAATGAAATATCATATCTGATTTATTATATTTTCTATTCTAAAAATAAAAATTTAATTGTAAATAATTTATTCATAAAACTTCTAAAACATATTTATTTATTCAAATTTAAATTTTAATTACAAATATCTTTTACACCGTACCTTTAGAACTAAATGTTCTTTCATTTATTTAAAAATTTTTTAATTAGGATCTATTTCAAATATATAGCTTAACTACTTAAAAATAAATAGAATAGTTAATATAAAAATTTATTTTTAAATTAAAATATTGGTTGGTTTTTGATAATAGTATTTAGAATAAAGCAAGCTTATATTGAAAAAAGTTGATTAATTTATTGATATTTTTGCACAATTTAGATTTTAGCTGATGGTCGTTAGGTCCTCTAGTAATGTTATTTAATTTTTGAATTGGATAGACTTGATGATTTGTTTTTTATGTTGCTTTTTAATAATTGGTAAAATTAATTATATTATTAAATCTAATCTTTAACATATAGAATTAATTGATATATAAATAAAATCAAGTATGCAATAGATTCAAAATAAAAGATCTAGCTAAGATTTTAGTAAAAGTATCCTATAGAATATAATGACTAAAGAATAAAAAGAGAATAAAACAAAAGTTAGATCTTATTCTCCTTTTTTAAATAAAACCTAGAGATCTAGATCAGGGTCTCCAGACAAAAATAAATTCAATACATCTTCTGGAGCTCTTAATAATTCAAAAGTAGATATAGGAAATACAAATATATATCAGAAGCCAACAAATTCTAAATGCTAAATCAATAAATTAGGATTAAGCTTAAGGCCTTTTTGCAATAATAAAGAACATAAAAGAAGTAATATTTCCCACATTTGCATAGATGACCAATGCTTAGGGGAAAATAATAAATCTTCAAGGTTAGTTTGCTAATTCTGTATAATTGAAAATCATAGCAATCATAAAGAAGCTTGTATTCCTATAGAACAATTTTCTGATTACAACGAAACCCACTTTAAAACTTTAACATAAGCTTTCAAAGAAATAAATTTAACTAGCTTAAAAATGAATAATCCACCTTTTATGTAAAAAGTAACAACTTTATTTTTCAATTTCATCTTTATTTATAACTACTAAAAAATAGCTTCTATAATAATTCATTGTATATTTTATTCATATGTTACTATTAATAGATAAAAAAGAAATTGATTAGAATAATATTTTAATTTATACCTTTAAATAAAGATTTATGATTCACTCAACATCTTAAAATTGTCTATTTGCTAGAATATTGATAACTAGAAATTGTTGATCAAGTAGCAAATTGATGAAAAAGCTGAAGAGTATGTTCCAAACTATTAAGAAAGAATAGCTAGCTATGAGACACTTTATACAAGATTTAAGGAAGTTACTCAAAAGAAATTATTTGAATTAAACGAGTAAGAAATGGAAGTACTTTTGAAGTTTTTGAAATAGGAATTAGTTGATGAAATGACTGCTTTTAAAAAGAAATTATAAGGTATATATAATATAGTTGAATTCTAAGCAGAGATGGCAGCAAACCATTATCAATCATCTATTTAAAATTTAGCATCTTGTATTCTCTAAAATAATGATTAGTTGTTTATGCCTTAAAAAAAAGATGCAATGCTACTTCCTGGAAATTCTAAATTAAAGTATATGAAACTGTAGTTTTTTATACTTTAAAAAAAATAAGATGAAATTTTTAAAAGCCTTAAAGAACTAAAACTTTAAATGAATGACGAAGAAGTTGTAAATTAATCTGCCGCAAATAGTTAAAATTTAACTAATTAAGATTTATAAAAGTAAATATAATTTTAATTTACTTTTTATTGTATTTATTTAGTTAATAAATTAAATAATTAATTACTTATATATAGTGGAAGATTACTTATATATTCAGAATAATGTAAGCACATTAAACAAGCTCAAATCGAATGCAACACTGTCCCTTTATTTGTTTGCTGTAAACAATCTTACTAGTGTGTCAAGTGTCATAACAACCATACAATACATAAGGCTACTATCACATCTCCCTCTTAAAGAATGTGTTTAAAGTGTCTGTCTGTATTTACAGTAGAATACCCAACAAATGTTCCTATAAATTGCAATTCTTGTTTAGATTTAAAACTTAATTAGAATTTACTATCTTCACTTCTCAATCAAGATGTTTCTCAAGATGATTAACAAAAACAATCAAAGAAATAAAACAGGAGTGTATCTCCATAACAACCATACACCTAAAAAAGAAGCACATCAGCATAAATACATTAAAATTAATTATAGCCATAGCAACAATAGTAATAATAATAAAGAAACCTTTCTCCTAATTAATAATCACCATACTAAAGTAAAAATAGACGTTTATCAATTATAGATGAAAAGATAAATACAAACAGTGTTAATATCCATGATTCATCAACAAAGAAATAAATTTATTAAAGTTTTAAAAAAGAAAGTAAAGATTTACATTTAATTTGATATTAAATGAAACGAAATGATTGCATATATGCTATTTTTAAATTTATAATTAGCAAATTTTCGGACCAAAATTTAATATTTTAGTTTAAAATTTTATTAAATAATGAAATTAAATCAAACATAAAACATGATTTTAGATAAACAACTCTTATTTAATTAAAAATTATTTAGTTTATATTCAAATAAAATTTAAAATTAATATTTATCATATTTTTATAACAATTTTTATATTTTAGTTTACAATTTTATAAATGAAACGATCTAATTCAATTAAGAAGAATGTTTGTATTTAATCAAATTATTTTTTCCAATTAAACTTATAATTAATTCCACATAACATTAAAAAATTTTAAATTCATTTAAAAAAATATTAATTTGTTTAAATTAGAAAATTATTTTTCATATATTTGTTAATTTATTGATTTAATAAAGAAAGGCACATTAAAATTGCAATGATTTTAAATAGCAATCAATTGAAACTATTTTTGAAGGAAGTGCATAAGCTTATTTAATGATTTTATCTTGAGTTCATAATTGAAATAGATAATTATAATTAACTTTTTTTATTACGCTGTAAAGAAAGAATATTGGATTTTAAGTATTTTATTTCTCAAATTTAATAGGTTTATTATGAGTCAATTATTTTTTTAAATAAATAATATCTTTGTAAATTATTCTCTTTATGAGGAAAAAGCTTTTTATAAACAAATATTTTTAAAATTTAGCTTACTATTAAATTGAAATATTATTTTAATATGTAAATAAATCCAGCTTTATGGTGAAAAAATAATTAAAAAATATACATTAAAATGATATGCCTTACTTTAAATCTACATAGTTTGATTGGTAAAATTCAGTGATCATAAAAGTTGAACTGAATATTACATTGAAAAATAACCATAGTAAATTAAGTAATTACTATTTTCTTATCAATATGTATTATTAATAAATACCCTCTAAAAATTAAAAGAAAGAATTAATTTTTACATCTTGTCATTAAAAATATACAAAAACTAATATTAAAAGGATAAACTTAAATGAAAGCATATTAATTTAATTCATCTATTTAGACAGATAAATCTAGAAGTCTAATATCTTCCTCTACATAGGAAAGTAGATCTACTTTAAGGTTTTAGCTTAAGTAAGGCATATCAAATGCTTAAGATGCATAAACTCTTTTTTCTTAACCGAACTCTGTAGTTACTGATTTCTCTAAGTATTTAAAAAGATCTTTATCTAATTCTAAATCACCCTCTAAAAAAGAAATTTCAATAGTACAAGCACCTAGTGCAGCAAAATCTGTAGTAAGCTAAGCAACCAAAAGTTTAAAAAGTGAGACTCTTCCATTAGAGGATATGAAAATAGTTACAAAGCCTATTAACATGAAAAAATGCACTCTAAAAAAATTTGGATTAAACTTAAGACCAACATGTATGTACTAAACTCATGAAAAAGAAGAAATAACTAGAATTTGCATAGATTAAAATTGCTGTGTCGAAGGTAGAAAAGTTTGTTCAATCATTTTATTTTAGACTTTAGAGTAATTATTTGCAATTTTGTAATATTAGTTAATTACTATTACATTACAACTTAAGCAAATAAATGATTTTTGATATTATTAAAGGAAAGCTTTTCGCAAAATATTAATTAGTCTGTTAAATATTTAAGAATAAAATTTAATAATGTTTATTTATTTGTTTAAATTCTAATAAAATAGATAAATTTGGATGTGAAAAATGCTGTAATGATGTGCACGAGAACCATAATATTATTTCTTTAGAAGAATTTAGTAGGAATATGGAAAATAAATACAAAGAATATGTTGAGAAAGCTAAGGATTACTAAAATTAATGTTTATTTATTGAGCAACCCCCTTTTATTATAAAAATTTACAAAGAATTAAATAAACTCAAAGAGCATATCTACTAGCAGATAGAAGAAACTAAAAAATAAATAATAAATGAATATAGAGAAGTGGTTAAAATGGATGCTGCTCAATTAAAAGAAGAAGTAAGAAAATAGAATTATATGATAGATTTAATTAGTGATATTTTGAATAAAAATGTATTTGATTTAACTAATTCAGAAATTGAAACTAGTGCTTCGATATATTCTCAGGCTAAAATAAGCTCAATAGATTTATAAATAAAATAAATTTAATATAAATATTCTAAATTAGAAAAATAGTTCAACTTTTCATACAATTCATTCAAATAAAATATTATGTTTGATATTAAATAATCTTTTAAAGAATTTGCATTACCAGTTTTAAAAGAAAAGGACATCATCTAAGAAGTTAATAATAAAGCAGAACGAATTAAAATGATTATTTCTGAATATGACAAAGATATAAAGGATAAAATGAAAATGTGTAAAATTTTAAGAGAATATATCAAACAGCCTGAGTTATTAAAAGTTAATACCAATAAAGAATTCGAAAATTTTCCATACTTTACTTACTTCGAAGTAAGTTGCAATCATAATTCTAACCCTAAAGCAAATACAGTTCCTATCTTTTAATGTTGTAATTAAGCTTATAAATGTATCAAATGCCATAACAGTTTCAGTAATCATCAGGCAACAATTTCAAAATAAAAATCTAAAAGGTACTGCATTAAATGCTTTGAGATTTTTGATGTAAATTATAAAGAAGACAGTCCAGTAATATGCTAGGAGTGTGTTGAAATTCCTGTATGATAATAAAAATTTCATACATTATAAAAATAAAATATTTTTTATAATATTAACAAATTTTAATTTTCCTTTAAACTATTAATATTATATTGGTATAACATTATTTTATAGTAATTTAAATCATTTTTGTATTAAGTTGAAATATTAATTGGTTACAAATTATTAAAAAAACACTTAATTTTTTTTTTACATAGACACCATTAAATTTTTATAAAATATTTGGATTTTTTTGATGAAAGCAAATTAATAAAAAATATTCAACACAAATTAATTTGATTTGAATTAAAAATTGATTGGTTAATTTATTAATTGTAAAATCTATATCGTAAAAGAAATACAAGTAGCTAGAATATAGATTGATTAACAAAGAGTACAATTAATTATTATTTTATTATATTAATACTCTATAACTCCTATTTATATATTTGTTTATCTATTTTGGAATTGCATAGTTTATATATTTTATTAGTTATTTAGTTAGTATGAATTTTATCTTATTATCTTTTAGCTTTAAAAATTTTTTTTTCACTCGTTGAAGTCTTCAATACCACCCTTACCAATAGCGTAGATAGCCTATAGTTAAACAAATATTATTAATAAATTTTTTAATAAAGTATTTTTTTTCTAATATAAATTGATAAAATAAATTATTCGTATTTATTTGGCTCACACTTTTGTGTATTTATTTCAAAGCAAAAATATATTTAATAAATGAATGAGTGAATTACTTCTGATTCAGGAAGACATGGAGAATCGTAAATTTTGCAAATACGAGACTCTCCTCTACCTTTTCTGAGATAAAGTCTGGTAGTAGAAGCGTGAGCCATAATATTACCACCAATAGGTTTCTTCATATCACCAGCGAACATAGCTGCACCATCGACTTAGGACATAACTTGGTTGGTAATAACTACAGCAATACCGAATTCGTCAGCAAGTCTTTATAAGTTTCTCAAGAATTTACCCAAGTGATTTTGTCTGACTGACAATTCACCTCTACCACTATAATCAGTTCTGTAAAGAGCAGTGGCTGAATCAACAATAAGCAAAGCGTATTTACTTTCAGCCATCAAAGCAGCAGCCTGGACTAAGAGTTTATTTTATTGATCACAGTTGAAGGCTCTAGCATAAGCTACGTTTTCCATACATTCTTGAGGATCTAATCCGAATCTTTCAGCAATTGATTCAAGTCTTTCAGGTCTGAAAGTACCTTCAGTATCAATATACATAGCCTTACCTTCACCACCACCCTTTTCCTTGGGTAATTAGCAGGTGATACACAAAGTATGACAAATTTAAGTTTTACCTGTTCTGAATTCACCTATTTTTTAAGAATTAATGATAAATATGGATGGAAATCATATTTAAAAAGAAATGGTGGCTAAAATTTGATATTAATTTCTTAAACTTATTATTCTATTTTATAAACAAATAATTAATTAATATTTTTACCAAAAATTTCAGTGAGAGAGCCTGTTTCAAAACCACCACCAAGAAGTTTGTCTAATTCAGTTGAGCCTGTAGTAAGATTGATGACACTTTGTCTCTTTACATAGTATTCAGCTGCAGTTTAGAAATCATTAGGAACTAATTTGGCAGCAACATCAAGGATTTTATCGATTTTTGCTTCAGTCATACCCTTAATTTGCAAGAGATTTTTCTTAGCAGTGTAAGAAATGGATTCAACAGTTTGGAAACCAGCATCTATGAGTTTTTTAACATCTGCATTATTAATACCATGTTCTTCCAATTTGGCGATCAACATAGGTCCATCGCTTTATTCAACGTCTTCAGCGTACTCAGCCATTTTTTCTTTTAAATTTTTGGTCTATAAATTTACTATTAATTTTAAAGAAAATTTAACAAGTTAAAATTTTGCTTATATAGCAATTCTTTTTTTTGATTTGTTTTTGTTTTTTTTCCTTCAAATATCAAAAGCAATTAATATTTAAAACATTCTAATAACATCAAAACTGTTGAAAGCCAATCGATCTTGCGCCAGTTTTCATTGAAATCAAATTCACTCAGATTGAAAAATTTTTGGGTTGAGCGAACATAATTCATCGTCCTATTTTTTGCGCTTAAAAAATTTATATACTTATCTTTATCCCTTTATATTTTAAGATATTTTTTTTTCTTGTAAAATATTTTTTAACGAAAAACATGTTTAATAAATATTGCAATTAAAAATAGCTGTTATATATACAATTAAAAATCATTAATTTAAAAAATTTTTATTAAATGTGAGTATTAGGTTTGCTTGTAAAAAATGTCAATCTAACTTAAAAGGCATTCATTCATATATTTAAAATTCTTGTGTATTTTTTATTAAATTATTTTTTATAAATAATTAATAAGTAAATATTAAATTCTAAATTTTTCAAGATGATTATTTTATTTTTTTTGAAATAATTAAGAATATTTTAATTAAAAGTTTACAATATCTTATATTCAATAAAGACAAAATTCTTAATTTCTCAATATTATATTATTTCTTTTTGAAATATTTAAGAATATTTTAATTAATAATTTCCAATATCTTATTTTCAAATTTTTCTAACATATTTTATTTTAAATTTAGCTATTTTATTTAGATATTATTTTGAAAAAGTAGAAATACATTAATTATAATATTTAGGATCAGTAAAAATAAAGTTCGATAGTCTAATCCTAAAAGAAATATGAGTTAATTCTTAACAATTTATTATATTTATGTACAAAAACAAAATAAGTCATTATGCTTATTTACAGATGATATAATGAACTATTGAGGATTTTATAATTTAGATATAAAGGTGATATTATTTATTTGCTTTTATGTATTAAATTTATAATGATTTAATTTTTATCATTAAAATTTTTACTAATTATTGGGTATTATTTCTTATTATCTTATATAAATTTGAGAGATAAAAAGTATCAAAAATCTAGATAACGATTTGTTTAAATTTACATATTTCATAACTTTAAATTGAAATTTCTAATATAAAAATAATTCAAGGAAGAAACCAACGCATAAGGATAGAGGATTACAAATGTCAAATTATTTGCAGAGAACTGTAAGATTTATAAATTTAAAAAAGTGAGATATTTTTTATCATTCTATTGTATTTAATTGTAATTAGAAATTAATTTAGTTAATGGCAATCCCATTCAACTAAAGATCTCAGCAAGAGATAAAAGATTTAGAATATTATATGAAATGCTTCAACCCAAATTTAGGTTAATTAGAAGATGAAGAAAAAGTTAACATTTATAAAGAAGTTTGTAAATATATGAAAATTGAATGTTTTAAATAAGATGATATTGTTTATCAACATGGTAATTTACTTTTTAATCATTTTGTTTACCTTTATTTATTTAAAGATTTCAGCTAAGAACGTTTTAAAAAGCTTCAAAAGATATTTAATTAGGAGATAATTATTTTATATTATTTAGGTACTGAAGGAGATAAGTTTTATTTACTCTTAGAAGGGGAAATAGATGGGTATCTTCCAGATAATCAAGAAAAAGAGCTTGTGCTAGTAAATTAAATCAAAATCAGCGAGAGCTTTGGTTAAAAGTCCTTGATATATAAACAACCTAGATTGAGAACAATGATAGCATAAAAGGACTCTGTATGTGGGGTTTTATTAGCAAATGAATTTCTATAAATTTTAAAAAAATCATTCAGCTTATAAGAAACCTAATAAATAAATTTTCTTTGGGAATTACCTTATTTTAATAAGCTAGATTTTAAGTAAGTGAAAAGACTCCACTCAGCTTGCACATTTGAGATAATTACATAAAATTAGCAAGTATTTAGAGAGGATATTGACATGGTTACAAGTTTTTACATAGTTAAAAGTGGTGATTTTGCAGTATTTCATTTTTTATTCTAATTTTACTATTTTTCTCTATGTATTTTTAATCAATTTTTAAATATTAAAAAAATATAATGAATATCCATACTTGATAACATTATGTTTAATTACTCTTTAACATATTAGATTTATAAGAAGTTGAAGTCTAAACAGGGTATTGAATAAGATTCTTAATTTAATGAAAGTTAGCAAGAATAGCAAATGATGAAAAGCTAAAAATTAATAAATAAAAAAGTAAAAAAATTTTGAATATCACATTAAAAATACTTATTAATGCTTTTCTTATTAACAATAGATTTATAGCTTAAATTAGTGTGAATTTTTTGGATTAAATGATATTATAAAGTCGAATACAAAGAGATCATATTCTGTTTAATGTTTGTCTAAATAAGGAGAAATATTTGTTTTATCGAAAGATCTTTTTTATTTAATAGTAATGGATAATCCAGAAAGTGCTTCTTATATTTAAATTATAAATAAAAAATAAACTACAAATTTAGAAAATTTAATATCAAACCTATAAGTTAACTAATCTATTGATTCCTCAACATCTACTCCTAACCAAACTCCTTTGTAAGATGGGTAGGATTCTCCATCTTAAGATTTTACTCCAATAAATATTTCTCAGTTTTATAAACAATCATAACGGTTTAGTGAAAAAATTTAAATTAAATATGATGAAAATCATTAAATTATCCTTAGCAAAAATACAATTGATAGCTTGCATAGTTCTTAAAATGGGGATGAATTAAACGATTCTCTTAAATAGCAATAAGGTGAACTTAAATATACACCTTTTACTAGGAAGAATAGAAAAAAGTAAATCACTATACAGCCTCAAAATTCGTATAGCAATAAAAATATGTTAGAAGTTCTAGCAAATAAAGAAGATAGAAGAAAAAGCTATTCACCAAATGAAATCACTAAAGATTTGATTGATTAGCTATATAATTTGAACAAAAAAAGTTAAAATATGAGATCATCACTAACCCAAATACCTTAAAATATCTTAAGTTCTCCCAAAAATGCTTTAAATATAAGTGAAGATGCAAGAAAAATAAAATCATTTGTTCATCTTCCACAAGATGATTAAAAATTATAAAGAAGTGATATATCATATGGAGAAATTGAAAATAATCCTAAAAAACTAAGTGAGAATATTCAGTATTCTTTTACTAACTTAAGCGATAAAAAGATTGAGACAAGTAAGGAAATACTACTTCCATAAAAATAATTACTTGGACTCTAAAATAACGAATTATATGCTGATATCCATAGCTAATAAAAAAATTAATAAATTTTCAATCATTTAACTGAGAGAAATGATAAAATTATTTCTGTTGGAAAAACATCAATAGGAGAATGTGGTGAACAGTAAAATTAGAATAAAATATAAGAAAATCATATTATTACAATTAGCATTCCTGGAAATAAAAATGATACGACATAAATTTTAAATGAATAGACCTCAGCTAATTTATCTTAAATACAAGAAAAATAAAATACATAGAACAAATCCTTACCTTAAATACTCATAAACTAAATTTAAAAGGAACAAATACCATAATAGTAAATACTTGAAGTAGGATAACCTACTTTAAGACATTTAGAAGAAGAGGATCTTTTATTATAAAATTTTAAACAAAATTTAAATAAATAAAATGCTTTTATATCATGTTACTCTTATTTACCTTCTATTAGCACTTACTTTATGAAAAAAAAAGAAAATCCAATAGATTTGATGACTTTAGCTCATCACACGAAAACTCAAATATCAGCAAATCCTCGCATTTAGCAAATAGACATTTAAAAGCACTAGTTAAATAGAAAATTAAAGTAGGGCCTTAATAAATCCTAAGAAGATATTTCTCTAATTAATTAGTCAAACGATGATCGATTGATGACTAGCTAAATAGCTTAAAATTAATCTCAAGAAATAATTCAAAGCAAAATGAACAAGCTTACTAATAATCCTAATCATAACCAAAACCAAGAAACTTAATATTTACCTTAAGTTGTAAAGCCAAACTTGCAAAATACCGAGTATCCATTTCAAAGCTCGTATTACCATAATTCAAGGCCAAGAATGAATGCAAACTCTTTGCACTATTAAACTAATTATTAGAATAGAAGCTAGAATAACAGCTAAAGCTTTACAACTAAAAATAATAATTATAACTCTTAAACTAGATTTCAAAGTTAGAATAACTTATAATCATAGACTTCGTTTGAAAAGAAGAGTCCTCTTGCTATTCCTAGATCTACTTCTCAAGAGTTATAAACTAAAGTTAGTTAATCGCCTATAAAATCAATGTAAGCAGAAAAAGAATATTTAAAAAAAATGTCTAAGCCTAGTTTTCTACTTGGAGAGAAACCTAAAAAGGAAGTAATAGGAGTTTTCAATGCAGATTTTTTTACTTCTTTAAAGGGCAAATTTATCAAATAATTTACATATAATCCCTAAATATTTAAAGATATACAGAGGTATAAATTTGAAGATTTTCTTAAGAAGCATCTTCATGATGGACCTTTAAGTGATTACTTAAAAAATAAAGGGACTGTCGACTCATACAATTAAAAAAAGAAAGACTTAGAAGATTTTAAACGTTAAAAAAAGATAGTAGAGGATATTGCAACCAATGCTATTGAAAGTCTAAAATATTTTCATAGATAATAAATGAGAAAGTCATAGGGCCTACTCTCAACAAACCATTAAGATTAAAAACCAAATATTTTTATGAGCAATAACTCAAAACTTAATTCATTAAGTTTGTAGTATCCTTAATAGAATCTAAACAAAAGCTAAAGCCCTCTAAGAAAATCTGCAGAAAATATTAATTTTTAAAACTCTCCTTTAAAATAACAATTAAATATTTAAAGAAAATCTATTCCGAACCAAAATATGCATCGACATACTCGTTCCCAATAAGATTTAATAACTTCAAATTAAAATAATGGTTTTTATAATATTTAACAAGGAACACAATCCCCTATTACTCTCAATAAAAACATAAATAATAGAAAGAAAAAGACCCAGTTAAATTTTATGTTAGGCAATCATGGTATATAAAATTAAAATAAGCCAATAAGATTACACAGCTTGACTAACTAGCACAAAGGAAGCAGATAAAGTTTTTAATTTAATAATTAATCATAACTATGATAGTAATATACTTAGTGACTGTAAAGAATAGTAATACATACATTTTCCTTTTGAATTTTGTAATAGTAATTAATGAATTACAAGTTAATATAGATACTAAATGTATTTTTTAAATTTATTTATTCATATAATCTGATTGGTTATTGTAATAGTAATGTAATTTAAATTTTCATGGCCATACTTTTTATTAATTAAAATTAAATTCAGTAAATTTTTAAAATAGAAAATTTTTGTTTACTACGAATGAAAATAGATAAAATTCATTTAATGAATTTTGGCTACATAATTTTTTGTTCTAGTCACTTTACTAAAAAGTTTATGGAATAATATTTTTTATAAATTGAATTTATCAATGAATATCTGAATGAATACTGAAGGGAAAAGAAAACTTTTAGTATTTAAAATTCCAAGAGCCAGAAAGATTCGGTATTAGTAATATTAATTTTTAAGCTTGCATATTTATTATAGTTTTAAAATTTTAGAACCTATTTTCTTTTTGTTTGTTTGCTTGTTTATTAATTTATTTATGTTTTAGTAGTTTAGGAAGTATCATAGATATGTAAGAAAAATCTAAATCTATTTTGGGTATCAAAAACTAAATTTTTTTTAATTATTAAAATATCTTAATAAATAAATAATTTACATCTTACTAACCTAAATATTTATTTGATTAATTTCTGCGCTTTTTATTAATTTATAAAAGAAAAATAATGGACGTTTAATAAAATCTATAAGATCATTGACCATACGTTAACATTTCGCTTCAGATTAAAAATTTAATTATTAAAATTGTCTAAAATTCTAAATTGCTTGCGAACTTAAGATTATTTATGTGGATACTAACACTTTTTAAAAATGGGTTTGGAATAGAAATAGTTTTTGATCAAGATATTATTTTAATTTTAATATAGACAGAGACTTTAAGGATAAAAGTTAAAAAAATTCAAAAATTTAATTAGAATTTATTAGCAATCTAAGAGAGTTATTTTCTTATATTAACAAATAATTAAATGAAAATAATATGTGATAATAAATGACGATTTTTTTAATTAATTAACATGAGTATATGTTTTCTGATATACTATATTTAAAGCTTATTAAATAAAAAATAAGCAATGAATAAGCATAAATGCTTATTAATTTCATGTAGATTTCATTAAAATTCTTTGCAAATATATATAATTAGTTTATATTTAGTTACTAAAAAAGTATTTATGTATTTTAAAAGTATAAATAATATTTACAAAAATATTAAAGCTAAATTTACTAATTAATTTATTTTTTTGTGATACGCTTGCTAAGTAAATTTTTAAGTTGAAATAATTTAAAAACATAATAATTTAGCAAATAGAGTAATAAAAAAATAAAAAATTTTTTTGGTTCTAAGAATTAATAATACCAATTCACTTGATTTAAAATTAATACAAAGATAAATTAGTATTTCAGAAGCTAATTATGTGATTAAAAGCTAAAAAAATAAAAATCGAAATTGGTATTTATTTCGAATGGAAATTAAAAACTTTGTCCCAAAAATATGCCTTGTCAAATTTAAAATTAAAAAATGAAATCTATTGGTAAGTAAATAAATATATTGAACTGAGCGATGAAGAAAGATGTTTAAAGAATAAATAAATAAATAAAAATTTATACAAATGTATGGGGAATAACAGTAAAACTGAAAAAATTAATGATATATATTTAAGAAAGTGATTAATGTAAAATACAAAAAATACACTGAATTATATACATTACATATATTAGCCTGATTACAAACTTAAAAAAAAATAATAAAAATGATAATTCATCAAATTAAGAAAGCGGGTTATAAAAAATTTTATATTAATCAACACAGTAAAACAATTAAAAAAAATATTCTGATTAAAAAAACAAACAAAAAAAAAACAAAGAAAAGCAAGCAAGAAACTCGCTTTAATTTCTTCTCCTACTTAATAATTCTTTCTAAAAATATAAACTCAATAAAGAAACAATCATAATTATAGGCAAAGCTCATATTTACTTTTTATAGTGCAAATATAAATAAATGGGAAATAACCAATCCGAAATAAAGCAATTTATACCTTAAGAAAGCACAAGATATCCTTTCTCATTAAAATTCATAATTAGCTTAGAAAGACTTATAAATACCAAAAGAAACACTTTACTCAAGGAATGCAATATTAACTCTGATCATATATACTACTTAAATGCTATCTTAGATCTGAATGAGATTATCAATAAATTTGAGGACATGCAGTAAGACGAAAACCATTAAAGAAAGGGTTGTCTTAAGCCTCAAACCATTTACGACTACCTTTTCACTTTGAATAAAATAAAATTGGATTTAGAAAACTTTCCAAAGTAATTCAACAGCAACAAGCTGTATTAGCAACTTTACTAATTTTGTAGTCCTATTAATCTCAACTAATTTATTGACCTGTTCGATATAAATGAAATAAAGTCTTATGTTTTTAAAGAAAGCAATCAGCAAATAAAGGAATATTAATTCAATTCTCACTTTATTAATCCCTCAGACGATGCTCGCTTTGCAGCGTCTGCCATTCCATTTAATAATTATCCATACAACTAACAATAAAATCTTCGAAATTTAAGATAAAACCATTATTATCTAGACTACAATCGTTAGTTTGAAAATTAGAGTATATCTTCTTAATCAACTGCTTTCGAATGATGTATTGAATATACTGCTTAATCTCTACTCTAAGAAAGAAATAAGAAAAATACAAAATAAAAAAAATTAAAAATTAAAATGCTAGAAGTAAGCTAAAACTTCTGGTAACATATAACAACTTTTTTAATATAGAATATAAATAATCCTACAATTAATTAATGAAAGAACAAGTGATCAAATAAATAGCTTCCAATTTCTATTAATAATAGGAGATATGAACATTTCAAATTATATAACAAACCAATATAAAAATAGCCTCAAACAACAAATCAATAAATAAATAAACACCCTTAATTTACTATTATTATAAATAAATAAAATCTTTTCTAACTAAAAAATTCTAAAAAAACATAAAAAAATAATACATGGACTGTGTACAGTTTTTTTATGATTGTTTTATCAAATGGTTTTTAACTATTACTCATCCAATTAAATCTTATACTCAATACATTTTTGTATAAATACAAGCTAATTTATGTAATGTAAAAATATAAATAAGTGCAACCTAAAGTAAAAAGAGTTTTTATTTTTATAAAAAATTCTCTATAAATTCGTTAACCTATAAAATATTTTATTGAAATCCTAAACTATTAATTAAACAGTTTTATTTTGCAAAATACATAACGAACCTTAAATTCTAAATAACTTCAGAAATTTCTTTAATAATTGCCAATCTATCAATAAATTTATTTATTTATGAGTATATTTATTTATCCTTTTCTAAAATGAGATATGTTGATAGAATAAAATTAATTCATTTATCATTTAGGAACTTTAATATTTTTATTGATCAGCTTGCTAATATTTTTCGAGAGTAGATTTTTATGTAATTTTAAATTTAAATCATATTATTAAAGAATCTGTAATAAATTATATTTAAATTGTATTATCATAATTATTTACAAATATATAAGGCTTTTTTATGCTTTAAAAATATATCGCTCTTTTTTATTTTATTTATTCAAAAACAGTAGTTATTTATTCTTTTTTTTAAAAAAAAGAAAGAAAAAGAAGATAGCTACATAAAAATAAAAGTAAAAATCTACACCGTTGAATTAATCATTGTTTAAGTTTTCAAAAACAACATCTCAAATAACAAAAAATTTGTGATAAATTAGATAATGACTTTCTCTCTCTTTTTAGGAAAAGTTAATTTTTCATACTTTAATAAAATTTTTTGTATTCTCAAAGATTAATTGAAATATTCAAGCATAATAAGAATTTACACTATTTTAAATAAATATGAAAATAAATATTTACTTTTGTTTACTTGAAAAAACAAAAAAAAAAATTCATTAATTTTACAATAAATAATAACTATTATATCTAATCCATAAATCTATTAATCTTTTGTAACTTAAATTCTATTCTTAGTCATATATATAATCTCTTGAAAATTTACCTCATAAATTACTAAAACTCCAAATATTTAGCTTAATCTCTTATCATAATTTTGTTTCTAAAATACTAAAGAAGAAAATACAAATACTTTAATGCTGATAATATATATTAATTTTTACATTTTTACATCTATATATGTTAGTCCGAAAAAATTTCCACATATGTTGCTTTCTAATATCTTTAGTAGATGCGAAAAATATTTTTTATTTTTAAAATTTTAATTTTTTTTGAGCAATAATTACTCAAAATAAATGCACATGTAACCTAGTTTTTTTTTTGTGAATAATATTCATAAAGATTAATTTATTAATTGTAAAACTCCTTTTTATTTTTCAAATTATTCAGATGATATATTAAAATTGCAGAAGTAATCATGATTATATTCCTTCTTGTTATTATTAAAATAATGCCACTAATCCAAAAGTATCTAATAAGTAGTACTAAAAATATGCTAAATAAGCAAGCAATTAAATGATCTTTTAATTGATTTACGTATGATTAAGCAAAAATTATAGAAATAATTAAATTATTATTTGATTGTATACATTTTATATTTTTTATATTACAATAATTTTTATAAATCACCAAAACTATTTCATTTCATATTTGATGACTAAAATATAAATAAATAAAATTTAATAATATAATCATTTAAAGTAAAATTTTTTTTCTTTTTCAAATTTATATCTTAAAGCTTTATTTTCTCTATTAAAATTATTTTTTTATGAAAAATAATACTTCAAATGTAGTTAATTTTATCTTTAATTCTTACAAAATATTTTTAAACAATTTATTAATGATTAAATATTTAGTTAAATATAAATTTAAAATATATAAAATATCAAAAAATAAAAATTTATATTATTATTTTTATTTGTTTTTCTAGTCAAAAATATTATTAGTTCAATTCAATCTAATTTCTGTAAAACTTTATAAGCAAATAACTAAAACAATTTTCTCAGATTTTAATTTTTTATATAAAATTTTATTTGTGTTGGTTTTTAAATAAATAATATTAATATTAGAAACCTAAAATAAAAGCTAAAAGTATAATTTTTAAAGACATATTATTTACATAGCATATTAAAACTTATATAAAAATTCTACTTATATTTATTTGAATAAAAACAAACTTATTAATTTTTTAATTATTTAATAAGAAAATAAAAAAACAATTTTATTTTCTTTTTTATTGAATTATTTTAGAAGAATTTTCATAAATCAAAATTTCTAGTTATTCCTATTTTTTTTGAGTAATATCCATTAGTCTCAGATTTTTTTTAACTTACCATTTAAGTAAGGCTTTTTTAATTTTTATCTTTCTTATCACTTTCATCAAAAAAGTTTACTTACAATTTTTTTTCATTAAAAATATTATCTACTGTTGACCACGAGTATCTAACATTAGATGGAAATCCAAATACAGGGTCAAATACCTCTTACAGCCACTTTTTAGTGTTTGGATCAGATGGATACCCGCTTCCTGTAGCTTTAGATAGATCCAAAGGCTCTCTCATATCATTATTTGTTATTTAAAGATCTCTTGTAACTTTAGCACAAATTGATGCTGCTCCAACAACTGGAAATTTAGCATCTGCTTTTGAAGATACTGTAAATTTAAGTTATGGATAAGTATATTTATAATCTTGGTAGAGCTTTGCTTGATATGTTTCTTCTTTACCTACTGTGTCTAAAAATACTTAAGTCACATTAAAACCTTAACTCATTACTGAATCTATCAAGCTATATGCAGCATTAAATGATAACTCATTTAAAGAATCTCTATTTTTCGCTAACATTCTGTTAGATAAGAATTCTGCTGATAAAATTCTTACTTCAAAATATAGCTTGTCGTTTTTTAATTCTTCCATACGTGCATAAAGCTAGTCTCTTTTCTATTCTGTGAGTTATTTTGAATCATTAAAGCCTTCTAATTTTAATTCAGGCTCATATTAAATTGGCCAAACGCAACAGCCATATACCATAGGTCCCAATACAGGTCCTCTTCCTGCTTCATCTATACCCATGACCCAATCTAAATTTTTCTTTTTATTCTCAAATGTTGCCATCTTTCCTATTTTCCTTAATATTTTAAAACAAAAACACTACTATCCTTTGTATATTTGGAACTTTTTCAGCAAAAAATAAGCTTCAAAAAATTGAATTTTTGATATCAAATAAAATAGCTAAATATTACAGCGAACATTCAATAAAAAAGAGATTGATTTTTCAAAAACTTACCCGCCTATATTATTGGCTCTTAATATTTAATAGGCTCAAAGATAATTTACCAAAAAAAAGATATTTTTGGATAAAAAAGCTTAGTTCCTCAAAGATACTTCTACTATCTGTATTTTAATTTATTGATTTATTTAAACGAATTCCATAAGAAATATTTTATTAAATTTTTATATTTTTAAATATAAAAAATAATTAATTCTCAAGCTATATATAACTAACAAAATTCTGAAATTTCTAATCAATAAAGGTTTTATGATTCCAAAAAAAATAGAAAAAATTTAATATTTTGGGAACTTACTAGCCAGTATTCTATATTTAAATTAGTCATTCAAGCAAATTAAGTATCAAATTTAAAATTACTTTTTGAATTTCATTTGATTTATGAACAATTTTTTGTGTGTTTTGTTAGAATATTTTAAGATATTTAGTGTATTCAAAGAAGTGGTTATTCTTTACAAAACAAGTTTACACACTTTTAAAACCATGGTTTTTCTCACTAATTTTGAGAATTCGAATTAGGTTATTGGAATATTATTGAAAGAGAGGGCTGGAAAATAAAAAGAGTTTAATTTTTACATAATTGAATTTTTTAGTTATATTTAAATATTCATTAAAACCCTACTAAAAAATTACCATATTCCAAATAATAAAAAAATAAATAGAGTATAATTTTTATTATCAATTTAAAGCCATTACCAAACATTAATCCCAAATATAATAATTATTTTACCGAAAAAAATAAAAAAATTTAATAAATTTCCTATCTGTAAAAAATAAAAAAGCCATGATTAGCAGACATAATATCTTATAAAAGGTGGTAGCAGCCCTTAGAGAAGTTTTAAAGAAAACATCCCTCAATAAGGATTTAAGAGGAATATCTTTTGAATATTAATTATCTGAAACAGCACCAGTTCGCTTGAGATGCAGAATGCAAGCAAATGGAACTAAATTAAAAGAATAGGTTGGACAATCTTTAACTAAAGAAATTTGGAGACTTGGAATGTTTGAAGATTTTATGGATAAATTTAAGTACTTCCTAAAAATACTCAAAAAAGTTAAACCAATGATTTTTGAAGGTTGGACTCCTAAACAACTTAACATCTTGTTAATGGAAGCAGAAGAAGCTGGTAAATAAAACCTATTAAAAAAATATTTTTTATTTAATTAATTTTTTTTTATTTTAGCTTAAAATCTTGCACTCGAAAATAAAATAATTGGAGCTTATTTTCTTAACCGTTAATTTTGATTAAAATAATTTAAAAATATTTAATAAAATTTATTATTTATTATTTTGTTGATCTTTTTGATAAATATTTTATTTTATTTGTGTTAGTTAGTTAGTAAATATTATACTTTAATTTTGGAATAAATTCATTTTTTTTCATTACAAATATTTATTTATTTACCCTTACTGGGAAAAAAAATATTTGTGGATATTAAAAGTTCCTGATCTATCTGTCTATCCATCCAAATATCTATTATCAGATCAATCAAATGTAAAAGTAATATCAAATTTGCAAAAAATATCTGTCTAAAGCTTGCTAGATTCGCAAATAAAAAATTATAAATTAACAAATAATTAAATAAATATTTCTAAAAGAGAAAAATACTTTTAAAAATGGAATAACCTTCTATTTGTGCCAAATGTAATGAACAAATTAATGATGCAAAATGTGTCATTGTTGGAGAAAAGTTTTACCATGAAAATCATTTTACTTGTTCTTCTTGCTAAGCTGATTTAAGTACTTAATAGTATCATTAAGAAAATGATGATTATTATTGTATTGAATGCTATTCTTAAAATATTGCACCAAAATGTGCAGCTTGTGGATTAGCAATCATTGAAAATATTGTTTAGCTTGCTGATGGTGTAGAATTACATAAAGAATGCTTTGTATGTTTTAGATGCAAGAAATAACTTACTGCAGAATATGTTCAAGATGAAGTAATTAATGTGGAAATATGAAAATTAACTTAATCAATTTTTTTAATTTATTAGGATAAGCACATAGTTTGCAATGAATGCCTTGAATAAAGCGTTGATAAATGCGATTCTTGTTAGTAGGCAATTTTAGATTGTAAAATTTCTACTGGAGGAAAGGTATACCACTAATCCTGCTTTAAGTGCAATAAATGTGATTTAGTCATTGAATAAGAAAATCACTTAGAATAGGATGGATAAATTTTCCATGCAAGATGTTTGAACTTATAATGTTCTTATTGCAATGAAGTAAGTTTTAAATAGATAGATACTAAATATCTTAAATATAATATTTAAATATTAGATTATTCTATCAGGATATTACAAATACAAAGATATGCTCTACCATATTGAATGCTATGAAAAAGAAAAATAAGAATTATAAAGAGAACAAGAGCAAAGTAACAAAATTTAAAAAATAAATGAAATTTAATTGTTAAAAATCTATATTTTAAGTTAACAATAATACAGAATAGCTATTAGCTGATGTAAGAGAAGAAGTAGAAAAGGAAGAACAAAAATTAAAAGAAGAAGAAGAAGAGCAATAAAGAAAAAAACAACATGAAGAAGAGGAAGAAAGAAAAAAAGAATTGGAAAGAAATAATTAGTTAGAGTTGGAAAAGCTAAAACAAATGGAAAAAGACACATAAAAAACTCAATAATTAAAAACTCAATAATTAGCTTAAAAGTAGAAAATTTAAGATTAGCAAAATGAAGATTAAGGAAAATAAAAGCTATCTGATAAAATAAAATAATTTGAAACCAATAATTCTTAAAATAAGGAAATACAAGTTAAGTAAAATGACAACAATGCAAGCTTGAAGGTAGAAGAACCTAAAAAAGAAACTATCCCTAATACTTCAAGCAGCAATTAAAGTGAACCAATTTCCTATAAAGTAATACCTTATAGTGTTTTAACTTCTAATCCTCCTTCAGATGTTGACTTTACTAAGAAAGAGGTTTATCTTTCTGATCAAGAATTCCATAAGATATTCTAAATGAATAAACAAGAGTTTGCAGCTCTTAAAGCTTGGCGTTAGAAAGAACTCAAATAAAAACATAAACTGTTTTGAAAATGCTCATAAAAATTAAGATTCATTAACTTATTTCATAATTTGTTAATTAAACATATGTTTTATGATTTATTTGTAAAATTGATTCATAAATATTTTAAAAAAGACAAAATAAAATTATTTAAGATTATTTAAATCTTATTATGTAAGATTTAAACAAGATTTTATATATCTAAATAATAATAAATTTTGTTAATCAAATATAATAATTATAAACATAAAAATAGTAATCTTTATTTAGAGTAGTAGTTTTATTACATTATATATTTAGAAATTTTTAGATTTTATTAAAATGGGATTCAATATTTAACAATTCTCAAATGTTTTTCAAATAATAGTTGGATATTTTCAAAAATTCTTGACTAAGGTTCCTTCTTTTCTAGTGAGATTTTGATAGATCTTTAATTGTTTTTCAATATCGTTTTGCTAAATAAAAAATTAAATAATTAAATATGAAGTAATTTGCTAATTTAATTTACATTTTCTTCAACTTCGTTTTATATTTAGTTTTCTGCTACCAAAGAATCCTCTACGGAATTTCTTTAATTTATATTTGTTTGATGATTTAACTCTATTTAATATTCAACTTTTTAATTATCTTATAATTTAGTATGACTTTATTGGCAATCTATTTTTGCTTCAGATAATTTAAATTATACTTTTTCTTGTCTTTCAGATGTTTATTAATTTTTTAAATTTTAATTATCTTTTATTATGCTATGAGAAGTAATCTAATTTCCTTTTAATTAGATATTATTAGATGAATTTATTTTATTAATTATTCTTCTTTTTTGCTTAGCTTCTTTTATCATGGCATGAGCTTTCTTTAAGTAGTTTTTATCTCTAAGATCGTTTCCTCTCTCATCTTATATAACTATATGAAAGCTCCTTATGGTAATTTAATTTTAATCTATCACTCTAATACGTATTTCAGGATCATCGTTAATCTTAGGCACTCCCCAAATATGTATAATACCATCTACAATTTAGTGGTTTAACCATTTAGGAAGAGGGTTATTTATGGTTAAACCTATTGGAGTGTAGCTCATATTAAATATGTTCATCAAGCAAAGGCAAAATTAATTCTTTTTGTTTTAAATAAATTTTATAATTCTTAGATATTGAATAAAAAAAATACCTCATCTTTTCTGTAAGCCTATAAGCTATTAAGTTCATGTGGAAAAACGTGAAGACTCTCTCCTTTAGATGGATTGAAAATATTTCTTGAACAAGTGATTATACCACTAGCTTCAAGAATGATCAACTCTATTATTAAATACAAATCGTAGCTTTTATTAAATTGAATTTATGTTATCGCCTTAACTAAATTGTCTTATATAATAGCTATTTAAGGGAATGGATTTAAATTGTGATATCCTTTTTAAATCTCATCACTGTTTTCATCATCAGAAAAAGAACTTTATTACTTTTCTTCTATGTCTTCATCACTTTAATCTAAAATAATATCTATATGTTCACTTTCATTTTTATTTGACTATTTAGGTTAAGGAGTATTATATTTTAACTATTCATCTTATCTGTACAAATTTATTTTTTCATTTGATATTTAACAATTTGATTAAAATTTATTCACTGATTGGATATCTTCAGCTTTGAGTAGTTATTTTTAAATTTCTGCTATTGAGCATTATTTATAATTTGAATTTCTTTCTTATATATTATTATCACTTACAAAAATCTTTGTTTATGTAATAATTTTTTCGCTTTATCCATTTTCTTTTTTTAATTCATTGATTTTAGGATTTGATTTTTTTATAACCAAGTTGTTATCTTTTATTTACATTGTAGGAATGATATTAGTGTAGTATTTATACCAGTCATTTCTTCCTTACTTCTTTTTAGCAAATTTTACTACTTTTTCATACAATTTTTTTGTGATTTTATATTCCTCTAATAAAACATTAATAATAAGTTTCTTGACTATTCTTATTGTCCTACTATCATCGAAATCAAATTCTCGAGGATCTATATTTTTGTATTTCTTTTAATTAATTGTGTACAGTTATTGTAATTGAGAAATAATTAATTTAAAATCAAATTTCTTAGATGATTTGTATTCAGAAACAAGCTATTTCTTGAAGAATTTATTTTACTTGAGAAAGTTATTCCATATATCAAGTACATCATCAGTTATTTCATCTATCAGTACAATTTATTTTTAAAACGTTTTTCCTATAACAGCTACTTCTTAGTTATGCATCAAATACCTTTCGAATAAGCATCTAAAAAAATATTCATAAATATTTAATTAAAATTTATGAAAAAAAAAATAATTTACAGATGAATGTAAAAGCGGTATTTATAGATACCTAAGACACCTAGGATTGGACCTAAGATCTAAATGATGAATTAGAAAACATATAAGAAAGGAAGGGAAGCAAAGTATATAACAAAATCATTAGAAGCAGAAGTGTATCCATCAGTGGCAATAACTCTTATTCTTGCTTTACTTAACCAATAAGACGCTGATCTCTAACCACTGAAACTCTATTTAAATAAAAAATTTTAATATTATAAATACTTTTTTTATTTTATTTTTACCAGGCTAAATTCACTAAATTCAATCCAATCTCCACTAGTTATAAGTTATAAATTTGTTTCAGAAATTACCCAATAGGCTTTGTAAGTTAATTATAGCCCGTCTTTTTATGTAAATGTATCCATGTCAAAAGAAAAAGAAAATCTTTCTTCTACATACACCTTAGAATCAGAGTAATATCTGTTGAATTGATTTTATAGATCACTTTATGTCTTTAATTATATAGGTGAAACAAGAGAAATAAAAGTAAGCTAGCTTAGTGTTAAGTTCTAAAGAATATCGAAATTAGCAGAATCAGATAGATCAATATACAATAAAATTTTTTAAAAGTCTGTAGAATTTGTTGAAATCTATAAATTCTTTGAAACAATCTAGTTTACAAAAGAGCTTTATCCTGATATCTTTAGACTAGTTAGATCATCTGAAAAAGAAGCAAGCACACCTTCAAAGGTTTTCTTTACGAATATTCCATTTTACAAAATCTAAAAGAAAATACTTACTTATGGGGAAGGTGTTTGAATAATCTATCCTTAATTATTATTGTAATCAAATTTAAGTGAGGATTAAACAAAAAATCTAATAGGATAACTGATCTTTGAAAAAACTAATTTTTTTTTTATTTAATACTGCATTTAATTTTGTTGATCTGAGGTAAAACTTGTTTATTTTAAATCTGAGTCGTTGTAAAAATTAAGTTCAAAGTCAATGTTGGGATCTAATTTAGAAGTTATAAATCCCTGAGCGTCAATATATTATTCATTTAACAAAGTTTTATATATAGCTTAAGCTAGGTTTGGATATTTCGCATTAAGATTGAAGTCAGTTTACTATATTTGAGTTAATATATCTAAGACTAAAATGTTTTCACCTTACTTCTCATTTGAAAAGTTATTCTGAGTTGCAGATTTATCTACATTCATTGAAATTTATGATTAACTTTCTAAAAATATTATCCACGAAGGAAGAGTATTCATTTCAAAATTTCTGTAGTAGTAAACATTTTATATTTTTATTTTTAATTCAGTATACAACGGAACAAATGTTATTATAGCTTGCTATCCAACAAGCAATTTTTAACCTGGATTTAAGCTTTAATAAAAGTTTTATCCATTTTAATTTGTTTGAACCACTTAAATTTATGAATGAATCTTCAAGTTCGTAGTCAAAGGAATTGTTCTTGTTCCTAGTGTACCTTTTTTTTAAATTATAAAATTAAAATATGATTTAATATAAAATTTATTTTTTATTTTCTTTCATGAAAGTTTATTTTTATTTTATGGTTGAATAAAAAAATTTTATTAATTAAAAACAAATAGGAAGATCAATCAAACCATATTTTCAAATTTAAAAAATTGAAACAAAAATAATACCTGAGAAATAGGAGTATTTCTAATCTTTTGTTGCACATATTGCTTATGCATTTTCGTTTGGGAACTAATATTTTTGCTAAACATAAGGATTTGTAGGGTCTTCTACATTAATAATAGCTATCTAACCTTTTTCATTTTCAGCTATAACTAAGTATTTATCTGAATAGATTGCATCAAGACTTACTACCCAACCAGTTACTACTGTTTTTCCTAGAATGACAGGTTTATCAAAGTTAGTTATATCAATTATAACAACTCCTTAAAACCCATTTGCAAGAAATATTTTGGATTAATCGCTTGAGAAATTAAATCTTTCAGTTCCTACAGAAATAAGTATATTTGATAGTGTTAAAGCTTTAGTTGTGTAGGAATAATAGAAAAAAAAAATTCCTGTTTCTCTACAGGTGCAGACAATTCTTATAGAGTCTCTTAACCACATACACTTTTCGAAACCACAGCTGTGAGGCTATGAGTAATAGCCTCCATCGACTGGATGAGTTGGATCACTTACATCAGCAACTACAATTCCTGAGAAACCATTAGAAATCACAACTAGCTTTTAATCATAGCTTAAATCTAAGCTGTAAAAAAAAAGATAGGAAATATAAATGAAATTACAATTAAATTAGATATTTACTTTATAATTAGATTTTATAATGGAGGTTAGTTAGGATTGATATATACTTTAGGGCTATATATAGTTACTAGTTAGGGGTTGGCTATATTCTTTATATCATAAATAACCAAACCGACTTGTGACATTGCAACAAATAAATATGTTAGTTGACTATTTGCTTGAGAACCATCAATCAAGCCTCCAATAAAAGGTATGAAACCAACTTATACTAAACTATAAGGATCGGCCATTGATAAAATGGAATTACCATATTAATAGTTTGTTTCGATGTAATATTATTAGTTAGGGAAGCAATAGTTGTGGGTTGGAGATGAGCTACTTACTAGTGGTCTAAGGGCAGATTAATATGTATTAAATATATTTGGAAAATCTTAATTTAAATTTTGAATAACTGATTGATAAATGACGAAAGAATATCCATTTACTAAATAGAGATATTGTTCTTAATTTTTTGTAAAATAAACTTCATTTGCAAACATATTACCTTCTATTTACTAAACAAACTGTAGTTAATCATATTAGCCATTTTAAATTTCATACAATTTTAATCCTTAACTGCGAAAACCTAGTGCAATATAGCTATTATCTCTAGTAATTACTAATGATTATAGTAGATATGGTGCAGGTAATAAATTTTTAAAAGTAAAGGTGACTTATTAGTTAGATGATTTTGGTATTGAAAGTAAACCTTAGACTGGTGCATAAAATAATCCGAAAAAACCATCAGCAACATATAAGGCTTATCTGTCATATGTCATAATACAATCCCAAATTACAAATGCTGGATTTTAATTGAGTCTTAATTAAATATTGGTTCTGTCTCTAATGTCAAATATTTAAACTCCCATCATGTGATTAGATACAAGTAAGTATTCTTCATTTATATCAAATCTTAATCTATATGAATTCGGAGATAAAAACTATGCTTTTTTATAATAATTAAAATTTAAATATAAATTTGGTAATAGTTATTTTCAATTAAAAAATTATTATCAGCAGTGATTTAATTTTTTAATCAAGTAAAGTTATTTAAGAAAAATAATAAAATAAAAAGTAAAATTAATTGGAGGAATTTTATTGTTTTCCTGTATTTAAATGCTTTTTGATGATCATTAGAACTTAAAAATAAAAAAAAGATGATGAATAAATATTGTTATTTATTGAAGAATTGAGTTTTATATTTGTAAGTGTTATATCTAATCAGTAAATAATCTATCAAAACTTAAGGTTTATATTATATATTCTAATTGTTTTATTTTTATATTACTGAAAGATGAAACTATTTTTGGATTATTCGGATCAGATACGTCTATAGAAAAAACTTAACCATTAGCCAATAGAAAAGCATATAGTCCATCTTATGTGACCTAAACAGATTAAAAGCTTTTAATAAAATCCATTTATGAAACTTTTAAAGGCAATTAATGGTTCTTAACATTATAAATAAAAAATCCCTCATACAAATCAGCTAAAAAAAGATATGATCCTCTCACTTAGCAACTTATCGCGAATTTTGTATATATTTAAGAAACTACATATGTCTATTATTTATTTGTGATGTCAATAACAAAAAGACCGCCTTAACCTCCTGCAACATAGGTGATATTTTCATCATTAGATATACATAATCCTAACGCATTGTTATCTTTTTATAGTTAATTTAAGTTTAATTCGGAGATGGCTTTGGGATCCATCGAGTATTATCGAGATTAGCTTTAAATACTAGCTAAAAGCTAAATAAAGAATATAAATACAAAGGTAACTTTGATTGCTTCAAACCTCATTTTATTTTAAAATTATGATTTTTGAATATGTAATTATTTTTAGAGTTCTATTATTTATCAAAAAGTTATTGCTAATTTTACAATAATTTGATTAAAAATAAATTATTAATGTTATTTACAATTTACATTTATTTAATGTGATTTTTACAAATAAGAAATTTCACAATTTTTATTTATTTTCTAGCTCTTATCACAAATGTTATTTTTACTGAGTTGTTTTTTAGAAATACTTATTATTTCTATTTTTATCAGTCTTGCATCAGTTAGTAATTTGCATGAATCATTAAAAAATATGCGTTAATACGTTGATCTAAATAAAATATTAAAAACTAATAGAATTTTTCTATTCGTAATCTAAAAACTACTAATCTTATATACGTTTAAAATAATTAAATTAGTTAATATCTTATGTATTTCATATTTTATATTAAAAATGAAATATTTGATTATTTATTTTATAAAATAAAATTAAATAATAATTTGATTTAATTTTTGAACTTCCAATTATAAAAATGTTTTATGAATTAACTATAAAATCTTCATTTTTATTCTATTTTTTAAATAAATAAAGGAATCGTAAACTTAATTATTAATATTTACTTGTAAACCAGCTATTGATTACATATATAAATGATAAAATTTACTCTTTCAGATAAATAGAATTTTATAAATGTAAAGCTGTTATTATTTTTGAAAAAAAATTATTTGTAGCAAAAATCAAAAGGGAATTTTTTAATTTATTATTCTTAATCTTGCTATTTTCTTAGTAATTGATTTTAAATTTTATAATTAAATTATAAAATTAAAGTAAATTATGCCCATATTGATTTGAAAATTTTTAGTTAAAGAATGAGTTGGTTAATATTTAGGTTTGATGCTTTTTATAAAAATAATAAATAAATTCATTTGATTTTGAAAGAAAATTTCTAGTAATTTTTTTCTTTTGAATTTATTATATTTCAATAATGAGCGAAACTAACTCTCCTTTTAAAAAAAAAAACAAAATTAATATAAGCTAATTTATTAATTTACCAAAAATTTAATTTGATAAAAAAGAGGTTTGAAAAAGTGTATTTTTAAGAGTAATAAGATTCTATATTCGAGCATATAATTTTTTTTTTGATATTAAATTATTTAATGTAACAAGAATAATATTAATTTATTTGTTTTAGCAAATTTAATATATTAAAAATATTATCTCAAAATTTTGTTTGTTATCTATTATTTAAAAATTATTATTGGCAATTTGGAGTATTTTATATACTTATAAGATAAAAATTAAAGTTATCTTAATAAATATTATAAATTTGAAAAAAGCCCTAGAAAATGCAAAAATATAGAAGTAATTAATTAGATTTTTAAGGTTATTAATTCAAATAATATTGATTTTTTTTATTTCTTTTACAATTTGAATGAATACTTTATTTTAAATTGTTCTAAATATTTTTAAGATAAATAATCTGATTTATCTAGCTTTTGTGGTATTTAATTTGTTTGTAAAAAACAATATACCCCAAAAAGTACTAAATAAAAATACTTATAAATATTTTAGATCATTCAAATCTTAAATCAATCAATCATATAAAGTATAATAATTAAATATTTCTAAAATCAATATCCAATTAAAATTAACCAATACCAATATTTTTCAAAATTTATATTTATCTAATAACTCAATTATCAAAAAAAAAAATTACATATTTATAAAAGGATAATTTTTTATTATTAAAAAAATAAAACTTTATCATATAAATAAAAGCTAAGTAATTTAATATTGCAAGTAATAAATATTTATAAATTTCAAATAAAGACAAGTATTCTATTTTTCACTTCTAAGATTTCGTTTTAAATTCTTAGGTTTTAATTATTTAATCAATCTTTTTGAATATTAAAAGTATTTATTGTATAAAATAATTTTTAAAAATTAACTTACTTATTATTTAGATTAGTTTATCTCATTTATCAGAAAAGATTCTTACAGATGATTTTAATAGAAAGTTTAATTATTATTACTTTCTAAATCAATAGCTGACTTATCATTTTATATTTCCTCAAAGAGAGAAGCTGATCTACATGCACCATTTTATTTAGATTATTCTGTTTAAAATAACATATTTGTATTTTCAGCATTTTATTATGTTTACTGAAGAGTAATAACATTAGTAGGAGATTCTAACTTTAATTTTGCTTCGTCAATAAATTAAAAGCTTGGAGCTTTTTATAAATTATCTATCTATGTTTTCTAATCATTATTTTTTTAAATTATTTCTTTTTTATTATTATCTTCTTCTTCTTATTATTAAATAACTACTACAGAAGAATGAATTGCTTTTTATATTTTGACTTTTTTAGAGTTTAAATTTATTGTTGTTGTTTATTTTAGATTTAACTAATTAATTAAATCATTTCCATTTTAATCTTTAATATTAATATGAAAGCTATATACAGAAAATCCAGTTTTATTAAATATCCTGATTAATATTTCTGATTCTTCACATGCTTCAGGAAAGCCAAATAAATAAATCACACCATCAATGATTCTATAGTTTAACCATTTAGGCAGAGGATTATTTTATGATAGTCCGATAGAAAAATAACTTAAATTAAAGTAATTTTTAATCTTATGTGCCAAGCTTTAATTCTAAATTAATTAAAATGTTTAAATTAAAACACATCACTAAAAAAATTAACTAGAAAATAAAAATGATCCCATTTGAAATTCAAAACTCTTTTAAAATTTGTACAATCGTATTTTATAACAGTTTCAATCCATAGCAATTATTGCATTTTAATTATTAAAAATAAGAAGTAGAAATAACAAAGAACTATATCTAAAGATAAAATTATTATTTATTTATCTATTTTTAAAAATAAATTGAATAAGTTACTTAGTCTTTTTTAAAGGCTTTTAGAACTGATAAATTATATGAATGCAGGTGCAGACTTTCTCCAGCTGAAGGATTTAAATGATTGGGAATACTATTTAATGTTCCTGAGGCCTCTAAAGCTAGGTATTCAGCTAACAAATTAAAATCATACTTTAAAGTACATTTCAAACTTTTTAATATTTTAGATACTTCAGATTAATAAATCATAATCTCCGGAAAAGGACTTAAATGGTTAGTTTCTTAAGAACTTTGTTGGACTTTTTCAAAAGATTGTTAGTCTTTAAAATACTTATACAAACTTTACTTTTATTCATATTTTTTGGTTGGACTTTAGGGAGATTAGCCTTAAACAGAATTATTTAGTTATGTTGTGCTAAATAAATCTAATTTATCTTTATTTTAAGGAATTTATATTTTTCGATTTGAATATACCTCTCTTAATCTCAGCTGTTAGAAACTCATCTAATCAAATAGATTAACTTTTGGAAAGCTTTACTATTCTTTCTCAGATTCATATATTTATTTTAAATTTTTCTTTACTTAATTTTGGCTTTCTTTTTATTTTTGATTAGAATTATTTATTTGAAGATATAATTTGTACCAGTCTTTTCTTCTTTTCGTTGTTTAAATTGCATGGTCTTTTAATAGTTTGTATACCTAAAATGTGCTAGGATTTTAAAGTAAAAGTATTTCATAAATTTGTCTTTTAATTGATCTAACAAGTCTGCTATCATCAAAATCAAACTCTCTCGGATCTAGTTTAGGGAATTCTTATTTCAGCTATTAATAAATAACTTCTATTTATTTTAATATGGCATAAATATCAACTAGTTTGTTTTATTTGTAGTCATTTTATATTTTTTACTCAATGTCTTTATTTCTTTTTTTATAAAGTTCCCAAAGTTTTATAGCATCTGCCTAAACACTACCATATAAAATTATTTTTTTTTCAAAATGTTTTCCTATTATTGCTGTTTCTGTTTAGTAGATATTATTCTTTTCCAAGATGAAACTTTTATGTTAAATAATAAAAAAATTATTTATTTATTTAAATAAACAAAAAATTTACAAGTGAATCTACATTTTGTAACTCCAAACAATCAGAATAAATAGAATAGGAAGAAATATTTTAAATGCAATTTCAAATACATAGATAAAAGGCACTTTGTTAAATTTAATAACTATTTAATCTTCTGCTTTTGTGTATTGATCAAAAGTAATCACCTTTATTGTATAGTCCTATAAAAATTAGTTATTTGAGGCTTATCCATAAATCGTCTATTTATATTTGAATAATCTTTAAATAACTTTCATTTATAAATAAAAAAATTACCAAGCTCAATGGATTAAACTAAATCCAGTCATAATTTGATATTTCTTTCATGCTGCTATCATCTTAGCCCATTAATACTTAATATTAAATTTAGCTCTGATTATTAAATAAGAATGTATTCTGATTAAATGAAAATGTAAAGCTCTCCTATATATAAACACTGCTGCTAGGATACAAAAAATCAAATTAGCTCTAAAGACTTTTACTTAAATTTCTGCTAATCGGTTAGTATAACTGGATAAACTTGGTTTGATTTAAATTTAAGTTATAAGCTTAATCTTTGTTAAGGTAATCTTGAATTTAAATTGAAATCATAATTTCAGAAATATTCTAAGTCAAATTGCGTATTTATAAGTAATTTATTAGAAAATTATTGATATTCTATGTAGGTCCTGTTATATTTAATGTTCTAAGATCTTCAGAATAAGAGCTTAAAACTGAATCAAATTTAATTTTTTAGAATTAAGCATTTTGAAGTAAGCTTAATTAGATGTTTATTTTATCAGATAGAGATTAAATTACAAAATTTTATGATGCTTAAGTAGAGTCATTAAATCTGAAATTTTGTATCTTGAGATCAAAATTAAAAACCAATGATGAGGCAACAAAAAACCTAACAGGATAGTCTATTCTAGAAAATACGAGAGTCTTTTTAATTAAATTTTAAATCTAGGTAAAATAATTTTTATATAAATCTTCTGTATAAACTGAATTGTAGAAGTTTATCTAAAAAGGCAATTAAGAGTTAAAACTCTCATTCAAATAGCCATTTTAGTCAATTATATTATTAATTTGAAGCAACATATATAAATATTAGGCAAATTAGCTATCAATGATTCCATTTAAGATAAAATCAGAGCTCTAAATTTACTTTAATATTTCTAAAATAATGAAATTTTCTCCATTTTGATTAATTCCTGATTAATTTACCTAGATATTTACTTAATTATCTTTTTAATTGAAACTAATCCATGAAGGAAGGCTTTGTTTCTTAAAATTAGTCTAGTACTTAACTGAGTTTATTTTGATAGTGTTTATGGCATATAGTTATTGAAACGTAATTCTTACTTGTTATCCTACGAGCAATTTTTATGTAGGATCAACAGTTTAATAAAATAAATTAGTTCCAATATTCTAAGCTACTTAAAATTGTGAATGGATATTCAAATCGCTTTAGATAGGAAAATACCTTAGTCCCATATTTCCTTTTTTAAATAGAATTTATCATTTTAAATTAAATTTTCATTAAAGAAATTATAAATAAAAATAAAATGAAATACAGGATTAAAATAAAATCTTTGAAATAAAAATTTTTACCAACAAAATACATATGTTTTTGATTATTTGGATTGATACAAACATTAGTTGATGTTTCTCCAGGAAAGTTTATTTTCTATTGAATATATGGATTTTTTGGATCTTGTATGTTAATCAAAGTAATTTAGCCTTCATCTACTTAAGTTGTAATAATATACTTATTGTTAAAAATTGGGTAAACTGTGTATGTCCAGCCTTCCAATATTATCTCACTTAGCTAAATTGGATTAAAAAAGTTTTTAATATCTAGTATGATTAACCCTTAAAAACCATTTGCTAAAAAGAGTAATTTATCATCATCTGAAATTTTTGCTTATTCAACTCCAATTTAATAAATTACTTGTTTAGGCTATATATATTAAGATTATTCCTTTAAATCAAAAAGCAAAGTCCCTACTTCTTTACAAGGACAAGCCAAATTCTATCCATCTGAAGTAAAATCGCAACGTTGCACTGTGCAACCAAATTTATTTTAAAAAATTCTATATTATTCCAAGCTTAATTAATCAGAATTTGATATTTTAAATATTACTGCCCCATATACACTATTTGATGCTATTATTTAATCTTACTAACTAGATAGTTTGGTTCTATTAAATAATTTATAAATATTACTCTTCAAATGTAAATAAAAGAATATAATTATAATAAATACAATCATACTTAACTTAGGAGCGCTATCAAATCATCACATTAAAAATAATAAAAATTAATAAATACGCAAAGAAATAAATAGTAAATAAATAAATGGATGACTTACGCTGTAAATTAGGTTAGCGAAATAGTTGATCCACCGTTGTCGCTAGTTTGTTAATAAATATACTTATTTTTCATAATAGGTTTTGCCTTATCTTATATGCTAAAAGTAATCAATCCTGATTTAGAAGATGACAAATAAAGAGTGTTTCCATCAGATGAAACTTCTATATAATTAAGATCATCGAAATTTTAGCTTAAATCAGAAGGATTTTAAGGGTTTTGCACTTTTTATATTTAACTTACAACCTTAGGAGAGTAAGGGTCAGTTGAAATATCATAAATGGTTACATAAGTTTTTGGGTAGCTTACTATTAAATTATTTGCTAAGCAGGACATACCTAGTACATTTTGTTCTAGAGAATGTTACAGCGAAGATTAGAATTAATTAAAAAAGTTAGGAAAGTCTTGATTTAAATTTGGTAGATCAGTTTAAAAAATTAGCAAAGACACTCCATTCACTATAAAAACATATTAAGAATTTTTTGGTGAGACTATAATATCCATGATCATATATTTAGCATTTCGTATCGTCTGTATATAAAGTAAATTAGTAAAATCTTATTAGTTTATTTAATAAAGCTGTAAACCTACACTTCTAAGTCCAACAAGCAAGTAATTTCCATCATTTGTCAATTAAATAGTTAAAAACTAAGTCTATAATATTAAATTTACTTTACTAAAAGAAAGGTTTGCTTTAGTTGATTAATTTTAGTCTATTGATTTTAACTAAGTAATATCTGCATAATATAAGCCAGAGTTTATATCAAGGGCATAAATACCCTAGCTGTTTTAAGTAAATACACAATCAACAATAAACTGGTTAGGATTAACCACTGTCCTTAATTACTGTGATATCACATTTCTTACATCAAAAATAAGTAAGCCTTGATCATAACAGGATAATATTATATACGATTAAGCTTGATCAAATCTCATTTTATAAGAATAAGTAGAAAGGCTAGTGCTACCTAAATAGATTTTTAAATAAGTCTCATAAAAAAAGAATTAAAAAACTTATTCCATATAAAAATTAAATTTATTTGTAAATGTCTTCTCATTGATTTATACTTTTTTATTTATTGAGAAAAGCTAGCTCAAAAGTAGAAATTAGAGTTAGAATGTAAAGTTTACAAAAAAAATAATATTATGTGTATTTAAATATACCTTGGCTGACGGAGACAGATTTAGGGTTTGATAAATCATTGAGAAAGTAGGTTAAAAGATTTCCATTCGAAAGAATAAATGCAAATTATATATCTTGAGTTATAAGTACATATTAGTAAGACTGCGCAGTTCCAGCTTGAATAGATGTAGTAGATAATCTATATGGGTTATTTAAATTTCTCACGTCCGCAATAATTAATCCTTCTTATTAATCAGCAATAAAGAGTGTATTATTCTTAACTTAGCAGTGTTAAGCTTGCTTTGTTTAAATGTTGGATTTTATGCTAGGGTTGGCCATTTCTGAAACATCTATTATTTATATTCCATTGGAGCCAGTAGCAATAAATACTGTTTTTTCATTTTCTGAAATACAAAACATAAGGCTTGTACTCTATATAATTTATTTCATATTAAAATCTACCAAAGGATTAGGATGGACTATAAATTATCCATAACTGGAGCAACTTATTTGAGTAAGAAGATGTAATAATAAATAAAAAAATAATATCATATTTTGAGCTCTCTAGATTCTAAATTATTAAAAATTTTAGCGAATTAAATGCTTTTAAATTAAGAAATGCAAATGAAATTTTTATTTATTGTTAATATAAAATGACTTAATCAATAAGTCAGTAAGTAAATAAATAGAAATATAGCAAAATATAAAAGAACAAATGAAATATGTAAAAAAATCAATAAAAAATATTAATTATAGCTAAATTACATAATTTTTACTGAAAACGCTGCATTTCATAATTTAAAAGAAATAGTAAATTAAGCTGTAACATAAACAATAATAATACTTGGTAGTAGCAAATACCTTAATTTAAATTTTAAATTGAAAGAACTTTAAGTATTTGATTAATTAATTAAATATCTTACTTTTTTTAATTATTAAAATTAAATTAGGTCGATAAAAATATGTAATCTCTATCTGCTCATTCCCTATGAAAAATGATAAAAAATAAAATAGAAAATTAATTTATATTTCAGAATAAATGTTTATATTTGAAATAATTAATCAGTAATGTATTATTTTATTTTTTGTATTGTATTGTATCAAATAATTATTTACCAGTAGTTTTTATAAAAAAAAGTAATAAATATACTTTCATAAATTTTTGTTTACTAAACTTAACTTTATTATTTCAATTAAAGATGGCCTTTGATTGCTTATGACACTTCGCTTGCTTGAATTAAGCAAAAATTTTAGTTTTTTAAAAAAACTGTCAATTTATTTTACCACACAAATTTGATTTTTGACAATCAGAAAATAGATATTTTAGTAAATTTGATTAATTAATTTTGTATCCACTTGAATAAGATAAAAATTACAATAATTTTAATTAAAATTAACCTTATAATGTTAAAATACATCATTTCTTTCTTTTTTGCACTAATATTTGATTGTAATTGTAATTTTGTAATTACTTTGATTCAAGCGCTTTAATTCTTCTATAAAAATCTTTAGTAAACACAATACTGTTATTTATTAAGAGTTCTTTTTATATTATTTTTCAAAGAATTAAAGAAAATATTTTTAAAAAACTTGTATGAATTTAACTTTAAATGTTTAAAATAATTATTTTATCTCTAATAATTTAAATAGTTTTACATACTGAATTACAAATAAAAATTAAATCTTTAGATATTCTTAATTGATATACTGCTTACTAGCATATAAAAATATATAATAGATAGATTGAAAAATATATATATGAAATTTTGGTTAACTACCATAATTCCTACACTTAGTTTAATTTTATGTATTATGACAACAGGTTTTTTATACATATAAAACTTTAAAAATTTTTTTCCTTAAAAATAAATTGTAATTTTGATGAGTGTAATAAAACACACTGTGAATATAAAAGCAAAAGAAAATATTATTAAATATATATTTAATTTACAGGGAGTGTTAAATAATTAACATTTATTTATCAAGAGAAGTGTAAATCAATTTTATATAAATTAATTTTTTGGCTTTTTTTAAATAAAAAAACCAAACTCTTATTTATCATTTAACTTAACAAACAAAGCAAAATATTTAATAAAATATATAAAAAGCCACTAAATATATGCTAAATTTATTTGAATATATAAATCTAGAATGAATACCCTACAAAATTAATTATTTTGTATCTTTTTTAATTTAATAAACTTTTGTTAGCTTCATTTAGACTTGTTCTAAAATGTTTGACACTTAACTTATTCTATTTTATCCTTAATATATTAAAAAATAAATTAAGTACTTAAAAATATTATATTCAAATTTTTACATTTTTTTCACTCATATTTTCTTCTATTTCTACGATTATTGAGGTTTCTTAATTGGATACTTATTTCTCTTTTTCGCCATCTTTTTTTAATGTAATATTTATATTTTAGGAATTTTTCTCATTTTAGTCACTATTTTATTCATTAACTTGTTCTTCTGAAAGGAAATTATGGTTAATATTCTGATTTGAGCCTAAGCAAAATTGACTTTTCATTGGTATATTTCTTAAAGTTTATCCCTTTAGCTATGGTGATTCCTAAGATGGCAATTTACTGCCTGCAGCTGGAATGAACTGTTAACTGCCAATATTGTTGATAGACTAATGAAGTAATTTACCATGACCTGTTTTTTTTCTGGACGTAGGATTGTACTGCATAGTATATTTACGGAGGAGTTGTTTATTTCTCATGTCGTTTCCTAGCTAATCCTATATAATGATATGAAAACTGTAAATAGCAAAACCTGTATCATTTATGATTCTAATAAGAATTTCTGCTTCATCATTTGGTTATGGAATTCCCCACATATTAATTACACCATCTATGATCTAAAATTTTAACCACTTTGGTAGAGGGTTATTCATTACAAATCCAAGAGAAGTGTAGCTCATATTAAAAAAGTTTAAAAATTTTTAAATACATCCTTATTCCTGTTAATATTATATTAAAGTTAAAATTTTTAATTTTAAATAATTTTTAAAATACCTTGCTGTTGTTACGGAAAGCTTATAAATTAAGTAGTTAATATGGCAAACAATGGATGCTTTCACCATAGGATGGATTCAATTTGCTAGGCTAAGTAATAAGAGCTCCAGATGCATCTAATGCCATAATTTCTGCAAGTAAATTAAAATCAAAGGCTAAATTAAAATTCATTTATTTTAATGTTTCTTAAATTAAATCTTATTTGATATGAATTTCTGGAAATGGATTCAAGTTTACATAAGCTTTTTATTACTTTTACTCATTATTAAGAATTTTTTCTTTTAGAATTTAATTCTCTGAAGTGATATTCATCTGTTAATTTTCTACTAGAGAACATTTAGCTAATTTTTACCTTTCAGTTAATTCTTAAAGTTCTAGAGGCGAATTTAAATTTAAAATATCATTTTATAGCTGAGAATCAGCTTTTTAATTACTAATTAATTTAACTTCTCTTAATCTAACTTAATTAGAATTTAATAATTCATTGTTAGTATTCTTTTAAAATTCTTAGAAAATATCTTTATCTGGTTAATCTAAAACCCTTTGATCTCTTCCTAATACTTAATTTATATCCATTAAAGGATACAACTCCAGATAAAATTTATACCAATCTTTTCTTCCAAAATTTTTGAGGGAATACTTTTTTAGTTTTTCATAAGCTTTATTTGTATTTGGATTTTTTTCTAAAACGCATTAATAAGCTATACGCTTGATTGTCCTAACCATTCTGCTATCATCAAAATCAAACTCTCTTGGATCAATATAAGGAAATTTGATTTAATTTTTATAATATATTTTTTCTAATTAAGTAATAATCTCATAAATATCTATAGTATTATTCTATTTATACTCTTAAACTAGATTTTCCTTCAATTTTTTATTTTATTTTTTTAACATATTCCACAATGTTAATCCATCTTGCTAAACATTACCATAAATTATAATTTATTTTTTATACATCTAACCTACTACTGCAACTTCATTTTGATACATGTTTTTTCTTTCAAGCAAAAATCTATAAATAAATTAAGGAAATAAAAAATTTGTTATTCTATAAAATATTTTATTACAAGTGAATTTCGTAGCGATACTTCCATAAACCAATTATACCCAAAATTGGTCCTCCTATTTATATTATGATTTAAAGAGCGTATAAAAAAGGAACTGACCCAAATGTCATATAAAAATCATCTTAAACTTGAGAATATCCATCATCTGCTATTATCCTTACCCGTGTTGTATCCATAAAGGCACTTGCTGACCTTATTCCACTGAACGCCTTTTAATATAAAATTAATATTATTAAAGATTTTAAAATTAAATATTAAATTTACTAAGTTAACATTGCTAAATTCTATCCATGAGCCTGTCAGAATTTAAGTAGGAGGTTTTGAACCATTTAAAATATATGCAGTGTATGTCAATTATAAGCCTTCATCTTATTTAAATGTATTTAAATCAAAAGAAAATTAGAAGCGATCTTCAATAGGTAAATAGTTATTTGTGTAGTATCTGTTGAACTAAGATTATAAAGAAAGATTTTTATCTTAGTAAACAGGCTTATGTATGTTAATGAAACCTATCTAATCTAATGAGGTATTAATTGTTTAATCATAGTTATTTGCATCAGAGAGAATAAATGTTATGCTAACTTGAGAAAGATCTGCCGTGTAATTTGCTATTTGTATGCTGTTTTTTATTATAGCATTTACAAACGAAGTTTATCCAGATATTTTAACACTTGTTAAATCATCTGAAAAAGAAGCTAAAACACCTTCGAAAATCCTTTTAACAAATTTCCCATTTTTTGTAATTTAAATAAAGATGCTCACTTACTATGAAGGAGTTTGAATGATATCTGCAGAATTGTTAATAATTTTTTAATAGTTAAATTTAAGAGAGCTGACTATAAAGAATCTTATTGGGTAATCAATTTTAGAGAATGTTAAAGTTTATTTAATAAATGATTAAATTTTATCATAAACAGATGAATAATCACTTGGCTTATATATGTTTCCATCATAGAAATTTAAATCAAATGTTACATATGGGTTGAATTTATCTGTTAAATAGCTGTTTTAGTCTAAATAACCATTTTGTTAGAGCAAGCTAATTAAATAGTTTGATAAATTTAAATCAATTTTCAATGAGTTATTTATCAATTAATTTGGTGTTATTTAAACTTAAATTTCTAAGACTAAAATGTTTTCTCCTTTATTTTCTTTTGAAAAGTCATTGTAAGTACCAAGCTTATCTACGTTAAGGTTTATTTGTTATTGGGTAGTTAAAAATGTAATCCAAGGGGGGAGAACTTGTTTTTCAAAATAGCGATAATAGTAGACCTGGCTTATAATTGCATTTTATTCGTTATAAAGTTAGACAAAAGTTATCCTTATAGTTTAGCCCACTAATAGTTGTTAACCTTACTCTAAAGTTTGATAATAAAGAAAGCCTCCATTTTAGTTGTAAACAGCTACTTCAAATTATGTGTGAACTGTAATTTTTGGTTTTATTGGCAAGTATCTTAAACCAAAATTACCTTTTTTTAATAATAGCATAAAGTTTAAAATATTATTTTTAATTATATTTTACCTATGAAGTATAAATCATCATGATTAGCAGCATTTATACATGAATTTGTAGAACTCTCGCCCTTAAATTATACACGCTATTATTCATAAGGATTAGAAGGATCTTAAATATTAATCAAGCTGAGTTATCCTTTTTCAACTTAAGAGACCACTATATAGTTTTCATTGAAAATAAGTGTAATTGCTTGAGCCCACCCTTATAGAACTAACTAGCTTAACTTTTTAGGATTAAAAAAATCAGAAATATCTACAATTATTAAACCTTAATATCCATTAGCTAGAAAGAGTAACTTATCATTTTAAGAAATCAAAGCTTATTCAACAGCAAGCTCTAAAAATTAATTCTTTCTGAGAGGTGGTTCGCCAGGATTCTAAAGTTAAAAAAAGATTGTACCGATTTCACGGCAAGCACATACAAATTTTATTCCGTCAGATGTTGAATCACAACGTTCATAACCACAAGCTATGTCGTTAGGAAAAACACTTATGAGTTGTAATTAGCTCAAATCAGTAGAATTGATAAATGCGAATATTAAAACTCCAAAAAAGCTATTTCCAACAATTATTTTTTTCCCATCTTTGCTAATTTTAGCACTTAAAAAAATAAAATTGCAGAGAATTTTTTAAGAAAAAATAATATTACCTAGTTGCTTAAGTCATTAGTTATCCTTTATAGGAAAATTAGTATTGGTTTTAAAAAATAGGTTTTGACTTATCTTTGATATTAAAAGTGAGAACCCCAGATTATGAAGAAGCAATAATTAATGTATTAAAATCAGGTGTAGCTATGGCAATTGAAAAATTATCGAAATTACTTGCTTATTAAGAAACACTTTTTAATAGGGAAGGCTAATAAGGATTAGTTGTATCATAAATATTTAAGCTACTCCCAGCAGTGGCAACGATAACTTCGCTATTTGTACAAAATATACCAAACCTATTTACATTGCTATCAATAAAAGTAAGGGAAGACTAAAACGTGTTGAGCATATTGGGATAGTCTTAATTAATGTTTGGAGTAACTTGTTAAAAAATGATTAGAGAAATTCCATTTGTAACATAAATGTACTTGGCATTATTTTTAGATAAATTTATGGTAATAACCATGTATGATGCATCTAAGCTTTCAATAAAATTTAATTTCTTATAATTTTAGCTATTTAATTAATAGACTTTTATTCCTGTGCTACGATGGCCTATAAGCATATGAGATCCATCATCTGTTATTATCATACTTAAAACTAGTGAATCTGTATTTTGCAAAACTAAATCATAGTTTAAACTAACTTTTCCTTATTATGAATTATCATAAAGAACAGAAGGGTCAGCATAATAGAGCCCATTATAAGCATCTAAAGCATAAAATGCCTTAGAATCTGGAGTAAATGCCACATCCCAAATAACAAACTTAGGATTTGAACTTGCTCTAATGTATTATTTCTAAATATTACTAATATCAAGCACTGTTACTCCTGAGATATGATTTGCAATAGCTATGAATCTTTTACTTTTATCGAATCTAAGAGTATAACAATTAGGAGCAAATGTAAAATCTATTTTTATTTAATATAACCTTGAATTTTAGTGGAATAATATGAAATTATGTATTTTTTAAAATTTTGATTTATTTTAATTAAATATTAAATAGAATCAAATTTGTATTATTCTGTAATATTAGTAATATTTTTAAAGATCTATCTTTTTATTTTTTAATTGTAACATGCTAAGTATATGTAATTTTATCAACTAAAAATGATAGAAATATAAATAATTTTACCTAGAGGGAAAGGTAGCAATCTTGGTTTTGTTATATCAGTTATTTAAAAGGTAAAGACAAATCCATAAGATAAGGCAAAAACAAATTAGAAATCAGGTGAAAGTAGTACAAATTAATATGATGCCTTAAAGCCATTTTCAGTGTAAGAAGCAGTAGCTATTCTTTTTGGATTTTATTTATCTGTTATATTATGTATTATTAAGCCTTCTTGTTAATCTGCTACAAATAAATAGTTATTCCTTTCAGCACAAGCTTACGCATAAGAAGATTATGCTACAGAAATGACTTTTGGTATATAAATATTAGAAAGGTCTATTACATGTATACCTGCGTATGTTGAAGCTACAAAAGCATATTATTCATCTTCTGAAATGCAATTTGTAATACCTACAGACTGAGTTACATTTTTCAAATCGATTTAAGAGACTGGATTAGGATGTAAAACAAATTATGATGTTATACCATTTATAAACTAAGAGATTATGATAAGTAGAAATTAAAAAATAAAAAGCATCACTTGAATTTAATTTCTAATAAAGTTTTAATACTTTACTCTTTTTCTAATAATTATTTGTTTTTTAAGAAATTTACTAATGTTAATAACAATTAAAGTTTACTATTCATAATTTTCTAAATTATTAATAAAAATACATATTAAATAGTCTTTTTATTATTATTGAAAGTGAGATGACGAAATTAGTTATTGTTCAAATCAATTATTTCTAGCTTACGTTTAGAAAACCTAAAATACAAATTTTAATCTTATTGTATATATATATATATAATTTAATTTGATCGGATTTTTTTTTTACTGCTCACTTTTTCAGTTCTAGCTTTTTCTTAATCAGTGAAGGAAGTATCTTATATTAAAAAATAAATTATTACTTGTTGTAATAAAAAAAACATTTTTATTTAATATTAATGAAAAAATGTTTTTTTTAGTTATTTCTATTTGATAATTTACCTATTATTTTTAGAAAATTAAAAAATTATTTTTACAAACAATCTATAAAGAATAACAAAATTGAAATTTGATAGAAAATTCAAGTTTTTACTAAAAAAATCAACTTTCCTCTGGAAAATATTAATTTTTTATTATTTTAAACAACAGATTTGAGTAAAATATGACACTCAAGTACGACTATATACTTGAATTTAAAATCTAAAAAAATATAAAATTTCAATTAATATTGAGATTATAATTTTTTTTTTAATCATTAAAATCAAAAATGATGTCTTTACATAGAAAATACAACTAAAATACTCTTTAATGTTTTAAAAAACTAAAGTTAATTATAAATTGATTTATTATCTACTATAAAAATAATTAAGTTATTCATTTTTTTGTTTTTGATTGAAAAATTATTAATATTTTTTGAAATTATACACCTTTCTAAAACATGAAGCTTTTTTTAGATTTATTTATTTAATTATTTAAATTTTGGTCGATAAATAATAAATATATATTTCTGCGTTATTTTGATTAAAGATATTTTAAATTTTATAGAAAATAAAATAACAAAGTAAAATATGTTTAATGATTAAAAATTATGATAATTTCTTATTGTTCTAATTGTTTAACTCATAATTAGCTAATCAATTTCGAGTTATTACATTTAATATATATGTAAGCGTTTTGCGTTTGTAGAAAAGTTAAAAATTCTTAACTTAAATTAAGTTATTTACAATAAAAACTTATATTTAAATTTTAAACATAATACGTAAAATATTTAAATTAGGTTAAAAAAATGAATTCAAATTAAAATTTCAAGCTTACTTTTACTTGAAATTTTACACTTTAACTGTTTATACGTTGGTACTATCAATACCAACCTAAATTAATTAAGTATAAAAGAATTTTTTTAATTTTACTTAATAAATAAAATTTACTTTTTTCTCATATACAAGATAATTTTTATATCCTCCTAGCACCAATGAATTAAGATTATTCCGTTTAAACTTATTATAATTTTATAAAGCTAATATTTTTTTATTTAATATTCAGTTTTATATTGCAAAAATTGTTTTAAATAAGCGAGACAATAAAAATCATTACTATTATCCTTATTATACTTAAGAAAATATTTTTTCCTTTTCTAAATTAAAGTTATGAGAAACATTAGCGATTTAGCATTAAGTTTTATGTTTTATCATAGAAAGCAAACATTCATAGCTTAATGGAGAGTCATTTGAGTTTGAGTGTATTTTTTAAGTTGCTAAAAAATTCGGTTCATATGTTTACTAGAAATCAAGATAAAATTCTTTCTCTTTATATTTTTAAATATTATTATTAACTCTTTAAAATCTAAAAAAGAGATTGGATTAGGATGAATAATAGATTATATCTCACAGTTAGTCTATTATTTTAACAAAAATACAATAAGAAGAAGAATTAATTTGTTTATCATCCCCGTTTTTCTTAACTTTAAATTTTTATGCCTAAGTACTAAATCAAAAAGTTAAAAATTTTTTATACTTGAAAACCAAGTTTATTAAATAAATTAATTTATAAATAGCAAATAAAACCAAAAAAATTTTTTTTAATTGTATTTTTTGATAAATAATTTTTGTAAATGATTAATTACTAGCTGTTAGTAATAAGAAATTTATAAAATACTAAAAATATGAAATAATTTATAAACAAATGAAAAACATATAATGTATTCAATCTTTTCTTAAAATAAATTAAATTCTATTTTATTTGCTAAATAAAGTTTTAGAAGTTTAGTATTTCATTTTAAATTTGTTACAATCGACACCATTTTACTACAAATAAAAACTCTAGAATTTGTTACATTTTAGACACAATAAGTTTTTTATTTTTTTCTAGTATGATTTTTATCAAATTTTCATGCCAATTTGGAGTTTTTAGTTTTTTTTTTAAATGTAAAATATAATATTTCTTGAAATAAAAAAAAACTATAGAGTAATAAAACATAAAAAAACATTTTATCATTTTTATTGCAAATAATTTTAAAGAATAAATAAAATATTCATATTATTTTTAAGTAATTTTTAATTTATTGCAGTTATTTGGTCTTTGATTTATTAATAAAAATTTTCGCAATTTTAAATTTAGCAAGGTTTTGGCTTGGTAAATTATAAGGTAATTTATTTCATTATTTTTTGAACAAATTTTGCAATAAATCATTGATTCCATCAACTTTCTTCGCATTTCTTTTTGTTTTTGAGTCGGAATCTTTCATGGATGGCATAATTTTTTTTAAAGTCTTTGCAAATGTTTTCTGCTCATCAATAAGTAATTTAACATTTTCTATTGGCTATCCTGATCCTTTGGATATGCGAAAAAGCTATTTTTAGGTAATTTGAGTTATACCGTCTAACTCATCATTACTCATGCTGTCCATAATAGTTAGAGATTTCTTGATCTTGTTAATTTGTTCTTTTTCGCTGATTTAGCCTTAAATAATATTTTACATTCCAGGAATCATGCTCATAAACTAATTTAATGAACCCATCTTCAATATACTCTTGTAATTTTACTATAAAGCTCTTAAAGTAAATTAACCTTTTGCAATTTGCTTTATGTTTTGCTACTAGCTTTCAAGATCAATAACCTCAGACACAGTTTCAATCATACCTTTAAAATCTCCTAAGCCAAGCAATCTTTTTACAAAGCTCTCTGCTTTAAAAGTCTCTAAATCATCAAAGTGCTCTCCAGTCCCTAGAAAAATGATAGGACTTTCAGTAGCTGCAACAGCACTTAATGCACCACCACCTTTAGAATGCCCATCAAGTTTAGTAATGATAACACTACCTACATCTACTGCTTTTTTGAATGCCTATGCTTGATTTAAACAAGCCTGGCCATTTGAGCCATCCATAACAAATATGCATTCGTTTGGGCAAACCGCTGAATAAATTTACTTCATTTCATCAAAAAGCTCACTTTCTTGCATATGACGACCTGAAGTATCTATTATAATAACTTCGAAATTTTGCTTTTAGAAAGTCTTAACTCCTTCAATAGCAATAGCCACAGGATCTGTCTCAGTCCTGTTTCCATAAAATGGGATTCTAATTTTTGTTGCGATTTGTTAAAGCTAATCAAATGCACCTGCTCTAAAAGTATCTGCACAAATTAAACAAGTTCTCCATCCTATTTAATAAATAAATTTGTTAAACTTTATTTTTATTCTTGTGTTAATTTTTTTACATTTTTTATTATTTTTTCTTTTATTTTAAAATAATTCTTTAATAAAATCATAAACTTTATTTAAAATTTCAATACCTTTCTTCTTCCAGTAGTTAGCGTATTTTGCGCACGTTGTCGTTTTACCAGCTCCTTATAAACCTACAAACATAACTACATTAGGTTTACCACTTTTAAGAGAAAATGGCTACTTCTTAGGATCAAGCATCTTAGTCAATTCCTATACAACCAATTATTAAATTAGTTTTTTTTTATTTACTGCTTCTTCTATATTATTACATTTCTAAAGGATATTATCAGATAGTTATTTAACATACTTTACGTTGATATCAGATTGTAATAAAGCTAATTATATATCCTTTAGTACCTTATTTAGCAATTATTTATCAAAGTGATAATCCTTGTTTAAATTTGATAAGGCATCATTAATTTTTTTACCTAGATCGTTTAGCACCATTTAAGAAGTAAGAATTCTAATTTAAATTTATAATTTATATTAAAATTTTAGGAATATAATAATTTTTTTAGAATATTATATTTTTTATTTGATTTAATTATTTTAAGTAATATAAAATAGTCATTTCGAATTACCATATTAAAAAAGAATACTTTAAATTCTAATTTTCTATTTATCTATAATCAATTATTTTTTTTAATTTATATAAAGTATATCTATCTTTATTAATTTGTTTTGAACACGTTTATATTCAAAAGGCTTTAATTAAAACTTTGAAAATTATTCCACTTTAATTTAGAATTTTAGAAAAAAAATCTTAAAATTCTAGATTAATTAAAGCTGTTTTTGGTAGATAATCATTAAATATAGAAGAATTCTATAAATCTATTGTTTTACTACTTGTGTTTAAGAATTTATAATTTTCTATAAAATGAAAGCATAAACACAAAAATAATATGCAGATATTATATTATAAATATATGATTGTTTAAGTAGTCTATGGAATAAGCATTAGAAGGAGAAAAAAGAGAATGGGAAAATAGTCATTTTTCTTATTTTATAAATTAGAATATAAAGAATAATATATTAATTTTTTTATATAATTTTTGGAAAAGTAAGGTTTTTTGTAGAGGAATATTATATAATTTATATTTTAGATATAATAAAAGTTAAATTTTATTGTATATTAATATGTAGTTATTATATTTTTTATCGTAGTATTATAGTTTTATAATTTGCAAAACTTATTTACTCTATTTAAATGATTTTCATTTTTTAAAAAGAGTTGATCTATCTTGAGCTTATTTGTGAATTCAATGATTTTAAGCATTCATTAATGATAAATTTATAAGGCAAGATCTAAAATGAGATTCAAAAATTAAAGATTTTTCAAACCCAACAATATCAAGAACATTTCTTGAAAAAGACTGCTCAACTTATCCATCGCATAGTTTGTATGTAAATTTGATTTAGTTTTTTTCATTTGGCACTAATTCATATCCCATTTTGAATAGCTTTACCATAGGGCTATTTTAATATTGCTCAACAAGAAAATTAGAATGTGTAGAGAAGAGACAGCAAGACTTATTTTTTTCAATAATATACTGTAAAACTCCACTAGCTAAAGCAACACCATCATAAGTAGATGTTCCTCTACCAAGTTCATCAATAAGTACCAGACTGTTTTGATTCGAATTCTTTACTATCTATAATGTTTCTTCTAATTCAATATAGAAAGTACTTTTACCTTAAGAAAGTAGGTCTCTCATACCTATTCTTGTAAATATTCTATCAAAAGGAGAAAATTCTAAGTACTGGCAAGGTACATAACATCCTACTTAAGCCATAATAACAATCAAGCTTGCACTTCTCAGTATTGTTGATTTACCTCCCATGTTAGGGCCAGTTATTATTTGTACTCTAGGATAGTTAATTTTATTATGTTAAGTATTTATTATAATACTATTGGCCTAAAATTATTTTTTCAGAGCCACACAAGGATGCTTTCCTTAGATAATTTTAAGGTAATTACTCTCATCTTATTTTTGATCAACAATTACAGGTCTTGTCATAAATCCCAGTTTCTATACCATAGTTTCATGGAAGGAAACTTGAGAAAGAGATATGAGACAATCTATTTCAGCTATGACATTAACTATTTGATTCCAATTATTTCTAATTTTTTAAAAATTAAATAAAGTTATCAACATAACTTTTTTAAAGATTTAATTTGTTTATCTTTTGAAAATTTCAATTAAAATTCAACATATGTTACAAAAATTTAATATTTAATTTAAAATAAATATTTTTTAAAGTATAAAAGTTTAAATTGAATTAAAGAATTACCTGTATTTAAAGAATTCATCAAATATAACACATGTGAAGTCTCCAAGAAACTATTTAAGTTAATCTTGTAGCAATAGTTGTTTGTTTATTAGCTATTTTAACTATGGGGTATGAAAGCGCTATGTTTTTTTAGTAATTGATGTCAGTTCAAAATCAGCAGGTTTTTTATCTCCCTTAACTAATTCAATAGGAATCTCAAGTTAATAAGGGGCCTTACTATGGCAAAATTGAATCCTATCATCCCCAAATTGTTTTCTAATTTTTTTGATATAATTTGAAAATTCATTTTCATGATCTTCAATCTCTTTCAATTTGTTATCATATGCTTCACAGATTCCTGGTACAGGAGTAGGAATATGTTTTTTAGAACCAATCCATAATATCTTTTTTTCAATAGAAAGTATCTTTCTTAAGCAAATATCATGTAAATTATCATTTGGATTATAATTTTCATCTTTTTTATTTCCCCCCACAAGCATTTTCAGTCTTTTACTTTTGAAAGTATTGCTTTCTAAAAAGAAGGTATCTTTAATAGTTATTAATATTTATTTTATATCTTCAAAAAAATTCTTTAGTTCTCTTAATCTTTGCTAAGACACATCTTCGAAATAAACGCCTCTATTTATTTATTAATAAAATATTTACTTAAAAATGATAAAATAATTTTAAATTTATAAATGATTGATTGAAATAGTAAATAAATTATTAGTATGTTTTACCTGCTCTTATTTTTGACTCTATACGAGTAGAGTCTCGAAAGTATATTCTCAAGATCACTTAAATTTGAAAGTTTATCTCTGAATTGATCTCTAAGTAAATTGTGATTTTATAAATCTTCTATTGCATCAAGTCTTTATTCAATCTATTGCTTATCTATTAAAGGTGAAGCCACCCATAGCTTAATTAATCTTTCTCCTGGCTTTGTACATGTTCTATCTAAAAGCTAAAGTAAAGAGTACTGCTTCAATAAAAAATTAGATTCTTTGTTTCCATATGATACTTCTAAAATATCTAGATTGCTTAGAGTTTAGCTATCCATAATTAACCTTTTATCTTCATAGTTGTTATCTTCTTATTTTTAAACATCTTCTTATTCCATATGTAAACTATTGATTTATTCGCCCTCTTCTATTTTATAGTCACAATTTGATTCTTTTAATTCATAATCTGAAATCTCTCTATTGTTTTCATGATCAATTCTGATAAAATTTGCAATTGGTATTGTTTCATCAAAAAGTAGATTGCTTTTCATATAATACATTAGTGCACTTAGTGCTGAATATGTTAGCTAATATGACGGGTTCTCTTCACTTCTTGAATAAAAATATAAACACTTTGGCCACATATTTTAAATGTCATCACTCCCAAAAATATCAGCTATATGATTGAAAGCATATGTAGGTTTCCAAATTGTTTCTTCATTCAATTAAGTAGTTAATGGTTTAGTTGGTAATTAGGACAGTAATCTCAAGCTTTCAATGTCTGTAGTTTGTTTTCTATAAATGATTTCTGAAGGCCTATAAACATAGATGATTTTTTGAAAAGTTGAATAAATATTATCATCTTCAAAACATGCAAGCAAAATTTTTCCAGTTATTGAGTCAAATAAAGTTAATCCAAAGGTAATTTTTTTACTAAAAGATTATTTTTCTGTTACAATACTCAAAATATAAGTGCTAGTACTGAGCTGTAATTTTCTGCCTCTTACTAATTGAAGAGCAGCTGTACCTTTTGTATAAATTGCTACAACATCCCTATTCATAAGTTTATCTCTCTCAGTGAGCTTGATATTTTAGCTTTTCATTTGCTTGATTCTTTCTTTTTATTGCTTTTCAGTTTCTAACTGGTCAACAATAACAACTTTTAAATTGCATTCTGTCAATTTACTTAAATAAGGATAAAGAATTTCTTCTGGAAACCCACATTTATTTTTCCTAGAATATTTTGGTTACAATATTTAATTACATACGAAGGAATCTTCATAATATGCTTCATAGAATCTTCCTAACTTAATTAATACTATTTTATCGTAATGATCACTCTTAATTCTCCAATATTCTCTCATGTAAGGTTTGAATATCTTAAGTTAAGATTCTTCAATAAAGAGAGTTGTTGGATCATAATTTTCACTTCCAATTTTATTGCCTTTCTTATCTTTGATATTTTCTTTTTGTAAGAATTCTGGGAGCTCCCCTACATCTGTTTCATCAACTATTTCTTCATTTTGTGCACCTTATTCTTTATTATCTATTTTTTAAATATTTTCATCAAAACTATCGCTTTCTTCTCCTTATTCTTTTTCTAGTGGATATTTTAATGCCTTTAATTCTACATTCTATAAAATTGCTTATTATTATTTATTACACTTTTCGAAAATTTAATCCTTTGTAACTTTTTTTAACTTTTTCCTTTTATTAAGACTATCATTTAAATCTATCTCTTCTTCACTATCTATTTCATCTGAATATATATTTTTTTATTTTTAACCAGAAGTTTTTGTAGAAACACTTAAACCTTCATTTTCTATCTCCATTTCCATTTCATTCAACTATTTTTTTTATGAATCACTTATCTATTATTTATTTAAGCTGGCCTTTTTATCATTTTTGTCACCATTTTTCTAATTAGATTATTATAAATTTTATGATTTGATATTCTATTTTGCGAATGTATAGTTCTTTATCAAATCAAGAATATTCTCATTTTCAAAATCTAAGGAGTTTTGGTTATTTTCTTACCATTATTCATCTTCAAAAACATCTTTGAATATATTTGTTTCTTATTTATTAGTTTCTTAAGACTCTTAATTTTCTTAGCTTTACTAATGTTCATTGCTTTTCTTTTTTGATGATTTCTATTATTTTTACTTAGGATCTTTAATATTAAGGTTTCTACAAAGCAATTCTTCAACATTCTTCTTCTTTTTTGAAGAACTTGATCTAGAATCTTTTTTCTTTTCAGTTTATTCTTGGAATAAGACATCTTACTTTATTGTTTTTTTGTTTGGCGACATTTAAAGCTTGTAGAAATTAATTTTTTTAAGATATTTTAATAAATAATACTGAAAACATAAAAAATATATATTTATATATTAAAAACAAGATATTATAATAATTTAATGTATTTGGCGGAAAATTAAATTTTAATAAACAATCAGAATGTGTTAGATTTATATCTTTTTAACAATCTATATTTATATTATATTAATTATCCATCTATAAATATTAAGTAAATCAAATTATAAATAATTAATCATTTAATTAGTTTAAAGCAACAAAAATTTTATTAGAATAGATAAAAAAAGTTCTTTTTATTATATAAATATTAATATAATTAATTCCTTTCTTCATAAATTTTTTAAAGATCACAAATATTTGCTAAAATAACAAGGTTATAAAATATAAAAACTCAACATTCCCAAATAGATTATTTTTATTCATAAAAAAATATTAAACACTGTTTTCATAATTTAACCAGGGTAAATATTTTAAGTTAAAAAGTACTGAATTTAGAAATATTACACTGTAATATATATTTATTATATATTAAGGAATCATTTTGGTTTTAATTTATAACAAGATTTCCTAATATTTTTATTTTAATTGTTATTATCATCTTCCTATTTAATTAATAAAAAAATTTTAATTAATATAATTAACTTCATCAAAACAATTTAATTACATTAAATTCTTTAAAATTTGAATCTATTTCTATAATTACAGAGGAATTAAGCTCAGATATCTTTTCTATTAAGTTCATCTACTTCTCAGGTATGTTACTTTCTAGTTATGAATTTTGCTTAACAATTTTGGAAGGATCTACATTTGAGTGAAATTATTATAAAACAGAGGGCTTTTCTTCATCTATTTTTTGCAGCTAAAATAACTAAAACTCTTAGAAATTTTGGAGACTATTCAATCCCGTTAATTTTATTTATTCCTTAGCAAATTAACTTCTAGTTCCTATTAGCTATTAAGAGAATATTTTGGCTTAAGGAGATTCATTATTTGCACTAATAGTATTTCTTATTTTAGGCGTTCCAAATTGTTGTGACATGATGTTTACAGAAGAATACATTCTTGTGAGACCAATTTATTTTATTTGATTTGGTTTATATTAAATTGTGAATTTACGTAAGATTTATTTGTTTCTCATATCATTACCCTCTTTGTCTTAAATGAATATGTGGAAGCTGTATATTGCTAAACCTAAATTATTGATTATTCTAATAAGTATTTCTGGCTCATCACTTGGCTAGGGAATACCCCATATATGAATTATTCCGTCAATAATTTAAAAGTTCAACCACTTAGGAAGAGGGTTATTTTTAACAAATCCAACAGGAGAATATTACATATTTAAAAATTTCAGAATTTTTTGTACGCAACCATCTTCCTATATTTAAGAAAAGAAATCTGTTTAAATTTTTATAATTTATTTATTCATTTTTTACCTTATTTTTACAGAAAGCTTGTAAAGTATCAAGCTCTTAAGGAATTGTATGAATGCTTTCACCATATGAAGGATTAAAAGAACTTGGATTTCCTGTTAAAGCGCCTGAAGCTTCAAGAGCAATAACCTCAGCTAGTAAGTTGAAATCGTATTATAATTTGCAACATATATCTAACAGAGTCTGATTAATTATTTACTGATTTATGAAGATTTCTGGGAAAGGATTCAAATTTATGTAAAGCTGTTCTTTTCCTTAAGTTTTAATTGTATCAGGTTTTTAACAAAGATCATTTTCAGAATTTCCTCTTTCTGATAATCGTTTAGTATTCTCTCCAGAATAAATCTATGATTAAATATTTGCATTAATTTGATTTTATTTATTTTCACCATTTTGTAAATCTAAATCTATCTTCTTTAAAGTTTCTACATTGTAATCATTATTTTTTAACTAATTATTTTTCAAGTTTTCATTAAATTATTAACTTTTTGATTCTAATTTATGGTTTACCTTGTCTTATTACTCAATAACTCTATGAATAACTTAGTCATCCTTTATTTCCATTATTGGATTTATGACTAAATATTTTTTATACCAATCTTGATATCCAAAATTTTTTATAGAACATTTCTTTAATTTTTCTAATACTTCTAGTGTTGTTGGATCATTGTCTAAAACAACCTAATAAGCCAATCTTTTTACAGATCTCACTAACCTGCTATCATGGAAATCAAATTCTCTAGGATCTAAGTAAGGGAATTTTTTAGTATTTTCATGATATGCCTTTTCAAGTTTAGAGACTAAATTGTATACATCTATTGTTTGATTCAATTTGTATTCGTCTATCAAAGATTATTCCAAAGATTTGTCTTACTTTCTTAATATTTTCCAAAGGGCTGAAGCGTCTGATTAAACTTTTCCATATAATATTATCTATTTTTTAAAGAGTTTCCCAGTCACAGCTATCTCATTTTAGTACATGTGTTTTCTCTCTGAAATAAATCTATTTTAAGGCAAAATTTTTTAAATTAATTTACTAAAATTAAATAAAAATTACAAATGAATCTCAGAGCGGTATTTCCAAATACCAATAATACCAACAATAGGACCAACAACTGAAACTATTAGCTAAAAAGCATAAAAAAAGGGAATTTAATTAAAGGTCATGTTAAAATCACAGTGAGCTTTTGAATATCCGTCATCAGCAATGACTCTCACAGTTGTAGTGGTCCAAAAATACGATGCTGTCCTTATCCCACTAAAACCCTTTTTTTTCACAAATAATTAATGAAAAATATTTATTAAAATAATTTACCAAGCTTAGATTATTAAAATCTATCCAAGAGCCTGTTAAGATTTACTATGGGGGATTGTCTCCGTTTAAAATATATGATAAGTATGTTATTGGCAACCCATCAGGTTGGATAAAGGTTTCTAAATCGAAAGAAAATTAGAAACGATCTACTATTGGTAATTATCCATTTGAATAATACTTCTCAAGTTGACCTTAGAGTGTTTTATTTGCATTCAATTAAACAGGTTTGTGTATTTAAATAAAATCAGCTTCTTTGAGAGAGATTTTTATTGTTTAGTCATAATTATTTGAATCAGAAATTAAGAATGTTATTGCAACTTATGAAAGGTCTTGTGTTTAATTTGCTATTTAAATACTATTGTTCATGATAGCATTGACAAATGAAGTTTAACCAGTTATCTTAACGCTTGTTAAATCGTCTGAAAAAGAAGCCAATACACCTTCAAATATTTTCTTGACAAATTTCCCATTTGATGTTATCTAAATTAGAATACTCACTTGTTGAGATGGAGTTGAAATGATATTGCCAGAGTCTGAAGCATTCTATTATCTTAATTTCTAAGAGTAATTAAACTTTAAGGAACTTACTATAAAAAACCTAATAGGATATTCTACTTTTGAGAAAGCTAATATTTTTTTTAACTGCTATTGAATCTATTAATATACACCTGAGTGGGTGTTTGGAGTGTAATTCACGCCATCATAAAAGTTTAAATCAAATGGAACTTAAGGATCAAATTTTTATGTAATATATCCATTAAAATCAATGAAACCATTTTATTGAAGTAAATTGAGCAATACAGAAGCAAGAGTCTAATCAATTTTAAGTGAATTATTTATTAGCTTTTGGGATTACAGCTGGACTTATACCTGTAAGATTAATATATTTTCACCATTCTTTTCTGTTGAGAAATCATTAAGAGTTCCAAGTTTATCCACTACCATTGTTATTTGAGATTGAGATGGTAAAAAAGTAATCCATGGAGGAAGATTTTATTTACTAAATTAGCGGTAATAAAAGGCATTGCTGATTTAAATTTTTTATTCATTAAAGAGCTAAGTATAAATTATTCTAATGTTTTGCCCAACAAGCAATTATGCTCCTTAATCTAAAGTCTAATAATAAAGTAAATTACCATTATTATCTAGTTATTATACTTAAAATTAAGTGTGGATAGTTATAGATGGTTAAATTGGAACATACCTTAGTCCAGTATTTCCTAATTTTAAATATTTTCAAATTATTATTTAAAAAATTAAGAAAATTTTACCTAAAAAATATAAATTTGTTGGGTTAGAAGGGCTTAAACAAGAAGCAGAAGAGTATTCGTCTAAAAATTCTATTCTTTATTACTCATAAGGATTTGAAGGATCCTCAATATTGACAAGACTCAGTTAACCCTTTTCGACTTAAGAAACTACTAAGTATTTCTCATTAAAAATAGGAGTGACCCATTATGCCCAACCTTAGAGAACAAGTTGACTTAATTTTTTTGGTTCAAAAAAATTTGTGATATCAAAAATAAATATTCCTTAAAATCCATTAGCTAAGTATAGTAATTTATCATTTTATGAAATTATAGCTTGCTCTACACCTATCTCATTGAATGCATATTTAACAATTGGATCTATTCCTGGCTGTAAAAGTTAGAAAAAAATAGTTCCTATTTCTCTACAAGCACAAACAAATTTAGTAGCATCAGAAGTAAAATCACATCTCTCAAAACCACAAGCGTATTAATTTGCGTAACCATTTGTAAGAATTAGAGATGACAAGTCTTATGGGTTATCAAACATATAGACTAGCACACCATAAAAACTATTACCAACTACAACTTTTGTACCATCTTTACTTATCCTAACGCTTTTTAATTGATAAAAAATTAATTTAAATGATAGTTAAGTTAAAATTAAAAAAAATAATGTTTCAAATATTACCTTGTATATTCTGTATATGATTATTTGTTTTAAATTAGTTAGTATTGATTTTTATATTATGGATTTGATCTATCAGAAATATCAAATGTTACTAAGCCTCCTTGTTAATTTGCAATAAGCAGAGTATTAAAATCAAAGGTGGTAGTTATAAGCGAAATGGTGCCCTTCGTTTATTAATATTTTATATAATTGGCATATTATTTTGGATAAAAGGCGTCAGTTATGTCGAAAATGAAAATTCCTACTGAAGCAGCTGTTACCATAACTTCTTTTTGTGTACACTAAATACTAAATTAATTTTAATCAGGACTCACAAATGTTAAGGAGGATTAAAATGTATTAAATAAATTTGGGAAATCTTAATTTGTATTAGGCTAAACAAGCTTAAAGATAATTAATTGTATTCCATCAGTCACATAAATATATTAATTTTGATTTTTAGAAAGATTCATGCATAGAACCATGTAAGAAGCTTTTAGATTTTGGATAAAAGTAAGCTACTTATAATTTTGACTATTTAATTAATATATTTTGATTCCTGTGCTTCTATGACCAATAAATAATAAAGATCCATCTTAAGAAATTTCCATAGTCATAACTAGAGAATCTGGAGCTGGTATAACAAGAGTAAAAGATAAAGATACTTTACCTTTTTAAGAATCATCATATAATATAGATGGATCTGCATAATATAGGCCAAAGTATGCATCAAGTGCATAAAAAGCCTTTTAATCAGGGGTAAAGGCAACATCCCATATAACAAAACTTGGATTTTAAATACATCTAATATATTGTTAATTTATATTACTAATATCTAAAATAGTAAGACCTGAAATATGATTTGCAACAGCAATAAACCTCTTTGAAGGATCGTATCTGAGGGTATAGCTATTAGGAGCAAGTGCAAAATCTAATTAAAATTATTAAAAATAAACTTTATTATCATTGTATTAATTAAAATTAAAAATAAAACCAAGTACTAATTAGAAGAAGGAAATAAAATTATTGATTTGATTTTAAGAATTTAATTTAGCTTTAATCATTGATTATATTGAAATAGATTGTTATTTATTCATTTAATGAATAAATTTATATGAAGAGAATATATTACCTAAGGGGAATGACAAGATTTGTGGACTGGCTAGATCAGTAATGTCATAGGTTAAGACAAATCCATATGATAGGCAGAATATATATTTTTAATCAAAAGAAAGTAAGACATACTAATAAGAGGGTTTAAATGAGTTCTGAGTAAATGCTGTAATAGATATTAGCTTAGGATTTTATTTGTCAGAAACATTGTAGATAACCAGGCCTTACTTCTAATCAGCAATAAATAAGATATTATTGCTTACTTTACATGCTTAAGCATATTAAGAGGGTGCTACAGATACTATTTAAGGTATGTAGTAATTCTGAAGATCAACAATATGTACTCCATGATAAGTTGAAGTTACAAATGCATAGAGACCATCATCCGATACGCAATTAACAAGTGCAACAGAAGAAGCTTTTTGTTTAAAATCAAGCAAAGATACAGGATTTGGATGCATAATGTTGGAAACATTTGCAAGCACGTGAGCTATGAAAAAGTTTAAAAAAATAAATATAATCCTTACTATCTAATACATTTATTTCCTCTCTTTTACTTATATATTAATTCAATTTTATTATTTTAATTAATTATTGTAATTATATTTTTAAAAATTTGTATATATAGAAAATAAATTGAAGTATCTTTTATTTTCAGTAATAATATACATATTTTAGCCTTTTAATGATTATTATTATCACAATTTTTTTAATATTCAAAAGATTTGTAACAAATTTAAAAGAAAATAGAATAAATCATAGTCTGTCTATAAGCTGTATATACAGTAACCTAACAAATATTTAAAGACCAAATATATGTATTAAAAATGTGTTTCAAGTATTTTAAATAAATAAATATTTTAAGGGAAGCTGCCAAAGGAAATAAGTCGATAAGAATTTATTTTATCCTTATATAAAATCTCTTTGTTTTTGAAAAATTAGACAGTATAATATTGTTTTTTAATCTAATAAAAATGTAGAAATTAAAAGTATTACAATTTTAACATATTTTTTAAGTAAGTCTATGATAAGTAAAATTAATAATCATGTTTGATACTTTAGAGAGAGTGTAACATACACCAAAAATAAATCAAATAAATAATATTATTTCAATTATTTTAAATATTTGTAATTAATCATTCTTAAATATTCTTTCATTTATCTCCTAATATTAATTAATATTTTAATTAAAATCATAATGTGTTTTCTAATGAAATTAAACAACAAAAATCATGTCTAAAATTGAAAAAAAAATTTTTTTGAAAAAAAAGTTAATTAATTTTAAAAAAAATTTATATGAATACAAATAAAGCAATTTACGTTGAATTTTTTTTAAAAAAATTGACTTTTGCCTTTATATTAAAAGTAACATTCGTAAAGAAAATTAAATAAATAAAAAGGTCATAAAAATAGATGATTTTATTTTAGCTTACAAATCAATATCTAGATTTATTGTTATTTTTTATAATTTACATAAATTTTAAAAAAAATCAAATAACATCATTAAAATAAATCAATTTTAAAAAAAATTATACAATAATTTATTAATTTTAACAACGAACATTAAAGCAAATAATTGTTTTTTTTAAGTTTATTTTTTTGCAATACTAAATTTTCATATAAGTTATTTAATAAATATTTTTCTTTTTAAACTCTTTAAAAATAATGCTATTACTTAAAAAAAAAACAAATATAAGAAAAGTTAACTCTTTGTTAAATATAAACACACTTTGATATTTAAATTGATAAGAGAAGATTGAAAGAGTTTTAATTTATCCTAAATAATAAAATCTGAATTTTCTAAAATTGATTACACTAAACTTAAAAGATATTTAATATTTTGTATGCTTTTTGAAATCCTTGAATTAAAAAGATGATTTTAATTAATTATGTAAATATTAATCTGATAGATAACTTGTTTGTTATACATTACATTAATATTATTGAATTAGAAAGATCAATTTATTAATTTATGTGTAAATAAATATATATGGTAGAGGAAATTAAATATAAAAAATTTTGTAAAATAGTATATTTATGAGTATATTTTTTAGATTTATTGATTTTTATTAAAAAATTATTTTTACATAACTTGGAGAATGATATCATTGCTAAAGGATATTTAACTAAACTTATGAATAATAAGTATATTTTATACATTTTAAAGGTTTTTTACTATCTTTGTTAAGATAAAAGAATCTACTAATTAATCTCTCTTTTTATTACTTTTTGTATATTTAAAAATCAAATACACAAATTTAAACAAAAATGGTTATTATAAATTAGTTTTATATTTAAAATTCTTTTAAACAAAAATAACTTAAAAATTTACCTGAAAATATTGAAAATACATATAAAATGTAAATATTTTAAGGTAAAAAACTCTATAATTTAAATTAACGTTTCTTAAAAAAAGACCAGCTTAAAAATTAAATAATATTAAAATTAGAATTCCTTGTATTTAATTGTTTTGTATAATTGATATGAGGTGATTTATTAATCAATATACCCAAAGTTTTAATTCAAAAGCAATTTATTTTCTTAAAAGTTCAATATTTATATATAATTTAAGGGAAAATAATAAAAATCAAGTTTTAGGAATCTTGTTTATTTATTTTCTTGCCTTCTATACAAAAATGAACTTATTAAATACACAAATTTAAACTTAAAAAATGTATTCCTATTATAAAATAATTTTTTTTAAAAAAAATAATTTTTATTTTGTATTTAAATATTTATTTATTTTTATTATTGTTTGGTATTATTAGCAATTATAAAAAGTAAATTTTAACTCAAATACAAGTAAATTAAATTGAGTAAATTTCATTTGAATACTACTCAATTTTATATTTATTAGACAGCATTTATGACTCTAGTTATCCAGCATATCTTAAAAAACTAAATTTTATTAGATTTATCGTTTTACATAAGTTTATGAGAACTATTGCTTTTTAATACTAGAAAATGAAATATTCAATATTCTTTAGGGAATTTATTTACCAAAAAATATTGTAATAATAAAATCTAATAAATCTAAATAAAAAAATAACCATGAATAATATTTAATTATAACTCAGACAATGATTTCATATTTGCCTTAAAATATAGATTTTATATTCAATTAAATCAAAAGGTTTAATATTTAATCTTATTTCAATTTTAATATTGTGAGAGTGAAAAACAGATTAATAATTTTATTTTTAAATTTTTCCTTTAAAAAATTAAGCAAATAAAAAGATAACATGGTAATAAGTGTTATATTATTTGATACAGTAGAAACTGTTTAAATTGGCCTCTATCTGGACCAAAATTTTAGTAAAATTACAAATGTCATGCCAACTTATTAAGATATTATGAATAATTTTATTAAATCTGATAACAATAAATGTGTGGACATTTTTTAAAGACCATAGTTTTTTCCTTATTCAAAAATTTTACAAATAAATTTAAAAGAAAATAAAAATTATTAATATTCTGTTTATGAATCCTATGTATGTAAGGAAAGCTTAGTAAAATTAACATATAAAATGAATTTATTTCAAGTGTATTTGAAATTATTTAAATAAATATATATTTTTTTAGGAAAGCTATTTAAGTAAATATGTAGATAATAATTTATATCGCCCTCTGTAAATTTTATTTGTTATGAAAAATTAGCCAGTATAATATTGTTTACTAAACTAATAGAAATATATAAATTACAAATCAATATTATTTATCAAACAAGTATTCACATTCAAAAATATTGTTCAAGTTTATGGTATATTAAATTAAAAATTAATCAATTATTTGGTACTTTAAAATGTATAGCCAAACGCCTAATTAAAATCTAGTGGTTTGGGTATTAATGAGTTTAAAATTAAATAAAAATATATTTGAAATTGTTAGTTCTAAGCCATTTTTTTAATTCATTTTTATTTATCATAAATTTTGGTGAAAATTTTATAAAAACTTAAATCCAAAAATATTTTTACTTAAATGATTTCATAATTTGGTGGGTAAATATTTAAATGTAAAAAGTATTTAATTTACAAATATTACAATATAAAATCTATTTGATATAAATTAAAGAATCATTATGGTTTAAATTTATAACTAGATTTTCTAATATCTTTATTTTAATTGTCATTATCAACCTCCTTTTTCATAAACAAAAAAAAAATAAATTATTTTTATTAACTTAACCAAAATAATTTAATTACATTAAATTCTTTAAAATTTGAGTCTATTTCTATAATTACAGAAGAATTAATCTCAGTTATCTTTTCTTTTAATTCCATTTATTTTTGGGGTAGGTTACTTTCTAGATTTGAATTTTGCTTAACAAATTTAGTAGCATCTATATTTGAGTGAAATTATTATAAAACAGAGGGTCTTTCTTCATCTATTTTTTGCAGCTAACATAACTAAAACTCTTAGAAATTTGGGAGACTATTCTAGCCAGTTAATTTTGTCTATTCATTAGCAAATTAGCTTTTAGTTCCTATAAGCTATTAAGAAACTATTTTGGCTTAAGGAGATTCATTATTTGCACTCATAGTATTTTTTATTTAAGGTGTCCCAAATTGTTATGACATTATATTTACAGAAGAATGCATTTTTGTGATACCAGTTTATTTATTTTGATTTGGTTTATTTTAAATTGTGAATTTACGTAAGATTTGTTTGTTTCTCATATCGTTACCCTCTTTGTCTTAAATGAATATGTGGAAGCTGTATATTGCTAAACCTAAATCATTGATTATTCTAATAAGTATTTCTGGCTCATCGCTTGGCTAGGGGATACCCCATATATTAATTATTCCGTCAATAATTTAAAAGTTCAACCACTTAGGAAGAGGGTTATTCTTAACAAATCCAACAGGAGAATATTACATATTTAAAAATTTTAGAATTTTTTGTCCACAACCATCTTCCTATATGTAAAAAAGAAAAGAAAATTGTATAAATTTTCATAATTTATTTATTTGTTTTTTACCTTATTTTTACAGAAAGCTTGTAAAGTGTCAAGCTCTTAAGGAATTGTATGAATGCTTTCACCATATGAAGGATTAAAAGAACTTGGATTTCCTGTTAAAGCACCTGATGCTTCAAGAGCAATAATCTCTGCTAGTAAGTTGAAATCATATTGTAATTGGCAACGAATATCTAACAGAGTCTGATTAATTATTTACTGATTTATGAAGATTTCTGGGAAAGGATTCAAATTTATGTAAATCTACTCTTTCCCTTAAGTTTTAACTGTATCAAGTTTTTAACAAAGATCATTTTCAGAATTTCCTCTTTATGATAATCGTTTAGTATTCTCTCCAGAATAAATCTATGATTAAATATTTGCACTAATCATATTTTGTTTATTTTCATCATTTTGTAAATCTAAATCTATCTTCTTTAAAGTTTCTACATTACAATCTTTAATTTTTAACTAGTTATTTATCAAATTTTCATTAAATAACTAACTTCTTGATTCTAGTTAATCGTTTACCTTATCTTATTGTTCGATAACTCTATGAATAACTTTTTCACCCTTTATTTCCATTATTGGATATATGACTAAATATTTTTTATACCAGTCTTGATACCCAAAATTTTTTGTAGAGAATTTCTTTAATTTTTCGAATACTTCTAATGTTGTTTAATCATTGTCTAAAACAACCTAATAAGCCAATCTTTTTACAGATCTAACTAACCTGCTATCATGGAAATCAAATTCTCTTGGATCTAAGTAAGGGAATTTTTTAGTATTTTCATGATATACCTTTTCAAGTTTAGAGACTAAATTGTATACATCTATTGTTTGGTTCAATTTGTATTCATCCTTTAAAGATTAATTCAAAGATTTGTCTTACTTTCTTAACATCTTCCAAAGGGTTAAAGCATCTGATTAAACTTTTCCATATAATATTATCTATTTCTTAAAGAGTTCTCCAGTCACAGCAATTTCATTTTAGTACATGTGTTTTCTCTCTGAAACAAATCTATTTTAAGGTATAATTTTTTATATTAATTTATTAAAATTAAATAAAATATTACAAATGAATCTCAGAGCGGTATTTCCAAATACTAATAATACCAACAATAGGACCAACTACTGAAACTATTAGCTAAAAAGCATAAAAAAAGGGAATTTAATTAAAGGTCATGTTAAAATCGCAGTGAGCTTTTGAATATCCGTCATCAGCAATGACTCTCACAGTTGTAGTTGTCCAAAAATACGATGCTGTCCTTATCCCACTAAAACCCTTTTTTTTCACAAATAATTAATGCAAAATATTTATTAAAATAATTTACCAAGCTTAGATTATTAAAATCTATCCAAGAGCCTGTTAAGATTTACTATGGGGGATTGTCTCCATTTAAAATATATGCTGAGTATGTTATTGGTAACCCATCAGGTTGGATAAAGGTTTCTAAATCGAAAGAAAATTAGAAACGATCTACTATTGGTAATTATCCATTTGAATAATACTTCTCAAGTTGACCTTAGAGTGTTTTATTTGCATTCAATTAAACAGGTTAGTGTATTTAAATAAAATCAGCTTCTTTGAGAGAGATTTTTATTGTTTAGTCATAATTATTTGAATCAGAAATTAAGAATGTTATTGCAACTTATGAAAGGTCTTGTGTTTAATTTGCTATTTAAATACTATTGTTCATGATAGCATTGACAAATGAAGTTTAACCAGTTATCTTAACACTTGTTAAATCGTCTGAAAAAGAAGCCAATACACCTTCAAATATTTTCTTGACAAATTTCCCATTTGATGTTATCTACATTAGAATACTCACTTATTGAGATGGAGTTGAAATGACACTGCCAGAGTCTGAAGCATTCTATTATCTTAATTTCTAAGAGTAATTAAACTTTAAGGAACTTACTATAAAAAACCTAATTGGATATTCTACTTTTGAGAATGCTAAAATTTTTTTTAATTGCTGTTGAATCTATTGATACACACTAGAGTGAGTGGTTGGAGTGTAATTCACACCATCATAAAAGTTTAAATCAAATGGAACTTAAGGATCAAATTTTTCTGTTATATATCCATTAACATCAACAAAGCCATTTTATTCGAGTAAAATAAGCAATCTAGAAGCAAGAGTTTAATCAATTTTTAGCGAATTATTTATTAGCTTTTGGGATTATAGCTGGACTTATACCTATAAGATTAATATATTTTCACCATTCTTTTCTGTTGAGAAATCATTAAGAGTTCCAAGCTTATCCACTACCATTATTATTTGAGATTGAGAAGGTAAAAAAGTAATCCATGGAGGAAGAGCTTATCTACCAAATTAACGATAATAAAAAGCATTATTGACTTAAATTTTTTATTCATTATAGAGCTAAGTATAAATTATTCTAATGTTTTAACCAACAAGCAATTAAGCTCCTTATTCTAATGTCTAATAATAAAGTAAATTACCATTATTATCTAGTTGTTATACTTAAAACTAAGTGTGCATAGTTATCGATGGTTAAATTGGAACATATCTTAGTCCAGTATTTCCTAATTTTAAATATTTTTAAATTATTTTTTTAAAAATTAAGAAAATTTTACCTAAAAAATATAAATTTGTTGGGTTAGAAGGGCTTAAACAAGAAGCTGTAGAACTTTCACCTAAAAACTCTATTCTTTATTACTCATAAGGGTTTGCAGGATCCTCAATATTGACTAGACTCAATTAACCCTTTTCGACTTAAGAAACCATTAAATATTTTTCATTAAAAATAGGAGTGACCCATTATACCCAACCTTAGAGAACAAGTTGACTTAATTTTTTTGGTTCAAAAAAGTTTGTGATATCAATAATAAATATTCCTTAAAACCCATTAGCTAAGTATAATAACTTATCATTTTATGAAATAATAGCCTGTTCTACAGCTATCTCATTGAATGCATATTTAGCTATTGGATCTATACCTGGCTGTAAAAGTTAGAAAAAAATAGTTCCTATTTCTCTACAAGCACAAACAAATTTAGTAGCATCAGAAGTAAAATCACATCTCTCAAAACCACAAGCGTATTAATTTGCGTAACCATTTGTAAGAACTAGAGATGACAAGTCTTATGGGTTATCAAACATATAGATTAACACACCATAAAAACTATTACCAACTACAACTTTTGTACCATCTTTACTTATCCTAACGCTTTTTTATTTAAAAAAGATTAATTAAAAAGATAGTTAAATTAAAATAGAAAAAATTTTAATTTTTACCTTGTATATTCTGTGTATGATTGTTTATTTTAAATTAATTAGTATTGATTTTTATATTATGGATTTGATCTATTAGAAATATCAAATGTTACTAAGCCTCCTTGTTAATTTGCAATAAGCAGGGTATTAAAATCAAAAGTGGTTGTTATAAGCGAAATAGTTCCCTTTGTTTATGATTATTTAATATAATTTTCATATAAATTTGGATAAAAGGGATCAGTTATGTCGAAAATGAAAATTCCTACTGAAGTAGCTGTTACCATAACTTCCTTTTGTGTACACTAAATACTAAGTTAGTTTTAATCAGGACTCACAAATGTTAAGGATGATTAAAATGTATTAAATAAATTGGGGAAATCTTAATTTGTATTAGGTTAAACAAGCTTAAAGATAATTAATTGTATCCCATTAGTCACATAAATATATTAATTTTGATTTTTAGAAAGATTCATGCATAGAACCATGTAAGAAGCTTATAGATTTTGGATAAAAATAAGTTATTTGTAATTTTGGCTATTTAATTAATATATTTTGATTCCTGTGCTTCTATGACCAATAAATAATAAAGATCCATCTTAAGAAATTTCCATAGTCATCACTAAAGAATCTGTAACTGGAATAACAAGAGTAAAAGACAAAGATACTTTACCTTTTTAAGAATCATCATATAATATAGATGGATCTGCATAGAATAGGCCAAAGTATGCATCAAGTGCATAAAAAGCTTTTTTATCTGGGGTAAAAGCCACATCCCAAGTAACAAAACTTGGATTTTAAATACATCTAATATATTGTTAATTTATATTACTAATATCTAAAATAGTAACGCCTGATATATGATTTGCAATAGCAATAAACCTCATTGTAGGATCAAATCTGAGGGTATAACTATTAGGAGCAAGAGTAAAATCTAATTAAAATAAGTAAAAATAAAGTTTTTTATGATTATAATTAATTCAAATTAAAAAAATAAGCCCAAGTACAAATTATGAGCATTAAATAAAATTATTGATTTGATATTAAGAATTTAATTTTGCTCTAATCATAGATTATTTTGTAATTCATTATTATTTATTCATTTAAAGAATAAATTTATATGAAGAGAAGAGAATATATTACCTAAGGGGAATGGCAAGATCTATGGATTGGCTAGATCAGTAATGTCATAGGTTAAGACAAATCCATATGATAGGCAGAATATATATTTTTGATCAGAAGAAAGTAAGACATATTAATATGAAGGTTTAAATGAGTTCTGAGTATATGCTGTAACAGATATTAGCTTAGGATTTTATTTGTCAGAAACATTGTAGATAACCAGGCCTTACTTTTGATCAGCAATAAATAAGATATTATTGCTTACTTTACATCCTTAAGCATATTAAGAGGGTGCTACAGATACTATTTAAGGTATATAGTAGTTGTGAAGATCAACAATATGTACTCCATGATCAGTGATCCTTATCGAATTAATCGATAATTATCGAATAATATCTCAAAAAAATTTTTATAATCGATAAGTAAATAATTAAAATGTATTATAAAATTCTTGTTCGATAAAATCATGAAAAAAATTTAAAATATCGATAATTTATCGGTAAACCGATAATTTTTTATTTTTTAAAAATATTTTATCGATAAACTGAAAAAAAAAATTTTTTTCTAAATAGATTATCGATAAACTGATAACAATTTTATCGATAAAATTTATCGATAAATAGTATTTTTTTAGGATCACTGTCCATGATAAGTTGAAGCCACAAAAGCATACAAGCCATCATCCGACTCACAATTAAGAAGTGCAACAGAAGAAGCTTTTTGTTTAAAATCAAGCAAAGATACAGGATTTGGATGCATAATGTAGGATACATTTGCCAGCACGTGAACTAACAAATAGTTTAAAAAAATATATAAAACTCTTACTATCTAAAGCATTTAATTCTTCCCTTTTATTTAATTCAATCTTATTATTTTAATTAAATTATTTATAGCATATTTTGAAAATATATATAGAAAGGAAATTGAATGTTTTTTAAATTACCAAATATTATCTTTTATTTTCAGTAATAATGTACTTCTTTTAGCCTTTTAATGATTCTTATTATCAATATTTTCCCATATTCAAAACATTACATACAAATTTAAAAGAAAATAAAAACGAATCAAAATTTATCTATTTGCTATATGTAAGGTAACCATAGAAAAATTAAAAAACCAAATAAATGTATTAAATATGATTTTCAAGTATTTTAAATAAATACATATTTTAAGGAAAGCTGTAAAAGTAAATAAGTCGATAAAAATTTATTTTATCCTCTGTAAACTTTCTTTGTTTTTGAAAAATTAGCCAGTATAATAATATTGTTTTTTAATCTAATAAAAATATCGAAATTAAAAGTAATAAAATTTTAACATATTGTTTAAGCAAGTCTATGATAAGTAAAATTAATAATAATGTTTGAATTTTAAAATGTAAGATACAATAAAAAATAAAAATCAAATAAATAATATTGTTTTAATTATTTTAAATTTTTGTTACAAAACATTCTTAAATATTCTTCAAATGTTTCCTAATATTATTTATTAATATCATATTGTATCTTTTATTTTTAACCACAAAAATTATGCCTAAAATGTAAAATGGAAAGAAAAAATTTTGAAAGAAAAATTATTTAGTTTTAGATAAGGTTTATATGAATAGAAATAAATCAATTTACATTGAATTTTGTTAAAAAATAACTTAAGTTTTTTTATATTAAAAGTAGTATTCTTCAATAAAATTTTATTAAATAAATGCAAAAGATAGATAGATGCTTTTTTATTGGCTAACAAACAAACAAATATAATTATTAATTGTTATTTTTTACTATTTACATACATTTTTTGTAAATCAAATGACATCATTAAAAATAATTATACTGAATCAATTTTATAGAAAATAAATTAAAAATGATACAATAAGTTATTATATAACAATTAACATGAAAGCAAATTAGTGTATTTTAAATGTGCTTTTATTCAATATTAAATATTCATCTATGTTACCTAAATTTTCTTTTTCTTACACTCTTTAAAAATATACTAATATTTACAAAAAAATAAATGGAATAAGAAAAATGTTCCTTTTGTAACAAAAACACACTAAAAAATATTGAAAAAGTCAATATTGAACTTGTTAGAAAAAGATTTAAACATTCAAAGAGTTTTTAATTTACTCTAAATAATAATTTCTGAATTTCCTAAAATTAATATCACTAAAAACTAAAAGATATTAATTTTTTGTATGCTTTTTGAAGAATCTTGAATAAAAAAGATTATTTTAATTAATTATGTAAATCATTATTATCTTATAGAAACTTGTTAATAATACTTCTAGATTCTTGAATTAGATCAATTTAATTATTTAAATAAAATTATCTGATAATGAAAGTGTGAGGAAATTAAGTATAAAAATTTTAATTTATAATTTCTTTATAAGCATATTATTTATATTTATTGATATTTATTAAAAAATAATTTTTATATTATTTGGAGAATGATAAAATTGACAAGAGATATTTTTAAAAAATATTGTACTTATTTTAAAGGTTTTTTAATATCTCTGTTCAGATAAAAGAATCACCAAAATAATATCTCTTTTTATTATAAATTAATTTTAGATTTATAATTCTTTCAGGCTAAAATAACTTAACAATTTACCTGAAAATATTCAAAAATGCATTAAAAATGTAAATATTTTAAGGTAAAATAATCAATTATTAAAATTAAAAGTATAAGTATAAGTATTCTTAAAAAAAGACCAGCTTAATGATTAAATAATATTAAAATTAGTAATACTTGCATTTAATTACTTTTTTATTATTAGGTGATTTATTAATCAACAATATCCAAAGTTATAATAAATAATCAAAACAATCTTCTTTCTAGATTTAGTTTATTTAAAAAAAGGATAATAAAATTTAATGTATTTAATTTTACCTTTTTTATTTAACACTATTATTATTTTTACATTTATTCAATTTTTTTAAATAATAACTCTCAATATATTAATTTTAAGATTGAATTAAAAAAAATTTATAAGAATTTGATAGTTATTTTAATTTTAATCTTTTAATATTCTCAAAAGTTGAATATTTGTAAATAATTTAATGCAAAATAAAAAAAATCAAGATTTAGTAACTCTCTTATTTAGATTTTTTTATATTGTCTTCTTTTAATTGACTGAATTTTTAAAATACACACTTAATATAAATTTAAATAATTATGATAAAACCGTTTTTTTTAAGCAAAAAAACAATTTTTATTTTATATTTAAATATCGCTGTTTTACCATCTATTTATTTTTATTATTTTTTTGGTATTACCAATAAAAGTAAATTAATTTTTAACTCAAAGATATGTAAATTGATTTGAATAATACTCGATTATAAAATGATTAGACAGTATTTATGACTCTAATTAACTAGTAAATCTTAAAAATATCAAAATTTTATTAAATACATCATTTTTTCATTAATTTATTAGAACTCGAATTGATCTTTAAATTATAGAATAGCCATTAAAAATATTTAATTATAACTCAGGAGATGAATTAGTATTTACTGAAATTATAAATTTTAAATTCGCTTACACCAAAAGCTTACAATTTAATCTTTGTTCAAAATTTATATGTTTGAGAGTGAGAAAACAAATTTATAATTTTATTTTTCTAATTTTTCCTTTTACTAAATAATCAAACAAAAAGAAAAAATGATCAATAAATATTTTATTATTTGGTACATTAAAAATTGTCTAAAGTGATCACCATCTGGGTCAAAATTTTTAATCAAATTACAAAGGTATCAACATTATCAAGATTTATTATGAATACTTTTTTATTACTTTTCGTTTTAAAATTTGCCAACAATTAGTGTGTTGTCATTTTATTAAAGTGGCCACAAAATAAGATTTAACTGTATTATGAATTTAACTTTTACCTTTATTAAGTAAACTCTGAATTGAGTAAATTTATCTTGAATACTACTGAATTTTAAATTATTCTTCAGTAGATTTGACTCAAAATATCTTGTTTATTTTAAACTAATTTTGAGATCAATTCAATAATTTTTTTCCTGAAATGATGATATATTCAATTTATTTTCATGAATTTATATATCAAAAAATTATTGTAATAATAAAAATTATTTGATTTGTAAATTATAAAATAAAGATTAAAAATATTTAATTTTTACTTAGACTATGTTTTTTTATTTAACTTAAGAATAAATTTTAAATTAGCTTATACCAAAAGGAATTATTTAATATTTCTTCCAAATTAATTAATATGTTTGTGAGTGAAAAAAAAAAGCTTATAATTTATTTAAAAAATTTTTCCTATTCTTAAAAAGCAAAAAAAAAGACAACATGATCAATCTATCGAAAAATATTTGATATTCTAAAACAAGATAATTTATATGTTATATTAACATAAATTAATAATCTCTTTTTGCAATATAGCAACTAAAATAATTTAGATTGTGATCTAATCCTTTTAGCTTTAATTAATTTGAAATTTGATGAATTTTTTGAAGGAATGAGTATTTATTTATCTTCATAATTTATTTTATTTAATGTAATCTGTTATCATCACTTGATTATATCTCTCATTTTCCTATTTAATATTAGATTAAAAAATTATTAATAGATTTAATAATAATAAGTTTATACTGGTTTTTCTTCAATGTGATTACATGTAATTTAGTTTACAATAGACTCTTAATCAATATTTTATTTATAAAACTCAATATCAACAAAAGAATCTTTCATATCATTTTAATTCATTTAAATATTAACAGACTTAGGTATTTTATTATAAGTAAGTGCAGAGGAATCTATAAATTATTTTTTAAAATCTAATATATGAGAATAATCTTAGCTTTAATGAGGAATAATCTCTTAAATTTTATCTAAGCAAATAGAGTTTATCTTTTGGATTTTTTCCTTCTTTATCATTTAATCTGTTTGAGCATCTTAACCAAATTTATTGAGTCTTCTGAAACTTGAAGTATTTTTTAGTTGCTATTATGAAAGACAGTATTTATTATCAGTACTATGTATAGGAGAGCTACTTTTTTTTTATTGTTTAAGAATTCTTATACTAATAGCCTTGTTGTTTTCTCTTTTAAATTTATTTAGATTTCCTTATTATTGTTTGTCATTTAAAAATACTCCATCTTAATCTTTAATAAAGATGAAAAAGCTCATAATTGTAAAATGAAATTAGTCAATTACTCTTATGAGAATTTCTGGTTCCTCATTATCTTATGGAGTTCCCCATAAATAAATTACATCATCTATCAATTGGCAATTAAGCCATTTAGGTAGAGGGTTATTTTAAATTAATCCTATTGGACTATAATGAGCCTTAAAAAATTTAGCAAGAGAATAGCAGCAAGAGTATTCCTATATTTAGTCAAAAGGATATTTAATATTAAAATTTATTTTAAAAATTCAAAAATTTTTTATTTATTATTTATGATGTGTGTTGTGGGATTTTAAGATTAAAAAAGTTTATTTATTATTTTTATATTTTATCAAATAATCTCAATTCTTAAAAAAAAAAAATTAAAACAATTGGAGTGCTTATTTAAACATTTTATAAAGTATTACAGAGTCCTTTTTGAAAGCTTCAACTCTTAGCAACTAATGTGAAGACAAATAAATGCTTTCACCTCTTGTTGGAGATATTCTATTTGGGTTATTTTCAGGAATTCCACAAGCTTCAAGAAGGATAATTTCATTTAGCAAAATTTAATCCCACTTTAAATTAGGTTTTGAAGTTGTAAGTGTTTGTATTATTAATTCTTTTTTTAGTTTTATTTCTGGAAACGGGTTTAAATAATCATTTTATGTTTCACTTTTTTCTTTTTCAAAATTTTATTAATATTATTCTTCCCTTTATTCTTCTACTTTACTATGAATACTTGAAATTTAAAGATGATGATTGCTAGTTTAAACTGTATTCGATGCTTAATTTTATATCTTGCTCCCGAAGCTCTCCATATCCATTAATTGATGAGCTTACTATTAAATTTTTTAATTTATATTTTAGATGATTTTAATTTCTGATAATCTTCGTTTATTTTCTTCTGTTTCCTAAATCTAGTTAAAGCTATTAAAATTAGTTTTTTATTCTATTTTAAAATTCATTTTATTCATATCTGTATCAATCTAACAAATTTTTATTTCATCATTTTTTTATTATTGAATAGGTGAGTCGTCTGTAGAAGAAATTTTAATGCTATCTTAATCTAAAGAGACTACTTTATTTTATGATATTTTAAATTTATATTGTATATCAACAAAAGATTTGTACCAGTCATTATCTGAATTTATTTTTTTTCCAATTCGCTTTAGTAATTTTAAAGCCTATTGTGTACTTTTATCTTACTTCAAAATAACTTAATAACAAAATCTCTTGAAGATTCTTGACAGCTTACTGTCAAGAAATTCAAATTCTCTTTAGTTGATTTAAGGATACTTATCCTTATCATCTAAATAAATTTGGTAAATGCAAGCAATTATTAATGCAATGTCAATTTTTTTGTTTTTAGTAAACTATAAAATTAACTCTTATTCAAATTTTTTATTTTTTTGTAAATATATTTTCCATAGCCTTTTTGCATCTCCCCATATTTGATTCATTAGTACTATTTATTTTTTAAATACCTTTCCTACAGTTGCTTAATCACTGCTATATTAGTATTTATCTTGCAAAATAAATCTATTTAATTTGAGTAAATTAAAACTTTTATAAAGGAAATTTAAATTTACCTGTAGATTTCAGCCCTAAACCTCCATATACCTAAAATACCAAGTAAAGGGCCTATGATTTGAAAAGCAAGTTGCACAACATAAAAAAATGGTATTTACTTAAATTAAATAGAAAATTCATCTTGAACTGTAGAATATCCATCTGTTGCTATGACTATGATTTTATAGCTATCAAACAACGATTTTATAGACCTATAACCACTAAAACCCTATTAATTTAATAAAATTTCATATATTATTGTAAAATAACAATTTTACTAAATTTTAACTGTCGAATTCTATCCATAAACCAGTTGTGATTTAAGATTGTTTATCTCCTTACTCAACTAAAAAAGCTTAATGAGTGATAGGAAGATTGTCTTTTTATATAAATGTGTTCAAATCGAATGAAAATTAAAATGTCTATTCAACATATAAATTTCCATTTGAAAATTAATTATTAATTTATTTTTACAATAGCTTTGATTAATCAACTATTATTGGCTAGTATATACTTATAAACGATAATTATGAAAGGGGTATTGATTTAGAAATATCATAATTATTAGAATCAGATATAATAAAGTCGATTATGCATTAAGACAAATCAGAAGTTTTATTGGCTATTTAGATGTTATTACTTACTACTTCATTCACATAAAAAGTCTAACCTGATATTTTAACACTTGATTTATCGTCCGAAAAGGAAGCAAGAACTCCATCTAGTTCTTTTTTAACAAACTATCCATTTTTTGAAACAATTTATATCAACACACTAATTTGGAGAGAAGGTGATTATATCAAACTTGTTTCATTAAAATTCTTTAAATTATAGTTGAATTTTAAGGAGCTTTAAATAAAAAACCTAATAGGATACTAAATTTAAGAAAATACTAAAATCTATTTAATATCATTCTAGATCTACTAAATCTACTTTGGAGTTCCTACATTACTTTAAGAGAAGCTTCCATCGTCAAAAAAATCTAAATAAAAATCTATTTTAGGGTCAAGTTTAGATGTTAAAAAACCTTAATTGTCTATATATCCTTGATTTATTAAAGTACTAAAGATTTACTAAGAAACTGATGCCTTGATGTTTTAAGTGACAAAATTTTATGCGTTTAATTGAATTAAGCACTCTAAAATCAGAATATTTTCACCTTTTTTTTCATTTGAGAAATTATTAAAAGTACCTGATTTATCAACTTAAATTAGCAGTTAATTATATTGAGGAATATATGTTATCCAATTAGGGAGAGTTTGAATCTAGAAATTTCTATAATAGAATACATTTCTTATATTTACCTGAACTTATATATAAAGAGGTATAAAAAATATTTAGGCAGTTTATCCAACCAATAGACTTTAACCTATACTTAAATCCTTGAAGTAACTATTTCCGCTCTTATCAGTTTGTTGAAGTTATAATTAAGTGTGTATTATCAAGTTCACAGAAGTAGGTATCTGCCTTAATCCTTTATTTCCTAAAATTAATTAATTAATTATTTATCAATTTAAAATATTCTTAATTTGAAACTCTATGATAATTAATTAATAAAATTTTACCAATAAAATAAGCACTTTTTTGATCTGGCGTCAAACAAACGCTATTTGAATTTTCATCTGGAAATTGCAGCTTAGATTAAATGTAAGGGTTTTCTAAATCTTCAATATTAATGATGACTAATTCACCTTTTTCTATCTAAGTAGCAAGGAGATAACTTTAGTTAAATATCGAAATCACACTTTAAGCCCAACCATCAAGGGGCTGCTAGCTCAAAAGTACAGGTTACGTTTTATTCTCAATATTCATTATTAATATACCTTAGAAGCCATTACACACAAATGAATATCTTTCATCATCAGATAAAATCATATATTCAGAACCAAGTTTTTGCAAAAAATAAACTAACTCTATCTTTTAACTATTAAAATCAAAAAAGAGTAACCCTTCTTCTCTACAAGCACAAATAATTGTATGAAGATCACTAGTAATTACACATTTTTCAAAGCTACAAGAAAATTTTGTATTTAAATAGGCTCCTATATTTACTATTGCTTAAGGATTTGAAATATTAAAAATACCAAATCCGTAAAAACCATTTGACATTATAAGAATTTAGTTGCTTTTGTCTGTAGAAACTCTATTTGGTATTAAAAATTTAAATAAATACTACATAAAATAATACTTAAGTAAAGAGGTTTAGCACAAAATAATTTCAAAAATACAATAATTCTTTTTTTCTCATCAAAAAGTAAATAATTTTATGACACTTTAATTGAAATAAATTTACCCTATTCCCTAATTTTAGTACTTCTTTGGATCTAAAGGGAAATAATTATTTAAAAATTATGGATTCGCCTAATTTGAGATATCATAAACTTCAAGTCCATTTTATGACGATCCTACAAAAAGATAATTTAGAGTGTCATCTATCTAGATACCTCCGAAAGATCCATTTCTTTCAGGAGTCGAAGATAGCAAATTTGGGTAGTATTTATTCGAAATATCTATTATTTTAAAACCATGTTTAGGGGTAGTCTGAATAATTTATTTTCCGTTGCTTAAGCAGAGTATTTACCATGGAAAATAATCAGGTGAAGTTTGCAATAAAGATGATTAAAATGTGTTGAATAAATTAGGAAAATCTTTGTTAGTATTAATCTATACCTATTAAAAAATTAATAGAGAAAATCCATTTGTTACAAAAGCAAACGCTTCGTTGTTATTTTATGAAAAATAAATATCGTTTGAGAGGTAATTACCATTCAATCTTTAAACAAATACTAGGTCCTAGTAATTATTATTCTAAATTTAAAATAAAACTTAACCTACACTTCTAAGCCCCAAAATTAAAAACAATCCATCTGATGTTATTGCAATACTTTATTAAATCTCAGGAGTTGAATAAATGCTTTTAAAACTTAATGTGTATAAATCTGTAGATCCTATTGGCATATCAAATATAGGTTTGACATATGCATAAAATAAACCATAATAGGCATCTACTAGATAAATAGATGATTAATCTGGAGTAAATATGCAATCCCAAGTGATGAAAGCAGGATTAGTATTTGCTCTTATAATCATATTTTATCTAGTTCTTACATCAATAATTTAAACTCCTTTAATATGATTAGATATACAAAGGTGAGTTTCATCTGGACTAAATTTCACTCTATATGAATCTGGAGCAACTACCCCTATTTTTTAGTAAAAAAATAAGAATTAAATTATATTGTTTGATTGAATGGAATTTAATTATAAAAAATACAAAAAATATTAGGGATTTTTATTAATTTAAATGATTTTAATGCTTTATAAAAACTTTCTTTTTTAAAAAATGCTTTCCTATTTTCCTCTATCAATTTTCAAGCTTTTATTTGAAAAAAATATTTAAAATACCAAAATCTTTACAAAAATAGTAAATGATGTAAGATTTAAGATATTAACATTTACGAATGCTATCTAATGTTACATAATTGATATTGCACAAAAATATTGATTTTTAAATTTATATGTAAAAAATTAAAATAAACTAATAGAGTGATTGATTGATAAAAAAAGAAAAGTAAAAGAAAACAAGAAACTTTATTTTTTAAAAAGAGTAATCAATTAGCTTATATTTTTTATTTTCTTAATAGGTTTTATTTTTGAATGAATTTTTTAGTTAACTAATTAATGCATACCATTTTTAGAAATTAAGTTTGGGTTTCCTGGATTAGTAACATCTAAGAGAAATACTATTCCATTACCAAGTGCAAAAGCATATTTTGAATCTTTAGTTAAAATAACTGATTATATTTGAGAATAGGCATTCCATTTAGCAAGAAGGATTGGGTTCATTATGTCTTTAATATCATAAATGTGCAAACCATCTTAAACATCTCCAATATATAAAATACCATTTTATACAAATACACAATGAGCCTATGATGAAAAAATTCTATTTATAATAGTCGGTAAAAGCTTGTTTTATAATGAAATCACAAATAATCCTCCATTTCTTGCAGTTACAAATGCGTATTAATTATCTTCGCTTACAGCAGACAAATATGTGCTGTATTAATATTCAGAATATATATTTAAGTTTGCAAGAGGGTTAGGATCAAATACCATTTATCTGCACATCTATAGCTCAAAGAATGCTTGTAAAACCAGCAACTAAGTCAAAAAAAATTTAAACATTTTTGTATCTATTTTATTTCTTGTTTTCCAAAATTTTGATCAAAATTAAATTGCTTTTTAATTAATTTGATTAAGGTATTTTAGTCACTTATTTTATAGTTTAAAATAGGATTAAGTAAGAGGGTTTTTAATAGAGTGCTTGAAAGAAGCATTTTTGTAAATTTTTTTAATACTGCATATATTCTTTACTGCAGTATTTTTGAAATTAAGAGGAGAAAGATAAAAATATAACATAGAAATTAAAAATATAGTCTTTTATTATTGTTAACTAAATATAATACCAAAAAATACAAGAACTTTAGATATTATAGATTTATTCTATTAATCTATTTTTTTGATTATTTGTGCCATAAAATTGTGATAGCTGTATTTTTATTAAAAAATAGCATTTACATAAGTAAGAACAAATAATAGCTTTTTTATAGCTATAAATTACATTTTTAAAAAGCAAAATAACTTAAAAAAATTTTTTTATTAGAAGCATAGTATTATATTGAGTGAATAGTTTTTTTTAAATACTTTATTTTATATTAAGTAGAATATTTTTGTTTTTTTAACTATTTAATAATAGTAGGTAAGAAATAAAATAAGAATATTTCTATAGATCAGAGTAATAAAATTGAATAACATTTTTTCTATCAAGATTTGATGGAATTTTATTGAAATTATTGCTTGTAAAATGATATTTTCTAAATTTTATTTTTTTTAATCATAGTTTATTCTATCAATAATAAAAAATTGCTTTTTAAATTGTATTTAGTAAGATATGGATTTTTTAAATGCTTTTATTATGTAGAAGATATTCAGTAAAAACTGATTAAAGTTTTTAACAATAAAAAACACATAAATAAAAATATTATTATTTTTTTTTCATGTGAATTTAATATAAGATACAAAATAAAATGGTGTAATGTAAAACAATAAATTTTAAATAACTATATTTAAATTGTTTTTTTTTGAAAATCAAATTGATTAATATTAATTCAATTAATTAATTACTATTAATTTTTTTTTTTAATTTCATTTTCATACTTAATAATTATTTATAGTTAGTTGATGATAAACTTAATTTTCTTATTAAATATAAATTAACTTTATTTTAAATTTAAACTAAATAATTTATTTTTTTTTTTTCATCAAAGCTACTTTATTATTGAGATTATTCATCTTCTTCTAAAAATTTATCTTCTTTTACAAGATAAATTTATTTTATAGATTATATTTTTTTTAAAATAACATGAATCTATAATATTTTTTTGCAAAATACTAACGAAAATAATTAAAATAAAAATGAATATTGATTTAGTTAGTTAAAAATGAATATTGATTTAGTTAGTTTCATAATTGATTTTATTTAATGTAATTTGTTATTGTCACACGATTATATCTTTCATTTTCCTATTTAATATTTCATAACAAAAATAATTAATAGATTTAATAAAAATAAATTTTTACTGGTTTTTCTTCAATGGGATCACTTTCAATTTAGTTTACAATAGACTCTTAATCAATATTTTATTTTTAAAACTCAATATCAACTAAACCATCTTTTATATCATTTTAAATCATTTAAATATTAACAAATTAAGGTATTTTATTATGAGCAGGTGCAGATAATTCTATAAACTATTTTGTATACTCTTGCTGATGAGAAATATCTTAACTTTAATGAGGAATAATCTCTTCGATTTTATCTAAGCAAATAGAGTTTATCTTAGGAGTTTTTTCCTTCTTTATCATTTAATCCATTTGAGTATCTTAACCAAATTTACTGAGTCTTCTTATTAAACTTGAAGTTTTTTTTAGTTGCAATTATGAAAAGGAGTATTTATTATCAGCAGCACTAAGGATAGGAGAGTTACTTATTTTTTATTGTTTCAGAATTCTTATACTAACAGCTTTATCGTTTTCTTTTTTAAATTTATTTAGATTTCCTTTTTATTGTTTGTCATTTAAAAATATTCCATCTTAATCTTTAATATAAATGAAAAAGCTCATAATTGTAAAATGAAATTAATCAATAACTCTTATGAGAATTTCTGGTTCATCATAGTCTTATGGAGTTCCCCATAAATAAATTACATCATCTATTAATTAGCAATTTAGCCATTTAGGTAGAGGATTATTTTAAATTAATCCTATTGGGCTATAGTGAGCCTTAAAGAATTTAGCAAGACAATAACAACAAGATTATTCCTATATTTAAATCAAAGAGGATATTTAAGATTAAATTTATTTTAATAATACTAATCAAAGAATTTTTTTTTATTTTTTATGAATTTTGTCGGATTTTAAAATTAAAAAAAGTTTAATAAATAAATTAAAATAAAACAATTAATCCATTTTTTATTTTTATATTTTTATCAACAACCATGGTGTTAAAAAAAAAAATTAAAAAATAATTTGAGTATTTATTTTAAAATTTTATAAAATATTACAGAATATTTTTTGAAAGCTTCAACTCTTAGCAATTAATGTGAAGACAAATAAATGCTTTCACCTCTTGTAGGGGAAATTCTATTCGGATTTTTTTCAGGAATTCCACAAGCTTCAAGAAGGATAATTTCGTATAACAAAATTTAATCCCACTTTAAATTAGGCTTAGAAGTTGCCAGTGTTTGCATTATTTGTTCTTTCTTTAGTTTTATTTCTGGAAAAGGGTTTAAATTATAATTTTATGCTTCATTTTTTTCTCTTTCGAAATTTTATTAATCCCTTTGTTCTTCAACTTTATTAAAAATGTTTGAAATTTAAAGATGATTATTACTAGTTTAATTTGACAGAGATACTTAATTTTATATCTTGCTCCTGAAGCTCTCCATATCGATTTATTAATGATCTTACTATTCAATATTTTAATTTATATTTTAGATGACTTTAACTTCAGATAATCTTCTTTTTTTTTATTTGTTTTCCTAAATCTAGTTGAAAATATTCAAATTTAAATTTTATTCGAATTTAAAATTGATTTTATTTATATCTTAATCAATCTAATAAGCTTTTGTTTCGCCATTTTATTATTAAAAAGGTGTATCATCTATTAAGGAACTTCTAATACTATCTTATTGTTAAGAGACCACTTTATTTTATGATATTTCGAATTTATAATGTATATCAACGAAAGATTTGTACCAGTCATTATCTGAATTTATTTTTGTTCCAATATGCTTTAGATGGTTTAAAGCCTATTGTGTACTTTTATCTTGCTTCAAAATAATTTAATAACAAAATCTCTTGAAGATTCTTGACAGCTTACTGTCAAGAAATTCAAATTCTCTTTAGTTGATTTAAGGATACTTATCCTTATCATCTAAATAAATTTGGTAAATGCAAGCAATTATTAATGCAATGTCAATTTTTTTGTTTTGAGTAAACTTTTGAATTAATTCTTATTCAAATTATTTATTTTTTTATAAATATAATTTCCATAATTTCTTTGCATCCCCCCATATTTGATTCATCAATACTATTTATTTTTTAAATACCTTTCCTACAGTTGCTTAATCACTACTATATTAGTATTTATCTTGCAAAACAAATCTATTTAATTTGGATAAATTAAAACTTTTATAAAAAATAAATACAAATTTACCTGTAAATTTAAGCCCTAAACCTCCATACACCTAAAATGCCAATCAAAGGGCCTATGATTTGGAAGACAAGTTGCACTACATAAAAGAATGGTATTTACTTAAATTAAATAGAAAATTCATCTTGAACTGTAGAATATCCATCTGTTGCTATGACTATGATTTTATAGCTATCAAAAAACGATTTTATAGACCTATAACCACTAAAGCCCTATTAATTTAATAAAATTTAATATATTATAGTAAAATAATGATCTTACTAGATTTTAACTGTCGAATTCTATCCATAAACCAGTTGTGATTTAAGATTGTTTATCTCCTTACTCAACTAAAAAAGCTTGATGTGTGATGGGAAGATGATCTTTTTATATAAATGTGTTCTAATCGAATGAAAATTAAAATGTCTATTCAACATATAAATTTCCATTTTAAAACTGATTATCAATTTATTTTTACAATAGCTTTGATTAATCAATTGTTATTGGCTGGTATAAGCTTATAAACGATAATTATGAAAGGGGTATTGATTTAGAAATATCATAATTATTAGAATCAGATATAATAAAGTCGATTATGCATTAAGACAAATCAGAAGTTGAATTGGCTATTTAGATATTATTACTAACTACTTCATTCACATAAAAAGTCTAACCTGATATTTTAACACTTGACTTATCGTCGGAAAAGGAAGCAAGAACTCCATCTAGTTCTTTTTTAACAAATTAACCATTTTTTGAAACAATTTATATCAACACACTAATTTGGAGAGAAGGTGATTATATCAAACTTGTTTCATTAAAATTCTTTAAATTATAGTTGAATTTTAAGGAGCTTTAAATAAAAAACCTAATAGGATACTAAATTTAAGAAAATACCAAAATCTATTTAATATCTTTTTAGATTTACTAAATTTACTGAGGAGTTCCTACATTACTTTAAGAGAAGCTTCCATCGTCAAAAAAATCTAAATAAAAATCTATTTTAGGGTCAAGTTTAGATGTTAAAAAACCTTAATTGTCTATATATCCTTGATTTGTTAATGTGCTAAAGATTTGCTGAGAAACCGATGCCTTGATGTTTTAAGTAACAAAATTTTATGCGTTTAATTGAATTAAACACTCTAATATGAGAATATTTTCACCTTTTTTTTCATTCGAGAAATTATTAAACGTACCTGATTTATCAACGTATATTAGCAATTAATTGTATTGAGGAATATATGTTATCCAATTAGGGAGAGTTTGAATTTAGAAATTTCTATAATAGAATACATTTCTTATATTTACCTGAACTTATATATAAAGAGGTATAAAAAATATTTAAGCAGTTTACCCAACCAATAGACTTTAACCTATACTCAAATCTTTGAAATAAATATTTCCGCTCTTATCAGTTTGCTGAAGTTATAATTAAGTGTGTATTATCAAGTTCACAGAAGTAGGTATCTGCCTCAATCCTTTATTTCCTAAAATTAATAATTAATTATTTATCTATTTTAAATATTCTTAATTTGAAACTTTATGAATATAAATAAAATTTTACCAATAAAATAAGCACTTTTTTGATCTGGTGTCAAACAAACGCTGTTTGAATTTTCATCTGGAAATTGCAGCTTAGATTAAATGTAAGGGTTTTCTAAATCTTCAATATTAATGATGACTAATTCACCTTTTTCTATCTAAGTAGCAAGGAGATATTTTTAGTTAAATATCGAAATCACACTTTAAGCCCAACCATCAAGGGGTTGTTAGCTCAAAAGTACAGGTTACGTTTTATTCTCAATATTCATTATTAATATACCTTAGAAGCCATTACACACAAATGAATATCTTTCATCATCAGATAAAATCATATATTCAGAACCAAGTTTTTGCAGAAAATAAACTAACTCTATCTTTTAATTATTAAAATCAAAAAAGAGTAACCCTTCTTCTCTACAAGCACAAATAATTGTATGAAGATCACTAGTAATTACACATTTTTCAAAGCTACAAGAAAATTTTGTATTTAAATAGGCTCCTATATTTACTATTGCTTAAGGATTTGATATATTAAAAATACCAAACCCATAAAAACCATTTGACATAATAAGAATTTAGTTGCTTCTGTCAGTAGAAACTCTATTTGGTATTTAAAATTAATATTGTTAGAATATAATATAATTTAAGTAAAGAGAGGTTTAACAACATAAAAAATATTTTCAAAAATATTATAATTTTTTTTTCGCATGAAAAAGTAAATAATTTTATGACAGTTTAATTGAAATAAATTTACCCTATTCCCTAATTTTAGTACTTCTTTGGATCCAAAGGGAAATAATTATTTAAAAATTATGGATTCGCCTAATTTGAGATATCATAAACTTCAAGTCCATTTTATGACGATCCTACAAACAGATAATTTAGAGTGTTGTCTATCTAGATACCGCCAAAAGATCCATTTCTTTCTGGTGTAGAAGATAGCAAATTAGGGTAGTATTTGTTCGAAATATCAACTATCTTAAAACCATGCTTAGGGGTTGTCTGGATAATTTATTTTCCGTTGCTTAAGCAGAGTATTTACCATGGAAAATAATCAGGTGAAGTTTGTAATAAAGATGATTAAAATGTGTTGAATAAATTAGGAAAATCTTTGTTAGTATTAATCTATACCTATTAAAAAATTTAAAGAGAAAATCCATTTGTTACAAAAGCATAAGCTTCATTGTTATTCTTTGAAAAATAAATATCATTTGAGAGATAATTACCATTCAATCTTTAAACAAAAACGGGGTTCTAGTAATTATTATCCTAAATTTCAAATAAAATTTAACCCACACTTCTAAGTCCCAAAATTAAAAACAATCCATCAGATGTTATAGCAATACTTTATTAAATCTAAGGAGTCGAGTAAATGCTTTTGAAACTTAATGTATATAAATCTGTAGATCCTATTGGCATATCAAATATAGGTTTGACATATGCATAAAATAAACCATAGTAGACATCTACTAAATAAATGGAAGATTGATCAGGAGTAAATATGCAATCCCATGTGATGAAAGCAGGATTATTATTTGCTCTAATAATCATATTTTTTTTATTTCTTACATCAATAATTTAAACTCCTTTAACATGATTAGATATACAAAGGTGAGTTTCATCTGGACTAAATTTAACTCGATATGAATCTGGCGCAACTACTCCTATTGATTATAAAAATTAAATTATTTCTTTTGATTAAATGGAATTTAACTAAAAAAATACAAAAATAATAGGGATTTTAATTAATCAAAAAATATAGCAAATAATATTCCTTTTTAAATTAACGCATATCAGTTTTCCTCTCCAGCTTTTATTTGATATAAAATAACTAAAAAACCAAAGTATTTACAAAAAATAATAATTGATGTAAGCTTTAAAGTATCCACATTTATGTGTCTAATTAAACGCTTTTTATGGTGGATATGTTTTCTTTTTATACTTTGTAACAAGATAATTTATATTCACAAGATATTAAATTTATGTGTAAGAAAATTTAAATAAATTAAGAAAGCAGAATGATTGAATAAAAAGAAAAAGAATAAAATAAGAAACTTTATTTTTAAAAAGTGTAATCAACCAGCTTATATTTTTTATTTTCTTTTTCCATGGGTTTTAAAATAGAATGAATATTTTAGTTAACTAACAAATACATACCATTTTTAGAAATTAAATTTGGGTTTCTTGGATCAGTAACATCTAAGAGAAATACTATTCCATTACCAAGTACGAAAGCATATTTAGAATCTTTAGTTAAATTAACTGATTAAATATGAGAATAAGCATTCCATTTATGAAGAAGAATAGGGTTCATAATGTCTTTAATATCGTAAATAAATAAACCATCTTAAACATCTCCAATATATAAAATACCCTTTTATACAAATACACAATGAGCCTATGATGTAGAAATTCTATTTATAATAGTAGGTAAAAGCTTGTTTTCTAAAGAAATCACAAATAGTCCTCCATTTCTCGCTGTTACAAAGGCATATTAATTATCTTCGCTTACATCAGACAAATATGCGCTGTATTGATATTCAGAATATATATTTAAGTTAGCAAGTGGGTTAGGATCAAATACCATTTATCTGCATATCATTGACTCAAAGAATACTTGAAATAGCAGCAACTAAGTCAAAAAAAATTTAAACATATTTGTATCTATTTTTATTTGTTGTTATCTAAAATTTTAATCACAATTGAGTAGCTTTTTAATTAATTTAATTATGATATTTTAGTCTCTATATTTGCAGTTTAAAAACATAATATTTTTAATAAAGAGATTGAAACAAGCTTTTTTGTATAATACATATATTGCTAATTTCAGTGTTTGTGAAATTAAGAGAGGTAAATAAGGTAAAGATATAAGTTAGATATAAAAAATAAGGGTTTTTTATTATCGCCTACCAAAAATAATAAAAAAATAGAAGAACATAAGATTTTGTAGGTAAATAATATTAACCTATCTCTTTAATTACTTGCATTGTTATTTTTTGAAAATTATATTTATTTTTATAATATAATATACACAAAATAGATCGAACCAAAGCTTTTTACATATTTAAATTACATTTTAAAAATACAAAATAACTTAAATACTTTTTACAAATAAAAAGAAAAAATAATATTATATTGAGTTTATTATTATATTAAAATAATTTATTTTATTTATATTAAACACATATTTTTGTTTAGTTGTTGTAGGTATGAAATATAATACTAAAAAAAATAAAAAAATTTCTTTAGATCAGAATAATATGTTGAACAACATTTTTTCTCTCGATATTTAATGATATTTAATGGAATTTTATTTAAATGCAAATAAAAACTTTTATAAAAATTATTTAACGCTACCGTTTGAAAAATACTCTAATCTAAAATTTCAATTTTTTAAATCTAAAGCTTATTCTATCAACAATAAATGCTACTTTTTAATATATACTTATTAAAAGATGAAGCATCTGAATGCTTATACTATGTAGAAGATATTTAATAAAAACAGATTTAATTTTTTAGCACAAAAATAAATATATTAACTTAATCAAAGATACTGTATAAAATGGTGTAGCGTAAAACAAAAACTTTTGAAAAAAAAATTTTAATTGGCTTTCTTATATAATAAAATTGATTAATACTAATTCAATTAATTGATCATTATTAAATATTTATTTCCATTTTCATTTCATTTTCCTGATTAATAATTATTTATAGTCACTTAATGATAAACTTCATCTTCCTATTTAATATTAATTAACATTTTATAAATTTAAACAAAATAATTTACATTCTTTTCATCAAAGTTCCTTTATTATTGTGATTCTTCATCTTCTTCTAAAGATTTATCTTCTTTACAAAAATCTATAATATTGACTTCTATAGAGCTTTCCTTTAAAATTTTATCTTCTTTAGATTGCTTTTATTAGTTTTATAATAAAGCCTACTTCTTATTTTATAAATGATAATTATTTTTTAAAAGCTCTAACTCATTTCCAGATCCTACATTTTAAACTTATAAGAAATCAAATTCTTTAAAAGATTGTATTTATCCATCTTATATTCTATGATTATCTATTTAAAAGCTTTGCCCTCTGTTTCGATATTAATAATTTGGAATTTCTTTTGAAAATTTACTCAATCTTGGAATTAATTGGAGTGTCTTGCTTTTATTTTCTAAATTTTAATCTAAAGAATCTTAGCAAATTTTTTATTCATTAGGGCTCTGACAATTATAATATTGTAACTGTATCTGTTTTTACATTCTTAAGTTTGCTACTAAATTATTCTCGCTTCTTATCTTGTTTATCGTACTCAAATTACACTTATCTCTTAAGTCATATCCCTCTTTATCTTTAATTGTTAGATGGAAACTTAAAATTGTGAACGTAAGTTAATCAACTATTTTAATTAATAATTCAGGTTCATCATTTGTTTTTGGAATCCCCCAAATATGAATTATACCATTAATAATTTGACAATTTAACCATTAAGGTAGAGGATTATTTTAATTAAAACCAATAGGACTATAGTTAGCTTTAAAAAATCTTTTTAAACAGTAACAACAACTACTTTCCTATTTAAAAAATAAAGAATCAAGTTAAATTTTGAATATTCCTTTAATCTTAAAATTTAAAGAAACTAACTTATTTTTTCTAAAATATTAAATTAGCAAATTAAATTAAAATGTAATTTTAGGTTAACTTAGTCTAAAATAATCTAATACCTGAGATAAGATCAATGATTTAGTAAAAAAAATTATTTATCAAAAAATAAGAAAAAAATAAATATTTGGGTTGTAAATGTTAATTATTTGAAAATAAAAATTTAGTTATTTATTTATTAATTAATAAATTTTATTTACTTAATCTCTTTTATAAGCTTCTACCCTTAGTAATTAGTGTGAAAATAAATGTAGGCTTTCACCTATTGCAGGGCTTATTCTTTTTGGGTTACTAAATTGTATTCCTGATATTTCTAGAATAAGAATCTCTTATAAAAGATGCGTATCATATTATTAATTTGGAAATTTAGCTTTTAGTATTTATTATATAAGTTCTGTTTTCAAAATAACTTCAGGAAACGGATTTAAATTTTCTAAAATTTCTTCATTGTACTTCTATTATCCTTCTTCTTATTCTTTGATGCAATCTTATGATTGAACAAAATTTGATTTTGGAGATTTTAATTTATTCAAACTTTAAACATTTGAAATGTTCTGATTTGTATCTTTGAGTGCTTAGCTTTCAAACTCATGCATTTATATTTTAGTTTCTATAAAGTTTAATTTTTATTTATCTAATTTATCTTTTTCTCCATTCTATATTAATTTCTTATCTGTTAAAGCATTATGCTCAGAGTTTATATCCAAATCGGGACTATTGTATTATTTTTCTCTATTTAATTCTATAGAACTGTTTTAAGCATTATTTTATTAAATTTTTTAAGTGTTAGACTTAATGATTATTGGACTATGGGTTATAACATTAGTAATATTTTCATTAGGATTTTTTTAAACAACTTTATTCTTATGAACTTCAAATTTATATTTGATTTCAGCAAATTATTTATACCAATCTTTACTTGTATTTGTTTTTTTACCTACTTTCTTCAAATATTAAACCATGTTTTCTGTCTTTTAGTCCGTTTTTAATATAATTTGATAGCAAAACCTTTTTATTATTCTAACTAGTCTGCTATCAATAAACTCAAATTCTCTAGGGTCAATATTAGTAAACCTCTTTTGATTATCTATATATACTTTGTACACGCGTGCCATAATCTCTATTATATCTAACACCTTTTGTGTTTAATACTCTTACAAGATTTCGTTGTTAAAGTTTTTATTCATAGATAAAAAAAACTTCCATAGATTCTCAGTATCTTCCCACATTTGATTCATTAAAATAATTTGTTTCTTATAGACTTCTCCAACTACTGCAGACTCACTACTGTAAAGATAAAATTTCTACATTATAAAGCTATTTTAAAAAAAGAAAATTATTATTCATTTAAATTCAAATTATTATTTACGTGTATATTTCTGCTCTATATTTCCAAATTCCAAAAATACCAATTATAGGGCCTATAATTTGGACTATTAGCTGTACTACGTAAAGGAAAGGGATTTGAGTAAACTCAATTACAAATTCGTCATAAACTGTAGAGTAACTATCTGTTGCTACAACTCTTATCTTATATGATGAAAGCAATGAAGAAATAGACTTCTCTCCACTAAAACCCTTTTAATTATAAAAATATGATAATTTTTAAAATAAACATAAATAAATACTAAGTTAAAGCTATTGAACTCAATCCAACTACCAGTCATTATTTAAGTAAGTGAATCTCCTTCTACTAGAAATGCAGTATAGGTAATTGGTAAATTATTTTTTTACCTAAAAGTTGTCATATCAAATGAAAATTAAAATCTATCTTATACTTATAAATTGCCATCAGTATATTGCTTATTAAGCTGTGTTTAAAGGTTATGATCTTAAAATAATTGTATTGGTGAGTAGATGTTAATAAAACTTAAATTTGATAGAGGGATTTGGTTTGAAATCTCATAATTGCTAGAGTCTTAAATTAAAAAATCTAAAACGCATTATGTTAAATTACTGGTTGAGTTTGCAATTTCTAAACTCTAGCCGATAATCTAATTTACATACTATGTCTAACCTGATAGCTAAAGGCTCGTTAAATCATCAGAAAATGAAGCAATAATTCCATCAAGCTATTTTTTTACAAACTTACCTGAGGAAGTAATCTAAATTAATACTGAAATTTGCAAAGAAGGAGTAGAAATAATATTGGAAGTAGAGCCATCTTACAATTTATAATTAAAAAATAAAGAGCTTTGAACAAAAAACCTGATGGAGTATTAGACTAAAGAAAAAACAAGAATTTATTTGATATCATTTTAAATATTTTAAATCTATTATTCTGTTCCAACATTAGCTTAAGTAAAGGTTTTGCCATCAAAGAAATTTAAATAGAAAGGTATATTTGGATCCAATTTAGATGTGAGATATCCCTATTTATCTAAGTATCCCTAGCTAATTAGATTAAAATATATTTACTTTGATAATGTATCATTGATGTTAGGAGTTATAAAATTATTAGCATTTAGAGAAATTAAGCATTCTAAAATAATTATGTTCTCTCCTTTTTTCTCTTTGGAAAACGTATTTACTGCACCAGTTTTATCAACTTAGATTTAAATGCTTTAAGTTTTTTAATAAAATATTATCCAATAAGGAAGTGTTTATAACTCATAATTTCTATAGTAAAAAGCATTAGATATCTTCACTTGAGTAGAAATGTAAAGAGGAACAAAAAACATTTTAGCAGTCTAACCGACCAATAGACTTTATTTATCATTTAAATCTTGATAAAATATATTTCCTTGAGTATCTATGTATTAAACTTAAATTTATGTATGAAGTATTAGGTCCGTATTAATAGGAATGTACCTTAAACCACTATTACCTAATTAATTTTTAAATTTATTAGAATATTTATTTATGAAATTAAATTTTGAATTATTATTAAATTATTTTTCTTTTTTCAAAAAAATATTTTTTTACAAAAATTTTATATTTAACTAGGGAATAACATTTTTTTTCTAATAAATTACCTATAAAATATGCATTTTTTTGATCTGGAGTTACACAAATACTGTTACTATTTTCATTAGGAAATTCAAGTTTAGATTGAATGTATGGGTTTTAAAAATCTTCGATGTTAACTATAACAAGTTATCCTTTCTCAATTTATGTTATTATAAGATATTATTCATTAAATATAGTCGTTAGACTTTACGCCCAACCATCTACTGGCTAAATACTAACAATGTAGGGTGCCGTTTTATTTTAAATATTGACTATTGCGATTCCCATAAATCCAAAACATACAAAAGCATGTTTTTCATCAAATGAGAAAATCAAATACTCAGCTCCAATTTCTGGGAGTAAATTAATTAGTTAGAGATTATAGTTTGTGAAGTCAAAGAAAAACAAACCTACCTCGCGACCAGCACAAACAATAGTAGTAGTGTCATTAGTAATTTAGCACTTTTCAAAAGTGCATGGAAATTTATCATTCAAAAATAAGCCAATCATAGTTACAGAATATGGGTTAGCTGCATTTAGCACAGCAAAACCATAATATCCGTTAGTGATTACTATTAATTTATTTTAGTCATTGTATGAAACCCTAATTTATAAAAAAGCATAATTAAATAGTTTTATAAAAATAAAAAAAAAATAATTTGTACGCATTAATGGCATTATAGAATTTAGTAGGATCAAGCGGAGTTACTTAATTAACAAATTTAATATTTGTCATATCAGTAATATTGTAAGTTAATAACCCATCTTATGTACCGGTTACAAATAAAGCATTTAACTCCTAATTAACTTAAACTCCCCCATACTCTCCATTAATAATAGGTATAGTTTTTACCAAATTAGGATAATAATTATTTTATATATCAAATATATTTAAACCATATTTAGCATTTGTTTAAACAATATATTTATTATTGCTTAAGCATACGATTTACCAAGGAAAATATTATGGAGATAAATATGTTAAGGAAGATTAAAAGGTATTAAATATATTAGGAAAATCTTTGTTAGTATTGATCATTACTTATTTAAATATCAGCAAAGACATTCCATTTGTAGCAAATGCATAAGCTTCATTATTATTATTAGAAAAATATACATCATTCGAAAGGTAGTTGCCATTTAATATTTACACAAAAATAGGTTTTTAATAATTCTTATTTTAAATTTCAAATAGTACTTAACCTATACTACGTTATCCTAAAAGCAAGAAAAGACCATCTGAAGTAATAGCAATACTTTGTTAAAGTTAAGGAGTTTAGTATATATTCATAAAATTTAAAGTTATCACATCAGTAGAACCTATTGGTTAACTAAAAATTGATTAAACACTTGCATAAAAGAGACCATAGTAAGGGTCTACAAAATAAATGGTAGTTTAGTCAGGTGTGAATAAACAATCACTTACAGCAAAGGCAGGAATTTAATTAACTCTAATTATTATCTATTCCTTTTGCCTAACATCCATTATTTAAATTCCTGCTACAGCATTAGAAACGCAAATATGTGTTTCATCTGGACTGAGCTTTACTCTGTAAGATTCACTTGAAGGTACTCCTAATTTAAGTATTTTAGAAATAAGATTAGTTAATAAATAGATTAATAAGTTAATTAAAAATAGATTAATTAAAGATACACTTTTAACTTAAATACAATTGGTTTATAATTTTAATTAAGTGTTAAATGATGAATTATTTATTGAATTCAAGCTTATTTTTGGAAACAAAATAATTAGAGTAACTTTTTTGAGCTTGTATATTTTTTAATTGATTTGTATGTTATAATTTAGTCAATTAAGAAAATTTTGTTTCTACTACTTCTTTAAAGCCATGTAGGGTTTAATCATAAATAAAATAACTAGAATTTATTTTATAGATTAGTTTTACTTTTTAAAGGGGGAAAAGGTATTATGGTTATAAAATGATGTAGATGATATCTACAACATTTCAAAATTAAAGTAGGTGATTATAATTACTTAATAACTACCATACTTACTTACCTACCAACGCCTTCTTTAAATATAATCATAAAATTTTGATATATTTAAGATTTGCTTATTTATTCAGATAATTTTGTAATGTAATCAATTTTACCATTTTTTGAAAGTGTTTTAGGATTCTTTGGATCTGAGACATCGATACAAAAAATTATACCATTCCCAAGAGCAAATAAATATTTCAAATTTTAGGTAACTACTAAAGATTATATGCGCAAATATAATTACCATTTTGAGAGTAGAATGGGACTTTGAATAGTTGAAATATCAAAGATTATTACCCCTTCAAAGATGTCTCCAATAAACAAAATATTTTTTTAAACTTATAACTATTAAGATTATAATGTTGCTATGTTGCCAACAATAGTTGGTTAAAGAATGTTAGCAAGAGAGATTATATATATGCCTTCACTCCTTGCAGAAACAAAAGCATATTAATTATCTTAACTTATCACTGAGAAATAAGTATTTTAGTTTTTGAGGTTAAATAAATTAAAATCTGTTAAGGGATTTGGATCAAAGACTAATTACCTGCAAAGTATGTCTGTCATTGCAAGTAAATGTATACATATCTGAAGAATTTCTAATTTTTTTATCATAGATAGATAGCTTTGATTGTTTTAAACAGTATTTGTTAGTTTTTAATTTTATGCTTATCTATTGTTTTTTACTTAGATAACTAATATTTTCTATTTATTACTATTAAGCATACAAAAAAAAGTAACCAAATGGTTAATAAAATTTAAATTAACTGTTGAATGATATTTTGGATGAAAACAATTTTTTTTTTGGTACAATTTATGTTTTACAATAGTCAAAAAATACAAATTTTAGAAGAATAAGTTACCATGCTACAAAAATAAGATAAGTTAATTTATATTAACTCATAAAAAATAATTTAAAATTTGAAAAATGCTTTATCAAATATAAAAGTGAAAATTATCTTTTATGTCTTCCTAATTTCTAATTGGGTAGAGTAAAAAATATATGAATTAATTGATTTTTTTGATCCAGTAAAACTTGAATACAATTAATTACTTTTAATCTTTGATTTGTAAGTAAATAATTTATCCTCTGTTTGAAAATGAAAATATTCAAATTAAATTAACGAATGAATATGAAGAATAATTTTATTAATCTAAATAACATAAAAGATATCTTTCTTTGTTATCATCATTGATAATTTTTTTGTAAGAAAACTTTTTAACTTATATACACCCTGTCCTACTTTCTTTAATACTTTATTTAAAACTTTCATTTAAATTGATCATCTTATTCTATAGACAGGGATTTATAATTTTTGACTTCTTACTTTATTTAGTTTTTTAGTGATGAGTTATATGAGCTAATATATAAAAATTCTAAGAAAGTATTTTTATAAACAAATAAAGTTTTTCAATAAAAAAAAACATAAAAAAATATTAAACATCACTTATTTTTTTGGATGATATTTTAATCAAAGATATTTACTGCATAAAAAGATATAATATTTACAATTAACTTTTAAATGGTAAAAATAATTACTAATTTCGTAGAATTTAATTGATTATTATTGGCAAATCTTAAATATATTTTTATTTTCATTTTCCGGCTTAATAATTATTTACAGTCACTTAATGATAAACCTCATTTTCCTATTTAATAGTGATTAATTTTATTTTTAAATTTAAACTAAATAATTTACATTCTTTTCATCCAAGTTTCTTTATTATTGTGATTCTTCATCTTCTTCTTGGTTATTATTTTCATCTTCTAATGATTTATCTTCTTTGCTACAATCTATCATATTTATTTCAATAGAACTTTCCTTTAAAAACCTTTTTTCTTAAGAATGCTTTTGTTAATTTTACAATTAAGATTAGAGTTTATTTAAAAAATTGTTAGTATCTTTTTAAAACTATAAATCAATTTGAGATCCTGCTTTTTATTTTTAAGGAGAGTCTAATTCTTTAAGAGGTTGTTCTTAAACGGCTTAAATTCTCAAATTTTCTATTTAGAAGCTCTGTCCTCTGTTTCTATTTTTGAATGTAGGAATATCTTTCGAAAATTTACTCAGCCTTGGTATAAGTTATAGAGTTTTGCTTTTATTTTCTGAGTTTGGATCGAAAGAATCTTGCTTTTATTCGTTTGGATTCTAACATTAATTCTATTATAGCTACTTCTATTTTTACATTCTTAAACTAGCAACTAAATTATTTTCACTTCTTATTTTGTTTATAGTACTCAAATTAGATTTATCTCTTAGGTCATAACCTTCTTTATCTTTAATCATCAAATGGTAACTTAAAATTGTAAATGTAAGTTAATCAACTATTTTAATTAATATTTCTGGCTCATCGTTTATTTTTGGAGTTCCCCAAATATGGATAATACCATTAATAATTTAGCAATTTAGCCACTAAGGCAGAGGATTATTTTAATTCAAACCAATAGGGCTATAATTAGCCTTTAGAAATCTTTTTAAGCAGTAGCAGCAACTATCTTCCTATTAAAAAAATAAAAAGTCAATTAAGAATATGATTAATCTTTTATTCTTAAAACTTAATAAAAGAAATTAATTTTTTTCTAAAACTTTTTAAAAAATAATTAAAAAATGTTTTAGCCTGGCTGCTAAATTAAAATTAAGTTTCAAGCTGTAAAAATTAAATATTTAGATTTAAAATATTGCTTGAAATTAACCTCTAAAATTTAACGAAAAATTTTTTGAAATTAAATAAATAAATAAATTTAATTTATAAATTTTAATGAAAAATAAAAATTTAGTTATTTATGTATGAATTTTATTTACTTAATCTCTTTTATAAGCTTCTACTCTCAATAATTAATGAGAAAATAAATGTAGGCTTTCACCAATTGCAGGGCTAATTCTATTTGGGCTATTCAAAGTTATTCCTGATATTTCTAGAATAAGAATCTCTTATAAAAGATACATATCGTTTTATTAATTTGGGAATTTAGCTTTTAGTATTTCTAATATTAGTTCTGTTTTCAAAATAATTTCAGGAAAAGGATTTAAATTTTCTAAAACTTCTTCTTTATCTTTCTATTATTCTTCTTATTCTTTGATGTAGTCTTAGGATTTTATAGCAAAATTTAATCTTGGAGAGTTTAATTTATTCTGACTTTAAAAATTTGAGTTTATCGGATTCATATCTTTAAAAGCATAGCTTTCAAACTCAGGCATTTATACCTTAGTTTCAATGTTATTTAATGTTTATTCATTTGATTAGTCTTTACATCCATTTTATATTAGCTTCCTATCTGTTAATGCATTATGCTCTGAATTTATGTCTAAAACATTACTTGCATGTTAGCTTTCTCTCTTTGATTCTATGGAATTGTTTTGTATTTCACTTTATTAATTTTTTTAAGAATGATGTTTCAAGACTAATGGACTTTAGACTATTAGATCAGTTTTATTTTCATTAGGATTCTTTTAAACTACTTTATTTTTTTGAACCTCAAATTTATATTTGATTTCAGCAAATTATTTATACCAATCTTTATCTGTATTTGTTTTTTTACCTAATCTCTTCAAATATTAGAGAGCTTTTTATGTCTATTAATCTTTATTTAAAATTATTTAGTAGCAAAATCTCTTTACCATTCTTACAAGTCTACTGTCAATAAACTCAAATTCTCTAGGGTCAATGTTAATAAACCTCTTTTGATTGTCTAAATACACCTTATACACACGTGCCATAATTTCAATAGTATTTAATGCCTTATGAGTTTAGTACTCTTACAAAATTTGATTATTAAAGTTCTTATTGACTGATAAAAAGAACTTCCATAATTTTTCAGCTTCTTCCCATATCTCATTCATTAAAACAATTTATTTCTTATAGACTTCTCCAACTACTGCAGATTCACTGCTATAAAGATAAAATTTCTTCATGATAAATCTATTTTTTTAAATTTTGTTTATCTTGAAATAATATCAAATTTTAATTTACGTGTATATTTCTGCTCTGTATTTCCAAATTCCAAAAACACCAAGTATAGGACCTACAATTTAAATTATAAGCTGTACTACATAGAGGAAAGGGATTTAAGTAAACTCGAATTCAAATTCATCATAGGTTGTTGAATAACTATCAGTTGCTTCTATTCTTATTCTATATGATTAAAGTAATGAAGTAATTGATTTTATTCCACTAAAACCCTTTTAATTAAAAAAACTTTTTAAATTGGATTTTAAATTTAAAAAACATACCAAATTAAAACTATTAAATTCTATCCAACTTCCAGTTGTGATTTAAGTTAATTAATCGCCTTCTATTAAAAAAGCAGTATAAGTGATTGGTAAGTTATCCTTTTACCTGAAAGTTGTCATGTCAAAAGAAAACTAAAATCTTGATTCTACTTCTAAATGGCCACTAGAGTATTATTTATTTAGCTAAGTTTATAGATTGTTTTCTTAAAATAATTATATTGGAGAATAGAGATTTATAAAGGTTAAATTTGATAAAGGAATTTTATTTGAGATTTCATAGTTGCTCGAGTCTTAAATTATAAAATCTAAAATACATTTCGTCAAATTAGATGTAGAATTTGCAATTTATAAATTTTAGCCAATAATCTAATTTACATACTATGTCTAACCTGATATTTATAGGCTAGTTAAATCGTCAGAAAACGAAGCAATTACTCCATCAAGTTATCTTTTTACAAATTTCCCATAAGAAGTAATTTGAATTAAAACACTAATTTGCAAAGAGGGAGTAGAAATAATATTGGAAGTAGAATTACCTTACACATTATAATTAAAAAATAAAGAACTTTGAACAAAAAACCTAATCGAATATTAAACTAAGGAAAAAACAAGAGTTTATTTGATATCATTTTAAATATTTTAAATCTATTATTGTGTTCCAACTTTAGCTTAAGTAAAGTTTTTGTCATCAAAGAAATTCAAGTAAAATGGTATCTTTGAATCCAACTTAGATGTGAGGAATCCCTCACTATCTAAGTATCCTTAGCTAATTAAATTAGAATAGATTTATATAGATAATACTTAATTTATGTTTTGTGTAATAAAATTATCAGCATTAAGCGAAATTAAACATTCCAAAATTATAATATTTTCTCCTTTTTTCTCATTAGAAAATGTATTAACTGCACCAGTTTTATCAACTTGGATTTAAAGACTTTAAGTTTTTTAATAAAATGTTATCCAATAAGGAAGAAGTTAAACTTCATAGTTCCTATAGTAATAAGCATTAGATATCTTCACTTAAGTCTAAATATAGAGAGGAACAAAATACATTTTAGCAGTCTATCCAACTAATAGACTTTAGCTATTACTCAAATCTTCATAGTATATACTCCCTTAAGTATTTGTATATTAAACTTAAATTTATGTATGAAGGATTAAGTCAGTATTAATAGGAATGTACCTCAAACCTCTATTTCCTAATTATTTAAAATAATTTCTTGAATATTTTATATTTCTTTAAAAAATTTAAAATATCTTTGGAGGAAACTTCTTTAAATAATAAAATTTTTTAACTGTAATCTAAATAATTTTTAAATATTTTAATATATGAAATTAAAATATTACCAATAAAATATGCATTTTTTTGATCTGGAGTAACACAAACACTGTTGCTATTTTCATTAGGAAATTCAAGTTTTGATTAAATATAAGGATTTTAAATGTCTTAGATATTAACTATAACTAATTATCCTTTTTCAATTTATGTAACTATCAAATATTGCTCATTAAATATTGCTGTTAGACTTTATGCCCAGCCATCAACTGGTTGAATACTAATTATATAAGGTGACATTTTATTTTAAATATTGACTATCACAAGACCCATAAATCCAAAGCAAACATAAGCATTTTTTTCATCTTAAGAGAGAATCAAATACTCAGCTCCAATTTTATTGATCAAATAAGTTAATTGGAGTTTATAATTTGAAAAATCAAAGAAAAATAAACCTACCTCGCGACAAGCACATATTATAGTAGAAGTATCATTTGTAATCTAGCATTTTTCAAAGCTACAAGGATATTTATCATTTAAAAATAAGCCAATCAAACTAACAGAATAAGGATTGACTGCATTTAACACAGCAAATCCATAATAACCATTTGCCACTACTATTATTTTATTTTTTTCGTTGTAGGTTACTCTTAATTTATAAAAATATCAATAAATATTTTAAAATAATTTAAAAAATGATACTTACCCATTAACTGCATTAGATATTAAAGTAGGATCAATTGGAGTCACGTTATTAACAAAATTTATGTTTGTCATATCAGTAATATTGTAAGTTATTAGACCATCTTATGTACCTGCAACAAACATAGCATTTAATTCTTCATTTACTTAGACACCTCCATAATCTCCTTTTACAATTGGTATATATTTTACTAAGTTAGGATAATAGTTATCTTAGATGTCAAATATGTTTAAACCATAATGACTGTTAGTTTGAATAATGTATTTATTATTGCTAAGACATATAATTTACCAAGGAAAATATTCTGGAGATAAGTATGTTAAGGAAGACTAAAAGGTATTAAAAACGTTAGGAAAATCTTTATTAGTATTGATACTTACTTATTTAAAAATTAATAAAGACATGCCATTAGTTACAAATGCAAAAGCTTCATTGTTGTTTCTAGAAAAATATACATCATTTGATAGGTAGTTACCATTTAATTTTTGAACAAAAACAGGCTTTTAATAATTCTTGTTTTATATTTCAAATAATACTAAACCTATACTGCGTTGTCCTAGCATTAAAAAAAGACCATCAGAAGTAATTGCGATGCTTTATTACACTTAAGGAGTTAAATACAAATTGACAAAATTTAAAGGTACAACATTTGTTGAACCTATTGGTTAGCTAAAAACCGATTAAACATTTGAGTAAAAGAGACCATAGTAAGCATCAACTGAATAAATAGAAGTCTGATCTGGTGTAAATAAACAATCCCAAAATACAAATGCAGGATTTTAATTCACTCTAATAATAATTTGTTGTTTTTGTCTTACGTCTATTATTTAAATTCCAGCAAGGGCATTAGACACACAAATATGGGTTTCATCTGGGCTGAGTCTTACTCTATAAGATTCACCTGAAGGTATTCCTTTTTTTATGGTAAATAATTAATTGAAGAAAACTTTTAGATTTTAAAATAATCAGAATTTATCAAAAATACGCACATTTACCATAAAATATTATTTTTTTGATATAAATTTGTAATTAAGAATTTAGTTTACAATTTTTAATATTTTAAGAATTTCAAGTATCATGAACATAATATTTCCATTATATACCTTGATCTTAATTAAATTAATGTTACTATTACCTATTTCTGTTAGTTTACTTCAGTTTAAGATTGGGTGATTTATAAAATAAAGGAAATTGAATTTTAGTTTGCTAATTGAATTAAATGCAAAGGTATGAATAATAATTAGGTTTTGTTTTAGTAGTCAATAATAATTTACTGACTGATTTTATCTAGTTAAATATAGATATTAGATACGATTTATGTGTAATTATTTTTCTAATTTTATTAAAAAATATAAATTATTTACCATTTTTGGATATTGTTTTTGGATTCTTCGGATCAGAGATATCAATGCAAAAAATTATTCCATTTCCAAGAGCAAATAAATAATTTGAGTCAGATGTAATTTCTAAAGCTTGTATATGCAAATATAATTACCATTTCGAAAGTAGAACAGGGTTTGTAATATTTGAAATGTCATATATTACTACACCATCTAAAAGGTCTCCAATAAACAAAATATTTTTTTTGACTTATAAATACTATGCTTATAAGGCAGCTATGTTCCCAACAATTGTCGTTTGAAGAATATTAGCCAGAGATATTATATATACTCCTCCTTCTCTTGCAGAAATAAATGCATATTAATTATCTTCACTAAGCACTGATAAGTAAGTATTCTAGCCTTTTAGGTTAAATAAATTGAAATCTAAGATGGGATTAGGTTCAAAGACTAATTGCCTGCAAATAATATTAGTAACTGTGAGTAAAGTTATCCATATTTATAAAATTTGCGACTTTTTTATCATAATTTTAATAGTCTTTAAAATAATATTTGCTTATTTTAATTTGATATAAATCTTTCTATCTATTTTTATTGCTTTTTTTCTTTTTTAAAAGTAATCATTCTATTTTTTGTTTTTATTCAGCTTTAATTTAAAAAAAAACAATGGGAAATTGAAATAATGTAAATTAGCTAAATAACAATACTTTCACTAATCAGTAAAGAGAGAATATTAATTTTAAAATTAGTTCAAGCAATCAATTAAAAAATACAAATTTTAGCATAATAATTCACCATAAATAAAGGAATTGGCAAACTGCTTTCAATTTTATGAAGTTAGTTGAACAATAAATATATCAATATTTTAAAAAAATATTATTTTAAACATGAATGGGAAAATATTATTGGTAATTCATACTTTGAATTTTTATTTAGAAAAGTAAAAAATCTCTATATCACGACATAAAAATATAGAATCATTTATTTTATCAAAAAACCTAACTTACATTGAATATGAATTAAGTTAATTGTTAAATTTAGAAAAACTCAAACAAAGTTTATTTAGCCTATGATTAGTGATCGTAAAGAATTCATAATCTATTTAAAATTAAAATACTCCAATATTATTCATTCAGGTTAAAAATTGAATTTTTATTTCTGTCATAAAGAGAAACAAAATATTTTAAATTTAAACCTATTTTTTAAATTCCAAAAAATACATTTTAAAATATTGAGAAAATTAATATAATTTAATTTTTACTGGAGACATTTAATTAAATAAAAATTGCTTTATGATTGATAAACTGTTATTCTTAAGTTTATAGTATCTCTAGCAAATGATAAGACAATATACTAAATAAATTTAATCTATTTACATATTTAAATGTGTAAATAAAAGTGATCTAAAGTTCCTGGAATGAAAAAAAATTTACAAAAAACGAATATTATTATGTATTATTACTTTAATTATTTTACAAATTTTTTTAATCACAAAACATAATTTATCAACTAAAAGGAATTAAATTTTTATCACTCTAAATCATTTATTTTTTAAAATAAAAAGTATATTTTTATTTATTAAACAGAATTAATTAATATATTGAACTATTTTTTTACCTCAAATCTTATTGAAAGAATTATATTACGTTTTTTCTAAAAAGTAAGTGTTAACTATTGAAATTCTTCAATATATTTATCTTTTAAAATCTAAAAAAATAAAATTAATATGAAAGTATTAATAATTTCTTTTTCAAATATTATTTATTTTTTTATTAAATGTTTTGATGTTATTGTGTATGTTTATGGTATAAATTTATTAGATAAATTTATGCCAATTATTATTGTTAAGTTTACTTTTTTAGAATAAACTCCCTATTAATAATAATTAGGAAATGTTTTTAAGCATATTATTTTAGAATTTAATTTAAAAATATATTTATAATATATTAATTTTTATTAAATATTATAATTTAATCCTGAAATCCTGATAATTTTTGGCTAAATAATAACATATATGTTATTTAGATATAATTTATCAATAAAAAACAAATTGATAATATCTTAAAAATAAATATTAGCTAATGCATATGAAGATATACTGTGTTTGTTTGTAATTAAAATCAAAAAAATGTAAGTATAAAGTTTTGATTTTTCAAAAATTTTAAAATCAGTCTTCAAAAAAACATTTTGATGAGTTTGACGAAAATACTCTCCCTATTTTTACATCCTGTTTAAAATTGATTTCAGCAAATTATTTATACCATTCTTTACTTGTATATATTGAAAAAAAATTATTATTTTATTATTTTCAAGATTAAATTTTAATAGTAGAAAGAATAATATTTAAAACATGAAATTTATTCATACTATATTTAACAAATTTTAGATAAGAAATTGTTTACAAAAATTACAAATAAGAAAATAAAGAATAAATAGAAATCGTTTTTATTGGTTTAATGATGTAGAATTTTTATGCTCCTCAACATTAGTTTTTGATTATAATAAATTATCTTAAAAAATAAGGCTATAATTATCATATCAGTAACTTATTGATCTATAAATAATTATAACACTAAATTTAATTAATCAATAATCATAGAAATAATTAATATTCTTAAAATAAATTGAAATTTTATCAAAATTATGTAACATATTCAGTTTCAAAGTAAAATTTTACATTAAATTTAATAAATCAAAATTAGAAATAAGTATTTAATTTTACAAATATTCATTAAATACTAAAATCTGGTACCATGCTTCTAAATTATACCTTTAGCTGAATGTTAGTTTAAACGAAGATGACAAAAAATAATACGAATTTTTATTTAATTCATTATTTTTAAATAGTATAATAAATTGAGAAAAGGATATTTTATTTTTTTTATATCAATTGCAATATTACTAAATGACACTTACTATAATAATATAGTAATTTTTTAATTGTTTCAAAAATAATAATACCATAATGTCTTTTAATTAAGATGTATTATAATATATGATATCTCTAGGATGAGGTAAAACATTTTTGAAAAACATTATTTTTATAGTTATTCAACAAACAAAATTGTGAAAATATACTGATTTTTTCATTTATTTATATAAAATATAATAAGTTTCAATAAAGTTGTAATGTCTATTTAAAAATTTTAGTTAAAAAAAGTTATGATGAATATTTAACTTAATCTTTCAATAAAAAATCCTAAATAATCAGATATTTCTAGTATAAGATAGTCTTTTTATGAAAAAAATAATATCATTTCTAAGTTAAAACATAAATTTTAATTTAACCTATTATAAATCAGATGAGATTATGGACTCATTTTTAATTAGGAATTTATTTATAAAAACTGATTTAAAAAATAACCACTATTTTATTTATTTAACCCATATTTTTATTTAAAAATTCTATCAAATAAAAATAAATTCTATTGATTTTTTTACAGATATTATTAAATTTAATTAGATAATTTAAAACATTTAAATTTTTTTAAATATGACAAATTATTTATAGCTCTTAAACATATTAATACAAAAATAAATTGATTTCATTAGTATACTATTTAACAATAAATATTTTATTTTTTTATAAATTTGATATATATTAATTTCAAGCTTTAAGCATAGCTTCAATATCAGCTATCATATCGTTAGGATTAACTTTAGGACTAGCAAATTTATGAACCTTACCATCGGGTCCAATTAAAAATTTAGCAAAGTTCCAAGGAATCTATCTAGTTTTACCTGTTTCTTTGTTATGAAGCTCAGAGTTAAATCTGAGGAATTTGAAGATTTCATTACAGTTTTCTCCATTTACCTCTACTTTGTCGAAAAGAGTAAAGTCAACATTAAAGTTTGTTACGACGTATTCTTTGATTTTTGCATTATCCCAAGGTTCTTAGCCCATGAATTAGTTTGCAGGGAATGCTAAGATTTCAAATCCTTATGATTTATATTTCTTATAGAGTTAAACTAATTAGGTATAGTGATCTGAGGTTAAACCGCACTTGCATGCAACATTAACAACTAAAAGGCACTTTCTATCCTTAAATTCACTCATATTTCTTAAATTGCCATCAATATCTTTTGCAGAATAATTGAAGAAATTATCTTAAGTAGGTTTTATATTTTCATAATCAGTTTTAGCTACAGCTTTGAATAACAAACTACCCATTTTATTTTCTAATTGCTTTTATTAAATTGAATTTTTGTTTTGATTAATTTAATTTAATATTAATTTATGGTGCATAAAATTTGACTATTTGAAGAAAAATATTATTAAAAAAGAAATTTCAAGGAATATTAATTTGAACTGTAGAAAAGAAATATCATCATATGACTATTATTAAAATTCAGATATTCGTCAAAAAAATACTTGTGTTATAAAGAGAGTGACATCAATTAGAAATAAAAAATAGGTCTTAATGATTCAAAACAAAATAATAAATTATTTATATATTCAAATTGAATAAAAAAGAAATTTTCTGGAATGCTGGTTTAGATTATTTGGTTACTTAAACTTAATTAATAAATAATATCAAAGTAAATTGAAGATATAATATTGAATTAAATATAAATATACTATATATGCTAAATATTATTTTAGCTGTGTGCAATTGAGTGCTCTATCAATAGGAAATTGAAAAAATCTAAGTTTAAACAATATTCAAAGCTAGATTATATCTATGAATACTTTTATTTAACTTTAATTTATCATTTATAAAAAAATATATTCTCTCAAAATATATTTATCGAATATTAAATTTGTTGTCATATGCTAGAGAATTACAAAGCTAAGAATCAAATGATACTAAGAATTATTTCAGTGCCACTTTTAAACTGTTTTACTATTTTGTTACTAACATCTAATTTTATTCAACTTAATATTAATAAATAAAACAGAGCATCTCCAAAATAATTTTACTGTGAATAAAAAATAATAAAATATACTAATTATGTTGATATACAAAAATGTAGTATAGAGTGATAATGTTTGTTGGTAATAGTAATAAAGAGCTTATATATCAAATTTTAATTCAATAAGTCACAAACAAATTATCTAGACAAAACAAACAATTTAAAACATACAAATATTTGAATTATTAAGAATTTTCTATATTTACTAACTAAAATAATATTTTTTTCAAAATTATTTCTTTTTTACAAATTTAAAAATAATCTTTCATTTAACATTTTAGTTTTCAATATTTGAAAATCTTCATAAAACTTATTAATAAATATTATAATTGCCTTATTTTAACTAGATATTATATTGTGAAACAAAAGGGAAAAATTCCTTTTTTTCAAAGTAGTTTTTCTAATACAGGTTCAATTTCTTTTGGTTCAGTTTTAGGTCCGTAAAAACTATGAACTGTACCATCACTTTAAATCAAAAACTTAGCGAAATTCCATGGAATTTATTTAGAATTTCCAGTTTTTGGATCGTGAAGAGGACTGTTATTTCTCAAGTACTAAATTAAAAATTAAAATGGTAAATAATTTGAAAAAACTATGTTAAAATGAATTCGATAAATAAATACTTTGTAGATTTCATGGCAATCTTCTCCGTTAACATTTACTTTACCAAAGAGAACAAAATCTACGCCAAATTTAGTTACCACAAACTCTTTAATTTAAGGTGGATCCCAAGGCTCCTATCCCATAAATTAATTGGAAGGGAATGCAAGAATTTCCAAACCTCTCGATCTATATTAAATCAAAAGGTTAATTTAGAATTACTAAATAATATTTGTAAATCTATTATTAATTTTTAATGAAAATTACTTGTATTTCTTATACATTTCCACTAACTAAGTGTAGTGGTCAGATGTTAAACCTCATTTACATGCAACATTAACAACAATTATTGCTTTTCTATTTTAAAACTCTGACATTTTACGTAGATTTCCATCAATGTCAATAGCTTCTAGTGCCCAAAAGTTATTTGTTTTAGGCGTAAGTTTTTCAACACCAGTTTTAGCAACTGATTTGTAAAGGAGAGAACCCATCTATGCTTTTTAAGTAAAATATTATTGATTTATTATTTTAATCAAATATTATAATAAAATCAGATAAGAATTTTTTATATACAGAAATTTTTGATCTATTTAAGTTAATAAATTACACATATAAGTTCAGCTATATTTATTATTAGAATACTGTGCTAATAAAGAGTTAGTTTTGTGATAAATTATGAGCAATTTAATCTTATAAGTGTAAATAAATTGGTTTTTTAAAAAAAGAAATAAACTAAAATTAATTAGTTCATAAAAATTTAAAGCAAATAGAAAGTCTAAAAATGTTTTAAGATTATCAAAAATTTGTATCGAGATTAAAATATATTTATATTTTATTTCTTGATCTTGAATTCAAATTTATATGTTTTACAATAAAAAGTTTTTAATAAACCTTTTTGCAAAATGTTTAGAAATTCACATTTAATGAAGATAGAGTAGTTGATAAATAATTTAAATAAAAATTGACTTTATATTAAGGTTTTATTGTTAAAAATTTAGTAATAAATATCCAAAAATTCAGAGTATATTGCCAATTTAGTTTTATTTATATAAATTTGATATTTAATAATTATTTATCACAGCCAATAAGAAAAGAAATACAAGGTCAAAAAAAACTAATTTTCAAATATTTTCTTAATAGTAAATTAATTATTCGATTTTTAAACTAATATATGAAAATGTATTACTAAAGTTACTTTTTCTGTTATTTTATTACTTAAAAGCTTTTATAATATTTTAAGAGTATACATATTATGTTTATCATTCCTTCTCATTTTATTATAGTTTGTCATAAATAAAATAAGAGTTTTATAGCTAATTTAATAAATTGTTTAGAATCGTATTTTTATTAATAATAAAAAGCAATGGTACATAAATAAACCTTCTAAGTATCTTTATTTTATATTAATTTATTATTATTGGTAAACGGTAAAGAAGATAAAAATTTAGTTAATTTTTGATTTAGAATCACTCATTTATCTTCAATTAATTATTAATATTAAATACTATTGCTTATTTCTTAAAGGATCTTAAAATTTTTTGTAAATAATGTCATTGTTAAAGAATCAGTAACTTTAAAAAGAAGCAATTTAAAACTTTTCAAGATCATCTTCACCTGTAAGTAAACCAACAGGTAGATAAGGGGAGTATAGTCCCTATTCAAGTTAAAGCGCTATTTAAAAAATATTCTATTGTCCAGTTCATCCTGAAGAGAAAGTAGTTAGTTTTTGTAAGCTAGCAGAATGTGAATATAAATCAAGACTCCTATGTAGTATATGTTAAGCATATGAACATTTTCATAGCGAAGTATTTGCAGTACCTTTAGAACCTATAATAACTGGATAGTATAAAAAAGTAAAAAGAATATTTTATCCTTATTATGATTAAATTGAAAAGAAACAAGATGTGGAAAAAACTATTTCAATGATAAACACTAGATTAGATCAATATTTAAAAGAGTACACTCAACTCATAGAAGATTGTAGATAAAATTTGCTAGAATAGATGAAGAAATATAGAGAAGAAACTCTTTTTTTAGAAGGTTTATTATCAGAAGTTAAATAAAGTTATGAGCTAAGCTAAGACAATCGTAGATTGGTTGAAAATACAATTGTAGGAGTACTAAAAAAATTTGAAGAAAAGAATTCATCATAGGATCCTTTTAGGATAAAAATTATAAGTGATTAGTTAGGTGAAGATCTAGAAAATGTCTTAGATTATTTGAAAGATTCCTCTTAGAGCATGATTACTGGTTTAAAAATGACAAAAGACCACACTGTTAAACAAGCTTTAAACTTCAAATTTTCTGGTAGTTTAAAAGCTCCTTCTATTTAGTTAAAAGGTTAAATGCAAGCTATAAATACAATAAGAGAAAAAGAAAATCATAAATTTGCAATGCTTGAGCCTCGATTGCCATTCGATAGAAGAGTAGCAATCAGATTTAAGGTTTTAAATATATCAAACTATGTAGGTTTTGGGATTGGGTTAAGAAGTGTAATATAAACTAAATAAAACTTTGAATTAAAACATTATGGTCTTAATAAAGTTGGATGCTATATGCTTTATTATCATTAGTATACTCTATCTCATACAGACGAGTCTGTAAATATATAATATGAGGGATTTTAATTTTATAAAGGTGATTAAATAGATTTAGTATTTGATCCTAATAAAAAGTTATTAAAAATCGTTAAAAACAACAACGAAGCTTAATTTACTTTTAAAATACAGTTACCAGAAAATGATTACCTTCATGCTATGGTATCTTTATCAGATAAAACAGATGAAGTAGCTATTATTGAAACAATTATTGACGAAGAGTGATAAATTTTATTTATTTTATTCCATGTTTAAAAAAGTTTTTGATTTATTCTAATTAATATCTTATATAAAATATTTTTTATGGTCTTATTTATTATCAAATTAATGATATTCGACTTAAAAAACTAAAAATTAATTAAATTATTTATTTATTCAGCAAAAAAATATTTCTTTTTTTTTCATTAATTTAAATTATTTCCAAATTTTTTGATATCTAATTTCATTTAATACTATATGATAAGCTCCTTACTTTTTAATTATTTTTACAAATTAATAGATGCTATATTCCATTTTTATGAATATTATTTAGCCATATAAAAAAAGAAAAACAATTTTTAGTTTATAAAATTGAAAATTGTTCATAATTTTGAAATATGCACAAATGAGTTAATTAAATAGTTAAATTTTTTAAATCAATTTTTATTTAACAATTAGCACTTATTTTGGTTGTAAGTTGGTTAACATGTTTCCTTAATTTCAGAATGAAATGTCATTTTAGTCAACCTATCTATAGTTAATTTATTTAAGATTGAATAATTTAATTTTTACATCAGTCATATACATTTCGGTTTGGAATAGATAAAGATAGAACTAATTAAATATATTCATATTAGTATTTTATATACAATATTCATTCGAATGTAGCACTTTTTGTTCATTAAATTATTTTTTGTAATAAAAATATATTAAAAAGTTAATTAATTTAACAAGTACATAGGAAATTAAAGATTTATTTAGGTTAAATAGAAATGGAATTAGAGAAAGCGCTTTTTAGGATACATGAGAGACTTTTATCTCAGGATCACATTTAATAGATGGTCAAGATTGTTAAAATTACTTTTACAGTGCTTGGTAAACATTTTTACCTTTATATATTCTCCTTTTTATAGAATTAATTAATCAAACAAATAATCATATTTTTCAAATTGTTTTCTACTTAACTTTTTTTTAATATATTTTTATATGACTTAATATTAGGTCTTATAATGATTAGCGTTTTCTTTTATGCAAATTCAGTTCACAGAAATGTTGAGGGATGTGTCGGAAAAGCATATAATGGTTTTAGAGATAAGTATTTAGGTAAGTGTTTTTAACCCTTAATAATAAATAAAAAGTCATTATTATAAATGAAAATAAAAAGGCTAATTTGTATAAAATAAATATGGGCTACTTTGTTTTTTATTTTAAAAAAATCAATTAATATTTATAAAAGCTTTATTATTTGCTATTAATTGAATCATTTTTTAAATAAAGAAGGAGGATATCTTGCAAATGACACAGTTATTTTCATAAATATTTGTAATTATGATAAAACACTATAGCCTGAGCCCATGAGTCTATATAATTATACTTTCTATGATTCTCAAGTTTAAGGAGATAGGGAAAATGCAGCAGTTGATGAAAATAATTAAAATCCAAATAAAAACGCAACAGATCAAAATAGTGGCAATTCAAATATAAATAACAAGTAAAACAACAATACATAAAATAATAATATGACTGATAAGGCTGATCTAAGCGAATAACTCCCTTCTTACATTTTTTCTAAAAGAAAACAACTGAAAAGCCATTGCACAGAACAACCAAAACTGTAAGTGGAATAATCAGCTATTTCTTAAACACTTTACTATCCTAAAGAATTAAGGTAATACAAAAATATTGTTTTTATGAAAGAAGAAAATATTAGAATATTTATTTAATCAATTAATTTGTTAATTTTTAAATATAAAATTAGAGCTGTCAGAAATATAACAACTGCTGTAATGTATATTGAACCCACTTGTTATGCCTCTAATTCCTTTTCTGAAAAAGTAGTCTATTACATTCTAGGTGTAGAGCCTATCGTTATTAACGAAATAATTACAAATTTCAAGTAAGTTCTTCAAGCTTTAAATTAATTTTGCTAACATTCAATACTATTTTTATAGCTAATATTTCTATATTTCTACTTTATTTATAAAAATAATATTCAATATTTATTATTTAGGTATTAAGACATACACATAAAGAATATTCTTACTGATGAATCTTGGTCCTGGACTGTTGCACAGATTATTTCATATAGCTAGGACTATGCCCTCAACTACTTTTACTCTTTTATTAGAATAAATCTTGGACTATTTTACACTTCAGCTGTCTCCTCTTTGTATATTAAGATTAGTATAATATGTTCTCCTATCTTTATTCTTTTGATTAGTAATAATTTTATTTATTTATTCATTTTTAAATTTAATACAAATAATGCTTACTAATGAAATAATTTAAATAAATTTTATAGTGTACTGTGTTAAGTGTTTAGGTAGTTAAGACATTAACATAATGACATTGATTTAGACTTTTCCCTATATAGGCTTGTATTTACACGCTTTAAGAGGATAAAAGTCAGATGAGCTTGTTAAATCGTTTATGAAAATGATGCTGGTTATTTATTTTGTTTATTTATCAGCTCTTTTTATAGGTTCGCTAATTTTATTTCACAAGAGCATCCCTAAAGGTTTAGATGAAAATTTTTTAGCTTTACTAGCTGTACTTGAATTACTAATTATGCTTTTTGTTAGAACTAGAAGCAGCTTAAAATGGTTTCCTAGAGTATCAATACTTCTGATGTCTACCTTTCTCTTTTATACATAAAATACAATTTATGGATACTACAGCTCTTTACTAAATACAATTATTTTCTTTATTCTGGCATTTTTCTGTTATATCTTAGAAGAATTTGAAATACCTGCAGTTTCATGGAATGAATCATACCATTATACTCCATCCACCCATCGTCCCCGCGTATTATATTTCCCTATTTTCAATTTAGGCTGGTATTATGACTTACCTTAGCTTTGGACAATGTTTTATCCAATGTATGGAAGAGAACACTTCACTTAAGCTCAATTGTCTCTAGTGGATAGCAACTACATTCTCTTGAATTAAACTTTAGATAATGCAGAAAGAGGAAATAATAATGATTTAGGAATGTTAATGGACTTACAATAAAACGCTAACAATAATTAAAACAATAATGCAAATTAAAACGACTAAGCAGGTAATGTTGAAAATTAAAACTAAGCAAACAATTAAGATGGATAGCCTGTATAGGATATAGAAATGTAAAATAATAACTTAAGTAATTAAAGATAGTAAGCAAATAACCAAGGTAATCAAGCCTTGTAAAACAATTCCGAAGAGTTTTTTAGCGAAGATAACCCAAATAGAAGTAGAGAGTAGCATTTATTAGCTAGAGAAGAAAGAGCATCTGATAATATTTAAAGTAATTCTATCAACCCAAGTAGTGGATTTTATTAAGGTAGAGGGATCATGATTGGTGGTGGTTAAACTGCATCTTCAAGATAAAATGAAGGTTCGTAACAACGCAACCAAAATAATCCATCTGAATATTAGAAATTAGAGTGAAATCTTTCAAATAAAATTTATTTAAATTCTATAAAAATAGAAAATATATTTAAATTATTAAAATTATAAAAAGGAATTAATTTCTTTTAATTCTAATTTATTGTTTTAATCTTTTTTATACTGCTACAAAATATATTAATATTCATCAGTAGATAAAAGCATAAGTTCAGAATAAATTATCTTTAAATATTCATTATAATAAATATTTTTCTTTGCTATTTTTTTTAATTTTTAGTTAATTTTAATTAATTAGTTTAAAAATGTATATTTATAATAAATTATGATTTTTTATTGAAATAAATATTTAGTTTATATTTTGATTTCATAAATAATCATATTATTAATCAAATTTAAATTATTTTTTCATTAATTTTAACATTTCTGATAATCAAATTTTGTTATCAAAAATTTATTAATAATTAAAATAATACAGTAGGTACTCGCCTATAAGGATAGCTTTGGTATAAAGAGGAAAAATTTTCAAAATAAAAATATTTTTCATTTTTAAAAAGTACTTCATTTATCTTCATGAATTTTTTTCATATTTTTAAGTAAAACATATCAAAAACTATGAATATAATTGTATTTTTAAAAATATCTTACAATTTTCAAATATAAAATAAATAAATAAATAAATAAATAAATAAATAATGTATTATTAAAATTATAATATTAAGAAAAAGATATAGATAAAGACTTTGAAGGAGAGTATTGAGATAACTATTATTAAAAAGATTAATAGTAATTTAAATACTGTTTGTAATTTATGTTTTATGTTTTTATATTTATAAAATGTAAAATTTTTACTTTTTAATAAGGATGAATTTTAGTAAAACAATTATTTTTCAATAAGGTAAGTAAAATTTGGAAATAAGCTATTTTTGAACCCTCCTTATAGAAGAGTACCTATATAAGTTAACTTTTCGAAAGTTATTTTATCTTTCGAAATTATAATATATAGTCAAAGTGTAAAAATTGAAAAATAAAATTGGTATTTATGAAATTAATTTTTCAAATAAAATTTGAAATTTTCAAAAAGAAGAAACCAAGCAAGTTATTTTAATTAATTTTATAAAGAATTGAAATAAGTTATTCAAAAACAAAACAATATTTATTTTAATAAATAAAAGATTTATCATTTAATTAGAGAACTTCTTTCACTGATTTTTCGATTAAGGTGCCATTATAAACAGGTCTAAAATTTAAGATAAATTATCTTTTGTTTTGAGCTTGATTTGGCACATAGTTTATGAGTTTATCATATTAATTTTAATTTAATCAGAAAAGACTTCTTTCATGAAGACTTTTATTTTGTGTATAATTGCAGGTTAGAAATTTAAGCTGACTGGTTAAAATTAAAATAAAAATAGTCCTAATTATTCTAGTTCATCTTCTTAAAAAGAATCTAGATTTATTTCTGCATCAGATTATATCAAGTTTAATAAAAGCATAATTAAATCATTTTACTTTTATTCTTCTAAATTTTAACTTGTTAATTGCTAAATAATTAATTAATTCTCATCACTTATAATTTTATTTAATAAAGAATATATTTCAATCTACGAATGCTTTAGTAAAGGATAAAAAATGTTTGATGATTGATCTTCTGAAGAAACTAAATCCTTAATTCTAATATCGCTCTAAAGGTTAATTAAAACTATTTCTTCTTTTTGAATATTTGCAAAAAAATTTAGTAAGTGATCTTAAAAAGAAATCCAATATTGTTGATAGATTTATGGTAATCTTATAATAACGCCAAAGAAAGATTTTCCTTAGCATGCTTCAAGCTTAAATTCTTTAAAAAGGTCTCTCATTTCTTTATCAATCAAGGAAGCTACTGTCACAATTTACTTAATTAATTTCTAAAAGTTGGAATATTATTCTTTAACTTATGCTTCTGTTAAAGTTTCTTTTAGTTTAAATTATATTTAAAAAAATCTTTCATTCAAGACTTTAAACTCATCGTTTTAGCAGTTCATTTTAAATTTTATCTAAAGTTATGTATTATAATTGACACATTCTTCACCAATTTTGATTCTCCATTAATGATATGAAGGTTGGATCACTTTTTCATGATCGCTTTTACTCTTCTCTTCTAATTTTTAGATAAATTTCTTAATTACTTCAGGGTAGGATTACAAATTCATAGTTAATAATATATAAATAATTAATAATTAATTAATTTACAAAAAATTTTAATTTTTTAATTTATTAATCTTATCCAAAATATCTTTAATTAATTTCTACTAAAAATTTAATTTAATAAATTATTACAAAAGAGTTTATATGTGAAAAGATTTTAAAACAACAAATGTATATATAACATAAATTATAATATAAATAATTTATTTTTTTTGTCACCACTTAGCTCTATGGTGTTCACAAAATCCATAAATTTAGGAGAAATTAATTTTATTTCCATCGTTATCAATAAAAAATCCTGAAAATACACCATAGATTTATTCAAATTTTATATCTATAACAAATTTATTTTCATGCTTAGAACTTTTATACATGGGACTAAATTAAGCATTTAAACTGCCTGGAACGTCCTGCTTTTATGTGATAAAAGTCCAGGTCTTTGAAAAATCTTTTTTTTTTGGATAAATGTTGGTGATAACAGGATGCAGCTTATGCATTTTTCCATCAATAAAAATGCTATCTTCATATGTATTAGAATTAGGTAATTCAATTCCATTACCTAAATTCATTCCAAAAGTCTTTCTAATGCCATCAGTACCAGTTATGTATCCTTTTGCATGTGCCCAAAACCACTGAGTTAAATAATTCCAGACTCCTCTGCCTATATCTCTTCCTCCTTAAGTTGTAGAAGGAGAAAATATCAAAGGGGTTAATTTAGAATTTTTGAACTCAACTTTTCCTTCAACATCCATACAATATGTTTTAGTATCATAAAAGAAATTTCTGTGATCTTCACTGAATGGAGTTATCATCACTATCTCATCGTTATCAACAACTTTGCTCATAGTAAAATCACCTTCAAATTAAGTAGAGTTAAATCTTACATGGATTTTATTCACAACTTTTCCAGGCTCATATTAAACGCTTATACTAACCCTAGGACTGCTATAAGAAATCTATCCCTAAAATATGTTGCTTGTACGAGGAAGAGTTATTTATTTTAAAGGATTATATATATCTTCTTTAAAGATTAATTCTTCTTTCGTTTTATGCAAAAATATTTAAATTTAGACAGATGATGCATATCCTATGTTAGCTAATATTATTAGAACTTAAGCTTCTTCATTTGTTGTTGCAAAAAAGTCCCATCCTTTATAACGCAATCTACTAAGAGCCTTCAATCCTAAAAAAGGTCTAAGATTTTCTTCATTTAATTCTTTTACTGGTTTTTTAGCATACCCAAACTCTATTAGCTTGCCAGTGGAATCTAATAGTTCTCCTTTTTTTGTAACTAAATCATGAGTTGCATTAAGATTAACTGGATTTGGGGTAGGTTATTACAGGTATACAAAGATAGCCCCAGCAACAATCATAGGTAATATGATCTTAGATAAAGAAATAGATTATCCTTTTGCTTGATTTTGTTTTGACATTTTCTTTCTCTTTCTGTTTGTTTTTTTTTACTAAAATTTTTTATTTAGCAATAATAAATGATTTAATTACACTATTTATGTTTATCTGATGTAAATAGAATTTAAATCAAGATATTAAAACGTATCTAATGACTTACAAATAAAAATGCTTCTATATTTTTCAAGGGTTAGTATTTTTATTATAATAAATAGATAGGTCATATAAATTTGGACGTAATATACGTCATTATAAGAAATATAATATAATCATTGGTTCTTTAATTTTGTTAAAATGCAATATAATAAATATTTATAATTTAAATAAATTAATTATTATTTTAATCTAAAAAATATTTAAATTAAATAAATACTTTAAATCTTCATTTATATCATATAAAAAACCTAGCCTTATCAAAATTATCTTATTTTTTTAATTAATATCTACTGTTAAATTTATTATTTTAATGTTCAGAGTAAAAATTTTAATTGTATGGTATTTGAAATAATTAATTTTAGTACATAAAATGAAAAAATTGAATGTAATTACTAACTATATCATAGATACATAAATCACCCAATAAATTATTTTATATATAAATTAGTATTTATGAAATATAATTTTATAGTTAGTAGAAGTTAAATTTTTTAAGTAATTTATTTTTAATTTTTATATTAAAAAAATAGACTTATTTTAATAATTAGCAAATTTATCACCATCTGGAATTATTTATTTCGTAAACACCGTAGAGTTTATCAAATGTAATTATGTCTCCTTTTTTTGTAATATAAAATCCTGAAAAATACCCTAAATGTTACTTTACATTGATTTTAATTATGTACAAATCATCATATATCTGATTTGTATATAAGGGATGAAATTCAACTTTAAAGCTACCAGGAATTGCCAAATTATCAGTTGCTAAAATCCAAGGAATTGACATATCATTAAATTATTATATACCACTTTTGATACTATTTATAGCTTCTATTTCACCATCTAAATATACAACATTTTGCAATTTAAGTGAATCACGTGAATCTGAGCTGCCAATAGATATAGCAAAGTTTATTAACTTTTCATCTTTCTACTAGATTTTACCTTTTGCTGTAGCAATAGACCAATTAGTTTCATAGTTGAAAATTCCTCTTATTATATTTCTACCTCCTATGCTTTAATTTGTGTTATTGAAGTTGAGCAATATATTGTGTTAATTTTCAATTTGCAACTAACCTTTAACTTCCATACAAAGTGATTTAATAAGATAGAAAAAATTATTTTTTTGTTTTGTCAAAGGTTTAATAGCTACTTATTACTACTCATTCATTTTTTTTGAAAACTTTAAACTACCAGTAATTGAAAGTGATTCGAAGGTAATTTATAGACTTTGGATTTCATCTTATTGTTCTTAATCATAATAAATATTTAATTTAATTTATTAAGATTAAAAGCTATACTATCCTTTGAAAAATATAGATGAACTAGATAAATTTTCAAAACAATACTGATTTGATTAAAAGTAATAATATTTAGTATCATGTAGCTTGATAATTTAATCACTTTCAAAAAATTTAACTAAAACCTGCACATAAGTTAAATATCCTAAATCAATAATATCTACAAGTATGTATGCATCTTAATTAACAGCTTCAAATTAATCCCACTTTTTGTAACGCAAAAAATTAAGTGTCTTAAGTCCTAAGAATGTGCGTAGATCTTCTTCAATAAGTTCTTTTAACGGCTAATTAGATATGCCATATTCTATAATCGTACCATTAGTATTCAAAAGCTTACCTTCCTTTTAGATGTATTTAGACTCATCTAAACTGATAGGTACAAAGTTTAGTTCATTAGTAATAATATAATTCACAGAGAAAAACACTAATGCAAATAGTATCCATTCAAAGCTAAAATTTGTTTATAAACTCTTATAAAATTTCCTGGTTCTAAGACCCATTTGTATTTTTTTTATAAATAATTAATAATAAATTATTAATTATAATTTTTGATCAATATCTTCCACAATTTAATAAATTTGATAAAAATCATCATCAAATAAATTATTTGATATAGAAAAAAATTATATTATAATTATATTGCTATTATAATAAAAAGGGATTGGAAAACTTCTTAAAATATAATTCCATTAATTAAAATGATTAGATTGAAGTAAATTATATAAAAACTGATTGATAAACTAAGCTGTTGTTGAGGAAAACTCTTTTAAAATTTATTTTCTAAAAAAAAAATAACTAAGATTTTTGTTATTCGCAATTAAGTAAAAAACTATTTTGATTTAAAAAATAACACTTTTTAAGTAAAAAAATTGAATTTATTAATTACTAAATTGAGTTTTCATAAAATTAAATATGGTATTTTTAAAAAATAAAAAATAGTTTATAAGTATTTTTAGCTATCTTAGAAGGTGATAAGATTTTATAGATTAATAGCTGAAGAAAAAAAATTTGTTTCCTAAAATTTGGAATAATTTAAAATTCATAAATTTATCAAATATAATAAATATCTTATTTATATGAATGGAAGACAAATTAATAACAAATTTTATATTTTCTACATATTAAAGTGAAATATAATAATAAAGAGAAAAGTACAATAAGAAGATGAAAATCAAATGAATATGTATAGAAATTAATTTAATTTATTTGTTGAAATGAATTTTTATTATATATTTTAATATCTTATAATTGATCATATATTAGAATATAAGATATAGTTTTCATAAGCATAATACTTTCAAAATAAATTCTTGTTGATAAAAAGCATTTTTGAGCAGGAATTTTAATAAGAGTAAAGATATTAGATAGAATAAAAATTTTAAAAGAAACAAAAAATGTCAAATTCTTTATTATATAGGTTTATACAAACAATCGATATTTATGGTAATAATTACTATCAATTTACAGATAGGTAAGGTAATAAGTATAAAGTTTATAGCGAGACTATTCCTGATGAATTGAAGTTTCTTGGAGATCCAATAAAAAACTAAAGTAAGTATTCATATCTATTTAGTTTTAATCGACATATAATTGAAATTAAGAAGCAATATATGTTACAAATTTTTTTAACGAAGATAATGTAAATATTTAATCATATGCAGCTTTTAAATTAATGGCATATAAATAATTATAATCCATCATACTTTTACAATTCTTATAAATTAATAAATTAGAATTTTTTGATAGATTGAAGATAATAGCAACAAATAATATTTATTAACTGTTATAAATGAAGGAAAATGAGCTTAAGCATGACTGCTGCTCAGTTAGAAGGGATTAATTTTGGCTGAAATACCCACTAATTCCAAAATCATGTATTTAGTTTAAAACTTTTGAGCAATACAAGAATCATATATCTATGGTAGAGCTTATTTCTAATATAAATAGATAAGATTTTAAATAGCACTGTTTAAAAATTTATAGTTATAATCCATAGAAAAGCGAAATAACAGTGGAATAGGTTAGCTAAAATTTGCTGGAAGTGTTATCAAAAATAAAGGTCACTGAAAAAAATGACTTCAAAAAAAATTTTACTTACATGCTAGAAGTTATGTTTAAAAAAATGTTAAAAAAAATTGATTTGCTAGTAAATAAAGTTTAGATATTTTAGACTGATATCTCTTTTTAAAATATTATTTTGACTACTGAAGGTAAATGGGAATTTTTAAGTTATGCAACCGCAATAGAAATAGATAGCAGAAAAAAAACTTATTACCTTCCAAATAAAAAAGCTTTTATTTTTGAATAATATTAAAAGGGAGGAAGCTACACTCAACAATAATTTTTTGATAGTAGTCTCAAGTCTTTGATTTTAGTAATTATATAAGCTATTTTGATAGTATATGGTGAATTAAAAGAGCCTTTGACTGAACTAAATAATGAAAGCATTTATTAATATTTAAACAAAATAAAAAATAATAAATATGTATATGATGAACTAATTGAAAGAATAAATGTTATTTTATTTCCAAAGGCAGATAATTCTCTATACAGCATTGACAAGGGAAGTATTCAATAAAAATTCTAATTATTTGATAGTTACATTAAAGAATATCAAGTAAGTAATCACTACAAAATATCATTAAATTAATTATTTTATTTTTTGAAAAAAAAAATTAGTAAATCTATAAATTCTTTACTGACTCTTCTAAGCTAAATATAAAATTTACAGAACTTACCAATAATATTGTTAGTCCATAAGATTAACTTCTTATGCTTAACTAGTTAAGATTATTAGATTCAGAATCTCAATCCATAATAAATGATAAATTTATCACTTATGTTAATAGTCACAATGATAGCATTAATATGATAAAGTAAGCCTTATTAAGTTATTACGGAGAAACTGCTATAAATTAAATGTAAACTTCTTTAAATTATTATAATTATGATGATTTTTTTTAATTTTAATCTTTTGTTATAATTAAAGACACATTATAAAATAAATTTTTTTTAGCAAATCAATAACGAAAAATAATTAAATAATTTTATGAATTTGATTTAAAAATGTAAAAAGGGAAAGTTAAGACCATGCAATTTTAGTAGACAACTTTATAAATAGAATTAAAGTTAACAATTTACCTGATAAAAAATAATGTTTTTAGATGTTGCCTGAGATTTTTAATAAAGAACCTATCAAATAAGCCAATTATAAGGAAAATGATTCTAGTGGTGTGATAAATATATATGAAAGAGATTATTTAATAGCTTGTGCTATTTTGAAACATAATAAAAATATCATAAAAGTTTCTCTAAAAGTTTCATAAGAAAATTTTTAAAAACAAAATGATAATGTGTTTGAGAGCATTTTGAATGCATTTACTGAAAATAATATCATCTAACATTTTGTTTGTAGCTTTGAAGATGTTTAATTCAATTAAGAATAATTTAAGTTCTTGAGTCATGCTTTAGTCAATAACACATACTGCTAAATTTATGAATTAAATTTTGACAGGACAAACCTTCAGACATAATAAATTAATGAGTTAAAAGAGACTTTAAATAATAGATAATTTACTGAGAGTCTATTTATAAGCTATAAGGGAAGCGATTTTAAAAAAGAGTTCAATGATTAATTTAGCATCATTAGAGAATATGAACCAAACACTGGGTCTTTTTAAGATTAAATAAAACAATAGATCTCATAATTAGAATAAGGTAATTTAGAGGTAGAAATTTAAGAATAAAAACCAATTTAAACTAAGCTAAAATACCCTGAAAATAAGGCTTTGGCAACTAATCCTGAAATTTCAATAACACACGAAACATCCAATATTTAGTTAACTTCACTAAGTCAATCATAGCCTATTTATAATCTAAATAATAATGCTAATGATACTATTCATAAAAAAAAAAAGGCATAAGACAAATAAGAACTTCCAAACGTATAGCAATAAAACATAGAAATAGAATTAAGCAAATTAGATAATCATTATAATTAATAAAATGCTCAAACTTCTAAAAATATTAATAATCAAGTCCTTTCTTAAAAGGAAGCTAATATAAATCAAGAAAGTAGCAGATTGCCAGCACTTTAATAGAAATAAGAAGAAAAATAAAAAGGATAAGTACAACATGAGCTTAATTCTAACTTAGAGAATAAAGGAGATGATATAAATAGTCAATAAGTTAGTTCTTTAGATAATTATATGAATTCTAAAAGTGTTAACACTTAAGAGACTTCTTCCTAAAAAGAAAATAGTTAATTAACTTAAGCATAGGCTTAGAATAATTAATTTAAAATAGATATAATTCCTGAAGAGAGTTTTACTCCTTAAGACGTAGGTATGGGAACTTCAGATACTAGCTCTTTGTTTGCTACAAAGAGTGAAAATAGCTAAAAGAATCAAGTAAACGTTTTACATAAATCTAAAATAAGCAATGAAGAAATAAATGATAGCAATAGCTCTTAAATGATAGAGTCTATAGATAGTAATATCGATAGTAAAAATTTTGAAAATGATACAATTCATTAATTTTAAAGTAGCTAAAAATCTGCTTTTGGAATTTATATTGAGCCTTCTAGTATAAAAAGTTAAAACTATGATATTTTTGAGAAAATTTCAAATAATGTAAATGAAGAATTGTAAAATATTAAAGAAAATAGCCAAGATGTTGATGCTGGTTTTTAGAATTAAAAGATAAATGAAGCTAAAAGCTCAAATTAAGTAAGTGAAAATAAAAGTTAAGTAAATTAATAGTCTTTAACCCCATCTAAATTGCAATAAAATTAAATATAAGCTTTAGATAATTAATAAAGATAGCTTGATTCGGGACTTGACTATAGTGATAATAATTAAAAGCAAATACTAGATAAATAAGAAAATAGTAACAAATAAAAGATAAACGAAATAGAAGAATCATTAAATTTAACAGACTCTAAATTAGAGAGTGTAAATAAAGATTAATAAAATATTTAAAAGGAATTAGGATAAGTAGAATTTTAATAATATGACAATAAAAATAATGATCTTCAAAATGTTAATGAACCTGAATTAGAATTAGAATTTAATAATTTAACAAGCTATCTTTAGTAAAAAGATGATAATTATAAATTAGAGGGAAAATATTAATAATTAAATGAAAGTTTCATTAATTCAGATATTATTAGTTAACCATAAAATAATTATAACAGAGTGAATATATAATGTATTAAAGATGATGTTTCTGTAACATAAGAGACTTAGCAAACACAAACATAAAATGTTTTAGAGGACAATTATGCAAAGGAAATAGTCTAATAAGTTTAAAAAAATACAGAAAATAAAACCATCAATGAAGAAAAAATAAATAAAATTAAATTAATGAGCAGCAATTTAAGCTAAGAAAATTAAACTAAATCAATTGAAACGTCCTTAAAAAAAGAAGAAGAATAATAAGAAAACCAGAAAATCCATTAAATTATTGTTGAAAAAAGTTAATAAATATCAAATAGTATTAATTAAGATTCTATGAAATAAAATCTATTTAATGAAATCCATGAAGAAACTGATGTTAGAATATATAATTAAAATATTGGAATGCATGATAGTAATAAAAAAGAGTTTTAAAAAAATGATATATTATAAATAAAATAGGATGTAACTGTATCATCAGACATTGTTTCAGTATCATAGAGCCTTTAATTTAAGAATTAAGTATAGTAAGAAGTTTAAAGTATGGAAAATTTATAATAAGATATTAATAGAGATAGTTTAATAAGTAAACTAAATTTTAATTTATTTAAAAAAAATTATTTTATAAATTTCAAAATTAGATTAATAGGAAATTAAAAAGAAGGAAATTTAAAAAAGTAATATTTTTGCTATTAAGGAGGAGGTTTCTGTAACATAAGAAACTTAAAAAACATAACCATAGAAGGCTTTAGTAGACAATTATATAATCGATATAAGTTAATAAGTTTAAATAAACGCATAAAACTAAAATAACAAAGAAGAAAAAATGAATATTAACGATAAATTGATAAGCAAAAACGAAAGCAAAGAAAACCAATCTAAATCAGTTGATATCTCCTTAAATAATGAGAGAAAATAATAAGAAAAACATAATATCAGTTAAATCATTATTGAGAAGAGCTAAGTTACATCAAATAATATTAATTAAGATTATATTAAATAAAATTAACTTTATGAAATCAAAGAAGAAAGTAGTGTTGGAATATAAAATTTAAATATTGGAATGAATGATGTTAATAAAAAAGATTTTTAAAAAAATAAAATATAATAAATAAAATAGGATGTATCTGTATCATAAGATTCTGTTTCACAAGTGTAGAGTATTTAATTTAATATTTAAGTGTAGTAAGAAGTCATAAGTAATCTAAAATTTATATTTTTTATAAAAATTATTTATTGAGGAATTATTTTATAATATCCAAATTTAGGTTAGTTAGAAATTTAAAAGAAGGATATTTAAAAAAATAATATTTATGCAATTAAAGAAGAGGTTTCTGTGACAAATGAAATTGATTCTCCACGATAAAGCAACAAATTCAATTACCAAATTAATTAGAATTTCAGTTTAATTGAAAATAGTAGTTAACTTACTTAAAAAGAAGATTAAGATGTATCTTAAAAGAACTAAATATCTTAATAAAATTCTTTATTGTTTTTGTAAAATTAAGACAACCCTTAATTGAGTACTTTAAGTAATTCTTAAAAATAAAATATGTTAGACATTTTATTTGATAATTAAAGCTAAATTTATTATGATAAAGAAAAAAATTAAGATTAGAATTTGTAAAATATTGAATAATAAAGTAAAAGTGATAATAATCAAATTGATTAAGAAAAATAATTTTTTTAAAATGAGAACTATTCTTTATAAAATTACCAAATTTAATAATTTTCTCAGTAGCACTAAGAATAATAGATTGATGATTATAATCTTAAAGAGTAAATAACATAAAAATTTGATGAAATAGAAAATGATGAAAATGATCCATAAAATGAGATATATAATAGAAATTAAGTTATTTGCCAAAACTCTAATGGATTTAATTTTCAAGAGGACTTATAGCGTAATATTTAGTAATTTATTATTTTAAAATAAATTAATTTTTAACTTTTAATTTAGACCAAGCAGATCATCAAACAATCGTATAAGATATTGAATAATAAGATTATAGTGAAGAAAACTTTTCAAATTGATAAAATAATAAATAAATAAATTAATTAATTTATGCATAATATGTTAAATCAATTTTTAATTGTTGATATTTATTTTTAAAAAATAAAAAAAATTTTTATTTTATGTTTATCAGTCAATCATTATTTATTTTTAGGTATTAAGATTCAAATTGCAAATAAATATCAAGTAAATTAACTAAATAGATACATTCTATTGAAATTGTATTAAATATTTGCAAATTGTAACACTTAATCAAAGAAATAATTTTTAATAAAAAGCAAGTAAAGTTTGTGTTTAATATTATAATTGATGATATTTATTGAAATTTATCTATCTATCTATTTAGATTCTTTCTTTAAAAATTAAATAATTCAAGCCAACGACTAATTTTTAATTGATATTGTTTAAATTTTAAAATATTATTTATGGCTGATAAGGAATATAATGTAGATGCCTCAGCTTCTTAGCCTCTCCCTATAAGCTTAGAGCAGAAAAGAAATTCAAATCGTAAGTAATTAATTTTTCTTTTCTTCATAAAGTTCGTTTTAAATATTCAATTTGAATTTACATTTTTGATATACAATCTCAACAAAAATTATTAATGTATTTTAACAAACACAAATCTGAGAGCGAGATAAACATTATATTTAATAGCAATCAGTTAATTGTAATGATTTCACTTAATCAAATAATAGGTTCAAAAGATTCCGAAAAAGTTGTAGATGAACTAAATAAAATAATTAGAATGAAAAAGTAAATGAAAAAAAATAAATTGGAAGTAAAAGATAAGATTGAAAAGGTCAGAGAGAAATCTCCTGTGGCCTTATTTTCTGCTAATAAAGCTTATTTAGATTTAAAAGCCTAATTCACAGCATAATTACCTAAGTTAAACACTTTAGATACCAGGTAATCTGCTTTAAAAGAATTAGAAGCCATAATTGAGTAGAATAAAACTTCAGAAGGATTGAGAGTCTACTTATCCTCTTTGAGTGAATATAAAAAGCCACAAAATTTTAGTACAAATGAATCAGAAGTTTTCCTTTTAGGACTTATATGCGATTTGTATGGGGCAAATTTAATCGATATTTTGGATAATCCTCCAAGTTTACTAAATACTTGCATGAGAATTGGTGAATTAATAAGTCGCTATTTTAAAGATCAAAATGAAAACGTATAAAGGTAATGCTGTAAAACATGGAAATAAATGTATAGGAGCTAATTATTGAATGCCCCTTTGAAATAAAAGTTAATGGTTTTATATGAAATCCCTGCATCTATAATTTAAGGAGGCAAAGATAGAGTAGCTCAAGTAATTAAATTAAAAAGAGTTAGTTTTTATTTGATATGAACATGAAAGCATTAAATAAATAAGCTTCAAAATAGCATTAATTATTTTATATGTTACAAATTTTAATATCTTACAATGACTAAATATTATCATATTAATTAAGAAAATTAAAATGATATTTAACATATAATTTATTTTTTAATAGATTACAGCTATTATGACTATAGAATCGATTTTAGATTTTGCAGAAAAAGTTAGTGACAAAGAATTAGTGATGGGAATTGCAAAAAAGTATTTGCCTTGCATTTATTTTGTAATTATTAATACAAATATTATATTATAATATTTAAATTTTCTATTTTATGTTGCAAAAAATTAGAAATTTTTTCTTGATACTCCTTCTTTAGTAGTTTGTGCAAGATTAATTGTCAGTACTGTCCTTATCAAAAATCTTTAAATATATATGGCACAAATACTTGAGAAAACTCTACAGTTCTTACTGCCATAGGAAAATAGACCTATTCAGTATAAAGTAATAACTATACAAAATTTATTTTTTAATATTTAATTTTAGTTTATTTTTAGATTAAAATTGAGGCTTGTGAATTTTTGACAGTATTAGCAAGATAACTTTAGGAAGTTGCAACATAAATTATTGGATAATATTAAGTAAATTTATAAATTTAAATAATTAAATAAATTTAAAACTTACTAATAGGATGAAATCATCCCAGTTTTGTAAGAGATTTCAAAGGATAGATTATTAAAAGTATAAAGTTCTGCTAAGTAAGCTTTAAAAGAGTGGTAACTGCTAAAATAAAAAGTTGAAGATCTTGAAAAGAAGAAACTAACTAAAAAATAAAAAACCAGAAAAGATTATCTCGACCCAGATGAAATAATTAACTAAAAAACAGGAGATGTAGTGGATTAAATAGTAAAAAATACTTCTTTTTTGTTGTTTTTAAAGAAAAAAATTGTTTTAAAAATTAGGCTTAGTTAAAAAAACGTCCTTAAAATCAAACTAGGACAATTATATTAGAAAATGAAAATGGAATTAAAAATGTGCTAAGCAAATAACAGGGCTGGGTAAATAAATAAATAATAAAATTAAAATTGATTTAAATTGATTTATTAATTTATTTAAAAGGTAAATGAATTAAAAGCAAAAAATTTTATGAGAAAGTAGACAGGAGTTGGAGGAGGAAGAACTGTTTTAAATGAAGATAAGCTTAAAATATCTAAATCATAATTAAATTAATAATAAAAGCTAAGAGAATATATTTTAGGATAATATAAAGAACTTAGGTAGGATATGAAAAATAAAAAAATGGAATAGGAGCAATAATAAGATATTATAATATACTAAAAATAGAATAAAAACATAGACAATATTATTTAAGATTATGAAAATTAACCTTATTTCACATAAAATAAAATGATTATTAATAACAAATCATCAGCAATCGATAATTTTTCTAATAATTTTTATAGCAGCTAGTTGTAAAATTTACAAAATATATAAAAAACTTAACAGTAACTAATTGAAGATTAATTAAAACTTTATCCTCATAATGAATCAAATGAAGATAGAAAGTTTATAGTTCCACCTTAAACAGTCTATCCTTATTAAAATGTAAGTTTAAAAATTAAAATTAATAGAATGTAATTTACATTTAATTAAAAAGATGCTAAGCAGTGGTGCAGCAGATATGCTTTATACAAAATAAAAATACTAAGAAGCTCAGCCAGAGTTTTTGACTTTAGAGGAAAACTAATTTAAATAAGAAATTTAATAAAGTTAAGAAAATTAATTAAAAAATGAAAGGCCAATTTAAAATTTATAAGTATAAGACAAAAATATTTACACTTAGAATGTAGACATATTAGAAGAGACATAAGATTTTAATAATGAAAATTTTTTAGCAAGTAAATAAGCATAAAATTAACTTTTGAATATTAAAAATTTGCCTATATCTGAAGTTTGGGACAAAGCAATTTAGTTAGTAAATAAAAAATTATAATTGATATTTTAGTAAAAGTGTAATTATTATAAAGATAGATTAAGATGATGTTGATCATGCATTTTAAATAATATTAGATTCAGGTAATTAATTAAATAATTAATGATTTAAAATAATATTTATTCTAATCAAAAAAAAATATATCAGAGGATGACTTATATTTCATTAGACTTTTAATGAGAATTGGTATGTAAATTGAAAAGCTAAAAAGACACACAGCAGTTAGGGCTATTTAAAGATATTTAATGATTTAAAAATCTAATTTTGTAAATAGACTCTGCTTTGATTTTTATCACGACAGTTTAAATTCAGGTTTATAAGACCATTTAACAATTGAAGACTAAAGAGAGGTACAAGAAGTAGTAGAAGAGCTAACTCATTCTTCAAACAACTAAACTAAGTCAATTGCTTAAAATTTTTAATCTACTCTTTATCAAAATATTCCATAATGATACAAAAATCTTAATAATATATGAATATATTTACTTCAAAAAATTTTCTTATTTATAAATTAATTTTATTTTATCTAATTTAACTAGTTTTAAAAATATAATAATCAGATTTTATTTATTTCAATAAATAACTCTGTTATATTTTATTATATTAGTATATAATTTTTAAAAATTTAAAAACCTAACTAAATTTTTAATCGAAAACTCTGTATTTCTACATAAAAACCATACTTATTTAGTAAATTAGAGAGATTAGTTTTCATTTTTAAGAATAAATTTTATTCAAATTTTCTCTTTTTTAAAACTAAACAAAATGACATATTTTAGCTTAATAAGAAAGCAAAATAAATTAGATATCAATAGTGTATTTTACAAAAACCTTATTTAAACTAAAATTAGTCTTAATTTGTAATATTGGATTTCTAGATTATATTTTTTGGGTTGTTGTATTAAAATAAACATAAATTATTTGTTTATTTCTTTTAATATTATTTTAATATGTTGCATCTTGTAAAAGCATTGATAAACATCAATAAATTTATTATTTAAAAAAAATTAACAGCAAAATTACAATTAAATAAAGTTCTTTATTTGTTATAAGATATTTAAATACAATTAAAAAAATTATTTTTAAATAATTAAAATTTAAGAATTCTATTTTGCCGAAATAAATTAATAAAATCTTCATTATTATTTTTTACTAATTTATGAATATTATTACCTTTCAAATTTAGTACTTTTTTAATTTTAATTCCAGGAATATCTTTTAAAATTTCATATTTCAAGATTTAAGTTTATCTTGAATTAAAGAATTAAAATAATTATAATTGATTCATACATTTTATATTAAATAAATTTGTAGATTTAGAAAAGCTGATTAAATATTACTCAGTCTCTACATATATTTTTCAATTTATTACAATATAATTAACTTACAACTTGATTTGATTCTTTAGATATTTAATAGTAATTAATCTTATTTTTAGAAATTTTTAAGCCTTTAAAAATTAACACTTAAAAACACTTCAAAGACAATAAAAAAGACCTAAGGTATTTGTAGGAAATAGGAAATGGCTTAAAATAAAGTTTCTTTAATGGAGAAGATTAAATCTCTTAATTCCAAACCAACTATTATAAAGGAAATTGAAGAATGGACTAAAAAAACTTAGTAAAATCTTTAAAGTGCCAAAACAGTTAGTGGTGAAATTCGAAAAGTAATTGAACTTTCAAAAGAACCAAAGGAGCTAAGTAGGTACTTAGTGACTGTTTTGAGTAGCAGTCTAAGAGAGTTTCAGATGTCATCTAACAAATATGTTAAAATTGCTATAATCATATTTTTGGGATATAAATTTTTCCATGTGATTGGGTTTTTGGCAAGATATAATAACATCGAATTGATAAAATACTTAGCAAGATATATGAGACTGCTGTATTTTATTAATTACTTAGGGTATTTTATCAAAAATTTGCCTTAGAGACCATACTTAATAGATAGTTTAAGGTCTGTTTTAGTATTAATTGTGGTAAATATACTTATTTATAAATTTATATTTTAAAACTTAAATTCAACCAACAAATAATAATTAGTGATAGAATTTGTTCTATTTGTTTTTTATAATTAACTTAGATCCTATTCATTGAAGATATACTAATATACATATACAAACTATGGGAAAAAATAGGATCATCAATAGAAATTTCATAATTAGCCAAGACTTCTTATAAAGTTACCATTCTAATTTTCCTCTATATTTATCTTAAAGAAGCTAAAAATTAAGTTATAAACTTAGCCATTTTTAATGGAGAATTAATAGAAAAGTTAATATAATTTGCTAATAACTATAATTGATTTAAATATCTCAAAAAAATGTTGTAAATAATTTAAGCAAGCAAAACAAGTTTCTAAAGTTTAAATTTATCAAAAACCTAAATAAAGATTTTAAAAGAGTGATTAACAATATATGACTAAACTCGTACAAATTATTACTTTTTTTTAATCAATAACATAATTAAAATAAAAAATAAATATTAATAAATTTGATTAAGAGTTTTTTTCTAATTACAATGATGATTAAATATCTAAAAATTATTTATTCCAGTAACTATCTGCATCTTTATATATATATTTTTTTTTTAAATTTATAAATAAAATATTTGTTCATTTTGGTTTTAATTTTTTCTTGTCATATTTATTTGGAATTTTATTTATTATTTATTAATTTTAAAGTAAATTTAATTAAATTTAAATAAAGTTTAAAATAAATTTTTGTTATATGATTTAAGATTGTAAATATATAATTTTTTTATAGATTTTAAATTTTAAAATCTTATTTATTAAAAGATATTAATTCTATATCTAATTAACATCAAAATATTTGATTATTTATAGATAAGTTAGCTAACATAACAAAATCTTACAATTATTTTACCAGGATTATAATAATTTTATTTTATTATCATAAAATGTAATGTTAAATTATTTATAAACTTATTTTTAAGAAAAAATTGAAAAAACATCATAAAAATTAAATTAAATTTCTTTAACATAAAATGGATTAAAATCTATTTAAATAGTATTTTATATATAAAATTCTTTTGATTAAAAGAAATTAATTTTACCATTCCTAGATATCAAATAATAGGATCATTTATAAATAATTATATCCAACAAAAGAATAAATTACTTTTTTATATAGTTTAATTTTATTATTCTTGTAGATAAAAAATAACAATTTAAATAAATAAATTAAATTTGAAAAATTGATTAATTTAATATTATCAAACTTAAATTAAAACTATTCGAATTATTTCTCTAAATTAAAATTTACTATTGTTTTAAAAATTATTATTTTAAGTTAGATTGAAATTTAAGTAAAGATGATAATTTTATAACTAAAATCAAAGAATGTTTGATATAAACACTTTATAAGAAAAAATAATAAAATAGAAAGCATATTTATTACTTAACTTATTAAGATTTAAATAACTCATTCAAATTAAATTTTGTAATTTCCTTCTTTATTAAAGTATTATAAAGTAAACTTGTTGTGTGATTCTAGGATTTCTTGTTTAGCTTACTTTTAGTTAGATGGAGATGAAAAAACCATTTTTTCTAAAAATTCTGAAATTAAGAATCTTTATCCTTAGGTAACTTCAAGTAAATTATTGTTGTTTCTCACCATATTTAGCAATTTACTTTCTGTAGGTATAATAAAACAGATGTCACCTTGTGTGATGTGATCAGTGCCTATATATTTGCCTATTAATTTATTGTCTTTTTTATCTCCTGATGAGTCATAAATTTCTTAGCATTTTTCGTTAAGACGATAATATGAATTTTTTTCTCTATTTTTATTTGTATAAAATTAATATAAAATAAAAAACTTTTTATTGATATAAATTACGCAAATGTTTCAGTATTTATAATTAAAATTGGGTTATTATATTTCTTTGTTAATACTGAATCTTTCTATGGATACAACCAGGGATCTAAACCTATTATCGCCTTAAATTTTTTATTTTCCATTCCAGCTTATACAGCAGTCACACCTCCAAAAGAGTGACCCATAAGTACTATATTATTTGTATCTAAATTGACTTCTTATTCAAATAACTTAGCCATCATATCTTTATTGCTTACTACCTTTAGTAAATTTTCTACTTACATCTATCTGTGATTGAGTTATGACCCACGAATCTTTTTAGCTTATGTATCGTCTCCAGTCTTAATTGCTTGCATAATTTCGAAAGGACAAATCTATTCATAGTGCTCCAATGAAAATATAATGTAACTATGTTAATTTTTTTTATAAAAATAATATTATTATTCTAAATTTAAACTAATTTATGTTTATTTTTTTTTTAAATATCAATTAATAAAATTTATTAGTTTTAAATTAAATTAGTTAATTTTTATGTGATTTCTTATATAAAATAATTCACTAACATAATTTTTTACCCTTTAGATGCTAAATCATTTAAAAAGCAGGTGTATGATTATCTGTGTGCTGCTAAACCATGACTAAATATAATAACTCTATATGAATCTTGTTTAATTATTTCAGCATTTGGAAAGCAATTTATAAGGATTTTATCAACATAATTCATAAAAAAACTGAAAAAGAACTTAGGTATAATTACATTACCAAATTTCATACTTTCATACATACTTCTCCAATATTCTTTTCCATGAGACCATTTAGTGTAGCGATGTTTCTAATTTTTATCTAAGCAAGGATAGTAAACAGATACCTCAGTTTTGAATTCATCTTAAATTCTCATTTACTTGATACCTACTTTGTTTTATCCTTAAGGATCTGGAATCTAATAAACTGGCAGTTTAATTACAATCAACATATGCAAAATTAAAAACAGAACTTCTGTAAAAACCAAGATTTTACTCTAATATTAATACACTTTAAGAAGAGCAAGGTTAGCAGAAGCTAATAATGAGAAAACTAAACTGATTTATGTACCTTCTTATTTTATTTTTAAACCAAAAAGTATGAACCAAATAATCAATGTTCTAATATTGTTGCTATCCATCAATGAGCTTTCAACCTATTCATTGCCTAATTTTTAAACTAGATATAGATCTCTCAATGTGTTTACCACTAAGAACATGCTAATCAGAAACTCGAAAGGATAAACCTTTCTTCTAAATTACTTTTAAACTTTTAATTTTTCCATTTTAAGTAAAATACCCTTACTTATTTATTTTTTTTTCTGAATATTCAAATGATTATAGAGATCAAATGATAGTATAAAATGTAATAATTACTTAAAAGTTAATTAAATTATATTTTTTCAAAATTTTTATTTATTGCATACAAATCTTTGGTTATTTTTGATATTGATTTAAATTCTATTAACCTTACTTACCTAAGATACTCACAATTAAAATTTTAAATTGATATTTAGTAACAATTGCATGTGAGTGTTCATATTTTAGAAAAATCGAAGAACTATTTTTAATTTCGATTTTTTAAATGTTGTCTGATATAATTATTGCTTACTAATCCATAATATTTCTTATTACTAATAAATTATCATTTTATTAAATAGGCGAATAACAAAATATAAAAAAGAAATAATAAAATTACGTTTTTAATAAAAAATATTTTTTAAATTTAATAAGTTATTTTTATTAAATTAATGATTAACTAATTTAGATATTGATAAAAGCTGTATATTTTAATTTATTTAATTAAAATTATTTTCATATACTGTAAATAATTAATCAGTTTATGATTTAAATTAATAAATTAAATATATTTTGGCTACCTTAAATTGTAAAAAGCTAATATTAGTATTATCAAATATAAACTAGTATAGTATCAATAAAATTTTCAATGAAACATTAAATATATTAATTTTAGAATATTTTATATGAATTATTTTGATTAGATTTTTTGAAATCATAGCTTAAGCATACATTTTACTTGATATAATTTATAAATTCTTATTTCATTAATGAAAAAGAATACAATATGAAAAGGTGAAAATAAAAATTTATAATAATTGAAACTATATCAAATAAAGAAAAGCTAATTAACTTAAATAACTAACTTAAAGTGGGATTTATGTTAATTGGTAAAAGTATTTAATGAGCTTTTAAGTTTAACTAAATATATAAGTATTTATACATGTATAAATAGTTTGGATATTTTATATAAAATTTAGTAATATAGCCATAAATTTAATAATTACTATATTTTTTTATAACTTATGATCAATCAACACCACTAAATTTATTAGTCAATATTCTTTTTAAAAAATTTTCACAAATTTCTTTTTGATTTTGAAGAAAATAAATTTATATTATTTATTATAAAAACAATCAACTGTATTTAATACTATTATTATATTCCTATTTAGGGTGAAATAAAATTTATTTTAATGTGAAATGAAAATAATAATTTACAATTCAAAATTATAAAAAAATTAAAAACTAATAACTAAAATGTTTATTTATTTTTTTAATTTTACAAAATTTGTAAAAAAGATTAATATAGTGAAAAACTTAGTTTTTTTGAGACAAAAAACATAAACTTATTTAAAAGCTGTCCCATAAAATATTTTGTTTTTCAATAACCATTTATTATTTCAATTAATAGAATAGAAAAACGCCTATCGATCTATACTTAAAGATAAAGAGGAGATAAAATCTTAATTAATATAATTTTTTAAACTAATTAGCTAATAATTAAAAGCTTATTTCATTTGCAAACCAAGTTATGAGAACTATTATTTGCTTCCAAATCATCAAAATCCTCCATTCTTCCATTACTTTTCCCTATTTTTACCATATTTTTAATGAATTATTCCTAATCTACTTTATCGTTTTTAATTTAATAAACAAAAAATTCAAAAATTAAAATTAGACTAATCTAAGGTTATTTTACTAGTTTCTTCATCGCAACCCTCTGAGTAATTTGAAAAGTAAAATTCTTTAAGCTTATCACTATAAACTGATTTTATGTCTTCCACAGGCTCCCCTATAACTTTTAGTAACTTATTTTTATAAACTTGTATTGCAGATGAATCTTAGTGTATAAAGTAAACTCTTTTTATAGAAGTATCTTTAAATGTAGCAAAACGGTAAAAAGACTAAATAAGAATTTCAGCACAATCCTAAAGGGGAATTCCAAATATATCACTACTATCTTATGTGAAACCAATGCTAGACATGTTTTAATTGATTGCTAGCTAAATACATTATGTTATAGACTCTTCAAAATACTAAAGTTCTTTTTCATGGCCTCCTCTCCACAAAGGCAGAGTAGAATGTATTATTTTTTTTGTATTTTGGAGCTTTCCAGGGCTAGTAATAAAGCAATCATTCAGTGTTAGTATCCCTTTAGAATGTTTAACGCTATCCAGCTCCTTTTTTAGCTTATCGTTGAGGGCTTATTTTAAAATATAAGTTCGTTCATTCATTAAAAAGCAATCCACCCAATTCACAATACAGTCTATGTTTTCATTGCAAATATTACCTTTTAAAATAATAATTTCTATATCTTTTACATTTTTTTGGATAACCAACTCATTTTATTGTGGTTTATCTTTTCTTTTTTAGCAGCAGTTTCCCATAAACCCTTTTATTATTCCTTATTTGTTTTCCTCTTCAGCTTTCTTATTAGAAAATGAGAATTTTTATGATTTTATATCTTATATCAGTACTCTAGAAACTATTTTAATTGATAAAATAAAGACTCAATATCTATTTTATATCTAATTATGTGTTTATGTATCTACATTTTTTTATAAATTTCGTAGATTTATTTGTTTATTTTTAAACAATCTTTCAATTTAAGAATATAAAGTTTTATAATAAATAAGTTACTTAAAGATGTCTGCTTTAAAACTAATAATTACTTTATTATTTATTAATTTAGATGAAATCAATAAATTGGTGATATATATCTCTAATTTCCTTTATTAAGGTTGTATAAAAAATACAATTTATATAAAAAAAAATACAATTGTGCAACTCAATGTTTTGAAAGATTTATTTAATTATATTTAAATATTCTAAGCAACTAAATCTAATATACTAAACTTCAATATCACGATTAAATTTATTCATTAATATTTTACTGACAATATTTTGAATCTGCACATGTAGTAAAATAAAATAAAATTGATTCGCTTTATTTTAAAAATATCCATACACACATATTTTAATTTAGAATTATTAAAATTTTAAAATAGAAATGACATATTATTTTCATTTAACAAATATTTCTCTTCCATTAATATCGTGAGTTCCTCTAACATTATGTTTTAAACCTAGTAACGATCTTAAATTATCTAACTATATTTTATTTATCTATACGTGATCTCTGCTTATAATCCAAGTTACACCTTCTGTGCAAGGAGGATGAGTAAATGATCCTTCGTATCTATAAAAGCTTTCTAACGAATCTGTCAACTTTTATTGATGTAAAAAATCATATAAATATTGTATGAATAAAATAAATAAAAAGATTACAATATCTAATGAAACCAACCTAGGCTATAATTAAACCTTTTCATCTATCTTTTAGAATTTTGAAAATTCAAGTCCTGAAATACCCATAGCTTCCAAGAAAGGGTTAGTTTGAGTATCTGAGAGATCTCCCAAAATACTAACTATCAGCTTTTATCCATATAAACTTACATGTTCAATCTAGAATTCTATATCAGCTCTTTTGTTGTCTGCACCAAACTATTTATTATTTAAATTAAATAAATCATTTTTAAAATATATAATTTATATAAAAACATATTTAGATTTTATTCAAATCAACCATATTATTTATTTAGAAGCTTTATGTATTTAAATTATATAATTTTAAAACTTCTTTATCAGTGCTTTGTGAACTAATTTTATATTATTGAAGCTTTTAAAATTTTGTTGTTAATTTTTTAAATGCCTATTTATTTACTGTGTGTTCAGAAGGGAAGTGGAAGTGAATAAAGTTAGCATCGTAAAGGTGCTCTTAAAACTCAATGGTACCAAACAAACCTCCTAGAGTTAGTTTAATGTTATCATTGAAGAGCCATGGATCTTAGTTAAGCTAGTTGTAGTATACATTAATTTCTCCGTCCTCTAAAACCATGAGAGATTGAGGATCGATATTTATTGGACTCTGCTATTTTCCTTCTTAGCATAATTATGGCCAAGAATCTATAGAAAAAATAGGAATTTAGTCCCATTCTCCATCTTTATTGTAAGCATAATGTTCTGGTCCTTCATTTTTTTATTTTATTTTTTCAACAACTTCTTCTTTTTTTTAACTTGTTTAATTATCACTAGCAGCTTTTACAGTTTCTTTCTTGTCTTAACGACCTTTTACTGTCTTTTTATGTACTAAAATAGCAGAATTAGTAGATTATTATTATGATTACTCTTCATTCTTTTCTACTTTTTCATCTTTATCTGGCTAGCTCTATTCATTATTTTTATCAGGTACATATTCTTATTTATTATTAGTTTCATCAATTTTATCTTATCTAGCTTTTTAATCATCTCTAAGTTTTTCAAAGATGATCTCTTCAATTTCTACTTATTCTTTCATCTTATTTAGATCAGGTTTTTCTTTCTAAATAACTATATAATCTGTGTCCTTAATAAATTTAGCTGAAGGCTCTGAATCATGACCATATACAAACGGATCATAAATAGTACTATCCCCTAAAAGTATAAAGCTGTCTTTTATTTTATTTAGCAAATTAACTTATTGCTGATTATACTAATCATGTAAATTTTAGTCAGTTGAATTCAATTCTTCCAACTAATCTTCTTGCTGTTCTTATTCATCTTTTTTTTCTTCTTCTTTCTCAATATTGAAGTTTATAAAAATCTCCTGTTTCTTTTTTTATGTGTCACGACCCTGGTATGATAGAGATGTAGGAAAGTCACTTAGTTAAGCTTAAGTAAGCTTCAAAGTATCATATCCTATTAACCAAATAGTAGGCTCGCAAGGAGGCATAGTATCAGAACCTATATTCAATTTGAAGAAATTACAATTTAAACGTTTTTAAAGGTCATATCAAATTGAAAAAGATTGTTATATTATTTATTACCTTTGTATATGAAGAATTTATTTTTAGATGGTAGAACATGCTACAAATTAAACGCTTAAGGTATTTCAAAGTTCTAATTTTGTTATAGATTTCTTAAAACTCCTCTGCCTAAATGTTAAAATAAAATTATTTTTATATTTATGTTGAAAAGAATTATACCAAAACCAAGTCTATTGAGAAAGTCACTTTCTTCTCCATAGCTGAAAAGGAAAGCCATATTTAGTTTTGATTGAGATGCTGATACAAATTTAACTTGCATTTCAAGAGGAAAGAAAGTTTGTGAGTTTCCTACCTTTTTGTTTGATATTAAATTAATTATAAAAAATTCAGAAAAATTATTTTAAATAGCATAGTAGTATATTAGATTATTACTGAATGCTCAGAAGGACTTTTAAAGGCTATTTCATAGCTTGAAAATATGGTAGAATCTTAAGATATATAACCAAAGTCTCCCTTTATTACAAGCTCATTGTTAACGTTTTATAGATAACTCTATCCGCTATCAATTTATCTAAAAATAATATCTAAATCCATGCCTTTTATGATATTTTTTTGATGAGTTAAATAAAATGAATAAAACAAATTTCTAAACAATATCTTTGAAATTATGAATCTAAAAATTAAATAATAAATGTCTACTCATAAAGCTAAAAGGTCCATTAATATTAATAGGACTCTGCATAGCAGAAGCATCTATGCAAAATCCAGTCCATTTGATAGGAGCTTCGTCAGTAGTCATTTATATTTTAGATTTAGCGCACAAAATTTGGGAAATAAACAGTACAACTAGCTTATATTTTAATAAATAAAAAACATTTTATTTATATAAATTAATTTATTTAGAACTTAAAATCATACTGAAACTGTTAAAATGATATTCCTGTTTATAACCATGTTCTAATTATTTTATTTTAATTCTATGTAAATTATACCACTATTTCTTATTAATAAATGACTATGTTAATTAATCTATTAGTTTGAAATACTATTTTGCTTATCAATCAATAATTGTAAAAAATTGACCTTCTTAATTTTCTAATTTTTTTGAAGATCTATTTTTCTATTATTTTTTAATCCGTTTTTAACAAATTGTTTTTTTTACTAATTAATCAAATCAATAAGTAATGTAATCATTCATTTTTGAATGAAGCCTTAAAATCTATTCAAGTTTTTCATCTCATTTAATATGAGAAATGAAATTTAATTATGATATTTTTTTTTTTGGTTGAATTCAATATTAATTTTTTTTCTAGCCAAAGTTTTCTTATGTGTAAATTACTCATATATAATTTATTCTAAAAAATGTATCAAATGAAATTTCAAAATACCAAATTTAATAATTAATTCAATAGGTAAATTAATTATGTAAATATAAGTATAATTAAATTCCAATTATTTAATATAACTAATTTATTTATTTATGTTAACAATTAATACCTTTATGTATGTAGAACTTAAACCAGGATTTTCATTGAAAATCTAATAAGAGAGTAGATTTTTGAAATTTCCTTAAATGTAATAAAAAGTTTATTTTTGTTAATTAAGATTGATATTGATTTAAAGTAGAAATAGAAGCTCCTATAAAAAGAATTTGATTCTTTTTTCATAAGAATTATAAAAAATATAAAATAAGAAAAGTAATTTACTCTTATTAGACAAAAGCTAAATAAAAAATAAATATGAAATAAAAAAGTAGAATAAAAGTGAAATTAAGTTAATTAGTTAAAGAAAGGTACTTTTAAACATAGAAATAAAGAGTGTGAGACATGAGATAAGAATGGTATTAAATTATATTAATTATTTTGTTATTAGGATTGTTTTTAAATAGGATGTGTCTGAAGTAGGACTTTCATCTACTTCATTAATTGAAAAAGTGATTTGTTAATTTTAAATAGGTTTTGTAAATTTTTATTATCACCATTAGAAGGCTTATGATTTTTAGGTAGTAAAAGTAATAAGTAACATATTAGATAACTGTTTTCAGTCATATTAATGAGGATTTTATTAATTTAATTTTATATAGCATTGATTATTTTATTGCTTTGTATATGATGTTGATATTGCTAAATTATTCTAGCTAAAATCCCACAAAAAAGTGAGAATAAATAAATTTTATAGATAATCTAATCAAGCTTTAAAAGAATAAAATAATTTATTGCTAAATTAATATGAGAATTTAAATTTTTTATTGTAGATTTTATTGCGAAGTAGATTGACTTGACTTATTTATTTATTTTTTAATTAATTTGTTATTGATTAATCTTATTTTATTATATTTGCTTTGACTATAAATTAATGTTTTTTTAAATATCCAAAAAGTTTTTTATGCAATCAATCATCAAGCTCTATTTAGAAAACAAATAATTGCATTGTAAATCTAATCCAATATTTATTCACTAAATTGATTTAGTTAATTTAATAGAATTATAAATTTTATATAAAGATATTTATTATATTTTAAACGGTCTTCATCAAGGCTATTTGATTTCTATTGTTTTGTCATATTAACCAATATTTTCTTGAAAAGATTTGTCTTTTATAGTGTATTACTTTAAGCTTTAGATTTCAATAGTTTTTTCAATTTCTTTTTCACCTTCACCGCTTAATAATTTTTCATCTTCTTCTACCTCTGGTAAACTTTCTATGTACTCCTCCTTTTCAATTTCATTTGTTTGATTATACTTAATGGCTCTGTTTTCGTGTTACAAATTACTTTTTTCCATAGGAGAAGACATTTGATCTGAAAAATTATTTTATTTTCGTAGCTGAATTTCTTTTTCTTACTCTTTAAGTTTACTTGATTTTTTAAAGCAAGTAAAACTATTTGGATATACTATTCCTTCTAAGAAAGAGCTAATATATTTAAGATGAGTTCTTTTACTTTCTTGATTGCGAACTTTTGAATAAAATATAGCAGGGCAAGAGGAATTGCTGAAAAATTCAAATTGAATTTCTCTAAAAAGCTTCAAATACTCATAATTTGGAGTTGATTCATTGTAAATCCACAGATTCCTACACTATTAAAAGTTATCCATTTTTTAGCCTAGAGCCCATTTCTTAAATTTTTCGATTTCTTCATCTCCGTTTTCATAATCTTAAAAATACTATGCCATCATATTTTTAGAGATTTTGCTACGTTAAAGGAATCTTAGCATTGTTTAGTTTAAGTTTCTCAACAAATTTTTTGTGCACTCAACGTCTGTGGGTTTGCTTGTATCAGGTTTTTTATGTTTCTCCTTTTATTCATTTACTTGCATAATTTTATCAAAGTTTTCTGTTTGCCCAACTTGCATAGCATACAAAAGAATTTCTTAAGCTTTGGATATTTTGTTTCTTAAGAAAATAAAAATAAAAATAATGCTTATAAAAGCTAAATATAAAATCAAGATTTTTAAAAAAATTTTTTGTTCATTTTTTAATCACTATTCATTAAATTTAGAAAATTAATTAATTATTATTATTTTTTTTGAGAGGAATTTGATTTTAAAATAAATAAAAAGTCTTTTGATTGAAACTAGTTAGCTTAAATTATTCAATATTTTTGTATTTTTAAAGTTAAATTTTAAAAATATTTTAACTTTTCCTAGCTATTTTTTGAAATAACATCATATATATTCAATAGAAACTGTTTGATAATAATCTTGTAAAATATTTGCTATACTTTTATCTTGGAAAAGCTTTATAAAATTTTGTAGACTTTAAAACAAACTGATAAATTCTGTTAATTTCAATTGAGTGACGATATTTTTAATGGTTTATTTTTCAAATAATTCTTTATTTTCAAAATTTTTAATTATAGATAAAATAGAAGAAACTCATCTATTTTAAGGTAACTAAGTAAAGAAGTGATCAAAATATTTACCAAGATTTCAATAAATATCGACTTTACTTTATTTATATTAAACTTAAATCTGGTATCAATAATTACTTATAAATTTTTCCAATCAAATTCTTAATAAAAATTAATTAATACGAGAAAATAAGAAATGAGTTAAATTTATACGAGAAAATAAGAAAATAAAAATTAATTAATTTTACTCTTATGCAGCATTTTGCTAGTCTAACCCTCCGCTTAAAGATGAATATTCTAATCCTTTTAATTATTTTTTTTAGAATGGTTAATAAATTTACAAAAATATAAAATATAAAGATAGATAAATAAATAAATTCTCATGTTTTCAAAAAATAAATATTAATTAATCAATTAATTAATTAATTTTGACTTGTCTAATCTTTTTTGATTTTTGATTTATTTATTTTCAAAATTAGATTAAATTTCACCATACAAAAAATCAAAATCTAATGTAAATTAAATAACTAACTAACTAATAAGCTAACTATCTGATTTTAAAATAAGAAACTTAGAGAGTACTTAATAATATTAATTAATATATTAATTATATCTATAAAGATAGTATCTCCAAATTAATGCACTATTAAAGAAAGCTGCTTTATCGAAGGGATCAATATAATATTAATTGCTCTCACTTGCTTATTAATCTACCTTTTTTTCTAATAAAAACTTAAATTTGAAAAGTGTGATTATTTGCTATTTTTGTATAAATTTTCATTTGTTCGCTTATTTAAGCGCAAGTGCAAATGGTATTGTATCCCTCCTCAATCTAATATGGAAATTTGATTGATTTATTAAAATAAATGAATATGTATAAAAAATAGATAAATTGATAAACAAGATTATTTCAATTTTAATGCTTAATTTTTCTTTTTTAATTAGATAGTTGTTTCTATTAGATCATATGAAAAATGAATTAAGAATTTTGAGATTAAAGTAGGTAAGTAAGTAAGTAAGTAATTTTTACTAAACTAATGCATTTTATTTATTTACAAAAGATTTTATTGTTTTGGTGATTTAATCATTAATCAATTAATTAACAAAAGTTACACAGTTTTTTAAATATTAACTTTATAATTTTCATTTATGTCTACCTCCAAGTTTTGTGTCTTTTTCTGTTGAAAGTTAGTTTTCTGGAAATTAATTTCCATAAATTAAACAAGGTCCATTAGCAGTTTGTATAGTTTAAGGTACATACGGGTATCCTCTTTATGCCATTTGAAGTGCATATCCTTATTAATTCATATAGTTTGCCATATCGTAACCCATAGAAAATTGGTTTTGTTAATGAAATTGAGAACTATTTGGTGGTTATAATTAAATTGGCCCTTAATTAATAAATTACTTGTATTAAATAGGAGCTTATTGTATGGGTTATTACTTTTTCTGATTCTATTGCAACATTTGTTAATTACTACTTTAAATTTTACTATTTACATTAGGAGGTTAAAGTGATTCACTTGAACTAATATCACAAGCATTATTATTTGTACTAATATTTTTATTTGCGCTAGAATTGTTCCTATCTTTTTACTAGCCATTATCTCTTTTACCAATATCTTTAGATCTATACTACTATTGCTGGTTTAACATATAATATTCTTCATTACTATCCTTTCCATGGAATGATAGCTCCTCTTACTATGGAATTCCTTGTAATTAGTTAGCTAAATGTGGTTAAACTGACTAATATGGAAAATAGGGAGCATAATAGGGTTAATGCGGTAGAGGGGGCTAGGGATATTAGTGTATATATTGAGGCAAATGGGGAGGAATGCCTTGAGAGATAGTACCTTAAAGGCCGCTTTGAGGGAGGGGTTAAAATTAATAAGATATGATAGATCCCTCAGGAAATAAGTGAGATTAGTGATGCATGTTATATGGAACTCTAGGTTACTTTTGCTAATTGAATTATCTATTATTAGAATCTTCATCGTCTGAGATACTTACCTGCTAAATCTACTGAGGAGTCTGTTACTTTTTATATTTCTATTACTGTTAGTTATTAATTTATTGCTAAATGAGAAGCTATGGATGCTAATATTGCAAATCTATGTGTTATTATTGCCTTTTACTTTAATTTTATTATTGAATAAGGAACTATTATCTGTTTGATGTTTCTTATACGTCAGAGTCATCTTCTAAGTCTATTGTTTGTTACTTCATAATTATATTTTTCTCTTATTATATGTCACTTCCTTATTTAAATTTATTCTGTGGATTTTATGTTATTTCAATACTTGAGCTATTCTGATTATTATTATTATTAGTTTTATCCATTTTCCTGATTTCTATTTCTTAGTGCTTTTATTGAGGTAGCTTACCATCCGAATCAATAGTAATATAAGGATCTTTACCTCCTTTCTATTTCTGCTCATCATCACTGCTTTCTAAGTCAATTATGTCCACTTATTTTTACTATTATGGAGCATTTTTAGGTACATTTTTACGTGAATCTTAAATATTTATCAGTGAAACGTTTTATGAAAATTATTTGACCCTTTATTCCATCATTTTTTAATTTTATATTTGCTGCTCTAATTATTATTATTATTATTTAGCTTACTCTTATTTTTATTATTCTACACTTTACTTATTTTCGATAGGTTAAGCTTTTTTCTAGTTGCTGTTGTTTTTTGTTTTGCTTTCTTTAATCTTTTACTCCTACTTCTGTTAAGTATTTGGCTTGGATAATTTATCTTGCTAACTATTTTATTGTAATGAAAGACTCTTACTATTTTATCTGTTTGTTGGAAAGGCTTGGTCTTTTTAAGCAGAATTTATCTCACTTTGAACTAATTTACTTTTTTGGATAGAACTTTTTGCTGACTCTGAAGGCTATTAGCTAGTCTAAGCAATATTAGAGTTTTGGCTTGGCTATATATACTAATAAAAAAATAAAATTATTTGATGAAGTGGTTTATATATAAAAGTTGAAGAAAAAAAAAATATATACCTTTTAGATATCATCATTTTTTATATTTGCACTTTTAGTTTCAATACCCCACTTAATATCTTCCTTTTATTTACGTAATGCTTACGACTTTTGATCACCTTGCTTGTAAGTTGCATGATTATTTTATTTCAAATAAGTGTTTTGATAGGATTGAGTATCTTGCTAATTTTTTTAATCTTCTTACTTCTTCTCTAAAATATCTTATAAATATTTCTACTTCCTTGTAAAAAATTCTAAAGAGTATAAGTTTATTATTTCTTAAGGATCTATTTCGGTAGAATCTATTTCTTCAGCTTCATTAATAATTTATGATGTTTTATTTTCTTATTTATTTCCTTATGCTAGTTGAATGGTGCTATTTTTAGTATTTTCATCATTATCATCATCTTCTAATTAAATAATATCCTTTGGTTTTTAACTTTTTTCCTAAACTTCAAATTCTTTTAGTTATTAAACATTTTGTTTATTTTCTTAAATTTCTACTTCCTATTTTTCAGGCAAGTGCTAACCATTTTGATCATTTAGTATTTGATTTGTATTAGCACACTCATCTTCATTAGCTCCATCAGATATTTCAATACAAACCTACTTCTTTTCATTCTAGTTCATATCTTTGTTATTACAATTTTCTTGTTCAATTTCCATTTATTCTTCTTCACCTTAAATAGCTCTATTTTTTACACTATTGCTTTAATTTTCTTAATTTTCGACCTACATTTCACTATTCTCTAACTATTTGCTATCACAATTATTTTTTAAGCTATCAATTTAATTTGGAATCAAATCTTTATCTTATTTTATTTAATCAGTGCTATTTTGATCATCTCTTTGGAAATCATTTTTTAAAACGATTGTTTAACTCTCCTCTTCTCTATCATTCTTCAATTATTTTACAAATTCAATATTTGTTTAAGAGTCTTCAATTAATAAATCTTTTAAATTATCCTATTCTTACTAAGCTAGGTTCTTGTCAAATCCCTCATTATTTTTCTCAATACTTGAATTCATTTAATTTTCAACCTAATTAATGCTTTGAATATTTATTTTATCTTCTGTCTAGCCTTTATCGCATTGAATTTCTATTTCATTCTTTTATATGTTTTCTTCTTTTTCTTCCTATTCTATCACCTAAAAATAATATTATAAATGTTAAAATAATATAATAAAGTATATTATTTTACTTGACTTTGAATAGCTGCCTATTCCTATTCTTCATTTACTTATTTATTTTCTACTAATTAACAAGTATCAAATTTCTCATTTACTATTTAGCTTTATTCAACATTATTTTCTAAATCTTTCTAATCACTATTTAAAATTATTATTTAATTTATTTCTTATGCTTATTATCTTAGAGAAATATTGTCATCATTATTTTAATCCTATACTGTGCATATTTCTTTTGAAAGATTACTTGCATTAGTCTGATCATTTTTACTTTCAATATTATCTTGCTTAATTTTAACATCATCTCTTTCAGTTTCCATCTCATCTTTTTTACTGTCAATTTCAACATTTTTACTATCTAGTTCATCCTTTTTATTTTCAACATAGTCCTTTTAACTATCAGTAACATCTGCTTTATCTTCTTATGGCTTTACTTATTCTTAAATATTTTATCCTTAATGAGTATCAACAAACTTTTAGTTTATCTTTTCCTAACTACTTTTTAAACTAAAATTTTATTCATTATTAATTGCCTAGAGTGCGTCTACAGTCTATCATTTTATAAAAGAAAATTATAAATTTAATGTAAAAAATTTTTGAAAGATTATTAAAAATTTTGATCAAATAAACAACAACTCTTTTGCTCGAGCTGCTTTTGATTAAATTTTTTTTCCAAAATTTTATAATGCCCCCGTTTATTTAATAATATCTAATTATAAATTAATTACACTTTCTTTTTAATTTTCTTCTTGCTCTTTTTCCTTTACTTTAGCTAAGCTTAAGATTATTGATCCTTCCCCTTATTTTTAAATAGGTTAGGATTCATTTTATAATTATTTGCAATCTAAATTTTCTTATTATAAAGAGCTGATACTTTCTTAGTTTGATTTACATATATCACCATCATTATTACTCAATTATTAAAGCATTTCTGAATTATTTTAGGGATTCATCCAATCTGACTTTACTTTTTTATAAATTATCTCTTCAATATTTTCTTGATCACAGATCTCAATAAATTTTCTTTTATCATTCGATTATTCTAAATCAATTTTTTTTTGTTCATTATTTGAGTCCGGTTTTTCATTCTTTTGTATGAGATTTTCTACCTATAAAATTTATTTTTCCTCTTTCTGTCCTAGTTTTTTAACTTTTGATATTGGATTACTTTCACTCTTAAAATCGCTAGAAATACTAGATTAAGAGGAGAAGCTTTAAGGGTAATTCTTTTAAAAGTACTAATCTTGCAATGTTAAATCAATCTTTTTAATTAATTCTGTCATTTATGATTTAGAATTAAAATATTGATCTATTTCGTATGCTGAAGATTATGGAGTGAGAACTTGCTCTTGGCATTCTGGAGAATTCTACATAATCATGAAAAGCATTAAACTATTTTATAATTATCTATTTTTTTCCTTTATGAAGTACTTCGAAAGTCTTTTTACATACTATTTATTTAAATCATCCATTTTCTCTCTCTTTAAAGTACTTTTAAATTATTATTTTTTTTTTTTAATTATTTTTGTTGTAAATAGTTCTCTAATTCGATTATTTAATATTTAGAGAATTTTTTTTGTCTTTCTTCATAAATACCATCAAAAATTTTAATTTTAAAATTAAAATTTTTATGTTAAATACGATATAATGAAATAAGAAAAAATATTTTTATGTACTTTATAATAAAATATAAAATTAAATAACAATTACTATTTAAAAAAATAAAAAAATTGAAGATCTTATGAATAGCTATTTAAATAAAAAATAATTTTATAGTTGAAAAGTAATGAATGTTTAATAGCTCGAATAATATCTAATACATAGTGTGTGCATCATCTCTTCCTAAAAAAATAATTCTTGAAAAATCTAAGATAATAAAAATAACAAAACACTTCAAATATATAATAAAATTATATTTCACTCTATTAATTTTATTTTATTTTTTTAAATTCCTATTAAATTTTCTAATGTGCAAAGTTAATATTTTCAAAATATAAAGACCTCTTCATCCAAAAAAAATAATTCTTGAATCAAAGATAATAAAAATAGCAAAACACTTCTCAAATAGTAAAAATTCATTTTATATTATAAAATTATATTTCTCTCAATTAATTTCTTCTTAAATTTTCTAGTGTGGATAGTAAATATTTTAAAAATATAAAGGTCATAAAAATTATATAAAAATAATAAAAAAATGATATATTAAATATGTATTTAGTCTCTTGAATTGTTTCTCTAATTAAGTGTTAATTAGAGAAAATAAATTTTGATTAATACCATCAAGATGATTATTTATATTGAAATTACCTTCAATATAATTTTTCGATATATTTCATAGATCTTTTGTTCTAAAAAGAATCTCTAATAGAAATTGAATAAAATATAATAAGCAACTTAAGTATCTTTAGAGGAAACCAAAATAAGAAAGAAAAATAAAAAATGGAAGTTAATAAAGAGACTAAAAAAGTATTGAATTAGGCATCTTAAACAGCATCTTGCGTAGTTATAATAGCTTATTTTATTGGTTTAGTTTTACCCAACTTTATCAATCAATTCTAGCTATCAATAATTAATTATGCAATATCTACTATAATAGGAATTATATTATTCTACTGTTTCTTTTATTTGTTTGAAAACTCTGTAAAATACTTAATTGCCCAAAATTAAAAAAACACTGATTTATATTTATTCTATTATATACTAAAAGTTTAGTAGAATGTATTCTCAAACAAGATATTTTCATTTCTACCTAACTTCTTTCATTTTTGGCTAGATTACTTAGTGGGCTTTTTGTACAATCATTCTTTAGAAAGATTATTTTCTACTGTCATTAAAATTTTTCTTATTAAACAACATTGTATTTCACTTGGGAGAATTTTATTTTGTTTGCTTGAGCCACCCTAAAGATTTGGCTTGGAAAAGTAAATTATACACACACAAATATTTATTATCTAATATATGTTTATAATCAATTACAATAAATAGATTAACTAACTAAATAATTTTTTCAATATTCTCTATAGGTTTTTTGATTAATCATTCACCTGCATATAATATAGCTTTTGTTGTAGCTTTACTAGAATATATCTTAGGAGTCTTCTTTCCTAATTTTATAATATTTTATTTCCATGTAAATAAAATATTTTAATTTAGTTTAAAATGCATTCATTATTTATATCTAATATTTTCAATTAAATAGGATAAGTTTTTCATTATAATGATTGGAGTTTTCTTTAGCATATTTGGTCATTTCATGAGAATTTCAGCTTAATAGACAGCCAAAAGCAATTTCAATCACCTCGTTTAGAATTAAAAAAGTGATGATCATGTTTTAGTAACACATGGAGTTTATTCTTTCTCCAGGCATCCAAGCTATCTCGGATTCTTTTCTTATAGCTTGGGAGGTTAAATTATATTAGGAAATTTATTTTGCTTTTTTGCTTATGCATTTGTCCTTTATAAATTCTTTCTTTATCGTATCGTGTAAAAGAAAAATTTTAAAACTGTGTTTATTTAAGCTTTTTTTTTTATGAAATAGGCAAGAAGAGCATTACTTAGTTAAATTTTTTGGATAATAATACATTGATTATTCTAAAATTGTGCCTATAAGAATTCCATTTATGGAGTATGCTATCCATAAAGTATTTAAATGTGATGATGACGATGATTGATAAAAAGGAATTAAAATATTAATATGAAATTTAATTAAAAAATTTTTTGGATAAATTTCCATTTATTTAACATTAAAATAAAGAAATTATTTAAATAATATATTTTGTTTAACGTATTTATTTTTTGATTATTTATTGTCTAAAAAATAAAGATTTTTTTAATAAAAAAAACTCTTAAATTTTAATTTAATTTAACATAAAATTATTTCTTAATTAATTTAAAATCAGCAATATTTAATTTTAATATTAATTTTTTATGTAAAATTTAGAAAACAAATACTTATCATTAATAAGAATTAATTTTTAGCTTTTTTTCATTCATAAATGCAATTGTCTATTTTGAAAAAAAAAAATATTCGTTAAAAAACCTATTTGAAGAATTAATAATTATAAAAATTGCATAGAAAAATAGATCTTTAATTTATTAATTATAAACTTAAGAAAAAAGCATATTAAATATATTAAACAAAAGTAATTTGCAAAATATTAAAAATTCATGTCTACATTTTTAGGCAACCAAGAAAAGACAGTATATATCGAAGATGTTATTCAACAATAAAAGCCTCAAAAAAATAATATTAGCCCTTATTTGACAGATAAAGATAGGGAAAGAGGATTTTTTCCAAGCTGCCGAACAGATAGATTTGATTGGTAAAAAAATAATGCAATGTTGGATTTAAATACCAACAAGAAGCCTGCTTAATAGTAAGAATAAGACACTCAAGGAAAATGGAATAAGTTGATAATGAAAACAGAAAATGGTATTTTTTTATCTTATCAAAGCAATTCAATATAATTAAAAACAAATTAAATTTTAAACTCTTTTTATATGATTAAAATTTTAGAAAGAGTTTCTAGGAGGTGTATTACTCCTAATTCAAACACATATTAATCCTCGTAAAGAGTTTTGAATCCAAATTTACTTGGAACTCCAAAATTTGAAGGCATTAAGGTTTACAAAAACCAAATTAACGACAACTGGTAAAAAAGAAGACAAGATGGTCATGAAAAAGCTATTGAATTTAAACATTAAAAAAATATTGATTAATATATTCCAAATGAATTTGTCATTCCAAACACAGAAGGCAGAGAAAAAAGAGATTTTAGTCGCTTAGGTAGGACAGAGTTCAGTAATAGAGAATAAATATCATAGATCTTAGTTGATAAATCTTTGAATAACATTTGTGATGATTCTAAAATCAGTAAATCTTTAACTCCTGATCGTTGTTTGGTAAATATAAAAATAATAAAATTACATAATAATTATTATAAATTGATTAAGCTAATAAATTAATTTTAAAAATATTAAATAAAATTTATTTGCTTTCATATAAACTAATTTAAAATTAAATATTTCTTGCTTTAAATTGATTTATTTTTTTAATATATTAAAAATGTTATTAATTTGTTGTGTTAAATTTAATAGTATTAAAAAACTCACTTAAAATCTGGTCTAATCCCAACTGAAGAGAGGAATGAAATGCAAAGAATTAATAGAAGTAAAAGTTAAAAATAATAAGGAGGTTAAATAAAATATCTTTTAACAGACAACTCATCTATAATAAGTAATAATACTAATAACACTCATAACACATGCAGTGTTGAAAAAATCAGTAAAAAGTATGTAAATAAATAGCTAAAGCACAAAATTAATGAAGAAAGCAAAGATTTTTGGAAAGACATGACTTAAAATGATGTTTGGAAAGAAGAAATTTAACTTCGAAATGAATTTAAGTATGGAAGAAACTGTACAAGAGAGTATATTTTGTAAGAGAATCCCATGTTTAAAGAAGGTTCCGCTCAATCTTATTTAGACTTTATTTCTGAAACTAATTTGAAAACTGACTTGCAAAGAAAAAAATAAAATACTGTTAAAACTACTCAATAGAGACCTGCATGCTCTAAGAGTCCTCAAAATAAGTTTTAAGATAATATATTAACTAATACATCTTCAGCTAATTACTCTCAAAAAGATTTAATAGTCGAAAATCGTGTTAATTCGAAATCCCCATTCAAGAATTCTTAAAAAGAAAAAAGTGAAATTCATTCAGTTTTATCCTATAGGACATGTGATAATAATTAATAAAAACAATCCTTAAATTATAAATTATAAAGCGAATATTCTAAATCTCCTAGCTCAAAATTTAATACAAATGTCTTGAGAAACAGCATAAAAGAAAATTTAACTTATTCAAAATCCCCTGCAAGAAACTCATTCTTAACAAGAAGTGAAACTCACTCAAACTTAAATTTATACAAATAAAATTAGCATAATAAATAGGTTTCATAGCTTTCTAAATCTCCAAGTGCAAGAATAATAACTAATCAAGAATATCCTAAACTTTAATCTAAATCTCCTTCTAGATATCAATCTAATAATACTTATAGTAAAATATATTCGTCTAATAACTCCAACAACTAGTAAAAAAATTAGAGGATTAACAACGAGTAATAAAACGCAAGACAAAATTCAAAATCACCTTCTTAAGTTAGTTAAAGAGCACCTCTATCCTAAGTAAATAACAACTCGAATAAACAAATATATTAAAACAGACCAAGATAGTAAAATCAATAAAATGATGATAATACTTCTATTAAAAGCATAGTCTAGAATTTATTCTAAGAAAAGTCTAATTACCAAAACCAATAAAATAGAACTCAGAAAGATAATAATGACAATTTTTCTATCCTTTCTTACAGTGTGAGTTAAATTGGAGGATGCTCTAAGGAATAGCAATCTCCCATAAAAAAATATGGAAATAAATCTTGTTTAAATGAAGGAATTTTATTTTATGAAGATTCTTCAGTCATATCTCACATATCAAAATTAAATAAAAGCTAGGTTAGCTAAATAACAACTTAAAACAAAAAAATAATAAATTAAAACTAAGATAAAGAAAATGTTTAATTTGCTTCATAAACGGTCAAAAAACAAAGAGAAATGAGCAAGAGTCCAAGGTCTAGTAAAATTGGCAGTTCTCAAGTAGGTTCATTATTAAAGCATTTTTGAAATTCTTAGATTGATTATAATATAATAAAATTTAATTAGAGTATGTAAATAATTTGTAATATAAATATATATATTATTATTAAATTAAATTAAATTCAATAAAAACTTTATTTCATTGTCTACATTTTTACTAAATAAAATAAATTATAATTCCTTAAAATATATTCTTTTACAAGGTTATTTTCTATTAACTCTAGTTTTATTACCTGTTTAAAGTCAAAAATATTAATTTGAAAGTTGTCAAATATAATTTTTTATATACATTATTATCTCATAATATAAGGCCAGTTTGCAAAAATTTACCCTAACTAAATTAAAATAGGAGCTTTAATTTAAAAATATACACAAAAATAGATAAATTAATTGATGTCTTTAAATTGTTCAATTATATTATAATATTTTTAATAACTCTTTCACACTTATATAAAATTATATAATTTAAAAAACATAATTAACATTCAAATAATAAATTGATGAATTTAAGCTAAAAACATTATTTATTAATTAAAAAGCAATTTTAAAATATCTCCTCATGACGATGGAGTAAAATCTTAGTTTTTTCCAGTGTTATCTATACTATTAATATCAGATACCTAATAATTTGATTTGCTATCTAAATCATGTTCTCCTAAATCTTTATTTTATTCAATGTGTTTTTAAAAGAAATGACTAAATTGTTACTAATTATCCTCCCCATTGCAATTGGTAGGAGTGAATTCATCATTTTCTTATTTAGGATTAATTAAGTTTTATGAAAATTTGGATTTTTTTTATGAATTTTATAATTCTGGCGAATTTTCTTTATCTGCTGAATTTTTTTCAGAATCTGCTTATTCTTTAATGCTTTCAAAATATTCTTCGAAGTCTTACTTTTTTTACATTTTTTATATAATATTCGATGGTGTATTATACATAGGAATATTTTATATATTTAATTCAGAAAAGAATGGATGTTTAAGTAATTAATCGCATGAAGGCCTATGTAATGGGTTGTACCTGAATATTTATTTCCTATTTATTTTATACAGTATTTAAGTTATTGTGTAATCTAATCAAAAATCAATTACATTAAATCCAACGCTTCCGTAGATGCGTTAGGGAAAATCTAACTTAAATTAGTAGGATTCAACTAAGGAAGTTAGAATTTCATATGACTTGCATATGTAAATAATTCAGGACAATCTTATTAACTTGGAGTTCCAAAAACTTTCATAATTCTTAAAAGTTAATCTTGTTCACTTATTCCATTAAAGAGAGGTCCCATTAAGCTAATTTAAAAAAACAAACAAAATTATAAATATTTAAATTAGAATTTGTTTCTTAAGTTGGCAGAAATACTAAATAATAATTTATTTTAAATGATAAACTTTCATATTTATCCATTAAAAAGATTACTGTAAAGTTAGAAATAGATTAAATAACTAGTGGCGAATAGTAAAATTTATTTTTATATTCTTAAACAAAGAAATTAATTCTATATAAAAAAGGAGAACTTACTTAATGACAACAGAAGTTTAAATAAAATTATAAATAAATAAAAAAAATTTAAAGAATTACTAGAGTTCAGCAAATATGCAACCTATTGCCCAAATATCTACTTTATGAGTGTAGGTATTAGAATGTACTAATTATTCTGGAGCTCTATACCATCTAGTTGTTATATAATCTGTGTATGGAGCAAATCTTTGTGAAATTTCTCTAGTTACAGTAAAAGAGGATATTTTGACAGAAATATTAGAAGAATTTAACAAATCTGAATTATAAGTATTCACTGAAATAGTTTCTGGGCATAGATCGCGATGAAAGAATTTTTAATCATGCATATAGGTTATTGCTGATATAATTTGAAACATAATTTCTTTTATTTATCTTTCTGAGAATTCATCACACAAATCACGCATCTCTTAATAATAATCAAATAAACTTTTCTCATAATACTCATATACACATATCAATTCATCTCTCTATTTAATAAGCTCTTTTATCTTTATAATGTTGGGATGCGAAAAAAGTCTTAGAGCTTTTACTTCTCTCACTTATATACATTCTTGCCAAGTATAAAACTTTTTTCGAAGAATTTTGACTATATACTTCTATTTATTCTAAATGTTAATCGCTTTAGCAATCGTGCCATACTCTTAATCACTGATAGTTTCTATAATTTTATATCTTTCCATGGTGCTATAAATGTGCCTATATCTATTGTAAAATTTTTGGCAACTTTTGTTTATTAGTTATGATAGTAGACCAAATTTTCTTAAATTAAATCGCAAATTCAGCAATTTATTAAATCTTAATTTTTTATTGAATTAAATAACTTTTTATTTATATAATTGATCAAAATAAATTATAATAACTATTTGATAATAGTTTTTTAAGGAAGAAATAAGAAGTGTTATTTATTTTAAAGGTTATAAATAAACATTAGTAATAATCTTTTTAGGAGTTGAATAAAATAAATTTAGTATCTATTTTATTGATAAATTTGCGATTTATTTTTAGTGTTTTTCCAAAACAAAATATTATTTTTGCATTCAAAAAAAATCAGAAATATTTCAAACCAATCTTTAAAATATGCTTTGCTACTAAAATAAATAAAAGAAAATTGCTTATTTATAGTAGAAAGTGAGATAATTAAATAATCAACAAAAGTTTTTCTATAATTTTAATTAGTTTTTTTATTAATATGAATTATGCAAAATTTTACTTGAAAAATTACAGAAATAGTAAATAATTAATTAATTCATTAATTTTTTGCAAAGAATACATAATGTTAATGTTCTAACAAATGAATGAACGAAATAATATTTGATTGAAATATAAGTTAAACTAATAATTTTATGTTTGAATTTAATTAATATTTTGATAATAAGTAAGTAATTTTTTAATCTTATAAATAGATAAAATTTTATTTTTACCATATTCTTTTTTATTCTAATTTATTATTTATTTATCTTTCTTTTTGCTACAATTTTTTATTTAGTGCCTATCTTATTTTATCATTTATCTTTCATGAAGAAATCAGCAGAATCAAATTCTTTCTTTTTCTCCTTATTTAAAAGATTTTTTTTCTTTTTAGCAATAGGAAGTTGAATTTAATACGAATCATGTTCACTTTTTGCTTACTATGATACATTCTTTGACTGGTCCTCCATTAATTACTCAGATTCTTGATGAGAAATTATTTTATTTGTATTATTTTAGATTTAACTATCTTCATCTTAGCTTTCTCTATTTTCTGGTTCACATTTTTCAAGACCATTACTATTTTTTGATGAAGCAAATACTGATCTTCTAGGATTAGAAGTTGTCTCTTTAAGTCTGTAATACTAGTTTTATTCTTCTTCTTCCTCTTCATAGTCATCGTTTTCTTCTTCTTATTTTTGCTCATTTTATTGATCATTTCCATAAATATTATTATTATTTACAGCATTATTTTATTTATCTTCATTTATTTTTTCTGATTAATGTTATAAAATTAAGTTATTTTCTGATGATTTATCTTTCTGAGCCTTATCCTCTTCATCTTCCTCCTCCTCGTCATCATCACTTTAATGTACTTGATTTCTATACTTTTAGAACTTAGAGTTAGTAATTTTACTATGAATTATTTTAGGTAGGAAATCATCTTCATCTTCAATACTGCTGTTAGTTGGCTGAGATCTTTTTTCGTCTTCTTATTTTTTATCATCAAATTCTATGTCATCATCTTCACTAGTATCTTCTTTAATCTTATCTTAAGCAAGGTCTTCATTTTAAATCAAATTTTGAAGCTTATCTTAATTCTTTAGATTTTTTTTATCATCATTTTCTTCATCATCATTTTATGCTAATCCTGCAATATTTAATTCAGGCATGGATCTTGATTTTTTATTACAATTAGATAGTATTGATTTTTTGTGCTTTGGATTTCTATTTATATTTATTTTCATGTAATAAATTTATTCCTCTTTTTCATCATTTTCTTCATCATCATCGTGCATTTGCAAATCAGGCATACTGATGGTGCACTATTTTCTTTTTTTTTCTTCTTCCTCTAAGAAATAGTCTGCTGAATCAAAATCTAATTTCTTTTTATCTTTGACAAGTAGAGGTAATTTTTTAGCACCTCCTTATTACTTTAGCTTTTAAGTGGCTTAATTAATTTAGTCTTAAAGAGTTTTCTATGCTTCTTGCTCATTTGCGGGTTTAGGAGGTTAATTGATAGTTTTTTCTGTTTCTTTCTTACTATTTTCTTGATCTTCTTATTCGCTATCTATAACGCTTCCGTGTGGTTATTTTAAAAATCTACTTCCTTTTAAACTATGGACATTATTGATTTTTACTTGCTAATCTTCCTCTTTCTCATCTTTCTAAGTACTAGTACTATCTTAATTATTTTCTTACTTATTGAATTTATCAGATGGTAAAGAAAATGAAACTCTTTTTCTCTCCTTCTCTCTTGACCTATCTCTTGACTCTCCAGGTTTGTTTTTTAATATATTGCTTCTAGGAGATTATCCATCTGAGAGTTGATTTTTTGGTGATGAATTTGTAATGATAATTGTATTGAATTATAAATCATCATCATCGTCATCTTCATCTGAGTCTTAAAGTCCAATAATCTTTAATTTATTGCTATTTTAGCTTGGATCAGCGAATTAAATAGGCTCAGGTTTAATTGGATCAGATTGAAATGCTATTTATGATTAATTACTTTCAGAAATATTTTGAGTCTAATTCTCTTAATTATTATTTGATGTCTAAGGTGAATTAACGAATGAAGACTTCGAATAATTTGTTTTTACTTCAATGACTTTTCTGTTGTCATCTTATTTTTTTTAGTCAGAGCCATTAGCATCCTTATCTTCATCATCTTCATTATGTTCATCTTTCATGTAGTAATCTGCTGAGTCAAAAACCTTCTTCTACTTTGTAATAAGAGGTTTTTTTGTGGTAGTTTTTTTCATTAACATTTATTGCTATTGCTATGCAAGCAATTAATCTTAGTCTTCTTCTTCATCATCATCAATAGAGTACTTTTTAGAGGGACTACTTTGAATTTGTTACTATAACTTCTTCTCCATTTCTAACCTCTTAGCCTCCTGTTATTCCCTTTCTTCCTTTTCTTTTTGTAACCTTTACTGTTCCTTTTATTTTTCTAACTTTTCTTATTCTTTTTTTTATCTCAGGCGTTCTTCCTCTTCCTCTTTTTATTTTTTTTACCTTAATTCTAACTCCTCTTTCTACTTTTTTTTTCTTTATTCTTCTTCTTCTAACATTTTTCTTTTCCTTTCTAGCTCCTCTTCTTCCTTTTGTTTTTTAATTCTATCTGCTGCTTCTTTTTCTTCTTGCTCAAGCTTTTATTTTGCCTACCTTGCTCTCTCCTCTTCAGCTAAGATTGCATTTTTATTTTGCTAACTTGTAAATTTATTGCTTTTGTTTTCGTTTTCTTCGTCATCATCACTTTATTTGCCATTCTCATAGCTACCGTTTTGAGTATCTTTTTTAAAATTAGAACTCATTTTGGATTTATGGGGATTATTTGATGAAGATTTTGATTGAGTGTCATCTGTCCCATCTTATTAGATATCTTGCATTTCATCACTAGTTGTATTAGAGCCGTTTTCATCACCTTTCATGAAAAAATCTGCCGAATCGAATTGCTTTTTCTCTTTAGCAATAAGAGGCCTCTTTTTTTTTGAAGGAATTTGATTCATAAGCTATTCTTATTATTTTTCTAACAATTATCTTTCTCCATCTGAGTGATCAGAATCAACTTCTGGTTTAGTGCTAGCAAATCTGCTTTTCATATTTATTTGATTGTCTTTTAAATATCTTGTTGAAATTAATACTAATTAGCTAGATAAAATGGAATAATTAAGTTTAGGCTATTCTTTCTTTTGATATAAAAATTTATTCTGATTCAAAAACTGATATATTTTATTTATTTATTTATTATTATTATAAAGAAACTTAAGGCAGAAATTGATATTTAAGAATGCTTCTTTTTTACATTTATCAAATAAACTGAGGAGATGAACGAGCTCATTTGCTAAAGTACTATTACTATTCATTCATATTTCTTATCATTTAATACCATCACTAATTTGGCATATACTATACAAAAACAAAAATTTGCTTCATTGACTAAAATAATAAACAATAAATTTATAAATTAACTCAAAATAACTTTTTACAAAAATTAATTTACATGCTTGAAATTTTTAAATGAAGAAAATAGATCAATAAAGTCAGCTCTTTATAATTAATTAAACTGTATACCATATATATTATCTCTCTTATTTTCAAAAATTTATTAAATAAATATTTATATTAAGAATTTCAAAATATTTAGATTTAGATAAAATTGTGTGTTCTTTCTTGCTAGTATCATTTTAATTTAGTTAAGCATAATTATTAAATAAAGCTCTTATTGAGCTTTGATAAGTTAAAGAGTAAATTATGTTATATTGAAGGCTAGGTTAAAAACACATTTTATAAAATAATACACTATAAAAATTAAATATTTTACTTTTTACCCTTGTTTTTAGTAGTATTTTTTTAGTAAACAAAAACTTTTGAGTGAAATAAAGAATTAAATATAAAAAGTTCTTAAAAAAGGTTTAAAAGAATTAAAATCTTCTAAAAAAAGATAAGAATAAATATTTATTATCTACTTATTTTAAATGATTGATAATTGATATACCATCAATTCTCATTAATTAAGATTTCATATATTAAGGACTAATTTCTGGAGATTGATTATACAATCAATTAAGGGCTTAAACTGAGTAGAAAATGGGTAGGCCTTAATTAATGAGGATTGACGGTAACCCTTAATTTTGGAGTATTATATCGATTATCTCAAAATAATTTTTTATTTTTAGTTAAGCCATAGAAATTAGAACATTTAATTTTAAAATACATAAATAGATTATTTTAATAAATTATAAAAACCACAAAGTAATTCAGTACTCTAATTTTTTCTTAAAATTTGTTGATTGGTTGGTATTTAATATTACAATTCGATTAATCGATTAATTTGAAAAATACACAATATTCTATTTAGCATACATTAAAATTAGTTGCAAATTGCTGTTATAAACTTAGTAACAAGAATAAGAACTAAATAATATTTTAAATATTTTGTTAATGCTAACTTCTCCTTGAATAACTTATTATAAAAAGAATGAAAGATTGGACTAAAATCATTTAACATTTTAGACATTTTCCCATTCATCTAAACCTTATTTGCAAACTTCTTTAATCTTTTCAAGAGTTTTCTTGGATCTGTATCTTTCTAAACGTTCCATAATTTTCTAACGTTCAGGTTCTAAAGCTTTTAATTCTTGCATTTACTTTTCGTATTCTCTTTTGACAATAGGATGATCCATTGTAATTCTTTCAGGATGTTCATTTAAGTCTTCCATAACTTTGAAATCTTCTAATTCCTTTCTAGACATATTATGAGGTAATTTCATTCTTAATTATGTCAAATCAGTATTTCTAATTTCCTTAGGATACCAAACAATGGGTCTCTTTCTATTAATGTTACAAATAAAGAATTAATATTTTAAAATAAAGTGATTCTTTTTATCTAAATTAAATGAACTTGAATAAAATACTCAAATTACTGTTTGCTTTAATTGCAATATTAAATTTAAAGATATTAATTTATTTTAATTAATAGTAGATAATAAATATATTAAAATTTCAAAAAGAATATTCTAATTTGGATTCTTCTTAAATATTTTAAAATTAAAGATAAATTTTAAAAATACATTATTATTGAAATATTATTTAACCAGAATAAATTAGTAAAATTAAAAATAGTATTTATTTAATTTCTCAGAATTGTATATGTAGTAGATTTATTTTTTTGTTGCACTATTTAGGAGGTTAAAATAACAAAAATGTTTGCTTATAAAATGAAATAATTACAAGAAAACTTTTCTTCTTCTCTAGACTTCGTGCTTAACAGGAGTACTTTTTTGAATGTAAGGAATTTTAAAAGAAGGATCTTTAAGTTTAAACATCATTAATTTTCTAAGATATTCACCATATAAAGAATCCATGTTCTTGGGTTTGGTAAGGAGAACATAGTTATCGAATCCACCGTACTTATCGATAGTTCTGAGAGTCTTAGAACTCATTTATATTCTAATTTTTTTTTGTAAGATATCGCTCCATAAATATTTTTCATGAACATTAACCTTCCACCATCTTATAGATCTATTTTTCAAATGATTTAAAAAAAATTAGACTTTATTAGTAACTCCAATAACAGCATATTTGCATGTTAGCGCTCATCAAGTATGAAATTTTTGGAATTGAATACAAAAACTAATAAATTTGTTATAAAGCTTAAATAATTTTATTTGCTTATGCTAAAATAAGAGCTAAAATATTCTATCAGGATAATAAATCAGTACTTTTTTTCAGAAAAGCATGTTTGCAAACCAGTTTTTGGCTATTTGCCATGGAATAGACCTTTTTAAGATCTTTCTGTACGCTTTTGAATATTTCTTTCTAAAACGCTATTGACTAAATGAGGGTTGAGAATATCCTTCTAATTAAAATTTTAGAAAAGCTATTCTTGTTTAGCAATAGAAAAATTTCTTTGGATGAGATTTCCTAATTTGACAGGAGCTACAATCTATTTAATCAAGGAAAACATTTTTGCACTTATTAATTCACCTAAAATTTTCTTTGTTTTCTTTTTTTATACAATTATCTTAAGGAACTATAAATAAATAAATCAAATCGATTAGCAAACAGACTAAGATATTATTTAGATCTTTCTTTTGTTTTAACTTCTTTATGTAATAAATAACTAAATGATATACAAAATATATTAATTGCATTCAGAGAAATCATTTATTTTAGTGCAATTTAACCATGATGAATTAATTATACATAATATTTAAATATTAAATTATTTTTACCTATTTCAAAAGAAATTGCATTTAAAAAATAAAAAATATAATTATTTTTCATAATTTGTAAAATTAGAAATAGCTTATCATTTATTTTATTTTATTAAGTAGAGTCAATTAAAAATAGCAAAAAGAAAAAATATCAATTATTTAAATTTCCAATAAAATCAACGCTATTTATTTGAAAAGAAAATTTGATATTTGCAAAAAGCTACAACATTTAAATCTTTGCAAGCTTTTTTAAAGTAATCTAAATAATTTCTAAAATTGAAAATTGTTTATTTGCGACATACTATTATGAGTTTCAAAGATTTGGTTGTTTAGTTATAAGTAAATTAACCACTTAAAATTAATTAATAATCAATACATTAGTTATTGATTTTGATGGTGTTTTATCTTGGTTTTAAAAGTTGATAGTTTTTATTATCTTATATTTTGTTAAATTATTTTAAAGATTTAATGTATGTCAGTAAAACTTAAAAATATTTAACTACAAAAAAGAAGTTAATTCATACTTTATGCATTTTGGTTTAATTTTTTTACATTTGAATACATCGCTTATTAGCTTAAAAGTTCAAATTATTTAATGCAATCTTATTAAAGTATTATTATGCATCTAAAATTTAAATAATTATAACAAAGATAACAGGTAAAAATATATAAAGAAACAATATTTACACTAAAATTTTATGTCTAATAAAAAAAAAAGACTGTGAAAAATAAAATAAAAATAATAATCAAGTAACAAGCCTCAGTTAAAAAATATCAAGGAATAGCGTGTATGCTTACAATAAAAAGTGAAATAAAACATGAAGAGGAGCCACTTGTGTTATAGAAGAGGGCGAATTTTAGATACAAAGAAGTTTTCGATATATCAAATGAATATGAAAAATATGTTATATTAGATAATATTAGTCATGATAGTAATGATATTAAGAGATGTTCATTTAGAAAAATAACTTAAAAACAACAGAAAGAACTCCTTAGGACATTTTAGGAAAGCGACATATAGGTAAGTGATGGAGAGAATAGTTAGGATTAATATTAAAAATTAGAAAATAATAAAGAAAATATAGAATATATCATACAAAACTCATTGAATCTTCAGATATATGTAAATTAAAGCAATAATCTTTAATTCAAGGAGATATGGAAAAATTAATTGGGTGTACCTTTTGAATTGGCTTCTACCAATCTAACATATGATAAACTTGAAATCTTAAATACATTTTCTCCCATAAATTATGAAACTCTAATCAAAGCCTAACTGCTTTAGATGTTTCCTTTGACATAAATGAGCCAACATCCATTTTAATGTTGGGATCGTTTTATCAAAGACAAATAGCTGCTCGCAAAATTATGTGAAATCGTAACACATAACTCTGCATAGGGAAAATTAGAATAATTTCAGAATCATTTAAGTCAAATCGCTAAAAAATAATCTATTTAGCCGAATTGCTAACAAATAAAGTTTGTACAGGATTTCTAAAGAAAGAGTGCTGGCAATATTATTTCGTAGAGCTTAGGATTAGAGAGACGGCATCTTAAGAATACTAGCTTAAATGAAAACAATGACAACAATTAAGATGACATAAATGAAATAGAAGAAATAAATAAAATAGAAAAATTAAATTCATAAAAAAAGCAATCCCGTAAATCGAAGTATCATGGTTTAAGCAGACTTTTACTGTATTCAATTTTAGATCTATTTAAACCAGCTAATATGACTATACTTTAAATTCCTTAAGAAATATAAACAGCGCTCATTCAGTTAGTCAAGAGACTTAAAAAAAGTGGGAAATTTTCAATTAAAAAAAACAGCGAAGACTTAGCTATTCGGGTTTAAAACGAAAAAGGCAAAATTACAAAGACAGATTTTTATAATCATTCACATTATAATGCTTTATTTTTAATTTTAAATCCTACATCAATTCGGTAAATGCGTAACTCCTTCAAAGATGTTTAAATTCATAAATTCGTTTTTGGAATTGATATTTCAAATATATTACTTGATTAAAATTAATTGGCTTATATAAATATACTAAAAGCTTATTCATATATGATTTTTTAATCTTCTTTGCTTGAATTTTAAGGTAGCCGCAGCTATTACACGAAAGAACAATCTTTAATAAAGGAAAATTAAAATTATGATTAGCAATTAAACAAAACTAATTAGCTTGAATAAATTCATAGAAAGTACTCAACTCTTTCAATCACCCAGCCAATAAGTACCTAGGGTTCTTGCTTTAATTAAACAAACATTCTTAATAAAGAGTTGCAGTTTTAAAAATAGGCTTCTTTAATTCACGATAGTGGAGAAGTAAAGCATTCAAATTTAAATATCCGAAAAAAATACTTGAAAAGAGTTTAAAAAAGTATTGCATACCTATCCTAAGGAATTTAAGTGCTAAGATTTTGATTTAATGATTAGATTGTGTTTTTTTACTTTACAGCTCTTCATTTTATGGCAAATTAGCAAAAAAAAAGTATTTTTAATATATTCAATTTATCCTCTTTAGAAATTGAAGATATGAATAAAGTAACATTTAAATTAGATAGTGAAATGATCTTTGGAAGTATCTGATATGTAAAAAAAATTATGTTGAATTTGAGGAAAAAATATAAAATCTTTGTTTTATTTAAAGCATTTGATTTTCTGTCTAATTTATTAAAAAAATAATCACAAAACGAAAGAAACAAAGAAAAGAGCAAATTATTTAAAAATTTTAAAGTTCAAAAAAAGTATTAGATTGATTATTCTTCTCAAAATATATTATTCATCTACTTAACCTAATAAAAATTTAATTTCTTTAATAATTTACAGGATATAGGATAAGCTGCTATTAATATAATATCTTTCCTCTGCTAAATAAATTAGTAACTATGACTACTCATTTTTATTATTATAAAGTTTATTAAAACTAGATGTTTATAAAAAATATTACAATAAAAATATATAATTTGCACTTATTTTATTTTTCATGTTTATTTTAAAAAAACTTTTTATATCATATCAATCAATTAATCAATCAGTCTGCCTGATAGACAAAACTCATTCTTTTTTTCTTTTAACCAAACTTACTTTTTACTTCTTATTCAATACCAAATATATATTTACTTTCTTTTCCATTGAATTATTTAAATTTTAAATATATTTTGATGAAAAATGACTAGATTAATTCATTCATTATTTCAAAAATAAACTAATCAATTTACAAATGCAAAAATTTTATTTTTTGATTGAACAAAAAAATGAAAATAACACAAAATTTTCTTTTTATATAAAGAAGTCTAGTTTTTCATACATAAAATCCTTTATTTGCATACTTATGTATTTCAAAACAAAAATAAATTTTTTCATAATGATTTTACTATGAAACTTTGCTAATTTTAAAAATAATATATCCTAAGCTTATATGATTAGGTAAAATAATATTTAAAAAAATAGCTAGAAATAAATATATTAGTAATAGCTTTGAGGTAACCATTGAGTGCTCTGATGAGTAAAAAGAGAACTTAAAATCAAAAATATCAAACTATTTGTGTTTTAACTCATTTTTGTTTTAAAACAGTATACTATTTTTAAAAGATGATTTGGTTAATCATCTTTCATATTTACTTTTATAATATATGTTTAATAATTAATGCATCATGCTGAGTTATAATTAAAATGGTAATTTAAGAAAACCAGGTTATGACTCATGAAATTAATATAAAATGTTTTTACTTGTATTACACATGAATCAAATAGACATTCAAAATTGTCTTTTATACTATTGAACGATTAATTTTTATATTTGCATGATAAATATGCTTTAACTATAATTAATTATTGCTTTATACTTTTATAGTTTAGATTATTTAAATTTTAGCTAAAATAAATTCAAATGACCATCTTTAAAAAATAGAGTGATAAAAAAATATTTTAAAACATTTAGTAAACTAAATATAAGATGTAAAAATAAATGAATAATAAAATTTTTATTAATTTTTTTTCAATGCTTATTATTTTAAAATATTTGTGAAGTGGAAAAATTCTATAGTACTAAATTATTTATAAAATATTTTCATAGCATTATATTGTTGATTAAAATAAACTTCCTCAATTTATAGTATTAGCTTTGCTACTGTTGTGTAAAATAAATTATTTTTATCTTTCAATTATTTTTTTTACTATTTTATTAAGAAATAGGAAAAACCAACTTAAAAATTTAGAATAAAATAAAACATAGGTATTCAATCTTAATCTAATCAGAGAAAAATAATGCATAAAAAAATACCAATACAAGATTTTCAAAAAGATGAATAAACTTAAATTATTTTAGAGTAATATCTTTTATTTAAATAGATAAGACTTTCAAAAAAATATAAATATATTTATTTATCATGTTTAAATTAAACTATGCTTATTTAAATATACAAAAATAAAAAATATAATTTAATTCATAAAACAACAAAATTATTATTTTAGCTTTAAAATGAAATTAAGAATATATTTTTTTATGGAAAATTCTATTACATTAATTTTTTAGTAGAAAATAAATGGCTTATTTCTTATAGAGTGCATAATTTAATTTATTCATATTTATTAGGAATAATTTAAGCAATTAATTTTATTTTTTCACAAATTTATATTTTTATAAAATATTTTTTTTTAGAAAAAGCTAGCTTATTTATTTCTTTATTTATTTAGTCACTTACTTATATTTATAAAAAGAAATATGTTAATTCTTATTTAACAAAGTAAATAAACATAAATATTTAATAAATTTATATTTATAAAAAAATAAAACACAAAGTTAAATTAGAAGAAAACTAGTTGCTTGTTAAAATTAAGATAAATAATTTTGAAAATATATTATTTTTAGATATAAGTAGTGATTTGTTTTTGTTTGTAAAAAAAACAGGGTATTGATTGATTGATGCTTATAATATATATTTTAGCTATCATTTATATAAGTAGAAAATAAATAGATATGCCTTAACAATATGTTAATTTATTTATTTATCTATTTATCAATCATTATTAGAAGCTAGAGATAATTATAATTTTTTAATAATGAATGAATGAAAGAAAGAAAGAAATAAAGAATAGGTATTTATGCACAAAAGATTGATAAAAAGAGTTCAATTAAATTTCTTTGTACAAATAATTTTTTAATATTTTTGATAATAACAAAACTGAGATAGAATGAGTAATATTAGCGCAAACCCAAATAATGCTACTCCAACTCAGGCTTTAACCTCTCCGTAGACAAGAGGATTCACAAAGAGAAACACGATTAATTTACCTAATGTGAAAGGAAACTCTAAGTAGTTGAGTATTAGACCAGAATCTCCTAGAACAAAAGAAGCGATGCTCGAACTTGGTATAGATATTAGCGAATTTACTCTCAAGTATAATTATTATTTAATTCATATCACAATATTTGATAAATATTAATTTATCAATTAGAAATTTAGAAGATTTCGGTAGAGATGGATGCTCTTAAGATATTTAGAAAATTAGATATGAACATTATCTTGACAGATTACAACGTAAAAGACCTTTTCAATTGAAATGCTTAAAAAATATTTTATAGGAACATAAAATTAGTTTAAAAACATAGATAGCAAATAAAACGATATCATAAAAAAAATTAATGACATATTTTATTAAAAGAGGATGTGAAGGACATATAGGAGAAAAGAGCATAAATAATAAAGCTAAATAGAATTAGAATGATGAACCTTCCCCCAGAATTGATCAATCAAAATGATTATGGGAATGTGAGAAGAAGTATAATAGGAGTACCTAATTAGCAACCAATTACTGATAGTAATTAAAGAAAGTCAACAATTAACTTAGGCTAATAATAAAATGTTAACCCATTTAACATGTCTAAGAGTATGAGTGAGTCAAGAATGTATGCATAAATATTAAATTAAAATTGAATAATTAAAATAATTTAAAAATAAAAATGAATTTCTTGAATTAAGCTTAAAATTCGCATTTAAATGCACACTAAAATATCAAATAGCCTAATATAAGTTTTATTTTTTTCAAAACTAATTAATTAATCTACTGACTTTCTTACTTTTTATGCTTTTACAAATAAAATTTTTCAAACACATTACTTATAAAAATATGTTTACAAACGCATTAATTATTAATTAATTAACAAGCATTTTAATGTTGAAAAGTTTTACTAATAATATCAATAATTAGTAATAGAATTTTATTTTTTTAATATTTTATTTTAGAGGATAAATGACACTTTTAAAAATAATATAGGAATCCTAGATAAATGAAATCATTATATAATAGAACAGTTGGGTATTTAAAAAGCTCTCACCTTTCTCCTTCAACTCTGCCAGGAGAAGAAGTCATAGGATTAGAGGAAGCAGAAGGCTCTGTACTAGAATATTAGTTGATGGGTGAAATCGATAAGTATAATAGGTTAAAAGAATAAAAGCAAGTAAGATATATCTGACAAAACAAACTTAAATTTAAATCAAGTATAAAGAGAGATTCTAAATTAATTTCATTTTATTTTTTCAATTTCAGAAAGAAGCTAAAATCTTATATGAAGAGGACATTGAGAGACTTAAGACGATAGAAAGAATGAGAGAAAAGGAGCTAAGACTTCTTGAATAGACACTTAAACAAAAGAAAGAAAAGGAGTTAAAAAAACAATAGCAAAAAGCTAAAGCAGAAGAAAAGCTCTAAAAGGTAAAAGAATAAGAATAGAAATACAACCAGATGAAAAGAGAAGAAAGGGAAAAGATTAAGAAAAAATTAGAAATTATTAAGTTAAGATAATAGAGAGAATCAGAAGAAAGAGAAAGGCTTAAAAAAGATTAAGGTAGCAATTAAGATTAATTGAACACTTATAAACAGTTCAAAATGAAAATTTAGAGCATTAATATGATTTTTTAATAAAAAAATTAAAGATGATAAGGCAAGAGAAAAAAGACAAAAAATGGAGTAAATTCGTATTCAAAATAAGGAAGATTTAGTCAAATAATGCGATTAATAGTTTGAATTGATTAAGTAATAGCTAACCTAAGCTCAAGAACAATAAAAACTTATGCAATAAAGCAGGATTAATAAACTTAGAGATAAGTTAGAAAGTGAATAGTACAAAATTTAACAATGTGTTGATTTGAGAGTATCAAATGAAAAAATGTAAGTCTCTCGCTTGGTTCAAAAACTCATAGAAAAGGAAGAGCATTACAAATGTATGAAAAATTAACAAAATATTTAATAAAAAAAAATTAATTACTAATAATATTTTAGCACTTCAAGAAAGCGAGATAAAGAGTGAAATGGAGAAAAAGAAACTGTTAAAAATGAAAGCAGAAATGACTCAGAATGCAAAACAAAAAGTGAAAAATGAATAAAATTCTAAAATCTCTGAATTAAAATAGAAATTTGAAAAAATTGAAGAAAATTTGGAGAAAAAAAGAGTACATACATATATTTGATACAAATAAATATAATATTAATTTAATTACTAAATTTAATTTAAAAGAGAGAAGAATAAGAAAGGATTAAACTTAAGTAAGAGCTACGTCAATTAAAAGAGCAAGATAAATAGGAAAATTATGAACGTTAGAAAAGAAGAGATGATTATAGGCTATAAAAGCTAATGGAAAAAGAAAAGGCTCATTCTGATAAAATAGCTTACATCAAAGAATAACAAGAAATTATGAAAAAGGCTAAATAGTAAATATATTATTTGCAAAATTGTTAAATAACACCAAAATTAATAACATATTAGTGAAATTGCTTAACAAACCAAGTAAGAAACAGAGAGAATATTTGATTGTGTAAAAAAAGTTACTGATACTCTTTTCCCTAATATTGAACATAACAGCAAAACAACACTTTACAATATACCATCTGAAAACAAAGAAAAAGGCATCAGGTTAAATAATTTAATAAAATGTTTAATCAAGCTTACTAAATTTAATAAATTTAAAATAGCCTGCTCAAGAGTATTTTTAGAAATGACTAGTTAGATATGTCCATATTTGAGCCTCCTCAAAAAGAAGAAGTGTAAAGCAAAAAGTAATAGTGAAGAAGATTATTTGCAGTAAACAAATAATCGTTTTTTCTAAAATATGTCAGAATTTATCATAGTTGGCTCAATAATTTAATTAAATATTTATTTTCCTATGATTATCGAGTATAAACTACTTAAAATTTTAAGTTCAAAAGAAAAAATTGTATTAATTATATTTGTAAACTCTTGCCTAAAAATCAACTATTAAAAGAATTTAAGAATTTTTGAAGGATTAGGAGAAATAAATTATTTTCCCATTATTTTCAACTCTTAATTATTTATTATTCACTTTAATCTCTTTCATTTTTATATCAAAAATAAAATAATGATTTATTTTATTGTAAAATTATTTAAACATTTTTGCCAAATGAAAAGTTTATTGTAAAATATATCAGTTAGTTAGTATTTTATTTTTGTAATTTTTTATTAATTATGAAACCAAATAAGTATGCAATAAATACGTAGTAGTTCATAATTTAAATAAAATATTATCAATTTAATTTTGGAGTAAGTTTATTCACATAAGTAAAAGATTTCTATCTAATATACTCTCTTATGTGCTTACTCCCATTTTAGCGAAAATGCTTCCTAATATTTTCTATCTCCAACTTTCAGATGAAATAATTTCTATTTAAACTCCTGGAAAATCTCTATTAAGAACGGATTAATATTATCCTATCTCATCAACCAATCTATTAAAATTTATCATAAAACAATTAATTTCCTTTAGTAAAATGAATTTAAATTATATATTAAATAAATAATTAATTAATTACCCATATTTTACTGCATCTTTTCCTAAAACAATTGAAGCATCATATATTTTTTTTTCCCTTTCTTCAGGGGAAATTTTATAATTGCTATGTTTTTCAATATGCTCAATGAATATTTTGTGGTGAGTTTTCAATGTTCTGATAATCTTCTCTTTCTTTTCAGGAGTCAAATCTTCAAAAAAATTCATGTAAGCTAATTCTTATTCCCTAAAATTAAAAAATAATTTATTATAATAGGTTATGCATGCACCATGCTTTTAACTAAAATAACAATTTTCTTTAATGCTAATTTAAAAATATACTAATTAGATGAAAAAATTTCTGGCTTTAGCTTATATTCCTTAGCAAGATTTCCTAAACCAAACCACATGCCTACAACACCAACACTACCAACTAATGAAGTTTCCTAAGCAAAAGATTTATCTCCTGTTTGATATTACAAAAAGTTTAATTTAAAAAAATAATATTTTATGCTGTTTACCAATAGAAAGAAGGAATTATCCGCCACTTGCAGCTATATCATTAGCAAATGTGTAAAGTGGTAAGTGATGCTTTTTGCTAAATCCTTTTACCATTTCAGTAATTATGTCACACTATACAGGAGATCCACCTGTTTTTATCAGGTAAAATAAAAAATTTTTAGATGTTTCCTATTTTAAATGAATATTCTTCATTTTTGCCTAAAATATGAACTAAATAAATATGATGGATCTCATATTTTTTTATAAATTATTGCATTTTTATTTTTAATTTTGTCAATTTATCTTTTAAGATAACCAATTAAATAATCATTAATGTGTGCATATTTAATATTATAAACTAATAACCTGGTGAGTTAATAAGTAAGGCAACAGCTTTAGCTCTATCTGCATCAATCTTAGCTATAGAATTTCTTACGTCTTAGGTACTATAAAATATAATATAAATTAATTTTGTAACTAATTCTTCTCATTTTTAATAATCAAATAGATCAGTATTTTTGTAAAAATATATATTTTATAACTAAAATAATCCCAAATTCTATGATAAAACTAGTCATTACGCCTTAGCATCAATTCCTGTGTTAATAACGATAACAGGAATGTAAGAACCAAAAATATATTTTTTAGCAATAGAAACAATCGACATTTTGCTTGAACTTTACTCTAATAATTACTTTCTTCAAAAATATTCTTAATATTTCTAAAATCTATTAAAATATATCCAAAAATTAAATAAAGATACTCTTTTTATTTCTGTTTTCAATTTGCTTATGGCAAAAAATAAATAAACAAATAAATTGAATATTATAAATCCTAACTTATCCATCAAAAGATCCTACATATTTTATTAACTAATTAATTAAATGTTCTGCTTTATTCAAATATCTTTAAGATTTTTTTATAATAATAAATAAACATTAATTAATCTATTTTATAAAATTAAAATTTTTATCATTAAAAAAAACATAACACTTAAATTTTAAAATCACTAATCTATTAAAAGCCAAATTCATTTCTAAATAAATACCTTTAACTTCATCTGAAAAAAATTTAATTAGAATAAATGAATTTATTTTTATGTTAAATTTGTATCTAACAATAAGAAAGATACAATATAATATAGTATAATAATGAATTTATTATACTTTTAACCTATTTTATAATTATCAACTTACATTTTAATAAAAAAAATAAAAATTTAAGGATTATAATATTCTTGAATTTATAAATTAAGATTTTAGTTTTTAATTAAGATATGTTTTAAGTCATTTTCAAAATATTAGAATTTAAGCTGTTTGTTTTGAGTTAATAAAATAAATGGTAATTAATAAAACGTATAAAAACAGCCTAGCTTTTATTTAATTATAAATCTAGTTCCTATTAGTTTTAAAATTTAAAAAGTCTGGATTTAACTCATAAATAATAATTTTTAATGATCAATCTTTATTATAAAATTGAGTAATCAATTAGAAAATTAAATTATTAAATTTAGTTTAACAATAAAAATGTAGTTTTTTATTTTTGAATATATAGATTTTCTATGTTTTATTCCAAGATTTGATTCATGAATAATTAATGCTGTTGAAGGAAACAAATTGTTTTATAAGCCAAAAATTTTATTGACATACTAATATTTTACATAAATTGTATTTAAAATAAAGTCAACAAAAGTTAGTAGATTGATAAATAATAAATAGTAAATATTAATTGTTTTTTTTTGATTTTAACTTAATGTTGGTTTATTATGTTAATTGGAAAAATGGTTTAAAAACTAGAAGTTTTAAAGGTATAGCCAAATTCAAAGTAGCCGCTCCATATGCCTTAATTATAATTAAGATATGAGTCGAAAAAAGCTACTTTATTTTAATTTCTATAGACTATAAAACAAAAAAAATATTAAGCGGTTCAATCTTTCATTCAGTCAGTCAATTGATATTTTAAATAATTTTCGTCAAATTAGTGTTAAAGTAGAGATTACTAAAACAGCATAAATAACAAGCACCAACAGAAAACAGCATTTTTAATTAAAAGATAATCTTTTTTATTAAGGTTATTCTATTGAATCTATCTAGATGTGGCTGCTCGTGTTCATCAATATTTTAAATATGTGTTGAATATTTTGTTAATCACTTTCTTTTAATTAAATTTTGGAAGTTAGCCTTTTTATGTCTTTACTTTGGTTATTGCAGTAAAATTAATTGATTAATTAATTAATTTTTTTTTAATAAATTATTTATTTATTTGCAAGAATCATTTTCATAGATTCTTTCATTTGTAAAGGAAATGATTAAATTCGCTTTAGTTTTTCATACAGTTGCCTATAGACTTACTTCCTAAATATTTTGAAGATTACATATTTTTATCAATAAAAAATTCAATACTACAAGGTTTCAGAGTAACTCAAAATTTATAAAATCACAAATCAAGTACTAGGTTCCATTTTTTGCCAATAAAAACTAATATATATATATTTGCATAATGTTTATTTGCTTTTAATCATTACCAACATACACTATCTAATAATAAAATTAAAACATTTTTTCTATTTAATAAGTAAATGTAAATTTCTTGGTATTTTATTTTAGTAGATAAATTTTATAGATAGCTTTATTGCTTACAATTTTATTTTTTTTATCTAAATTAGTTAGCAAATAAAGAAAGATTTTCTTAGAGGCAAGATTAAATATGATAGATTTTATACTACTATCTTTTATATAATCAGCTTTAATCTTTTGTTATTTATTGTTTTCAAATAACTAATAGAAAGTAGTTATGAAAAGAATTTATGAGAAGTGAGAATTTTAGTTACAATTTGTTTAACTTAAAAGAGGAATTTAATATTTAGTAAATCTGGTTTGAATTTTATAAGATTATTTAGTGAAGTAAAGGTAATAAAAGTGAAATTTGTCTAAGCTCGGCTCTCTCAGAACCATAAATTATTTAAGTGACCAGTTTAAAGATGGATTTTATAGTGAAAAATTTATATTTGGGATAAAAAGTTTTGTTTATCTTTGAAGAACGCTCAGTTTATAATAATGCCCATTTTGACAGGTCTTACTGTATTTATGTATATAAAGTGATCAAATTAATATTTCAATAAGTCGTAGGTAATAAATTTTAATTCTTTTATTAGATATTATGATTTATGATTAAATAATATGAGCTAGTATGTGATTATAATTAATTTTAGTTGCAAGTTTAACTTTCGATAAGTGAAAAAGAGAAGCCCCTCAACTTTATTTTTTTAATTATCAATGACTTACAAAATATCTTTATTTTTAATATAACCTTTTGGTGTAAAAATTAATTTAATATTTTTATTAATTTAATCATTATTTTTGTTTTTAATTGAAACAAAAATGGTTTTAAAATTTTTTAACTTTAAAATCAATTTGTCTGAAAAAGTACTTTTGTTTCAAGCTTTATTTTATCGTAGATATTTTTATATCTCGTTTTTTGCTAAATAAATTAAATTTTATTAGCAAAATTTAGTAATATAAATTTGTTTTACTATCAATCAAACTAATTAAAAAAAATATTACAAATAAAATCAACGCTGAATTTATAATTTACTATATTTGTTAATTTTAATATCGTCAATTTACAAATCTATCTATCTATTTCATTTTTTCTCAAAGTGAGTAAGTTAAGTGAATAACTTTTTAATAATACAATTTTAAGTAAATTTAATTGTAATTTAATTTACCTAATTTTTTTATAAAGCTAGATAAATAAGATTCTAAAGAGCTATCAGAAATGTAATTATTTGATCTAATAAGATGAAATATTTTTAATTATATTTTTATCACTTATTTTCTCCATATTATCAAGGAATTTGCTATTTAGTTATTTATCAAGAGTTTTAAAAATTTTTATAATTAAATCTTTCAAAAAATATGTTAGGGAGGGTAAAATTAATCAATTAAAATATATTTATTAGAATAATATAAAAATAAAAATTAAATTATTCAAAAATATAGGTGTGATAAAACAAACCTTACTCCAGCATATTTATTTATTTGATTACTATTATTGGAATCCACTATTATAAAATATTAATTTTAACTTATTTAATGATAATTATATAAAATTCTTCATGTTTTTTTAAAAACTAAAAATGAGATATTTACTTTTAAAAGCTATTGTTTTTAAATTTTTGAAACTTCTTCTTATTTTATTTATGAGTTGTATTAAAAAACCTTATCAAAGTTTCAATCTATTGGTATGATGATGATATTTAATATCATTTGAAAAGTAAGCCCATTTATATAATTCTTTTTACTTATTATTTAGAGATTTAAAAAATAATATCTTTAATTTAATATTTAAATTCTTTTAAAGCACACTTAACAGAAATTGTCTAACCAAGATTTTTAAAAATTAAGAGTTTATTGAGGAATAATTTCATAATTTTTATAGCAGAAAAATTTTGTAGTTGTTTAACAATGCATATCTTATTTATTTTATCATTCCTTTGATAAAAACTAAAATATTTATTAAATACTTAATTTGAAATTAAATAAATTATAAATATTACAATTGTTTATTTTTACAATTTCTTTATCCATCTTTAGTTTTAATATTTATATAAAAATTTATAATAAAAAAACAACAAACTAAAAGGAAAAAGAAAGTAATTGCTAAGTAAACTTAATACATATATGTAAATGCTTGATATTATTGCTAAAATTAATAATTTTTGATAAGTTAAATGCAAGAAAATATAACTACTAAATATTAATTATACTATTATTGCTAATTTATACAATTTTTATCAGTTATTAAAACGCTTTCCAGCCTCCAAAATAGTATCTTCTGTTTTGCAGAAAGCAAAACGGACGAGGTTTTGACCAAGATGTTAATATTCTGGTGGATAGAAGACAGAACAAGGTATAGCAGTAACACCTTTTTCTTTGCATAGCCATATAGAGAATGCATAATCTTTGGTGTATTTTTCACCAGTCTTTTCATCTACAAAGTATTTTGGATCAACTTCAACTTAACTAATATCACAAATTACAAAGAAACCTCCTTCTGGAACCCAAATATTAAATGGTATTTTAGAGTTAACCAACTAGTTAATTAATAAATCACGGTGATTTTTCAATTTTTAAGCAGTGTCAGTAAAATAAGAAGACTTGCTTGATAATTCCAAAGCTTCAGCAGTAGCATCTTGCATAGGTCCATGTCTATTTTTTAAATTTAAATTTAATTTATTTCAATTTAATCTAAAAAAATAATTTTCTTTTTTGCTAATTCATTTAGATTTAGTTTTAGAAATGAAATCAAAAATAATTTTTAGTTTTATTTCATATCAATATTTTTATTTTTTTACTGGCAAAAAACGGAGTATTAGTGGAAAGATTGTACATATTTTATGATACTTTGAGGACCAACTGCCCAACCCATACGGATACCTGTTGCTGAGTAAAGCTTACCAGCAGAGTAAACAGATACAGTTCTATCCCAAGCACCTTCTAATTAGGCGAAACGAGGGAGCTTCAAGGGTTCATAGTTATCAAAGCATAGATGTTCATATACACCATCTTCAACAACGATACATTTAGGATATTTTTTAACTATCTCGTGAATACGTTCTAATTCTTGGCGGTTGAAAACCTTACCAGTAGGATTATGAGGTGTATTAATTAACAAAATCTTAGTGTTATCATTGATAGTTTTTTCAAGTAATTCAAAATCTACATCCCAAGCATCTGATGCACTTACTGTATATACAGGTCCTCTTTGTTTAATATCGGTTTGTGAGTTTAATTATCTTGGTCTCAAAGGAACACTTTTAGAAATACCTCCAGCCATTTGAATTTAAGCACGATAGCAATCATAGCTTGGATCAAGTAATATGACTTCTTCCCCAGGATTTACAAGCCCTATAATTATAAATATATATCAATTAAATAAAAAATTTAAATATATTTGTTGAGATATTTGCAACTAAATTTAAAGGACAAATGCTTTTTAAAAATTTATTCATTATTTGCAAAAAAGCTAAAATTTATCTTTTAGAACATTAAAAAATAATTTAAATTCATGTTCGTTTTTAAAAATGAGTCTTAATATAGTTTAAAACTATTTAAAAATTGTTTTAATTGAAGAGCTATTTTTTTCTATTTAATATTTAAACTTTAAAAATAGATTTTTAATGAATTTGTTAAATTTTTTAATAAATTTCTTAAATTTTTTAACAAATCTTATCTTCAAAGATATTTTTTATTAGCTATCAATATTTTTTTTCAACAATTAATTATCCATACGCTAAAAATGTAAAGTTACCTAAGAAAATAGAGTTAAGGCAACTGACACCACCAGCACTAACACATACATTTGTATTTGCATCTAATTAGCGATTGAAAATAGGAGAGTAGAAATCGGCAATAGCTTTAACAAGTTTAGGAGATCCGAATGCACGGGTATATTGATGGGGTCCCTCCTTGGTCAATTTTAATAAACTGTCCATGAAAAAGTCAGGAGGATTCCAGTTAGGAAAACCTTATCCCTATAATTTTAAAAGGATTTAATTAATTTAATATGTTTATATTTCTTCTACTGTCTTTATTGTGTTTATTGTGGATGATTTAAACAAATTGACTCGATATAATCCATTATTACTATCTCAAAACTATTGTAGTGGGATATGGCTTGAGTTATTGCTTAATTTTTTTTTTTTTTTTAATAACCACCAATAACTTGCAAATGATAAAATATATCCATTTAATCTCTATATTTAATAACATATGAAATGTTATTAGAACCTTAAAAGCGATTAAAATAGGTGAAAATGATAGTTCATTTTTGAATTAATTTATATGCTCTATTACTCTAAAGGTGTTAAGAAAATTACAGTTTATATTTTTATAATAGAAAGGCAATTATAGTTTTATTACCAAATTGACAGACTTGTATTCAACAGAAAGGGGTGAGAAAATAGACCAGACAGTTGGTTTATCGAATCCATTTAATCTTTCAGCTCCTCTTTGAATCTTTTTTATTTTTTTAGTAGAAGAGAAATTAGATTAGTAAAAGCTAGTAGAAAAAAGTTGGAAAAAAGTAGAAAACAAATGCGTTTATTTTAATTTAAAATGCGTAGTTTAGCTAATTAGTTTACTTGCTATTAAGACGAAGTGCTCATAAGATAATTTATTCTGTTATTTTTTATTAATCTTAAGATCTAATTTTATATTAATTTATATTTATTATTAAGTAGCATCATCGTTTATATTTGCTATTTATATCTTGTTTCTCCTGATATAATTCAAATTTTAATTAATTTATGTAAAAAATCAATTATTCTTTAAGATCCAAAACTCATTTTCTGATGAACACACTAAATATTTATTAATTAATGACAAAACTTGCATGTCATATGCTATAATTATTACGCAATTTCACTATAAAAGATCTTGTGCATTCTTTTAGTAGGCTTTTAGAAGGCATGTAATAAATTTCTGGCAATCTTCTCCTGAATTTCCTTTTGTTTCTCTTTACATATTTAATAGATTATTTGATTTTAATAAGATCATTATAATTATATTAAGTTAATTAAACAGAGGCATAAATCCATAGAATATAATTACTCACATTAAATTGATATAATTTTTAATAAAAATAAAATAAATTAACAACACTTTATTAATAAAAAATAAATATATTTACATAGATAGAAAGATTTTGTTATTTTAAATTAGATTTTTTAATTTTATATTCCAATTTAAGACAGACAGTTAATTTAGAAGTTAGTTTTTATATTTTTTTTTAAATTAAAATTTTTTTTGATTTTGATTTTTTAATTTCAAAACTAGTCATACAGCTATGAGTAATAGGCTTATATGATATCCTTTAGTTTATTAGTTAATTTTTGAGTAGCTACAGTATTTAATTTATAAATTTTAGCAAAGTTATTAGCAACATCTTCTGGAATGTCACCTTAATATATGGCTATTTTACCTGTTTTTCCTTTTGTTATATTAATATCGACATAAAGCATAGGTTTTTCTCTCATTATTTTTTCAGTTCTCAGTTTTTATGGGCTTGGACTTAAATTTACTAATTTTTATTGCTATTTAGAATTCTTAGTTAAAGGACTACGATTTAAATAATTTTAATATTTTAAGCGTTAATTTTCCCAATACTTCTCCTCATGATTTCTTTGCTATCTAGCCTATTCCATTCTCTAAAGATTTTGCTTTACTCCTTTTATTGTTTCTCTTATTGATTACTCTTCTTATTCTATGGGTTCTTTATTTTTTTACAACTACAGATTTGAAAGCGATTTTTATAAAATTTTTTGAGTGTTTTTATTAATTTATGGTTTAAATGTGCATTAATTGATCTCATTTTATTCTTTTTACTCTTTTGCTTGTAAATGATCTTTAATTATTCTAGTTTTGCTTTGTGAATTGTTAAATAATCTCTAATGAACATTCTTTTAATTTTTATATTAATCTCTATCAGATTTTCTGTTAGATTTATCTCCTTTCTAGTTTAATTAACTAGATTGTTTTAAGCTATGTAAAGAATCTGTGCTATTTTCATTATGTTGTTATTTGTTGAATTAATTTTAGTTAGATTTTTACACTTCATATATAAAATCCTCATCTGAATTATTTGTTAATTAGTTATTTGAATAGCTTCTTTTAGTTTTGTGTTATTCACCATCAGTCTTCAAGTAGTTCGTATGCTAAAAGAGCTGTGCTATCTTAGCCTTTTAGTTATTTTTATTCATTATTTCGTTTTTCACAAATATCTTCTCATTTTTTTTCTTATTTTATAAAAAAAAAGCAAATTAATTATTTTATTAAACTCGAAAATTGAATGGCAAACGCTGCTGCCTCAAAGATAAAAAAATATCAAAATGGCTTTTTTGATTGATTATTTTATTAACCAAATGACAAATTAAATTAAATAAATTAATTAATAATTTGCTTAAATAAAAAAAATAGCTTACAGAAACTGACAGAGCATCTCTAATTCCATTAACAATTTCAGAAGATATCCAAATTGAACTGTTTTCTCTTTCTTGTTAAAAAAAGTTAGAATATTTTTAGTATTCTTTTTGGCATAAAGTATCAATTAGCTAGGAAGCTTAAATTGCTTTATAAGTTTAACAATCAATGATGATTAATACTATTTGATAAATAAAGCTTGTGTTGACACATTCAGCAGAATAAGAAGCAAATTTAAGTAATCTCCAAAGCTCTTCTACTACTTATATCTCTTATTATAAATTATTTTCTTATTACTATGCCACTTGCATGAGTCCTAATTCCCTAAAAAATTTGATAAATGCAGATAAATTGTATATTCCTCTTAGTTAGTCAGATTCAAAATTTAATATCATTCTTTTAAGATTTTCTTTTTAAACTGCATATTATGTTATAGGCTATTTGATATTTTAATCAATCATTTAGTAAGATCTTAAGCTATCTTCAAAGGAAATTTGAGTTGGGATTCTTTCGGTTTTCATTTATGATGATATTGTAGTTTTTCTAGGAGGTGATAGATTTATACCTTTTTTAAAGCTTAATGATCTATCAATTCTTTCTTGCTTTTGCTGTTAGCCATTTTTATTATTAGAAAAAGAATTACTTTCTTTTAAATTGTAGCTGCTTTTCGCTCTTTTAAATTTATTTTTTACAACATTTTTATTTTAATTTACTTAATCAAATTTAGGACTTTCAATATTTGAGCTAATTTATGTTGGAATAGTTTAAGGTTCACTTATCTTTAATGTTTTAAATATATTCTACCTATCTTAATAAGGGTTATCATAAATACTAAAATAATCCACATTTCTTTCATTCTCTTAAATTTGTTTATTAAAATTTTTATTTGATTCGTATTTGCTGCTATTTTTGATTTAAAATATACTCGAATCGTTCTCCCATTCCATTCTACTAGCTAGAGGAGAATATATATCATTTGACATATCGTTATGTTTAAATGCAAGTTATTTTTCATTATTACTCCTGTCTTAATAAGATGTCACTTAATTACTTTTAATTTCATTTTTTTCACTCTGTCTAATAATACTGTATTGCGATACATTATACTAAGGAATATTTTTGTTGGTATTAACATCTTTAAAGTAATAAGTACTATTTTTTTCGCGAAATGTGCATTCACCTCCAGCCAAAGCTGAGTTCTCCTTCTATTAATAGTCAAATCCACTTTGATTTGGTACATTGTTTAAGTTTAATTTATATGATTGTTTTTCAGTTTCTCTATTCTTTTAGTTTTTTTGAACTGGATTGGTAAAAGAAGGTATTTTAAATGACTATAATTATATTTTATTGTAATCTTTAAGTCCATATTCTAATTTATTTGACATTTCATACTAACTAACATTCTTAGGAGAATAACTTAGGTCTAAATCTTTTATATTGCTAGGAGAATTATCTTAGTAGCTAGATTAAAAGCATGGTATAGGAGATTCAATTTGATGTTGACTCGCTTTCTTTTAAGAGCTGCTTCTATCTTAATTTCTTTACTTAACACCCTATTCTAAATCTTGAATCCCACTAATTATTATTTCTCTGAAATTTAAGACTGAACTACTCCTACTCATATAGAGTTTTAGGTTTCCTATTTATTAAACACACTTATAGCTTTGATTTCAGATTAATTTATTAATAATGCTAGTCAAAAAATCAAATTAATTTACAGCAATATATAAATAAATAGTTATGTAAGTTAAAATTTGTATTTTTAATCAACGAATAATAATTAATTTTATTTTATCAATTAAATATTTATCGATTTGATTTTTGCATGATTTAGATTGCTTATTAAGCTAATATCTATAAATTAAAACTATAAATACTCGTTTTCTAACTGCTCTTTATCTTATTTCCAAATCATAATTCAAAAAAGGTTTTTTATTTACTATTTCCAGCTTTTAGCTGATAGTAAATATACAGCAGACGTATAAATTAATTACAAAACAAGATTCATCATCTTCTTATAAAAAATTATTTTTTAAATTTATTTTAAAATATTTTTTTTCTTATTTATTTTTTAATTTTATAAACTCAAATAATGAACCAATAAATAATTGAGTAAAGAAACAAATAATAAAGTTTTATACAATTGTTTTTATTTTTTAAAATCTAAAATAAATAAAATATTGTAAGTATTTTACTTTAGCTCATATGTTTAATTTTTAATCTAACATAATAGAATAATCTAAAATTTAAAGATTTTAACATTATTTTTAAAAACCATATAGAAAAATATAGAAAAGGTTTAAATTGAATATATAATGATAAAAATAATTATTGATTTGACTTTAGGAAGGCGTATGTGAATAAATATAGTTAATTAATTAAATATTTAATTTTTTTTGAGCTAAATGGCAACGATTAGTAGTAAATAATTTAAGGTGACTTTCAATATTTTATCAAAATTATAAATTAATTTATATATCAACATTAATTGTATCAAATAATCAATAGAAATTTGTATCTAATAATAGTTTGTATTTACAAGGAAAGCAGAAAAAATATGATGAAGAGTTATGATTTTAGTAAAGAAAAAACTTAACAATAAATTGATATAAATGTAAACTATATGTTTTGCTATATAAAGTATACATAGTTAATTGATATATTTAATAGTTTAAATATCTATTTGAATTAATTATTTCTTAAATCAAAGCTGTTTATTTGAAGCGATGAACGATTTATTATGTTATAATAGAGATTTTTTCATTTAGTTTTATTTAAATTGTTTTTGTGTTTGTTGGGTATATTAGTTAAGGAAGATAGAGTAGATTTTTCAGATTTATAACAAACTAACTTATCAATTAAAAATTTGTATTCAAATAAATATTTCATTTTTACTTTATACAATTTAAAAAATATGCTAGCTTGCTATCAATTTTATACTAATATACTTGCCTTAATTATCAGTTAGTTCATTTTTTCTTCTTGTCTCTAGGTAATTTGCAGCCAAGAGCTGATTCAAATTTAGTAATTGTAGAAGGGTGGGGAATAGCACGACCACTTTCGTAATCACTGATAACAGATTTCTTTTCGCAGCAAGCTTTAGCTAATTATTCTTGAGTCCAACCTTTAGCTTATCTGGCTTGTTGCAAAGCAATTCTAAAATCGTGGCTAACTGTATCGACTATTATATAAATGTATTTTTAAACTATTAGCAATAATTAACTTTTATTTTATTTACCTTTATATTCATCTTCATTAAGGACCTTGGCGACGTAACGACCATCTAAATTGGAAGGGTTATTGGTGACATCTTTTTTTCAAAAAAACAAAATTAGATTTAGGAAAATTAATTTATTTTTTATAATTTTTCTATTTAAAGGTATGATTAATAATTACTCTTTTTAACATGTTCTACAGCTAGGCCTTGGTGGAGAGCTTGCTTAGTAGCCTTTTCACCTTTATTGTTGGCTAATAATTTGATTAATTTATAAATGATTAGTTTTATTGCAAATATTTTTAATTTGAAAGTTACTTCTCTTTTCAATATAGGTATAATCCCAGTTTTGGTGTTCCATTTTTTTATTTATTTGCTTTGATATAATATTTTTTTTCAAACAAGAGTTTTTTCCTTTAATTTAATTTTTTAATTTTTTTTATAATTTTTTTGAGCATCTTATCTTTTGGTGTATTTGAAAAGAGAATGAATCGAGTAGAAGCAGAAAAGAGCTTATTTAAATTTTCTTTCTATTTCTTTTCTTAGCTATTAATTTTTTTTCCGCAAACAGATAAAATTTACTATGTTCAATGATAAAGAATTAAGGAAGATAGAAGAACAAAGAAGTTAATATTGATTATTAAGGAAAAATTTCTAAAATCAATCGATTGATTGTGTTATTTATTAGACTACAAGAATTTTTATAAAAAATTTAATAATAATTCTTAAGAGGAAAGGTATAATCCTATAGTAAAAGTGTCTCTCTAATCTTTTTCTTTTTCAATTATTTTCACTGAGCTCAAATAATTCTTTTCAGTTTAAACATTATTGATAAGCTGGGATCAATTATTTAATTTTAAAATATTCTAATTTGTTATATCCTATTTTTTATTTATAAATATGTACCAACTACTAAGATGGAGTATTCAATTTATATAGAATGATTTTATTCCATCATAATAAACTACTAACTAAAATAATTTAACAAGAAAAATGTACTATTTGTAATTGCTAAACCCACCATATCTCGCTCGGATATGCATGATATCTTAAACTGAGAAGCTTGAAAATAATCAATTAATTAATCAACCAAATAATTTATAAATTAAAACTGACTTTGGAGATTTATTTTTTTAATGGTAGTAAAATACAATAAAGATATATGTATAGATTATTTTACATTTAAGTATTTACTTAATCTTATTAAAAAAATATTTTTGTAGAGGCAATTTAAATATTTACAGATATGAGGAAAAATGATTAGCTGTAGCTTATTTAGTTTACAAAATTTGATGAGTGCCATATATTTATTTATTTATTTATATATATATTTGAAGTATTTATTTGTTTGTTTGATTGATTGAAGTTTCTTATTTAATTATAAAATTTATTAGTTCTATTTATGGTTATTACTGATTTTTACTTAAATATTAATATTATAATTCACTCGTATTTTTCCATTATTTCTTTTAAATCTTTTTAGAACGTCTATGTTGAATTTGTCTATGTATTTTAATAAGAATTTTAAGTATTTTTTATTAATTTTTAAAGTAAATAAATAAATAAATTTTAGTTACAAGATTTTTAACTCTGAATTCTCTGTGAGATATTTATTTTAGGGAAAAGTTTCTCTGCTTTTTGACATGAATCTTTTATTTCTTTTTAAAAAATTATTTTACATAAAAAAATGCTATCGCAATTATTTAAAATACAAACTAAGAGTCTGATCTTCTTTTTAGTACTTTGCATTAGTGCTCAGCTTCTTATATTAACTTTTTTTCGTTTTCTATCTGGATTAGAATAAGTTCATTTTACACTTAAATTTACTAAATGATCTACTCATACTTTTAAAAAATTTTATTAATTTACTACCATAAATACATCTTAAATGTAAAGCTAAATTAAATAAGTTACATGAGCTATTCTCTCTTGCTCATACTATTTTTTCCTGTGGATATCTATTAACTCCGATTCTAATCTCTATTAATATTAATTTTCAATTTAAAACTTTGATTAATAACGTATTTAACAGAAAGTACTTGTATTTACTGTACCTCAGCGATGTTACTATCATTAAGCTATTAAGCTTCATAGTTTGCTAATTTTAATTTTTAATTCTCTTACATAACTTTTCTTTTTAGATCTTGAATTCTATCTTCCAAAAATTTTTTCTCTTCTAATTCTATGTTATATTTATCTATAAAGAACTAGATTACTTTAGAATATTTAGTTTATCCTTTTTCAGGAGAATTTAAATCATGTCCGTTGCTTGCCTTAAAAGCAGACTGACTTTTATTTTATTCTGAATAATATGTGCTCCTATAATCTACTGAGGAGAAAACGCGAGAACGAGTAGGAATATTTGAAGAATTATTAGCAACATTATTATTAACTTTTTTCTTTGAAAAAGACTTTTATGTTTAAAAGGCATTATCTTAATCTTAAAAACTACTTTCATCGTAATCCTCATTAGGCAGAGTATGATATTTCTCAATCATTTTAGCTTGTGAATACGACCTAGGTAATCGTTATGTTCTCTAAAGTCCATCATTTGATATTTATTGTTGCTATTACTAAGGTTTGCTTTATCTGAAGAAGGGATTTATTTTTACATTGTTGGCTCTTTCTTTTTTTTGGGTATCTTAAAACTCATCTCTTTCATCAGGCTCAGTTTGCATCAAAACTTATTTGCTCTAAAATACTTATTAATCATTTTTGGTTCCCTTTTTATTTAATTTATGCTCTATTGCTGCCTACTTACTTGTATATTAAATGTCGTATAAATATTTTATAAACAAATCTAAAATATATTTATAAATCAATACATTAGGGATTCTGTCTATTTTGAATGTTTAAATCCTGGTTGATTTACTTTTTAAATCACTTTAATTGTATTTAACCTATCATAACTATTTGTTTTCTTTCCTAAACAAGGCAATTAATTATTGTGTACTGTACTTTAATTTTATGTGTATTAGAGATGATTATTAAATCGATTCTTTTAGTTTTGATTATGTTTAAAATCTGCTTCTCTTTACATCTTTTATTCATTTCCTTGATCATCTTATATAGCGTATTAATAATTATCCTATTAAGAAGTTTAGACTCCTTCCATATTTAAAGCTATGAAATTAAAATGAAGGCCAGTAGATAATCTAATGAAAAAGAAAAAGATATTGATATTGTTTATAAATAATTTTTTTTAATATTACGCTAAAAAATAATACAAATCAATCTTAATTAATATTTAATGTAAATACAGAGTTAAACTTTTATCTCATAGGTTATAAGATATATAAGTTAATCAATTAATCGAATGGCTATTATCATTTATTAAATTAAAAATAAGATATTGAAATTAAATATTCTCAATATAAAAAATAATGAGCAACTTACATGAAAAACAAAGATATAAATAAATTCTGTATTTTTCTTGAAAAATTGAGTAATAAAAATATTTATTTTTTATATAAATATATTTTTTTTTATGTGAAAAAGTTTTTTTAAATTAAAAAATGATTATTTAATAAAAAACTAAGAAGAAATAGAAATATTTTATGAATAAAAGAAAATATATTTTTTATGCCTTTAATTAATTCTAAATTAATTTATTTTTTAATTAGATGATTGATAATTTTTAAATTTATGAATATTAAAAAATTACTTATTTTTAATAATATTTAAATAATATTAAAAAGTTTAACTTAAAATAAAAATGAGTTTAAATTTAATTTTTATAATTTGATATTAATATATATAATATAATAAATTAATAATAAAATTTAAGGATAAATATATATTTTTAACTTAAATTTTAAGGTAATAAAATTTCAATATAAAACATTTGTAAATGTATTTCAATATTAATAAATATATTTAAATACTTAAAGAAGCACTCAAAAATTTATAGATAAATAATAGTTTGATTTTTAAATAAAATAAATATTTAAAAAGTATGTTGTTAAAATATAAATTTTTATTTGTTAAAATTGTCTTTAATAATTTATTGCTCAAATAAAAAAATAAAATAAGAGTAAGCAAAAAAAAGAGGATTTACTTAATATTATTGTACATATTTAGATATAGTAAATTTCTTTTGTTTTGTTGAGAATTAAAAATTAAATATCATATTAAAAATATAACAAAATAAAATGTTTAAATAATGTTGAAATTTTATTTTGAAATATATGAAGTATTGATAAATAGGTTATAAATTAGCTCTAAAATCTAATTTAAATTTTAACAATTAGTAAAACAAATTATATCTGATTGATTATTATTCGAAATTAAAAAAAAACCAATCGATTACAATTATTTAATCAAAAAAAAATGTTGTTAACAATAAAATATCCTTTGATTATGAAAATGATTTCCTTGAGGTTTTGCAATTGAAAATAAAAAAAACATAATATTTTGAAAAGATAAAAAAAAATAAATGGATTAGACATTTGTTAAATCTCTTTATTAAAATTTTCATACCTAAAAGTATATGAAATAGAACGAGAATATATATTATAAAATATGATATTTTTTATTTAATAAATCCTTCTTATTTTTATTATCTTTTTAATAATATTTATATTGAAGTTTTTTCAATCTCTAATTAAATATCTTTTTATTTCTATTAGAGAAAAATCTGGTTGGTCATTTTATATTTCAAGCAGAAGTAGTTTTGTTATAAGAAATGTTGTATCTGTCGAAAACAGCTTCGTAAGCATCCATAAAAGCTAACTTAGCAGAGAGAGATAAGTTACTAGTTTCGTCGTTACCATTTCTAGAGGATTCGTATGAAGTATGTTATTAAACGGCAGCACGTCCTTCATTTCTACCTTAATCGATCATTTAGAGTAATTATTTGTGGTTGAAATTCTATTTTTTAATATAAATATCGTTAAACTAACTTAAATATTATATTTTAAAATTACGAAAGGGAAATCAGCATCTGGTAATTTAGTTTGAGGATTGATAATGTGTCTCCAGTTAATAGTGGGGAAGGCTTCGTAAGCTTCAAGTAAAGATCTTCTGGCATTGTGGTGGTCCTTTACTTTTTGCTGTTTAAGAAATAAAGAATAAATTAATAAAATGTGCTTCAGACCAAAGTGCAAATTAATTAATTAGTGGTATATATAGATAATAAATTATTTATTATTACAGAGAGGGTACCAACTTTAATAGGCTTCAAATCATCAGGAACATCTTGTTCGAATGTCTTTGAAGTTACTAATATAACATCAACAGTGATTTGGCTAACATCGTCAACAAGTTCTTTGCATCTGTCAATAGCACCAAAAACATCAGCAGCACGGACCTTTCAAATTAAATAGTTTTTAGAATATTTTAATTAAAAATTTTAAATATCTTACGACACCACCATCGAAGTAGGTGTTACCCTTGAAGATTTGATAGGGGAAGAAAGCTGGAACAGCAGAAGAGCACATAACGGCTTCAATAAGGTCAGCATCAGATAAGGATTCGTTATATCTTTCATATTCACCAGTATTGGCATTGGTAACACCAATAACAAGTTTTCTGGTTTATTTTCTGGTTACATTCTTTTTTAAGAAAGCTCTCAAAGGATCAGTCTTGAAGAGAGATTCTTCAAAGAGGAAACCTTGAACGACACCACCGAGGTAATTGCTATAAACATCAGACTTTGAAATATTTTCCCATAAATTAACAACCCAGTTAGCCATTTCAACAGTTTATTCCTTGGGGAATTAACCTAAGCCAACAGCAGTGATAGCTCCAACAGAGACACCTATATATATTTAAAACAAATGTTGATAAAAAATTTTATTAAATTGCTTCAATTTAATTCTACACAACACCACACACCCAGTAAATATTTTTAATAATTCTTTTTTAAAATTTTCTACTTAGAATTGTCCATTTTAACTTTTATAAAATCTTTATATGCTCGATTTAATTACAACTAATTTTAGTTCGATTTAATTTATAATTATTTAGACTTGAACTATTAAATTACAATAAGCTTTATTAAAGGTTTATCCAACAAGTAAATCTTAAATTCTATTTAAAATTGAGAATCTAAAATCTTGAATTTTAAGTATTCTGATAAGCTAAAAAAAGATGCTTCTTTTAACAAAGAATTTTCACACTAGAGCTTCCTTGAAGATTTCAATATAAAGTCAACTTTTCAACCATTCTACATTTAATTCTTCCTATCTTTAGATCCAATTTATAGTGATTTGGTAATTATATTTAATATTTTAAATTTTTTATTTTATTTTAAGATACTTAAGTTATACAAGCTTATTTGAATGTATAATTCATTTTAAAAAGGAGCATTAATTGTCAAAATAATAAAGCTTAAAATAGAAAGGCACAATCATAGAAGAGAATAGGATAGCGAAGGTCAAAAATTTTATAAGAATAGAAAATAATACTGGGTGCATTGCATTTTATTAGCTTTGAGTAAATATAAAAAAAACGTACCTGAAATGACATCCCAATAGACTTCGCTGACTTAACCAAGTTCATTATAGGCTTAAACTAATCCTTAAATAACACCGGCTTCGTAAGAGCCTAAGTCAGCACCACCAGCAATAACCAAAGCCTTGCATGATCTGGCAGAAACTGTGGTCATGGAGCAAGCCAAAAGACCGATACAGAAGATTGCGAATAATTTTTACATTTATTACTTCAATTTTATATCCTTCTTCTTATATTAAATTGATTGGATTTCTTATAATAAGATTAATTATTATTGATATATATTCAATTTTGCTTTCCTTTTATTACCTTTTTTTGCTTGATTTTTTCTCTCTACCTCTCAAATAAGGATCTAATAAAGAAAGAAAATAATAAAGGACTGATCAATTCACACAAATTAATAAGCTAATTCATTCTTAACACATTGGAGATTTACATTGTTTATGGAAAAGATACTCAATATGTTGCATGCATTTGATTAATGTCCCCCTTTGTTGCAATCATGTACTATAAATAATTTGTTAGCGAAATTGAAAATACATACATTTATTGATTCATTTGTTTTTAAATATGCATAAAAAAATATTTGTTTGTTAATCAAGCACAAAACAAATAAAAAAATAGCTTAAGGAATGTATTTATGAATTAGGAATACCCCACCTCTTCTTTATATATTAATATAAATATTTATTTATTGATTGTTTGCTTTACAAATTGATTTCCACACTCTGCTTATTTTCTTTTATAGTTGCATTAAATTATCAAAAAGTGCAGCTTGATTCCTTAATAATTAATCCAATTATAAATAATTTAACAAATCTTTTAATTTTTTGTATTCAATCTGCAAAATTAACATTTTCTTTAATTAGTTGCTTGTTTCTTTCTCTCCTTCTCACACAGAAACCTCTCTTTCTAAAAAAAATTAATTCTTTTATAATAAACAGGCATATGTGATTAAGTGATTCAAACTCAAATCCATCGTCATTTCTGCTTTAAATTCTCTCATAAATTGGATAACTAAGCACAATATATAAATATAAAAATATTTTCTTTATGTAATTTGAAACTTAAATTAAAGAAAAACCATGATAATATTTCGAATTTAGTTTATTAAATTAAGTGATAAAATTATGTATCTAATACAAAAGTATTGAATTTTTTATTTTACTACATAAGTAATTAGAGAGAATGATATTAATTCTTTTATAAAATATAATTTTCTTATTAACATATTTTAGATATCCAAAAACTAACTATATCTATTCAATAATCAAGTTATATTATACTTCAATAAATAAGCTAAAATCTTCAGCTTGGATTTGCAATAACTAAAATGCTCTCATTTGATTTTTATTAAAATAATTTAAAATGAATATATTAAATTTGATTACTCAAAGAAAAATTCAATTAATTTAAATAAAAATGCATTCATATTTTTAATCTAAATTTAAATTTTTTTCCTAAGTCAAACTAAACTAACTTGTGAGAATTAGAAATAATTCATACATTTTAGCGAAAAATATTTATTGAATAATATTTTCATTAACTTTTTAAGAAAACTTTTCAATTAAATCATTTTTTTGTCAACAAAATCTGTTAATTTTAATAAAAAATTAATTAAAAAGTTTGAAAAAGTTAGTTTAAATATTTTTAATTAATTTTGAAAATGTTTAATAAATTTTTTTTTATAGAAATTATATAGAAAAGTATTTTATTTTAATGAATTATATAAATAAAATCTAATAATAAAATAAATTAATATATAATAATATAGATAGATCACAAGATTAAAAGAGACAATAAATAGCAAATATTTTATTTTTATTATAATTATAAGTTTAATTTGAAAATTTAATTTAAATTTTTCAAATATATTTATATCTTGCTTATTTGAGAGAATTCAATTGGTTTTGGTTGATTTAAGTTTATGTACTGTTGCTTTCTTCACTTATTATTTTGTTTTAATTATCTAATTCTTCGTTTGATGGGTTAAAATGATTTTTCGATTAAAGTAATGTGCTCTTTATAACTTAATCTTGATTTAAATTTTTTTCTTGAGCATCATCTTCAATCTCAGGTTAAATTTAAATATCTATATCATCATCATCATCGTCATCATCATCTTCATAATTGTTTTCATTATCACCATCATCTTCTTCATTAATAATATCTTCAGAATCTTTAATTTCAATATCCTCAGCAGTTTCATCAGGTTATTCAGGTTATGTCACTTTTTTACTTGAAATATTTTAACTCTTATCTCTGTTTTATATCATTTTTTAAATGAATGTAAGATTTTTGACGAGATTGTATTTATCTTTATATCTGAAAAGTTAGTGCCTAGATATTTTAAATTTTTTCATTAAAAAGCTATTTGTATTTGTCTCATACATCATTTAAAATTATTATAGTTGGCTTTCTGATAGTTTATTAGTCTTCTTTTTTTGTTATTTTTAACGAGGATTGTTTTGTTGAGACTTTTTTACATTTCTGTAGGATCTTCTAGTCTATTTTTCAGGTTAATTAGCATCGTTTGTTATTTAAGGTTTTTCGATTTTTGTTATTTTTTTCTTTAATATATTTGAGACTTTTTTTGTTTTTTCTTAGGTATTTTAGGAAACTTTTATCCTTTTCTTTTTGACTTCCGAGGTCTTATTATTCAAATTTGCAACTTTCTATTAGTCTTCAATATCCTCTTATTTAACTTATTACACATCATTTGAAAGTTTTAATATGTTTTATTGCTGCGTTTGCTCTTTAGAGAAGCTTACTGTCTCAGGCTGAATATTATTCGATTATTGTTGGGAAGATTCTTGAACTTTTAATTTTGCAAACTCTATCTCAGCAATTTGTAAAAATTGAGTAACAAAATCAATGTTTATTTTATCATTAGGGTTAGAGGACTACATTTTTCAAAATGATTTGTTTAGAAATTTAATATTTTTTGCACTAAGCAAGTGTTTTTTAATATTTACTATTTTAGTAAAAATAAATTTTTTTATATATTGACTTAGTTCGATACCTCAATTTATAATTTCTAAATGATGAAGACTTAGTGTTTCTTTTGAAATGTTTATGAATGTATATAGGCGGGGTAAGAATATTAATAATACAGATAATTTATCACAAAATTTCTGATCATAAACTAACACCCCCCTCTTGAAAACATTTATTTCAATTTTTCCTCTCTATTATTAAACAACCTTTATATTTAAATAGAAAGAAATAAGATTTCGATCCTAAGTAATGATTGATTGTTGAAAAGAAAGAATTGATGATATCACACCAAAATAACTAATGAAGATCTTACTGTTCTTTGATTCTACTAAGTTATTTTAATGAAAAATTTAGTGCTATTAAAATAATTTATTTTTAACGGAGTTACCACATTAGTTCTAGAATAAGTAATAAATATTGAAATTATTTTTAATATTTGTATTAGTTGGTTTAAATATAATCTATATTTCTCAAACCCCTTTATTAGTAAGATAAATAAATAATTCAAAATATAAACAAATAAAATTTGTTAATAATTTTTTACTTTTTTCATCTTAATTAATAAATAAAATATTTGAAAAATATATTTGTTAAATTTTATTTATTTTTTTAAATTAATGAATGACAATATTAATTTAGTAAAATAAACTAATTTGAATAGAATAATTTTGATTAGAAAAAATAGAGTTGTGAAATATTTATGATAGTAAAAAAAAGAGGAATATTTATTTACAAACAAAAGAAAATAGCAAAATAGCTTTTTACAAAAATATAAATATAATAATGCTTTTTAAGATTAATTTTTTATGATAATAATTTGTGTTTCAAAGTAAATAAAAAGCATTTATTTATTAATATTTTATTAAATTGTTGCAAATTTAACTTGAAATATTTATATGTTTATATTTTAATAATCATAAAAAGGGATAGATTTAATTCATTCTTTAACTAAAATAAACTTTTATTATAAATACAAAGAAATATAACTAACTAACTATAAATAAATTAATTATTTTGGATGATTTAAAATTATTCACTCATTCGATCAGAGAGAAATAAAATCGAAGGCTCCTTCATTTATTTACTATCTACTTTTCTATGCTTGCTATTGGCTATTTTTTTGATTAGGAGTGTTTTCATCAATTTTGAAATTATTGAGGTCTAATATTTATTTTTCTTAAAGGTGATTATTTTATCCGCTAAAGTCCATGTGAATTGTTTTAAAAGCTTGAGCATTTTATGTACCAGGGTTATTGTAACCATAAATATTTGGTTGCATTTATTAACCATAAGGTTAGTATCCTTGTTAGGGATATTGAGGATATCCATTATTTTAGTAAGGATATCCAGGAACGTGCTATCCATTAAAACCAGGTTGAGGGAATTATGGTTGATATAATCCAGTTTATTAAATATGAGGAGGATTAAACTAATTAAATTAAGTTGCACTATTATTATTATTTGAATTTTGATATTAGAAGTTGTTATAATTTTAATTATAGTTTTAACTTTCTTTATTTTCATGAGTGTATAAATTTAAGAGAGAGAATTGATCCTATAATCCTTGATGATTATTAGCAGTATTAGTTTTACCATTATTGTTTGTTTATTCATCTATTAAATTTAAAAGATCACCATCTTTATTTAAATTATTTTAATTGTTCTCGTTGTTTTATTTTCCTTTGAACTTCATGAATTATTTTATTTTAGATTCACCATTTGTATTTTAAGAAGGCTATGACTGCTATTAAGGTTACTATATTTGAGAATTTTAGGTTTGATTTTATTAAACTGGAGCTTGGTTTTCATTAGTTTTCTTTTTGTTCAAATTATTGAAAAGAGACTTAGGTTTAGATTATGATGCAGAGACTGATTAATCACCAAGTAAATCTATTCCATTTGAAACATCTATCTCATCTATCAAGTTAACATTACTCGCTTATTGCTAATTATTTTTTTATATTACTTAAGAACCTAATTGTGGTTATTGTTGTTCATTTTTTTTGCTAAATTTGCTTAAGTCATTTCCTTATGAGAAGTTAAAGTTTATATCAGCTTGCTATTTTAATAGATTTAAAGAAAATTAATATAGAAATTTTATAAAAGTTAAATTTATTAATTTAATAAAATTTAAATCTAAACTAAAATTTTTGTTCTTAATGAAATGATATACAAACACAAAAGAAATTAGTTAATTACCTCTTTAATTTCAAGAGAAGGATTGCTGACAACAGCTAAAAGCTAGTTAGATAATTAAACAAATTTGCTATCACCAATATTGAATTGCTAGGATTTTTATACCATAAATTACTATCTTTTGAAATACTCTTAAAATTTCTGATGCTTTTTAACTAGTATTTCAGAAGCATAAATAGCTCTCTAAAATTTTTAAATTAAAACTTATTAATATTGCTAAAAATTTATTTTTCAAAATTACTTGCTTCACCACATTTTGTTCATTTGAGAAAAACTTATTTATCAATAATGAACCTATAACGCATGGATAGAAAGCTTGACAATCATCTGCAAATGTATTTAACACATCTTCTTATTACTTAATTCTAATACCTCCAGGTGCAACAATATCATTTACAAGCTTTTTTTGGAACTCTCTTTGAATTTTAATGAAAATAAATTCAATTTTTAACAAATATTAAGTAATAATTTACAATTCAGGAAAGTTCAAATCGTTGTCATCTAACAAATCGAATTCATTTTTAATTTCAAACTTTATTTTTTTTGCAACTGGTTAATTTTCAATTTTCAAATTTATTTCTTGTCTTTGTGCTGGAGCAGGAGTATTAGTTGCTGGCTTTTAACTCTAAGTGCTTTCTACTGGTTACTATACAGGAGCAGGTTATTAGGGTATGTTTTTTTACATAAAATTAGGCTTTCCCTTTACTTATTTAGCTGCAGTATTATTTAACTTTGCTGGCTGATCATCATTCCAAACTTTTGTATTTTAAAATAAACTAAATAAATTGAATGAATATCTTAGAATTTTACCTGAAGTTTAAGCTAAAGAGCTTGTTTATTATTTATTGTTGCTGCTGCTACTATTGTGATTTCCATTCTATGATGAGGACTGGTCTATTTAATAATATATAAATTTATTTGAGAATACTGATGTGTATGTAATTTAATTTATTACTACTATTCATATTTTATTGAACCAAGTTAGGGTTGTAGCTAGATTAGGGTTAACCAAAAGAGCTATACTCAACCTTTACCCCTTCTGGAACTTAGTCTTCAGCTTTTTTATTTTTGAATTTGTTGATAAAAGCCATTCCTAATTTTTGGTGATCTAATTAAATAATTAATTGTTTTTTTTTTTTGCTTGATTGCTTAAACAGTGATTCTATCAATCTATTTGTTATTTTTTTTATTTTGATAAATTATTTATCTTTTGCAATAACTATTACTAATTTTCTCCTTCTTATTCATAAATATATTCGAAAAATACATTGATTTTCTTTCTTGAAAAATTCTTTTTCAGCCATGTAATTTTACACATAATATTATGAAATGGATGAGTTTATAATTAAATTTTTCATTTTGAATTATCAAAATCGGTAAAATCTATATATTATCAGGCTCTTTACTTTGTTTTCAAACATTAATAAATTAACTATCTTTTACATAGATTTTGTATGAATATTTTTTTTGATAAAATTCTTAAAAAATCAATCAGTCAAGCAAATAAATAAATAAACAAATGATCAATAATGATTTTTGTAATATTTATCTAAAAAGATATTTTCTTTTATAATGAATATATGATCCAAAGTAAATTTCTATCGTTTCAAATCAATCTATTTAAATTAAATTAAATTTATGTTTAGGACAGCACAAAAGTAAATTTTACAATACCTGAAATAATTAATAATTTCTTGATTTTCTCTGTAAGATATAAATGTGTGTGTGGTGGATTTATTATTTTTTAAATTAAAATATTAATAATTTTGGCTTAATATCTGTTGAATGCTAATTTTGTTTACTTTAAACTTTGAATTTTATTGAAATTTAATGTGACCTATGCACTCACTATTTTTGATAAAATTAATTAATTTTTTATACAAATTTATAAATTTATTTATTTAATTACTTATTTTAACAACCTGAATTTTTGAATCTAACAAATTATAAATTCGATAAATTAATTTCTAAATATTTATAAATAAAAATGCATGAAATACTTTATAAAATTATTAATTTTATAAAAATTGTTTTTAATTTATATATTTTTGTTATTGTTATTATTATTCTGTTTAATTATTACTAATATTTTTTCAAAGTTCTTCTATTTTTAGATCTTTTTTACTTAATTGTAAGGATGCTTACTACTTAAATTGTTGAAATTTTTTTTGGTAATATTATTTTGCTTGCTTTGTGCTTTCAATAGTCTATTAGTCTGAATTTGGATTTTATTCAAATATTTTCAAAGCTATATCTATTTTTTCTATTCCTAGCTCATATTTTTTCATTTTACAAAATATTGTGCTATTTATTTTTAATTAAAAAATTAATTTTATATTTTAAATAAAATATTATAATAGTAATTCAAATGCAATATTAAATATTAGTAAATTTTAAAATTTTTTTACCCCATATTGACCAAAGTTTAAACAACTTAAATGGACTACTCGCCATAATATTGTTTCTAAAAACCTAAAATTTATTCGAATAATTCTACACTCTTTTCAAAGTGCTAAAGTTTGAAAAGCAAAGATGCTAAATTATTTGCACAATTTATTGTTTAAATGTTTTTAAGTCCATACATAGATTTATTAATCTCATATACTTTTTCATATAATTTTGTAGCTTCTTGAAAATTATTTAACTCTTTATAGCACTATGCAGTTTATGTATAAAGTGCATTCAGAATGCTACCTCCTTCGTCTTTGTAATGATCACTATAGAAATTTTTAAAATATTCTATTGATTGTAAATAGTATTCGATAGCTTTTTCATATTAATTAGTTTCTTAGTACGTAATACCTATATTTTTACAAGTCATTCCTAGACTTTAAATATTCTTTTATGTCATTTCTTCCTGCTTTTTTATATCTAAACTCTTAATAAAATACTTCAAAGCTTTTTCATACTGCTTCACATATCTGTATGCCTCTGCTAGCTTATGTTTTATATAATTACAATTTAAAATATTATTTGACATCTATTTAAAATTTAAACTTTGTTATTTGTATATTTATAGCATTTAATTTTTTGCAAAATGCTATTTAAGTGCAAAATTTTAATTTCGATTAGAAATTGCTTCTTTTTTTGAAAGAAATTTTATGATTGATAAACTTTTATCAAATGATTTGGTTTATTAGCTTTAAAAAAATGTATTATTAACTTCATTTCTCATTTTATTTTACCAACTTTTTTATTTTATTTGGATTTTAAATTGAATGCTTTTTGTTGTTTTTTAAAATATTTAACTTAAAAATTTTGCTTTTAGTATTATTTTTAATATATTTTTACGTTATTCATTCGATTAGCCACTTATACATCTTTTTCTCCATTCAAGTCCATGCAAATTTATAGACTTTAAGTAAAGGATTCAATTGCCTTCTATATATCGCCTATACAATAATAAGCGTATCCTATTAAGTTGAAAAGATCTCCTTTTTTTTTTTGACCTTAATATTATTTCTACTACTCGCTTGAATATCTATCTATGATTTATATTGCAAATTGAAAATTTTCTATTGACTTATCATATTTATTTTAACTATGGTAGGTATCTCCTAAAGAGGAATAAAGATCTTCTAAAACATGAGGATTTATTACATAATCAACCATGACGTCTAAGTTATATTTTTTTACAATCAACTTTTTGTTTTTGACTTGATTATAATATTCTATCCCCTTCTCAAAAAATAAAATAGCTTCTTCGTTTTTTTTCTAAAGAAATTAACACTTTCCTTATTATATGTAATTATTAATAAATAAAGTTATAAGCTAAAGATATACAGAATCCATTTCTTAATCTTTTTCCACTTCTTTTACATCTTAATTTTATCTTTAGAGGTTATTTTACTAAGCAGTTGAGTGATTTTCTTCAATCCTATCTAATAATTACTGACAAGTTGTTTATATTTTGGCTTATTACTCTGCTGCCTCTTCATATTACTATAAACTAAGTAACTCCTCAGATTTTTTTATCATATGCTTTAGCTCATCTAATTACTCATATTCTTTATTTTCTTCATTAATCTGATTATTTTAATATTTTGACATCCTCTTTTACATCTTTGCTAAATCGCTTGATTGACTAATTTATAATTATGTATCTATTTGTTTTTATTGTTTCTTCTACTCCATTTATTTCTCCATATCCTACAAAGTAACTTTTTTGAGAGAAATGCTATTTCCTTTTTTCTTACCATCACTCTATATTTTTTCATCTTTAATTAATTCTTCTATCTAAATGTGCTAACTCTCAGAGCGCTTGATTACTATAGATATATTTATAAATTTAGATTCTTTAAAGTTTTCTTATATCCATTCAATACAGTGCTTAAGATCTCCTTCTGTAGAATGCTAATTTAATTCAAAGATTTCTATGTAACTCATAGTTCTAAGCTTAAAATTCAGTCAATTTTATATAAAAAATAGGAGATAGCTCTAGTTAATTATATAAAAGCTGATTTGAGCTTGCTATGCTGAATAATTTAAAACTTATACTTAATAACGTTAATTGCACTAATAATAATTTCTAAATTATCAAATTAAAAAATAAATCAGTATCAATTAAAATACTTAATAAAAATTACTTTAGTAAAGATAGTTTTTAACTAATAGTTTGACCATTAAAATATTAAAGTCAGCTTAAATTAGACTAATAACATCAAATGCAAAAATTAAAAAACTTATTTTTATTTCTTACAAAAAGTTAGACTTTTAATAAATTATATTTACTTACAATCATACATACACACACACACATATGATCAAGTGAATATAATCTTTAAATACTTAAAATTAAAAAATACTTTGAAATTAAAGCTTATGAAAATAAAAGCAATTAAGTTTACACTTCTTGATTAAGTTTTGAAATAAAATGATTTGATTTTAAACGAATCAAAATTTAAAACTTTGTAATATTTTTTTTTAAATTGATCATTTAATGTAAATGTAAAATAACGACTTACATTTAATTAATATGATTAATTTCAAATTATAAGAAAAAAACAGATAAAATCGAATAAAATAAATAATTTCTATTTATAAAATATTTTTTCAACCAATTAATAAACTTATTCCATTCCAATTTTAATACTTTTAAAATGATAAATTTAAAATTTACATCAACCTTATTTATTTATTTATTAAATTTATTATTTAATTATTTATTTATTTAAGTATTGTATATTATTTTCAAATGATTAGAAGGCTTATCAAAATACCATATAAGCAGGCTTAAATTAAGGCAGAAGATACTTTTTAAAGAATCTCAAAATTGCCACATTATTAGAGCTATTTAAAGCAAGCATTATTTTGATAATCTATTTAATAGCTTTAGAAAGCATTTATTAAACATGTAGAGGTCTAATTAAGAGCAAAGTCTTCAACATAAGCCGTATTAGTTATATAAATAGGTGTTTCTTAAACGCACTTTTAAACATATTACTCAATTTAATCATTATATTTCAAAAAAGTTTAATCAGACAAGCATTTAACATTTTTGATTGAACATTTTTACCAAGGTTATAAAAAGTAATACTTATAATAATCTGGAGTATAATCATCTTTTTCGTTTTCTAAATAGCAGTCTATTAAAATTTTTAAACTCTTCATGAGAGAAGGAGAATTTTGATCTAAAGACTCACTAAAAGTATTTCCATAGCAAATCTAAGCACAGTTACTCATGAAAAGTGAAAAATTTAAATAGGAGTCTTAATAAAGAGGAGAATTCTTATATTATTGAGTTGGATAACATCTTGTTGCTAAACAATTTTAGAAATAGCCTACTCCTGTCATACAAACAACATCATTTGCATCATATTAGTTGCATAAAGAAGGAATAATTAGACAATCTTATACAAGTGAATTGTATAAAGTCAAATAACCTACTCCGTTTGGTGAAATTTGCACTTAACTGTATTGGCATTAAACATAATGTGCTCCTAAAAAGGCTAAAAAAAGTATTTAAATAGTCCCTAATTACAATTTATTCATTTTGCTAACACTATTTATTTGACAATTAAATTAAAAATATTACCTGATCTTTAAAAATAATTATGATTTTGTATACCTATAAATATATATATAAATAAATAGATAGATATGCATTTATCAATTTTTCTTAATTTATTATCTAAACAATATTTTTTAATTTTCATTCACCTCTCTTTCATAATTTCATTATAAAAAGGCATAATAGTTTATTAAAAAAATAATGGTGATTTTAAATACTTGCAAGTAGATAGATAGTTATGCATTATCAATTTTATTTATTTGTAATCTAAACAATAATTCTCTTAAAAATTTGCATTCACCCTTCTTCCATAGTATTAGTATTAAAAAGTGTAAACTTTATTAAAAAAATAAATTCTTTTGAAAAATTAAGATTTTATTTTAATTTTTAAATTATTTTATTGATATTTTAGATCATTCTAAAAAATAAAATACCTAATTTAATTTAATTTAATTTAATTTCATTTTTTAAATAAATAATAATTGTTATTAATTAAAATGAGAATTTATAAATATCAACGACATAAAAAAATTAGATTCATTATTTTTTTAATTTATTTTTAAAAATCAATATTTAATACAAAATAAAAATAAAAAATTAAATTTTATTTTTTTAAAACTAATTTGTATAACATACTTAATATTTTTAAATAAATGACCCCCCTCTTTAGTCTGCAAAGATAAACAAAAACTTATTAGTAATCTTTTGAAATAAAACTTTCTAAGTTTTTTTGCACTTTAAATAAAAAATATAAAAAAGAAAATAAATTTTTTTTTAATTACTGCTGATATTTAAAAAAATATTACAAATAATATCAACGATTTTTATTTTATAATAATTATTACCCTTGATTTTAATTATTAAATTTTGCTTTTAACAATTCGTTGTTTGAAAATTATACAAATTTCTATTCTTAATTATTTTAAAAATGAATTGGCATGTCCTAGAGTTATTGATGTGTAAATTATAGGTTTTAAGGAATACCCATATGATGAAAAGGTAAAATGTTGTGAGGTTGCTAAATATTTTATCTAGTTGGAGTTGTTATAGTTATATTTTATATTTGTTACTCAAGTTATTAGACTTTTTCTTTTAATTCTTTTATTATTACATCATCGCTTTCTAATTCTTTAACAGAATTTTTTACCATAACTTCTAACCAATAAATTAAAGATTCTGGAGAATTTTTTTTAAGTTCTTCATATCTAACTAATTTTGATCTAGGCTGTTGACCATCAGGTCTTGGTTTCCAGAAAACTTCAAAAATCATAGCTTCTAATTCTTTTTCAGAACTTCTTATAATAACTCTTTAAACTTTATCTTTTGCTTCGAAACTTCCTTCTTTAGGATAATTTTCATTAAAATTTTTATTTTGCATTTAAGTAGCATCTGAAGAATCCTAGTAGCTTTCTCTCTTTACTAAAATTTACTAATCATTTTTTATAGCTTAAACATTTATTTACTATAATAATGTAGTATTATTTAAATTAGCGGTATTATCTAAATTATTTTCGTTAATAGAGGAAGTATCTTATTAACTTTTACTTGAAATGCTTTACTTTTCTTATTATTATATTTTAACTTTTTTTTTAGGTTTGCTATTTAAAATACTTTCGTCCTCAATCTAAGAATTATTTACTATGCTGCTATTTTAAGAATTTGGAGTAGGTTTCTTTTTAGGTCTGCCTCTCTTTATTTTATTAGCTGCTATTGATTATGGAATTGAATTGCTTTCTACATCTGAAACTATTGCTTTCTTCCCTCTTTTTGCCTTATCACTAATTTATTTAGATTTTTCTTAATTTTCTTCATCATTTAGATCATCAACTTCATCCTCCTGTTCTTCCATGCTTCTACTTGAAAATAATTAATTATTATTTTTTTTACTAAATGAGTTTTCTATTTCACTGCTATTTACAGAGGGTTTTCTTCCTCTCTTTTAAATTGACTCTTTTTCATTGCTAGTTTATTTAATCTATTAAATAATGCATACTGGATCGCTTGCTGAAAGCTTACTTTCATACTATTTATAATAGCTAATTGGAAGGTCATGCTTTAATACCCATAAAGGTTTTGGAATGCCTTTAATTTAAAAATTTATTAAAGATGAAAAAATGGAGGAAAATATGAATTTTTTTAAAAATAGAGTCTAAAATAAAGAATAAATTCCAAAAAATTCAAAAATAAAAATGAGATAGCTTAAAGTTAGCTAAATTATGCATTTAAGTGTTAATTTGCGTGCTCCTAAGCCATTAAAAATAATTTTTTTACCTGTATAAGACACTAAATATTCAGACTTTTTGCCAATCCTATCATGACCAAAAATTCTTTCTATTTTTGTATGATCTAAGCTATTTTTAATTAAAAATTTTAATTAATTATTCTACTCTAAATATTTTAGTTAAATTTACTTTTTAAGAATTTGTTTGTTTACTTTTGGTTGTTTACCAGTTTAAGGTAAATCATACTCATACTAATAGATCATATCCTTTACATTCTCTAAGTTTGAAAGAGGTTCCCAAGTATTTTTATTTGAAGGGTATCCTAGTTTATTATTAAATTATAAAATTAATTTGTTTAATTTAAATAAATAAATAAAAATAAAATACTTCAGAAATTAAATTAAATTATAAATTAATAAATAAATACTTCTTCATACCTTACCATTTAACATAATATTCGCACTTTTTATTTTTTATTCTTTTTTTAATAATCTTTTCTACTATATAATTTTCATTTTATTCATTTTCATCATCATCGTCGTCGTCGTCGTTGTCATTATCATCATGATTATTGTCAGTGTTACCATCTTATTTATTAATTTAATCCTTCATGTTATCATTAATTTTTCTTTTTTTTTATTAATCTTATACTATATCTTCACTGCTATCTTTAAATCTAACAATTCCATCATGATAACTGCTATTTTAACTCTAATTATTTTATTCTGAATCATGATTTTGCGCTTTTATCTTTTTTTTTCTAATTACTCTTCTTTTCTCTTCTGATTATGACTAGCTTTGCTATTCTGATTCATCTTCTGTTTTTGTGTTGCTTTAAAAACTAACTTATGCATCTTTTGCTTTTTATCCTTATTTAATTGATTGCTTTATCATAATTGAATTATTTGGTTCTTCATTATGATTGTTTATTGATCTTTTTTTTATTATTTATAAATTTACAAAATATCCAAAAACTAAATCTAAAAATAAAATCTATTTTATAAAATTTTAAATATTGATGTTTACTCTCTCTTTTAGCTGCTGTGACTCTCTTCTTCTTAAAAATTATTTGCTTAGTCTATATTATCTTAAATATTCATTACAAAAATAAAAGGCTTTTTTTAATTAATTATGTAATTTGCTTTTTCTTCCACTTTGTTTTCTTTTTTAACCAAAAGACTTTTTAATTAATTCTAACGATGGACTTTCTTTTTCCTCTTTAACTTTTAAAAATAATCAATTTTTGACAGTCATATAATTATAAATAACACTTCGATTTTTTATTGAAATTGCTTTTCTTTTCTATATCTTAAATCAGATAAGAAAAGTTTTTCCTCACTTCTAAAAGAATTTAAATTTTCTTTTATTTAATTGCATTATGATCAGAATATATTTAAATAAATTGATGGCAAAAAAAACTATCTAAACAAAAGCATTTTTGAGAAAGATAATATTTCTTCATTTTAATTAATTTATGGAGATTTTATGTTAACATATAGAAAACTTAATATTTTTTAGTTTATTTTAATTTGAAAGGAAGAAATATAAATTAATGTTAAATTTTTATTTTTTCTAGAAAAATTAGAAAGATAAATAATATCCTTACTAATTAAAAAATCACAATAATTTTTTAATAATGAAATTTGATAATCAGCATTTATTTTTAAAATAGTTAAGTAATTTAAAAAAGTCCGAGTAAATAATCACTCTTTTATATAAATATACTAATAGATAGATATATAAAATAATATTAATAGTTTTTAAATATATTTTATTTTTATAAACTGTATTTTTATTGTAGTATTTTTAGTAATTAAGTATAAGGTAATGTAGTAAATAGGATTAGTAATTTATCGAGGTTAAGATTAGTATTAGGAAATAGACAAAATTTTATTTAATTTAAAAATTGTTATTGTATTTATTAGAATTGATGAGCATTTAAAAAGAAGAAAAAACCAAATTCAACTACTAGATTCATTCAATCACAGAATATCACCAAAGCAATTTAATAATTTGGAAGTACTACTGATTTTTCAATATAATTTTCTTTTAATCTTTAATTTAAAACCAGATTTTTTTTGATATTTCAATTTGCTTTCTGTAATATTTAAATCCTCTTTTCTTCCACTTTAAAAGTTTTTCTTGATTTTTGCAAAATTTAGATCAAATGATAGGCTAGATCATTGATATTTTTGATATTCTTTTTTTAGGAGAAGAACTGCTTGATAGGACATCTTCGAACAAGCGGCCATCACTTTATGCATTACCAAATATATTAGACTACCCCATTTATTTTTTTTTTGGTGAAACTCCTTCGGATTATATAGATTAATCATCTTTTTGCTCATAAATGTCATTTTATACTTTTTTAATAACTGTACCATTTCGGATTATTTTCCTTACTCTAGGTTACACACTTTGTAGGATAGGAAGAAAATCTTAGTTCTAATTTATATCATTATAATTGTTTATTTCTACTTCAGGTATTTCTTCTAAAGAGGAAGGAGTTCTCTTTAGATTGCGTAGATTTCCAAGAGATTTATTATTACTGCTGAGGTTATCTTTCATAGATTGAATAGTTTCATCTTCATCGTAATTTTCAATATTAGATTGCGAACTATATTTTTATATTAAATAAACTTATTTTAAAAACTAACTTGTTAAATTAGGTAATTATTACTTGATAAGAATCTTTGAGGAATTTTTAAGAACTCCTTTTGAAGGTTACTTTTTTAACAAATCTATTGGTGAAACAACCCTGAATTAAATTTAAGAAAGAAATTTAGAAAAATATTTTATTTGTAAAAAATAATGAAATTAATTCAATAAATTACAAATTTGGGATAGGAGTATCATGCTTTTTTGCAAATTAAATCATTCTATCACTCTTTTGCATTATTGAGATATTGGAATCATTTTTTATAGATGTATTAGTTTCCAATTCTTCTATCCTCTTTAGAGTACTTGATAAGTTATTTAAGCTCTTAATCCTAGTTTAAATATACTTATTATTATAATTATTGTTTTTTAGGTTATTGCCACTTAAAATATTATGTAGAGTGTTTTAAGCATTTTTAGTTGGATTCACTTGAAAGTTTTTGGTTTAATCTTCTTAAAATATATTAGCCTAATTTTTTAGTAAAAATCCACTTTGAGTTCCTCTTAAGCTATATTAGTTTGAAAAGTTGTAGTTTAAAGAAGAACTTTATGTATTTGTTTAACGAATGTCTTACTAAGGGTATTAAGCAGGATAAAAATAATTTTTGTTAAATTGGGATTGATTAGGAAAATTGTTATTATTGTTCAGATCTTCTTAAGGATGAAAATTTATATATTTATTTTTCAACTGAGGCATTTACTAGCTATACTAAGCGTTATTTTCAAAATCGTTATATGATATTCTCCTTCCTGCTTGTTACAACTGATATTTTTTTAGTTAAAATATATTTTATATTTCTGATGATAAATAATTCTTTAAAATTTACTTAAACTGATTAGCGAGAGCTGCTAGATTAAAATCCATTTTCCATTTTATCAAAAGAACTCAAAGAATATCTGTGATTATGAAATTTTTAGGGAGCAGGAATAAGTTGAGTTATGACCTAAATTAATTAAAAAAAAATACATGTAAATGAAAATTTACTAGTAATAATATATCTTTAATTTAAAGAGCTGGGCTAAAGTATAAATAACAATTTATAACTACGCAAAAACAAAAAATATATATTTATTTAAAGCTTTTTCTCTAATTCTTAAAATTTTATATGAAATCTATTACATTTTATTGGTCTTCTTGTTAGTTTGCAGATGGTTAGAAGCTATAACTCTACTTTTACAATCCAACGGAGTGTAGTTCAGTTTCTGATTTTGTGTTTTAGAGTAAAGATCCTCTCTGCTTACTTTAAACTCTGCCATCTTAATAATTAGTTTTATTTAACTCTATGTTTTGCGAATTATCAGAATCAATTTCAGTGCTATATTCAGATACAAAAATGGTCTTTCTTAGTTTCCTTCTATTTGGAAAAATAGAGACTTCTGAATTAAATAACATGGTATAATGTAATGTGCTTAATGCTATCTTAAGTTGAGTGAGATAGAAGATATATAACTATAGATAAATTAATCTTTTTTTTGTTTATTTAATTTATTAATTTATCTTATTCTTTATAAAAAAAGAAAATTTTAGATTATGATAATATCAATATTTGATCAAGTAAATAGCTGCCAGTAATTAGATAATCTATCGCAATCTTATTTAAGTTATTTTTATATACTGGTGAAACGCTTAATGCTAGCAGTAGCTATAATAATTTTTATCTCAAAAGAATTGAAAAGCGTAGACAAAAATAAACCAAAAATATCAGCTTAAGTTAAATCAACCTTCTATTTCTAAATTTAGAGTTTTCAAAAATATTGCAATATATTTAACATACAAATTTAATATTTTTTTTTGATTTATTAAAGAGCTTTCTTGAATAAAATTTTTTATTCATAATTTTTAATCTATTAACAAACTCTAACGCTGTTAAAATCAAATAATAGTACAACACAAAATTAAAAAAAGAGAAGTTACAACTCATATTTTATACACATTTTAATATTTTGTTTCAAAAAGTTTGGAAATGAATTTTTTTTAATTCTGAATTAGTTTTATAGCAAAAGAAGACTAATATAAAACTCCTACAAACCTTCATGTTAGCAGAAAGCAAGATTATCAGTGATAAGCTAATTAAATTTAGATTAAATGGGTGGATTTTATTCAAACGACTAATAATTCTTAAAAACTTCTTTGATATAAATTTATTAACTTACTGAAAGTCATAACTTATTAATCTAATTTCAATAAAATGAAATAAAAAATTGCATTCTTTAATAGGAAATCTGTTTCCACATTTAATAAATGCATTAACAAATAAATTAACAAATATCTTATTTATTTTTACAAAGTTTTTAATCCCAAACTATATTTTTTATGGCAATATTCATATCAAACATTAATATTTTAAATTTTTATCAATTAATTTTAAGTAAAAATATTGCTTAACAACCAACCAGCGTTTAACTAGAAAATTTGGATCTATTTCATTAAATATTTTATATTTAATTAATATACTTTAGAATAGCTTAGAATTTTAAAAAAATAGTATCAATAATAAAAAGTAAAATATTTGAATCAAATACAAAGATAAATTATTAATAAGGAATTTAAAATATAATAAATAAATAAATTTTAAAACATCTAAGATTATTAGTTTCTAATTGTTTTATATTTAAGGAAGTCTTTTATAAAATTAAAAAATTAATATTGTTTTAAAAAAATAAATAAGCAACTTAACAAACAATAAAAATAAACAATAATAAAATTCATAAAACCCAAAGAATCATATTAAAAAATAAATTTAATTAAAAATTTAAAATAATTAATATTCTTATTGCTTTATATTTAAGATAACTGCTAAAAAGCAATTTACAAAAAATTTAAGCTCATATATATATGTTCAAAGTGCTAAATATCCCCTCTATCACTATAAATAGAATAATATTAAGTCCTTCAGTTTTTGATTAAATGATTGCTGCTTCCATGCTGAAGCATTAAATATTTTTAAAAAACAATAGAAAAAATTGATGTACTTTACATATGTTAAAAACATCAGAATTTTAAAGAAGCATAAAGTGGATACTTGTTATTTATTCTTTTTTTATAGTTAATCCTCATGTATCCCTTCAAATAAGCTTGTTTAAAAACTTCTTTGATCAAAAATATTGAGAGGCAAGATTTTATTATCAAAAGTGATAGATATTAAGAAATTAGATTTTATTTTACAAGAAATTTTTGAGAATAAAATCCTTTGAAAAATCGGATATAGAATAGCTAAAAATTTACATATCTAAATAAGGCAAAGTATTCAAAGAAGATAATTAGTACCTAATAAATTTAAGATTAAGAATTCAGAGTAGTTATAGCATAAATAATTATCAGAAATGAATGGTTTTTAGCACTTGTAGGAGGTGAATCAGATAAACGCAAAATAAGATTAGTTTTAATAATAGCTGTAACTCCATAAAATTAATGAAGCAGCAACTTCTTAAATTATTTCTTACTAGTTTTGCAGTAAAGGAGGCTATCACACTGGTGAGTTATTAAATTGTGTATGTATTGATGAAAAATGCAATCAAAATGAATTAATTTGCTCCTTTTGTGAATAGGAAAAGCACTAGGGTCATTTAGTAATCCCATTTAAAGTTTTTTTAGAATCTTTACAAAGCATGTAAACAGACAACTCTTAAAGCAGCAACCACATGAATGAGGAGTATAAATCAAATTTAGAGAATTACTAACATATTTAGCAAAAGACAAACCCAAAATTAGATCCTTTAAAAGCTAATAAGAACATGGATAGAGACTAATTTGGTTTTTATCTTGATGAAATAGATAGATAGCATCAAATAACGATTAAATACTTTCACGATTACTAAACAAAAGTTTTAGAAGGGTTTAATGAGTGCATGAATAAGATAAATTAGTTTTATAAAGCTGTTAAATCTGAACTTTAAAGAAAGCAATATTTAGAAGAAACTTGCTTTTAGAAGCTTTTAAAATCTTTGTCAAACTATTCCTCAACAATTTAGGATACAACTGTGTAGCTATCAAATCCCTTCAATGAAGAAAACGTTTTGAATATATTAAATAAAGATCAATAAGAACCGAAAAATAATAGAAGAAATAAAAGAAACAATAACTATATAACTCAAGGCTCCCAAGATATAAAAGAAGTACTAAAGATTATTGGATTTGATTAGAATGATAGCTTTAAAAGCTATTATAAGTTTGACCTAAACCATGTTGTATAAATATGCGAATCAAGATAGCAAAAATTGATGGCAGGTAAAGAGTCAGACGGATTATTAGTTTAGCTCAAAGCACTAGTATCAAAATGCGATTTTTTATATGGAGAAATCCCACCACTTTCCATTTAGATTTCATCTTCACAGAGCGTTGGCCTATCAGGCTTTCTGAAATAATTACGCTTTTCAGATAAGTTAAAAGGAACTTCAATATAAATAAAATCTCCTAATTTAGCTCACTAAACATAAAATGAATCTAGTGGATAGAGGTTTTGTTTGTTAGAGCCAAACTTACCTCAAAATGGCCGTCTCAGGTGGGGTTTTAAGATTAAGAGTCTTATAGGATGGATCGGGATAGGAATATGTTTGTCAAGCATTATTAAAGGATTTAATTACCACTTTAAATATTCTAAAATTGGTCACGGCTCTTATTTGTTATCAGGCAATGGCTATACTTGGTCACATTCTAAATCAGAATAAAACTCTTAAAATAAATCCTTCCACTTTATAACAGGAGATACAATTTACTTAGAATTTGATCCACAAGAAAAAAAGCTTAAATTCCTAAAAGGTAAATCAAATGAAAAATACACTCTTGAAGTAGATTTTTTACCTACTGATGAAATTGTCCCCTGTGTTAACCTTTGCTCTAGCGGGGACGAAATCGAGCTGATTGTAAACGAAGCAGAATTGATAGCCTTAAATTTCTGATTACAAATATATTTATTATAAGCCAAATATAAAAATAAATGCACAAAATTTAAATCTAACATAACTAACTCACTAATAATTTGTAAAAAATATAGTTTTTTAAAAATAATTTTTATTAATCTTTGTAAAATTTAAAATTTTTAATTTTTATTTTTAAAATTATTGAATAAGTTTTGTTTTTTTTTGTAAAAATATCCATTTATGATTAGCCTATTATATTATTCACTCAACACATAAAATAGTAAAAAAAAATATAATTTTTGAAAATAAAAAATATTATTTTTATTAAAAAGTGAATTTAATTGTTTTTATTTTATATGAATTCATTTTCATAAAAAATTATTTTAAATATATTAAAATTTATTTAATTTTTGAAAGTAGATGTTTACTAATAAGCAAAATAATTTAAACAAACAAGTTTTTATAATTATATTTAGGTAAAGGAATTGTTTAAATATTCAAGAACATCAATCATTTTTCATTTTTCTATTGACATTATACTAATTTCCTCTGCAACAAGCTGAAAAGATAGCTTTCATAAATTTAAAGATATTCATAAACAGTAATCCTCCTAACAAAGCAACTATTATAGCTGCTGGGTCATATTTTAGTAGCAAAACCAAAAAATTCTAAGCCTTTCTTTAGGCTGGAGTTAACATATAAGTAGGGCAATCTATATTTTCTTTGATTTTTTCAGGATTTGGATGAAAATCATAAAGTTTAAATTCTTATGCTAAGACAGGAGCTAAAGTCATATTACCATAAATGTGCAATTAAACAGTAGAACTCATGATATCAGTATTATTCCATTCAATATTCACCATACCATAATTCCTAAATTTAAAATAAATATAAATTTCAACAAAATAAACTTAAAGACTTTATATTTTATTTTTTAAGTCTTTATAAAAACAAAAATAAAATTTCAAATCTTATTGACCTTTCAAGGTATCTATCCAATTGATGGTTAGAAAAAGTAGGAGGAACACCGAGTTAAATTATGTACTTAAAAAGTGGAAATATGCTAGTCATTTCTGTATTAGTAAAAGAGAGACCGCTTGAAGTAATTTCCCTTAAGCTATATCCCAAATATTAATCTGAGCATGGCATTTCCATCAACTCTGCTTAGTGTATATCACCACTTAGCAAAACTACTGGAGCTTTCTTATCTCTAAAGAGCTAAAGAAGCCTTTATCTACTTGGATTATACCATTATTCTTAAAAAAATCTATCATCTGGGATAACTTAAGTGCCACTTGCAACCAAATACAAAAGAACAGATTTGTCACTTAACTCTTCTTCAAGCCATTTCCATTATGCTTCTCCTAGCATATCTGTTGGATTGAGATCTCTCCTATGATCTCTGTTGAATCTTACATCTGATAAATATTATAGATTAATCAAAAAAAATTAAAACATTAATAATCTCTTTTAATAAAATATTAATTAACTCACCTAGCAAAATTACTTTTACCCTTTTTTCTTCTCCAAGATAGTATGAAACATAGATGCCATTCTAATTACTTCTGCGAGGGCTATCAGATGGTTCATTTAAAAAATCTAAATAAAGTCGTTATATTATATATTTGCCTTGAAAATCTTTTCCTCCATCATTTATATTGTAGTCGTGATCATCCCAAACTCCAATTATTTTAGCATTTGTTTTCAGAAGCTTTTTATAATGCTAATCTTCTACAACATTATCAAATTTTCTTTTTATGGATTCCTCACTAGGATCTGGTTCCCAATAATGAATAAATTTTCTTATATCAATATAAGCAGCATCTCCTAACCATGCAAAAGAATCTGGATTTTAAAGTGCAATTTTATCAAATATTTCACTTTGCTAGTCCGGTGTAAATTTGTTGCAAGACCCAAATGCAAACTTTATTTAGCCTTTGTTCTTCGTAGGTATTACCTCTTATCCAAAAGCTTAGAGGATGAAAAATATTTAAAGTAATGCTAGAGACTAGAATAACTGGCTAATAGCCTATTAAAATCTAAAGCCTTTAATCATTTAATTTTTTAATTTTTTAAAAGTAGAAATATTAGTATTCAATATTATTAATTTAAACAATATCTAAAACTATTAATTTTTTGAATTTAAAATGTAAATATTATTAAACTTTTAAGAATTTTTAATAAAATTTTAATAATTATTTAAGTTATTTAAACAAATAATAAAATATATCAATAAAACCTACAAAAATGAACAGATAAGCAAATAATGAACGTGCTGATATGAAAAAGAAAAAGATATATAAAGCAAAAATAAGAATAGGAGATAATCAATAAATTTATTTAGTTGAAAAAAATTTTAATTACTAAATTTTTTGTTTTCTCAAATGGTTTGATTTATTTTATGAATTAAGAATTCTTATTGTTAGAATTGAAATGGAAATAAAATATAAACTCAAATAGTTCTTTTATTTTATTTTTTTAATTGTAAATTAAATACAAAAATTTTATTTAGTTTTTCAAACTTCATACTATACTTATGTTTACTTTGATGAGAATTGTTATTTAACAAATAAGTAAGATTGTTTTAAAATTGATCTATTTACCAGAAGAAAAAAATTTACTTTGCTTTAGGGATTTTGATGGGTACTATCATCATTTACTTTACTAATTATGCTTTTCTCATTCATCAATGCATACAAGAATGAACAATTTAAATATTTTTGATAGGAATTTAATTTGTATTTTTGTTTGATTGATCAATTGATTGATTGATAGATTTGAAATGCACCTTAGAGCTAGATAATTCCACAAATATCTGAAAAATAATAATTATATTCAAAGATTAATAATTATAATAATAAGAAGAATAACATCTTACTCAAATTAATTATTAACAAAATTTATTTCAATGACTTAAGTAGAACGAAAAGTTGAGAAAGTGCTTAGAGTGAAATTATCATAGTAGCTTGGTAATTCAAATTCTCTACAAAATAATCAAGTTTAAAAAGATTCTGTAAAACTAATATTTAATATCCCAGTTAACATTACCCAGGTAATTTTCTTCTTCATTTTTACCTCTTTACTAATTAGATTTATTTCTTACAGACAGATTGATAGATTTATGATATAATTTCAAAAATAAGTTTGATTTACTTAATTTTTTATCTATAGAAAAAGGCTCGCTATGTTTTGCCACAAAATAAATTGCTTACAGAAGCAGTTGAAGACTTTGATAATGTTGAATCAAATAAATTAATTTAAAAATAAGACTAATCCTACTAAAAATGCGATTTTGACAAAGAAAAAAATATTGTAAGTATTTTTTACTTTCCTAATTTATTATTTTCTATGTATAAGGAATTCTCATTATAAGTATATATGATTTATAATTGATTACTAGAATTAAATAATATTAATATATCAAAGCATAAAATAAATATGAAAGACTAATTAATTTTTAACTAATTAAAATCAAGAAAATCTTCAAAAGAAAAGTCAGAAAAACTAGTAAAACTGACAATAGTGTAGCTGAATAATTTTCTTTGAATTGTGAATATAAAAATTAAACTAACTTAAAGGCAAGAGGAAGTCATTCTAAAGAATAATATTTGCTGCCATCTACAGATGAATCTAATTATGCTTCTTCTCAAAAAAAAAGAGAACCGAACTAAAAAATATTATCTCTCAGAAGCCTAAATAATAAAATAATCCCTTTATATAGAGGATTAGAGGATATAGTTTCAGAAAACGATTAAGGTTTTTCACCATAAAAATCACTAAGTAGCTATTCTATCCTATAGCAAAAAATAGAAACAAAAGCTTTAGAGAGAAATTAATCTTAAGATATAAATAGCTCACACTAAAAGCATTATTTATTTAAAAAATTAAAAAAAAGCTGTATAAATAAAATACTTAGCAAACAGAGAGCAGCATTTTCTGAGTCACATATACTCAAGGATTAAAATGATCTAAACACACTAGAAATTAATAGATTAAGTCCTTAGAGGCCAAACGAAAATGAGGCAAGTATTTAAGATTATGTGTTTTTTAGAGAAGGAAAAATTCTTTAATAAATTGAAAAATTTCAAAACCAAATAATGAAATAAGACAATAAAGAACCTTAAAAAATTCTTTAATCATAGTCAATTGTTTAATAATCTTAAGGATCAGTGCTCGAAAAAAACGATATCAATCAAGATCATCAAACCAATAATATTTAAAAAAGTACAAATGAATCAACCGATTCGCTCAGAAGTCATTTAAAAATATGTAGGATTCAAGGAAATGCACTAAGAGAGAAAAGATTATCTATATTATAAGACTATAAAAGTGTTGACTTTAAAGATTATACTACTTCATCTTCTTCTTCATCTTCTGCTTCTTCTCTTTGCTCTCTTAAAAATATAGTGCAAAATAGAGCAGGTTCCAGTCCAATTAAAAATCTATATAATATATCACCAGAGAAAAAATCTGTAAAATCCATAAATAATAAAATTAATCCATAAACCTATTAACATAATGCAGCTGCTGATATTTAAAATTAAATCAACAAACCCTTGAAATAAATAGATAAAATAAGTCAGAATATCTGCTAAGAGGCACCTAAAAATATAAATTAAATCAAGCATTAAAAAGGCGACTTTAACATTAAATACTTTCTTTAACCTTAAAAAAAATTGTTAAGAAGTAAATAAATAAATCTTATTTGAATATTTAACATTAATTTAATATTTAAACAGATTTACATAAAAATTAATTACATTTATTAATATTTATTAATGATTAATTAAAAATAGCTAATAAATTTTATTTTTAAATTTAGATTTTAACACGAACAAGAGTCCATCAAATAACATTTCTAATGAATTTAATGTAAATTTAAATGATTCTAAAAATAAGTATTTTAAAATAATTTTTTTCTTTAAATAAACCAGAGTAAAAAGATACAATCTAATCAGAAGTTATTAAATAATTAAGACAGTAATTATGATATAAAAAATGTCTTTCAATAGAATTGAGATAAATAAATCTATTCAAATATTTAATTTTAAGTAAATCAATAAAAGTTAATCAATTTCGTAAACATAATAATAATTTTTATATCCACCAATAAAATAAATCCATCAAATTATATTGATGCTTATGATAACTGCTTACCTTTTCTATTAAAAATGCATTGATATTTTTCATTAGCTGATGATAGGAAATATTTTGAGATGTTATATTTTTTTTAAAATAGATACTTTTATTTTTTAAAATAGCATCACTCATCACTCAATAACAAACAAACATTAAATTAATAAAAAATATTCAAAAAATATAAAATAAAAAAAAAACATAATTTGTAAATAGCATTTTGTTATAATAAAAGTCTCATTTATAATATTGAGTTAAATATATATTTTATTCTAGTAAGTAATTTTAATTTTTGTCGAATTATTTAAGTTTAAATTTATTTAAAATATAAAAACCGTTATTATCTTTCAATGTAATTTTTTATTATTTTTCAGAAATTATTTTTTTTTTTTCAATTATATTTAATAGGTTTAAAATTAATTAAAAGAAAATATGCTATTATCAATAAAAAACTATAGCTACTCTCTATATTTTATTTATCTGTACTTAACTTTAATTTTTATATTTAATTATTAAAATATGAATACTTACTTTTTTTAAAAAAAAGTTTATTTAAGCTATAAATTTTAATCATTCTATTGTAAAAATATTTTTACAAAGCTTTAATATTAAATAAAATTTATTCTAATTAATTATCACCAATCCCTTCTCCAAATTTTAAGAGTTCCTAATGGTGAATAGTTACTTAATAAATTATTTTAAGGAGGTGAACAAATTTATGTTTTTTAACTAAAAAATTTATGTAAAAAAAAAAAACAACAAGCCCTTTCTTTGCATTTATAATAAATTAATAAACTATTTAATTGTTTTTAAATAAAATATATTTAAATTTATAGCTAAAAAAGTATATTTATAAATGAGATAATTACAAAAATATTAAATTAATTTATATTTTAAATTATAAAATCATTTATATTTCCATAAAAAATACTTACTTATATAGCTAAACTTTAAAATTATTCAAATTAAATACTTAAAATTTAAATGTTGATGCTAATATCTTTTTTAGGGAAAAATAGAACAAAATTTTTATTATATCAATAGCATTTACAAATATTTTTGCTTGAAGATTTATATAAAAAAATGTTTAAAAATATTTTAAAATGTTCTAAATATAAAAAAGAAATAAAATAAATTACATTAATAAAAATTATTATTAATTAAGCTGAATTGATAAATATTTTAATTATGAATATCAATTTTTAGACGATCTTAAATAATAAATTATCATTTATCGATTATCACACCATTTAAAGCTCAAGTAAATTTATATTAACATTTAATACTTTAAGATATACAAATATAACACTAAGTAGCTTGGAAATATAGAGTTTGGCAATTTAATATCATGCAATCAATTCTTTTTCTTTTTATCAGCATTTGATTTCACTAAAAATGCTGCTACTCCAAGTAGGGCTACTAAAAGCAAAATATGTGGGCCAATTGTTAAGACTGAAATTGGTAAAAAGAATTTTTGAATTGGATTTTACGCAGGCAAGAAAGGAGTAGCAAATATCCAGACAGAGCAATAAACAAAAATTAGAGCAGCTGCTCCTATAAATCCTAAACCTATGATAGACATTTTCAATAATATTTTATTTATAAATTTAATCTTAACTTAATATTTAAATATTCTTATGTTGCTTTTCGAAGATAATAATTTCAATTATTTTTTACTATTAAATTTTCTCTTTATTTTAAGTGTACATTAAATTTGAAATAGCTTGTATCTATTAAGTGATAATACTAAAGAATATTTATAAAATATAGCAAGGAGTATATGGATTTTTGAAAATAAAATAAATATGTATATATAATTAAAATACTACTTTATAATTTTGATATAAAGTTTTTTTTAATTTTTTACTTGAATTATTTTAATAAAATGATATTTTTATTTCCTAAAAATATAAATAGTAAAGAATATAAGCTTTATAGTTAAAAGTAAAAAGATTAAGAGTTGTAAATACTTAATAACCTTTTCTATTTTTCTAAATCTTCGTTGAAAAATATAGATCAAACAAACTATCAATCTAATTTTATGGAAATGTATTTTTATAAAAAATTCATTTAATATCTTATTAGCAATTTGTGGAAACCGAATAATCAATAATTATTTATAATGAGCTAAATAGAGAAAAGATGATCTTTCAAAATATAAAGAATACAATAGTTTATATCTACACTAATTTCATAAATAAAATAATATATAAAGTATCTTGTATATTTATCTAAAAAAAAGTTATTGTAGGATTGTAGGTTAATCAAATTAAAATTAGTAAAAAAAAAAATTTGATAAATTATTAAAGAAATAAATGCGTTGGGTGCTAGGCAGCTTATTATATTTATGCTGCTTTCTTTAATAATTAATAATTTATAAAAATATCCAGAATTTATTATAAAATAAAAAATTGAATTTAAAAATTGTGTTTTTTACATTTGACAATTTTTAGTCACAAAATTAAGAAAGATAATTTTTAAATAAATTTATAAAATAGAGAGTAATAAATATTACATTTTTTATTTTATCTCTGCAAAAAAATAATTAAAAATAAATTTAACTAGTAATTAATAAAATTAATTTAAAGAAAACACACACTTATTTTAACTATTAATCATTTTTTAAAAATGGAGCAAAATCATTTTAGTTGAATTTTTTCTGTTGATTAATTGATGTTAACAATATTTTAGTTACAAATTTTTATAAAGATTAGATTTTAATTTATAAAAACAAATTCTAATGGATGAAAATACTTAAATTGAATTAATATTTATTATTCACATATTTCAACTATTCATTTATTTATTGAGTGGTTAAAATGAAATTTACTTTAACAGAAGAAAAAAGAAGGTAAAAAATAATTCATAAACAAATGTATCAATAAGTAATATTTAAAATAAATCAAACAAGCTTCATTAGAATTCTTCTATTTATTTGTTATGTTTTACTTAATTAAAAGAATAGCTTGATAAAATAAATAAGAAAGATTGTTGTATTTCGTATCTGATATTTTTAGAAAAAAGCGGAAAATGAACTTGATAAAGAATAAAATCTTATTATTACAAGTCATCCTTTTAATGATAAGATTATTTTAGTGTTAGCCAATTTAAAGAAATCCAGGAGCTTCAGGATTTAGTTTAAAAATTACATTTGTGACATTTAATCCTCCATAAAATGCTAAATTCTTAACACTACAACTAAGTGATTTGTTGGGTATAAATTTTAGTAGTATCACAAAAATTTCATACTAAGCTGTAAATAACGATTAATTTTGTAAACTTGACAAAACCACTTCAATAAATGCTGTATTTGATTCCACCCAAAAAAAAATTTCAATTCCAAATCCTTTCACAATATTAGATACTAATTCTTAAATGCCATGTAGTGGATAAAATGTACCTCCAAATTGGTTAACTATACAAATAGTAAGTACCTTTTAATATGGAGGAACAATAAATATTTAAACGTTTTATGACTCTGTATAATATGGCACAACTAATTCTATTGGCCTTTCTACACCATTATAAGTATAACCAGATAATATTTTAGGTAAAAATAAATTAAATATTATTATATGCAAACTCTTTTTATATAATTTAATTAATATAAATAACAACACAACATAAAAATTCTTCTTTTTTGAATGAAGCTTCAAGGCTTAACACTTAAAAATAATTTTTTATTTTATTAAAAGATGCAAATATATAGTTTGGTTTCTCATCAACTACTCCATCGAAAATTATATCTGATATAGGTGAATACAGTTTAAAAGTGACAACTCCGACTCTCACTACAGCAATAAATTAAATTGCTTTAACTCTTCCAATGTATTGGTATCCTGATACTCTTTTACCTGATAGTGGCTGCTAGCAAACATCAGTACCATAATAAGCAAGCTTCAAATCTACATTACTAAGTTCATTATCAGCAACTGTTACTACTGATAATCCAAATGGTTTGTACAAAGTTGCATTAAGTTTCACATAAATAAATCTAAATGGTTAAATAGTTGATTTAACTTTTTAAATGACAAATCCATTTACATCCGCTAATATAGTATTAGAAGGAACCTAATTGATAATTATAGCAGCTTTTAATTATTAGTAGAGTCCTAGTTCAACTGTGTATACTGCCTTTTAAACATAATTTTCAAATACTAACGTGTAAGCATCATCTAAGACATTTCCAGATTGTAATTAAAACGGAAATGTATAAATACTATGCTCTCCTACAAGTAATGGAAGCTATACTAATTAAGCATGCATGTCAGGTTAGACTGTATTTGTAAAAATATTGATGTATCCTATTTTTTTTTAAGATATATACTCCTCTGTGTAATTTACTTTATCTAATCTTCCACCCAATTAGCAAGCTATAACTGGTATTACGATGCAAATTTAAAATGCTGGGTCACAAGCAGATGCTGGGGTACCATCGAATTCTGTTAGTACCAACAATTAAGTGATATTTTTTAATCAATATTTAAATGGTAATGTAAATTATTAATCCTATCCATTTATTTGCATGGCTGGCATATACATACAATGGTTATCTATTATTATACCATCATTTTAACTTCCTTATGATATAGATGGACTTAACATATCTGCATAATTCTTTGTTTAACCCTTTTTACCATTAGCAGGCTATAGTTAGTATAAAAGGGATCTCGTTGTAATTTATTTATTTTTAATTTTTAAAGCTCAAATTAAAATATTTTTTATATCAATTTTTAGTCTGACAAAATCTTGAATACTTAATGCAGTAACACTAAAATATAAATAAATTAAAATACTCTTAAAGCTGCTTAAGTAACAACTTCTAATTAAAATGACTTACAGGTAGGTGCAACTTCAGCAACTCACGAATTTACAATTAAAAGCTAATTTTCATTTCTTTCTACATCCGGAAAAATTTAACTTACTCTTCCCTCATCTTTATCAATAAATGCTGGTGGAAGTATATTAATAATTTTTTTTTAATTAGTAAACATAATTTAATTTTTAATTTAATAGCCTTTTCTTGTACTTTAAAATTTATTCTTACTGATAATTCACTGCTTTCTAATCCCACTACATGCACAAAAGCTGGTACACCTACTGTTGTTACCTTGTCATATACATATTCTGGAACTTAAAAGGCTATTGGATTTGTTTTTACTATAAATCAAGTGAAAAACCCAACAATAATATAATTTTCAAAGTTTTCAGTTTAAACATTCTTGAGAAATGGTGGTCTTTCTGAGTCTAATGATAATTCAAATACTTTTGGGTTTACCACTCTACCTGCTCCTTTTACTACAGCCTAGCTAGTAAATAATGCTCCAGGAGTAAAGAATGTTTACACGCTTTCTCCTTACAAACTTACACTTATCTCACCAGTTGATTTGCTAACCACTAACTAAATTATTGTTAATTTTCCAAATTATGTTTTAGAAATAAATAATATATCTGTTACTAGTCCTTCAACTGGTATCACTACTTCATCAAATAATTAATTTCCATTAACATTGACATTTACTCAATAAATTACTGCTAATACTCCAATTAATGTGCAGTTTACTATAAGAAATCCACCAGTTTCAAATTTAGACTACTAATTTTAAGTATCATTATTATTTCATTTTTATGATAATATTCTTTAATAATTAATATATTACATTTAGATTGTTGCATATGATGTTACACCAGATAAAACTTTTTTATAAAGCACTATTAACTATGGTAGTACAGATAATATTAAATTAGTAGGTTTTTCATCTTTTGGGGTAATTTCAAGTAGTCCTTAAAATTTAGCAACAGCTGTGTTTACAGTATCTTTCAATCCTACTGTACTACTTGCCAAACCGTCTATAATGATTTTAACTTTTACAGCACCAACTAATACTCATAATTTTCTAATAACTGCATAAACAACTTGCTCACCTATCACACCAGGGCTTACTCTAAGCTGCACTATTAATACACCTTCAACTAATTAGTTGGTATCTCTAAATAGAATGATTTCAAAAATAAATTAACAAAATATTTTTATAAATATAATAGACAGTTACTTTCAATACCGATATATAGCCATCTACAAACTATCAATTTAATATTTAAAATGTTTTAAATTATTTGAGTACATCTCCATACCAAATAACAGGAGATCTTGGGTACTCATAAAATTAGGTTGGAAATGAATCATCTTAGACTATTTAAAATACATAATTTTAGAGCTTATCTACAGTATAATTGGTGATTACAAACAGCTAACTAGGAATTGCAAGTTAATATTAATTTAATATCTAAACAGTATCTCCTTTCCCATAAAATGGTAATATAGTTGTAACAGCAACTGATCTAGTATAATTTGTACTGCCTTCTAGTGTAACTGTAAATTTATCTACTTGTACAGGGTCAGCGGGTGATACTACATCTAAATTAACTTTATCTTCTTGCTATCCAAATTAAGACCCATCCTTGATTACAATGTCTGTTAATAATCCTAACTAATTAATTCAGAACTCAAATACTCCATTCACTATAACTCTCAATGAAATAGTTGGCGGAACGCTTTATCCAATTAAATAATACACTTCTCCTAATCTCGTATACAAGAATAAATGTAATGTATCATCATTTTGTAAAACTTGCTAAGATGCCAATCCTTCAAGCTGCTTAACTTGCTATCCTCAAAATACTATTTATTATTAATCTTAAAATGTATATGTTTAAGAAATAATTTTAAATAGTGTACCTGCTGTTCCAAATTGTGTGGCTAGCTGTCCAGCATAGTCTTACTAAACTACTCAAAGTGGATAAAGTATATGCGCATCATGCAGCCCGTATTCGATATTTAAAAAATAAATTAAATATTTAATATTTTTAACAATTAATTAGGCCATGCACAGCTTGTATGAATTCATCTACTTTTTGCACTTCCTGCTCAGGCAATCTTTACTTAGATCCAACAATAAACACTTGCAGCGCAAATTGTCCTAATCTATATTTCTGTAATAAAAAAAAAATATTTTTTTAAATATTAATTGAATAACACAGATAAAAGTTTTTAAAACTGATAAATAACAACAATAATTGAATAAAATATAAATATTTTTGCTTTCATTGATCATTTTTTCAAAAAATATTTAAAAAATTTACTATAAAATAAAATAAGATAAAAAAATAAAAGATATTCAATAAAAAGGGCATTTTTGAAATGTTTTTTAAAATATTTTTTTTATTTATTTAATTTTTAGAGGGATCTAACAATAAATGTTAACTTTGCTCAACTGTAGGAAATTGTTTAACTTGTTCTTCTGCTGGTGTATGCACTTCATGCGATCCCAACTTTTATAAAAAATAAAATACATAATGTGTAACCTAATGTGATAGCTCGTAACTCTTTAAAAAATTTATTTACAGAAGTATATTAAAAATTATTTTTAATAATTAGATATTACCTAGCTAATGGAGGAACAGAATGTAAACCTTGCCCCACAGGATGCAATACTTGTACTTCTGATACAAACTGTACCGCTTGCTCTGTTGGATATATTAAATATTAAACAACATGTGTTTCAAGCTGCCCTTCAGGATATTCAAGGCTTATGCAAGGCGGAGTATATGTTTGTGGTCTATGTGATCCAAATTGCTAAGCTTGTGATACCATAAGCACTACTTGTACTTCTTGTTACCCTAACACATATTTGTATAACTAAAAATGTATTACATAATCTTAAATACCTGCTGGTAACTTTGGAGACAATGCAACATGGACAGTCTAACCTTGCATGAATTATTGTGTTGCATGTTCTTATAAATCACTGTGTACTACATGCTCTTAATCAGCAGTTGTTTATTAAGTAAATTTACTAATTTTTAAAAACTAAAAAAAATAATTTATTTGTTTAAATTTAGGGTGTCTGTTACACTACTTGTCCTAGTAGTGCTCCTGTACCAGACGGAGCTGGTGGTTGTAAATAGGCAATTGTGCCGGCAGCAGTATCAGATAATAGCTCTAAAGTAGTACCCTTCCCTATGCTTTTGTCATGCATAGCATTCTGCATATCTGTATACTTCTCTAAATATGAAAAACCTCAAACATTTGTTCCTGGTTGCATTGTGGGTTTTTGTGCTCTCTTTGAATGGATATCTTGGATAATATTGATAGCGATATGCTATTTAAATGATGGAATTATGTCAATAACTACAATTGCTGCTGCCGTAGGATTCGTCCTTATTTACCTATTTAATTTAGTTTATTACATATTATACAGAAAAACAATATCTAAAGATACCTCATTTATGGAGTGGGAATTATCTCATAAAAATAGGATGTGTAAAAATGTATCAATATTTTTTTCATGCCTCATTTCCTTCAAAATTTAAAAAATTATCTTCTGCAAGTATTTTAACTAAAACTTTTTTAAGGTAAATTTTATTTTGTAAAAATAAATATTCAAATTGCTTTTTAAATTAAGGCAAAACTTAAAGATATTGACTTATTATCTCCTTTCAATAAAGTTTCTGTGCTAAGTGTTATATTTAATAGCTTCTTAATTATTTTAAGTGCAGCCATATTTAGCTATAAATATCAAAATTCCACTTAGATTTATATTTTAAGTCTAGATACATTGCTTGTGACCATTTTTATGATTATTTTCATGATTTGGGAGGCATTGAAGAATGAAACCTTCTTTGAAGAAAACTACAATATGAATTTTGAACAAATGAGCTAATTTACTCAACGATTCTTCCCCTTCGACTAATCTTACATGGAGAGGGCAAGGTAAAGATCAGTTTATGGACATCTTAAAAAATCAGAGTCAAATTCTAGTCTTACCGAATTTGGCAAGGATAACAAAGTGACTAAAGTAGAACAATTACAGTAACCTTACAGTTAAGTAATGGACCCAAATGATATTTCAACAAATGCCGCTATAGATAGAAATGTATTAAATAACTCTAATAATGGAGCACCTTATCTTATTCAGGATGAGTTATCAGAGTCCTCTAAACCTGGAAAAAAGAGATAATTTGAGAAAAAGCATGTTGCTCCTGTATTTGACCATAAAAGTAAATTTTATTTAAAAAATACTGTTTTAAGATTTATTTTTTTTTAAAGATTTCCCACCTATAGAAGAAAACTCATTAGAAGATGAGGATGAAGATTATTATGATGAAGATTATTAGAATCAAACTATGAAAAAAATGGTTGGGGCCTCTAATATGGCAGGTTTAGCAAATTCAAAAGGCTTTGATAAAAATAAAATGATATCTCTGGATGATTAAGAAGATTTAGAAAATTAAAGAAACAAAAATTTAAATAATTCAAACTAATTTTAAAACAGTAACGGCTTCAACAAAAATAATGGTAGTGATTAAGTCCCCTCATAGTTAAATTAAAGTCACACAGTTTACTATGATCCTTAAGATCCTTCAGGATAAATGATGAACAATGTAAGTATGGGAGTAGGATTGCAAGAAGATGAAAATGATGGAGAAGGAGAAGAGGTACGCTAACGATTATTTTCTAAATAGTCTGGTGATGAAAATATGAAAGAAAAAGCAGCTTTGATTGCAGGTACTTCTTTAATTGGAGGAGCAGTAGTAGGTGCTGCAGCTGCCTAAAGTGCAAATAATAAGAATGAATAATAGTAATTAGTTGACTAAAATGGAAATAGGATAGATAAAGATGGCAATCTTATAGACAAAGATGGTAATAAAATTGATAAAGAAGGCAATAGAATTGACAAAAACGGTAATAAGATTGATAAAGATGGAAATATGATTGATAAAGATGGTTATATAATTGATAAAGAGGGGAATAAGATTGATAAAGATGGAAATAAGATTGATAAAGATGGAAATAAGATTGATAAAGATGGAAATAAGATTGATAAAGATGGAAATAGAATTGATAAAGATGGAAATAAAATAGACAAAGATGGTAATAGGATCGATAAAGATGGTAACAGAATTGATAAAGACGGTAATAGAATTGATAAAGATGGTAATAGGATTGATAAAGACGGACATAGAATCGATAAAGATGGAAATAGAATTGACAAAGACGGGAATAGAATTGATAAAGATGGAAATAAGATTGATAAAAATGGTAATAGAATTGACAAAGATGGGAATAGAATTGATAAAGATGGTAATATAATTGATAAAGATGGTAACAGAATCGATAAAGATGGAAATAGAATTGACAAAGATGGAAATAGAATTGACAAAGATGGAAATAGAATTGACAAAGATGGAAATAGAATTGACAAAGACGGCAATAGGATTGATAAAGATGGACATAGAATTGATAAAGATGGAAATAAAATTGATAAAGATGGTAATAGAATTGACAAAGACGGCAATAGGATTGATAAAGATGGAAATAGAATTGACAAAGACGGGAATAGAATTGATAAAGATGGTAATAGAATTGATAAAGATGGAAATAGGATTGATAAAGATGGTAATAGAATTGACAAAAATGGTAACAGAATTGATAAAGATGGTAATAGAATTGACAAAGACGGTAATAGGATTGATAAAAATGGTAATAGAATTGACAAAGATGGGAATAGAATTGATAAAGATGGTAATAGAATTGATAAAGATGGTAACAGAATCGATAAAGATGGAAATAGAATTGACAAAGATGGTAACAGAATTGATAAAGATGGAAATAAAATTGACAAAGATGGTAACAGAATTGATAAAGATGGTAATAGAATTGACAAAGACGGCAATAGGATAGATAAAGATGGAAATAGAATTGACAAAGATGGCAATAGAATTGACAAAGACGGCAATAGGATTGATAAAGATGGACATAGAATTGATAAAGATGGAAATAGAATTGACAAAGATGGTAACAGAATTGATAAAGATGGTAATAGAATTGACAAAGACGGTAATAGGATTGATAAAGATGGTAACAGAATTGATAAAAATGGAAATAAATTAGATAAAAATGGAAAGGTTTTAGATGATAAAAACAAAAAGGTAAAGAATAAGAACTATTTTTATAAAAATGATTTTTTAATTTTAAATAATAAATAAATATTAATACAAGGCTGAAGATGACATGTTGTTTTATTTTAATAATCCTCTTAACGACTAAAATGAATAAAATAAAAACAACCAAAAGGAAGGATAATAGGATAAGACAAAAAAAGTATGAATTTTAAAAAATTACATTAAAAATTATGATAAATTATTTTATTATTTATTTGAATTGAATAGGCTTAAAATTTAGATGAAAATAAGGTAGAGAAAATTATGCCAGAAGTCGAAGATTTGGATGAGGATTTATCTAAAAAAGATAAAAACTAAAATGAAATGGGTAAAAATAAGAAAATGATAACTCCTAATGATATTGTAAAAGGAAACAATAAGAATCAGAAAGGTCCATAAAAGAACAATTTGTTTGGTACTTCAGATGATGAAGGAGCTAATCAAAATTCAAAAAAGAAAAAAGGACAATCTGAAAAAAAGAACAATGTAATAGATATTGTTTAAATTATATTTATGTTAACTAATTTATTGATTTAACATAGATTTATGATTCTGATGAAAGTTTGCACACAGCTAGTGAGGCGGAAATGAATTTCAATGAAATTAGTCCAACAGACTTCAATATACTTAACTAAAGATATGAAGAAGACTATTTTGTTTAACCACCTTAAAGTGCACTTTAAATGTAACTTCTCTAATAAAGCTTGAGTTAACTAAATAGAAATATTTCTAGCAGCCAAAGTTAAGCCTTTATGAATAATACTGGGTTCGATGGAAATAATACAAGGTAATCATAACCATAGGCAGGATAGTTCACAACTGGAGTTGGAAATAGCTAAGGATTTGATAAAAAGATGGTGAATTAATTTGGTTAGAACAATATTGATGGCTCAAGCAAATTATAACAAAATTAATAAAAGTAAAAGACTTTACAGCCAAGTAACTCGAATTTATCTATGAACAGTTAAAATCCATAAAATGGTATGAACAAATCAAATAGTCCAGTGAAAAGGTAAAAGCAGGTTGGACTTAATAACTCACGCTCTTAAAATGTTAATGCTCTCTCAGTAGACATAAAGCAAAATACTTAGCCTAACATTTAAGGATAGAGCAATAATCTAAGTACAATCAACTCAAATAATAATGGAAATATTAATCCTATATTAGCTAATCCTAATGCAAATGGCAATACAACAGACTAACTCTTAATAGAAAACTTCGATGATTTTAATAATAACACTTCTTCTTAAACTGCTATACCTTAAGGTTTTTACCAAAATCAATTTAATTCAAGTTTTAACAATTAAGATCCTCGAATGAGCTACACTTAAATGAATAGAGGCAATCTAAGTAGTAGGTCTAAAGGTAATTCACCTTCAAGTTAGAATATAGCTTACAAAGTTCCTGCTGTTGACGTAAACAAATTAAAGAATTTAGAAAAGATATATCTTCAAAGAATAGAAGCTAATGTTAATTCCTCATAAAGCTCTAGAAAGAATGCCTTGAAAAAGAAAAAAAAGAAAATCTAGAGAGAATTATCACACACGTCTAATCTTTAAGTAAATCCAACTTAAGGAATGAAATCTCCTGGAGACATGTCTGAAATTTATTTTGGAGAAAGAGGTTAGAAATTTGACCCTACAATGTTAGACCATAATGGAGAAGAAGTTATTGATTTTGATGATGAAGAAGATGTTGGACCTGAAAATGTAAATTTTGATTAAAACTTTTGATAATTTTTATTGAAAAGTTTAAAGAATTTATTAATATCACTAAAATTATGTTTGTTTATGATGTATATTATATAAAAACTTTTTTATTATATAAATGTATTTTTTATATTTAAAAATACTTTATTAATTTAAATTATTGATTGATTGAGGTTTACTTGCATAAAATAAATTTTAGAAATAATTAATGTAATATTTATTCATTTTTTATTTTTAAACATAAAATAAGTGAAGCAATTTAACAAAAAACATTTCCTTATTGATAAAAATTTCTACAAAATTGAATTTGATATATTAATTATTTGAGAATTTACTTTTTATTAAAAAACAGGAAAGAAAATAAGTAAAATATTTTTCTAATTTTATTTTTTCATTAAAGTTCACATTTTTCTTTTTAATTATATTTTTAGTCAATTTAGGAAAAATTTTATTAAACAAAAATATTTGTATAAATCAACAAATAAATACCATAAATATTCAAAATAAATTTTATAATATGTAAATATGTTTGAATGTTTTTATCTAGTAACAATAAAAATTATACTTTTTAGTAAGGTATATATTTTTTTATTAATTGTTGTTGAAAAAAACATTTTCAAATATACAGAGTTTATTTTTCATCATCTTAAAATTCTGCATTTTAATTTTCAATTCCTTCTTAAGTTTCTCTAAATATTTCTGCATGATTGTTGCTTGAAATTAATCCATCTTCTTCATCGTTTGTACTGCTTTTCTTGAATTCATTTTCTTATTATGAACTAGTAGCTGAACTTCTGTAGCTACTTTTATTATTTTCTTCTAAATTGAGCATGATTAAGTTCTAGTCTGCCTCATTTAGACTTACTAACATTTTTAAATTTCAAATAAAATTAATTTCAAATAGTAAATAAATGTATTTGATTACTTTTTTATTAGGAGTCAATTCTTTGAAGAACAAATGACAAATATATTGAAACCAGAGAAATAACCAAGAATGTTATCACAACGGTTATTGAATTACCTTAGACTTTGATAAAAGCAATTATTAAAGGCATAAGTCCAGTGCCTAAATTTTAAATAGAACTCATCAAACCATAGCCAATACCCTAAATAATAATCAAATGTTATTATAATAAATTTTAAATGTTTTATTTTACCAATCTTTTTGAAGGAACAACATAAGAAACAGTTGGCCAAATAACAGCCCCAAAAATAGCATAGCTGAATCCTAAAATTGCCAATGAAGTAATAGGATATACAAAAGGAAGTAGTATAAATGAAATCAAAGTTAAAAAGCTAGAGAAAATGAGTAATCTTACTCTTTATCCATATTTATCACAAATTAAACCAAAAACTGGGAATAAAAGACATGCCATTATATAAGGTACACTCATCATTTCACCAGCAATTTCTTAGTTTCTCTAAACTGAATTTTCCTTTGGCAGCCTTTTAATTCAAAATAATTACTTAAACTAAATTCTTAGGATAAAACATTACCACAAATCAGTTAAAATAGAACTTGAGAAAGTATTAAATGAAATGACTGTAATATATAGGGAAACCATCAAGCATGTTAACACCCAAAAAATCTATTAAATTTAAAATTTATATATAATAAATATTAAGTTTAATTAATTATAAAATAAAAAGTTATAAAATTTGAAATTTTAAAAAACTATTTATTTCAAATAATAATTTTAAAATAAAGAAGTTGTAAATATGTTATTACCTAAGTAAATTTAGAAGTATTTTTTTGTATTTTCTTGAAAATATTTTTGATGTATTCCCAATTAGAAACTTGTTATTATGGTTAGGAAGCCATTATTTGATCAACTAGTCCTTAGTTATTTAATTTATAATCAAGATAAACTAGTAAAATAGAACTAAACATGCTAAATAGACAGACAAACACTCCAAATGTAAAGCAAGTGTTCATTGATCTATACTAAATATTTAATTAAAAATAATAATTAAAATTATAATTTCATTTTAACATATGCTAATTTTTATGAAATAAAAAAATATGTTTGAAATCAATAGTCCTTACTTCAGCGATTCTAGGAGTTAAGAAGGTATTTAAAATACTAGCTACACGGATCATGCTAAGATTTATTGACTATAAATTAGTATAAAAAAAAATGTCATTTCTTTATTTATATAAAACTCAAATTTGTTTTTGATAAAATAATTACTTAGGCAAAAGATAATTCACTTCCTTAAAACCAATTGACTATCAATGTATTAATACAAATATTAACAGATTCACCTCCAATTCCAAATACGAAACGACCAAAAATCATGAGCTCAAGACTACGGAATTTCATTCCCATTGATATGATGACTTATCCTAAAGTAATAAAAAAGACAAACACTATTGTCATTTTTCTGTAGCCTAAACATTTTTAAAGATTTGATTGATTAATTAAATTATATTTACTTTTATAAAAAATAAATTGTTTACCAATTTTATCAGTGAGAACTCCTCCAAAAAGAGGAAGAATAACGTTAGGAAGTGAGTATATAGTATATAAAAAACTATATAAAATTTCAGTATTTTCTTTGCCATAAATTGGAGCAAAATAATCAACAAGTTGCATCTATATTACTGCAGGAATATCAATGATATAATAGTCAGAGAACTTTTTTCATTAAAAATGATTTGTTAACAACTTTTTCTAATATTATTAAAATATTTTGATGTATTCTTACTATAGCCATGCAACTTAATATTAAGATTAGGAATCTTATATGCTGTTTGGCTGTGCTCCCTTACAAACTAGGGTTTTTCATTAGTAGATATAGGTATAACTTACTTTTATTAATAGCTCTTATTATTACAAAATTGATTAAATCTTATAAGATTGACTTATTATTTTACTAATATCAAAGCTAACACTAACTAACAAATATACAATCATCAAATCTTTTCACTTAGTATAATGTAGGTTTTTGAGTATGTTTTTAAATAATAATATTAAAAACGGATTTGTTTATACACTCTTACCATAATATCATAAATTTAATATTTAATAATAGTTAATTTTAAATTTAAATTAAATTTTTTATGTAAAATTAAGAAAGACTGAATAATAAATTTTTAAATAATGTAAAGAAAGATTTTAAAAAGTGTTATTAGAAATTGCATACTTAAAAGTAACATAAATATTTATTTATTTATTGTATTATATTATATTTATAAATAGCAATTAAATAAAATACGAGAGAGTATCTATTTACAAAGTAAAAATTTTTTATTTTTTATTTGTTTGGTTATTTATAATTTAAAATTTATATTTTAATTTGTTAATTGATAAGCTTAATAAATTAAAATCGAATATTTTATTTGTTTTATTTAGTATTTAGTTTATTTAAATTTAAACTTTTTTTATAATTAATTGTTTATTTTTGTTTAAAGTACTGCATTTTTCTCTTAATAATTTGGATATAGTTGTAATTATTATTAAAAGTTATTTATTCATTTTTTTTAATTAAAATTCAAATTTTTGGAAAGTTTTAAAATTTATTTTCAGTTTTAGCCATATTTACAAATGCTTACGAGCGCTTAACAAATTCATGTTCTGGTTTTAATATAATGGTATAAATGTTGAGAGCTTCTGTGTAGTATTTCACTGCAAAAGAAAATTTTTAAAGATAGTGATAGATCATTCCTCTAATTTCGAGAATGATTCCTACACCAACATGATAATAATCGTAAACCTATCTATATAAAATATAGGCTTCTTCGTTTACTTATAGAGCTCTTGTGTATAAAGGATTTATAGCTTCATCAAGGGGATTGTCTTTAAATCTGAACTATTTTCTCAGAGATTCATTTATAGTGTCCATCTTATAGAGCTTTTTCATAATTTTAATAGCCCTTTCAAAATGCCTTATTGCTTGTTCGTGATTATGAATACCACTATGAACTAATACTATACCTAGTTTGTTTAGGCAATTAACTACTCTCTCGTTCTCTGTTCCATATGCTTATATTGTGTCTTGCAAAGCACTTTCTAAATACTGGATTGACTAGGAATTGTTCTGAAGGTGATCATAGACAGTACCCATATTTTTTTTTATACAGCTAATTCTTTTTAAATTTTTTTCTGGGTTTTCGTTGACTATTTCAAGTGCCTTTTAATAATTTTCTAGAGAAGACTGATATTGCTATAAGTGTTTTTTAACTAGGCCAATATAAACAAGTAAATCGGCAATTTCTTCTTTTTCTATAGAGTCTTTAAGCATTTCCTTTTTTTTCAGACTCTCATCATAGTATAAGAGAGCAGCTTAGTAATCTCCTTAAAAACAGTGAGCAGAGCCCAACATTTGGTAAACTTCACTAATTTACAAATCATTTAAATCTTTACTTTGTTTAAGCAGTTCAAGAAGCTGCTAATAAAACTTTATTGATGAATTGAATTTCGACATTTTATGATCTAATCTTCCAAGATTTTTAAGTAAATTAATTTAATCAAATGGAGATAAGCACTGAAAGTGCTTTTCGTATAATTCTTAGTAAGTATCTCTCGCCTTTTAGAATTTCAATAAACTCTCATAAGCCTGTGCTCTTGCAATCATATATTAAATTTTTTATGTAATTGAAAGATTGCTCTAGTTTTTAGTTTCAATAAGCTTTAAAAATTGCAGTTCATTAACTTTGTTTTCTATAAAATCACTCTTATGATGTTCTGCAGGTTCGTTAGCTTTACATTCTTCAAATAAATTCTGAGTTATATTTTCTTTTTTGTTTTATTTTGCTAACTTCTTTTATTGCTGAAGATTTTTTTATTAGTTTTATTAATCACTTGCTTATTTATTAATTTTAGTTATTATCCCTACCTCAATATTATTTTCTTAGTTTGAATTTGTCTGTTAATATTATTCTATTTATTTTTTTTACTATTCTTCTTCATCCTCATCTTCTTCTTCATAATCTTCATTTTATTCATCTTCATCATCAATACTTTCATCTTCCTCATAGTCGGAAAATGAATGCTATTTACTATTATTTTTATTGTTTTAGTTTGAATATTTAGAACTCCCAACTACGATCTTATCATTTAAAATATTTTCGTATGTATTATTTAAATTAAATAATATTTAGCGAGAAGGTTGGCGCACCTTTTCTTCTTAAAATAGCTCACTTTAAGACTATGGAATATTTCTACCTTATTATGCGAAGGTATCAATTAGTTAAGTTTAATTAATAGATTTAGTAACTTTGTTTTAATCAATTGTATTAGAAGAAGATGATGATTCATAATTAAAAGTCATTCCTTCTAATTCCTAAGAAATTTTACTAAGTTATTCCTCAATAAAATTCAATACTTGATTGATATTAGGTCTATACTTTGGATTGTAGCTAATCATCTTGGAAATGAGCTTATCTATTTAATCATCTTCTTATAATTTAGATTATAGGTAATCTTCAGTTGTAGAAGTTTTGCTTTTATGCCCATTATAATATGAAAGATCATCAAGGTATTTCATTTAATAAAAGCACAAGCCCAAAGAATAGATATCATTTGAATAAGGTTCATACATAACTTCTCTAGTCTCATTAGTTTTAATATTCAATTGTTTAAATTCAGAGTTGCTTTTATTTTTTTAAGAAGATTATGCCTAATTGGCATCTAAATTTTTTTCCTCCTCATCCTTTTTCATATCAAAGTTATTATGTTGAATTATTTAATTGTTTTTATTAGGATTTTCAGAGTTTTCTATTTTTTAATTATTTTCAGATTTAATGCAATCATTTTAATAGTTTTGCTCTTAACTTTATAATTCAATCACTTTATCAAAAACCATATTTAATTCTTTATTTTTGTTGTTCTCATTTATTTACTCGTTGGATAAGTTATTTGGAGAATCGTTCAATAATTAATTTGCTAACTAATTCGCTTGCTTAATACTGTTAAGTCCATTCAATAATTCAGGACTCATATACCTCTTGGTTCCTCTAGGAGAATGAAGATAATCAAAGTTAATTTCTTCAACGACTTTAGCTTCACCAAAATCGGCTAATTTGTATGATTATGATTTGAGACAATATAAAATATTAGAAGGTTTTATATCTCGATGAACTATATTTTTTTTAGCTAAGCTCTGCAAAGCCAAAGAAATCTGTTTCATTATTGTCAATAGTTCAACAGTAGTCCAATGAGCTTGACAAATTATACGTTATTTAAGAATATCTTCAAGACTTGCTTAAGCCAATTCCATAACAATGACTAGATATTGCTGAATTTCTATAACTTAGTTTCTCTCCATTTGTTAATCATATAAATATATATCATAATATTTTATAATATTTTTATCATCACTTAATTATTTCATGATTTCTGTTTCAGTGATGGCTTTACTAAAGAAGATTTTTTTAATGAATTTCAAAGCATATTGTACTTATGTGTTGTTATCTTTTACTTTTATGACATTTCCAAATGCACCTTTTCCAAGCATTTAAGATTTTCCGCTCCCCATGTTTGCAGACCAACTATTTTAAATAAATATGTCTTCGATAACCCAATCATACTTTTTATCTTCATCTAAACGTTGAAATCCCCATGAATTTTAGCTGTTATACTCATTCATTCTAATAAGATCAGTAATATTACCCTATCCCTATTTTTTTCTGAACTGATTTTTTTCGTCAATAAAACGAGCTTAACAATATTGTGAGATTGAAGCTCTTTAATTATTTATACCAATACCATCAATATAAGAGTTATAGCTGACTTCTCCTGAGTTTATCTTGTTTCCATTATACACAGCTATTATTCAAAGATTTTATTTTAATTTATAAAAAAGTTAATCTAAAATATAAATAATTAAAATTTATTTTTTGTAAAAATTATAATTTTCCAAATTGATTTTTTAATCAGTTCGCTGGTTTTGATAATTTCATAAATTATTACTAATTTAATCTCAAAATAAAATGATTTTTTTACCATAAAGAAACATTAAAGATATATTAAGAATGTACCTCAATTATTTTAAAATATAAAAATTAAAATGTCTAAAATTTTAAATATATTTATTTACCTTTTTCTTCTAGCAATTCACGCTGTGTTTTATTTTAGACTAATTAAAATTATTCTTCGTTTGTTTCTATTTTCCTTTTTTTTATCAGCTTTTATTCCTAGTAATAGCATTTTGAGCTCAATTTTTTATCCAAATATATTTCTTTTTCAGATTTACGTAATTATTAAATTGAATACTATTCTTCTTCAAAAGCTTAACAAAAATTAGCAGAGTATAAATTGCATTATGATGGTTGATTTTATTCTATTTCATTTTAAACAATATTCCCAACTTAACCGCTTCCTGAGAGATAGTATTAGTGTAATAAATTATTTTAATTTAACAAAAATAAGCTATTGTCCTTGAATATTTGTTGGTTTTGCTCGTATCCAGAATAAAAATTCATTTGTTACTACTCTATTCCATTGATTTGATATGGATTATACGCATTTTACAAAATTAAAACTTAATCTGCTCTTTCTTTAGATTGCTAACCTATTTATAAAACAGAAATTAGATGTATGATTTTTAATAATTTTCTATTAAGCTAAGTTTATAATTATGCTGCTTTCTAGCCATATTAAACCTATTTAATAGCTAAATAATTAATTTTAAGTGTGTAAATAAATACCATCATCTTAGTAAAAAATCATGCTGTTATTATTATTCATCAAGCGATTTCTTTTGATTTTAAAGAAAGATATGCTTAAATTCTGTTTTGATGAAAATGTTAGACCAATTAATCACTAAATACTTTGTTGTATATATTTTATTACTATATATCAATCCTGCTCCTACCTAATTAAATTTTTAAAAATCATTCAATTTTTAATTGTTATTGTGAATCTAATTTGTATAAAAAATTAATAATTGTTTGTATTTAATAAAAAAGTAGAAAAATTTTCTTTAAAATTATAAAATTACAACTTTAAATTAATTTGGCACTAAAAAATAGTGCGTGAAAGCTTTAATTTTTTTATAATAATAATGGTTATGGTAAAAAGTTAAAAATCTTTCTTTCTACAAAAATATGTCAAATTATTTACAAAATTTTGAAGTAAATTTGCCAATTTTCTTATTAAAAAGGAACTTTTTTTAACTATTTTTACAATGTTTGTATTAAATTTATTATTTCTTTCTTTAATGTATTATTTGTAAATTGGTTATTAAATTATATATATGACGATGCAGGTTCAAATAAATATCTATATTTTAGAAACAAAGGAGATTTAACTTTTTTATGAAAATTATTTTGTTATTTTAATTAAATAAATGTGATTATGTTACTTTGACCCCACTCACTTCTGTAGGCAGACTTTGTAATCTTCAAATTTTTATATGTATTTTAAAATGCAAAAAAATAATTAATATTTTTTGAGTATAGAATATTGTTTATATAAAAATAAGCCTTACGAATAGTAAATTAAAAAAGAAAGAAGTGATGAAATTAAAAGCTTTCACTATAATGCAAACCAGAGCCTTCTTGCATACTTAAATGATATTAAAAATTAATTTTCAATATATTTAAATTAAACTTTGTTTGCATACTAAAAGGATTACGTCATTTGCTCTGTTAGCATAATAATCTTTATTAAAATTTACATAGCTTCCCTTAATTAATAAATCGCGTCATATATATCATATTGATGCAAATAATATTATATAGATGGATAATAATAATTTTGCCTCAAAACATTAGCTTGAAATTTAATTAACCTTTATTTTGTTAAGCGTATTATTTAAGCTGAAGTTGACAAAAAATGTGTAATCAATTTCATTATAAAAATATTTTTGGAAATTCACTGAATGAGTTAGCTTATTTTGAAAAATGAAAAGGCATAATTTATCACTTTGTAAAATAGATATAATTGATTGATTATCTAGTTTAATTATACCATAATTCCTCCATAAGGTTCGTTTCTTGATTTGTGAGGTATAGATTATTTTGAAATTATAACTCATAAAACTCTAACAAATTTTTGAAATTTGCTACTTTAAGTATCTATTAATTACGGTATTATATTAAATAAATAAAATTTTTTTTTTATTTTTAAGCAAAATAATTTGTTTAAAGATATATTTTAATTTTAACTATTTTCGTTTATTAGTACTGAAATTAACTTAATACCAAAGCAAAAGCTAAAATTAGATGCCAAATATTTTTTTAAGCAATCCAAAAGATTTTAATTAAATGTAATAGTGTGAACTTTAACTTGTAAATTAAATAATAATTATTTTATGTTTGTAACCTCAAAAAAAGATAAATAATTTTTTATTAGTTCAACTATATATTTACTTACTTATTTATTAATAGAGATTAACAACAACTTATAAATTAAATTAAATAATTCAATTAATTAATTGGCTATTTACATTAAATATATTTTATTTATTTTTTAATTCTAATTATTATACAATACTTAACCATTCATTCATTATTTTTACCTCTCTCAATAGTTTATCTTGTAATTGTCTAAATAATAACTCATTTTATTTAAATATGATCATATCTTTATTTAAATAAGATCCGAGTTTAAATACATTTAATATTTTTGGATAACTTTAATGATCAGTCAATCATTCCATAATCATCACTTCTAAATCTTTGACTATTTATTTAAACGTAGGTCTATTATCTGGATTTGCGTCCTTTATATTTCAACAAAAATTTTAATAAATTTAAAAAATGTAAGTGTAATAATTAATTACCCAGCACTTTTATATTAAGCTCTAGAAAAATTTAGGAGTACTTGGGGGTATTATAGGTCTTAAGTTTTCACACATCACTTTTTCCGCAACTACATCACCTTTAATACCTACGATATGTTTTGAAATCATTTTAATATTTTAAACATGAAAGAATAAAATATGTTTTTATTAATGCTATTGGAATTTACCTCTGTAAGGAGGCTCTCTTGATGCTATTTCCCATAGAATAATAGAATAACTAAAGACATCCGCTTTTTCTGTGTAATAGAAAGCTTTAATTACTTCTGGTGCCATCCACTAATAGGTTCCTAAAATTGTTCATTTATTTAATTTAATTGGAAATATTTAGTTACAACAATTCATACATCACAAAATCACAAATTTACCTATTTTATTTGTCATATAATTATCTTAAGGCTTAACTCTGGTCCATCCGAAATCAGTCAATTTGCATCTAAAGTTATCGTCAACAAGAACATTTAAGCTTTAGAATATTATTGAAGATTCATGAGGTTTTATTTAATTAAATTTTTATATTTTTTAACTTGAATGTGTTAAGAAGAGTAATTAAAATTTGTAATAAATAAACATTTTTATTACAAATTTAAATATTTAATAAAAAGAAATAGATGACCAGTAGCATAAAATCTGATTTTCTGGTTGATACTTATTGCATATTTGATGCAATATATGCAAATTATAAAATAATATACCTTTTTAAATCTCTATGTATGATTGGTGGTTTTGAAGAGTGAAGAAAGAAAACTCCTTTAGCAATATCTAGGGCTATCTTCCTTCTGTCTTCCCAAGTCAAAGGTACTGATTGGTTCTGCAAAAGACTCCATAAACTTCCTCTTTAGCAATATTCCATAACTATGCTAAAATTAGGTATTTCAGTGCAGGCGCCTAATTTAATTTTATTATTTAAAAATTAATAGCAAATATTTTTGAATTTTAATTGATGCAGAGTGAAATAATTTACCTAAAAATAATACTATATTTGGGTGCCTTAGAGCTTCCATAGCATTGCACTCATTAACAAATTCTACAATTTATTATTAGTTATTGTAATCAATTTTAAATTTTTTAACTGCGACAACTATTTCTCTCCATTTTGCTTTATAAATTATTCCATAACCTCCTTCAGTTATTTTATTTTAAATTTCCAAATCTGAAAATTTTATTTCTAGATTCGACTAAAATGTTCTTGATTTTACATCTTTAAATTTTTCTGAGTTTTATATTTTAAATTTGATATTTTAATTCGTTGTTTATTGAATTTGTTTATTATAAAAATTTAATTCTTTTTCATATTATTGAAGCAAGCCCTTAATTTTTTTAGCTTCATTTTAGCTCTCTTCTTCCTTTTATACCATTAAGTAGTTATCATGCGTTATCTACTCTATCTATTTTTATAGTTCATTGTTTGTTAATATTAATTGCTTTTTGGTATTCTCAAATTAAGTTTTAAAGATTTCTATTTCTCTTTCATTGCTTCTTTTAGGAGATGAAGGTACTTGTTATACTTATGCGTTATTTGTTTTATTTATCTTTTTTTTTATCTAATAAGGTTGATCAGTTACAACATAGGATACATTACCTCCACAAGAAAGTAAGACTGTTTAATTTTCAGCGTTTAAATTTGCCACTTCAATAGGTGTCACTACCATTTGTAGAGATGAACCTTAATCTAGCTACCCATATTAATTACTCCCCCATCCATATACCTTCTTTTAATCCTTTGAATATGCTAAGCAGTGATTACCATTAACACAAATCTATTTATTTATTCATTCATTAATTTTTTTATAAAAAAATGTATTAAATTATATTTTATTTACTTTTGAAATAGATGAAAGAGATTTAAGTCTCTTTGCTATATGAACTATATTTCTATCTTTTTAAGAAATTTCACCTTAAAATTTACCTAAAGTGTAAACATTTCCCTATTTTTATTGATATTTAACTATTTGTAAAAAATATTATTAAATTTACTCCTCTAGTTAATAGCAAAGTGATTGCTTGCCCACATTAGATTTCTATTACTTTTTACTGATAATTATCTTATGGTTAAACAAGATCTTCTAAGAAGATTTCTTGAGGAAGTTGAAAAATATTCAAAGGTTATTCACTAGTTATTCCCCAAAAAAACATTCTTTTATTAGTTTAGCATACAGAATGAACTAAGCCACATGAGATGTCTTCTACATACTCACCTTCACACATTATTGATGTACTTTAAATATTGCTCTTATTTTTTTCATTTTTTTTTGTTGAGGAAAAAAATTTGATTTCATTAAATAAATTAGTTGATTATTCATCTCCGTGCCCTAAAGCAAATGACTCACCATAACCAGAAGAATAGATTTTTCCATGAGCTTTTAAGAGTAAAAAATTAAGAATTATATTACTTAAAATTGTTAATTTAAAATTAATTTACTTGTTAGTGCTAAAGTGTGTAGAGACCCACAAGAAATTTTTGAAACTATTTCTCCAGCCTCCAGCACCGATTATATTTCATAACTTTAACTTATTATAAAATTATTTTCTGCTACAAATTTATCAAACCTTTTTAGCAATTTATCTAAAGACTCTGTTCTTTTAAATAGATGAGATTATTGTGATGATATTTTTTCACAACTTTGAGTTCTTATTTAAGTTTTGCCAGCATTCTTCAACTATGTTTCTAAGATAAAATAGTTCACATTTTATTAAATTAATCATCAAAGCAAATAAATGTTTACCTTTGTTGACAAGTGATTCTACTAATGTTGGTATTTAAACATTTTGATTCATCCCTAATCCCAATTAACCTTTACAATTCTATCCCCATGAAAATACTTCTCCTTTAGCTTAATTATATAAAAATATTTTTTAAAAGAAAACAAAAAATTTAATTCTACTTGAAAGAGCAAATGAAAAATCAGATCCACAAGATATTTACTGAATTTAATGATTTAGCAATACCTTTAATTTAAATATTTTGTTTTTAAAACTTGTTATTAGGTGCATTTTATAAAATATTATTTCATTTAGTATTACTTCAACGCAAGAAAATTTTTCAAGAAAACTTTGGCCCACTATTCCTAGTTATCCATAATTATTGCTTCCCTATGAAAATACTCTAAATTAATCTAAAATTATAAATCAGTTCAAAATAAATAAATCGAAGAATAATATTACCATCTAAGATGATCACATGATTATCACCAGCACTAATTTATACTATACTAAGGGAAATCTATCTTAATAAATAACATCAATTATTTTTATGAAATAACAAACAAATGAAATTCAACAAAATTTTTTATAAAAATGAATTTTAAGTTGAGAATTACATTTATGATATAAAATTAACCTCAAGCATATCATTGCTTTTTTTGCTTCCCTAGCTAGTCAAGTACGATGGCTATACATTTTCTACAAGTTCTTAGTTTTAATAGGACTGTTAATGCTATTATTGTTAATGATACTTCTAGTTTTAGTTGTATAACTTACTTAATGAAATTTATTTCATTTATCCTTCATTAAAAGGAGTTTATTTAGTTTATATTTGTTCTAAGCTAATTTTTAAATTAATTTAATGCCATTTATATATTATATCTATTAAATATTACTTATACTTAAAGTATTTCTACATCAAATCGCTTTACTATGCATTGTAATCTTTTCCTAAATTTTATATAGATTATCTTGAGGGAGAACTCATTTAAACCTAACCAGCAAACTTGTTTGAGTTTATTAAATATTAAATGCCTGCTTTATACTTTTTTAGTCTTTAAATCCCTTTAAAAATTTAGAGAAAATTTATAGTTAGTTGGCTGTAAATCTTAAAATTTTGTAAATAGTTTATAAAAAGTGTTGAATAATATTAAGAAATTGAAATTAATTAATTTATATTAAATTTGAAATAACAAAATAATTATCTAAGATTTTAGAAAAATATCTATATTATTTTATAAAAAGCAAAGAAATTACATTTCAAACGAAACATTAAATTACAAATTTATAATAACAGAAATATTTTTAATAATAAATTAATGCTATATATAATCTCTTATTTATGCTCAAAATTAATTTTGTAAATACTTTAATTCTAAATTTATTTTAATAAATTTCTAAAAATACATTTAATTTCTTCCTTTTAACTACCAATATTTAGAGTTATTAACTTATAAATACTTTATAAAAATTATTTTGACATTTAATTCTACAATTAATTTATTATAATAATTATCATAAGATTATTTAAAAAATTATAAAATTAGATATTTAATAAAGCAAATATCATCAAAAGCAAAATTAATTCTATTTTAGAAGTTATTTGTAGAAATCAACTAATACTTTTATATCTGTTAACTCTAATTTTTAAATACCATTTATTTTGCTCTTAGAATTGTCTTAGATGAAGATAGAGATATGAGTTAAACTATAAAATTCTGAAATTAAATCCACCAAAAAAAGGTAAAGATTCTGTTGATTTACCTTATTTTCTGTATCATGTTTTTAGTCTAACTATAAAAATGATTTAAACTTAATCAAATATTTTGTGGTTTTTAATATTACAATTAATTAATTATAATGAAATATTATAAATTTATTAATTCATAAAAATTATATTAACAAAAAATATTTCTCTTAAAATGTTTTTATTATTAAACTTTAAAATAATTTCTTTAACAGCTATTTATGCTAATTCCAAATCTACTTTTTAGTTATTTTGTTTGTTTATTAATTCTGTAAAATTTCATCAAAATTTATTTACCACTTTTTTTAAATTTTTTTCTAAATGTATTTTTACTGAAATAAATTAATTAAAAATAAAAATTTTAATCCTCAAATATCCACCAAAATTTATTAATCTTCCATTTAATTTAGTTACCTATTTTTATAAATTTTAATTAAAATATAAATTTCTCATCAGTATAGTTTTATGAATAATAAAGGGTATTCTCAAACTAATATGTTTGAGAAATACTAAAATAGGTATCAAGTATAACCAGATCAGCAATTATCTACAAGAAATAAAAATTATTTTATTTACTCAAATGATATTGGTGGAGATGCTGTTGTTTCTTTCTTATCATAAATTACATAAGAAATATATTTTACTAGAGTGTCATACACTAATAAAAAAGCTTTATAAATATTTGAAAATTATCTTTCAAGGACAATTTAAGATTTAAGTGAAGCTTATGACTATAAATTAAAATAAATAAAAGAGCGAAACAATAATTATTATTTTGTTTAACGGTCTATTCGAGAGTTTTCAAATATCATATTATACATAGGCTCAAATGATTTTGGGGAGCATTCTATTGCGAATAAAGTACTTGAATCAATAACTAGATTAGAAAGCAATAGCAATTGTCCATTTTAATTTCAGATTGAAACAATATCTCCTTCATAAACTGATTGCTTATACTTTTCTTTTGAAGGAATTTTATAAAATAAATTTGAATAAGTTCCATAAAACAACTTTTAAGAATCTTGTAATGATTTTTTTTGAAATAATCCTTAATTATATTACTTGAATTGATTTTAAAGTTGAAATATTTAATTGTTGTTTTTATGGGTTAAAATTTTAAAATATTGAAAATATAATATGAGATACATACAATAAGAATTATAAAATGAATATTAAATATAGAAATAACTATTTGTTTATTTATCAATTTATTAATAAAAAGAAGCTATTTTAAATTGAAAAATAAGGAAATTATTTTTTTAATTGTAAAGAGGTGTAATTTATAAGCCTGTTTCTTTAATGGATAATAAATAAATTAATTAATTAATATTTATTAATTTTATACATATTTAACTATTTTGAAAATATTTAATAGATTAATTAGTATATATTTCAACAACTTTTATTTAACTTATTTTACTATTTAATTTTTTTTTTTTAATTATTGCTTTTTATCAAATTATTTTTGTGTTTATGTTGATTGTTATTCAAAATGTTTTGTATATTCTAAGATCATGGTTTTAACAACCTAAGTAGATTCTATTGTGAACATTATCGATTGAAATGCATCTCACAGAAGGAATTTAGGAATCAAGTATGTTTCCTTCGTTGTTTGTTAAATTAATACTTTCAAAGCTTTAATCAGTGCCGATGACACAAATATTTTTATCTTCATATTTTTCAATGCAATTAATTCTACTTCCATTAAATGGTTTAAAAATACTTGCAGGTTAATTCATGTTATTACGTAAATCAAATAACAAGGCTGAAGGGGTATTTTCACAAATTTGGTTAGTCTGTTGATTATAATATTGCCCTGTTCCAACTAAAAAACAATTTGTATCTAATTATTTCAGACATAAAAAATCTGAGTTCTAAATCTAAAAAGCAATTTTATTATCTCTTAGGTCAATAAAAGATAGATTGTGTTCATTTAAATTAAGTAAAAGGTTGCTTTAAGGTATCCATTCAATACTTTAAATGACAGAATTTTAGTTAAACTTTTATTTAACTTAAAGTGTTTCTAAATCAAACAAATTTACATATCCATCAGAACCAGAGCTTACCAAATTAGTATCATTTAAATATTTAAGTCCACTTACAGTACCTGAATGACCTTTGTTGAACTGTTCTAATTAAACTGTAGTCATAAGTTATTCATTTTATTAATTATTAGATTATCTATTGCTTTCAACAATAGTATTTTATGAAGGCCTGAATAATTTAATTAGTCCATCTGCACCACCTGAAAGCAGAATTTTAAAATTAGGTATGTATTCTAATGAAGTTACCCATCTTTTATGCTTTATAGTTTGGAAACAATAATAATCTTACTATTCACCTGAAGCTGAAGTAAAGGCTTTTAAATTATAGTCATGTGAGGCTGTAAAAATTGTGTTATCTTAGCTATTATAAGCTATTGCATTTATCTTATGCTTATGGTCTGACAGAGTTTGGATTAGATTTGCATGTAGAGCTTTCTCATAACTGACTACTTAATCTTAGTATCCATTTTAATTTAAATTAAGCTCAATTTATTAATCTGTATATTATTATTTAACATTATTTATATTTTAAAGTCTATCACTAATTGTGCTTGACTCTTCTTTTTATTCACAATAATCTTGTGAGTTTTATGTATTTAGAATTGAAACTGGGTTATTTTTCTCTATTTCAGAAAATTTATATTATTAAGCTTATGCTTGTTGAACTTAAGGATAATTTTTTATTAAACTTGGTTCATATGACTAAAAGTTTTGCATTAAGTTGTTTTTACTCGTTGGACTTGATTATGTGTTAGGTTTTTATGGTTTTTTTGCTGAAGAATTTAAATAATTGTGCATTTCATCCTAATTAATTTTTAATTGGTTGTGATGACCTCCTGCTTTATTTGTGCTGCTTTGTGTATGATAAGATGATATCCCTTTGTTTGTTTGATTTACAGGAGTTTAATTTCTTTTTTTATCACTTGATTCTTAGAATATATACTTCCTTTTATCTCCTAGCTATTATTTAAGATTTTTGGTACTTTGTTTATTGCTATCATCTTGTAAATTTTTATTGTTAATTTCTTTTTCAGAACTATTAATTAGTTGTTTTTAATTTGTCTTTAAGAATTAATTTAAGTTTTCATACTTTTTTAGGTCTTGTTCTTGCTATTTATATATTTTTTCTCTCAATTGATCAGGATTAGTTTAATTGTCTGAAAGAAAATTCTATAAATCTTATTGATTTTAATTAAATCTATCTTGCTTTCCTTTTTATTACTGAATTGCTTGTTCTAAATTTTACATATTTATAATTCCTGTGTATTTTTCATTTATGTTATTGTCGTTATTTGCTTCATCATTTATGTAAGCATTGTTTTATTATTTTAAATTAGATATACTTCTTAAGTTATTCTAATCTATCCCCTGTGAATTATTCAGAACATTACTACAATCTGCATATTCATGATAATCTCTACTCTCATCATATTGCTAATTGATTTGATAAGGCTATGAAGAAACTTTGTCAGCAGTCATTCCAGTATGCAATACTTGAGATGGTTGATGTATAATCATGGAGTCAATTGTTTATAATTTTATTGGATTATAAGAGCTATTACTTGTAGGATTAAGAAAAGAGTTATGAGAATTATTAATTTTTGATGAAACTTCAGAAGAACCTATATTGTTAGAGTCTGATAGCTATTAATTAGGGTTTGTATTTTAAATATTCGATGATTAATCTTAATTGAATTTTTAAAGATGAGAAGAATTGATTGAAATATTTTGTTGGTGATCATAGATATTTTAAGCTAAGCTATTTTAATCAAATTTCTATTCTTCTTATTAGTAATTTTACTCATTTTCTAAATTAGTTTTATCGTCTTCTTCATTTAAAAAATTTTATTGCAAAATTACATGATTCAGTGGTAACTGCAAATTATTATATTGTTACAGTAAATCATTATGACCATTTTAGTATTTTGAAGAGAATTTGTAGTTATTTTAATTATCTTCAAGGATAAAATCTTTTAAGAGTTCATTTTAGTCATCTGAATTATTTGTTTACTACTAATACTTAAAATCTAATGTGTTTACTTGTTTGTGTGACTAGATAAAATTTTGATAATTAATGATGTTATTTTACATATGTTTGGCTATTTGATTATTATTAGTATTACTAATTATTTATCTCTCATCTAATTTAAGCCTAGAATTATTTTATAAGAGATCCTTATTTTAACTTATGTCTAAGGCAATTGAGTTTGGAGCAGAACTTTAACTTGAAGGTACTCTATCTTTAGGAGTTTTGCTTTTTTTAGGAATTTCTATTTTTCTAGACGATGAAGATGATGTATTGAATGGATAACGCTCTCTTTCAGGAGTTTTGCTTGAATTTTTATAAACCATAACTTTCTAATTCTTTTAAATGATCTTATCTTTTTCTAAATTTAATAATTAATTTTGCTCATTGGTATTGAATTGTTATTAATTAAACTTGGTTTTATTGATACCTGATTTAGTAGAAACAGTGGGTTCTTACTGTAAAATAGAACTTTATAAAGAGTTTTTAGTTGTCGCTACTTAAATATTTTTGTAAAAAGAAGCAGATTATTACTCTTTAATAAGGTCCTCTTCGAATTGCTTACCTTAAGATAGATTAGTAAACATTTTTACATTCGTATTATTTGCACTATTTGAATGGTTAGTAGTTGACTCAGAGTGTTTTCTTCTTTCTTTTATCATTTATTCAGGACTCTTTGCACTCAAAGGTTATTAAACAACTCCTATAGATGTAGAACCTCCTTACTTTTTATACTAAGCAATATTTGAGCTTAATAAATTAAATTATTGCTATTATGTTTATTGAGGGTATTATCGGTTCTATAATTGCTTCTAAATTTTTAAATTAAGATTATTTGTAGAATTTTAATTAATCTCATTATAAGTATTCGGACTACTTGTGGTACCAAGATTATTGTTTAATCCATTTATATTTCCATTGCTTGAATTAACATTACTATATAGAATACTTAGATTCCCAAACAGGTTCTATGTTAGCTTTCCCAAGCTGCTGTTACCGCTATTTGAGTTATTGTTTGCTACTTAATATGCAGGGTTTAATACCTTAGAAGAATTTTAACTAAGCAAGTAATTATTTTGTAATGTACTGTTAGCATTATGGATGTTTGAGTTTAATTTGTTTTAATTTGAATTACTTGAGGAATTATTTGTTGCTGATTACACCCTACCTTAATTTTACAACAAGTTACTAGAGTTTTAGTGTCCAGGAGAATGAGATGGCTGAAGTAGATATAATGAATATTTGTTTTTAGAATTTTAACTTACTGTATTTGTAGATTTTCCTAAATTGGCGTTTAAGGAGTAATTATTATTCCCATTATTAAGTCCATTATTTTATTAGATGCTTTAACTTAATAAATTTTAACCTGAATTCTTGTTTGTTATTACATTTGACTGCGTTCTTTAAGTATTGTTTCTGTTTGTTAATCTAGAAGGTGCATTAGAATTAGGACTATTTTCTTACTTTTATAATTAAGATTAACTGGAATTATGTTAATGCTATTTATTAAGAATATAAACATTATTGCTCTTGCTGTTATTTCCTTAATTTTATAAATTGTTATATTGGTTGTTTTAATTAAATCCTATTTAGTTTGTTAGTTATGTAGGATTAGCCATTGTTGACTAAGCCGAAGGATTAGGAGCTATATGATTTATTTTAAGAGTATCTTGCTAAATAAGTTTACTATTATCTTGTTAACAACTTCCATTGGTATTAATAACTGAAGAAGCATTTGTATTGGTTTACAAGCTGTTAATAAGTTTATTTGCTTGCATTAATTGCATTTTTTATTCAACAGAAATCAAAGAATTAACAGTTTAAATTACATTTTAATTTTGTGTTGTCTTTTATTACCTGGAAGTATTTGCAGCTGAGATACTTGTTACATTTTTAGAGTTTTAATTCATGGGTATTTAGCTTATGTTTCTTATTTGAGATAAATTATGACTAACTGTATTATTAACATTGTGTTAGGTACTTATGTTATGATTATGCTAAAGAGTATTATTTATGAGAGAGTTTTATTCAGAGTTTTTAAAATCTATGCTTGAAAAATGGCGGTATTCTTTCATTTCTTATCTCTTTTTTTTGGTTATATTATTGTTAAAAGCACCTTTTCTTTGTTGTTTATTCCCAACATTTTAGATTTGTAGATTGTTTTCTAGCTAATTCTTAGAAAAATTTGAGCTATCTTCTTATAATAATTTTTTAAAAAAATATTAAGAATTTAAAAATATCTCTATCAATCTATATAAGAAAAAGATAAATTTAATATTTTGATAATCTATATTTCAAATTACTTTAATTGTATACCACTCTGTCTGTGATAAAAGGCTTCAACTCTTAATTAGAAGTAGTTTGATTGCTTTACATATCTTAATAAATACCATTCAAATTCTGGTTTTATTTCTATTAAGTCTATTATTGAGATTTTTTTTGAGTATTAGCAATAGATGTGGCTAATGAGGAAGTAGGTTACTTAGTATATTCGTTAACGACATACCTTCCAGGAGAAAAATGCTTAATATTTTATTCTTAAATATAATCCTAGAGTTGCTAATTATTATAATTGTTGTTATTTTATGGTTGATAGTTTAAATTTTAATTAATGCTTTATGAATATTTTAAGTTACTCAAATTTGAAATTCCGTTTTATTATTTTACTTACTATTATTATTGTTAATGAGTTTACTAATTATTTTGCAATTAATTGTTAGATGATACTGCAGTGTAAAGATTGCCAGAAGCATGACGAGAGGATTGCATAGATTAACTATATTGTTAGTTAATATTGTTAGGTTGTATAAATGTATTACTACTTTTCATAGCTGAGGGTGGAACGTTTGAATTGTTTGCATAAATTGTTGAAGAAGCTGTATTTAATTTTTTCCCTGGAGATGAAAAATTCTATGCTATTTCAGAGAGTTTACTTGCTAAAATAGAAAGATTTTCATTTGGATCATGATTATTGCTATTATTCTAACCATTTTTATTAGCTAAAATAGGATTGCTAATTTGCTAATTACTATTTTAAGGGTTATTTTATAAATTATCTGAATCCTAATTCTAAAATTGATAGTTAATTAATCCCTGCTTTAATGATTGCTTTAACTCTTCAATATTATTTCCTACAACAGATTATCTATGAGAAATATTTTGTCCTTGTAATTGAAGAGTAGAGGAAGCAGGAGAATTTAATCTTTTATTGTTGTTGTTATTGTTATAATTATTGCTGCTATTAGAAGTATTTATAGTAAATTAATTCAACTGCTACTACTAAGACTGCAATTATTGTTGATGAAACTAAAGTTATTGCTATTCTTTTTATAGGTTGCTTTCCCTATCAACATTTTAAATCATTTAATTGATATGCTTAAAACCATTTTAGAATTTGCCTACAACATCACCTTTTGAATTATTTTTATCATGATTATAAATTTGTTAATACCCTTCTTATTAAAAATGCTGCTGACTTTAACCGAATTACTACTAATTATCTTTCTAATAACGAGTTTCTATCCCTTTTTATCCAAGATTTTGCTATACTCTGCTTTAAAGAACGATATCGTTCAATTGAGATTAAGGACTCTTTCTATATGAAAAGATATTACTTTATGAATTCTTCTTAGAATGGTTTCCTGCATTCGCTAATTAATTCTAAATATTACTTGTATTTGTATTGCTAATTGACTACTAGTTCATACTTCCTGATACGTTGCCCGTCTAAGAATTGACATTTGCTTATTTGCTCAAATATTGTCTTTCTCTTACCATAATTTTTGAGTTGACAATATAAATATAAATAGAATAAGTGTAAAATATACAATTAGTTAATATATTTTATATTTAATTAATAAAAAATTGAATGTATTTTGCAATTAAATTAAATTATGTATTTTTTTCAAAAGTTGTTTGTAATTTTATAAATATTCATATGCTACTAAATGCATTCATACATACACAAAAATACAATCAATTTGAAAATAGAAAAGAAATAAATTAATAAATAATTCTTGATATTTAAATAATTTTCAAATTGTTAAAAATATTACAAAAATTTATCTATCTATCAATCAATCTATCCATATTTCTAATCTTAAAATACTCATTTATAATATATTCTCATTAAAATTTACTCTACCAAAACAAATTTATTTTTAAAATTAATTTATTTTTTTTACTTTGATTAAGTTTTTTGCAAAGTATCTAAAATTATAATTTTATTTAAGTTTATTATTGTATTTATTTTTTTGAAATTTATTTTTATTTAAAATAATAATTTTCTAATGAATTTAATTTAAACAATAAATTTTTTTTTATATTTTAAAAATTTAATTTTATTTAAATATTTTTAATATTAAATTTAAGAAATATAAATATTATTTTGAATAAAATCATATTACCTTATCAAACTAAAGAAAAAAAATTTATTCTTAAATTTTTTATTACAAAATTTATTAATTAATCTGTTTCTTAATAATAAACAAACAAATAATATATAAAATAAAATGTGTTATACCTACTGATACTTACTTTTTTGTAGATAACTTTATTTACATGATTATTTGATTTAATTATATTTTTAAAATAAAGAGCTGTTTAGCTTTTTTGGAAGATAAATTAAAATTAATATAATTTATTTAAATTCTTTTCTTTTTCTCATTTTTATATTGATATTTATTTATTTTAATAATATTTTCTTTATTTTTATAATGATTTATATAAATGCATTGACAATATCTAGAAAAAATTAGTGATTTAGCAATTCAAAATATTTTGAGGATATTTATTTTTGCCAGTAAATATATTTTAACAAATAGAAGAATTAAATAGGTTTTGAAATAGATACAAAATATTATGCAATGATTGCTTTTATGCTTTTGATAAAAAATATTATGAAATTTAATTAAAAATATGTTAATTATTTACCAAATCTTTATTTAAACTGTAAAGTATTCTGTAAATATCTATATTAACATTAATTCTTCACAAATTTTAAGTTTAAATAAATCTCAATTTTTTAAGTTACAATACACAAAAAAAATATAAACCAGTTTGAATTGTAAAATAAAACGCATTCATTAAATTAGATAATATTTTAAAATAATTTTAAGCCAACTACTGCTATTTTATTCAATAATAGCTATTTCAACATTGAGTGGTAAATTTTAATTCTTTAAAATGTGAACAGTGATTTAAAAAATATACTGAATGTGTTTGTTTAATTTTCAAATTTATGAGTTTGTAATTGTAATTCTTATATTCTGTATGGTTAGAATAGCTGAATTTCCTACTCAATCAGAGTTATTATTAAAATCACTTCAAATAAGAAAATTTAAGTTTTTTCTAATCGAGAATAAATATAATACATTTTTTTTTCATGTAACAAAATTTAAATTTTTTATAAATAATTCATCAGATTTAGATTTTTTTAAAATTGAAATAATAATTTTACCTTAAAATGTATATTCCTTTTTTTCTATAAGCAAAAAAATAATCACTCCATTTAAGCAACGTTTTTTTAACCCTTTTATTATAAAACTAATTTTAAAATGTAAAACTATTGAAATAATACCCAAAACAAAAATCAAAATCTTTTAGATATCACTTAAAATTGATCTATGGTCAAAAAATAGAAAATACATTTAATTATTTGCTTAGTTTTGCTATTTATTTATAGGTTTTATAGATTTTAATCAACTCTATTTTTTTAGCAACAAGTTATTGCATTTTTTGGCGATGTCAAATAAAAACATATATATTTCTAGAATAAAAATCTGAATACATTAATTTTGAGATAAATAACTAAATTACGTAAAGGTAATTTATTTTTCAAAAAGGAAATTCGTGTATTACATTATATTATATTAAACGATTTTTGGGTAGAATAATAATAGGTTGATTTATAAAAAACAGTATAATTTAAAAAAAACAAGTAAAAGAAACTGAGTTTTTAATTTGATAAAAATATAAATAATAAAATTATATACAATCAATGTAAAACAACTTAATAGGATCACTTCTAATTTAAAAGTGTTGTTTACAGAGACATAAATATATTTTATGTATTTTAAAATACTATCTATGAAACACAAGTGAAATATCCTGTTAAAAGTCCTTATGAAATATAATTAAAACAAGAGATTACAATAAAAAATGCATAAAAGCTTAAGTTAGTAAAAGTTTTATCCATAAAAAATACATTTATATCTAAAAGAGTTAAACATCATTAGAGATAAAAACAGAATTTGAAAAAAAAAATTATGAAAGCCAGCCTAGCTATCCGTAAAAAAAAACATTATTGAATCAGCATATTATAATGTTAAAAGAAAAATCTGTGGATAAGTACATTAAGGAATAAAAATTGATTATAAAAAATATAATCCAACTAAAAAAGTTAATTAAAAATAAAAAACAAACAAACAAACAAAAGTTAAAAAATTAATCATCACTTGCATTAAATCAGCAAATTAAAGCAAAAATACAATTGAAATGTCTGAAAAATAACCAATGAAATAGCTAATGAAACTAAATACTGGAGATTCTCTAGATAAAAGAACATTAAAGAGCTAAAATACAGGTGGTTAGGAAAAACTCCGACTAAAAGAAAATAATCTTAGTTAAATAACAGCAAATAATAACCCTTCTCCTTCAAATAACTCTCCACTTCCTCTAAACAATCAAGATGTCAGAATAGATATGTATGAGTTGGAGAAAAAAATTAACTAGAATAAGAAGATGAATGAAGATCCTTAATTAGAATAAGCTAATATTGAGCAATGTCAGCCTGAAATGACCTCGCTTTTTTCCAGCGATGACACAAGAAGAGCTTTTATCCGTAAGGTTCTTGGAATCATTTGTGCGCAGCTTATAATCACCACACTTTTTATTTTGGTTGGAGTATTTTCTCCTACCTACCAAAACTTCTAATAAAACAATAAATGGTTAACCATATTTTGTCTACTTTTGAACATAGCACTCCTCTTTGCGCTCTACTGTTTCCGTGACTTCTGTCGCCAAGTTCCTAAAAATTATATTTTGCTATTTCTTTATACTTTTTCTGAGAGCTTTTTAATAAGTTATCTTTGCGGAGTCACTAACCCAACAGTTGTCTTATTAGCAGGAGCTTTAACCACAATAATTGTCTTTGCTCTTTCAATTTATGCCTGTTTTTCAAAAACTGACGTAACAATGAAGACCTCCCTCTTAATTTATTTCCCTCTAGCTGTCATAGTTATATTGATAGTCGCTGGCAGCTATCAATCTTATATGAGCTAAGTAATAGTTAGTTTGGCTATTATTGGGTTATTTTCACTATACCTTGTATTCGATCTATAAAGATTAAGTGGAAAGAAATCAATTACATATACAATGGATGATTATATAATTGCCGCATTAGATATCTACATAGATATAGTTATTATGTTTAAAGAGCTTATTTATCTTCTCTCTAGATGATTTCTAAATTGAATGCTAGTTGCTAAGTAGATAAAATACTCACTCCTATATTAATCTATAATAAAAATAAGAAAAATATTGATATATTTCCTTTCTATTAATCAATCATACATAATATTACTTATATATTATCATCTCTACCAAACTCAATTTAAGATTTCTTTATTTGGAGACCTCTTATGCGCATGTATAGAAAACAAAGAAATTGTTAGTTTTGTTCTTTTAGTTCTTAATCGATAGACATAAATAAATAGGTTTTGTTAAAAATAATAATTAAAATCAGCTTTTCAAGTAAAATAATTAAAGAAAGTAATGCAAATCAACTCATTTTATTTTGGCTTTATATAAAGAATATCTTAATATTCAGTAAAATTATCAATCAATTTCTTTCAGTCCTTGTAAATATTATCAAAAAAAACTAGTTGATGTTTTTCCTGTAATTTAGCTTACAAATTTTATTGTTCTTTTTAAAATAGCTTGTGATAGTTATATGAAAATTTGAATGTTGAATTTTTTACTCGAATTGTTTAAAATGTTTGCTAGCTGAGGCAAAAATAGCAGATAAGAGATTGTTCTAGTAATCCAAATTTAAATAAATTGAGAGAAAAAGAAATCAATCAATCAATCAACTTTGGTTTTTTCTAGTTTATTTTAGAAATAAAAATAAAGATAGAGATGAAAGCTTGAAATAATTAGATTAATTTAGAAATCAATAATTTACCACAAAATTTACACAAACGAAATTTGAAAAGAACATTAAACGTAAATTAATTAAAACAAATTCATAAAGTAAAGCTCAATTATTGATAACGAAATCCATAATTTAATTTTACATAGATTGATTTAAATGTAAACTAAAAAACCAATTAATTTCTTGATTTGCTTCGCATAACTAAGAAAAAGATACATAAAATTTTCTAATATGCGTGTTACTAAAAAAAACAAACAAATAGACAATTATTTATTTTATTTAACTTTATTAGTTATTAGGTCAGCAAAACTATAATGCTTTTGCACTTAATCTAAATATTTTATAATTAGAGAAAGCTTACTTGATATTATTTATTACTAAACAAAATTCATTTTTGTGTTTATCATTTATTACTAAAATTGCTCAATTATTTTTAAGTTTATTCTATATGTATTTATCTAACTATTAACCCATCAAATAATCAACCATAATATTGATTATATTATAAACCTGATTTTATTTGTCATCATTACATATTCGTTTATACTTATTAGTGACTATCTTAAATTAATAACAAATTCTTTAACTAATTTAAATTTATTATAATCATTATCATCAGCATTTTTTTTATTTTAATCCCAATATTAAATTTTTCATCATTTTTATTTAAATTACACTTTTTAAATTTATGTTCAGTACAGTTAAAATTTATTGTCATCACTGACTTATTTTTATCTATTCTCATTTAAGATTATTAAACTTACAAATAGTTTTGTTTGAATAGTTTCTACTTTTGAATAGCCAATTTTTTATTTGATAATTTGATTAAAATGCTTTATATATATTGTTCATTAGTTACAAATAAAATAAAAACCCTTTTAAAAAACAAATTTAGCTAAAAAAAATATGAATTTTCAGAAATTAGAAATTGAATAAATTCTTTTAAAAATAATGTTTAAAAATATAAAAACTGTTGAATATAAAAAATTCAATAGATAATTAAATATAATTTGAAATATCAGCAGCTATATTATTATAATTAGTGATATTTTAAATTTAGGAGAATCTAAAAAAGAAATTCCTCATAAAATAGTCTGAAATTTATTTTCAAAAAATTTTTAAAGCATTTAAAACTTTAAAAAATAATTTATTTTATTTATTTTTTAGACCTTCTAAGTCAAATTATTTTGTTTAAATTTCATAAAATATAATCTATTTCATGGAATTATTATTTTTAAAATATTTTATTCTAAAGATATTATATTTGGACAATAAAAAACACTGATAAAATTTTTATAACAATGAAATTAAAAAAATCAAACCGTAAAAATAAATTTCCTAGTCTTAAAATAAATATTACATAAATCTTTACTAAATTTTTTGACTTTTAGATATCTAAAAATATATATTTATTTAAAGATTCTAAATTATAAAATATTCTAAAAAATAAATACAGGGGTTGGGGTTGGGGTTGGGGTTGGGGTTGGGGTTGGGGTTGGGGTTGGGGTTGGGGTTGGGGTTGGGGTTGGGGTTGGGGTTGGGGTTGGGGTTGGGGTTGGGGTTGGGGTTGGGGTTGGGGTTGGGGTTGGGGTTGGGGTTGGGGTTGGGGTTGGGGTTGGGGTTGGGGTTGGGGTTGGGGTTGGGGTTGGGGTTGGGGTTGGGGTTGGGGTTGGGGTTGGGGTTGGGGTTGGGGTTGGGGTTGGGGTTGGGGTTGGGGTTGGGGTTGGGGTTGGGGTTGGGGTTGGGGTTGGGGTTGGGGTTGGGGTTGGGGTTGGGGTTGGGGTTGGGGTTGGGGTTGGGGTTGGGGTTGGGGTTGGGGTTGGGGTTGGGGTTGGGGTTGGGGTTGGGGTTGGGGTTGGGGTTGGGGTTGGGGTTGGGGTTGGGGTTGGGGTTGGGGTTGGGGTTGG